TTTTTTTTTTTTTTAATGGACGAACGAACAAACGAACACAGGAAGTTCTTTTGGAAGTACCGTACCTGAAAAAGTGAAGGCTGCTGAAACATGAAACCGAACTGGACTGGACTGGAGAATTCTCTGAACAGAACTGCTGAATGCGGAGGAGAAAGGGGACCTTTTGATGCGAGATATGTTCAATACGATATCTGTCTGCTTCTAATCTAATGAGATCTTGTCATTACAGATTGCGGAAGTATTGATATTGATATCATGCCAGGAGATCCTCTCTCTCTCTCTGTGTCTGCCTCAATCCCTCTCTCCCCCCGGGCATTATCATTATCACGATATCTGTAACATACTTATGGCCCAGTTACTCCAGTTGGTGCACGGTTAGGTAATAAACTGCTGGTTCTTTGTGGGAACGAAACGAACGAACGAACGAACGAACGGCCTTCTTTCGGCTGCTCTTTTTTGCTGCCCAAAAGAAAAAAAGGTCCGCAAATAAACCACCACCAACCACCACCACCACCTTCACCACCGCTTCTTCATCTCCATCTTCACCTCTTCAATAGAACATCTCTACGCTGCTGCCGGCCTCGCCGTTATTTCCGGGTGCTCAATCATCGACTGTTCCTTCGTCTCCATCTTCTATAGCACCTTCTCTTCGCAGATTCCGTATATGATCCCTTTCAGCACCCCGGAAGCCTTCTTTGCTTCGTCTCTGAGCTAGTACCGCGGGAAGTCACCCACCACCATCACGCATCGAGCCTGTCACTGTCGACACTCTCCTTCTTCTCTTCTCCCCCGTCGGCGCTCTCCTATTCTTCCTTCGCCAAACTATTACCAGGCATCCCACTATGAGAACCTCTGGGCGTCGTGGAAGTAAAAGATTCAAAACGGCCAGCGTGTTGAAGGACGAAGAAGGTCGGTAAAACTCGTTCTCACCTTTTTTTTCTGTCTGCCCTGTCGCGCCTTTCGGAACACTCCTCGCTGGAAGCGGCGGCTCTCCATCATCAAAACAGCCTGCCTATCTCCGGCAATGCACAGATATCATCCCAATTACTTCTATTGCAAAATAGCATTCCTTTGTTCCTGGCAGAGCCCACAAAAAAAGCTTACTTTCCTTCTGTTTGTTTTCTAGAATCTGCTCCTCCCACCACAACGACTAGAACAACCAGCACTCCCAAATTTTCTCCCACTCCAGCGGCCTCAGAGCCGGACCCAGATCGCGAGCCACAAAACGTGGGAAGCAAATCGATACCGAACGATACTACTCCTGTTCCAGAGCCAAAGCCTGCAAAAGCTCACTCTAGAAAACAAATTTCCAAGGCCCCGGAAGTCGAAGTTCAGCCGACAGACGTGTTACCCCCCACCGCCACTACCACTACTACTACCACTACCACGGCTGCCACGGCTGCCGCTTCCTCCACTAAACAACCTAACGGCTCGGAGAAAGGAAGTACTGAAGAGGACGAAGAAGATAGCAAGTCATCCCCGCTCACTGAAACATCATCAACTTCGGAGCAAATGGCCTCTGTTGCCATCTTCACCCCTTCGGCCGACATTAAAGGTACTAGGACATATGAAGACCTAGAAATGGGCAACACTGAATCCGACAGGCCTACACCGGATCGCTCCTCCGCTCCTCCGTCAATCTCGCGACCATACATGAACGGTCAATCTCCAGAATCATCGAGCCTTAGTGAATTGGATTCAGACGATTCGGAGGCCGAAACAGAAAGGCTAAATATTTCCCCTCAGAAGCCTATTTTAAGTAATAGCACAAATCCAGCGTCGTATAGTACACCAAAAAAATCAATTGGCACAAGCACCCTAACATCGCCGTCCCGGAGTCCGTCCCCGTTATCCACCGTCGGTCAGGAAAGTCCAAAGTCACCCGACCGAGAAATGACGCTAGGCGCCATCGAACAGCTCACACCCGAGGGGTCCATTGCCGGTTCGCCAGTAATTTCCCCTCGCAAACGGAAGCGAAACGACGGCCTTGACGAAGAAGGGGCAGTAATTGTAGGAGAGGAAACCAAGGATATCATGGAAATATCAGATTTAGAAGACCCACCAAAGAAAAAAGTTAACGTCGACCCCAAGTCACAAGGTACCGATGAGGAAGAAGAAGGGGACGACGAAGATAGCAAGAACAAACACCCAAAGCAGTCGGCTCTACCCCCCACCAATGGCCACGTGTCGGACGCTGAAGAAGATTCAGGTGTTGAAGACGAAGACGAGTCGCCGAAACCCGCCCAGCGGTCGCCAGGCAAGAACAAACAGAAATTGGCGAGCGCAAATCTATCGCCAAAGAAGCTTTCTGCCAAGGTCCTTGATACAGACCTGGACGAAGATGCCGATGAGGGGAGAGATACGGACGCCGCTGATAGCAACCATCACAACAAAGATGATGACGAAGGTATGTCCGTTTCTAGCAACTATAAGACATAGACGAACCCACGACTAATGCTTCCTAGCCGATGAAATGAGCAGAACGAAAAGACAAGCTGCAGATGATCTCGCCGCAATCGAAATCCTGTTCGCCCAGCTCAGAGACAAGTAAGTTATCTCGCTTTCGGTCACGATATCCTATGCTAACCGTAATTTTAGGATTGTCGAGGAAAGAGTCGCCGAAATCGATAAAGAAATCGCCATGCTATATGACGGTACACACCCGGAGCTAATACTAATGTCACAGTCTATCGAAACGCACAAGCGCGAGAAGATTGAAAAGGCGAATATCCTTCTAGGGTTCCAAGAGCAAACTGCAGAGGTAGAGAGAATTGCCAACAGAGCAGCCATTTGGGCCCAATATAATCAAGAGATCCGGGAGACAAGAGAGAAGTGCTTTAGTGAAGCGAATACCCAGTGGTGGGCAATTCATCGGGAGAGGAGAGCGGCAGACACAAGCCTCAGTGGTAAGTTCCATTCTATGAAGAGAGAACCATGTAGCCGCCCTAACTCAGAACTCTAGATTACGTTTATCGGATACCGAAGTCTCTCTCGACACAAATCAACCACAGGAGTCGATACAACGCTGAAGTTTCCCTCCTATCGGGGATTGCAAAGCACGTTGGCTTCCCAGCCGCCCCTACTATTGCGGGTGCATCGGCAGATGAAGTTCGGGCTGATCTTGAAGCGATGGGGGTGCGTAGCAGAATCCTATCATACTGATATTAGTGCGAGCGATTCTTTACTACCTGAATGGAGATTCGGGTTTGCTGACAAGATTCGATTGCTGTCGTCTTCAGTTGGTCCCCGCGCAAATCCCAATCCCGGCCCCTTCCTTCCTCCCTCCCCAACATTTCCCAACATCTACCCCGTCACAAGCGGGGCCTAGCCGTCTACCCCAAATGTCCACCTTCGGTCCCCCCTCAGCATACAGCCCTCGGCCCGCCAAAACCCTGGCCCCTCCACCTCAGCTTGGAAATGCTTTCCAGCCTTCTCCGTCCCATGCTCTTAACCCTGAAACCAGGCATCCTCGCAGTCCCCCCTCCCCGGTGCCACAACCACTCAATTCGCTCCACCAGGCCCAAAAAGCACCAACTCCTTCATCCCCGAGAGTAACCAAGGCTAGCAAGGGCAAAGCTGCCAGCTCTAAGGCCTCCGCACAGAATTTCGACCTTCTCACGGAATCAGTGTCTAAACGTGTGCCTATAAAATTGGAGCAATCCCCCACCATCAGTTCACTTTCATTTGCTCCTCCTCCTACTCAAAGCTACACCGCCCAGCAACCGATTGACAGGCGTATGCAGGTCGGTGGTGCTCCTGCCTATCGGCCATTTGGGAAGTAAATACAGCGTCATTTCTTAGACTTCTGGTTATGGTACCTCTTCTAGTTTTGGTCTTCTCGTTTCAGATATCCACGAAATTAACGGCGATAAAAATCTTTTAAGCTCTTTGGCCTACCCGTTGTGTCATGATTCTCTTACCCTTTCTCTTCTCCCTTCGATGTGTTCTCTTCTACCTATATTGGCGTTTTATATTATTGGGTCCTCTTGAACAGGAGCATGTTGTCTTGGTTTTTTTCATTTTTTTTCACTAATACTTTTTTTGCATGCGGGTTTCGCGATCGTTCCTTTATTTTCAGAGCCTTTTTCACACCCCATCCTATGTACATTCTACTCATCCAACCTCACCACTCCGACGAGGCTTTATGCTCGACTTGTACATTGTGCCCTGATCTTCCGCCTCCTCCTCCTACTCCTACCACTCCGTTACGAAAGCATGGGGATCTGTTTCTTTTCTCTAGGCGTTTTTGTTTTTCCTGAAATTAAATGTTCTTATTTCATGTGCAGCCTGTTTCGTCGCGGTCTATAAATGTTCTTGTTCTTCACTTTCTCCCAGATGATAAGTATGCCCTAAAGCCTGTGAGCTCTTGGGGAAGTTAGTCTTACTGTTCTTGTTCACTTTTCCCTTTTTTGCGCCGGCGAGATCTGGGTCCTAATTCGACAATTGACTTCTCTGACGAATCTCCTTAATTATTTTTCTTGTATTACACTGTACCATAGTGCGGGTTGATTATTATATCATGATGAATAAATCAAGTAGTCTTGGTATTCGTGTACTACACCAGTTTTTAATTCCGATATTCTGATTACATATAACAAAAATCGATCAAATATATCACCAATAGCAACTCCTCTCAAATTTCCTTGCCTTAATTTCTGACAAAATTCAATAAGCGCCTGTTAAGCTGTACTCACTGCTGTACGTTTAAGACAACCATCAGACCTAAGGACAGTAGTGTGAGAATTAAACTGACCAAAATGACTAGCCTTGTTTTCCATTTCGAACCCATTGACGCCTAGTGCCATAAGTTCGTCTCTGATATCTTTCGGCTGGATGCCTTGAAATTTCATAGCTAATTGACGAGATGATAACTGTCGCATCATCACACGTACTTGGGACTCATGTAATTGAACACCAGGGTCGTCCGGTGATAACCCCTGACGGAGTAGTGTCAGCCTGTTAAGTATATCCTGCTTTTCGGCGTTTAACACCGGGTTGTTTTCTAGGACGACTTTATATTCTAGAACGGCTACCACTCGCATTGCTTGATCGAAATCGATGCGGTGTGTGTTTTCTTGTTTGTGGGACTCGTCTTTGGGGAATAGTTCACAGCGATGGTCTGCTGTTCGTACGTTCCCGTAGACGCGGAACCAGGGGACTATTCTTAGATGTTCTGCCGTATGCTGATGCATTTTGGGGTATTCGGTGTGGAATTCGAATGACCATAGTGTGAGATCCGTTCGTATGAGTTCGAAGATTCCTGACCATAGCTGGTGGGGGGAGTGGAGGACACAATTGATCAATTCGATTTTGCGAAGGGTGTTTTTGTGATATGTCAAGAATGTCTTGAGTTCGTCCTTTACGAAAGCTTGTTCGAGGAGGGAGAGGATTCGAAGGTTGTTGAATCTGAGAGATCCTACGTCGACTGGGTTGATTGGGAATTGAAGTGGGATCCATCCTCCCGAGTCATCCGGGGTGTTTATTCTTATAAGGCTACCAACTTTGAAGCGTAATTCCTCCAAGTTGGGAACCATTTGTAGAAAATGAGTAATTTCGGGCCGCGCCTTTATAAGATCCTCATGTGTTTCATCGGCTTCATAATCGTATTCGTCGGAATCCCCAAGAAACAGTGGAATCTCGAGTTTTCTCAGATTTTGAAGCCGGGGTTGTAATGCTTCTAGTATCCTGTCGTCTGTGTAGACAAACCATTCGAGTGATGGGCCGTTGCTGGGCATATATCGTTTCGAGGATTGAGACTTCCACGTCCATCTTCTTACATCCGTAAGCTCTGGAAATCGAATTACCTTTGGTTGCCAGTTAGATCGTGATATAGCTGTCATTGCATTCGCAAATGTCTGATTCTCATGCGGATACGCGTGTGCCGTTGCATTCCGATAAGCATTTTTAAACCATTTTCCAGGCTTCTCTTCCCTGATATCAAACCCAAGACCAGGATAATGGGTTTGTAAAATCGCATTCGGAACGTCTCCAACATCAGGAGTAGTCATAAACTCGATACATTCCAAATTTGGTAAATTATCCAACGCGGTGGTGAGGAGTTCAACAACCTGGTGGTTATTGAACTTAGGCGTGGATATTGCTATCGTCTGCATTGTTTTCTCTCCATTTTCTAATCGGATTTTACAGCGGATCTTCATGGAAGATGGAGAGAAAGTATCAAGTACCAGGGTCTTGCATCTGGCTCTTGCGTTATCGTGAGCGGGGTCTGTCGAGAAGGCTACCAAATTTTTGATATCGATGATTGAGTGATAGTACCGCTGGGTTCTGAATAGCGTATCTTTATCAGACTTGGCTTCGAGGGTTTTGGAACACTGTCTCAGAAGAAGCTGGCTCTTTCGCGGTAGATGGCCTACGATCTCGTTGAAGACCTCATTTGGCAAAGATGATAGAGTCGCCATCTTTAAATTTTCTGGAGCCATCATCTGCAACTGATTATATCGCGTTGAGTATATAGCAGTAATTGATAAGAACAAAAAAAAAAAATCAGCAGGGTTGAATAAAATCCCTACGACTTGTTTATATAAGCTCGAATAAATAATAAAATAGGTAAGTTAACAAAGAGCAGATAATCGATACGAGACAAGTCTAGATTCGCGGACGCGGACTACGGACCCTAGCTAAGACCGATCTGGGCACGCTCCCGCACCCTGGTCCGTATGATACCATGTACAGGTTTCCGGTAGCTGAACCGACAAGTGGGGATCTCAACCGTATTTAAAGATCGCAATTACAACATGCAACACCAAACAGGGCATGCACACACCCACCCACACCCGAGTACTCCCAAGACGGTTGAATCCGAGCTTAGCATGGCAGTGCATGACAAACCACACCGCTGCTACCCCGCTGCATGTCAGACTGCTGTAGAACTACCGTCGTCGGGTGGAGTCGGGAGGGCCGACGCGAGGGGTATATCGCATAATATTAGCTAGCTGGTGATAATATTTGGAGATTATCATATCTCAAATACTCGATCGTCCGCCTAGTTAGTACTAGTTCTAGGGGGTTTACAATTTCATGGGTTCCAATTGGTCCGCTGGGAGATCTGATATGTCATAAGCTTAAATTCATCTGAGGTAGGATTAATTATCACCTTGTAATACTAAGCGCTTGATTTGTCTTCAGCGATTTTTCAGAAGCGCAGGTATATGCCCTTCGCGTTTATTCTCACGATATCGATCTTGAAGCGGATGTAGATGCAGACTGGACCTGAAGTAGGCCGGTATTAATTCCGTTAATGTAATCTCCAATGCAATGCAAAGTGGTTATTAGTACTAGTGCAAGGAAATCGAAAACATCTGAAACTCCTTCTTCGATTGATACTTGTATTAGACCCAGACACGACTTCGAGTTAGAGGTTAGAAGCTGCGGCTGGGTGTTAATAGCTCAGAGCGAAGAAGCTTCGGCATTATTAGATGATCACCACCATCCCGTAGGATTCGGGCGCTCTTCATAGTCCCACCATCGATCCTCACCACCTGCCTCTACTCGCTTCCTATTCTCCTCTTCCTTCTCCTTCTGCCGCTTCAGCCATAGCTCTTCTCCCCACCACCCTGGTTTTCGCTGTTCCTCCTCCTTCTTCTTTGCTTCTATTTCTTCTGGTGTGGGTTCCCACCATCGCTCTCCTAGTGGCACCTTCGCAAGTCTTTCTTCTATACTCTCTTCTTTCTTCTCTTCTTTCTTCTCTTCCTTTTTCTCAACTTGCTTCGGTTCTTTCCCTGCCTCTTTCCCCTCCTTCGCTTGCCGCCCTTGACCCTCCTCGCTCTCTTCGCTCTCCTCGCTCCTTTGATCCTCCTGCTTTCCTTGACTCTTCTTCTTTTTCTTCTTCCTCTTCTTTTTCGTCTCCGTCTGCTCTACTTCTTCTGGCTCCTCTTGTTTCTTTACCTGGGGTACCTGGGGTGCCTGAGGTTTAGTATTTTGCCTAAACCCCCTCCACAGATCCGCCATTTCTTCAGCCTTCGTCTTTCGAATAACTGTTGGGGTCGCAGGTTTCTCCAATTCCTCCGGCTCATCTCCCCATGACCCTTGAGGATTCTGACTTTGTTTTTGTTGATCCCACCGCGATGGATCTTCCGCCGGAAAGCCTTCATCTTGTATCTCCTTCATCTTTTTCGTTTCTTCCACGTCTTTACTCTCCTGCTTTTTATTCTCCCCTTTATTTTCCGTATCTAACCCCCAAGGCGACTTATACTCCTGAGACCTCTCGCTCTGTTGTTGTTTCTTTTCCATCTCTTCAAGTCTCTCTTTCTCCTTCTGCTCAAAATTTCTATTTTCCAAATACCGTTTCGGAATCGTCCACAATCTTCTAGGCGTCGGAACTTCAGGAATATTAAACGACCCTTGATGCTCAAACATAACAACCCACCTCACAATCCCACTATCAACAACCCCAGAATCCGTCCCCTCGACCTCTACAATCCTAAATAGTCTTGTTTGTGGATGATTCTCCGGATCAAAATTCTCCGTATCGTAATCGATAACTTCGGGATCCGGGGGTAAATCTGATAGATCGTAGTTATATTCTCGAAGGGTCGTTGTGGTCCAATTTGTGCATTGATCTCCCACACGTTTGATTCTGTAGATTGGGAGTGGGGATCTTAGGGTTAATGTCCATTCGACACCTTCGAGTTGGGGTTCTGTTAGGGTTGAGGCTATTGGGTGGTGGGATTCTTCGAGGGAGGTTTCTTCGTATTTTTGACCGGCTGGGGTGGAGGAGAGTTTGGCGAAGGTGACGGTTTTGGGGGTTATTCCTAGGCCGCCTTGTTTTTTTTGGGGGGAGGTGTTAGATAGGTGTGTTATGTTAAATAGTTTATTTCAGAGTGGGAAGGGGAGGAAAGTTAAATTTATATCTAACCTTTAGGTTTTAAACATACGGGGAGGGATAATACTAAACAACTAACCTTCAGGATCAAACTGCCGTACTCTAGCTTCATGAAAGAAGAAACATTCACGGGTACCGTCCTGCTCGAATCTGAGTTGAAGAAGCGGCTTTTCATCTTCCGGCTGGAAAAATAGGTTACCCTTTTTGAGTGAAAATGCTCCACAATTCACATTGTAGACTGGATAGCGATCTGGAGGCATCGTTTTCAGTGTATTATCATCTGGCGTGGTGTACTATTAATATTCCTTTTTGGCGTGAGGGTGTTAATTTGAGCGTGTTTTCCCCCCTTCTTCCCGCCTTTTAAGGAGTACTAGTACTTAGTATGTATGTATTCTAAATTAGAATTTGTTTGTAATAACCTCAATTCCCTTTCTTCTTTTTTTTAGAATAACCTGTATGTATGTAGGAATATTATTAGAGCAGGGAAGATCGTGAGAGAATAGTAGGTAGGGAGTGTCGGGTATGATCCTTGTATTAAACTGTAGCGCTCGCTTGAGAAAGATTATTGGAAAAGCTGGGTATGGAGGGTGTAGTATCTCGAGAAAGTTATCGTCAGTTCTACAAGAAGAAGAAGAAGAAGTCCTATTCTTGAGGAGTTTTTAATATGATATGAAAAGCTTTAGGGGGGATTCATCTCTATCTGAACTTGGCCTATGATATAGGTTGAATATTTCTATTAAATATATTACATTTTATATTATTCTTTGTTTCTAGTTGTTTATTCGTAGTTTTTAACATATGTTTAATCTTCATGATCTCTTTTGTGCTATGAATATCACCATCAAGTAATTAATTTCTAAAGTATCTATAAAAACGATTAACAAAAAGCTAGAAGATCGTTGTCAGAAATATAGGTGTTGATTTTGTTGGATATTTCTTTCCAAACCTCACAAGCGGAAATCCAACCATCCCAGACACAGTCTCACCAGGGAACGTTAACCGCTTCTTTTTTTACCGCAAGGTCCATGTCCTGTAGCACACATACCATCGGGCCTGGGGGAACAATAATAACAATTAAGCGACTATAACATATTCCCCGTCTACCAAAAAAAAAAAAAACTCCTCAAGCTTGTAAAAGCGATAGCCTAGATTACTCAAATCAAACCTTCACTAGACGAAAATTTAAAAGGGCTAAAAAAATGCACGGTATCTCCGATCCCGAATTCCAAGGCAGATCATGCAGGCCCGAATATCATATCATATCAAATAATTTTTAACGTTACCGTCAGATGATATCAGCTTACACTGTATACATGTAACATTGTATTTTCATTTCATCTATCGTCATCATCGATGCATGATATATCGATCGGTATCATTTACATTTTGACCTTCAATTTAATTTAATTGACTTCTACATCACAATTATTTTCGCGATATTTACGACGAAAAAGAACATCCGAGAATTTTTGGTTTGTGTCACATAAAAAAGCATCATATCATACGGGATTATGAAATTCTTTCCCGCGCATGAGCTTTTTTTTTTCTTATCAGATTTTTTCATCTCTGGGTCGTAAAATATACACATGTCGAAATGAAAAGCAAGAGTAAAAAGATGTATCCCACACCCCTAAAAGACCCGGTTGGAAGAAGGGTTTCGTGTCCCAAAACCCCCCCCCCATGAATGCATAAAGAAAAGGAAAAAGAGGGTAAAATGCCCCCTTTTATATCGTATTATCCGGACTAGTAGTAAACGACATTATGTAGTAAAAAGGAGGAGAAGGAGGAATTGTATAAGAGAAATAGAATTGGAATTTGTTCTTCTGTTTGTATTCGTTTACTTGAGAGGAATGAAACGGGAAGAGTGGGTAGCACCGATACCGGGACGACCGTGCTTGACAGGCGAGCTATAAAGTAGAATTCATCGTTAGTAATCCATAATCCCCTTTCCAAAAAACAGAGAGAAACAGAGTAAGAGAAGAAGAAGAAGATAAACATACTAAGAGATAGAGAATTCTCCGAGGTAGTGTCCAACCATCTCAGCCTTGATTTCAACCTGGTTGAAGACCTTTCCAGAGTAGATACCAATGACGCTGCCAATCATTTCTGGGACAACAATCATGTTACGGAGGTGGGTCTTGACAATGTCGGGCTTCTCATTGGGCTTGGCCTCCTGCTTGGCCTTTCGGAGCTTCTTGATCAAACCCATTGGGCGACGCTTAAGACCGCGGTTGAACCTTCTGCGGGCACGAGCGTGGACGACATCGCGAAGTTGCTCGGAGGTGAGGTCGAGGAGTCTGTACGAATGATTTTATCGTTAGGAGGATAGATCACGGGGAAGGGGTAAGGTGAGAGGGCGTAGAGATATAAAACATACTGCTCGAGGTCAATTCCTCGGTAAGAGAACTTGCGGAAGGCTCTCTTTCTCTTGAGCTCTATAAGAGCGAAAAAAATGATAGGGTTAGATAGTCCCCTTTATTTTAAAGTATTCACGATCCGAGGAAATCGGACGTGTTGTTAAGATCCGTAGACATACCAGCGGCGTGCTCAGCGTCCTACATTCACAAGTTAGTATATAAGATCCCGACACAAAAAAATAAAACCCGCCATCTATCCTGCCAAAATCGATTTTGACAGCATATCGGGAGGGAGAGAGGGAGGAGAATCGGAACGTACGTATTCTTCGTCTGCCATGGTGTTTGATGTGGTTTAATTTACCGGGAAATGGGTATAAAAGGCCGGGTAGGTGTGTCGGAGAGAGGTTGGTGGTCGATGATGGATTGATGTCGAATTTCGATGTTAGAGATGTGGATGAGTTGGAGGTGTTTCGGCTTGTGGTTCAAAGTCTTGGCATCAAAATTTGGTCGTTGGACTGTGTTTTCCCAAAAGGGAACTGTAATTCGGTCACGTGATAAATACTCAGCGATATGTCTGCAGTCCTGAATTGGTATCGTATCGCGCGATAGAGCGCTGAATATGAACTTACGAGGCCATATGGGATTATTTACTACACGTCTACGAAATATAATGTATGGGAGAATAAATGTTTCCTGTTCATATCGTCTCTCTTTCCATTCGTTCATTAATTCATAAGCGGTGGTTATCCACATATGCAACAAAAGATACATGAATTCCCTAACCCTTCCACCATTCCTTCCTCCCTTCAATAATTGCCATGTAGGATACCAAGGAGCACATCACACTTTCAAATGTGACATGTCTATACCATTAAAGGTATACATTTTTGTGGTTGTAATAAAAGGAACCCAGAACATATATACGATTTTGAAAAGAAATATGTAAAGAGAGGGAAGACAAGAGGCAGGTGAATGAGGTTTTTGACAAAAGAAGGGTATTTTGATAATTTGATATCTTCGTTTAACCGAAGAGATCGAGACCCATGTCATCGTCAGACTCCTCGGCCTCTTCCTCCTTTTCTTCCTCAACTGGAGCAGCGGCGGCGCCACCAGCGGCAGCACCACCAGCGGCAGCGGCACCACCGCCGGAGCCACCGGATGGGACAGAGGCGAGCTTGGATTGACCCTCGGTGATCAACTATAGTATAATTTGTTAGTCATACATACTTTAATTTTCTACATATGGTGGGAGATGCTTCATACGGCGTTGATGTCCTTGCCCTCGAGCTCAGAGAGGAGCTTCTCAAGTCTATCGGTGTCGGCTTCGATACCAACAGACTCAAGGAGCTTGGTGACGTCTCCAGCAGATGGAGAGGCGTTACCGCCGGTTTGGAGGAGAAGGTAAGCTGCAAGGTGCTTCATTTTTCTATTATAATAAAAAATAAAAAAATCTTGTTAGAATATATATATCTTCTTCGTAGTTGTCCAAAATCTCGAAATTCGAACCGATGGGAATATCGAAATTATGTGCGATTCTTCCACCCACGAAACCTGTCGAGCTTGAAGAAGGAAGGAAGGGAATATAAAGAACGTACGATGATTGTTGTGGTTGATATGAACAGGTGATTCAATCGATTTAACCGTTTCTAATGACCGGAGACTGGATCTTCCAATGTTCTTCGGATTGTTGGTTGGTTGTTAATGAGTTTTAGATGGAGGGTTGTGGAGGAGATGTCGAAAAGATAATTTTTTGTGGTGGGGTGGAGCTCTTGGCGTTGCGGCTCTGAGTAAACCAACAGAACAGCCCTAATCGATGGTCACGTGATAGTCTCAAAAATCCAAAAGTGCAGGGCAGAGCTCTCTCTTTCTTTTCGCTTTGATTAAGCTAGCCAGCGGGGGAGTGCATTCTCAAGCCGACATATTCACAGTATTGGGGAAGAATCGACACACAGAATAAATCGTAGGAATACGGATAGTATATTCTCGTCGTATCAAGACATCAAAAAGCTAAGATACAGCATGCATAATGTAATAATAATAAATGGTAATTGACAATAGCCAAAGTAAAATATAAAGATAAAGATAAAGATAATCAAAAGATCCCAGCAAAACAAAAAATAACTCCTCTATATTCAAAGATGCCGTCTATGAACGCCCTAGCCACCTTGTATATTTAAATACTGTAGGTAACCAATGCTAAAACCCAAAGTGGCGAAAAAGCACACAAATCCGTAGACGTCCAGCATACAACAACCCCCCCTCTCCCCAATTCCTCTAACCTCGTGCTGTGCTACAAATACAAAGTCTACCGATATTGTCCCCGGGGGTAGATGCTTACTGCTTGGATGGGAACTCCTGGGCGACAACCTCCAGGGCGTTCAACACATCAGCAACAAGATCTTCGCTGTCTTCAACACCACAGCTCAATCTAACCAAATCGTCGAATACACCAGCTGCCTCTCTTTCGGCCCGTGGGATACCAGCATGGGTCATGCTAGATGGGACCTCGCACAAACTCTCAACACCACCGAGAGATTCGGCAAGTGTGAAGATATTTGTCTTTTGACAGAACCTCTTGGCGGCTTCGGCACCACCCTTGATTCTGAAGCTGACCATTCCACCTCCCATTCCGTTTCGATGTTGCTTGATAGCAATGTATCTTTGTGGGTGAGAGTTGAGGCCAGGGTAATTGACGGCGATGACCTGAGAAGAAGCTTCTAGAGCCGTGGCAACAGCAGTGGCATTTTCGGTAGCAGCCTTAGCTCGAAGGTGAAGGGTCTTGAGACCTCTATGGGCGAGCCAGCTGTCGAAAGGTGATGGGACAGCACCAATGGCGTTTTGAAGGAACAGAAGACGAGTGTAAATGGTATCATCGTTGAAAGCAGCAACACCCATAACAACATCCTAAACAAAACAGAAAAAAGTATTATTAGCAACCGATCAGACATTTCAAAATAAATGGGGATAAGTAGAAAAAATGACATACCGAATGTCCGTTGATGTATTTTGTAACCGAGTGCACAACAATATCGGCACCATGTTTCAATGGATTCTGCACATATGGGCTCATGAAGGTGTTATCAACAACAACCTTAATACCATAAGAATGTGCAGCTTCAGCGACAGCACGGATATCAACCAATGTCAAAGTAGGATTGGAAGGTGTCTCGATCCAAACGAGCTTGGTCTCCGGCCTGACAAGATCATTGATATCGACTTCAATGCTGCCGGAGAATGTCACGGCAATACCATGAGCAGCTGCGACCTGTGTGAAGTACCGATGGGTACCACCGTAGACATCGCTGACCGAGATCACGTGGGAACCGGGGGCAAGGGATTGGAGGATGTTTGCAGTGGCGGCAGAGCCTGAAGAATATGCAAGGGCATAACGTGCGTCTTCGAGGGAAGCAACTGCCTTTTCGAAATTAGAGCGGTTCGGATTGTCAGAGCGCGAGTACTCGTATACGCCAACAGGAGCTCCGACAGCAGTCTGGGCAAATGTGGTAGATAAGGAGATCTAGAACCAGGATTTTTTCCCTTTCGTCAGCAGACCGTTCATACATCGAATAATTATCCCGTCGGAATGGGAAGTTTTTTTTTTTTTTTTTTCGTTTGTTCGGTAGACAGAACAGACAAGGCAGAGTGCGTTGGGAGCGGCGTTAACTTACAGGTTCAATGACAGCCCCGGTAACCGGGTCGTGTGGCGAACCGGCATGAACAGCTCGAGTTGCGAACTTCATTGGCGCCTTTGGGAGAGTGCTGGTCTTCTCGACTGAGGAGACTTCGACGGACTCTTTCTTGAGGGTATCTTGGGTCATTCTGACAGTTGAAGTTTCTGTTTTTGAGAGTTTTGAAGTGTATTTGATTGAAAAAAAGTGGCGATGGCGGCGGGATGTCTGGGAGGATAAAGCGGCGAGACTCCCTGTTGGTTTTAATAGCAAACAAAGCTTAATAATTGTGAAATCTCTGCACCAGAAGAAAAAAAAAANAAAAAAAAAAAGGGAAAGCGCCGAGGATGATAGATCAGACTAAAAGAAGTGCAGATGCGACACCGATGGCCTGATAGGTAAAGTAATAAAGGGTTATTCCTAGACTATCTTTTGACAAGACGGCTTGGGGTTCCGAGGCTAGCTGGGCTGGAGGGAAAAAGCCGTGAGGTATTTATAATGGATTTGATGTGATAACGGTGTAACAAGATGCAATGCAAATGCAGATGCACCGAGATAATCAGAGAAGCCTCGAGAGGAAAGAAACTATGAAAACTGGCAGCTGTCTATTGGATTCGATCAATTGTTTGAATCTAGTGAAATAGAAGAAGAAAAAAGGTAGAAGAGAGATGTTGGTCTGGTTTTATACAAAGTATATCAATGTTGAATCGAAGCTAGTTCTATGTTAGCTTAGAATAAACCTGGGGAAGCGGAAGACAAGACAAGTCAAGTTAAGTTAAGTGAAAACAGCCGCCTCCTATTTAGAATAAGTGGCTTCAATTTATATTCAAGAGAGCTCAATCAATCGACCAGAATGTATATGTGTTATACAATATAGTACAATTAGAAATCCACATTGCGTGATGGCGAAACATAAGCTCCGGGGGGGATACTATTTCCGTGCTATCAAGGTGTGCTAGGGGCCCCTCTGATTAGCAATCTGGCCCAGGAGAGACCCTTTGAACCCGACGGCTAAACCTTACTCTCCTTTAAACCTGATTAATTACTAATGCTACGTATACGTACCTCCTGATTATAGATTGACTCAATCAACGTTCCTTTTTTTAAAAACAAATTTTATTTTATTTATTTTTTCTACATTCTAGCTACTTCTTACTTAATTAAAGCTAAGCTACCTAAGCTAAGCTAAAGGGCCACCCGGCCGAAGGCATGGCCGAGTCTAACTAGTAACTACTATGTAGTAGTGTAATGTAATTATGTGTTGTTTGTATCCAACAGATAACATCAAGCAACACACAACACACTTCTCCTTCTATCTCTTCCATCTCGAAGTACTTCGTATTCCTACGATCTTCGTGACATAACAGAAACGTAATGAGTTCGTTCATCAAGCTTCCTCATGATTACACAAAAAGAAACCAGCCAGCCATCCTTTCCCCAGATTCCGTTGATTCGGAAGGAGGCCTTTCTGCCGCTAGAAAAGACTATATGCTTTTTTTCTTATCTCTAACTACTAGCTCTATCGATTCCAAAACATACATGTAAGTGAAGTACGTTTTGTGATATCGATCACTTACCGAACCAGGTCAGCCTCACTAAACTCGAATTTCTATTACTCGATGAGCTCTCTCCCTTTTTTTTCTGTCTCTCGAAAAAAGAAGCTATTTACAAAAGATAATCATGTCCCCGTGCTCAATACATAGTACATACTTCGTAATATCAAAAAGAAGCATGAAACGGATGTGATCCGACATATTCGGAGACTTAAAACCCACAGCACGATATCTTTTCGGTGGATTTTCGCACTAATATATATGTGGGCGCGTTCGAGCTCTGGCACGCATAAAAGCCACTAATGCGACCCTTTATCAAGATGATGATATCCTATCATCGATACCAGCATCATCAAGTTCTTAAACGTTTTGAGGACGATGCATATGTGTGTATGTAACTACTACCTTACTTACTTTATCTTGACTACTACACTACTTACTTAAGTACTTAAGTACTCGAGTATGTATGGAACTCCGTATCGCACGTCGGCTTATGCTCTCGCCCTCGTCCCGATTGACAAATGACAAAAAAGACGAAAACTACTTATGCATGGCGTATATATATATATATATATTTATCTACTTCTTATTAATTAAGCTTATAAACTTATATCCATTATCCATCATATGATATCTATCTGTAGCCACCGGTATCGGCACGTCTGCCGTGTTACACAGACCCGAAGCACACACATATTTATATCCAAAAGATAAAGGCTTTATAGCGGCACATATGCGCGCTGTGGCCTATAGTTACTAATGTAATGTATCATGCTTCTGCGGCCCGGTCGGTCTCGTATCCAAAGTTAATTTATTAAATACAATTAGCATTTCGCTCTCTCTTTTATTTTTATTTTTTATTTTTTATTTTTATTTTATTTTTTTCATTCTGCTATCTGACGGTGTAAGGCTGTCCCAGGACTACCTTAAAAACAAAAGTGTGCATTTACCCCGGATTTCAATTCCTGACTTTTCCCCGGGTGGCAGGGCCCCTCCTGATCCACGGTCACCAACCCAACCTACCAAATCAGCAGGCCCTCCTTCATTTTACAGCGCTAGATATCTAAGTAGTTAGACGGTTATGACTAGTTGTTCCTTGGTACTTGGCTCGGGCCAACCGCTTACCGCTCAAGCAAGCAAGATTTTTTTTTTTGTTGAATTTAAATACGTACTTACTATACTTATTTTGTATAGTATAAATAAATTTTTTTTTCCAAGTCCGCAAATATACCGGGGAATCCCGCCCAATCTTGCATATACGTCCAATGCAAGAAATTTCACTGACATGCTAATTGACCAATAGAGTCCTTACCTGACTCACATGGTGCTGACGGGTGTACATACATACATACCATACCTACTACATATGCATATGAGGTAGTTCAGGTTATCAAAATACGCCATACGCCATATTTACAGAAAAAAAAAACACAACTGACAAAAAAAATACGACATCGCCCTTGCATTTCCACTCAATTCAATTCAAGTCTCCATATTATCAGTTATCACATTATCGATTTTTTTTTTTTTTTTTTTTTTTTCCCTCATCACGTCAACATTCCAAAAGCTGTCGCCATCGGAGCCCTGTCAGGAACGGTAATCTCCAGCTGCTGTTTTCGGGAATTGTCCTGTTTGGAAACAGAATGTGGTTAACTTTGTGACGTACTTTACGTTACTTGCTTACATTACTAACATTACCGGAGCTCTTTTTATATAATCAAAAAAAAAAAAAAAAAGAGTCTACCGGAATATAGACCGAGAGAAGGCTAATTGAATCGATAAATGCAACATCGTCAACGCGATTCGCTTTTCATTTTTTCCTTTTTTATTAATTTTAATCCGGGGTTCCAAGATCTTGTCGGATCCAAGCCTGGAACCGCCGGATCCCAGGATATCTACTACGTATCCTGCTTGTTCTGGCTATCATGTCAAGGGAGACAATTAAGAAGGGGCCAATCTATCAAAATTATCAAAAAAATAAAAATAAAATAAAATAAAAATCTTATACAGTTAACTTACACCCTCATAGCTATTTCGGTTGTACAATTGTAAGACGAATGCTAAATACTTATAATTAAGTAGTATAACTACCCCTTCGGCTTCCTAACAATATCATAAACCCAAGCAGCAACCCCCAACCCCTTCCTATCCTTCCATTTAACCCCATCTCTGACCCCCAAAGCCCTCATAACCCCCTTCTTCATAGCCTCCAAAACCGATTTCTTCTCCACCACTCCCGTAGCTCTAATCGCCACTGCCATCTTGGTCAATTCCATCTTTCGATTATATTCCTTACAAACCATATTAACCATAACCCCGATCCATTCTTCAACTGTAGTAAAATCCCCCTTCTCCTCGAATATCCCAGTTCCACCGGGATCACTGCTGCTACTACTACTACTACCACTACTACTCCTATTAGTGGTAGTAGTAGCGACAAGAGGGGTATAAGGAGAAGCAACAAATAAAGCATGAACAACCCCCCCCTCATTCGTAACCTCCTCACCATAACTAGCACACAAGGACTCCATATCCAATCTAAACTGCGAAGTAATCTTCGACGCAAATATATAAGAGCAGGTATCTATCAACACCTCTATATTCTTCGGTGGTAATCGAAGGAATTCCGGATCGATATATTCGTTTTCGCAAAGGTAGGTTAGGAGTAAAAAAAAGATTTTGGAGGGGTCGATTTTGGGATAGGGGTTTCGGAGGTAGGGTTCGAAGGGTTTGGAACAGATTACTGAGGGGTGGAAGAAGTCGATTGGAGAGTATTTTAGGTATTTGGAGGGTTGTGGGGTGTAGCCGGAGCGTTGGAGGGTTGAGAGGGAGTGGGGGGTCCAGGGCTTCCTTGGGGTGGTGGTGTATGTGGACATATTGGAATTAGTTTCGGGGGGAGTTTTGATGTTAATATTGATATTAGATTGGTTGTATGTGGTTATTATATTTAAGATGCATGGGGGTAGCATGCATTGATATGAGGTTTTGGTGATTTTATTTTCGTCGATGGAGATATCATGACGAGGTAGTCCTGAAACCACGCTGAAGAGTCAATGTGAGCCCTTTCCCACCGTTTACGATGGTATCTACAAGTCAATTATATACTTAGGTACTTAGTCACTAGAGGTGAATATTCTTTGTTTTATTTCCTTTTCTCTCTCATAACAAATGATTTTCCCAACGCCAGAGAAAGAAAAAAACAAACGAGATGATAATATAATTTCTACTTGATAATCAAGTACATGAATACATACGTGTTTAACCACCCTTCCCACGTGGCACCGCCTAAAAGCCAATCCCACCTCTTCAACGACGAACCCCACCACGTACACTGGGGAATAACTCCTTCCCCGGAGGAAATCTATAAAATGTCAAGTTCGTATCCTTCAGATCATAGACTCCGTATTCTCCTCTATCCAAAACAGGTGACGGGAATAACGCCCTTTGCGGTCTCCCCGGTGGGAGTCGACTCGAATATTGAGCTGGCATGTAATCCAGCATGGAAATGAAGTTACCGTATAAATCGTCGGGATCTCTGATCAAAGACAAAAACCAAGCTTCATAGATCCCTTGTCTGTCGAGATACGGTCCCTTGTCTTCTCGAATAAACCGTCGGACGAGTCTTGATGTCTCTGGCTCCCAATCGCGGGGTGGGGCCCAGTAGTCGTAGAACCTGACTCCACCGGAAATAAAGTGCGAACGAAGGGTTTCAGGGAAAGACTTTGCAACGTCCGCTAAAAAGTAACTCGAACCAATTTATTTGTTAGAGTCAATTGCATATTGAGGATATAAAAAAAAACCGTAGAGATTTCGTTACCTTTCGTAATTGTATCTCCAAACTGCGCTTCTATAGCCAACGGACCCCTCTTCGATATCGGCGCCCAAATATCTCCAGTATTCAAAAACGCCGTGGAAGACACCAAATGCCCCACCCCAGGCGAATGGTATTCATCCAAATACTCGATCCAAGCATCCATAACATCGAAGAACAATATAGAAATCTCGCCTTGCGGTGAAATTATCTGTTCCCAATGTACTTTCTTCCCACCACGCATCAACAAATTCGCCGGCGGTATTCCCTCGAATTTATGATCATCCACCACTACTCCAGCAGTACTTGCGCTTTCATCCTTCACGTGATTATTCGCAAATCCGGATGGAGAAGTTAACATGCCCATGTAACAGTCTCCGCAGATGGCGTAGTTGATGCATTTTAGACATTGGAAACTGGGTTTGTCGGGGTCGAGGTGGAAGTTACATGCCGTGCAGGCGGAATTTCGCTTTCGGGGGTCGGTGGGTTCGGCGTTTTCGAATCTACTACTACTACTGTTCGAATTGGTGGTTGTGGTCATAAATGCGTTGGGATTTCGAGGTTCGGTGGCGTATGCATGGGTTTCATAGGGATGATGGGTATTGGGCCCGTATGTTTCGGGGGCTTCGTTTCTTGATGTCTTTGAAATTTTGGGGTCTCCGTGTTAAATCTTTTTTTCTTGTTGTTCCTTTCTTTTGGGGGATCGGATAGAAGAGTTTGGATGAAAAACTTACGATGCCTCGTAGACTTTCGGCGTTATCATATATACCACCAAGGGAGACTCGAGATACTTGTTCGGATAAGGTGTACACGGCCGGATCGTTGTTCATATTCTCTGGATGATGATGAGACATTTTCTCTCTCTCTCTCTCTCCCTCTCTCTCTTTCGATCGATCTCTCCTCTTTGCGAAATGCAAGATATCGATATACTAGAAGGAAGTACCAATAACTAGCAGGCAAATGCAAGTGCTAATCAACGGTATATCTAGAAAGGCAACTACTAAAAAGTATATAAAAAAAAAGAATATCGCCAATGAGAGTGAAGCGCATAACTCAAAGTCTGAAATAGTTTTTTTCCCTCATTCGACAGGACAGGACAGGACGGCCGGCTTGCAGTCACAAGCATGCAAACTTATATATAGTCTAGTCCTTCTTAATAGATAAGTAACTAAGTACTTACTTAACTACTTCAGCTTACTTAAAAAGCACTTGGCCAGGATAAGAGATAGCTTCTCCGGATCTCCACAAAATTCAAAACCAATCTAGGCTTAACTTTTTACCCCAGGTTTCTTCCCCGACCATGCACCACCCACCCCTCAACTCGAATTGATTGCAATCAATTCGCCTCGTTTTGAGGCTGAACCGCGTTAGAACATCCGCAAACCCGTTTCTTGGCGGGTTTGGCAAATTATCAATATCTTGCTAACGGTTACCATCTCGTTAGCTATTTCTTAGGTAATGCGGGTCTTCCTCCTCCTCCTCTTGCTCTTCATATCCTCTACGGGGAGGGAAATTTTATGGTATCGTATTGGCTTTTTTGGGGGTTTAAATTCCAAACTTTCTAGGTTCTTCTCCATTTTTTTTATTTTCATTTTTCATTTTTTTATTTTAGTAGTAGTTAAGCTCCGGCCGAAAAATGAATCCTAAGACTGACTAGATCTAGAAGTGATTCATGGTCTTAAGTTGACTTAGGTTAGCGGTAACAATAGCGTTTGATATAATGGCGACTACAAGACCGTGATAATTATTAATATGGCCCCGCAGTGCGTGTTTAAAACGGTTCCCTCCCTCGCAGGCCTGTCATTATAAGTCCCTAGATTATATGGAGAGATCTCGAGAAAGTCTTAACACGTGTGTTCCAGTCTGTATATATATCCCCCCGGAGTTAATATTATAGTAGCTAGGTAGTTAAAACCCAGCCTATTAAATTAAAAAGAAATCACTTGAATCACTTATTCAAGCATCTTGTTAACATCCTTGGGCACCAATGGCCGAGCTGGGCATCTTGGATTTCCTCGGCCCACAGAGCTCCCCTTGCAACCGTTCTGCTTGGCTCTCAGGTTTTTGTTTTGTTAAACAGGTATCAGACAATATGTTTTAAAACAAATATAAAAAGTAAGTAAGTGTATATTGTTAGTCATATTATAATAATCGTATGATCTCTTTAACTAGTAGAGTTATAATTTGTAAAGAAACGGATTTTATCGGTTGAAAAACACTTGTTTCTGAATTTACTTGTGAAAATAAATCGAAACATCTCGGTCGAAAAAAGCGAAGAGTGGGGATCGATGTAATTAAATTAACCAATGGAAATGATGGGATATAGCACCCGGCTTGTATATGGTTAGCTCTAGCTCTAGTTAATATATCGTCCCTGGAGTAGATAGTATCTACATCAACCATTCAGTTCATCTAGGTATCTTCTTAGGTAACACGAAAATGTTCATAATAAGGCGAGCGGGTATGCGGCAAGTATACTGATATGATATGATATGATACAATACGATATGATATGATATCAAGATACCGAACTAATGTATATACACATCATATCACATGATATTTTATTCTTAATATCAACGAGTTCAAACCAATCTAGAAGCCCTTCAATCCCCACTGGCCATTGATTCAATTCTAATAGAAGGTACTTAGAACCGACTTACCTAATACCTAGTCTTGCGCTACGATGCAGCCCATACCGGGCTGGTATATACTTAAGTACTTCTATATAGTCCGCTCTATATACGGGAGCTTCCCCCGGCCCGCCGTTGAATAGGGTCCCTAGCTCGGGGTGTTAAGCACCAGGACCATGGTCCATTTCGGAAGCTAAGCTTATAAGCTTATCACGTTATCACCCTTCGGTAATTATAAGGGATGTTTATATACTACCTACCTACTTAAGTAAGCATATAAGCATCGACATTTTTTAACTCTAACAAGTTCACAATTAATTAGTTACTTAATTACTTAAATTATAAAACCACAAATCGACATATTACTCTCTCTCTCTCTCTCTCTCTCTCTCTCTCAGGTGACTCTTAACTTCATGATCAGCCGTATGGATCCGTTGTCATATATTAGTTAGCTATACAAAACAAGGCTACGTCTATATATACCGTCATGACTTATCGGTTATGCCGGTTACCGGTCTGGTCTGGTATGCGGATGCCGGTACTAGAGCATCCGATATGCACAACATTAAAATGGTTATAAACTAGGTAATTCCGGAGGTATCAAAAAAAATTCGGCAAAAATATAGTAGTTTTCGGAACCTTTCGTTCGTTCTTTTCGGTCCGATAGCTGGTATACAAACTTCAACGCCTTCTCGGATGTAGAGCGGATGGCCTTTTTTTGGGGGGGCTCATTTTATTTATAAGCAGTATTCATTCTCATGGGATTTGATGCATACACACACACTCCCATTTTGAATTGATATTATGAACAATCTTGAGTAGGTTAAATTCCATGATTTGGTCAACATGAAAATTCAACCTATAGGAAGTAGTTGGTTGATTTGATATAAAGAAGGATATATCTAGATATCTAAGATAGTCTTAGAAGTATGTTCTAACTGAGAACATGCAAAACGATGTCATAACCCCGAATATGCAAGCCTTGCCTGGTGCTGACACACAAAAAAAGAAAAGGAAGAAGAGGATAAAAATCCTTCAATATAGCTATAAAATCCAGTGCTGGACACCTTGGATATAATACTTTAAATTTAGCCTGGCTGCTAATGATGGGAACGATAATAATAATAATATGTGAAAAAAGATCTCGTTAAAAAAAGGACATTCATACTGTCGTTAATATTATGCGAATAGTCTGTCGAGTCAACAGACATCAAAAGAGTCTCAAAAGTAGGTACTAAATGGTATATGATACAATGAAAAGAATATGTGATAGAGGAAGAAGAAGAAAAAGTCATACGAGAGAGAGAGAGAGAGAGAGAGAGAGAGAGAAGATATCGGAAAGAAACATACATAGGCTCCCAGGTTGTTGATTTTCGCCATAAAATTTTTTTTGAGAAGAACGAGTCTAGAAGAATAAAGAATAGCGCCCTTGCAGTCAAAGAAGAAAAACCCACAGGCGCTCAGTGATAAGAAACGGAAAGAAGGGAGTCTTGTCTTGAGAGCTGAAAAAATAATAGCCAAGAGTTCGAGACCAATTTATCCCAATGAGGTCGATACCCTCGAAGTAATAAGAAACTTGATGAAGAAGAGGAATTTTAAGAAGAAGAAGAAATTGTTCAAGGCTCCAATCAAAACTCCAATGGCGATGCTGCTGAATAAAATCCCCAATAGGGAAAAAATATATAAGGAAAAAAGAGATCGGATGATAATAAAAAAAGAGAGATGTTTTTTTTTAGCGCCGGGTGAGCATTTTCCTTTTGGCTGCCTTCTCAGCAGCGAGTTTCTTTTCGAGCTTCTCGGCCTCAATATCCTCTCGGATTGCAGCCGCACGGGACCTGTCTTCTTCTTCGAGAATGTCGACACCGGTTGCTTCCATATCATCAGACGAATAACCGTCGTCTTCATCAGAGTCGGCATAGACATATCTGAAAGGTTGGAGGTTAGCAATGTTTCAAAAGGATTGTACAGGAGTTGTAGGATTATAATTACAAACCTTTTAGATGCTGGGCGATATCTTTCGCGTTCGCGATCCCTGTCTCGCTCATAAGCCTTGGGTTCTGGCTTGCTGGAGGAAGGTTTCGCAGTCGCGGAAGGCCGGGCAGTTCCGTTCCACTCCACTTGAACCCTTGGTTTTGATGGGGCAGGTTTCGCTGGTGCCGATTTTCTATCATCAGGACGTGAACCTGTCGGGCGTCCTACTGGACGACCGACCGGCTTCTTAACCGGCGACGGTTTAGATACACCAGAGGAAGTGGCGGTGGGTTTGCTACCCTGTGTCTTCGTAGAGATAGCCGGTAGCTTCTTGGTCGCCTCAGGCTTATCGGATTTCCCAATCTTCTTCTTCTCCACTTTGGTTTCTTTGTGAACTATCTTGGCAGGCACCGAGCTTGTAGCCTGGATTTGCTTCGCCCTCTCCATGATTTCCGCATAAGAACCCTTTGCAGGCCTCTTTGGCGCTTCGGCTGTGATAGGGGAGTTTGGGTTCGATGCTGCAGACCCAGATCCATTACCATCCCTCCCAGACCCGCCACCACTACCGCTACCGTTAGCCCTAGCAGCATCCCGAGCAGCCTTTAAAGCCTTGAGCCGTTTGACCTCTGCTATCTTCTGCTCCTTAGTCATGCCTTCAAAGCGAGACTTCTTGGTCGGAGGGACAGTGCCATTCTCCTCTAACTTCCTCTTCTTCTCGCTAGCCTCAGTCGCGTCCAAGGCTTTCGATATCGGAGGTGTGAATGTGTTAAGAGGCGAGACAGTATTCGATGTCGAGTCGGCATCTCTTATATTCCTAGAAGGGACACCAATAGGAGCAGGCCGCTCCTTCCTTGGTGACCCATCTCCATTCCTTCGATTACCCGAATCCCGCCCGTTGGTTGTCGATGACCTAGCGGTCGGGCCAGGGCCCGATGCTACACCCTTGGGGCCAGACCCTTCATATTGGTCGAGTAAATTGAAGATACTGAACTATAGGTGAAGGAAACTAGTCAGCCTTGCAAGCCTTCGCAGTGGGTTGTGGTGACCATCAACACCAGCCAACGAGGAAATCCGTGTTACTAACCCCGCCTCCCGGGCCAGTGGCCATGGTGAAACTCTTCTGTATATATCCAAGATAGGCCTATTCGATGCTCCTATAACAGCTGTCGGTTTGACTCGCGACGAACGGCTCCAGCTGCGTGGTTGGGTGGCGGCCGAAGCGTGCACTCGCGATCAGGGGCGGGCTTTGGGAGCCAATTCGGTGGTTTTTGTGCACTGCGTTTTGCTTTAAATTTGAGTTTCCATATATATACCGCTACCTCTTCAGGTCACGCGGGGACTGAATCGAATCGGGGGAATTCGGAGCGTGAGATGGATGTATGGGCGGTGACCAGCCAGTCGAAAGCCGGTGTTTTCTGGGTTTGTTGGGAGGGAAAGGGGTGGAGGGAAAGAGAAAGAGAGAGGTTTGGGTGATGAAAGAGTCAGGACTGAGGTGGGAGGGCGATATTTATAGTCCTCCAACAATTCGAGCCCGGCAAAAAAACCAGCACACATGCAAACCAACCCGAATCGGTGCTACCAAGACAGCTTCAAGTGCAGTGCAGTGCAGTGCCACCAATCCCCCCTCGACACTCTGAAACCGTTGTGTGTTTGTGTGCGCAGGTTGTAATTAAGTAAGTATTAGCCCATCGCCAGGACTGGCTGAGATGTAATAGCCTGGATTACTAAATTTGCTAACTGCATCCTGACTGCTTGCAACAGAAACAGGAACATGAACGTTTCGGACATCTTGTGTCCATACAATATTTATATATATCGACATATTCGAATTCGTGCGTGCGCCAAGGACATCACCCTGATCCTGAGCATGAGTCTGAGTCTGAGTATGGAGAGAGTACTCTGATATTCCCATGCGCCGTCTGCGTCCGAACTCGAGGAATTTATATCATTTTTGTGACAGCTGTCAGACGGATGTCGTGCGGGCTATTTGAGGGTCCGTCCTGCCAAAGACATCCTCCACGGTATACCTCATCGAGGCTGGTCGACTATGACCGCTCCGTGCCTTGGCGCGCGGACATAAAATGCCTGACCTTACCTTACATTACCTTGTACATGTCCCACATACATAGGTAATGCGATCCTTCCTTGGTGTCCTTCTCTAAACGGTATGAAAAAGCGCATTGAATCATTTTGAACCCGCGGGGAATATGCAAGTGCTTGCCATTGCATAAGGCCACGATCGATCCGAATCCTTTCTTGTCATGCCAGGAACCTAAGTTTGGACGTCAGAAGAAAGAGAACATCGGGCTGTTATAGCCGCTTGCGGGTGCCTTGGAATGTGGTATTTTTTCAAAGTTTTGCTTCCTGCATCTGCGTTGTTGGAAGATTTTTTTTTTTAGATTTTTTATATCTTTGCAAACTCCTCTGGATACCGGCCTTCTAACGGGAAAAATGCATAGATTGCTGTAGAGATCTTTCGATAGGGTATCAAAGATGTCGTTTAAGTTTAATTTCGATATTGAAGCGGACGGGGAGGATGTAGAGACGGTCGGCGTCGAAGCTACACCCAGCGTCCCCGTCGAGGAGACTTCACCGGGGTCGTCCAAAATATCTGCTCAACTACACTCCTTAGATGAACTCGTAAGTCTCCAGCATCTTTTTAAAAGTATCCAAGTAGATTTCATTGATTCGTATATATATTGCGAGTTTTTTCATGCATAATATCGCTGTTTGTTAACACTCAAGAATACTTCTAGATCGCAAAACTCCCTCCTCATATAGCTTTCTCCCCCCTCGCCATACCTCTAACCCCTTCAAAAACGATAACCATCCCTCGCCGTGAACTCTTCGACGTGAAGATGCAGCTCATGGCGGAAGATAACAATCCTTCCACAAATACCAACCAAAACTTCAGCGCCGCCTTCACAGACGAGGATATTCGTACAAATACCTACGAAGGCGGTCTCAAGTCCTGGGAATGTTCATCCGATCTTGTCAAACAACTTGCTACAGACTCAGAAATTTGGATAAACTCAGATCATCGAATCCTAGAACTTGGCTGTGGAACCGCGCTCCCAAGTTGTTATATTCTACAAACCCTATTGTCGAAACCTAGCGATCACAGGGTACATCTGACACTCGCAGATTATAACATCGACGTCCTCCGTCTTGTCACTTTACCAAACTTATTTCTGGCATACCTTCACGCGACCGATAATCTTCCTTCTACGGATCCTTCTGTCACAGAAGGGTCGGAAGAAACACCAGAGATAGAGTTAACGCCAACCGTTATATCATCCTTCCTCTCGACTCTACAATCCCACAATATCACAATATCGTTCCTTTCGGGATCATGGAGCCCAACTATGATCTCACTAATCCACGGAGGACTAGAATACCCTTCTACAACCTCAGAAACAATGTATTCGCTATTACTAGCCAGCGAGACAATCTATTCCCCATCATCTATCCCAGATTTCGTCGACATGATTGAATACGCACTGTCCAACAGCGGGAAGGGATATATCGCAGCAAAGGACGTATATTTCGGAGTCGGTGGAAGTGTTAAAGATTTCGTTGATATGATAGAAGCGAAAACGTGGAAATGGGAGATTATAAGAGAGGAGAAAAGGGGCGTAGGGGTCGGCAGGGTTGTTGGAGTGGTTTCTAAAAGTTGAGTGATATGAGTGGTCAAGGATGTAGATACTGATATCGATTAGATCCCTCTCTAGATACACAGATACTAAACTACCCCTTTCGTTGACAGCGATGATGACGCGCGCCAGTACGCTATGGTATTTTTTTCGATTAGAACCTTGTAGTAGCTTATCAAGCTTTTTGCAAGGTAGTTGTAATGATATGTACGTTTATCGTAGTTTTCAGCCCTACATAACACCTATCGAGCCTGTCATCCGGTTATCGAAAATTTCAGCCCTGTCGCAACGTTCCGAACAACGAGGTTCTTGTCGACGACGCATCTTAATTCGAATTCAGCCTCGCGGGCTGAAGACACAAAAGCTGTATGCATTGTTTGTCGGGGAAGTAACCCTAATATTTAGCGTATGTTTATATTTAAACATTTTAAGTCAGAGATGTATCTTTGAGGTACCATCTACATTTACATCTACAAAAATGTGATTCTAAACCGTCTACGATATTCCGAATGAGAAGAGTGTGCTTATGTTTGTACCATCGTTTTCCATTGCCGTTCACTCAAAAAAAAAAATAGACTACTACTATCCCCCTTCGTCTCACCTCCAGAATCACCCCCCATAAGAAAAAGTTCCAAGAATAAGAAAAACCGGATATCTACAGAAATCTTTTGTGTGCTTGAAAATACCAAGGAGATATATATAAAAAAGAAAATTAGGTGAAAAGAATAAACCAACATTACAAGGAATATGGGCTCTCGAGACACCGTTTTAAAACGCTCATTAATTGACAGTGTGCTCGTTCATCATTACTAAATAATAGCTAGGCTAGAGATAATGCAGTACGCTATATCTAGTGAATGAAGATGGCAGCAGCGAGAACGGCCATGATGACAGCCAATGGGCTGGAGAGAGTGCTTGTTCCAGCGCTTGGTGGAGCGCCCAAGGATGTTGGTTCACCGGTAGATTCCGAGGTGGAAGTTCGTCGGGTGGAGGTAGAAGTACGCATGGTGGTCGACGATTCGTTGTCGTCTTCGCTGGCGGTGGAAGGCCTGGACGATGTAGAGGCAGCGCCACTGGTGGTTGCAGGGGCAGCAGTAGTAGCGGAAGAGGTGACAGGGTCGGCGGTAACGTTAGATAGAACGGTGAATCGGTCAGAGTAGTTGTAGTGGTCTGGGTCGTTATCGTATGAGATCCTGATGCTATATGTGCCGCTTCTTGGGATGTTCGCTGGGACTTCCCAGGTGTATTTGCCATTATTAGGGGCACCTGTGACAACGGTTCGGACTTGCTTAAGGTCGCTGGCGGCGCCATCCATGACAGCTATGGTGACTTGGTCCCCACGAAGGTTTTGCCATTCAATCTCGATTGTGTCTCCGGCATTGAACACGGCGCCAACAGCAGGGTTGGTGATAAAGTTTGGCTTGTTTGTGTTTGTAGTCTGGGCGGTGGCAACAGCAGCAAACACCGCGAGGGTGAGAGAAACGGCAGTCTTGAGGAAGTGCATTTTGAGGTTTGATGGTATTTAGGTATTAACGATTAAAAGGTTAAGGTAGATGGGAATCTGTAAGTTTCAAAGGCTGTGCGCGGAAACGAGGGTATTAAATAGTCCAAAAGGGGAACCTTTATTTAGAGTTGAACGAGTGTCGGGCGAAGCGCAGATGCGTTCGTGAAGGAGCGTATATGTAGACGACGGAGGTACTTCGTAGTGGTGTGAAGGAAAAGGAGTGTGAAAAGTCATGCACACTGTGCGAGGATATCCACGACTCTTAAACCCAATCAACCAAAAATAGGGGCGACGGCAAACCTTTTGCCCGACCCTACTAAGCAAAACGACAGCAAAAGTCTAAAAATTTGCTCCCTCCCATGATAAGCACAAAGTCTCCTAGTGATGCCGGTGGCCGGACATGCCTTATTGGACCTTCATTTCATTTCAGCCCATGTTGTAATTTCCGTGCAACTGCCATTGGGTTGGATGCTGGTCGTGCGCTATCACTGAAACATAGCGCATGCATCCACCCATCACGGTCCGGGGTAGGGCGCCTCGCGCTCTTATTGGCCAGCACAGCCTGTCTCCTGCTGTCAAGATCGCGTAAACAAAAAAGAGCCAAGATGCTCTTGTAGGCACCGTCGACGGAAGCGCAATTATCGAGGTGCAGTTCTGACAAATTCGCGTGCATGTTGGTTACTAAGTAGTCAGTTGGTATCAAGGCTGAGCATATTCAATACGATCGATCCCATGGATTCCAACATCAACGTCGACGACCATATAACAGCAATAATACCTCGTGATAGGTGTTGCATTCCAACCAGCATAAATAACGGCTTTGCATTCTCCACCCAATGTCCGTCCTTCCAAGGAACTATCAAGAAAAAGTGACTTGGCGGTTAATTGAGCAGACATTGTAACATTGAACTGGCGCATCTGGAGATGAAATGGCGTTGATCCATATTTGTTCACGAGTGGCGCCGTTGGATCACGCTCGTCATTAAAAGGGATCACAGGAAGCGAAAAGCAACTGGGATGTTGTAAAGGAAGCCTTCCCGATAGAGAGGGCCTTCATTTCCCTCTCTCGCCAAAAGATCCTCGACAATAATTCGCCTCTGAGTCTGTTCTTCATGACGTCAAAAAGGCTCTCGATGTGATCTTTGAGAGGTTCCGTGAAACGAAAAAACCGATTGCATCAACTCGATCGCTTGAGGGTGTTTCTTGTCCCGATAAGCTTCTCCGATGGTTTCATGTTTGGCGGGAAAGTTCCCGGAGTTAACATTTAATCCTTGGGATCACGTTCGCGTAGTAGCACCAATCGAACCACCTACAGAACACTCGTTCCGTAATGTTTATCCTAGAGACAGAAAATGTTTTAGTAAACTCTCCTGCAAGGGCCATGATGTTTTTTTATGGATCATAATGCATTGCCTACCTCCGATTAGATAGACGTTGTTATGTATATTCACACCGATGTGAGAATGCAAGAGTGTGAGAGAGAGTGTGTGATATCGTGATCGTAGTCTTGTTGGCGCGCCATTCCGATCTATGATGGTTACACAACACATCAACACATCAACACAACCACAACGACACCCTGCCACGATGGTTGTGGTAGGTGGGGAAGTGCGTGGGAAGAGATCGTTATGTGACTTCCCGCCTTCTTCAACAATCTAATGCGAAGACCCTATTCTAGAAAGACACTCGCCGACCTTCTCCCTTTTGAACTCTGTGTTCAAGATATATACTATGTATGCACCTTCAATTAGCTCAACCCCATTAAAGCGGGTGATTATTGCTTAGCATTGCCAACAGCCCGCCTTGCATTGACAAGAAGTCATACAGCAATCAAACGGCGGTCAACAGCTTGACAGACCACTTCGTTGTAGTACAAGAATGCCTGGGGGATTGTTCGCCTGGCCTGCTCGACCATGGCACTTGTTCATGCAGCCCACAATCTCCAGCTTTTTTTTTCCCGTTCGGCATCTCGATATTTCAACTGCATGGCATGGCATGTGGGGTTTGCTCATCCCACTTCCAGTGGCCGGTTCTCCGTTACCGAATGAGAAGTTGGGTCCCTTGTTGAATTATCCCATTTTCACATGCTAGAATTCATCTTGCAACCTCTTCGAGTCCTTATCGATAAAGCAAAACAGAAGGGATTTCCTTTTTTTTCTTCTTCTTCTTTCTCCGCTGAGAAAAAAAGGTTCCGTACCCGCTGAAGGGCGCCGCTTTATTCTTCAATTGATCAATAGGCGTCATTACGTTCGTCATAATGGGTTTTGGTCAGCCTTGGTGTTTCGATATATGCCGCATACTTCGATTGTCCGGCCGTCATCATAGTGACTACAAATGACCTAGAAACTTCGTATAATCCTATAAACCCTCCTACCAAAAACCTAGATTCAATACGGAGCACATCTCAGCACTAACCTCTTTTCTCGGAATCCAAGGGCCAAGGATAGGGAAAACTCGGGTTCAAGAGTTCGACATCCCACGCAACCATTAACATTTTTTTTTTAGAATCAAAAGATTTCAGGTTTTAGTTTTCGTGAATAGGAAGCTAAATTAGTCGGTCCATCACCGAGTCTTTCGCAGGGCTGGGACGGGCTGGCGATCCTGTCTTTCTAGACAGCCTTGACAGACAAGGGAGACCCACAGGATTTATGTATGGAATGGTTGCACAACATCCCGATGCCCCGGTGCTAGCCCTGGAGGACCCCTTGTATACAGCCCCGAAGACACCTGTATGCGCCTAGACGGGTGAGGTTAATTGGCCAATTGTGATTGATTCCCACATGCTTGGATTGGTGGGTCTAATATGTAAGGCCGAGAAGGGTGCCGCCAGTCATTGATGGTCATTGCATTGGCACGGTTGCAGAATTTTCGAAACGTACCAGTCGGGTTGCTAAATATTTATAATAAGAAACGCTACTGATTGAGAGTCAGTATGATATGTAATGACATATAATGATACAAAAGTATTCTGTGTCAAGATTTTACTCGTCGTTGTTAAACATATTCGAAGCTTCGACCCGCACAATTGCTCAAATAGCTAGTTTTAAGCCTAAGCCTCCTTCGTAACTCACCGTTGACATGATAGAAATATTTCAGTTTCAGGGTGGCAAGATCGGAATCTGAAAAATCCAGGTTGAAACCCCACCTTCAGGATGACGGGAACCTACAGTCTTTTTTGGCTCAACCCGAGGAGTTTACCATTGATGTTTCTATAGCCGGTATCCGCGCCTTAGACTCAAGGATATGCCTTCGTAGCACGTAAAAGCGCGAGTGAGATGTGGCGAATTCTCGAGGGATGTTGCTGAGTATTGTTTTGGATTGGATGAGTACTTGGAATATGTACATTGGGGAAAGCCGACTGTTTCTCCGTGCAGGAGATGCTAACATGCATAGTCCGAAAAATAAACCCTATCTACACAGTAGAGCGTAGTATCCTGACATCCTACGCATCGAACAAATGCAGACAGCGTCGATAGGCAAATACTACGTGTCCATAATACCAGCAAGGATTAAGTCATGACTAATACCTACTGAACTTCACCTAGGTTATCTTTCTTGTAGTCTATGTTAATATTTATACTCGTGAGCTCAAAGGTCTAGACCCAAGAGGTTTTACGTCGGGCCCACCTCGTTTTGCAAGAGAGAGCTAGAATAAATGCAAAGTCATCATGAGTACGTACCGTCTTGCGAACTTTATTGACGTGTCAAGTCTTAGACTGGCTGGTATCCCCAATTCGGTATAAGTATATTATAGTCTACCTAGTTGTGAAACATATAAGCTTACCCAAGGATGCCGTACAACTCCCCTCTGCCCTCCAGGCATCAAAACCCTACTCCGTCCCAAGTGCGTCCCAGGAAATCCTACCCATATAGAGTAAAAAAAAGTCATATGATATGTGCAGTCGCAATATAGATACTACTTCTAGATCTATAGACTCGAATTCGACACAGCTGACTGCATCTCGTGCTACGTTCCACAAGATCACATCCTCTTAAGGCTGCAGCTGCAAAAAAGGTTTGAACTTCGTCTTGACTTTTTTGGGATATATGTTACATAATGCCGTTTCTGGAGATATTGTGCCTGTTAATAAAGAGACATTTTCGAAGTGACGAACGGTTATTCCTAATATCAATTTAAAATATTTCGACGTTTCAGCCACATAATACGACATGGCCGTCCATGCGGATGGTTGCACAAGCAGAACCACGGTTACCATCGTGTGATATAATAATGTATAGGTGACCTATTCACCGTCCATGCGCATGTATCAGCTGGAGAAGGACCTTTGCGCTATACCACTAGTAATCAAGCTCGGAATGAAGCTTGAGGTTTTGCCCTAATACGTACCCCAGGCCCTCGTGTCACGGTGCGGCTTCCTGTTGGCTGGAAATCGTGTTTCTAGGCCCAACAGGACTAGTGTCCCCCTATCATATTGCTTTGATAATCCAACTTTGATTCTTGTGGAATCCGTGGAGAGGTACATCGTGAGATGTACTCTCGAAAATCAGGTTACTTTGTGAGATATCAGGCCGTGCATCGGGCCGTAGCGAAAGGTTTTGACTCAGGTCACTAATGAAATGTAACAGGCACTGGCCGTTTCAACGTTTTGAGGCGTCGAAGGGGGATTCAAAGCGGTGAGAGCTAGCTAGTTAGCCGGCCGTGTATCGTGTCAAATTTTTGAGGCGTCAAATGGACGAGACAATGTGGAACGGAAGGCTTTGATGTTGAACTGGTTTGACAGGTATGGACTATCGCACCGCTTCCCCGCATTCACGATCCCTTGCATAGCCGGTGCAAGGAATCGATAAAATGTGACATCGGATATATTCTCCTCCATCTCGAAAATTCGACAAAAAACAAACACGGGAACTCCACGGCGCTTGCCGTCGTCGTCGTCCGGAACTCTGCACTGATAATGCGTTGCGTGGTATTTTCCGCATGTCGCTCTGAGTGTTTCCATCCATGAGCCGCTGTACTGGCCTGTTACACCCATCGGGGATCTCCAGTAATCATTTCCAGGTTCAGATCCACCTCGCAGCCTGGGACCTCTCACAAAAACGTCTGTGCATGGCATCACATCGTTTTACGTAACGCCACTGTCAAAGGTTCCTGGAGAAGCCACCCGGCCTGGCCTGGGGAAGATTTGCGGCGTCGTTGTCAACGTTGTAACTCGGACTCCCAGGCTTCGGATCGAACGGGGTGCATACGTCTGCCATGGCCTATGCCGTCCTGTTCGGGTTTTGACGCTAAACAAAGGGATTCCTGATATCCAATCGCCTGAGTCACAATCGCTGATACGCACTGTTGATAAGGCGAATTCTCGAAAAGGCGGATCCCAAACCCCATTTCGAGGCTAATGCAGCTCCAGAAACTGTCTAACTGGGGACGGGAACACTCGGAAACACTATCGGAGTGAACTGATTGATAGAGAACCAGAAACGAGTCGACCAAAATATATATTCTATAGGGGGGTCTTGGGGAGCTCTTGGATATTTAAGTGAAGACACCACCAGAATCTCCCCAATATCCCGTCCTGCATAAGACGGGCTGGATTCATTCACATCTCCTACCGCTTACATACATATGAACCGTTATTTATATTTCATGATCTGGATCTTCAGTGGCCTCTCAAATGCAAGGAAGCAACCATCTTCGTAACAACCCATGGCCAACCCTCCATCACTAAGACACTCGCTAAAGCAGCCGTGCATGGTGCGACCAGCTGTTATGCAAGTATGGGTTATTTATGAGGTGATGATTTGCAATCTATATGTCTGTGCTTAATATATTAATATATATACTTGTCCTTGGGTGTAGATAGATCGCGGTTTGGAAGGAGTTCCCGAAGCGCTGTGACAGGAAATTTCGAAACCGCATTCGCATTCGTATTGACAGCGAACATTGACAGATTAGATATCAGATTGTGAAATTAAAAAATTAAAAAAATAAAAACAATCGTGAAATCACAGACAATTGATTGCGAACTGCATAGAACAGTTGTCGCATGCGAACACGAACAGGCAGTTGTACCAGATACGTGTTTGTTCAGTACCTCTGTTGGCAATCTCGCAATATCACGATATTAGCAATCGACATCTGTATGGTTCATGGCGCCATGTTACTATCAAGGGAAGGAGTTTAAAAGATCTAGACTACCGTTGACGGAGCTCCAACGGGAAAGGTCTCGGTTGACGGGAATTTCAAAACAATGGCGAAGGGAGCGGGCGGCAGAGCGGGTTTTAACTCGCAACATATTGCTTCAGTGACTGTTCTTCAAAATAGTTAACAGTTGATTGGATTGTCTAAGATATCTTTAGAATGGTTTTAGTAGAAGTCGAAATTTGGTCACTGTAAATGCTTGGCACGAGAATCCATATGTTTTCGTCTCGAATCTCACTTTAAACTTCGAAAATTACCGTGGCCGTCTGCACAGGCTGCCGTATTCTGTAACCGAAGAGGGCTTGACTATGAACAGGATATTGAGACATCGACAAGTGCCGTAGGTTAGGTAATTTAGGTAAGTAGATAGGGTGTGTAAGCAAAAGAAAAAGTCTTGATATCAATATCTGTACGAATGATAAACGACATCTGCGGCATGCCTGCACCACGCATGCATGCAGTTTCCAAAAAGCATACCCCATGCAAGCCACACATGGAGTTGGATCAGACTTAGCCTGGGACCGTTTCGTCTATCAATCGAAGGATTGTTGAGACTGAAAATTATTCTTTTTTTTCTGAAAAAAAAAGGAAAGGGAGTAGGAAAAGAACACACTGCAATGGATGAATGGAAGGAGGATGGCGGGAGGTTGTATTGGTGGCCCCCACGGAACTTGGACGTCGGTTCCCTTTTCGTTGCGTATTTGCGATTTTGGGATGTTATTACCAGTGGAACTCACCTCCTGCAAACGTATGTTTCTTCCATATCTTGATGCCTGCTGCAGAAGGTTGTGTGATAGGAATGCGTAGGGTTATAAAAGGTATACCTTATAATAAGGTATTAGTACCAGTATACCTATGGAGCCTATCTGAAACCGTAGTACTATATTTTGCTCGTTCATGATGATCATGATCAAGTTCCCTTTAAGCGTTCCCTTCGAACTCGGGTAATCTTGGTGATCGTCTCGGGAACCTTTTATGGGAAGAAGTATAACATCTAACAAACTTTCGTCGAAGATTGGATACGGCGCCAATCATCATGAAGTATAAACGGTGGCTGCATATTGCATGCTGCATCGACGCCATGAATTGTGGAGTACGGCGAGATCTCGGGCTATCATTGGGCTACTAATTTGGATATATTCTATCACACACAATGGAAAAAAGAATGTTTATTCTGGAGTAAGACCGGGGCTATCGTCATTAAGAATCGATTTCGAAGGTTTCTTTGCGCATAAGAATGGTTCTTTTTTTGGTTCCCATCCATATGAGGCATTCTATGAACTCGCTACAATGGACAGAGCTCTAACCTTGGGTTTGCAAGCGGCTTTCATCGGGTTCCAACATTGGCTGGGCGGTCGCTTTTGATAACATTGGAATCGAAGGAAAAATTTTCGATTGAATGCGGCTACTATATATAACCCGACGCTTACGCCGACGACTACATATCTGGTAACTTCTGGAAGGGGATATTCCAGAGGACAACACCAGCCACTATCACCGGTCAGTATCTTAAACATGAAAATGAATCCTTGGAGAGCAAGGAAGCGGAAGCTAGACAGCAGGCATATGCACGTCGTAGGCAGTCCATCCTTGTGGCTGCATCCGGTACGGTTACTGGGATTTCGTATCTTATTCTTGTGCTGGGCCTTGGTTGCCTCACGGACGTATTCGAAACCAATGTGTGCAGAGATTCAAGACATAATTCCACATTTTGGAAGAAAATTTTCAAACCGAACAGAGAAAAAATTTTCTTAACGGTTTTGAGGGCATTACCTAAAAAGATTTGAACACGGGTTTTGAAGTAAGGGTTAAAACAGAAACAAAAAAACCTCCCATTTAATAGTGCTCTGGTTGCCGAAAGGGATATCACGAGGGGAATGTGAGATTTCGAGATATTTCGTGGGGAACGGAATGCAACGTTCAAATGCAGACGCAGACCGAGTCCCTTCATTGACGTCGGCTTTGATTAGTCGCATATCAATGGATGAAATGAGATATATAATTGCTGCACCACGATTCGCTTTGCCTTCTCGAATGATCCCGACTTTCCGCTCATTTGACAGACTTTATTCTGTGGGGAAGCGCCCAAGCACAAGATTAATGCTCATACTCGTTTTTCGGAATATCAAGAGCTGGCCCTTCGGATACAATCTATCCTCGGGTAGAACTCAAACACTGTCGTCGACCGAACAATTCCGCACTATTATTTATTTTTTCTCTCGCTGAATTGCATTGTCATCGTTTGCCTTTGGTATAGTGTCTCTCGGCATATTGGGACATTTCAGCTGGGTAAGTTGTAATTTCAGTAGCCAGAGAAAACAACAGTTTTACAACAAGTTATCTCTCCAACCGTGCGCTTCGTCCGCTATCGACACTAGGAAACTCCGCTCTATCTTGTGGTTGCTTTGCCTCTAGCCCTGGACACTACTGCAAGAAACTGCACCATAGCAGCTGGAGTATCCTAGCAATATTGACAGCCAGCAGAGGCCTTTTTTTTCGTGGGCAACAATCCTCGTCTAGTGTACCAGCCAGGGCTCGAGTTTTCTCTCTTTCCTTTAGTCACCAGGTACAAGCCGACTTGTACCAACCAGAAGCGACATTTGCAGATCTCCTGTAGGTGCTTTTCACACACACTTTGTCTGCGTCCCGTTGTCTAGAGCTCCCCAGGGGTCGGACGGTCCATGCATACGTACAGTGGCATGTCGAACACCCGCACCCCCATGAGACTAAACCGTTATCTCAAAATCCCAAATTGAAAGATGATGCCCATTGAACCGAGAGCAGGGCAGACAATCACTATCCGTTTGGAGGCCCAGCCCTGCAATCGAGACTCCACCGGGTGGATTCCAACAGCGATTTTGGAAACCAGATCTAAACTTCCGCTGGCCTTGGCTGTTTGTGTTCCCATAAGAAAATGGAGAACCACATATCGGTGGATGCTCAAGTGATCTTGTTTGGCCTGCCCCCGTACGAGTGTTTTTTTTCGCTCACAGTAGTGGCATTGACCTTCAAAAGCCGTAGTAAAAAGGCTCATAGCGAAACATAATAGCGGGTCTGCTCTGCTAGTTGGACTACTTGTTAGTAGCTTTGACTTTTAGTGTCAATGGCAACATCCTCCAGTTTCTTTAGTCTGGAGACCCCGATGGAGTTCGTTCTCCAGGTCCAAAAGCAACTCTTCGAAGTTGTGACTAGAAACGGTTAAGGGACGGGCGTAAGCCTTGGGATCCCATTCGTTGAAATTTTTTTCTTTTCTTTTGGATACAAGACAGAGGCTCGGGACAAGTTACGAGGACATGGTATGGTTTCTTTTCCCTTGTCAGCGGTGAGCACAGGGCTATTTCTCTGTGTAATTGCTTCCAGGTCCACGAAACCGTCCATGCCAGCCAGAGCCAGAGCCGGAGGGGGTGGATGGGGGTATAACTGTTCCCGAGGAGCCAGTCAGTCTTCCGTCCATCCATCATTCGACGTCCTCCACACACCCCCCCAATCAGAAAAAAAAATACTTAAAAGCGAAAATATAACCAAATCAAAAAGCCCTTAAAAACCCAAACCTTCGGGGACACACCTAATTATTATTTTGCCTTGCTTGTTCCATTCATCGCACCGCTCTTCTACCACCACCAGACATATTTGCTTCGAACAAATAAAAATAAAATAATCTTCTGGACTCTCGGATCGAGGATACATCTGACTATTTTTCGAATCATAGATAGCAAATCCGACCTTTTGTTTTGAGTTTTTTTCCAACCGGGATAACTGCAAATTAATTGTCAGCACTGGAAATATCGCGAAAGAGCGCAGTCAGAGCCAGCATCTCCCAGGGGCAACCAACCTGATATACCACCACCACAACTTTCAGAAAATAATTCTTTGGGACTTCTGGATGAGTAGCTTGAGGTCTTTTGGATGAATAGGCTGTCGAATAGTTCTTGTCTTCTTGACGGTAATAGGACGAAGCATCGTACTGCCATCTGGGTAGCTGGTAGTACTATATAAGTAGTATACCTCCTTGTGCGGTGCACTGGTTGTAGAAGAGAGTGCTTGCCTGCTCGCTGCCCAACAACGTCGCCATCTCTCGGACGTCGCAACACCCAACATCTCATCAACACCGTCATCTCCGACGATATTTCCTCCTTCCTTTCTACCTCTACGATGGCTGAGGTCCAATATGCTCCAATGTCATACGACAAATTCTACGCCCCTCGTCGCTCTAACTCTGAACCAAATTTCGACCATCTATCATATCTCTCCCATAAACCTGAATCCTTTGAAGCTCGAATGGCTTCATCTTCATCTACTGCGACGGATTCGCCGCGCAATTCTCTCACCTCGATATCGACTGTCTCTTCATGTGGTTCCTACTTCGATTCGGCTAGCAACCAATCCTCGATAGACCCTTATGAGGCCGAAGACACTTTCTCCTTCCCATCGTATGATGACTTTAGTGCAAACGACTCTGACAAGCCGACATTCATCCATCTGGAGCAGTCGATAGAAGGCGATGACGAAGAAGAGGAAGGTCCACCGTCATCACCGACCACCAACAGTATCCCCAAAATTATCACAACTCCCGCCGAACTTCCTGTAGCGGCTATTGATGACATCACCCTGCGAGTCGAACCTTCTCGACATGTTGATTATCTTTCTTATGAATGGAAGGAGGAAGACATCTGGGCTTCTTGGAGGTATATGATCGGGAAGAGGAAGGTGTATGATAATGCCGCTCGTCTGGAGAATGCTTCGTGGAGAACCTGGATGAAAGCAAAGAACAAGTTAAAGACCGTATCTCCGGAAAAACTTAATTGGTAAGCCATGGTCTTGATGATCCTCGATTCATTGATAACTTTGACGGTTTACTAACGTTGATGGATGCTTAGGATGAAGGACTACGATGTCACTTGGCTCTATGGACCGCTCTCAACGGCTCCAGAACGCTCATCATTCTCAATCTCACCAACATCTCCGGAGTGCTCTAGTGCTCCTCGGAACCCTTGCCACAAGAATACCAAAAAGGCTAGCATTCTGAAGAAACGTAGCATGTCCGAGGTTCTTCTCCAACGATCTATCAGCAGTTCCAATCTGTTGAAGCAAGCCACTGCTTCGATAAGGTCACAGCAGTCGCAAAACCATCACAGATTATCACGACCTGTTATGCCAAATAGAGCAGTCTCTGACTACGCAACCTACCCCTTTGTATCACACACTGCAGCCGCAACCACGAACGAAGGGACTAGCAAGACGACATCCACCATGGAATCTGGGATACAATCGCCTTCATCCTCTAGGAAACATATTCATTTCAATGATCGAGTGGAGCAATGTATCGCAGTCGAAGCTAAGGAAGAAGACGAAGAGATGGACCAGGATATGGGATTCGACGACGAGGAAGATGACTCTGATGAGGGTGGTCTGTTCCTGAATATGTCAAATCGTCCTAAGAATGGAAGCCGCCAGAACTCGAAAGGAAGCACATCAGAACCTCAGACAATCCAAAAGCTTCCCTCCACTACTCTCAAGGCTGAAGTTGAGCCATCCGAATTAAAACAATCAACATCAAGTAACAATCTGTCTGCTTTGCTCTTCGGAGCTGGCACTGCTGGCACTGCTGGCACCGGTCTTGGATCCGGAACCGCCTTTATGTTTGATGAGGAAGATGATGATGACCCGATTGAATGGGAGCCCAAGTGGACAACTCGCAAGGACAGCATTTCTCTAAACCGCAGTCGATTCGGTGAACTGGATGACGAATATGGTGGCTTTGCTGAATGCCCACCCACTCCTCCTAGCGGCAACGAAGGAATTTTCGGAAGAGCCGTTGATGCTGTCAACACAGCCCGTGACATTGCTCACGTTTTCTGGAATGTTGGCTGGGCCAGTCGACGATAGTATCGTAGTGACGCTTCATAGCCCTTTGTTTTCATTTCCAACCCTCTCCCCTCAAAACTAACATCGCCAGACCTTATTGTGGTCTCCGGATACTACTTCGACAGTCTTGCACCCAACACATCTTGTTTTACGAGACTCTACCACTACTTTTACACTCAATTCTGGACCTGGTACACAAAAACGTCCAGGATTTACTCTTTTCCTTTCCCTTTTTCCTGCTTTATTTCCTTTTTTATTATCTGGTTTTTCCCTAGTAAATCTTTGGGATTCAATGGCGTTGAAAAGGCGGGGCGCGTGGGACGGCCATCTGGTTTCGTTTTTTGATATTTTCTTGCCCCCTTACATGATATGCAGGTCTCCTCTTGAACCTTTTCCCTTCGTGCTTTCGTCTTCATACGCAAGGTGCTGGAGCCCAGGAACAAAATTCTTGATTATTGTATGTGTTCGTGGGTATGAGAGAAGTCTTGTTTTTCTTTTCCTTTCTTCTTTTTCTATTGATCTCGTCTTTATTCTCCGATGCTTCTTACCATTCTCAAAAGTGTATTACTATCCCCTCCGGCTGGATTTTTTGTGGCTTCCTGACGCTCCAAGGGAGTGAGGGTTACGACGAGTCCACTGGTATTTGTTTCTCTTTGATTCCGCTTTATTACTACTTATTAATTCCTTTGTATCCTATTAATGCTCTTTTCACTTCTTTACTTTCGTTGTTCTTGTACAACCCTTCCTGGCAATAAAGCAAAGCGGGCCTGTATACTTCTCTTTTTCGACTCCCTGCTTTTTGGTAACCTTTGATACAACACTTTCGATTTTTATGGGCGTTCTCTGTTGTATGATCTTCCTTACCAATTCCTTCCCCACTTCTCTTCCTACTACTTTTCTTTCTTTCTTACTTTCTTTCTTATTGCCCACATAGATGGTCATCTGGAGGGACGGGGCCTACTATATTATTCTTTGGCCCCCCACCCAACCTTTCTCTGCTTTTTCGGTACACAAAAAAAAACTTTAGATGCGGGCCGGTTGTTTACTTGCTATTTTTTTTCCCTACAAAACAAAATCCTGTTAACAAAAGAGCCCGAAATGGTGTATAATGTATACTAAAAAGCGAAGAGAAAGTGAAATATGAAATGGATGTGTCCTTACTATAGACACTGATATTACTTCTTTTTTACTCTATAACGAAGCACATATATATGCATACCTACATAGGTACCTAAGGAAGTACTGGGTACCTAGCGTCTACGTAAACCTAAGAGATCACTTTCTTTTCAAACCCCTCTGCTATACTCTGCACCAGCCCGTCCGCCAACATTCTTGGATGACATGAAAATCTGGGGTAAAAATTTCGTCGAACCTGCCCCGTCTGGTTAAAATTGAAAATCTGGGGTAAAGGTTAATAGGAGCGAACAGAACGCATGCCCATGGCCTGACCCCGAATGGACATTGACAAGGTTAACCGTCCCTTTCCCCAGACTTTTTTTTTTTTTTTCCCTCTTCCTCGTTTGGTCTCCATATTGGGCCGACAATCACGAAATCCAACGGTGGACTAGGAAGTAAGCTTGTTAATTTGAGGGGGGGAAGGGTTCTCCGCATTTTTCTCTTTCACTCTAAATTATAATTGACAGGACAGCCTGGCCGTATTGAATTTGCGAAATTTCAACGCCTCTCTCTCTCTCTCTCGTGTTTCGCACGCAGCTTATGTTCCTGTGATACGGATCTAAAGAAACCCGAACATATTTTTTTGGTTCCTGAAATCGGAGAGCGGAAATCGAACGTGACCCACTTTAGTTCCAAAACAAAAAAATAAAATAAAAACGCCGAATAGGCCGATGAAAGGGTTCTATTGGATACCCTCGGAAGACATCTACCACCGAATCATTACTGCTTACAGGATGTTCTTCAGCTTACGTATGTTTGCATGTTTGCATGTCCGGAGTGTCTATAGAACATGTTTTGACTTCCGCGGTATAGCGGCCATTTTCGGAACAGTTTCTCAATCAATATCCTCGGATTCCTCGGTGATGCATCACGTCACAAGGGGATGCCGATACAGGGAAAAACACATAAATCCTCTTAAAGAGAACCCTTTTTTATTTAAGATTATATTTTTAATAGGTCCTCGTGATCACTTTTTCTTCTTTCTTGGTGATGTGTTCAATGACCCCAAAAAAATGAAAAACATTGGTGGTTCTGGTTAATAAGTAAAATCAAAAGAAAGAAAAGGAAAAGAAGAGCCAAAAAAAAAACATCCCCAACAAAGTTATAAAAAATTTTGTTGAGTGCGGGGGGCGGAACTCTTTTTCTTTTTGGTGGTTGAAGGATGGAGTTTACGTTTTGTGATGTTTTAACGCCTGTTTAGCCAGCAGATGATATGGGGCTATGATGCAGTTGACTTGAGCTCGTTTCCCTTACCCAGTACAGAGTAGACCCAGCTGGATACTTCACCTGTGGTGGGCCAATTATAATTAGTAACTACATATGTAGCGTACGAAGGGGTCCATGGATATCCCCAAGCTATTCATGTCGGTCGAGGATCCGAAGCTGCTTAAGCTCTATGTAGCTATCGAGCGGAGTTTTAACTTGGCATTTTTCTTGTTATAGATCGTTTCTGTTCGTTCGTTCGTTCGTTCGTTGAACAAGTAGAACCGATCATTCACCAAAGGCGGGGGAGATCTAGGGCCTGCTTGATTCTGTTAGGAAATTAGGAAACGCCCTCGGGGATACGTCGGTTCTGTACCACCTTACTAGAAAGTGAGTGTTATCGATTGGAAGATGATGATGTAATTTGTGATCTGGGATCTCTTGGAAGTAGTTGGAAGAGGTATCGAATAGGAAGTTATTGCATTGACGTTGGTAATGGCGCGAAAAATTAAAAATTAAAAAAAAAAAAAAAAAAAAAGGAATTAAACGAAAAAAACCACTGGGGTCGAGACAATTTACAAGTGGAATTGATACGCAGTTAGATGACCAATCCACGAAGATCTGTGATTTGTTATTTTTATTTTATTTTATTTTAATCTGGGGGAATGACCTTGGAGAGCTTCTGTAGCTAAAGGAAGCTAGCTATTTCCATACTTAGATATGTTCGGGATGCTGATGCACCGGACCGTATAATACTGACTGTCGACATTGCATTGCAGATTGCACAATCGCCCTACAAAAAGCGGTGACAGGCGCTAACCTTAGAAGGGGATGTCCAAACCTGGGGTACCCGGCCGGGGAAGTATTGGTCCGCGGGTCTGGGGAAACCCCGGGATTTGCATGGGATTCGGGTAGACGCACAGGGGGCGATAATTGGATCCCGAGGTCTACGGGCATGCATATGATTGGCTCCTCTTTGGTTCCGAGGCTCGAGGTGAGACATCGATTATATATCGATAGGATGGAAATGGGGGAAATTTCTTTTATCATCTGAATTCCATTACTCAAAAGCTGGGTTCCTCGTTTTATCTAAACTTTTGGCACGAGAAGCACTGACCAGCCTAAGTTATCCGGCTTGTAAGCTTGGTGTAGACGAGAATCTCTCCACGATATCCTGACCCCGCAAATCTTTGGTCTGTGGTTCTAGACCGAGGTATTGATAGTGGTGTGCTTTTGGCTTGAGGCAGCCATTAATTATAATGCAACACAGGAAATGTTGCAATTTGATGCTGTGGGACGATTGATCGAGAATATTCGAGTCGATTTCGGCATTCATTGCACTTGTTCTGTATCAACGGCGGGGCGTTTTGTGGCAAATCTTTACAAATTGACTATGGCAACTTTTATGGGTAGGGTACACCGACGGTTCTTAAGTCTCGAGGTACTGATATCATAGAATGTCATGATGGTAGTCTATTATAGGTATCACACCGGAAACAACTGATTCGTGGTTCCATGGATTTAAAAACTTCCCGGCCGGTTCCGAATCGTGGTTGCCATTCATCGATCTTGCATAGATCGGAGCGCGGGTATGTGGTATTTGTATAGGAGCGATCGATCACGATCAGTTAAGTTCTGGATTTATACTCTATAGCTAGGAAATTCGTTCGCGAAACCACGGCCGGTACTGATATGCATCATTATAAGCCAACCAAACCCAGGGAAGAGTTAACTCTAACCGTATAGTTTCTTCCTATATAGAGTAACAGGTTGCTTGCTTATCTAGTCGGTTTTGCCACAGGTATATGTTGCGGCTGTTTTAATGTCATATACACGTACTACCCAGTATGTACTGTGGGCGAAATGAGAGCCTATATTTCTACTTTCTTCTTCGTGATTAAGTTTGAGTAGCGACTGTCTAGATTCCAAAAGCAAATTACATAAATATCTAATTATGTACATTCTGCGCTGCCATTATAAGTCGGCTAAAGATGCATGTCCGTGATAATCACGGGGGAAAAGGTACAGGTATACATTTAAGGTCGACGGGTTATTCATGATTAAGGGAAAGGAGAGAGCTTAGTAACTTGTCTTTGTCAATGGCGCATTGTTTGGACATGGAGCCTTTAATTAATCCATGTGCAAACTACATCAATTGATTTGGAAGTGCAATGTTAGACTTGAATATCGAACGTGGACTCTGTAGGCGTTAGACCTGAATTTAGCTTAGGCTTCAACAGTTTAGCGCTATAAGACACCGCTCTATATTAAATTGTGACCTGGCAAGTATAAGAGCGGCCAATTCTGCACTAATATAACCAGAAAATCAAACCGTATACGAGCCAATTAATAGAACTGTTGAATTTTGTACGATTGCTTACGGTTTAAATGTCATATAAAAGCGAGCCCAAGTCTGATATAAGGCATTTATAATTACTTAATGGTGAAGATTAATCGATATTCCGAAGTCGGGAACAAATTTCGATAGCGGGCAATTAGAGTATAACATAGCTTCATATTCGATATTTCATCTTTCCTATTTTCATCTGTTCATCATACGTGCCAACTTGTAGAATATATATTTAGCAAAGCCAAGAGGTTGTATTAGCATACCCAAAACGTCTAATACTTATGTTCTTTAGAGAAGTATCAGGAGCATATGGTTGCCAAGTGACCATACCGCTGTTGAGCGGTATATAGAAGGGCTTGAAGCAGAACAATGATAGAGCGTTTGAATATATGGCGGAGGCAAGGAGGTACTAGAAGAATTATGAGAAGGATGGGGGGTGGGGTATGTTCTAGTAAGGATTGTGGGGAGAGGCCATGAGGAGATAGTTGGGGGGGTCGAGTGGATTTGTAATTTGGGTTATGTATGAGGGTACTGGTGAAGACATGTTTTGAGCTAGAAGCTCGAGGGATGAACAAATGAACAGGAATGGCTACCGTAGACGGGTAAGGTGGGAATAAAGGTGTTTTAATATGGAAACATGTTGTTGGAGTTCAATGATATCAGTCTCGGCACTAAACAACTTGTGCTCTGGAATGATATGTCACGGCATGTTGTCTTGCTGAGAGCTAACAAATACCTGTTAGTCTTGAGGGCAGAGGTCGCGTCGCTCATTCACGTCAACTTCATCATCGATGCACCCTACTTTATCTGAACGAATCAAAATAATACCACCACGACCGCTTCCGAGTTCCTCACTACTTGTTCTGTCTATTAGATCCATCAAAATGCCAGACCAGCTACTTAAACATTCCTTAGATATCGCAACAGAGTCTACTGGGGGCAGCTATAAGGAGCTAGTCCTGGCTTTGGAATCCAGCGTCATCAATCTCGATGACTCGAATTATGATGAATGGAGTGTCTCCATGAAGAATATCTTCAAAATTAAAGGATGGGATCAACTCATAGAGACCCCATGGCATGACGGTGTAGAAGGAAAGACAACCATCTGGCTCGCCTCCAAATTCCCAGCTCTTGTTCTATACAATCTAGAGACCGGAGAGCCAGAGCCTTTACACCCATGCACGGCGGAAAAAACCTACGAAGCCGTTTCACGACGCGAATGTGTCATTTACATCATCAAACACATCTGGCCTCCTTTCCAATATTTTTGCGACTACAAGCAGAATGATCCTTACATTCTGTGGAAAGAGATTGAAGAATTCTGGAACTTGGAGGATTTTGGGAATCGAGTCTCTGCGCGCTGGTGTAGGGAGATCTTGGAAATGATGTCTTTGGGGATGGGTCAATCGATTGCCGACTATTTGGAGGAAGCTAAGGGGGTATACGATGATCTCCACAGGTTTGGAGGGTCTATGTCTGGACAGGAGTTTATCGATTGTTTTACAAAGAGTCTTTGGTGGGATGAGTATCGAGTCGTGAAGGAAGGGTGGAATACGGACCTACTAAGAATGCAAGGTTTTAAGCCGTCTGGTATTGATAAGCCCCTGGAAGAGCGACTGGGCGAACTGAAGAAGCAACTAGAAGTACAAGAAAAGATTCTGGCTCTAGGGAAGGCTGAGAGGGATAGGCTTTGGCTCTTCGGATGGGATGGAGAAAGAGAAAGACAAAGGAAGAAGAGAGATGCGGAGGAAGCGGCTGAAAAGGAAAACAAAGATCCTGGGGAGAAGAACATAAATGGGATACAGGGTGAAGGCGACCCGAAGACCCCCGAGGACTCATCTTCAGATAGCTCCCTCCAGGGTGATTCCCCAAGTATCTCCATTTACTTTAGTAGCCCATGAATTACTCAGAGGTACAGAAGCTCAAACCAGTCAAAGCCTAGTATTTCTTGTCTCATTACCAGACTCCTCAACTCTGAGTATTTCTAGGTTATACTAGTATTATTAGCTACAGGATTACTAGCATACGAATAGAAACGGAATTTAAATTCTACGTCACATGTTGTAGTCATGATGTGTTGAATGTGGTATTTCCTAATCAGGACACCAACAGCTCATTGGCCAATGCGGCCAGCTCCTTTCCCCTGGAACCGGGCCTCTTTAGCTCCCACTCCACTCGCCAGTCGCCCTGAAGCATCTCCCTATACGCCATCTTTAATTCTTCCCAGCGGGAAACCCGTATCAACCATGGATAGCGTCAACGAAATCATCGAGCGCCTCGGTAACTCCGAAGATGCGGTGCGCAAAATGGCCGCCTTCAAGCTGCAAAGCAACATTGCAGACCCATCGTTCGCAGAAATGTTTATCCTGCAGGGAGGGATCATTGAACTGCGCGAGTTGGCGATTAACGCCAACGGGAACACGCTGGCGTATTCACTTACCAGTTTCTCAAGGTTGTTGGAGGTAGATAAGGGGTGGGAGTATGTTACACCAGAGTTGATTTCGAGGGTGCGTATTATAGCTATCGATCGCGGAGACGGAACTGATAAAGGCACGTGCTAATTTTCTATCGGAGTTATAGATGGTAGATTTGATTACTGGTCATCCACTTATCAACATTCTTCGAGGCGCCATGGCCGTCCTTGGCGCGATTGTCGCCCACCCCCAAATATCCGAAGGTCGAGGGTCGATGATGACGGGTCTGTTTGGATTCCAGGCACTAAAGCCTGCGATAGCAGAGCATCCGGAATTTTTAGAGATGTTGGTGGAGAGGGTGTCGAGTGCGGACCATGCGCTGTGCGCAAATGCACTGCAATTGATCAATGCTCTGATGAGGGACAGCATCGCATCGGATAACGAATGGCAGAAGTTTATCAAGAAGTTACAGGACCTAGGGGTTATCCGGACCGTTTATGTGAGTATACACCTAATTAATTGTATTTGGAGCTGTGCTAATGAGATGGGAAATTTAGTACCTCATGCAAGGCTCGTCGTTACAGGATCTGGCGCATCCATTACTCGAGTTCCAAGCACTGATGAAGATGCTGATACGAAAATGGCGGGCTGTTAAGCTGAATTTGGAGCGGAAGGACCATAGAACTGCCCTGAAGACCATCCATATCGCTAGCGCATCGAGTATACGAAGCAATCCAGAGAAGTGGAGGAGATTAGGTTTCGAGACCGAATCTCCTGCTTGGGAGTTTGAGCAGGCTGGGTTCTTAGGGATGATGGACATGACTGAGTTCGTGAAGGATCATGAAGATGAATTCCAAAAGGTATAACTAAATCCTTTGAGACCTTTACCTTGTTAGCGTACTGACAGGTCAAAACCAGATCATCCATGAGCAAGAGGCGAAGTCAAAGGAGGAGCGATTCCCATTCGCTAGAGCAAGTCTTTATGTTACATCTTTACTCTGCGAGCAGTTCGCTGTCGACAACTCGGAAGCGGATGATGCGAAAACAATCATGATTCTGGAGTCTCGGGCGAGTTTCGAGAAAGCATTCAAACCTCTGCTGCTACAATGGTCTCGACTACACACCGCTGCTTTGTTCGCTTTCTTTAGAATATGGAAAGAGACCTCGGCATTGTACAGTGACTTCGACAAAGTTTCCGATCTCGTTCGTGTTCTAGGGTACAAAACAATGGTGCAGGCGACAAGGACCAAAGAAATTACAGAGGTCGAAAAGGAGTTCGCAGAGTACGACTACCAGAGACTGAGAGTCATCCAAATGGAGTTGCTGGAGCAGGCTTATGGGAATGCATGGAGACCGCAGCTGACCTCTGTCTACGAGGAGACTGCCAAGGAAGCACAGGAGTTTATCAAAGAGCAAAGGATTAGATGTCTATTGCAAGGCAGCTGGTTTACAACGGATCGTACGGATGGCTCTCATAACAAGTCGAAAGACAAGTTGGCCTATATTTCGTTGTTTGCGAGGCTGTCAACCGACAGGCGGTATCTTTGCTATGGCTATTATAACGCCGATATGGATATTGAGCCAAGAATGGAGGATTTGGTTCATAAGAGTAAGTCGAGCTAGAAATCCAAAGAAGCACCCATGGCTAAAACGCATTCATTCTAGTCCCCGTATCGTCCGTATCGAGCGTTGTATCGAATGTTATGCCGTCAGTGAGGGACAACCGCGACTCATCAGCTACAGTGACAACTGCGACGCCTTTCAACTCTACTACGACGAAGCTAACAATATACGGGAGACAGCCGCCTAGCGGAATACAGCAGAATGGGGATACTAACAAGGAGTATCCATTGATTGTGCTACATCCTTCGAATCATACTATCGCCTCGGAATGGCTGGACGGTCTGCTCTTCCTCATGGGCAAGAAACCGATCACTTCAGAGACCAGCAATCTGATAAACACGGTTGCAAAATGCAGTATGAAAGTGCGACTGTTAAGTGTGCGATACACAGATATATATCCTGGCCCCCCGGATATACCTTCAAGAAATGGAGTTGACGATGATTTCTTCTATTCTTAGCAGGCCTCTTTTTTCTAATAACTTATTTCCAGAAGACCATGTTCTTGAGCTTCCGTGTATTATAATAGACATTTCTTCCTTTGGTTTCTTTTGATAGCGCTTTTTACTTTGCCCTTTGGTAGCTTTGGTTGAGTATTTTGGGATGGATGTTTGAAATCACTGTGCACAGCTGCAGACGGGATTATATTCTTGTAGATACCCTTTTGAAGTCGAGTCTTCGTAATGTAATATTACCTCATCTTCTAACGCTTCGTCACCAGAGCTTCAATCGTAGGTATATTTTAGTCAGTGTGGATGTAAATTAATAGTCTATATCAATATCAGATGAAGTCCGTCAGAGGGGCGACCAGCCAATGGTGTTGATGCTTGGCATCCATCTTCAAGCTCCACAGAGCAGGCAACGCGTCTTGACCGCACATTACTCAGCCAGCTTCAACATCGACACTGCCACGACCACCTCCCAGCTTCTCTCCCCGTCCGTACTCTCCTATCTACATCTTCTGCATCTGTCAGACTACCAGACCTCTTTAGATACCCTTCCGACTCGATTCTTCCCGTCAAAGCCGCGAATACTAAGCTCCAACTACCCGTAACCCCCCCCCATTCCGACCTCGTGATCTGCGACTATCATAAAGGTCTCGACATCGAGCGTCCTTCCGAACTTTCACGATGCCTTCCGCTCAGGGTCAGAACTGGGAGAAGTATCGTAAGAACTTCGAAGATGAGGAGAAGCCCGAGGAGAAGATTGTGCCGTTATCGGAAGAGTACGCTGCTCTGCCTTGGACATATATGTTGGGGTATAATGAAAGTTGTAGACTGATGATTTGAGTTTGATAGTGACATCCAAGTTTTAAAGACCTATGGCGCGGCACCCTATGCTACTGCTTTGAAGAAGCTAGAGAAGGATATCAAGGAGCTGCAGACGAAGGTTAATGAGAAGATTGGTGTTAAGGTAACCCCTCTTCTCATCCCTAGCAGACATATGATGTAACTGGTCACTGATCGTAATTCACTAGGAATCTGACACCGGTCTAGCTCCAATACATCTATGGGACGTTGCTGCCGACCGTCAGCGCATGTCAGAGGAACAGCCACTACAAGTTGCCAGATGCACAAAGATCATTCAGAACCCCGATGATCCCGATAAAGCGAAATATGTCATCAACGTCAAACAGATTGCGAAGTTTGTTGTAGATTTGGGGGAGAGAGTCAGTCCTACGGATATCGAAGAGGGAATGCGAGTTGGGTATGTTGCGACATGTTGTTAGTGAGCTGGAGGTATAGTGGATTACAGGGCTAACTAAAGTGGGGGTTACAGTGTCGATCGAAATAAGTACCAAATTCTACTTCCGCTACCACCAAAGATCGACCCCTCAGTCACGATGATGACAGTGGAGGAGAAGCCGGATGTTACCTATGGTGATGTTGGTGGATGCAAGGAGCAGATTGAGAAGCTACGAGAAGTTGTCGAGACACCGTTGCTTTCACCAGAGCGATTCGTCAACTTGGGTATTGACCCTCCCAAGGGTGTTTTGCTCTATGGTCCCCCCGGTACCGGCAAGACCCTTTGCGCTCGTGCTGTTGCAAACAGGACTGATGCTACATTCATTCGTGTCATTGGATCTGAGCTTGTTCAGAAGTATGTTGGAGAGGGAGCTCGTATGGTCCGTGAGCTCTTTGAGATGGCCAGGACGAAGAAGGCCTGCATCATCTTCTTTGACGAAGTTGATGCTATCGGTGGTGCCCGTTTCGATGATGGTGCTGGAGGTGATAACGAGGTCCAAAGAACTATGTTGGAGTTGATTACACAGCTTGATGGATTCGACCCTCGAGGAAACATCAAGGTCATGTTCGCAACCAATCGGCCCAGCACACTTGACCCCGCACTCATGAGGCCAGGACGTATCGATCGAAAGATCGAGTTCAGTTTGCCAGATTTGGAGGGACGTGCCAACGTTTTGAAAATTCACGCCAAGAGTATGTCGGTAGAGAGAGATATCAGATGGGGTATGTATATTTGATCCTTATATTGATGGTAACCGAATATGCTAACAAGTGGTAAACAGAATTGATTTCGAGATTATGTCCTAACAGTACCGGTGCAGAGTTGCGATCCGTTTGTACTGAAGCCGGCATGTTTGCCATTCGTGGAAGGAGAAAGGTTGCGACTGAGAAGGATTTCTTGTCTGCGGTTGAGAAGGTTATCAAGTCGAATCTCAAGTTCAACTCGACAGCGACTTATATGCAGTACAACTAAGGCATATGTCGGCATTTTCGTTTATTGTGTGTATGCCATATCGCCCTGGCATTTATTAGAGACGGAAGTAGAACGAATGCGACTTTTCACAGGCTCCATATATCCTATGTCACTATTTTCTCTCTTTCTTTTTTTTGTTACTCGGGTGCATTGCTGGGTAAAACAGCTTCTCTATTATTCCTTTTATAACGACTTGTGTGTTCCCTGAAGTGTGTATATACGTAGGTGTCCATGACGGGGGATTCTTATTTTGACGATCGATAAAACTTAACCCGACGAAGTGTCATTAGCCATTGACAGGGGGGGTGTGGTACCTGGGTACTTGGTGGACATGTGAAGTTTTGCTTGTGATATCGGGTAACATAGGATGTCTACGAGTCTGCCGGACAAAGGATAATCCGTATCGTCCCGTCTTTTGTATGGGAATTCGGTAGACGGCAGATACTAGCAGATACCCTGAAATACCGAGTGCCCTTGACCTGGTTTTCAAAGTTCGAGTGAAGCCGAAGAAACCATCGAAATAGTGGGAGTACCGTGTCGATACCGCGTAGAGACTCCGTCGAACCGGGTTTCCAGTTTGCCCTCGGATAGTGCCCGGCAACACAGAGGAAGCTCAGTCCACCTGGCAGCCGGGATGCCCAATAACATCGCAGGATTTTGTAATATTCGCTTTCGCTTTTAGTCGTTTTAGTTTGACTTTGCCTTTTCACATTCCACATTCTGTTTCCCTCTAAATTTTCCAATCAATTGAAACAAAACTTCAACATCTTCTTCTTTTTATATTATTTTCTTGATACCCTTTTGTTCCTTCTCCCCTCTGCCATCGGGCTTTAGCAATCAATATGTTGGCATCTACTTGCCTTCGCAGATTCGGCGCTGCGGGCGCTCGTGTGAGTTTTTTTTTCCCTCTTCAATCAATGACATAGTGGTGGAACCATCGGGTAGCCGAGGCACTAACCGTCTGCACATTGAAACTCATCCAGAAGACAACGAGTATACTTCCAAAACCACAATCGCGATTCTTCAGCTCGACGAAGCCTGTCTGTATGTATAAGCATATCTTATTCTTATTTTGCTTTAATTAAATCACTACCAATTGGCTTGTTACTTTTGTGGTGGTCAAGTGGTTTTGTAAAATACATGGATATCAAACGGTATAACTGACTGTGGGGTAATTTTTCGTTTGTAGCACGAATATTCGGAACTCTTCCGCTGCGAGGGAAAGAGGCGTCGCCGCATGTTTCGAATAAGTACCCTGTTATCGTTAGTATTCCCGGGCCCGTTTCCCATATACTCTTCGGCTTGGACTCCGACTTATGATGTTTTATGGGAAAAATAGGACCACGAATACGATGCGATAGTAGTCGGTGCCGGTGGTGCAGGTTTGAGAGCAGCTTTCGGTCTGGCAGAGGCAGGATTCAATACAGCATGTATCAGCAAGCTGTTCCCGACAAGAAGTCACACTGTCGCAGCACAGGGTGGTATCAATGCGGCTCTTGGAAAGTTAGTGGTTCAATATCGTTGCATATGTGGTTGAGAATGTGGGTTTCTGACATTTTGGTCATAGTATGCACGAGGATAACTGGAGATGGCAGTAAGTGTTTTTTTCTGGAACGAGGCCATTGGCCGGGATGGAGGCTGATGGAGTTTGCAGCATGTACGATACCGTCAAGGGTTCCGATTGGCTGGGTGACCAGGATGCTATCCACTATATGACACGAGAGGCACCTGCATCTGTCTACGAATTGGAAAACTATGGATGTCCATTCGTGAGTATATCTTACTAGAATAGCAAACGGAGAGATGCTAACGGAATATTTATCTAGTCGAGAACCGAGGACGGCAGAATGTGAGCTCCCCCCAGCACACCACAAACAAATAGATTCAATATACTGATCCGAAAACAGCTACCAGAGAGCTTTTGGTGGCCAATCGCGAGACTTCGGCAAGGGTGGTCAAGCCTACAGATGCTGTGCTGCTGCTGACAGAACTGGACACGCTTTACTTCATACCCTCTACGGCCAATCTCTCCGATATAACACAAACTACTTCATTGAATACTTTGTCCTTGATCTCTTGATGGAAGACGGCAAATGCGCCGGTGTTCTTGCTTACAACCAGGAAGACGGAACCCTACATCGTTTCAGAGCCCACCACACCGTCCTTGCTACCGGTGGATACGGACGTGCGTACTTCAGCTGTACCAGCGCACACACTTGTACTGGTGATGGATTGGCCATGGTCACTCGTGCTGGATTGCCCGGTCAGGATTTGGAGTTCGTCCAGTTCCACCCAACTGGTATCTATGGCGCTGGATGCTTGATCACTGAGGGTTCCCGTGGTGAGGGTGGTTACCTGCTTAACTCTGAGGGTGAACGTTTCATGGAACGTTATGCCCCCACCGCAAAGGATTTGGCATCTCGTGACGTCGTGTCGAGAAGTATGACAATGGAGATCAGAGAAGGAAGAGGTGTTGGACCAGAGAAGGATCATATCTTCTTGCAACTCAGCCATTTGGAACCAGAGATTCTGCACGAACGATTGCCCGGTATTTCTGAGACTGCTGCTATCTTTGCTGGTGTCGATGTTACCAAGGATCCTATCCCAGTCTTACCAACCGTCCGTAAGTGAAAATCAGAAGTCCTGTCCTAAGTGAAGAGGACAAAACTAACAACGGGGGATTAGACTACAACATGGGTGGTATCCCAACCAAATACACCGGCGAAGTCCTGACAGTTGATGAACAGGGTAACGACGTTGTTGTCCCGGGTCTCTACGCCGCCGGTGAAGCCGCTTGTGTCTCTGTCCACGGTGCTAACCGTCTTGGTGCCAACTCTCTCCTCGATCTCGTCGTCTTTGGTCGTGCTGTCGCCCACACTATCCGTGACAAGGGTGATAAGGGCAAGAAACATGAACCTATCCGCGCTGATGCCGGTGCCGAATCTATTGCCATGCTTGACAAGGTCAGGACCGCAGATGGACCATTGTCGACTGCTGAAATCAGGTTGAAGATGCAGAAGGTCATGCAGACAGATGTCAGCGTCTTCAGGACTCAAGAGTCGCTCGATGCTGGTGTTAAGGGCATTACCGAGGTTGATCAGTTGTTCGACCAGGTTAGCACGAAGGATAGGTCTATGGTATGTTTTTATTGGTCCCTTTTTTTCAAAATCTAGGTTTGGTGCTAATAAAAGGTTGTTTTTATTAGATCTGGAACAGCGATTTGGTTGAAACTTTGGAGTTGAGGAATCTTTTGACCTGTGCCGCCCAAACTGCTGTCAGTGCCGCTGCTCGTAAGGAGTCCCGTGGTGCTCACGCCCGTGAGGATTACCCAGATCGTGACGACGAGAACTGGATGAAGTGAGTTTCCCCGCACCCTTAAACCACTGTAGGAGTGATGCTGACAAACCTCATTCAGGCACACATTGAGCTGGCAGAAGGAGCCACATGGAAAGGTTGAATTGAAGTACAGAGGAGTTATTGCCAACACTTTGGATGAGAACGAGTGCAAGCCTGTTCCTCCATTCAAGAGGTATGCGTTCCCTTTACCTTCCCAAATCCTATGAGCATTTATACTAACAGCTATTTTTTTTCTTATAGAACTTATTAAACGAGAAAGCACGATATGATAATGCCTTTTTTCAGTTTTTTTCTCTTTAAGCTTTTACCCTTTTTTTTCTGAAAAGCAAGATATTTGTTGTGCCGTACCCTAGTATATAGTATAATTGCATCTGGAAATCGAGCTATTCTTTCTATTCTGTATTCTGTCTTTCTTTCCTGGTAGGCGTAGTACGTATGTAGTTACAGAATTAGTATATATTCACAATCTCGAGATTTGAGACCATTTCGAGATGTGATTTCCGCGTTGCGGTCTAAAAATACAACAGGACCTTGCCATGTGCACCAATAAAACGTAGCAGCGGGCAGTAGCCGTAGCTTAAACCGTGGGGCAGGATCCTGGGGCGCGCCAAACCTCTCTAACGTCTTGCATTCAACTTACATACTCACCCATACATCCCGCCAAAAACACCCCACTATTTGACATTTTCGACATCAGACCTTTCATTTTTCGTTATTTACGTACTCCTTTCGTTTTCCCCACACACATATACACACGAATATATCCTTTGAATAAGTAACGGGAGTATGGAAGCAGAGTCTTCGGCCGCCGGGGCGGCAGCTGGTGCAACAGCGGCGGGTGAAGGGCCTACGGTGGCGCCGTTAGAGGTTGCTTACTGTGGTGGTTAGTATTATATTATCTTTTTATACTTTATTTCTATGAGAGGATTGCGAAAGGCTAATGCAAATGCTGGGTGTTTAGTTTGTTCGTTACCGCCTGAGGTTCGTTTCTTTTCCTGCTCCTCCTCTGTCTGGATTCGATACTATACGATTTTGTTCTTTCGAGTGTCCTTGTGAAGGGAGGTTAAGGATGGTTTCTTTTTTTTTTTTTTTTTTTTTTTTTTTGGAGGCTGATGACGTTTTGGGGGAAGGGATATAGTACTGCGAGTTTGGAGCTACGGTGAAGAAGTGTATGGATTGGTTGGAGGGTAATCATCCGAGTTTACATCAGAAGTTATATTCTTCCGGTACGATATACCTTCTTCTCTTCCCTTCCCTTCCCTTCTATCATATTCTATTCAAACCCCCCCCCCAGTCCAAATATATAGATATACTAACCAGAAAAAATAAATCTACAGAAGCCCTCGAATCCAAAATGGGAACAATGACACTAGAAGCCCAACAAAAAGCCGAAAAGGACCTTGCCAAAAAACAACAAAAGGAAGAACTCCGTCAAGAACGCGAAGCAGCTAAAAAGAAGTCCTCGGTCATAACTATCAAACGTGTCGAACGTACCAAGAGGAAATACGTCACCGTGGTCAGCGGTATCGAGGCCTTCGAGTTGGTGTACAAAACCGTTGCGAAGGAGTTCGGCAAGAAATTCGCTTGCGGTAGCAGTGTTACCAAGAGTGCGGCGGGTTCAGAGGAGATTACGGTACAAGGTGATCTGAGTGATGAGATTTTGGAGGAGTTGGTGGAGAAGTATGGTATTGATGAGGATAATATTAGACAGGTGGAGGAGACTAAGAAGAAGGGGGGTAGTGGGCCTGGTTGATTGTTATATTCCTCCCCTTTTTTATTATTATTATATTATTTATATCCTTTAGGACCTCATTTTACGGGCTTTCTTTTTTTTGCATGAGAATATGACATTTTTATTATTATTAATATTATTCATATTTTTGGTGGTACCGGATCATGTGTGTATATTTCAAACGGGCACAATGATCATGATCGGAGTAAGGTATTTAAATTCTACAAATACTAGTATATATATGGGTCCAGGTAAACAGATGGCTAATGAGAGGAAGAAGGGGGGAGAGCTAGAGACGATCTGTAGTGGCTGAACTATGGGGAGAAGAGATGGAGAGAGAAAAAACGAAATATTTGCATGGAGAAAATTACTTGAAAGAATATTTATGATTACAGAGAAATACGTAGAGAAGTTCTAACCATTGAATAATAAAAGTAGAGGAATCTGTAACAGAATCGATATTTTTCTATTTTTCTATTTTTTTGGTGGGGTTTAAATAGCCTCGATCAAGTCACTCATGATAAATCGGGTTATTCTGACGGGTTTAATACTCGGCTTCTTCAGTCTCGACAGTGTCGTTGGCGACTTCCTCGTAGTCCTTCTCTGTGAGGTTGTTAGTATTGAATCTAATGTAAAACAGAGTAGCCGTATTTGAAACATACCGAGAGCAGCAAGATCCTCGCGAGCTTCAGAAAATTCACCTTCCTCCATACCCTCACCGACATACCAGTGGACGAAAGCACGCTTAGCATACATGAGATCGAATTTGTGGTCCAATCGAGCCCAGGCCTGGTTAAAATCCGTTAGATATGTTACGTGGAATTAATTAAATCTAGGAAACCTACCTCAGCAATTGCAGTAGTGTTGGAAAGCATGCTGACGCTACGGCTGACATCGGAGAGTTCGCTTCCAGGAACCTGGACGGGTTTCTGGTAGTTGATACCGATCTCTGTGTGTTTTCGCAAACGACATTAGTATCGACACTATTTCTTTCTCAAACTTCCTTGGAATAATACGTACTGAAACCGGTTGGGCACCATTCAACAAGGTTGAAGTTGGCCTTGGCCTTGACGTGGGCAACGGCGGCGTTGGCGTCATTGGAATTGACGTCTCCACGGTACAAAAGCGCAACGGCCATGTATTTTCCGTTCCTTGGGTCGCAGACAACCATCTGATTGTTTGGTTCGAAGCCTAAATTTCGGGTTAGCGTCTTTTCATTGGCAGATTAGTCCCCTAGGGTGTGAATGGGTTTTCCATACATGCGAGGGTCAAGTCCTTGACGGCGAAGCTTTCGTGGTTGCTCTTCTTTGCAGCTATAATGAAATATTAGACTCTGCCTTGAGATATGGATTCCAGGATTCTTACAAACAACTGGCGCATAGCTGATAAGAGGATAGTGAATTCTTGGGTACGGGACGAGATTGGTCTGGAATTCGTTGAGATCGACGTTCAAGGCACCGTCAAATCTGAGAGACGAAGTAATAGAAGAAACGATTTGAGCAATCAATCTATTCAAATGCTCAAAGGTTGGACGGCCGACATCCAAACTTCTTCGGCAGATGTCGTAGACAGCTTCGTTGTCAACGAGGAAGGAGCAGTCGGAGTGCTCGATGGTGCTGTAATCACAGTTAACAGTGGTTCCGAGACTCTAGGGTTAGGATTCAAATGAGAATTGTACCTGTGGGTAGAGAGCACAGCATTGTATGGTTCAACAATGGCAGTCGAAACCTTGGGGGAGGGATAGACGGCGAATTCTAGCTTCGACTTCTTCGCGAAGTCTGTGGCGAGTCTCTCCAAGAGCAAAGCACCAAAGCCGGATCCAGTACCACCGCCAAAGGAGTGAAAGACGAGGAAACCTTGAAGACTGGAGCAGTTGTCGGCGACACGACGTAGCTTGTCTTCGACTACTTCTACCAACTCTTTTCCGATAGTGTAGTGTCCACGAGCATCTACGCTGCCAATTAGTATTTGCGCTATGGATATCAATAGAATATCACTTCAAGGTTTCGTACAGTTGTTCGCGGAGTCCTCCTTGCCACTGACCAAAAGTTCAGGGTGGAAGAAGGACTTGAAGCCGCCGCTCCTGATCTCATCGATCGGCTAGGATGACACTAGAGTTAGACCATCCTGATCATACTATTACAATGTTGCGCGCGACATACCGATGGGTCGAGATCGACGAAAATGGAACGAGGGACGTATTTCCCATTCTGGGACTCACTGAAGAAGGTATCGAAAGAACCACCATCGGAGAGAGCCTTCTTTTCGGGGTCACGTCGGCCGTCTGGGAGAAGACCGTGCTCGAGCGAGTACCTAAATTGTTATAAGAGAGTCTAAGTATATATGCGACATGGTGTACGAGAAGATTTTGGAGATTTGGCAGTTGGATAGCAGGCGGGATGTGGGAGGGGTGGGAATATCCTTACAGCTCCCAGGCGCTGTTACCAAGCTGGACACCAGCCTGACCAATGTGAATATGGCAAACCTGGAGGCAATTATCGACGTCAGTGATGTTTTACATGGTACCGACTACTACTTAAGTAGCTACCAATACCGCTACTACTAATACTAGCTAACAGTAGCAGTAGTAGTAACGGTGATATTAGAATGCACGTACCTCTCCTCTCATTTTCGGTGAGGTGTCGCTGGTTAAACGCGTTGGATTTAGAAGCTAGTGAACCTCGGCCGATTCCTCTGGTTAGCTATCAGACACAAAACCAGCTAGGTACGGCGTAAGTAACTCACTAAGGAAGTACCCTAGAGAGCAGCTACCCGAGCCAGGATTGAAGCCAAGTATAGAGTAGAAAGATATATAACTTACAGGTATAAAGGATAGGAAAGATTGGTGATATGGGAGGAGTATGAGGTAGCAGGGAATGGGAGAGAGAAGGGGGAGCGTTGAAGGGAGGTTAAGTACGTTGAGGGGAAATTAGGTATAGTTAGCTCACATTAATATCATTTGCTGAAGCTGTCCCAAGCTCTCAACTCAACTCAACTTTAACCAACGGAGCATGCATCCACTCTGCACCTGTCGCTTATTAGTTCCGGATGCATGGTACATTACACACTTGACCTGATAATGTATGTAATTATAATACCCGAGATCTGTATAGAAATAATCTTTATTGAGATATCTTATCACAGGGGTTTTCTTCGAGGTCATACATAGTACGTATCAGACTTTCTTTATGCAGGTTCTTCAGAGGATTTATATTTGGATGGGAAGTCACGGGGGTCACAGGCTGTTGTTGCTGGCTGCCATTGCCTGGGCAATAGGGGAAGCTCTCAACGTCACACAACGCATGGCGCCACGCACATGTCAGTACTACTTACTTACATACTACTCGTAGTTTTGACATGTGGGTCAGATCTGTCTGGCTGTTATATCAGCTTCTAGTTCGATTCTACCAACGGAAATAAAACTTAAAGAAACGGCTAAGAGAGTTTATGATGGAAAAGGATATTACATTTTTTAGTATAAGTTTTACTCGGTCAATGCCATTTGCAAGTGGAATCGTGAATACGGTCAAACCATAAAATCTTATCCGTATATTAGATAACAAACGAACTATACTATATACTTAGTTCTTAATTTATAAAATCTTTATAGAAAAAACTATAGCTTTGGGCGGATAGTATTCATTCTCCATGCCAAGCCAATTATGGATATATTACCAGATATCATACCTATCAGCTAACCATGAAATGCAGGAGCTACGGGACGAGACTGGTGGATTAGTCAGTTGGACCAGTTGTGGCCATTTTTGCGTTGTCCAGCTTAGCTAGCAGTAGCAAGAGTTGAGTTTAGTTGGTTTGAGCTCGAACATTTTCTTATCGACAAGCCCACTGCCATTCCATCCCACCTAAAAATTCACCTTCGGCCCATACCCATATACCCACCCCACGACACGTACTCCCAAAGCTTCCTCCCATCATCATCACCAAAACAATCTCCTCCATCTTAATATACCACACCAGATCTATACTTCATCATGGCGACCGCAAAGCAGGGAGGCGGTGGACAGGCGTTCAAGGATAAAGAGAAGCCAGTCGCTGTACGAACAGCAAATATCACGGCTGCCAGAGGTTCGAGCCCCACGCTTTTTTAAAAAAATCTCTAAAATCTCTACAAAAAAAAGAGGAAATTTGCTAAAACTGATACGTAATTTTTGTAGCGGTTGCTGATGCTATACGGACTTCTCTCGGACCTCGTGGTATGGATAAGATGGTTAGTTTTAACTGACTCTAAAGATTTGTAAAGGGAATTGGAGATCTAATAGTGGGGTGGTGGTGATCTATGCAGATTCAAACCGGCAAGGGCGAAGTTATAATCACCAATGACGGAAATACCATGTTGAAGGACATGGCCGTTATGCACCCAGCTGCGAAGATGGTACGACACGAGTAGACCCAATCTGAACAGAATGCAGCTAACGTCAAAGAATAGCTGGTCGACCTTTCCGCAGCACAAGATATCGAAGCTGGTGACGGTACCACATCCGTTGTCGTCATATGTGGTAGTCTACTAGGAGCTGCTGAAAGACTACTATCAAAAGGTATATTTTCCATTTTAGAGCTCTGATATCGCAGTTCGGAATGTATCTTATACTGAAAGATTGAAACTGCCAGGCATCCACCCAACTATAATATCCGAATCCTTCCAACGAGCCGCCGCCAAAGCAGTCGAAATCCTTACCGAGATGTCGATACCAGTTGCTCTAACCGATAAACCCTCGTTATTACAAGCCGCTACTACATCTTTGTCCAGCAAGATTGTATCGCAGTATTCGAATATCCTCGGACCTATTGCCGTAGATGCCGTCATGAGAGTTATCAACCCTGCTACTGCAGAGAATGTGGACCTGAACAACATCCGTTTAGTTAAGAAAGTCGGTGGAACAATCGATGATACCGAATTAATCGATGGATTAGTCTTGACCCAGCCGGTCTTGAAGGGATCCGGTGGGCCGTCAAAGATGGAGAAGGCGAGAATCGGGTTGATCCAATTCCAGCTTTCTCCTCCAAAGCCGGATGTAAGATGCTATAGATACGCCTACTTTCCTTCGACACTCATATTAATATTATTTTTTAGATGGAAAACCAAATCGTCGTCAACGACTACAGGCAAATGGACAAGATTCTCAAGGAAGAGCGAACATATCTTCTCAACATTTGCAAGAAGATCAAGAAGGCAAAGTGCAATGTGCTGCTTATCCAGAAGTCCATTCTCAGAGATGCAGTTAATGACCTATCTTTGCACTTCCTTTCCAAACTTAACATTCTAGCTATCAAAGAGATCGAGCGCGATGAAGTCGAGTTCATCTGCAAGGTACGGTTTTCACACACCTGCGTCGAGTTTAAAACTATCTAGGTTCTAACATTGGAAATATAGAGCACTGGTTGCAAACCCATCGCCGACATTGACTCCTTCACCGAAGACAAACTCGGTTACGCCGAACTCGTCGAGGAGACCGAATCCGCCGGTGCCCGCGTCGTCAAAATCACCGGCGTAAAGGGCGCCGGTCAGACCGTCTCGGTTCTTTGCCACGGCGCCAACGCCCTCATCCTCGACGAAGCAGAACGATCCCTCCACGACGCCCTCTGCGTTATCCGATGTCTCGTCAAGAAGAAAGCTTTAATAGCCGGTGGTGGTGCCCCCGAAATCGAAGTATCACGACAACTATCCATTGCCTCCCGTGCACTAAGTGGAACTGAAGCTATCTGCTGGCAAGCGTTCGCAGAGGCTTTGGAGGTCATTCCTACGACCTTGGCGGAGAATGCAGGGTTGAACAGCATTAAGGTTGTTACCGAGTTGAGGAGTAGGCATGCCAGTGGCGATAAGTTTGCAGGTGTGAGTGTTAGGAGGGGTGCGGTTACCAATATTACGGAGGAGAGAGTTCTGCAGCCGTTGTTGGTTAGCACGAGTGCGATTGAATTGAGCGCGGAAACTTGCAAGATGATCTTGAGGATAGGTGAGTTTTTTTTTTAGTTTTTTTTCCCTTCTGGTCACTCTTTTTATCTCTCAAGGGATTTCCACTAACGCTAGGTATTTTAGACGATATTGCACTTTCAAGATAATCTAAAGGTTTTGATGGGCTCACACAAAGTGCCCTGACTAAGATTTCTCCATATGCAGGACACACAGAAAAAAGCATCGGATAAAACCCCCAGAGATCTGGTCAAATCAGCTGTGCTTTTCTTTGTAGAAAAATGTCATATTAGATTTCAAGACTACCAATAGCTAGCATCACCTTGGCGTCATAGGCCTGAATATCAAAAGTTAGGACACAAACCTTTTTTCTTCAGAGCATACCTAAGAACTGCAGTTTTAAACGAAGCTTAGTCGATTATCGAGGATATCCTATACCCTACTAGTAATATTTAGATCCCGTTCCTAGAATCCCGCAAATGACCATTCAAATCGTGCATCGCCAGGACTTTCACCCGCTCGTTTAGAATTCGATTATTTCTAACATGGCATTTGCATTTTTACAATCGGAAACCCAGCGAATGACTAACTACGTCAACATTCAATACAACCAAACCATCTTTCCTATAATTTTAATTTCATAGACATTTGACCCATTCACTTTCGTCGGTCATAATATCTCGTTTTATAACAGGTAACATTAAAAAAAAATTGCAAAAACGTGGTTTCCCCTTCCCCACTGATATTCATTACGAAACCCTGTTCAACTGACATCATCCACCCATCCAACGCAAACAAATGCCACACACACCTGCGCACTTCATAGCGCACAATATCTTTTTTCCCAGATATCTTCGATCTTCAAAGTCTACTGTTATCTAACGTTTTCTGTCTTGCTCGACAGGACCCTGATTAATTAAAATTAAGACAAGACGAAAGATAAAAATAAAAGCAAAAAACAGAAATAAGAAGCCCCGAGCAAAAGCTTGAAGAATAGGCTTCACATGAGCCATGACGTTTTGCCTCTTTAGTTTAGCCGCAAGACTTACAAGCATTTCTTCTTTTTTTTCATTCGAAGGGTTCATTTTTTCGGATTTTTGATATTTAATTTAAATTCAGCATGTAGAGAATGATGGAACTTTTTTTTGTGAACGGATAATTATAATATGTCATTTTGCGATTATCATGACGATATCATATCTATGATCAATCCTGAATGGATCGATATCGATATCGATATATCAAGCTTTTGTTTAAGTGAAATGCTTGTATATAAACCACCCTTTCTTGTCTCCTCTAACCTTTCCCATCTTATCTTAGTCCTTTAATTATAAAAACATCTTATATAAAGATCATATACATCTACCCAAAAGAATATCAATCCGAACTTCAAACCAAAACTATCTCCAAATAAATATCAAATCCAAATCTATATAAAAATAAAAATGGTTACCGCCGATCCAATCGCCACCAGAAGACCCAACTTCATCCAAAGGGTGTTGCAACCGAGAACCATGCGAGGAGCCAGTAAACGTTCCGTCGGCACCGGTCCTGCGCCGGTCAGTTATCACAAACCACGTTCGACGGCTGGAACTCGTTTTCATGGAATGTTCAAGAGGATGAAGGGTGCTGCGACGGGGAATAAAGCTGAGAAGGCGTCGGGTACTCGTAAGTCTTTTTCTTCTCCCTTTTAAAGGGTTTTTTTTTCTATTTGATGGATCGCTAATATGCTTTATGCGGACTAGGTATGATGCATGGGAATGCTATTACGCAGGGTCGAACACGACATAGGATGGCGGGTGTGTAAATTTATTATATATACAAATATACACTGCCAGAGTTATAATCGAATAGATGGATGACATGAAAGATCTCTGGAAGGGATTCTTCAATAAACTCACCATACATTCCTTACTTTTCTAAACATTTCTTTGGTCTTTTTGATACCTTATTGTTTATTTATTTAACTTTCTATCTTCTCTTTATTTTACTTTTTTTATTACCATTTGTGACAGAGTATTGTTTCCTGCGACTAGTATGCTTAGTTTTGATATTATTTCTTACCGCTCTTCACAATCTTCTATATCATATTTTTCTAATCTCAAGAATGATACCTCTTTTCCATTCTACTATCTGCTTCCCATAATGATAATCTAGTAGAGAATACCACTTTATGTCAATCATGAGAGCACCATCGTATGGCAGTTGTAAGCATGAAAGACCCTCTCTCAAAGCCTGGCCCCCTTCTCCCCCTCCCCCTGACCATCCTCAAAAAGCATCTGAAAAGCCCTCTGAATATGCCCCTGCAAATCACTAGCCTGCATCGCCCTACCCCTCTCCTTAAACGCCAAATTCGAGCACGTCCTCGTAACCGCACTCCCCGCAAACGCCACCAGCCTCATCAACTCCTCCTCTCCCAACTTCTTACCATCTCCACTTTCATTTCCAACAATATCATCATCATCCCAAAGACCTTCTTTGTAAGCCTTCTTCCACGCCAAAAAGGTTCCTAAACAACCGGTTAAAGTATCACCTTGTCCGCCACTTCTTTTTAATCCACCGGGTACGTCGCAGGCTATTGTGTCTGTACCATTTGAGATTGTGTCTTGTTTACCCTTTTGGATGATTGTTACGCCGCCTAGTTCTTTTGCTAGGCGGGCGCAGGCTGTTGCTGGGGAGGTTGAGGAGTCGACGTTTAGGGCTTTACATAGACGGGAGAATTCGACGACGTTGGGGGTTAAGATGGCGTTTTTGTAGTTACGGATTAGTGATGGAGTTGAGGAGATTAGTAAGAGGCCGTCCTATGTATTAAAAATATATATATATAAAAAGGCTCAAACCTTTAGTATGTCATTTACCTATAAGACGATGAAATCCAATATAAAAGAAGAAGGAGAAGAAAAGAAGAAGAAACTCACAGCATCAATAACAATTCCCATCCCCCTCTCCCTCGCCTCTTTAACCACAATCCTAGCCGTCTTCAACATCAACTCATCCCTCCCCAGCCCGGGTCCCACAACAATAACATGTAACCGATCCAACATGCCAATAATCCTCTTCGACAGTGACTCTGCATTTTCCTTCGAATCCGGTGGTAAATGGTTCGATTGCAACATATACGGATGGACCATTAGATTTGGACTATAAGTTTTTATGACACCTGCGGCATTGGGTTCGCAGATTATGTGGGAGAGGTCGGCACCTGGGGGTTAAAAAGTTAGTAACTCTATAGACATAAGTTTCTTTTTCCAATTGGAGTAGGGATGGAATACCAAGTAACGCCGAAGCATTAGCACTAAAAAACGGAGCACCGGTGTAACTAAACATCCACATTCCAATTAGTTCACAAATCAGTAAATATTCTTAAATTGCGTTGAACTCCTCGGAATCCAACAATTTCGATGATATCAGCGTACGTACTCTTCACACCCGCCAATGACGGCTACACGACCCATCTGTCTAGATATCAAGTAACATCAATAATTAGCCAAATATTAACTTCCATTTAATTTTAAAAACTAGCATATAAAAGAATGTATTGTATATAATATATAGATACCCTTTATGAAACTTCTCCAACAACGGCGGTATTATCTTCCGTGCCTGGAAGAGTATCTCTTTCGTCTTCGGCGTGAGGGATAAAGCCATTGTAGATGCCGACAAAATAGCTAGTCTATCTCGAGTGATAGATCGGGTTCTCTGTAAAATAGAGAAGGGAGCTTCGATTTAATAGTTGAAGCTATCAATTGCAATTGGATCAGTTGGTAGCTATGATACTGATGTTGAACTAAAAATGCAAGCTATGTGTACAGAGTGCGGTGTGCGCGGGCAGACGGAAGTAGAAGATCAGATCATATCATAAACCTATAAATTGGGTTGACATGACATTGACGTAAGTAAATTAACAACCAATACGTGTAGTATAGTTCCGACATGCGACGGCATGCATAGATCTCATATCAACTATTTTATCAATACATCTTCTACAGGTCTCGAATTTCTAAAAAAAAAAAAAGATATACTTTTGGCCGTTTTCTATACCGTCTACGAAGTTTCTACCCTAGTAATAAGGAAACCCCGAAATATAGGAGGGGAAAGAATGTAAAAAAAAATGAAAAGCGTTAAAAAAATTGAGTAATTACATCGCAAAAGCCAGAAACGACCTTTACTTTTTTTTTCAAAACAAAGGAACGACTATGTAACACTTCACGGCCTTCGTCTCTCTCTCTCATGAAATTTCTTTTTCTCTCGGACAAAATATATACTGGGGGTTAAAAAAGAATTTTTGTTCTTTTCATTTGGGAGGAACAAGAGAATTTTTGGAGGGGTAAACAAAAAGAAATCGCCAAGGTCGGGAATAGTAGGTCTATAAGTTCGGATGTCCTTCCCATCATCTACCACATTGTATTTAGAAGATCATTTCACTCCTAGCTACAATATACCTTGTTAAATTTCTTTGTTTACAGGAAGCTCTTGACGAAGGACTGTTTTTGGTAATTAGTAAATGATCGTAGAAATGGGTTTAATCTAAGGGGAATTAACTTACCGAAACGACGGCGGTCAACTTGTCCTCCAACTCCTTGCTCAAAACACCCTTGGTCCTGAGCTCCTCTAATAATCCGGCCTCGGAGCTCTTGAGGTGTGCCAAGAAGTCGCGCTCGAAAGCCTGGATCTTGTTGACTGGGACCTTGTCAAGATGTCCTCGGACACCAGCGAAGATGAGAGGGATCTGTTCCTCAACACCCATGGGGGTATACTGAGGTTGCTTGAGGAGCTCAGTGAGACGTTCACCACGGGCCAAGGTGGACTTGGTGGAGGCATCGAGATCGGAACCGAACTGGGCGAAAGCAGCGACTTCACGGTACTGGGCCAAGAAGAGCTTGAGGGAACCGGCAACCTGCTTCATGGCCTTGACCTGGGCGGAAGATCCGACACGAGAGACGGAAAGACCGACGTTAATGGCGGGACGGATACCCTTGAAGAACAATTCAGATTCCAAGAAGATCTGGCCGTCGGTGATGGAAATGACGTTAGTGGGAATATAGGCAGACACGTCACCACCCTGGGTCTCAATGACTGGCAAGGCGGTCAAAGAACCACCACCGATGCTCTTGTTCAACTTAGCGGCACGTTCCAAAAGACGGGAGTGAAGGTAGAAGACACTAGATAGAGTGGGTCAGTAACGTGATTTTTTGAGGATCAGATAAGATGAGATAAGGATTCAACATACTCTCCGGGGTAGGCCTCACGACCTGGTGGACGACGGAGCAAGAGGGACATTTGACGGTAGGCGACGGCCTGCTTGGACAAGTCGTCGTAGATGACAAGGGCGTGCTTTCCGTTGTCACGGAACCATTCACCCATGGCACATCCGGTGAAGGGAGCGATGTACTGAAGTGGGGCGGCCTCAGAGGCGGTGGCGGCAACGACGATGGAGTACTTGAGGGAGTCGTTTTCCTCAAGGGTCTTGACGAGCTGGGCAACGGTGGAACGCTTCTGACCGACGGCAACGTAGATGCAGTAAAGCTTCTTGGTCTCGTCACTTCCGCTGTTCCATCGCTTCTGGTTAAGGATGGTGTCGAGGGCGACGGCAGTCTTTCCGGTTTGACGATCACCAATGATCAATTCACGCTGTCCACGACCGATGGGAACCATGGCATCGACGGACTTGAGACCAGTCTGCATGGGCTCACGGACGGACTGACGAGGCAAGATACCTAAAAATATGACATAAGCAATCGACGTTCGGGCCAACGGATATAAAAGATATCATACCAGGAGCCTTGAGCTGAGCACGACGTCTCTCCTTGGTGTTGGATGGGCCCTTTCCGTCAATTGGGTTACCGAGACCGTCAACGACACGGCCGAGAAGTTCTGGACCGACTGGGACGTCGACCTATGCCATGATATCAGCTACTTGTGTTCGAGCATCATATGAATCGGAGAATATATATCTTACGATCTGGCCCGTTCTCTTGACGGTTTCTCCTTCCTTGACGAGACGATCGGAACCGAAGAGCACAACACCGACTTGGCCGGCTTCCAAGTTCAAGCACATGCCCTTGACACCAGAGGCGAACCTACACGAAAATACCTCGTTAGAGAAGCACTCGGAAAATTTGATCTGGAGGTCGGGATAAACCCGATTGGGAAGCCTTACTCAACCAATTCTTCGGCCTGGACATTGGCAAGACCGTGTACACGAGCAATACCGTCACTGTATCATCCGTAAAACGTTGTTGTTAGAATATATTATGTATATTTTTTTGATATATCGGCTCGGCATAAGCCTCGGTAATTCGAAAGATAGATATAATTTTTTTTCTACACACCCGACGGAAAGGACACGACCGGTCTCAGCCAACGAGGCAGTCTCAGAGACACCTCTTATTCTCTGCTCCAAGATGGAGGAGACTTCTGTGGGGCTGGCCTTGTCGGCGAGGGTTCGGACTTGGTTGGCGACGAGTGGGACGGCATTTCGTGTCTATTTCCCGATAACGGAGCAACGGCAACGAGGTAAAATCAGCAATTGAGTCTTTTGAACGGCAACAAAGGACACGAAGAGGATGTCCTCGAATAATCTCATGATAATTGTAGCAGAATTATCTTCCCAATTGTCGCGATGGGAGATGACGTTGTTTGTCGGGAGAATGCTACCGACATGAGATATTTCCGGCGGAGAGGAAGAAACGTACCGCAGCAACTCTTCCGGTGGCGAGGGCACCGGCCACAGCGCGGGAAGATTGTCTCAAAACCGGCCTGAACATGGCGATGATGTCGAGGAGGATGGATTAGAGGTACAATTGATGGGATGGATAGATGGTGGGAAGGAGTGGAGTGGTTGGATGGTGGAGGGGGGGTTTTGCGGGTTGTCTGGGTTTACAAGGAAAAAATTGAGTGGGAGAAAACGGGAAAGGACAGCCAGAACACCAAGCAGGGAAAATTCGGACACCCGAAAAATCTGATGCCGACGACATCACAACACCTCCACTCTGCCAGCCCGAGTACATTGCCAATATGAGTATATTGGGGGCTGGGGGTTTATATTATATAGAGATAACAGAAACACTGAGATATAGATATGGATCTATGGCATTCTAATTCCGGGACTATTTTACAAGTCATCCGTCTTTCGGGTATCTGATACTAAGTATGGAGGAACAGAAAAAAAAATAAAAAAATAGACACAGACGGACCCCGGCTTGAGCTCTCTGTCTCTTTTTGGCCTGGGGCAATAGTAATATTATATATCTCGTCTTTTATCGAGAAAGAGTAGGAAGAAGTTGTAGTAATGCATGAGGAACATGTTGCAGCAAATCGCTAAGAGACAATTTTGGCCAGTCGTGACAGCTTAAAAAAAGAAAAGATATCGTATGAACAGGCCAAGACGACGCTTTTTATGTAGCCTTACCTTTTGATTGTTCAATAGTAGATTTTTTTTTAGAAGGGTTTATTGGTGAGGGGAAGGGTTGCGATACTAGACGCATTTATGCATGTATGCATATGAATGAACCCTTGGAGATATGCAATGAGATGAGGAGAGTAAGAAGTTGAAGCTGAGGGTATTAGGGGAAGAATAACGAAAGAACGAAAACCATTCGATCCCTCCATTTACAGACATCTATATTATAGTAGATTAGCATGTATCTCATAGCAGTTACCATACGAGTGACAAACCCCAAGTAATCCTATATCCGAATGTCAGTAAGATGGCAAGATCTAGTAGTATCACCGAAAGGGAATGAAGGGGACGACTAACCTCTTTGATGCTACCAATCGCAGACATCTTTCCGACGTCACTTCGAGTTCCAACCAGCTTTAATCGAACGTGCGCACCTTTCTCGATAACTTGCCCCTCGTTATCAGAGAACTGAGGAGGATTCGCCGTTGGATCGAATTTTACGTCTGCCGGTATAAGCTATAACAAGCAAGACAAAACCCAGGTTTAATGGATGATTCTTTCTTTGTTTACTCCCCTGTCTTCTTCCCGAAAGTTTCAGGTACTTACGTGGGTAGAGACGAAGACGGGCAGCGGGCCAACATTTGCGAAGAAACCAAGCTTGCTGACAGCGGTAACGACACCGTCGACCTGTAATATTCTCCCAATCAACCCTCACAGAGGAGATGGGTGATCGTATCAGCCATCACAGGACCGTTAAACCGTCGACGATCGTCACAGCATACCGTTTCACCCTTGAAAGGCCTCCAGACCACTGCTCTGTAGGAGATTGTGAACTCGGCGAGACCACTACCCGGCAGAATCTTTCCCATTGAGATGTTGTACGCGTCCAGGACGCAAATGATGTAGTAACGACCGGTACAAGTACCCTCGACGTCGGTTAGAAGCTTATTGATTAGGTATTCGCGCATGTGAGGACCGAAGTAGTACGGGTGGAGGGTGATTGTTCGTTCGAGATCGTAGAGGAAGAACATGTTGGGCGCAATGTGTCTATGGAAGATAAGTTGCGTCCGGCGCGAAGTTTCTTGCTTGGGGATTTCTTTTTTTTCCCTTCTTTCTTTCGTTATACTAGCTAGCAGAATTCGATATAGAAGAGAAGCTTTTTCGTTATGACAAGGGCAGGACAGGACAAGGTGAGGCAGGGCAAGAAAAGACGAGACAAGACAAAGGCGGACAGAGCAGGAAAGAACACCTTGGATGAAATGAACGGCAGGGTGATCGTATAATCGTGAAGCTTATATGCGCAGCGCGTGTCCAGAGACAATTCCCTGATCCTTGATCCGATGACGATAGTCCAGTAGGAGAGTTCCGGAGGGAGGGATGGAAGTCGGACAGGATCTCGACAATAGAGGATGAGGCTCCGGGCAGAACTGATGGAAACGATCAACGAATGACAGGGAGGAAACGTCGGATAGAACGACGGCTACGCGCTTGAAAAGGAGTGATTGGAATACCGCATGCAACGGCGACCGACGACTAAGCGGGCGGACGAGATGCGACAGCCGGGATGAGAAGTTGGCGATGGTGGTTGCAAACGGGGTGTCGAGATGAGGATGGAAAACGAAGACGAGTGACGGGGGTTCGTCTGTAAGGCTGGGTTTGGTTGGCTGGTTTGGCTTGTGACTTGGTGCTGTTGCTGGTGGTTCGAGCGAATTTTTCTTGAAATTTTTTTGGCGACGCGCTTAATTGGGCTGGACGGGGACTGGGTGGTGGATGCAGGTGCCCGGGCAGGCTGGACTGGGCTGGACCGAGAACTGCGCTGCCCCACGCACAACCCAGAACGGCAGTCTACAGCTGGGTAGCTAAGCTACGGAGATCTCTTTCATGTGCTCATAGTTACTTACTTAGTACCTAGGTAGGTAAGTAGACAATAACTAGACTACAGGTATTTACCTAAGTATCTAGGTAGACTAGATGCTGTCTGGTGTTATAGTCTGCTACATTCAAGCATACACCAAGCATCGTATCGAGAGAAGTCTCGTGAACATTATAATATTATGGTATTCACCACTTCAGGTATGACCTATACTATCGATATCTATTATATATACCTAGGTATTTAAATTCGAGAATCATTCGTATCGTCGTTCCCCGTCGCCAATTCGGACAAAGCCTGTAATATAATACCCCGCAGAATATATATAATCCTGTCATGTCTTGTCAATACCAAGTCATACGGCCGCTTTTACCCCCTCCCTCCCTCATTCTCTTCCCCAGTCGGCTCGTTTCCGCTAGCTAGTTTGCCAGGCGCTTGCTTGGTTGATTAGATGTCAAACTGCCCTAAACGGTCTCTTATATCGGATTATAATTCCCATGTGATACTGCCCGTCAGAGCCGATGCTGTCTGCATGTCAGTAAGTAAATATGTATGTACGTAAGTTTCTCCATATATGTAAGAAGCATGTATGTAGGTATGTAAGTCAGTATGTATGTATGTATGTATCGGATTGTCGTCATGCGACATGAGAAGGGCCATCCATCTTCATATGTCAGATATCTCATTCGCTTCGCTTTGAATTGCTATGCACGACTGTGGCTTCATCGAATCAATGATACGGTCCAGCCCAGCCACCCCAGACTGTTCATGTAATAACCACCAGTACTATACATCAGTACATGGGAGTCAATACATGTACTATCCCCGGAACAGTGGGCTGACATGCTGTTGAGAGTTGCTGTGAGTGACAGGAAATCAAATCATGAGAAAATGAGAGAGTGAAAGAGAGAGGGAGAGAGCTGTCGTTAAATTGGCCCCAACTGGTAGTTGGTTACTTACACCGTAGCTGCAACTTCGATTCTCTGCCACAACCACATCCATAATTACCTGCAGCCCTGACCACCCCCCCATCAGAAAAATTCCTGCATGCCGCCGCCCTTGACCGGTCCAGTCTTGTTCAGTCTATTCTCTCTCCTCATGATCTTCGGCTTCGTTCTGTAGTCTCGTATCTTTCGTTCCAAAGCCCTCAATTTTCTCCTGTCCCTATTTCCGACTTCCCGTAGCTCCGGTCCTTTAAGCGGTTTCGCACAACTTTATTCCTCCAAGATGCCCAGTCTCGACCTCGAGAAACAGCTCACCTTCGTACGTCAAAATTTCCTTACACCAGAAAACATATAAGATTAAGAAAAAGGAGGAAGGGAGGAAGAAAGAAAAAGAATACCTCCAGATTATGCGATTTCTCAAAAACTGGCCTCGCGAGCTAACATTCTGTCTTTATCGCTGTCGCAGTATGGTGCCTACCACCATGATAAGGTACTTACTATCGATAAATCGCATTCTCTCTCCGACTTCGCAGAATGATAACAAATTTCATTATCAAAATAGGTCAACAAGGGAATTCATATGGTATTCGTACCAATATTACTTATGACCGGCTTCCTGTTCGTATGTTTCCCCCCTCGAAGCAACATAATCCCGTTAAAATTCTATATGCTGACCCGAGGTTAAACAGGGCACGAACACGGGATCGCTAGCAGACATCCCCTACCTTCCGCTCAACCTGGGCACGATTGCCTGCTTCCTCTATACCATCTTATACATCCTCATGGAGCCAGTAGCCGGCGCACTGATTGCTCCGCTCTTGTTCGGCGGAATGGCCTACATGAATCATCTTCATGAGGTCTACGGGATGGATGCGAATAAGGTTGCTATCCTCGTCCATATTTCGTCCTGGATCTTTCAATTCATCGGGCATGGGGCTTTTGAACATCGTAGTCCTGGTGGGTATTCCTTGGGTTTGAATTTCGAGGCTGGTCTAAAAGGTCCAGATCTTGGATGTATGAGCTATGATAACTGACATTGGTGATAGCACTCTTGGATAACATCTTCCAAGCTTTCTTCCTTGCTCCGTTTTTCGTATGGTTTGAGGTGAGTGTTGAGACCAGGAGCCTAGGAAGCTCTCTTTGAGAGTAAAACAACGGATATCTAACTGGGCTATTTGCAGCTCCTCTTCTCACTAGGCTACCGTCCCGAGCTCAGGAGCAGAATTGAGACCGCTGTCGTCAAGGAAATCGCCAAGTTCAGAGCCTCCAAGGAGAAGAAGGCTGCCAACGGTAGCGCTACTAACGGCAAGGCGGAATAAGCCTTATATCCCCACATTCGCTTCAACTATATCTCTAGCCGTACTTTCATGTAGGCTATTGAGAATCAGAGAACAAAGGATTCAAATCCTAATTCGGACACTGGCCTCCTTCATAACTTGGCCACGAAAACACTCGTAAACTCAGAATTTCATCATATATAATCTGCAAATACCGGACCTTTACCACACTTTCAATGTTGGATTACCCTTATAGTTCGGAATCCATAAGCGCTTCAAGATAGCTAATTTGTCTTTCCCCTTTTTTTTCCTGTTTCCCTTGTACAGCTAAGCTCAAGAACAGTACTTCTTTGTTCTTTAACTCTGCTCTTTACTACCTCGTGTTTTTCATATACCCAAAAAGCGGCATTCTTTGTATAGTCTAGTCTAGTCTTCCTGCTATTAATTATCGCTTTTCCTTTCCTACTATACTTGTTCCCTAGCAGGACAGTCGTCGACTAGCCCTTTTAATCAAATATGTTTTTTTACAGCGAAACTTGCGCATAGGTGTTTATAGCCTACTTATGAGCTGAAGCGGCTTGATTTGATTTCTCAGTAGTAATATACTTATATATAACTCTCCACGACCGGCATATCCGCGCTATCATGTCGGATGCCAGACCTGTAGAACCTGTGACGTTCAACCAGGGCAGTTTCAATGCATCTCTGCGTCCACCACCTCACCCCACCCCAGCTCCAGGCCTCCTATAATCTATATCCAGAGCTCCAATTGATAACAACCGATAACCTTAACCCTGTATCCCAGGGCCATTAATTAATTACCCTTGTTCGGATCCGGCTTATGAAGCTGGTCAGGCCCGAATGACATCGGCAATAGCTATATGATCCCAAATCGTCAGCGATAAGCTTATAAGCTCAGCAAGATAGATATATCAGTGACGGGGGAGAACAAACCTGCTCCAACGTCATAACTATATATTCTCCCTTCGAATCCCACATGAAAATAGGAGTCTTCAAATCGCAGAATTCTCGAATACTATTATAAAAACACCATAGTCCCAATTAGCAAAAGCTATCCTTACTAGAAAATTCCAGAAAAAGGTAGATGAAAAGAAAAGAAAAGAAAAGAAAAGAGAAAGTAACTTACAACTGCCTACACATTCCACAAGGTGAAGCCGGTGGGCTTATATCTGTACTAACACCGACAGCTTTAAACCCACCGCTCTCCCTCTTCCCGTCTACAACCGCCTTACCAAAAGCAGTTCGTTCGGCGCAGATAGTTACTGGATAACTAGCATTTTCGATATTGGCGCCAAGGACGTAACTCCCATCGGCACAGAGAATCGCACAACCGACGCGAAAGTTGGAGTATGGACAGTAAGCGAGGGATTTGGCAGAAACGGCGTGTTCACCGAGAGTTTTCACTTCGGTGGAGGTAAGTCCGTGGATGGTGGTATTTTCCGACATCTTTCCTTTTTTTGAAAAAAAAAAAAAAAATGGATAAGAAATAGAAAAATACGATTCTGAGGGAAGATAAAGGGATTGGATTGCAAGTCTTTGTCTATCTTTTCACTTCCTCTATAATTGTCTTCTTCTAGGTAATTTTTATGGGGGGTGGGAGATAGAAACGACTGCAACCGGGGAAGGAAAAAAGGAGAAGAAAAGAGAGAAAGAAAGAGAGGCATGGCTGAAGTTAATATACTTCTTCCTCCTCCTCCTCATCTGCCTCCTCTGGCCGCCCCCTTCCCTTCCCTTTCCGCCATGCGACGAATACGTCAGATGTTACACATGGGAACAATGAATGGTTCGCGTGGCTGCATTCCATTGCTTTACAGCTGCTGGATTGAGCGGACCAGCCAAAAGTTAGTTGGATGTCTTGATCTGTCGTTGGCGGTTTCGGCCGGATATCGATAACTAAACGGCGGGCGAATCCGATCCTTCTGCTGCCCGCTTAGATACGAAATACCGTAAAGTAAGTACCAAGCCTAATAATGCACCCCAGATTCTTATATCTATAATACATATACTAGCTAATAGTATATTATGCCTGACTAATCAATGGATAGATCTGGACATGTCTGTCTGAGATATTATATACCACACAGCCATGTGTTGGGGAATGTGTTGCCACGAGGTCGGAACGAGTCCACCACGCTGCCACTGCCACTGTCCACCGTCCACAAGGCTGCCTCAGTTCGAATTCCCACTCAACTCCAACTCCTCAAATGAGGACCCGGTCACTGTGAAGTCCTCATCTGAGGCGCTGCAAACAACCCTCAAGAAATAATGCCTGAATATGCTATCCGTGTCCTTAGAAAGGCCGGATCCTGCTGCTACTGCTGAACACTCTAAAAAACTTGGATTTCTTTCTCCCTGCTCTTCCTGGGTTTCCTTTTCCTAGCTCCTATCTATCACCCTTCACTTTCAGCATCAGCATCAGCATCAGCATCGGCGTTTTTGTCACAACCATCTACTGTTTTTGCATCGCCAGTGTGAAATTCTGCATTTGCTTTTTCATTTGCATCTGTACATTACAGTCTACTCAGCATGAACGGTGACGAGATTGCCGTCGACTCTCCGACTCCGAGGCCTACCAATGCCTCACTTTCAAGTCAAAAAAATGGGATTTTCGTCAAGAATCAATGGATGTGTAAGTCATGTCATCCCACCTCTATTCCCTGTCTACGGCCTTCGTGATGCATCCTGTGTCATTTTATGCACAGCTGTCTATGTAGACGTCCTCCATTCTATAACAATGACAGTACTTGGTGTACATACAATGCGCGCGGCTAACAAGAAGACATGGCAGGTAATTGTACACCCAGGTATGAAACGGGAACTGTCGCATCTTGCGGAATTACTCGAAAATACTAAGCCTTTTTTTCTTTCCCTTGCGGAATTGTTGCAGACTCCCCGGTGTCCTTAACAAAGTGAGGAAAATGGGCAAGAACGAGGGCCGTCAATGTGAGTGTTTCCCTCAATTCCTCCACCCTCTTCAGTTGACTCGAACTTGCGTCGCCGCCTGCGCGAGTGTTCGAGCAATCAACAGGGTGCCTGAGTGATTCCTTATCTCTTGCCCCTCCGTAATATAGTATTCATACGTGTTACCGTAATAAATCCGTATTAATACCAAGAGGAAAAAAAAGTTGAATTTGTGCTAATATTGGAATACTTTTTGTGGCCCCGTGCGCAGTTTGGACCTGTAGTAAAAAGTGTAGGTTTTGCTCATACCGCACGCACCCCTCTTTCATCCCGGCCTGAGGCAGTTATGAAATTCAGGCGGCCTTCTGCCGTGCGGGCCGTCTTGTGCGGCGACCTATTTTCCAACCCAAAAACGCCTCTTTTCCCATTGCCTGGGGGTTTCTGGGTGACCCTATGAACGAGGCTAACATCTTTGACCTCTTTCCAACACTTCCTTCTCCCCACTTGAGGGGTTGGAAGTGTAGAGGAAAATAGGTCTATAAAATCTTACAGCTGGCCCTCGACCTGGATGTGGTTTCTGGCTGTGGATCGAAGAAGCCAGAGATCGCGAACGCAAAGCACTAATGGTTAACGGACAAATGCCTCCCAACAAAGGATCGCCGTCTCGTCCTTTGCGACAGACGAAAATCTCGGACAGCTTCCGCCCGGGTAAATCTGGTGAAGGGTCTTTTACTAAGTCGTCATTGCAGACTTCGACAGCAAAGGGGAAGGCCCCGGTTAGATTCAAAGAAATGTATTTGGAAGAGGACCAGGATGCTATATCTATACCATCCGATATTGAGAACGATCCAGAAGAGGGTGTTCCCTATCATCTCGATACCGATAGGGACGGTGATACACAATTCGAAGATGCATTGGGAGAACCTGTCCTAGATGATGACGACGACGACCTCAGCGCTCCTGCCAATGGGGTTCCTAGCTCAACTGTCAACCCCCAACATCTCCCTGACGACGCCCCATCAGACGAGTCCTCTGAAGGCCCCCGCAAAATTGCTAGGACAAAAAATAATACTTCGCCTAGCAAGCATTTGCTCGATTCGCCTGCTGCCATGAGCGTCTCGCACATCCCTCCATCTACAGAATCAACCGTAGCGGACAATATCGCTTACCAGAACCCAGATATGAGATCGATGTCATCGGCTGCTAAGGAGAGATATGCTCGACAATGGGATTTTGATAGTGTTGACCCAGTTTCCTTCCCAGACTTAGGACCTTACCTCGAGAGACCCGTGCCGTCGCCTCCAGTTCTTAGGCCACATGGCGCCGGTTCATCGGCTTCGAGTTCCAAGGTCCCATCTTTGGATCCTGCTAACCCGTTGGGACCACGTTCTGGCGGATCGACGAATGGTATACATACCAACGGATTACAAAATGGTTCGCATGCAGGGAGGGTCATGTCAGATGCGTCTTATACCACGGCATTACAAAGTCGCACCCTTCCATTAGAAGGGAAAGCCGTTCCGAATGGACTTTTGGCTCCTTCGACGCCGCAAAGATATACGGGGATACCGGGATCGCCAGGCAGTAGTATGGCTGATCAGCCGGTTGATGTGACGGACGAAATATTTGCGGTACTGAAGCATGCCGATGCGCCATTGGATCCTAATCTCTTCCAGGATATTAGAGAGATATTGAAGAAGTCGTTTGGGAAGCAAAGAGGGTATTATATGAGGTAAATGACCCTAAACTATGCCTCGTGCTTTGAATATACTCTCCTTTGGGGATATTTTTATTGACAAGGTACTTTTAAAGCCGTGAGATGGCTCGTAGGGAACGGGATAGACTACGTTTTCAACTCGAGCAACATCAATATCAGCATAGTCACAATGAGAACCGAGGATCATTAATGCTGCCCCCAATAACTCCAAACCAATCCTTTATCCCGGCAACTCAATCCTTCCCCTCACCGTCGCAGTCCTTCGGTCCACCGCCAACGGATTCCTTCGTCGGTCCACCGCCATCGGAGTCTTTTGTACCATCTACCCCGACTCCAATCAGAAACGGATCACAACTATCTAATACTAAAGAAGTGGCGATGTTTCGAGCTCAGAATGAAGGGTTGAGGAATCTTGTCGACAATCTCAGGAAAGAATTGAAAAATGCAAAGGAGATGGCGGATTTGCATGAAAAGGGGTTGTCGGAGTACGGTAATAAGAATAATCAGCTGCATAATCAAGTTACGAAACTTACTAGGGAGATTATGGAGTTGAAGGAGCAGATTAGGAAGTTTTCTAGTGCAGACGGAGAGGGTTCTGGGAAGGCGAAGTGAATTTGTAAGAGAGATGAGATAGGGAAGAGGTTAGGTCAGGTTTGGAGGGTGGTATTCTTCTTCTTCTTCCTTTTGTGCGGTTGCCTTGCTTTTAGGAGTCAAAGGTGGGATATTGATCATTATTCTTTGTCTTCTTTTTTATTTTTATGAGGTTATACATGCATGGCGGTTTGTAACAATATTAGCCTGTATGTTTATAGGTATTTAGATGTACTGGCTACACCTTTGTGTCTCTGGTATTAGACTATTTGTACCTGTTCCTGTTTATCATATTATTTCCATTGGTTGGGCCTTTTATCTGTACTATTATTGATAAACCGTCATACATCATTGAAATTCAACTAGTCTGAGATCTATTTTAGACCACCAAATCCTATACATGTAATGTAAGTATACAGAACTAAGGTAATCCCAAATCTTCGGCTTTCCCTCAGCCCATCAGTCCCATATTCTGAAAAACATCTCCATATAATATCGTTCAATCCCACCACTCATCGCAAGCTAAAAATCTAGGAACTTAACTCCTTATTCCCATACTCAACAATCCTTTGAACACATCTTTCATCCAACAGTTTATTACTCTCCAAGATAGCTTTCACCAAACCCGGGGGAAGTAGATCATTACCCACCTTCGATGTCAAACCAAAATATCTTAAAGAATTACAAGCAAAAGAAGTAACATCCAACTCGTCATCATCACCATCAAAATAAAATACACCTCCCGAAACCCCAAGCTCTAGATACTCCAGCTTCCCTCCAAACCCACATTTTGAAAATTGACGATACCATTCGATACTCCCCTCCCACTCCTCAAACCTCAACGCCCTCACACCAGCCGGCGGTATCAAAAAGAATTTAGTATGAAACAATCTCGATATTAACGTTAACTTCTTTAATCCGGGAAGATGGTTCGTAAACGTATATTGTAAGGAAGACAGTTGTTCTTCTATATCCTCGATATCTACGTATCGTTCGTTGAATATGTAGTGGTTTACGGAACAGTTTAGAACGAGGGTTTGGAGGTTTATGGTCATGACGGAGAGGAAGTTTGATAGTTGTTTGATTTGTTGGGTTAGGATGTTGAGTTCGGTGCGGGAGAGGGGGATGCAGAGGTTTAGGGTTGTGAAGAGGTGTGGGGAGGGGAAGGATCGGAAGGGGAAGAACAGGTGGAGGTGGAATCTTAGGCCGAAGGAGAGGTTGGAAATGGTGGTGGTGGTGGAGTAGGATTTTAGGGAGGAGAGGAGGGAGGTTTGTGGGGCTGGGTCGGGGGGAGGTAGGACCGGCTTTGGGGGGGCGCCTTCTTTGTGGCCTTTTTTATATTATTATTATAGTTAGTATCTCTTACTATCTCTAAGTATCTAATAGACTAGATCGAGAGAAAGGAAGTTAGACGGGGAAAAGAGGTGAAAGTACATACTTCTAGTATCCACATAAATATACTGTGGCCTTAACTTCCCAGTTTCAATCAATCCGACCAACATCTCCACCAAATCGAGTTCATCAGTAACAGTAACCCCGTGTAGAATCAAATTCTTTGTATACCTCCATCCGAACCTACCATCATAATCACCATTTCCCAAATCTTCATCCTTCATAGCTTTAATAAGCTTTTGCCATTCATATCGTCTCAAATAGTGACTTTCCGTTTCTTTTTTCCATTTTTTAGGGCTGGTGAATGTATATTTAAGACCTTTAATTTCATCTTCTTCCTCCTCTTCCTCATCTTCTTCATCTTCTTCAAATTCAGATGAATAATTATCATATCTAACTTTATACCCACCACAATCAGGACATCCCCGACACTTACCACACCCCATCTGCGTAAACCCCACAGTCGACCATAAACTCTCCTTAAACAACGGATATAGGTATTTAGAAGTCGTAAGAAGACGACAGCAGTCTCTAAACCTTAAATAAGAGAATATTGAAAGAAGTAGTTCCGGAGATAGTGTTTGGAGGGACGCAGAGGATGGTGCTGGATATGGATCTATACTAGTAGTGGCCTCCATCGATTACTTAGGTTGTTTTTGTGTTGACTGTGTGGTATATTTGTAGCGGCGCTTTGGATGGGCTGTTATAAGCTGTGATCCTGTGGGGGGTTTTGTGTATGGGATCTGAATTGGAGCCTTAATTCAAGCTAGTTTTTGAGAGATGATGGACTAGAAAATGGATATAGGGGTGTGAATGAATGGATATGATGAGTTTTGGGATTTCTGATATAAGTATCTATATATATCAAGATTGTCTTTTGATGATATATCAATTGATATGAGGGGTGTAATTATAAGGTGTGTGAGGAAATTGGTTTGTATTCATCGGATGTAATGTATATATATATTCGATACACCTAAAATGATCGAATCGTAGGGCGCCCAGTTGGGCGTGCATGCATGATTTAATCTGGATCCTTGGATCCACCCTAGCTTGCCATGTTGAATCACAACCTTATTGTCTTTAGACGAAAGCGAAAGATATACAATCTTGAAAGAATCATTAAACTCCATAAAGAAGTAATCAAAAGTTGATCAATCAGCGCCAAAAAAAAAAAAAGGTGCGTGAGCTTAAGTGTATATAATCTAATCTTTTATCTATGAAATGTCGAATCTCGATTCAAATCAAATGCGCCGCTGCCAATGGATGGGGTTCTCTCCTTCTATTTTTTTGTCCCCATTTATAACATAAAATAAAAAAAAGAAACCCAGAAGATTTGATCATAAAAACACAAGTAAAAAAAACACCGGGTATCTCCATCCTTCCACATCCAAAAAAAACAAAAACAATGATCAACCAATCCTCAAAACCTCGCCTTCAAAGTCTCATACACCAAAAAGATAACCGCACTAGCCGGCGCAGATCTTAACACCGTAATCCCACACCCTCTGTACAACCCTCTAAACCCTCCAGATCTATAAATATCCTTCCCCGTATCCCAAAATCCCATCTGTCGACTCCCAACCCCACCTACCGCCGCAGTTTGCATTCGACTTTTAATTGTATCCGCCGGGAATAACACCCCATTATAACATACACCCGCACAAGCACCAGCGATCATCATCTCGCCCGCTGAAGTTTCCTCCTTTGCAACTCCAGTTCTTGAAAGATGAAGGTTTCGAAAAGCGAGAGAAACGTATTCGTACGTGCCGAACCATACTGCTGAACCACCTGTTTCTCTTAGGAATGTTCCTGATTGACCGTGCCACATGCCGAGGATGCCGTGGGCTTTTATGACTTCGCTTACTAGAGTGATCGGACCTGCATAACGGGGTTTTGCGAGGGTGGCTGTTGAAGCCATGGTTGCGGTGGTCGTGTAAGAACGGTTTTGGGTGGGAGTGGTGGTAGAAGTTGTGGATTTTGGTGATACATTATTGTTGTTATTATTAATATTATTATTATTGATGTTGTTGGAGGATTCCAGAGGCGGGGTGACGGCTTGGACTTGCATTTTGCATTTGATGAGCTCTATGGGGGTTAATATTAAACTACAGAATGCGCCGGCTATGGCGCCGCAGGTGACCAATGCCGGCATTGGCAGTTTTTGTTCTGGATCGTAAGAAGAGTAGAAGGATTGGCGGATAACGTTCTGAGAGGCCGTGTACTAGAACATATACTGTCAATTTAAATAGCCCTCAAAGATATATATAAATATAAGAAGGGTGGAACATACGCCGAAGAATAGTCCTGCGTTCTCTGCTGCTGCCCCAACCAGCGGCGGCGCAATACCACGGTATAACCCTGTTATTCCATCATTTCTTAAACCTTGGGTGAAGCAATCGAGGGGTCCTTTGAAGTGGTTTTGGGTCTGTAGTCGGACTTTAACGGTGTCGAAAGGGTATTCGATAAATTTGCCTACCATACCGGCGATCTATGAAGGTAGATTTTGTTAGTCATTTCTTCAAAAATAAAAAATATAAAAAAAAAGGTTGGGAAGTTAGTTGAACGGTAACATACAGAGCCGTAGGTGATATCCTTTATCGCTGTAACCGCATGACCATCCTTAGCGGCAATAGAAGTTGTTTCGAGGATTTCGCCCATTGTTCAGAATTATAAAAAAATAATAATAATAAAAGTTGTAAAAAGTATTGACCGAAACCGTCGGTGAAAGGGTTGGTTCAAAAAGATTAGATGTCGATTGCAACGGGTAGATTAGATCCGCCGATAAATAAAAGACAATATTTTTTTTTAAATTGCCCTGATTTTTTCTAGTAGAAAAAAGAGAAAGAAGAAAAAAAAGAAAGAAAGAAAAAAGTTTTAGCTAAAAACCGTCAACCCTCCACCAGAACTGATATTATTATGATATCAGCACGGTCAAGGGTGATTGGCCTTTGCTGCGCTTCCCTTTTGACTTTTCGGCTGTGTGGAGTGTATGATGTATTCTTCCTCAGCTTCCTGATCTGAACATGAAATTCCTTGGAAGTTTTTCCTTGTGGGGGGGCCCAGACGGAAAAAAAAGAGAGTTTTTTTGCCTGGTCGGAGGAACGGCGACTCGGGTACGTATACCTGGTAAGTTGAAGATGAAGATGCGCTGGTGGCCAAGCGGTATGTGGTTTGTAAGACAATTAGCTAAGTAAGTTGTCAAAGAAAAATTATGAGCTCCGTAACATTAACTCCAACCCGATTTGCAGAATGTAGATGTAATAGATGGCCGGTATTGCTGATTAGTGGTGGTGGTGATACTTCTGGTGGTACGAAGGTGAAGGATTTGGACATCGACGGGAGGACGAGCATTTTTATATCAGAGCTCCAAGCAAGCAAGCAAATAAGCAAGCAAATAAGCAAGCAAGCAGGCGAGCTAGAATCGCTTCACATGCTTTCTTCTTAATCGGATCAGATTATCCGGTTCAGCGGTGCATCGGACTTCAAAAAGCTTGTACCTAATCCTTTTTTTTCATCGAGTCACCCTTCAGACGATTTTTTTTCTTTCTTTGAAACTAAGGGGGCGGGGATTAATAAGAAAGAAAGGAAAGGAAGATCTTGTAAAGAAGAAAGGAAGAAACTTAGAACTGTGGTATATATGCCTCATATACACACATACAGACTCTCACTCACTCTCTGTCTCTCACACACACACGGCCTGCTCGTTGTACAAAGAGCAAAGAGAGTTTTTGGAATGTGCAGGCTTTAATGTGGATCCGAAGCGAAGTCGGTCCCTGAAAAAAAAAAAAAACAAGTCCCTCAGTTTTTGTTCCAGAAAACCGAGGTGCGTTATCTGATCCTCGGATTGTGTTGAGGTGAGGTTGGAGTGTTGGTCACGTGCTATATCAGATCAGATCAGATCAGATCACATGACTATTTTGAGCTTCAGAACCGGTCCAATATAAAAATTTCCGGACTTTTCATATATTTGCATATTTCGAAAGAACTAATCTTCCGGGACTTATAAAAGTTGTAGATTTTGAGTCGTGGTGCTCGGGCGAGTCGAATCAACTTGGAATTATCAAATTCCGCGGAGTATTTAAAAAGTTAGTTTTTAGCGGGGATTTCCGTACCCCATCGAAATGTCACGATAACTTACACCAAAAACAGCATGTGTTGACCTGTTTGACCAAGTGAGGTTGAATCATCACCAGCCACTTCAGAACTACACCAGCCACACCAACCACGCTTCGCCAAGACATTTCTTTTAAACTTATTTTCTTTGCGCTGTGGTCGCAAAGGAACTTTTTTACCACAGATTGACCACTGCGACTTATCGATCCACGCCAGTCAGCTAGTCCTCCACAATGTCTACGGAAATAATAGATCCCACAACAGCCAGCGTTCCCTCCCAGGGTATTCGCAAGAATGGTATAATCTCCCCCCTTCTTCCTTATCTTCCTACTAAATCCAAACCCTTCGCGACTAACTATAGCCCCAGGCAAACAATGGAAACTTCCCAAGGCTCCCTTCAAGCCCGGGACCACTACCATCTCGACCACCACCACCACCACATCATCCAAACAATCAAAATCTTACCTAGCCCGTCAAGCCGACCGTCTTCAATCTTCAATCATTAAGACCAAGGAAAAGGAGCTAAAGGCCGAGAAGGAAGCTATCCGTCAACAGCGGATACAAAGCATCAAGGACAAGCGAGCTGCTAAGGAAGAGAAGGAACGGTATGATCTGTTGGCGGCAAAGATGCATGCTAAACGTGTGGAGAGGTTGAAGAGAAGGGAAAAGAGAAATAAACTGTTGAAAGAGAGGTAGACAGGTAAATCGACATCATTAGATAAGGAGGACGAGGAGGAGGATGGAAGGAGAAGGCTCGGGGAGGTTGTACGATAGGGCACTGTGGGAGTGGCGTTCCGGGGTCCGATTTATATCTTTCGACATTACTAGAGCGATATACGGTATTTCACAAAGCGGCGTCTTTTTACTAGTATACTGTCCAACGATCGTAAAATGCATCAATCAAAAGTTCATATAATACATCAATGAAATAAAAGTTCATGTCATACCGGAACGAAATGACAGCTAAATAAAATCGATAAAATTCAAAAAAAAAAGTGCTTCCATGAGAACATAATACATCCTACCCAAATCATATGCCTAACCCTTACCGAAAAAAGAAAGAAAGAAATGCTATAACATGCTTATACATCAACAAAGACGGCTCTTTCTCTCCACCCCCTCTTCTCTAGCTTATCCGTCACCTCCTTCTCCAATGGGATAGGCTCATCGTTGTGCTTCAAATACTCCTTATTGAATGCCTTAAGCAGCCATGTTGCTAGCTTATCATATACAATCTTATTCGCATTATCTATAACGACCCGCTAGTCAGCAACTATCATTTATAGAATTGGGTAAAAAAGTAAGGGAATACTCACGGAAATAAATCGAATGGTCTGAATCAGGGAATACATGCACATCGTAGTTCTCAATACCCGCAAGATCCAACTTATCCAACAAGGTCAAGGAATTCTGGAAATGCACATTGTCGTCCGCCACTCCATGCATCAAGAGGAACCTGACGCTCTTGCCCAACGAGTCGACCTTGTTGATAGCGCTACTTTCGTAGCCCTTGGCATTATGTTGTGGAGTGTGCATGTATCTCTCAGTATAGATCGAGTCGTAGAAACTCCAATCCGTAACCGGCGCAACCGCCATACCATACTGGAAGGTCTTGCCTCCATCTTGTTCGAGAGTCTTGAGTGTCATAAAACCACCATAACTCCAACCCCAGATTGCGAAACGGCTTTCGTCGGTATACTTCTTCTTTGCCCAAATCTTTGCGGTTTCGATTTGATCGTGCGATTCCCATTTCCCAAGGTCTCCGCGAACAATGACTCGGGCTTTTCGTCCGATATACCCAGTACCACGGCCATCAACAGTGACGACGATGTAGTTCAATGTAGCAGCGATGTAAGACTGGAAATCAACTTTATATTCCTTACTGACTTGCTGGCTGCCTGGACCACCGTAAACCTGGAAGAGGACAGGGTACTTGAGCTTCGGGTTGAAGTGTGGCGGACGTCGTTCCACGACGTTAAGATCAAAACCATCAATGTTAACAGTAGAGTAATGTTTTGTGGGTAGCTCGTATTGGGAAACAAGATCCTTGAGGTTATCATTGGTTTGAATGACCTCCTCGTATGAAGATTTAGGGTCTGTTTCGATAACCTTTTGCCATGGAATTCCGGGGCCGTTGTATGAGAGCAAGGCGTAGCGGGCCTTGCTGCTGAACGAGGCAGAATAAAAGCCATCACTCGATGCGTTGGTCAATGGAGTGAGCTCAGAACCATCAAGCTTAACGCTGTAGATGTGTCGTTCGATCGAAGACTTCTGAGAAGAAGTGAAGTAGACCTTCTGGTTTTCCAAACTGATGGCTGATGGCGCATCAATAACTTCCCAATTACCCTTGGTAAGAAGGATAGGCTCAGTTTGATCGAGTGGTGTAAAATATGCCAAATGATCATATCCCTCGTGGACAACAGTGTCAATATATCCATCATTGGCTCTGCCGAACTCTGGTTCAGCTGGGATGTAAGTCGTATGTTGAGAAACTTCGAGCCAACCGCCATCGATAGCATTGATATCGACTTCGCGAACAATCCTGCCTTTACGGGTACCCACATCGATGAGAACCATCTTGAGAATATCGCTCTCACGGTTGGTTTCCCTGACGAGAACATTGTTGTTTCCAGCCCAAGTGACCTCGGTGATTAACCTTTCGAGGTCGGTGAAGTCATTCTCAATTGCAACTGTGAAAGCTTCGTCTTTCTCAAGATCGTAAAAGAGAATATCAACGGTTGGGTTAGGAGCACCGGCTTTAGGGTATTTGATTCTTCGTTCTTCGGGATACTTTTCCAATCCGGCTTTTGGAGTGTCTCCAGAAGGTCGAGAGACGAAGTATTGAACTGGGTATTCTGGGACCTGGGTCTCGTTCGTTCGTAAGAAAGCGATGAATTTTGAGTCAAGACTCCACCAGGTTGCACTGTTACCACCAAAAACTTCCTCTTCATAAACCCAGTCGGGGACGCCGTAGAAGTATTCTGTACCGCCGTCCTTGGTGATTTGGACGATTTCATCACCTGGCAGCTTTCGCAAGAACAGGTTGTTATCCAAAACAAACACTATCCCTCCGCTAGAAGGAGCCCAAATGGCCAATTGGATCATTGCCTCCGAATCCTTAGGATACAACGGGACGGTCGTCTTGGTTTCGACATCGTAGATAAAGTATGTCGCATAGTACGAATGTCTAAAGTTCGAAGAGTAATCCGCAGCAGCTAAAACCTGCTTCAAATCCGGGCTCGGCCACACCTTTGAAGCATATTTAGTGCCGCCTCCGAAACTGCTGGGGAGTGGAAGAGCGTCGGTCTCCATCAGAACTTTCTTATAAGCCTTATCCTTCACATCCTTAACGACCAAGAACCCATCTTCTGCCCTTTCTTCAAGCATCAACCCGTCCTTTTCTTCATCCGGCGAAGCAATCCATTTGATACTTTGATGTCTCGCCGAGAACTGACCGGACATAACCATGCTTAACGAGACCTTCTTGCCAGCTTTGGTAGTTTTGCTCTGTTCCGGATCACCAGGCGAGCCGGTGGTTTTCCAATCGCGAATGATGTATATAGCCATAGCCAACAACCAACTCCCGATAAGCACGGCAGCCAGAATCCAAATCATCCTGCGTATCCGCCCTTCCATCGGCTTATCACGTTTTTCAAAGGCGCGTTCGGCATCATTGAGATCGTAGGGAGCGAAATCCCCGTTATCCGGCTGACGACGACGAGGTCCGACATCATCGGACGGGTTGATTCGTTCGAGGACAAGGGAGGTTGTCGAGTCGGTATCATCGGAGTCAAGGGATGGTCGGCCGGAGTCGGTAGAGCTACGTCCTGCGCGAAGAGGCACGCGAGCCTCATCTTTGTAGGAAGAACTCATGGCTGCCAGGTGGAAGAAATCTCTCTCGAGAGCTCTGGTCTTCTACTTTGTCTGGTTTGTGTCCGATCGATTCAGGGAGATGGATTCGGTGGACAGCTTGGTAACAAAGATGGTCAAATTGGTTGTTTGAGCATGATCGAGCCCGAAGCTGAAGGGATGGAATGAAGGACACGTGGGAACGAGCGACCAAGTCAAGAAAGTAAGAGCAAAAAAAAAAAAGAGTACTAAACAGGAAGCATTCGCTCAGCAGATTTTAAGACGATACGATACGATGGTTGAGGCCGTGCGTGCGGCCTGGGTGTGGAACCTGGGCGGTTACGGGAGAGTTCCTGGTGGATGTTGGATCGTTCGGGACGAAAGACCTAAGTGGGTCTCACCAATCGTCCACCGCCTCATAACCGGTCACAGCACAGCACAGAACAGAGTACAGACCAGCTCCGTTTGTAAGGACGGTACATCATCGTGCAGCTGAAAGACGAGGTTGGTTAAAATATTAATCTAAGTCACATTCCAACCATTCGGGAACTTCAGCCCAAACCCCCAACCAGAATACACCAACTGTATACTATAATATGATTTTGAGTATTTATTAAATTCAGTTTTATATCCCATATAGAAGTCTTGACGGTGTTAGTCTAGCTTCTCAAGACATGTCTGCATCAGAAAATGCATTTCTATAAATAATCTATCGACCAAAAACATCTTGAAGTCCACGAGCTCTCTCTTCATATCGCCCAATCCCCTTCACGGCCGCAACTTCTTTTCCCGAAGCAGTCACCCGACATTTCAAACTGAAATCAGCCGCCGAATTGGTAACGTTACGAACTGTCAATATAATTAATTACTTAGTCAGGACAACGGATCAAAAAAGAAGAGGCGAGGCAAAAATTTAAAAAATTTTTAAAAAAAAAGAAAGAAACCATACCACTTGAGACCCATTTGACTAATTTCCATTCCCCTGACGCTTCTCGTAAACCGTCGACTTCTGCTGTCTTACTATGCTAGAATCCCGGCGTTATTAGCTCCGAAGGTAGTCGAGTAAATACGACGAACGATATGAACAAACCTGGAGCCCACCCGTCTGCTAAAGTACCCAGCTGGTGAATAACCTGCCTGCCTGCCTGCCTGCCTACCCAGCTAGCGAATAGCCCGCCTGTGTACCCGGCTAGTGAACAGCCAGCTAGTGAGCAGGCTGCTGGTTGGTGAATGGCCTACTACTAGCGCTAGTTAGTAGCGAATAGCTTGTTATTGTTGTGTTGTGTGGTGCCACAATATATCTATAGAAGGATAGGGTGTTGATTGTCTCGTCACTAGACTCCTCAACTGGTAGCAGCGAGGCTGTCGTCAAGAATAACCCGCATAAAGTACCTAGCCGCATATATACATATATATACTCTCGAATTAAGCTGGGAATAAGTTTCGCGAGGAGAACCTCCCATTGGACTTTGCGCCCTGTAGCTATGTAGGTCCGGAATACTCTCGGTTTGCATTTTGGGAAGGATCGAGACAACCTCTTTTGCGGTACGTACACCTAGAAGACCAATGCAATATTCACATATATATCAAACGATTTACACAGCATCTCCGGATCCAATGACATCAAATATAGATTCAGCCGTGGTTCTACCCACCTATACCCAAGAGGATACTCACATACTCATTGAATTCAAGAGCCTCAAATCATTGGGCAATATTTCTACCAATAAACAGCGGAAACTCAAATTATATCTACCATATCATAGCCACTTGCAGCTATACGTACTTACTTATGCAGAACTAAATACACTTGACCGACGCAGGATGTATTCTTTAGGGCCCAAGGATCCTTCACACTTATTTTGACGTTCTGCGCTGGCTATATATATTACCCTGCCGACCTCTTTCCAAGGCATCTGCGCTAGCTGTAGCAAAACCCTCACAGTTGCACATGGAGCTCCACCAGACTATACTACTTTGCTAAATTGAACTCTCTTTCAAGTTAGTATAATATTCAACGGCCGTGGAATTGGCCCGGTATCGATATCACCGTTTTATTTATACTATACTAAGGAATCGCTAGTGTTAAGGTGGGTACAGAAAAATACAACAAACAGGCGACCTTATTCACTCTAACTAGACAAAGCTAACAGAGAAATAGGATTTGAGGATTTCACCCGGAATTCGAGCTCGCGATGTCTGATACCCACTATCTAAGTGAAGGTGGAATCGAGGAGAAAGAACGGGAGTTGAGAGAATTGAGGCACACCGGCAAAATCAAAGAATTGGAGCATCGTCAAGGCTTAGAACAAACCGCACAAATGATAAAAAAGCTTGAACTTCAAATTGAGGAGATACGATCGGCCTGGACTGTCACTGAGATCGCTTATGAATCCGAAAGATTCATAAGAGAGCAAAAGGAAAGAGACTGGCAACGGCAGATTGAGATATCGAAAGAAAAATTAGCCCTTATAGCGAAGGACACCAGAATACCCAATGTCGTCACGGATTTGGCGATACCGGAAGGAAATCTTAAGATTGGATCAAAATACAATGATGAGGGGGATATTTCGGCATCTATGGCCGTAGATATCAGCCAGGGGGAGGTATGAGCGTCTTAATTCCAATTATTACATGCATATACATTCGCACAACATTACTCGAAGACATACCTGTAAACTCACTGACACTTTGAGAACCCGAGAAATAGCCTCAGGACAACCTCAAATTGGACCAAGCAGCGGATTTAACGCTCGATACCGCGGTCGAAGAGGAGTCCAACAACAAGACCTCATCCCTAATATTTATTGAGCCTGGTCAAGCGGCTGAGCAGACTACTTCCCCGATTCAGGACCCGGATTACGGCTCACCTACTCAAAGTCAGAGCTTAGGTGAAGGTTCTACTAGCCAGGCGCTGATGGATACAGTCTCTTCTTTCCTACCCTTTAAAGTTACCGAAAGGGTGGCTAGGATTCCACCAAACACTTATATGGATGACGAATTATCATCCTTTGCTTTAAAATACTATGTGGATTTAAATCCGCGCGAAGAAGGAGCAGAAATACAATTTATCGACATGGCTAAAGAACAACTTGACGAAATTTCAAACGACCTGGACACCGCTTCGGAAAGAGATCCCGAAGACACCTGGCTTCTTAGTATTATATACTACTATAAATTTTTGAAAACCGGATCGTTGGATGATATACAAAGCGCCATAAAAGGAACCGAGGAGGTGCTGTTAGACATGTGTACACAAGTCGATGACCCAGATTATGCTTTCTATCTGAAAAGCCTTATTACAATGCTGATGCAAAAGTATTGGTGTACGGATTCGATTGCTGACCTAAATCAAGCTATCATACGGGGAGAAGAGATGCTAACAATGGGGCATCACGATTACTTGAGCCAACTTCTGGACCTGATGAAGATGAAGCGAATAAAAGCTTGCAAAACGGGCAGTTATGAAGAGGTTGAAGAGATGAGGGTTATTTGTGACACAGTTCTCATAGAAAAGAACCTTGACATCGTAATGAACTGTAGTTTGGCAAAATACTTCAAAACAAGGGATGTCAAGAACTTGGAGTCTGCTTTGGAGGTAGCCGGCTCTCAAAATCATCCGATGAAAGCAGTCCTTTTATTCACGTTATCTACCTTCTTCAAGGACGAATTTGATCAGACTGCCGATTTCGACGACCTGAAAACCGCGATCAAGAGAGGAGAGGAGGCACTGGCTTTGAACCATCATGATAATAAGCTAGTGATCGAGATGTCGCACCACATTGCACGACTATATGTGAGCAAGTTCAAAATAACAGACGATCTTAACGATCTGGAAATAGCGATTAAAAGAGTAGAAGGAGCGATAGACCCGAACGCTGCTTACAGCGCAAATGGCCTTTTAGCCGACTTGTTGGAGACTAAATTCGACCGAACAGGCAATCTTGAAGATTTGCTGGCAGCGGTTGGCAGAGCGGAAGATGCGGTAGCAGCCGAACGGAACTCTATAGAGTTAGGCAATATCGAAGGAAAAGCACATCGACTTAACACTCTATCCGTTTTGCTCAGACGAAAGTTTTTATACAGCAGAGCCGAAAAACTCGATGATTTGGAAAGGGCTATAGCAGTAGCCGAAGAAGGTATAGAGGTTCTGATTTTCGACGAAGCGGCAAAAAAGACTCGCCTCTACAACCTGGGTGGTCACCTTCTGACTCTATATCAAAAAACTGGCAACCTGAACGATTTAACTAGGGCGATCGATTCTGCCCAAAAAGCCCTAGATCTAGCCCTGATGATTGAACCCAAAGATGACGCATCTTTAGGTGCAATACAAGGTCTTCTAGCCGTCTGCTTTTGGGAAATGTTCAGCCGAACCGGCAATCTCGAGGATCTACAGGCGGCCATCAGCATAATCGAAAAGTCCATACACGTAACAAATCAAGGTCTAGATGCGGCGCCATTGAACCGTCTCAATCTCAGCACTATGCTGGCCACTAGATTTATGCAAACTGGTAGCCTCGACGACTTGCAAACTGCCATCAAAATACTCGAAGAAGCTATGGAGATACTACCGCACAGCGACCTAGACAGACCCCGGTACCAAAGCAACCTAATTACTCTCTTGGAGACCAGGTATCGTCGTGTAGGTAATCTTGACGATATTCAGAAAGCCATCAGTCTAGGGCAAGAAGATTCCCCTACAATACAAGGCCACCCTGGCAGGCCGATGATGCTCGGTAACATAGCTAATTGCTATCGACACCGATACCACCAGACTAGAGTCTTTGAAGACTTGGAAATTGCGACCAAAACAATCGAGGAAGCAATTGCCATGACACCGAGCCCCTTTGGAAGAGCGTCTCTTCTTCCCGTGCTAATGGAAGCCTTTCTACAAAAGTTCAAGATTACCAACAATCCCGACGATTTGAATAGAGCTCTTGAGGTGAGTCAAGAGTGTATAGCAGCAACACCCGATGATCACTATGGAAAAGCAGAACGTTTATTTAATCTGGGGCAATGTGTAATGACCAAATTTTTACAAAATCCTGACATAACATATTTTGAACGATCGATTTCAGCTTTTGAAGAAGCTGCGCAAAGCTCTAACGCCAATATACATGTAAGAATCTCTGCAGCACATCGAGCGGGGGGTATACTAGCCGTAGCAAAAAACTGGACTAAGGCAGCTGAAATGATCGAAATTGGCGTGAGATTGCTCCCACTGGTTACCCCACGTCAGCTAAAACAACAGGATCAACAAGACAGAGTCAAAGAGTTCACTGGCTTGGCTTCGGAAGCCAGTTCTATTGCTCTTTCGGCTAACAAAGACGCAAAACATGCGCTGCAATTGCTGGAATTGGGAAGAGGGATCATCACCAGCCTGCGATTTGGCAATAGATCTGACATAACTGAGCTTAAAATGCAGCATCCAGAGCTGGCAGATAACTTCGAACGACTGCGGAATCTACTTGATTCACCAGGCCCTTCCAATTTATCTCATCTTGGCAGCATTAAGGATAATTTCGATAACTCCAATCTACCAAACAACCCTGATACCTGGGACTTACGTCAAAGACAGAAAATGGACCAGCTCAATGATGCAAACATAGAATTCAACAAGATCGTGAATCAAATCCGCCCTCTCGCAAACTTCGAAAACTTCTTACTGCCTCCAAAAGCAGAAGATTTGATTGCTGCAGCATCTGATCTAGGAACCTTTGTTGTGATCAACACTAGCCGATACCGCTGCGATGCGTTTATCGTCGATAAAAACGGTATACGATCACTGCACCTTCCGAAGTTGCAGCAAGAAGATATAGAAAGCAAAGTCAACTCCATACGATCGATTCGTTCAACCCAGTATCCTTCCTCAATTATTCTGAAGCAAATTTTTGAGATACTGGAGTGGCTTTGGGATGTTGCGGTTTGTCCTATTCTGAATTTTCTGGGATTCACTAGTCAGCCTCCTCTGTCAATTCACGAGGACAATTGGCCACATGTGTGGTGGATTCCAACTGGCCAATTAAGTCTGTTACCATTACATGCTGCTGGACGTTACTCGCGAGGGTCTACGGAAACTACGCTCGACAGAGTAATCTCATCATACAGTTCCTCTATCAAGGCACTTATTTATTCTCGATATCGCCAAAATCCACAAGATGTTAAAGATATTGCGCTGGCGGAAAGTCCGAAGGAGGAGAATAGAGAAATCATACTTGTATCGATGGATGAAACACCAGGGCAATCAGATCTTAGTTATGTTAGCCAGGAAATCAGCATGGTTGAAGGGTTACTCCACGACGATAACACGGCTAAGACAATCAGGCTGGAACGACCATGCAAAAAGGACGTTCTAGAAAAATTGGCTCAAGGGGGCTGCAAAATCTTCCATTTTGCAGGCCATGGACAATCTGATCCCACAGACCCTTCACAAAGTTCGCTACTTGTTAGTGATTGGAAACAAAATCCTCTGACGGTCGAAGATTTGATGAAATTAAATTTGAGACAGAGTTTTACGGCTCCGTGGCTTGCATTTCTTTCCGCTTGTTCGACTAACGACAATAACATCGATCAGTTACAGGATGAATCTATAAATCTTGTTACAAGCTGTCAGCTTGCCGGGTTCCAGCACGTCGTTGGGACGTTATGGGAGGTTTCTGATGAACATTCAGTTTACGCAGCAGAAGAAGTTTATAAAATCATTTCAAAGGCAGGGGACCAACCAACTGGCAATGGTGGAGCTTTGAACGGGAGGAGCGTTGCACTAGGTGTACATAGGGCTTCTAGACGTCTCCGGGAAATAACGACCCAGAAGTACAAAGCGCGAGATAAACTTACGGAGCTCGAAACTCCCCCGATATTATCTTTCGATGTTGAGGATGAGGTCTGCGAAACTGGTTTCAAGGGATCTCCGGAACCCTCTAGAGGGCCGGATGGTGAGGAATGTGGAACAAGAGCTAATAGGCGTCTCCGCCCCTTCGGTTTTGAAGAACTAGATGATAACATGCAGAAAAGCAATCCGCTTATCTGGGCTGCTTATATTCATGTTGGGCCTTAAAATCTACTAAATATAAGGGGTTTATTGTTTATTGGAAATGGGATGATTGTCAATGTTGAGCAGCGACCTTTGACCATCTCCATCTGTGTTCGCCCCGAGTGCAGGTGGTTAATCGACGGTTAGGAAATTGTGGAATAGCTCAGCGAGCAAGCCGTGCGGATACGATGATAAGCACTAACGAGATGGCAAAACAGAAACAAGAAAAGAGAAAATATCAACAGTACGCTTCTAGAAACGTTGACGGTGTAACTAGTCTCCTTCTCGCACGCCCGTTACCCACCGCTAACACTACTTTCTCGAAAATACAACACAAAAATTTACGTTCACAGTGTTGGGAACATGTGGAATTTTTGACTCTAAAACTTAGAGCGCTATATTGGAGGAAACGAGACTACATTGGAGGATATGTTATACTTACTTACTTAAGTACTTACTTACTTAAGTACTTACTTACTTAAGTACTTACTTAACTAGTTAGTACCTTGAGCTCCCAACAGTCTGAGCTCAATTCCAACCTGAGCTGAGATGTGCGTGTGCCGTGCGGCCGTGTTTAAACATGTTCGAGGTCGGTAAAAAAAACATAACAGCACAACACATAGTCACTTCATATCTCCTAGACAGTATCTTAGACAGTATCCGAGATTCATACGATGTTTTGTATCAAAATCATGATATCACCGTGTTCTTTCTTTTTCTTGAAATATATAATCTTCCTCAATGCGACGGCGATACATCATATTAATGAAATATGGAATTAAATGAATGAATTCTCGGACGAGTGTCCTGCTTGAGTCTGTGAAACACACACCACCACCACCACCACCACCACCACAGGTCGGGTTCTCTCAACGATATCTCCATGCATCCGCTATCCGTCTTTGGCCTGATGCTCATGTCATCCTAGCCTCGATCTAGAACTGCCCTTTTTACATACTTACTAAAAGTATACACCCTCTCGGATTCACAACCGCCTGTTTACCATCCTCTAACTCTCTCGAGATAGCATTGCATGCCAACACAAACGTGCAGCTTCCCGTGGGCGGGTGGTTGAATGCGAGGTACACCCAAAAACCCAACCTCTGTGTAACAACCTCCAATATCCGCCACTGCTGCACCGCTAGTTCGTCCGATAACCAATCAACAGTCGCTTTTCTAAGAACCATTCTCTTCGATTCCGTGCTGTTGTACTCCCCCACAATTTAACAGGTGGTCGTCCGATGTTCTTCTTAAGACATCTTCAAACCATCAAGGGGTTTCGTTTAAAGCGTAGGATTATGCCAGAAACGAGCGGGCATATATGCATTCCATACCTACATTACGTTACCAGACATTTCCATTATGATGTCCGACATCCTTGCGATGAAGATATAAATATCATCTAATCCCTGGAAGGTTCTCCCCAATCCCACGGCTGGTCTCGCGATTGCATCGACGATCTCCCTCGTCCTCATTTAAATATAATTGGATGAAAAATTACAATCCGGGTACCAAGGTAGCTTGGATTCCTCTTCGAGGTAACTGTAGGTGTTTCCCCTACATGTCAACATACCCCCCCTTTTACCCCCCTAAATCCCTCCAGGCCAGTCTCCCGATCTCCTAAGATTCTACGAAACAGAGTTTGACACGATCGATCTGGCGTGGATGTATCCTATCTGCACTGCCCTGTTCTGGCATGATCTATATAATCCTTGTAAGAAAAACTACCAGCGGAAATCACACGTTATCAGCGCTGGATACCTCGATCCGAGAAGGGGGGAAAGCCGGGCAAAAACCTCGACTGACTCAATCGTGCTACGGTTTGGTTAGAATTGTGCGATGATACCATGAAGTTACGTCCCCCCCGGTGCGCTTGTGGGCCTATGTATACTACATTTACTCATACATGCTGTTTCTCCCCAGCTCGTACACCGTAAGGGAGGAGGAGGAGGAGAGTGAGCATATTGAGTTCGAAAAATTCCGTGGACTCCTGCAGTCCGCCCATCGGATTTTAAATGACCGTTTTGTAGATTATCCATCACGTTATTTCTTTTTTAAAATAAATTCCGAGAGTTTGCTTACCGGCTTTTATATCAAATTCTCCACTCACGAGACCAAATACACAAAAAAAAAAAAAAAGAATTCAAATCAGTCTATTATCACACCTTTCTAGACCTTCTTTTTTCATCTTGAATTCGAATCCTAATTTTGATTATTAACGTTGCCCCACATATTGTATACAATCAAGTACTGTGCGAATTCGCATAATTCGGTCCGTTCCGTCTTCCTGGTAACCACCGTTATCTGTCCATCTCTAACCGGGTCAATATAATTTCTCCCTCCACTTACCGCATCCATCGCGATCGCCTCCCCGATCAATATCCCTAACACGTCTGAATGCTCAATCTGCATCATTCCTTCTTTCCCCAACTACTCCCCACGCTCTTTAAACTTTTTTTAAAAAAAAATATTATATTAAAATGGCCTTCCCCATGAGATCCAAAAACCCCGCCACTACTAAGTCTTTAAACAGTAAACCAAGTATCACCGGGTTCAAGATGTTTAAACTCAATATTTTAACTAGAAAGGATCGCGCGGAGGAGGATTATGATCCTGAGGACTCGTCGTCGTCGTCGTCGCCACCGGTGCTTCCATATTCACAAACTTATAACGATATCAACTCGGATTCTAATACTGGATATGTATCGATATGGAACGACTCCCCCGTCGTCAAACCCCTCAAGAACCAACTCGTACCGAGGGAAGCACGCGTAACGGATACGAGAATACCAAATCTTAAAGTCTTAGCCCAACCTCCAAGATCTTCGATGAGGGACTCGACGGCGTCTAGTACTAAATCGACATATGAGGGACAAGAAGAACAAGAAAAGGAGGATATAATCATCGAAGAGAAACCCATACAGAACGAAGTATCAATCACGAGAACAATGGAAATCGGTCATAGGAGGTTATTGGAAGAGATGGCGAATTACTGTTCGAGAGAACTAAGCGATAGGAAGGAGTGGGGGTATTGGTTCGAAGCTTATACAAAAGTGAGTTGTAACGTTCTTTCCAAAATAGGATGCATTTCCCTATCTAGAAGGGTAGTGATACATATGCGGTTATAAACGTGAAAAATGGTCGATGCTGATACAAATTCGATTGATCGAGGAATTCAGGGTCATTACAACATGTCGCATCCCCCTCAGACACCACCACGAAAGGTTTCGTTATCTTGGATTCCCACGCCGTTCCCAGCAGATGAGCCTGAGAGATTAAGGGTACGTTTTTTTTAATAATATTTTTCCGTTTTCCGCTGGGAATATCCCGAGGGGAAAAAATCGACTAACCTATCTTAGTCATTAAATCGCTACGACCTTTCTCGGGCTAGCCATATCGAGGCTGACCTACGAACGGTCCTTAGAGCCGCAACTACAGCGCTTAAGGCGGAATATGCATCTATCAGCTTTGTCGATTATGAATCGGAGACCTTTATATTAAATCATCCCATTAGAATGTTAGTTTGCATGAATAAATCTTATTCTAAAAGGATACCATGATACTAACTATTTTTTTAAAAAAAGAGGAATGGAGTCTAAAACAAAGAGGGCGTGGTCTTTGGGAGCCCATGTTATGTTAGGAAACGATACTATGGTCATTCTCGATACTGAGAAGGTATGCACAAACGTCCTGAAGAAAGTAATAGACTTAAGTAGTAATATTCTAACTATTCCTTAGGATTGGAGATTCAAAGGAAACCCAACTCTCCATAGCGGCGATGATAGAATTAATTTCTATGCGGGAAGTCCATTAATCTCAGCTGATGGTATGCATAATTCATCAACCCAAACTGCAATTATTGTAGAAGCATTCTAAACCTCTTTCCACAGGATACAACATCGGAGTCCTTGCGATTTCTGGAAGACAGCCCCGTTCGATATTCGGAAAGAACGACCTTCGTAGTCTTAACAATTTTGCACATGTTGTATCAACCCACTTGGAAAGACTACTCCCAGAAAGCCGACGAACAGTATCCCTAGTAGAACGCCAGACCTCCAATGTCGACACCGAAAATAGAGACAGCACTGCCAGTGCTCCAGCCAAAATGGAGGGCCGAACCCAAATTGAGCGGAGAGTAAAAAGCGCGGAGCTAAATCAGAAATATAGCGGAATGACACGCCCCAAGTCACCAGGACCAAGTCGTAAAGTTATGGCAGCGAGACTAGAGGCAGAGAAGACGTTGACCAAAGCTGGTCGGAGTACTCGACAGTATAGCCATTATCAAACTGGAGTACCGGTACTCCCATCTTTACCTATACCACCTGTCACAATTGACATTCTACCTCCTCGACCGCCTCCAACTCCACCGCCTTCGGCTACCACGCCCACTCATAAGGGACAAAAGCGATTTAGAGTAAGTCATATTTACCTTTTTTCGACAATCCCGAAGAGTAAAACTAACATACTTCTAGATAGGTGCCCAACCCCCAACGCCGCCAATATCGCCTTCCAGTATCCCAGGTTCTCCCAATTCCCCTCCTAGCACTCCACTCCCTCTAAACCTTCCCCTCTCAACTTTTCAAACCCCACAGAAAGTTCCCGAAGCCCGCGCGGTTCTTTCCGACATAGCCCAGGCAATCGACTTCGACTATCTCTACATAATCCGACTAGACCCCACTTCTTCGACTCTTACCTATTCAGACCTCATTTCTCCGTCTAGCTTCCAAGTCGTCGTAGTCCGTTCCTACCGACGCAACCCCGGTCCTCCAGGAAGTTTAAACCAAGCATTGAATACGGAATTACACCTAAAGGCATTAGGCGACAGATGTGGCCTAACCGCCGTGAATAGTCGAGAATCTGGAAAAGTCGATGATGATTCTTACCAAGTTAGTGTTCTGTTACCCATACAAAGGGACTATGTGGACGAAAGGGGGAATATGGTTCCCGGACCTATCTGTGGAGATGGGGTGTGGGATAGAGATAGTAGTGAAGCTGGGGTGAGGGTGTGTAGAGGTCATATACTAGGGGCTTTTAAGAGGAGGAATACGGGGAACCATCAGGAGGCGATTGAGAGGCTTAGAGCTGTGACTAGTCAGTTGGGGGAGTTGATGTTTGAGACGAAGGCCTAAGATGGTTTATTGTTTTATTCTTTCTTTTTTTTTCTTTTTAAAGTGAAGTATATGAGTATAAAGAGAGACAGGTGGAGGAGGAGATTGAATAATTGTCTTATAATATGGGATTGTTTTGCAACGGGATTGGGCAAGGTAGGTTGAAATCTTTTTGGCGTTTTTTGAGTTATATGGATTTTTGGGGGAGCCTGGGGTTACCTATGGTTCGGATTTTTCACTTCTCTCTTGTATACCGATTTCTATACGGGTTTTCTTTGTAATATTTCTTTTTGTTAGGATGGGATAGTGAAGGGTTTTTCATGTCTATATACTATAATTTCATTAATTTATAACGGGGTTTTATATATTTCTGGTCGTTCAGACTTGTGCAGATTTTATACGTGCTTCTAATATCGTTCATTCTAATATCATGGCTTTTATACAAGCACATTAAGCTTAATATATTAATATACACAAGTATTTATTATTCGAGTAAATTCAATGTCTTTCAGAATATCTAAGCTTGAAGATATTAACCTGGAATCAAAAGGCCTGGGGTTCCAGGTTGTTTGCCGCCAAGATTAGGCAGCGCCACGGGCTTCTTCGATCTCACCACCACAGCATCGACTCAAGATTTCTAATAACTATCGTGTAATCTTCCGATTTCAAGCTGCACGCTCTTTAATCAACTCTCGGGTTTTCGACCCAAATCCTTTGGCACGGGCAGAGCAGGGCAGCTCAAGTAACCCGAATATCTTCCATCTCGACAATTAATATGGTGTATATCATGGAATTCAAGGTCGACGGGGCTTGTCGGAGAAACGGTAAACGTGGCTCAACCGCCGTTGCAGCTGCCTGTCTATTCAAACCAGGCGGCCGATCCTACATCCCCAGAGTAAAACACCTCAGGGGCAATAAGCCGGCTCCCACGAACCAAAGGGCAGAGATCTTGGCCATCATTATCGCCCTCGAGTGGGCGTTAGAAAGATACTCGGAACTTTCGGGGAGGCCCTGTCTCGACGTTACGATTCAGTCGGATTCCGAATATGCTGTCAACAGTATGACGAATTATATCAAGAAATGGATCGGGAACGGCTGGTATAACGCCGCAGGGCGGCCTGTCGCAAATAGAGACCTTTTTCAAAGAGCTGTTGCTTTGGAGAATAAGATATTAGACATTGGACAAGTGAGCTACAACTGGATTCCAAGGGAGAAGAACCTAGATGCGGACATAGAATGCAGAGAAGCTCTTGATAGTACTTGTTAACACGGTGAGGTTGATGCGAGCTGGTGGAATGAAGATTCAATATCATTTATGATTTATGTTTATATATGCTTTGTGTATTTAATGGTATATGTACTTTATTTTCTATGATAAGATTTCTATCATTTTGTTGTAAATCTAATTGTGGATTAGTGTCAATCTCTACTTCTAGTTAGAGTATTTAGATTCCTTAGCTTTTATGGTCTAGACCCTCGGTTTTTTTAAACGAGTGGCGGAGATATTGATAAAAAACGCCAGCATCGATATCAGGATCATATCTCAAATTAAATATTATACCTCAAACCAAATCCTGAAAATTATGGTAATACAAAGAGCATAATCTTCAACTTGAGCAAAATCACAAACTTGACTTGACAATATACTTTGAATTAATATATTTTAATATTTTAATATTTGACTTACTAAGTTCTGTACTTAAGTACTTACATACATTACATAGACCAATTCAAACCTTATGATCTTATTAATCAAACAAGCTCCTATGTTATTTACTATTTCTGATAACTAATCGTCCCCAACAAAGCGGAGAAAATGAATCTCAGCGAGGGAGGGGTATAATAGACCTCTATTATACCTCGAAACCAACTTGGCCAAATTAATTCCATGCATGCCAGACTGTATACGCGTGTGATCACCCGCGAACGAACGTCGATTCAAATACGAACATCACATGCCATAAATTTAAATACTCCAAAAAAAAACCACCATTGAAATTAATTGATTCTCTCCAACGTTATTACTTTACGACCCCTCCAAAAAATTCACAAAAAAAACAAACAGTTTCACATGCAGAAACCTCGATACCAATCACCAAAAGCACGGTTGTTATAACCCCCAGGCCCGTCGGTGTCGACAGCGGTTTTCAAACGTCATCCTGTTCCAGGCTCCCCCCCTTTAAGCCTCGTATCGTATACGTATCCCCGTCGACTACCTCCAGAACAAAAGTCCAACAAAAACAACGCAGTTTTCCCACCACTTCTCCCGTCTCATGCCACATGTGCATGGCCATTAAACAGTTGAATTCTCCCAACAATAGCGGACCCACTTCTACTTTTATTTAATTAAAATCCTCCACGGCTACTATAAAAATCACTGATCATGACATTCCCAACCCCCCTTTCCTGATCAATAGCCCTCGCGAATTCGATTCCCATTAGTTACTATACTCTCTCTATATCGTTTTTAAAATCGTTAAAAGTAAAGAACCGATCTTATAAGAGAAACAAAAGAGAAAAAGAGAAAAAGAGAAAAAAATGATAGGAACCAGCTTCGGAGAGCTAATCATAATCCGCACGGCCATCACCATCCTCCGCAGTATCACCCCTCTCAGCATCATCTACACCTTCTCCATCCCTTTCCTCCCATCTACATTCCTGACCCCGACCACAAAACTCATAAGTCTATACCCTATCGCCGAAACCGCATTTTACTTTCTAATCTACCTACCCCGGAAATACACCCTCCAAGCAGCAGCAGAACACCCACCGCTCCCACCGTCTTCGGAGCGAAGATCGCTGTTTTTGAGGATTATATCGACGATACCGGATCATCAGGCGTATCTGCAACGATGGTTTTTGGGGGCTGAGCTGGAGGATATTAGACGGGATAATTTGAAGGAGTTTTTGAGGTGGAGTTTGTTTAATGCTTCTGGGAGTTGGAGTGAAGAACCTGATGGGGATGAACAGGAAGGTGAGGTTGAGGAGTATGTACAGATGCTGGAGCAGAAGATGGGGAGGAAGTTTGAGGATGGTAGGGGGAAGGCTGAGTGTTATAGACTTACTATTGATCAAGTGAGGATGAAGCATCGGCCGTTGACGTGGTATATCGTATGTTCCAAATATCTATTCTATCCAGATCCCCAAAAGCCCTCGAGTTATAAGTATGGGTAAGTATAGAAAAGAGACTAAACTGGTATCATATGGTATAAAATAGATACTCACGGCAATCGACACTTTAACCTCCATCCGCCTCGCACTCTCAGGTTACACATACCACAGCCGTCCCCTCTCCACCTTCCTCACAACCTTCCCCTTCCGCTTCTCCACCCTCTTCACATTCAACAAAACCCCCTCTCCAACATTACCATACTGGTACCGTCCACATACCTCCAAAACCACCCTTCCAATCCTCTACATCCACGGAATAGGAATAGGAATCCACCCATACGTCCCAACCTTAAAAACCCTCGCCTCAACCCTCCCCACAACGGGGATCATAGTCCTAGAAATCGACCCAATCTCCGGTCGAATCTGTCCGTCCATGCAGAAGAAATCTGAAATGTTAACATCAATAAACAAAATCCTCAAACACCATAACTTTGAAAAATTCGTTTTAGTATCAAACTCCTACGGAACGGTAGTATCAACTCACATCCTCCACGACAACCAGTTATCGACTAAAATAGATTCGATGGTGTTAATCGACCCTGTAACGATATTATTACATCTACCGGATGTGGCGTATAATTTCTTGAGGAGGAAACCAAAAAGGGCGAATGAACATATGTTACATTATTTTGCTAGTACGGATCAAATGGTCGCTCATACGCTTTGTAGAAGGTTCTTTTGGGCGGAGAATATTCTTTGGAAGGATGATTTGAAAGGTAGGAATGTGGTGGTTTGGTTGGGTGAGAGGGATTTGATCGTGGATACTGCGGGGGTGAAGGAGTATTTGACCGGTGCTGGGAATGGTCGGTTTGATGATGATGAAGGTGCGGATGAGAGGAGGGTGGAGTTTGTAAATGGTGATTGGGAAACTAGAGATGAGGAAGGAGGGAGGTTGAAGGTTGTGTGGGGGGATGGATTGGATCATGCTCAGGTCTTTGATGAGAAGAGGTGGTATACCCGCTTAGTAGGGGATATTGCTGAGGCTGCCGTCGCTGGCGGGCAAGGGCGGGTATGATGAAGGGATGCATGGAAATAGTATATACCCTGGGTAACGAGACTAAGTAGATATTACCACGAGTGGGATATTGGTGTTTAGAGCATATTGGAATACACTGGCTGGCGCGAGGGAATAGAGCAGCGAATAGAGTCGTCAACATTCAATAAACACTAGAAGGAGGGCAGGATCGAAGAGCAGAAGAATAGAAATAAACGGTAGCCGCAAAGCACACTTGCTTCACAGCTGTAAAGTAAAGTAATTACGTACATGAAGTGAACTCGTACCGTTCATAGAACAGGTATGAGAGAGAGACTGCTGAGCGTGAATGGAAAAAGAAAAAAGAAAATAAAAGAAGAATAATCCATCGCCATAAAAAAAAAAGTATTGCCCACCGACAAAGGAAAATATTCCTTTCTTCTTACACGTTATAGAGACAGAACAGGAACGCCAGATACACCTTTAAGGCTTTACAAGAAAGAGAAGGGGGAAAAACGCGGGTTTTAGAAATGATTCTTTGCAGGTTAGTACTTCCAGTTCATATCTTCATCACTTCCGATTAAATCATTAATCGACAGGTCGAAACGTGCCGAGGAAGGGCTTAGAAAGACCAGAAGTCGCTGGTGGGCTTGCTCTGGGTACGGAAGCTAGCATTCTCCTTCTTGACTGGCTTTTCATCCTCTTCAACTTCGTCGAATCCCCAACCGCGACCGGTAGCCTTTCGACCACCCATGCCGTCGTTAGCAGTCTTATAAACGGGCTTGTGAACATTGGCATCTTCATCCTCATGGCCAAAGGCCCAGGCGCGTTCAGAGCCCATTCGTCCACCCATTCCGTTGCCAGAGGTCTTGATTCCGTTGCCAGAGGGATTGATTCCAGCGCCATTAGCTTTCTTTGGAGTCTCATCCTCAAAGTCCCAGTGACGGCTAGCGCCCTTCTTGCCACCCATGCCGTCGCCCCTGGTGCTGATCCCGAAGTTGGCAGCAGGTTTGGCTTCTCCAAGTGGTGAGGTGTTGCTCCAGTTGGCTTCCATACTATCGACGACGGTTTGACGGGCCTGTGGGACACCGGCCTTCTTCTCGGTTCCATTATTTGGAGAGTCATCGGTCAAGGCGAAGTTGGACTTGTTGCCCATGCGAACATACGGCTCACGAGTAGGTCCATTAGCCTTCTTTGGAGTCTCGTCGACAATTTCAAACTGAGAGCTGAGACCTTTTCGAGGAAGAGGCTTAGCCTGCTGTGGTTGGACTGGAGAGGTCTCTGCCTCGTCGTCGCTCCAAGTCATAGTACGAGCATTCTGAGCAGAAACCTTGGTTGGACGCTTCTCGGGAGTAGCGAAATCAGCGAAATCCCAAGAGGATCCGGCTTTGGTGTAGATGCTAGTACGTTTGGGGGCGCTGGGCTTTGGAGTTTCGGCGTCCTTCTCTGGGTTATGTTCCAACTCGAAATGCTTGAACTTGTTATGATTGACGGTGACCTTACGGTCGGGCGTAGAATTGGTCTCATCGATTTCCTGGCCGACAAAGAAGGTACGACGAGGGCCAGTTCCGGTGCTACCCTTTGGAGTAGGTTGAACTGGGGCGTCGCCGTCTTCACCAATGATATCATGGAGTTGACGGCCTGGAGGTTTGATGCTGCCACGAGGAGGAGCTACGGCTGGTTTGAAGACATCTTCGTCAAGCTCTCTTGGTGCAAAAAGCTGGATGCTTTCACGTCCCGACTGGTTACTACCCTTGGACGAAGGACGTGTTGAAGCAGATTCGCTTGCATCGGCAGCGGATTCGGCGACGGAGCTGACAGACGCTTTGATGAGCTTGACCTGCTCTTCACCGGAACGGATTGGCCAGTTTTTGCCGGATTTACCGATGACGCCGAGCTGCTTGAGAAGACTGGCCTGATCCCAATATTGGCGGATTTGCTTGATCACGCCGTCTTCGAATTGAACGATGTGGACCTACAACAACCGAAAACCAGTCAGATCAGCGGAAAAAAAAATACAGGCACGCGCGAACCATGCATGCACCATGCATGCAGGCATCGCCAAACGAAAAGGGAAAAAACCAAACTAAAATAAAAATAAAACCACATTCACTTACCATGGGAAGAGTGACAGTTTGATCGGTTACAAAATTGTCGTCCAGGTTAGGCAGCAGCATTCCACCGCCATTGGTGAATTCAATCACATTTGAGATTTCGACGACGACGGAATTGTGGCTTTCAACAGAAGATAGAATCTTCTGTTCCTTCTTGGTGTACCATCCAGCCTCTCTCTTGAGATGGTTGATGATGGCATCACCGGATTGAAAGGAGCTCCCGGTGCTGCCGATGTAATGGAGACCGGCCTGACTATGCAGGGAATCTCTCTTGGGCGAGGTGATAAACTCGGAGTACAACTTCGTCAAAGAACCTTGAGGCGCCATCATTATTGCTGGTGATATTCAATCACGATAAACCCGTATAAAGCGCGTGGAATGCGAGGAGGTGATGGAGTTTCGATGAGACGAGATGAGAAAAATAGTGGTAAGAGGAGGTTTAAGGAGACAGTAAGAGAGCAATATCTGGAGACCAGATCAAGGTATATCTGAGAGAGGTCAGCCTGTTAGTGGATGGAGTCCGATGTGAATGTTTATAGCCCAAAATACCAGCCGGGACAGGACAGACTAACCACTTAGTAACTCGCTAGTGCGTCCGTTGCTGTTGCTATGTGTTGGTTGAGTTCGAGCTGTAACCGTCCAAATGTCTCCGGTCCAAAAAGTATGACGGACAGAGTTTTGATTTAGGGAAGTTATGATGTAAGGTTACAGCTAGCTTGCCCTTGAAGTTATTCACACTTTCCACAGAGGTTACCTACTTAAGTACTTAAGTGGATAGCTTTGTGGTGATAATGATAGTGGTGATAGTTAGTTAATTTGGGGGGTGGAAGATGCCAGTCTGGCACAGAATGGAGCTCAAGGAGTGGGTATCCAGCAAATCGAACCCAGCAAGGATGGGGGGAATGGTCTCTAGTTAAGTATGTAATAATTCTTTCTATTCTTTCGAGAATCGTAAACAAAAGGTCAGAAAACAGAAACAGGTCGGCAGAATAGGAGTAGTAGCAATAGCGAGGGTATGGATGTTAACTCGAAAAGGGAGGGATACTGTTCGTCAAGGTACCTTCTACCTCGACCGCGAGCGACTGCCAGGTTTTTATACGGGCACGCCGACACGGGCATAACATAGGGCTTACGGGGTTGTCATGCAAGGACCGCGCACGGGGTGGGTACCATAAACAAGCGGAGACGGATAGCTTGTATCAGGTACCTGTTATCATGGTACCCCCTCCCTTAGCGTCGATGTCTAGGCTGGGGACAGGCATCGTCATTGCAATGTAATGGAATGCATGCATGCATGTGCGTGCATGCAACTAGCAACCGAGTCGCACGGATATGGGTACTTGAAATAGATGTGTAAGTATACGTCGACGTGGAACGTAATGTTAACGCGACAGATATCAAAACAATCAGGAAAACAATCTATTCGGTTGTATCGATGTCCTCCAAAATGCAGAGATACCGTTAGATCCGTGGAGCCTCGTTTTGTTGCTCGTTACAGATTGAATGGGCAGGTGCAGGGGTCCGGGGAGAAAAGAGAAGACGGGCATTGGTCTAAGCCATAAGCAGAAAGCCGGGCAGGCCTGCAGATTCTGATACAGGGACAAACCAGGCGCATTGAGAGTTGTAGATGCTGCAAAGGGGCTTCACGAACACCGGTCCTGTAATAAAACGTTTAAAACGGGACTACGCTGAAGGTTACCTTTGAGCGGATGCGGCAGATGGCGTTCAACCGCTAGTTAATTCTTTGAATTGGGAGCTAGTTAACCGGACACATGATCGATTGAGCAATACGATTATTTATTTATATGACTTCGAGACATCGGCTCTCGCGTGCTTGCGGATCGTGGAGAACGAACCCACCCGCAATCCACGCTTCTCTTTGTTTCCTTCTGATTTTATTGGGCAAACTACCCAGTCTGCCCGGGCGTGGGTACCGCTGATAGCTGTACAGTCAATACTCCGTAATAGCAATTGCCATGTGCCGTCAAGGTACCTATGTGTACTGGACTTGTCTCAAGCTAGAATTTTTAGAGACCACTTTTGATGTCATATGCATCCATGTGGCCCAAACGCTCGGGATCTGGTGAATTGGAAAGCTTTCGTATGTTATATAGTAGGGATATAACCTCCACTCGATCTGCCAATCCAACTTTCTAGTGTCGTCACATGAAAGTGCCAGCATCATAATATACTACTATAAGTAGCCGTCAAAAAATACAATGGCAACCTATAGTTTATAAGCTGGTGCAGGCACCCTGGGCAAATCAGGGTCCCTATCCTCAATCCCATCGATAGTTGCCATCCGATTCTCTTCAAGATACTGCATTGTCAATGGTTGCGGGAATGCAGTAGCAGAATAGGGTGGTGGAGGCTCTCTTCGTCTTCGTCTTCTTGAAGTCCGTCTACGACTTCTGGAGACGTTTGCGATTTCCACATCTGTACTACGTCTTCTGCGACGGCGACGACGACGGATGAAGCGCCAGAGGCAGATTGCGAGGAAGCTGGTTACTACAAGGGCACCTAAATCAGAAAATTATATTGAGACGATTAGAATTGTGATACTAAGTAATTCTCAGGAAGGGGAATCACGAATTGGATGGGTGACATACAAACAGCAATGACAATGCACCTTGTAACCTGTGGCCTACCAGTGAGAACATTTCCATTATTACCATGTATAGGATCTGCTTTCGGACTGTCAGCGGCGTAGATATAACCACCAGCTGGAATCGCGGCTGCCGCACCACCTGCCATCAAAAGGGTCGTCCCGGGCACTATTGCCAGCGTGCGTGCTTTCAATATGCCCATCGTGCTAGTTGTACCTTTCAAAGTATCGTAAATTTAAAGATGAATAAGAGCCACAATTCGACGTTCTGCTCTACATCTAAAATGAAGACCCAGGCTCATAAATCATCGCCACAGTGAGTCTAGACGCCTTACAAATTAATATTCCATCGACCAGCCTTTCGAGACCTTGTCGTGTGCACGTGTCGACGACTCAAAGCTTTGGGATACCGCAGTTTTTTTTGATGTCCGAACGTCCAATTGGCGTACTATCTGTATCAAGCTGTAATACATGTACAGCACAGACCAATGGACTCCATCATGCTATATAAGCCCCATGGTTCACACCCGTCCGCCGACTCTTTGAGTTTATTAAAACTCTATTAGAAGTATTTATAACGTATTCTGCTCAACGGACGGACCGCATCAGGTAACATCTCGACGGACGGTGTATTGCGTGTTGTATGGATGCGTCGAATTGTAAAGTATATATACCGTGCCAGGTATCATATCGAGTTTCCATTTGAAATGGGGTTTATTCAATTCAGATGGAGAACTCCGAAGACGGTTTTCTTCATCCTTGAAGATTGGTAGGACGGGGCAGACGGGAGAATCCCGGATGAAGTTTTTTTTTTCTCTCTTGCATTCAGCTGCAGCTTCCTTGCAGAATGAAGAGAGGGCAGGAGGTGGGGGGACAGAGGTCTAGTTAAAGAATGATCCCTTGCATGCTGGCAACTGCGAATTTGAAATGCACAACCAAATCCTGTGAATAAATGGCGAGACTAAGCTAAAATAATAGGAATCCTGTGAGTCACTGTCATTGAAGCAAGGAATTTATCAAGTGACAGGACTTGCAGATTGTTGGACCATTTGTCAGCAACGCAGATGCATATCGTGATAGGTGATTAATAAGATATCGAAGATTGTCGAGGTGGGGAACGTTAACATTGATAGCTTCATCACCCCTGTCACAGCCGGAGTACATACATCTACCATATGGATAAGTCAGCATGGATATATATGCCAGATTGCAGCTAAAATCTAAAAAACTCTAGTTCGATATGCATATATATGCACGAAGCCTGAGGAGCAATCTGAGAATCTTAGGCAGGAAACCGAAAGGAATACCTATCTCTGAATTTCCACGTTCGCTCGCTCGCTCGTCCCGTCGCAATTCTCTAACCTAGCCACATACACATACATACACATATACATAATTATATAAGTACTTACTTAACCGAGTTGAGCTTTACAGGATACGATATACAAATAGTCTGGGGGCTTTGAGGTTTAAAAGCTAAAAATTAAAAAGAGGATTAGTAGACAGCACCCGTCTGACTGACTAAGAACTGAGGTAAACATCTTCATATTTAATTTATCCGGCCAATGTAATCCCGACCGGAACCTGTGAGATGCATCATATAATATTAAATATCTGGGGGGACACGGCGTATTATATGTAATGTGTACATGTATCTGCCGTAGCCGGTTTTGTAACGAATATAAACGGGTCTCCACTCTTACAACCGATATCGATACCCGATTCTAGGCTAACTAGTTCTTTCTTTCTTACTATGCAAGTGAGGAGATATTCATAGGCAAGAAGTATTTAAACAAGTGTATAAAGAGCCTGTGAATGGACTCGTGAAATATGAAGCCCAGCTGCTTGAATTCTTTGAGGCAAAAACACTCCAGGCCAGTGCAGTCCCACGCACACTATTTCCTGAATCCGGAAGACTTCACAATAAAACTCGAAACTATCCAATTACGCCCAGATCGGCCGTCGGCTCCAACCGTTCGCTTCCTGTTGGCGGAGCCTTCTCGGAGTTTACATCTCTTAGCTCCTTAGAACGGCTTACATACTACATACTTGCAGAACAAGAATGACTATGCTCTTTCTGGCTGGATACGAAAAGCATAACCGTTTCCTGTGAGCCTACATGCTACAGGGGGCCACTTTCGACTCGACTTATTAATATCATCTGATTTCCATCTTTTCGAATTTTTTCCTGTTCGTTTCCCTTCAAAATTATCGATCCGTAGAAGTTCAGTTTTCCAGTTGATTTTAATTCCTCACGACCGCACGTACATTACAATACCTACCTACACACTTCATACAATCTCCGTGGAACATAGCTAGCAATCACCGTGAGACAGCTCTCGTCAGCACCACACACACACACACAGACACACCCCGCATTCATTTTCAACAAGCTTAGCTTAGTCGCCCGCGTAGAGAAAAAAAATACAGTCGGGGCGAGATGACCGCGAATCCGCCAATTTCAGGATCCGGCTCGGGGACTCACCAGTCCTCCGACAACTTCCGAGTCATCCGGAAAAGGAACAGAGTACCCGTCTCTTGCGGTCCTTGTAGGCATAGAAAGTACGTACCGTACCCCTCGAGGTATCCTTATCGTATGTGTTGCGGGCACCTGGGTTGGAGCTGACGGAGCTGGATGTTCGCGGCAGGCTCAAATGTAATCGTCAAAGTCCGTGCGAGAATTGCGTGAAGAGGGACGATATCGCTTCTTGTAAGATATAACTAGCTGGGATGCAATTGCATTGGGGGTTTGGTTCACGAATATTTACTCGTTGTGAATAGGCAACTATGCATCCGTCGCAGCCCGAAACAGACGCGCCAACGCCGCTGGCGATAAAGCCTCGCCGGACGATATGCAAGCCCGGATCGATCGGCTGGAAGGTCTCGTCCTGTCGTTGATGGGTAGTGGCGCCCCGGACGTCAACCGTCGGGGGTCCAAGGACTCAGCCAAGGAAGATGTGGACATCGATGAAGACGCCGGGTCGCAAATGCACACGGAGGAAACCACAAGCGAAGAAGGTACGAATATTGAAGATCAACATGATTTTAATGTCAAATCGGAAGTGGATGACGATGTTGAGGATGTACGAAGGTACGCGGAGCGAAGGCCATTCTAGTTCTACTACCAGAAAACGAACGGAAAATGACTGAGGTGGTGTGCACAATAGCCAGCTAGGGTTTATGAAGGTGGAGCATGGGAAGTCGATGTATCGGGGGTCGTCCCATTGGGCCCTAGTTCTGAGTGAGGTAAATACCTATCCTATCCTCCTATAATCTTTTTATTGAAATATTCGAAAATATGTTTCTAATTCGAGGTGCTCTACCCACAGATCGCGGAAGTCAGAAACTACTTCACCGTGGCCGCGAACAGAGAGAAGTTTGAATGCATATCAAAAGAGCAAGAGAGGGAAAAACTCCAAACTGTGAACACATGTTTTCCCTTTTCCGCCTCCAGTGTGTTATCAAGAAATGAAATTCTGCGGTACCTACCCACCCAGTCCGTGGCCGATAAGCTGGTGGAGCACTGGTTCGATGCCTTCGATCGCTCATATCACATCCTCCATGGCCCGACATTCCGTAAAGAAGTAAGCATTAAGTAGGGTGCCTTTCTCTATTTCGGATAGCCTTCTAATTTGTATTTTGAACTAGTATGAGGCATTCTGGCAGGATCCGCACTCTCCGAAGGTCGACCTCAGCTGGATTGGTCTTCTTATGGCGATCCTAGCTACGACCATAGCTGATCTGATGAACTTGGGTCGGATGGCCAATGATCCAGAGTTGGTGGGTATGGAATCGGATCAGTACAAGCTGCCTATCGAGCACTGCATCGTCCTAGGTTTGAATGCCGCGAAACCGGGACTCTACACTATCCAAGCAATGATTATCTATTTGGGGTGGGCACGCAATAAATCAAATCAGGAGCAGATGTGGCTATATCTAGGATTAATACTGCGTGTAGCGCAGTCTATGGTACGTTTTCTGGGTAGCCTGTATATTCCAGAATACATGCTAATAAAATCGTCAGGGTCTTCACCGTGATCCGAAGAAATTCGAAGTTGATATAGCTCCATATCACGTCGAAATGCGAAGGAGACTGTGGAATGTCCTAAGCTGTATGGATCTCCTAGAGTCCATTCGTATCGGTCTACCTTCTATTGTTAGAGCCGGGGAGTCCGATGCCATGCTTCCATCAAACATTCACGATTACGAATTCGACGAAGACTCAAAAACCCTCCCTCCCTCCCGACCTATGAGCGAGCATACGCCGATGTCGTATATGATCGCCAAAAGCAAACTCGCCAACGTCTTTGGTCGAGCGGTCCAAATGATTAATCAGATCAAGCCCGCCCCTCACTATGACGATATCCTAAGACTCGACGCAGAAGCAAGGAAAGTGTACTCTTCGATGCCAGATTTCCTGAAGTTTAGGCCGCTAGAGGAGTCGAGGGTGGACCATCCGGCCTTAATCATGCAAAGATACGGATTGAATATCCTACATCAAAAGTCGCTACTTATCATGCACAGACCTTACTTTACGTTGAGGTTGAAGAGCAATGCTCGATATGCGCCGTCAAGACGTGCATGTCTTGAGAGCGCGATGACATTGTTAAACCATCAGTATACATCGTGGGACACACAGGTAAGTTTTACTTGACATCGAACAATTGGGATTACACTAATCCCCCCGTCATCTAGTATAATAAAAAGGATAAGACTCTTTATCATATCGATCCAATTTCACCTAGTGATTACCTCCCCGCGGCTGTAATTATTATGATTGAGGTCTGGCAAGCTCCTGCCGACTTAAACACATCCAATGGCGGTATTTTTACTATGGGCCGAGGAGACCACGAGCATATGCTCAAGGTCCTGGAGCGCGCATGCCACATCTACAGTAGCTTCCCGGACAACTTGGAGGTCGCAAAGGCTTATGCCCTGCTTTCTCATTTGATCGAAAAAGTCAAAGCGAAATTTTATGCAAGGAATAGGCCGTCCGATACCACCCCCACGCAATCTCCACCAGACAACTACTCTCCATTTTCTGGTCAGCCAATGTCTACGACTCCCGAACCATCATCTACGAAGGATTCAGAACACTCAGCTGCCCTGACCTTGGGGATGTTGAGCTCTGGTGGAGTCACCCCCTTAACTTCGCCACCAAGTGTGTTCTCTGGGTTCACGACAGCGCCGGCGGCGGTACCTATGCAAGATGTTGGGAAGACGGGCTTGACACCTTTGTACCAACCTGCATCACCTTCTGGAGCGAATTCCGCTCCGCTGTCATTCTTCGGGCAAGGAATGGGTATTATGGGGATGGATGGACCAAGTAGTTTGGGATGGGTAAGGACTTCCTTTTCATGATCATATAATGGGATTGTTCCTATGCTAATGTCTTTCTTAACAGGACGAGTGGGATAACTTTATTCAAGGAATAAACTCGGATAATATGAATTGGAATATCCCAATGTCGCCTCCAGCTTCGAACGGAGAGTCCAATTCTGAGTCCTCGCCACAGTGGGCATCTATGATTGCACCGGACCCCGGGTCGAACTAAGAATGAATATATAAGACCTTAAATTCTTATCTTGCTATTTCACGTCATTTCTTCTGATTTCTTTGGCCTTTGGATATGTTGTTTTAACCGTTTGGGTGGCTTGGGTTTAGTGTTCACAGGATGGGATAGATTCCAAAAGCTCTGGTTTAACCGGGTGTAGTTTAAGTGCTTATATGATGAATGCCTCAAATCTCCTCTCCTCCTCCGCCGTTAATTGTAAATGATATTGCCCTTCGAGGACTTTGTACTAGTATATTATATATATATAGTGACGCCTGGCTACTCGAGCCAGAGAATATCCATTTCCCCGAACCGGTTGGACTTGATTCCTCACAAGAATGCTGGAGCGTTGCGGGTGTTGCAGAAATTTTCCATGTCTTTCTTTTCCTTTTAGTGCGGCGACCTACAAAAGGAATCTTATCACGACCAAAAAAAAGTTTTACCGAAAACCTACTCTCTTTTCCAACGACACAAAGAAACCCATCTTCCTCCCGACATCCTTGATACCCACGATTTCTACACTTCATAACTCCGGAGCACCTCGATTTTGGTCCTTTGTTGCATCTTCAACTGTTTTGAAATTCAATTCCTTCATAGCAAGGTTTTTATATACCCATCGTTCAAGATGTAAGTCTGCCCGCTACAATACGTGGGGTGGTGATGGCTTCCAACCCGTCTGCCCGCCGGACCATCCCGAAAGGCACCAACAGACCGCTAATACTTCTTACTAGGCTCTCTCTTCGTCGATCGATCTTCCGTAACCTCAAGCCAGGTGCTATCTACGCAGCTCCACCGGTTCTACAACAACAGCGAGCTCGAGCCTTCCAAGCTGTTGCCACACTTGCCGACAATGCCGTGATTGCACCCCGCGCTCCATCCCCACCACTCTCCAGAATTCTTCCGACAGCAGCGACTCAGACCAGAATGTACTCGAGCCTTCCCGAACAGTCTCCAGACCACAGGGACTTCCAGGGTAACCCTTTACCACCAACGAAGAGGATCTACGTTGGAAACATCTCATATGGTATCAGAGGCGAGGATTTGGAGCGAGAATTCGGCGAGTTCGGAAAGGTTGTTAGTGCAAAGGTTGTTTATGATCCCCGTGGGCTTTCCAAGGGGTAAGTACATTATTTCTTTTTCGCAGCGAAAAAATTTTGATATTGGTAAAGTAATTCCTTTTCGCTAACTTCCGGGCAAAAAATTAGATTCGGATATGTCGAGTATGAAGAACAGGATGCTGCTACCGCTGCTGTCCAGAAGATGCACGGACTTATCGTTGACGGTCGACGCATAAACGTTCAATATGTTCTCCGCCCAGACCGTGAGGGTCCCACCAATGGCGAGAGCAACGCTCCATCCAGAACTCTCTTCATCGGAAACCTTTCTTTCGATATCACTGACAAGGACTTGAACGAGCTCTTCGCTGGTGTTCGCAATTGCACCGACGTCAGAGTTGCTATTGACAGGTAAATAATTTCCTTTGTTTCTCCATTCTTATTTATTTATTTTAAAATTTCATATCTGACATTGTATATCTAGGAGAACTGGCCAACCCAGAGGATTCGCCCATGCCGACTTTGTTGATATTGCCAGCGCTGAGGCTGCCAAGGGTCAGTTGGAGACCAAGTCTATCTACGGCCGTCAGATCAGGATAGATTTCACCAAGACCAGCCCACAGAGAATGCCACTCGGCTCCACCGGTCGATCTTTCATCAACCCCGACAAGGAATAAATTCAAAAAATTCAAAATACAAAAATAAAATAAAATTGAGAATCGTTTGAACGCTTTTACGAAATTTCGATACGAGGGTTGTCGGTATGGCGAATGAATGGGAACGTGGAGAACTTTTTTTATGTGGTGTGTGTGGGTGTGCTCTCAGAGTGTGGTTCCGGTGCGAGGTGTCTAAAAACCTATCTTTTTTTACAATAACAACCCAAAGCCGAAAAGTCAGTCCTTATGTTTATTCGGGAACAAGAGAGGGGAGGAGGATATAAAAAAAAATCTTGAAGAGGCAATTATAATCTAGACCCTACTGCTTCTCTCGCTCACCCCCCCATATTTACAATCGGAGTTACAGATTGTTGAAATTTACTCTTTGTACATTTCCCTTTTTTTCCTTTGGTTGCTCGACTTCCTCCTCCCCTTCATCATCTCCCAACTTGTTCCTTTTCTCCTCCTTCCTCATCACCCACTCGCCTTCCACTTCTTGTAATTACTTTTTCTTTTATATCCCCCTCCATTGAACGAAACGGTGGACCCTGTAGGGTTACACACCCAGGGCGCATTGCGTTTTGTTTATATGTATGTACTTGTAAGATAGAACTGTTCTTTTTTTTTTTTTTTTTCTCCCTATTCCTTTCTTTGACTGGAAATTCCCTTGTGTATATTTGTGAGATTTTCTTGGATAGGTTCAATACAAATAAGATCAATCTCCCACCAAACTTCTATTGATTGGCTATTTCCAGTGACCAAGCTTACTATAGCTGTAAGGGATTGGTTGGAAATTAGAGTTGTATAACATGTATAGGTATATACTAAGAGACTGATCTACTCCTCCTTCACAGCCTTCCTCTTCGACTTAAGATCCCACCCATTCAAAACGCCCACTCCAACATTAAGATAAGTCGCAAACGAAACCCAAGCCATATAAGGCAGCATAGTCCACACAGCAACCTCATCTCCCAACCTCGAATAACTCCACGTCAAAGCCCCTAGGTTAACACCCAACCCCAGGATATCGAGTAACGCCAACCCTGGTTTTTCAATACCGAAGAATAGTGGAGTCCAGAGGAAGTTTAGGATTAGTTGGGTGGTGTATAAGGTTGCGGTTGTGGGGAAGTGAGGGTGGGAGTTGGAGGATTTGTAGGCGTGGTGGATGCCGTAGCCCATTAGGCCGTAGAGGAGGGTCCAGACTGGACCGAAGAGGTAGGAGGGCGGGTGCAGGGGCGGTTGGGTTAGGGAGTGGTAGGTTGTTTTGGTTTTTGCTGGGGGGTTGGGGGGTTAGTTTAGTACCTCTGTGGGGGGTGGGTTGGAGGGGGGCTTACGGCTTAGAGACCAGCCTATTGCGGAGCCTGTGGGTTTTTTGGGGGGGATGTTAGTTATGGTGGTTTAATTTACATATATTACTTGATTAAGATATAAAATCCGGGTTTAGGGAACTAACCTATGGTTATTGGAAGAAGGATTGAAGCTGCAGGGCTACTGAGGATTCGAGGGTGGAGGCCTAAGCCTATAGTGGTACCCAGGATGGTGGGCATGATTGTCGTTCGGAATATAACGCGATATGTGTATCAATAGTATGTATTTAGGTATCTACAATCTTTAATTTATGAAATATATGATGCTAGACTGCAGGGAAGGAGTTTTATGATTTTATGGGAGGAAGAGAGGGGAGGGTTATATACGAGATGGGGGGAGGGGTAGGTGTTAAGATAGATATGCCGCGGGTGAATTGAAGGGACTGTTAGCTGTTTTGTGAAGATGTATTTCGTCATGACATCTGCAAGGTACGGGATTGGACAAGGGTTTGGTGACAGGGGTGGTTTCAACACCCACGGATTTCCGGATATCCGCTGTCCGGTTGAGTTAAATTTATAATTTAATAGCTTAGCTAGAATTAGAGACTGGAGATTTAGAGCTTGAGAGAAGCTTGGAAAAATGAAGGTATTATTTGGGTGGACCTGCAGTCTTGGCAAATGGAACTGAGAGAAAGTTCTGGGTGTTATTATACTATTATATTCGGTCGATTCTGGACTATTCCTCCGCGCTTCTTGTAGAAGTTCTATTCTATAACTTTAAAACTATATTAAAATATGTGTAAGTATTTCTCCCTTGATTTTTTCGTGACCTAGAGATATCCCTTTCGAATTCATCTACGGTTAAATTTCACAATCAAGTATATATTACAGTCACGGGTCTAGAACTGATAGAATTCCATACGAAGTCAACAGATTCACATGAACGGCGGGGTTTAAACAATATTCATCGATACCCTTAACACCAAGCTTCATGGGGTTGAAGTATATATAGATAACTATGTACCCTCTAAAGGTATTGTAGCTGCCTTGAATATTTCCAGTATTAAAATCACCAGTCCCAGCCGGTAAAAGATACTAGAATTATAATATATATACACTGCAGATATATATTAAACAAGCTAATGTCAGCTTGTACGTATGGATCTGAGTACGAAGTTCCTGGTATACTACTTATTCAAACTATATACAATGTATATAAAATATTATAATTAATTATATATATTTGCTGCGGCTCCCGGTTACTTAAATACTATCTATAGTATTGTTAACATATTTATCATCTATAGAACGCTTACTATAATCGATGAAATTAACTGGCTTGCATGGGAGCTATACATGAGTTCAGAAGCAAGTGACTAGTACGGATATATATCATGATCGATCACAATAGTCATTTGTACTCCAAAGACAAAGTGGTTAATTAAGCCATCAGTCCCAATGAATATTCCCAATAAACGCCTTTTATTTGCATATATTTTATCTACAGTATAAATTCAAAACCCCGGTTTATTCGATAATAGAAATCCAACTATAACGCCTCCTTAAACATAGATATATGAAATACTTATAAAACACCGGAGGCATGCACAGCATAACAATAAAATTCACCAGATGATGTAAATCTAAGCTGGTGGTAGTGGTGGAGGAACGGCACAAAGTTTATTAAGCTTAACCTCGAACAACCTGCTCGTCGGGCTTTCCTTATTCTTCTTGATGTCTGTATTTTTGAGGAAAGGAAATGATTAGTTTTTTTATTTCTTATATATAGAACTAATCAAGCGCAAAAAATTGGTTGGTATCAAACTCACTTTCACATAGTCGGGCGCATAGGGCTTCGGCGCCTTTGTCTTCTTTCTTGTCGCCCACGGGTTTGAATTTATATTCGTTGCAGTTTTCTGCCAGAGGTGGCGCTGTCTCGTCACGAGCTTCTAGTCTTCTGGAAGTGATTGGAGAAGCCTCGCGAGCTTCGAGGATTCTGGGTATGATTGGAGAACCCAGGGAGAGGTTGACAAGAAGGGCTGTAACGATGAAGGTAAGGCTTGAGATCTGCATGATTGATAAATCTAGATTTTGTAAATTTAAAGGAGTGTGTCTATAATGAAGAGTATGTTAGCTTGATAGCTATAAATTTATACTAGTAGAACTCTGTGGAAGTTGTGGATGAATTGTGTATATCCATACCTAAGAAATATTTTAATATTATATATCGGTAACGACAGTATCTCTTTAGTTAATTTCCGTTAAATTAAATCAACTACCCAGAGCCAGGAAGATTTTCAAAAATATACTACGGGATCAACTGCCATTTTATATTCCTCGCACGGGTCTAATATACATCCCAAAGGTCGAATATACCGAAATGTATCATGCCAAGGAGCTAGTCGAATATAGAAATCAAAGGCGTTGTTGAGCGTCTGCTCGCGACATTAGTATCTTCGATTCGATTCGATTCCGTACTAATAATGTGAAGATGACTTGGACAGGCTAATATGTAGTTTTCATTAGAGATTCGAATAACTGGTTTCGTTTTGATGTACGTAATTTCGAGGCTTTTTTTTGTTTGGGAAATGGTATAATGTGTATCAGTAACGTTGGGACTGACTACCGAGGCGAGAGATATCTCAGTGGACCTGTGTCAAAAGTCGTATTATTGAGTAGCTTTTGGACGTATTAATATTGCATAGAGATATCTCGGCATCTTTTGACTCCTGCAGATATTTCCCGTTCCATGTTTTTCTTCCGAGAGTATTTGTATATATACGCCTGGAATTGAGACTATGTGTACATCATTAGGAACTATTAAATTGAATGAAATGAGTGTTCAATGTTCATGTCAGTGTCGTACCTAGCGTTGCATTTTGGACGGCTAAGCCGCTAGCAGGGTTTTGGCCAGCCAGGCCGCCAACAGTACCGGGCGCCGTAGCTTGTAGACGTAACACAAGGCTTCGACTCCTTTTAGTTACGATTTCAAAGTGCGTCGTGTATTACGAGGCGGCAGCCTACGCGCGAGATTATATAGTAGACTCACCCGAGTAATCAAAAAAATCGACATATAAGGTATTATCACCATATATCACGAAATCTCCCTCAAATTAATTCTTCAAAGTATCAATCCAACTTCTTCTATAGCTACCCGTATACGTACCCCCGCAATTACAACATAAAGATGTCGGTTTCACTATTCAGCCTCCCGCGAGAGTTGGTTGATGAAATACTTTCATACGTCTCCAAGCGTGACTTTAGACGGTTTTCTCGGTGTTCTCGCACGTGTCGGGATTTTATTATTCCGCTTGTATTCAATCGTATCGAATGGAGGGCTCCTTCTAGGGCGGCTGCGTTTCGTGATGGAGGGATCGTTGGGCATTTGAGGCCTGTGGTTCAGTATGTGGTATCCATTTGCTTCACATATCCAAAATCTTGGGATTGCAAAGAAAGAGAAATACAATTAAAAAAAAAGAGGATATTAATTGCTTATAGTCACATATCGATGCATATGCCCGGACGTTCAAATGAATTGCTCCGAAACATAGATGCTTTCATGGTCTACATGGACGTCCTAGCATTATTTCCAAAAATCACCAGCCTATGGATAAATCTATCAACAATAGCAGAGCTAGAACCAAACCTAATCCAAGTTATCTTCACAAAACTATCAACCAGCCCGGCATTTCACACACTCAAAAGTCTAAACTTCACATGCAAACGTGTTGCGAGTTTTAGTCTGCACGATCTTGCAGGTGCGAGGAATCAAGACTACTATGCAGCTTTACCGGAGAAGTATTACGAATACTTAGGGCCTCAAATACGGAGTGGATATAACGTGGACCCGCCACCAGGTCCGCCGGGGTTGACGGAGTTGATCGTTGCTACCAATCAGTTTTCACTTACTCCGACTCGTAGAGCCGAACCGCATATGTCGTTTCTACACCAGTCTTGTGCGAAAACATTGACCAAACTTCGGATCAGGAGCGATGCGGTGTTTGTTGCGCCGGATCCGAAGTTCGACGTTTCCGAGCATAACTTTGATTGGCAGGGGTTGAAACAGTTACAATTGGAACTTGGACATACTAATTTACTCGTTTTGCCGGAGATCAGAGATAGGTTTCGTAATATTGAGGATTTGGTGATATTGAAACATGGTGCTTGGTATGGTGCTAACCAATGGTTACCCGATGGAGACGAAACGGTGCCGCGGGAGACGATGTTATGTAATGCCTTCCAGGGGATGAAGAATTTGAAGAGATTAAGACTACCATGGCCGACTGATAATTCCGGAGGGGATATATTTCACAATAAGAATCATATATCACCGGAAGGGCTGGAGAAGGCTGTTAATTGCTGGATAAGCGGGGGGACGGAGAAATTGGAAAAAGTGGTTTTTGCAAAGGATTACCCCGGGAACAAACAGGACCAGCTGCTCCAATCACTGGTTGGGTTTAAGATTGTGAAGGATAGCTATATAAGTGCGTTAAAGGGCGAGCTTTGGTGGAGAGTTGAACCTGAGCTGGGAGAAGTGCTGTGTTTTTATATTCGGGGAGTTGGGCAACGGTCTATGGATGAGTTATTCCAGGTGCCGCCGGACAAGTAAGTGTCCCATTTTACACCCCTTTGAGACTGATTAAAAAGCTAGCGGGGTTTGGTTTAACAAATGGATTGGAATAGTCCTCCGGTTAATTTATATGGGAAACAAAACTGGTTCAGTTGACCGACGGTATATAAGTATATATCCGGTATGCCTATTGCAGCTCTATATTCCACTTGGTAATTTAAATTTAGTTTGAATATCTGATATCACATTGCATCATTCAGGCGTAAAATAAGGGAGCTAAGTATACTATGTAAGACATGCCTACTTATAATATCTATAACCGTCGAGTTAGGACTCAATCTCGTACATTGTGCTTAATCATTAAGGTACTTCGATTCGTTGATATACATGTGAATGACTAACCGGGATACATACATACCTGTGCCACTAGGCGGACATTCCTTTTCTCTTAGAACTCAATGCAATGTTGGCATTGTATTTAATCTTCATCTGGCAAAGACAATATGATGCCTGAATAACTAAGTACCTAGGTAATGCCTGGACTTATAATAGGGCGGTTGTTCATATGTATACTTGACACATTCAGGCTAACGTAACGTTGTGTTGTTCATGTGGTGGAGTTCAGGCAACATTGGGAACCTCTGAACTTGCAGCCTGGAATGAATGCTTTTTTTGGACCTGCTCCATGACTGACTCCCAGTACCTGTTGTACCCCAGCAGCCGGACGGGAATCGGATCGGTGTAAATCAGATATATACCCTCTTGGCATATTTAAGTTGGTTTGAAGACTGAAGACTGAAGACTGGAGATCTCGCCGGTGTTTATTTATACATGTAAAGGTTCGGAAAATTATCGTACGGGGTATATAGACTGACTAGTCGAGGATTTCGAGGGTTTGCATGAACACTTCAAGACGTACTTGATACATGCACGCCACATTGTGAGCTACCGACTGCTGTTGTAGCGGTAGCTATAGCGTCTAATTGCATTGTCGAAGTCTTAGCTTTTAATCAAGCCTGCAACCTGGAACCTTCACGCCTTGGATCCTTCGTTTGGGGCTGCACAGTGTAGCGGCGGGCCAGGAAAGGCTGAAAAATAAGGGAAAAACCATGGCCGGTTCCACAAATCCCACTGGCTGCACATCCGACCGGACCCACTTTGATAGCTTCGCCAGAAGAATGAGGTAGGTTAGGATGGTTCAGGTGCATGAACATGGGCATGGTGGGGAATATCCCGTCTTGTTTCGAACGGCGGGTTGGCAGCCTGCTGGGAAACGAGGCTGTATAAAATTAATTATATCGACTGCTTAGGACTTTTGACTAGTATGATGGGTATCAAGGCATACATATCAGGTATTGGATGTCTGGAGAGAAGGTATACTGAATTCAAATCCTCGAGGAGATAGCTTTAAATTCCGAGGTTGGCTGTCCAAGGTCCTTCTTCCTTCTTGAAAGCCTTTTCGAATTAATTTGATTCCACTGGATACTCAGATCTGGTCATTAATATCACTTTTTTCTTCGATCTCCTGCTGGTAACTGGTAACTGGCAACTGGCAACTGACGGACGGTCTTAATGACAGTTTACTGTACGTGCTTGAGTACTGACCTATTACATACAAAGTATACAGAGGGGTCCAGCTAGTATACTTGTACTTACCATACTACCAACTCCAAACCAGTCTTCGGAATTCAATTCTTCTTCAACCTTCCAATCCACAGATCAAATCGAATCCTTTGGCAGGCCCGAGCAAGCTAGAATCTATTCCCTTCCCTTCTGCTTTTCATATATCGACTCCACCCAATTATCTAATTTTAAAGATACCTTTTGCTCAAGGAACGTGCTGCACAACGTGAAAACTGCCTGGCGAGGCTACACAACAAGCGGCTCACTACGAATTACCCGCCCCCACGATCGATCATCGTCTCGATATCTCTCTCAACTCTCCTTCTAGCTTCTACTACCTACTTACTTACGTATACTTATCTCATGATTGATATTTCTTAATTATACCCTACCCTTGGTATATTTACGACTTCGGCTATTCTTGTCGTCGTTTCGTAGGAAATCGTTACATCCATCCATCCTCTTTCTAGGATCGAGCTACACTTTTGGCCCGTGCGACCCGCTACTTAATACCACACGAGGCTGACCGTTCGGATACCTGGCAACACACTTCGACATTATTCCGAATTAACGCTGCAGCTTAATAGGATATTCTCGACTTCCAAAATCCTTTGCTCCGATATCTAGTTTTTACGTTATCAAGTCGATCTACTGCTTTTATTTTACTTGCTTTTCGAAAGAAGGAGGGAACAAGATCGTTGAACAAAATCGAAGGTCTCTCTCGTCAAGAGACTAAACAACATTCAAAATGCCGAAGGACCAGTATGATACCGATCTTTATATGGCATCTGATGATGATAGTATTGAAGGAGCATATGTTGTCGGAACGGGGGAGAACGAAGGAGAGTTCTTATTTCAATATCATCCAAAGGAAGGAGAGCCATCGACAATATCTGTCATCATAGTTGGTGAGTATTTCCCAATTCTTTCCACGTACTTGTAAACTACTCAAAATAATTAAGATTCTGATGAATCCCCTTCGACAAAATAGACCTCCCGAACTATCCCTCAAGACACGAGGTTTTCATCTTTGGCTGTGGTGACGATGCAGCTTCTCTTGGAGAGAAGCTTAGTGATCTCCCCAGTTTAGCAGGAACACCCATCAAGCAGATTATGGTCAGGGTCGTACAACATCTAAGAAATAAAGAAGCAGATGGATCGAAGAAACGGCCATTTGTTGTTAATGACGACGACGTAGGTTTTGGGCATGCTTCACAGTCGTCACAGGCCCGCCACGCTAGAAAGACTGGCCGTTTATCGCACGACGACGACAACGACGACGGAGATGATTTGTATACGACAGGGCCGACGCTTGATAAAGGCAAAAAAGTAGCCTCTGGATCTCCACCTGTGATTACCCCGACTAGTCCTTCGCAGAGAATCATTACCGACCTGAGGGCCGCAAAAGATGCGGGGTTTAAACTTGGGTACCATGGATCGCTGAAAGGTACCGGAGTTTGCTATGTCGTTATATCATGCCGGTTATCGCGGCTAGGTATTTCGGATAATGCTTTGGATGCATGGCATGTTGAAACAAAGAGGTACTTGAGCCTTATAATCGAATACCCAGCTGGATACGCCAATTTGGACGACCTTTGCGACGAATTGAAGAGATCTCGTTCAGACCGAGCGAAGGCAAATATCCGAATGAGAATCCGACAAAATGACCAGTATAAACCAACCAAGGCGCAATGCCAAGCTGCTTTCAAGAGGGCAGATCCAAACATACCCTATATATTTCAGACGCTAGAGTTGTTCCTGAACGAGAGAATGATAACTCTACTTAAGAAGAGACTCGAACTTGGCTTCACGTGGTTCGGGGCTGAAGAGTATTATTTTCTCGATAAGAAAAAGGCGGCTTCGTCCGTCGAGGCAATGGAGGCGAAGTATTGGCATGACGATACTCCTATCAATGGTTTCTCACGTCTAGTAACGTCCGACCACTTCATGGCTGCGACGGGTATAGAGAACCGTTCTTTCCCGCTTATTGCAATGCAACTCTTCCTCCGACATTTTGCACGATACACAGACTTCTGTCTTGTCTGCCACCGTACAGTTGATACGGACGTTGAAGCCTTGGAACCGTATGTTTGCAGCACACCAGCCTGTCTCGCGAAATATCTGTCCTCAGACTTTGGTCCGGGGATTGAAAAGGATATTGTGGAACAACCATATGTCGTCGATTTACTCGTTTCATTCTGCTATGCGGCGGCGAAGCATCAGAAGTTGAAGGATTTCCCGGACGCACTCAATTTGAAAGTCCCTTTCCCACCGGGGAGTGGAGGTTTTACTGGAACCTTTGACCGGGCGAATAAAGATCTAACATTAAGAATCAATGCTACAACTCCTATTTCTCATCCAGTACAAGTTGGTACTTGGATGGCGATCACGGGTGCTGGAGCTGCTGGCGAGACCTTATGCTGCCGTGCGACAGATATGTCTCAATTCCCAACTATCAAAGTTTCGGATCCTATATCCACAACTGCCCAAGCTAGTGCACTGAAAATTGGAGCAGCATACACTGGAGGATCTGTTGCGGCAGCTGGTAGTCACCAAGTTGCAGTGTACGTTTATAACCAGGACTTCGCAGGGCTCACCCCACAGCAGAAGCAGGATGTTATCTGCTTGCTACTTGATACCCTACCATCTATTCGAGAGATGAAAGATAGACTGCGACAGGGCCACCTCGCAAGTTGGGGAGATCGAATTTCACCGGCCGCATTGGGTGTTCTCAGATGGATTATTGCGTCGAATCGTGCTTGTATTGTGCAAGTTGACGGTCTAGAAACCGGCTCTAATGGGGTCTTCCCTGCCACTCAGACCGAGGATCGTGTCTATGGTATGGGTAATTGGATGCAGTTTCGATTTGCTATGGGTGCACCTGATAAAGAGCAGAAGTTTCAAACTGCGAGCTCGAATACTACTAGGAGGCTACGACTCAAGTACCCGACTATGTTCGCATGGCATGGAAGCCCATTGATAAATTGGCATTCGATTATTCGAGAAGGATTGAATTTCAACCAAACTACAAACGGACGGGCCTATGGGAACGGATGCTACCATTCGTTGGATTTTAGGACAAGTTTGGGGTATACCCATAATCGGTATGCTTCAGCCGCAGGGGTAAGTTTCTCGAACTTTGAATTTTCTCTTTAAATTGGTATCAGAGCTAATTAGGATTCTACAACAGAGCGACCAATGGTCCAAGAGTGTGCTCAAAGTTTCGGGTGCAGTCGCATTGAACGAAATTGTCAATGCACCAGGCGAATTCGTCAGCAAGAGCCCACATTTGGTGGTTGCACAGGTGAGTCACGGGATTTAACGTTATCAAAAATGCGCATTTGGACGATTAAAACTAACGAATCATATAGCTCGATTGGATATGCACGAGATACTTGTTTGTTCAATGCGCTTTTAGCAGCCAGGGAGTTGCGTCTTCGAAAACGCCTAGCCAAGTCAAGCCGCAGGATCCATCCATGACTCCGAATGGTGAACAAGGCAAAATAGTTATTCCCCAGCCGAAGGCGGCCAGAGCCCGGAAGGACGACTTGCTTGATGAAAATAAGAAGGGCAAGAAGAAAAGCGAACCAGCTTACACTCTTGTTACCATCGACGGTATCGAAGAGCGAATCCCCGTTGCAGAAGATCCCGCCAGCGACGCTACGGATGGTTCTGACCTCGACATCTTTGTCGAAGAACATCTTCCAACTCCTGCCACCGTATCTGCGACTACTTCCGATTCGCTCAACATATCCGATTTGGATGTGGCGATAGCATTGTCAATGGAAACAGCTAGAAATGGAAGTAGTTCGTCGTCGTCGTCGATGCCACCACTGAGTGAGCAAAACCGCAGGAGGACTAGCTTTTTTTCTGGATTTGCGAATAAGGGTCGTGCGTCTAATGAGAACAGGCCGTCAATTGCAGGTAATTCGTCAACTTCAACTTTCCCTGGATCTGGATCGAGCTCCGTAGCTCAACCGCCATCATATGATGATATTCCGATAACCGCGACACCCCCTAACTACACTCCAGTTGCTGATACCAATGGAACAGGTTTCTTTACAAATCCTTTTGCGGCTACCAGTTCAAATAATGCTAATGGGAGTGCCGAACCTCCAAGGTATGCGCTTCGAAGCACCGTCAGTAACGTTCCTGCGGCATCATCCTCGGCGGCCAATAACTCGGGCTCGATTAGCCGTGGGAAAGGATTGGCAGGTGGCTTCTTTGGGGGCTTTAAGAGAGGCCTCAGTTTTGGAGCCCCTGCGAACAATGATTCGTGGGATAGTTACACTCCTGCGGTGCCAGGTTCAGACTCTGTTAATCAGGTCGGAGGGCCCAAGGGAAAAGGGAAATTCGTAGATTCAGGAACGGCTCCGGTTATTTCAGCGCCTTTCGCTGTGACGAGCTCTAACCCTCTAGTGAACGGTGGTAATGCTCAGCCTAATGGCTCTGCCAACCTATTCAAGCAACCTACGGTAGATGCTATAAAGTCTATAAGCGTGCCCGCAGCATCGACATCGACAGCCCCAATCCCAATCCCAATCCCAGTTAACCCAACTGCAGCTGGTACAAGCAACGCACAGCCTGTTACCGCTCCAGCCGTCGTTGTTCCAGCCGTTGTTGTTCCAGTGGTTGCGCCTCCAGTGGTTGCGGTCCCCAAGGCGCCGGAACCGCCAAAAACCGATTTTGTCGCCGGTCAATTAGACTACAGTAGCCTTCCTCTCATTACTCAACCGACATTTGCTACGCACCAAGCTACAAAACGTCTTCAAAGGGAGTACAAAAACTTGCTGAAGATCCAAGATAGCACTCCGTTGCACGAACTCGGATGGTACACTAATCCTGATCATTTCGAGAACGTGTATCAGTGGATCGTGGAACTTCACACTTTCGATGCCGAATTGCCGCTCGCGAAAGATATGAAGTCGCAGGGTGTCAAGAGTGTTGTTCTTGAGCTCCGATTTGGTGCGAGTTTCCCGAATACGCCACCATTCGTCCGGGTTATTAAACCTAGATTCTTGCCGTTCATGAATGGTGGAGGAGGGCATGTGACTATTGGTGGGGCCGTTTGTTTGGAGATGTTGACGGGGACAGGATGGGATAGTAAGACGACTATTGAGAGTATTCTAATGAATGTGAGACTCGCAATGATGAGCGTCGATCCAAAGCCAGCGAAGTTGGAGTCTGGCGGAGGTGGGAGGTCGTATGGGGTTGCTGAGGCGGTGTCGGCATATTTAAGAGCGTGTAGGACCCACGGGTGGACGGTGCCGAAGGGGTTCGAGGAAATGGCGAAGTCAACTTCATGATATCCCGTTTCTTCATCCTTGATTTTTCGTCCGCTTTTTTTATAATTCCTTTAGCGTTTGTGTCTCTTGTTCCCCTTTTTCTCTTTTACATCTGTGGATGTCATGTCGCTTTGCTGTTGGGCCTTTGCTCTCGGAGTTATTCATATTGCATTACAATAGTATGGGGCATGCATAATACATCAAGGGCTATGATAGAATCCAGGGGCATTCCAAAGAATTGCAAGGTATTTTCTCTGGGATAGGAAAGGTAGTAAGAAGGATAATATCATGCATGTGGATAGTGTCGTATAATTTATATTATGGGGGAATGGAAGAATTCTGAACCATGCCGAGACGAGACTGCTGTGGATTGCCGTAGACCGCTTTGTGAGCGGGAATATGGGAGATTGTTGCATTTTTCGCGTTGGCGGGAAGTTGAAAGGGAATGGTTTCATATGGTCTGAACAGAAAGGAAGATATAAAAATCTGGGTAGATGGTGAATAAGAGAGCTTAGGGACTTATCCGGCTCTTTATAAATATATATATATATATATACATATGAACTGCGATATGAAGATCAAGTGAGGAGAGAGAAGGAGTGAGAGTTTGAGGGGTTTTAAATTGATAAACGATAATTCGATAAGATTTGACTGCAATTAATTGTGAACAAAATGAAAAGAAAGAATAGCCTCGGGATGCTCTTCTGTATCTTCCCGGTCAGTGCACAGGAAATAAATACCCAGCTACATAGCTAGTGACGATAATGCAAGGTACCGATGTCCCGATTAAAACAATGATGATTATGAAGTACATGTATATATATCGTATATGTCGGGCTGGCCCGAATGAGTGAAACGGCCCTTGCTTCTGTTAGATTAAGTGAATTGAGGTCAACTGGCCTTTTTCGATCGAAGGCATCGATCAGACTTTTACAGTCCTTCTTCTCCTTCTTTTTCTTTCTTCCTCTTCTTCTTGTCCTTCTTTAGCTCTTCCTTCTTCTTCTCCTTCTTTTTCCTCTCTTGGTATATTTCTGATCTTGGGGCCTACATTCGAATTCCTGACCCACGGCATTGGCGGCTGTACTTACATGTGCTGGACACGGCTGTGTTGGATTGGACGAGGTTCCAGCTGGCTGTGTTGCTGAGCGCGTTGTCCTCGCGCTCTTTGTCCTCCATTCCCATTTCCCATTCACCTTCCGCCTTCTTCCTCCAACTCTCGACACCTAACCATCATCAAATCCATCACCACCATCGTCATCATCACCAACCTCACCACTAACAGCCACTTCTCCACCGCTGTTCAGGACTGGATATCTTCCAGATCTGCTTATCTGCCATTCCTACGGCACGTTTCTGAGACTACTTTCTCACTTGGTTCTCTCATTGTTGGTTTCCCTCTTTTCGCCCTCGTTCGCATACCTCTTCGATCATCAATTGCCCTTCTTAGTTACTTCCCTCTCTATAACTTGCCTTCTTACTTACCCAGCCGTTTTATAAATACTCTCCGTCCGTTCTCTTTGCTTCGTGGATATACCATATCTACTTTTTTTTCTTCGTCTCATTTTTACTATTTATCTGCGCTTTATTCATCCGTCGTCCTCTTTGAACTACTTTCTCTCACACTTCAATATGAAGATGCCCGTCCCCAGCACGTTTGCTGGAAAGCCTCCGTTTCTGCCGGCATTTTCTCTTGTTTTCCACTCTCAATTCATTATTACCACCCCGTCCCAAGCTATTTCTCTTACTCCCATTCTTCTACATCCCCCCTAATACCGTTATAACCTGCTTTTTCTAAACAATCTTTCTCATAATGTTCTTTATCAAGGTCCGATCCTGCAGCCGATGCTCCAGCCTTCTTTCCCCTGAACCGAGAATCTGCAACTCACGATAATCCCTGGAAGACCAACTTGAAAGCATCCTAGCGCGACAATTCGAGCCAGTTCATTTCCGCTGATCCGCTCACTGTCGTCGACCTGTCGTTTTTTCATCCTTACCAATGTCTGCCCCGTACTACGGCAGCAATTCTCCGGAGGCGTTTCGCCATGACCCTAGAGGCGACCGCGATCGTAGAGCCTGGGGTGCTGGCGATCCACGTGATACCTCTCGCGGAAGAATGCCGTCTCACGAATTACACGAGTCGAGCTATGGAAGACTAAGGGACGACGAATACACTGCTGAAGGAGGCAGACGCCCAAGATCTCCAGGTTTGTACCAGATTACTATTATTTTTGAATGAGAATTCGATATTATCCCCCCTTGAAATTGCGGAGAATCACGTGGTTTGGTCGGATAGCGACGGTATTTTGTGGCTAACTTTTGGGATTGTGACCGATTAGGACGTCGTCGACCACCACCACGTTCGCGTTCCCCGCCAAACATCGATCGCTATACACCGGGAAGTGGCGGTGGACCACCAGGAAGATATGCTGGTGGCGCTGGGGCCGCTGGGGATGTGTACATTCCGGGACAAGGCCCTCAAGGATACGCTGGTGCTCCGCCAATTGGCCGCGGTGAAGCTGGCGGTGCCAACGGCGACCGATACATGCCGGCGAACATTAGCGGACATGGTCCATATCCCGCTGGTGGTGGCGGTGGGGGGAATGCCATGGCGCCCATCTTACTAGATCCTCATGGCTTTGACTACCTCGTCCCTTATACTTATTTTAATGAATGGTGGAACGGTACGCCATTGTCCGCGCCTTCAAAATCAAAGTATGCGACGGATGTGACAATGAAGGAGAAGTACGAAGCGTACAAGGACGGATTGAATGGAAGAGTTGCAAAGTTGTTTGTGAAGAGCCACAAAGATGAGGAGTGGTTTAGGGAGAGATATGTCGAAGGAGAAGGAGATGAATGGAGGGCCAAGACTCTGGAGTGGAGGAAGGGACAATGGAAGATTTGGGCTGAGGAGTTGAAGTCTGGAAGGTGGGACAATTGGCTTGCTGATGCAAAAGAAGGTGGGTTTTGGAGATTTGTTTGGATTTAATATGAGATGCGGTGTTAATCGGAATGGACCTAGGTGTTAAAGTCAACATCTCGGCTCCACCAAATGGTAAGAGCGAGCCAAACGGAAGCAAAGAGGATGACCCAATGGAGGAACCGAGTGAAGATGTCCTTCCGGCTGTATCTTCTGGAACTGGCGCCCTGCGAGACGATTCCCTCGACCGTCCTGCGTTGTTGATCAAAACTGTTTCTCCTACTGTGAAGAGACAAAATTTGGAGAAGGTATACGAATCTTATCCTTCCATCGTTATACGCCGCTAATGCGCTTTTCAATAGCTCGCAATGACTGTCCAAGGCTTCCAGTACCTCTCTCTTGGAGACCCGAACCCGAATAAGAAGTTTCATCGTATCGGATGGATCCTGATTGACCCTGCGAGTGTTAGTGAGGATTCTGTGGAAAAGGCGGCGGCGCTCCTTAATGAGGAACGCATCCATGACGAGGAAAAGGGCGATTTCGTGGTTCATGTTGGGGTTCATAACCCTCCAAAAGTTCTCACTCGAAAGATGCTCCACGATATCATGAGTGTTCCGGAGGAAATCATCAGTGAGGTTGACCGCGTCAGAGCTGTCGTGTTGAAATTGGAGCAGGCTATGAACAATAACATGGATGAAGACATGATGTTGGATGAGAACGGTGAATTGGCGGGCTATCGAGGTTGGGATTTGATTCTCGGCAAGGTCGATGAGATCATGGCTAGAAGGATGGCAGAGAAGGCAGCCAACGAACCAGAAGAAGAACCCGAAGACGGCGAGGCTGAAGATGACCTACCCTCCGATGAGGAGCTAGAGAGAGCCAAACGTACTATCGACATCGCAGTCGAGTACCTTCGCCGGGTTTTCTCTTTCTGCTACTACTGCTTCACCGAAGCAGATTCGATCCACGAGCTGGTCCGCAGATGCCCTGGAGGACATATTCGACGGCCTTTGCCCGCCAATACGGATGGCACCGCTAAACAGCTACATCCTGGCTCAGAGAAATGGGTAAAGAATCTCAGAGACAGGATCACGTTGTTCCTAACACCGGACTCAATCGATACAAGGAAACTGGGGGCTCAAGATCCAGAAACCGCGTTCAACGACGAAACCAACAAATTCGTCAAACAAGAGGATGAGGGCAAGTTCCGTTGTCGTGTTAAGGACTGCACCAAGCTTTTCAAGTCGGAGGAGTTCGTTCGAAAACACATGACCAAGCGCCACCCGGAGTTTGTTGGTGCCATTGAGCAGGAGATCAAGCTATTGAATGCCTATGTGATGGATCCTTTCCATATCACCGCCCCGAAGCCAGAAGGTGGCGTTTCGGGAGGTAGTGGGATCGGGCTGCCACCTAGGCCCGGCGCAGGAATGGATAGTAGGAACGTTATGGGACCCTATCCTTACCCGGCAGGACAATACCCTGATCCTTATGTTGGCGGATTGGGGCCTACTCCTGCGGGAGTTGATCGATATATTCCTGGAATGGGAGGTCGCCCTGGGTCACCGAGCAGAGGTGGCGGGGTCGGACCACAGAGGCGACGCGGCGGGATGCAGGGAAATTCTAGACCGTCGCCTTACCCAAGACCTGGCGGTCGTGATACAAGGGACAGATCGGAGAGGGAAAGAGAGCGTGAAGGGCGATTCCAGGCGGCCATGGCGGCTGGTGGTGGAGTTTCCGCGAATGGCACACCTAGTGCAGGTGCCACTCCTGGAAAGGATGACCCTGGTGCCGCTGGGCGAAGTTTGAAGAGCTATATGGATTTGGATGCATCTGCTGGAAAGGAATCGAAGGTAGAAGAGCTGGACTATTAGAACTTTAGACGTTGGAAGGGGGGGTAAGCATCCAGAAGAAGCTTGGTGACTCCTGATAAGATCGATTTGACTAGAAAAAGTGGAGGAAGCATCAACTGCGATTATTTTGGGTTTATTTTACTTGTGCTTAGTGTTGCTATTGCGTCTATTCTGTTTATTTTGTTTCTCTGTTTTTCTACAATTCATCTGATCTGATCACGCAGGTGGATGGTGTGGCTTTTGTCGGTGCTTTCTCATCGTTTTCTTTATACTTGCGCCTTTAGCTTTGGTCATGGACTCTCGATCCTCGACTCGGGTCGATTCCAGCCTTCTTCTCCTGCTTATTATTCTTGTTGTAATATTGCAGGCTCTTTCTTTCTTTCTTTCTTTTTTTCTTTGCGTTTTCTATTCTTTAAACCTGAACAATCTGATAAAAACAAAACAATACAAATGTACTTTTACTCCAATCAAAGAATTTACAATCCCAGCTAGAAGTTTAAATGTAATGGCTCTGTGAAATATGTAAAATTGTTGATGTTGGAGTGGTCAGAGATGGTGTTGTATTCTGGGGACAATCAGGCAGTTTAGCTAATTGCGGCCACGTTTAAGATGTTCGGCATGCTCAATGGCCTGGACATCTCTCCAGCAATTGCAACTACCACGACCACGACCACTGCCACGCTCATCATCTTCATCTCCATCTTCTGATGATGCCCTCTCTCATAGCAATGCAATAGACTCTTTCTAATCTGCTTTACTGTTCCATCACATCGCTTTTAATAATTCTCTTCTATTTGATACCCTTTCAGTTTAATTCGCCTTCGCCGTTACCTTATTATTCGCCAAGATGGTCCGGTTATCATCTATGGCGGGTGCAACGGCGCTGCTCACTCTCGCGCTGCAACTTCGCACTATAGGTGCTATGTTTAGCGTCCATGAGGACTTGCTGGCGTATCCGCAGGTACGTCATCTTTTGATATTTTTTGTCAATGAGTTATCATTACCAATATTATTTACAATTGGCCAACATGATGTCACACGATGCTAACTATTTTATATAAATATATAGTACGAGGTACGCTTTCCTAGTTCCCAAGACTCATATGTCACCGAAGAAGAAGCCGATCGCAAGATGGCATCTATGTCGTTACGAGATTTACAACAAGTGTCTACGTCTTCTACGCCTCCTTCCACGAATCCTACCGATAGTCCTGGAACGAATGGCGACGAAGGTTCTGGCTCCCTTGCTGTTCAGAATACAGATCAAAATGGTGATGGTAGCGGAGCATTCTCACATCGTGCTTCTGATGATGTTATCTACGAAGCCATGAGGATGGGTAAACGACGATACCTCTGTTCGATCCCCGTTGTCCAACCACTACCAAAACTAAACGCTACGGAAAGACGAAAGAATAAGTCCGAAGAAGATAAGGAACTGGCGCGGGCTACTGTCTCCGGAACGGAGTTGTTGAGGGGGATGGAAGGGAGTTGTTTGTATTTTATTTCCGGTTGGTGGTCTTATAGCTTTTGCTATAATGATCATATCAAGCAGTTTCATCAGTTACCGCCTGCGAATGGAGTTCCGGCTTTACCGCCTGTAGAGGATCCTCATGCTGCTAGTTATATTCTTGGTAGGGCGGCGGTTCCGGATAGAGATGCTAAGCCGGATATGCCGAAGGAAGGAGGGGTGATGGAGATGGCGGCGAATGGGGAGTTGAAGTATTTGGTGCAGAAGTTGGCGGGGGGTACTTTGTGTGATATTACGGGGAAGGAGAGGAGGATTGAGTTGCAGGTGAGATCGAAATACCTTATCTTGTCGGTTTACTAGGGGATATTTTGTGGGGGTATAAGAGAGACAGAGAGCTAACTGGGTCATGGGATGTGGTTGGATTGGAAATAGTATCATTGTTCACCACATGCGTCGCAAGATCGGATCGGTTTTATTAAGGAGGTCACGACATGTTGCTACCTTATGGTGATCTATACTCCACGACTTTGTAGCGATGCGGCCTTCCAGCCTCCTGCCGAAAGTAGGGCGAATCAAATCGAGTGTCTGGAGGTTATGAATGAAGAAAGGATTAAAGAATACCGAGCTGAGAAGGAAAGAAGGGAGAAGAACCTACAAGCTCTATTAGAGATTGTAGGAACCGAAGCCGAACAAGAGTTGGCAGGAAAGTTACAGACTGGATCTGGGAAGAAACCATATGCTTCGAAGCCGAATTATAAGATTAGGGGTAAAGGGAACGAGAGGGGGGGTAAGGAAGGGGATAATCCGGATGGGACTTATATTATTACTGGGAATGATGGGAGGGAACAGATGGTTATGGTTCAAGAGTTGGAGGTAGATGCTAATATGTTGAAGAATTTACCTGCGGGGATGGATATTGCTGATATTGAGGCGTTTGCGAGGATGGCGGGAGCAAGGCAGGGACAGGGACAGCAGGTTGGTGCGGGGAGACCAGTTGAGATTGATGCGAATATGATGAAGAAACTTCAAGAGGAAGGGAGGAAACATCAGCATCAAAGGGAGATTAAGCCGGGGAAGAAGGGTGAAGAGGGAGGTAATGAGAAGAAGAAGGAGGACGGGAAGGAGAAGAAGAAGAAGCAGGCTGGTGAGGGGCATGATGAGCTATAGAACTTATGCTCTTTGATATTGATCTTGATATGGATATGGATATGGTTTATTACCGTCGTTCTGATATTACACTTGGGGGTAGATATGTCCCCACTTTACGTGCCTTTTGTCCTATTTTTTCATTGAGTTCATGAGGCGCTGGTTGATTTGAATATTCTATGGTATTGCAACTTTTTGATTTGATATTTGGCTTTGAGCTTTGAAGTCTTTGGTGTTTCGATGGTGATGGTTTGTAGTTATATACGACATCGACATCGACATCGACTTGTATTCTAAAAGCCCCTGTAACATATATTGTATTAACCACCACAAAATTTAAAAGCGACATCAATTCTTCTTATAAATTTATATACCCGCTCTATTTTCCCTCTCTTTCTTCTTATTTTATATTTTCTTTATTTTATATATATCTAATTTATTTTTTAAATCCATCAGATGTTAAATTAAGAAGATACGACCGCTGCTGCTCAACCTCGGGACAAATATTCGTTAATCGTGTCAGCAATCGCAGTTCGGGCGAAAACAACAGCAATTAATGGCATGGCTGGCAGCGAGCAGCAGCAGCAGCAGCTTAGGGATCCCAGTCCGGTCGAGTCCAGTCAAGGCGAGTCGAATCGAATCCAGCCAGACATGGCCGGTGCTTGGCTGCGCATGCTGCAGCCCCCCCAAAATTGTGTACTTAACTTACAAAAGGAAAACATGACCCCGAAACATTGGATTCTAATTAATTACATTGGACGGGACCCTCATTCTCATCGTGCGTCTTTCCAGATACATATTACACACATACATACATACACTTCATTTAGATAAATAAACCTTAAAAACTCCAAAGGCCTCGACGAGCTCCCTCCCCCCAATAGTTCCCCTGATAGAATGATCTGTTAAATGGCGGCCGGATCCATAGTCGCGTTGGGCAGTTGCACCCAGAAAGCCTCTTCTGCGCTCCCAAAACGGTTTGCATTTGATTGTTATAGTGGTGCTGGTGGCATTGGTAAACATAGTCGCGCCGACTATTTTTTTGACGACGACGACGACTTCGATAACGACTTCTACGACGACGACTATTACTCTTCTGACGACGACCACGTTCACTCCGAGGACCCGTCCTCGCTCACATTCGATAATTCTACTTCCGCCAGCTATCCGACCATGCTTCGCTCTTCCCTTCGTTCCTCAAGAGCTCTCTCGTCGTTATCCCGCCAGGCTGCTGTTGCCGCTGCGCGAGACCTGAGAGACCATTTCCCTTCACGGCATACCCTCGAAAACAGCCTTCATACTCTTGCATTATCTCCCTCATCGCGGCCGTCGGTGAATTCTTCCTCTTCTTCATCCTTTTCTTCCTCTCCGACTTCTTCACGAATAGGCATCGCCCCGCAGAATCTTTTCCTCCTCCCACCGTTCCTAAAAAGCACACCTTCCCCCGGTCCATCGTACACGAACCGCGCCACCGATAATGATCCAGAGGCCCCTCCGATCCCGACGAATGCTACCGAATCAACGGTAATAACCGATTCCTCTGATCCGAATGCCAGTCGGTTTTTTCAATACGGTGTCAGTGTTTCATATGTATCGAAATCGAAACGATGGGATCCCGCGAATACGTTTAATTTTAGTCCGTATAAACGGGTTTCTTTTGAAGAGGATTGGGCGTTGAGGAAGAAGGCGAGGCCGAAGACTGGGCAGGATGCATTTTTTGTTAGTAGGGTTAGTGATACTGGAGCTGTGGCTTTTGGAGTGGTATGTATTCTCTTCCTTCCTCTTCTCTTCTATTCTCTTCCCTGCTCTTTTGGGGTTTATTCTGTTTGGAAGGATGGAGGGGACTAACTTGTGGGATATTGAATAGGCCGATGGTGTGGGAGGGTACTCCATGAGTGGAATTGATTCAGCAGACTTCTCACATACATTATGTGAAGATATGGCAGAGATATCGTATCATTCGGAGGTACCGATGAGGGCGGATATGTTGATCGAAGCCGGTTACATCTCAGCGTGCAGTAATCCCAACGTCCTGGGAGGAGGGAGTACAGCATGTGTAGCAATTGCAAAACCAGATGGAACAATGGAGGCTGCAAAGTATGTTATTATTTTCCCCCCCCAATTTACGGCGGGAATCTACGGATAGCGATCACCTATATACTCCAATATACTAACATGACTACAGTCTAGGTGATTCCGGCTTTGTAATCCTTCGTGGTGGAAGAGTCCATCATACCTCTCAACCACAAACCCATGCCTTCAATACTCCCTTCCAACTCTCGGTTATCCCATTGGAAGTCATCGAACAGGCCCGGAAATTTGGTGGTCCGATTCCTATCAGTGACCGGCCCCGAGATGCCCACGTTGATATCCATGATCTCCAGCACGGTGATGTTCTAATCTTCGCCACAGATGGGTTGTGGGATAACGTATCCGCCCAAGATGTATTACGATTGGTATCGAATGAAATGGTATCAGCAGGGGGGTGGATAGAAACACCAGATCATGGTATACAAATCGGAGAGGATCTATCAAGACTTGTGGATGAAGATGGAGAGAAGACTTCGCTTCAGGGGATTATTGCTAAGAAGGTTGCGTCTAAGGCGAAGGATATGAGTGTTAATAGTAAGGTTGATGGACCGTTTGCGAAGGAGGTTAGAAGGTATTTCCCGGGAGAGGTGTATCATGGGGGGAAGAGGGATGATATTTGTGTACTTTGCTGTGTGGTCGTTGAGGTTTGTGACTTCTTCTCCTTTTCCTTTTCCTTTTGACCGTTCTCCCCGTTCTTCCCTTCTTTTTGAAGGCTTTGCGATTCTGATTGATAGATTGATTGAATGAGTACTAATGCCATCGAATAGTGGGCTGTCCCGACTCCTAAGTCTGAAAAGGCAGAGGCACCGGTAGAAGATGCTGAGAAGCAGATCGAGGCGGCACCAGAGACGCCAAAGACACCAGAACAACAACCACCTACCACCCCTCCATCACCACAAATACCTCCAGTTGAAGAAGTCCCACCTCCTCAGAAGGAAGAGGCTATCTCTGCGTTTGCCGCAGACCACCTACGAGGACTCCCCGGTGGCGGTGGACCAGGTGCTCCTTCTCCAAGATTATAAAATAATCTTTAACACTTCAAAAGCATTTGTTGTCACCGATACTATAAGTCCTTAGAATTTCCAAGGTTCACAACTGACTAACCTCCCTCCCTCCTCGCCCTCATCGTCCTTCCTTCCCTCAGATACCACTAATGGGTCACATATCCCCAGTTCAATGTGGCTCAGTCTCGAAGAAAATATTATACATCAAAAATGCATTTTTCTTGTTACAAAACAGGGTTTTGTTTTTGTTTTCCTTTGTGAGGGGCTGGATGGGATGAAAGGGGTGTTTATATATATATCTAGACAGAACTGTACTCGTTATCATCCTCTTTCCTTTTGTTCTCATGTACATGTATACTAGGACGGCATACCACTTTCTTTTTTTTTTTTCCTTTTAAGACAAGCCCAGATTCGTCTTTTTGTTTTCCCCTTTTGCTTTTTTAAGTGGATACCTAGGTTAATTTGCATGGAGCGCTTCATGGCCTTTGCTTTTCCTTTGCTTTTCCCTTCCTTTTCTTAAATTTTGTTCCTTTAATTGCCTTGCTTTTCTGGTGGTTTACAAACTTCTACGTATCTATGGATGTCCATGGATGTTGTATAGACTTTTGTAGATGGAGAGGACGGATAGTATAACTAATTCCTAAGAGATGGTGTACCTATCGGCACCGGCACCAGGGTCTCTAACTGCATCTACAATTAAGCCTGTTATGAACAGAAATATGGCTTCAGGAAATGGTATACTATAAGATCCCGCAACAGAAAAAAAAAGACAATATATGCAATACCCAACGCCAAATAAGATAGTGAAGACATTACTCGGCTCCGAATTAACATCCATAAAAAATATAATAAAAAATCACCTACTTCACGCAGCATTAACAACCCCTCCACTTCCAAAAACCCCACCGCCACTCTCGGCCTTCCCAATCAATTTCTTCATACTACCCCATTCATCCCCTCTAACCCCTTCTAACCCTCCTAATTCATTTCCAACCTCGAATATCGTAACCGTAGAATCCAACCCACCGACTGCGATCCTTCTCCCGTCGGTCTCCTCCCATGCCAATTTATTCAAACTCCTTGTTAACAAACTCGTCGCTCCGGCTCTAACAGTAGGTGAAACCTTCGCCACGGGTACTTCGATATCAACCGTTAAATCCCATACCTCCAGACTACCCGCTCCATCTACCAACCCAAATACACCGGGTTTCACAGGAGACCATTTTGCATCATAAACTACATCTTCTCTCGCAAAGTCCATCAATGGGGTTGCTACTAACGGTTGAGCACCCGGGACTACCGCCGTAGCTGTCGCAGCAGGTGGTCTAGCCTTCCATAGTTTTACAGACCAATCCAGACTTGCCGATAATACCAAATCTCCAAAGTCTACTGGACCCTTTACTGGATGAAAGTCGATTGCCATTATGGGTCCCGCGTGACCTCGATATGAGATTCGAGGTTCTACACCGGCTTTTGCTCCTGCTCGGTCGTATCGGTGGCATGGGTATATCCCACCTTCTTCGGTTCCTACGAGGAAGTATGTAGGATCCGAATAAGGGAATGCCATACACGTTGGAGCTAAATCGTCGTTTCGACCGGGACTTGGAGACGTAAGTTCTAATACTTCCAGGGGGTTTGCTAGCATATCCATCGACCATCCGCATACCAATCCGTCTGTAGAACAACTGACAATGTTGTTTGCGTTTTGTGTTCCGACTACTTGGACGCTGTAGACCGGGTGGGAGTGACCGGATCCCGTTAGGGGACTGCGAAGTACTGATTGTGATTTTGCGCGGGTATCCCAGATTAAGACTTGTCCGGAGTAAGCACCGCCGATGATGAGGTTTGGATGGTATGGACTGAACCGAGCGGTTAGGACGTCGGATTGAGCGTGGAAGATGTATTCTGGTCGGTCGTGGAGGTGGAGGTTCCAGACTTGTACTAATCCGTTGGGGTCGTGTGGTGCCGATGGGTTTTTGGTGTATGATGCTAATACTAATTCTGGGAATTTGGGTGAGAAGTGGATATCGCTGACTATACGTTTTTTAGACCATCGATCTGAGTAGAATTGAATCGTTTCTTTGATTTTCCTGCCGCCTGAGTCTTCGTCTGTGGTTGAGTGACCGAGACCGTAGTCCGCTAGGATGTCGTAGTCTTGGTCTAAGGCTCTTTCCATGACTTTTGTACTACGTTCGATGAATTCAGCGAATTCGTCGGTAGAGGTGATGACTTGTTTTTCATCGTCGTCGAGTTCTCGGACTTTATATTCCTTTTTGGCGGATGCGCCGGTACCGTCGGCGCCATCTTGTGTGGCATCCGCGGGGTCTATTTCTCTTGATTGTAAAGCGGCGATTTCTTCTTCTAATTCGCGGATGCGGTCTTTTAGTTCTTCTTCTTCGGGTTTTGAACGGTTTGAGGGTTCGCCTTCGGCGTCGACTTCAATGTCGTCGGTGCCTACGCCTGTTGATAGCCATGATTCGGTTGTTTGGACTTGTTTGCTGTAGGTTACTATTTCTTTTGTTGCGGCGGGGGGAGCGTCGTAGATTACACGGGGGGCGATGGTGGTGAGGACTTGGTGGGATATTGTTGCTACTGTATGTTGTGAGGATTCGGTGCTGTATAGAATTGATGTATTAGTGATGCTCAATGTGGTGGTGGTTTAGATATGATAATAGTGGCTAGGTAGTGGATGAACATGGAAGGGAGAAGGGCATACTGGGGAATAGCGTACTGGGCGGAAGTATGTTCGGAGACGTTTGATTCAGCGGCACTCAGCACAGAGGTAGGTCTACTTATACTCTTTTTGCTGGAGGGGCCTGCGGAACCTGGTCTGCCTTCGCCGATGATTTCGTGGATTAGGCTGTCTATGTCGGATATTCTGTCGTCAAGACGGGCGGGGCCGCGGATTGCTTGTGGAGAGGCAAACTATTATCTTATTAGTTAGAGTTATAGTTTATCCTTTTGTGTATATAGATACATAGATGAGTATTATGTATCTGCATATCGGTTGAGTAGATATGGAATTTGGATTTTGGATTGTGGAAAGGGAAAAGGGGATTTACCTCAGTTTCACCTGACCTAGAGGTTGAGAAGTGATCTCGCCGTAGCTCACGCTGCCGTTTGAGAGCTTCGAGTTTGGCTCGCTTTGCGAGGATCTCTTCTTTTCGGGAGGACATCTTGGTGGTGAAGATGCGAAGGTCGACCGGGGCGTGGTAGGAGCAGGGAATTGTGGATGATTGGACCCTTTTGCTATCCCTTGGGCGGGAATGGTTTATGACCGTATGGTGGGAGGAGTTAGGATGTCGGTAGATGCCAATTGAAGGTGAAGAGGGAGGGAGTGTCGATTGGAGGAGGAGAAGGGTGATGATGTAGTGGGATGTAGATATGGAGATATGTGCTTGGAGAGAAGGGAAGAAGAGAAGGAGAACGTGGAGGTAGAAGGTGAAGCTCGTGTTGTGCTGTTGTTGGAGCTTGCCCCCGGAGCATCCCGGTGTTGCACAGAGGTTGCCCAGGTGTCTTTCCCGGAGAGCCCCGGGGCCCGCCAATACGATATCGCTCTGAGTCTTCTTCCTCATCCATCGTTCTCTTTTCAGCACTAACCTAACCCTCCTCATCCATCCTCTCTGGCTTCAACATTGCCCTGTCCTGTATACTGCAAAATCATAGACGACTTGACGATATAAGAATATCACTCTTTCACTAGTGAGATTAAAAGTATATCAACAAGATGCATCCGTCCCGACGCGCCTACGTCGAAGAACATGTAAGACTCTCTGCTCAATCTTTAAATCTCAAAGATATCTATACTATTCAAAGAACTTCTAACGTTTATACTCACATCCAGAAAGAAGATGAGGATATGGGCATCTCCATCGATCAAGTCCGTAAGTAGCTCTTTTACCTACTCTCCATCACAATCAGCTCCTCCGTTTTTCTAACATAAGATCCTCTTATAGCGACGGACCATGACTACATTCTCCCCTCGATTTCCGGCATTGCCCCAGAAAAAGCATCCGCCATAATCCAACAATTCGATAAAAAGAAACGCGCTGCAGCGATTACAGTACCAACAGATGACAACCGTGTCAGAGCCAAACTCCGAGAACTCGGCGAACCGATTACACTATTCGGAGAAGAAAAGAGTGATAGAAGAGATCGATTACGCGCCTTACTTGCTGCGCAATTGGAATCTGGTGACGGATCCCGTGGGGTCGGTGGAGGAGTTGGTGGCGGCGAAGATGTGGATATGGCTGATGCTGATGAGGAGGCTGGGGGAGAGGTCGAAGAAGAGTTTTATACGGAGGGAATACCGGAGTTACTTTCTGCTCGACAGCATATCGCACAATTTTCGCTAGAGAGGGCGAGGGATAGGTGTGAATTGCAACAGTCAGAGAGTACGGTTCAATTGAAGGAACATATAAAACACAGGAAAGGGTTGAAGGATCGGTTGACGGGGTATAACCTTTTCGGAACACAGTTGGCTGGCGACCGACCCGTAGCCATTGCGAGATTTTCGAATGATTCGAAAACTATAGCTGCAGGAAACTGGGATGGTGGAATCAGATTGCTTTCGGTGCCGAATATGGATATCGTACGGACGCTGAGAGGCCATACGGACCGAGTTGGTGGGATATCTTGGTCTCCAATGTCTGGGTTGTCGGAAGAAGCCGCGAGCTTGGTATCTGGTGGTGCAGAGGGGGATATTCATCTGTGGAATATGAAGCAGGATACACCGGTCGCAAGTTTACTAGGGCATGGCGGACGGGTGTGTAGAGTTGAATACCACCCGTCAGGGAGATACATAGGGTCTGCGTCGTACGATACGACGTGGAGGCTGTGGGATGTGGAAACTACGAGCGAATTGTTGATACAAGAGGGACATTCGAGAGAGGTATTTGCGATCTCGTTTCAACATGATGGAGCCTTAGTTGCTACTGCGGGGCTGGATGCTATTGGAAGAGTGTGGGATTTACGAACGGGAAGAACTATTATGATTTTGGACGGGCACATTAAAGAGATACATGGATTGGCATTTTCACCGAATGGGTACCAAATTGTTAGCGCGTCCGGGGATCATACAGCCAAAGTCTGGGACGTGAGGAAGGTTAAGTGCATTTCCTCCATCGGAGCCCATGCCTCATTGGTTAGTGATGTGCGGTTTTTTGACGGAGGGGTTGATACTGGAAGAGTTCTAGATGATGGAGAGATTGAAATGGGAGATCGGGGTAAATATCTTGTTACGGGAGGCTTTGATAAGATGGTTAATATCTACAGCGCAGATGATTGGGCGCTAGTGAAGAGTTTACCGGGACATTCGGGGAACGTACTAAGTGTGGATGTTTCGAAGGATGGGAAGTTCATACTGAGCAGCGGGCACGATCGGACGTGCAAGTTGTGGTCGAGGGATGATATCGAGTTTTAGTTTTTGGTCTCCTCCCTGATATATAGCTTTCCTTCGGCTTGGATTTTCGAATTCGAGGCTAATCCATCCTCTAGGGATTGATAATAGATAAAGTATAGATAGTACTTAAGAGGGAAGTGGTATGAGATGATGATATAGACAAAAGCACAAAAATAGTAGTAATGTAATATACAAAGAATACGCCCTAGCCTCCCCCCTTCCACCCGGGCATCTAGACTATAATAAGCCCCCCAAATTGTCTCTCGCTTTCTGTTCGCGTCTGTCGCTCTTCCTACCCCTCCAACGGCCCCACTCCAATAAAGTCGCTCTAATATTGGATATATTCACGACATAAATCGTGCAATTATAAAAATAAAAAAAGATTGGTATAAGGGTCATGAGCGGGATATCATTTTAAATTATCGGGTTTCTAGTTTAAGCCTTTGCTTTGGCATCGCTAGCAGCGAGGTTTACCAAGTAAGCTTCGAGGTCGAATTTCGGGTCATCGGGATTGCTGATGACTAAATTATATTCCACCATATTAGTATCAAGTCAAGATAATTGTATCATCATCATAATTATATATATATATATATATATGAAAAGAAGGTAAGAAGGAAAGAATTACCAGTATTCCTCTGATCAGGTGGCAACAAGCTCTTCTTGTATTCTACCTTAGCTTGCTGTATTAATTTCTCCTTGCGATCCCACTCCTGCTTTGCATTGTGGTCGGCTTCCTGTTTGTAGAGGGTTCGCTGGTGCTGGAAGCCGTAGAGAACGCCGAAGCCGAGGAAGGACCAGCGAAGGATCTATTTTATACACACACTCTGTTAACTTGGAGTCTTCAATTGATGATACCCGATGGTGATATCGGGTGGTAGTGGTAATGATTGTAGCCGGCATGTGAAGATAGTATCGCCACCGCCAAACATCGTCACCACTGTCTTTTATCTAGGTATCTGAGTACTTATGTAAAAGAGGGGAGTAGACATACGTTTCCTGCAGGAGTGGCCATTGTGAGGGTCAAGGTGGGAGGGTAGATAGGAGGATTGATGGAAGGTTAGGTCGGGTGAGAGGCAGTCAATGAATGGTAATAGGATAGAATGAGCCGAGGGGAGTTAAGTTGGAGGTCAGTCGTGAATGAGAAATTTATTTTTTTAGCAGCAAAAAACGGGACGCCTTTTCTCCGTCGTTCGCGACCGGGAATAGTCCCCGGTTGCTACTTCTAATCGAGAACCTCCCCGGAGACTGACCCCTTCCCGAGATACATAGTTAGAACCCGAGTTTCTAGTTACCGTGTACATTATGTCAGCATGTAAAGGTTACAGGGACCGGCCGGAGAGACATTAATATAATATGGATACACGCGACGCCCCTCAATTTAGATTTAGATTTTATTATATACGAGTACCTGAATTTAAATAAAAAGGAGTCCAATGGCGATTACGTATATTCACAAAAATGTTTAATTAGTTAATCAAGTACTGCAAGTTAACTGGCACGGATTATAGTTCTGATGAGGGTGAAGTAATTCTAAAGGACCAAATATGCAAATGGCGATGCGAATTGGCTGTGACCTGAGGAGAGGACAGCCTGTTGATTTCTATGGAGTGCGTGGTGGTGGTGTATAATTAGTTACAGACTTCCACCACCCACTGCTTTGATCCCATTCTCAGCCCAGACCAACATCCTTATCCTTCTTATCATTGTTGGTATCGTGTCATCTCTTCCTCATCCATCTCGACTTCCATTACGTGAGTATACCTAATATCTATCGATATCTATATCGCTATATAGATATATCTCCCCAATTGATCCATGACATAGCTGACGGAAACCCTATCGCGTGTTTGCTTCACACCAGCTCGAAAGAGAATACCCGACGCCCAATGGCTGACCAGTCAAGCGTCCGGCAGAGGAAGAAAGGTGCCCGGGGCACCACTCCCGCTCCTGCCTCGGACGACGAAGTCTTACCAAAAGCCATCACCAAAAATGTTGCCTCGTCAAAATCCTCAAAAAAGAAGGTCAACATTGGCCATCTTGTCACCTTTAGCATTGTTACCGCTCTAGCCTTTGTCACAAGATTCTACAAGTTGAATCATCCCAATGAAGTCGTGTTCGATGAAGTCCACTTTGGAAAGGTATTTATTTCTGTTTTCTTCTCCTTTTTTTTTTTTTTTTTTTTTTTTTGGATTTAATAAATATTTCATGGTGATGGGAGGCTAATCTATACTGTCGTAAATAGTTCGCATCGTTCGTACGTATACCTAACCCGATACAATTGCCTGTAAACCGAATAAAACAATTAGAACTATACTTACAATTTATTTTTGATGGATAATATAGTATCTCCAAAGAACATACTTTTTCGATGTCCATCCACCATTCGGAAAACTTCTGTTCGCCCTTATGGGCTGGTTCGTCGGCTTTGACGGCGACTTCAAGTTCGACAACATTGGAGACTCCTATATTGATAACAAGGTCCCATATGTCGCCTTCCGCACAATGCCTGCTCTCCTTGGTTCCCTCACTGTCTCTGTCGTCTATCTCACCATGTGGGAGAGTGGTTACTCCGTTCCTGCTGCTCTCCTCGCCGCCGGTCTCGTTCTCTTCGGTATGTCTCCAACGATTCTCTAATTCCAGAGTTAAAGGCTAATAAAGGATTTAGATAACGCCCACATTGGTCAGACCCGATTGATCTTGCTTGATGCCACCTTGATCTTCTCCATGGCCTGCTCCATCTTCGCTTATGTCCGATTCTACAAGATGCGACACGTCCCATTCTCTAGAAAATGGTGGAAGTGGCTCCTCCTCACTGGTGTCGCCTTGTCTTGCGTCATCTCCACCAAATACGTTGGTGTCTTCACTTTCGTTACCATCGGAACTGCTGTTGCCATTGATCTCTGGGGCCTCCTTGACATCAACACCGGACTCACCATCCAAGAGTTCGGCTATCACTTCTTGGCTAGAGCAGTCGGATTGATTATTGTGCCATTCTGCTTCTACCTATTCTGGTTCCAGGTTCATTTTGCCATCCTCTACAGAAGCGGTACTGGCGACGATTTCATGACCCCTGCTTTCCAGGAAACTCTGTCCGATAACTTGATGACCCTCTCCAGCACCAACATCCACTACTACGACAAGATCACCCTCCGTCACAAGGATACTAAAGCTTATCTCCACTCCCACACTGCCAGATACCCCCTCCGTTATGACGACGGCAGAATCTCTTCCCAAGGACAACAGGTTACTGGATACCCACATAATGACACCAACAATCAATGGATCGTCCTCCCAGCTGCCGATTTGGCTGAGCAAAAGACCGCCCTTAAAGTTAAGAGCGGCGATGTCATCCGTCTCCTCCACGCTGTTACTGATACTATGCTCTTGTCTCACGATGTTGCCTCTCCATACTTCCCAACCAACCAAGAGTTCACCACTGTCGACCGTGAAACCGCCATTCAGCGTATCAATGACACTCTTTTCGAGCTTAAGGTCGAAGGTGTTCGTGTAGGACACGACTTCAAGACCATGTCCAGCCAGTTCAAGCTCATCCACTACCCTTCCAAGGTCGCCATGTGGACCCATACCAAGCCACTCCCAGAATGGGGTTTCAAGCAGCAGGAAATCAACGGCAACAAGAATGTTCAACAGACCTCCAACATCTGGTATGCTGATGATATCCCATCTCTGCCAGAAAACGACCCACGTAACGATAAGACACCAAAGAAAGTCAAGTCCCTCCCATTCTTGGTCAAGTGGTTTGAACTCCAACGGGCTATGTTCCACCATAACAACGCCTTGACTTCGTCTCATCCCTATGCCTCCCACCCAATCCAATGGCCTTATCTCCTCCGTGGTGTCTCCTTCTGGACTAAGAATGATACCCGCGAGCAAATTTACTTCGTTGGTAACCCACTTGGCTGGTGGTTGGCTTCCTCCCTTCTTGCCGTCTTCGCCGGTATCATCGGAGCAGACCAGGTTACCAAGCGTCGTGGAATTGACGCTCTGGACTTCCGTACCCGCTCAAAGTTGTATAACTCCACTGGGTACTTTTTCATCGCATGGGCCACCCATTACGTCGCCTTCTTCATTATGGGACGTCAGCTCTTCTTGCACCACTACCTCCCCGCCCATCTTGCTAGTTCCCTGGTAACAGGTGCTCTGCTCGACTTTGTCTTTAACAGCGAGGGACAGGATGAGACTGTTCCTGAGCATGTGAAGGCTGCGCAGTCCAATAAGAAGCCGGTGGTTAGAACTCTAACTGGTGTTTTGCCATCGAGCCCCTCGGAGCCTATCAAGGCTACAGCATTGTCGTGGATTGTAGGAAGCGTTGTTTTGGCCGTCATCATTGGAGGTTTCTTGTTCTTCGCTCCGTTGACTTACGGAACTCCAGGATTGTCGGTTGAGGAGATCCTGCAGAGGAAGTGGTTGGGATATGATTTGCATTTCGCAAAATAAATCCTAGGGTGAAGCAGTAGGAAACAGTGGGGTGGTCAGCTGAGGATTTGAGAGTCAGATATTTTGATGGGAGGGGAGACGCAATAGTTGCTGGTATATATTACCTTGCACAGACGAGTGAAAGATAGGAGAAGGTTGCTTTTTGCTTTACGTTTTTAATGGGTGCGTCCTGGACGGGCACATATATATCATTACTACCACCCGCACGCCTTACTACCTAAGTAACTAAACAACATTAGGAGCAGCATTCCATCGGTGGAAGAGGAGGGATTGTTCCTCTTTGGTGTTTTAGTGTCCTTGTCTTTCCTTTGGAGTTTTATATGTTCTCTTTTCCCCTAAAGCCTTAAAAGTGTAAATATCAGTTTATTCAATGCTTTAATTAGCATACTGTCATTAAACATTCTCTGTAACCCCGGTGCTTAGACCTTAGATTAGTTTGATCAAATACTTCTTACAATACTTAAACGACCAGTTGGGAGGAGGTTATTTCAATTGACTTGCTGTTCTGGATGCTGCAATCCGAATCCGAGGATACCAAATATACCACGTGACCTGCAAACCTCGACTTTTCCAACGACAACCCACCATTCCCACACATTACAACGTCACGACTTTCTCCCACTACCCCCACTACACGCTCCGTTCACCCCAATTGGCCGGCGAGAAACTCATCTGCTCCGGCTCTTCCCGATGTACTCTCTTCAATTGAGGAGGGGCATTGCTCGAGGCCGTATATGGCACACTTCGGCGCTCTATCAGGGTTCACAACAGGCCGTTGTTCATGAGCACGGATACGGACAGCTACAGCAACAGACGCGGGAATTTAGTGGTTCTAGAAATTTATGGGAGGAGGAAAAGAAGGATGATGATGCTGAGAAGAAGGTAGCTGCTGCTGCTGCTGGGGCGGGCGGTGAAGCTCCGAAGCGTATGTATTCTTTCTTTTCTATCTTCTCCGTTATTTCACATCGACAGATGTTTTATATACGATATTCTATTTTTCATTTTATTATTAAACCCCGTAATCTTAAACCCCATATATATATCTGAGTGGAGAATGCTGACAGTAAGGAATCGGGTGGGGGTATTTTAATAGCACGAGTGATTCCCAAAATGAACTTCGCAGAACTTATGAAAAAGGCGACAAGTCTTCGACAATCAGTCTTCAAGAAACCACCAGAGGCAGCCGCTACCTTCAATCCAACCGCACCCACCCCTCCACCTCCTTCAGCAGCAGCACCAACCACTGCACCTCCTCGACAGCCAACCTACCAATCAGAACCCAGCATCCAACCCCCCAAGATTCGACGAACGGGCGCCGAAATCCCCACAGATCTAATCTCCTCGGCCTCTCAATACGAACAAACTGGGGTTGACAGAAGAGCAGCAAGATTAGCAAAACACAAAGCGCGATTAATGCAAGATGGCTCTCAAGAGGATAGAAGAAGACGAGTAAACGAAGATCAGCAATCACAGCCACTTACGTTTTCCGATCGAGAGGCTCAAGTCCAGGATAGAGCGTTTGCACAAGCTGGAGCGTATGATTCTTCCTCTAGAGGAGGAGGCAAGGGAAGTTTTAGAATCAAACGTGTTGGATCGACGGCTCACGGACCAGCTGGTGGAATGACATTTCAAGACCGTCTTAGGATGGCTAGGATTGCTAGGGGTGTTAGTCCTGATCTTGCGGGCGATAAGCAGGGTTCACCAGAACAACAACAGCAACATGCGTTTGAAAGCGAGGAAGGTGAACCTGAAGTTAGATCTGAGGTTAGACAAATGGTCGGAGGGCCTAGGATTACTACTCTCCCTACAAGGTCTATTTTACCACCTGGTCCACGAATCTCAAGAGCTCAAGGCCCACGTGGTGCTGCTGGTGCCAGCCGTGGTGGTCGCGGTGGCCGCGGTGGTCGTGGCGGTCGCGGTGCGGCAGGAGGAGTAGTTAGGAAGACGAGAGCCCAGAGGGCTTCTGCGCGTAGGGCGCTTGAACTAGAAGAAGAGGAATTGGATCATGAGTGGAATGAAATGACATCATATCCTAAACCTGCCCCTCCGGGGACAATTGAACCACATCCGGTGTACGATACGACGAAGCCCTATCATGCGGACGTTGGAGATCTAAGCCGATGGATTCCGGCGATGGGAGCGGGGAATACAATCGCTGCGAAGAAGTTACAGTGGGTTAACAAACCGAAGTGGGAGAAGATGTCGGAGTATGCTCCTAGAGCGTTGTTAGGTGACGGGATTTTGGTACCCGGGGAGGTGTTCAAGGCTACCGGTTTGGGGGATAAGAAGATAGCGAAGGAGGCTGAGATGGCATTGAGTATTGCGGAAGCTGGAATTTTGAGAAACCCAACTTTTGGAGGGAGGGATCGGGTGAAGTTTTTGGAGGTTTTGAAAGGGAAGGTGGGGGTTGGAGGGGAGGCTAGGGCGTAAGGGTAGGAAGTAGTGATTCTGCTTGCTAAGATTACCGGCCGCTTCGATCATCCTCCCTTTGCCTTGATATGAACTTGGTATAGTGTATATAGGTGCTGTGAAGGTGTTTGTATAAACCTGATTTCCTTTTTTAATGAGAGGGTCTTTCCATCAAGACTTTTCTCGGGATATATATTGTACATTACTATCCAGAATCAAAGATCGTAGTTTACGAATACTACATAATCGATCTTTTTTTACTCTACTGATGATCATAGGTATAGTTCGAATTCATGAATTCGGAAGCTATCTCAGTGTCTACGCATATATATTCGGTCCTTGTATCGTAAACAAATTGATCCATTTCCTTTTGATAATATGCTGATTATAAGCCAAAACGGAATTCTCTCCACATATAGGTCAGTAGATTTCATGGCTATCTAGACAGTGGAGGTATTCTAAACCATATATAATAAAGGCAAACGAAAAACTTCGACAGACGAAGGGTAAAGAACTTAAGGACAGGTAAATGTAAAAGATTCAAAGTATTCATCAAATGTCAAACTGTTCTAGCTTTAAGATCTTAAAAAAAAATGGGGGTGGTCTCTTCTGTCTTCTCTTTCAAAACGCAACGAAAGGGGAAACAATCCGCTGAGAGGGTTAAACTGCCAAAGAAAAAGTGTAGTCGTAGTATTGCTTTTTTCCTTTTTTTCTTTCCATATCGGTCGATATATCTATACAAGGAGGATGAGGAATAGTCGTGGTCGTTATATAAAACGAACAAAAGGGAAACCGAGAAAAAGGAATCATAGAAAAAGTCCAGGTAAGAATAGTATATCCATCACAAAAAATTTAAAGAAAAGGAACCCGGTGTATAAACATGAAGGGAAGAAGAAAAAAGGAAATTCATCAATAGTAGTAATAATATATAAAAAGGAAACTCCACAAAAAACATAGAGGGGTGGGAGTTGAGGGTAGTCCTTTTTTTTCTTTTCTCTAATGGCGGTTTGGCAGGATGATGAGGATTGCGATTATGGGGAATTCGAATGGTTTTCGAAATCGACAAAGCGTTTCGTAGGCTGCGAAGAGGAGACAAGTGATCCTTCTCGTTTCCTCTTCGCTAGACTAAAGGGTTGGACTTATATTCTGGAGCGACTCCATTGCTTTCCTTCTTGACTTCTACCCTGAAAATTCTTGTTAGCTTTTTGTGATATATGTAAACTTGGGAAAACCTTTTGTGAAAGGTACTTACATGATGGGGGCTCCGACTTCTTCTTCCTCTGCTAGTAACCTTTCACACTCAAGTGCCGCCATGCAACCAGAACCTATAATGATATCCGTTAGCTACCTGTCTTGAGATCTGATTTTAAAGGTGCATTATAAAGAACTTACCGGCACTGGTAATTGCTTGGCGGTACTTCTTATCTTGAACATCTCCAGCTGCGAAGACGCCCTTTACACTTGTCTCTGTTGTCCCAGGCACAGTCTTGACGTATCCATCCTCGTCAACGTCTAGCTGTGTTTTAACAAGAGAGGTAGCGGGTTCATGGCCAATGGCGTAGAACAGACCGTTGGCCTCTAGCTCCCTTGTTTTACCATCTCTTGAGTCCTTGATAACCATGGTTTTCAGTAGCTTATCACCCTTGGCTTCAACAGCCTCTGTATGGAATAAAACCTCGACCTTAGGGTGCTTCAGCAACCTATTTGCCATAATATTTGATGCTCGAAGCTTGTCTTTTCGAACAAGGACGTAGACCTTCGAACCATATTTTGTCAAATATAGCGCCTCCTCGGCCGCCGAATCTCCACCACCGATGACAACCAACGGCTTGTTTCTAAAAATTGGAACAGCACCGTCGCATACAGCGCAGGCACTGATACCGCTTTGCCAGTAGGTCTCCTCACCGGGTAAATTTAACCGTTTAGCACTCGCCCCGGTAGCCAGGATAATCGCATCCGCAGTCTTTGGTGGTTCGTCTTCGGCCCATTCGAGCCAGTACTTGAACGGCCTGGAGGATAAGTCGAGTTTGGCGACTGTTTCGGTAATGATTTCGGTACCAAAATGGATGGACTGCTTGCGCATGTTATCCATGAGTTCTGGTCCCATGATTCCGGTTGGGAAACCTGGATAGTTTTCGACGTCGGTGGTAGTGGTGAGCTGGCCGCCGGCGGCCATACCGTTGGCTAACATGCCTTCGTATAGCACAGGTTTTAACTCGGCGCGGGCGAGGTAGATTGCGGCCGTGTGGGCGGCGGGGCCGGAGCCGATAATGACTACCCTATTATGAGATTTGGCGGACATGGTGGGAGGTGTATTTGAGATAGATGAGGAAGGTGAGGAGGAGGAGGAAAAGGGACGAAGGTTTGAGAGAGGTTGCTGCTGTTGATACTGCTGCTGCTGCTGCTGCTTTGTTGAGAGGAGGAGTGTTGCGACACCGGCAGATGCGATGGGCCGGAATCGGGCAGCCGCGAGAGACGGGCGGAAGAAAAACCTGGGAGACAACGTTGTAACGGTTTTTATGTTTCTCCTTTTATTTTATAAGTATTATTTGATGAAGCTGAAGAGAAGAGGTAGTTATGATAGTGAATATGGTGGTGAGAAGTGGTTGGGGGGTTGAGAATAGAAGGTGGAGGTGGTGGCAGTTAATATATTTTATGCTGGCCAGATCCAAGTTCAGTTCGATTCAAGCAGAAATTTAGCCACCAGCCAGCTTAGCTTAGCTTCCCTTCCTGCCCTATTCGAACAAACTACTACCACTCCTTACAGCAATAGAAATCGATCGTGTGAATAAGCCAAGTCAGGACCAACTAGCTGGGTATAATACCTGGCTTGCTATTTATGTTGTTCACCTCGCAGAAGCTGACAATTAGTAGGTGAAGAAGCCCGGCCTAGATCCAGAAGGAACGGGAAACTCTTAAGTAATACTGATAGCGGCTGGTCCGGTTCAGGGCCCTTTTCTTTGGAACTAGTTATCAGATGCGAGCCGGCAGGAGGGTTCCAAGGCTCTGGATTGGAGGGTAGCCCCACGCTTGGGCAATTGGGGCGGAAGGCTATGATGCAATGCGATTGGATCTGATGCAGGAGAACAGACCGTGCATATAAGAATATGAAGAAGTCGTTCGAGGCCAAGATTATATAAAGAAGATGCCGAAGGACAGCTCTAAGAGGAGGTTGGAATAGGTACCTTATAAGGAGTACGTAAGTATATAAACCCTCCCCTGTTGTGATATAATAATATATAACGATATACTAATACAACCATGACTTCAACAAAAAAGCCCCAAATTTTTAAATACAATACGAAATTTATATTATAATGGGATGTGCTTCCCCTTCGGTCTGCAGTGCTCTGCATGAAGGTTGCTTTGTCATGACTCGAGCATCCAGACCAACCAACCAACGGTCCAGAAACAGTCCGCCCTCGCCGCCTGACAAATCCAACAGCATTGACCATTACTCGAGTCGGGTTCATTCGAATTCTTTAGCTTCGTATCTTATATACTTTTACACTAGTAGTTACACCGCATTGGCTTCTCGTATGCATGGTAATGCTCTACGTAAGTGCTTCATTTTTCAATCCGAGTTCCAGAATCTGCGTGAGAGTTCCAGTATCTCGTCTTATTGTGCACTATAAGCGCGAATTCGAAGGGGGAAGACGAAAAAAAAAAAGAAAGCTTCGGAACTTGCCGTTTTCGTCGACCCCGAGGATTCGGTCCGAAGCGGCACACACTAATTCCAAACTACACTTGAAAATAATTCTATCCCTGAGGCTCTGTAGCTGGACTGAGCTGTGCCTGACTATCCAACTACCCACAGGTTGCGGCTGTGCCTATTCATAGTTCTTTAACTCGGACGCAATTATCTGTTGTACAACATAGGAAATTCTGAAACCCACAATTCATATACCGATGTAGTCATGCATTTCTGCGGTATTACTATGCATTCGTATAACATGGCTAAAGAAACCGTGCGGATGTATGTACCGGTACCTTGCGGCGTAAGCTCTCTAGTGATGCGAATTCAAATACTATGATTAATTATATTAACATGATTATATACGTCATTATTTTTTAATAGCCGCGCTTTCGGTCTACAACATTGATTAATCTTTTCCCTTCTGCTCTTAATTTCAAGTTAATCGCCACGATATCAAGACACCTTTCAAAGTAAGTGACGCCGGCGCCAGAGATATGTGGAGAGATATACTTTTGTTTTGGGTTTCAATTATTAGTATCGATGAACGGAAATAATTGTAAACGAGCCACAAGAGGAGCGACTTACCACATCGGGTGCATCCCATAGTGTATGTTCCTTTGGAAGGGGCCTGTTGAAATTTTCTGTTAGTATATATATTCTTGCCATGCGAATCCAACCAGATACTCTGTCTACATGAAAAAAAGAATACATACTCCGGATCAACGACATCGAGAGCCGCCCCTCTCAACCCTCCATTTTCAACCCCCTCCCTTAGCGACTTCTCCAGCTCTTCAGTCACTACAATCGGGCCCCTACTGATGTTTACCAAAAACGGGCTCTTCCTTGTTTCTTTTAAAATCTCAAATTCCTCTTTCCCCATCAACCCCTTTGTATCATCCGTCAATGGCACCGAGAACACAAGTACGTCAAACCCTTCTCTCAAAAATTCATGAAAACTCGCTTTACCGGTTCCACTCCACCATTTCACCGGAAACTCGCCCTCTTTATCGCCGGTCCCGGGTACGATGTATCCATTATCCCGCCTGCTTTCTCTTGTAGGTTTTGGGTGAGCGGTATATGCGTGTACTTCCATTCCTAATGCGTGAGCTACCCGACCGACCTGTCGGCCTATAGAACCGTAGGAAAAGATTCCGATCTTTTGGGTAACGAGATCGCGGATTGGATTTCCGGTGAAACTACCCCAGTTGTTTGCCCATCTGTGTTCTTTTTGCCATTGGTCGAAAAGGCGGAAGCGGTGGGTGTGTGCGAGGATATGGCCAATGACCCTTTATATCATTTATATAGTAACATTAGCTTCTTGACTCTATTGGCGAAAAAATGGGTTTAACATAGAGTAACAGAGTTTACCATTCGGAAATCTGAGGTCCATGAACACCGTTACTCGTAGTGATAGTTATATCTGTATCCCTGTATATCGGTGTGTTTGCGATATGATTGATACCCGCACTAAGAATAGTGCATATCTCAAGTTTTGGGGCAGCTTCAGGCGGTGGAAGGTACTGCATTGTCACAAATATAGTGACATCTTTGAAGTATTCTAGAATTTTATATAATATGTTTAATACAACGTTCGATTCGACAAGGCTGGCTCAGGGGGTAAGAAAATGTTAAGTACCATCTGGAACATGACTACCGCCTTTCATGTAGACCTCAATTGGTTCGAGGGTAATGAGAAAGTAGTTAACTACGATACCCGGGTGCTCCCTTTTGATACGGGAAATCCACTCCGTTGGTTCATCCCAGGTCGCAGCAATGAGAACATTGTCTGCCGACGTGAGTTCTCTTCCCAAGACCTCTTTGGTGACCATGTTGTATATTTTGTGTTGTCGCAGCTCAATTTTGTCTTTCGAAGCTTTCTCTCAAGCTTTCCGACCCCGACTTCAAAGAGGCTAGGTTTAGGGCTTTGCGAAATATGTAGAAAATGCAGAATACAAAATCGAGGCAATTGATATCTCTCTCAGTTCCTAAAACTCAAAATAACAACAATCCGGGGTTCCAAGAAGCCCTAAAGGCCCCATTTATATAGACACCTGGCCTACTAACTCCGCCAACTGAATTATTTAGTATTAATCCCCGGTCCAACGGGTTTGCTAGGCTTCCTAAACATTTAACCTAGATCCGAACATATGGTGAAGGATCCATGGGATATTATGCAATCGGCGACAAATCGTTTTCTATCGAGTGGTACCTGGAAGTCTTAGCGCTTTGTTGGCGTCCCGGACTCGGAGATGCGATATCATGCAGTGGAGTGGGTCTCGACGTCGGCAGGCCTAGGTGGATCCCGACAAAACGTGACTAGCTTACAATTAATCAAGCCCTCGATTACGCCTGCATTTAAATTTACTGATGCGGGTTGGGTTTTTATATGCACCTTGATCTCATTTTTAATCACGCCTTTCTGTGGCCTTTCCACCGACTAATTAATAAACTCGTTAAGGTTAACAACCCCAAGGCGTGTGTCAAATCTGATAAATATATTTGATCGCATGTCTGTTATACGTTATCTCGCTACTGATATTTCCCAAAACTTGTATATCTAGATCTTCAAACCTCGAATTTAATACTAGATATAATGTAAGTACTTTTAAATTTTAGACAAACTATTATATAAATAACTAGTAAATCCCAGGACATAGCCTCCACTTGACCTTCTTCTCCACCGCCTCCCACTGGCTTCCATACTTCCCTTTCATATACGCTTCAATCCCCGGAATGGCATTTCCCATAAAATTCATCACGTAAATCCCCGAATACATAACCCCATAAACTACTCCACCAGCAGCACTGGCATATCCAAACGCAAACAAAATATTACAAGCATAATTCACATTTCTAACAATTCCCCAAAGACCACCAGTATAAATCTTCCCCTTATTCCTCGGATCGGATTTAAATTTGTGTCTTTGGATCTCTGAAATCAATTCCGTTGATATTCCAATGATATTGAGTATTGTACCTGGGATCAGGAGGGATGGAGAGTATGTTGGATTGATTGGATGAAGGGTGTAAATGTATGATGTTAGACATTCGAATGCGAGGTCTGAGATACCGCCGAAGAAGGCGAATGGGAGAGTCATGCGTTCGCGCATGAGGAGGAGAGACCAGGTTATGTGTTTGAAAGCTATGTATGACGGCATAGCTAGTAGGAGGGTTTGGGAGAGAGTTAATGATTTCAGAGGGAGGAGAGTGGTAGAACGAGTGAGGATTAGGTATTGGATTGGGACGGTTAGAGTGCGGAAGGCGACAAAGAGGAGGGGCCCTGGAAGAGAAGAGGTGTAGTTTCCGCGCTGGACGGAGAGAGAGTTTTCTGGTGCTTTTTGGGTGGACATTTTGCGATATTGGAGTATATATTTGAAGCCGGCTATTTATATATTATGTATTGCAGTAACTGCGGAGCCGGCCTATATTGTATCTATATATCTATGATTGATAAATTTAATATTCGTTGAAGTTTTGAAAACGGGGAGAAGGTGACTGGTCTATATCTTCCTGAACCATATCTAACATATACGAGAATAGCGGATAATATTGAAATCGAACCGTATAAAGAAATAGGTTACTTGATATCTGACATCAGCTTGAGGGGGGTACGTTGGGTGGAATCCTAACTGCCGATGGCATCCTAGGCTACTCAGCTCAGCTCAGTCTCGTAACCAAATGTTGGAATATGTATCTTCAACGCATATACCGATATATCTTTATTGACGGTCGCGCGCAGATGAGTTCAATACCTAAACCGGGGCAACTAGTATCTTAAATCGAGATTATACAGACAATTAATTTCTTAAGTTACCCAATATATAATTTGCAAATTAGTATAAAACCCGAAATCAATTTACCGAATCAACTATCTGCCGTCAAATTCAATCGGCTATACTCCTACTGTACTTGTCTCAACCTATATCTTCTGAATCGCTCCCTAACAGCGTGATAGACAGCCACAATCATCTGCCAACCCACTCTCCCAAATATACACCCGAGAACATTTGCGAATGTTAATAAATTTACCCACATGAAGAAAGCAGCAACACCCAAACCCAATATTCCGCCCACGAAGCCTACCATTATAAGATGTCCAGTGAACGGAGGTCCTGGTTCTTGTAGCTGATGCTCCGCCATGGCAGCATGGATAAGGCAGAATGTTAAGGTTAGATGTCCTAAAGCCGTGATCCCTAGTACAAGAATTATGGCTGATAATGAGAAAATAGGATTTGATAATGTGAGGCTTTTTTTGAAACAAGTGTATGCGCAATTGATGAAGGGACCGGGGTGTTCGGAGAGGTCATAACGGCAATTCATAAGGAAGTTGGGAGGCGAATATAGATAAGCTGGTATGGCGAAAATTGTGAGAATTGGGAGGGTATAAGTTATGGCGGTGAGGAAGAACGGGTGACTGAAAGTGAATTTGATGTTGTTGAGAGCGGGAAAGAATGGTGGGAGAGGTTCGGGTGGTCCCGGTGGTTGAGCTTCCGGGTCTTGTGCAAGCTCATGGTTCTGTATTAGTGGTACAGCCGGTCCTGTTTCTTTAAATATGCTTTCAATTAGGTTTTTATTTCAATAATGTTATATAAACCTGGTTTTGAATAAAATTACCGTTGTCTCTTTCGAATTCATCTAAGCGCTCGAGCTCGAATTCTCGTTTTTGTGTATGAGTGTGCCTTGACATGATGGGCCATGAGCCTATGGATGTATAATTCACTTCTGAACCGAGTCCTTGCGATCTATATCTTCCAGAACGTAGTTTTGAACCTATGGTGTCTATTTTGGGGACCCGAAATGCTGGCCTACTAGATATCCTACACGGGGACAAAGGGCTATTTATATTTAAGTATGAACCAAAGGTTATAATTAATTTCTCAAGATTCAGAAGATAGGATCAGGTCAGTTAAACGCCAAGGACCGACTGAATTGATATAAATTGATCATGCACGTGGGTGTCCACCGACGTATCCAAGAGTCCTTAAGCCTTGATCCTTGTAATTATGCTGCGATATCGCGGTGCTGACGAACCGAGCCGCGCAGTTGTGCACACAGCCTCCCGTTGAACCTAGTCTGGGCCAAAACCGCCAGTCCTCGATAACGTAAATTACCTCGTTATCCTATATAACCAAGAAAATGGCAGCTATTTACGGTATTTTTTAAGGCCTTGTCGACCAATAGGGTCTTCGATCTTTTGGGCGTGTTCATGCCTAAATAATACAGCTAACGTATAACGCAATCGCATGCAAACTAGCAGTAGCTATCATGTTATAATGTATATGTAGATACCATGCCTTCAAGGTCTGGGCACGAGACAATATCATGTATAGAAATCGGATCTCGATCTCTATACTAGACGTCTATAGTATCACCAAGCCTATATATTTACGTCAGCGAGTTTCGTATGAAGGTATACTATATAGTATTAAGAACGCATAAATCATATCTTTGGACACGAATTATTAAAATTTTATATAGCTATACAAGTGCAATTCAATTACATTGTGGAGAAGGCGTGCGTAAGTTAACATGCAACGAACTTTGGTTACACAGGTGGCTGTTGATCAAAATCGTTAGCGTGCAACCATTTACCCACGTTACACAGGAACATGTTTCGATCCTCCTCAAACCGCCTCACCCACAATTAGCAGGATAACGAGTCAGTGAGATCCGCTGGGCTAAGCAGACCAAAAGCAGCTACTTGTTAGGCGAGCTTCTCAACAAATCGATTAAATCCTCGATGGCCCGGGGGATCTTTAGCTTTAAAATACGCCGTGCCAATGGCCAATCGAGTTGATTTTAAAATTTTAAATCTTTTATTGAGCACTGCAGCGATTGTGTACATGTGTTACCTTGCGCAATTGCATGTATAAAACATTAACAATTACATTGCCGAACGTCTTAGCTTTCAAATAACGATAAATTTGCATACTGACAGCACGATCTAGGCTTTGAGGTGCCTTGCAAAGGATGTTTACCCCTCTAGAAACTCTGGTAAAGGGAGCGCCTCGAAGCATGTGGGGGGTTGTTATGGGCTGCAGACGGTGGATTTGGACGAATTGCGCCTTTGACTTCACGGATGAAGAATACCCTCTTAACGACCCCGATCACATATATATTACTCATCGAAGGTGGGAGATCAGGCAGTTCGACAATTGGGTTTGTGCCGACTTATAGTATTCTCTGATCGATTGACCAAGCCCTTGGCATGGTCTGACAGCTTCGTCATCTGAAATTCGAAGTGTCAATCAATATACTATTCAACCGCGCGATCTTGAGATACCTCTGGAGCTTTCGTGGGAATTTTTGGATTTAGAATTTAAAAAAGAACATCGCCAAAAGAGTTCAGTCTCATATGAGGATAGGCATCGGGCTCTAGGACTAACAAACTGTTCATGGCCATGGGCACGTTTGTCCGGAACGAAACAAGGCTAGATATTTGCTGATTGGTTTATGGGTTTGTTGCTCTTCAGCCACCAGCCAGGGTACCTTCGATCGATTATAGCAACAAGAACCTCTATCATGCGCGTCTTGAGGTTGAAGAATGGCCAATGAAAAACATAAATCCCAGAATATATTAACTACAATACGCTTAAGCGAAGGTCTCGAGATACACGCCAGGTACCACGAGCCTATTTTATTAACTCCACAATAAGAGATTAATAAATTCCAAGCTCCCAAATTGCAAGTTTGCCAGGCTGATATCGCGATTCGAGGATACCGGACATCGCGAAGCTACAGGAACCATAAAAACTTAGGTTGCCAACGACGGGATATATATCGTAGTCCCGTACTGCAACGATCGATTCAATGCCCTGCAACCCCACTAAAACTAACCGCCTACCTTGCCCATCGAGCAGCCTTTTGAATCCTAGCGATATCAACATCGACAAAGCCCGCCATCGCTTTGAAATAGACATCTTCTGGGACCATACTATTCGTACCTCTCGCCTTCGTCGTCGGTTTAGGCGGCTTACACCGACTGATTTGAGCCCGGGAATTTTGAAACGAATACGCGAACTCAACCAAAACCTCGCTCCAATGCCCAGAAGGCAATATTTTTGATGCGCATATGCTTCTTTTGCGCTGATATTTACTGAGCGCCTTCACGGGATATAAAGTAACCCCCAACCCCTCACTTCGGCTATCGGAGTCGAGTTCCTCGATCATATCGGTCGATAAACGAAGAAGCTAGGCGTCTTCGAGATCGCGGGAAAAAAACTTCAAATCACGGTTCCATCAACTGTTCGTTCTCGAGATCTCTCGAAAATACTCTATGACAATAACTCCATAATATATGGGAGTATACGGAACGAGAAATGCCTTGCAACCCCCACTCAATCTGGCCCGCATCTAGTGTCCCTGGCGAGTGCGATAGCTTTCTAAGCTATAGTCCGAACGATCTTTTTAAAATGATAAACCAGCGATGGGCACGGATCATTCAAGTTATCAATAAAGCGGAAAAAGTGTGGAGCTTCAGAGAACCTCGAGTCATCCTGTTCGACGGAGGTATTCCAAGGCCAACAGTAATCGAAAGGATACGGTCTTCGCAGACGAGAAGAACTTTTCTATAGACTATTTGGGACTGAAGAAACCGGTGTATTGAGTTTAGATATATATATAATTCCAAATTTCCTTTCTGACCTGTACGTATTGTCTCGTAGGTACCTAGACCTGGAAACTGTACGTACCTTAGCTTGCAAATTAATTGAGACAATTATAATACCAGCCCGACTTGGCCGAGTTCCCTACGGCCAAATGAAAGCATTGCTATAGGACAACATGGTTTAGGCCCACTCAGTAGCGACTATTCTGACATAAGAAGTGGATTTTATAATCTCAAAATTCAATAAACTTAAAAAAGCAAATGTTTTTTTATTGTATTTTCGGTTATCTAACTCTCTAAAAAGATTTCACGATAAATCCCACAAAATGCCAACTTTTCTTGTCCAATCCAATCCCACTAAACTCTGAATAATCAAAAAAAAAGACAAACCAACCCGCAAAACTTTTCCTTTTTTTATAGCCGGTATGAGTACCGTATACAATTTGGTAGCCCAACCTTCGCGGTTTGAGGATCAACTCCCCTCTTGTTCATCGCCTCTTTTGGTCTATTGTAGTATTTAGGCTAGAGTCGGTTTACACTGGAAATCGTATTCAGTAGTGGTCCCGACAGTGGCAGTGGCAGTCCTAAAGACAACCTGTTTCAATATTGTTAGTATTTGATGATAATACACTCAGTGGGGTTGGAGGAGTACATACTGGGCCAGGCCCGAAATTAAAGGTTTCGGTTTTAAGAACACAACCATTGCAGTCGACAGGACTGGAAACAGTGACGGTGTTCTTGTAGATGGTCCGGGTTGGAGAGAGGTCAAAGTGTGGGGCGACACGGATGACGGTGGTGCACGGTGCAGATTCAGCGGCGTTGGCGACTGGGACGGCCAAAGCGGTTCTAAGGAAATCAGAGAGGCGCATGTTAGTCAACTAGTTGATGCGCGTGGCGGAGTCGGGACTAATGTTCTTGAAGTTGAAGATCTTCAGGCATAATGGCTTCTTCTGTTATGGTGATAGAAGCACCGCTGGTAGTGGAGTGAGGCAGTTGAAGAATGAGAAATTAAAAAAAACTTACCCAGCAAGGGAGAGGAGGGCGACAATTGGGAAGTACATTGTGCTGTTTTAGGAAGTAAAGGTATATAGAGTTTACTGAAATCTCGGGAGGTGTAATATTAGCACTATCGTCTGTGAAGACTGCGGGTTCAGAGTGAAGAAAAAAGGAGAGAATATCGACATACAAGATCTAATGGAGTGAGAAGTTACGGTATGATAGATAGAGAGTGAGATTGTTATATAGAATTATGAAAAGATGAGGTCAATAATTTGGATGATCGGTGATCGATGAAGGTGCGTTGATTTTGCAAAATGCAACAAGGTAGATATATCAATTGAAGATATAAAGCTGTGATGCTGAATGAAGTAGGACTCGAGAGAGGTCAAGATGAGGTCCTTATATAGATAAAAGAAGGGTCGTATTATTATCCTCTCTCGAGGAATGCATATATTATCATGTTATCAATCACCATATCATTCTTCGTACTCAACGCGAGCTTGCGTGGCGTCGACACCCTCTCGTCAGTCTGATACCGGTATACCATTACATTCTCACGGCTACATCCGGGAAATTCGGACCTTTCTCCCTGTCAGCAGTAACATCAATATGACCCAATGGGCTAGGGTTTTTTGAACCTCCTCTAGAGTATATCCCAGCTGATTTTCGGGAGTTCCTGGGTAAGTTCACGTCACATTCCTGGTTCGTCTACTTCAACCAGGGGTAAGCGATTACTTCGCCAGTCTAGGACCCATATGGGCCCATGAGATCCAGAGTTCTAGAATACCAAGAAAAAATTTTCACCGATTGGCCGGGTTTCTTAGTATGTTCTAATCAGTAGAACCCTCGGGCGAGCTCGACGGATCGAAGAAGTTTTGAACCATGCCAGGGTATAGCTTGTGCAAAGATTTTGTTTCTAAATCTGAGCAGGAATATTTTTTCAAACAAAAGAAAGGCAACTGCCTTCAATAGACATATCATATCATTAGGTTGCAATCTGGAAGATCTGACCCTGTCAGACCACAAACATAACGACAGCTGAGACTTCTTCTAAAAACCTTCCGTGAAACCAGATCCTGGATCATATTAGATCGATAGGGTAATACTTAAAGACATCGGTTGTGGTGTTGGCGTTGGATGTCAGCCGGCTGGGCATTTGCTTATCCGCATCATAAGCTTTTTGGCGAAATCCTTGCCCCTGCATAAACCTGGGGGAGGCTCTCAGGCAGTGGCATTTGTATTTGATTCAGGTTCGTCAGATTCCTTTCCCCGCTTCATCTTGCCGTGTTTGCAATCGCCGAGGTGGGCCCGGGACAGGCTTTGGGGGCTTGATGGTAGTCTAGTGGACGGCTTCTCGCTAGAATCAAATTAATCGGGAAAACCTTTTCATTTGAACATCCTCGAGCAGGCATGACTTCAACTACCTATTTCTTTGATAATACGTTAAAAGTTCAATTCTTCCTTGATAGGTGCATGGTGCATTGAACATTTAGCAATTTAAAACTACCGCACGCGTGCACGCCGCAGGGGAAATTGGGGCGAGGCGAAATGAGGCCGCAGTTTTGATTTTTGTGCCGTCAGTTCCGATCGAACCGTCCGATGGAGTAAACTTGATCAGTCCACAACTAACGTTCCTTGAACGAATATCATTATCCTTCTAAAACACTTCTTAGACAAAGTGAAGCGAATATACATACAAGGGTAAGCTGTGGCAAAGAAGGACATTTGGATCTCGCCGCTCAGTGCTCAAGCCAACCGGAAATTTTTTGACTGATCCAGTTCCTCCCGATGAAGTCTCAGATTTGTTGACGGCATCTGGTGATGGGTTTTCTTTGTTTATCCTTCATCGATCTAGCCCTTTATAGTCGTGTATAATAGTGTGACGATGTTGACATGTCATGATGCTTCAGTCACAACTCGGGTCCTGCCAATTGAAGATACCGATCTGACCCGGCCGAATTTATGAAATTATCCTTTGCAATCGATTGCGGATACGGCGTAGCATTTTGGGTATAACAAACGTATGCTTTTCAAAATCTACAGATGGACGTACGTTAAATTTTAGTAATCGGAAGACCTTAACACTGGGCTCCGATCTAAAAAAAAAAGAGCTGGGAACTCGAACTGCAATATTGAGAACATAAAAATATTTCGCGTAACCCATCTCTTTTCATAACATGGATAACAAAGCCAATATCAGAGCTCCGATGGACTGTCAGCCGTATGATTTTAGATATCCTAGAAAAATTTCGAATACCCTCGAAGCTCGAAAGGGTAGCTCGGTTTTACAGGCGGCCGATTCGAGCCGACCAACAGAGGCTTGCCACCTAGAAATACTACAGACAACACGGCGCCTCGTGCTCGGGTGCGGAAGCGGTTAACAGTTAGTCTAGACGCTTAGTATCAAGTTACTATAATGCTATCATATTTCTTTAGAAAATATTAGTATATCCAATGCGGTACCGGTGCATTATTGGACCGATCTCTCTGTATCCCAATGCTGCGTTTTGCTGGTCTTCGAATTCTCAGTCCCGAAGCTACGAAAATTCGAACTCTATTTCGGGGAGCAGCGTAATGCACCATCGTGTAATTTGCTTCTTTTGAAATTCGTGCGAGAGGATCAGTCTGTACTGTGATATACCCTGATTAGAATATTCAATACTGTTGTAACAAAATTTCGATTTGATATCATACGTTACATTGAATAGACCTTCGTTTTTTTGTTTTTCCATCTACGAATGAATGTAATCAAGTCCATTGCGGTGGTGATCTTTAAACTATAAGCCCTAGTCTACGTAAGCATATCGATATAATATGTGTAATTATATCAAATCTTTATATTAGTTTAAAGTCTGATCTCTATGGTTATTGAACTGTGAGGAAGTAGATTTGTTCCTGGACTGCTCTGGTTCGTATTATCTCACGTACACCTCAATAAAACACTAATACTCATAATTATATAATCTGATTAGATAGAAATACTCAAAACCCATATAATACACCAGGCTCCTAAGGGGTACGGAGGGCCCGAGGTGGTCAGCCTTAGCAGCATGCACCGCTTATGCGGGATGGTCGTTCTAACCATCTGACATTGAATATTAATATATTACGGTAGGACAAAAATCAAACTGTTTTTGAAATAAATTTCGAAAAGTTCATGGCACCCTTTAAAAAAAACATTATTTAATGACCATATTTGATCGGTGGGTGAGCGTCTGGCTCTGAGACTAACAATATTCCATGCATAGACTAGCTGTGTAAAAATTAAGCAGCCGAATAAACCGAACAGCTGGTTATATAGACAGAAACCGCGCTACACCTAGACGTACATGCATCTACACATACACACGTAACATATATCTACGGAGCCGAGAGATCGAAGGTTATTGGCTGGGCGCAGCATATGCATAAGGACACTAAAGCTATAGAGATAAAGGTTTAATATAGTATTGGGGTTTTATACACCCATTCAAATTCTATCAAAGATCGATTATCCGACGATACGGGATCCACACCATAGTACTATTAAAAATGTCGTAATGTTATAATAGGCATTCCTATTTTCCCTCCTCCTGATCCTTAAAAATATATATGCGTCGCGAGGACCAACGTTACCAGCAATTCACATGCATCACAGCAATGCCGGTTAACGGGTGAACAGGCTAGTTCATACGCAGGTTCGCGAAAGTAGCCGATTATTTAACCAACAAGAACAGGTGCAGGCCTTTAATGTGTCCGGGTACGAGACCAGTGCAGACGGCAACCGACTATTTTCACCCCCTAAATTATAAACTCAAATTAGTCGCTGAAAGAACAGCTAAGATCTATATCTATATCTAGAGCAGTGCAATGTTGCATATTGAACAAAAAAGTGGGTCTCTTGTTAATTGACCGCTTTTAGCTCCCACCGGCCACGCTGCCTACATTGAGTTAACTTAGACTGGACCCACCTATAAAACAACCTATAAAACAGCAAACAAAAGACATATACAACATGCCTGTGGGTAATCTCTGAACTGATCTGTAGACCAGACTGTGAACCGCTAATTTGTCGACCGCTTTGTGAACTAGCTAAGCTTCTAGACGAGCACATCACAGACCAGCCTATAAATTTGGCTATGTGCTAGCTTGCCTTTTAGGGCTGGGCGCAAGACAGCTAGCTCAAGTACTTGCGAATTAGCCAACCCGGAGGCTCCTAGGGAGGGATAGTTATTAACATCTTGAGGATCAACTTTCAAGCCAGTTATCAACTAGATACAAGCCTAAAAATACAACCAGCGGTAGACCATGCAGCTCCTATATAGCTACAGATAATTACCAGGAATTTCAAAAAACAAGAAAAAACCAGAAAATTGTTACCCCCAATACGGCCAAAGGAGCCGCTCTTTCGCTAAACTTGCATAAAAATGATCGTCACGCATTCTGGCCGCCATAGGTTTTTTCCCTTTCCCATTGTTTGCAGCACCGGAATTGAAAACAGCGCCATAGCTAGACACAGCTAGCGCTCGCGAGATAGTCGAGAATCGGCTACCTAGGCCGAATAAAAAATACAATTTCCATACTCAGTACCTATAAATTTCGATATTAAAACCACGAGTTCGATGTTGCTTCGATTAAAAATGAGGCTGCAGATCCGATTGCTAACAGTAATTAACCAAGTCTGCTGTGCCGGGTAGTCCGATTTACAAGTCAGAACAACCGAGTTGACATTGATCGTATGAAGACCTTCGGATATATTGAATACAGCGTCGGATTGATCAATTGAATCGCGGGACCAAAAATATCTATTTAAATCCTGGTGCTCACAAGCCTACAATTAAACTTTCTTTCTCTAGCTACAGCATGTGCCGCATCTGAAAAGCACAAGGCGGAGAGAAGCTTAGCATTGTCGTTGTCCTTACACTCTTTTTACTTCTTCTCATTTTGTTCTAAATACATACTCTCGTTTCTGATCTTGTTGTTTCAAGTATATTACATTTGCTACCAAATATACGTCTAAGACGAAGAAACTAGTCTAAGCTACAAGCATGGTCAACTTCAAAATATCTGCTGCAACTGCTGCGGCTATCTTGGCCAGCGTTCAGCAGGTCTCCGCCCATTGTCGTTTTTACATGCCCTTTGGTGACTATAATCCCCAGAAGACTGGTGGAATTATCGGGCACTTTGACGATATCGCAATCAAAGATCATGGGCATCACCAACATCCAGGACAATGGGATGTTGCGGTATTCAGCGATCCAGTCATCCCGGCTACCTGGGAAAGTCCATTCAAGCATATACCCCGTAAATACACACCACAAGGATGCGGCGCAAGCTTAGGTTCCCTCTTCGCCTACTACGTTGCCAAGAGGCCTACAGAATTTAGTCCGGCAAATCTTGAGGGGCATCCGGATATGTGGAGGCATCGGAACTATCATTTTTTCATGGCTCCGACTCCTGCTGGGGGGTTCAATCAAGTTAAATACTGGGTTCAAAATCTTGAAATTAACCTATGGAGTATGTATTATGTATCCCCCATGGATCTACCTCCTCGGAAAACTGGGTTATAACCTTGGATCACGTTTCTGACAATGACATTTAGAGAGAATGGCTCAGTCCACTCCTGGGGTTGGCTTAGCATAAGAGTCCACCAAGTGAATGAAGACGGCGCTGGACCATTCAGGTAATGGAAACCCTGTCGCCAGTGACATAAGTTCAATCTTCTGACAACTGGGGTATATAGATGTCGATTTGACCAGACAGGTACCGGCGAGCATTTCGGCCCCTGGGCTCATGTCCTCGAGCAACCGCCTGGTGAAATCGCCCACCAATCCCGACTTTATGCGACAAATAACAGGATACATTTCCTAAAGGTCGCTGTTCCAAAAGATATCAAGTGCGCAGGTCAATACGGCACCACAAAGAATATCTGCCTGATGAGATGTGAAAATTATGCAGCGTGAGTATATATATCTAAGTTTCATGTTTTATCATGCAGCCTGCTAATAGGTTTTATTAGAAACGGGCCGTTTGGAGGATGTGCTGTCTTTCAAGTCGTCTATCCCGAGCCGAAAATTAAGCCGCCACCAAAACCAAAACCAGTTTATGTGGATAAAACAAAGCCTGAGCCAAAGCCTGATTATGGTGATGCTGGCTACAATGTTGGTGGTGGAAACTACAAAGAAGGTGGTGGCTATGGCACTTATAAAAAAGTTAAAAGAGATATTGAGGCGAAGAAGGCCAGGCGTGCTGCTAGCCAGACCGATTCCGATATTGATTCCGAGGAGGCCAGCTCCGGTTAAAGGGGTCAATGGGAATATGAGCACCTACGAATAGTTAACCAAAGAGTACAAGCATCAGAAACTTAGAACTAGACCTATAGATTGCATGTTTCGATGTTTACGTTAAATTGACGAGAGGCTGCAGTCCTTTTGATTGTAACGATACTGAGGAAGCCAATAGTTTTTAAAAGAGAGTAAGATCTATATATAGGCTTGTAATTAGAAATTAAAAACTGGAAACCTCAATCGAGGTGGGCTTCGGAGGCTCTATATATAGAAATTATCATATCCTATTGATTCACGCGTACGCATGCAAAGGAACTTGATATTCACTACAATTCAAAGTAGTCTCGAGACCAATTCAAAGGTTGTGGAAAGAGACGATCAAGAATGCAGTAACATAGAAATTTGGGTGTCGAGCGTAGCTGACCAGCTGGTGAAGAGTAATAAATCCGGATTTACTGTGTTGCACCTGTTGGATTCTGATTTCATTCTAATATCACTTTGTGAGTAGGATGAGACAAGTACTTATACTGTACCGCTCTGAATTTATCCAAGTTTGATAAGTAAGGTCCCTTCTTTGCAGTCCGGCATACGGCTGCTTTTCGAAGCCCATATGCATATACATACGAATAGATCTGGAGGTGGCATAAAATCCCCCTCCCCCCGGCTCCATCGCGTATGCGTAGTCCAACGCACGAATACCAAACATATGCACATAGCTAGGTAAAGAACTGAAAGTAGATTGACCGAGATAGTTTATTCGCAGTAGTAATAAGTCGAGCCTTTGTCTGTTTGTCTGAGAAATTATGATATCTCAGGGCCATGAGCTTCATGTATCCCGCCCAGAATCCTTACAAACTCATGTTGCACAGCCATCCTAGTCAGCTGCAGTACACATATACGAAGGATTGGGCTTTCTCCCGCTAATATTACCATGTCTTGGAGCTCTTGCCCTGTTTTTTGTCGATTTCTGATTGGCCAATACCGATTTCCGTTCGGTTAATCTTTCTGGTTGTCTGTTTCTGCATGGACAAACGATTGGCCAAAGCTGGAACTGCAACATACCGCGTGAATTATGATATTACCAGACCAATTACAAAGTCTTGATGATGAAATTGAAAAATTTCGAGTATACCGCCAACTCGCAACCGTTCGAATTAGTGCTCCAGAGACGGGGATATAAACCTCCCGAAATCCCCCAGAGGACCCAAAACTTTCTTTCCATACTCCAGACTACAACAGTCTTCCAGATATTCCCATTCATAGCCCTTATATATACCTAGGTACATACCTACAAGCTCAGGCTCTTCATACCTTTACAAATTTGTGCTCTTATAAAATTCCTCGACGTTTTACTTTTCTCAAACCGGCGCCTAGGGTGTATTAAAACATGCCTCAATCCGTACTCGAAGGCCGAATCGTCAAGAGAGGCCAAACTTCTCGGAAACAGTCGCAAGCTGCGACTCAACTGACCACCAGACCCAAGGCTGAGAAGAATGGAAGAGCCAAGCAAAACAAAGAGCTGGCAAATCACAAACACAAAGAAGCCATCAAATACTACTATCTCACACGTCGATATACCCTTCAAAAACTCCATGAGGCAATGGAAATAATTTTCAAGGTTGGAGCAACGTAGGTAGCTCCTTCTAAGAATGCCTGCGCCTATATGTACACATCATAGCTAATATCGCTATTCGTATAGCTCTAAACAGTATTCAGGTTATGTCGACAAATGCAATTTCAGAAAGAAACTGACAAAGGAGGAGTGGGAATCAGTAGCAGCATACTGCTACAAGTCCCACGCTCTGGGCCAAGAAGTTGCAATTAAACTGAATGGGCAATATATACTTGAACCGCAAACCGTCAGGAAAGAGCTTCCACGAAACATTTCGCTTGGGGTACAGAATAAAATTCGACGTCAAGAAAGTTAGTTAATTTACCTAGTATATAGTTACTATTATTGCATCTCACTTGCTAAACCCGATCTAAATAGTCGCGATTCCACCAATTTCACAATGGCCACTGCGTGTGGGACAACTTGAAGTGTGCATCCCGACAGTTAACACCACCATCCAAAGAATGCCCCAGTCAGTCTGGAGACGTCTTCCTGCTTGGGAATCACAGAAGCCGCTACTCCAAATTTGCCAGAAAACCTGTCAAAGGTTCGGTCAAACGGAGATGGGGATTGGCAGGCTTGCCAATAGCAACTATTTCAAATACCTGAGGACTCTTCTGTACCGGCTTTCCAACAGTTTGATTAAATTTGATGTGCTATACAGACTTCTGGACAAAGTTGAGAGCTTAGGATTTCGATCCTCATTGAAAGAACTGTTATCCTTCAAGACAAACACAGTTAGGGTAGCGGCAGAAAATATTTTACCCCTTCTCATTTTCCGATGCGACGAAGATCTCATAGAACACATATTTGGAATCCATGGCGTCTTGCAGCCGCCGGCGAATTGCTACGAAGCTATACTTCAACTACTAGAACCAGGGTTATATATGATAGTTCGGTCTAACTGCTTTAAATCTTCGCATGTGCCAGATGGATTTAGCGGTTGGCCTGGTCTCGAGGATCTAGTCGATTTTTCTCATCACCAAGCGGGCAAGGCTCTTGTGACTTTTCTCCAGTCGCAACAGATTGTTCCTTCCACACTCTCTGAGGCTGCTATACTTGTTGCCTGCGTGATTGACTGGGGGCTCATATCAATCACTACGATGAAACAGATGCTACCAAGTTGCTTTGATTGGGGAGATGTCGAAGCAGAATATGAAACTATGTTTGAGCGGTGCATTGCAAGATTCAAAAACACCATTCCAATACAGGATGTTCTGTCTTACGGTTTCCGGAGAAATATGTACATGAATGCCCTCATCGCGGTTTTGGTCAACAATTGTAAAATCGCTTCCGATATTCTTCCATTCACGGAAATAAATGTTCCAACGATACCCTGCATGGGAAAATGCGACAAAATTTACAACAGCTGCAATGATGATTGCCTGGCAGAAACCCTCGGACTGGAGGTGTTTTCTCGCCTTGTATCAGCCACAGCCAAGGAACAATATAACCAGAACCGCGATTGGAATCCTGATAGTCTTCGATATTGGGAAGTGGGATTGCTCAGCTGTTCGCTGACTGTTGCATGCGGTATGAACTATCAACGGCTATATACGTTTATCCTCAAATATCTTCAGAGCTGTCACTTTGGTTCCTTGCCAAGCTATTCGGCCCACGAGAGCTCTAGCGAAGAGTCTGTGGATGATTATGGGGATTACTCTGGAGATGATCCTGAGTACCGAACGGGCTTTCAGATAAGATTACGGGATATTGAAATAGTGAATATTCTAACAGGGGCTTTGGTAGAGATAATTGATATAGGACGCCAGGAAATAGATCCATGGTACGAAAGTTTCAGGGAACATTTCCGTGATTTTGTGGGGAGAGAAACGGACCTTAGTCATAAAGAACGACTCGAGCAGTGTCAAAAGATTGTTGAATCGGGAGCCAAAATTGGCGATGACACGCAAGTATCTTTCAAAAATTCAAATTCAAGTTATGAGAAGTCAACGATCCTCAATTATGCTATAGCCTTCCTAGACGTTGACCTAGTCAAGGTATTACTAAAGTTTGGCGCGGATCCAAATCTCAAAGACTATAAGGGGCGAACACCAATCATGATGTTATTGATTATCCTAGCTCTAAAGAGTGGTGCCGGTGTTGAAGACAAGTGGCATTGGATATACAGGAAAAAAGAATTCGGGGAGATCCTTCATTATCTCCTAACGGCAGGCGCTAGATATCCCACCAAGAATACGCACATCGCGTGGAACTGGAGTACATACAAACGCGGCCAGAGTGCCTGGAAAGAATATTTTACTTTTCACGATCTGGAGACCCGTTTGCGACCGGAATTCATGACAGCGCTTCGTATTGGAGACATTGATCAGATATCCAGCTTGTGGGATGGCGAATTTGAGCGACTTGAGCCTACAAAACCCGAGCCATGCGGTAGCTGTGAACATCTCATCAATATTTTTGATCAAGCTTTCGGTGAAACTGGATGGTGGAGGAGCTTCAGTTTTATAACTAAGCTATGCTGGAATACTTGGGATCCGGGTTCTCGTTCTTATCTAACCCTCGATCAGGTTGTACTGGGATTTCAAAAGAAACGAACCCAATTCCGGACCGAAGGAAGTATTTTATGTATCTTGAGGTATAGCGGCAGACTATCGGTAATGAGGTATCTCCTTATGCTCGGCGATGAGGTGGAGCTGTTCAAAAAGTTCATTCTTCATCACCCTATCGATGCGAAAGCGGAAATCTCAACATCCTTCCCCGGGGAGATGACCCTTTTGGAACTGGCAGCTAAGAACGAAAGGGCCAAGTGTCTCCTTCTTCTGCTTCAAAATGGATGCAATCCTAACGAAGAAGTCGGCGCACGTGGACCTTGTAGTATCTCAGCATTAAATTATGCCGTTGAGACCGGGCATCTCGAAATAGGGAAAAGTCTTCTCGAATACGGTGCCGACATATATAGGATATCAGGAACACATGACCCCAAACACTTTCAAACTCCTGTTGAATTCGCAGTAGAGCTTCGGCGACTCGATTTCATCGCGCTTTTCCTTCTACACAGCATCGAGTGTCGTGACATAGCGCTAGCTGCTGCCAAAAAGTATGGCCACAAAACCATAGCAAAATGGATAAAGGACGAATGGATGCCGAAGCCTCTAGACCCAACTAATTCTCTAAGAAGCCCTTCCACATACGATATCGAAGATTATATACATGAATGGTGCTATGAATAGTCATTTCCCGCTGGTCTGCACACACTTCCTGTCGACCTTGAGGCTCAATGCAATTGTGTACTGTTGTTCTGTGTTGTTTTGTTGGAAATTTCGAAAATAATTTTTGTACTAATTTGAAGCCTTGAATTAAGATTCTTCGAAGCACCCGGAGCTGCAGAGCGCTCGTGAGGGAGAATATAGTTTAAATAGCGCCTGATATCGATTGACCGTGCTATCTTGAAATTGCCATGAAAGAATATAACAATTATACAACATTTTAAATTTCTTCCGTAACTATAATGGAGTAAAAGAGAAAGCAAGCCGTCCTGTCACTTGAGTAAGTGTTGAATTAATACAGTCTGGGGGCCAGACTATATGGAGTTAAAGATTTTCTGGCGACTGATTTTAAGCATGGATTTGGAGTGATGCGTATCCATCAGAAATGTCTTTCTTAGTATAACTATATTTCTTATGTTGCATAAATATCATGAGATGTATTTATGGCACAACTGTCTCGCAGCAGACGCATTCCACATCTGCTGGCCAGGTTTCTCAGCCTTGCGGTGTTGCGGTTCGGAATCGACTTCCACAAGCGGAGGGCGGCTGGCGGACAAACCAAACTTATATAACGCCCGTCTAGCCTTCGTTTTAAAATGGAGCAACCTTCAAAACATCGAGGAAAAAACAACCTACCCCATATATAGGGTTATCTACAGGTCTAGCGGGAAGGGTTCATTCCTACAGCCGAGTCCCAATAAATCACTTTACTGAGTGAAAACCAAAAAAAAATAGCACATATTTAGCGAACGCTGCTCTAAATTCTGCCACAAATTCGTTACTACATCGTTTTCGACATCCGTTATATATATAGGGCTTCTCAGTTGTTTTATTTCCCAACGTTAAATAAAGCATTGAAGATGGTGGTAGAAAATACTGTAAGTAATCCGATATTTTCCATAGTTGCGCATCTCAAATATTATGCTTCACCAAACGGGGGGAGGGAAAGAAAACAAAAAAAAGGGTAGTCTCATTATTTGATTCTGTAATAATTTCTTCCATAAGTTCGGAATTCCGGAATTCACGATTAGCGTAGTGGTATCGATATTGGAGAGACAAGTCAAATTAAAACGCAATCGGTGGGTTACATTAATTAACTAATATGTCTGGGAAATCAACAGAACCAAGCATTCCCCCGGGAATACAGACTCGTACTCCTTGGATCTCCGGGCGCCGGGAAATGGACCTTCATCACTAAACTGATAGGATATAGATCATGTTTTCAAGATCTAGAAGATATAATCCCCCGATGTTCGTTTCCCCCCAACCCCAGTCCGTCGATAGATATTTCACAAACAAGCCTTAAATTCCGGGCAAATAATATCGATATACCCATTATAATCCACAGTTTGGTTACGAGGCCGCATTATAATTAGGAGTCCCGCGTGGGGCGATTATCAAACACTAACAATTCTTAGTCGAAGAGTCCCATCGAAAGCAATGTGTCATCGATGACGAAGTCGCTTTACTCGATGTTCAGCCCGTTTATGACACCATTCCCGAGTTCTATCCCGGGTGGTTTGGCTCTGTAGATGGATATATTATCCTATACTCTATTGCATCCCGAAAATCGTTCGAGGCAGTGTCGGCTATCTATGAACGAATCCGAAACGCCAGTGGTGGTTTCTCCTGCAATATTCTTCTTGCTGGGAATAAGTCAGATCTTGAGATAGAGCGGGAGGTTTCAACTGAAGGTTAGCTCATATATACTCTAAACCCCCAAGAAGCTGTTTAATGCCAGTTGAGCTGATAAATATGTTCTTCAACGTCTTTTGTGTGATAAATAGAAGGACGCGCACTGGCCGAGTCCCTTGGTGCCGTTTTCTTCGAAGTATCGGCAAAGGCGGATATTTATATCGATTGGTCGGTCTACGCCCTGGTACGAAGGATTAGAAGACCCGATGGACCGCGAGTAGCTAAAAAGGAGAATGACAAAAAGGAGAAGGAGGGTCAGGATGAAGCTGAAGGTCGACGCAAGCATTCCTTTCGCGCTGCATCGGCTTGGGTTGTGAACAAGGTCATTAAGCGTGGTAACTGAAGATTCTATTAATAACTAAAGTGCAACTTTCACAGAAGTTTCTATAAGAACTGTAAATTTCAAGTATCAATCCAAACTTAATCGACGTTGAAGGTGCAGATAACATTCACCTGTTGAACGGTTAGAACTTTATAGCTTTGTGCAGTCGAACTGGTCTCGACGAACTACACAACAACTAACAACCAACACAACCCAACATGCAACATCCGATACCCCAAAGCACCTATCTCACGTGACACTTTTTATCATCAAAATTCCAACCACTCTCAAATATGGCTCACTATTTTTAAATCTTGTTCTCTTCGATCGAACTATCTAAAAATCAGCTTATTTGATAAAGAATTGAGTCCACAATCACGATGTGAAATTTCGGTGTGTTTTCGGCCATCGCAACTTCGGTGACGTTCAGTTCCCCCCAAGGATATGATACGACATCCGATCTGCGTTGTCCATCCTCGGTGTAACCTGACCTAACAACTCCATCCATTTGATATCAACTTAACAAGCCGTCTATAACCTACAACTAAGCTAACTAGCAAGGCAACGGCTAAAATATCCAACCCGACTCGACCCCAGCACACTAAGCTTACCCCAGATCCTTAAAAATAGCAAGTACTACTACCTATCTTATCACAAAGTCCAAGCGGGATAAAGAAAGGCCAAGAAACCAAAAAACGGAAAGTGGTGCACATGCACACGCTATCACGATATCCCAGCGTAGTGCACCAATGCAATGGTCTGTCTATCACAAGATCACTTTCCGAACTTAGATAACGGAGTCGCCCGTCGCGCCCCATGCATGGAACGGCAAATCATGGTTTAGCTTTTTTTTCTTTCTGCCCTTGTTACTTCCCCGAAACGTGGGGTTTTACTATGGCACTTTTCCTTACTATATATATCATGAATACATCCTTTATCTCTATTTCTTTAAATCCTTCTTTTTTTTCAATATATTTGCTAGATCTATATCGTATTAATCCTCGATTCGAAACTACCGAAATAATTCTTACCAAAAATGCCACCAACCGTCTGCGTTGCGCCGACCCTTTTACAACAACAGGACGCCTTCGCCAGTCTCCGCCATACCCAAACAAGCAGCAGCTTAGAGTTCGACTTCGATTTCAATTTCCATAACAATAATGCAAATCCAAATAATCCACAATCTCCGTCAACGTCCGCATATCTAATATCCCAACTCGCAAACTTAAGTCCCCAGACTACATCTTTCCCACTACCACCGTCGTCGTCTACATCATTATTATCGTCATCACGTATGCCTCAATGCATCGTAGTCAGTATCTCCGGCGGTCAGGCGGCTGGTAAGAAGACGGTGCAGGCTGCGATTGCCAAGAGGTTGAAGGAACTTAGTGGTGGACGGTTACGGATTACTTGTTTGAGTATGGGAGATTTTGCGAGGAGGCTTGATGAAAGTGACAGGGAGGAGGCGAGGAGTGGGGGGAAGGATATGGATTGTATTGGTATGTTTTTTTATATCTCAAATTATATAAAAGTCTCAAGAATGGGCCTTTCAGATATATTTTTTTTTAAAAAAAAAAAAACCAAGAGCCGTTTGATTAATTTGATATCTATAGAATCCTACGACCTCGACTGGCTAGTCCAAACAATCCGCAAAATCAAAGAAAACGAGCCAGAAATCAAACTGCCCAAATATGATATCCTAAAATTCCAACATGAAGCCGAGGAAGTCGCTTTAAACCCCGCAAATGATCTGGGAGAGACCGGACCAACAGATGTTCTGATCGTCGAAGGTTGTTATATGCTTTGCGAAAAGCGACTGGTGGAGATGGCGGATATCAAGGTCTTTGTGGATTTAAATGCCGATGCGAGGTTGGGGAGACGAGGTGCGTTTATATTGATATCAGATCTAGAATTTGTGGGTTATGGGAGTCATTGCGTGTGCTGACAATGTTATTTTGGGGGTTCAACAGTTGTTCGAGATACTGAAGAGCGGGGAATCCCGCTCGATAAAGTATTCGATCAGTACCTAAGATACGGAAAACGAGCGTTTGAAGGTACTGTATCTTCCATCATCAACACTCCATTTGTATCTACTAACCTCCAGATCCCCCAAATATAGGAAGGATAGAGCCTGCCAAATCCCGCGCAGACGTAATCCTGCCTAAAGGCGTTGAAGGTGCCGCCATAGACCTAATAGCACTAGGTATATGGGACGACATCTGCGCCAAGGCGGACAGCGTCAATAACTTTAGCGGGGGATTAACGGCCGAGCACGAGAGGAAGGCGTTACTGGTAGGTAAAACGGTCGGAGAGAAACAGACTATATCTATCGGTGAAGTAGATCTAGAGCGTTTTTATGATCCGATATAAATTATATTTAGATCTATAGAACCTAAGGAATCTAGTATACGATTTATTATGCATATCTCATGGAGCAATTTCGAATGATATTGGCATCCTCTTTTAATACTATTCTAGAAATAATATTCACTAGATAGCTATAGGGATACAACCACGGCCATTTCTACCTATGCAATCGGGGAGAACGTCTCAAGTATCTACACCGAAAGAAAATGTTAGACATTTTGGGCTCTCCAGTCAAAGCATGGACATGAACGAAAAAGAAAGAAAAGAAAAACAAATTCGTTATGTCGATGAACTCGACCATGGCTCGTCGGGTCCGGAAAATTAACAGGTAAAGGATATCGGAAAGTTCGTATCAGTTTGGTAGCTTCTCTGCATTATGGTCTTTTCGCATTTTCTTGATTCTATTTCTCAGTACTGCTTCCCGCAATTCAGTTTCGGTAAGTTGTTTTTTGGAGGGAGACGTGACCTATATTCGAATGCTTGTTAGACTTAGTTTCTTGTTCAATGTTCTTTGACCACAATTTAAGGAAATATGATAAGGGACATTCCTGTCAATGACGTGCCTTCTCAGCATCTTCCATATCGACATCTTCATCGTTCTTCTTCGACGACTTCGGACGACCACTCTTCTCTGGTGGCGGTGATCCCGATGATGAAGGGGACCGTCTGCGAGCGCGCTTCGATCTCGAATTCTCAGGTGAAGACCTGCGACGGTCATCGTTTCTCGACTTTAGGCGGCCGTAATCGTTTGCTTTGCCCTTGACTACGTCTGAATCAGCCCTAGAGCTCGACCGTGAACGTGCATCAGAAGAGGGAGATCTGGAACGACGTCTCCGGTCCCTGCCGGAGCGCTGCCTATCCCTGTCTCTATCCCTATCATCAAAACCTCGATCATAGGAACCTCGTCGGTCTCCACCACTCTTACGCTTCCTTCTCCTATCATCTTCATCATCTGTATCCTCGCGATGACGGCGGCGGTCATCTCGTTTATCGTCTCGAGATTTTCGTTTATCGGATCCTTCACTTGAAGCGGTTTCTGAAGACGCCGAGGAAGAACTACGGTATCTGCGGCGGTCGTCGCGGCGGGCATATTCTCCGCGTCTGGATCGTCTATCATACCTATCCGGTGACCTAGATTTTGGCCTAGGCCCGCCTTTGCCTCGGTATCTGTCTTCCGTCCGTTTGGGAGGGGAATCATATGACTCAGACCTAGATCTGGACCTGGACCTCGATTTAGTCCTCGATCGATCCCTTCTCGGAGCGTGTGGCGATGCACTCCGAGTTGGCTCATCACCACCCCTGCGCCTCCAACTATTCCGCCGATTATCCCTATCATCATAATCAAAATCTCTTCTCCTATCATCTCTTCCCCCACCACCACGTGCAGACGGGATGTATGTATCCATCATGCGTTTCGGACGCGAAGAATAATCATCTCTACCTCCACGGTAGGAATCTCGATCAGCTGGAGAATCACGTCCTGCGCCTGCGCCTGCACCACGGGTGCGTGCGGGCGGTGAATTGGTCCTGCTACGATCCCGGCGGTATCCGCCACGGTCACCACCAGCATCGCGGCCACCTCCACGACGGCCGCCTCTGCCACCTGGACCACCGCCACCTCGTCCGCGACCTTCACCGCGTTCTGCACGTTCGCGTTGGCGGATTTCTTCTAGATTTTTGTCCTTTTCGTCCTCCTTTTGCCGGGAATCACGAGCTTGCTTTGCGACTCGTTCTGTTTCTTCCTATATTTCGACAATATCATTAGCTTGTTGAAATTTGTCCTAATTTCTCTTTGATTTGTACCTTTTCTTTTCTCATTTCCTCTTTCTTAGCTTCAATCAAGCGCTTTGGTACACCCTGAGGCTGACTCTGTGCATCCAGCATCAATTCCCACATCTCCTTACAGAAAGCAGCCGTATCGTGCTCTAAAAAGCCAGTAAGACTCCATTGCAACTTCTTGGGATCAGGCTGTATTGTAATCGGACCGTTAACATGGTATTCAAAGAATGGTGCTGCGAGGCAAGAGCGGAGCATACAAAAGTTTCGCTCTCCAGCATTCCAAAGATCAATTCGATAAGCACATCATCGTCTGCCTTTAGTAGCTCAGATATTCTAGTTGAGATCCATCTATTACCGGTTATTAGAACAAGTTCCCCCTTGGGACAGAATAGAGGAGCAGAGAAAAACGTACTGTTTCAGAATCTCGACGTTGACTTTGCGCATGTCGACCTTCTTTGAAAATTCTGGAGGCCTGTGTAGGTATATCATATAATACATTAGCGGCTAGTATTTTTATATACCGACATCTACATATTGATCAAAGACAAAAAATCATTGAAGAACTATAAAAGAAACCTACCATTTCTGACTCTTGATATACTTAGCCTCAGCACTTGACATATTTGCCGATAGTTTTATAAACGATTTGATCCAATTCGTAGTCTTTTTCCTTTTTCTTTTTTTTTTTTTCGTTTGTCGCCTGGTTTAATTCGGATGTGAAGGAGAGCAAGAGGGAAAAAACCGCGACTGGGAATTGAATTCACGCACGCGTGTGACCTTCAAAATCCAATGAACAAATGAACGGGGGTGAGAATTGGTTATTCGTCAATTGGTAGCTGTAAAACAGTAGCTGCAGGTTGGAAGCTACTCTTCTGTTGGTGTTATTAGGAAGGAACCAAAGCCGTGGTGACGGTAGACATATTCAGTTGTGGTGGTGATGAGGTGGAAGGGACGTTGTTGGAGTGTAACTAGGTAACCATTCGAGATGCGGCGGTGGGACGGAGTTTGGGACCCTGTAACTAGCCTATCCTGCGGCAAGGAATATAAATCTGGACTTCCTTCCCCCCCAAAACGTCATTTCAGCTAACTTCCAACATCATCGTCGCCGATTTTAACTTCTAGTCATAGCTCCAACTTGGATTCCATCGATATCAATCCTGCTTGACCAATTGCTTCTAAAGAGAAGGGAACTAGTAGGATACGGAAAGTGGAAGAAACATGTCCACATAAAGTACACAACTAGGCGACAATGAACAGGCAATATCTACCGTGGTTCGCATTGGGCTTCGGATGCGCCATAGCCTACAGACTTACAGTATACCAACTAGAATCATTTAAACGACAATGTGAGATTCTCCCCGAAGAGTCGCGAGAAACGGTCGATAAAGCTACCGAGAATGCGCTCAAGCTGGATACGCTGGTTACTCTTTCGCGGGGTGTAAACTATAACCTCTCAAGGGCGTATGTCCCCCCTCCTCTCCTCCTTCTGCCCCCCTTATCCTTTTATATCACAATATAAATACGAATACTAATACCAAACAGTGCAATCCGTATAATCGCCGAACGCGCCCTCACCGACACCGCCTTCCCCACTCTCCTCCGCCACGCCATCTCCTCGACTCCATCAACCCGTCACACAGCTCTAAAAACCCTCCGCTTCTTAATCCTCGGAAAATCCAAATCAGAAAACTACTACGAAAACGACAACGACCACATCCTTTCCAAAGAATCCGAACTAATTCTCTATTCCCAACCAGTATTCCACACCCTCGTTCACGCCTGTCTAATCGCTTTACCCCGTAAAATAAAGGATACGGAAACATACACCCAAAGAGACGAAGAAACGGAAGCATACGCTCTAGAATGTCTTCGTTCGTTAATCCGTCAACCTCATCAAGCCGGTTCCTCGACTTCTACTTTAATACGTGCTATAAATGCCGGGGTAGTGGTTTATATGAAACGACTTCCTTCCCCGGGATATCCAAACATAATAGCCGCCTTCTCAGACACGGAATATCAACCTACAAACTACTTTTTGTACGACATACATAATTGGATGCTCAACCATGATGATGCAGATGATTACCTGGAAGCCCTTAAGAAGGCAGAGTTATATGTCGAACGACCGAAGGTTATCATGATGGGGATGCGAGGTGGTGTAGGCGGAACATTTGAAAGACAGGTACAGGAATTCCATAGGACGTTGAGAGAGCGGTATCCTACTGCTGTTTCTGTTGAAGAGGCATTGGAGTTTGCGGCGGCGGAAGGGATGACGTTTGAGAATGGAGAGGCTGTTGCGGGGAGAGGTGCTGTTTGGCAATGACTACTTGCATTTTTGGGGGAAATGGCGTTTTATCTTCTTTTAGAGATTGGATGGGCTTATATTGATCGCATTTTAGCGGCATTGTGAACGTAAACTTCACCTCATTTTTATAATTGCATTTCGTTGATTAGCTATGCATAGTGGGTTTGAATATAAGGATGCAAAGGTGGTCTTGTTGGATACAAAGGTGGAATTACATTACGAGTACCTAGGTAAGTAGGTAAGTGAATATTAAACATTTCTAAAGAAGTAACAAAAAATCATATAACTTTTCTTGTCTTTGATAAAAGCATTGGTCTTCGAGGTGAAAAGCAATACGCTCATGCATGCTACCGACGTCTAACTATATGCCTTTAACGGTGTATGACAAAAGGGGAAAGAACAGGAACAGTAATACTACAACATTATGGATAAAGAAAAAATTCTCAAGAGGCTCGCTGAGCTGTAACAGTTTTTGCTGAAACCATCATGTTCAGTCAACCGGCTCGCTCGAATGGAAACAAGAAATGCCAGGAGGAAAAAAAAGATAAGAAAGAATACCAGTACCATATCTATAACAACTTTAGGTATAGAAAGCAGTCGTTTTGTTTAGATTTTACCTTCCAAACCTCATCTCGCACTTTGCGTAGTTGTAAAGCGCACGGAGGAAGACCTGGTACCCAACAGCATCGTTATCCGGAAGATGGCTATCACCAAAGTAAGTAAGTCACACAAATTTCATCCACTTGAGTCTCACAGAAAAAGAAAAAGACAACTTACAAAATCTCCGTCAACCGAATCTGCCAAGGTGGATATCCCAAAAGCTTGACACTCGGACTGAACAAAATCAACAAATCAGGCTCGGGGATAGTTAAACTCTCTAATTCCGCCTCGATGAGTTCGGCTGTAACATCGTCCTTGGTCATTTTACCCCTAATTGCCATTTCGCATAGGGTCTTTGTAAGATCAACGATTGATTCACGGCCATCTTCTGAGGAGATGAAGATTACTTCTAGATCTGGGGATTCGCCTTCTGGAAGATCTTCTGTGTCGCCGTTGGTGTAGGATGGTAGGTGCGGGGCGAGGACTCGGAGTGTTGGACGCTTTTTGCCAAAGTAGGAGTGTAGACGTTGGGAGGTGATACGGTGGGAGGTGGAGATGTATTTCTTTAGGGTGCCTATTGGAGGGAAATGATGGTAGATTAGTGAACAGCCATTTAGATAAAAAGTCGATTCGAGAGAAATAATTACGTAAAGGGGGATGGGAGAGAGAGGGAGAGACAATAACATACCAGTCTGTTCATACACCGACAAAGTTGGGATTCCAGCACTAGCACACCAACAAGAGATCTCGGCCACATGGTCAATCAGTTGTTCTACACCTCCTTCCTTCTCGAATTCGAGAATAACGCTGACATGCTGCGGTAACCGGTCCAGTTGTTTTACATCTTTCTGTATCAGCTCCGGTGTTTTATGATGGTAGTATAGAACCGAGAACCACCGATTCAATATGAAATTATAGACAAATCGTGCGCGGAAGTAGAGCGAGGTTATGGAGTATAGAACCCAGAGTATTAGTTTGTAAAAACCAATTTTGACGAATGTGCGGATGGGACGGGAACGGGAACGGGTTCGCGGGGTTGATGGATCGTCTGCATCGTCGGTGGGGAGGAATTTCTTGACGTAGGCGGCTCGGGCTTTTGGGTCCTCAAATTCCTTTTTGCGAGTGGTCGCGATGGGAGGGGCGACTGCACGGGTAGACATGCCGTGTGGTTGGAAAGTCGGTTGGGATGACTTTATGTCTATGACGTAGGGGTAGTTGATAGTAAAGGAGAGCTTTTCGGGACGTGGCGATATGGAAATTATTTAAAGGTTATTGTGGGAGGGAAAAATCAGAGGAATGGAAGTTTTGAAAGGGGAAAAATTCTAGAAGATAAAATAGAAACAAAAATATATGACAGATGAATGATTATTTAAATTAAAAAGGGGAAGCGGAAGAAAATGAGGAAGCAGAAGGGAAAAAACAGTCTATAGACAGACAACAAGGAACTACAGATGCTGACGAAACGAGAGGCTTGGGTGTTACCGTTGAGGCCACATGGTGGAGAGATGCTCAGAAGAAACAAGAACCGGTTCCAGTAAGTGCCGACGGGGAAGTACGCGGCACAGGCGAATTGTTGAATCGTGCCAAGTTGCAGCATCTTAACCAGTGCATGTGCCCTGTTCGGTTGGCCATCCGAGCTAAACGAGGTAGCTAGCTCGAAACCGGGTGGGAGGATAGTTTGAGCCAGTCCCCCAGACTATGAGCCAGTGTCTCGGGTGGTGATAGTGGTCATGGATGGGGATATGGCATAGACAGACATATCGGCATATTTGTTCGGTTTCGCATTGCATTGCATCTTGAGGTGGGTATCATGTATATCTTTTCATATAAAATTAAAGTTTCTCTTTCTTTTTTGGGAGACACACAAGCACGGACTGTTCCCATCTCTAAGGTATCCCGGTTGTATAGTAGTCTTTTAGCTTGTAGAGGGTGCGTGTATCACTGATGCGGTTTGATGTACGAGTTCAGATGGCGATCAAAGCCTTCAGAACGTATGGGCATCTCGATCTGATAGAATGGGTTCTTCATGACATAGTCGGAATATAGTTCGTACACCTTCCGTACCACCACGTCGAGATTCTGCTGTCGCGGTTCAGCAAATATCAGGAATTTGGTGCCAGTGAGGGTCTGAAAGCATCGCATGACAAAGTTTTCCGACTCCAGGACTTCGAGGCCGGAGGAGGAGGTTTCGTTTGTGGGGGAGATTTGGGATGTGATCGCGTGGACTCTGCTTGCAACTATTAACACTACCCCGTCTTTATACACCTGAATATCGTATGAATGTGCACATGTATATGCATGTATAGGCATGTCTATAGTATAGATAATGCAGGGACGTACCCGTGGAATGTACCGGCGAGGATGAGGTAGTCATTGGACGAGAGCTTCTGCAGACCAGGATTGAAGTCTCGCTGGTAGATAAGGCCTCCCGCCTTGTTCAAGATGAGGACAGCGTATACGACCCTGCACAACGACCAGCCATACCTCTATTAGCCGTCCGATACATTATCTAGAATGGAGGACGTGAAGCTACTCACATGGTGGCGATGATGCTGCCGGTGATGCTGATGACGGTGATGATGGTGGCCTGGTCCGAGGAAGGTTGTAAGCTATCAAGTAATGCAATGAGGTTGTGGTGATATTAATGTTAGGATAGTCAGAAGCGGTGGCGGAGCTGCAGCTCGCCTGTTCGATTCCTTCTTTCTTAAACTTAGCCTGAACAAACCAGATACCATAAGAACGCCCCCACAGCTAGCTTAGCACCTGTCCCGTTTTTGTTCCCGTCCTGGCTTGGGTTTAAAAGAAGCCAGGCAATTGGCCTCGTCTGGGTGTTTTCTTATCTTTTCGAGATGTTCTCTTGGTGTTTTCCTTCTATCTGATACCAATACCAATGTCCCTTGTCTTCTGTCAGTGCTAGAACAGACCAATGCATATGTTCGTATTCCCCTCCTTCTATCTACAATACCTTTGGATAAAGTCGAGACGATAGAATACTAATTTTCTTTCTACATACAAGATACAGTTTCATTCTTCGAATGGATGCTTTTCAGTCGATATTCTAGTGCATTGGTCTGATCTGGTCCAGCTCGTCGTGTTGCCGCTGACCTGCAAAACCCGCCGCCGCCGCGCCGCCCAAAAAATGACCAACCCAAAAAAACGCCCGCGCCAGTTTGGCCTCCAATTGAATCCTCCTTCCATCAATCATCAAATCTCTCTCTTCCTCTTCACCTCCATCTCCAATCCGCTTACACTCTCCGCGCCGGCGATTTCATAATCCAACGCCAGGGTCAGACGCTAAGTTCGCTCGCAGTCACTGTTTGTAGTAAGATCGAAGGCGAGAAGGGAAAACTAGGAAGCAGGAAATAGAAGAAAGACTGGGCTAAGGGAAGAAGGGTAGCTTGCACGACAGGATATCCGAGCTCAAACTAAAGAGGGTTCAAACCTCCTCTCCTCGATCGAGGCGGTTCGAAACATCGCAATCTCATCCATAAACCCTCCAATCAGATAGACCTACTCAAGTTCTTTCGTCGGATCCAAGTACTTTCGCATTCAACAAACTGTGCCGTGGGAAACCCTTCCCTTCCCGTCCGATCCTTACTTCCAAAAAAAAACACCGTTTCCCTTACAATTCGTCAAAGATGAACGGCCAACCTAGCAACCGCCCTAGTCGCAGCATTATGCCTGCTGTGATTGCTCGTACGAAGGAGCAAATCCATGGCGATGAGGAGGCTGGCACTGAGCTCAAGCTCGGAGAATTCCAGAACGTGACTTCGTTGACACATTCCGAAGCGCGACTCTTGATCCAAGCAGTTTTAAGCCACCGTGCAAAGGGTCCCAATGCTGATATTGGGGAGACTGAGTATGTCTTTCCTTCTTCTCTCCCTTAGCTTCTACTTTCCCCATCCTCTCCCTTTCGCTGGGCAGAGGACTGTGGTGGGATCACTATGAAACTATGAGACAACTACGATAATTAGCTAGATAAACATTCAACGTGAATCTGCGCTGATATCATACATGCAGGGTCCTTATCAAGACCAAAGACTACCTTGAACAATTTGCGCGTTTCAAGAAGAAGGAAAATGTCTCTGCAGTCGAAAGATTGCTACAGATGGAAGGTGGACTCGCTTCCTTTGAAAAGTCGCAACTAGGTATGTTCTGTAAGCTATAAACATCAAGAGTATTACGTTATATTAACGCGACACAGGAACTCTCTGCTGCGAAACTTCTGAAGAAGCGAAGACTCTTATTCCAAGGTACTTATTCAACTAGTATATCATTCAATAGCCATTTCCTAACTAGTTTATTCACAGCATATCGGATAAGAAATCAGATGAGGACTTACAGGAGCTTCTTGATGAGGTACTACTTCCCCACCATTCATTTGCTTTATATATCATCCACGAACCACCTAGCTAACGAGTTTAACTGCAGATCACCAAGTTCCGTACATTTGTCGAGTGATTAAATTTCGCAGACATACAAGTGTAACCCTAATCCCATACACACATACATACACATCCATCCCCCAAGCAGATGGTGTATATAGCCTTCACAAGATCTCATCAAGAATGGGAATGACTGGAGACAGCAAAAATCCCCTTATCTTCTTAGAGATTAAGTAATTGCAAACAAAACAATAGAGAAAGATATTAGCTTGTCTTTTCTCCTTGATACTAATACTTCGCTCCCCTCATACGGCGGGTGATATTTCTCATTCCCTCCTCTCTGCATATAAAAGTTTAGATAATATCCTTTTTTTTTTAATTGTTCCCCTTCTTGTCTTTCGGTCCCGCTTCTCGACCTCCCCGTTTTACCGACAAGGGGGTTGACTATTTTGTTACAATATTTTGCATATTGCTTCGATCTTTGGGCCTCGTTCTTTTGCCTCTGCTTTAATGTTATAATTATAACGCTGATCTTGTTATATCCCGACCGTTTTGTCTTCCAGCCAATACATACCATAGTACTTTAGATTCAGGAATTCGAAATGCATGATATATCTCCGGTAACGGTATAATCCTTCTTTAACTTCCATTGCACCTCTAGATTCGCAAGAAATTAATCAGATCTCTACATATGGCCAGTAACTGGGCATGCCTCATTTGGATTTTCTCTTCTTCGTAACAAAATAATATTGATACACTAATAATACATATATTACGTTAAGTGAATGAACCAGGAGGACCGAGAGCCAAGCGGACGATGGATGGAAGTAATTCACTTCACAGCCAACAGAGCAACTCCCTTCCTAGCTTCCTCCACAGCCTTCTTAAGGTCCTGCACCTCCTTATCCGTCCACTGAACACTACACTCATCCCAATTCTTCACCTTATACTCCTTCCTATAAACCGCCTGCATGGCATTTAACCTCCCCATCTCCACCGGATCCCCCGTTCCTCCATAAACCACCAACACCGAACACTTTGGCAACCCATCGTAAATCTTCTTAATCCTCCCCACTGTTTCCTCAACCACCTTCCCTAGTTCCTCTCCCTCCAGTGGGGTTGGCTTTTCGGGAATGGTGATTGGTGGGGAGTTAGCGGTTATCATTTTAGTGTTCATCTCTGTGATGAACTTCTGGTAGGAGTTATGCCAACCGCGGGTGGTATTTAGATCCCGAAGTTGGGCCCACGTAAAATCTACTGGCGCGATGCCGGAAATATCATCTCCGTTGGCGGCCTTCAAGACCCCCTCTACGATTTGATCGTCGTCATTCCCTCGCTTTGTGAATTGGGCAACCGTACCGAATTTCTTCTGTACATCGCCATAATCGATCACGGCCCCGGTTTTGGCGGGCTTCGAAGCCGCCAACTTCGTAAATATACTTTCGAAGTTGGCAGCAGTGCTGCCAAATTCTCTACCCTTTTCAAGTTTTAGCTTGACAAGGTCCAAACATGCTTTAGAGTCCTCGATAGAGTCGTGACCTTGAGCCCCGCGGATTTGGATTTCCTTTTTCAGGAATTTGTTGGTAAGCCATTTAAGGGCTGGTTTCATGGGCTTGCCTCGTGGGTGGTCGTAGATTACTGATGTGTCTACGATCCATGGATGTCGCATTCTTAGGGCGTTTAGGTCGGAGTTGAGGCTCTGGCCGATGAGGATAGTGTTACCGTCTATAAGCTCCTTCAGTTTGTTCTGAATATCCGCTCTTGTGGTTGTAACGTCGCGGAGCATGGCTTCTGTTATACCAGAGAATTGGGTCAAATAGTCAACGACTGGTTCTGATGGCTTAACAAGAGAGTCAAAGACCACGTCGCCATCCCAGGATATAAGGGAAACACGGGCTAGGGAGGATTCAGTGGGTTCAGTGGAGGGTTCAGTGGAGGGCTCTGTGGAGGGTTCTGTGGAGGGTTCTGTGGAGGGTTCTGTGGAGGACTCGGTGGATGGCCTGACGGAGGTTTTAACCATTTCACAGTCTAGCGAGTAGACTTTGTAACCTTCTAGAGTACTACCGGCTTCGTTATTACGGGGTGGTAGGTCTGTGAGGGATGTTTCAACCCATCCTTCCTGATTTGCCAATGGAGGGTGATCCTCCGGGATCTGGGAGCTATGGATAGGGTATTCGTTTTCTATCAGGTCTTCAGTAGAAAGAAGGAGGTCTGAGATCTTTAGACGGGCCTCCCTTCTGTTATTCCTCTTTTGGTTCTTCTTCTTAGGGTCGGCCTCAACGGGGATGTTGAGCATGTTGTAAACCGGGGAGAAGACTTTGCTACCATCACCGCCGGCACGTACGGGAAGGACATGGGTGAAGATATCAGAAAGTTCGCCGAGAGGTTTTGGAAGCGGGTTTTCGGTAAGAGACCACGGGAAGAATTCTCCAAGTGTCGAATGGCGGATTGGAGGCTCTTCCTCTCCTGAAGGTTTCGAGATCAGAGGTGTTCGGCGGTCGAAAAGGTCCATTGAAAGTCCGGGAACATAGAGGTAAACTACTCTTCTGATAGCGGATTTGTTCTTGATATGTAACCATTGCGGAGGAGCGTCGAAAGAGAGAAGGTGAAGGGCCAGACCTTGAAGGTCGGAGATTCGGGTCCAGGTGTGTATTCTTTGCGAGGAGACAACGATTTCTGGGTAAGATTTCCCACGGTTTGGGACTTCTCCCTTCTTCCTTCTAACGGGGACATGCTGCCAGCCTTCTGAGTCTTCGTTCTTTTCCCCAGACACTTCCTTAGGTGTGTCTTCATTCGAGCTACGCTGTCGTTTTGTAGGACTGGGTGATGTGTTTTCTCCTTTCCTCTTCTTGATAGGGACTTGTTGCCAGCCCTCTAAGTCTTCATCCCGATTCTTAGGAATCTCCTCGATCGAGCCGCGAAACCGCTTTTTTGGATCGGCCAGTGGGCTTTTCTCCCCCCTTCTCTTTATTGGGGCTCGCTGCTGACCTTCCGAGCCCGAGTCCGAGTCCGAGTCCCTATGAGCATCTTCGACGGTATCCTTGACAGTATCCCCAGAAACATCCTTCGGTATGTCTTCATTCGAGCTGCAACGTCTTTTTGCGGGATTGGACGATGAGTCCTCCTTCGAGGACTCTTCAGCATCTGGAATAGCGCCAGCGGATCGTTTTCGAGCGGACTTTTCTTGAGATGGAGTATGTGACTGAATTGTGAAGGTCGGTATGTCGTCAAAGGAGGGGAGGAGGGGCAATGGCGACAGCGCTTTATCTTCTTCATCAGGAGCTTCGAGCTTCCTCTTGCCGCGAGAGGTCTTTCTTTTATTCTTCTTGCCCATTGTTCAAATGCGAATTTTGCTAGTAGATGACAGTGAAAGTGGTAGTATTTATAGATCGTTAGATAAGAGATAAGATATGGTTGGAGATTGGTATGCGATGTAGACGCGACAAAGGTGTTGGTGAGATGAGGATAAGAGGAAAGACAGAAAGAAAGAAAGAAGAAGAAAGAAAGACGACGTCAGGTTGCACAGAACAGAAACACAGAAACACAAAACTTCGGTCGCAACGCCAAGCCACATGGCGGCCATTTATCGATAAGCACCTTTCTCCACGCGGTTGGACATGAACAGCTTTCTTACTTCACCAACTCTACATACTAAATATCCGAAATATAGGTAATCTGGGTCGCTGGTACAAGCTACACGGGATATGAAGTTTATGGGAGGATCTATCAGATATCGCAGCATCGGCACTGCTTTCTTTAATACACAGCAGTTATGACTAGTGACCCTGTACAGTTCGGTTCTTGCGCGACTGTCACGCTAAACATTCAACACCTTCTCTTCTCTCCTTCCTTCGATGCAGACCTACTTAGCTTAGTGCAATGCAACACCACGAATTCATCACCTAAAGGTTCATCGCCTATCAACAACACCGACGATTAGAATTACTTCCTACCAAGAGTTCTGAAATGCCTCGAAAACCAAAAGTTGCGCCTCCGCCTGCACCGGCACCTACACCTTCAGTGTATTCACGACGGACAGATCCACCACGCCCGTTCTACGTAGTCTGCCGTGCATGTAGGGATGAAATGGGAATCGCAATATTCGGACACTCCTCCAAGTATCAAGGCACCTTTATAGTCAAGGATAGGGAAGTAGTGGTTTTGGAATATAGTCCTGAAAACCGCAACATCAATTGTCATTGGGAAACAAAGACGAGAACCAAGTTAACGAAAGCGGATGGGTATGACTTGTCAGTTGTTTGACATCATCGGGTGCAGAGGAGTGCAGAAAACTAATGTTGTTGTTTTTGTTTTCGTAGGAAATATTGTCCAGTCAGCTGTGCTAAGTGCGGAGCAGATGTTGGACGGATATACAGTTATCTTCCTTTTTACCCTGATATTGAGTACGTTCGTTCCAATTTACATATATATCAAAGGTCACCAAGAGGCTAACTTTGATTCCTTTGATTCAAGGGGCGTAGGGAAAGTTGCTCTGTTCAAAGACCGTATCCATTTTGACTATGACATCGTGTCATCCGGCACTCAAACACCGACCTCGCCCAATACAGAGGATCTATCTGAGGTCTCACAATCTCAAGAAGAGTCAGTCCAAGACTCGCAATACCAGGGCTCAGAGAACCATGTTGAAACTCACCCTGAAGAGCAATCCGTTTCCGAGGAAATAGCAGACGACATTCTCGCATTAAAACGTTTCTGCTTAACTCTCGACGAACACCAAGAGACCCTGTCAAAAAATTTCCATAGTTCCCAAAACTCAAACCGAAAACTACAAAGGGAACTAGAAGACTTAAAGGGTTCCTTCAAAAAATTCGAAACCCGCTTGTCAGTCGTTGAATCATCTGTTCAAAACCGACTTACAGCTCTGGAATCGGCTCTACAAATAATACTTGAGAACCAAACCCAAAGCAATGCGCCAGTGGCAGATGTCCAAGACGGAAACGTGGATATCACATCCCGAAGGAGTAACGTCGTCGTTGAAATACCTGTAAAACGGAGACATCGGTCCCCATCACCCAGGCCTGCTGCCGATCAACAGTCACAGAATATATCACCTCCCTTATCCGAAGAACCAAGTGACGAATCCAACAAGGACACAACATCAAAGAGTAAGCGCGCTGAAACTCGAACCACACGACGTGCGAAATCTCAACCTCGCCAGGCAGAATCTACGAATCCACTAAATGCACAAGAAGCGGGAGAAGGAGGAGTAGATGAGGAAAAATCTAGGCAGGCAAGAGATGAGGAAGGAACCAGAGCTGAAACCAGCATCGTTATAAGCGACGATGAGAGTGATGACGACGATGGTGCGGAGTCTGCTGCAGAACATGCATCGAAACGAGCGAAGTTGAACAGTAAGAGCAAGAAGGAGAAGAAGCAACAGCGGCAGAGTAGTATACCGGCCAAGAAGAAGAGGGGAAGACCAACGATTGGATCATCCACAAAACAAGAGCTGAGAACCGAGAAACCAGATGAGAACGAAGATTATGATGACCGGGGTACGACAGGAAGAACTACAAGGTCTAAGAGATCTTCGTAACGAAACGGTTTGCATTGCATTGCATTGTCGACATGTCATAATACCCCTCTTGTATTATTCCTACGGGAAAGAATTATTGCTTATCGCAGGAGGTTGATTTTAAATCCGTTTGAGGGATATTGCGTGTTCTACGAGGCTTTCATATCCCCATTGGCATTGGCCAATACCTAATACTTCTTTTGTATGTACTTTCGTCCGCATATGGCGCATTGCATTTTGCATGGGGGGTAATTGTGAGACCTGTGGGTTTTGGACATGGGTGATTGCATATTTTTTTTTGATCTGGGGAAATATCAGTGCGGCTGATGAGGCAGTGGCGTATTCCCACAATTGCAAACAGCACTATACATTGCATTAAGCGTATGCACGGAAACGTAAAATTTGTTACACAGAAAGCCTCCTCCAGGTCTTTGTCCTCATAGGATTTGCATAGGATTCGCATATCGTCTCCCGTGGCGCCATGGCGTTCGTGGTGTCCATATCCGTGGTGGTGGTCGCATGGGGTGAATTTGAGGCTGGAAAGTATGATTACCGTTACATCCATCTCATGTTAGTGAGCTTAAACACAAGCAACAGGCCCTTTTAAAGCTTTTCCGAGGTTGCCGAAACCGAAGTAATACTAGGGCAGGCAGGTGGCCTGGTTTTTTAGCCTACCAGCCACTGCTGCACTGTCCGAATCTTATCAGTCGGGATAGGATGGCTATGGAACAGTGTCAAATATCCATGATGATGATATTATAAATAGTAGCCGCCCCCCCGGTTAGACAAGAGAAGCAGAAAAATACTAGCGTCCCTTAAAGTTCCGAACTGACTTGAAAGCTTGACTTTTATCATTCAAAACCTCATGAGGCCGCGCAAGCAGTGGGACAGCACCTTCCAAGGCTGAGGCAAAGACAAGGCATACTCGAAGTCTTGAGGGCATCACCAAGACACCATCGAAGCATTGGCATTCCGATGATTCTCATGCTTACTGCGTATACATGCATACATCGAAAGTATCATGGAAGTATGTCTAGGCACCGGTGGGGGATGCAGGATGAAAGGACTTTCCCAGGCTTGCCGGCATCCGAGCGAACCAGGCTAAACCGACCATGGCGCCATTGCTCGGACGGCCAAGAAGAAAAGTCGCAGGCTAGATCGATATGTGGATGAGGTCTGGAGCTTGGCCCATTCATAGCATCATAGCTCTACCTGTAGGAGGTTGGTTACGTTATCCTGCCGGCGGGGCACCCTGTCGGCATTAGTCAGTCCTTCCACGGAGCCCATCCACCCTATCAACTTCAGTTCTTGATTTTTGATCTCACCTATCAGGCCAGTGGATTTTGTTCCATCGTGAACCGTTCTATGTATATGTATGCACATACTTTGCATATGCGTCTGACAGGATAGTGCTAGCTCGATAGTTGATGGACGTTCGCGGCAGTTTCCAATTCTGATCCGCTCGATTGCAATTGAAGGTACTCGAGATAGTGCGGATATATAAGACCAGCCTGGTGACCTTTTCCATGCTTGCTTGATTGCTTGCTTTAAACATTATAAGCAGACACACTTCTTCCCTTCCTCTTCTTCCCCCTCTATCTATTCTACTTACTCTCTCCCGTCCCTACGGCCTACCACCACTTTCATCTTCTGCTGTTTCACTGTCATCGTGAGCATAATCGTCATCATCGGGTTCATAATCACAGGTTCAAGGTTATTCTCTCTCGCGTAGGGTTAATATCTTGAGATCGACCTTCACCTAAAACTATCCGTCTCCTTCTCCCTCTTTCACCCGCCAACCTCTTTCCCCTCCTACTCTTCTTTCCTCCTTCCACCGTTTCTATCACCACCATCGATCTCGAATTCCATGTCCGACGGTTCAGTCACACCGCCGTATGGCACACCTCCAGAAACAAAGATGATGGGAGCAAACAGTAGACGCTACAACAAGGGCGGCGGCGATAACACCGGAAACGTCCTTACTGGAAAGCAAGAGCACTGTAAATTCCTACCCTTACCCCCCTGTTACAACTTCCTAAATTTCAAATTTCAAAATCTACAATCCTAATCCAAAAATCATTTTTTTTTCTGTTTTGGGTTTTTGTTGAATTCCTAAGCTAATGAGTGAATACCCCTCCGTCTTCGAATCTTCCCCACCAAAGATCTCAAACGCGAACTCATCTCCCGCCAAACCAAATCCGAAATCGCAGAACTAAACTCCCCAACCGCTCTCCGTCGTTTTGGCGCACCATTCAAATCGGAACTCGGCGAGGTATCACCTACGGATTCAGATTTACCAATCCTTAGATTTATATTCGTCCACCATGTGCGCAAGTTCCCATTTCTCGACCAGGCGAAGGAGAAGGAGTTTTGGCAGGATAAGCTGCAAGTGGTACGTCATATCACAGCTACGCCCCAATAGACAACCCAAAAAATCATAATATACGCAGTAGCGTTGAAGATAAAGTGAAGTTTGAAATTTGAAATTGACTGGTATATTTGAGAAAAAATAGTTCCTAGAATCTTTCGCCACCAAACAAATTTCCTCGTCTGAAGACCGCCTGGAAGAAACAAAACGCAGGAAGCTAGCCTTAAAATGCGAGAAATTAGTAGAACTTATGATGAACTCGGGTATCCCAACTGCTTCGGGTTACGAAGAGCGTGTTAGCTTCGAGGAAATTGAAGTAGTCGATCGAGACGCTAGGGACGAGTCCTTGATGGTCAACGTACCGGAGGGGCATGTACTCAACGGCTGGGATGTCAATGTTGTTAGTGTGCGACAAACGTCAGTGAAGAGAACTGTGCGATATCATACGCACGCTGTGAGTGTTTCTCTGAGAAAGGAATTTGGGAAATATAGGGACTAATTGATGAGCAGGAATTCTTAATACGTAGCAAACATGAAAAACACGGCGAGGTGCTCGTGGGAAGACGATATGGCTCTTTCAAACAGCTGACAAGAGACGTATGATTACAAATCCTCACAGTCGAGCTCACCATACTGATATACAATGAAAATTTTAGTTGAAAAAAGAGTTCCCAGGAAAGGTCTTCCCGCCACTGCCCATTAAAACGAAGGCTTCCTCTGGAGGGTCTACCGGCCTCCTCACTCCAAGCGGTGCAATCAAAGATGACGATTCTAGCTCAATCTCGTCTGTTTCAACTATCGCATCAACCGAGGTATCCTCACGCAGATTATCCGCTCCATTCTCCCACTCTCGCTCCACCTCCGCAAGTAGGAATTCGAGGTCGGCATCGAGAAATCGCAATAGTTTGACTTCAGAACGAGGAGACTCGCCGCCTCAAGAGAACTCAGCGCCGCTATGGAGGGAGGATCAGCGGGTGTCATTACGCGCGTACATTCGAAATCTATTGAAGAACCAACAGATTGCGACCTCTGCAGCCATGAAAACCTTCCTAACAGAATCTCCACTCAAGTTAAATAGGGAGGAGGAGGCAGATGAACAGCGGAGAAGGCAGGCAGATCAGGCGAGAGTTGATGAACAAATGAGGTTTTTTGAAATCGCTAGATCTAGAGCCCGTGAACTCGATGCCTATATGGAAGGGTTCAGGAGAGAGATTGTTGAAGCTAGTAAGGAGATATACGAACCTTATGCGATATGAAGAATCACAGCTAACATATGACAGATGGCTTGACAAACCTATTCGCGGAGATCAAGGAGAAGAACCATATCTCTGAGCTTTCGCCCAACTACCAAAAGTTTGCAGAATGGGCTAGAATAGAAGTCGCCGCAACAATCTACCATCTTTTCCTCGCTGAGGATAACTCTCCAGAGTTATTCGCGCAGATGAAGAGAATACACTCGCTAATACCATACGCCGTTCTTAAGAATATTATTCGTATTGCCAATCCCGCAGCAGTTATGTCTGGGGTCCTCGACCTTTTCCTCGCCCAACCCTTTAAATCACGATCCCTAATGCAGCGAGTCTTCGGAATGGCAATTTCAGACGGTGTAAACCAGGTACAAAAAGCCATCGACGCTTTATGGCCCAAAGTTGGCGACGCTGTACTCTGCGATAAAATCAAACAATTCGCTGAAGCTAGCGACGATGTACGAGAGATTGTTAGGGAGGATGCGGCGGCCGACGATGTGGACATCTTAGTTGCCATCCTCCGGTCCGAGTTGCTGGAACCCGAACTTTCGCCTGAGCAAATCGGCACCGTGTTTAATGCCTATGTCGCCTGGACGAACGCCGTTAACAACGTCGACGACGAGATGCGACAAGGCGCGGTGCTATTTTCACACTTGAAACAACTGTTGAAGCTGTATACCAGACGTCGGGATAAGATGATGATGCAGGCTTTGATTGAAGAGCCGGTTACGCTACAGTTGTTCAGGGATTTGTTCCATATCTTTTATGAACCGTTGGTGAGGGTTTATAAATCCGCGAATGTGTATAACAGTATTACGGACTTTGCGCACTTCTTGGATGATATCATTGTGGTTGTGGAGAAGGCGCAGAAGCAAGGTAGTCCTCCCGTTCCATCCCTTTATTTATTCCCTATTTGAAATGATATCTGGTTCTGACGAATTCTGTGGTTTCACGCTGCAGACCTAGCATCTGATCCCAACAAGACAGTACAAGCATTCATTGATCTCTGCGCCCGACACGAAGACAATTTCTTCAAATTCATCCACGAAGTACATCTCCACGACAACGGACTGTTCTCGTCGTTAATGGGATGGATCGAGGATATTCTCGCATTCCTACGTAACGGACCGAAGCGCGGAGCGTTGGATATGAACAAGTTATTCGAAGATGCAGTTGAGCAAAAGGTTATTGATTCGGCCAAGGCGAAGGCGGAGATTGACAGTCTTATCAAATGGCAATTTGACAGGAAGAGATGGCATGAAGGCAAGACAAGGCAGAAGATGGCCAGTGGACGGGATAATTGGTCAGAGACAAAGCCAGGAGGGTTTAGTGTGTCTGATTTTGGATTGGAGCCGGTAAGTATTCCTTCATAGGTTATATATACAGACTCAAGTCAGAGCTATTTACTAATTATCGTGAATTATAGGAGGACCTGGCGGATCTTGCGATTGACGATGCGGAGATGGATGAAGATCTAGCGTTTGAAGAGGAATTGGATGATGCGGATTTGATTGCAGTTGAGCAGAAGAGGAGGAATCGGCAGGCTGAGATATTGAGACGGACTGCGGGACAGCCTGTGAAGCCGCCGATCGATGAATTGCACAAGATGGGGGATGTCTTCCTTGTGGCATTGAAGAATGTGCTATCAGAAGATTGATGATGTATGTTCTTCTTCTTCTTCTTTTCATAGGAAGGAAGTGTTTATATTAGAAGGTATCTATTGTAGCTAGGGGTATTAATGGGTTTTTTTTACATAGAAAGGGAGGGAATTACATAGCTCAACCTTCTTTGGACAATTATTTGTTACTTGGAAGCATATTGAATTCGAAAAGGAGAGTTTCCCTCTGGCTCTTTCCTTTTATAAATTTATCTTATGATCAAGTAGTACACAGTCTAAGTTTCTTTTTGAAGCCATGTAACAAAAAAAACAAAAAACGGACACACCTTACCTATCGTACAATAAGAATCTATATACACTCAATCCCCTTGATTCTAGCATTTAATATATTCTTAAACTTAAAACTTTAAAACCCCCCTCCCCCCCAAAAAAAAATCAATGCTGCAAACTAACCCCCTTCCCCGGTTCCCAATGCTTCAACCCTTCCGCGACATTAACCCAATACTTCAACTTAACAACCTCAACTCTAACCTCATCCAACCTATCAGCTTTAAACAACTCCTCAAGTCTCCCAATACACTCCTCAATCCTCTCTTCATTCCTCTCCCTCAACTCAACCAACTCCCCTTCCTCCCTCGCATTTTCCAAAACCTCGTTGGCCTCTAATACCTCCATCAACAACTCATGATCGGTTATCTGATGTGTTTCGTCCGATGACGGGTCTGTGTAACCTCGGAGGGTTAGGAGGTATTCGGCACGCAGGAGTGGAGAGCAGAGGGTCGTGTAGGCTTTGTTTAGTTGCGCTGAGGCTGTTTCGGCGGATTTTCGGAGGGATGGGGGGAAGAGGTCTGGGTGGGTTGATTGTTGGAGTTTGAGGAATTCGGCGCGGAGGGCGCGGAGGTTGATTGTGAAGGGACCGGTTGGTGGGGGACCGGTGGGGAGGGTGGTGGGGAAGAGGGTGTAGAATGTTTTGGGGGTTTTGGTGGTTGTAGTAGTGGAGGAACTGGAGTGGCGGATGGGTGTGTAGAGAGATGGTGTCAGACGTCGGTATGGTAGCTGTGAGAAGGGTGAAGCTTTGATGACTCGACCGGCGAGGAGACGGGTTTGTAGTGTGGATGGTTGGAGCATGACGTCGGCGGCTTTTTTTTGGGGTTTTTTTATATCATTTTTTTGAGGGTTTGGAGATAGCTAAGTTTGGAAATTTGGCCGGGGTTTGTGGGGGTTTTATAAGCGATGATGTCGGTGATAAAAGCAGAGCATGCGTATGCGCATATGCAACGATCTTAATTTCACTGCGATAATATATAATAACGATTATAAAAAAAGAAATCGGTTGATAAAATAAGAAGTATCTACAGCTAGATACTATATTAAAGATAAAAGAGAACGAAGGAGGAGAAAAGAAGAAGTAGAAAATTCAAGGTAAATTTATACAACCGCTTGATTAACTAATAAAATAGGATGGAAAAGGTCGGATCGGATGCCACCAAACGCCGGTTTCTGATACAATACAAATAAAAATACAATACAATGAGAGGGGGATAAAAGGTATACTTAACGTAATTAACTCCGAGTCCTTCTATGCATCTTTTCTTCTTTCTCTTTCTCTTTCTCTTTCTCTTTCTCTTTCTCTTTCTCTTTCTCTTTCTCTTTCTCTTTCTCTATTTATCGTCTTCTAAAAGGACATATTTTTTTTACTTTTATCTTTTTTCTATTTCTCCTCTATAGCTCGTCTAGAGCGTGTCGGTATGGGAAGACCCGGGTCTGATATCGATCTCTCCCCAGGAACTTATCCATCACCACTGCACTTCCCCATCTATAAATCCGCCATCTGTAGGTTCACATACATATATTAGTCACCTCTATTATTCCAAGTACTAGGAATGGCCGGGTGAAAAGGGAAGGGAAAGGGAAAAAAGGAACTTACGCCTTCAATGGTAGATCATACCAACTCTTCGCGATAAATCTAAATGCGAACCAAACCATCTCCAGCTCCCTCATGAACAACTCCTTAACCGATTCATTCCCCGTCAACTCCGGTTGTTCCGGCCAACGTAATACATTTTCTTCATTTTGTGCCTCTGCTTCCTTCCTTTTTCTTTCCATTTCTGCTTCCTTTTCTAATTGTACGAAAGCATCTTGAGCTCTCATTTCCTCGATCACACGTTCTCTTTCGATCATTGCTCCGAATCTCGTGAATGCGTAGAGGGAGTTGGAAAGTCTCCCTAATGTGTTAATCAAAGCCACGAGCTCCGTTCGTCTCAAGATCGGGTTCTTTCCGTTTTCTTCATTCTCGTCGTATTCGAATAATATCTTCAAAGCAGTTCCGTACCCCGAAGTCTGGAGTTTACCCCAAAGTCTACATTTATCACATCCGACACAATCCATCAACCTACTAACATTTCTGAATCGGTTTCTAAAGTCTTCTTTGAGAACAAGAGAGTTTTCATCTTTAAACATGACGCTTTCGTCGAAGACGCTGGGGTGCGAGGCGATGCGGTCGGTTAGGGCGGAGAGCTTCTTGCGGGTGAATTCGTTGGTACGTTTGTCGCCGGCGCAGAAGGTGTAGTGGTTCAGGTTTTTACGGAGTTTGGCGACGGCTCGAAGGAGGATTGCGTAGTTGAAGTACATGTTTTGGATGCGGTCTGGGAAGTTGTGGAGACGGTCTTTGTAGCATTGGAGATTTGGGCCCTAGATATTTTATGTTAGTTGAATGTTCTCATATACTATATAGTATATTATTATATTGAGGGGAAGGGAAACAAACCCATTGTCCGGTGGTCTGGTTGAAAAAGTCATGACACAAGTGCATAGAAATACTAGCATGCATCCCACTAAGAACCCTATAAAACACTCTCTTCTCCAAACACTGTTCTTCAGGTGGCGGGGAGATCAAGTTCTTCTGAACGACTTCGTGCTTCCTCCTATCCATCACATTCTTCAAGTTTGCAGCAGCATTGGGGTCAGCCGGAATACCTCGACCGAATGCGCCGCCAAAAGGTTGATTACTGCTTTGCTTCTCAGATTGAGCTTGGGTGTTGAAGCAGTTTTCTTGGTATACCGCCTTCCAAACGTTATTCGCCGATGTCCCGGCATACCCCGTGAATCGTTCCGGATTATCGATCAAACTGACGTATACACAATTACTTCCATTCCCCTCATCTTCAGCCACACAATAATCCCTATTATCCCTCTCCTGCGGTTCAAAGATACAACTCTCAGCGGTATCTTCACCCAATGTTCCTTTAAACGGTGACGGTTCCTCCTTTTGAACTTCCGGAGAAGGTTGTGATGCCTTCGGACCTTCTAGTTTTCCTAATTCCGAGGAACGCCATGATTCCGGGATATCCTTTTCGTCGGCTAGTTCTACGGCACAAGCACGGTTTGCGCAGAAACCTGCATCGTCGGACCAGAAGGGGCATTCGCGGCCGTAGAGATCTAGACGGTAGTAGGTGAAGAAATCGACGTTTTGGGTGAGGAATTTGATTGCGGGGCGGACTTCGGTGTTGATTTCTTCGAGGGTGGCGTAGGAGACGCAGGCGTCTGAGACGAGAGAGTTTGGTTCGTTCTTTTTTTTAAAATAAAAAAAACTCATATTAGCTTCCATTGCTCTGTAATACAATAGATAGATAGATAAAAATACATACGGAACAGTAGCTGAGGTCTTTATCGACGGCTCCATAAGCTGCTGTGGCGAGGTAGCCAAGGAAGAACCAGCGGGCGGCATGCCGATGGCTTCGGCGGGTAGACATTTTATGTGTATGAATTGTAACGATGGTGATGATGATGAAGATGGGAAAGCTACGTAGGACGACGCATGGAAAGGGAAAAGAAAGAAGCGATCGAGAAGGACGTTAATATAATTTGTGGAGAAGATGACAGGCTGTTCGTTCGCGGGATGATTCGACTAAGAGGCCATCCAGCGGCGGCTCTTCGTATATGTTTCCAGCAAGTTAGTCTTGTATGAGGGTAAGCTAAGATCCCGGGGTGGCGTGAGAATAGCGTTTAGCTTTCGTTTCTTTTTTAATGTGTATATCTACCCGGCAGCAATAAAAACGAAATAAAATAAAATAAAATTGAATAGAATCAATCAATCAGCTAGGGGAGGATGTATATTATATACTTAGGCAGTCGCTATCTAAGAAGTCCGAAGTAGAAGGGGTGGAAGAAGTCGGAAACATGCAAGGGGGGAAAGCCTTCGGAGGCGGCGCATTTACTTTTTAGTTTATATTATAAATCCATCGCACATTGAAACGGTGTACTCTTCTCGATCGAGAAAGTCACAAGTTATCTTTCATTCACATTCCGTTCCGCGCTTACTCCGGACTTACTTACACTTTGAATACCTGAGAATGTATGTATGTCCTTACGTCTAACTGCCTCAATCCAATAAGGCCAGATTTCACTTTTTTATTTATTTTAATAATCATGTCAGACGTCGGTCGGTCGGGGTTTAAGGTTTTTTTTTTTTTTTTAAGAAAAACAGCGGGATGACATGCAGGAACGATCAGTCACATATGTATTTAAGTACTTACTTAGTTAAGTAGGTACTTTACTTCTTAAGTTTAAACTATCATGGGAGTATAGTCTGACAGGTACATATGCTAAGTACACACCAAACAGGGCCTCGAACAAGGCCCATCGGAAACAAATCACATCCTTTCCGTCTTGTCAGGTTACGTCGCTTGCCGCATTGTCTGTCTATTTTTGGTTTCATCCCCTGTTGGTTACACAGCCACGATCATGAGGCATTTCCAACAATCTATCGGTGGCTGGTGTGTTGTGGCGGTTATAGACGACGTATATTATATATTAAATTCCATCCATCGAATCGAATCTCGGACATGCACGATACATTCATATATTTTCAATTGATCCTCGGGATACTCTCAGTATAAATAAGTCTATCCAAACCACAATCCAGTAATTAATTGACCGAAGAAATAGACTTAGTATTTATTGGCCCCCGTGTTTTGTACGTTATGTACTTTTCATAACCTCATGCGGACGTAATAATACAACATGTAACAGTGCTGTGAGAAAAACTCAATTGCAATATTGCTCATGTCAGTCCTCTGTTAAAAGATAAAGGTATTTACGGTAGTGCCCTCAATCACGAATATATTGAGATGTCAATCGATCGACATACATCGGGTTCCAACATGCAACACTAGCTTAAGATCGAGGCAAATCTAATACAAGACGCATCGATCGATCGTAAGACATATAATATATTCACCGATTAATTGATCGAGCTTGCCAAGAACCTGAATGTAGATATTTCATCAGAAAGGATGAAGTCATCAAGAATTTTTTTATGCCAGCATAGTTTTAAAAGTTAGATCCGTTATCCAGAGATTGACGTAAATGTTGTTACTTCAGCTTGACGTAACTAGCGACGCCATGATAATATTCACAACTTTACAAAGATATAAAGACACCTGTACATAATTAAATCATTATTTCTTATCTCTACATATAACTATACAATCAATTCAAAATATATAACGGATTAATTACAACTTATCTCATCTCTTCACGATTTACAGCCTATTATCTATAAACATGTCGGATCCAGAATTCAATCCGGCGCAGCGAGATATCTCAAATGTCAATCCAAAAGAAATGAACCCAGACGCCGAGTTCAACCCAAAAAATGATGTATCCGACGCCAGCGGAAACGAATACCGTTCAAAGGATGGCTATCCAGTTCCCGTTGTTGAGGATAAGGATATCTCCGGAGTCGACCCAACCACTGCAGATAGTGACCGCGAGTTAGGTATGTACCGAATACTACACTCACATCTCTAGTAAATAAGCTGCTATTAAAGAACTAGATCGCTAATGTCGGAATTTATACTATATATACAGCTCGAGATGATGTAGAAGCTATTGACCAAGACAACATTATTGAATCACGAACGCGAGGCGCAAAGCCTCAGGGTAGATATCGCGAACCTGGGGACGAGGAAGGCTTGCCAGGGCCGGACGATGGAACTAGTCGCGTTAGAGGCGGCCGTTAAGCCTGTATATATTGGCACAAGCTCCATGATTGGTAGCTAGCCGGACGCCCCAATCAACATTTGTTGAGATTGTGCACTGGTCAATCCGGATCCGTAGGTTTTGTCTGTGTACTCGCGGTTTCCGAAGCATTGCTAGGAGTGTAGATCTCTTTTTGGTGTAATATTTTTGTAAAAACAATCTCTCCTAACGTTCATATCAATTCAAAATAGTCTTTGTTCCGAAAGAAACTAATTCGTATCACTATAATTAAAGCAGCCGGGCCCTGGTACCGATAGTTGAGCTAAAAACATTGAATTTAATTCTAAGAAATAGATTTATATTATCGTCTTCCTGAAATTAATTAATTAATATGTTTAGATTCCCATTATTTGCAAATTATATCATAGTAGCCAAGTATATATCAATATAGTAATAGTTCGCCCACGAATGAGGTACTTCAATAGCAAGTTTGAAATAGGAGGTGTGTAAAGCTTGCGAGTTACATCATTCTTCAAACTAAATTGGGGCGATAGTGTGGGAGAAGTTAATCATCCAATTATATGACGAACGATATGAACAAACCTGGCCTTTGTGCCAAAAACCTTTTAAAACATAAAAACATAAAAACATAAAACTGTAAATTATTTTAGTATACTTTATTATTAGGGTGTAACACGATGCCTGGTACCGTGCCACGCCGTGGATATGGCCTACCCATTGTGCTATGCAAAAGAGTATGAGTATGTCAGAGCGTACTTAGGTTCTGGCATCCAGGCTACTATACGCTGGGTCAGCCATTGTATGTCTGTACGTACCCCGGGAGTTTTCTCTGGGCTTGAGACTAGCCTTCGTGCAATTAACCAGATTGGTATCTGCTCACGAGCTTTGATAGAAGCTTCAGACTGCAACAGCCGACAGCATTTCGAATCTCAGTCGTACGAACAAAACACCTATTAGATACTACTAACTTGTACTTGCCTGTGTTTTTCGTCACCCTTTATAGCCCGGGAAAAGCTCGAGATCATAAGGTTACGCCGTCGCCATTCGAGCATTTAGTACAAGTGAATAAAGTGGAAGGAAAAGCTAGTGGCTAGCTAGAAACCAAGCGGCGCCAAGCTAGCGCTAGACATCCCTGATCAGATATATATATCGATATCAATATCGATGTTAATATCGATAACTACTTAAGTACTTAAGCGCTTAATCACTTAGGTTACGTACTTCCGACAATTCAATCTGTCAACCTGGTCTAGTGTCAACCCTGAAGGGTTTTCCCGAGCTGTGGTTAGAGCTGCATGCATCGATTATCTGGAACTGGGACAGTATGCATATATCGTCCATCTGTTTGCCTCAGCCTCGAGACCACCCCTGCCGGCAGCCGGGCATACAGGCATCCACCCGGCTAATCCGGTATATAGGAATCAGCAGATAAGATATCGATATTGATGTAAGTGGATATTTATACGAAAAATAGGAAACTATCAGATATTCAGACCGGTCGACAGGTATGTAGCTGCGTCATTCACTAAGGCAAGACGCATGCAATCTCCAATCCGGAGTGACCATCATCAAAAAGATGAATCGAGAGCTCATATTTTAAATGCTTTTGTTAGTCGACAATCGCTCAAGATGGCAAGTGCTACATGGTCTCTATCGACAATTTCAATTGAACGTTTTGTCCATCTTTGAACCTTTCAAGGGCAAGTGGAAGCTATTTCTGTAGCACCCAAACGATATCGAGAACTGCAAAGTCCCATCCAGAGTCTTATGATGGAGAGGCGACCGACAGCTACCTTTCCGACACACAGATACTGCTAGCTCTTCTAGCCGCGATTAAATTCGTATATTAATTATATAAGGACGACAACCTACCAGCTTCTGATATGTTTCTTATTCCACCGCGCTGCTTAATTATCTTTTACAGCGGTGCCTTTGGAGTACTTAGAGCCCCCGGATCCCCACGCTCATTTCGGGTTTTCAACCACTACATTCTTTTTTTTTCTCCTTTCAGATATATTGAATTGACACTCCTTTCCCCTTTTTGAATTCCATTATGGTTGGCTTCAAGATCTCTGCCGGGCTTGCTCTCAGCATCTTGATCAACACTGGGGAGGTTTCCGCTCATGCCCGTCTCTACAACAATTATGGAGATTACGACCAGTCAAAACTAGGCGGGTCTCTAGCTCACGCCTATGATATTCCCGTTATAGATCACGGGGACCACCAACATCCAGGGCAATGGGATGTCAAAGTTTTCAGTGACCCTGTCATTCCAGCTACTTGGGAAAGTCCCTTTAAGCATATTCCGCGCAAGTATATGCCACAAGGATGTGGTGCTGACCTGCATTTCATCTTTGCTTATAATATGGCTCATCGACGTGGTGAGATCAATCCAGCAAATCTCCAAAATGATCATGTAACATTATGGAAGCATCGGAATTATCACTTTTTCATGGCTCCAATTCCCCAAGGGGCGCTCGTCAATACAAAGCAGCAGATAGATTACAATGCTAAACATGGTAAGTGAACATATATCGTTCTTCTTCGATAATTTTTTTTCAATAAATCAGAATTGTCAATTAACATAACCTTGATTGTTTTCTTCAGGCAGAATTGCTCAGGTTACTCCCGGAGGCTGGCTCGACATAAGAGTAGGTTCCTTTATATTTACCCCTCCGCTCAGAATGGATATGAGTGAAGTTCGATCGTAATTAACACTGTCATCAACAAAGTCTTATCAAGTGAACGCCGACGGCGCAGGCCCATTCAAGTAAGAAAACTGTTCCTTTCTTCCTCTGTACCGAGTAAACCGTTCCTTGGGCTGTTCATTCCACATATATATATATCTAACCGCTGTGACAATTATACAGATGCCGACTCGACGAGACCTCCACAGGTCAGCATTTTTCAACTCAGCTCCCAATTCTTAAGGAGGTACCCGGTGGCCCAGGCTCGGTCAATTGGCACTCGGCCAAGAAGGCATACATCATGCGGGTCGGAATCCCCAAAGATATCAAATGCCTCGCTCGATACGGTACCTACAACAACGTCTGCCTTATGAGATGTGAAAACCAAGCCCAGTAAGTTTAAACTGAAATAAACATCTAATCCTCCTCTCATGAGAAGGCTTACGAATGAAACTCTATTAGCAACGGTCCGTTCGGCGCATGCATCCCCTTCCAGGTTATGTATCCCAAGCCTCCAGCTGCACCGCCCAAGCCGGTTTATATAGATGTAAAGAAGCCAGAACCGGAACCGAAACCCGTCTATGGTTATGCTGGCTATGATGTTGGGAAGGGAAATTATAAGGAAGGCGCTTATGGGAAGAAAGTGAAGCGAGATATTGAAAGAAAGAAGATAAGGCGTGCTGCCAACGCCGAAACAGATACCCAATCTGAAGATACTGAAGTGAAAGCTTAAGAAGATATTCTCTAGCTCTCTAGCTCTCTCTCTACAAGAGAAAAATGCTGATAGATATCAGAGGCTAGTATATCTAAGATGGAAAAAATCATCCCTCATATAATTAATATTTTATATATGGTTTGGTTTAAAAAACAGGTACATGTACATACCCTTTACCTACCAGAATACTACCTGTCAGTATAGCATATATGAATAGAGCGTTTATGAATTCATAGTGACCAATGCTTCTCCTAAAAATGAAATCAACCTCTCGAGCTAGATTGTTATATTATAAAAATTACTTAAATTTCACTAAAAGATATTTCATCTCAGGATTTACACATGTTAACATCCCAAATTTACTTTCCCGCTGTACGCAAGCCATCCTAAATTCTAGTAGGATGTTGGGGGCTGTCGAAAAAGAGGGCGGTGAAATGGCCTTTAAGTTTACTTAGATAACGAAACCCTGGAGTCTGGTTCCAGGAAACCTGAATTCAAGGTGTTACCGATTATACCATGCGAGATTTGATGACCATGGAAATTTTTACCCCTGAAAAGTTCCTATTTAACTTCACTAACAAGATACACGCTATATTAGCCGGTTGATGCTCACGGTGAGGTCTTGGTGCAAATCAGACAACGGTTGATGCAGCATGTAAACATATAGCACTTTGGGAATATATTTACCTTAGATTATATTCTTGCTTCTTCTTAGCACTAGTTCCGAGCCTTTTCGTGTTAGGGCGCTCATGCTCTTTGTTATGTGACATTAAACCCTGCTATAGAATTTCTCGAAAGCATTCTCGGTTTTCTGCAGAGTAGAATATATTCGAATATTGAATGGACTCTACTTATGTTACTTTGAACTCGAGTTGAACTTTGCAATCATACCTAGGTACTAATTATCAGCACATCATTTCTCAAAAGACTGATGAAAAATTTTATAGTATCGGGCTGGGGAAACCGATATGAATTTGAAAATTATGGTCATATCGTTTACTTTGACTGCGAAGAACCTGAAGCTCTTGTTAGAGAGCTAGAGCGACGGAGGCTAGCTAGAAGTGAGTTTTTTCCCCATTTCTGTCATAAAAGGTTATAATAATTGCTGAACTTATTTGGATTTGAAACAGTTATCGTATGGACAAAAGAGACATGGGGTAGTCCAGGACGATTATACTTCATTGGGGAGGATGATATGCCTTTGAGTATCGTTCAAGACGCAATCTGGTGCGCGGCCGTGTATCCCGCCAGTCAAGCCGGCAAAGTAGGGCTCTACGTCGGGTGCGAAGATTTACAAAGGCTGGTGTCTGTTCATTAATATCCAATATATATAGTCGAAGAATATAGATATTGGCTTACTCATCCTCTTCCAAATTCATGATCATAAATAATTTTATGTCCTACTGCACTAGTATTTTATTGGATTTATGATTAGGTTTGGCTATAGCATATTGATAGGCAATCTATTCAACGTTTGCGACACCCTTTAATAAAACAATAAATCACAAAACTGGTATTATAATATTATATATATAAATAATATTATAATCGACTGGATGGGAAAAGTTGGCCAAATTTATACGTCGAGGTTTATCTAATTACGAAATGCCCAAATACCTATCATCAAGACAGATAGCTCCAGAAATTTCGAAACCAAATCAAAGATGAGCAACAATAATATTCCCCATGAGAGTCATCCAACTGCTATTGACACAGCGTCGCAATCGGGTACGGGCCCGCAGCCCCTCCAGCGAGTTACGTTCCCCCTTCGAGGATGCACGCCTTCGCTACTTTCCCGAAACTACTAATCAGCCGAAGGCTGCCACGGCATATACGACTAGAGCGTCTACCTCTCAACTCAAGTGATCAGAGATACCTCGAGCAGATCCGGAAAAATGTGCCTTGCTGCTTCCGTTGTATTTGTCACGAGAAAAAGATACAGGTAAATGTATGTCAACCCAAACCCTTCTGATAGCCCAACTTGTCTCGTACTCAGACTGCCGGGGCGTAGTTCAACGCTGAGTTGGCGTACATATACTATCCGCAATTATACACATAGAGAGAAAGGTCTCCGAGGTTAGTAGAGAAATAGCCTCATTACTTAATTAAGACTCACAACTCAATTCTAATATATTCAATTTATCAATATAGCTCACTAGAAAAAATGTCCGGCGGACTCCATTTGCCATCATCGATATTGAACAAACCAATAGCAGCTGGATAATTGAAGACAATTGGTCCCAGGGCGATGTGGCAGAAATCATTATGGAAATGCGATTTGCTCGTTGGCCTCAAATCTTTCTGATATTCCTAACAGCATTGTCACAAGTTGGTTTAGCCTGCATTCACAAATAGGTAGTTGACATAAAGTGGATAGAGATCATCCAAATTGGCCTTCAGGCCATTGAGACTGTTCTAACATTCACACTTGGTTAGCCGCCGGCCGCTTTCTCTGTTTTTAACTGCCTGGTATTATAGAAAATCGAGTTGCGAAGGGCCCGTGTCATTCAATATTACTTTTAGATCCCTGGAATACGCGTAGACCGCAATATCAGAAATAAATCAATTGTGGATGAAGTGTCAAATCAAGATTGTTCGTATAAAGCCCCAGCCGTCGTGAAATACTCTGTTGGGTGACTGAAACCGCAAATCCACGAGGTTGGTTTCTGGACTTCCTGCTGCCATTTAGGAGTATGTGCAGTGTTCATATGATGAAATCATTCTTTAAAGGTTGCGTAGCAAGGCAATCTCTTCTTGTCCATACAGTTTTTTGAAATGCATACGTAAGGCTCAAAATCCTTATCCATATGAGCACTACGGAGAAGATTATTAGCTTGTTTAGTCAGAACAAAAAGATTTTCACTAATTTCTTTGCAGGCCGGGAACAAAATATAGAGAAACGCAATAATACCTCCAACTTTTCCTATTTTCGAATAAATCAGGGAGGTGGTGTTCGAGACACCATTCACAGGCACGGAAATTGAATGCATCTATTTTTCCTTTGGAGGTGGCCACGTGGAGGGTAGGTGACTTTACCAAGCTGAACAGACGAAGCTAAATATCGGGATTGCGTCTGGCGGGGGGCGACCAGCTTTCTCTAAAGTAAACTTTTCGAGATGGAACCCAGAGTCGAAGGATTTGATTCCGGACTCATGCCATAGCTTTGGCGGCTCTGTTTGAACTCAAGAGAGACCTTTGGCGAAGGGTAATTTAAAAGTATCGATTCACTAGTTTCTGCCAATCCGGTACTTGCACTTGGAAGGTTGGCAAAAGCAGCATCCGGCTTTTCGTGAATAATTGACATACGCGGGATTTGAGTAGCTTTCCTTAGGGTATTCAACTTCTGCTGATGGGATCTCTTGCAAGATATTTTTGCATATGTCTCTACCATCGACTTAGCCCTAGTGAGCTGTGCTCGAAGGTTCTCATTTGCATCTGGATATAAGACATTAAGTGCGATTCTAGATAGCCGTTCAATGCCTGGCCACCCCCGTTTTGACATCATTCGCGAGACTTTTATTGGAAATATACTACGGCAAGCCATTTCCACTTGAAAATGAAAATCTCGACAACTTCCAAATCAGGGCTAAACTCTTATTTGCCATCGATCGTCTCAGGAACTGCGACCAAAGCTCCTACCCAAAAGCAGTTTCTGGGTGTCTCTGTCTGAATCAGCAGTTTGGAATCAGGGCCAATGCTTAATAGTCAAAGGTGTGAGTGACTATGCAGACAGTCATAAAAACAACAAATGGCAACGATATGCCGCGGCAACTGCGGCTTCTGGTGCTAAGGCTCTTTTAAATTTTTGGGCCTCGAACCCTTGATGAATCGTTCCCAATCTTGTCCACATACCAGGAGTTAACAGGCGTACTGGTATTTTACATTGCATTGTTGTATTTGGGGATATTATGGCGTTGGAGTTGACCAAAGCAAAGGTGAAAGGAAATGTTGCATTTTTTACCTCGTCTTCCTTTCCACGACGACACCGAAATGATGAAATCACGAAACATACCACTACTACATTGCGAAGCTATAAAAAAAATAGATGGCCAAGCCATGATACCTCTGAATAAAAGCAGCTTATGCGAAACATGCATGTATTAGTTCAGAATGCATTTTCACAGAAACAAAGAAAACAAAATGTGGCAGATGTGTGTTGTTGTACTTTGTGGCGGGTATATTCGGGAAATGTGTTGTGGCTGAGGTGGTTTCCCCAGCACTTGGCTCTCTTTGTTGATATCCACGCCCAAATAGGCAATTCCATAACATCATCCATACTTCTTCCTCTGTTCGCATGTCATTCGCATTCCAACGACATCACCGACCTCAAAACATCAAAGAAACCTACCATAAACACATCGCACTGATCATCCTTCCTATCATTCACCCCTCCCAATCCACCCGTCACCACAAATCTATGCAATCAACAACTCCACCCTGAATCCCCATATAATCCACCGAGTACCCAATAGGCAACGGGAAGAACAAAAATGCCGGCAGCTCTCCATAAACCAAAGAAATACGGAACAGCCCGTCGCTCGGGTACCCTCACAAAGGCCTTTAGAGGGTCAGCCAGAGCATGGGATTCCCAACGGAAACCGCAGGGTCTGTTGATGCAGCAACCAACTTCTCAGCACCATGACGACGACAACGACGATTCAGATGATAGCTTTGCGCTAGAGTCGCCGCCTGAGTCGCCGTTGGCTGAGAGAGTAGCTATTATCCAGACTACTACAGCAGGTAGTCCTGTTAAAAGACCGCCAATCCGACCCGCTTCTCCTCCTGCTCCGATACAAGATTCGCCGTCTGCCGTACCAGTCGACCTTGCACCCCGTCAACCGCTTACTCAAAAACGTGACAACCATCTCAACCAGCTTCCTTCCACTCCGAAAAATAGAAAATCGTATGCCAGACGGGAGAGTAGTAGAGCAACTAAGGCAGAGGAAGTTACAGTTTGTCAGTCAATCGCAATTGAGGCCAAAGTGGTAGAAAACAAAGAGGTTATTTCAATTGAGGCACAACAGGAAGAAGTTGTTATCATCGACCGAGAGGAAAATGATCTGCCATCTCTGGAACAGACCTCGATCAAAGTTAGGGAAACATTCGCTGTCGAAATTATATCCTCCAGGCGGAGTATAACTCCGTCGATAGTCTCAAACGACATCGAGTCTCAGGGAGAAGAAGAAGAACAAGCTGAAGGGGCTGAAACAATGGGGACCGAATCCGATGAGGATGTAGAGGAGGAGGAGGGGGAGGAGGAAGAGGAGGAAGAAGAAGAAGAAGACGACTTCCAAGAAGTAGAGGAATATGACGAAACTGTCTTCCTCAGCCCCGAAAAGCGAGGAGAACTCCACAACGAAGCTAGGCGCCGTGGTCGCGCTCAAGGCCCCGCCCTTGCTCTAAACGACCCTCTTATCACCGGCATCACCGCCCTCAATCTCCATTCTCGTAAGTTCCCTGAATTTAAAATGCTCGAATTCTCTATATTCTCCTTTTCTAACTTCCTAATTTTAGCATCCATTACACCAACTACATCATCAGGACAAGACACAACTCCAACCCCGAAAACGGAGAAGAAGCCAAAGGGACTTATCACCCCACCGCCGGACGAAATCCCTGCGCTTCATGCAGATAGCAAAGTCTTCACGCTCCTACCGGTCTGTGATCAACAGCGTATTGTCTCGTATACAGAGTATTTACAAACCATCTCACCGGACTTTTCGCATATAAAGAAGATTGGAGAGTCGAGTTTTGCGGAAGTATATATTCATAAGCGAGATGATGGACGGTCTGTAGTATTGAAACTTGTGCCATTGGCTCAGGAGAACAATGCGGTATGTTCTTGACTTTCTCCTCTTCTCTTCCTTCTTCTTTGTTTACCTTTTCCTTCTTCAGAATACTAATAGGGTGTATAGACCGAAGTCCTTCAAGAGCTAAAGACAACACGAGCACTCTCACCCATTCCAGGGTTCATTAAATATCTAGGCTGTCAGGTGGTCTGCTCTCGCGTGCCCCCAGAACTCGAAGCCGCCTGGCGAGTATGGGAGGTTAAGAATAATGAGAGATACAGCCCTACCGACCGTGTCTTTGGCGACACAACTTACCACGCCATAATAGCTCTCGAAGACGGCGGTTGCAGTCTTGACGAAGCTCGTTGGAGCACCTGGGACGTTCCACTCGAAATCTTCAGACAAACTATCAAAGCATTCGCGCAAGCCGAAAGAGAAAGAGAGTTTGAACATAGAGATTTACATCTTGGGAATATTTTAGTCAGAGACTTGAAAAAAGAGAGGGAAGGAAGGATTGGAGAAGATACGGGTGTTGGCAGAGATTTAGAGATTACTCATGCCGGGTTTGAAGATGTGATTGTTACCATGATCGACTATACGCTTTCGAGGGCGAAGATTCCGGAAGAGTTTGGAGGTGGAGTCGCGTATATGGATATGGAAGAAGGGATGTTTGATGTGTTCGGGTTGTATCAATTCGATATGTATCGGATGTGAGTACCTTACCCTCATTTTACCTTCGACATTCTTTAAGCTACTTTTTGCTTCTAATAGGAGCTTAGTGCTAACTTTGCGGTGTGAAACAGGGTGAGAGACGAAGTTTTGCAAGTAGCAGCAAATGCCGCTGGTAACGCAAAGAACGGGGGCCGACGATCAGAAAGGATTAATAAACCTGACTGGACGTTACACTGCCCTCGATCGAACGTTATCTGGTTACACTTCTTGATCAAGCGACTTATTAGATCCGATGATGGGAGAAGAAATGATGGGAAATTGAGGATTTGGAAACCATCGAAGGCGAAGAAGAATCAATTCGACCTAGCTTGTTGGGGAGAAGTTATGAAGATTCATGAGGTTTTGGATATGGAAGTTGATGAGGAGTGGAAGTTTGCTGGGGCGGTAGATATTGAGAGGTGGTGTGAGGAGGAAGGGCTCTTCGAGATTCTTGAGCAAGAAAGAGAAAGGAGAAAGAGCGAAAGCGGAGAAGTTATCAAAGAGAAGGTAGAAGTTGTCGTAAGTAAGGAGAAGACAAAGGAGGTAGTCCGGAGGTCACAAAGGTTGAGGAAGTGATGAATGACTGTTGCATATTCTTTTCTTGGTGTTGGGTTATAAAAATTTGGACTTCATTTTTGTTTTATTTTGGATTTTGCGAATGGCGTATCAATTCATGACTGGATGACTGGGTACTCAGATTGAATACTTTAAATTGGAAGATGCATTGATCGAATTTGATATCATTGGGATTGGAGTCTGCTAGCTTTTGTGGTATTTTATGGTATATAGACCCTTTTGTACAGATGCATAGATTAAATTAAAATGATCATGATCATGAATGATACAAGTTAATGCTTTAGGCCCAATACTGGACGTGCTGAGCCATTCCAATACAAGGCTACCGAAGTAAATTATATATGAAATTCGGGACTAGTCTAGTTAACCGTATTTTGCTAAACGTGTTAGCCCTAGATCGATGTTTGCACATAGACAAATCATTCCTGGTTTCTAGCAAACCAGTGACGTTAATCTTCTGATTTCATGCATGACATGTCAAGCTAGATCCATCTATCTGAGATCGATATCGACAGTCTATGTCCTTAGTTTTATCCCACTCACTCGCTACTAGATAAGACTAGTCCTGTATGCAAAAATCAGTAAAGGTATCCAGTACCATGGGTTTGACATCTACTATAAGTCTATATACTACTTTTATTCCATCCCGTACTCCATCCACCGTAATCGACGAAAAAGGTTGGCTTGCCAATAAAGCTTAATTTCACTAGATAGATATGTAATTAATACCAAACTCAGTATACATCAAGTCCCCGTTTCCTATCGAATATGGAAAAGGATCATCGATTTTTAGACCTATATCGATCATTCGGGCCAGCTAATTAGCCTTGGAGGCGTAGCTTAAACAAACTTAAATCATTCCAGCCAGTCTGTCTCGTACCCAGACCTGGAAGCCAGCCAATGTGTTAAGTACTTATATCTCCTATTGTGACGTCCGGAAACAAGACCGGTCAGTATTTTGTTATGTTTGTCGATGTAGACGAATGTATACTCTATAGATCTAACTAAGCTTTGAAGTTACACTATTGCTAGCTAGCTAGCTAGTACGCTTTTATATTCAGCTCAAGCTGAAATCGGCCTTGACTAGTTTCGTAAACTCATTAACATCCGTATTCGGAACCCGATTAATTGACATGTGAGATAACAGCGGGTCTGCAAGGCACTCTCTCGTGGCTTTTTGTATCCTCCATCTTTAACGTTTAGATAGTAAAGTATCTTATCTTATATAATATAGATAGTGCATTTTGCATTATATATTATGCAACAGCGAAAGAAGAAAAAAAACAAATACCAAAAAGAACCCACCTCCAAAAGCCTAAGCTTAAGAAAAGTCCTTTAACATCCGGTATTATACCTTTCCCTTCCTTCTTTCCTTCTGTAAATGCAAAAATGGAAAGATTAAATTAAATTAATCGTGGCGCCGTCCACGGCCACCCGCGCGGTATCTGTTAGACATTTGACGCGACGGCGAACTTAACTTATGTACATACACCTGTTAATTTAATTTAAACACCTCTATCTCCACAACGGATCAAAAAATTATGGCAGGAAGGGAAGGGAGGGGAGGGGGGGCGTGCGTCGTATATTCGCCGTGTCGGAACGGAGATTGTGGTGGCCAATTTTTGGGAATATGGGTAGTAGGTTAGTGCTAGTGGGGTAAATTAACATGGATGGAAGTAGTAGTTTGAAGCATTGATGTTTTATATGCCCCATTAAACATGAATATGGTATGATACTTTGACGATTTTGTTTAAACTAAAATAATCAAGGTCTCTTCGAGGTCTTGGGAGGGTCATAGATTCAAGTTAGTTAGACCTTTCTCGCCCGGTTACCGGTAAGTAAGTAAGTACTTACTTAATTAACTAGTACTTGGCTACGACTACTCTAATTACCTAACTATACATTTTTTTAGTATAATCTATATACGGCCTAGACAGTAGTCGTGGACGGATTAAGACATACTTTCTGCTACCAGTTACCAGCTAGTCCTAGTCTTGTATGTTACGGTATAGTACGGTATGGGAGTGTGTTAAACCCAGTTTAAATCCCCCCATTTTGCGACGACGACGGCCGCCACTGGTTTCTTTTTTGAGATATGGATACGTACATACATCGATTTATATGTGTACATGTATGTACATACATACGTGCATCTCCGTTACTTGTTAATTTACCCCGGATTTTTATTCTATGCGTCTGCAACCAACTTTTTCTTTTAACTGGTAGGAAATATATGTGGTTACCATGCAGATATCTGAATTAATTCGAAAATGTTAAATGTCCGTGCCTTCTTTTTTCTCGAAAATAACTGGACGGTTGCCAATTACTCAACATTTATATAATTAAATTCTACTTGGGAATTCACTGTTCATAGGGCTGGATTTTTTTATTTCTCTCTCTTCTCACCGTTTTTTTTTTTTTTGTAATTTAAAAAGAAAATATCGGTTCAAGCAAAGGCCCGTTGGAACGGTGGAATTTCAAAACTCCGTGAACCCAACAATTACCAAATTTAAATCCAGAAAACAAAAGTTATCAGATCCCCAGAGAAAAAAAAAAAAAAAATTTAAAAAAAGTAAGAGAACAGACCTCCAAGATAGAACCCGGATCACTCGGCATCATTGCAATTGATACTACCCCCAACTTACCAAAATCCCAAAGATTTCAAGGAGAAAGAGAGAAAAAAAAAAGGAAATATTTTGTCTCCACAAATATATGGAGGGTTACGTAGTCCCATCCGCCCGCTTTCGATTCGATTCGCGAACAAGGGTTGGATCAAGTTGTACGCCGGCCCGCTTGGCGTTATCTTGGCGGGGAGGGAAGAATTAAAGGAAAGAGGCCCGTCTGTTCGAAACGGTGTTATGCATAACATTGTCAAGTTAGTAGTCTCGTTCCCATTAAGTTAGATGTGTGACGTTCGTTCGGTGTTTTTTTTGGTTGGTTTGCATATACTTAAAGTAAGTATATGGTAGATCTTAAGAGGCTTGGGAAAGTCAGGAGGTTCATTGTTTTTTTTTTTTGATTTTAAAAAAAACGGTCCTATCGGGTTGAATCCTGTATTCCGAATTGTCGAAGATCTCGTGGCTTCAGAGGATTTGATTCTATCTACGATGGAATTACGTTCGGACTGTATATGCATTCATATAATGATTAATTTGTTTATAGAAAGTTTTTAATATTTCTATAGTTAGAAGAAAGTGGGTATATACAAGAAAGAGAAAAAAGGAGAAGGAAAAAAAGTTTGTCCCAAGAAAAAGTTTAAGGAGAATGAAGAGAAATCAAGAAATAAGCTGTTGACGAAAAAAGCCTTAGCAAAAAAAATAGGCTAATTGCTAACCCCATCTACCGTCGTCCGTTTTAAAAATTATCGAGAAAAGGAAATAAAAAAGTTTTGTCGAAGAAAATAACCTTCGCGGGTATAAAAGAAGAAGGTCGAGGAGGAGAAGGGAAGAAAAGGCGGATGTAAATGGAAAATCAACAAAAGACAATTTGCTAGACAAAAGAGAAGAGACAGAAGGAAAAAATCTCAACCACATTAAGCTTATAAGGTCATGAAACACATCGAAAACACGCGCAAGCAGGGCCAAGAAAATATCGTCTGGGACGATGAGCCGAAAGTTAAAAGATGAAAATGGGTAAAAAAAAAGGCGGTTTTTTGTATACCGGCGGGAGCGGAATTTTGAGAGTGGCGCATGTTGAATTCTTAATGACGACGCGAGACGCTCCAATGCGAAATGCGAACGCAAGGTGGATATCGGAATGCGAAAGATGATGTGTGGATGGTAAAACGGGGCTGATTCCAGGAATGCTCCAAACTCGCTCGGGGGAAAAAAAAGAAGCGGGCTCCGGTAAACGAAGATGGAAGAAAGAAAGAAAAAAATGATGATTCAGAGAAGCAAGTTTTCGAAAAGAATGCCAAAAAGAGTACCCATTTGCTTGCTTTAACGACAAAACCCCTCCTCTATAATGCGACTTTAGTAGTAATAGTAATAGTAATAGCAGCAACGAAATTTTTTGTTTCTCGAAAAGCCAAAAAGAACAGGGAGTAGTTGTTTCATTTCCGTTCCGCTATAAACCAGATAGGATTTCGAAGGATGTGTCGAACAAAACAAATTCACAAAAATGAAAATCGCTCAAAGGAGACAAGGGAGAAAAAAGATGTCTCACGACTTTGTGACAACGACGTGCTGTAGTGATGGTGGTCCCTCTTTCGGTTGTAGGTTGTTCCTCTGCTTGGCTTCTAGTTCCACCTTTGCGTACCAAGCTCCACCGATCAATGTAAGCATGATTCCAACGGAATTGAGCCAGGTGACTCTGAGGTCGTAGAAGGCGAACGAGATGACGATGGTGAGGATCTGCTTAACGTTGGCTGCGACTGTCATTGTCAATGCTCCGGTCTTCTTGTTGGCGGTAAAGCTGATGACGTTTAGGGCAAATGCAATGGCACCGTTCAAGAGCAAAATCATGGCCTTTTGGTTGTCGTAGGAGGTGAAGAACCATACTCGGGCCTTGGCCATTTCTCCAGTATAATAAGAGTAGAGAAGGGTTTGGAGGAACGCGAGCGGCGACATGCGAGCTAGGAGCTCAAAGGCGGTGAGTCGGAGTCTTCCAGTTTGCACCTTGTTGGTGACGACGGTCTTCAAAGCAGCGAGGAAAGCGCCTAGGAGGGTCAAGAAGAAGCCGAGAGGTGTAAAGTAGTAGTCACCAGCTGTAGCGAAACCGACACCAGCTACCACGGGAATCAAGGAGATATATGTCATGTATCCATAAGTCTTTCGGAAGCAGACGACGAAAATAATGACGGTGAAGAAAGGTGTCATGGCACGGACGACCTGATGGAAAGGGACGGTGACCAAGTTCCTGAAGGGTGAGTGTAATTAGCTACAAATTCGAGAAATTATAGAGGATTCCACAAAGAACACTTACAGCGACACATTGGAAATAGCAATGTTGATGGTGTATAGGCCAGAGAACAACAGCATGATGATATTTTCATACTCTGATAACCTTGTGAATGTGAAAGCTCCACGGGCATAAAAGAACATACATCCTATAGAACCGCATAGGGCGTGTAATCCTGTAAGGAGGTAAGGGAATGGGAATAATGCCGGACGATCAGGCTAGTAACTAAAGTTAGCATTTCCTCTTTTTTTTTTTTTGTCTTTCTTTCTAGGTTATGGGTTGAAACGTGAGCTGGAATTAGATGAATCCTACACACCTTTGAGCCCATCACCGATTTATTATAGAGAGTAAGGGCCAAATTGAGCCCGAAATAAACAGCCAACCATGCATATTTGGTAGCTAAGGTATCCTCTCGCTGTTGCGGCGGTAAGGGAGCAGGCTTCTGCTCTGGGATATCGGAATAGAGAGGGAGGAGAGGTTTCTCCTGTTCTGTGTTCATAGACATGTTGCTCGAATCGGAGGACGAGCGCGAGTGCCGCAGATAACGATCCAGTTTGAAGGATGCCACGGGTGGATCAGCGGTGTACGTGGAAACAAGGAGAGATAGAGTCGGATTTGAGGTGATACGCGGCGAATGGCAGAAACGTGTGAAGTGTTCCAATCACGAGGGTGGAAACGAGTCGAACGGAGGATCAGCGGCTAAGTATGGTATGTATGGTGTTGTTGGCTTGGCCCCTGGTCGTTGCAGTGAGCTCTGTGTTAACTTAGGAATGCTAAGAAAATGCCCTGAATGAAGATGAATATTGATGGTATCGTGGAAATAGTAAGAAGCCAATGATGATTATGGTGGTGATTATGAACTAGAGTCGTTGGAAACGAATGACGGAAAAGAAGAGAGGAGATGAATTAAACCGGGTATCTTTGGATGTATGTAATTATCCTCCAGTATGGTGGTTATGCTGTTGATGGATGGTGTGGTTGAGCTGAGAGAGAGGAGAGGAGAGGGAGAGAGAGGGAGGGAGAGTGATAGGTTGTTGAAAAGGGATGGTGGTTGTTGTGGTTGTAGTTGTGGTGGTGATGGGGGAGGCAAGGCAGCAAGCAGCAAACGCTTTTGGACTTCCAAGGACAACCAAACGAGTGTGGTGAACAGCTAACCAGAGCCTCTGTTGTCGACGACGACCAAGAAACCGAAGGGAGATGAGATGATTGCTAAAAAGGCGCAGAGTCAAGACAAGACAACGGTTAGTCAGTCAGTCGGTCAGGGTGGTGGATGGATGGTTTATAACAGGAATAAAAATAAATAAAAAATGAAAAAATAAAAATAAAAATAAAATAAACGATCGGACGAAGGAAGGAAGATGGGAGGGGAAGAAAGAAAGAAAGAAGGAAGGAAAGGGAAAGGAGAAGGAGCAGAAGATGGTTGTGGTGGTTGTTAGCGGTGGTTGTTAGTGGTCGTTAGTGGTTGTGGTGGTGGAGAGGATTGGAGAGACAGGCGAGTAAGATTGATGGAATGCGCTGGGAAGGGGGTCAGGTCAGCCCGGCGCTGATTGGTAGGGACGAAGCCAATTTCGCAGGGACCACCACCGCGCGGAATATTACCAGTGGTTCAATTCAATTCACCAGCACATCAAGACATCGAGATATTAGAACATCGACTAACTATCATCACTTACTTCTGACTTTCGCAACAATAGAAGGAATGTATGTAAGTATATTTCGTATTGTATTATTCGTTATTGTCGGACAGTGGTGATGATGATGATGATGATGATGATGATGATGATGATGATGATGATGATGATACTGATGGAACGTTATGGTTATAGCGACAGATTGGCGGTGGTAAAATTAACAGGGAGATGGAATGGACTATATTCGATCGATCACACTTTCTCTATAGAAATGTCAGTCACCGGCCAAGATGATCGATTGCAAAACATGTTAACATCCAATTCATAAAACAAAAGCATTGTGATCACGATCAGGTATGGATGAATGTATGGATGTGCACATGTGAAGTAAGCATACAAAAAAAAATAAGCTTCAAACTTCAAACGCCGTCCGCGAACAAGGCAAGACCGAATCGAAAGGATCAATCAATCAATCAATCAATCAATCAATCACCCCCCTGCGAGTAATACCCGTTCCAAAGGCACACGATGGCTAAAAAGGGCGCCTCCGTAAGGAAAGCAATTAATGCTATCGGGGTTCCAGTCTTTTGCCAAGCTTGCATGCAGGTATGTATGTCCTTATGTACGGACGTGGGACAAGATTTCGATTGCAATTGACGGCGGGTAAATTTCTTCAACTGCGGGAAAAGGGATGGGATATGGGGAATCGACGCCATATAGGTAATTTAGATACCATATACCCATATAATACATCGTATTTTAGGCTTATAACTTCTTCTTTTTTATTATCATATTATCGAAACTGCCAGTTAGGGGTAGAATTCGATTCTTAGAAGTCTTGTAGGTCTTAGGTCTCGGTTCTCGCTCCTCGCTCCTGCCCGGTCGGTGGTCCTCCCCCCCAAAAGATTGTTCGTCTGTTTGTACGGGATGGATGGATTTGATTTGAATTTGATTTTGATTTGATCCCGACCAGGGCCCCACGAGGAGCAGAACCTTACTGCTGTGCAGACAGACCGACCTAACTAACTACCATAGTTTCTTGTGTATGATATTAATTGCCAATTAGCCAACCATCCTTGGACTCACCGTATAAATGTATGTATGTATGTCAGTTTAGTCGTCTGGTACATATGATATATCGTTATTTTCGATATTGGATAATATATAAAATGTATATATTATTATTGTGTAAAGAAGGGTCGAAAAGTAGATGAGTATAGTAATATACTATCAGGATCTAGCCAAGTAAGGGATCAGATAGATCTATATAAGTAACTATAGGTCGTCGGCACCAATAGTATCTATTTTGTAACTGTCGGGCTGCAGCCTGGAAATAAATAGATCTGAAAAGCTGGAACGGATAAATCGGCTACCAATAAGGTACTTAAGTACTGAGTAAGTAAAGTACGGGAGTACTGCACTCCGGACGTACTTACTTCTTTCTTTATATATAAACACCCAGCAGCTCTGGTTAACGCGCGCTGCATGCCAATGCGTCAGCCTCTATTCTGAAAGGCTGGACAGACCCTCAAACTAGCTGCATACATACATAGGCAAGTAACTAGCCAGTGCAGCCATGTGGGTCAACAAATAATGTGATGTGACGAAGCGAACGAAAATGACAGGAGAATCCGGTCAAGCTCAACCAAAACCAAATCGTACATCCGCTGCATTCTGACTTCCTCTTTTTTTATTTTATTTTTTTCATTCCCAAGGAGAGTAGCCCTTTTCCCTTCGCCGTCTGGGTTTGGGGGGGTTTTGCGCCTATCTCTCTTAAAAAAACACAGGGTTCTTTTTGATGTATCTCCGAGATTCGAATTCTCTTGCTTCTTTTAGTTTTCCCCTCAGAAGGAAAGCCCGGAACTAAGTGTGTATACCATTCCTACTTGTTATTTAGGTTTGCAAGCAAAACGCTTGGGGGGTTAACAGTTACGGGACGACAATCTTAAGCTGAAGCAGCAACAGCTTGCGATAACGATATTCAGGGTTCGAACCGGTCAGGTGTATATTGACAATCAATCAAGATTGGCTCATAAGAAACCGCTGTTAAAATGTGGGTAAGCACGGGAGAGGCTGCCTCAAACACTGTATGCTTCCAAAACAAGTTCTCCGATATGATGATCCGGGCGGCTTTTGTTTTCCCACCCTTTTTAATCCTCGTATATGATTGTTCCCAGGATCCCAGGAATAATATCGACCTGTGCGAACAATGGTATTATGATCAAGTAAGAAAAGGTCACTATTATAAAATACTTGACCCTGGGCTCCCAAGGAGAGCGAAGATATATCTTGTTCGGCTCTTTTATTACACACGACATCATATCAGATCATATTGCACAGTGGGTTTTCACGAAAAAAAAGGAAACCCGGTATACACATTACTTGCATCGCGTCGTTCATATGTCATACCATACCGAAAGATCGGGGCAGACTAATATGCAGCCTTGCCGGATCCAAAAAAAACATAATCTACCAGTGCGATAAGGAAATCCTTCGTTCATGATTTATTTCCTGGGATCTAAATGGGTGTGGTGGATTCACATCTTGTTCAGTTAACGTTAGCCCAAAGGTGGGGGCTGGGGGCCTGGCACATGGGATGGGGTACATACATGAGGGGATCAGTAACCTGACAGCTAGATTATACATAGAAACCAGAAAAGCTTAGGTCGGTAGACGGTATGTACCATAATTATCAATCTACCGTGATGTCTACCCCGGGAAACAAATGCCTTTTTCTTTCTGTTCAACAATGTGAACTGCAGGGCTGCTGCGCCCGTGCCGTCCAAAGTGGCGAGGAGTTTTTTTTTTTTCTCTCCCCAGCCCTGAGTGGTGAACAAGTGAGTGAGTGAGCGAGTGAGTGTTCTAAAAATATCAGCAAAGGAGGGGGAGAATCCAACCGTCTGATCGGACTTCAGATGATGGAAACCTTTCGATTCAACAAAGACGAAAAGAAAAGAAAAGAAAAAGAGAAAAAATGTCTTTGCCCTGACTTGGTATTGCCAAAATCGTTGATACCTCAGCAGCAAGGTGGTTTCAACCTCCATGAATTCAATGTAGCATATGCAGTCCCCACCAGGCGCTTGACCGTCCATATGCATACGAACCAAGAAGCGTCGAGCAACGGAATGTAACATACACCGACATCTTTTTAGCGTCCCAATTTCTCTTCGCTTGAAGTCTCGCTTTTGGGTCTTGAGTACGTACGCCAAGATGGAGAATGCAAGTCCGCGATCCGTCCATCATGCCTTCTTAAACTTGCATGCATTTAGGTAGTTGCATGTCTGCAAGAATTGGACAGTAGCCCTCGAGACCAGGCGCAAGAAAACATTACCGGTCTATTGTTTAAATTTTTTTTTTTTTTTTTTTTTTTTTTTTCCCTGTCGTTCCGATATCCGGATTTTCGTAGTCAATCTATGCATCTATCCATCTGCGAGCGTCAAAATACATCACGAGGGCTGTCCGGAAAGATCGACGACGTTACGGAATACCGATAGTCGCAATGATGTTATAGCAAATCGAACATGCAAGCCACGAAAATTCACAGATCTCTCGCCAAAACCACGATGTTCTTCTGGTGGAGTAGCGAATCTCGCTTCCCTTCTTATTTATTTGATTACTCTAGCGGCCAAAACGGCCAAAAGACTCGAGCATCCAACCCCCAGTTAACTTGTAACGGAGCTTAGTTCATGAACTACGAGCCTTGGCCTTAAGTGATTCCGAGCTCCGAAGCATAGATGTAAGTAGTCGTACCATGTGCAAATCCAACAGCTCCTATATAACGACATTCGGCTCCTTACCCGGGTCCCTTGTCAGGCAGCGATGATATCATGTCCACTTCCGATCTAGAGCTCATCGGCACATCTTTTTCCTTACAATTTTCAAATTTCCAAAACTTGAAGTGCACGGAACCGGTCCACTTGTTCCAATTAATTGTCGTCGTTGTCGTGTGTGTGCCACCAATGGAAATCACTCAGTTTATCATCTTAATCTTCGCCGCCCCTATTAATTGTTAAGAAACTATATTGATATGAAACGTAAAATTTGGGGGCGTGGGAAAGGAAAGGAAAAATCTAGCACACGCACAAGGATAATATCCCGTTTGATAAGCAGCCTCCCGAGGAAATAACGTGATACGAGGTTCCGACGACGCCCACATTTTTTTTCCTGCAGGAACCCACCTTTTTTTTTTTTTTCGTCGCTCGTTATTTCGCCTTTTTATCGCTGTTTGCCGGTAAGATACCAGTATAACCAACGCGGCCTGTCAAATTGCAGGTTCGAATCCCAGCGAAATCTGCAACTGCCCATTTCGGTTGGTCTTCCCTTTTGAGCAGGAATCGTGAGAGTCGTGCCCCCGATTGGAGAATTAGATGGTATCGAAAAAAATGACGTCTTTTGATTTGACATAATTTCTCTCGTATACGGTTGCAGGGGTTTTAGTGATACCATACTATATACCATTATTTCACTAGTAAACCTTTCAAAGTGGGGGAAAAATTAAAAGAAACCCTGAGAAGGAATATTGATATCCGTGGTGTTCTTCTTATCATCAAGCTTTTGCTTATAATCGTAGATCCCTCTTTGCTTTGAGAACGTGGTGAGTTTTGTCCATGGGGTATAAGAAGCAGGTACAATACCATCGATTTGCCAGGATCAACTACCAATTGGCACGCTTATACCATGAAGGGAAGGAAGCGAAATACTTGGAACTCTGTTTTATGGTTTTAATATTCCGTTAGTATGGCGACTTTAAGATAGCTCGAGGTTCGGTTATGAAAATGAGATGCATGCATGTGCTAACGCTATAGGTGTGCATTGCAAGTTCCTGGCATTCGGGCCTGCCAGATGGGGCAGCGGTAGAACACGACACGAGTACCCTGGATCGACGTACCGCAGTTAACAATTGTTGACATTCAGGAGGGAAGGTTATGTGATATTCAGGTTTTGAGACTGGTTTAAGCTCACTTGGCCTGGGATTGCATATGCATGAAGCACGGGCATGTGGGGTTTGTGTGAGTACCTGGCTATTCGTTGATCGATCTATTGAAGATACTTGAGCTGGTAGGTATCTGCGGGGTTAGAACACTAGGTAAGATTGAGACATGGGAGCTTCCAGAAGCATGATTGGATATTCGGTTTGTAGTTCTAAATCGATATCGGTACTGTCCTTTTTAGATCTTGGATCATCGATCAGCGGGTTAAGCTTTTTGCTATGGGCTGTAGTGGTTCACTGGTCTTATATGATAACCATAGCCGGTCTTGTGAAAATAGGTCATCTCCGTTACCGGCGTACGGTGAATTGACGTCATATCGTCTAGGTTGTTTCCGTAGTATGCAGGTGGATACTTGTATTTACATCATGCTGGGTACCTATTGATGCATTCAAGGCGAGGTGTATATGTATCCTTTGTATACTTTCTGATACCGTCCAAGTGACGGGTCGGCACCCTCCCTAAACACTTAGCACGTTGTTTCATTTTCACAAGCTAGGATGTTCTCGATGTCATTGAATTAGTTGAAAATATTATTTCAGGCTCTAAACTATTTCCATTAGTCTATCAATTTGATGGATAGTGTCCAAAATTGACGAATTGATATTGTCCTATATTGTAGTTAATAATTGAGCTTTCACTCTATATTGTGAACCTCGGAAGATGGATGTAGGTACTTAGGTAGTTACCTAATATGAGTAGGAAAGTATTATCGACTTTCCATGAGATCTGTATGATATTAGAACAGATTAAACAAAGTATCATACAGCCTCGACTAAGTGTCGAATACTTAAGCCTCGAACTTCCAGGCTAAGCCACCCGTTGGTAGATAAGTAGATGTCTGTTGGTCAGGATGTGTTGCCGTTGTCGTTGTCCGTTTCGTTGTGCACCCGAAAAGTGGTTGCAAGGGACCCGACCTGCAGCCCTGCACTGTTCTCCGGACTGGACGGACAAGACCAAGCACCAAGCACCCAGCACTGGTTGGGTCCAATGCAATGCGCCAGCGACTGCCAATATTGTTCTCCCCTGATCTATCGACAGTCCAAGAGCCACCGTTGCTTCTGCTTCCACCAAAAATAGTCTAACGCCTCAATACTTCATACCTCCTTCTTTAATTTCCTCTGCTTCGATTGCCGACTCCTTACCTTGCCGGACCGATCCGTTACATCTCCTGTGCCCTTACAGCTCCGACATGCCCGAGGTCGACAATACCCGATGATATCTGGTTTGATTTCTGTACTCGCGACTTGAGGATCCCGCCATCCTTTTTTTTTTAAACCTCGGGTCGATATTCCTGGGGGAACACAAACATTGAGAGGTAGCTCCCTGAAATGGCGGACGTGGTTGCTACCCATGCTGGCAATGGTATGAATCCCTCTCCTGGTTTCTCTTGAGTGATATCTGAGCTTGGAGCTGACGTTTGTATGCGGATTTAGTCGTAAGGGCGATTGCTGAAGGTATTTTACGATCTTATATTGGAAATCGCAATCAGCTTGGTTAATTGTTTGTTGTACACAGGGGGGGCACACGACTCGATACACTTCGGAAGGCAGTCGAAATGTGGTAGCAAGACCAAGGGTTCTTATGATACACCGTTGCACGTTCTCGCGTTGATAATAGTGTTAGCTTTGAGCACGTTGGGTATGCGATACAGCTCCTCGAGGGGTAACATTGGTGTACAGTCGAACTTGACTAATTGGCAATAATAGCTTGTGGTTTTCCAATTCTCGTCCGACGGGTGCCTCAATTGAAGGTGCCGCATCAGTTTTTGTAGGTGGATTGTTTCGTGAAAGAAAGAAAGATTGGTGACTGAGGAGAGGGTTGCTGACTTGGTTTTAAAGGTTCTTAGCAAGGCATTTCGGAACCGGAGTACTGCTGGCGACGGCTTTTGTCCATGTAAGGAACTCTACACTACAGCTCTCTCGGTATCAATGCTGATTGAAGATTCTAGCTCCTCCCTACCGCTTTTATATCTTTAACCGACCCATGTCTTCCCAAATTTTGGACCGAAACTTATCCGGCTATGGCTGGTGCCATCGCTCTTGCTGCCGTATTCTTCGTCGTCACAATCGAAATGATATTTAGTGGGTTTGGTGCAGCGACACACAGCCATGGAGATTTCGAGCAGATAGTTGCGCCTTCATCACCTGCCCTACGGCCAGACCTTCACCCCGACGAAGACCCCGAATACCAGACGAATGGAGAGGCAGCTAGTAGTCTGCTTGGAAAATCGTCACATAAGAGAACCAGAAGCGGGAGTATTAGTATGCAGTTGAATAGGATTTCATCAGAGTATGGTTAATATATACAAGGGCTATCAAGCTTAAGGAAGGGATGCTAAAATTCGGTTATTAGGCAGGATGGTGACGGGATTGCACTCGAAACGATCCTTTCCGACTCAGAGGATGAGGGTAGTTCCTCAAATGGTGCGGCGAAACGAAGGAATCCAAAACAACATGATAATCATCTTCCAAGTATCGACCAGATGTCTCCGGCAGAAATCGCACAACAGAAGAAGAACCTGCTCCAGGTGGTATTGTTGGAGGCTGGTATTCTATTCCATAGCGTATTTATCGGCATGGCGCTGAGTGTGGCTACTGGTTCGAACTTTATCGTGCTACTTATTGCTATTTCATTTCATCGTAAGATTTCGCTCCGCCGAGAAGGGTTTGTATCGTGCTAACGACCATGTGTAGAAACATTCGAAGGATTGGCATTGGGTGCTAGAATATCTGCTATCACGATATTTCCTGAGGGATCTCTGAAGCCATGGTTGATGGCACTGGCATAGTAAGTCTGGTTCATGAGACTAAACTCTTTTAATTTAATGCTGATGGGTGGAATCAGTGGTACTACAACTCCAATCGGGCAAGCTATTGGTCTTGCGACGCATACTCTTTACGACCCGGCTAGCGAGGTTGGACTGTTGATGGTCGGTATCATGAATGCTATCAGTTCTGGACTGCTTCTATTTGCGTAAGATACTCCTTGTACCTATAGACATAGGTATATGCTGTAAAACTAAGCTAATTTCGTATCATCAACTTTTAGAGGGCTTGTTGAACTTCTTGCCGAAGACTTCTTAACAGATGAAAGCTGGAAGATATTAAAAGGAAAGAAAAGAATACATGCTTCTTTATGTGTATTTGCTGGAGCATTTGGTATGGCATTTATCGGAGCGTTTGCTTGATCTCAAACTTTGCGGTTGATTTAGATCGATTCGAACACTTATAGAGAGCATGTTGCAAAAGATGGTTAAAAAGTACTATTGTCTTGAGAGGAAAATTAAATTAAATAAGCTGTGAATATGATGAGTTTATGAGCTCTGGGCAATACTAGTGTTTACTGGGTTTCTTGTACTTCTTCTGTACTATATTCTGTATGTAGTTTTGCTCGAGGTTACAGAAGATTTTAATATCTCCAATGATGTCAACCATTGATAGCTCCTTTAAATATTATAAATTTATGTGATTTCGAAGCTGTGGATCGATATCTTAGATATCCGCTATGCCACCGCCACAACGCGAGGGTAGTTCGATGTGTGGCGTTAAACATGAACACCAAAAATTCGGGCCAACAGAGTTCGCGCGACTCATCCAGCTTAATCCAGCTTCATTTTCATCACCATCCTAGAACTCGAGCAGCAATCGGCCGTTACAATTTACGATTTCCCAAAGCACGGCCCTTCCACTCTCTAAATTTAGATTGCTGCTCTCTCCCCCCATCAACCCACAATGGATGACCTATACGACGAGTAAGTAATCTCTCCCAAAGCTTGCTGCCGTCGAAGCACACTCAAGCTTCTTAACACTTAACACTTTACAACCACCGATTGTTCTTTTTTATCAAAAAGGGAAACTTGAACTGATTTCTTATATCCGTTTAGATTTGGAAATTACATCGGCGACGCCGGTTCCTCAGATGATGGTTCCGCACACGAAGACGCCGGCGCGGACGCCTATGTCGACTTCGATGCCGCCTCGGACGACGAACCAGCCCCTCACTCCCCGTCGAACGACATGCAACTAATGGAAGTCGACTCAGGTCCTTCCAATGCCGTAATTCTCCATGAAGATAAACAATACTACCCGACAGCCGAACAGGTTTACGGCGCAGATGTCGAAGCGATGGTCGAAGAAGAAGATGCCCAACCGCTCACCGAACCCATTATCGCGCCCATAAAAGTCAAGAAATTCATCGTGGAAGAAGCAGAGTTACCGGTTACGCATTTCTCACGCGAGTTTATGATGGATATGATGAGTTTTCCGGACCAAGTTAGGAATGTAGCGTTGGCGGGACATTTACACCATGGAAAGACGGCGTTTATGGATATGTTGGTGTTGGAGACGCATATTATCGATCAAAAGAAGGCGATTGGAAGACGTGAGGAAGTGCAGTTGAGGTATACGGACGTGCATACTTTGGAACGCGAGCGGGCGGTGTCGATTAAATCGGCGCCGATGTCGTTGGTGTTACAAAGTTCGGCTGGGAAGTCACATTTGGTGAATATCATCGATACTCCCGGGCATGTGAACTTTGTGGATGAGGTTGCGGCGTCTTTGAGATTGGCGGATGGTGTGGTGCTTGTGGTTGATGTGGTGGAAGGGTTGATGATTAATACCGAGCAGATTGTGCGGTATGCGGTCAACGAAGGGTTACCGTTGGTTTTGGTGGTAAATAAGATGGATCGGTTGATGCTGGAGTTGAAGATTCCGCCTACAGATGCGTATTTCAAGGTGAAGCATACGGTGGAACAGGTTAATACGATCATTGCAGAGGCAGCACCAGGGAGAGATGATCTGAGATTATCACCTGAGAAGGGGAATGTGTGCTTCGCGTCGACAAAGATGGGGTGGTGTTTTTCACTTAGGTCTTTTGCAAAGATGTATGCGGATACCTACTCGGGTGTTGACGTTGATGGGTTCGCAAGAAGGATGTGGGGAGATATCTATTTCGGGGCGGAGAGCAGGAAGTTCACGAGGCAGAAGGCTGCCGAGAAGGGAGCTAAGAGGACGTTTGTGCACTTTGTGCTTGAGCCGTTGTATAAGCTATATGCGCATACAATCGGTGAGAGTGCAGCCAACCTGAAAGCGACTCTGGCTGGGTTGGGTATTACATTGAAACCGGCGCAGTACAAGATGGATGCGGGGGATTTGCTTAAGGCGGTTTGCGAACAGTTCTTTGGGACGGCGACAGGGTTTGTGGATATGATTGTGGAACATGTCCCTTCCCCCATTGAAGGAGCCAAAGCGAAAATTGAATCTGCATATACAGGACCGTTGGACAGCGACGTTGCGAATGCAATGCTTACTTGCGATCAGAATGGACCCCTGGTTGTGCATATCACTAAATTGTACAATACGACGGATGCCACAGGGTTCAATGCTTTCGGAAGAGTTATGTCTGGAACGGTTAAGCCCGGAGATCAGGTTCGGGTTTTGGGAGAAGGGTATACGATTGATGATGAGGAAGATATGACAATAGCGACTATATCCGACGTCTGGGTGGCTGAAACGAGGTATCAAATTCCTACATCTGGTATTCCAGCTGGATGCTGGTGTTTACTCGGTGGAATCGATAACTCCATCGTCAAGACCGCGACATTAGTTCCGCCGAAGATGGAAGATGACGCATATATCTTCAAGCCAATCAAGCACTTCACAGAATCTGTGTTCAAAGTGGCGGTCGAACCCGTGAACCCATCTGAACTTCCAAAGATGTTGGACGGTCTTCGAAGAATCAACAAGTCATACCCTCTCGTTATCACAAAAGTCGAAGAATCCGGTGAACATATCATCCTGGGGACTGGCGAGTTATATATGGATTGCGTTCTACACGATCTACGAAGATTGTATTCAGAGATGGAACTTAAAGTCTCGGATCCTGTTACTAGATTTTGCGAGACTGTGGTGGAAATGTCGGCGCTGAAATGCTATGCTATGACGCCAAACAAGAAGAACAAGATTACCATGGTCGCAGAACCGCTTGAGGAGGATGTCGCCAAGGATATCGAAACCGGAAAGGTCAGCATCAAGTGGCCTATTCGGAAGGTTGGGAAGTTCTTTGAGGAAGTACACGGATGGGATGTCCTCGCTAGTAGAAGTATTTGGGCATTTGGGCCAGAAGAGATGAGCCCAAACATCTTACAAGATGATACTTTGCCATCAGAGGTCGATAAGAAACTACTAAATACTGTGAGGGATTCGATAAAACAAGGTTTTGCCTGGGGTACTCGTGAGGGACCTTTATGCGAAGAGCGTACGTTCCTTTCTAAACCCTTGAATATTATGGTATTTTACTAACGAAAATTCTTGCTTATAGCTATTCGGAACACAAAGTTCAAGCTTATGGATGCCTCTTTGGCTTCGGAAGCCATCTACCGTGGTGGTGGACAAATTATCCCTACAGCGAGAAGAGCATGTTATTCTTCTTTCTTAATGGCGTCGCCGCGGCTTATGGAGCCGATGTATTCGTGCCATATGACAGGGCCGATTGACTCTGTTAATCCGCTTTACACCGTCTTGGCGAAGAGGAGAGGACATGTCCTTACTGATGGACCTATTGCTGGAACTCGTAAGTTACTATATAACATTTAGCTCTATTTGGGAACACTTACTAATATTCGGTACAGCCTTGTATCTCGTGAAGGGATTAATTCCTGTCATTGATTCATTTGGTTTTGAAACAGATCTTAGAGTAAGTTTACGTTATATGGAAACCTGTTAGTAGAATTTATAACTAACTTTCGCTTTCTTTTTCCAGATCCATACCCAAGGTCAAGCCTTTGTATCCCTTGTTTTCGACAAGTGGAGTGTCGTTCCGGGTGATCCCTTAGACAAAGAGATCAAGCTACGCCCGTTGGAACCGGCCAATGCACAGGCTTTGGCGAGAGATTTCACATTGAAGACGAGGCGGAGAAAGGGATTAAGTGAAGATGTGACTATTTCCAAATTCCTGGAGCCAGAGCTGCAGAAGAGCTTGCAAGAATCGGGATTGCTTAATTAGTTCATTTCGATAATACCTTTGGGGAGCTCGCGGCGGTTGATATAGTTATATAGACTGTACGATATGGGTTTTTTATATGAGAGAGCATTTAATGATAGCTTTATGAATGGGTACTATGTTCAGTACGCTAGGATTCTATAGTTCTAGTTGTCACAGCTAGATACTAGGTATTTACTTATATTGATGTTTAAAGGGATATCGCCTTTCTGATATGATAAAATACTATACATTACACATTTTAACCCGCTAAATAGCACAAGTCCCAAAATATCCCTCAGCCTCCCTCCTAAGCGTTTTCAATCCAAAAACACAGACTTTCCTTGTCAACAAAAAAGACCATCGTCTTAACGATCTTATTTACAAGTAGCCAACATATTACTCAACACTCCCATCAAAGTCTCATTCTCACAAGCCGCAGCCACCCTTTCCTTATCATTCAACTGCTTATTAACCTGATCGGTACTCTGATGTGTCCCTTCTCTAATCCTAACATCGATCCTAAACCTCGGTGGTAAAGCCTGTTCGAGCCTTACTCGCACACCGAGACCGATTACTGTTGCTAAGGAACAGTGGTTTATTGTTGGAGTGATTTCGACGAGGACGTGGGACATTGGATGTGGGTTTTGAGGGGTTGCAGGGGCGTGGGTTACGTAGATGTGGGGGAGGTTTATGACTGCTAGTTCGCCGAGGGAGAGGGGGTGTTCTGGGTCGGAGATTGTGGAGATTAAGTCTAATTTTTATACCTGGTTAGTATGGTTGCACTGGAATATATACAGATAAGAAGGTATCATACCATAAATCTCCTGTTCGTCAATATCTTCGGCTGCTGTTTCGTCTTCATAATCGTCTTGGTCGGAACCGCTGCCGGAGGAGTAGGCAGAGTCTTCACCTGGAGAAGGTAAGAAGGGATCGTAGAGAAGGGATTTTGAGTTTGGTAGACGGGAGATTTTGTCGGCGATGTGGGCTGATGAGGATTGTTTCTTGCGGGATTCGGAGTGGCGGGTTGGAAGGTCGGAGGGGTTGAGGATTGTGGGGTTGGCGTTTATTATGTCTGACATGGCTTTTTATTCTTTGGTGTAGATATTTAGGTTCGTGGATTGGGTGGTATGGGTGTATATTGGGGTTTTTGTGGAGGGTGGTGATGAGGTTTGTTGAAGATATATTGAAGTCTTGAAGATTGGTGATATTGAAATTGTGGCGTGAGGTTTGCAGGCGACAACACAAGAATCTGGGATGGAAGTGTGGTTGGGCGACAGCTCTTATCGATAAGGAAGAGCTGCCTGCTTATTAGGTACCTACAAGGGTGCTCTTCCCTCTACCATGGTTCTTTACTTCAGGCACAATCAAGCCGTAGGTGTACATATATTTGACCTACATATCCATATTATATTACACACTCACGCATACTAAAGCATTTACTTTTATCTTACTGGCCATCGTTTGCATTGTAGGGTTTGGCTACTGGACTACTAATCAGATTATAATCGATTAACGCAGGAACAAAGGGTAGCTCGATGTCGAATCGTGGCCGACCTCGGCTTCATGGAAACGGTTCCAGTTGCTGCAAAATGCAAGAAAGCGGGTCTGATCGAAATGCAATGGTTCCAACGAACAGTTCAACGGCCGGCTGCTATCCTGCAGCTAGCTTGGAGCTCTGGCAAATGACCCACAGGTTGACTTATCTAGGTAGGTAAGTAGGTCGTTACTTAGTCACTTGCTAAGTGGTTCAGATATCATAATGGATTATCAACCCAACATCTTTCCCCCCCCCCCCCCCCAGTCGACTGAACATAAACGGATGGAAGATTCCGTTGCAGGTCGGGCGAATGTATCGACGAATGGATCTGCTTAAACCCGTTTCTTTTGAATCTATCCGTTAGGTATTTGATGAATCGGGAATAAGAGCCATTCCAGAACTCGAAAAAAAAAATGTCTCAATGTCTTGAAAATGTAATTTTAGTATTCCGGAAGGATCGATCTGGCTCGCTGGGAAATAGAAGATATTAGAAACATCTGAAACCGAATATCCATGTTGGAAGAAGTGTCGCCGAATGTCAATCGAACTTCTAGAGTTATGTACGAACCCGTTCCTGTAACTGTCAAAATTAATATTATATTATTATGAAGGAGAAAAAAAGAAAGGAGAAGGAAAATATGTATTCCCGTTTCGACCGCCGCCACCATGCACTCGATATCAAGTGAAGTTGAGATTTGCTTTGTAATCTATACCTTCACGATCATGAACCCCCTGTGTGTCCGAAAGTGCGAACAAAGGGTCCCTATTCGTTACTTTAAAAATTGGTGGTGCAGGATAATATACGTCGATGCGATGTAGCGTCGTACAGCGTAGTGGGATAATTGATAATCTTCACCCCTCTCTCCATGTCCCGGTTATCGGCTCGTCCTGGGAAAAATGCAAGATGGCATATTAGGTTGAAATCTTTAGCCTGGTAATTTTTTAAAAGCCAACTTTTTTGCCGCATGCCGCGGCACGTTTTTGACGTTTTGGTGTTCCTGTGGAAGGTGCATACATGTATGTATGCAGGTTTGTGCGATGGTAGTGATTTTCGCTCGGGCTAAATTTGAATCCTTCGTATGCCACCTTGCTTTGCTTTGCTTATGTTCGGCTTATCACGATTCTGGGAATCGAGATAGTTAGGTAGTTGACCGATTAGTACTCCGTATCATATCAAAAGTTGATACTGAAAGATGTAACAATCCGAACTGCCGTCAACATAGCCGGCTGGGGGCAAAAAAAATATAATGAGGTAGTAAATGTCTCGTGCGGGTATGTTTGGCTAACACGTGTGGATTGCGAGACGGGAAGCATGGAATGGGAAGCATGGAACATCGAAAGGATTCTTCAGGAGATCTATGCGCAAAAGCGTAGACGGAAACTTCCGTCTGGTAAAAAGTCCAAACAAATGTTGGATGAATTCAAAATGTTTGTTTCAACCGTGAAGCCAACTGGCTGGTTTGAACGAAGTTAACCCCAAAGGAACGAGCAGCCGCTGGTTCAGTGAAGAATTCCAACTTAACTCTAACAACTGTGGAGAACGTTGGAACATCTGGCTCGCAAACATGACTGGGTTCCCCTTGGAATCGAACTTGATCACTCTCGCGTGGTTGGAGATGCGCTGGTCAGACTAGCGGCGAGACGGCTAAAGTTTTAGCTTGACCCGACTCGAGTCGATCAGATTATAGAGGTTTGGTTGGTGCCTTGGGTTAGGGCGACAAAAGGGACCGATCTTTCGACTATGACGAATTCAAGTCTGCAGGACCATGTATGCATGCATCCATGCATGCACAGCTTCAAGAGACGATATCAGGAGAGTCGGGGTATCCAGGAATGGAATATGTAGGAGAGAAGGGCCCATAGCCATCGTGTGCGTACCTTCCTAAGTGAGCTTCAGGGGAATCTGATATGATAATTGCAGCGGCCCTGGTGATTCTGTATTCTGGTGATTGTGATACAGACTGTTACGAAGCACGGGATGTTGGTTTTTTGACAGGCCGGTGATACAGCGCCCGCGGGACGGCATGCATCTTCCCATTAGCCTGGTCTAATTTTATCTGTTAATATCGACGCAGCTCAGGCATAATACAATTTGCTATCGATAGCTTCCTATGAACGGTTCAGCGATCGAGATTATGAGATTAAAATGCAATGGGCACCGCAATAAACTAGCTGCAAGCACAGTCCCAATAATGCAATGGCGTTTTTGAACAACGTCTCACAGTAAAGGATGGCGCTTCGATGGCATAATGCGTGACTTGCTTGGATAGTTTGAACGTTCGGCTGCAGCCAAGCGACCGAAAACAGCTGGTGGTTGCCATCAACTGCAGGACCGTCGAAAGGGCCTCTGCTTTCGATTTGCCGTGTAATCACAATCCGTGGAAATGGAGAATTATTCCTGTCTCTCATTATTTCCGTTGACTAAAAAAAATAAAGCACCCCGCTAGTTAATTCTCCCTAATTGATGGCCTGAGCTGGAGCTATAGTTCACATGGTACTATAGTTTCGCCAATCTTGATTAATTGATCAAAGTTGGGGCTCAGAAATCGAAGGCAATCTCCATGGATAAATATTATAGACAGCAATGCAGCAGAGATTGGACTGGCCAGATGCTGGGATCACATGCGCTAGCCCTCCTTCTTGTCAAAATCCAATGGAATTGAGTGCTTTGCTTTTGAACAAGCCCTCGATCAGGCATGCATGGGTCGATCGAGGGTCGCAGTCGCAGAGTTCGGGAGGGAAGGTCTATCCCATGCCATGCAAAGCCCGGGAAGGCATCCGGTGGTTGTCTGAGAACGGGTATCTGAATGCTTTCCCCCGATGGAACCTGACAGATATGGTTGGTTCACTGTGTGTCACACCTGTAGATAGACAGGATATCGCAAGATAGATGTTGTAGACCTTGCATCATGATCATATGAGAGGTCAATTGAGTTGGCTTTTTCTAACAGTTAGTCGGGATAAGGTTGTCAAATGTGTTAGGATGGTCTCCTTCCAGAAGCCCGTCGGAAACGATCTAGAAGGCAGCACGAACAAGCTTGGGCGGGACTTGAGTTTTCCAACTGTGTGCATGCTGCAGCAAAGTGAACTAGTGGCGTGAGCTTTGGTTAGTATGTTAATGAAACGGTTCGGGCAAGGTTAAGGTTAAGCCGTTTAGAGTTTGTGATTGGGAGGTTGATATGATGCATCGATGAGGCATCTGGGCTCCTTATTGTTAGTAAGAGGGTGGTATGTAAGTACTAGTGTACTATAATAGCACCGCTTCAGTATTATAACAATATACTACCACTCTCTACCGGTGGAGCAGCACACCGTCATCGGGTTTAATTCATATGCCTGTACCGATATTCCGGGAAGAAGATGTTTTAATTAACCAGAACTACGGAAGAATACCGCACAGCCTTCAAACCAACCAGAGCTAAGCAAGTTGAGAGGCTCGAGCAGGCATCTTGAGTTAGCGACTGGACCAGAAAGACCCCACCTTCGACAACTGCTTGCATTCTTCAGCTCCTGGAAATGGCACCTTGCGAGAACCAGCTCGTCTAGGCGAAATGGTTATGGTCTGCTGGATATAATAGGAAGTCTACGTATGCAAAATATACCCCTGCTCCCCTCGTTCCCTTCTTCCTTTCGTTCGGGTTCGGATCACATTAATCCTAGGCGAGCAGGTCTCGTAAATCAGCTCTTGAATAAACCCCGAAAGCGACCGGCAGCTAGAGCTTCGAGGTAGCTACGCAAGCAGCGAATCAACGACCACGTACACAGTACTACTACTGCATGCTCCTGGTCAAGACATCTTCATCTATAGATCTCTCGATCGTGCTACTGAAATACGTAGCCGTAAAATACATACCGGGCCGTTGTTTTATATTATATTATATTCTATAAAAAACTAGCCGCTAGTTTAACTCCTTTCCTGCCAGCCGACGTCAACCGTGCAGTGAACGCATTGTTGACTTGACCACTGCGTACCCTGACACCCCCCTTTGGTCCCGTACCTGACCTGTACCTGTACCCACTTCTGTCGACACTGTCCAGGCATTCGCCTTACCTGCGTCGTCCTTGCATGCTAGTCAGGTCGGCTGCCTGGTAATCAAGACAAGCGACTACTGGCTAGCGGCATTTTCCATAGATTGATGTTAATCTTACATGACTTCCAGCTTGACCACCGCCGCCGGTTGTGAGAAATTTATCTATTCCCTCGGCTTGGGAGTAATCCTTTACTAGCTAAGGAAAAGAAAATACCAGGAAAAGTTATATCTCTCCCTTCGCCGACAATTTCACAGATTTATCTCGAAATATCACACACTTGGTCCGGTCTTCGATCCTTTTTTTTTCCGGCTATGCGCAGCGACTAGTTGGAACTCAACCCTGTACCCACTCAAACTTCAGACTTCAAACCTCAAACCTCGAACGACCGCCCCAACCTTGAATATTCGTTCGCTCTGATCTGCTAAATCCTACATCTGTCACTGATTGTGTGACAAAAACCGACGCTGATACATCCATCTTGAGAGCGGGAGGTCCAGGCGAACATTCCAGGTTCCGAACAGCCCACTAAACAGAAGCAAATCGCCTGTTGGCAGGAGCACCGTCAGTTCAGGTACCCGCTCCCCATGAGCCGTCAATTTTGCTTGTTGTACTATGCCTTTCTTTTCTTGATATCACGCCAAAACGGGCCCTGTTACGGAAAAAATAAAAAAGAGTTCGCTCAACGGCGCTCATATCCAATATCGCAAAATTAGGCTCGCCACCTATTGATAATTCTTCCCCTTTCATCTACAATTCCTTGATTAGCCGTACTGTATTAGTTGTTTGACAGGAGACACCATCGTCAGACCTGCTCTGCGCCCCTCGCTAGCCTGTACACTTCGAGGTTCGCAATCTAGCCGCTGTGGTCACGCAGGTATTCCCCTCAGGAAGGATTTGCACCAAAAAGGCATGTCTTCAAACACCTTGGAGTCACTTGCATTTTTTGAAAAAGCGCCACTTCATTCTCAAATATTACTTGTTCCCCTTGCTCGGGCTATTCGTCCAAACTACTGTCATAGACTAACGTAGAGGACTGGGTATTATAGCCGTGTCTCGTTTCTGCATGCTGCCCCACGATTCCGACTATCAGACCCGTTATCAATTTTCGTCCTACTACCGATCCCCAGGATCCATCTCTAACTCCAGCCCTATCCATCCCATCAAATCGAGCTGCCCGAGGTGTCTCGCCTTTTTAAAGGACCAACGGCCAACCTCCGATCTTCTCATCTAGCTCCACAACAATTCACCGGAAGGGCCCTTTAAAACCATATTTGCTGTTTCTCGCTAGAAATCTAATGTCGTGAAACGTAACAGCCCCTCATCTGGCAAATCGCACATACCTCGATTGAAAAGAAACCTACCACGAAAGAAGCACCACCAAAAATTTCGTCGAAATTTGTACGGCTGGACCCCTCAAAAAATATACAACCACACCTTCAGAGAAGAATTACCAGCCGCCGGCACCGGGTACGATAAATTATATTTGCATGAAAAATAATTCGAGCATTACGAATCTCCTGGGTTGGCCGCTTCTCTCTTTCATTTCAATATATTAATTGGATACTCAACTCTTGTGGGGACTTAATTAATCTATTTAACATTCGACTGTTCCTTGTTGGCAAACATCTCTCGAAAATCGAAGAAACAAAAAAATAATTTTTGCCATCATTTTGGTTCATAGCTAGGATTCCGGACAAGGTCACAGTTTACCACTTTCTTCGCTTGGTACACTTTCATACCTTGTATTCTGGGGGTGAAAAGCCTACCCGCTTGACGCAAAGCTCTGTGCTCAAGGATTCGACCTGCTTTTAACGACTGTCTGGGTACCATTCAAGATCTAGTTGGCTCTTAAATCCAGCGGAGAAAGGAATCTTCTAAGTTGTACTGTTACCATATAATTTCCTTCGACGGAAGCTTATTGGGAAGCACAAAAGGTTTCATATTTTCCAATATCCGGACTCGATATATATCTCTGGGTCTGATTCGGCACCAAGTCCTCCTTGCTTTATAAACTTTTTTTCTTCTACCAATCCTATCGATCTGGAATATACCGCCGATTGACGAGCTGTTGCTACCGCCATCGTCCAATCATGCAGAATATCAGCTTTGCCCCTTCGGAGAACTTCCCTAGTTCGAGTCAGAAGAGTAGGTTATGCCCGAGTTATCCTATACGACCTGTCTCACTGTTAATACTTTCCTTCTGGTAGACTATGTATTCGTAGACGAACATAACCGCCACAAGCGGTTAAAAGGTACTTGCCCTATACCTTCCTACAAGCGTACCAGAGGCGTCTACTAATACTTCAGATAGTAATGCGGGCATGCGAAGGCTGCCGCCGTCGCAAGATAAAGTGTGATGCTGCAACAACGAACACATGGCCTTGTTCTGCCTGCAAAAGGCTAAAGCTTACATGTGTTCCCCCGACAATGCAATTCGATAAGGGCTTCCAGACTCAAGCCATTGATTTTGGGGACGATATTGATGGCCATTCTAGTGGCGGCGAGGAAGACTACTTGCCGCCTCAACAACAAGTACCTACACAAGGGTTTCTTCGGAGATCCACGAGTACGGGAAGTTTACCTCATTACATCGGAAGGGACCATTTCGGCGTAAGGCCGGCAGCGCAACTACAGGTTGCGCCTCACACGTCGTTTATGCCTGGGTTATATAGTAATCCCGCACAAGCTCTTCCCGTGGATACCTCTGTGGATTTCAACCCTAGTAATCTGTATACGACGCCCCCGCCGACCATCCAGCAGCAGATACCAGGTACCGCGGCTTCGCATGCGAGTTGGCGGTCCGAGAGTCCTGTTACCACATTCAATACCGCAGGGGTCCAGGAAGTTCTCGGACAGTTAAAGATCGAAGATACTGGCGTTGGTATGTAGTTTTTCCTAGGAAGTATGTATCTGTGGATGTAAATTGACTTTCTGTTTTACAGCATCCTACATCCACTCCCAGAGCCGAGAAATAGCAGCCCGCCCAGCAGTTGATGAAACGCTAGAGGATTACGAAATAAACCCGATCTTCAATCCTGGTATCCATGACTACGCCGTTCGCATACCGCCAGAAGAAATGCCGACTGACGAAGAGGCCCTTGCTCTTTTTGACATCTTCTTCACCGACGTACATCCCTATCTTCCTGTCGTGAATAAAAACGCATTCTATCGACAATGGCATGGAACCCGTCACTCAATATCACCGTTGTTGTTGGAAGCGATACTCGCTTGTGCTGGAAGGATATCTAATAACCCTAAAGTTGGACTGAAGTGGTTGAATATGGCTTCGAGTAAGTTCTTGATCCTATCCTTGAACATAGTACAATAGTTGGTTGCTGACATATTTCTAGAACATTTGGATTGTTTTTTCGATGTACCACGGATAAGCACAATCCAAGCTTTGTTGCTTTTACTCAAGGCGAGAGAAAGTGCGCCACAGCGCGGATACTTCTTTAGGTCTTACATCTCAATCGTAACAATGATCGCGATGGCCCGAGATTTGGGACTCGACAAACATGCCGACTTGCACAAGAACGGATCGGAATGTCTTGACAGTCCTTTAGAATGCCTTACTAAGACTAAGGTCTGGCAGGCATGCTTTATGCTAGAGTTTATGGTCTGCGCGCCTCAAGGTTTGTGATTAGAACACCTTCCCAGTGCTTGGTATTTCATTTGTTTTCTAACTAAGATCTTAGGTCGTCATGTAATGGCTAGTGATCCTAGTACAATCGACATTCCGGCCTCATCTTCTGTCCTGGACATGAGTGAGAAGGAGCTTACGGTTCATATGAACTTCTCGTACTTCTTCGAACTCTTGAAGCTCATCCGTCGTATCAACGACGTTTTCGCGAGGTTAAAGGCTACTGGCGCGAATTGGGCTGGCGATCCGGAATTTCTCCAATGCGGCCCTAGTTTCGATAATTGGCTGTATACGCTACCGCCACATCTCCAAATCGATGTCCCCACTGATCCTAACATGCCAATGGAACCCGTGCTTACTCATTATGCGGGCAACTTGTTAATTTATGGATATCTCGCAAGAATTATGTTCCACCGTCCCGCCCTTGCTTTTGCAAGGAATTTCACGGCTACGGGACAATGGAGGATGCATCTGAGAGCTTGTTACGATTCGTCGAGAAAAGCTTGTAGATTGACTGAAGCTGTTATGGATCAGTATGGGATCCGAGGGTTGCAGTGCATGCTTCGAGGGATCAACTTTACTATCTACGCCATGTTGACTTGCACTATGGTTAACCTGGTGAGTCCGAATTGGTTACAGTATCCCCCTTTTGGATGCCCATATATACTAATGCGTTACTGTTTAGGTTGCTGCGACTTGTCCAGACCATGAGTTCAACTCTGATGCTAGAGAGTACTTTAGCCGCGCTATGCGTATTCTTGAAGTTTGTATAGACATCTCCGCGAGTATGGAAACCCGAGCCCAAATTGAAGCTTTCCGTGCCGCCTTCTCGCAAGATATTACACAACCTTTCGTCTTGAACTCGAATTTCCCATTTTACTCATCACCAAGCACGCATCAAATGTCGCCTGCTGCATCCGCAGGATCATACTCGCCTGTTGATATTACTAGATCGCCGTTGTCTACTAGTCTTAGTGCACCTATTAACCCATCAAGGGTTACAATTTCCCCGCCAAGCTCGGAGAGAGGAGAATCACCGAATCCAACTTTGATGATGATGCAACAGAATACACCACCGGTTGTGCAGCCGGTGCCGAGGAAGTCGATGCATCATGGCCCGGCGCAAGAAGGGTGGAATCCACAAAGGATCTTTGAGTATGTTCAAACCCCTTTCCCTTTTGAGGCTGGTGTACCGAAAGAAAAGGATATTTACTAACTGCTGCCGTCCTGATTAGACACTGGAATACTGGATTCCCTGGTTTGGCATCTGCACCTCTACCACCATCAACATTGCCAACAGTGCCAGAGAATGGATTGGTAGAGGGACTAATGCCCCCGACGAGCACGTACTTCCAACCATCAATACCGGTTGTTACGCCAGATGTGTGGCAGAATACTGTCGCGCATGTGTTCGCGGGGACAAAGCGGTCGTGGCAGTATGCTAACCAGTGATCATGTCATACTTGCTTATAGCCTTTTCAAGTGGATGTGGTACGTGCCAAGTGATTTTTGTGTATGTGAATAGCAAGCAAGCAAGTATATATATATATACCTAGGGGGTATATGTATAGGTACCTCGTGGTGTTCAGCCATGGATGTTAATGATTTTTGGGGATTTCATAATCGATTGTCCTGGGTTGTGTAAGTATGTAATTTGGGGAGGAAGTTTTAATATTCGAGAGGTTTTATGATGCCTATGGCTTCTTCTTTTCTTTTTTTTTCAAACCAAAAATAATCATGTCTTTCTTTTCTTCTGTTGTGAAGGATTGCGGGCTGTTGTATTCAATGTAATGTGTATTATATTAGTAGGATCATATTGTTTCTGAAATGATAGAAGGCCTTGATCTCGATACCAACATATCTCGAGCACCATGTTATGAATCCAAATCACGCAAAACTTGAGAGTGATATATATAGTATACCAAGTACTTAAGTACTTATATAAAAGGAGGAAGTAAAGATAGAAGGGAAGAATGAGGAGGCAGAATAAGTATAAACAACCCTAGATATTGGCAGTTCTCTAGCTGGTGCTTGTTCGGCTGAGCCGACGGGTAGGCCTGGTGGGGTTCAACGTTCACTCCCTCTCTACAACGGTATGAACCAATACTAGCCCGCGTAAACCAAGCAGTCTGTGAACCAATCGTGGAAGCCAAATTGTAGCCCCTAGTTCCCCACAAGCTGTCTTTTTGGGGGTACTTACATACAGCTATCTTTGCAGTCGATATCCGCCTGGTTGCAGCTTATTTCTCGTGTTAAGCTGTGAGTGTGTGTGGCGCAATTAGGTAGAGAAGACCCAGAGCTATGGAGTACACACACAAACTCGGCTACCGAACATCCGTGGCAGAGAAATCCCAACAACTCGACAACATTCACTGTGAAACCCTCTCTCTCGCTGGTTCGCGATAGCTTCAGTCCGAACTCGGAGTCCGGTGTCCTATCATATTGTTTCTGTTAATATCGTAAGCACAAGTAAGTCAATTATCCAGGTATATAAAGATGTGGCCTGGCAATGCATGATCACAAGTCAAACCACGACACGGACAATTGCATGCATAGTACAACTCCCCACCTCAACCTTGCCCCAACTAATACCAACAACTAGCTAGTCAAGCTCTCTCATTTTGAACAAAAACATCAGACGAATCCTTTTGACAGAAACCAAAGAAAAAAACCATACAACTTTTTTTTACCTCGATAAACCGTTTTTTGAAGTCTTCAAGATGTCCGATAAGCCAGTTGTCTACATTGCCGCTGTTTCCAGGACGCCAATTGGTGGTTTCCAAGGGTAAGTCGGCCTCCGACCTTCTTTGCTTTGGCTTCACGGTTAGATGCCGGACAAGCAGACACGCTAACCCCTCCTCTCCGCGATATTGTAGCTCCGTCTCTGCACTCAGTGCTATCCAGCTAGGATCGCACGCTATCAAGAGTATGTCAATGGCCCGATAATATCATCTTCGGCATCTTTTAGAACCAAAAAGGAGCTGACCAGTTACTCCCCTTTAGCTGCCCTTGCCAAGGTCCCCGGTGTCAAGCCAGAGGAGGTTGAGGAGGTTTTCTTTGGAAATGTCTTGTCCGCTGGGTATGCTTCGGAAACCACTATTTCTAATAAGGTAATAAGCTGGATACTGACAGATGTGATTCTTGTAGTCTCGGCCAGAACCCCGCTAGACAATGTGCCATCGGAGCTGGACTCTCTAACACTGTTGTCGCCACCACTGTCAACAAGGTCTGCGCGTCTGGAATGAAGGCTATCATTCTCGGTGCTCAGACTATCATGACTGGCAATGCAGATGTACGTGTATTCCCTTGATTTTTTTTTTTTTGGTGTCCAATAGCTAATAGAGAGGTGGGAAACAATTAGATCGTTATCGCCGGTGGCACAGAGAGCATGTCGAATGTCCCATACTACTCCCAAAACCTACGAACCGGTGCTCGTTTCGGAAATCAGACTTTGATCGATGGAATCCTCAAGGATGGTTTGACCGATGCTTACGATGATGTACATATGGGATTGGCCGCTGAAGAGTGTGCTGAAGACTATAGTATTGATCGTGTAGCTCAGGATGAATATGCTATCAGAAGTTACCAGAAAGCCCAGGAGGCACAGAAGAATGGACTTTTTGATAAGGAGATCGCACCTATTACCGTTCCAGGACCTCGTGGAAAGCCTGCTGTTACCGTTACGGCTGATGATGAGGCTAAGAATGTCAGTAAACCATTCTTCCCCCCCGTTCTTCTTTTGTCGAAGACTTGATGAAGCTTTGGGATAAATTTGCTAATTAGTTTGTGGATATATAGTTACTTGTTGAGAAGCTGAGGTCAATGAAGCCGGCATTCAAGCCTAACGGCGGAACTGTCACTGCTCCAAACGCCTCCCCCCTCTCCGACGGTGCAGCTGCAGTCGTCTTGGTCTCTGAAGCCAAGCTAAAGGAGCTCAAGCTCCAACCTGTCGCCAAAATCCTCGGTTGGGGTGACGCCGCTCACAAGCCCAGCAAATTCACCACAGCTCCAGCCCTCGCCATTCCAAAGGCTCTAAAACACGCCGGCAAATCCCAAGGTGAAGTTGACTACTTCGAAATCAACGAAGCCTTCTCCGTCGTCGCCCTTGCAAACCTAAAGTTGTTGGATATCGATGCTGAAAAGGTCAATGTTCACGGTGGTGCCGTCGCCTTGGGTCATCCTCTCGGTGCCTCTGGCGCTAGAATTGTTGCTACATTACTTGGTGTTTTGGAGGCTAGAGACGCTAAGGTGGGTTGTGCGGGTATCTGTAATGGAGGCGGTGGAGCTACGGCGATTGTCATCGAGAGGATTTAGAATGTCCCCGATATATACAGGCGTCCGGAGCCACTGAGTGTTGATTTGCCTAGTGATGAGTTGCCTGGTGGGGCACGTTGGAAGGGGAAAGGGGTGGATCGTTCAACTATTGGTGATGGTGGAGGGGTTGGAACTTCGGCTGAAGGTTCGGCTCCTGCTGCTAGATCGATAGAGGTTTGATATCATCAGATGATGGTGGTTTTGTGCATTTACTTGCATTTTAGCATATGTTACAGCATAACATAGAAAAGACTATGAGCTTGGGACTGGTAGAAAAGCTCTTTTGAAGGTTCGAGGCAGTCGGCTGCTTTGCAACTAGACATATGTATAATCCTAAAAGAAGAATAATTGAATTAAAAGGAAAAATGCATATTTCAGTACTCATGATCCATTCATATATGTAGAACGTAGTGCTATAAGTATCTTTACATAAAATATCGTACATCTACAACCCCCAAGAGAAACTCCTGCAAAGATGCATTTATATTACACCAGTTGCAAACCAACCCTCTTTTTGTGTCACACAAGTCTTACCTATGAAAAGAGAATAGAAGCTCACTTCCTCTTATTCTTCTTAGAGGATTTTGTAGAACTCATCTCCTTTTCATAAATCTCTGCTGCAGATTCGCCGGCTTTCCTCTTTATCTGTTTCGAAGACTTGACGCTAATCGTCGTGCTTCTTCCAGTGCTGTTGCCGCCAGTAACTTGTTTTTCTGCATCCTCCCATTCTCCGGAGGCAGATGGGATTTCATATCTAGCAACGTCCAGGTGTTAGTATCCTCATATCCTCATGTACTAATGGTATGATAGTCAAAAAACAGGGAAAATGGGAAGGTAAACTTACTTCTGCAAATCCAAAGCATTAATCAACTCCCTCTGCTTCTCCTTCAACGCGATCTTAACCTCATCAGCTCCCTCCTCCAGGTCCTCTTCCAAAGTTTGCTCCAAAGGCTTCAATCTCTTTGACACATCCGCCATCTCCTCGTCCTCACCGCCGTCAATAGCCTCCTCAGCACCAATTTTCTTTCTGCCGTGATGTTCAGCCGGCAAAGTCTCCTCAATGGCCTGTGAAACAATTCCTCCTAGTGCAGTAGACACTTTTCTCATGATCTTTACAAACATAGCTAGGACCTGTTGGTTGGGTAGGTTTAACTCCTTTTCTACGTCTTCGGTAGTCTTCTTTTGAAGACCTATAGCCAATAGGATCGCGCTCTGAACACCGGAGAGTTTAGCGGTCGCTGGGAGTTTTCCGGTGAAGTACAAAGATGAGATTAAGGGGACCAAATCGGTGATGACATGGTGATCTAACATGCTGTTCGCATAAGATTCCAGTCTCTTCAAGTCGAATGGCGAGAATTGTTCGTCGAGTTGATCCCTTCGTAGAGGTATTGTCGGGATGTTTGCTAATGCTGCACCGGCGGTAGCAGATTCCATGATCGACAATGACTGGACTGATGGGAATGCCCTGAATTGGTAGGCTAGGAGGTTGATAAACCTCTTGTGGAAATCTTTTGCAAAGGCGCCGAGCCATTCTTTATCCTTCTCTGCCAACGTTTTAATCATTACGCAAGTGTGCTCTCCCGTCAGTTCGTTGGGAGTTTGACGGAGGTATACAGGTACGAAACTTGCTTTCTTCCAGAATCGGTGAAGTTGGTTTGTTAGGCCATATGATACACCTAGGTAATCCAGTTCATCTGGTCTCTTTTCGTTGAGGCGGAGGAGAAGTGGAGGCATGGCGTTCATCTCTCTGACGGCGACTTTGTCGGTGGTTAAAGAAGCATCTTCAAGTTCTTCGTCTGTTATTCTGACCATTTTCTCGTTAATATAGGTATCATTTTCATCCAAACTGGCGAATTTTCCTTCATAAAACTCTTGGAGGAGTTGGAGGGCTTTAGAACCGTAGCCCATTTTTGTGTATTCTGGGTTCACGGCGATACGGACTACTCTTGCGCCGGATAGAGTAGCAAAGTCTTCGTCTTGGAATTGTTGGGTCACGAGCCAGGGGATTAAATCTCCGTCTGCGCGCTGCCCTCGACCAAGTTGGCTCAGTACTGACTGCTTTGAGATCTGACCTTCCAAGGCCACTTGAATTACACACAGTGGTTCCGGGATTTCCTTGGAGTTTGGATCAATTGGAGGTAGTAGAACGAAAAGTTGGTGCGCGGGTGCATCGCTCATTAGTTGAAGATCGTTCGGGGAGTTTTTATAGTGACTTGCAACGTAGAGTGCCATCATGTTTTGGAGGAATGCTTCGCAAACCTTGTTGTATGAGAATAAAGTATCTCTGTTAACGTTGTATAGCTGGCATTCATCCGGGTGAGGACAACCTTTGATGCTGGACTTCCGAGGAAGTGTGGCGTTTAAGCAGAGGAGCTTGTTTAGCCATTCTTCAACTGAATCTCCGGGGGCATAACGAATTGGTTCGTTCAAGACTATTTCTTGGAGTTGACGGCCGCCTGGAACACCGTTATCTTTGGAATCGGCGGGTTTGCTGGTATTACGGGATTGATCACGCAGTTGCTGGATGAGCTTGAGGGAAAGAGATCGACCTGTGCCTTCGTAGCCGTTGATAGTGGAAGCCATGAAGACAAGATATGGACCCAAGAGGTTTCGAACCAGAGGGAGTGGGATTGCGGCGGCTTCATCGATTACTACTAGTTCTGCTTGTCCTAGGACGTGCGCATCTGCGGGTTGGATGTACTGAATCGTCTGTCTATGCTGGCGGAAGATATTGACTCTGACAATGGCCTTGTTAAAGTCTGGGTTTGTAGATTGGACGATGTTGTAGTCGAGATGATCGGTATAGCCTAAAGCGTCGAAACCCTTAAATATGAATTGAAAGAGGGTTTTCAAGTTCTCCGGACTGGGGGAAGTTATGAAGATGTTGGAATAGCCGTATGCTACTGCCGCAGCAATTGCAACACCGAGTGCTGCGGACTTTCCTCGCCCACGGCCGGCCGTTAATGTGACTGTACTTCGGAGGGTTTTTTCTGTTATCGCTTTGATGAAGGTCAACAGCGCCTGAGCCTGATCGGCCGTCTTTGCCAGGTTAACCAATGAAGATGTAGGTTGGACATCTGCCACCATCTCCTTCACCGCATCCAATTCTTTCTTCGATTTCGAATCCTTGTTGTCCGAGGATACTGGAGGTAGCTGTTTGACATGTCGGGCGCCTGATATCGGTAGAACGTTCATTTCGTCGTCTATGACCAAACAGCTCTGACAATCTCCAAGCGATAATATAAATCGTTCGTTAAACCTCGCCACCACGTCTCCGTGAGCCTCAGTCCTATACCGCGAATGAACATCCATCGACATCGTATACAACTGCTTCAAACTCGTCATTGTCTTCAACAGCATGATGACCAAGCCACCCCCCTCCACGGTTTCAATCGTCCTTGCCAGCAGGTTGGGCGTAATAGCCTCAAAATCCTGAAGAATACACATTCCATACGTATTTCCCAAAATCTTTTCCGTCTCTTTATAGTATACATATCTGATATCCTGGGAGCTGACGAATAGCTCGAAGGGGTCTTCCGAGTTCGCTTCACGAATACCGCGTTTTATTTCTTTCTTTATCTTTGCTTCTCGCTTTTTTCGGTGACTGGTGAAACCAATGAGTTTCTGCTTGTAGGCCCATAGTACCGACCGGTTTTGCTTGATGTCGACGTGGGAAAGGATGTAGTGTAGATGGACGATGACGTCCTTGGCGCGGTCGCCTACAACGATGAAGAAGGATCGTTTCTTTTCCTATTCGGGAGTTACTATTTAATGCTCGAGAGATATATTATATACGAATTATAGATGTACCTGAACTCCATTTCGTATCAGCGCTGTGATGCGCTTGTCACTATTGATAGAAAATTTTAGTATGACCGATGACTGGTGTTTTTAGGAATAGTAGTGGATTTAGAAGGAAGGCCGTACAGTTCTTTCTTAACCATGGTTAAGAGGATGATGCGATCGTTGATCTAGTTAGAGAATTTCAATTGGTCGGCATAGAGTATGGTATCACTGTTCTGGTCGCGAGGTTGAAGAAGTTGACGAGAGAGCAAAAGGCGCTCTCCAGAATTTTTTTTTTCTTTGGGCCGAAACTTATGCTAAAGCGAACTTTGCTTTTTGCGGCCGGGGCTGGGCCAACGAACCAGGATTGCTTGGACTTTCCAACACCCCGCAACTATACGACTAGTCAACTCCAAGCTCGACCAAACGTAACGTACGCAACCTGGGATGCATGACCACATTAAGCTGCACTCTATACAGGGTGTAAATTGACAACTCTAATAGGTCCCAGAGTATCACGAGGAGATACTTTCGGCGAGGGTACTTCCTAACTTAACCAGACCTGTATAAAGCTACCGTATTTCCCGACAGGAGGTCGACTTGATATCCACAAACAACCGACAACTTCAACGCTACAAAATTAGGATATAAAATACGACACCCTAAGTTTATGATGGGTGAGGACGACGACCTCGCGAAAAGATTTGAGAGTATTTTCTCCAAGAAACCGGTTGCAAATAATGGATGGGATAAACCCGCCGCTCTCGATAAAACCAGTTACGACGCTAGTAGTAGCTGGCAAGCGACTGAAGAAGCTTCCCTCGAGGTAGGATACCAGTAGATTCAATCAATTTTATCGCACTGTTATTGTCTCGTACCCAGGCCTGGGGGGGGAAATAAAAGTAGCGCAAAGTGCTAATAAAGATTTTATCTAATAGGATTTACTTGAAGAATTGGGTGCTGAAGATACTTCATGGATCGAGGAGGCAAAATCTCTATCGATAGAAGGGAAGCAGGCGGGGAAATTAAATAACGACGACTCTAGTGCTGTGAATAAACTTCTTGCAGAAGCAAAAGAGAGGTTAAAAGCCCAAGATCAAAAAGAAGAATCAGATAAAAAAAAGACATTACTCGAAAGCTCAGCCAAAACCAATGAGCATGATGAAGATAAAACTGCGAATTCAGATGACGAAGCGGATGTAATATTACGCCAGATCCAAGATTCTTTAAGCCTCGAAGATACAGTCGAAGATAAAGAAGGATCAAAGAATGCGGCTCACAACGTCTCCTCACCGGGCAACGAAGATGCCGATGATGCCGATGATGAACTGGCGAAACGATTCGCCGCGCTGGATCAGTTAAACCTACCACCACCTCCCAAAGATTTACCGCTGAACTCATTGAATCTTCCTGGTGTCCCCAAATCACAGCCTGGTGTTAAGGGCAAGAAGACAATGACCCAAAAGGTTGACGATCTAGCGGATGATATTGAGAATTGGTGCTGTAAGTTTTGCTCTATGCAACCCTTTTTAATGACAAAACTAGATTCAAACATGCTAACCCAGTTGTTCATTACTATAAGGTATATGTAATGAAGATGCTGTGGTCAAGTGCTTAGGTTGTGACGGTGATCTGTATTGTACAGAATGTTTCAATGAAGGTATAGACAAAACCTCTAGGGGTGTCGTAACCAAAACCTTTTCAACGGCTAATTTGAAATAATATTCAACCTAGGACACCGTGGCAGAGACGCCCCGTACGATATGAAGACGCATAAGGCATTAGCATACAATAAAAAGAAGCCTATGGCTGCATAATTGATACCTTTACACACGAACTATCGTTTATTTCACACTACGATTCTCAACACTGTACTACGTGAATTGATAATTCGTCGATGTATCGGGCACTTTAAGTTTTGCTTTGATCTAAAACGCAGCCTCCGAAAGAATTGCAAGCAGTTCGCTAGAGCCGAAATCTTTAACTCCTAGATAATAAGAGCCCCGTTTTTACTTTACAACACTGCATACAGGCATTTCATTCGGAGGTGGCTGCACAACGACAAGGGGTTGTCTAAATTTTGTATTTCTTAGACTTTCATGGTGTATTAAAATTTAATTCCCACAGAAAGCTCCACCATAGCGTAAAGTAAAGGTTCGTTAGTTTATCAAAGAGCCGCCCAAGATGCGGGGACAGGGGCAGCTCTGGCTTCGAGACTAATAAAACATATAAGAAGACCAGTGATCATGAATTGAGTATCTAAAAAGACACTTCCATCTGCCAAAAGCTAGGGTGCCAAGTTTAACCCTGTACAGGGTTCACGGTGAATGTTGAAAAACTCCTTTGAGAAAAATCTAACACATAGTCTATAGTCATATTAGCTACAAGCTCCGACTATTTGGATGTTGTCCCAAATCCTGACTATTAAATTATATAAAATTACTTCCTTTTGAAATTTTATGCCTGCAATTGAGAACTACGGAGACTTGGGGGTGAGATGTCAAAACGGAGCTACTTCACGGTTTGCAAAGTATAACATCCCACAATCACCAAATATTTGTATAAAAAAATACGGAGGACTTACCTAAGTAAGGAATTATTCTCCCAATAGATGGGGTGGTATTAGTCTAGTTGTTTAGACGGGTGGGGTGGTATTATTACGACAAGACTACGATATCGATATATAAATATTAAATAAGACTAATTGTAGTATTACTGTAATGAACCGGTATTTTAGCCCTTCGTACGCACCAAAATGATGTTCAAAGCTAGCCATACATTTATTATGATTAGTATCGCACTGGTATTCGAAATACACCCCTTTCCGGCACAGTACTTAGCTACAATGGAAACAATTAAACAAGTACAGTTGGTTTTCAAAAATCCGATATATAAGACTTCTGGTCACATACTTAATACGGTGGAATATCTCTATAGGTCTGCCTGTGTGCCGCCGCCAATAATATTTTAACTATAACCCAGAACTTCGCTGGTTCGACGGGCTTCACTGTGTACTTGGTGCAAGCATGCCCCTCACAACAAGATATCATAGATTTTTACAGATTTATATCAATATGCTCTAATTTTATCACCGTGCCAGGATTAAACACTTAAGCTTCAGCTTTTGGGATCACTCAAAAAATCAACAAGTTTATAAAATTTAAAATATTAATAGATTTATTTCTAAGGTTAATTCAAGGTTGAAGTTTCATCTCGAAGAAATCATTGCCTTCCCTTCAAGTCTCGTGCTGCCGTTCTAATTGATAGACTTTCATGCCATGGCGCTAGCGAAGGCGGTGTAAGTAGCCCTTTTTTAGCGGTGGACTCACATATACTGACCCAAGACACTTAACTGCGTTGATGCTTCAATTTACAACAACTTTAGGATTGGGGCTTGAATCGATGGTCTGACAAGCAGGTCTTTATTCTAGCACCCCTATCACAATTGTTATAGTCAGAATTTATACACGGTAATCAAATAACCTCTCTAGAAGGTCTAAAGAACGTCACCAGCGCTCTGGGCGCAACACCCCAAGAATCTTGATGTTCTTGATGAGTTGCCCAAGATCTTGGAGAGAGAGAGATAACATTGGCTGTGATGCATATGGAAAAGGAGGTAAATCATCTTTGAAGCTCTAAGCCACTGAGCTTCTAAATTTGTCTCAGGAAGTAAGAGTCTCATATTTTCGGCTTTCTTGAAATGGGGTTGGGGAAAGGGTACCCGCGCAGTAATTAATAATTCAGGAGGTCGATGAATATATTAAACTTGATCAGACTCTATTGAAGTCGAAATGCCTGCTTAAGCTGCGTGGCAAGACGGCGGCATAAAATGCTTACTTTGTTTCTTCACCCGCTGTGGAGAACGTGGCGGCACCTGAACTACCACGTGTGTGGGTCTACCAATGGATGATAAAAAATCTAACAGCTCGATACTCGCATAGTTACCAGTATTCGATGGTTTCCTCGTCCCCATATGAGACGAATGAGTATTTCCAGTGTCCACGTTTGAGAAATGAGATTCCTCTACTCGTCAGCCTTTCGCGGAGTATCTGGATTTCCGTGTCTTCGAAGATAACCTCGAACTTTCCCAGCGGTCCATTAATTTCATTACCAGCTAAATAAATTTCAGAGAGATATGGAAAATATTCGAGCGAATCTGTTAGCGTAATCAAATTTGCCGCGGCCTCTTTTTGCATGTCCTTTAGATGTAGAGTGCGAATTGATCGCGGGAGCATTTCGGTGAGAATATTAGTATGATACTTGTCGGTGCCCACCTCAGGGAACAAGACGGATGTGCCGTCAATTTTCAACGTCTCAAGGCGTGAAAACACCTTGAGGGAGAGAATTTCTTGGCCTTCAATACAAAGACCAAAGTAGAGTCCCCCCTCATGCTCTTCACGGCTTCCGAGATTGATGTCGAGGTAGCGGAGTGAGTCCTTGTAGCGTGAGAGAACATCGATTAACTCTCTTGGAGTTGCACATACAGGGTCTAGGCCAGAATACATTGTATCATAGTAATATTGGAATACCTCCAATCTGTCGCAAGAAGAGAGGATCGTGTTCAAACCCTGCGTAGATAAATGCCCGGATTTGAATCGCAAGTCGGTGACGTTCCTAATGTTGATTGGAGCTTTGGGAGCATACATTGGTTGGTCGAAGCAGGGATTGGCCAAAATCGTACGGATATTGGGAGCCAGAGCTATGATACCTTCAAAATATTTGAAAGAAACTTCTCGATAATCTTCATGACCAAAGGAGAGGTGGCGGAGATGGAATAGAGAGGCTGGTGGCGGGGATCGCTTAGCTAACTCTTCAAGCATTGTAAATGCTCCCTCGCCAGTGTCGCACATTATCTGCCTTCCCTCGACGTGAAGACTCCGAATATTTGGTGTCGATGCGATGATCAGTTGGGCCATGGTTTCAAATGGATATTCATCCAACTGAGATCGCGGATAGGCATCCTCATCTTCATCGTCATCCTCCTCTTCATCATATTCTTTGTCTTTTTCTTCGCTCGCATGGTTTACATTTTCTTGGTCGTTTCTCTCACCATCATCATCGGAACGAGCTTGGTTTTCGCCTTCATCGTCTCCGTCCTCCTCGTTTTCGCTCTCTTCTTTGCTAGAGGGATAAACATCGAGCTTATGCGGTGACAGTACGTCAAGACCGAACCTTTCCGCCGCTTTGGATATAAACCCAATGTGTTCCTCTGAGAGGTTGAACCAAACACCGCCATCCAATGATAGCCAACGAACGTATGTGCATAACTCGGGCCGCTCATAGAGCGTTCTTAGAAAAAGGGCTATACGTCGTGTGCTCCCCCTTGAAGAGAAACCGGAATAGAGAAACCGGGTGGCAATCCTGTTCAAATCTTTGGATGCTCGGCATAGAAAGGCTAGGGAACTGCTATCCCTGTTAGACGAAAGCTGCTGGCAGATTTGCTCGACGAGCTCTTCGGGTAGTGAAAGTAGTAATGAAGTACTGGGCCCCCTGAGTATGTTCTCCTGATTCTGAGGATACTGCATTGTGCAGGAGCCTGGATGCGCGATATTTGATGTGTATGCACGGTGTAGTATGTGAAGGAATTTGTTTGACAAGGTCCAGCTGCCTTGTAAACAAATTAAATGGGGTTTCTGACCTGATGATGAGATAAGCCGAGTCTCGACTGGTGCTGCAGTGTAGTGCAGTGCTTACATGCCGACTTCTGGGACCGGGGCTTGGCTAGTATGCATGTGAACGTGGCATAACCTCTGCAAACGGTACCTGCATCGACCTGCAGCAGCGTTAGCTCAGTATTTGAATTCTAACAATTGTTGAATTGGAAGGGATAACATCGATATAAGATTCTGTCGAGGGTGAGTTACAGGTCCAAGGTAGTGAGAGTGGACGCGTTGTCTGTTGCGTAATAAGGGCGCTAGCTCAATTGAACCAGGTCTGAACTTGACTCGGGTCGGAATTTGACGATACCACCAAGCTATCGTCCGTGCATCAAGCCTTTTGAGGTTTGGGGTATTGTCCCCTTGGTCCAGCGGTGGGTTATGGTGATGGCGGTTGATGTTGCTGGACAGACAGAAAGGGAAGAGGGATATTCTGTGCGCCATGCCCTTTACCGCACGCAGCTTTCCGTTGCTTAATAACAGCGACTTCAACGCTCAGCGAAGCCTTAAACGTGTCACTCCTCCTTCTCCCTTCATTCTCCCACCTCCCTTCCAGCTACTTAATACCTCCACAATACCTTGATCTATCATCACCATCGTCATAATTATCATCCCTGCACCATACTTCCGAGCGATTGTTCTGACAACCCCTTCCTTTCTTCACGACTAGTCGTTAGCCCTTGTTTTTCCGTCCGATCCTGGCGATATCCACACTCCTTTCTCAGTTGTTCGCAGGTTCGAGAAGGAGGTTAACTGCCTTCTATTGGGACTTCTTATCTTACTCGCATTAGCGGATCAGGAAGGAAAGGTAACCCCTTCTTGGATACGGTGACTTATTATCTATCTTTTTAACCCTTGCAACCGGTAAGTTTGGAAGGAATGAAGATGCCCCCGATTGTCGCTTCTCTGGGAACTTTTGATGGCATTTCATATTGAAATTGACAGTTCCTGATCTCTGGAATGCTAGCTAACATCGACATTGATAGTACTATATTTGGTGCGAATTGCCCTCCACTGGTAAGCTAAGCTGTCTTCTGTATCCCTGAAAAAAGTTTCATCAACCCCTCTTCACATACACACACGCCACACTGCTTGCCGCTGTCAAAGCATTGTGTGGAAAAACCACCATCAATATTTCGGAGAAAATGTCATGCGATTAGTCTGTCATGCGATCGTCATTTAATGACGGACTTGACTAGCGCCTCTCGGTTTTGATTATGGGTCGAAATCGACTGGCCTCCTTATCATTGTTGATTGACAAGCGAAATGACATCCTGGGCAGCTAGCCTAGGGCTAGCCTGCCTGGAGATCTCGGTCCGGTCAAAAATGAGAGGTTGCAATCGCAGTTTCCCAGAATGCATGTCGCATATTGAACCCGCCTACTCGAGACTTCTATCTCGATAATTGCATCTAGCTGTGCTGAAAAGATTGGAATTGTCGCTTGCAAGTGGCATGGACCATTAGGCAAAGGGGATTTGTTGGCATTCTTTAGACTTTTGCAAAGAAGTTTCTCCTGGCGGGACCAAGAAGCTTAATCTTAAAAAATGCCTGCACGGGATTGGCTACACCGCGTAATGCGCACATTGCCCAAAATGAAGCGGTTCCTGGCCAATCACCAATCTGTTTCCTCGTTGAGCGCTCAACCCTTGCCCAAATATGTCTCTTTCTGTGGCCTACCGGCTCGTTTGGGTGGACAAGAAAAACCAAGCAGGGATCCCTTTCGATGTTTTACTTTTTCTCTCTATGGAGCAACTTCCAGCGATGGCCTGTTTCTGGTTGACTAGGGTGGCTCACCCCTTTTCGAATTTTCCACCACACATGCATGCGCATGTTTTTCTGCCGACCGCTGGCCTAAGTCGTGCCTTCATTACTAGCCAAATCCCCTCTGCTCTGTCTTTTCCCTTTTCTTCTCTTCGCATATCTTGCGACATGTATTGTGTTCTTTAACACACTTCACGAATTTCTTCAACTTTTTCATAGTCATTCCTTTTCGTGCGGGCTTCATAGTCCGACCACGCTCATTACCAGTTTTGCAATTTATTGATTTCAATATCCTCGGGCTTTAAGCGATATTCAAACCGACTAACTTGATCATCTTACCGACTTTCAAGACACAATGCCGTTCGGGAAAACGGTATTTCTGGGTGCCATCTTGGCCATGGGCCGGATGAGCGAAGCGAAGCAGGTCATTAACAATGTCTGGTACTGTAATGAGGTCAACAAAATGCAGTACACCAATGTTGGGTGCTCTGGTACTTTCAAGACTCCGAGCATCATGTCGGATAACAGTGGTTCTTGCTCCGTTGATTACGCGGAGCGAACCTATAGCGGTCCATTAGCGCCTCTTAACGAGCAGGTCAGTCGCAGTTCTTATAGCCCTTCCTCTAGGAATTTTTAATAACCTTTTTCTCTCTTGAAGATCACATTCCATCTTCGAGGCCCCCTTAAGTTGTACAACTTTGCGGCCTATTACATTGATAATACTCCAGAAGATGAAGAGGACATCCCAGAGGGTTATCAAAAGCGTGAGGAGGCGCCACACAAGCATCGTCGATTCGAACACATTCATCATCATAAGAGGAAGTTGAATATAAAGACCGAAGTCGTCGAGGAGGTCGTTACCCTCACGCAATACGTTGACGCTCCAGCCCCAACCACTTCCACCACCTCGAAGGTCGTTGCAGCCCCATCAGCCGTTGTTGCTAACGCCTACAAGGCTCATGGAAAGAGCAGCAAGCCAAAGAAGCCAGCGAATGGTGATCTCTGGAAGAGGGCTGGGTTCTACGACTCCGGCAAGCAGATCCTCGAAGGTGTCACTTTCTTGAACAACAAGGGCGGTATTGGCTCTGGAAAGTGGACCAGCTGTTTCGGAAATTCTCTTTCGCATATGTCTGCCGATGGAAAGGATGGCTCCGCCACGCCCCAAATCCTTGCCGACAACACTCTCTTCGGTGTCAATGAAGAATTCTCGATCTGGACCAATCAGACATGTGATGGGACCTGCGGTTATGCTTATGGGGACGATGTCTGCTATCGTAAGTTCGCCTAACATCATAATCTTTTTTCTCTCTCCTTTTTTTCTTTTTTTCTCCAAGTACTAATACATCGTAATATAGGCGGATGGGACGGTGATAACAAAGTTTTCGTTTTCAAGTTTACCATGCCACCTGCTCACACTGACGACAGCAACATCTATGGCAACTCCAACATGCCCGCTATCTGGTCTTTGAACTCTTTGATTGGACGTACTCAACAATACCCTGCTGACAAAAACTGGTCCTGCTGGGATTCCGGTTGCGGTGAATTCGATATCTGGGAAGTTCTCTACCCACAGGCTCCAGCTTGCGAGTACATGACATCGACTCTCCACAGCGCTCAAGGAAACCCCGGCACCGGAAAAGGAGGTGGTGGTACTTGCGACTACTTCAAGCGTCCTACTGATACTACATTCACCGGTATGGTCTCTTATCTCAGTGATGGTACTATTACTATCCAGAAGCTTGACGATGATTTCGACTTCCCCGAATACATCACCACGGACATCATCAAGAAGGGATTTTCTGCCGACATGCCTTCCTTCAAGGTTTCTTCGTAAGATTACTATAAAAACCTGGAAAAAGTTTCTTCCTCCCTTTCTTTGTTCGGTAATTTTTTACGAATGACCTCTCGGGAAACCCCTCCGTAGTTTTTCCCTCAGCCATCTCCTTTCGCACATCCCTTCAGGGACTTAATTCTCTTTTTTTTTTTACATGTTCTTGCGGAGAAAGAACATATTCTCTTCATGATATTGTTTATTTTCTTAAAAGAATAATTTTCACTTTACGGAAACGAGGGGTAGAGGAAGTTAATGACAGGGGGTGCAGAGACTCGTGTATGTATTAGACACAGGTGTAAACTACTTAGTCAAGAAGCAGCAGAATTCTCTTTACCTGAGATCCAACTTTACTACCTGACCGGGTCATCATCGGTTATCATCGCCCAACCTGTTGTTCACCATCAATTGCCGCCTGACCCTTTACCAACCCTTTTATGCCAGCGCTACTAATGAGGAGTTGTTCCCTGTTCGGATCGTTGTTACTTGTTCACACCTGACTCGTTCTTCGTTGATCGAGCCACATTTTTTTCTCCCTTTCTATTCTAGTGTATAATGTAATTGCTCTTACAAATCGAATTTGTCGCATACGAATACCATGTATTTTTAGGAGATGAAGGTGCAAATGTTTCTTTCTTTTTCTCTGAAACCCTTAAGTTTTTGAGATATAAATTAGTGTGCGACGTACGTACGGTATTGATGTCTGTAGATCCAACATTCCGCCACGTTCTTCAGTGTCAAGGAACGTAGGTTTTTGATGGGAAAACTCCATGATTTACCATGTTTCTGTTGGAATTCTCATATTTTACAAATAGTTATATAATGGGTACGAACTTTTCAGGTACTCAGGTAAATAGTAGGAATGATCCATGGCCCCAAACAATTCCAAACTGCTGGCTAGTTAGTTCGGGCGATTTGTGGATCTCCAATTATAAAATCTGCAAACTGTTTAGATCTAAGACATGGATATGAATAGAACTATCGATCATATGCCGGCGAATAAGAGATCGACAGCTTCTCTAGCTTGTGTAATTGCGTAGGTCACACAAGTGAGGTGTCACAAACATTGGCCGAAGCACACGCTGGTCTTTAATAGTCCGCAACACAATACGTAACCTAGCATATGTGGTAATTTTCTACGATGGATTTTGCAAGCTTGGTTTAGATGATTTCTAAATTTATTTAGATTGCATTGGTTGCAATCTTCCGCAGTTAAGTACTTTGAGTGAGAAGATGTGAAAAGATAGCAAAGTCTATACGTGTTATCGTTATTTACATTGCGGATATTTAGTGACATAAGATACAACTTTACATCAATGAGATCGTCGGTGAATAAGCACTGCACAGAAAGTAACTCGATCCTTTAAAACGGTTCGACAGCGTGGGGTTAAACAAGATAACCAACCTGAATAGTCCGCTGCATTTTTCTAATGGTAGTTAAGGTTTCAATCTCTTTGATCCTAACTTCTTCTAATGCGTTATCAGCAACATCGGCTAGTGGATTCGGGCCCGTTCTTTCTGGTAATCGATTACTTGAGCTCTCTAGACTTGCCGGCTCCTTGCGTAAGCAGAAGAAGAAGTGCTCCGTAAACTGAAGAATGAATATTGCACGCAGGCTTGGTGAAGCTTGTAGAGTCATATTAAATGGTCCGACATTCAAGCTCGGCACCTGAGGGCAAGTTCCAGAGGAAGCTTTCCAGCTTTGAAGCCTTAGTAGTAGCTTTTGGTAGATATTCAACAATTTTAGTCCAGACGAAAGCAAGAGAAAGATAGAAGCTGGGTCTTGAAGCATCGGAAACTCCCTTGTGTTTTATTGCAACTCGAAAAGCTCTCAGAAAGAGTAAAATCTTCCGATTGCTTGGGTTCGAATTGTCGTAGGATATCGCAATCATTTGCTGCCTGGCCCGTCAAAGGGGAGCTACTGCGGGGAATGTCTAGTCGGTTTTTGTTATACAGGTCGATTGAATTTTGCGACAATAATAATATTTCGTCTATCACAAAGGGATTAATTACCCTCCATAAGCTCTTCGTCGAAGTGCATCTCATCCCAACGCAGATATAGCTTCGTATTCAACTCCGTCATTGTTTTAATCCAGTCATTCGATGATTGCGATCGAGCCTTGCCATTATCGGAGCTATATCTTGGCTCAGTTGTTTGTGATTGTAGATTTGCTCCTTTTTTAGTGGGCTTGGGCCTTGTGCCCTGGTCATAAGGGCTTAGGCCCCCCCCCCATTCAAGCATCTGTAACCCGGAAAATGTAGTAGGTATGCTTGGTGATAGTGCCCACAGTGGTGAGAGGCTTGAACATTCTTCATCAAAATAATTGGCTATAGATCTATAGATGCTAACGATTCCACTGGACTTGGTGCGATATGATCTAGAGACACTGGGTTTAGTTGGTCTATATCAAGATCTATCGCCAAAATACCGTCGAAGTTTGAACACCCTAGACCTGGGAAGATTTGGTAATTGCTCCGATAGATATTGCTTGCATCCTTTCCGGAATATAGTATATTGTGATGCAGTGCTGAGTTTGTGGGAATCGTGTTTTCAATAGTTTTCTGAGAATTATTCCGATTGGGGAATCAATCCTCGGCGTAATCGGAAGAAGTACGTATCCCCTACGGTCATATTAGCTTTGGGCCAATATAGAAAAGAGACTAGGAGGCTAACTACCATCGATAACGGCCCTGAGCTTAGAGAGGGCGAGTTTTCGGGATGAATCGCAAACGTCGAGATTTGAGATTGCGGGAGCAAACTTTGGGACGTTGGGATGTATTTCTTCTAGGGGCCGGGAAATAGAAGGCTGTATCGTCCTCTTCGATCCGAGGGCGATATAGCATTCTGTTTGAGCCCTCGAGCATCGAATGCAAGAGCTATCCTCAGCCATACACTTGCAGGATAACTTTTGTGCGCGGCATCGGTCGCAGGCACGTCGGTTCTTTTTTAGTGGAAACATTTTGAATTATGTTTATAGCTGAGATCGGAAGCATGGCCAGGGCTAGTTCGATTTGAGGGTGGTCTAGCAAGCTTTTGGGCATGAACTGCCGGTTGAATTCAAGTATTCCATATGATGAATAAGTACGCTTTTTGTCTCTTAGCAAATTCAACTTACCTTAGAGCTGCATCGGGCCTAATATATACACCTCCAGGGTGTATATATCCACCTCCAGGGTGTATATATCCACGCTAAGCAGTAACCATTAACCGCCAGAGATCGAGGCTCCGTCGATAGAGCATTGGCCTTCTACTTCCTCGTGGTAGTATGGTATTGCAACATTATACACATGACATGCGAGATTGCAGAATGCCATTCGCAAGCTTAAAATGTAATTTTAGCTGCTAGTATACTATTCGGATTTGAACGGTAGCTTCGTAAACCCCTGCCCTTTCGTAAAAAAAAAAAGCATTTAAATTATAAAAAAGCCACTTTTCTAGCCTAATGGGTATTTTCCACGTTATTCTATGGAAACAGTGTTAAACCTCCAAATACGAACTCTGTAACCGTTTGCTAGACCCCGCCTAGACAAGACTACCTGATAGCTGTGGGGGTTTGTTCTAGTAAGCAGAGTATCTGGCAGAGCCCCACTGAACAAGACGAAGTGGATAACTGTCCTAAGTTGGCACTTTAGGTATAGTTCGGGCTTATCACCACCAGAATCTTGCAGCTCTTAGTTCCCGGCCCCTCCCCTAGACAATGAAAACTTCTTTCGGCTGCGGTTCTAGCAGAAAATTTAGCCGTAGTTAGTGGCACCCACGACCTACCCTAAGTTGCCGTATTAGCTATCCATGTGGAAGCCCACAAGCTGTCATTAAAAGTTAGAATCTGGATTAACCACATTTCCCTCACCAAATTTCACCGGGTTGTTCTCTTTATATCAAAAATCGTTGGCGTTATATCGAAGAAGATTGCACATAAAATATCTGCTCATAAACCTACTTCTCTCTTCTCAATGTATTCTTATTAGAGCCCCCACATTTGCATTTAAATCACCAAATAAGCTTTTCCTTTTCTTTCTTTTGTGTTTACTAAAGACCTAAATCCCTATTAGCTAGCTCGACATATGCATATAGCGCTGCTATCTGAATATATATATCAACTAGACTATGGCCCAACGTTACCATTCACACCAATTTCTATCTACCGTGGGGATAGCTTGCAACGTTTGGGGTCTGGTGAAAGCCGAAATCCCCGCTTGCGCAGCCTGACCGACGAGCCTAGGAATGCTATAACCATTTGAGCTGCAGTATGCTGTCAACGTAACTAAATATCATAATTCTAAACCAGATTAGTTTTATATTATGCAATCCATTGGTGTATTTAGTAGTACTAGCAGCTTAATTATAACAGGATTATGGTATATCAGTGCTAAGGGAGAAGCATGATTTGGATTAATTAACCTACTATATGTGCATGTATGTAGTAAAGTGAACACCTGGTCGAGGTAATTTGATAATATTCTATTGGGCTGCATGGTTGTTTTTTAGACTACCATTCAAGTCTGGATTAGGGTCACGTGGGGCCTTAAGTTTAGAATGTTTGTATAATACATGTGCATACCTCATATGTATGTACTTGAGGCCTTGGTTTGATTAAAGTAGGCCATTAGCTAGCGTGAACTCGGGATCTGCAAGGGCGATTTACTAACTTCTATTGAACACCGCCGTTCGGCATACCATGCTAACTGCAAAGGTTTGCCGAACGCATCAATTTATCCCTATACTCTGTCGTTATTTGCGTTATCTCTCTAGATCAAACGTTGGTATTTCTTAGTGGAGGGGTACAATAACTATTTTAAGTATACATGGGAGCAGATCTTGATAAGTGCTTATGTCCCGTACCCTAATCCACCCAGACAAATTACAGCGTGGCATGCGCATGAAGTCCATCTATAACAAAGAAAGTCGTAACTCGGCGAAATTTTGGCCTCGACCTGGATTCGAACTAGATCTGATCACTTAGTCTTAGTGTTCGATCGCGGATAGGTGTATAAAATTTGCATTTCAGATTGGGCTAACAAAATGGCCAATATCTGACACGGATTGAGGCGTCAATACTAACGCTTCAAAGAATTATTATCACCGTTGGCGCATTTAGGTACGTCTAGCGGTGCGGTATGAGAAACTTTAGTGGCTAGGTGAAGCAAGTTACAATATCCTATTAATACTATTTCCAAAGGGCCCATACTCCATGTGTCGGGACCAGCTTGATGCTACCATATGCTGGACAATCTAGTCTCGTCTGGTGTAGTTAAATTACAATGCTGCTATCTAACCAAAAATGCAAAGCAGAGAGACTGTGTGTTGTCTTGTTATACTATGAGCAGGTAACCCGAATTTGGCAAGGCGTTTAGTCCAAACTTAAAATATAAAAATATTAAAATGGGTCGGCTAAACCAGGCCTTCGCGCTTCGACTGCTCAAAAGTTAGATTCTAGTTTCAATTGCTCCATACTCCGGAGTTGATACGGGCTTAGAGGCGACCATTAAAGGATTCCGAGATTGATCCTCATTCGAGTTTGCTCAAATTCCTCCGAGCATCCGAATCGGACTGATCCGACAAGTTCGACAAAATTCGGACGCTTCGATTCAAGGTGCTGTATGTATGTTGTATTTTTTGTGTTGTTTGGCTTGTTACTTCGCGGCAAGCACAAGTCTAACTAGTATACGTACTAGCTTGAGCCGATAGATAGATTCTTTCGAATTCACATTTGCATAATCAATCGATCAACACCATCACTCATGTATGCTTACACTTACTCCACTCAGTCTCAACACCAAAAACAACTTATGTTTTGTATTCCACAAAGGACCTAATAAGATATAAGAGAAACAATACATTTCGTTTTTAAATTTTTGTGTGCAACAATGCAATGTCGTACTTAAACACACTAAAACGTAATCGTGACATACTTTACTGTCCCCGAAAAACTATATTTGAACGTGAACTCGAACCCCAGGCCTAAGATTCGAAGGAAAACTGGCCTAGCGCTAGGTACTGCGGGCTCTATAAGCCCTATACTGCTAAATCCGTATCTAAACTCTTTATTCTTGACTCTCTTGGCCAATTGGGGTGCTTGTGGCATTCTATACGTCCTCTTACTCGAGTTCTTCGATAAATGGTTTGGAGGTTCGCGTGCACCTGACTTGACTCTTGGTTTCGGCTATTGATATCGCGATATTTATATCTTCAAAATCTATTGCTTATTTCCAGGGTTAATTCGATTGATAAACTCTTTACTGGGAGCATTTCTTTACACCAACTTATACTTCAATCAGCTCCACATGCGTGCCGGGCAATATTTTGCATAACTACATATCAGGGGCATTTACGTGGATCCAATACAGATAAAACCTCCCTCACCTAGAGGGCCGAAAATACCAATAAAGCTGGACATCAGAATAGTTTGCTTAGTAGGTTTATTCGATATTCAGATATCTCGGTACGCATTTAATTATGGATATACGCTGTACAGACATATGCCCTAATGCGCAAACCTATAGCCCTAAAACCGGCTGGCTATCCTGGTACGAATAATTTGAAGTTTTTCCCCATGACCTGCTGAATATCCTCGAGAACAAGTTATATGGGCGTCATTCAGGTTAACCCGTTGGCGTGGTCGCAGCCTGCCGTTATAATGCCCACAACTTGCAGGCTTTTATTAAAAACAAAGCTACCGGAATCGCCAGCAGACGAAAACTGCTTGTGGGAGCTTTTAGAGCCGACGATGCACCATTCTTTGGTCACTCTGCGGTTTTCTTTGAAGTTAACGGGGTCCTTGACCCCGTTTATCCGGCCAAATGTTAGACCGGTCTTCGATCTTCATCCCGATTTTCGCGACTTCCTCATCGAGTACAGGGTCGCTAGTATCGGGATGAAGACACGGGGCGGATCTTAGAGATTTCCAAACCCCTTCTCGTTCAAATTCCGTCATAATCTATATGGCGCCGATCGATACGGTTAATAACCTATATCGATATTTCCGCATCGGTTCATTTCGATTCAGCGGAAGTGCAAGACTCACCATATTGATCGCGGTACGATGCTCACGGACCCGAAAGATACCCCAATCCAAATTGTTTTCAGTTCCAGGGTGAACTCTATATCCAGAAGTAGCAACTACCTCCCCAAAGTCCCTGACAAATTGGGAAATATGACTGAGTCGCTTTTCAACATCCATGATACAACTGCTCCAAAGCTTGATCGACGCCGCCGGTGTGGGCTCACCGGGAATCTCGTACTTATTCTCGACTACCTTTAAACGTGATTCTGCCTCCTCCTTCCTTGATTGTAAGGAACTGATAGTGTCTCCATAGTACCCACATGGGGGCTGGACAACTTTAAGTTTGAGTGCACCGGGCGATGTTGCCCCACGGATAGCACCAACACTATTCAAAAAATTTGGATACTCTATTTAAATTTTACATTAGCATACTTAATACATCTTTCGGCAAGATAATACTAACCAATCGCCGACTTAACAGAGTCCTTAGGGTTCGCGTTTGTTTTGGTCGGCAGAAGGACATGGTGACATGTAATCCCATATACATCTTCTTCGTTATCAGGTGTAAGATACCCCCCCACGGTTCCCGCAGACCACCACACACCCACTATGCCTATACAGGCACCGCATTTCGTCAGCTCCGCATAATCCGCAGAGCCAAGCGCTGCTCCTTTAGCTACTCTGGACTTGAGAAATTTGATACGCGAGAAGATATTTGCTGGCAAGAGGCCCCGTAATTCAGTGATAATCTCGTTTGCCCCCCAAGGGCCGTCACCCTCGTAGATCACCGCAACTGCATTACACGTATTAATGACTCCAAGATGCAGGGCAGTTCATTGAACGGCCTTGCGATCAAGGACTCGTATGACGGCTTCCACTTTCGCATTCCAAATACTTGCGGCGACAGAGTCGGAACATACAGGGGCTCAAAGCTCGCCTTCTCCCTCAGATGTAGGATAGATCACGCGCCTATTTGCTTCGCGGACCCCTGTTGACCGATCCTCCTCGAGGTCTCATCATACGAATGGTCCTCTTTATTTTCCGTATTAGAACTCGCGGACTTTAGCGATAGCCGTGGGGATTGCCGGCAAATAGGTTCATCTTCGCAAGTTCCTGTTCTATCCTTATCCTCGGAATACATTTCGCCTTCTAGAGCCAGAACTCTGCTTATTCATAGTTCTCGAGCTAGAGTGCAAAGTGAACTTTAAGTTTCTTTGATATCCGATGTGAGAAATGAGTAATTCTGGACAAGATGTGGAGTGAAGTGGATCCGAGAGAAGTTAGCTTTCAAACCTTGTATTAAGTGGTGCAGGGTAGAACAATAATATATAATAATGATGATGGTAGAGGTGGAAGCGGCTATTGGACCTGGTTAAAGATCCTCCCAACTACTTAGAAGTGTTTGGAAATCAAATTGTTTAGGGAGACCGAAAGTGTTTGTTGACAGAGATCTCTTCTGGAAATCGTTCAAGCAAATGTTCCCTTAAATTTATAAAGAAGATCCTGGGTACATGATAGCAACGCTCTAAATTAGTACTTGCATGTAGTAATAGTATTCGGCGAGGGAAAAGAAGTAAATGCGACCCTAGAGCCCTTGAGCGCAATCCTTTGATTCCACGACAAAGATTATCTAGCCTTCACCATGCAAAACTTAAAAACACCAATATCAGATCTGAAAGAAGCCCTGTGATGTATTATGCTATAAATGCGAGTAGCTTTACAACCTTTCAGCCCAACACACATGCGGAACATGCCGCCCGGAGCCGTGTTGGAAAGTATCTCAAGTACCTAAGTATAGTACCGTATGTAGGTGGAGGCTCGGTTTATCAATATTAGACATGACATGGGATAGCGGCTAGTTAGTTAGCCAGTAAATAAATTCGATAATAGTTCGTTAGATAAAAACAATGGCCAAATCTAGTCTCGTGTCTACTAAGTTCTTCGTATTTGCACTCTCAATCAATCCCTCTGATTAGTTCTTGCTGAAAACCCTATACCCTGCCAACCCTAGAATCTCGAAAATCCCCTCCACCATAAATTTATCTACATCTTTCCATTTCTGCTCTAGTTCTGCATACGGCGTGAAAAACGGCGTCTTTTGGGCAGAAGAGTCACGTTTCCCTGCTGCTTGCCACCCACTCTTGATTCTTTCAGAAACCCATCGGTCATGTTCAACTTCTCCAAGGTATTCCAATTGTTCTGGTGTAAATTTCTCAATAGGCTGGAGTCCATCCTTCGTTTCATCGTTCGCTTTGGACATCCGATAGCCAGTTAATTCGAGCTTTCTGGGAATATCATCCGCTTGTGCTCTTGTGGAGGCCTTCAGATGCTCTGGTAGGGATTCCCAATCTTCTTGAAGGGATGCATCCTTCGATTTTGCAGGTTCATTGCCCGAATCCATGGAGGCGCGAATCAATTTGTATCTCTTGTAGAGTTCTTGTGTGACAAATTCGCGAATTGCTGGGTCAAGTGGTGCAGGGGCCACGGGAATTGTGTTTTGTGCAGGGGGCTGCGGCGTTTGCGCACCACCAGCCGATCCAGGGGCAGAAGACATGGCTGTTGTAGAAAATTCGTCCTTGATTTTGAATTAAAGAGGCTAGAGGGGATATCGCGATGATGATAAACGATATATTTTAGCAATTATCGCTGAGTACGAGGAATCGATGGCTTCGCTAGAGTTTATATAAACTTGTAGTCTATCGATGCATGAATGAAATAACATACGTATTACGCACATGGGTCGGTGGAAGTGCGAGGAGAGGGTCATACGGATGCTATCGACGTTTCCATGACGGGCGCTAAGTTGGGAATCACGTTTGTCTCGGGGTATGCCTTGCCCAGTTGTCTCATGTAATCTATAGATCTACCAGCTGCCCATTTGGTCAATGAAAGTTTAGTTTGTTCAAAGATACCTAGGTAGTCAATGTTCCAAGGCTAGGAGACCATCGAAGCTCTCCACTTGGGCAAGCTCTGGAAGAGGCAAAAAATACAGTTAGCAGTATTAAACCCGACGGCACGGACCGAAAGCCAAGCTGACACACGATCCTTCATTTTTTTCCCCGCCAGGGGTCACAGATGCAACTGATTATCTTTCTGGCCAAAAAAATGATTGGTACCTTATTTTTGGCATTGCAAGCTGCAGGATGTTGATTTAAGCCTCGTTTGCTCGAGCACCCGCATATTCTGCAGCGGAAAGCATGAGACCAGGCTGCCTGTTAATTTAACGCCGACCTGAAAAGGCTGATTCAGCGCTTCCCCAAATCGAATCAGAAAGGAGGGAATGCCATTAATCGCCCTATACACAGAGTATTTTATATAAAAGCCAAAACCCCACCCGAGTACTGGGGAATTTAAACCTGATCTGGCTAGTATTATACTGATCCTCGGACACCGATTTCAAGACAGCGCTGCATAGCCTGCGCAACAGCCGACCCCTACAGCTTAGACGAAAGTTCAATTTTCACAATTAATGCGAATCTAATATACCGGGGCGCCGACTCAAAATAACTACGGATGCGAATCGGCCTTACTAAACCTAGTTGCATAGTGTTTTTCAATTTCTAAGAACTGTGCCCGTTTCGGAATCGTAGATCCTTAACTTCAATACCCACCCTTTGTCGAGCTGAAATATCCACTTGGTACTTACAACCATGAGCGCAACTGTAACTATCAGGGGCTTCGTAACCAGTGCTATGGTTATTGAGGTATCACTTTAAAATATTTTCCATTTCAGAATCTATTACGTTTTAGTTGATATCTCAATATCTAACTTTGGAAACCTATTACAAAGAGGTCACAATGGAAAATCCGTGGGCCAATCAATTGGGACGGACTCGACACCAAGACGGCGATTGATTTCATAAAGTCTACACCAGCTGTATGTCAATACGTAATGCAAATACCACGGCATTATATCTAACTATCAGTATTCGTTTCCGATAGAGAGACAGAAGGACAAATATGGAAAAAAATCGGTTTCGGGTCTTGTAAGTTTACTAACTCTTCATGAATTCATGCAAGTGCGGCGCGGTTTCACCTGATGGGCGAGTTACTAATGTAAGACAGACTCGTTCAAAGTGCAACATCGGACAGAGCTGGACTCTTTAAGCAGTCGAGTATCCTCAAGGCAGCGAAAGAAGCAAATTGGATCGGGGATGAATTCCTATATTTTCTCGAGAAGGGGACAACCGGTTCAGCTGTGGTGGAGACGGAGAATCATACAAGTAAGTCTGCCTTGGTATACATTATCTGTTTTTGTATGCGCCATTAGGGCGCTAGTTAGCATGGGTAAATTAACCAATCTCTCGAATGACAGGTTTCATAGTCCAGACACCGAAAGACGATCTTCCTTATTTCAGCCTGGCCCTTACAGAACTTAACAATTGTCGTAGCAAATCAGACGCGGATTGGGGATGCATACTTTTTACAGACCGGGGCATCGACTTGGAGAATTTGATTTGTAACATTCAATTCCCATCCGACTTCTCAGCACCATTGCCACCGGATTTCATGTTTCTCCCTGCATGCCTTCTACAGTGGCAAGTACAAGAAACCCGGGATCAAGTGAACACTCTGAGCGATAGGATACTCGCTCAGGATGATAAACTCGCTGGTAGGAAGACTGAAGGTCTTGAGAGTATGCGCAGTTTGCTATTTCAGCTAGAGAAACTGCATTTAACACTATATAGGCGGTGGTCATTTGAACAAGACCTAGCCGCAAAACTGTTACAGTGTTTTCAAACTATTGAAAGAAACGCAAGCAAGGAAGAGGTAGCAACATATTCACGAAAGCTTTGTCAACAAGTCAGAACCCAGAATGATCTATCCGGGACATTAAAACACGATCTAGATACAATTCCGGGAAAACTTAAGTTTCAACATGGAATGGTACGTCCATATACCTAGTAGAACCCATATATTGATAAGTATCAGACACTAATTTTAGTATTTCTCTAGATTGATAGCCAAATAAGCATTATGATTGCGAAAAACTCGGAATTTGCTGCAACTGCGGCTCGGAAGGATAGTTCGTTCATGAGAACTATAGCAATTATTACCTTAATATTTTTACCCGGAACTTTCGTCGCCGTGAGTTTATTAGAGCCTGAGAGGCTTATTTCATTTTTACAGGGCCAAAATAGCTGATATCTAATGAAAAAGGCGGTTTTTAGTATGTCAATGTTTAATTGGGAATCAGATGGGAGTGTCGTGGTGTCGAAGCACATCTGGATGTATTTTGCCATTACGGTTCCATTGACAACGGTGGTTGTGATTTCATGGCTTATTTGGTCAATCAAGAGCGAAAAAGATTACATTAAAAAGGTATCAGGCAAAATTTTATGATTGTTTTATTATTTTATGCAAAGCGGATGGAGTTTTTGTTTTACACGGATGGCGTTTGTAAATATATGGCATGGTATATGGCGGTGTTATTAACTTTCGACGGTGTTTTAAAAGTTTAGTCGAAATCTTTTTCAATAAACCTAACCGGCAAGACCGGTTTACTATCCTTAGTCTAGCAACTAAGAAGGCAGTGCAAGTTATGATAGTTACTAGGCATATACAAACGCTATATGCTATATAATAAGGATATATCGATATATTATGATTGTATGGAAGGAAATGGTTTATAATTACATACATCCGGACTCGGGGTTACCTAACACCCCCCATACGGTATATCTGGTAATCTTCAGGAAGAATATTTGGATAAGATGCCACCAGCTCCCGATCAACGTCTTGCCACTCCTTTGCAAGGTCGCTCCAAGCAACCAAAAAGGAACTAGTTCGAACAGTCGGATCTGTGTTAAAAGATTTTGTCCATTGTTTTTGCAGTCTTTCGGCATTCCATCTGTCGTGCTCGTGCTTCGCTAGAGCCTCGATTTCGTCAGGGCTGAATTTTTCAACCGGTTTGCGGTGCATATGATCTTGCTTCTCGGCAAGGAAGCATGAGATGAGCCTCAATTTTCGTGGTATATTATCTGCATGTGCTCTAGCAGACTCTCTAAACTCTTCGGGGAGCTGGTCCCAAGGCTGGTGTCCTGGCCGTTTCCGATCTTCATCGCTCATCCCCATAGAAAATCTCTTTTTAAGATATTCTATGTGAATGTTTTGCGCCAAGTGCTCTCTCACGGACTCGGCAAGAATCTTCCCGTCAAGGTATCTCATAAATTCATCGCTATTGACGTGGAGATCTAGTTGACCGGCAGGTGGCAATGCAGCTCTTTCAAATTGATGAGCGCCATTGAGCCTGCTCATCGAAATAATTGACTTTAGGGACCGTATTCCTTGTCTATACGATGGCACGAGTAATAAACCATCAAGAACGCTCTCGTCGATTGATATTTTCCCATCGACTTTCAGCTTAGGCTCCCTCTTGTCGAGAAGTTCTCGTAGAATGACAGCTCGGCGGACAGGATATAATCTATCATGCTCCCCGACGCAATCAGGCCCTAGCATGTTGACATATCCATGAAGGCATCCTAAAAACTCTTCGAACCGTGGAGGTGTCAAGCCGCGAGAACTACCCCCAAGCTGGTTCTGGAACTTCTGGTAGGTTTTGAAGTTGATTGATCCAAGGAAGAAGATTGCTCGCCCAATAGGTCGGCTCTCGCCATTATCTACGAATCGCCCGTGGAGCATCGGTGTTAATAGGTGAAACAACCAGGGAAGAGAAGATCCAGGTACTAGAGTATCGAATCCATTGATGTAAACTAACGGGAAACCGCCCTCCAAGTTACAATCGCGGATTGAGTGAAATATTGGGATCAAATCCGTTGGAGTTGAGATTTGGGTAAGGTCCATACGAAATTTAGAAATCTTTCGTCCATTTAACAAAGTCCTACCCATTTCGATGGCGGCATACGACCTCCCAGAACCTCTCGGTCCAAAAAATGCTATGCTGATAGGCCTAGTTTGCGGAAGGTCGATATAATCCCTCAGAACATTCGATATGATCCGAAACGATTCGATTTCGTGACGGTCGACTAGGACGAGTCGACCAAATCGCGCCGTAGGTATTCCGCTTGAGCCAGAAGAAGTAATCCCATGTTTAACGACGTCCCGGGCCACTTGGGCTGGGTCACCGACCATGCGGTCTAGAATTGACCAATAGTGATCTGAACCACTACCAATAACATCCGAAGGAATTGATAATTTAAAGATGGAATATTCGGATGGGACCAAAGTGCCCATTATGTGAGACACTAGGTGCTCTGGTTTGTCTGTAGAATTTAGGCCCCGAACAAGACCCGAGGCCGCTAGACGCCTGGAAGATAGAAGCGCTAGTTCGATAGCCTCTTCTAGGTTCCTCACTGACCCGCCTAGATGTGTGACCATGCCCGCGATAAAAGCTTCTTTTATCCCTGGGACCTCTCCCAAATTTTGTCGCAGGAATTCCCCTTCGATGCAATGTGGGTCGAAGTATAGAATCGGTTGGTTTAATTGCCCTCCACGATGATATATCACCCCATCGCAGCTGAATGTTACCACAAGATGGGCACAGGTTACCAAAGACACTAGGCTGCCTACAGATCCGAGCTGTTCGATAAAATCCTCGCAAGTCTTTTCCCAAGACAGCCCATGTGAAAGTTGTATACCTTCGGCGCGGAGGTCGTTTGCGCTTACCACGACGACAAGTTTTTCCGGATCCTGGGTGCCCCCATCCATGTATACACCATTTCGAATAGTTTCCCAGATACTTCCAAGGGCTAGCCTGGGTGCCATGTGGTAAATAAGAACTCCAGGTCGAACGTTTTGCAAAAGATGTATCGCATCGTCTGGATTGTTGAAAGAGCCCTCGGCATCCTGGAAAACCAAAATGTCTTTTTCAGTACTGTCAATAGTCCCCAAAGAAGCTGAAGACCATGGAGACTGCCATGTAGACTGATAATTCAACTGCTGGGTGCGATTGAGTCTCAACGTAAGATAGGAAGGGTCGTTGTCATCATGTATCTCCAATTCCAAAATTGATTTGACAGACTCGTGTTGAATATTTACCGGGCCGACAAGTATTGGCTCATGGATTTTGAGATCGTAATCAAGAGCGACATAGCTCAGGAATTTTGAAATTAGAGTGGCCCCGCTCCTCTGCCTGCAGGTTTTGAGCATATGTCTATGCCATGTATTCTCGCCTGGCCGGGCTGGGTATATCAAGACATCAACTGAAGCGTCTCCGGCGAGGAGAACATTTGTCGGCGGCATTTAGAGAAATATCAAAAAGAGAATATACGATTCGATACAATATAACTTTAATTTCGTAAAGCTGGAACTTTTCTTTTTCAAAAAAAGAGTATTGTGATTGACTAAACTCAGCTCGGAAGCAGAACCACCAGAATATGTTTTTTTGTTTTTTTTCGCTCCTGAAATCGAGATCGATTTTGCCTAACTGCCTGGATCTCAATTTATGCATGTTTGCCTCAGGATCGATCCCTCGCCTCAAATTTGGGACGGTTTGGGCGGCTGGATACGAATTTGGACCTCGAAAACAAAACTGGTACTTCTACTGCCTAAGTCTTGAAATATTCGAAATATGATTAATGGTATATGGTCGTTGATAATTAGAAATATTTTCCCGCGTTCCTAGTTTTCTCCTTCGATTGACAACCAGTTTTAAGAAAGGGATCAATCAATACAAACTTCGGTTGATATTAATTAATATTCATTCGAATTCCGTGTGTACGAGCTGCCTAATATATCCGTGGTGTAACAGGATATGTGCATGTACGGCACAGCAGACATCACGAGGTATGTATCCATATGTAACGTAAGTATATTATCAATATATATGTCGTAGCTTATCTGCGGGGTCTCCGTTGTAAATTCTCATACGAGACCAGGACGCGTTCCAACGCTTCAGAAATAGGCCAAAAATATCTAGAGACTTCATCGAATAGATGGTGTCAGAGTCCTTTGGAATATCATTCACCTCGATCCATGGATCCAACATGCAACTATCGATAATGTCCAGCTCGTGGGAACTCCGGTCTTTCGGCTGTTGATAAAAATTAGAAAGTCAAATACCCAAAATAAATTTATTAATATAATAATACAATTTTAAAAATGGGTTTTTAGAAAACAATTAATTTTGATTATAAGGGTTCCGTTCTGTGGAGTGGTAGTTAGTAGTAATATAGTATCGAGACTATATATGCGTGGGTGTCCACCCACGTATAAGTATACTACCCGGATTCCTCTGTTCTTCCGAGAACACACCAGAAATTCCATACATACTTATGCATACTACAACCTACGCGGTAGTGAAATCCTTACGTTGATTATATTATTATATATCTTTAAAATAGTTAAAATAAATTAATTTAGAGTGAAATGCATCTCGAGATCTCATTCAGCCACATTCATTTATCTTTAAGTTGTAGGAATATCCAGTAGAGTCCCTGCCCCCCAAGTGAGTCCTCTGAAATCGGTATACTGCTTTTTTTTTTGTTGTTCATACTTAAGACGATTGATCGATTATATATAGTTATTTCTCTCGCCCTCAACCTTCAACTACATTACGAAGTTGCCTCATAGTGCGCGGCCATCCCGAAGGGGGTGTTACGGAGTCTAAATAGCGGTATAATACTAAGTAACTTAACTCAAGGAATCTAGAATTTGTCTCGTCGCCAGACTCCTCAACTGTGTCTAGAATATATATACATAAGTACATATCGATATATCATTGCACGATCGGCGTACAAGTTCTGAAATGTGCACCACTTAGATCATCTACAGATCCATGTATTTTCGCTTTAACTACCTCGAGCATTGCTCGTTCTTCGGTGTCACTCTTGAACTCCCGTTCGCCAACAGAATTTCTACAACTTTGAGGTGCCCTCGACTTGATGCTATCTGAATCAATCCATCGTGGCATTCGCTTTCGCTAATATCAGCGCCATTTTTTAGAAGTAACTCCACAACTTTCTCGTGGCCACGAGACACCGCGGCCGCAAGTGCATTTTGGCTTGCCCTAGGCATACTGTTTTGTGCATTAACGTCAGCACCGTTAATCAATAGTAGTTTAGCAACTTTTTCAAAGCCGCAACTTGACGCCGCTTGAAGCGCACTGCCGTGTACTCCAAATTGAGCATTGACATCTGCGCCCTGACGTATAAGCGTTTCGACAATCCTTTCGTGGCCGCAACTCGACGCCGCATGAAGTGCCCCACTTTGATCGATAGTAGCACCGTTAGCTACTAAAAGCTCCACCGATTCATGATGACCATGAGTTGATGCCGCCTCGAGTGCATTTCCCCATACGCTTTTAGCATTGGAATCAGCTCCCCTTTTGAGTAGTAACTCAACAATATTTGGATGGCCACAGCTAGATGCTGCTCGCAGCGCGCCGCCATATTCTTTTCCTTGAATACTAATATCGGCACCGTTTTCTAACAGCGTTTCGACAACCCTTTTGTAGCCGTGGCTCGCTGCCCTCTCCAGTGGATAACCTTGATCAACGTCGGCGCCATTCTTAAGTAATAACTTGACAACATCATCATGGCCGTAACGTGATGCTGCTGCGAGTGCGCCACAAAAATATCCACCTTGGTGATGGATGTCAGCCCCATTCTCCAGTAGCAATTCAACAACTTCCACGTGATTCGCAGATGAAGCTGCTTCAAGAGCTGTACTACTAATGCCACCTTGAGCATTGATGTTGGCTCCGTTGGCTAACAGCAATTTAACAATTCTCACATAACCAAATCTCGAGGCCGCGTGAATTGGAAAGCCAAAATAATCATCCTGCTTATTAGCGTCAGCCCCATTAGCTAACAGTATCTCCACGACATCGCAATGACCGCAAACCGATGCTGCAAAAAGTGCCGGATCATCGAACTCGCCGAAGGTGTTGAGTTGGGAACCGGCGCTGATCAAAGAGCCCACCATGCCTCGTAGGCCGCAAGCCGATGCGTAATAAACTTTTGAGATTTGTTCCACGGACATGAAATATTGATATGGATGGGGCTCTGGCTGATAAAGATTATAACAGAGCCGATAAAATCTTTTATCATCGTAAAAAAGCTTCTCCAGGAGTGCCTGTAAATCTTGATCCGCAGCCTCGACACCTATCGCGAACTCCATCCAATACCTTGCACTATACCTTGCGAATGGAAAGGCTTTTAGAAACCGGATTAACGAATCTTCATCAAAGCTCATTGGCTCCGGTAGATCTAGGTGTAAGATGTACGTTAAGCAGATCTTCGATATTGATGCGTTCGCATGAAATTCTTGAAAGTTTGGCGCGATCTTGTCGTCTAACCGACTTGACAATAGATACTCCTTAACCGAAGCGTGTGCTAGCTGAAGTTGTGTCCGATCAATAGATACGTTCGCCGTAGTTACCAAGCTAGAGCAGTAACAAAGGATTTCGTTTTGATTCGGCATTCTATACTTCGGATCGAAGTGTGGACTTTCCTCGAGGTCGACTGCGATTATGTCAATTACCTCCTCGATCCACAGATGTCTTCTAGAGTACGTCAAAAATTGAAGGATCTTTATAGCACTTTTTTTGTAGTCTTCAGGGATTCCATGTAGGATCCGAGCGTATGTTCCATCTAGGGTTTTTGGAAGCGATCTAAGAGTTTGGCGCAACTGACGGAGGTCGAGACAACTACTGATAGCATCAAGTTGGCATGCAACCCACCGGAACCTAGGTTTTTTTGTACCATTAGTTATTATATTCACCTAGAGTTAAGGATCTCTACCTATGGGCCAATCAGGACTCACATGCCGTCTGACTTCCGTTGGAGTTCTGCCTCCATCTCATCTTGAATATCTGGGTATGCTCGCCATCTTTCGAGACCGTCGTCGTCCCTGACCCGCCAACGAATATATGCAGAAATGTCACTACTTGTTAAACCGCTTCGAATCTCTAATGAATAGTCTGTGTGGGCCAGTTTTCTTATTCCAGATTCAATGTCATTCTTATCTGACCGGCTTGTAACTAAAAGGTGAACATTCTTTCGCTCCGAGACCGCCCGAACCCCTTTCATCCATGAGAGTAATTCGACCCTCTCTTCCTGGTTACATTCGTCAAGTGCATCCAAGACTATCCAAATCTCTTCGGTTTTTTCGATCATGCCTAGGAATGTTTGCGAAAGCAATAGGGAGGTCGGTTGTATGTTTCCATCCTGACAAGAGTGAAACAGTTCCTCAAGCTGCGGCAGCGGCGCTTGACTAGATTGATGATAGAGTTGGTAGAGAAGTGACCGAATCATTTTATCGAACGTTTGTTTGTCGCCATCAGTAATGTCGAAGTAGAAGTAAACTAGGGGTCGACGGGAAGAGAGGTTTTCAATAACGGTGGAACTAAGAATTGTCTTCCCGCACCCCATAATGCCATGCAACCATAAGAACGAATTTCGATCAGCTTTCCATTTGTCGAAATTGTCACTTTCGAGAAGCCAGCTTCCTGTGCCCTTGTGACGTTGGCGAATGGCTTTGTTGTAGTTGGTTGAGCAGTCCGAAGGCGAGAGCCAGGCTTTGATAGCTACCTGATGTTGTTTGGTAGTCAAATTCCCAAGACTGGCCCCCATAATCTGAACGCTTGCATTTATTTCAGACGTTGTCTTCTCGACTTAGATTTGAGATATAGTTAGCTAACATTACATGTACATCTATACAGTGAATCTACTGCCAACCTCTTGCCTCTCGATCATTTCTGCGGAATATGTAGCTTACTTGATGATAAAATACCGGGGATTTCTGATATCCTTGTTTCTGCCTCCACCCTACTTGGAGCGATTTCATTGAGCAAGTCTTTCGCGTATGCTGTCGCCGTCATTGAGGCATATCCTTGCCACTCTTTGTTTTTGTGAGAATCCGAATAGTCGCATATCCCTCTGATAACTAGACAAGGAAATTGATTTACCAATCCCGCAGCTTCCATCTCGAAACAAAGAACGCCCTTCTTTGCAACAATTTGATCTCTGACAGTGGCATTCTTCATAAGACAATTTGCGGAAGCAATTAGTCCACAGTGAATTGCGGGGTTGTCTTCATCCTCATCCCTTTCTGGCCGTACGACTAGTTTCGACGCATCGTTGCCACAACTTTTTACGCAATGTTCTTCGTCGTCCTCAGAAGAAGGGTGTATGACATCCGATCTATATAGCCTGTCGCTACTTGCCTGGGGACGCTTATACTTCCGATTCAACTTTCGGTTCTTTTGAAGGACACTTTCAATAGCCTCTTCGATCTGGTGCCCCTGCAGTTCATACCTAGCGCCCAGGCCATTAACCGCTGTTCGTAGGAAAACTGGAGGGGGGGCTAAAAATCCCGTTTCTTGAAAGCGCTGAACACTTGTGCCATCTTCTGTGTCCGCAGTTTCCGTAACTTTGCCAAAGTCGTATTGAAAGACGCCGCCATGCCCATCACGTGGAGAACTGACAACGATATCTCCGAGGCGAATATCGTTCTTTCGGCTTGGAGCGCCTCCACCGACCCCTACCATTAGACCAATTCTAAGATTGGGAAAGCTACGAATAACATCTTTTATCACAGCTGCTGCAGAAGACAAGCCATATCCGCCGTCTGGTAGAACAACTATAACTACGTTATGTTTCCCGATTCTGCCTAGCGTGTAGTGGTTATTGTCCCCAGGTGGTATGAATTCGGGTGTCCCGAAATTTTCGTCGAGAAAGGCCTGTGCAGCGACATACTCTGTTCGTATAGCACATATCCAACCGACAGTGTAACTAGCATAGTCGGGCATCTTTTGAGGAGCCGGCTTAACCTGGCCAATATAATTTGAGGGGTCTGAGCTATGGTTAATGACAAAACTTTGTGAATATAGTAATTAGAAAATCCGCACCCTAAGGCAGAGTAAAAGGTGAAAAGAACAATCAACCTCGGATCACGAACTCGATGTTGGTGGAGAATTTTTTGCTGATATAAATACATATCATAACCAATCCGCCTACACTGCACTGTCGAAATATTATAACGCGCGGCTACTGGTTTTGTTACCCCGCACAGCTGTACAGATAGCTACGCCACACGCATGCATATCCCTCAGCAATTTTAGAAAATGATGGAGTTTTACTACCTTAGACATCATAGTAGGTACTCGACCTCGAAAATTTATGTATCTATTCGGCTGTGCACATTTGCAGTAGGGAGAAAGTATGAGGACGGGTGACTAACGCAGGCCCGCTAATATTGTTTGCCGAGCGTTATTTTTTCGCGGGATCGACCATTTTAGTGGCTATATCCACCACCACTGTTTAAACCAATGGCGCTAACGAAATAAAATCTCCAAGAAACCTTGTACGACAGACTCAAAGATACTGATCATTAGTTTCGTGGTAGAATGGGGGTTATGGTTTGACTGTTGCTAATTACTAGCGATAGCGGCCTACATGCTCCGTAACACGTTGTAACATCTTATTTCGGGATAGCAATGACCAAGGAAACGTTCACTTCATCCCAAAGAAATTAAAATTTAGAAAGAATAGCGCCGGAGACCTTAAGCCTTGCTAAAAGAATTGATCAGACTATTGGCCTTTAGAATTCTTCTAATTTGGTCACGTCGTATGCAGGCTCCTCGTATGGGTGGGCACTTCAAAAAAACATAGTTAGTTAGGGAATTTTGGAAAAGCGCTATAGACTACCACCCATAAAATATGTTAACGTATATATAGTATGGTTTTGACTAACCTCTTGAGTGCCTGGACTACTTCGCGCACAACCTCCTCTCCAATGACAAGCGTCTCGACCCTCGCTTCTTCTACTTGCTTCAGTTCTCCTACTTCTCCAAGATGCGGATTTGCCATATCACCAGGCCTAAATTGCCCAGTTCCTAAGGAGACCCAGGCACATTCCGTATAATTTCCAGGTCCGGGGTACCGCCCTGCGCCGGCGGCAAAAATTGCGGCTTTCGTAGCATCAAGGTTCTTGACGGGGACGAAGTAAATGAGTTTGTACTTCTGCGTTGAACTTGAGGACATTCTTGCTGTAGTTGAAAAACTTGACCGTTGATATATATAATAATAATGGAATCGATTTAATGATCTTGATAGGTGTGTATATTGAGGTTTTCTCGAGAATATATTTTTGACGAAAGGGACATGCATTATTTGTAAATGTCAAGAGCACCAAGTGGGTATTAAATATACCTGCGATATTCTATTGGTCTTGATTAATTGAATTAAATGCAGCACGACGGCAATGTCGAGCGGGGTTTGGCTAGCTTCGGAAGGACGAAGTGGCGATTGGCTGAAATATTCAAGGAGGGCGCTTCCATGGCTTGTCAGGATCCCTTCCCAGTTTCTCGCCGTCTGCGCCACATGGCAGCTGCTATGGAGCCTCAGTTGATTAAACATATATAGCCTTGCATCCGGCTTCGATTCAGTTGTACTAGCTTCTATGAGCGTAGTTCATGACATCCCAATAAACCCCGTATACTCAAACTTATAGACTTATCACTGTCTCAAAATATTTCCCTGTCAATCCTAAACGCAATCCACGTACAAAGTAAATATAACATGGATGTCGACGAAATTACGTCGGAAGGCTATGTCTTCCTCCGCCTACCAGAAGAGACAGCATTCCGAGTCGTTGAAATTCTCCCTGGAGAGAAAGATACACCCATCTACTGCAAACTTCATGTAACGGATTGGGAAAACACTCTCCCATATGAAGCCCTTTCATATGTCTGGGGTGATTCTACCCGAGAAAACCCTGTTTTTGTTGATGGAAAGCGGTTAAATGTGACTCAAAGTCTGTGGACCGCTATCAACCACTTGCGCTATCCGGACCGAGCCCGTTTTCTCTGGGCTGACATTATCTGGTAAGTTTCTTTGTATACGTAATTAAGCTGCGGTATTATAATATCACGATGCATGTACTTGAAATATTTATACTAACTATGTGTAAAAACAACTAGCATCGACCAAGAGCACAACGGGGAGAAAGGAAAACAGATTCAACAGATGAAGAGAATCTATGAGAATGCTCAAGCTGTCGTTTCCTGGCTTGGCCCTGACACCGAAGATCATAAGGCTGGTCCAGCGATCGAAGCCATCCGAGTAGTATCGGACTTCCTCTGCAGAGAGCTCAAAGTGACAGTTGCGGATCTCAAAGCAATGAACAACATGACAGAGTTCGTATTTAAACACCGCGAGACCCTTCCCAATCCGGATGAGTGCGATTTCAGCTCAGAGGAACTATGGAAAGCTTTGGCTTGGTTCTATTCCATTCCCTATTTCACTCGTGTTTGGGTTATCCAAGAGGTTAACGCCAATAGAGAGCGAACAGCGCATTGTGGCTATGAGACTGTCCCATGGGACCTTGTCGAAATTGTGGCGGGGTATATTATCATGGAAACTGACTTCTCTAAGCGATGGGGGTTCTCTAAGACGAACGTCTGGTGGGCAGCTACTACCACCGAACTCAAACGTCCCGAGAATTGGCTTTCGATGCTCTACTTGGCATCCAACTACGGTTGCTTAGATGCTAGGGATGTAATCTATGGGCTGAGAGGTCTGATGAGGTTTTCTAAAGGTGCCGAGCTTTTGACACCGGATTATGGAAAAAATTCTCTTGAAGTTTATCGAGACTCTGTGGAGGCTGCCTTGGTAAACTTCGAGAATACAGATGTCTTACTGTATCTCGCTGGAGTTGAAAGTCCCTCATGGATACCCGCGTGGAACGTTTCCATGCTCTTCAGGAACCCATTTAGGTTTGGAAATAGAGTACCTTGGAAGCCGGCTGGGGACTCGAAAGCTGTCTGGAGCATTGATAAGAAGGACAATATTTTATCTGTGGATGGGTTCATTGCCGACACTATCAAGATCTCACAGCCATACAACGAAATGTACTTTGGAACCACGATGCTGAGCTCTGAAGAAGGCACTGTGAAACTAAAGCAGGTTTGGAAAGAAATCTTGGAGATCATAGAACAGGCAACCGCATCGTCCACTCCATTCACAAAAAACCTACTAAACGCAGCGGGGAATACCTTTTCATTTGGACTGAATGAAAAAAGTCTTCCAGCAGATGAAGGGCTTCTCCTTCATCGGTTCGTGGCATACCTCAAGATAGTACTCGACGGCGAAATATTTGCCAAATATGTCTCTAAAGATCTTGCCAGTGAATCTTCGGAAGCCGATGGGGCTTTGTTTGGGAAACCAGTATGGGACTTTACATATCCAGAGTCGAGTTTCTATGTCACTGAAGGGGGATTGCTGGGGTGCTGCGTTTCTTCGACAAAGGTGGGTGATTCGGTTGCCGTTCCTCTAGGTAGTACCTACCCTCTTGTTCTGCACCCGGAGGAAGATGGAAAGTTCCTAATTCGAGGGTTCACCTATGTGTATGGGGCTATGCATGGGGAACTGAAAGACACGTCGACTCGAGCGATAGAGCTACGCTAAATTTAAACTCATGTATACTTACCTAACGGGGTATATGAAGGTGTCGCGGTCTAGACGGTTGTTGTGAACTTAAGGATTTGGTATTATATTGGTAGGTAGCGTTGGATTACAAGACTCTTAAAATAGCATTTTATATTGATCACTTAGGTTAATGAAATCATTCTGTGAATTTTTCGTTCTTCAAACATTATCTTAGGCTTGCATTCTAGTGCGTCAAGATACCTATCAGCTCACTCGCTAAATGTAAATGTAACTGATACTAAAAAGTAATTCGGGCCAGCCGACCTGATAGGTAATTGTTGCAAAATGTGTGTTGAGGATAGTTAGTTCTTCGCCCCGGCGACTCGACAAAATCCGCATTGCGTCTAGCCAACTCTGCAGCGGTTAGTGTAGACGCATAAATATACGGTGATCTATGCTATTATCGTCACCAGAATTTTTAATGTATGCAGTTCTCAGTCACGGCCGGAAACGTGAAATTTCATTGGGCTTGTTCCATGCAATGGTAAAGATAAATAAAAGTCCATTCCCACACACCTGCAAACACCAGAACCAGGATCCACGATAGCAACTACCAAAAACCAATACAGTATTCCGCTATAACCAACAAAAACAAGTCCCATATTTGAAGTTAATTTTTATGCCGCACAATCAATATGCATACCCAAAAGCAAGCCCACCTCGCCCTTTCAGCTATTGTTGAAATCAATAATACGAAATTTAGAACGATGCAATAGAAACCGGAAAAGGAGGGACGAGAGCTGCTGATCAATGAGAATTGATCGTGTAGTTATTGCCATGCCTAGAACTCCCACGAACATCTTCCCATGCGCCGGCGAACCTGTTCCCAGTTGCCCCCAACAAGCTCTCTTCTTCCTCCTCATCTTCATCCGCTAGCTGATCTTCGAAGTTCATCTTAGGGGTTCTTACTAACGCTGTCAAAGCCGTGATGATGAATAACCCAATGAATGCAAATTGCGCCCAGAATGTGAAAATACCAAAGAACGGATAATTCAAAGTGATCCTGTTGATAAAAGTTGAGACCACGGTGGGGGTGCAGACTTCTGCTGCGGGCCCAGTGGCGCCGGCAGAGCACGGAATGAGATGATCAGGGTGATTTGTGCAGTCACGGACGACACCTGGCTCGTTCATAGGCCATGTACAGTACTTTTGGCCACCAAAGTGTGAGTACTGTGGCGCCACAAACATTGTCAGGCCATAGTTGATTGCGAGGACGGAGAGTGTGAGTAGTGTTGTGCCCATAAGCAGGGCCTGTGGTTTTGTGTGACCACTGCGAATCTTGAAGATGACAATCCAAAGGAAACGAATGCCGATAAAAGCGAGCCCGACGACGGTCGAGGTGAAGAAGAAAAGCACAAGCAGAAGGGCGATGACGTAATCGACAGGGAATACTTTGGAGGCTTTGACAAAGACCCAATTAATTGGGTTGAAGATGTTGACATCGGTGAGGATGTAACCACATCTTGCACCGCATTTGGAGAACTTAATTTTGTCGATACTATTTTGACTGTTAGCTTATGTACCCTATAAATGAAAACGCTGGAGAAAATACCCTGTGATCAACATCGATGCAATGAGCAAAGCCGAAACTCCGAGGAGAAGAAGCCCGAGAAGTAATTTGAATGGCCTGAGTGCTGCCCGAACCTTGAGCCACCACTTATTCTTTCCTTCGTCTGCTAGCCTTTGTTTTCGAGTTAAGGTTCTCTCTTCTCGCTGCAAAGCCTCAAGCTCCCTTCTGTCTTTAGTGTTTAGGCCATTCCCTCCCACATTCTTGGCTTCGATGATTCGTTGTCTCTCCCGGTTATATTCGAGAGCACTACGGGCTTCCTCCGCTGAAGTGATAGAAATGGCTGGAATTGATTTTATGAGGGAAACCGGGAAAAGGGCAAGACCCGGTGCTGTGTAGACAACGTATAGTACCGTACCGAGGCACAACAGCACCCCGACTATGAAAGTTAAGGCCCGTTCACCCCGGTTTTCCAAAAGTAGTTTGCGGAAGAAGTCGAGATCATAATGTTCTTTGCCGTTTCTTTGAGCAGCGACAGGAATGAAGAATCCAACAAGGAATAGGACGAGCAGGAGAAGTATAAAAGCCGTGGTGTATTTGAAGGCGCCTCGAATCCGTGACCCTGCTGTAGAGTCGATATCCCACTCTTCGTACCTACACAAAACATATTAGCACGAGTTGGCTGTTTGAGTTTCCTAGTCGTGAAATCTTACCAAAAATATGCAAATGGTATAACCAGAAGACACATCAAAGCATCCAACGAATACAGCAAGTAATAAACCACTTTAAGACTCAATAGTATATTGTCTACTGTGTCCGGATTCGCCCATTTCTTCTTGGTGCCAGTAGTACTATCGGTAGTTGACGAAACAAGTGCGATATCAAGCGGTAGAAGACAGACAGTCGCGAGTAATGACGTTAGGGCAAGAACGGTGACTACGGATACGAACAGGCTACGGTCCCTAGGAGCACTGTATATTGCGACGAAAGTAATAGCGACAATGATCAAGATGACGAGAGCGATGAGGCCAGTAATCCAAATTAGCGATGTTTGTAACAACGCCATGGCAAACGGCTAGAGCTAGGCAGCTCGTATTATTCGATGGGGAATCTATCGGGTATATCGTCGCCAGGAGGATAAATCTCTAGTCGGAGAAGGTTTTTGGTTGTTTGAAAGTCGGGGGTGGTTGGGAGTTTCAAATCAGGTTCGGTTCATGGCTGGACGGATGCTTTAAACGAACCGGACGCGCAGACGTCACAACCTGCCGAACGATGACGATGGACCCATGCCATCGTACAACCCCGCTGCGCCAAACCACGCCAAAGATACAAGCTTGTCAGGCCAGCCGTAGTACGAGTCAACCAGTTGTATAAATACCTTATCCAATGTTCACCCTGCCAGGGAAAGGAACTTTAAGGAAGCCGTGGGTCCTGGAACAACAGGGAAGTTGTGGGGCTAACTGCCGCCGAAATCTCGGCCGTCTTTTGATAAAATGAGAAGAAATACATGGCCGGCTGTGATATCTACGAAATCAGTGTGTAGAAACCAGAAAATACCTGGGTAGAGATTTAAATGGCCAGTAGACCAGAGGACGGGCAAATGCATGTTTGCAATCAATTGGTTGGCGCTGTTGAGCTGCTCGTATTTGAAATTCGCTTGGCGGCTTCAACCTGAACTGGATCTAGAACTAGAATTCGAACCACACTTGACCCAACAAACCACACGCGCCAAACCCGGGATATTGGTGTTCGACGGCATGAACGAGCATATGATACCGCCTTTATATCCAATAAGCTAATTAGGGTCCCGAACACCGGATAGCTTTCGCATAAGAGACGAAATGGGTAGCATGCAGGTCTACACCGAAATAACAGACCCAACCGCGGTCAACAACGCTCTCGCATTAAACTTCATTTCATCCACAGAGAGAAATCTAGTTGTCGCTAAAACATCGCTCCTTCAAATTTTCCGGCTGGTTGAATATGAAGATGCAGAGGGCGAGTTTGCGCTCGACGAAGCAAAGGATGAGGGTGGTAGCGATCGACGCGTATTCGAGGGTCGCGATCATGAAGACTCATTCACAGTTGAAAGTGGAATGCACCTCCAGCGAGAGACAATTGAAAAAACCACGAAGCTAGATTTGGTGGCGCAGTACCATTTATACGGAAGTGTCACCTCTATGGTGAAAATTAGGATCCCGACAAGTAAAAGCGGTGGAGATTGTCTATTGGTTTCTTTCGATTCTGCAAAGATTTCTCTGCTGGAATGGGATCCAGCTGCTCACTCGATATCAACTATCAGTTTGCATTACTACGAAGGGGATGAATTCAGGTCCCCTTTGACGCCGGAATTTCCGATCAATTATTTGATCTCTGATCCTAAAAGCAGATGTGCCGCATTTAAGTTCAATCACGACCTAGTCGCTATACTCCCATTCAGGCAGACTGAAGACGAAGATCTTGAAATTCCCGACAACGACTCCTTCACTTACGATCTGGAAGATGATGATGACGCCGAGAAACCAAAGAAGGACGTCGAAATGAAAGACAATACAGGCGAAGGAAAGCCATCCGACACCCCATACCACCCATCGTTCGTTCTATCAGCATCGCAGCTAGACGAATCTGTGGAGCGTATCATAGACATCGTGTTCCTACACGAATACCGAGAACCAACCTTTGGAATTGTTTACCAGCCACAACAAGGTTCTGTGGGAATGCTTGAAAGGAGGAAAGACCCGACTCATTTCATTGTAGTCACGCTAGACCTGGATCAACGGGCTTCGACATCTATCATGTCCGCGAAGAACCTACCATTCGATATTTGGAAGGCAGTAGCGCTGCCTCCTCCCATCGGTGGAACGCTTCTTCTGGGAGAGCACGAGATCGTCCACGTTGATCAAGCTGGAAAGATGTCTGCGGTTGCCGTTAATAGCTACGCTCAACAATACTCTGCCTTCAATATGACCGACCAATCCGACCTTGAGTTGAATCTTGAGTCTTGTTCAGCAATTTCTCTTCCTAATGAGAACGGCGACGTTCTCATAGTCACTATCGCGGGTGACTTTGCGATATTGTCGTTTAAAGCTGAAGGGCGAAGCATCAGTAGCCTATCCGTTCGAAGGATACAGAGCAAGGACGGATATCCGTTCACGTCCGCGCCCTGTGAGACACTAGTGGAAGTTGGTAATCGGCGATTTTTCCTTGGCTCGCTCGACTCTGATGCGATGCTCTGGGGTTACAAGCGGAAAGGCGAGAAAACCTCACTGTCCCAGAAATCCGAGGTCAAGTTAGAGCGGGATGACGCCGAGGACAACGTCGAAGACGACGATGACGAAGATGATCTCTATGGAGAATCTACCGTCACCCCAATCACACCCCGGAAGGCATCTTCCGGAAATATAGGTCGCGGGTCCTCCGGTGAATATGTGTTCCGCAGGCACGATAGGCTACAAAATGTCGGTCCATGCCGTCAAATGGCTTTTGGGCGGCCAGCCATGCTACCCGAGAAGCTCAAACTCCACCAAGGTGTCCTCCCGGAACTCGAGTTAATGGCAACAACAGGGAGAGGTGTCGAGGGCGCCGTCACAGTATTTAACACGTCAATATGCCCAAGGGTTTCTGCTACATTTGATTTCAAGGACTGCCAGCGACTCTGGGCCGTCCATTCTAAACAGGTTAAAAAGGGACAATCCATGATCCCTTCTTCGGTCAGCAAAGGGTATGAGGAACAGATTGGTGCAACGGAGGACTACAGTACATACCTCTTCGCCTCGAATACTTCTGAAACACTTGTTTACAAGGTGGGGACGAAGTTCGAACCCCTAGAGGGCACCGACATCGAGACAACAGAAGTATGCCCAACATTAGAGTTCGGCACATTCCAGGATGGATTACGAATTGCACAAGTCTGCGAGACCAACGTGAAGGTCTATGATAGTGGTCTGTACCCTAGACTAGCCAATCAATTCCATTTTTCAATACCTTCTTTTTTTTCCGCCCATATAGATTCATGTAAAACGTGGTTCTGGGATTCTGATTTGGTTTCGGTGTGAATAGAATTGCAACTCATCCAGATCATATCGACGAATGACGAGGACCCCGACGGAGGCCCGCATATTGTGTCTGCCAGCTTTGCGGATCCTTACATGCTTTTAATATGCGGTGATTCATCCATATTAGCATGTCAGTGTCACGAGCGGACTCTTGAATTGGATAGAATCGAATTACCAGCCACTATAAAGGTAGCACCACCTATTACTTCAGCAAACACGCTCGGTACTGACTCACGGTAGGACACGAAGTATACGAATGGTTGTCTATACACATCGTCAAGTGAAGTCTTCGGACTGGGTACAAAGTCGCAGGTTCTCTGCTTCCTCCTTACTGAGGAAGGAACATTGCAGGTGAGTTGATGTCGCTAGGATCCTATATTTTTCAACAATCGTAATTTTGATATGTCAATATTAGGTTTTCACGCTACCCAATTTTGAGTTAAAAGCTACGTTGGAACATTTCGATATGAGTCTACAGCTTGTTAGTCCAGATGAAACTGCACTAAGGTTTCATACTGCAAGGGACGAGATTGAAGAAATCATTGTAGCGGATCTCGGAGATAATATCAGCAAAGCACCCTATCTAATTGTGAGTCTATTTTCTTCATGACCAAGGATGTAACTTACCCTACTGACATTGCCTATAGGTCAAAACTAAGCGAGATGACATTATAATCTATGAACCTTTCATAAGTAATGGAATTTGCTTCAAAAAGATTTACAATACGGTGCTCCCAACCGTTAGCTTGTCAGAGCAAAAGTCGCCAAGTGGCCCACTGGTAAAAATCGACGATTTAGGAGGCTATAGTGTTGCTTTCATGGCGGGTGATACCCCAACGTTTATTACCAAATCTTCGAAAACTTTGCCCAAGTTATATAAGCTGCAAGGAGGGATGGTGAGAAGCTTAAGTCCTTTCAACACGAAGGAGACTGAAAGAGGGTTTTTGTACATTGATTCCAAGGTAAATACGCTCTTGTCTATCTATGAATATGATTGTCAACGAGTAGAAACTAATGAGAAAAAAGGGTACCGCTCGCGTTTGTCATTTCCCCGAAGTTTCAATGGAGCACACTTGGTTATCCCAAAGGATTCCTCTTGAAAGAACTCCGACATCATTGACCTACTACGACCCTAAGAACGTCTATGTGGTTTCAGTGCTGAGTACTTCGAAACCTGAAGTCGATGATGAAGATTTCCAGATGGAAGAGGGCCTTGTCGATGAAACCTTACTGCCGGAGCTTGAGACAGGACATTTGGTGATGATTTCGCCGGTCACCTGGACGACAACAGATAGGTAAGATAATAAGCGTTCTCGGTGCTTAGTCAAGATATCTAATAATACAATTCACTTAGATATGAATTTCCAGTTCATGAAGTACCGTTCGTCGTTAAAGCCGTTGAACTTGAAATATCAGAAGTCACCAAAGAACGAAAGGTTCTGATCGCTGTTGGAACAGGCCTGCTTCGGGGTGAAAATTCACCGGCTCGTGGCGCAGTCTACGTGTTCGACGTGATTGACGTCGTTCCAGAGATTGGGAAGCCAGAAACAGGGAAGAAGTTCAAACTGATCTCGAGAGAAGAGGTTAAAGGCGTTGTTAGCACTCTAGCTGGTATGGACGGCTACCTCCTCATTACACATGGTCAGAAGTGTATGATCAGAGGGTTGAAAGAGGATGGGTCGCTGTTACCTGTTGCTTTTATGGATATGAATACACATACAACTGTGGCAAAAACCTTGGAGAAGATGGTGATGTTCGGCGATGTGTTGAAGGGGGTGTCTTTTGTCGGGTTTTCAGAAGAACCGTACAAGATGATTCTGTTCGGAAAGGATCCCAGGCAGCTATCAATAACGGCGGGTGATTTCCTACCAGCGGGGACTGCATGTTACTTCGTTGTAGCGGATGCACAGTCGAACATTCATGTTCTACAATATGACCCAGAGAGTATGCGATACCCTCAACCCTCATTCCCTGAAACTTAGTTTACTAACGATCTTGCTAGACCCCAAATCCATCCATGGAAACAGGTTACTTCCTAAAGGCGAAATCTATTGCGGTCATGAGGTCAAGTCGATATGTATCTTACCAAAGAAAAAGAGTCTCTTCACTGAGCCAGACGAAGACGATATGGATGAAGACGAGGATGAAGAATTCCTCTGCATGTTCAGTACAATGACGGGAGTATTTGGGACTGTCTCATCAATCACAGAATCCATGTACCGCCGGCTGAATGTCATTCAAGGGCAAATTACGAACACGGGCGAACATATAGCGGGCTTGAATCCTAGGGCATATCGGGCGGCTAAATTCAGGAACACCAGTTCAGAGCCTATGAGGGCGATCTTGGACGGTAAACTTTTGGTCAGATGGTTAATGTTAGGAGCTGGTAGAAGGAAAGAGTTAGCTGGCAGGGCGGGAACTTCGGAGGAAATGTTGAGGGAGGATTTATGGTTTTTGCAGGATGCTACGGCTTTCTTCTAAGGCGCGCAATCATAGATTTTGAAATATACAACTGTATAATAGGAGAGGAATATTGCAATATGACCAACATGATACCGACTCCCTCCTAGTCCCCCGTTATAGAAAAGGGGACAGCCCCCAATATAATATCATCTGTGTCATGTGTCTTGCCTTCCAGACCAACTCTCGATCCAGAAATCCAACAGCAAAATGTGTTGCAAAGCGGCCAGCTTGGAGGGGCAGTCTTGGCGATAAGCTGTTGGACAGAAGCTCAAGCTACGTTGTGCAACTTCACCCGCCGCTCCACGTCTTCCCCCTCCTCTATCGGCGTTATCTTCTTAAGATCTAAAGAATCATCAAAGCCACAATGACCGACCCCTTCGATTCAGCCTTGTAAGATATCTCGACAGCCCGAGCGCCGTAGCCTATAACTATAGCTTATACTAATCTCCTACCCCGCCACGTACCAGGGACCTCCTCCGCCGTCTTAACCCCAAACACATCACCAAAAACCTAAACGCCTTGATCGGCTTGGTTCCGGACCTCACCGAAGACCTTCTATCATCTGTCGATCAACCATTGCAGATTTCGAAATGCAAGAAGAGTGGAAGAGAATACCTTCTTTGCGACTACAATCGCGACGGTGACAGCTATCGATCGCCATGGAGTAATGAATTCGACCCACCACTAAGTGACGGAACCGTGCCGAGCGAGAAGGTCCGGAAGATGGAAATTGCAGCGAATCAAGCTTTTGATGTCTATAGAGAATTGTAAGAGTCCGTCTGGGTTCACAAGCTTTATTTGAAGCTAGTTAAGCTGATGACGTGTTAGGTACTATGAGGGCGGTGTTTCTAGTGTCTACTTCTGGAATCTAGACGACGGTTTCGCTGGTGTAGTGCTCCTGAAGAAGTCTTCTGCTGCGACTTCGAAGAATACGGGAACTTGGGATTCTATACACGTCTTTGAAGCTCTTGACAGGCCCAGGCAAGCACATTATAAGCTCACCAGCACAGTTATCCTCAATATGGAGAACACCTCAGACGTTATTGGAACTATGGACCTCAGTGGTAATATGACACGTCAGATCGAAGCGGATCTTCCAGTGGAGGACGATAATTCTCATATCGTGAATATTGGTCGGCTCGTGGAGGACATGGAGTTAAAGATGAGGAATTTGCTGCGTGAGTTCTTTTGGAATTGAATTTTACTCTGAGATAGCACCGACTGACCGATGTTTCTTTGTTTCTGCAGAGGAGGTTTACTTTGGCAAAGGTGAATATCACTAATAACCCTACCAAGTGATGAATGAATGCTAATACAGTTTTGATGGTTTGATAGCCAAGGATGTCGTCAATGATCTAAGAAGTGTCAGCAACCTCACGGAAGTTAACAGGGAGAGAGCTGCGCATTCGGACGTCATGTCTGCTATGCTCAGACGGTAGAGTATTTTGGGCTTCGACTTTTGCTTGATTGTTTGCTGTAGCTTAGGCGTACCTAGCAAGGGCACTTCATGTTGTTTGCGACTGATATATACTGCTTAAACCACTATTAAACACGTACGATGCTTGCCAGTTAGAACAATATAGCCGGCGGAAACTTGCAAGCGATTTCCCCATATTGTTTGTCCATAAATTAGTAGCCTGTCCCCCATGTGCATCGTGCGCCTGCAGTTGAAGCGGAATCCTGGAGTTGGTGCCGTGCAGGTAATATAGTCTGGCGAAGGTGTTCGTGTTGGAACTGATTTAACCGAACACGCGACCAGTCGCAATTAATCTTTCTTCTGAGTGAGTTTTCGGCCTCGAAATTTCACAATCCCAGAACCCCCATCTCATCACGTTTTTCCTCCTCCACGACCCAGAAAGCCTTTTCCCCCAAGCCTTCAACCTCGATAATTCATCTCATCATAATTGCGATACTCTTAAAGACCCTTTAAACCTACCCCACTAAATCCGACCTTCCTGCCGAACACTCGCACGAGACCCTGATCCAGTCATCGATCCTGCCGACATTTCTGGCGCGCCCGACGTCATACAGCAACCATCAGAAGAGTCTGCCGATATTGATCCCTTATCCGTAGCTCGTCCTGCTCCGACCTTGAAGCTCCAGCTATTATTTCATTTCCATTACCTCCACCATACTAGTTGTTGCTACCGCAGTGCAAACAGAAAAGATGCCGGGGATGGAAACAAAGGACATCAAGATCCACGGCGCAAGCCTGGATAAGGCTGTCCGTGAGAAACTCCCGGCTACCCACATCACCGAGATCTTGGGAAGACTGAAGAGCGATGTTGTCGCGACAGAGCAAATTCTGAGGGTAGGTAAAAATTCCTGACGGTTAGAAACTATAGCCCTAGTTTAGGGTGGTATGAGGGTACCTGCATAAAATTTCCTGCAGGAGAGCGCCCAGCGTATGCATGGAAGGTCTCGGATGACGATTAGATATTGGAAAAGAATGGGAAGTTTTTCGTTGGAAGTGCTTGTGCTGATAAGATGGGATGATTGGTTTTGTAGGAGACTAAGATCGGAATGATTGTTAACAAGCTTCGTGGACATGCCGATAAGACTGTCTCTGAGCTTGCAAAGGATATTGTCAACAAGTGGAAGAAGGACGTTAGCATGAAGCCTAAATCCGGCTCTTCGAGCGATGCCAAAGGTGGTGTGGCCATGAAGAAAGAAGCGAGCACAAATGGTGGAACCTCAGGAAAAGATACGCCGAACAAGTCGACACCGACACCCTCGGTACCCAGGAAAACTGGAGGTTCATCGGTGGACCCGATGAAGAGAAGCCATAAAACCGATGGCGTGGAATGCAACATTTTTGGGGGCGATGAGGTTCGTACGAAGTCTCTAGCTATGATCTATGACGGTCTAGTTATCGGAGCCCTAGCGAGTATGTTCACCGTAGCTCTTTCTCAATACACACTCCTGTCTACTAAATTAACGAACTTCGTTCATTAAAGCACCCGATGATGTTTTCAAACTCGCCAAGGATACCGAACACAATCTCTACCGTAACCACGGAAGTAAGACCGACACAGCATACCGAAACAAACTCCGATCTCTCTTTTTCAACCTGAAAGACCCTAAAAATCCTAGCTTGAGAAATAACGTCATTTCGGGGAGAATCGAGCCCATGAGACTCGCCTTAATGTCATCGGAGGAGATGGCATCTGCTGAACGAAAGCGGGAAGACGAAAAGATTGAGCAGGAAAATATGAAAGAGGCCATGGTTGCCAAAGCCCCCACAAGTGTCACAGATCAGTTACGCTGTGGCAAATGCGGCAAGAGGAACGTTTCTTACAGTCAGGCACAGACCCGCTCTGCCGACGAACCGATGACAACAGTAAGCACTCCCTCAATCCTACGAAAAGTCATGGGTTGTTCATATGCTAATATTTCGCCACCATCAGTTCTGTGAATGTCTACAGTGTGGTAATCGTTGGAAGGTTAGTCTAAGTTTCATATCTGAATCTCACAAAACGAACATTTATCTAACACCCAGTCTCCATAGTTTTCGTAAACACTTGCATGTTACTAGGTTTGGTTTCGCTCTTGGGCCTATTGTATTCTGTCGAGCAGCATATTTATCGTTATTCCCTAGACACTGGACCTTCAAAATTGAACCCAGCGAATTTTGGGTAGATCACCCATCTATTATATCTACCTTAACACTTAATGTTTCTAGCGATTCCTCATTATTATTTTCCCTCTTAGCCACACTCAGGTCCATGAGTTTCCCGGTTCCCCATGTCTTTTATACTAGTACTTCAGACTGGAACAGGTTCGGTTTATTTTTCTGGGCTCGAGATTAGTAAATTTAAATAGGCACCTAGCCTTAGAGTTCAGAAACTCTTCAAATCCTCTAGTACCCAGCCCTAGTCCCCCGAAAAGTCTTGAAACCACTGTTTGGTTAGACCTCCTGGAACCGCAATCTTTGAATTCAATTGAAGTACACCCATACTTCGATAACACCTAGTGAATGAAGGGGGCACTAGCCTATATACGGACACGATGATCCTATACCTTATTGTTGTCTACATAACTAAAATGAAACCGGTATTACTTGAAAGAAGGATACGTCGAAAATGAGCTGCATCACTAGCAGCCTAAAATGGAGGACGATCGCCTTGATCAGGTATATTCCCGATCTGGCACGAGTTCTCAAAATACCACGAGAATCTTGCGTTGCAACAGAGCCTACGCCTAATTAGGGTACCACGTCGAGTTTAATATTAACTAAACTACTGTTCTTTACTCTATGGAGAGAGTAACCAGAGGCTTGGTCTCTTCGCTCGGGAGGTTTTGGAAATTTGAGGTCATCCTATAGTTATAGTGCCCCCAGTACACACGTGCTCAACTTCATGGATTATATATATATATATACCTTTAACAACTATATATATACACATACAGCTCTGCCTCCGTATTGTTTCCTAAGGACCCTAGACTGACCCGAAGAATAGGATATCAGTCAGACAGAGTGATACCCCAGACTAAGAGTGATAAGGAATTTTGTAGCAAAGAGAAGGAAAGAGGAGTAAGTTTCGGCTATTTTCAGCCGCAGAAAGCTAAGTATTATCGAATATGCAGTATGCATAACTATATCTAGTCTGGGGGTCGCAACTATATCACTAGTTCCAACCAGAATTCCAAGAAAGTCTTAACATTTGGCAAAAGCTTAACGATACGTATCACTCGATGATATATGAATATCGATGATTATATGATACAAATTTATAGATCCTCAGTAGAGTAAAATGCTAGTCTTAGTTATGCTACATAGAATAGTAATAAACATAATTAACCAACTGACTAAAGAATGCAGGCACAAGATATCGAACGGCAGAAACATTCCTAAGACCGATCATAAGTTCAAATAAACCACATATACAAAGTTCTAACTATTCCCTTCATGATCAAATGCAGAAATATATTTAAATTCCAGCATCCATTGAAACGCCTACTACAAATTTCCTCCGAAGAAAAGGCCGAAGATAAACGATCCGACAACCAAATATGACATTATTGATACTCTGTTCGCTGTGGAACCCGAAGTTGTAGTCGCCGGCCCACCAGTAGATGATGTAGTGCCCGCGCCCGTCGGAGCTGCAGTAGTTGGAGGTGAAGAATTAGGGCCGCGCGAACTAGTTGAACCCCCATTCCCCGAGGTAGAGATAGACCCCCCGTTCCCTGAGGTAGAGGTGGGGACAGGTTCAGTCATCGGGACTTGCACTCCACCTGGAACATCGAAAGTTCCACACCTGATACCGTCAAGGATGTATTGGGTATTATCACTAGCCCCAGTAATGAAAAACGCTTGACCGGTCTGGCCGTTTGGACAGCATGCTGCAATTGTACCGCCTACCTCCTCATAATCGAAGAACTTAAAGTTTCCCGATGGGCAGGTACTACCGGTAGAATTGAATGCGTCTGAGGAACCGAATCGATCGAAAGGAGTATCGCGAATGCCAGAGATGCCTCCACATGCCCTGTAGTCGTCTACGGTTGCGACCCAGCAGCAGTGGTCAGAAAGGCCGAGCCATGTGCCGCATATACCTGTGAGGTTTGCCGGTGCTAAGTAGCAATATCTGTCTGGGCCGCCGCATCTTTCAATACCAGGTGGGCCGCCTGCGACATCTTCGGGCGCTAAGTAGAGGCCCGGAGCGACGAATATATTGACAAGAGGGGATGTCATGTTCGTAGATTATGTGATAAGCTGAAAACAGGTGTCAATACCGGTGTATATCGCTGGGGGATTCTTTCAGTATTTTGATCTGTATTAGTGGGCATGTGAGCGTCGGAGATCCAGACAGGTTCATCTGCGCCCATTTTATACGCGCTGGATTGAAATTGACTAGCACTGCAATGCTTTGTCGAAATCCTCTGATTGTGATAAATCTAAACAAAGAAGAATTCGAATGCCCTCAGCCGCAATGCCTGTTGCTGTTGGTGTCACGATATCCACGAGTCACAAAGAACAAAAGAAAATAACCAAGCTTGAAGAGCCCCCCAAATGAAAACGAGCTAAAGAAACTTGATATTAGTCTAGATCTACCTCTGGGGGAACCGCGTCTTTTACCCAGCATTGTATGTATACTGTCACGAACATACACCAATTGATATATATATAGCTCAAGGCAAGGAACCTTCCACGTCCCAATCTATATATCTTAACCCAAATTCACCAATCATACACGCAAAATAAAGAGTCGCGAGATGCGTGGTCATGCAAGTTCGCCTATGCCCTGCATTCAACTCTGTTACTAAGTTTGTATTATCTAATCGTTGGCTTTTTGGTCACACGGTCTTTTCTTTGGTTCGGTAACTTTGGTACTCTTGCACTTTTGTCGGAGTACTTTGGTTTGTTGTATTTCTGTGTAACAGCAATCGAATTCGAAGGGGGGTTTCATGCAGGTTATTTGAGATTCTTGCAGCTAAAAAACGCCACGAGAATGTTGGGAACAGTCAGAGCCACTCTCTGATTCACGGTTGGAGGTTCCGAGGGGGTTCGATGAGTAAGGTTGCCAATGCGGGCTGCAGGTCTTAGAGGTCTTGAGCAATGCTTGAATTCTTACACATTATCGGAATTCTTGAGATTAACTTGCATTTACCATCAAAATAAAATTTATGCAATGTCATCGTATCATAATTAAAAAATTACGAAATATGATATCTATGAACCCTATTATCAAATAGTCATAATCAAGATCTTTAGTAGGAAATATCAGCGGACCTTGAAGACATAGGTTTTGTGTCAGGTGCGTTGCATTGAGTCTCAGCCAGAGGCTCTGTGATCCGGACGGAGGCTTTCTTGGCCGTTATCGATAAATTCCGCTTAATTTGTGGGGCCCATGCAAACTAAACCAGACAGAACCTCCCACTATCCGATTCGACGACGACACCGCGCGAGCTTGAGCAGCTGCCCTGCTCCCCGAGCCAATAATGGACTCGTCACAGGCGCTTCTCTCCCACTTGTTCCGGCAGCTCTTTCATCACCCGGCCTGCCAGCGGAGGTCCGTTTCGGCCATTCGCGGTCGTCAATACCATTCGATCCCACGACGTCCGTCGGCGCGTGCCCTCAGTTCATACCATCCACCTCGTCGGCGTTTGCATACGACTCCCACACTACGTAACCGTGATAACACAGAGGGCTTAGGATGGCTGCCGAGGAACAGGTTGCCGAGTACCGACCTGTCCGAGGAGTTTAAACGATATCCGTTGGTGACTGCTGCGAAGCTAGCGAGTCGGGAAGAGAGGCCGGTGATGTGCAAGATGCTAGTACGGGACTATATCGATGGTGCTTAATCCCACTTCTCGATTGGACCGGGTCAATTGGGCCAAGAATGCCTATCGGGGAAAGCTAACATCTTATATTCCTAGACGCACTCTATAACCCCCACTATGGCTACTTCTCTAAAGAGGCCGTGATCTTCAACACCGATAAACCCTTCAAATTCCCCCAAATCCGTGACGAAACCGCCTTCCACAAGGATTTCACCCAACAATACAAAGAATTCGAAGATAAACTCGATGCTGAAACTCCCAACAATCTTCGACAGCTGTGGCATACCCCGACGGAGCTATTCCGTCCTTACTACGGAGAGGCTATTGCTCGATATCTCTACGAAAACTACGTTATAGATCTATACCCGGAGTACGACCTTATAGTTTACGAAATGGGTGCTGGAAACGGTACTCTGATGGTCAATATCCTCGATTGGTTGCGCGATAACGTTCCAGATGTGTACATCCGCACCCAATTCAAGATCATCGAGATCAGTAAACGGATGGTACAGCAGCAACTTAAATCTGTCGAAAGATCAGGCCATTTGGAACACGTGGAGGTTATTCACAGTAGCATGTTCGATTTCAGCACTTACGTGGCAAACCCCTGCTACTTCCTGGCGTTGGAGGTTTTTGATAATTTTGCGCATGATATGGTGCGCTATGATTTACAGACACAGCAACCTCTACAAGGGTACCTGATGATTGATCAAGAGGGCGAGTTCCATGAATTCTACACACCGGACTTGGACCCCCGGACAAAACGGTACCTGGATCTCCGTCGCAAAATCGATAACCCGGAACACGACAAGATGTTCAGCAATGTAATCGCCAAGTCATTCAAGGATACGATTCGGAATAGCAGTGCATGGAATAGGCTGAAGTGGGGGTTAAAAAACCGAATCTGGTTTCAGGAGAATTTAACAGCGCCAGAGTTTATCCCGACGAGAGCGATGGAGTTTTTGGAATTATTAAATTCGAGATTTCCTCATCATCGATTATTGATGAGTGATTTTGACTACCTGCCTGATACGGTGGAAGGAATGAATGCGCCAGTAGTACAAACTAGGTACAAGAGGGAGACTATTGCAGTCTCACAGTTATTCGTAAGTAGCATTTTTCTCGAAACTTACAAAAGTACTACAAGGGCTCCGACTAACAACTCGATCAACAGGTACACCAAGGATACTTCGATATCCTATTCCCGACAGACTTCGTCGAAATAGCAAAGATGTACGAATTGCTATCCGGGAAGTTTGCGAGAGTAGAGACACATGAGAAGTTCATGAGGAGCTGGGCAGAGCTCAGCGATACCACGACAAAATCAAAGGAAAACCCTTTGTTGACGTGGTATAAGAATGCTTCAGTGATGTACACACATTAAAGAGCCCCTTATTATGGTCAAAAGGCCTTTTTCGGTAGTTATATGTATATTAGAGATTGGGACTACTAGGGTTTGGATCACGAAAGCGATTGGTTTTAGGACTCGAGGGAGGGGAGGAAGGAGTGTATATATTGAGGGACCCTAAGTACTGTAGATAAACTCACAAAAGTAAGAATTCGAAGATATTCACAGGGCATTTGAAGATTTAGAAACCAGAGGAATACTATTATTGCAAAGTGATAAACAAATCTACGACGTTATATGGAATAAAATATCTCATCTCAATTTTCACTCATATCATGATAGCTATGACTTGGCCCTGCCGCTAGACTTCGTCGGATATGAAACCAACCCAGCTATTTCATCATCACCAAGATCTTCTCTACAACACACAAATATTCAATTTCCAACAAAAAGTCTCAAAATCTATAACCGGTCACTAATCGATCACTACAGTCACCATCCATTCTCACGACCAAATCCCCCAAAACAATGTAGCCTGCCTGATATCATCTATAGATCCATAACCCACCTGCCCCTCTCAGCCACATTAAAAAGCAAAATAAACCATGTCCGACTACCTCCCGCTTCAAAAGCCACTAACCCTCGCCGCCCTCAGCTTCACAGCCGGCATAGTAATAACCCTCTCATTCCAACATCTAACCACAAAGCTTCACTTATCTCCCGAAGATCGACAGAGGCGTCAAGAATCAAAACACAACGACCCCCGTCGTGACTCTTTCGTCCCCATCTCTTTACAAAATCTACTTACTTCCTCTGGTTCTGGTGGTTCATCTGATGCTCCAGATGGTGGTGGTGGTGGTCTAACATTACCTTCGTTCCTTCAACCTAATAAAGAAGATATCAAAAATGGACTAGAAGGGTGTATTGGGAATACACCATTAATCAGGATTAGAAGTTTATCAGAATATTTGGGGTGCGAGGTACTCGCAAAAGCAGAGGTTAGTTTTTTTTTAACTATTTCCCATGATTTTTTCACTATTGAGGTAGAAAAAGAGATGTATTGATATAGGATATTGGGGAATTTCCTCCTTATAGTTCTTGAATCCAGGTGGCTCGCCAAAGGACCGGGTAGCTTTAAGTATAATACTAAAGGTATGCATGAAAAAAAAAGAAGAAGAAGAAATAAAAGAATTTCCCATCGATGTCGCGAGCGTCCCCATTTTTCTGTTTCTATTATATTCCAGCCTCTGCTATATCCGTATAATTACTATCCTACACCCCAAACCCGGGAACGATCGCGAGACCAATCCCAATTATTAATCGGATCCCCCCCTGCATATTTTCTCTAAGAATTGATCGTACACACCCAAATGATATTTTCAAAGTAAAAAAGAAAAGAAAGAAAGAAAGAAAGAAAGAAAGAAAGAACCGCAAAGAAGAGGATAAAGCAAAACGTTCCAGAAAACGCACAATAGCCACCAACCCCATATATCCAAATCAAATCATAAATTTAAGTATTGACCAATCAAAATCGATAAATAGGCAGAAGAAGAAGGCCGCCTCCGCCCCTTCTCAGGCGATAAAGTCTTCGAAGGAACAGTCGGCAGCACCGGCGTCTCCCTTGCCCACATTTGCCGTGCAAGAGGATACCTAGCCCATATGTATGTATTACGCCACCCTCAGCACTCCTAGAAAAAGAATATAAAACCCAGCAAGACACGCCGTTACGGATACTCAGAAAAAGAAACAGGCGGGAAAAAACAAAACACTAACAAGAAAATTTGACTGAAATAAAAGATGCATGCCATCGGACCAATCTCTTGAGAAATCAAACCTCCTTCTAAAGCTCGGCGCTGTCGTTGAGCGCGTCACACCGGCATCAATCGTAGACCGAAAACAATTTGTCAACCTTGCAAAATCCCGCGCAATCGAACTAACGGCTGACCACTCCACGCCGGCAAGAGGGTTCTTCGCAGATCAATTTGAAAATGAAGCAAACTGGAAAGCACATTTTGAAACAACAGGGCCGGAGATATACCGACAATGTGGAAAGAAACTTGATGCGTTTGTTGCAGGTGCGGGGACGGGTGGGACGATTTCTGGGGTAATTAGATATTTGAAGCAGTATTTGCCAAACTTAACGGCCGTCCTGGCCGACCCGCAAGGATCAGGATTGCTGAACAAGGTGAAATATGGAGTAATGTTCAACGAAGTTACTGAAAGAGAAGGCACCAGAAGAAGGGCGCAAGTTGATACGATCGTCGAAGGGATCGGAATAAACAGGGTAACAGCAAATTTTGAAGCTGGTAGGACGTCGATCGACGACGCTATCCGTGTTTCTGATGAAGAAGGTGCGGTTTCCGAGCCCGTTGCAAAATCATGTTGAACTAACAAATGATAGCGTGTCTGATGGCCCGGTACCTCGTCGAACAAGATGGCCTATTTGTTGGCAGCTCTAGTGCTGTCAACTGCGTAGCCGTCGTTAAGCTCATTAAGGAACGTGGGTGGGAAAACTCGAATAAGAGAGTTGTAACAATTCTGTGCGACAGCGGCAGCAGGCATCTATCTAAGTTTTGGGCTAAAATTGGCGATATTGGAGGCAGGTGGGATACATCTATTGAAGATATACTTGCTGCTGGGGAAAAGAAGTAGAATATATATGTCGAGATGTCGAGATATATACCTGAATATTGGTTCTGGTGTATGATAGATAGGGACCGGTGTATACTATTTTATACAGGTAGAATCATGAGTTTACTCATCGGTACATTCTACAAGCTCGGTTAGCGATTTAGCTAGGGAAGCCAATGTAGATTATCAACTTACTAAAACAAAGGGTCTTTCCACATCGGTAACCGGCGTTGCCACACTTTGTCAGAGGATCAACAGCCGAGCTTCCCATGGATCTGAGCCTTTTTGGGGACGGAGCTGGTGGATCTGGTGCAATGAGTGGCACAAGTGCCTTTCTAGGGCGGCCTCTAGTTCTCTTTTGCGTCTGGGTGCTTGATATTTGTAGGTCCTGACTGTTAATGGGGAGGAGATCTTCCTCTTCACTGTCAGACAGTCCATAGTCATATCTCATTCTTCGAGTCGGGGTTGCTATTGTTGCGTCGGCTCGTGGTTCAGCGCCGGTATTTCCGTCTGTACCATCAGGCAGCCCTTCAACAGCAATTTCCTTTTCGGCGCCATCCCTCTCCTTTGCAGCCTTCTGTTTGACATACTCTAAAAATTTACCAGACCGTGGCGTGTGTAGCTTCCTTTCGACCTCATCTTCGTACTTGGCGCGTTTCGACGTAGGGGTCCTCGGCTCCTTGGTTACTTTCAGCTTCTTGATCTTTGGTGTCGCTTGGGAGTTAGTTTTGGTCCTTGTCTTTTTCTTCACAGGTGATGAATCCAAAACCATTAAGCCATCGCTAGCCTTTTTCTTTTGTTTCGCCCCGTCAACTGCGTGTTCCTCGAGTAGAATTCTTCGTCGTTCGAATTCTTCAAAAGCAGGCTCCCCATCGGGATGGGAATCCTGCCACCGAGGATCGAAAAAGGGGTCGCCTGGTAGCGCCGACCAGAAATTCATCGGCCCAGCAGACTTTGGCGGCGACGCACGGGGTGTTGCATGGAAGGCCTCGGACTGTAATTTTGACGGTACAGTTCGAGGTTCTTCCCGTCTGGAAGACAACGGGGTCCTTACCCTTTTCGGTGTTCCAACCTCGGATAGACGTCTTCGGCTTTGCTTCCTGCTTGAGATAGCCTTCCTCAGGGAACTAGAAGATTTAATACCATAATGACGATTCTTCGGTGTGACTGGTACTTGTGCTTTTGGAACAATAATGGTCGATAAATCATCGATATCACCGTAGTGGAAGTTCGGATCAGGTTCTTGGATGTCCATTGTAGGTGGTTGGCTCTCTCCCAGCAATTCGCGGTCCACAGCAGTGTTGGAATCCGTGACGGGTTCTTTGTGCGGTTCTTCTAGCAGAATTTGATTATGGATAAGTTGTGCTGTTAATTCGGATTCGAGTTCAGGTTCAGGTTCAAGCCCAGGTTCCAGTTGAGATTGAGGTTGAGGTTGGGGTTGAGGTTCGGATTCAAGTTCAGGCTCAAACTCAGGCTCGGGCTCGGGCTCAAGTGCGGGTTTGGGTTTATGCTCGGGTTCTGAGCCGATTTCGACTATAAATTCCCGTTCCCTCTCAACCAAGGTGGAGATGTTACAGGTGACGGCTTCCGTTGTAGCTTTGACGAGATTATTGTCAAGGGCTACCTCACTGATCATTAGTGGTAGTACTGCAACGCCATAGTCAAGGCCATCCTCAGAACACTGCACAGTCCCAGCTGGAAGCTCAAGAGCAGCTGAAAGCTCTGAACCCCTGCTCGGATTCAACCCACCACCCCCATTCCTTTCACTCTCCGCCACCTGCTCTGACTCCAAAACATCCTCCTCGCTGGTTGATTCGGGAATCGGTTCTTTCGAAGCAGCCAACTTCTCCACAGCCTCGCCCAATTGATCTGAGAGCGGTTTCCCACAATCTGATATCGGCGTCAGTTGTGCGACGATTGCAGGATCCTCCATCTCCACCCGCTGTTCCGTGCTCTGCAGCGTCTGAACCAACGCCAATAACCTTTGTCGACCTAATTTCGATACATATTCCAACACAATGTCGTCAGGCGGCAGCTCGTCCGGCGAAGCCGCGGTTTCGGCATTTATCCCATGTTGCTTCACAGGAGGCAGTTCTGTCGACATTACATCCTCATCCTCATCCTCATCCTGCTCTGCTGACTCTGATGATGCAGGTGATGGCATGCTATCCTGTGCATTCTGTTCCTTCTGCACAGATTCTTGAGCCTCCAATATCTTTTGGTCCTTCTCTCGTCTCCTCTTGTCCTTTCCAGTCAACCCTGTCGTCAATTCCAACTCATCAAACAAATCGTCAATAGCATCTCGATCCAAATCTTCGTCAACATCGATCTCCTCGGCTTCGTCGTCCCGAAGCATCGGCCCACCCATTTCATCCCTCGCTAACATCGGTCGTCTCGCCAAAAGTTCCATTTCCAAGCTCGATGTTGCGGATCCAGCATCATCTCCTTCTTCGTCATCATCACCCCCACCCCACGTATTCTCCAGATCTTCTTCAAGACCCCTTAGGTGCCCATTGTCGATAACCAACTCTCCTGTTCTTAGGTCGATCTCGTCCGCTCTACCATCAAAATCACGCCCATAACGACGACAAATATCTTCCCAACTGGTTTTTAGGCGTTGAGCAGATTGTCGCAGGGAATTTTCGTGTTCAATCTGGAGGTTTCGGAGTTTCGGAGTGGTAGCAGGTAATGTGAGAGTGGGGTTCTTGGGCCCGTGCAAGCGTGGTCGTTTCGCGACGTGGGCCATTCTAACTTTTTTAATTTTTAATTTTCCGGCAGAATTTCCTTTGTATAGAAACGAGTTGCGCTTTTTTGTTTTCAATCCAGACACGCACTTGGATTCCCTCTCTACCTCCTTGTTGGAGGTTGTTTTGCCAGGGACGATGATAAGTTTGTTGGGACAAGGGAGAATAGCAAAAAGGAAGTAAATAAAATACCCAAAAGGAAAAAAAAAATGAACAGAAGGGAAAGGAAAGCTACTAAGGAAGGATCGAACGAGGTGGCGACGACAATGCGCTGCACTGCTGACGACTAAATTACGAGATGGATTAGAAATCACGAAGCTTCTAGGAGAATGGGAAGGGGGAGGGAGAGGGGGAGAAGAGGAGATGATTGGGGAGATAGATGGATGGGAAGATGGGAAGGATGGGAAGGATGGAAGAGAGGGAAGAGAATAGCTCAGTCGACGACGTCTTAGTAACTGGGGGGGGCATCCGTCCCGGGCACAGCATTGGTTCGTTCCTATGCAACAGCGGGTTGGGGGGCAACCAACAACAGCACAACACAACATCATTGTCACCTTACAACAGTCAGACATGCAAGACACGCACATGCACATGTCTTTGTACGGGAATATAACATACGTATACCGGACTAGTCTGGTAGACTAGATCTAGATCTAGAAACTAGGAATGGATATACCCGACGGATGCCGAATCGATATTTAACATTTTGAATTCGGTTACTCTGCTGCCAAATTAAATCCTACTCGTTGGACTAACTGTATTACGCTGATCTAGATCCTCTCTGCTACTGAAATCTATAATACCCAGAATCCGCTACCTATAACTACATCGCGCTCGGGCTACAGCGGATTAACTAAGAACCCAAGCTCTACCCCGGCACGGTACCAACATAGATAATATTGCTAACCCCACTCGCTATTTCGAATCTTCATCGCTTTCCTCCTCGTCTTCATTAACCTTTCTCCTACCATCCTTTGTACGTTCACTTTTTGCAATCGGTTTCCAGTTTGAAGCAGCCTGCAAGCCTCCCGGTGGAAGTTTCGAGAAATTCTATTCAACAACCAGTATTAGACCACCATACTAACGCTTATCGATCAAATCAAACAAAAATGAGAAACTGGAACTCGAACCGTTGCTATGCTGGCAGATTTTCTGTGTCCTCCCATAGGTCTATCCCTTGACGACATACTTAAGCTCTACACGAATACATTTTGAAGCCAGTTAGTTTACTATAGACTTTGCCATGTTGGCTATATAAAGGGGTTTATAGTACTCTTCCTGTCCGCTGCTCTGTGGGAGGGTTTGAGATCGAAAAATCTGGTTGACCATTACGGGGAGGACTCCTCTCAGGAGTAATAAGGTTAATAACACTATGTCTTTGATTACCACCTGGTTGTGTATTATTGCGCTATGTTAGGTATATATGTTCCGGTTAGCTTAGGATCTTCTATAAAGAAGGAATTCAATGTCTGGATATCTAGATCCGGTGACATTGGTAGCTCTCAGGCCAAGTGTAGGTATTGGGGGGTTTATACCACACGCGCCTCCGGGCCAAGTGGCGGCGAGTTGGAAAAGTTTGGTAAGGAGCTATTCGGGTCCACTAGGAAAGGATTTGAGCCGTCGGCTTGTTGGCGCCAGGGATATGGGTCTTGATCTGTTCTTTTATTGGACATTTTGGGCAACCAATATATAGTAATGTTCCCAGTTTTGTAGACCGAATGATATTCTCAAGGGAATGGATAAAATAGGCGAGTAAATTACGATTTGAAAGTTGAATATTTTAAATTAGAGGATAGATTGTTATTTTAATATCTCTGATTCCTCCATCGGAGAACCATGGGGGAATCCCAAGCTATGTTATATACACCCCAAAAGTTACCCAAGGCCCCTGTTGCGCTGCTATCTATCGAACTATCACTCTCGTAGACACAAAAATAACCTGTACAACACAAGACCCGTTCAACTTCCAACAACATCGCCATAAATAACCGATACCCTGCAGCCGATCCCAGACCGTGGCCGGGATCCTGCTTGGCCTAGTTACACGGACAAACCACCACCAGCTGGCCAGCCTGCCTTCGATCTAGATCATCTGCATCGAGATGCATCCGCTGCGCAGCTGCATTATATCATCACCATCACATTTTCCATCCAACGAAGTTTGTTCTCTTCGTTTTGCAAAAGCTAGTCACTACCCGTCGGAAACACAACCTGCAAATGCAAACCTCAGCGGTAACATCGAGCGTCAGCAGTGATCCACCAGACACTCGCTTGAAAGACGCAATATCTGCTGTATATGCATCAACATCGCCAAACTCAGAATTAAACCATTCAAACACCTCATCGTCATCTTCTTCGTCATCTTTTTCTAATACACAAAATCAAGAGCAATCACATATACTTCGGAGCACAACAGTACACAAAATCACACCAACCGAGGCCACGAAAATCCTCAACGAACAAGCTTTTGACATCTCATCAAGTATCCCCAGCGTAGAAAGTTCTGGAATACACAAGGTTCAGATTGCAACTTTGCCAGCGAATGAACAGAATGAAGATACATACGCATATGACTTTCTACCAGATGCGGCTACCGAATATGGTGACGCTGTAGGGGTAGGGGTACAGCAGAAGCATTGGTTGTTCTTTGCTGTCTATGATGGGCACTAGTGAGGACGCCCTGCATTTGCCATATCTCTCCCCAATTTAATATATTTTTTGATATCTATCTCTAACATATTACTATCTTATCGGTCCTTTCCTTCTCATCCTAACAGTGGACCATCTACTTCTAAATATTTGAAATCTGCCTTAATCTCTGCAGTCTATACTTCCCTCTTGGGCCTTTACAAATCCCATCTCCCAGGATACCCACCAAACTCACTAGTCATTTCTACAATATCAACTACTTTCACAACCCTCGACTCTGCATTGACTTCCACAGCCACCCCATCCTCAACCCAAGGTTCCTGTGCCCTCCTAACCTTCCACGACACTCGCCACAACCGCCTCTTCACAGCCTGCACAGGCGACTCCCGCAGTGTTCTCGGAAAACGTCTAGGTTCCCCTTCAAACACCCGTTGGCTCTCCAAACCTCTTTCTACAGACCAAAACTTCACTTCAAACCCTTCAGAAGTCACACGCGTGGAATCAGAACATCCAGGTGAGAAAGATGTAATAATCCAAGGAAGGTTAATAGGCGATTTAGCCGTGAGTAGGGCGTTTGGGAATAGGAGGTTTAAGGTCCCCGATGAATTTGGTGGGAAGATGACAAGGAATAAAAGGCAGTATGGAGTGTTAAGGAGTCCGCCATATATTACTGCTGAGCCGGTGGTAACTGTCCATGAGGGACTCAAAGATGGGGACTTTGTATTACTTGCTACTGATGGACTGTGGGATTTTTTGAGTAGTGAAGATTCTGTGGCTCTGGTTGGACGGTGGACGGACGAGCATATTGCTCCCGTTGGTCGTAATAGTAATAATAGTAGTAATAGTAATAGCAATGCTAGGAACAAGCGAAAAACGAGACTGACGAGTAGTCAGGAGGAAATGTATGTATTTGAAGATGATTCAAACGTCGGGGTTCATCTTATTAGAAATGCATTGGGTGGAGTTAGAGAAGGGAAATTGCTATTTACGTTGGGACTAGAGCCGGGTATAAATAAAGCTAAGAAGCATCGGGATGATATTACGGTTCTTGCGGTATTTTTTGGGTCTTAGTATAGAATAGATCTATAGACTATATTAGATTACTTATGTACATAGACTTGACACGGCTAGACTTTTGGATTAGAAAATAGGGAAGGGAATTACTCTTCGAGAGGGTCGATTGGGCCAGCAGAGTCAAGGCCGAGCTTCGTCATCTCGACGGCAAGTTGGAAGAGATAATCATAGCTGCTATAGTTTTAGTATCATGTACTTTTATATCAATTGCGATATATTGAACTTACCACTCTGCTTGTGTCTTTGCTTTCCACACAGTATCACCCCAGACGTATCTAAGAAATATTGTTAGCAAAATATATTAAAAAGGGGTCAGGGTGTTAACTTACACTCCATGTCTACGGACCAGCACCGCAGATGTATCCTATTTTCACCATTAATTCTCTATAACCCCCCATAAATCTAGAAATAATATATTCTTTACCGGGTAATCTTTAATAGCCTGCGCCAACGAATCTCTCAGATCCTCTTCATGCGCCGTATTCTCAATAATCGGAATCTCCAACGTATCATGATACCCATAGTACTTCCCAGTACTCGGACGCGGAATCCCCTTAATCATCTCCGTATTCGCAATCTTAAAGCTCTTCTTGCCTTTATTTATCAACGTTACCAATACAGCCCACTGAGAATGCGTATGAATGCATGCTCCGGCGCCTTTGTCGTACGCTGCGAGGAAGAGAGGCGTGCAGGCTGATGGTTTTAGATTGATAGGACGACGAAGGTATTCCAGAGAAGGGTAGTCTAGAATGAACATATTGTGGGGTTCTAGACGTTCTTTTTGAACGCCGGAAGGGGCGATGTAGATATGTTCTCTGTTCGTTTTATTAGAATTCTTTGTATATGAAAGACCAGTAATTGTTAGATTTAATGAGAATTTACTCTTTGCGAATGCTTATACCGCCACCGGTACCGGTGACCCAGCCGAGAGTGTAGAAGTTACGACATAGCTCGCCTAATGCATATTCTTACGTTGGTTAGAAAGAATCTTTTAAAAAATATATATATATTTTTTGTGACGGTATCTCTAATCTCGACCGGGATGGAGGGGCATCCTACAGATGAGGTTGGCGGGGTGGTGGGGGTCTTCGGATGTGACCAAGGCGGTCTGTTCTTCTTCGGTGAGAGACATAATTGGGTCTATTAGGTCGGTACTCTTATGGCGACTGCGATTGAAGCTATTTTGTACTCTTTTTTTGAGGGAGTGAAGATTATTTGAGGTTGAGGTTGAGGGTATTCGGGATGTCAAAGGAAAATATTAAATGTCGCAGACTGGCGCGGCGGGATGGTGCCATTGCGGCCGAATCATGGCGGGGATGGCAAACACGTTCAACACAACGTTACCATCAGATCGATTTTGATTCTTTTGGATATTACAGGACACTATACTAGCTAGGAGCTACTTAGGTATGGTTAGTATTTTGGATATCGTAGCTAGATGTTATATAGGCAATTGGTATTAGTTAGTAATAGGCCAGTCCCCAAGCTAAGTTTGTGCGTACTCGAACCTGTAGGCGGTTCAACATCAACAACCTTCCAATTGACCAGACTCCATGTTGTATCGTCATAATTAACGTTAACCTGACCGCCAATGGCGAGAGACCGGTTTGAAATAGATGCAGACAAGGATCGCAAGCAAGGGGAACAGCCAAGCCGGGAACAGAACTTCTAGAAATATCTGTGATTCGGCTACATGTACAGAACGCCATTGCATTGCATCGCCATTGGTATATCGATCGATGTCATACATCCCATATGTCCCCTATATATGCATAATCATGATCACAAATCTGGAAAACCCCTGCTGAAGTTCCTTCGTTTGAATTTTGATTCGAGATCGATAACACTAGTCTAAATTACAAAAAGTCAAGTACTATAAGCCGTCATATAAGGCCTATTATTGTGTTCACCACGTATTAATATTCCATACTCGATGCCGGTAGTTTAGAAGATTACAGTGTATCACAGTCTTATTAATATTCCCGTATGTCTTACACACCACCAATTAAGTCAGATATACTTATAACTATGGCTATGATGGTATTGCTATTCAATCACAAAATCGATCAGATGAACTAATAAATTAATAAAAATCCATACTTAAGCTTGCGGAAACTGCATTGTAGCTAGCTCATTTTAATATATATCCCGACGCAAAGATCTTAAGGCAGAAGATAACAGCCCTAGAACGACAGTACTGATAATCTAATATTATCATATTCGGAAACCTTGGTGATCGGTCGGGCGGAAACGTATATAATCAATTTACTCTGCTGGTAATTTAGCCTTAAATTTACCTAGACCTGAGGACCTGTTGGATTGCTCCCGTTTCGCTCTAATTAAGTATGAAAGTGGTACCCGGATCAAATCTCGAAACAATCACAGGATGCAAAAGAATCAGAAACCACATGCTTAAAAAAAAAAAAAAAGGGAGAGAGAGAGAAACGGCAAATGAATTCGGTGTCGTATGCTTATGTCGTAGAATAATAATTGATATAGTGGCTACGTGGAAGTTTATAAATACGAACTTTAATCTCGGAATGGTTAACGGATTAGAGATATGGCCACAGTTTCGAAACCAAAGTCGCAACAATGGCACCAGAATAGTTAATTGTTGGACTGTCGCTATCCTCCAGCGCCCGAAATTTGAAACGATGAACTCGGAAGTATACATACTACTTAAGTATATACACTTGCGTAGTATATGTCATAGCATGTCTAGCCGGAATACGGGCGGCGCAGGTGGCTAATACAGGGCCATGATTTTAGAACCGATGGTATGGCGTACATAGTAAAATAACGATAGTCAATAATCGACCACCCTGGATCAGGCTAAGGACAGCCTGGACACTTCTATTTCAGTAGTTTATCCCATCTTGATGCTCGCATTTGGATCAATCGAATCTATTCCAGGCACCTTCCAACATTGTCGCCGGTTGGAAACCTGTTGGGCCGTGGCTGGCTGTCGTCGCCAGGCGCCTACCTTGTTAGCCAGTTCGGTGCGATCGAGTCGGGCGAAGCATCACACGGATAATTGCAACGTGCCTTACCTTACCGATTTGCGCCGACGCTAACTCGGATTGTGGGGACCTTAAGTCTCACCCAGATTTACCTAGCCTTGTCGACTTACCTGAGGCTGTCCGGGGTGTCTTGGTCTGGTACTGCACCTCAGGTTTTTCTGCGGCGGATGGACGTGCTTCTCAGTTCTTATGGCCAACCTGTCACTTTCTCGCAAACAGAAGCTCGACCACACGAGCAGGGAAACTTCAAATAAATTATAACCCGCACTTTATTCTTCTTCTTTTTCTTCTCCCTCGTCATCCTCTCATCATCTTCTTCTCATCCTCCATTTACTTTGTCTTTGTCCCTTTGTCGGTCGAAGTTGAAATACCTTGGTTTTACTCTTGCTGTCTGGTGTCTGTACGTGTAAATTTGGAAATCCTGCTTAAACCACAACGACCACACATATCCCACTCACCCGCCCACCTTGACATTGCATCATCTCCGCTGCATCTCCCACCAGCTACCACCACCAATTGACCTGTGCTAACTGAACATCTCGCGATTCGCCCAACATTACAGGATCTGGAATCATTCCAAAATGCGTATCACAAACGCGGCTACCGCTGCTTTACTGCCCTTAGCGGCTTTCATGGGCAACGCTGTTGCTGAGGAGCTTGAAGATGATGCCGTTGAGTCGTCCTCGACCACATCTACCTCTACCTCCACCACTGTTTCCATAAAAAAGCCGACATTCACTGTAAGTTTGCTACTTGTCGCGTTCTCGATGATTACTTCGCGTGTGCTTTGATCCGTACTAACATTCTACCCAAGCCTACTCCCGCCAAAGGTCCGTTCTGGGAACAGTTCACCGATGACTGGAAATCGAGATGGACTCCAAGTCACGCCAAGAAGGGTAATACCGGCGAGGAAGAGTGGGCCTACATTGGTAACTGGGGCCACGAGGAACCATATGTCCTTCAGGGTATCATCGGAGATAAGGGTCTAGGTATGTACCCCACTAGATATTTACAACTACCCCTCCACCCGAAGCTACCGGGTAGCTAATAACTTCGTGATTTATAGTCGTCAAGGATAAGGCCGCTCACCACGCTATCTCTGCTAAGTTCAAGAAGCCAATTGATCCCAAGGGCCAAGGTCTTGTTGTCCAGTATGAGGTCAAGCTTCAGGGTAAGGAATAACTCCTTTCTCCCCTTCTAAAATCGCTGGTACCAGCTACTAACGTACCATCATAGAGGGACTTGAATGTGGTGGAGCTTACTTGAAGCTTCTGCGTGAGAGGACCGAGCTCCATAATGAGGAGTTCTCCAATACCTCTCCATACGTCATCATGTTCGGACCCGACAAGTGCGGTGGTACCAACAAGGTTCACTTCATCTTCAACCACAAGAACCCAAAGACTGGCGAATATGAAGAGAAGCACCTCCAGGGCGCTCCAATGGCTCGTATCGTCAAGCAGACCACTCTCTACACCCTTATTGTCAAGCCAGACAACTACTTTGAGGTCCGTATCGACGGAACTCGTGTCAAGAATGGTACTCTCCACGAGAGCTTTGAGCCACCAGTCCAGCCACCAAAGGAAATCTCCGATCCAGATGACAAGAAGCCAGAGGACTGGGTTGATCAGGCTATGATCCCCGACGAGGAAGCCAGCAAGCCAGAGGACTGGGATGAAGATGCACCATACGAGATTCTTGACGAGGAAGCCGTCAAGCCAGAGGACTGGCTCGAGAACGAGGCTAGTGAGGTCGCCGATCCAGAAGCCATCAAGCCAGAAGGATGGGTTGATGAGGAGGATGGTGACTGGATCCCACCAACCATTCCCAATCCCAAGTGCCAGGAAGCTTCCGGTTGCGGCCCATGGACAAAGCCAATGAAGGCCAACCCAGCTTACAAGGGCCCATGGGTTCGTCCCCAGAAGAGCAACCCAGCCTACAAGGGTGTTTGGGAACCCAGAAAGATTGAGAACCCCTCTTTCTTCGAGGACAAGACCCCATCCAGCTTCGAGCCAATTGGTGCCATCGGTTTCGAACTCTGGACGATGAGCAACGGTATCCTCTTTGACAACATCTACATCGGTCACTCCGTCGAGGAGGCCGAGGCTCTCCAGAAGGCTACTTTCGACGTCAAGAAGGCCATTGAAAAGGAAGAAGATGAAGCCACTCAACCAAAGCCACCCACTGATGAGGATGACGCTAAGCCAGCCGCCAAGGGCCCAACTACACTCAACTTCATGGATGATCCCGTTGTGTACATCAAGGAGAACTTGGAACTCTTCATCACTCTTCTCAAGAAGGACCCCATTGAGGCCATTCGCTTCATGCCAGAGTTCGCCGGTGGTGTCGGAGCCGTTGCCGCCGTTGTTTTGGCCATTCTTATCGGTGCCATCAGCGCTCTCTTTACTCCAGCTGCCGCTCCTGCCGCCAAGGCCGGTGCTGCCAAAGCTAAGGATGCCGCCAAGGCTGTTAAGCAGAAGGTCGAGGAGGTCAGCGATGATGCCTCTGCCACCGGTGTTGAGAAGCCAAAGGCCACCAAGCGTGCCAGCAAGAAGGAGTAAATGGAATAATAGTAACGGAGCATTGTGTGCATTTTTTTTTAAATCTTTTTTTTAATGCATCATGAGGAAAAGGAGGATATAAATGAATGGAGGAGGAGGAGGCCTTTACTTGTTAGACGAATAATATTATAATCATAACTACTAGTGGTATTACGAATGAGCGACTGACCGGGCCGACTGGACTGGTGGGAGAATGTAACCCCCCCCTTATTTTTATTATTATTCTCTTTCCTGTGATGCGAAGGTTTCACCCTTTTTACTGTTCTCCCCACGCTGTCTCTCTCTCTCGCTCTCACTATCTGTTTAGTCAAAAAAGTTTTAGTATTATTGTTCTGACTTTTCGGAGTTCAAATCGTGTATTGATATCTCTGATAGGATAATTCACTTTTTTTCTCATCTTTCTGTTATCATTTTTTAGACGTGAAGGTTTGCATGTGGCGTACGTACTACCGTAGGGGAAACTGAGGGTTTTCTGGGGCAGGAATTCCGCCTTAAGTCTGCTTTTTGGGCAATTAAGACGTCTTAACTGCTGGATAAAGCGTCTTAAAATTTAAAAGCGACCCCAAAAACTCATCAAAACCCCGTACGGTATTTATTCATATGGGCACGTAGTCCATCTTTCAAGACGACAAGACTACCATCAGCTTTAGATTTATTTGATCGCATGAATTAGTATTATAATACCACCAACGTCTACCTCTCTTTGCTAGCCAACAACGCTTTACTACCTACTTAAGTATCTATATATCTACGTATCTACTTATGCTTACATTGACTTTGAATTGGCGGGGTTCATTGCATTGCTACTATTTCGGTGCATATTAAGGGTTTAAGGACTCCTGCCGAAGCTAAACCTATAGCGTTAACCTGCAAGGTCTGAATGCGAATCAGCGACTTCAAGTCTCAAGTCTCAACACGACAAAGATTATTAGTCAGTATACGGCCTCCACGCGCCGCGGAATAGTTCTCCAGGCGGACCTCAGCATATACATAAACTACCTATCTTTCAATCAGATCTGATATCGATCGATCTAGGCCAGATCCGACATATTAATAATGATGTTGTATTTTGTGTGTTGCCTCGGTTGCCCCACGTTAAATGTCCGACAGGGTGGTGGCAAGCTTCCAGGCGTCTGCAAACATTAACCAGGTTCCGATTCGAAGCTTCGGAAGGAGTCCAGCTAGCTAATTGACATTATATCGACGGGCAAATTGGCCGATTGAATTCTGTGTATTTGTTGCATCTCTATAGGTTCATCCTCCCGCAACCTTTTACTTAATACACTGAAGTATTCACAGAGCTCACCTCAAATTCCATCGAATTCGGCGCCACAGCTGTTGGATAAGCGGCTACTTGCGGTCCAACCCTTCAGCTTTAAAAGAAGCTAGCTTCCCCACAAATCCCCAAAGTTGAATTCTCGGACATTCCCCCAGCGACACTCCTTCTCTCTTTGCCTCCTCCTTCTTCTTTCCCTTCTCCTCTTCCTTTCCCCAGCCTCCTTCAATTCAAGCCTTTTTGCATTGACCTCCCCTTTTTTATTCTGAATTATCCTTTACCATGGCAGCGAGACGCATCCTGTCTCGCTCACTCGCAACTTCTCTTCGAACACCAACTGTCCAAGCAGCTCGCGCGCCAATCGCCCTGAGGATGTCCACCCCACTATCAAAATCCGCAACCCAAACAGCGGTTCGGCGTCTGACCGCCACCGCGCAGCATTTCCAGCCTGCAGCAGCTGCCACCGTTCCAGTGGATTACCCCATGACCCACGACAAGATCGAAAACCCACCGAACACCAAATGGTTTGTCAACAATGAATTCGTCGAGTCTAAAACCTCGCAATGGATTGACTTGCACGATCCTGCTACCAACAATTTGGTCACACGGGTTCCACAATCTACTGATGCGGAATTAAAGGCTGCTGTTGATGCTGCTGCCGCTGCCTTCCCAGCATGGAGGGCTACGAGTTTACTCGCCCGTCAGCAGATCATGTTCAAATTCGTCGCTTTGATCCGACAACATTGGGATCGCCTTGCTGCTAGCATTACGCTAGAACAGGGGAAAACATTCGGTGATGCAAAGGGTGATGTTCTCCGTGGTCTTCAGGTCGCGGAGACTGCTTGTGGTATTACTACCCAGCTCACCGGTGAGGTTTTGGAAGTCAGCAAGGATATGGAAACACGCAGTTATCGTGAGCCGCTTGGTGTTGTGGCTGCGATTTGTCCGTTTAACTTCCCGGCCATGATTCCGTTGTGGTGTTTACCTGTCGCTACTGTTACAGGTAATACTATTATTTTGAAGCCATCTGAGAGAGATCCAGGTGCTTGTATGATCCTGGCTGAGTTGGCGAAGGAGGCTGGCTTCCCGGCTGGTGTTGTGAATATTGTTCACGGATCGGCTAAGACAGTGGACTTCATTATCGATGAGCCAAGGATCAAGGCTATCAGCTTCGTGGGAAGTGATAAGGCTGGTCAATATATTTATACCAGAGGTTCTGAGAAAGGGAAGAGAGTTCAGGCGAATTTGGGAGCGAAGAATCACGCTGCTATTATGCCTGATGCGAATAAGAACCATTCGATTAATGCCATCGTTGGAGCTGCCTTTGGAGCTGCTGGACAGAGGTGTATGGCTTTGTCGACTTTGGTTATGGTCGGAGAGACCAAGGAGTGGCTCCCTGAGATCGCCAAGCGAGCTGCTCAGTTGAATGTCAACGGTGGATTCGAGGAAGGTGCTGATTTGGGACCTGTTATTTCTCCACAGGCCAGAGAGAAGATTGAGAAGTTGATTCAAAGTGGAGTTGATGAGGGCGCTACTTTGTTATTGGACGGTAGAGGATACAAACCTGCTAAGTATCCTAATGGAAACTTTGTGGGACCGACCATTTTGTCGAATGTTACGACCGAGATGGAGTGTTATAAGGAGGAGATCTTTGGACCCGTGCTTGTTTGCTTGAATGTGGATACTTTGGAGGATGCGATTGAGTTGATCAACAGGAATAAGTATGGTAATGGAGTTGCAGTCTTCACACAAAGTGGAGCTACAGCGGGTAGATTCCAGAAGGATATTGAAGCCGGACAGGTTGGAATTAATGTGCCGATTCCGGTACCATTGGCGACTAGCTTTTCGTTCACTGGTAAGTTATCCCCCTCTACCTATTCTATTTGTTTCAAAAAGGTTGTTTGGGTGCAGGGGATTGGCGGCTAATATGGATGAATGAAAAATAATAGGCAACAAGGCTTCGATTGCTGGTAATGCGAACTACTTTTATGGAAGACATGGATTGCAGTTTTACACTCAGTTGAAGACTGTGACTTCGCACTGGAGGGCGGAGGATGCTGTTGCGACAAGGGCGAAGACTGAGATGCCGACTCACGACTAAACCTTCTTACCTACTTAAGTACTTACTTAAGTACTTACCTAAGTACTTGCCCTTGAAGTCTAAGTGAGATTTTTAGCGGTGCTAGTGGAGGATAATTTGTAATATGACTTTAATTTGAGAATAATTGAGGTTTATAAAAGTTTTCCTTTCTTGAGATCGGATAGAGACGAAAGGTATATATATTATTGAGGAGACAGTTGTATTATTATATACTAGTATATGAATGGAATGCCGTACTATAATTTCATTTATAACCACCATGGACGCCTGAACTCCCGTAGATATCATACTAATTATCAATAATACCGACCGAATTTTGCCCGAGGCAGGGTATATATGCATACATACAGAGAAGACGACAAGCATCATATCGGATGAAGAAATTAAACCCGGGTTGACTCAAACCACGAGTGAAATAAAATAAAGTAAAGAAAGGAAGATGTGCTACTTGGTTTTCTTTGTCTCTTCACCATCATCTTCTTTCATTGCGACGAGGATGAATAGAACTAAAACGACATTTGCTACCACGGCGGCAATGGAGGCTCCTAGGACGGTGCTGCCGGGGGAGATGTAGGTTGTGGTGAGGTAGTAGCAGCCTATGGGACCGAAGAGCATGGCTACTGTGAAACCAAAGAGTTTTAGGAGGACTTCTCTATTTTATTCATAAATATGATATATTGTATTAGTGGGATGTGATATGTTATTTACTAGGCAAAAGGATGAAGTACATACCGTGGAATGGAGGGACCGGGGTTGTTCTTCATACGTTCGGCCTGCATGGCCTTTGGGAGAACAGGCGGAGGAGACGAAACATTGTCGGACTTTTCGTCGGAGGGGGACTTGACGTTACGACGGGTGGCCATGTTTGCTATAATACCAGCTGATACTAGACGCTCTCGAGACTGTCTGTTGTGGTTGTAGTTGTGGTTGTGAGAGGTTGAAAATTGAAGATATGTTGCAGTGTACTGTGTAGTAGCTAGTAGCAGTCGTGTCTGGGTCCCGTGGTTTCGTGTGGGTGTTCGTGTTGGTGGGGTTCCACAGGCTGCCCGATTGGGACTGATTGCGATTCCGACGGACTGGAAACCGCTGTTGTCGGCCGACAGGGGTTCGCGTATTGAGTGCGTTGCTCTGCTGTGTTGCTTCTGGTTCTAGCCTGCGTCTTTGGCCTCTCAACTTCACTCCAACCCTCATCCTTATTTTAGTAAACTTCACTTCACCCTTCAGCTATCTCACCTTCACGAACTTCAGCTCTTCTTCACCACTATCTCTCCCTCTCACTCAATCATTAGACACGCTTTTCAAATTACTCTTCAAGTGCCTATCTAACTAACTAACTAACTAACTAGCTAGCTAACTATCTTCCCTCTGGTCTACAAACGTCGTGCATCGGTTGGTCATGATAGCTAGCTAAGTAGGTAGATAGCTGCCATTTGATCTTGATTGCTTTCTTGCTTCAATATAGTTATTTTATTATCGTTCTCTATTCTTTCTAACGAAATCAGAGTTTCTGACGGCCATTATCTTCCTGCCAATTTGCTTACAATCGTCGTCTTGAACGTGGCTGCCACAAGCTTGATTGATTGATTGTCTGCCTGTGTGGTCGAATAATTTTTCCGGCGCTCCTTCCTCTCCACAACCTTTCTTGGTCACAACCTTTCTTCTCCTGACCATTCTCATCCTCATCCTCATCTCATCCTCATCCTCACCCTCACCCTCATCCTTATCACCAACGATCAGGCTTACTTGTTTCATTCTCTATCATTTTCATCACGATGGATTCATATGACTACACCAATGGACGGTCTCCCAAGCGACTTAAGCAGTTCGCGGAACCCACCATGCAAGGCCTCCTCAGCGATGAGACACCTGCAGCTGCAAGCAGCAGTCTGCCACCAACTTATCCTCTTCCTAGTCATAACTTTGACGACGATATCATGTCGTCTTCTCCTCCTGCGACAATTCCCACCCAGCTAGTCGCAACTCAGGTCCTTTCGACACCAACTCGCAGCGACCTGCCTTCCACCATTCCGACACAAATCATCAGCACCCCTCTGAGAAATGGCGGCCGCCTTCCTGCTGCTGCCTTACAGTACGAGACTGTACCAACTCAGATAATTGGGACTCCCACTCAGGTTGTTCCGTCATCGTCCGTCGTGCAAGTAGCTGCAAGTTCTCCTGTGGTGAAGGAATCACCAATCCGGCCCGCCCCTCGAGGTCTTTCAGTCTCCTCCACTCCGACGCCCACCGCAAAACCACCATATGTGGTGAAGGTCGACCTCAACAGCGACATGGAGGTACCATATGCAGGGTCCTCCTCAGAGGACGAAGAGGCCAGATCGGCCACCAATACCTCGGCAACGGCCTTTTACCAGTCGCGGCCAAAGGCCAGCCCCCGTGTGTCTGAGTCGCCGGTCCAGAGTGCCGACCCAGTGGCCAATATGCGGAGCTTTGCTGGGCAGTTCGCTTATGCGGCTGCCAGCAAGGCTCCCAATTGGTCCCGGGCGGCCGCGGACCTGGAGAAGCTGAAGACGAGCCACGCAAGGGCTCAAAAGCGTCCTGCGCCCCCCCAGCGTGGCCCCTCCGCCCCCAGGCCCAGCGCGGTCATCGATTTGTCCGGGGACAGCTCGCTCGTCGACCGACTGAAGCGCGAATTCCCTCAGCAGGGAATTCAGCAGATCGTGAAGACTGTCAGCGACAGCAACCACGATTACAGGAGGGCCAAGGGCGCCCTCCAAAAGCATCAATTGGTCGAATGGGGGGTGGACCCGAAAACCACCATCCCGAAGATCCTTCGGGTATACCCCTGGTTGGAGATGGGCCAGGTCGTCGAGGCCCTCATCAAGACGAGGGGGTCTTACGACCGGGCCCTCCAACTCCTGGCAAATGTGCCGCCCAACCCCCTCGATGTCATCGTCCTAGACGATGACCAGGGTGGTCGGGCCAAGGCGAAGAGGAACACGCAGAGGGCACCAACCAAGACGATCAGGGAGAAGTTCTCCCATATCGGTGCCACTCAGCCGCTGCCCCCATCGCCATCCAAGCCCACCGCCCAGTCCCCGCCGACGCCCAGCGAGGGCAGCTCCTTGGCCTCAAAACCTCGGAAGCGCCTCGTTCAGGGCAAGAAGCTCCAGAGGACCCAGTCTCCCGAGGAGCCCGAGACGGTTGACCTTGTGTCATCCGAGGAGGATGCTTCAGAGGAGGACGAGGAGGACGACGTTCACGTGTCGGGCCGAACGAAGACAGTGGCCGACATGCTCAGCTTCATCAATTCCACTGATGTTGCTGGGCTTGTCGACCTCTCCTTCACGGATGAGGAGACGGCGGAGATGATCCTCTCACATCGACCATTCTCCAGCATCCGCGAAGTCCAGGGAGTCGTCAATCCCAACGTCATGAAGGGACGGGGTAAGAATGCAAAGCCGAAGAACATCGGCGAGAAAGTCGTTGACCAGTGTATCGAAACCTGGGAAGGCTTCATAGCAGTTGACACACTCCTCAAGGAGTGTAAGACTTTGGGTGATAAGATTACTGATGGCATGAAGGGCTGGGATGTTGAGAGGGGGGAGAGTTCCACAGAGGGACTCGACATTGTCGTTCCTGGGGAGGGTGGGAGCCCGAAGCCGGGCCACTCCGGGCTGTCACAAGGGATGCAGGGGTTGATGAGCGGTCAGCCAAAACTCATGGCTGAAGACATCCAACTGAAGCCATACCAAGTCCTAGGGGTCAAGTGGCTGGACCTTCTGCACGAATTGCGGTTAGGATGCATCCTTGCAGATGAAATGGGTTTGGGCAAGACCTGCCAGGTCATCGGCTTTCTTGCTCTTCTTCTCGAAAACGGCATTGAGGGACCTCATATTGTTGTCGTCCCGCCCTCCACGCTCGAAAATTGGCTGCGCGAGTTCAAGCGATTCTGCCCGACCCTAAAGGTCGAACCTTACTACGGCAGTCTCGAAGAAAGACAAGAAATGCGAATAGCTCTCGACGAAAACCCCGATTTCAATGTCATCATCACCACTTACAACATGTTCCAAGGCACGAGTCGAAACAACAAGATCGATCAAGGCTTTCTTCGCAAGTGGTCCTACGATGTAGCTATTTTCGACGAGGGGCATCAGCTGAAGAACAATACTTCCGATCGTGCTGTTAGCTTGTCGAGACTGCAAGTCCGGAACCGTATCTTGCTGACAGGAACGCCGTTGCAAAACAATTTGCAGGAGTTGATGAACCTGTTGGCTTTCATTCTCCCAACTCTATTCGAGAACAAGTATGAGCATTTGAATGCTATTTTCAAATATAAGGCGAAGACTTCAGATAATATCTCAGCCGCCAGCAAGTTACTTTCCCTCGAACGAGTCAAGCGAGCCAAAGCGATGATGACTCCATTTGTTCTCAGACGTAAAAAGGTCCAGGTCCTTCACGACCTACCCAAGAAATTCCAGCATGTCACTGAGGTTGAACTCACCTCTGCCCAGGCGGAAGTTTATCAGAAGACCGTCGACTCCGCCATAGCTACGGCTACTACTGATGATAACACTACTAAACCCATCACAAAAACTAGTTTATTGATGAGGCTCAGACAAGCAGCCATTCATCCGATGTTGTCGAGAAGATTTTACACAGATGCCACGGTTCGCAAGATGGCACGAGCAATCAAAAAGGAGCCGCAGTACGATACGGAAGATCACGATGTTAACGTCATCGAAGGGGAGATGTTGCAATATAACGATTACGAATTGGACAAACTCTGCCAGGACTATCCAATGACATTGAAAAGCTTCAAGCTCCAGAACGAGGAATGGATGGATTCGGCGAAGGTGTTGGCGTTGAAAGATATTCTGTTGAAAGCCAGAGACAATGGTGACCGCGTACTTGTTTTCTCACAGTTTACTATGGTACTGGACCTCCTCGAGAAAGTATTGGGGACTATCGAGATGCCATTTTTACGATTGGATGGAAGTACAAATGTCGCCCTTCGACAAGAGTTGATCGATCAGTTTGAAGAAGAGAAAGATATCACTGCGTTCCTACTTTCGACCAAAGCTGGTGGTGTAGGTTTGAACTTGGCGGCAGCCAACAAGGTTGTCATTTTCGATGCTTCATTCAATCCATTTGATGATTTACAAGCTGAGGACAGAGCTTGGCGTATCGGACAAACGAGGGATGTCCATGTAATTCGCATTATTTCTAAGGGGACGATTGAAGAGAATATTGATCAGTTGGCGAAGACGAAGTTAATGTTGGATGCTAGTGTCAGTGGAGAGCAAGGAGAGGAAGTTGCGGAATTTGTGAAGAATACACTTGTTAAGCAGATTTTCAACGTTGGGGACTAGAGGTCTTTTCGTTCGAAGGTTGCTAGGAAACAAGAACCGGGGAATGGGATTACTAAGGGGAAGGCCGTTGATGGCGGGGTTGGAAAACAAGACAGCTCCATCAGTGAACACAAGGCGCCGAAAAAAGCAGAGGATGGATCAGATGCTAAGGGGGTTTGCGAGCCTAGTGTGGAGAAGGTCGCCAGCGAAGCTAGTTCATCATTGAAACGCAAAGCAGAGGAAGAGGATACTGACACGAGCGCACAAGCTAAGAAACGAAAGGAGGAGGATCCCGCTATTGAAGAAACAGAAGAGGAACAACTTGGCACCAGAAGACGACTTACGAGATCGCAATCCAATGCGAGTACAGTAACGAAGGATGTTTCTGCTCAATGCGAGTACAGTAACGAAGGATGTTTCTGCTAAGCGTAGCAACGGATCCATCGCCCAAAAAACTGGAGGAGAGAAGACTAGTTCCGCACGGAGTCTTATGAGATCAACATTACAAGTGAATCCTCTAAAGAAAGAAACATCCAACAAGCGAACCCTCGAAGACACTGGTGAATCCGCCTCTGTTGCTAAGAAACAAAAGAAGGATTCTGCCGTTGACGAAGCTAAGGGTACCAGGAAGGCCAGTGCTGAGAATACTATGCCCTCAGCCTCTCATGCTACAATCCAAGGTGGTGACGAGCCTGTAATCCGATCTAGCAAGAGAAAGCGCACAAGTACCGAATCTAGTTCCTCCCCTACGAAGCAGCAAAGCAAGTCCAAATCCCCTACTTCCTCTGGGTCTCAGAATACGAACGACGCATCCCAAGGTCAAGTCGCCAGGCGACAACGTATGGTCAAACGTACCGAGTCGGCCAGCTCCTCTGTTGCAAAACAAAACGCAGAAATGTCGAAATCTAGTACACTATCGCCCCGCCATTCCGGAAAGGCCTCTCCCGGTGATCAGACCGAGGATCATCATGGGACGGCAGAAAATGGTTCTCGTCCGACAAAACGACATCAATCAAGGCCAGTATCGGAAACACCCGAATCTACTCCTGCTTCATCCAAGTCTGCTTCGCAAAAGGGCAAGACACCGCCTCGTGGAAAGGAACCGTGATCCTCTTGAGTGCCATATCCGACACTTTTTCATGAAACCATATCCACTGCCCAACTTTTTTTCCCTCTTCATAACTTTAACAATCGCAGCATACATATCTGCTTTCTACGTCGTTCGGCGGGTTGCATCTTTACTCCGCAACGTCTACTATCGTCGTATCTTTCTGCAAAACAAAAATAGACATTAGATCCAAACGGCATCTATACGGCGTTATTCATGATTTCTCTTTTTCACGGGTTCTAATTATATGGAAACCCATGATGGCGTTAATTTGTTTTATAAGCTGTTTATTCTCTATCATTATCGGCCGTTGTCCATATCTATACGCCTCTACTTTTTCATTGCTACGATTATTAGAAGGGACGGATATTACAAAATCGGTGTCTCTTTTTATTCTCTAGTCTACTTTTCGCATAATATTTCGAAGACTCTATTTTCCGGCGCACTCTATTTGGAGTTAGAAAAAAGTCTTTTTTGTCATGTATCTTAACTAGCGATAGATGAAATAGATACAGGTGAATGTGATATTTGTTTTATGTGAAAAGTGGTATATTCAATTATACTTAAAGCATAATAGAGATCGAACCATAGGTATATAAATTGACTTAGGTAGGTAGCTCGGGAGCTAGGTATTCGAATATCCCTGGCAAGAGGGTCATAGGACGTGCTAAAGCTAATTATTACGTGAAGATTATATATACATATGCGAATCTCGTTTCTGTTTGTAACAAATATCTAGTCTTGTCGAGCTCGCTAACTAGTTATTTTGACGTTTTTCTTAGCGGGACGTATGCACGGATGGCATAACGACCCGTTCTAGTGGATTTGTATGGACGGTTATGCTAGTGCCGCTTTGAGAGTTAGAGCTCTGGAGCTGAAGGTAGAATTTGACCTGCACTGAGACTGTCAACATGTTCGAGTTCTAGTTCTAGAGATGCATAAGTAACATTAAGTAAGTGCGTATGACCGGATCCGCCTTCCCTTTTCCTGGAATGAGGATAGATTGACTAACTTCCTGTGCTACCAACACTTTTTGAGGTTAATTTTGTATTTTGTATGTGACACAAGCTCGTGTTTTTTTTAACTTCACACCCTCATTGATATCATGATTCAGAGAAGAGTATTATTTTTTTACTTTTATTCCCCTTTCCGAAATTAATTGTTAAAATGGAAGTTGTCTTGCTTGTGATCCGGTCCACGAGCTGGATGGGCCACGAGTCTTGTTACATTCGTACATTCTTTGGAGCATCATGATATCAACATCAGGCTCAAGGAATGATGGTAACTTATATGCCGGAGCTAGTATCTTAGAATCCTGGACGGTGGCTGTAAGCACTGTTCAGAATATAGCAGGCTGAAGCAGAAAGAGAGTAGTGAACGGCAATATGGTGTAGAGATTCTTAAGAGCTCAATATCAACTTTTTTTTTTCTCTCCCTCTCTTTGACCTGAAATATAGTAATAACCTTCTACATTCGTCCTGAAACAATTTGAAGAAGATACTTAGGATCCCTTATGAAAAATAGGAGGCCTCTCTCATGTCTTTTGCAATTCCTTTTCTTGGGAAAGGCTGAAAAAAGGTCTGCCAAAAAAAAAAAAAACCTGGCCGGGAGAAAAAGCACTGAGGGAAGTAATCGTAAGCGAGTCCAGTTGATAAGGCATGAATCTGGCCACCCATCCCTCCCCGCATCCCTTTAGAAAGAGCTCATGTCCAGTTATATCCATTCCTCCTCCTGCAAGCGACCGAATCGGTGTCTGCAGGTTTACCTGCTTGATGCTGCGAGGGATTCTTAAGATCCGGAGCAGGGATTCGCTTCTTTCCTATGCATACTCGACTCTCATGTCTGCCGTATGTGAAAAGTGTGGGTCTAGGCTCTTAAAAGCTGAAGCTTAGCTTGCATGTCAATTATTAGAGACTAACAGAACGACCGACCGGATAGTTAGTCCTTCGTCATCTGCAGGGTGATAACCTTCGGATGGTTGTGGTTTGATCGAATGATTTGATTCGTGGGGATTGATGTGAGGGGTTGCAGTTGTGCGCCAATTGAAGAATACACAGTATGGATGTGCATGGTGTGCGATCCTCTTGTTTCTTTCCAAGGCGACTGCATTTTGCATGGTGATTCGGAACCTTTATTTAGAGGATGGATATCTACTTCCTATTCTCCAATTGAGTAATTCTTATTCCTTGAATCTACTTACTTACTCTCTCTCGTATCTATACGGTTCCCGAGACATAAGTTTTAAGCTCCTTGGCTTTTTCCTCGCTTTTGATTTTCCCTGTCTGACCCTTCCCTCTTTTTTTCTTCCCGTCGCCGCCATTTATAAAAATTCGTATCGTACGGCGACACCTACGTGCTTGGTCGCAAGCGATCACTTTCCTTTCTGACCAAAAGCTGTGCCAAAAATTGCCAGCCTTCTCGGGCGGGATTGGCAGTTGATTGCGCAAGGGTGCCGTGTCTCCCTTTCGTTCTCTCTCTGTTTTTTTCTTCTTTTCTTCTCCCATAGGACTCGATTTGGTTGCTTGATATTCGGCACTTCTTATGTTGATTTGCCTGAGGGAGCTCGATTCTCGATCTTTCAAGCTAGCTTTTACTTTTTTTCTTCTTCTTATTAAGAATACTATGAATTGATTACGTTTTAGAAGGATAGTTATAACGAGTTTGAGCTTTAGCCGTATACCTTTGTAGTTATTTTCGTTACTTATATTCTCATTCGCAATTTTTCTTTGGCTTGCTGGTATATCTGATATCTTCGTCTCGCATACTTTCCGAGCCAGCTGGAGATATTCGAATTGACGACCTCGACGCAACAGGAATGACAACGTCTTCGTCGTGACTTCATCGTTAACGTTACACATTTCAAATATTCTTTTCCTCTGCTTCTTATCGTTTTCCCTCCAACCTTCATAATCAACTTCTCTCCAAGAAAATTATTCACGACTCCAACCTTTTATTCTGTACCAGTCCACCAGAGAACTCTTCGAAGAAACGCATTGACCACGGGATCGATATTCCATTTCGACCTAGCGCGTCTCTTTTTCTTTATCATATTCCCGCTTCCCCCTCGTTAGCGGGAACAACGCCAAAACCAGAAACTAACGAAAGTCGCCTTTTTTCGGCTTTGGCTGAGCGCCCGCTCCGAGAAACACCACCCTCTTTTTTTTCCCTTCTAACCCGTCTGGAGGTTAAACAAGCTGGCTGGTATATCAGTTTCCAGTTTTTTTCATTATTATCCTCCTCCTATTCCTTCTCCATCTTCTATTTTTCCTTCTCATCTTATTTCTTCTTCAAATTCTTCTTTTTTGGTGTTTAAAACGAAACCCGACAAGATGGGACAGGAAGATCGGCCGCCGTTGTTTTGGAAGTTTAGGTCGTCCAATGGGTTTATCGTCTTTAGCGTCTGTTTTGCTATTTTTGTGGACGTTTTGCTTTATGGGTGTATTGGTGAGTAAAAGTTATCTTGGAATTGTTTCTTCTCTTTCCCTTTCTTAGGAGGATAAGATATGCTAACCTGTGTTGCTGGTTTATAGTACCGTATGTTGAAATCCCGGAACTTTTATCTAACAGCTAGTTACTGTTGAACTAGTGTTTATTCGATTGGGCATGGTGGTTAACTGAGGTTGATTATATAGGGTTTTCCCGTTTACATTGGAGAAGAGATCTGGTGTTCCTGAGGATCAAGGTATTTGCCATAGCAGCTTTGGAAGTTGGAGATTTGGAAGGGACTGGGCTAATTGAAGTTATATATAGTTCAAGGATGGCTTGCGGTACTATTGGCGGTCTATGGATTGGGATTTTCGCTGGGTTCACGTATGTTCTCAATGTACCAGGTCTTTCTATGTAAATGGTTTATTGGCTAACCAATCTGATTGATTTGTAGCTGCTTTTGGATGGCTTGCTGGTGAGTGGTGATGTTTAAAACAACATCTGGAGAATATAGAAACTAGAGCTTTACTAACATTTGGCTTCTGCTTCTAGATCACTACCGAAACCGCTGGTATCCATTGATGGCTGGTCTGGTCTTGCTGCTTGCTGGCACAATGATGCTATGGTTTGGAACTATGGTTCAGTTCTTGTGTCTTGCCAGATTCATCCAGGGCCTTGCGACAGCTTGCATTTGGAGTGTTGGATTGGCACTGGTGATTGATACCGTTGGCAGCTCTAATGCAGGAGAGAGTCTTGGGCTTCTCGCGTGAGTTATAAACCCGGATTCTTAGCTAGATAAGTTGCTTATTGGCTAACAATTTGACTCAACAGGGCTTCCATGAGCATTGGATTCGTCGGAGCACCATCATTGTCAGGTTTCATCTACGACCGGTTCGGATACGATGCTGTTTTCCTCAGCATGGTTGTGATGGTTGTATTCGATATCGTTTTACGAATCCTCATCATCGAAAAAAAAGACGCCGTCAAATGGATTCTTCAGGAAACCGACCCGAACGATCCTACCAGACCGCTACTTCCTCCAAACCCCGCCGACGGCCCCAATTTCGATATTCAAATACACGCCCACCCACTGATTACACTTATGAGTTCTCCACGGCTCGTAACCGCTGTGTTCATATCATTCGTCGAAGCTATCATCATGACTAGTTTTGAAACCGTATTACCACTCCACACGAAAGAAACATTCGGATACACATCCACCCTCGCAGGACTCTGCTTCGCCCTTGTCGTATTCGGAGACTTTTTCTCAACTTACGCAGGTCGTTTGAGTGATCGAATCGGTGCCAGACCGTGTGTAGTTACAGGATTAATAGCTAGCGGCACTGTTGTTTTCTTATGCGGATTCGCAACCGGTCCATCGATCGCTTCTCAAGTCATGTTGTGGGTTTTGTTGCTAGGAGTCGGGTTGGCGCATTGCCTGGTCTTCGTGCCGACTTATACGGAGATGAGTTTGGTGGTCGAACAGATCGAGAGGGAGAAGCCGGGTGTTTTTGGACCGTACGGGGCTTTTGCACAGAGTTATGGGTTGGGGAATTTTGCGTATGCTGCGGGGACTACGGTTGGACCGCTTTGGTGTAAGTTTTTATCCATATATCTCTAAGGTATAGATAGGGTACTAACGCATTAATATCTGGAAATAGCTGGATTCATGAGACATCAGACTGGATGGGGTCCTATGATGTTCGCTTTGGGGGTGTTTAGTATTTTGTCTGTGATTCCTTCGGTATGTTACTTTTTCACTCCTTGAGTACTCCCCAGATAAAAGATCTTAGGAACCGGACTAATTATGGCCTTTACAGTATATGTTCCTCGGTGAACCGAAGGCGAAAGAGCAAGGTGACGAAGAGGGACAGTCTACGAGCAGGATCTAAACTTAGATTATTTGATTCGCGTCATGGGTTGATGGATTTGAGACCTTCATATGGACGATTAAAAGTGAATTTCTTTTTTTATTATTTTAGTTTCTTTTGAGCAGGCGAAGCGTATGACGGGTCTAACGTGTTTGGGAACTCTATTACATGATTCTTGTGTGTATTAAAATAGGTAGCCTTTGATGTTTGTAAATTATCATTATGCATATGATCATCTAGAATGTACTGAATGGAGGATTAATGATGAAGTCTGGATATAAAGTATCATGGTATCAATTACATACAAATTGAATGGTGTGTTGCACAAGCTGCAGGTTGTTGCAATAATGACATCAACGCAAAATACCCAACAACCTGGAACTGGTCTGACATTGCACCCACCCAGAGAAGCACCCTGGCCACCTTTAAGCTTTCCACGAGTGTTCCCTTGTCGGCTTCCTTCAATTTAAACTAATACTGCCGCCGACGCCCTGCTTAGGAAGAATATGTCAAGTCGTACATAATGAGTGCCTTGGGGAGAGACTTCTTCAAGGCAAAGCTTGCCAAACTACCTGCAATGCCTCCCCCTCCGCTAGGCGCCCTACCCGAAGAGCTTGAAGAGCTCGAAGAGCTAGATATCGAAGACGAAGACGAAGACGACTTCCCCGATGGTTATGGCGAGAATGATGAATATCACGAGGGGGTTCTTGACGACTCTTCCTCGGCTTCGAGTGCTTCGTCTACATCTACAATTATAGCTCCACCGTCTAGACCGGAACTGTGTGTGCCTTGCCCTTTTCTTCCTCTTCCTCTTCCTATTCCTATTCTTCTGCTCGCCACTAAGTGTGACTTCTTTCGCGAGATTTCCCCATCATGCGCCATGGTTTATGGTATGGGCTATTTTTACACTGCGCAAACATTACTGAATGTCATAGTAGATGTCAATGGCTGATTGGGTTATCTCTCTTTTTTATTCTTATTTTTACTTTTTTAGAACTGCCCGTCGACGGAATAATCTAGAACCAATCCCCTGGAACCACCACTTCTCCGAAAACCTTCAATTAACTCCATCTTCTAACCCAACATCTCACTTCAATGCTTATTACACCCCAAATACCGGCTCGGGACCTTTGTTCGTCACCCATCATGGCGCCGGATCCTCAGGTCTCTCCTTCGCAGCACTAGCCTCCGAAATCCGTAAAATCAACCCAGAAGCCGGTATCTTCTCCTTCGACGCCAGAGGCCATGGTGGAACCAGTACCTCCAACGACCAAGATTTCAGTCTCTCCACATTATCCACCGATCTATACGAAGCCCTTTTGGCAGCTCAAGAGCAACTACGATGGGAATCTTTACCTCCCATAATACTTGTTGGACATAGTCTCGGTGGCGCGGTAATCACCGATTTAGCCAAACGGGGTTTATTAGGGGATAGGTTACTTGCATATGCGGTTTTGGATGTGGTCGAGGGAAGTGCGATGGATGCGCTGCATAGTATGCAAAGTTATTTATTATCAAGACCAACTGGGTTTACGAGTTTAAACCAGGGGATTGAATGGCATGTCCGTAGTCGGACGATAAGGAACGGGAGGAGCGCTAGAGTTTCTGTTCCGGCTTTGCTATATGATTATAGTAATTCTGGGGGGAGTGGTGATGTGTCTTCTTCGTCTTCTACGGCTACTGCAAACAGTGGCGCTGCTGCCGTTGGTTCTAATAGTAGGCCGTGGCGATGGAGAACAGATTTGGCAACGACGCAGCCATTCTGGCAGGATTGGTTTGTGGGGTTGAGTAGGAAGTTTTTGGAGGCTAAAGGGGGGAAATTGTTGATTTTGGCGGGGACGGATAGGTTGGATAAGGAGTTGATTATCGGGCAGATGCAAGGGAAGTATCAGCTTCTGGTTTTACCGGAGGTAGGGCATTTTCTGCACGAGGATGCGCCAGAGAAGACGGCTATTGCTGTAAGTCACTCTTCCCTTCCCTTCCCTTCCATTTCCCTCCCTTCGTTATTCTATTTGCTCTTTTTTGATGTCTTGGTACTCTTGGTATCCAAGTTGAAAGACATATTGTGTGATTTTGTACGTGATTGCGTAAGGAGGATTGCTAATGTCGTCTTTTTCTTCTGATTTTTATTCGGTGAATAAAGCTTGTGGAGTTTTATAAGCGGAATGATAGAAGTGCTTTAGTTTTGCCAAAGAAGGTGTGGGAGATGTAAGTATATATTTCGTCATTTCGTGGACGATGCCTCGAGGGGGGGGTAGTTTTATAAAACACTTTCTAGCAAGTTACGAGGTACACATTTCTATATAGGTCCCGTAACTTTTGGGAGGTTGAAGTTTGAGAGAACTACGACATACGAAATGAAATCCTGGGTATAATAATTCACCTCTCAGGGTTTTATTAATCTCTCTATCAAAAAGAAAAAAGTACTAAAGATCTTTCCAACTATTCAATGAACGTAGTGTGAGGGGGATAATAGTATCCCCGGGTATCGCTGATCAAAACTCCAGGTAGTAAAAGGAATAGGTGACAAAAAAGAAGGAATGAAAAGAAAATCCTTGCGAGAATCTAAAGAAGCAAGTTCGACTATAGCGGTCTAGGTAAACCCATTCTTCAAGTAGAAGGCGATTCTAGTCTTTGCCTTTACTTGTGGCTTGGGAAGATTTTCTCCTTGATTCTTTCTGTGAGACCTTTATGCTCTTCCTCTCCATCTGCAGTAACGATATTACCGCCGCCACCTCGCTATAAAACCAAATACTATTAGTTATCTTACTTTCATACGGGGAAGCTCTAGCTCCAAGTCTAATTTTGAATTTCAAAAAAGGTGGGGGAAACTATAGTAACATACACCGGTGGAGATTCCGTGTCCCTGGGTTGGATGAGGTTGTTCACGTTGAGCGTTCTCAGGGATGACATCGTGACCTTCGGTGGCGTTTTCGCTGTGTCCGATATTACCACCGCCTCCGCGGCCGGTGGTATAGGTTCCCGATGGGGCTGCGGTGCGAACGATACCGCCGTCGGCGTATTCCGTGGTATCTGGGGCGATATTGCCGGCGCCTGGGAAAGTAGATAAAGTGGTTAGTTTTCAAGCTCGAAAAGAGAAAAAAAAAAGGAGAGTTTTCTAGAAGAGATATACCTCCACGGCCGTGGCTGGATGGTTCAACGGCAGACATCTTTATGGATATTTAAATTATGTGTAAGGAAGTAGGTATTCTTCTATGAATTTTAGAAGACGACTGGGAAAGTTTAAGGTCGTATTAAGCTTAAAGTTTATCGTTGCGTTGGAAGCGACGTTGGAAATAGCTGTTGCTGCTGTTGCTGCGACTTTACGTAAAATTAATGATGAGAAGGGCAAAAGACCGTGTGCGCGCCAGCGACCATTTTATAGCTTTCATTCTAGCCTCGGAGGGGACCCATAGCTTCGCTTCCTTTTTCTCTCGTTCGTTCACATTCACTTTTTTCCTCTCTTTCTTCTAGTTCTTACCCTTTCGCCTTCTTTCGATGCGCTCTTCCTTCCCGCGGGGGTGTAAAATTGGAACTGATAAGAGGGGTAAAACGTCATATCTCCTTCTCGACCTTGGCGATATGCATCAGTGGCGCTCTCTTGCGGCAAAAGGGAGAGTAGGACGAGAAACGGGAAAAAAAGGGTTCTTTTGGTTTTTATCAAAAGAGAATGATGAGATCTTTGTCATTTGCTGGTGTAATAGCTAAGGTTCCTTTTTGTTTTTCTTGCTTCCTGGTTTGTCCGAGGCTTCTGGCGCCCAGCTGGGAAGCTAGTTAGGTAGGGTAGCAGGCTTGTGCGCAGGCGGGGCTTTTTTTTTTTTTTTTTGGGTTAACGGCGACCTGGGCATTTTGGCGGTAAGGATCCAATGGTATGACAGCATTCGGCTCGGGTCTGGTGATTAGCTGGGAATTGTTCGATTTTCCGGCGGCGGGAAGAGGTTGGATTTCCTTGGAGATGATAAACAAGAGAAAAAAGAGAGGATAGCAAATTTCATCATTTTTCTTATATAATTTTTAAATTAATATTTTGTTTTCTGGAATATATAAGGGTATAGAAGTTGGCTGTTATAGGATCGATCATGCACGGTCGAGTCTATTTTTGCTGCTACTTTTTCGAATCAAGGTCGATGGCGCTGGCCGGGATATGGTCACCGTTTTGTCGGTTGAGCTCATGAGAAGCCACAGCTGGCAAACTAGCGAGATCCCATCGACCGGGCTATTTGATAGCCCAATCGGTTTGCAACCGACTGAATAGCAGCCTGCGCTGAGTTTTTAAACCCCGCAGAACTAACCAGGTCGTTGACCTAGCATGAGCTTATATGCTGACTATGATCTCATTAAAAAAATGGATTGGACGAGGTCTCGAGATCATAGCCACTCGAATTTCACTTGACCGGGGCAAAATCAGCATGCATCGTTCGGAAGATTGTAGTCTCATCGATAGATATTAAAACATAGATGACTTCCGGGGTTCTCTAGTTCTGAATGACTGGGTTTTAAATTCACCAATGGCATCGTCTTTGTGCCAGTCTCCTCGTCGCTGGATGGAAAGTTACCCCCGTGATGTCGATATTCGGATCAAACTTGGTTAATTGGCGGACACAAAACCAGGCATAAGAAGCCGGGTGGAATCCTTGTTCTGGGAACATTCGCACCTTGAAATGTACTCAATTAGTGGAATGATATTTTGGGTCCCTGAATAAACGAACTTACATACCCGAACCTTGCTCCAATTAAGCTTAAATGGAATGGAGTTCCACAGGGTCGGCAAATATGATCATGGTGACCATGCATTCGCCAAACATTCTTGACAGCCACAAGAATAGTATGGGGTCCACAAGAAGCAATTTTATTAAATCTGAAAACGGTATAAATTGTAAAGTAATATTACTTAAATGTGGCCAGTCATACATACCACATAATAGTTCTAGCTGACTAAGAGAGTAGAAACCCCTTAGCAGCCATCTAAATTTTTTGAATATATATATTCTTTAACATATTCATAGAACTCAGATTAGTCATCTTTTAGTGGTTTAGTAAAGAGACGATCTATAGATCTAGGGATATGTATATGCTATATAGCTGTATTACCCAGGTCGATCGAGGTTGTCTTGTGAGGCAGCCGCGGAATCTCTTTCTTCGCATCTGCACATAATTGGGGGAGGGGGGGTGATGGTTACTATATTAATACATCATTTCAATATTAGGTCAGACTCCTGGGGTATTCATTGCCCGCTAAATATGAATACAGGACTTAAAGTCTATTTTGCGAATGAATATCTCTTCGTGAGTATGCATCTTAAGAAGTTGGACCTTCTTCACATTGGAGTGGGATATATATCTACCATGTAATGTTCATGTGGTGCTCTGGAAATAGAAAGACGGTTACTGAACAGTAATCATGAAAGAGACTTGGGAAGTTAATCAGTAAACTAGGACCTGTGATGAAGTGGTTTGTTCCGTTTACGTGGGAGGGGAGCGTGTTAGAGAAACTGATTCTTGAGGGGTAGTATTTAACTCTTCAAAATGTGTCGATTTTGTGGTATTTTACTATGGGGTTTCCCCCCACTAACCTGCCGCTAAGTCCTCGGCTGCAGCACCAAAGCCGGCTGGTTATATTATTGATCCCGTCTACACTTTTGATTGAGACAAAATTTGAATATTTTATGTCTGGTTCCTGCCGTTAGTATCTTACCTTTTTCTACATCCGGCCAAATTTCGGCTACTGATCATTGAACTTTGCTGACCTAGCGTCGACTATATATAGCTACCAACATTGTTATAGTTGGGCTGATATCAATAATACAAGGTTCAGCAGCTCGGCCCACTTTAAGATTGTTGCACAGACTTTAAATTTTTCGACGTGAAGCGAGATTCGCACATTTTGTGTCATCTCTTTCATGGTACATACACATGGGTCCGCTGTCTTAAGGCAGAAGAAATCGTGAGATATAGAGGGTTTATATCAACCGATAGGGCACGTCATGGTCATGTCATGGTATGCCATGTCAAGTCTAGGAAAGTCATGAGAGTATCTCAAGACCTGGTTTACTGAAAAAAAACACTACGAAGTTTGAGAGGGATCAATAATTTGGTTTGGTAAGGTTCGTGACCATCAATAACATTACTCAAATTTTGGCTGACAATATGAATTCGCCATCATTCTCCAAAATTCCAAAAGCTAAAAAAAGTCTTTCAACTTTTTGCCCGAATTAATAAACAATGGAGAAGATAGGCTTAGAAACATGCCAGAGTTATGTATATATGTGTGAAGTAAACGTCACAGCGTTCCTGAACTGGACGTGATACTACTGCCCCTCATTATATATTAACACCATGCGACTACATGGGTGTAAATATTTTACAAAGCGAAAGCGGCAAGGAGGAAAGCGCCCAACATGGGGACGTTGGCAATGACATAAGAACCAGCATTGGGGGACTGGGTAGGAGCTGGGCCAGTGGTCTTGGAAGCATCAGTACCAGTTTCCTTGGGGCCAGTCTTGGATTCTTTCTCAGCTATTGGACGTGCATATGTTAGTTAACTGATTTATATTTTTGATACTATCAAATCTCAGCCGAAGCTGATTGAGGCTGAATATCACTTACGAGTCTCTTTAGCGGGACCTGAGGTACCAGGGGCGGAAGTTTGGGCGGCTGGGGCACTGCTGAAGCCAGCGGCGGTGGGTGGGACATAGCTGGAGTAAGGGACAGAGGCAGTGTAGTAAAGGGATGTGACACACTTCTGTTGGCAGACGGCCCAGGCACTATATTCGACGTGTTAATTGACATCTTCGACAGAAAAAAAAAACTTATAGATATCGAGGTTAAAGTATTAAACTTACGCGTTCTTCTCGTCGTCACCACCGGGAGGGCAAGCAGCGATACAGTCGTGAGTGGCATTCAAAGCATCGGCATCGGGACTGGAATTGATATTTCTATATTAGATTCGTCCACAACACAATTGAATTCGACTCGGAATATTAATCTTACACTGGGAGACCCTGGCAGCCGGCCTGGCAGTGGACATTTCCGGCACCACAGGCAGTGATGCAAGAAAGTGTGCTGGAGTAAGCGGCATCAAAACCAGCAGGGGTGGCTTGGGGAACAGGAGCATTTGTGATGGTATCCTGTGGACGGGCGGCGGCCAAAGCGGACAAGCCAACGACGGCGGTGAAAGCGGTGGCGATGAACTTCATTTTGAATTTAATTATAGATACTTGGAAAGTAATTATACTGTAGATTGGATTGAATTGATTGAGAAATTAAGAATTATCTCGAATTGGTCCAAAGGAAGTCGGTGCTTGGTAAAAATTTTTCAAAAAAAATTATACGAAGTTGAGCGAGTGTGGTGAAAGAAGTCGTACAAAAATTACGGAAATGGTTATCGATAACTTTTGGAACAGACAAATTAAAACGAGCGTCGATGGATGGGAGAAGAAAAGGAAGGGAGACCATGAAAGGATGCGGGCCTATGCGATGCTTTTAAAGGGCTAAAGGGGCCCAGACATTCCGATATGCACGCTTCCATCTGGGAGACAATCCTAGCCTCAAAATCAAGGCCGCTCCCCCGGCACAATATGCATCGATGTTTTATGTTTAGGTAACTTCAGCGTCATACCAATCGTAGTATGGTTGCCCAGGTTAGAACGGGACTCACGTGTAGACTGGTGTGGCCAATGAATGTGAGGTAGCATTGGCTTCACACCCGGTTGGATCAAGAAATTACCATGGCGCTCCAGTAAAATTGCACGCCCGACAAAATGCACATTCCACTTGTCGCCCGCCGTTGTTCTACGGCGGGAATCTGCTGTTCCAATTTCCCCAGGGCGCACCGGAGACATCTGGAAGCATGTATGTCTGTCGACAACTTCATCAGGTCTGTTGTATTTTATACACTGTGGGGCCTGGGTTTTTTCGCTTTGGATCATTATTTGAGGGCAATTGTCGTCATCTCACTTTTTATTATTACTCGACCAGGTCTTTTTTTTTTTTTTTTTTTTTCTCGCTCTATTTTTCTCTTCCTTAGATCAGATCAGATCCGTAGTGGAAATAAGCGAAATGTGAAGGTCCTCGATGATTTCGGTACCTGCATTTTTTAACCGCATCCACACCGCCTTGGCAGTCTGTGGGTCGAAGTTTTTTTTTTTTTTAACCCCTTTCCCCTTCCAACTCACTGGGTTCACTTTTGGTAGTCTGGGACACTTTTGGACTATTCGGATTTGCGGCTTTGTCGGTTTTGGGAAGCAGCATCTGCATCACCGGTGCCAGCTGGTGACACTAGAACCATCAACGTGGCTATTAAGCTCTGGACTGGCGCCTTGGTTCTTCCCTGAAACCTTCGGTATTATGCGGTGTCTATGTATGTACAATGAATGTCCAGACACTTGCATGCATGTATGCATTCAACATTTCAAATCCGATTCTTCTAGCGCTCAAATTTAAGCTGCCGGTCTCGTTCTCAATAGGTATGACTTGTCATTTTTTCACTTCCTGCCTTCCACCTACGAACGGACTATATTAGTGCAATATTTTTTGCAAATCTTGTAGGGATTATGTAACTTACCATGATTATGTGGTAGCCATGTGCGGACTTAACAGGTCCGGCCCATACAGGTTTATCGCAAGTGGAGGGCTCGAGAGCATACGCTGCAACCTCAAATTCTTGAACGAGTGACCCTCGAACCTTCCACCCTAAACTTCCGCCCTGTCGTGCCTTGTCTTCGCTGTACTCACGAGCGACAGCGTCAAATTTGCTGCCTTCATTTAGTTTTTCAATAGCTTCGAGTGCTTTGGAATGTTTCTCGCAGAGAATATGCCGGACCTATTCCGTTAATTGTCAGAGACAAGACGGTTATCCGTGCAGAATATTGTACAGTGGAGTGGGGGAAATTCGTACGTTGATCGAATTTGCTGCCTTTAGCTTCCCCCCGCTCTTGCTGCTCCCTTCCCCAGAATCTGCCTTTCCTTTCCCTTTGCCTTTGGACTCGCCTCCTTCTTTGCCCTTGTTCTTGCCGGCCATGCCTCTATGTGTACCTTGCTGTATATTATTTGCCTTATCCCTTGCGGTGATGATAAATGATGATATATATAGTAGATTGATGTAAGGGAATCAGTTGCAATTTGTCGGGGACGTCGACTTAGTTTAGTATCACCGATGCATAGGTCTTGGCTGGGTGAGCGTTGTGGTGTTTGGCGCGTGTTGTCCAATTATCAAACGCGTCTTCCCGTCCGAAAAAGGTCCAAATGATGCCTCCAATGCTTTCGAGACAGCCTCCAAGTCAAAGTTGACAGCCTCCAATCACCGATTCTAAGTACCATTTAGCATCCACACAACGGTACCTAAGATCCTTTGCGACTCCTTACCTAGCGTATCATATACTTCCTCCTCAGCTGCACCTCCATGTTCTTAAACGATGTCTTTTTTGAGCGATGACGATTATGGCGACGATTTGGACGACGAGCTCCTGATAGCTGCAACCAGGCAAATTGAAGAGAAGCAGAACACCCAGGGACGGAAGCAAAGTTCCCCGCGGAATCAAAGAAGTAGTTTCACACCAGGTCGGGTATCGAAGACCAGCACGATAGAAGATACATACGACCTAGATAATATATTCTCCTCGGATATCATCGATGAGGAACATGACTTCAGACCAGCCCCGACTACGAATGCTGCACCTGGTAATCTTAGGCAGAGAACTTTGTTCGGAGATGTGGCAGATGAAGGTGAAGAAAGAGAGACTACTGTTCGAAGCTGGCGGTTGGTGAACCACGATGAAGCGCCGACGCACCACAAGATCGATCGAGAGGCTGCAAAGACATGGATATACCCAACAAATGTGTCCCACAGAGACTACCAGTTCAACATCACCAAAAGGGCATTATTCACAAACGTCTTAGTGGCTTTACCTACTGGTATGCTCATAGCTCCCACTATAGTTTGAAATTCTATATCTAACCAGATATACTTAGGTCTTGGGAAAACATTCATAGCTGCTACCGTCATGTACAATTGGTACAGATGGGCACCTGAGTCTCAGATTATTTTCATGGCCCCAACAAAACCACTAGTCGCTCAACAAGTCGATGCCTGCCATAAGATCGTAGGTATACCGAAAAGCGATACGTGCTTGTTAACCGGTCATGTCTCTCCAGGCCACCGGGCGGACTACTGGAATGAAAAGCGGTTGTTTTTCCTAACGCCCCAAACTCTCGAAACGGATTTGACATCTGGCCGATGTGATCCGAAGAGGATAGTACTGATAGTTGTCGACGAAGCTCACCGCGCTACCGGTGAGTACGCCTACTGCAAAGTAATCCGGTACATACGACGGTTCAATAATAGCTTTCGGGTTATGGCCCTGACTGCTACCCCGGGATCGAAGGTCGAATCTGTGCAAGCAGTTATTACCTCACTAGGTATCGCTCGGACAGAAATTCGGACGGAGGAGTCGATTGACATTAGGCAGTACATTCACCAACGGGAAATTCAACTCGAAAAATTCCCACTAACGGATGAGATTACAATGATTCGCGATCTGTTTAGCAAGGCTCTCAAACCGATGCTTGAGAAGCTCAATAACATGAAAGCCTGCTATATAACAGACCCAGCGAATCTAACAGCGTTTGCATTAACGGAAGCCAAAAAGAGATATATCGTCAGCCCGGCAGGAAGAGCCGCCCCTCCAGGCCTAAGAGGCTCGATTCTCAGCCTCTTCGCTAATTTAAGTTCACTCGCTTATAGCTGGGAGCTTCTCCTTTACCATGGAATACGCCCATTCTACGACTACCTTAGAGAATTCCAAAATGAGAAGAGCTCCAAATCTTCCGGGGGAGGGAAGGCCGTCTCTGCGCTTTTCCAGGATAAACAATTCCTTGCCATGATGAACAGATGCAGAGGTCTAACGAATGAGAAAGAATTTCTTGGTCACCCTAAACTTGATTACCTTTGTGGCACTATCCTACGTCATTTCACAGAAGCTGCTGAACGCGGTGAGAAGGATACGAGGGTCATGGTCTTCTCAAATTATCGAAAAAGTGGTGATGAGATACTGAGGGTGCTTAAGATACATGAGCCAATCATCAAGCCGAGGATATTCGTTGGCCAGAGCGCTGGGACTACCGGGGAAGGCATGTCTCAAAAGGTACAGCAGGAAACCGTTGAGAGATTCAAAAACGGAGAGTTCAATGTTTTGGTGGCGACTAGCATCGGTGAAGAGGGGCTAGATATTGGAGAGGTAGATTTCATCGTCTGTTTTGATGCATCGGCCTCGCCCATCCGTATGTTGCAACGTATGGGCAGAACAGGTCGCAAGAGGGCTGGTGGTGTCGTTGTATTGGTAACAGAGGGGAAGGAAGAGGCCAAGTGGGAACGCGCGCAGGATAACTATCGATGGATGCAAAACGCAATAACCAAGGGAAACACATTTACGTATGACAAGGAGATCTCACCGAGAATTCTACCTAACGATATCGAGACCGAGTGCGTGAAGATGACCATTGAAATAACACCAGAAAGCAGAGCAGTATCGCCGCCAGGGAAGCGGAAAGGGAAGAAAAAGGCACCGCCAAAGAAATGGTTTATGCCAGAAGGTGTCGAAACCGGATTCACGACTGCGGCGGCACTTGAGGGACTTACTCCAAAGTCCAAAAAACCAAAGCAGACGCAACTTGAGGGAAATTCAAAGGCACCACTTGTAATAAGCGACGATGACGACGATGACCACATGTTTCGCACTTTGGAAGAGGAACCCTTTCCAGAACCAATACCGGAAGCATCGTATCGCTTGTCGGAACGCCAAGAACGGGAGCTTCGTATGAATTATCAATCTCTATATGGCGACGACGATGAATTGATAAACGCCCCACGGCTTGACGCTTACCCAGAGGATCAACAAAAATTACAACCGACTAGCCATGTTGGACACAGCCGCGCTACAAACTTAATGGTTTCACTTCTACAAAAAATGCGCAACATGGACCACCAGCAAATCCAAAGGTTTAAAACCCGTTATGAGGCCGATAATGCTGCGCCGCCGCCGCCACCAATCCTCAAAAGCCCAACTCCTGATCCTCCCAAGAGCTCTAGTGTAGAACCACAGTCTGTTCCATTAGAACTGCCTCAGGCATCCATGAGCAATCTCAAACCATTCAAACCGCCAAGTAGAATTTCTGGTGTGAATGTGGCGAAGCCCGCTCTTCAGTCCGTTAAACCGAAATCTGGAAATACAGTGAGAACAACAACTTCTCATACTATAAGGAAGGAGTCCATTACTATCGTGTCATCACCCTCGAGGCACACATCCTCTCCACCTCCCTCACCTAGTGCACCGTCGCCAACAACGAAGAAAAGAGGATTTTTTGATCTAACGTCCGAGTCCGATGAAGATATGCCAACTTTATCCCAACTCATGGCAGAACAACATCCAAAGCCGAAAACGAAACAATTAAAGGAAAACTCTGTGCCTTCAAAAAAGCGCAAGTCAGACGGCTCAGTTGGAAACCAGAAAAAACGTTTACAAGGCAAAACATACAGGTAAGAGATTGTGAGGCAGGGAGGAAGGGGGAAACGAGGCCTTTTCCTTTTTTCGATATATTTACCCTTATGAAACGAATTGTTCGTTCTCAATGGTGTTTCAGGCGTTGGATTTGTTAGTATTGGGCGTTACTTTATAGCATTGAGGCGTAAACTTTTTGTGAGTTCGGTTTGACACATTAGTGAATTAGCATTCCGATTTAAATTTTTCTGGTTTATAAGGCTAATCTCGATCTTTATGACAAAATAATACAAATTATGTTGTTACCATTTGAAGTTATAGCCAAAAACCTTCCATCTCCTGGTCCCATACCAAGGGCAATACTAACTAAAATACAACATACAACGCAACTTTTTTTTTGAATAGGTGTCGTTAATCTCGAAACGCCGGCTCTGTACAGCCTGGTTAGATAGCAAGTTTAACCACCTAGAATCATTAGTATTGTGACGGTCTACATAAACATGTATAAGAGGAACGCGGTGTATGTCTAAACAGATCTAGAATGTAACTGTATAGAGGTACACTCTTCAACCAAGCTATTGGTAAATGTAACAAGTTATTATAACGAATTTGGACCTGATGCCCTTGTTTACGTTTCATATACTCATACGCTCAGGATACACCTCGGCCTCATAGTTTAATACGTACAAGCAATACACTTGCTTTCTTTATAGCCTATTGGCTGAGTTTCTTCCTTTTTTTCTCTTTCTATTTTCCTCCTTCGATTTCCCCCTTCTAATCTGATTTTCCTGATTTGGAGTATCATGAGATTTTATATAAATAATTATGCAATCGCGGCTTATACGCTTCTGAAGTTTTCTACTGCTCAAGTTTTCGAAGGGATTAAGGAAACAACGTACCCACCATTTGAGGTATTTGGGGGCTCTCCGTTAACCAGATTTCGTAAGTGTACTATCTATAGCTATATCGTTCCAATCCGTCTTGCCTCGCTCGGAATGATCATATGAGATGCACACTTCAAATGCTAGTTTTCAAATGTACCGTGATCCGGGTGTAAAAAAAAATAAGAAAAAGAAAACAAAGTATATTATTATAGCATAGCCTCGCCATCCTAACCATAATTCTCACCGTCTTTATAGGTTGGGCCGAACAGAGTGATGAAATAGGGCGGGGTTTATGCCTCATAGACTGGTCGCCACCCAATTCGACTTTCCAACCCGTCGGCACTCGTGGTTGTGTAGAAAGAGGCGCTCCCCATGATATGGGGGAGCAATGGGTTCTATCGACCAAATACAACGAGGCCAAAACTGACAATGCGACGAATTTTGAGGGTCTGATAGGTAATACTGGAACTGGGAGGTGCTTGGAGTGGAAACCTGCGCTAGCAAATGCGTTACCACATACTTCAGTATACCCGGCTACTACGTATGGTAACCTCACCTCGGAGGTATGTGATAGAAACAATCAGTACCAGTATTTTAAGTTGAATGATTGGAGGAATACAAATTCGACTATTAAGTAAGTCTAAAGATATTTTGATAACCCCTTTTAGAAATTTATGCCCCGATGCTTATTTTTGGAATCACAAAATAGTTTTCTACCTAGAATGTGGAACGAGACCTGTCCGGAAGGCCAGCAACCAACTATAATCGCTGGACCAAAACGTTCCCTACTAGTTTACGGCTGTGGGACAGGTCTATGGAAGAGTGATCCTATTGTGGCAGAAATAGGGTGGTGGTACTATGATGCCATCGACTACCAAATGTATAGAATAGAACTTAATTCTGATCGATATCAAACCATTCTGTGCTGCCAGAGGGAGATGCCCTTAGCAGACAGTTATTGCAAAGAAGCGATGCGGAAAGAGGGGCAAGGGAATAGGACTCCAGATGTTTTTTGGACGGAGATGTGCACAGCACTGTTCCCGAATTACCCTGAGTTTCGGAAAAAGAGGATGGCCAAACAGAATGTGTGATGTTATGCTTTGGGTTTACTATTGTTGGCGGCGTTCGGGTTACAAGACTGCACTGGGTGGCGTTTACCGCAATGATGTTTTTATTTGAAAGCGCTCTGTGCGCGCTTACGAGGTACTTGTTTTATGATCAAGGCTTGCCATTGATTTCAGTTAGAGTATCGAAGGTGTAATGATATTAGCTAGTTGGTGTTAGTTGGCAGTTCCTTCAGTCGATAACTTATTCCCAAATCGAACTGCGCAGGAGATAACAAACCGAAGGACAAACGTTGCAAACCATAAGATTTTTATTTTATTCAATCATTTAAGTTTATACCAATATGAAAAACATATTAAGTCGGTATGATGCACTTAAGTTAGAAGAAGCCTAGAAATTTACAACAGATCCTAGAATCTCGCCTTCGAGTCGATTTTGTTCGAAAGTTTTCCTACGCCACACCCAGTGAATCTAACTCCAAACTTACCCTGCCGCCAGGCTCCTCAACTGTGCTCCGAGCTCGCGGTTTGTTGTAATCTCAAACCCATATGCTTTGTAGTGTGCCACAGACGGTTGGGCTTAGACCAAGTTATGGTCATAAAAACAATCAGTAGTCTATCTATGTAGCGTGAGAGACAAATGGTTTCTATTAATTGATTATAAACGCATTGAGGCTGCGTATACCGTTATCGACCTAAATCGTAAAAGTTAAATCGGGATATAACAAGATCGATTTTAGACCGACGTAATCGCGCTTGGAACCAACCTAACCTTGGGTAGGCTATGCTCCCATGATCGAATTCATTAATTTGATTTGGAGACTAAACACTCGTTGAAATCGAATAGTTTTCCGGCGGCCGTGCACTCCAATTTCTAAGTTTATACTATACCTAACTGTGCACATCTAAACGCAAAGAACTGCATACATCCCACAAACCATAGATAGCCAATTTAATTGGCTTTTGTATAGGTTACATTATCCAGTAAGAATAGTTCGCCTCAAGGAAGCATCAAAAAAACAATACCGTATGTAAGGGATCTGATTCAGTTAGGTTATACCCTGATCTAATCTCAATCATAGCAAATTGTTAATCCATCACTCCCAGACAACATGAAGCTACAAAGCAAATTCAACTCCGTATCTTTGCTCGTGTCCTTGGGCCTGGCAGCTTGCCATGTCCAAGCAATAGCCTTTCCGCTTGACCTAGAACGGAGGGCCGGTACGCAACAAAATGGAACGACAAAACTCGTCGCCCCAGACTTTTATCGGTACAACACCATGGATGTGGAAGGGAGTGAGATGATGACTCTGCGGTACGCAGCTGAGTTTATATGGTCTGGCGCATTTGGTGAGTATAAATTTATAAACCGGGCACGTTTTATTTCTATTACTCCATATGTTTCTTTTAATTAACGATATCAATCCTGGGATACAGAGTTCGGCAAACTGAAGAGAATATCGAAAACGGGAAAGAAGTCTAAAAATATCCTTAAGCCAGGCGTGCAGAAATGTTTGGCTGTTAGAGATAAAGATACTGAAGGCGGAGGCGTCGTTGTTGATGCTTGTAGTTGCACGACCGGGCCGTGTGATAAAGATAATAACATCAACTCCCCTACACCTCGTTTCCAATGGAATATTAAAGGCAGACTCCTTTACCCGGAGATCTACGAAAACGGCGTTATAGATGATAGCGTTCAGAAGGGGAAGTTTGGCGAAAAACAGCTGCCTTTCTGGTACGGTTGGATTGAGTCCGCACTGAGCGACAAGTGCCTGACATATGTACCACCACGCACATCGCCTCCTCCATTTACTGATCAATTGACATACGGTAAAATCGGGGATGTCGTCGTTAAGGAGTGCAAAACCGAGCCTCCTGACTTTTCCCAGCTTTGGTTGATTTGGATCTTCAAAAAGGATGGACCTACAAGGTATCTAGCATTCCGAACCGTTTTAGAACCACCACAACTGGAATAGATATTGGTATATGTCCTCATATAATAGCTAACGCATATTATGTATACCTTGTTAGAATTATCCCAATGACCGGCACCCATCGCTGGCAAACTTGTGTAGCAAAAGGATCGAACAACAAAAGGCACTTTCGAGGGTTGGTATTCAATACTGATCCTAACAGTGAAGATACTGTCTACTTCGGATGCCATGAATCGGATTATACTGCTATAAACTCTCATCCATGGTACTTTAGAGTTCCTGAGAGTGACAGTCCTGATATTTCTGAACAGGAGTTGGATAAATTTGCAATGGAAAATTTAGTGGATTTTGCGTAGTATCAGACGCCTCAGATCTAGACTTGTTTGAAGAATTGATGTGCTTGTAGAATGCTCGGAATTGGGCCAGGACCTTTTTTTCTTCTATCAGTTGTTCGGATTGCAAATTATGATATCTACTTAGAATTTATCCCGTAAGCCATAGGGGGACCTTCGAGATTTACAATCAGAATAGAGTTTCTACAACCTTTGCCAATTCTCCTAGACTTATCACTTTCAAAAGTTGATTACATAAATTGAATACTCAGTTAAATTTACCCGAGTTTAGTTTATACGACGTGAAAGCCGCCTCAGCCGCCACAACGTTATAGGGCTAAAAGTCTATAGCCAACGGAAAGTTGCACTACAGTGGCTAGCGTGATCTACGTAACAATCACGGAGTCGACGATCGATAATGTGACATATTGAATCGAGTGATTTTTTACCCCTGTGCAGTGCGTAGCTGGCAAGTAAAAATTTACTATTGATATGGATATCCCTAGTTAGCTACGTTAGCCGGCCGTTCGATCTCGACTAGCTAGATGACAGTATTTCTCCAATCTAAGAAGCTTCGAAGTCTTGACAATGAAAAAATAGTAAGTAGTTGTCATTACATGCGTGCTTAATTACACTATTATATACCACTTTATCGATCTGTTAATATATGTATCGTCTTGTATACGTGCATACGTTATTTGGAAAGATTTCCCATATATTTAATATATCGTATCGAAATTCTTCCTAAGGTAGTTTACACGATGCCGCAAGGTGTATGTCAACGATTACCACAATATCCAACACGGTGTGTAGCCGCGCTACAGCAAAACGCTGCACGGGTTCTACGAATAGTGGTTTCGAAACTGCTAAGATATTGGATGGGAAGGTGCTATGGATGCTATTGATGTGGCTCAGAATTATATTACTAGCAGCTTTGAGCCCACGCCGCCATCACTCTTTAGTGCTGAACATGGGCACGAGATCGACCATAACATGGGCACGATCAAAGCACAGTTGAGCACGGTCCCCAACTCATGCCTTTGAACCTAAAACACTGGGTTTTGCTATTATGTTGTAAGGCATAGGCACAGCAATGTTGCAGTTCTAGAGGCTGTGTACGATGATATAATATTGAATTGGTATAGACTGATTGCAAGCAAATTGAACGAACAATATTAGTTTATGAATATCGAATGCCAGTTTCTGTGATTTCGATTAAACCTGTAGGTGTTTTATTCCATCCCTTAGAACAGGGACCAAACCCACAAAAACGTTATTGAGCCGGTCTATCTCTAGATAGGGACTCATGAATCAAAATGCATACATTCATCACCAAGGCCGTCCTTTCATTTGCTACCCTTTGGGGTATGAGCATGGTCACATGCGCGGCCCGAGGACTCGAGATACCACCATCGGTGAATCTCACCAAAAGGGCCGGAGACATGCAGACATACGTTTATCCAAATCTCTTCATGATCGATCCGAAGAGCACGGAATTTATGGGAAGAGATTTGAATGAGCCATTAAGATATTTGTGGTCAGGAGCCATATGTAAGAGAAAACCACGGTGTTACCGGAGACGCTCCAATCCTAGCATTTCTAACTATCTAAATTCACTACGTATAAGTGTTAAAATATTTAACTAACAATTTCATCTCTGTTTATCTCTTTTAGCATTCGAGGCTGACGGTGACAAATACCAGCGCTGCCTCCGTTACATTCCTAGCGAGACATTTCCTACGCATGCGCCGTGCAAATGTACTCAGATTGACAAGAGTAAAGGTTGTGACGACAAGAGCATCAACCATCCCACGCCAAGCTACCGTTGGGCTTTCGATGGATTAATACGAATGTTCAAACGTGAGACGAGGAATATTTCTTTTTGGAGTGGAATGATTCGACATCACGCCTCTGGGAAGTGTCTGGGCTATAGCCCGGACTCAGGTTTCCCGACTTACCGTGGAGAAGAGAGCCACACCCCAGGGAAGCTTGGAGACCTTGAGATGGTGGATTGCGAAGACCCCGAAGATGAAAAATATCACGGAGTACGAATCTGGGTTGTGTGGCTAACTGAGAAGGATACGAAAACAAGGTACACACATGCATGAAAGCAAAATTAATGGAATGTTTTAATCAAGCTCGAATTGAACGCTGATACTGACAACATTTTCCCGCCTAGCATAATACCATGGGGTGCCACGCACATGTGGCCCGCTTGTTCGAACACCAGAGTCAAAGCTAAAAAGACTATTATGGATAGATTGAAAGGGAAGAAAGTAAGATGGGAACGGATATATCGGGGAATTGCTGCTAGTCCTTCATCCAATGGAGTTTATTTCGGATGCGCTCGTGGACAACATACCTGGGTGACACCCCACCCATGGTTCTATCGTGTCCCTAAACCTCGCGCGTTCTTCCCGGACAAGAAAAATTATGATGACATGGGCAGTACAATAAACGGGGAAAAGAACTCGATAGAAAGCCTAATTGATTTCGATTGGCCGAATACACCTCCTGGAAACGAAGCGCCGGGCGACCTCGAGGTTGAAGGAACACCATGGAAAGAGATTTGGAGGGCGTTGAGGGGCATGCGATATGAGCGTGAACCAGATGTAAATTTTGAGGGGGGTGCTTCGCCAGCCTTTGATGACGAGGTAACCGGTATAGAGCAGGAAAACGCTGAACGACAAAAAGAGAACACAGAGCGGGAAAAGATAATGAGAAAGGAAGAAGGGGATGCAGATGCAGATGATGATGATGATGATGTATTCGAGGACGCGCCTGAAACGTGGGATGACGAGAAAAATGCTTTCTCAGATGATGAGAACGAAGAAGACTTTCCCGAAGATAAGGGGGGTGGTAAAGATTCATCGTCGGGTGACAAGCCCGTCAAGGACCCGCCGTCAAACGATAAGCCAGCGAAAAAGGACCCACCGTCAAATGATAAGCCAGCTAAAGACCCCCCCTCGGGTGACGATAAAAATAAAGATACCCCCGATGACCCTTTCGGAGATGACAAAGGCATTGATGACCCCTTCGCGGATAAAAACCGCGTCAAGAATGATAAGACAACTAAGGACCCCCCATCAAATGATGAGACAACGAAAGACCCCCCATCAGATGACGAGACAACGAAAGACCCCCCATCAGATGACGAGACAGCCAAAGACCCCCCATCAGATGACGAGACAGCCAAAGACCCCCCATCGAATGACGAGACAGCCAAAGACCCCCTATCGAATGATGAGACAGCCAAAGATCCACCTCCCAAGCGATAGTCTACCCAAGACCACCGTCGGGGCTGGAATCAAAGGTTGCGTTAATTTCCCAATCGAGAGCTTTTTCTCTCTTTTCTTTTCCAGAATTTTGAATATCAAATTGGATAAAATCAAGTGCTAAAAATTCTCGACGGCTATATTCGAATAGAACGCAACTCAATGCAGGTGGTATGCAAATTGAAAAATTAAACGCGAGGATTAGCTAGACTTGACTTATTGTATAACCTAGATCGATAATTGATGCAATTAATTATAATCACATCGCATATGCAACTTATTCCTATCCTCGCGTGCTCATGATCGATATCGATAGATCATATGTTCGTATATCAACCATCCTCCTCTAAAATTTGCGGCCCAAGTATATATAACCAGCCAAGTTAATAACGGCGAACAATTCTATTCCCAGATTAGGGGTTTAAACAAGTGCACTGGGACGAAAATAGGTCAAGCTAAATTCTAATCCGGATATCCTAATCCTAATTTAATTGATATTGAAAATACGCTTATAAAATGAGGAAGCGGACTGAAAGACCATGCTGGTGTTGTAATTTAAACGAAAATTGCGTTGCGAGTGAGCTTGTGTGTTACACAGACCTTTGTGTCACAGAGTATCGATATATCGATACAGCATGAATCTGGTTGAGAAGAGCCGAAGATTTCGGAAAAACGAGAGGGCGAGTACTTAACGATCCTAAGTTCTAGCTGCTTAACTAGTGTGTACTGGTTTACATTCCTGTGGAAACTAACAGATGCAAAAGGAAAGGGTTTTTCGAGTCTTGATCTGCCCTGTATTTTAAATCCTTGACGTCACCACACTTCACTCAGGGTTCAACCGGCTAGAATTGCTCGTGGTTTACAGGAAGGGTAATACCAGGGAATTTGATTAAGCTTCCTGCCAATCAGGACATCCTGTACTCATATTTTTTAATATCTTGATTACTTTTTTTTTTCTTTCCCTCGTCTATCGAAAGGGTCTGTTGCATGTTGGTCATCAGAATCTATAATTAAGTATTCCTATTGATCCCTCACGCAGGATCTCAAAGAATAGACCGGGCTGGGTACATATATATAAGTCACTGAGGACGTATCCATAAAGACCTACCCTATCATTACCTATTGATACAATCCTTCCTCTTTTGCCTCTCCCTCCATCCCTCAATCGATCTTAATATATATAAAAAACACCAGTCAAAGAATTGTCGTAATAGCATCAAAGCTGTGAGGTATGTGGCTTTATTTCTCCCATACAACGCATCATCTGAGACCCCGCCAGTCGTCATCTAACCAGACAGTAGGCAGTGCCTTGGCTCTTTTCGAAATTCTCACGAGACTTCCCTTTTGACATCAATAGCCCTTCCGAGTATACACTACTTCGCCTAGTTCTGTACCCATACCTCGCCTATATTCTAGAAATTTTTTAGATTTTTTCTGTTAAAATTTTTTTTTTGTTTGCGGGCGGTACACCCAGTCGGCCAGCAGGTACCTAACGTTCAAGGCCGAACGTTAAATCCAATATTTCGGATATCCTAAGGTCCCTCATCCCGACTCAGCCCCGCGCCGTGATATCATACCACCCCATAAGCCCAACGTTAACGGAAACCCCGATATCCGCCTCCAACTTCAAATCAAGAACCTGTCGGAGAACGAACCGAAAACAAAGCTAGAAAGGCAAAAAAATAAAATAAAAACAAAAAATTTCTACAAAGATAACAAAATGTCAACTATAACCGATAATGTCAAGCCGGCCGAAGAGTTCGTCGTGTTCACCGACGAGTCCTCCACGACTCCTCGCGAAGATAAAACCAACGCCACCCCGCCAACGGTAGCCCAGACTTCAACTTCAGATTCACTATCACTCGATAACACTGCTCCACCAAAATCTATTACTAGAATAGATAGCTTTCCAAAGACTTTACCATTACCTGCTTCATCTATACTTTCACCAGTTTCAGCTGTTCGAGAGCACGATCTACTCCCCCCACTATCTGAGCAACAAACCCCACCAACAGACGCAGAAGATATAGTTTCACCTCCAGAAAGGAGCTTAGAAGATATGCTCGTTCAAACAGCTCCACTTCTTCACACCGACCATACAGGGACGGCAACTCCATTGGCGGAACTTGCCGGTACAGATTTCGACCAACAAGTCGCTTTGAGGCGAAGAGGCGACAGCATCCTAGGCGAGGAAATCTCAGAGGGTGTATCAAAGTTGGGTGTTGAAGGAGAAACTACTCCGCTTGCAAAGGAAATCATCCTACCGCCGCGAGAAGTTTTCTCAGCGGAAGAATTGGCAGCTAGGAAGAATAATCCTGCTGTGGTATCTGCAGTAAGTAATGTTCTGCTTTTTTGAATGCTGAAATATATCTAGTTATATATGTATGTTTGGGGAGTATATGGAGCTAACGATTTATTGTCTTATCACAGCTGCCACAAACACCATCAGCAGAAGACTTCGAAGTCGCAAAGATTCAAACTGGTGCAAACTTTACACCAGAATTCACCGAGACGAAGGTCGCCTCGTAGCCCTAAACCATACAAAGAAAAAAAAAAGTGGTTCCGCTAGACGAAGAGAGAATATGTGCAGGACGTTAGATCGGTCCAACTTTCATAATATTTTTATCCTCCAAAGCAAAAAGAACAAAAAATAGTGGAGCGAAGGAGTTTAATGTCCTGTTTTTTTTATATACTCCAATTGATATGTTTTTAGCAAGTTTTGCATTACTCCTGCTACACTCAATTTATATCTCATGCATGTTGAGTTTTGATATCTGCAACTATGCTTTGTTCTGTATGGCTTTACGCCTCTACGTTATCGCTTATATCGAGATTGCGTAATAGATTGATATCCTAGAGGCTTCTCACTCATTTGTGCAGCTGGATCTTCAAAGATAGTAGTACCATAGAATCTAATCCTGGTAAAATAACCCAAAATCTATAGTTACACTGTAGAGTTGTGTTCAAAAGCCTGAGTCTGACAAGACCGGGACGTGGTTTAGATATCACAAACGATCGGCGAACTTGTAATTCCGAACTACGAACCGGTGTCCCCAAGGACGCCAGCAATTCTTAGGGACATATCCAATATGACCAGATGCTCGTCAGCGCCATCCACGAGTCTCTTATCTATCTCTGAAAAGATCGCGACGATCTGGTTTTTCTGGTTACCGGTAAGCATGTCGCTGAAAACAAGCCGGTTGTATAGCTAGGGTTGTATATCAGCGCTAGTTCTAGCATCAAGAAAGTAAGTGACGGACTAACCTGCAAAAGAACCTGTGCGGCACTCCACCCATCTGCGACAATGTCCTGAACTATTGTCGCAACAGGTGTATAGACGGCTTGTCCATGCGGTCTTGGCTCCATGCTCTGCATCAAATCGTCGATTGTCTTTTCTGGTATAACTCCAGCGATTTCTTCTATCGACCTGACCGTAATCTCGCCACCTTTGGCCCCGCTGTCAACTTCCATATCATCTCCAGTCCTTTCCTTAACCGCGCCATGTAGTTTTGCCGCCGACTGTAAGAACGTAATCGCTTTTCTCAGGTCACCATCTGCCACTTTGATTAAAGTATCAACTACACCTTCCTGGTACTTAACCCCCTCGGCCTCGGCGATACTACTCAATCTCAACCTCGTATTCCCCTCATCCAGCGGTTTGAACCTAAATTTCGAACATCTGCTGGCCAGCGGATCGATAATTCTCGTTACGTAGTTGCAAATTAAGCAAAATCTGGTAATTTTCGAATACGTCTCCATCGTTCTTCTGAGCGCTGACTGTGCATCGTGTGTCATAGAATCTGCTTCGTCGAGAATGATAATTTTGTAAGGTGGACAAGGGTATTTCGAAGCATTGGCGGCTGTTGTAGTGGAAACGGCGATTTTGGCAAAGTTTTTGACCTTTTCACGGACAATGGAGATACCACGCTCGTCGGAGGCGTTCAGTTCCAGGACACGGGTTTTCATGAGCTCGGGACTATAGCTCGATGTCAATTATTCGTTCGTATGGGTGTATATTTATGCTTTTGGTTTGATGTTGAATAGTGGATGCGACGAACCCGTATAATTCTTTTGCCAGGGCCAGGATAGTGGATGTTTTACCAGTTCCAGGCGGTCCATAGAAGAGCATGTGAGGTAACTATTGTAATACAGCATACCGTCAGCTGCCAATTCTCCTTGACTCTTTGTTTGTGAAGTTTTGCAGGCGAATATAAAACTCACATTCGAAGATTGTAGTGTCCTTCGAAGAACCGATACTGTATGGTCCTGGGCTGTAACATCGCTCAGAGTTTTCGGGCGACTATTTAAATGATCATAGCAATTAGCATCTATCGTCTCTCAAATAGCATCAAATAAAAGATTGATAGCTGTTATTGAGTAAAATAAGGAAAAGAATGGGAAGTACCAACTATTTCTCAACCCAGGGAACCGGTCTATCTGCAGCTTGCGACAGGCCTGCCTTTTGCTTAGAAGACGAGCTAGCAGCTGCAGCTTCCTTTCGTTTCTTAAGATCGAAGAAATTGCTGGCCATTGTTGAATACTGAACGTCCGATCCAGTCCTTTTATCCCCGGAATGCAGTGAGGCTTATGAACTCTCTTCAAGAGAGCTTGGTGGTTGAAGGTGTAGTACTTGGAGAAGCTTGCTCGTTAACGCGTGAAGCAAAGGGAAGACGCGAGTTATCAGCAGTAGCAGAGACAAACCACAATTGCAACCTCAACCCAGTCCAACTTAAAGAAGTCAACCTCCAACCACAACCACAACCTTACTTAAGTATTACCTAACATCGTCATCCACGATGCTCACAACCGGTCTATAAGGGTTATATGTATTATCACTCAAGTACATCTAAACTCGGACATACATCCCAGATCGCATGCGCTTCTGAAGCAGAAGTCCAGATATCCCAGCTGTGGTGCACTGTTTGTCCCCGATATCTGATCTGATTAGGAGACGTTTGCCCACCTTTGACTGAATCGAAAGGTCGCAATCCAGGCAACCTCCCTGGCCTTCGAATTCGCCTTCATCCGGAGCCACTGCAACCTCAGATGTTCCTCCACCAGCCTCTTCATGATCAATGAACGATGCCAGCCCCTCTGCAGGGCTTGGAGACCCGTCCTCCTCCTCCTTTCCCTCACTTCTCCGACCACCTCCGACCGCCGGCCGACCAACCATGCCTGCTGGTTCCTCAGATGATGACGCCAATGCTCCTGCTGCCTCTTCAGCGCTGCATTCGAATGTTCGCGCCAGAGACCAGCTTACCACGAAGAAGTCCGAATGGTTAGATCACATGCTCCGGAACCTCGATATAGTGACTTATTGTCATTTTTCGTATCTTTATTTTCTCGAGTATGAATAAATCCCGTCCACCTGGAGGCATAAATGTGCATGCATATTCTGCTTATGTCTATGGGAGTGCGTACTGGTATCTCGAACAAATAAGCTAAACCGCATATTCAAAACGTCTAGTATAAGCTTCATTCGATTTCTCATCCGAGCTATCGTCCAAATCGTATGTCAGCGTTTTATATACCTCCCATCATCCTTATATTTCTATAGCTATAATGAACCTAGATGGACTAATACAAAATGCATACGCTTTTCAGAACCTCTTCGCCCAACGGCCACCGAACTTCCCCACACCCCAAAGAACCCAAAAGCGGTCCGCGGTAGTTTCAATATTCGGCTCGACGCTGATATGCTTCCTCTTTCATCTTTTCTCAGAACCCGCCTCGGGCTCCGAGGCAACCGGCGGATACCTACACGGCGGTATGATCATTGATTTTGTAGGACAAGGTTCGTACCACTCTCTCCTAATCAGTGATAGCTGATTAGCTTGAACTTTAATACTTACGTTTTATCCGTACTTTTAATAGAAGGTCCAATATCCCGCCTCCGCCTAATATTCATCGACCTCATAATCCTCCTCCTCCAGCTCACCATGCTCACCGTCAAGGTGTCCAAACAAGATCTTCTCGATAGCTCGGGTCCTAACCGAGTAATACCCGCGCAAGACCTCGATGACGAAGAAAGAGGCATCGTCGCTAGTGCCGAAGACGATAATAGTGACTTCGCCGCCTCTCCTATAGAGGGACCTAGTAGTAGTATCAGTAGCGACGGACTCCGCCGGCGGCGACCGGCCGCAGATTCAAACATTTACTCCGGAGAGGTCAACATTGCTGACCTAAGAATCGTGGAAACCGTTCGGTCGCAGTGGAATTCCCAAAATAATACCCCAATCACACAATCAGCGTCCGCAACAATGGCGGCGAATTTAGCGAATGCGCGGTTACGAATGTTATTTCGACGATAGAGGAAGTTTTTTTTCCTTTTCTTTATCATTATTATTATTATTATATTAGTTTCTCTCTCATCGGATATGCATGTCTGAAGTATTATTCATGAATGGGTATTTGTCTACGATTCCGTTTTATTCTTCTGATACTACTACTACTTCTGTATATCCGGTATACCTGGGTCCTTTGCACCCTTTCTTTCTCTCTACGGGGAATCATTATTCATCTAAAGCGGTAGGGGATTTTGTGGCTCAATCGGCGTTTCATATAGGCGTTTCTTTCATCCTTCTCTTCACCATGTATAACATTTATTATCCTAGTATCTCTTGGCATCCTTTTATGAATGTTCATGAATTATCTCTCACTCTTAAGTTGGTTGGTATTAAAAAAAAGAAGCTTTTGAGATGTGCACATAAGTTATCTCGTGAACCGAATGCTACTGTAAAGCGTATCAAAGTCCTCTTTGTCTTCTTCTTCCCCTTTCATTCCATATGATGTAAAGTAACCTCCCAAACGGATAGCTTCGTCGTAATAATAATAATAATAGTAATCCCCAAAAATATGTAGCATATTCGAGTATGTATCGGGTATCATGCACACCATTCTCCCTTCTCTCAGCTCTTATCAAACGTCCATATCCCTCCTCCTCCCCAACCAATTGAGCCAAACCCAAACATTTCACCATTCTTCACCCGCGAGGCCAAAAAAACGAACAAAAGTGAACGGTTCACTTCTTCTTTGTCTTCTTGTTCTTCTTATTCTTTCTAACCTTCTTCTTCAACCCCGTCAATCCTTGCTTACACACCTCAGCATACCGTGTAAAGAACGCCTCTAACTGATCCGTCTCGACAACAGTACTTAATTTAATATGCTTCCCATTATGTCGCGGATCGTTCGATTTCCCATTTGTAGCTCTGATCAATATCGGTACTGGGGTAGTAGTTTCTGACGTTTCTTCTTCTGCTGATGCTGTGGGTTCGGAGAGAAGGGATAGAAGGTCGGCTTTCAGGTCGGCTTCTGTAGGTTGTGGATGGATTGTTTTTGTAAATATCGATGATGATGACGACGAGGGCTTCTTCTTTGTCGATGTGGGTTTTGTGACTTTGGATGGACGTGTTAGGGTTTTTGTGGGGGGTGGGTTGGAGGGGTCGTAGGATACTAGTCATAGTTTTGGGCTATTATGTTAACAACAGTCGTCTCACTAGCAGAAAGTAGTATATATAGGGAAGAGAGAATCGATAAACATACGTCTCTTTTGTGTAAGGAATACAGATCCATGGTCCTTTTTGGATACTAAAAGGTCGGAGAGCTTCGTGAAGAACTTCAACAGGACAGAGCAGGACAGGTTAGCCACATCTACACGACAAATCAATTGTAAAAAAAAGAAAGAGTAGGTAAGGCAGAACATACCTCATCATTACTCAATCGTTCCTGTGGCATGATGATTGAGATTCTATATGGAGAGATGAGGAAAAAGGAAGGTGTGAAATGTTGGTGAGGTTTTCGAGGCGGATTTGTGGAGTATATACGGTATGGTTCGGTGGAAGGCTTGGGAGAGGTCGTCTGCTCTGCGAAATGAGGTCAAAAGCTGCACCGCCACATAATCTGGAGGCTGTGGCGGATAACACGCTTCTTCTCCTCGCCGCCAACAAAGTGGCGTTGAGGCCAACATCGGGCGCAACGCATTTTTAGGGGTTTAAATAATATATTTCGGTGAGTCCTCACGCGACCCGTCAGTTACATTACACAGTGCACCCTTTGGTAATTCAACATCAGTAAGCTAGGTATGCTTCGCGAGCTGGAATGATATAGATAGGGGAACAGTCCCCACCGAATGACTATACGCTTCTCAGAGGCCTACCAAGGCATCGCGATCAATATCCTAGCTTCTCGCCGACAGAGCTTCGATTAGTTACCGCGCGTATCACCTCACCCATCCAACACCACGTACATATACGTAAGTACCAAATTATCCCGTCCTTACCTCAACCCATCCACCCCTAAACTTCCTAAAATGATGAGAATCCTCCATCGTCATCCTTAGACGTAGCGAAAGTAGGCAAAGAGCAGTAGACGGAGAAGAAAAACGTATGAGCCGTCTGGCGGTGCGTTTCTCGCTCTGTTTTTCTCAACTCTTATGACCTTTACATCGCATTGACGAAAAGGGAATAATTAATCTTCTCTCTGAAAAAAATAAATAAATAAATAAAAAAAAAGAATTGGTAACTTTCATGCACGGTTTCTGTCCCTGATGACAGAAACAGCATGAACAAGTTTGTCCTCTTGGGAACTGTTCCGTCTTGTGCACAAGTTCTATTTAAATGGTATTATGGTCACATGGCTAACTTGAGGATATGCATGTCAGGTTCTCACAGAAGGGGTTAGTTGATAGGAAATACTTGGTTCTTTTACTCGAGGAGATAGACTATAGAGAGGCTTCTACATATTGTATTTAATGGATAAGATAGCCTTTAAACAACCGTGACACGGATCGTGCGGTAGCACTTCTCAGTATCACATAAAATGTATATCCTTTAAAGTAAGAACCTATCTGGAAGTCATAAATTCCAAAGAAAGGCTAAGCCTATATCTACATAAAATACAATAACATCTCCACTAGAGTACATAATACAAAAACAAAGCAACCCCGATGGTATCGAACAATAAAACACAAAAAACCAGGAGTCCTCATCAGTATGAAAGACATCCTACTGAAATCAAGACGCCATAAATAAAAGGCAAAAGAGATTCTCTAAAAAGGGAAAATTTTGCACAAATCTGCGCCGTAGGTCTGTTCCCACACGCTTTCTGCTGTATCTTGAGCGGGGATGTATGTGAAAAAGAAAGGCCGAGTCTATCCAAATGAGGTTTTCTAGGACCGGTGGAAAGATGTGTGTGAATCAAACTTCGTAGAAGCTCTACGATTCCAAAGAGATTCCATGGGCAAAGTGGTGTGTTCTTTATGATATTGCTTCCCGATCATCAACGGAGGGCGTTGTGTCAGCTGGGGTAGGGTATACCGCCGAGGAGATCGGAGCTGGTGATGAAGAGATGGGGGCAGGAATGACGGTAGCTCTGGTGCTCGTAACCTGCCTCAGTTCCCATGCTACCACTTGACGCTTGTGGTCGTTTATCTTGGCAAGGTTATCGCGCTTGTTCTGGTTCGCCTGATCTTGATATCGGTTTTTGGTTTCTGGAGCGGCACTCCTCCACATATCTCCAAGAACTACCCGAACTTCATTTCGGTCAGCTTTGGCATCTGCGGTACCAGTTTGTTCACGCTTCGTATGGTTTGCTCTGTTCTGAGCTGTCTTAAAGAAATCCTTTTGGTATATCAAGAACGGGTTCGCAGTTTCCTTCCTCGGTTCTTCGGGCTTGGGGTCAGTGGGCACGCAGTTCTGCTGCGGCCCGGCTTGAACACTTGGTACTCGCGGTTTCTTTATAGGTCGAGCCTCTAGTTCGGGCTCATAGGCCACCTGATGCTTCCTCTTTTGTTGTGAAGTTTCCGCTCGAGAGATTTTCGTTCGGACCCTCTTCGCCAGATCTCTGTATTCATCCTCATCAGATGCCTTGCGCTTTGTCTTCTGCCGCACGGCTGTGCTAATGGTTGACCTGCGAGAGGCGATCGTCGCCCTCTGGTCCTTTGTCGTTTTCGTGATTTGGATGTTCGTAGACTTTGTCACACGAGGACCAGCGACCGAAGACGTCCTGATCGTTGTGGTCTCCACGACAGCCTCAGGTCTGGACTTCATAACGCGGGGTCCAATTAGCGGGGTCGGAACATGGATAGGACCGAGCATAGCTTCAGCGACTTCGCCGGCCACGCGGAGGCCACTGATATAGGCCCCATGCACTGTAGCGGGGTATTTCCGACTTGTATGCTCTCCGGCGAAGAATATCTGGTCGTTAATGGGCTCAGCAATAGTGTCATAATCAGCACCGGTCGAACCGGGTGCAACGTAAGAGTAAGACCCGAGTGCAAAGGGGTCTTTGCGCCACTTAGTCACAAAGATCTCCTCTGGTCTGTCCGGGACTTTATCCTCCCCCCAGCACTTTTTCAGTATGCCTGTCGCCTCCTTGATGATCTCCTCTGGGTCCTCGCCCTCGACTTGCTCCGCAGCGTCACCAACCATCAAACCGACCAGAGTTGGTCGGCCCACCGCATCGGTGGTATTCCACCAAATGTAAAAGCGCCCCCTCTTCTTCTCGTAGCTCGAGAAAAGGTCCTCATCTTGACCTTCCTCGGCTTTTCGCAAGCAACCGAACCCAGCATTGTTGGTATCCCAAAATGCCTCCTCGTACACCATGATGACTTTGTTCAAAAGGCCAAAGCCAAGCCTCTTGATGGCATCCTGCTTGGCCTCTGGGAGTGGTGGGACAAAGTCCACACCATGCTCCCGCTTTAATACCCCGAGGGGTAAGGTGACGATGACCTTATCGGCCTCGAAGGCCTGGCCATCTGCGAATTGCAGGGCCACCTTCTTCTCGCTGTTTTTAGGATCATACTTGATCCTCGTCACCACATGGTTCAAGCGGACGTCAAGCTCCGATGGTGTGGAGCTGAGGCCCTTGGCTAGCTCAGAATACCCGCCCATAATCATCGTATGGGCCCCCGCCGGCTCGTTCCCGTCGTCTTGGTCCCAGTGTTCCAAACTGGAACCGTTGACCTCCACCGCGTTCCCGTACTCCAGGTTGGCCTGGAACCAGTTGAAAAGACGGAGATCCCTGGCGTCCGTCTTGAGGAGGTTGGCATACCCCGGGAGGACCTTCTCCATAGTCCTCCCAAGGCAAGCCAAACCATCCCCGTTGTAGGCTTTCGCCACCTTGATATTAAGCCCCTCAAGGGCCTTCCGGAGCTTCCGGGTCTCCTTCTTCTCCCTCCCCCTCTCAGCCAGTGGGATGGGCGGGGCCACATGGCCCTCGCCCTGGACCTCCGCAAGCGGTGGCCCTCCCACGCCCCATGGGTCTTTGCATTTGGTGATGTATTCGACATCACCATGGGCGGTCTGCGGCGGCGGCTCCTTATAGCTGAATTTTGATAGCCGCCTCAAGATGTCGTTGTGGACGAGCTCGATGACGGTATCCCGCCCGTCCCCAATCACCTTGCCGTCGTGATCGTGGATCGGGAACACCCTTCCAATGGTATGGAAAGGTATTCCCAGCTGATCCACGATCAGAGCAGCAAGGGGGTTCCGGGCATCGTACCCCATCACGATTTGCCCGCCAATGTCGACGGCTGGCTCCAGCCCGTCCGGGAGGTTGTGAGGGCCCGGTGTTAAAGTGGCCGAGAAAACTCGACCACCCAGACGGTGTCTTCCTTCGAAGACAACAACGTCGGGAACACCGGACCCTCCCAAACACTCACCAGACGAGGCTAAGAGTGCCTCGAGTTGTCTGGCCGCAGCGAGGCCCGAAATGCCTGCTCCAATTATGGCAATGGTCTTCCTCCGCCGGGTGCCTGGCTTCTTAGTTGACGAGCTTATGGGCATCTCAAGACACCCGTGGTTAATATAACCACTTCTCGTCAGCCAATTGAAGGCCACCTCGGCCAGCCCGAAGAACCTTTCCTCCTTGCAACACCCCATTGCCTCCCCCACCGTCACCCGTTTCTTAGAATTCTTCAACCAAAGTCGAAGAATTCCATTCCGAATGTTCAAATACGTGGTGACATGTAACTGATTGAGATGGTCGCGAAGAACCTCGTACTCTCCCTCGTGGAGATTCCAAGGATTCAATCGCGCCGCATCTGCAGCCCAGACGCACTCTTGGGCGTAGTCGCGAAATTCTGTCGGGTTCTCTGGGATGCAGCTCTTGGCTTGGGGCATTGCCTTCTTCTTAGGGTTCTGTCGTTCCATGCTGGAAGATAACGACAGCCCCTTGTCTGTCTTCTTGATCTGGATATATGGAGGCATTTTTTCCAATGGCTCCAAGGAAGATGAGGCTGTTGAAGAATTGAAAGAAGGTCTTGATAATCCGTGGGGAAGTAACCTTCCTGGAGAGCTAAGGGAAAGTCCAGAGCAACTTTCACTCAAGGTATTCGATGAACAATTGATAGGCAAACTTGATAAATGGTTGCTCACCGGATCTAGAGGATTGTCGATAGAAAGAATAGATGAAGAGGAAGAAGCAGGGGAGTTTCCGATGAAATCGGATAAGAGGTGGACAACGGTAGAAGAAGAGGAAGAAACCGAAGTCACAGGAATGGAATCTGATTTGGATAGGCCCGACGCGTAGCTAGCTGTTGAAGTCGATAAAAGATCTTCAGAGAAGCTTGCTGGTTGGTTGGCAGAAGAAAAAGAAGAGAACGACGACGACGAAGTCGAAGAAGGTGGATGAGAAATTGATGAGGATGATGGACGAGAGAATAGATGTGAAGTCAACTTGAAAGTACGGTTGACAAGAAGAGGAGGTTCTGTAGATGCAAGAAGTGGGGGTGGAAGGTTGGTGATGGACAGAGGAGTGTTGGTGGGAGGAGGAGGAGATGGAAAAGTCGATGCTGACTCAATGATGGGGGATATCTGAGGAGATGCCTCGAGTTTGGCACGTAGCCTAGGAGTGTATGCGCCGTCTTCATCCAAGTCTTCGTCTGTATTTGTATTGTAGGGGGATATGGCTCCATCTAAATGCAATTGTCTGTCTCCTTCTCGTCCTTGCAATTCTCGTTCCTCCTCCTCCTCCTCCTCCTCTTCCTCTCCGATGTCATAATCATCACCATCGCCATCTTCCTCTCCAATGATGAAGTTATTATCTTCCATATCTTCTTCGTAGTCGTCGCTTGCCGTTTCGTATCTTACGCTGTCTCCGTCGTCAGTCTCCCCATCTTCATCCTCTTCTACATCCTCCCATTCATCTCCTTCTAACCCATCCTCCTCTTCACCTTCTAGGTTTGAATGATGATCTACTTCTGCCTCAGATTCAATGTCCTCGGCACTCGGAATCTCAGGCGAAGGCTCTCTCCTTCTCTTATTCATATCCAGCCCCGATCCAAATAAAGGAGTGGCTCGTAAAGAATCCGGAGTTGGAGGAAGATTCGTCAAGTCAACACCAGATAGACTCGGGAAGCGTTGCATTTTGACATTCCGTATAGGGGTCTGTGGCTTCGACATGGGCTGTGGCGTCAGATACGAAACCGTTCTCCCACGATGTACGGTAACTGGTGGTGAATACGTCCCGCCTGGAAGTTCCTGTTCGATACTTGAACTGGTGCGTGACGTCCTCTCGCTATCCCCGGTCCTTGAAGAACTTCTACTACAAGTAGAGCCATCGTCTTCGATAATAATTCTAGCTGCACCGAATTGAGAAGAGCTCAGATTTATACACATATCATCCTTGGTGGCCCTACGATCCCGCCTTCCAATTAAACCATCGGCGAAGGCACCGATGTAATCGGTTTTAGAGTGTTTCTCCTCAGGTGTGAAGAATCCATGAGAAAATCTGCCCCCGGATGCATTACGGGCCCCTATGGGCCTATAATCCAGTACCATTCTTAAGTTATGGATTCTATAGCCTCCACGATCAACGGCCCGAAGATGTTCGATTTAAAATTTGTTGCAACGTTGGGGCGATGGAAATAACTCAGGTATGTGAAGATGTATGACTATAACGATGCTAATGAAATTATATTAGTATTTTATTCCGAGGGATCTTTCGATAATTTAACGATTGTATGCATAGAAATTGCTGTACTACTGAAGGATGAGGAACGATTCTCCTCTCCCAGCTGAAGGAGGAGGTGATGAGACCACCCACCTGAAGAACCTCGTTTTTCTGCCCTTGCTAGCTCCACCCAATGCAACAAAATGGAGAAAGGAAGAAATAAAAAAAATGTTATTGCAATAGCCAAAGGAAGTTATTCTTCGATAATTCCTCCACTAAGTCTCCTTCGTCAACGAGGTCCATCATAGAATGATATCTATTTCATGGTCGACAATTCCGGGTTGCATTAGCCAAGTTGCAAGGAGATTTGGGGCTTTCGGAAAACTCGAGCAGCAGATTATTTCTATGCCTGCTTTGGGCGATTCAGGAAACACCCCAGAAAAACCGCCCGCCTCCAACTCAAAAATGGGTCAAAGACTAGTTGTGAATACGGACTTTACTGCGTGAGAAATATCATAATTAATCTGATATAATATTTACACAAAGCTATCTGTACAGCCGTGGGATCGAAGAGTATGCGGGATAAAGTCGAATCCATCACAATGGTGGGGATCTCACTGGGAGCTGGAAGGCTGCAGTGAGCGAGAGGGAATGCCGGCCGGGTACCGCTGCACGCATTAGATCGTGAGGAGAAGTCAGCCCACTTGCAATGAGGCCGCTTGCTTGGCATAGCATGCATCATGCACATGATTTACAACTTCAGATCCGGATGATATGAGACATGTTAACGTATGTTTCTAAATGGGCCTAGATATCGATTGTAGAGTATTTCCTTTCCCAATTTCAACCTTCGAGGATCCTAATTGATATTAATATATTGATTAAATGTATTGATCAACTCCCATAGTTACACTGATCAAATATGAAATGCAAACCGATAGCTCTCCAGGAAATTACCACAAGATATTCCAGGTATAAAGCAGGGCTAAACATAATGCATCGACCATCACGCATCGATCAAGGAACATTCGAATTATAAATTTCATAACACCCGGAATATTTACTACTAAAAGGGCAGATCTAACCCCAGAAAGAAAAAATCTTCTAATCTGATAGCATGGTACGGACACAAGACTAGTATGGTACCACGCCCTTCAGGGTCCAAATCTGACCGTTTGGAACTGGGTTTTTGACCTCCTTGACTTCGATTCCGCCTGGGTAGAGTTTAGTGATTCCATTCTCAGTCGTCCACCAAACAGTAGTACCCTCGAGAGTCTGAACCTTTTCGTTCTCCTTGAAGGGAGATACGGGGACAACATGGGCCTTGACGAATCGCTCGAGATTGGCGGCAGCCTTTTTCTCACCCTCATGGCCGAAGAAGGCTCCTTCGACATTGTTTCTTGGATCAGGGTCCTCCCATGGTTTTCTCGGGAGGGCTCGCATGGCGGAATTAAGAGGAGCTACTCCGATAGAAAGATCCCATATTGTTAGTATCATGTATATAATATATGAAGCCACGGATTCTATGCAAGCAAAGGAATATTTAACTAGTACCTAAAATAGTGGTATTTTGACCTTTATCCTCAAGGCGGTCAAGAATCTGGTGGTTTGTTAGGCCCCGGACGATTTCTGAGAAGATCGATACATCTCTCTGCACCGAGAGGGCATCGGAGACTATTGGAACACCGGAATCCCCCGTCATGGGGTTATTTTGAGAGTTATCCATATCTACAAACGGATTTTGAGGATTCTTCGAAGGACCGAAATTAGCGACTGGGAGGACAGCGGCTGCGAATGAGATGATGAAGAATGCGAATGTAACCAACGTCGAAATGGCGGACCAGCACCTCATAGCTACTTAAGTACCCTTTAAGTAGTATAATATGTGAAAGGCAGCGGACGAGGAGTTGATTTGAGGCGCGAGGTAAGGTGAGGGGTTACGTGTGATATCAGAACAGTGTAATGTGATATATCGCGATCAGATACTTGGTTATCCAGGCTCGTGTGACTCCAGCATATTGGAACCTCCGTTCGATTCAGGTCTGTATCTGCAAAAGAATCGAGTCGACCTGTAACTGCTATGTGATCAACGGTACAACTGAGCCGGCTGCTGGTGATGATGTATATTGATATGCATGGTATGAGCATGCATCGGCTCGAATTCGATCCAGTCAAGGTTAATTACGTAGCGCCCGTCGCACAACACAATTCCCAGACTCTGTGTCCAGATGGTACTTCACTTCGGTATAGAGCCATGGAGACAAAATTTGTCGCTGGGTGTAATGAAGATAAATTAAAGAAGAATGAAATCGGAGCAGCTCTTGTGAACACCGCAGAGACTATATTATATACATAGGTACCTATCTATAAATATACTAAACCTGAGTAATTGAACCGATAGAGAAGGTTGAGGTGTGGAAGTATGCACAAGACACTGCCGTAGACAGTACAACCACCTCAACTCGACATCGCCACAGGTCAACCGTCAACCCGGCCGCCACAGGTCAGCTTCAAAGAAAACACCCTCCCAATTATCTATCGCTTTGCTGCGCCCGAGCCAGCTAAGTACTGATACTCCCTAAGTACTTATCAGGTAAGCCGGTCTAGATCCCGTCCTTTGTATTGGGACAGTGCCTGCCTATTCGGACGCTGTCCTTGTAAGAATAGGCCTGCCTGTCTTCCGGCTGCCAAAATTCTTTTGGTCCTAACTCGAGCACCTTGCAGCCCGCCTATCGTTCAAACGACACCACTCATTGGCCAGCTACCGTCCTGTCTGTCCTAGCTCCTACACCGAGGAAAGGCTCTTCAACCTCCCTTCCTTCTCCTCCTCTCCTTGAACTTCATCCCATCGGAACCTGTAGGAGGAGTGGCTGTTTCGCTAGCTTAGTCATTCACGAAGCCGCGAGTCCTTCCCAGAACTCTCAGCAGGATTTGACCAGACGATAACCCTCAACCCCGCGCGATCACTCAGAAAAGGCCCAGAACCTTTCTCTGCCACATACACCCGTCTTTCATCACATCACGACTTCTGTTGCACCCTCGCTCGTCAAGGGTCCTCTTCTCCGACGGCTCTTCGCCTCCAACCGCCGTCCTGCTGTTGGCGCTACGCTTTGTCTCCATCGAAAGCCTTGGCAGCCCTCTCGAGAGCTATCTGCACATGTTAAGCATCTTTTAGGCCTAGAGCTGTCTGAGGTACATACTATCTGGAACTCTCCCTCACGCCGCTACAATCTTTCAGTTCTCCGGGGACACATAGTCTGATTTTGGATCCTTCTCTTCCAGTCATCCAACTTTGAAGATCGTAGGAAGCAATCAAAGTCACATCTTTCAACCGTCAAAATGTCACAAGCACGAGTTTACGCAGACGTCAACTCGAACATGCCGAGGAGCTATTGGGACTACGATGCTGTCAATATATCTTGGGGGGTTCTCGAGAACTATGAAATCATTCGGAAGATAGGTATGGGGGATCCTCTCTTTCCGGCACCTACGTGGACCATCTCGTCATTATTGGGAGCGTTCCCCGGACGAGAATGCATGCCACGGTAGCTCGGATCGCTAATTGGTCATGTTTCACGCAGGTCGCGGCAAATATTCCGAGGTCTTCGAGGGTATCAATATCGTCAACCACCAGCAGTGTGTGATCAAGGTCCTCAAACCGGTTAAGAAGAAGAAGATAAAGAGAGAAATCAAGATCCTCCAAAACCTTTCAGGTGGTCCAAATATTGTCGCGCTTTTGGATGTAGTTAGGGACGCCCAGGTAGCCCTGAATTCCGATATCCCCACGACCATTCTACTTGATAGCTAACGATACATACTCAGAGCAAGACACCTTCCCTGATTTTCGAATCCGTGAATAATACAGACTTCAGAAGTCTGTATCCCAAATTCACAGATTACGATGTGAGGTTCTACATATACGAGCTGTTAAAGGTGAGCAAACTTTGAAATTTTGGCTCTAATCGACCTGCAAATATTAATTTATAATAGGCTTTAGATTTCTGCCATAGTAAAGGGATCATGCATCGGGACGTCAAGCCTCATAACGTTATGATCGATCATGAGAAGCGAAAGGTAAGAGCCCTACGGTTGATATGTTGGGGATAGGGAACTAATAAATTCATAGTTGAGACTGATTGACTGGGGTCTTGCGGAGTTTTATCACCCTGAAACTGAATACAACGTTCGTGTGGCATCTCGCTATTTCAAGGGGCCCGAACTGCTTGTTGATTTCCAGGAATATGACTACTCCCTTGACATGTGGTCGCTCGGTGCGATGTTCGCGTCTATGATATTCCGAAAAGAACCCTTTTTCCATGGCAATTCTAACTCTGATCAGCTGGTCAAGATCGCGAAGGTGCTTGGCACAGAAGAGCTCTTCGACTATCTTGATAAGTACGACATCGAACTCGATCCGCAATATAATGATATTCTATCGAGGTACCCGAAGAAGAGTTGGCACCATTTCGTCAATGCGGAGAATCAGAGATTTGTGAGCAATGATGCTTTGGATTTCCTTGACAAACTTCTCCGATATGACCATCAGGTAATTTTTGAAATCGCGATTCCAGCCTTTCCAGGGATATCAACTAATCGCCATCATTTACAGGAACGATTGACGGCCAAAGAAGCGATGGCTCATAGTTATTTCGCCCCAGTTCGCCAGGCGGCAGCACAGCAGACCGCCCAACCTGGCCAGAACAATGTCCCACCCTCAACCTCCACCGCCTAGATACCCTACTCTCAAACCATCACATCATCAGGTCCTCTTCAACATCTCTATAACCACAACCCGCCCTCTTTGTCGCCCATAACTCTTTCCTAGTGATCGTAGCTAATAGTGTATCCTAGCCATACTATATTCCCCCTCCCTGCTTCTCCCCACAATCATGTACTCACTGATGATACGTCCTGATGCGTGCCAACGAAACGACTGAGAAAATGATAGACCGACTTTGACGAAACTGCCATTTTATGTAAACATCTTTCTTCCGTGTAAAACCGTGGAGGTATTTTGCTGTTTGTTAACAAATGTCTATTTCCCTTCCTTAACACTCCGGTGGTCCAACCACGGGTAGAAGAGGAGGGGTTTCTCTAAGAAATCCGTAACCTTTTCCTTTGTCCTTTCTTTTCCTTTTCTTCTCTCTTACGTCGAGATTATTTCTTTTTCTGTTCGTTCTTTCTTTTTTTTTTTTTCAGGTTTCTCAAAGGTGCATGCATAAACAGGCGCAAAAGATTTCCCGAACTTTGGCTGGTTTTCCTTTATGCTCCCGCCTTTCTTTTTCCTCCCTCCCTCCCCCCTCCCCCCACTTCCTTCCACCCTTTCATCCGTTTTTCTACTCAAGTTTCTTTCTCTCTTATATCCGTCCTGTGGTTTTTATAGTCCCCTGTACAGTAAGAGCGAAATATACTGAATGAAATGTTACAATAAGAATATAAATTTAGACTCCATGTAGCTTCTGTACGGAATTCACCGTCTTTTGACACCAAACATATATATACACGAAGCAATTCGATCAGGAAGAGAACCCCACCCCTGAAGCCTTCCTAGGATCCTACCTATAGATCTCGTTAATTTGTAAATCTGATGTCGCGTGGGTAATCTAATTAGATGTTAATTGATTAATTCTCTTGGCATGCGGGTTAATTATAAATGTTCCGAACCAGCGACGACGACGATTCTATAGCTATATAGCTATATGATGAAATATTTCTTCAACTACCTTTTGCAAAACGGGTCCATAGAGGTGACGTAGTTCACCGATCCATTAATTTTTCCATGTTGACGAATCTATATATTCATGAAAGACATAATTAAGTAACTATAAGGTCATCTTGGAGGACGAATGTCAAAAAGAGAAGGGAAGGAACTTAACGAAGGAATAATGCTGGAAAGCAACAAAGTATAAGAGAATGAATGTTTCTGAAAGTCTAAGCTATATATAGCCCCGGAGTTAATAGGGATATTGGTATCTAAATTTATAAATTTAGGCTATCACGTTTCCTTGAGGTTAGCACAGGGTATTAGTACTTAGGTAGGTAAGTATCTAGACTATAACCTTTAATACAATATTTGTGTATTGGTCTAGTTCTAAAACGTTACTGAGCACACCAAAACATTTGTGTATACTTTTTAACTTTCTGAAAATCGTTATTTGAGCATAAGACATTGTACCCTCTCGGTTTTATTTAGGGACCATGAACTTTGGTATGCATGTGACTATGCCTTTAAGCATTTCATGCATAGGGATACTGACGAGAATAGCAAAGACAGTAGTTATAAGGTATCAATAAAATCATATGCCTTGGATTTAAGTTGAAATACTTAGTTAATTACAATTTACATGCCCGCTGCGAGTGATTAGTATTCTCATAAACCCCTATATAGGATCGTTATAGTATAATTCTTTCAAAGTGAACCTCCACGGAAGCACGCACTCACTTCTAAGTTTATCATGCCCAGTTTACTGGGTATCGATCCCAGAGCACACCAGAGATCTTCGATATTCAAGTTTTGTACAAGCCTGTAACACACGATGATTCAGAATAGTTCGAAATAATATCATATACAATCCATCCAACTAGTGCTCAAATTAGAATCGAATACCATGATATTAACTGATATAAAACACTAGCTGCCCACCTGGTTGTACAATCTACTGCCACTTCCAATGTAATTAAGTCCCTACTTAAGTTAGTACCTAAGTACTTATGTACTTTAGTGCAATAAAATTGACCTTGCAATACCATCCTGCGCACAATTACTAAAACCTGACGTCACAAATGTGTCGCTCAAATTACTGCTGGAAACCACACCATCTATTGATTAGCCATGCATGTATGTATTACAATGCGCCCCGAGTTTAAACATCTGTATACACTCGTATCAATGATACTAGGTACCTGCTTCCTCATCATATGATTTTTTTTTATTGTTAAAAGAAAAAAATTTATCAGAACTTCCAACGACATAATTACAAGTTCCACTTCAACATTTTATCACTTGTTGCATTCTGACCTACCAACACACTACCACTCTAATATTATTAAACCTCGACCTCATCACACCATGTCTATAAACATCCCATGCGGTTCAAGTAACCCAAGTAAGTCCCCCCTTCTATCATATCCAATACACCCATGTCCCCCCTCAAAAGATGAACCCACGCTAAAAAAACAATGTCTACTCAAACCCACCAGTCGGCGTCAAAATGCCCCCTCCAACAACCCCGCCGCCACCTCTCGCCGAAGACACAAAATCCGCAATCCAAAAGGCCGTCCACGACCGGGAAGCTCCTGCACATCTGGTCGGTGACAAAGACGTTCTCCATAAGAAAGGATTAGATAACACCCCAAAGGGACAAGGGAAAGGGGTGAAAGGAGCAGAGGATACAGAAATAAAAGAGGGGAAGGGTAAAAGAGCCCTCCAATGGGAAAGGAGGAAGGAATCATAGGCGGAACAAACGTTAGCTTCGATTCTAATGCTCACTAATTAAGTACTTAAGTAACTAGCATGTCTGTTCCTTAGGCATATATATATTCATAATGTGGAACACTGTTCAGATATTGTATTCAACCCATTCCTATAATGTACACCGTGTAATCCCAACAGAAAAGCTCACAAACCCGAAAACACAAAAACAATAGGCAACCACGGAAAGGAAAGAAAAAAAACGCTTTTGTATCGCCAAAACTCTTGCAAAAAGAAGAAACGGTGCACAAAGAAAAAGCAAAGGCCCAGCCGTAGAAAGTTTCTTAATTTGTATCCATGAAAACAATTAACCCAACCATGAAAGGATCGAGCGGCCCACTCCGTCGCACATTCAAACAAGACCAGGAGCATAAACAGAAAGAAGGGGATGGAATAGAGGTAGAAGAATAAAGAAAAAAAGGAGAGGTGAGACGAGAAGGAAAGGTGAGAGGGATAATGATAGATGTATGCATGTTGGGTCTCGGCTTATCAGGCCGGGTAGCTCAGGACACAAGGAGGAAGAAAGATGTTTCGTGAATGAAAGGAGAGGCTGTTACCAAGGGGAAGTGCGAAATAAATATTTGAATCCAAAGGATGTCAAAAGGGAAAAAAAAAAAAGGAACAAGGGGACCGGCTGACAGAAAGAGAACATGAAACTCATCATTGTTGTAACCAAGAGGATGGTGGTAGAGTCTGACAAGTTGTGTATCGTAAAGTGTATGAATGAATGATGAGTGTCGGTGTCTCTTAGCGTCGTATAAGGACCAAGTGTATAAAATCGTTTAATTCATCCAAGCCACTGAAGAACGGTCATTGACTTGCATTTCGATATGAATTTTTTAATTTTTGGCGTCTTTGGGCGGCTAGAGCTGTTTCGATATTCTTGCAAGATTGGTGTGGATGATGGCGGCTAGACATCATCTGTCTTCTTCTCCTTGCGTTTGATAGAGAATGTTCGTTTGAATTTGGCTGCAGCGCCCTCGAGTCTTCCTGCGGTACTGCCATTTCGACGGACGGGGGAGGTAACGGGATCAAGGGGTGTCAGGACATCCCCAGACCTGCCGGTTGCGGTATCCAAGCTCTTTCCTCGTCGATGTTTGGCTTCCTTTTCTTTCTTAGCAGCAAGGTCACCATCGTAACCTTCAATACCTTTTCCCTTCAGGTCTTCATCTCGGTATTTCTAAAGGCTTTGTTAGCATTCGACTAGGTTGGTATGCCACGGGAAAAAGGGGTTTCTAGTTTACCTCTCCAGCGTATCGACGATAATTACCATCTTTACGGTTGACATCGTATTCTATATCGACTAATCAGCTTCTCTCTAGGCTACTACAGATCACAATTCACAACGTACCCTCGTACTCAAGAACACCGCCAGTAACGTGTGTCCCTGGGGGGAAAGCGGCAACACCCTCGAGAGGACGACCAAATTGTATGCTGTTTTGGATATCCTCAGGAGCGGTTGCTCTTAATGCCATCGCATTGCCGTATCTAGTGGCGTGTACTGGCGACTTTAACGGATTGCGATTTCGATGGGACAAAGTTGCATCATATGGCCCTTCATGGTGGAAAGTAAAGATCCCAAAGCTGGTATCGAGTGAGTCTATTGTATCAGCCGCTGGAACGCGCTGGATTCCAGAACGGGGTTTGGCTTCAAGTCTGGAATGTGGCCTAACGGGCACACGAGGACCATCACTACGGTACATAGTGCCCCGCGGTTGAGGGGTTCGGGTATGGTGTCGAAGTGGCGCCTGGACTGGAAGAGAAGAACCTTCTCCTGCCCTACGGAACGGATTTGTCGGAGAGAGTGGAGATCTCTGATTTGCATTTGGGCTTCTGGGAGGAGAGATATTCTCCCGATTCTCTTGATTTTCCGCAGCTAGGAGTGCATCCCGGAACGGATTATTGGACCATCTATCCTCTACTCGCTTTGAGACCGGCCTATTTTCTTGGTTCTGCAGGTCATTATTGTCCTGCTGGTTCTGGAGGTCGGGAATTTTTTCCGGGACAGGAGCTGGAGTCGACAATCGTGGTCCCCGTGGCGAGACCGTGTTTCCCATGCGGGAAATTTCTTTATCGGAGACCTCATTAAGCGGACGCAACGGCCTCTGTCGCCTATCAGGATCCTTCCCATCATCGGTAAACCGGCGAATCAACTTGTCACGGATTGACGTTGTCCGTCGCACCTGGCCGACAGATGCTAATGTATCTTGTAACTCGATATCTTCCTGCTTGTTCTTCTTCTTGTCCCTCTTGGAGCCACTACGCGACAACAGAGAACGAGAACGGGTTACCCCAGAAGATCCAGCTGCAGATTCAGACGGTTTCGAATTGGCAGCAAGATACTGTTCGACTGTGAGGGTTTTGTGTTGTGTCGGAACCTGATTATTGTATTGGCCGCCTGTCTGGGCTGTTTGATATGCCTCCACAGCATTTAAAGGGTCCAACAGGTATTCTTGGGCCTGAAAGGGAAAGATGGTGGAGCATGTTAGTCAGTTGACCAATGCAAAACGACGATAGTGCTGTCTGACGACTCAGAATGTTCCCTGCTCCCCTGCAGGTTTGCCTTTGCTCCCTGCGGCTTCCTGAAGCAAGCTCCTCCAGCCGGGTATCGTCCGAGGGAAGTCGCCCACAAAAGACTGATTCCGACAAGCCCCAGGCTGCAGGCAGAAGAGCTCAAAGGTAAAAGGAAAGGTAGAAAGTAAAGGACAAACTGGATGGAAGAATGGGAGGATGGATAAAGAAGAGGAACAAAACTAGCAACTAGCAACTTACCCAGCTGGTGTCCCCTTCTTTTCGTGGAGGGGTAGTGCTCCCCCAAGCCATATTGAAGAGTCCTTCTTCTTTTTTGTTTAATAATAATTTTTTTTTAAAAAAAAAAGGTTGTGGGGATTCACTCGATGACAGGTCTGATTGTCGTCAGCGGCGTGAAGTAATATTGGTGACAGATGCGAAAATAGTCCGGTTATCAGCGCTGCAACTGGAACGGCCCTGGTTGGTGAGAATGCTGTTTTTCTGGGGAAAACGGACAAACACAGCAGGGGATTGGTTTAGGTTGGATGGAGTTCTGCAAGTCGGATAAGGAAAAAGCGGTTCAAGGAGAGGATGACAGTCGTATGAGGTCGGATAGAGATGAATAATCCAGTCGAGTGATGAGTAAAGGTCGGATGAGAAAATAGAGGAAGGAGAAGGAGAAAAGGAAGAAGAAGAAGAGTCGATAGTTAGAAAAAGGAAGAATAAGAAGGAGAAAGGGAAGAGGAGGTCCGAAAGCGGTGGGCACAACGATCAATATAATATATGTGGAAGTATTTGGATTGATAGACGTAGACTGTACCTACGACCTTCCACCTAATTTAGCACTCACTCACTCACTCACTCACTCACCCTCACTCTCACTCTCAGATACTTACTCATCCACTCTCTCACTCTCTTTCGAATTTCTCGTCGATGCCCTCGCAGCAGAAGGTACTCAAGTGAAGGCCAAAATTAATGAGGTATGTAGGTATGTCAAGTACTCTCTTGATAAGCATATGTACGCAGGTAAAGTAAGGAACTAAGCTAATATTTGTACCGCTACCTTGCATGGTATTTAATATAAAAAAAGTACTTATTTTAATTACTTCTTTTCCAATAACTGACGACGACGAGACTCTACTTAGGAGACATTTGTCAAATTAAATTGCTTCTTCCCGACGACGCCAGAACGCCGGGTTCTGCGGACAATCCCCTCGTCTCGCCTTCGTCGACATTGTCCTTAGCTAGCTACTCCACGCAAGACAGGAACCCCTCCATGTTTGAATGTATCACCCTGGTCATGTACCCCGAAAGACCCTTTTTTTCCCACGCTGACTAGTTTACTCTAGGCCCCTTTTGAGCTTCTCCAACTTTTCTTTCTCCAATCAAAGGCTGTGTGAACTCCTCCTTTGGTCGTTCATCCATCACACAGCCGGGTGACTGGATTACCAAGGCATGTGTGCTGCAGGTGACCTGAGTTTACCGCTTCTCTGGTCATACGGATGTGATTCCCATCCCAAAAGCCACAAAAATTCTTCGGGCGTCAAACGAGTAGCAAAAAACTCTTTGAAGTTTGCAGCCTCGAATGGATGAATGCAGCGCAACCAGAAGCAAAAAAACCTTAAAGCTACGACATGGTTATGTACACTTAGGTATGCTCTCCGACAAACTACGAAGTGGAGGAGGGGTTTTTTGGATTTGACTCGATTCCGACAGAGGTGCTTATGGGGTTGCCTATCTTTTATCCGGACCGCTATCCCCTAATGACTGCAGAATCAGAAGAATCTCGACAGAGGTACAAGTACAAAAGGAAAAAATTAGCTAGGCGGTACCTGGCCGCTCTTGCTTGAATTTCGTGTGCCCGCGCACGCTCTCGTATCCCATTCACGGCTGTGCGACGACTACACACAAATCCAAGATTCGTGAACCCTGGTGTGATGCGGCAAATGAAAAGCCGCTAGACATGGGTTTAACCTGACGGCTGCTGTGGATTGTGGGGCTGACACAGGCAAAAATGATAGCACAGTGGCATCAGCCCGCCCTCCTTGACCATCCGAACCGAAAATCCAGATTCTTTGGAAATCGATGTTCTGTTCTATGTTAACATCCTGAAGTCATTGTTTCGAAGATCAATTCCGAAGCTTTCCATGGTAGCCCAAGCTCTGGACCCTGTGCAACGTTCCCTTTGGATTGGCGGCGTAATGCCGGTGAATTGGTTTACTTGTGTCTCGAGTATATTGATTGACTATTGGACACTCACCAACCATGGCGATTCACTGTCACAATGTTGTGCTTGTGGACCCTTAAAAAGTACAAGGGTGATTTTCCGGAGTAAATTCGCGAGGCTTTTACTTTTTGCCCGAGGCTAGCTTAGCCAACTTCGAGGGATCACTTAGATAACCGGATCGGGAAGTTCTTGTCGTCAGAGTCTTGGCACAACTCATTATTTGCAACAAAAAAGCTCATCTAATGAAGAAGCACATGGTTGAAGTCTGCACCACTCCATGGGCTCATAGAGTTCTAGAACCTATTTACAATACAATTTAAATACATAAACGATAACCTAGTACTAAGGCGGGTGCTGTTCGATTATTTCCCCCTATTGATGCTCACCCTGGTATATAACTGAAAACGGTACCTTCATCGGTAAAGATAGGCTAGGCGTTTAGGGCTGATACAGATACTAGAGCGTCTAGGTTTAAGGCTAGGTCCTATGGAGCTGGTGGCACTAATGGTAAGTATTTCTAGCAAAGAATTCTCAAGATTAGACATACACTCTCAATTCTCGTCAATACTGTAGTAAATTTTCTTAACAATGTTATCTAATATACTATGAGCTGCGTTGACAGACTCAATTTCTCCAAATATTTACTATCCGACGAAAACTTTTATAATTAATGTGAGTGGATAATCGTAGTTATGCTCCTCCCTATCCCTAGAAAATCTATAGATATATCGCTTTATGGAAACTGAAGAATCCTTCCCAAGTTTCAGCCAACACCTCAGTAATTGCACTGAGATCGACAATATTGCTTCCCATCCCCACGAACCACCAAGACACTGTATACATTTAATATTAATACCACTGGGGAAACGGGTTCTAAGGCTATATACCCGCTAATGTGTCTGAGGAAACGGTTCTCTAATAGGTATTTCCTAATCAATCAGTTACTAAACTCACCGTGCATGTGTACATGTCAAGATAAGTCCTTTGAGCTAAAGACCGCCTTTTTTGGCCCACCAAATTTCCACTATCATTCGCATCGCCATCCTTATCAAAATTTATGAGTCCAGTTAAGTAGTTGTGGTGACGGCTCTGTTGTTGATACTATCACTACCAATGAGTGCTACAATAGCAACCAACAGAGTCCACCACTGGATACTATGATATCATGATTAGGAACTCAATTTGGATTGGAAGTAGGGCTATCGTTAGGAACAATATAAATACATATATATGGTGCTTTTATATTTGGCTTCCAAAGGCGACTGATTTTCTATTACAATAGATCTATAGACGAAGCGATCGATCGATGAAATGCATGCAATGGCTCGAGAGAGTTGTTATTGCACAGGAGGGCGTTCGCGAATTTGCCCGATAAGCAAATGATCATGGTGGCATTATGATAGCGAAATCCCATCATATGAGCTCACTTTGCACATAGGACCCCCCTCGAGCCGCCTGAAGTTTCGAGCACATCTTAGTGAATCTTGAAGTACGTACTGGTGATTTTTGGGTGCGGTCTACTTTTATCCCGTGGCTGGATCAGATCAGGCCAATCTCGCCATCCAGTCTCTCATCCTGCATGGCCATGAATGCGTATTCGATCATGGTATACCGGTATTGGAAATTCATATCACAAGTATACCTACGGGGTCTGTAGTCAATGTTTAAACCCTCCACGACTAATTTAGACATCTTCAAGTAGTGGCATTTTTTGGATGAACAAGTATCGATATATCCCAAAGGAATTCTGAAAAAAGCTTTCTCGTCCAATAATTCCCTAGCTGCAAGCGGAGACTTAGTTTCGCTCACGATATCTTAATAAAATAGTTTCGCTTGAAAGAGTCTTATACGTACGTTCACTATTTATCTACCGCATGGGCTCACGATCGATCTGGATTTCCCCATCACTAGAACCAATATTGGCTGATGCCTACTTTGATCATATTAAAATGTGTCTAAATTTTGAATCCCATGCCTTGGATTGGCATTGGCTCGCCGCTTTCATCACAAGTCGACGTCAACTTCCCCCTACAGAGTAATATTAGTTCAATGCGGCTTCCCCATACTTAGATTCGAGAGTCATCAATTGATCAATGAATTTCTATGTTGACCTAGACTTAGATCGTTGAATATATATTTATACGTACCATCTTGGAAATATAAGTGCGTGCGCCTCCAGACCAAGTGCGTGCATGTAACAACTAAGCCATGCCCTTTCATGAACTTGCACTTGCCGTTGCTCTCGACGCCTTTGGGCTAGTCTGTGATCCCGTCTAGATATCCATAGTGTCGATCGAGACTGTGACGTTCTTCTGATAGAAAGCATACTAGCAGTGCAATTGTACATGTACAACCTGTCAAGTGGAACTAGAGAAAATAGCCACGTCTCTCACTGCAATATATCGAAACAAGAAGTGAGTTTCATGATGTCTCCAAGACATTGTTTTGTCGTCTCCGCATTTTGCGACTGCAACCCATTGACCAGTCTCGCTGTGTGTTGTTCTGAGCTAAGGGTTTTGCTAACTAACCGGACCATGAACTCCAAAATGCAAGGCCTGGCTGGCTAGCTGGGAGAGCTAGCGCTAGAACCCTCCACCAACCATAATTTCATTCCTCATCAGGCCTCTCATTCGTGGTACTAGCCCCCCAATAGACAGCTACCTGGGTACCTGGTATTGTATATTCGTTGAAATGGCACATGAAAGGAAGCCATCCCTTGGTTTAGTAGATTATTCCGATTCCGACGATGATGATTCCAAAGCTGGCCCCTCTCAATCGCAGCCACCTTCCAGCGCGAGCTTACCTCCCCTGCCGTCTAAATTCTATGACCTCTATACTGCAGCTCCGAGATTGACCAAGGAAGACGACCCGTCAGCTCATGGCGGCCGTCATCGTGCCATTCCTCATGTCGAAGGGAACTGGCCGACACACCTGTACTTTGAGTGTATGTCCTTCCCCGTATTTCCCTCTTTATTCTTCCCTTCCGGCCTTCTATTGCGGTTTTAGTCTTTTGACTAAAGAAACTATCTAAACTACTTACCAAAATGACAACAATATGTTCATGATACTAAGCTCGAAAAACTAACATACTCGAGGGCACCTAACCACCCTAGAACTCGGAAAGGTTGGTCGTCTGCTCCAGGTAGCAGCAGAAGCAATTGGGAACTATGAAAAATTCCATCACACTGAAGAGTTCAAGTTGGAATCGTTTCTGTACAGCGATTTAGGCACCCAATTGCCGCTGCATATTAGCATGTCGCGACCGATCGTCCTTAGAACAGAGGAACGAGATGGATTCGTGGCGGAATTGGAAAAGGGAGTAGAGGCAAGTGCTGTCCAGAGGTTAGTTGATTCCCACCGAAGCAATTCGATCCAGGCTATATACCATATTGACTTGTGCATTTTAATTGGACTTCGCAGCTTTGATGTCCGATTCACAAGCTTGGAGTGGGTCCCAAACCAAGACCGCACCCGCTGGTTCTGGGTTATGAGAGCTACAAGTCCGATGCTTGGTCAATGTCGACGAACATTGGTAAGAACCCTATGCGGATCCTTCAATATAAATATCAATATAAAAATAAAGAAAATAAAATAAATAATAATAATAAAGGCAATTCATGCATGCTGATATTTTGAATACTTAGTTGTCATCACTGCTGACGACATGCAATCATGTCGTGAAAAATCACAATCAACCGGAACTCTACCTGACAGATAGTCGTGGAGCCACACGTGAAGGGTTTCACGTCTCCATTGGTTGGAGCTTGACGGAACCCTCAAAAGACCTGTGCGAGGGTATATTGACTGCAATTTCGAGCAATCGAACCGAGTTATCCGATTTGACGATGAAATGCGACACCCTGAAAGTCAAAATAGGGAACATTGTTCATGCGGTGGAGTTAAAAAGGGCCTTCTGAGCTGACTTACCAGCATGCAGTGCAATACATCGATCGAGTAACTACGATTCTACTTGAAAAGACGGAGAATAAATGACGGACCGTGCAGCATGGCTCGCAGCCGTACAGTCGGATTTAAAAAAGGATACCAGGCTTCAAGTTATCGGAAGTATCAAACAAGCTTGAGAGATACCTTTCCTCCCTGTACCACCAAAATGATATCAAAAGCGGCTGGTCCAACCAGAAGCCTTCGGCCAGTCATGCACGCCAAGCCCAAATGCCCTGCATCTCCAGGAACACTTCCAGAAGCTGTTGTGTGCTGCGAACCCCTGTCTCTGTTCTGTTCTGTTCTGCTTTCGAGCGAGAGGAGTTTAATTGAATCCACGTAAACGCAATGGGAAACTCGTGTTATGTTCAGGGGATCAGGACAGCAATCGAAATCAAATCTGCCTGCCCGATAAGCATCATCGGCCCTTCTTCTCCCTCGCCATCGTCCCGTCTGTACCCCATACCAAAGCCCTCCTCAATTGCATTATCAGCTTAACGTTACCGTGGTCCAAATAAATCCAAACCAGTCAGTTCGGACAACGCAAGACTCGAGACGAACTTCCCAACAGCGCATGTGATCGTGTGAGCTTCTGCAACCGTTGCCTGTAGATCTGGATTGCGTACACCGAACCGGCCAAGATTCCCAACCATTATAATAAAACCGGGGTCCTAGCTCTTAGAGATTCATCTCTTTTTTCATATCTTCGACCCCCCAAAGTTACTTGGTTATTATCTGAATCAACGAGACACTCCCCCTGGATAGAGACGATATCGATACGCTACTCGATCACAAGCGACGGTTTCGACGGATGGCTGCGCAGAAAGTGCTCGTGACCAATGGTACGGAACTACCCAACCCTGGTCTTTAGGTCAACAAACTAAACCGGTATGTTGTAATCTAGGGTCCGGCGACAAGAAAGACTACGATGATACCCACCCACTCGCACCGTTAAAAGAATACAAATACCAGTCCGTCGATCAGTCGCTGGTATCAAACTACATTCTCCGGCACTACGTATGAACCACCCCCCCAAATCTGCAACATCAATTGATGACTTTACCGATATTCGAAAAGGGAGAAAAATGGAGATATGCTCATATATTCATTGGTTATGTATAGTGGAACTGGGCTGTTGAGCTGCTACCAAAATGGATGGCACCGAATTTGGTCACATTAATCGGCTTTGGCGCCATTCTATTTAACGTACTATGTCTGGTTATATTCATGCCGGACTTGGTTGGACCTGGACATCCGATATTATACTTCAGCTTTGCATTCGGATTATGGATGTAGGATTATAATACAATAGGCTCTAGAAGTTAGAGAATGTTTGGATGCTAATGTGTGGGAACAGGTACTCGACTATGGATAACATCGATGGAAAGCAAGCTCGAAGAACGGGATCCTCATCACCATTGGGCGAACTATTCGAGTACGAAAATTCCCCTATAGTATCTCATTATATTAAAAAACGGGAGCTAATAATACCAACCCGTATAGCCACGGCATCGACAGCTTAAACTGCACCCTCGCCAGTCTCTGCGAAACCGCCGCCATGGGTCTCGGAAATACTAAAACTGGCTGGTTCACCGCCCTAATCCCAATCCTTCCAATGTGGTTTTCAACTTGGGAAACATATCACACCCATACCCTCTACCTCGGATATTTCAATGGTCCTACGGAAGGTCTCATAATCGCTTGTCTTTGCATGGCCTTGTCTGGTGTCTACGGCCCTCACATCTGGCACGAAAAGATCGCAGACACCATTGGCTACCAGGAGATATTCCATGATTACAGCTTTAAAGACCTATGGTTTCCTGTGATATTCAGTACCTTCATCTTCATCCACCTCCCCTTCTGGTAAATAAACACCCCACCCTCCTTTCCAAAAAGAAATCCATATATATATTAACCAAAAAAATAACAATCTAGCGTCAAAAACGTCGTCTCCGCCCGCCGCGCCCAAGGCCTCCCAGTCCTCCCCGTATTCCTCGAATGGACACCAATCCTAACCTTCACCGCCGCCGGCTGCGCCTGGGCCTTCTCACCATACACCACCCTCCGTTCCGAAAACCACATCGTCCTATTTTGCCTCACTCTTTCCTTCGCCTTCGGCCGCATGACCACAAAAGTCATCCTAGCCCATCTCCTCCGCCAACCGTTCCCATACTGGACCGTTATGCTAGTACCATTGATCGGTGGCGCTTTCCTAGTTAATACCCCACCACTACTGGGGTACGGTACCATCAGCGCAGGACTGGAGTTGTGGTACCTTAGGGGTTACTTCGTCTTCGCTCTCGTAGTATACTTCAACTGGGCAGTTAAGACGATCGATATGATCTGTGGGTATTTGGGGATTAAATGCTTGACTATTCCGTACGAAGAGGAGAGCGGGAGGGTAAAGAATACTTAGAAAGGGGGGAAGCTCACTAGTTAGCTTTACAGAAGGGTCCAACAGTACTCGATGCATTAGAGGTGAAGGGTTAAAGTGGGGTTTATGGATGATAGGAGCTTACTTAGGTACTTATCGGGTCATATCTCGAATGAGTCTGGAGCGGAAGGGGGTTTAAAATCGAGTTTAAACGTAATATTTTTTCTTTTCTTTATTCAACATCATCAGCATAACTTTTCAGTGCATACATGCATCTCGTCTCAAGCGTTTATTTCTTCCTCCCTTCCTCCCTCCCTTCCTTCATTCCTTTCTTTTGCATATTCTTTTAACGAAGAAAACGAGTTTCTCAAAACACCAGGCCGACAGGCACGAAAGACAAAGCAGGAGGGAAAAAATTTATCAAACTGGATTAATGTGTGTATCAAAAATGAACGGCAGAAGGGGCGGGATAACAAAAAGGAGGAGCATGAGTTTTTCTTTTACTTTTTTCTTTCTTTTATTCTTTCTTCTCTTTCTCTTCTTCTAATTCCTTGTACGCAAGTATTTCAACCATACGTCTTAAGTTAATAAAAAAGTATTTGTATGTATATAAGCATTCAAACTATTCGCTTTCGAATGAAAAAAAACAAAATTTAAAAAAGTAATTGAGTATCTATGTTACAGAACTTAAGGTAAATTTATAAAGTGAGGGGATGGTAAGGAACTAGAAAGCATAAAAAAAAGAAGACCAACTTCAACTTTTAAAATTTTTCAAATTGACATGATCATATCAGTATGGTAGGCTACTTGGCTTCACCATTTTTTATGTACGTTATCCGCGTACGTACTATGCATTATCTAGAGATCATTAAACCTGTCCCGAAAGAAGGGAAGAAAGAGAAAAAAAAGCCATAAGAGAATGATATACACGTAAAGAAGGCCACGGCAACAAGCGTGCTTTCTCAAACAAGAAAAAAGAAAATAATAATAATAAGAAGAGAACAAGTCATCATCTCAATCCAAAAGCCCAAAAGTATTTTTTTCAAGGAAAAGAAGAATAGGGAACTTGGTCCAATACAATACAATTGTACAAGGGTATCCCGAATTCCAAGGATCCGATAAGGCCCGTACATCTATACACTGGAAAGAAGGGGGGAAAGTAGAAAACAAGAAGAAAAAAAACCGTTACCAATTTTACAATATTCTAGTCCCAGAGCCTCCAGGCCTTACCGAAGGAACATCTTCGTACGACTCTCCACTATCGACTTCGTCATCGCTATCTTCCCCTATGACGTGGTGCTTCTCGTCGTCATCATCATCATCCCCAAAAGCTCTTCCAGCTCCCATATCTTCCTCGTCGCTCTCTCCAAATGCATCGTACAAGTCTCTACCCCTTTGGTTCCTCTTAGAGCGTCGGCCGCCACCGGTAAGACCCTCCGCAGCTTCATCATCATCACCTCCACCTGCCAGTCTGGCAAATTCGTAGTCGTCCATGGCACCTTTGTTGGCCTGGTGCTTCTTTCGTTGCCAGAACAGGAATCCTCCGAGTGCACACGCGAAGACTAGGATGAATCCAATGGCACCATAAATCCAGGCTTGAGTGGCTGCACTAACGCCAAACGTAGGGAAAAATGATGGGATGAATCCGGCCCTTTCGGGTTCAGCAGTGGAAGTTGCAGTGTCGGTAGCAGCGGCTGAGTCAGAGGCTTCAGCAGCAGTCGCCGTGGCACTGGAGCTGGAGCTGGAGCTGGAGCTGGAGCTACTATCTTGCATCGTCGATAAAGGCTCAACTGAAGTCGAAGTCTTGGTTTTGACTGGCCTCTCTGGGTGATCCGATGGATTGCCGGAAACAGGGGCCTTGCTCGTTATGGAAACACTTGTCGTTACTGCGCCGACGGTGCTCGTTGAGTGAACAGCCTTGGACGGATCGTTTTCGTCGTCATCATCGCCTGGAAGTGGATGTAGCCTCTGTTTTTGACCGTTAATAGCTTCCCCCCAGAGATTTAATCTCCACCAGTTGAGAGTTCCCCGATTTTCAGGATGAACAGTGTCTTTGACAACGATGGTCCATTTCCCGATACCGCTCTCGCCCCTAGTTCGCTGTTAATAACGTGGTGACTAGGTTATTTTGATTAAACTAGACTTACCAATGTTTAACGGTCATAAAGGTCCATTCTTTGTATCCTTCAGTGCTTGAGTCTTTCGGGCGCTGAGCAGCGATTTTCGATACAAGTCCATTCGGGCTGATAAGGTCGACATCTAGATCTCCACGACGGGTATGATTGAGGTCCATGGTGACAGTGACATGCTCCAACCTCTGAAGGTTGGCATTTTCCAAGTGCTCTTTCGTAATTTCAATAGTTGTGGATAGTCCCTTATCTCCTTCGGGGATCGCACGGTCGACATGAAGCATAGCTGAATGGAACCACGCCTGGGGCTTGACCAATTTCCAATCCTTAGCGGCTTCGACTAATTTGACAGCATCGATTTTGCCGTATCCATATTTGTGATTGAATTTCTTGCCAATGGTGGTAGTCTCCCAATCGGGGTCTTGTTCGTTGACGGGGACCGCAGCTTCAACACAAAGATACTGCATATCTCGCCATGTTAAGTCCGGTCGAACAGAAACGACGAGAGCGAAAATGCCGGCGGCAAGGGGGGCAGCGGCAGAAGTTCCGCCGTGCATGGTGTAACAACTGTTAACACCAACATCTGTAGTATGGATGGCATCTGTGCCAGAACCACTACTGTAGGTAACCACAAGATTGGCAGAGCATTCCTCCGAGTAGTAAGGGTGAGCACCAGCACGATCGATCGCGCCGACGGTAATGCTATAAATGCTATTCGTATAACCGTCGAAATTGCAATTGTCCCCATTAGCAGCACCATTACCAGACGCGAAGACAAAGATTGAACCCTTGCCATCACGACCCTTTTGAACGCCTTGCTGAATAGCCTTCTTAATAAGAATTCCAGGGGCATCCATGGCAACGCCATCATCTGGTGGACCCCAACTGCAAGAGTAGATGTTGTTTTTCTCGTAAGCATAATTCAGTGCGACGGCTTCGTCGGCATCGGTAATGGATTTAGAGAGAATCCGAATACCAGCGACTTTCGCTTTATATGCAACTCCAACACCACACACATCGTTCCTAGCTGCCGCTACCTCGCCAGCACATCTTGTTCCGTGCCTGTCATCCGAAAGACGGGGTAAGGGATCCGGCCCAGGGTCATTGAAGTCCCACGATCCTTCCTTGAACTGTTTAGGGTGTTAGCCAATGACTTCAGCAAGAATTGAGTGCTAGTTGTGACTTACATAATTCTCAGCAAGATCGTGGCTCTTAAAATCGAGGCCATCGTCAACGATGGCAACAGTAGCGTTCTCGCCGAAGATTCCTATATTATGCATTAGGTTATCAGAAAGGTCACGTCAGCACATTATAAAATAGGAGCTTACCATCTAGCCATAGCCTTCCAACATTGACATCGTGGCCGATTTCCCTTGTATTGATCTTTCCGTAGATTAGCAATCTAATACATACACTCCTTTGCGTAAGATATATTTTAACTCACTAAATGCCACTGGTCCTTGAAAATAGGATCATTAATTTTCAAAGTATCCACAAGGGTCGTGAAAAGACCTTTGACACCACTCGGGTCATCGCTCTTGAATTTGTTGTCTCCAGGGCCACCCGCAACCTCGGATGACGAACCAGATCCCTTTTCGTGAGTGTCTCGCGACGTAAGCTTTGGTGGGGTACGCTTCACCAGCTTCTTCAATTTCTGTTTCTCCGAAAACCGGACTGCGCGCGTGAGTTCCGCTTCTTCAGCAGATAGCTCATCGCGCTTGCGTAGTCGCAGCCTTCGAAGCTGGGTTTCCACAACATCCTCGTCCCGTTTACGGACTCGGAAGAGATGGTGGTCATCAAGTCTGCCGATTGGTTCGACATACTCGATACCTAGTCTTTTGGCGATATCATGAGGGGATGAGGTGGATCGTAGATGAAGGGCGTAGTAGTCGTAAGCATCGTAGTCGCGAGGAGTGAAATGGGCAAGTGTCGGGTGGACAAGGGTAGAAGCTTGAGCAGCCACATAAAGCAGCCAGGGAAGAGACTTCATGGCAGAAGATGTCAAGCCACCGTGTAGATGGGATAAGAGGCTTGATGAAGCTGACCGAGAGGAATTGGGGCCGGAGATGGCTGGAGAGAGCGGTGGTTGGTTGGAGAGGCCTTGACTTGACGTTCAGTGATAGCCCACCATGCGTTGCTGGTTGATGATGATCCTCCAACACGTTGATTCCAATGCAAAGCGCTTCAACTTAAAAAGCTGGGAGATTTCGAGGGTGTAAATATCAACTTCCCGGGGAAATTATCAGTATCATCGAGACCGACCGACAGATAGGTAGTGAATGGATGGTTCGAAGTTGCAGAGCAGACGACGCTTGCTTAAAGGTTACGTTGCTTGTCTCCTGAGCTTGGGCTTGCCGGTGGGCTTGGTTCTGGGTTAACTAACGTTTGGGGTTTGCATCCAGTCGAGCTAACCTTGCCAGATTTGGGCACAGATTTCAGAAATTCGCCGCCCGTTTCACGAATACAGCTGGCCAATAGAGGACGGAGGATGTGGAAGGGTTTTCCTTCTAACCGATGGAGACCTGCGGCACGAGTCGAGTGCAGTGATGGTTTGGTTTAGATACTATCTTGCTGCTGCGCTGGCGCCATGTAGACTTTCGAGTTCGAGCTTAAGTTGCAAAGTTGGAGGCTGTACATTCTATTACATTACATTACAATACATTACATTACAATACATTACAATACATACTAACAGTAGCTATATGATAGAGACGATGCCAGTAAATGTCTCTCTCAATCAATTGCAATCGGAACTTGTACTTGACACAGTGTACTCAATTAATTAAGCATATAACAAACATAATGCGAAATCCGAATACGGTCAGACCATGGCCATGGCCAATGCTGACATCGGAGAGTTGCCCGACTAATCAACTTAATCCCCCCCGGTCAGAGTTATATAAACCTCCCTCCCACCGCCTCACAGTGCAGTAGGCGTCCCTTTGATCGATCCAGTAAGCTTATAACTTTAATATACTTCGGCCTGCTTAGTCGGGTTTTACGTTGCATTTTGCTTCAGCAACACATGTACGGCCCAATTCTCAAGAGAGAAAAAAAAATCGGATACGACTTCGGTACTCCGGTTAAATGAAATTTCTGATACTGGGTTTTTAGGGTACATATATCAGGGGCACTGGTTTCGAACCATCTTCTTTAAGCCTATACTACATACTACCTATGTAGAGCTCTGGAATTGTTTGTTCTGGCCTAGAAATCCTCCTTGATGGGTGTGGAACTTTTCTACATGATATAAACGCTTCTGTTGTGATTTATATGGTTTCCTGCGTTAATAGATTTATTTCTGGAAATACAACTATCGAATATATAGCTAGGATAATAAATCAAACACAGAAGACTACCAAATATTCATACTTCTAGAAGCTATGGAGGAGATTCATAATTGAATAGTCTGGGGTAAAAGGTTAAATAATGTAACTTGATCTAACTATCCTAGGATGGAGTCAGAGGTTGGAGCTATTGTGACTGGTCACTAAAATATTCATCGTTATATCCATACAATAGCCAAGATAAGTCAAATTCTGAAGGAGATGGGTCCAAGGGCCAATCCTCTATCCTTAGCCTGAAAATCACGGTCCCTGCAAAGTGATATCCTTCTTTCTGTCTCATCACGTATTTTTTGCCTCCAGATGCTATCCATTTTTTCGAGTCTTGAATTGAAGTATTGCCAAAGTTTTTGTAAGTGCTGCACATCTTGCACACAATATTCCAAAAGGTCGTCTGGTAGCGGCCGAGAATTGAAAATCTCATAACTCCCACCCCTTTCAGGAGCAAACAGACGCCGTCCCCTTTCCTTGATCTCTACCCAGTCATATTTCTCGGATGCTGATAGAATGGGATAGTACTGAATCGACCTAGATAGGCCATTCAATAGCCGACGTGATCCATGTCGTGTAGCCAATTCCAATAGCTGTAGGTCGATCACGTTAGCGAGTGAGATAGAATAAAGATTATATAAGGCATCATTGTCGGCACGAATATCGTAGCAGACAATGGGGATGTTTGGATCTTCTAGTATTGATTTAAAGGTCCTCGATGGATCGTCTGGGGAAGATGTCGTAAAGGCGGAGTGGCCAAGGGTGTGGATATCAAGAATAAAATTCTGTGAGAGGGGAAATAGAAATATTTGAAGTAATGAGATATACCCGTGGCGGGATAAGTCGATACCCTCTAAATCGATATAGATAGAGGGGACATTTGTGTCTCCTAGAGGAACGCAAGAGAGAAATTGCGAAACTTGCTCTGTTGTTTGAACGAATGTAACTTGAGACTGTGGCATGCTTGGAATTGAATGCACTCTCGAAAATGAGTAAACTGCTGATTCTTCTGTGGCTACTTAGCTACTTGGGCTAAATGAAAAATAACTTCGAAGCTTCGTGGATTTTGCGAATAATTTCAATTATTGGTAGTTTGAGAATTTTAACAGATAATTCTAGATCTCTAGAGCCCTGGCCTTCTATTATATAACCTTGTCTTTTATCGTACCTTGAGCGAGAAGCACTATCGCCATTAATATTGGCCGACATTCCATTTCTCAGCGACTCGATCCCTTTGCCCAAAAACGGTTCCCACTATACATTGCATCTGATTCATCCGCAAGTTAATATACTGTGACGAAGCGACTCATTCGGTAACTTTATATGCGGTATATATTGCAATACGTTGCGTACTCCGTGATTCATATCTAGGATGCGAAGAGAATAGAATCGAAAGACTCCGCTACACGCAGTAAATGACGGAAATATTATCTCATTATCCGATTTCAAAGTTGCCCAAAGGTCTTAGAAACGACGATCACAAGCACGCTGTTACCCCGAGTTATATAATTTAATAGGCATATCCTTCAGAATGTCTTTGATAGAAATGTGCATCATAAACTTTGATAAAGGGACATCGGTTGCTTTCCTTTCTGCACTTTGAGTTGAAAATCACATGCATAAGACTACGATAGCTTTAACGGTCGAACTCTAAGATATACTACGAACTCTAAGATATACTAGGTAGTATGCATAGCTTAAGTTACCGTCAAAGACCATACTCTTCGACGACGGGATTTCAAATCCTAAACATAAAGTTAGTAATCGGTGGCAAATAACGACTCGCAGGACTAGCGGCTCTATAAAGAAAAATTAGTCTGTATTTCTACTTGTAGCCTCGACTTGAAGCAAGTACGACCAATGCGCCGGCCATTTAAATTTAAGCTCCCCAAGTTTTAACCTAAAATATATCCTTGCTGCAAGCTAACTTACACGCAAATTTAAACCAAATGTCGAAGTTGATGCAATGGTAAACCGAGAAGGAATCACCACTCGAATCTCTACGACTGTGCACCAATACTTAGGTATGCCTGCTAGCACTCTGAAGTATCGATAATTTATATGCGCTCTATCGTATTGTAGACTTAGCGTGCCTTACTATATACCTAGTAGCCTGGACGTCAGAGCTCTATTTAATCATTTTTTTTTAATCAATTTGTGGTTTATAGGGAATATAATCTCGGAGGGCCTCATACCTGTACAGGCAGCTACTCAACAAAGGACCTAATTAAAACTACAAACGTCTTTGTATAATTCTGTCTATATCGAAATATTAAAATTATTATAGGTCGGAGATAAAACAGAAAGTGGCCTTAAGTAAGCTAAGCCCCCAGACCTAAATCTGTGACCGATTATAATATATATTCATTTCAGCACCCGTCTAACAACTATACTAAGATAATACTAGTATACTGTGATACCAAATATGTCTTATTTAGGCTGTAGAGTGGATATAGTCCGTGTTGAGGGGTACTTATTTAAGGATTAAAGGCTTTACAGATACGGCTTCTACATAAATCAGGGGGGCCTATTTAGGATGGCTATACCTATATCAATATCTATTCAACAGATGCAAGAATGGACAAGGTACATTCGATCGCCAGAGAGCCTGGTACACGCAGAAAATACGTAATTTACGGCGTACGGTGCCGAGGACGCACTCACTGTATATCCGAATAGAGAATTGAGTATACTTCTTAAATAGATCCACAATATTAGCAATGTATTAAAAATGACAGACATGACAGATGATATGCATATATGCTGGTCTCGTTGATATATGCCTTATACCTGTGAAGCTAGGATTAATATTACGGGTGGGGGAAGCCAAGCCTTGCTATAATCCCGCTACTCGGGATCACTTAGCGCTACCAGTATACCCCAGTATCAGACCTAAAAAACGAGCTTGTCGCTAGACTAGATATGGCTACAGCTCTTCCAAAGTTTAAACACGACGATTACACAGTTGGGTGGATATGTGCTTTGCCAATGGAGTTGACGGCTGCAATGGGCCATGCTGGACATCGAACATGAACAGCTTCGGGCAGCCTCACTTCAAGACGGAAATTGCTATACCTTTGGCAGTATCGGTAATCACAATGTAGTGATTGCTTCCCTACCCGCAGGGAAAACGGGCAAAGCATCCGCCGCGACGGTTGCAAGAGATATGATCCGCAGCTTCAAATCTATCAGATTCGGATTGATGGTTGGTATTGGTGGCGGAGCGCCATATTACAGCGCTGGGAGCATGGAAGCCGAGAATGAAGGCTCAGCGGAATTTGATTCTGAAGGCAGACGACATATCAGACTCGGCGATGTTGTGGTAAGCCTGGATTCAAAGTCCACGGAGGCTGTTGTGCAGTATGATTTCGGCAAGTCAGAGCAGGGAAAGGGGTTCCTCCGTATCGGTGGAAAGCTTAACAACCCGCCGGATGTAATATTAACCGCAGTCAATACCCTTAGAGGTAAAATAAAAGCTAGCGATATCCCTGGGATGCTGTCGATTGCGAGTTCGAAGAACTGGGTCATAAAAAAGAAATTCCAATATCCAGGTTTGGAGAACGACAAGTTGTTTAAATCTAATGTCATTCACCAAAACCCGCCGGATAAGAAGGTCTCGTGTGGGGAGTGTTCTTGCTCCGGGCCCCTCGATGTTAACCTTGTTAAGAGACCAGACCGAAATGACAGTGCTCCCGAGGTACATTATGGAACTATTGGATCGGCTGACCAAGTAATGAGAGACGCCATCCTGAGAGACGAGTTGTCACAAAAACACAAGATAATATGCTTCGAAATGGAAGCTGCAGGTATATCCCAGTCTCATATATATTGTGAACGATGGTTTCCTGTTTAACATTACTCTTAGGGTTGGACTCGTTCCCCTGTATCACCATTCGAGGCATCTGCGATTATGCTGATTCCCATAAGGACAAAACCTGGCAGAATTACGCTGCGGCAACGGCTGCGGCGTACGCAAAGAATCTTCTGCTCACTATTGGTGGGCAAGATACTGTGGGCCTATCCCCAATCGAGCAAAGTAAGCAGTCTCCGTATATTGGTTTGGAAAGCCTAGGGGTAGGTTTCAGGTCTCTAATGATACTGCGATCCTGATGATTGTTTAAGATGTTCGCCCACTGGTAGATGCGCGCCAATACAATGTATATTATATACACTCTCGGCCTCGGGGAGATGAAGGAGAAGGGGAAGAGGGGGAGGAGGGGGAGGAGGGGGGAGGAGGGGGAGGAGGATGAGGAGGATGAGGAGGAAAGTGAGGGCCCGAGGAGGAAGAGAAGGAGAATAAGCTTTGGAACTATAGATGAGAATAGTGAGGAGGATGATTATGGCACTGACGACGACGATGGTGATGAGGATGCGGAGGGAGAAGACGGGAGGAATATTGGTACTCTTATTGATTATTTAAAGCAAACTGATCGTGAGAGTGGTTTGGAGAGTGAGAGTGACTTGGAGAGTGAGAGTGACTTGGAGAGTGAGAGTGACTTGGGGGGTGAGAGCGACGAAGATTAAGATGGAGCACCGTATTTTTTTTGATTTTTGAATAGGTAGGGCTTCAATCCAAGCTTTATGTTAGCCTCGAATCCGCTTTATGTAGGCTTCTTATATCCTGAAATTTGCGAGTGAGGATTTATACGATGGTCTTGTCCCCGTGCTTGAGATCGATATAAAATTAAGTTTAGTCTCACCGAGACTAGTCTCTTTATAAATCTGAAATTCAACATTGAATAGTCGATTATACCGTCTGGCGCTAGCTTTGGGAAAGCCTCGACAGTAGATGCACAGTAACGCCAACGTGGTCGGTATCCGAGAGATTAATGCACCCCGGACTGGAGTTCTAGAAGTTCAAAAATGCATTAAATGAGCCGAACGACTTCTGTGAACAACATCATTTGCTCCGGAATAACCACCAGAGATGTGTTTAGAAGTATATACTCTATATACAGCTGTACCAAGTGATAGCATGTCAAAGGGAACTCATACACAGTATACAATTGCAAACGCCGACCATATTAATCGATTGCACAATAATTCACCTTCAGCTGTTGGAATTGTTGCATCTTTGAAGTAATGAATCAAAGCTTCTATTTTAATAAGCTCTATCCCGATATTGATATGTGTGATAAGAAAATTGATATATGGGATATCGAGATGAGGTGGAAAATGGTAAGGTTATAATATAGAGAGAGCTCGGTGGTATATACAAGCACTTAAGTGCTCGATATATACCTAGTTCCAAAGTAGGTATTTCCTGAAAACCGGTACCCTTAACTAATAAATGACATATTCACACCGGCCTCTTCAAGCGAGCCTATAGCTATATCACCAGAAGATGCTTTTTTGTTTTGTTTTTCTCAGTATGTTCCTGCCACACTCGACCTACCATACATAGTAAGCAATCTTTTAAGTTTGCCGATGGAAGGCTGGTGAAAGTGGACCCCTGCTCCCGCTTTCCGAGAAAATCATGGCAAACACTGGTATCAACAACGGAAATAAGCGTCGATGTCATCTGCCGCAGACCTTCGACTATTCCCGCGTGACATCTCGGCTTTTCCTCTGCTGGGCCTGGTGATGGGTAGACGTAGGAGACAAAAATGCAAGTTGGGAATGTGTGGCAGGTGCTGTACGACCAGGCCTAAATTTGTCATGAGGGTGGATCCGTATGGTTCTTCTGAGATATCTTAAGTTGGATCCATGGAAGTATACCATCGCACCATGTATCTCCCATATTCGCTCCCTCATGTTGGCGGAGATCTAGCCGGGTAAGCATCATAGCGCGAGAGCTTACGTGGTTTCAGGACTGATAATAAACTGATGTGATATGCAATGAAAACGATTCGATAGAAAGTTTTTTCGTCCTTGTCTGCAACTTTGCAATTTTTGTGGATCCAACAGCGAGCTGATTGAAAAATTTCCAGCCTCAGACCGAGTTTGCCGGCGGACAAGACTTGGGAAGTAGAGGGATAGACATCACCATGCATGGTTTGTCAAGACCGAACGATTGGCTGCAGGCCGTGCGCCCCTTCCAGCCATGGACTTCTTTTTCGTCCTTTCTCTTGAGCTTGAAAAAGTAGATGCGCAATCTAAAACAAATCGAGCAATTGTGAACCACGATCCAAACTAGTCGAGGACTCTTCGTCAACCGAATACCGAACCAATCCCAGACGAAGAAATCAAGGAAATCCGCTGTCGAGTGGAACTAAGGCAGACTGGGACGTCGACGTAACGACGGTGCATATCTCACCTGGTCTTAGAACAAGGGCAGCTGTTCCTTTAGCCTTTCCTCAGCTCTGGATCGGGGCGTTTTTTTTTTTTTTTTTCTTTTCGTATTTTTTTTTGGAGGTCAGTCGAGCTCGAGTTTTGGATCGAGCGAGGTTGAATGAGAGATTGAAATAGAGAATGGATCCCGAATCGAGCTTGAACCCGTCCCCTCCCAGAAAGCAGCGTCAGCTTCATCACATCCGCATTCCCCAACGAGACGCGAGCATTGGAGGAGCTTCTTTATCATCCCCATCAACATCGCCTCGGACGAATTCTCATTCACATTCCCAACATCGGCGCCAGCTCTCATCTGCGACCGCGACTGTGACTGCGAGTGGAAGTGCGACGGGAAACAGCCCGCCAGCATTACGTGTGCGAAAAGGGAAAGGTCGCGTTGAGACTGAATCAGAACCAGAACCAACCTCCCCGGCAGTGGCAGCAGCAGCAGCAGCTTATCGAGAAGCGACAGCTGCCAAGCAGCAGCAGCGCAGCCCAAGTGCAAAACACCAGCCCAACATCGAGCCGCGTAGAAGCTCCCTGAACGCTTCTAAGCCCGTCTTCACCAGGTGAGAATTAAATACTACTCCTCTTACCCCCTCATTCCATTCTTAGTTTTTTAAATTTTTATTTTTTATAAAAATTCCTTCTGTCTTTATTGTGTTTTTCCCTTGCTTAGTTCAATTTAGTTTTCTTGCATTGGATTGCATTCTCCTATCAAAGTAATTACCTATTCCCTATTCCCTGCTTGCCGGTTGGTTGGTTCCTATTTCCGCTGACATCATAGCACGTCTAACTAGAGCCGACGATCGAGGTCCCCTGCAGAAACTGCAGCTTGAACTCCAACGGATTGGTAAAGAAGAAGGCCTGATCGGTCCAGAATCTACTTCGAACGGCACTGGAGTCACGCGAACACTCTCTAGAAAACAAGCACAGCGGCTTTTGCGAAGCACTGAGGTTCCTTCCAAACAAACTGCAATTGCCCATCCCGATTCGCCCACGGGAACCGAGGCATCACCACCGTCGGCTTTCAAACCAAGTCACGTAGGACGGTCTGCTTCTCTCTCTACGCCGTCTCAAGCATCGGAAAGCAAGCGTCGCTATTCTGCATCATTCGCTGAACGAGCTCGACAAGAACAGGAACAGGGAACTGTCAGAAAACACAAGGAACCAATCGGATTCGCAGTCATGGATACTCTACCTCCTCCACCTACTGGCCGTTCGGGGGGATCCCATACGCCCGTATCAGCCAGGAGTATCAATGGGCGCTCCATCAATGGAGAGCCGTCTAGAATTGAGCCCAAGGTCGTAGATCGCCATAAGGGACGATTCCATCTCCACCACCATAAAAAGGAAGGCGAGCTTCCTCTACCGCATCGAGAAGGGCTGTATCTAGATGTCGGAGAGGAGCCTCAATGGCCCTCAAATTGCGCCCATGTCTGTCTCAGCGACCTCGAGTTGGTCGATGAAGGACCTGACGTCCCTGCCGTGCCTAGTAAGTTTGGATTCTCAAGTCTATTGGTTGGCTGCCCTAATTAAAACAATTTATAGTATCTTCTGGGTTTGTTCCCCCTTTGAAAATCAGATGTGGACCGTTACTTCGCTATACCGGCCTGCGGCAAGAAGATGGACTCGAGATATGGCGTGGCTCTATTCTCATCGTCACTAAAGACGACGAGTCGACCTATGAGCCAATCCCACATATACGTCTATTCGGACAAGGTGGTGAAATACCAAACCCAGCGGCGCCTGCGGACGAAGTTACCGAAATACCAGCAATCAATGCCGTCGGAGAAACCCAGCAGGTCCGCCGTGCCTCTACTATCTCAAGCGCGAGCGCATTTTCTACCTCAGACCTGAACAGGGACGGTGGTGACGAATTGCCACCCTCTCTACGTTATAACTTCGGACCAGCGAAAAATCCACCAAAGCGCGGTGGAACCGATCGTTTTAGGAAAGACGGAGAGAGACAGGGAAAAGCAAAGGACTATCCGGCGGAGAAGGTACATGCTGAAAAAGGTACAACATTCTGGCGATTCAACCTCGAGATTGAATTAGGTGCCGAAGAGCAGCGAATTGCATACCGAGTAAACAATGGAGGGCTACTCGCATTCTACGTCCCTGCTGCAAATCAAACAATGAACATTATGTTCCACAGCTGTAATGGGTTCAGTATGGCTGTAGACCCAAACAAATTTTGTGGCCCGGACCCTCTGTGGCGAGACGTTCTGCGAAATCACTATAAGAAGCCTTTCCACGTCATGCTTGGTGGAGGTGATCAGCTCTACAACGACTGTGTATCGGTGCAATCACCAAAGTTCAAGGCGTGGCTCGCGATCAAGGATCAGCATGTCAAGGACAACACTCCATTTGACCATGAATTCCAGGAAGAGCTAGAGACATTCTACTTAAACCGTTATTGTCTATGGTTCTCTCAGGGATTATACGGTGTAGCAACTACTACGATCCCTTCGGCAAACTGCTACGATGACCATGACATTATTGATGGATTTGGGTCATACCCGGAGGCATTCAATGGCTGCCCGGTATTTGCTGGTCTAGGTACCGTGGCATTCAAATACTACATGCTATTCCAGCACCATACAACGGTGTCGGAGGGCGAACCAATAGAGCCAAGTTGGGTACTCGGTGCCCAGCCGGGCCCGTACATTCAAGAGCCATCACGAAGTACCTTCATGTTCCTCGGTCGCAGGGTGGCCTTTATGGCCCTTGACTGCAGAACGGAACGTACTCGTGACCTTCTGTTGACCAACGAAACATATACCCGTATTTTCCAAAGACTAGAGCAGGAGATCATACTAGGACAGACCAAGCACCTCATCATATTGTTGGGTGTACCTATCGCCTACCCAAGATTAGTTTGGTTGGAGAACATTTTGACTTCTTCATTGATGGATCCGATCAAGTATATTGCTAGCAAACGGACGGACGGAACACTAAATGGATTCCTCAATAAGTTTGATGGTGGTGTAGAGTTACTTGATGGTAAGGGTTTTCTTTCACTTGGTTGTTATGGGAATACGAAACTAATAGTTGTATAGATATGATGGACCATTGGACCGCCCGTGGTCATAAGAGAGAGAGGAATTGGTTGATTTTGGAGCTGCAAAAGCTGGCTGCGGCTAAAGACTGTCGAGTGACCTTCTTAGGGTAAGGTTCTAAATAAATTACCATTTTATATGCGCTAGACTAAAGATTTTTTTTAGTGGTGACGTTCATTTGGGGACATTTGGGCATTTCATCTCTAGGTCGGGACTAAAGATCCCCAAGGTTAACGACTACAGATATATGGTCAATGTCGTTTCGTCAGCTATCGTCAATACTGTAAGAATAGTGTTCCTGTCCCATCAACTATCTATCCTATGGCATAGAAAGCTAATGACCTCAAAACAGCCTCCACCAAACGCACTAGCCGACCTACTCAATAAGAGAAACAAAATCCATAAGCTCCAACGAGACACTCACGAGGAGCAAATCAAAATATTCTTCACGGATCCGAAGGGCAAGAAGCGTAACAATAATACCACCTTACCTGCCAGGAACTACTGCCGCATCAGCGAAAACCAGACGGGAAGCCATGTTGGCGAGTACACCGACATTACCAAGCCTGTAGAGGCCGAAAAGGAAACGGATATCGACTTCAGGGGCGGCCTTGACTTGGTCATCAACTTCGAAGTCGACCAGACCGATCCGCACGGACATACCAAAGCGTACGGATTCACGACCCCAGTTCTGCAGAGGCGCGAGGCGTAGGAGCCTACACCTTTCAGTGCAAGAGCGACGGGCTTGAATTTCCTTAGGAAGGTTCAGACTTTCTTTTCGAGGAGAAAAAGTAAAAATGACCAGTCGAAGAGAAATCGAATTCGACGTAAGAGATCAAGGCCAAAGAGGGACACTGCCTCCAAATGAAGCCGCAGCGAACTCTAATGATCGGTCCAGGTAATATATACAAATAAATACTAAACGTGCAAAAGAGGTGGACAAGTACACATTACCTCCCGCTCACAAGTTTCCTTCTTTCAAACGCGCTACACCAGAAGCTAGCATTCATTTCTAATTTCCTCATCCTTATTCATTCTCAGAATAGCTTTGTTTTTTTTTCCACTACCATCCTTCATTAATGAATTTCCCTCCGCTCATGAAAACGACGTATACGAAGCCTTCTGTTGTCTTTCTGTTGTTGTCTTTTTGGAACGAAAACAAAAAATACTACTGTACTTTTGACCGCCATTTAGCCTTATGAACATTGTAATGACCTACCTAGTTACACTACTTCTTTTCTACCCCATTAGTGTACACTGTAATGAATTTTATGACTTAAATTTGCTGTTTTATTATTGTGCGATCCGAGCGTCTTGTAGTATATATCCTATTAAATATATCAACTAGAAGTGGGTAATTTGTACGTAGACAAATTTGATATTATATGCATAATGGAAATGAAATCTATACAACCCCCGTTCAGACAGGAAAATAAAAACGTATACGACATTACACCGAGCAGCGCTGTCCGCTAAATTATATGATAGTATTTTTTAAAAAGGAAAAAAAATAATTCATTAAACATCTCCATATGCAAATTGAAAGAAAAAGAAAAAAAAAGATATATATACTACCTGTATCAAAGAAACATACTTATCTAACCTGCGGTAACTTCCATGTCCGCCATGCAGCAACAATACTCCCAAGCCCCCCAATCAACATTGTAACAGCGATAGCATTGACCCCTTTCTTCGGTTCCGTGGGTACTTGATCCCCCCCTTCAGCAAGTTCCGGGCTCTTCCCAGGCTCCAAGATAGCAAAGACAACAAAACTGACAAAGCTCCCTACGAACTGCGGGAGCGTAATGAATAAATTCAATATACCAAGATAAATACCCGCAAGTTCACCAGTCGACGAGTTCTGCCCTTCTTCGGTTTGTAATTCAGGTGTTTGAACAATATGAAGCGTTGGCGACATGGTACCGTCATCACTAACAGCGCTGCTACTGCCGCCGCCGGGACTGCGCGGTGGGATTCGAAGACTCAGGTTTCCAGATTCTATGTCCGAGCGACGAGGGGTATGAGTGTTACTACCGCTGTGGCTGGTACGACCGATATCAAGCTCTCGGTTATTGTCCTCTTCATCGGAGCCAGAGTCGTCGTTTTCTTTGTTTAACCGTTGTCGTTCTTCGTGATCTGCGTCTGCTTCTTCGTCGGCGAGCTGCTGGAGGCGGTTGTATACTTCACCGGATTGGCTCATTAGTCGGTCTGCATCGGAACCGTGGCTTATACGGTTTATTTCTTCGCCTAACATGGCGAACGGTGCCCAGCAGGTTATCGCCCATGGTCTGGTAAATTGTCATTGTTAGCTCTTTATCATATCATCCGAAAGTATGATTATAAAAGAAAACGAAAGACGTCCTTACATTCCACATAAAACAACGAGTACCGTCGCAAACTTCAAGGAATCGGCAAATACGGCCAAAGACATCGCAACTGCAAAGATTATATGTGACACCATCCATGCCATAGTAAGCGACGGCTTGAACGGCTTGATAGCCCTCAAGATCTTTGTGATCAATGCAATCTTCGGCGGCCGTCGTTTATGTTCCGTATCTGATGGAGGCGATTTTACTATCCATGGGAGGGTTATAGACCCCAACAGCGAAACAATTGCAAATAGCACGAGAGCCATGCTCCCTACTCGTGCTATATCCGCAACGGCATCTTTAGGTCGGTCGCCGTCCTCCTTGGGATGTTTTGTCTGGTCGTATCGTTGGTAGACTTCGCCGACCCAGGTGCTAGAAAAGAAAAGAAAAGGGAACCAGCCGAGCCAGGCGAAATATTGAATAAAACAAATCGCACGGATACGATTGGGGAGGCTGAAGAGTGTTTGGTAGATTACTACGAAGATGTGAAAGATACCTTCCTTAGTATCGGATTCTCTGCAAGAGGTTCTGTTAGTTAGCAAGCGAATCTTCTCATATCCTGAATAGAGATATTACTATACTAACCTCCTCGATAGTAACACTCTTTCAGTAACAGCCCACGATGTAAGGCCGACGGTCCCACCAAGGATGACAGAGGATATAAGACATAGTTTCTTGAACTGAGTATTTCCTAAAAACCAGTGCCCGAAGATACCGACCAGATCTATAGAACCACTTCATACCACCCACCCAGTCAGCTTCATCCGAAAAGGTGGCTATTCAGGGTGCAAACAGAGGGAACATACGCAAGATAACTGATCACATTTCCAGCAGCAATCATACGGCTCGCTATAATGAATCCTCGTAAGCATAACTCCTCTCCACTCTTAACTTAAGAATCTGTAGAATCATACCCCAAGCGCTCCCTTGCTGCTGCCGTCGTATCGATAACGTATCCACTATAATTGCCCTACAGCTCGCCTGTACTGAATCCATTCATCTCAGTCTCGTTCTTTATCTCCTTCAGAGCACGCGGGAGCACCTACCAGCATTGACTGCAAAATCAAGCACGTAAATCGAAAGTACCGCCACAACCACCGTCGCATTCTTATGCTAATACCACCATCCAAAACCAGTACATTAGCCCAAATTGTCCGTATGTCGCTTTAAAAAGATAGTACGGGGAAGAACCCACCCGATCCTCGTCATTCTTCACAAACAATCCCACAATCTCCGAAGTCCATCCCAAAACTAATAGACTAAAAAACACCATAACCGTCCCCGCAATCATAAACGGTCTCCGACGGCCCCATTTTAATCGCGACCTATCCGCCATAGCCCCCACTATCGGTTGGGTAATCAACCCTGATAACGGTCCAGCAATCCATACCAGCGACGTCTTGCTTTTTGAAACTCCAAGGGAGAGTAGATACGGTGTACAATCTGTAGTTCCATCGTTGGATTTTTTTTTGTTGTGTTAGTCGTGAAATGCTGTGACGTAGTTGTAGCCTCGAGTTTCGCGGCCGTCCATAAGCTGGAGAGATAAGAACCGAAAGTGAGAGAAAAACATACAGGCCATTTCAATTCCCCATGTAAACCTATCGCCGTGAATATAAAATATCAGCATACATCCTCATGTCATTAATTCCTAGGGTTCCTTCGAACTACATACTGTACTCCTGCCAAACAGACCGTCAGCAGCGCCATGCGCGCAGCGTTGCTGGACCCGCGTATCGACGGCGTGCCCACCCATGTTGCTGAGGCCATTGAAGCTCATCCAGCCTACGGAACCCCGAGAAGAAACGAAAGGAAAGGAAAGGGAAAAACGACTGTGACGGGGTGTCGGCCGAGGTATAAAGTCGTAGCTTCGAAGTATATACACTAAGAGAAGAAGGAGAACCCAAACGTTAAACTCACGCGGGCGTAAGTTTTTATTTTATTTTATTTTTTTTAAATGGAGGTTTCCTTAATTTAAAGGGAGCTGGACGGTTCCGGTTGATATCAGGAAAAGCCGTTCCAATGTGCCTCTCGCTTTTCCTTTCGGGAAGAGGACACCATAGAAATGTTGAGCGAGAACCGGGCAGCGCGGGCAGCGGAAGACCCACCCTTTAACTAATTACTTATGTCATTTTATCCACAGCTTCAGGGGAGCAGCTAACTACCCGCATCAGACAGCTGGTTAAAGATCAGAACTTGGTCTTTTTTTTGTTTTTCTTCTTCTCTGTCTTTCTTTCTTTCTTTTCTGTTATCTCTAGTGTGTGCTTGCGCATGCTTGTTCGGCCAAGCGAAATTCGATCTGCCTTTTCCAAATTTAGTGGTCAGTGCTGCCCCCCAAGCTCACAAGCTTATTTATCTTGGAGGTATCTTCATCTGCAGAGTACCTGCTTTGGTACCGAGATTCGCGGTTGGATTACGGGTTTTGTACTACGGTGGCGCGGCTCCTTGCATCCACCTCGATGCCTGAAGTCTCTACCTAAAGTGTGCTCTGTGCCCCTAATCTGGTGGAGCTCTATGTGCAACTGTGCCCCTGGGGAAGAGATGAGTTGATGGACAGGTGAGCTTGTAATGGTTTGAATCTTTGATTTAAGCTTGGCTCGTTTATTGGGACTGCCATTTGCATTTGATAAGATACAAATCAATATTCAGTAAACAGGTGGAGAAAAAGAGAACTTGGAACTTCGTAGTAAGAAACAGCTGGTGTAAAGAATAAAAAAGAAACCATATGCATCTCCTTGATGCGAGGGAAACACATCGCTATTTCCTGTTCCTGCCTTCTTTTCCTATAATCAATAAAGAGAACCGTACTTTTCGTAGAATGAAACACTCGAGACCGAAAATGCCATGGTGAAAATCCATATCTTTATCTCATGGCAGACCCGACAGGTGTTGTACACAAGCAGTTGTCTCCTCCTTTTCATGCATTTAACCAGGAGTGGTAGTTAAATCCCAAGATGGAGAGAATAAAGGAACCAGCCTAGAGCTTGTGCGGGAGCTCAGTGCTTTGAACTGGCCATTGGTACCCAACTTGGTCGTTGAACTTATAGCCATAGGATGAAGTGAAGTCATCCAAGACTGGTGGTCCACGGGAGCCTATTCGTATCAAGAAGTGTTAGTATCAATGGGAAATTTGGAACGAAGGGTTGATTTTTCTTACCGTATGGGTACGACATGGGAACAACCTCAGGATTCTCATCCAAGTAGTGCAGGAGAGGTGAGAATATTCTCCAGCTGGCGTCAAGCTCGTCGTCACGAACAAAGTTAGAGTGGTCACCCTTGATGGCATCAAGGATGAGAGACTCGTAAGCCTCTGGGATCTTCAAATCGCTGAAGCGGCGCTTGTAGGTGAGATCCAAGTCCGTTAGAACTGTCTGAGTGCTTAAGCCTGGAAGTTTCGAGTTCATCTTGATATAGACGGCCTCATCTGGCTGGACTCGGATAACAAGCTCGTTTCGGGGAATGTCCTTAAAGATACCGCTGGTGACATCCTTGAATTGGATGCGAATTTCAGCCTTCTGCTCGTTGAGGGCTAACATTGGGACTTTATCAGTATTTTCTAGACAGTATGGTTATTTGAGTTCGACCATAACTCACCCTTTCCGGCCTTCAAGATGAATGGAACTCCATCCCATCGCTCGTTCTTGATAAACATAGCGACAGCGCAGAAAGTTGGGCACCTGCTCCCCTTAGGAACGGTATCGTCGTCCAAATAAGCAGGCTTAGACCCATCCTCAGACTTGCCATATTGACCAATAATGACGTTCTCGGTGGCGATCTGTGGCATGGCTCTAAGAACACGGACCTTTTCGTCTCGAATGTCCTCAGAAGAGAATGAGAGTGGACGTTCCATAGCGATAATGGTCAATAGCTGGATCAAATCTATCGTGGCTATGTTAAAAACCCACTGCACATAGATAAATTGATGTACTTTGCGACTTACGGTTCTGCATGACATCACGGATGATACCGAATTCATCAAAGTAACCTCCACGGCCCTCGGTACCGAACGGCTCCTTGAATGTGATCTAATCATACTTTTGTTAACTCCCCGTTCTCATAGACGCACGGGTTTGGTAAATCCTTACCTGCACATTGCTAATGTGATGTCTATTCCAAGTTGCTCCGAAGAATTCATTACCAAACCTGAGAATCAACAGGTTCTTGACCATCTCCTTTCCGAGATAATGGTCAATGCGGTAAATTTCCTCTTCGGTCCAGTCGGGTTCGAGGGCCTTTTGTAGCTTGCGGGAGCTGTCCAGGTCCTTACCAAATGGTTTCTCGACCTTCGGTAGAAGTTAGATCACAATATCCCGAATTATAGGTCCAACCCAGGAATCTAACGGAGCAAAATTTCCCCTTACAATTAATCTGACAATTCCGTTCTTTGGGTAATTGTTCTTCTTCAAGTGTTGAGAGACGCTGATAAAAACGCTGGGAGGCAAGGCCATGTAGAAGATACGATGGTTGTTCGGTCGACCAGCTTCAATCTTTTGAAGCGTACTCTCGAGGTTCTGGAAAGATTCGTCCTGATCATACTGGCCAGACACATAGATACACTTCTCCACAAATGTAACAAGCTGCTCCTCGATCGGCTTAGTAGGAGTCTTGATATTAGACTTGACTCGCTTGATGAACTCCTCATGGTCCATCTTCGTTCGGGCATAGCCAACGATTTTGCAATCTTTTGGAAGATAGTTATTTCGGTGCTATAAGATGTATGTGAGTTTACCAGCCTTTGGAAGGAAGATCATTTCAATTGTTAATTAAGAGGCGCAGCTTACCAGTCCGAAGAGAGCGGGGAACTATTTGTTTTGGCGCGCTCCATTAGTTGATGCTCTACACAATATAATTTTCCAGTATGCCACAGGAAAACCTACAGTCTTCTTCTTTGCAAGATCACCAGAAGCGCCCAAGACGACAATGGTTGTATGTTCCTTAAGCTCCGTGGAGCTATATCCATTCCGAATAACAAAAACCAAGGACGTTAGTCAGAAGGTTCAACTCTATGTGCTACCCAATTCAGGAGAGAAAGCAAGCAGCTGGCCAGCTAGCAACAATGCAACCCAACGTCTCGACATCGACACCACAGAAAATAACACTCGGTCCCCTTCCAACCAGCAACAAAAGCCGTAGCGACAACGAAATGACGTCGCCACCAGCCGGAAAAACCAAAACAGACGAGAACATTCACAGCTCTCCAAATAAAGGAGATTTAGGCAATGTAGGTAAGTTGCTTACCTGTTGTCGCCTGCGCCGGCGGGGATAACTGATGCTGACATGGTTATTTTGTGTGACGGACGGACGTTAGAATGGGATGTTTGGTGAGATTAGCACAGTTGTGCAGGCGTCTCTGATCGATCTCGCGTAGCTTCCTGCGGCAAGTGCGTTGATACCCCACTACCTGGTAGATTTGTAACCAGTAACCAGGTGACGGCTTAGCTATCAGATTCGGATCGGGCGGAAGCCTCTGGGAGATGAAGAACTGGCAATTGGTACCTGAGAATTGTTAGAATTGATCGAAACGAGCTGGGAAGGAGGAGAAGAAGAAATGGGAGGAGGTTGTCGATGAGCTCGAGAGGGGAAGTGACGGAGAAATATATTTTAGGCGGTTGGGCAATATTAATTGGGATTAATTTGGGATTGGGGAAATCTCGATGTAGCAAGCAGGCAATTAATTGCAAGCAGACCAACCAAACCCAAGCCAGAGCCTGAGCCTGAGCCTGATCCTGAGCCTGAGGGGCAGAGTCTACTAAAAAGCCCTGCCCGCTTTACCGCATACCGGATAAGCTGCGTACTAGCTATTATGCTAGCTGCTGCAACTGGTGGGGTTTGATTTCTGCTTGATCAAACGGAACCGGACCGCCACAAAGACTTCAAAGGGATGCTGCCGGTTTATAGCTTCCTTGTGGGTTAAATTCGGTGGATGGAGTAAGTATCTACCTAAAGTATCTATATCCGCTGGGTGAATCGGTGGTTCGGTCGACCATTGGGGCATTTGCTTGCGGGTTTCGCATCTTATATTAACATTAACATTGCATTTGGTTTGGGCAGATAAGCTTTCGTGGTACACCCCATTACGGCCGTTCTGAGGTTAAGTTAGGTAATGTTCACTAATCCTACAAGATCCAGCTTACGAAACAGGTCTAATATCGATTTTCATCAGTTCTACCCCGACGACTTCGGCGGAGTTGAACGGCTGTGGAAGCTTAAGAAGATGAAGTCTGACGTCGTTGGGGGCCGGACAGTCGTAGGCCGGCCTGGGCTCAATATATTTAATTTGCCCCGCCATCGCCATGCAAGATTCAATTTTCAACGTTACTGCAGCGCACTGAACTATTTGGGAGGGGGCGGCATCGATAGGAGCGGCTATTAGGAAGAATGATTACTCAGGGCTACTCGCTATTATTCATCGTCAGCGGTTTGATGGACTGTTAAAAACCGGCCACCTAAGTCCATTGTTGGGAACCATCATGCCGATGTTCCCTCTTTTATTGGTATTGTAGCCCAAGCGACTTTCCTAGCTTGCGAGGGGTGCTGGGGCTTACTTATCGATAAGGCGACCAGGATGCACCTCCGAGGACGCACCGTTCCAGTCTATTTGCAAATTTACCCGGAAGATGGCCAATTACCCTGAAGACCACCACTACCACACAGGGTGGGCAAAGAAGAGAGGGAAAGGAAAAAAAAAAAAAAGGCAAAGGACTGTGCCTGGCCTGAGACGTCCGGCTTTATTTGATAAGATCGCTATCTTAGCCATCGATAAATATAAATGTCGGGCTATTAAATGGAGCTAAAGTATCAAAAAAAATCTTTACAGCATCGGCGAATCGAACAGCTCACCAAACTTTCTTCACCGATCAATCAGATTCAATGGCGTCTTGAACTCGAGGGACACGAGATCAGTCGTTTGTCTCGTAAACCAACCAGGGACAGTTCAAGCACGGGACGTGGGTCTCAAAGAGCACTAGCACCGTTTGCGACAGGTAGGAAGACATAATACGTGGGGGAGAGCTCCAGACAAACAGACGGACGGGGGATCTTGGTGAACTCGTCCGAATTTCCAATTTAAATGTGAGCAAGATGCATTGGAAAACTGCAGAGACTCAAAACCGTGCGCTGCGCTGTTCTTACATTCGAGGAAGCTGCTGTCTGTTGGCTGCTGGCTGCTGTCTCTCATGCGCGTCAGCCTGCACTTACATATTCCCCAGACAGATTGCAAGCCCTCGAACACTTTCGAGGCACTTTGATCCGTGAACGTTTGGCACGCGCGCCCGATGGATGCCGTCTACGGCCTTCTATAACCTAATTCGATTGTGCAGTGCATAATCGTGACCGTGACCGATGGTCTTTGGCCATCTCGGTGTTAGTCAATTAGCCTGGGAGGATGGCTGACCGAGGTACGTACCGTGTGTATACCCCGATAATATGGACATATTAATAAAGTTCCCATATGGGGAGGCCAGGCAAAGCAGGCTTGTGAGCAGGCTGGAAACAGGCTTCAATGCGAGGCAAGAACATGCACCTGCTGGTATCCATAGCTAGTAGCTAGCAGAGCCTAGCTCGATCGGTGTCCACCTGGTGATACACCTTCAAATTGAACAATTGAGTAATATCCAAGCCGTTTGGAGACAGTTACAGGAAACGAGGCCATTAAAAGGGGTCCGATATCGTGGCGAGTGCAGCTAGAACGCTGTTCACAAAGGGCAGCCGACATTTGCGACTCCGTGGTCCAGATCTCCTAGTTGATTGCGCAACGTTCCAATGCAATGCCACTGTACAGAGCGGGCGGGACCTGGATGTCATGTACGTGCGTATGTATGTTCAGGATGTGATTGATACCGACTTTATATTGCTGGTTCATTGATTGATATATGTGTCCTGCCTGACAGGCAAGTTACAAGACTGGTCCTGGATAGACCAGCCAACCAGCCATGACCAGGTATCCCTCTGTACAGATACCAACGACACCAGCGTATCTTCAACTCACAAACAAGTACCACTACTCTAGGATACCCACGAATACCTAGATGCGCTGGCGTGGGCCTACGGGACGGAGCGATGTTGCTCGAATTGGCCAATAGCACAACACTTCGTGGCCTGCAGGTATTGCCTCGATGCTTTGAACGATGGCAGGTCCGGCCGCATCGTGACCCTATCACAGTTGGCGAACTCCTCAAATCGATCAAGGGTCGTCCCACTCTGATTCGACTCCGCCTTAGCTTCGTCTACTAGGTCTACTACCATTCCCTCCCTCCTTCGTACCCGCCTTTTCCCTCTGTTATGCTCTGTTCGAACAATAAACCCAACTTTCTGCATCGTTTGGGGGTTTTCTATGTGACAATTAAATAAGTAGTGTCTGCATTCCGCGTGATCATGTCTCGTCTCCCAATTAACTCCTCCTCGAATGAAAGCTCAACTTTCGGCTTTCTCAGGCGACTTACTGGTGACAGCTGTAAAGGATATTGACAGCAATTATTACATCACTGTATCTTCCTTAATAAATCAGGAAGCCTGGTACTCTACTAGCTACTCCACAATCTGCCTAGCCTCGCTTCGCTGTTGGGTATCTTGCCTCGGATAACCCCCATTCGACGATATAGTATATACCGGGTCTGCCAGGTAAGTTACAGCCAATTCAGTTGTAACTCGCCTGCTGAGGGGTTTCTTTTGATTATAATACCTATTGACATCCCACAGCTTCTACAGGACACTAGTATTTTATACTATACTATACTATACTATACCACCTAGACTATACTTACATACGTTCCACTTGCATCCCACCCCGGGGTTCTCTGTCATACTAGCTATTCATTATCCAACAAGAAGAACTCCTTCGAGGACCTCCTCTAGCTCTTCCACATAATATAAACCGCGTTGGTTCCCGACACCCCCCATCCTTCCTTTCCGACTAGAATTCTTCTTTGCATATATTTGTAAAGGAAGAAGAAGAGATCCAAGGAAGGATTAGATAGACGGACTGCTTGATCGCATAATTCGCCTAGCCGGGCTATGGCCTCGTCCTCAATCCCTATTGGCATTCCATCATCTATTCATTCGTCTTTAATATCGATGCCTCAAACATCCTTTTACGATTACGCCGACTATTCTGCTATTTCCGATTCTGATCAATTTTCTCATTTGGACTATCCAAGTCCCTATCCTCCAACTCCAGGCTCAATGCCATCTTCATATCACAACATGTATCCATATGGTGGAGGAACATCCAATGGAAGTCCACCGAAGTATGGACCTCCAAGCCCCAAGGCATTCAAGAGAAGCATGTCAATGTCCGCGGCTGGTCCGAATATAGACTTTGGGAACACAAGCCCACCAACACCAGCTGCATCATCGTCAGGCTCTAATGGAGGTCCTCCTCCCCTAGGCGGTGACAGAGTTTTCCGACAGATTCTGTCTTCTATTGCGCGCATCCAGACCAACCTTTCGCAGCAACATTTCTCAATCCTTGATGTGGTTGAGAAGCAGGGGTTGATTCAAGATAAGCTTAGTCTGCTTGAACAGCAATCAGGCCGCACGGGTGATAAGGTTGCAAGAGTTCTTGAGAATACCGACTGCATTGTAGATGATGTAAATTCTGTGAGAGACCGAGTCGACAGGTACGGTACAATCTTATCCTTCCCCCCCTTTCGCTCCCAGAACAGCCCAGCCCCCTTCTGCCCCTTCTCCACCCAATTCGATTACATTTCGTGTATAAATACACACATGGAGTATGGGGTCTGAACTGTCAACATAGTCACCAAACCGCCGCCGACGATTCGATACAGGACACATTGGACGATCAAGCCGAAAGAATAGATAAACTCATTCAAGATGTCAAAGCCATCAAGCTTAGCGTTGAGGCACTCCAGGCGATGACAAGGGCAAACACTCGTGGTATTGCTGCTTTCAAGATCGACGAGGAAGAAGAAGAAAAATCCGAAAAATCTAGACCCCCATCAAGGTCAAAGGAAGGGAAGCAACTCATGAGTGCCGAGATAAAGGAGATTGTTAAAGCCCAAGTCCGTTCGGAAATGAAATCACTCAAGTCAAGCCTGATGTCTGAGTTGAAGGAGTTAAAGAAGATGTACAAGGCCAAGGACGAGAGGTAAGACTCTTTCACAATCAACCCTTATGCTTCCTATCACTCATACTTTACATATTAGCAACCCAAGGTCGCCTGGCTTTACCCCTGAGGCACTTGTTAAATTCGAAGGTTCGTGCCATCTGCTCTTCTTCTTCTTCTTCTCCCGTAGTGCACTTCTAACTCTGGTTATGTTGTAGATGCCGATGTAACCAAGTACCTATTAAAATATGGCTTTGACTCCGCATGGGTCGGTTCAATGACTGAATCCCAGAAGGTAAGCACTGACCATCTCCACAACTAATAAAGGAATATCCTTGTAGTTTATGCATGAGTTCTAACATCTTCTTCAGAAACGCATGTTAGCCGGCTACCTTGGCCAATCATACCGGGATGCATTGACAAAACCTCAACCACCAGCTGATGATGCCAGCGACAACAGCGACGACGACGGTAGCGGCTCCGACTCTGATGCCTCGTCGTGATTATATATCATCAATCTTTGCGCTATTTTTGCTTTCGAGTTCACAAACAGTATCTTTCATTGTCACCTGCGTCTTCTTTTATTGCACACACTGCATTTTGAGAAATCACGGTCGCCGCAATACGGTTATTCAGAGTAAAATGAAACCAACAGCGACAATAACGAAGCGACGTGCTCATAAGCGGATTGTATTACTACGGAAGGCACCCCGTTTTTAACTTTTGGAGTGAGCGAGACAAGGAGTAGGCGTTGTAGCGGAGAAGTGGTGTTAACGTTCGTTCTTCTGTGCACTTAATACTTTCTTCCCATTTACGAATTTGATTTTACGACTATTGAATGGTTTTTTTCTGTGGGCTCGGGATTTCCTGCTGGTCTATTGTTTTAGCATGCCCTTAATTCTTTTCATCTTGTACAGTTCTCTACGCACTTTTACCACGGTAATTTCGGTTTTTGTACGGCTTCATGGGCTATAGGAGGAAACCTTCGAATCTTCAATTTTTCTTGTTTTCGCATGCTACTACCTACCTATTCGACACTTAATGAGTTTTTTACGTTACTTACGGCGGCCGGTTCTGATGCTACGCTATCGCAACTAACATTCAGTACTTCATGCATTACTATCTCAAGTTTTCACCTCAAACATTTACCAGTTTTTCTTTTTCCCTTAAAGGTTCACTGTTTTCCATGATTTTGCGCATACGAGAGCGTCGCCGGCCTACAGTGCGCGACCATCTGCTCTATAATAATCTCGGGTCGACCGGCTAGCTTGTTTTGAGGGATCAACCCCTCTCACATGTGAGTGCCTCGTCGACGTCGAGCAATCCCCGTGTTTCGTTACCGAATGCGATAAATAAAGAGGGGGAAGAAAGAGAAAAGGACCAAGAAAGAACCAAAAAAAGAACCTTGGAACCACGACAGACAGACGTTTCTGCTTTATTACACCCAGTTATGGTGCGCCAGCAATTGTGTTTTATATGTATGTACAAGGAAAAAAAAAATATTCATCTATCACAATAGGAAATCACAATCCAGAAACTGCGTCAGTTTTTGTCGATAAGGCAAGGGGTGTGTGTCTTTAAGAAACGTTGTAGAAACAGCTGTGAGATGACTTGGCCGGCATATTCGGGGATCTGGATCGGATTGGTAAGATGCCTGTCATGAGGAGTCGAAGATGCATAAGCTGGGGTTCCATGTCAGAGAATGAGGGGTTGGAAGGAACTTTGCGTTTGCCTTGTTGTAGTTTTTCTCTGTGTTGCGCTTGTCGTTGTGCAACATGTTTGTCATTTTGGGATATTCCTATTTCAGCGGGCATTGGGTGTTAGGGCTCCAGCCCAGACCTATTCCCGAACGGGTTAGAACTGCTGTGCCAGCCTAATTGGAGATTCAGTGTGAATATCGGCATTTTGGCTGCGAACTTCAACTCCATCCAAAAGCATCACCAAATCCCCCATCGACAACCCGATACCAGCCGACAAATACCCCCTCTTCACGAATCTCCTTCGTACTAACATCATTCACAATGTCGTCCGGCAGCCCTCACAGATGTACGTAACTTTGCTGTCTCCCTGGGATTGGAAATGGATATGGAATGGTAGCTAACAACCTTGCTTTCTTGATAGTATACGTTAAGTAAGCAACCTTATCTCCTTTGGCGAAATGAGCAGCACGATGCGATGGCGGTGGAAGCAGAAAAAAATTTTACCGACGAGGAAAATGGCGATATTGGGACCGACGAATGGCTATGATGGCAATGATGAAAGAGCTACAGCTAAAACTTCGACTTCTTATCGTTAGGGGAAAGCACTTGTCTTACCAGAGGGGGAAGCGCAATACCGACCCAAACACCTCTCTCATCAAGATTGGTACGACTCCGAGCCCCTCGAATTTGGCGAATCTCGAAATCATGGAAGAGACAAGGAAAGGCTAATACGTGTATTTTTGTGAATGAATAGAGGGCGTTGATAGCACCGAAGATGCTCAATTCTACCTCGGAAAGCGAGTAGCATATGTCTACCGCTCCAAGAAGGCCATCCGAGGCTCTAAGATCCGTGTCATCTGGGGCAAGATCACAAGGCCACACGGAAACAATGGCGTCGTCAGGTCGAAATTCAGAAACAACCTCCCTCCCAGCTCGTTCGGCGCCACTCTTAGAATAATGCTCTACCCATCCAACATCTAAATAGAAGAAGAATGGACAAGAAACTTTACTAGCGATTCTGTGCTGTTAGTTTAGTTTTTATTATTGTGTCTTTCTTTCCTTCCATTTAGTTTTTTTCAATTGTTGAATTGCACGAGCTTTTTTCCAACATTTTTTTACGACTTCCTATCCGAAAACCTCCTTCTATTGCTCTTCTTCTCTCCTTTTTATCAGTAGCATCATCGGCGGGCTTTGTCTACGATTGGATTCCGTTTTTTCACCCGGACCGACTTTATTCCTCATCGGCTCAGTTATACGACCACCTGGACGGCAACAGAGAAATGGTTAAATGGATGGACTAGGAACGAAGAGATGGATACTCAATGCAGTGGAGGAGGATCAACCCAGAGCTCAAGGATATAAAATAGAAAGCAAAAAGAAAAAAAAGAAGGGACAAGTTACGATAACCCAGATATCACCAATCACGTCATACCTTTTTACCTCACTCCTCCTCCTCCTCTTCCTTCCCGTCTTTTCCCCCTCCCAGACAACCTTTTTTTCCACAATTACTATTATATATTATATCGAAATGGCGTTTGGAAAATCGATTTTACTTTTTTGTTTAATACTCCCACCTACTCACGTCTCTCTCACACTCTTACACACTCACAAACCATACCTCTGCAGTCTGTCTGTTTCTCTCCCCAAATGGAACGTCTGATGGAAAGAAAAAAAAGATATGCTTCATCATACTTTTTTTTTACTTTTGCATGGAAAGGAATGAGGTTTTCTTTCGATTAGGTTTTTATAGTGTATAGAAATCGAAGAAGCTTTGTTTTTTCTCCCGTGATCTAGCTCGATCGTGCAGTGCGTGACGTAGGATTCAGGTCTTAAAATCATAGTAATACACATATAAATGCATGCAAAGCATAAACTCCAAAAACAGCGCGTGGGTGCATATATGTCACACGATCTAACCGGGTAATGTTCCGAGTATGCCAATAATCTACATTTCCTACCCTAGAAAACCCTATCCCCCAGCTATTGTACAATCCATCCCCACACTAAAACGCTCTCCTTCTTGCCATAGGTGTCGTAGGCCTCTTCACAGCCCCCTGTTGTGTCGCCAACCGCTTGACAGTCGGATTAACCCCCGTTGGCGCTCTTTTCACTGGCGCTTCCTTCGCTGCCGCTTTAGCCGCCTCGGCTTTCTGTCTATCTTCTGCAATCTTCGCTTCGATCTCCATCTTTTTATTGATCTCATTCTCCGTCACCCTCCTATCCTTTGCGGAGTATCCTTTTTCCTTGACACTGTAAAACACTCCTCCGAGTTCGGCGAGCCAATGCGGATCTACTGCTGTAACAGTTGACATGTATTCTTTCGAGGTGAGAATAAGTTCGTGGTATACCACGTAATCCGGGAGGAACCCTAATCCATAGAGGGCAGATGTAGGATGTAGTTGAACAGTTACACTTGTACGAAGATTAATATACTCTCCGATACCCTTAACTTTAGCTGCCTGAGCAAAGTATCCAGAGCAGATACACTTGCGCGCGATATCCCAATCGGTACCACATGTTTGTAGCTCCATCTTCTGGAACTTCATGATATCATGAAGTTGCTGTCTAATTTCTCTGGCCCGGCGGAGGGCTTTCGGATGAAGGAAGTGTTTGATACACCAGCCGTCTGAGTAGCCGTTTGCCTTCCATTGTTGGTAGACGTGAAGAAGTGTTAAATGGTCGGATTCAGGGACAAAGAACTTTTCGCGGGCGGCGTCGGATTCTTCCTGTCGTTCTTTAGGGCGGTAGAACACGCTAGGGACAGAAAGCATAGATATTATGGTGAGCATTTCTTCGCTGCAGCCGTACTCTACCGACATAATCAAGAGCTTTGAAAGCGCCGGCTCCATCGGGAAACTAGCCATTGACTTTCCGAGAGATGTTAGTTCCCCAATGTTGTCGAGAGCACCCAACGCCCATAGGTCGAACAAACTTGTTGTCATGGTATCCTGTGGCGGTGGATCCATGAAATCGAACTCTAACAGATCCTGTACACCGAGGGACTTCAGAAGAAGAACGGTGTTACTGAGGTTTGTCCGTTGAATTTCAGGGATAGTTTGGATGTACATCTCATTTGAGAATGCTTGTTCCGTGTACAGGCGATATGCTTTGCCTGGGCCTGTTCGACCAGCACGTCCGGATCTTTGCCCGGCATTGGCTTGGGATATCGGTGTGATTTGCAAGGTATCCATACCCATCCGCGGGTTATAGACTTTGAGTTTGGAGTAACCAGCATCGACAACATACATGATACCGTCCACTATATTAGAAAGAAGAAAAATAGAGTTAGCACCACCGCTAGCAATAAGAGTGCGTAAAGGTTTTTTTGGAACGTACCTGTCAAACTCGTTTCTGCAATGTTGGTAGCAACAATTACTTTTCTAGCGCCACCTTCAGCCTTCTCAAAGATTTTTGCTTGTAAGTCTGCCGGCATTTGACTGTAAATGGGAAGAATCGAAAGTTTGGGTGGATCGTTAAGCTGTGATAGACGTTCCGCAATGACATCGCAAGTCGCCTCAATGTCCTCTTGACCAGTCATGAACACCAAGATGTCACCGACACCCTGTCCAAGATGGATCGACAGGACTTGCTTCACGGCGGCTTCCACGTAATCTTCGCAAGGCGATTTCGACCAGAGGACATCGACGGGGAAGGTTCTTCCGGGTATAGTATATTCTGGTGCTCCACCAAAGAATCGGGAGAAGCGTTCTGCGTTCATAGTAGCAGAGGTGACAATTAATTTCATATCTCTGCGCCTCGCAAGGATCTTCTTTATCAAGCCCATCAGAACATCGGTATTCAAAGCGCGCTCGTGGGCTTCATCCATGATGATGCAAGAATATTTTTCCAAACTTGGATCGACGAGAGACTCTCGAAGTAGGACACCGTCCGTCATATCTAGGTCAAAGTTAGCAAATGCAAAGGACAAAAGGGTTTAAGATAGTCGAAGTCTTACATTTGATTACCGTCTCGTTGCTGGTGCAATCTTCAAAACGGATGGCGTACCCAACAGTGCCCCCGAGCTTAACTTCCATCTCTTCGCTCACACGCTTGGCCACACTCATCGCGGCGACACGGCGAGGTTGGGTGCAACCAATCATTCCGAGTTTTGCATAGCCATCTTCATATAAGAATTGTGTTAACTGCGTAGTCTTCCCAGAGCCTGTCTCACCAATTACAATGATGACCTGGTTATCCCGGATAACTCTGAGAAGCTCTTCTCTAACCGCAAATGCCGGTAGGTACTCTCGCTGCTCTCTTAGGGTGCGACTTCGGCTGAACTCACTAGCACCCTCACTCTTTTTTAGATGGTCGGCGAATTTGTTCTCCACCCTAACATCTCCTTGATCAGGTCCTTCGATTGCTTTTTGCTTCGTGGGTTCCCCAGCACCAAGCACACTGTCACCTTCTTCGTCTTTAATGCCCAACACGTTCCCGAGATTGGTACCAGCAAGGTTTGTAGCTTCCTGTGCCTGCTTCGCCCTTTCACGCTGTTGTCTTCGTTCCCTAACCAATACAGAGCCTTTCTTACTGAAAATGGCCATGTCGCTCTGGGGATCTCGGACGGCGGGAACCGGGTCCAGCTGTTTTGTGAAAATTGTTTTTCCATCCAAAAATGGCGGCCGAATGTCATGTACTAGAATATGAACCCGAGTTTCTTCCTCATCGTCTAGTTCATCCATTCCAATATCAGCCCTTTGAGCCACACCAGAAGTCAACATTCTGTTGGTTTCCCATGCATCTACATCCTTTTGCTTCTGCTGAGCTCTGGCAGACATCCGCTTCCCGGTTTTCCGTTCTGCTAGCGCCGCTTCTCGTTCTTGATCCGCCCATGAATTCTCCAGAGAACCAAATGGATTGTGTGAGTCGTCTCCGAATGTATGTCCCATTTCATCGCCTGCGTACCAATCCCGGTCCATCGCCTGGGTATCCCGAGGATCATAGAATCCTTCGTCGGAATCTCGAATCGCGGCAGTAGTACGTGGCGTGGCAGCAGCATATCGTGATGTCCGCGCGGTCGTTGCACGACCTCCTGCAAACCTATCTTGTCGAAGTGGTGTAGGGTCATGTCTCCGGCTTCCAAAATCCTCTCGGCTCCTGTATCCATCGCGGTCGTCATCCCGCCTCCTTTGATCGCGGTCATCGTATCGGCCACGATCTCTATCCCCACCACGGTCTCGGTCGCCGTACTGATGTCTCCTATCACCACGCCCGTCATCCTGACCACCACGTTCTCGATCTCTCCGCCCTCTGTAAGCCGCCAGCCTCTCAGCGGCTTCCCTCGAAAGTCCTCCCCCATGTGATGGTGTTTCCATTCGACGTTGGACAGGATGTCTATGTATCGGTAATGACGGCTTCTTGAACTCAAACATATCTCCATCAGCTTGAGTGCGATCATCCGATTGCGCTGACTGTTGTTTTGGTTTCTTCGAGTCTAGACTTGAGCTTGAACCTGAACCTGGCTTCCCGGTATCAGCCTGTGTATCATCGTCTTCTCCATCGACTTTGAAGTCCAACTTTATCCTCTTCCTGTCAAGCCCCAATCTAGACTCCCTCTTGCCATCATCGTCGCCTGAATCCCTGTTTCTCGTCGATGTAGAAAGCAATAATCCGCCAGGAAGCTCAGCCTGTCGCTCTAATCTCTCCGGCTTTGTAAAACCTCCTTTCCCCGACTCGTTCTGAGCCCCAGTGGCAGAATCCCCTTCCTCGTTACGTTTTTTCACTTCCTGGAAGACTTCGCGGAGGAATTCATCGCGGTACCGGCCAAACGCGCTGCAAGCCGCTATAAAGGATTTGGGACCAGGTTGGCCCTTCGCGATTTGTATGATATTGTGGGCGAGATATTCATTGGGGTCGCGGCCGAGTTCTTTGCCAATGAGAGAGGCGAGATGGCGAGCATATTCGTCGTTCAGACCTGGCGGTATCGAGGTGTCCGACATGTCGGGTGCGAATTAAATTGACTTGTGGATGTTGGGATGACGAGAATAACTTTCTTTAGTCGTCTGGGCTCGGTTAGGGTCATCAACACAAGATCTGTGGCAAATGGCTTCTGTCTAAATTAAACAACTTGCAATGTGCTGCAAAGCTAAGGCGTATATTATATAATACACTATCTTACATCCTCTAAATGGCTTCATTGCTATACACTATTATAAAAGCACCTTCTAACCAGAATCCTGCTAGAGCCCTGCGAGAGTCCTAATAGAGTCCTGCTAACTTTAGGTTCTTACTTTTTTGACTTCTTCCTCCCTGACCTCTCTCTTTCATATGCATTCGTTGCAGCACCCTCCTCATTCTGAATCATATTTACGATTCTCTTCATCTTATCATGATATTCCTGGTCTGCAACCTTTCTCTCCTTCAATTTCTCTCTTGCAATGAACTGCGAGTCCTTTCTCAACTCTCTTATTGCGCCCTTCCTCTCCTTCTTATGTTCCGCCTTGAGCTTGCTTAGCTCCTTACGGTCACGATCAGCGTCATATGAGCCCTTATGCCTATCCAAAGAGTAATCTTCGTCGAATTTAGGATAGTTAGATGGTATTGGGAGGGGCCGATGATGGTGGAGCTCAAGCGGACGGCGGAACTTTTGTGAGTGTGACCTTATGCGCTCGAGCTCTGGGAAAGCCGTTTCCTTGACATAAGTTGTGAAGGTCTTTGGAAGGGATTTTATACATGCTGAAGAGGTAAAATGAGATAATATAGAAACCGCGGGCTCCGTAAGTTCTAGCAAGGCTGCCTTCGAAGAGTATAACCTGGCAAGTGCAAGAAGCTGTTGTGTGAATGCGTAGGCGAGTGTGATTTGTAGGGCAGCAGTATTAGATACTGAGCCTGGGTATAGTGCCTCCTTGAATTTAAGTTTTCCCAGCTCGAATTTATCTTTCGATGAACTCGAAATCCTAAGTTTGGAGATATTCTCAATCCCATGAACCGGGAAGCCTCCTGAAACTTTAGTAGGTGATGTAGGCGAAAGTACCAGTAGTGATTGGTACACAAAGTTGAGTGCCTCTGGTATCACCCGTTTGGAAAGCCGTTGATACTATCATATTGTTAGCGTCCGCTTTCAAGATCCAATTCTAAATATTTTCAAGCCTACCTGGAGACACAGCGTGACCATATAGCATCCATGGACCAACTTCTCGATATCAGTTGGAGCATTAGAGCCTAACCACCTTGCTATCACTAGCATAGCCGGCGTTACAACGATGTGGAAGTGATCAGATGTCGGGTATATAATACTAAGCGCAGTAAGGATGATAAGATCTGAGCGCTTCGTCTTCTTTTGCAGGCCAATTCTGTCGAAGAATTTCTGAAGAAAATCCCTAAATTTCGCAGCAGATGCCTGTGGAAATTCTTTTGACAGACTGTGGAGATGCCGAAGTAGGATATCTAGGATATCCATGGGTGGGAAGGAGGGCGAATCGGCAAGATATATAATATGGTCAAAAACCACTACCATAAAATACTAAAGCTCTTGTTAGGGCCAATACGAAAGATAGAACATCAAGGTATGACACTTACCGAAAGCTTCTCCTTGTTACCGGCTGCAAGTGATGGATGATGTAAAACACGGATACGCTTCACAATTGTGGGTAAATCTTCAACTTTGTATTTGGATGTGGCCTTGAGAAACTCCTGGTGTGTTTGAGGGCATGGGAATGTAAAAGGAAGAGATGAATCCCCATTTACAACTGCTTTCCCGTCGTCAGTTGGTTTCGCGGCTGGCGATTCATCTTCGGATTCCATCAATCCATCTTCTTCTGCTTCATCTTCAGACTCCGATGCCTCTTCGTCGCTAGCAAGTGCGTCCGGGTCCTCGTCAGATTGATAGTCATCTGAATAAGCGTCGTCGTTATCTAGGTCACGACGCCTCGAGGGGCGAGAACCGGTGGCTTCAATGTCTTCTTCCTCTTTCTCTACTTCCTCGTCGCTTTCTTCCTCGGATTCTGAGCTTTCATCCTCACTACCGGAGTCCCCGTGGACAAACTCTTTTTCATCAGCGGCGAGCCTAATTCCCTTCCCTAATTTAAACTCGTCATCGCTAAGAACTTCCTCTTCTTCCTCTGGTTCCTCATCACTGCCCTCTTCTCCCTGCATACGCTTTTGTCTACTCCTTTCTAGTTTTTGCAGTTGCTTCGCCCTGCCTTCGGCTAGCTCTTCAGCTGACTTTGTCCTATCCGCGGGTTTCGAGCGTTTGTCGTATGTCATCTCCCGCACTAAAGCATCGTATTTAGAATCTACATTCAATCCGCTGTTGATCTGTGCGGCCCTGTCCGCATGAAGTGACCCATCCGCCCCAGCATCTGTAACCGCTGGTTTACCAGGTGGTGGTCGCACAGGTATTCCGGCTAGAAGCGCCCTGATATCGCCCAGCTCAGCGTCAAGCTCGTCTCTCAAGTCTTCATCTGCTTCCTTCTCCTTTTGCCTTTCGTATTTGTGGTACTTTGATTTCATGATGACCTCCTTCATGACTTCGGCCTTCGACTTTTTCTTAGGCGGACCACCGTTGTCATCTTCATCCGATTGAAGTTCGCCATCCAATGGGTGTGTTCTCTTTGCAGGCCGCAAAAGGTCGTCGTCGCTTCCATCCATATCTTCCCGGAAATCATCGTTCGGTAGGGATCCCAACGATTGGCCGTAGTGTGTAAGAACTTCGTCGTCATCTTCGAGGTTGAATATATCGCTTTTATACGACTTCTTTTGCTGCTCCCTCGTAAACCGCTCCAGCATTTTGTCTTCGGGATTGATTGTCGGGTCATTCTCGCCGAATCTTCGATCTATGATACCACCGACTTTATTCCTCTGTTGCATTTCTACTAGCAATGTTTTGCGACGCTGTGGATCACATAGTTAGCCTCCATTCTAGACGGCATTAGGCATCGTGAGATAACATACGTTCTCCTCTCCAATTTGCTTGCTAACTGACGGTTTCCCGACAGTTCCTTTAACTTTCCTCCCACCGGCGACGCTGAATTTCTCTTTCGTTTTCTTGATTTCAAACGGATTGAACTCCTCTCGAATACTCTCGAGCGCCGCTTCTCTCGAAAGTCGGGCATCGTTACCGCTCTTATTCTGTCGCGCACGTTTTTTCGCCTTCTTCGACTTCTGGGGCTGCCCGATGACACCCGCATTCTTGAGCGACTCCCGTAGTCGCTTTAATTGGGATGGCATGGTGGTGTAATGTTCGAAACGGCCGATGTTAAAGAATCAAATGTTGCAAGTGCTTAGATCCAGCTAGAATTTTTTTTTAGCGACAAAGAAAAAAATCGAAATATTTTTAAGCCGCATAAAACAACTACGCGAAAACCACAACCCGAGCAAACAATATGCGGTGATCGCAGAAACCCCTCCGAAGTCCCAATCGACGATGAAGATACGATTATACGAAGACAAAATCAGCGATGTTCTATGACTTGAACATTCCGTGGACGTCAAAAGATGACCCCGAACTAACTAGGACGATTGCATTTCTTGATGAGCGTGCGTGAATCGTCCTTCAAAAGCTGGTTACTCATCATCGCTAACGCCGGTGACAGTGGGATACAATGTAATAGCTCTCAATCAGACCATCGCGGGGAAAATTCCGTCAAAGATAGTATGCACCCCTGCTATCTTTTAGAATGTCATAATCATTGAATAGAAAGCTTATGAGGACGACTAGGCCGGTATTGCCAATCTGATACCCGAGAATCCGTTCCAAGATCACTCCAGTATCCGCTTTCTTCGGCGCGTTACAATCGTTCTAGACGACCCTTCACAGAACTATGGACTGGTATGGCCTCAGGATTTTCAATTATGGTTGTAGTTTAAATTTTTTAAGAAAGAGAAACACTAGGCTTCACTATCGAACAACTTCGACATCGTCGCCGTCCGTCCCACAGACGAGAAACTCCTCCTCCAAGCTTGCACCAGCCTAGAATGCGACCTAATATCTTTAGACCTATCGATCCGCCATCCATATCATTTCAAATACAAGATCCTGGGCCAGGCTATATCACGCGGTATTCGTTTTGAGATTACGTATTCAGCGTCGGTAAACGAAAGCAATGCTCGAAGAAACCTACTTTCAAATGCAGCTGCCCTGATTAGGGCAACAAAGGGCAAGGGAATAGTCATAAGTTCAGAGGCAAGAAAGGCGATGCTGTGTCGGGCACCATTCGACGTCATCAATTTAGCAACATTATGGGGTTTGAACCAAGAGAAAGGAAGAGAGGCGATCGCAAACGGACCCAGAGCGGTGATGATACAGGCAAAGATGAAGAGACAATCGTTTAGAGGCGTAATTGATGTCGTGGAAGGCGGTGGCGTTCCAAAATCAGTTCCAAAAGAAGTGGCAAAAACCACTATATCCCAAAAGGCACCAGTGAAGCGAAAGGCTGAAGTTGGTGATAATGACTCTACGGCAGTTGGGACCGCGAAGGATTCACAGCAACCAGCTGAAAGCGCGAAGCTGGGCGGAGAAACAACACCTAGTGAAACCGGCGAGACTCGACCGACGAAGAAGCAACGGAAGAAAGAAATGCAAGCAGCGAAGAAAGCAGCGGGCAGCGTCGGAGGTGTATGATTATGATGACTCTGAGCTTATTACCCTAATTTGGCATACAAGATCTCGATTGCTAGATACGTATTTCATTGGGTGACTTGAAAGGATCAATGGAGTTAAGGTGCTCTATTTTCATTGAAGCGATCATATAATAATCCGGGATATCGATGTGTATGTAACATATAACAGAGATTTGGCTGTTCGTGATGCGAAAAAAAAAAAGAATCCTGGGGTTGCGATGTATTCGAAGCATTCAATGCATCTGTCGGTTAAGCTATTAAGAGCTCATGGCCGTCGTGCATATCAAATCAACAAACACACGCAGAATATAGTATTATTAGAAACTATGCAATGGAAAAGCTTGATTGTAGCTATAAATAAGCATGGGTGTTTTTGGCAAGCTGCTCGTGCCGGAAGGGTTCCTGCATAAGCTAGCGGTCGACAGCTGCATGTTGTGAGCGGGGTCGCTGGTTAATCGGCTCAACTGTATGTACATCTGCGAGTTGATATGATAATTGCTGCAATGCATCCTTGTATATGTCAACGGCGGCCCAAGCTCTGAGAGCTTGGTAATGGGCACCATCCATCAATCCATCGCCATAAAATTCGGTGACACTGACTAAGTAAGTACTTAGCTGCATGAGCTCAGAGACCGATAAACCTGGTTTGGATGGGCATCCAATTGCATTGAACGGATATAGATACTCTCAGACGCCACCCCGCTTTGAGCCGCTGGATTTGAATCCGAGAACTTAAGCCCCTGTGTATTACAGTGGTGTATAAGTACAGGTACATAGAAATACTTGCGCATAGCCAACTATTGGCTACCGCCATCAGTAGCTAGCGGTAGAATGATTGAGGAATATTCGATATACCATCAGGTGACGGGTGTTTCTGGGCCTGAAACGAACTGGCTTCTGTGCTTGTGGCACGGAAGGGCAAGGGAAGGGCAAGGGAAGAGAGCCCGGGGTAGCTCAGGAAGCTAAGGAGCTACTTTAGCTCTGCGAATAAAAATAGAACCCACGTTGGATCCGATTCAAGACAGCGTTCTTTCTGCAAGTACCCTGATCCTGTCGTCAGCATGCGTGTGGAGACCACGATTCTGGTGGTACAACATGCTCACCACCATCTCGACATCGATACATCGACATCCGCATCACGCCTTCCGGTGTTCTGCCCCGTGCTTAGAACCAAGTAGAAATATTTGAATAAAAGGCACTAAGTGAGTACCAAATGCTTTGGAGAGTAGGCGGCTGATATTGTATGTATCTGGCGGGATGGAACGTCGGGATCCAGGTGGGTCCAACAACTCCGGCCGATGCAAAGACTTCTATATTTAGGATCCGAGAATGTGTTGTAGTGTGTCAAACACACAACACAAATGAGACGAAGACCAGCCCGCCAATCTTGGTAGCCTCGACTCGAGTTATGGTAACTTGCAACTTACAACTTGGACACTTCGACAATGCAACAAAAGAATGAAATATTCAACAAGCATAAGACTGTTGGGGCTCTGCTCTGCTGTGTAATTAGACCTGGTTTGGTAGTAGGAGGTTCGTCTATCGATAAACTACTGTCCGGCGAGGCTTAGCTTTGGCTTAGCCTAGAACCCTCTCAAGTGCAAGCCCGATTCTGTGTTTCACGAACACCGGTACAAGCAAGACGAGCCTACGATCCACCCATCTGTAACTTGAGCCGTCGAGTGTGAACTTTGCACCATCGCCCAGCCCAGCCCGCATGAATTATCGGTCTTGCAGAATCTGGAAGGAATGTTACCACCCCGTACAGACGGAGGGAACCGCAGTGAGAAACAGGATTCATTATAAAATTTATAATCCATCTGTCAGGCTAACTAACCAGGAAAACCCGGATATTCCAAGCAGATGATCGTGCCGCCAGGCGTTTTAAACGTTTGACTAGCATCGTTTAGTGCCCTTCGTCAAAATTCGGTCGGCTGTGTCTAGCTCAAGCTCCAAGATGCTCTCTGGGACTGGGCCAGATTTGTTAGTTGATGGTGTTCCCATCCATGACAGTTGATTCATTGCAATACAAATTGGATTTCCCGAAAAGCTTGACAAGCACATACGAAATTCCATCATCGTAATGTTACGACGAAGGCCAATCAGCATCCTCTGTGGCGTCCAGAACATCAGAGGCTCTGATGAATGCTGACGAATGATATGCACTCATTCGCTTCGCTGTTGGCTGGCCGGAAGTATGCTCTCGAATCACATGGGCAGGATACAAGCGCCGGCGCACCAAACATGCATAGCGGGGTTGGATTCTGTTGGTTTGCTCTCATCTTGGCGATTCCCAAAAGGACGTCGACGAATATTAATCCCACCAGGAAGGGATTTTTTCTTTCTCTAGCATGATAGGGAGCGGGAAAGAAAAAAAAACCTTGCTTGGTGGGAAAACCCACCGCTTTGGGAATCCAAGTGTTCGCCAGACATTCGAATGTACCTCAAACACGGGTTGCGTCTAAATCCCGTCACTTTCTGCGCGGATGAAATCAGCGAGAGGACCAGGGGTTTGCCGAAATTATCATGAGTTCAACCACCTGCTGAGTTGAGGAACTCGAGCCTGTGAAATTACAGAAGGCCTAGCGAACGTTGCGATGATACATATGGCGTCTACTCGACACCGCCTGCCTACTGCTCTTCAAGTTTGTTCGAGAATAACCAAGTTGTCTCGTGAACATACATCCATCTGTCTGGTAAGCAGTCGCATTTATCTCTATGCGGAAGAGCTTGCAAGTACATTACATTACACGGTATACATGCTGTGGACATGTACCGGTACCTGGTATCGAGGATTGGCCGAGGTCTGTAATGAAGCCGTCAGGGATATATCCCCACCCCAACCGTCCAAAGCCCCCGAAGCAATTTGGTACCTGAACATCTTGCACTGATGCCCTAACTGCAAGTGGTCCGAGGACCCACTGCACCTTGCCTGTCTTTGGCCTGTCCGTCCTGTCCATGTCAAAAATCTCTTTTTCGTTTTTACCCTTCCATTTTCTTTCTTTTGCGCGTGTGCACCCCTTTGGCAGACGGTGTTTCTAAATATAAACCCACCCGTCGCTCTTCTTCTTCCTTTCCCACTCTTTGCCTTTCTTCTCCCCGCTCCCGCTTACAGTGCTATTCTGGTCGGTCGGCCCTTCCCACCAAAATAATTCGAGCAGCACCGCTTTTTCCTTCCCCAGTTAAAAGTCTTCTTTTGTCTCCTATAAGGACACAAGGTGTCGCCTGCATGGTGTTTCTAAAAATTCATACAAGCACTCTAACCTTAGAAGCATCTGTTCCCCATAACCCAAATTCCACCCCATCTTTGTTCTAATAACGTTTACCCCCAGTCGCTCGTACCTTACCTTTCTTTTTGGACCGCATTCAGACCCTGGGCTACCGGTTTTAAGTGTAACGAGCAGAGTGCGTGGGTTTCTATCGATAGAGCCCATCTGGTTTCGATCACGAAAAAGATCACAGAGGTTAGTCCCATCCCAGGCTCTTTTCACACCCCGATATGCTTTGATTCGTTGCATTTTTTTTTCTTTTCTTTCTATGAAGTTTGGAACCCACAGTGCCTCACATTCAAGCCCACCTTTCAAGCCGTTCCGTATTTTGGTGTGGTGTTCTGTTAGTTCACATCCTAGAGCTCCATCGGTGCTCCTGTCCCTACATCATCGTATATAGATAGATGGTACACCCCTCTCCATCCTCATTGCGCAAATCCTCATTGCCTTGTTTTATTTATTTGCTTCACTTCACTTCACTTTACTTTTACCATCCTGCATTCCTGTCGTCATCGTTCAGGTTGTTTCTTTACTTCGTATAATATTTTTTTTATTAAAATTATTTTTTCCCCTTTTCTTGTTTCCTTTGTCTTCATTAGACTACTGTAATCAGCATTTCCATTGTTTCCATTCTCGGAAAAGCCTTTTCTTTTCTTCGGCGTTGTGATACGAGAGCTGCCATACTACCACCACCACTACTGCCACTACCACATGCACAAAAGTTGGGAAGGTTGTAATAGTAATAACGTTGTTATTTTCTGTCGCGCAGATTTCGCATTCGCATTTGCATTAGAACACGAAGCTTCCACAGGCCGGCATCCGAATTTCGAGTTGCCCTCTTTTTATTCCACTTTAGGGTTTCGGTTTGAATGTGCCCCTGCAGTCCTGCATCGCGCATTCATTTGATCCATTCATCTTCATTGTTATTCATCGCAATCATCGTCGTCGTTGTCGGGAACACCCTTTCCGACCAACCATAAAGAGCCGAATTAACAGCGCTGGCTCCAACAGTTGCATTCGCAGACCCAACCCTCGTAATCGGCGCCGTGGAAAACCAGCCTGTTACCATTGTTGGCGCGGCACAACGTTAACAGCCACCGACTCTCAGCCCTGAGCAGGTTCTTTATAGCGTGATCTTCATCGATCCGCCACGAGTTCCAGTTTTTTTTTTCTTTCTTCCTTGCGAAAATTAAACAAAACAAACCAAGTTTGGCCGTTTTTTGATATTCGACTGGAGTCACCTACGCTATATCTGCCATAAATATCAGAATATAAGTACTACCTTTGCTTATCAAGGCCAGCGATCCAACTTTCAACCGAAAAATAGATCAAACCGGTTTCTCACCACCGGCTCCCATCTTCATTACTATTCCGTACTAGCGTCCTAAGTTTAGTTCAAACATTGGGTCCTAGACAACTACTCCTATTTTCAATAGCAACTCCCGGCCAGTTTATAGGCCGCGTCACTCACCAATCGCCAGGAACCATTGCGGTCCTCGGTTCGCTAATTATTTCCGGCATCCACACCTTATTATTATAATTAACACACGATGGGACGACGTAAGATCGAAATTAAAGCCATCAAGGACGATAGGAATCGTTCTGTGTACGTATAGCCCTTGGACAATACAATGAACGTGGGATGGCTGCTAACATCATGATGATTTCTATAGAACCTTCCTGAAGAGGAAGGGTGGTTTATTCAAGAAGGCTTATGAGCTCTCTGTATTATGTTCAGCCGATGTTGCTATCGTTATTTTCGGAAACAATAAGAAGCTCTACGAGTTTTCTTCAACCCAGATCGAAGACATCTTAGACAGAAGACAATACGTAAGTTGATATACTCAGCAGGATTTTTGGTTAGTTAATTCCACCATCTAACGTTTTGAATACAGTTTGGTGCACCCCACGAGAGGAAGGGCCCTGATGACTACATCAATAAGGGTGGGAACAGTGAAGGTGAAGATGACGAGGACGAGGCTACCGAGATGAATGGTATGCGACAATCTAATTCTCCACCTATGCACAACCGAGCAAACTCTTTGGGCTACAACATGGCGGTACCCATGCCTGGTCGTCACTTAACTCCCGGCCCCGGTCCTCATTCCCGTCCAATCAGTCGTAACGCTCCACATCCCCACCAACGACATATGTCTGGAGGTGCTATCATCGGACCAAATGGGCAGCCGATACATCCAGGAATTGGCGGGCAACCGAACGGGTTCAACTTCGTGAATCAATTCAACCCGGCTGTCACTCAAGCCCAAGTTGCCACTATCCCTCCCGGTTATAGCTACACCCAGAACGGTCCTCACCCAAACAGCGCACAGGTTTTTATGCAGCAGCAGCAGCAGCAGGAGAACCTGTTGAGGCGTCAATCGATGCCTAGCTCCCTACCACAACAACAACCTCCCCAGCACCAGCATGAGCAACAGGTGCCTCCTCATATCATACCTGACCAGCAACATGTTCCTCAACACCAGCCACAAATCCAAGTCGCCAATGACCAACAAATGCTGACCGGCGAAGAGGAAGATGAAATGGTCGAGGATCCACCAGCTTCGGACGGTATTACACGACTCCGGACCAAATCACGAAGCATCTTCACACCAATTGCTGGGGATTCCTCGCTGCTTGCCCAACATTGGTTCGGACCGGATCGATCTCCCATCAGAGCCAACTCGATCGATGTTGGAGCTATGGCGAGGAAGAACGCTGCCGGGGAACCCTTGATCAAGAGAGAGCCAAACGGTTCGGTGTCAGAGGACGACCCGAAGGCCCTCCCTTTAATTAGGACGAGCACTGGGGAAATCGGACCCCCAACTCGTACCCCATCCATGATCAGTACACCCGGGGGCGGCCTAAAGCGCCCAGTTCTTAAGGTCCAGATCCCTAATGACGAAGAAGAGGACGCCAATACCAATACTGGTGGCACTTCCCCACAAAATTCTGGCTTAACTGCCGACCCTGTTTCCGCACGCCCACATGAACCACTCCCACCTGGTGCTGTTCTTCCGCCACCTTCCCCGAGCGTTGGTAACAGTGCTCCATTGAGTGCCGGCGGCTCCGGTCCTCCAAATCCGTTCGCCCGCCCCCCTCCCACTTCTGCCGCCAACAACTTGCTTGACCAGACTCCAATCTCGGCTCTCCCTAGCCGATTTGTAGAGAATATGCTTCCATCCCCCTCCGCCTTTTTCTCATCCGATTGGGCGACCGGTGGACTCCGTGGCGATGATAATCTTCTACCAAGTCCTCTCAATTTCAAAACTCCTACAATTGGCCGACTGTATGATGACGATAATACTGCTTCGAAACGGAAGTCGCCTGATTCGATGGATGTAGATTCCGGATCGACCACCACCACCAAAAGGGTGAAGACTTAGTGCCTTCATCGATGAAGTTACCTCAAATGCTATATCCTCCACAAACTCTTTCTACTACTCATTCGATTATGCTCTTTTACCAACTGGGCTCTTCCTTAATGACTACGGAAGAAGTCTAGCAACCTGGGTTGATTTCTTCTTACCACAATATACCCTCTTTTAGTATATGCATTCCATGGAGTTTTTCTTACGGGAGTTTATGATTGCTGTTTTTCCTATCCCTAATTGACTATCAATGTCTCTCCAGGCATTTCCCATTAACGCCGTCGCTCTGTACCGACGACCTTTTTTTTCTCTACATTTTTTAAACCCTTTCACTTCTGTACTTGTCTTAGTAAAAACCTCCCTTTCCTTAAATTCGAATAATCTTCTTCGCCCAGAATACTTTTTTTTATCCTGTTCGTTCCATTACGCCTGTGAGAGATACATGAAATCAACCAAAACCAATGGCATTATACTTCAAATTCATAAACCTACCATAAATTCACCGTAAAACATAAACAATAGCACTTAGAAAGTAATTGAAGTGTATACAGCACCATTATATCGTACCTTGTGATCCGTAACACTAAAAATTACATAACCTGTGCATCCTCCATGCTAAACTTCTGTTGACAAGACGAATATTCTTGTTGGCTGCGGATGTAACGTGTTGCATTTTTTTCTATGCACCGGCGAAGTTTCACAAAATTTATCGAAAAACAAGATCATCCCGTCCGACCTGTCTCACCAATCCACTTCCCACGGAATGTCGCTGTCGAGGTCATTAATTGTTAAAAAGGCTCCATTGAGCCTTCGAGGGCTCGCGGGGACCCCGCATGTTGGACGACTGTCTGGGAACCCTACCTCGACTACACTAAACATGTAAGTCCCGGGAATACCACGAACCCCCACCCCCCCACGTGTGCCGCGTACCTTTTTCGCTCATTCATCATCTCTATTCCTGGGTTATAGGCCGTGAAGATCCTGTTCACTTACATCATGGGAACAATTCTAGCTCAAATCACCACTCATACCATGGACTACCACTCATGCCATTTGTCCGATCTACTCGGGGCATCTCTACCACCCCGATGTTCCTGAAGAAGAACAAGGGACCGACGAATTTAAAGGATGAAGCACCGGAGCAATACTCTCGTAAGGGTAAACCGAACCCTGCACATGCTGCTGCAGCGGCAGAGACACCGAACGATGATCCGTACAACTTTAAGAAGTTCGATGATTCGGTAAAACATGCTGTGGAAGGATGTAAAACAGAGATTCAGCATTTGAAGAGTTTTAGTGGGAGGGTCGATCCTAGTGTTATTGAGAATTTGTTGGTTACTATCTCACATGGGAAGAAGGAGGATGGTGGGAAGGAGGTTAAGGAGGTTAAGTTGAAGTTGGGCGAGCTTGCACACGTAGCGCCTAAGGGAAGGGAGTTTATTTTGACGGTTAACGATGAAAGCGTATGGCTTGTCCCCATCCCTTAATTATCGATACTTTTGGAGAAAGGGGCCCTGATTACTGATATGGGGGTGATACAGTTCGTGAACAATATCAAGAACACAATTTTATCCCAGATGTCGATGAACCCCCAACAAGTCTCTCCGAGTACACCGAATATCCTGAAAGTCCCAATCCCAATGCCGACGAAGGAATCGCGACAGAACACTGCAGCATTGGTACAAAAGGCTGGACAGAAATGGCTAGACAAAGTGCAATACATTAGAGGATCGCATTTCACACATCTTGAGAAGCTAAAGAAGGCAGGAACAGCGAGACCTGACGATGTTAAAAAGGCGGAGAAAAAACTACAAGAAAAGCTAGATAAGACTAACAAAGAACTAAAGCAGCTTATTGAGAAGTCTAAGCAGGATGTTTTGCAGAGCTAATGTATTACTAGTATTCGGTTTTGAGTAGTCTACCGCTACTAGCCCTTGAGGTCTAGGCACTGATGGGGGCACATTGTCACTATGCCTGGTGACATATCAATGCATTTGATATAGGATTTGATAGATGCATATTTGTAACTAAATATTATACTCGCATCATTGATTGTATGCAATACAATCGGTTAACCTCCCATGGCCATGCTTGTCCCATTATCATACATTGATTTCAAAACGTTTTCGATAGAAGGTTATCGCCGAGGACCTGGTGGTTTTGGCTTAGTCTCTCCTACAACAACTGCAGCCTCTTGAATTACTTCTCCCCATTTTCTACTCAATTCTGTAGTTATAAATAGGTTAGTTAGTTAGAGATATACCGTCAAGAAAAAGAAAGAAAAGGATATGGTAAAACACCAACCTGTGACAGTTTTGGCATTTTCTCTCATGGCCTTCGAATCATTTTCAATCGCGTCGACAAATTGTCTCACAGACTCCAATGTTGCGCGTAGAACACGCAGCGAATCAAGTTCCTAAAGTGATCATCATGCATAGAACGTCAGAATAAGGCTTTACCGCGATCGAAAGGAATGTCCCAAGAACATGGCTATGGCAGGTTATAACGTTAGAAGCGAGAAAAACGTACCGTTTGAAGATCCGCCTCGCCAGGCATTGTGGTCTTTGGGGCGAGGTGAGTGGTCTAGAATGCCAACGTGATATCTCGGAGAGTTTGATATTGCATTTGAGGGCGTGTCAGTAGCTGCAAGATAAAGCGCAAGACCGCTGAGGAATGGAGGTTGTTGCATGTTAACTCAATTCGGTGCGCCGTGCCACCGATGATCGGGAAACAACGTCGGCAACAACGCACCCAGCTAACTTAGCTTTCTAAGCTATCCACACATTGCGTTTCTCTTGACTCTCGACTTCAGTTCGGATACATCTGATCAACTACTTTCGACATTCTGCTAGGTTCAAGGGTCATAACTTAGCAGGGCTACACACGGGCCAATGCCAGTTCATATGCATACTGAGTACGTCTGGGCTCTATGGGTTACATTAACATTCTTCACATTGACGGCATTTCGTATTTCCACTTATCCAAGATTATATAAGCTTATTTCAACCGAGCTATCCGCATGTATCAAAGCGGCAAAACGAGGTTCCGCATTGCTGCAGTAGAAGAAAAAACTAAACTGATCAGGTGGCCCTTGCTGGCCAGGAATTCTAACTCACGGGCTCGCCCGAATCAAATCCCCAGCCAGGCCAAGTTTTTCTGGGGTTACGACTCAGCTCCTTGTTATTATGGACCCACATGGTCCACATGTTTGTAGCGTTATAGCTCGTTAACGGTTTGGTAGATTCTGCGATTGCACCATGGTACCCATCTCAAAGAGAGGTTTGAGACATTAAAAAAAAAACGAGAAGAATTTGTCCGTGATACTATCGTTACGATCATGCATTGATATCTTTTTTCCCTCTTGCCGTCGGTAGCCACGATTGGCTCGGTAGGCATATATGCGGCCGGTGCTATATGATATCACGACTAATCTGCGAACACGCCCTGTACACGCACAGTGCACACGAGAACGCAGAATAGTTACTTAGGCCTTTCTTTGCACCATTTTGTGGCCAGGCTGTTGGTTGGTTGGCTAGCTAGTTCGCGGTTTGGTGATCGATTTACAAGTAGTTAGCCCTCAAGCATCGGCTCTTTTGCCGTTACCCGACTTGAGGATTTAGGGCGCCATCGGCGCAGGGTGCGTGTTAGCTCCGGCGGAGACTTGGAGAGTTCCTAGCTAGATCAAAGTTGAGAGGAAATAATAATAACTTGGGGATTTCTAGATTTTTTTTGAGTCTTTTAACTAGTTGTCTTCTCCCTCCTGTTAATTTATTTTCTCTTAAGCTCTTACGAATGCATTTTCAACTGTTCACGACGTTGACGACTTGACGACTTGATATCTCTTTCACGATTTTGGAGTTAGGATGGGAGAAACGGATCTAGAAAAGCTAGCTGCGGCAACAGGCGAAGGCGCCACGGTTCTGCAACCGTCAAACGATATATCGGCCTTGAGCGATCAGAATGCAAACCATTCGACGGGGAGTGAAGGAAGTAGTAGTGAGCAGGAGGTCATCGGAACCGAACTACAGCCTATCAATTCCACTGTCAGCTATGAAGCCGCAGATACTAAAACTAAAATTATAATTGTCAGCGCATTATGTGTAAGTTTTCTTTGTTATCGAATATGTTTTTTTCGTTCGGTTGTATGTCATCGGATATGCCCGCTAATACCAAAAACTACAATAGATAAACTTATTTCTATGCGCGCTGGACCAAACCATTGTATCAACGTTAGTTCTTCATTCGCTAGCTATAGCCCCCCTTGCGGCTGCTCTTTGAAGGAACTATGTTACTAACAGTTTATTTTTTGATATCATAGTGCATTGTGAGTATTCAGATTCATTTGATTCTGAACAATTCTAGAATTGCTAGGATTATATACGCCATTCGTTTCAACACGGAAGGTTTACCACACGACCAATTTGATGTCGTACTATATCAAAATCAAAACTAATACATTTTGTGGGGAAGGCCTGCAATAATCGAGGACCTTGGTGGAAACGTTGCATATTCATGGGTATAGTATACTCGTCGCTTTATAACTTTATATAAGTTTATATTTTTTATAATAATAATTTGAAAACTGACTCTACTTGACTGCTAGGTTGGAAGCTCATACCTGATAGCCTCATCGGCTTTTATCCCGAGGTACGGCAATATTTTGAAAATTAAATATAAATGTCAAAAGGAATCATTCCGTGTGTAGAACTAATCAATTGTCTTTAGCTGGGGTAAATTCTCCGACATCTGGGGTCGAAAACCAATAATTATGGTTGGATCCGTGATTTTTATGGTTGGAAGTATCTTGACAGCTGCTGCAAAGGATATGGGGACCCTTATTGCCGGCCGTACAATCCAAGGTTTTGGTGGAGGTGGTATTATGGTACTGGTTAACATTACTGTTTCCGATATCGTAACTATGAGAGAGCGTGGAAAGTATCTAGGTAAGATGTTGTCTGAGCTGAGGTATAATTTTTGTGGAACCGGATCTAACATCGACGTCGTGTAACAGCGGCTGTGGGGGCGACATGGGCGATATCTAGCGCCATTGGACCGATTATCGGTGGAGCTTTTGCTACACATGCGTCGTGGAGGTGGTGCTTTATTATTAACATACCGGTGAGTGGCCAATATAAGTACTTTGGAGAATTTTTATACCCTTAGATCGATGTATTAATATATATTATGATTTAGATTGGCCTCATCGCTATGGTCGTTATTTGGTACTTCTTGCATCTACATTCTCCGAAAATTGGTGTTATGGAAGGCTTGAAGCAGGTAGATTGGCTGGGAAGTCTTTTCGCGGTGTAAGTTTCTGGCTTCAGTTGGGCACCACGGGACCCTTGATTTCCCATAGGCTTTGGCACTAACAATACTTTTTCTTTCAGTGGAGGGACAACTTTGTTTTTGGTAGGTCTTGCGAGCGCTGAGAACTAGACTAAGAATATGCTACTAATCTCTGTGTATCTAGGTCGGAATCGACAGTGGTGGAGTTACTGAGCCTTGGAATAGCCCGTTGGTCCTCTCCTGCCTAATAATCGGGTCAACTATGCTCGTATCTCTCATCTTCATCGAATGGAAAGTCACAGCGTAAGGAAATTCATTATTCTTTTAGATGTATTACGAACTCGTTACTAATTTAGTTTACTTTAGGAATCCCATTATGCCCCCGAGAGTATTTGGTCACAAAACAGCACTTGCGAGTAAGCACAATTTGATTATTTGTTATATCCCCAGTCCTCAATACTAACATAGCGCTAGGTTACGTTATTTGTTTCTTGCATGCTCAAACCTTCATTGCTGGCGCCTTTTACCTGTAAGTTATTTCCCCGTCGTCAAAATGACAGTCGCTGTTTCTCACAATTGGATCTAGGCCTTTATACTTCCAATCGGCTCTCGGGAAAACACCATTGATGTCTGGTGTTCTTAACCTGCCGTTTGTTTTCATGTTGAGCATCGGATCCATGGGTACTGGAATAGTCATTGCAAAAACCGGAAATTACCGCCCGATAATGCGAATCGGCTTGGTATTTATGGCTGCCGGAGCCGGAGCGTTTGTGGATTGGGATAGAACGTCTTCGATGGTGAAGATTGTCTTCGTGAGTTTTCTATTTCTAGGCGGTATTTTTTTATCGCAATTCATATATGCTGACAAGAGATCATAGTTCCAATTTATTGCCGGCTTTGGCCTTGGACCGAACTTTCAATCTCCACTTATTGCTAGTATGTGACCGGTATTTTAGGCATTGTGCCCGGTAGCTACGGGATGTTTTTTGCTGACAATTTGAATAGTCCATAGTACGATCCAACCTGCCGATATTGCGGTAGCCACTGGTGCATTTGCTTTCATCAGAAACCTTGCCTGTGCCATTGGGTAAGTAAAGAAATGGAGAAACCATAAGAATTTATCCGAAGAAAAGAAGAGACCAATCTAATGATATTTGATTCTAGTGTGTCTGTCGGAAATGTCATATTCGCCAATGAGTTCAATCGCAGAATCCCATCTATAATGCAAAGTCTCAGTCCAGAAACCGTACGATTAATCTCCGGAAATGGTGGAGCATCCAGCACTGGCGCTGTAAGCAGGTTACCCGCGAATGAAAGAATACCAATTCAGGATGCATATGCCGAGTCATTGAGTGTTATGTGGTGGTATTTTGTCGGGGTCAGCGTGGCAGCTTTACTATTTAGTTTACTTGTAGGGAAGCATACACTTAGCACAAAGCTGGAAAGTGTGCAGCCGGCAAAGGCGAGGAAGAAGAGTGAGAAGGCGAAAAAAGCCAAGGAGAATGTAGGCGACGGGCCCGATGTGGCTGTTGACGAGAAGGGTGGAAGAAGAATGGTTGGGAACGATGTTGTATAGTTTAATAGTCATGATCATATCAATTTTGCTATATTTCTTTATAATATACATATAAGTAGTCATATAACTAGTACTTACAATAAATATAAAACATATTTTGAACTAGAAGACCTTTGAGTTTACAGGTCAATTAGTTATTCTATTATGTCGTAATCGTGTGTCGCAGCTGGATATCATGATATGATACCACGATCTGTATCAAGGTCTTGATAGTAAATCAGTCTTTCAATTGCAGATGCTGAAGTCGCACTAGTTGGATCAATCTAAAGTATCAAGCCAAAACAGTGCCTAAATATCCTAGCCTAGAAGTAATCTATGGATCGGTTTAACTTCACTTTTAGCACAAGGGGCAGCTTTGGAAACTAGCTTATGCATTATGAGAGAGGTGAGATCTTGTGTTTGATGTGGTATTTGCTGAGTTTCCCAATATGGAATGGCAATTTGTCCGAAACTGGCTTAGTGCGGCGCCAAAAAGTAAAAATGGCAGAAGTTCGACTCAGCCAAAATCCTGAAACTGAGATCAAAAAATTATCAGACCCTCTCTCTCTCAAGTCCACAGCTTTCTATCCTTACCCACTCACACCTACGACCTCATCACAAATCCCACTGATAAGGGGGTAATCTACCTGACCTTTGTCCAGATTCATATCCTTCTTATCATTTCTATATAGCAAAATCCACCTGGTCTCGTGCCTTTTTTTGGTACCTTTACCCTGTATGAGCCAGTGCCAACTATGGTCACTCTGTCGGCGCCGGCACCACCCGCCATGGTGGGGCGAAAGACCTTGAAACGAGAAGCATCAACCCTCGAAGATTCGGACGTCTCAATGGCATCTGCGGATGACCGTCCTGCGAAGAAGGTCCGATTTACGGATGAAGACCTTGGCGAGGATCTCCGCAGAAAGATCATATTGACCGCATTGGAGGATCAGAACAAGGTAGTCCATCAATCCCAAAGTCGACCAACATAACACCTTGTTGACTAATTGGATTTCAGAATGGAAAATCACAGCATTTCGAGGAACTCAGGAAGAAGTTTACAGCCCGACTCTCGGACCCATCGGCACCAGATGCAACAGAACTTTCGCAAACGATACAATGCCTAATGCTGGTCATCTCACAATTGGATAAAAGCTGCGCTCCTCTTATCAACGACATCATTCATACGAATTGGGCGGGGAGACCTCAGGCCTTCTATAGGAAATACATGGCCTTTCTGCTTCAGATTATATCCGCTCACCCTCAACATACGGCGAAAGTGGTACAGATGCTAGTTAAGCACTTAGCTCTTGGTACGGGAAGAGTGATGTTTAGGACCTTATTCAGTGCTATTGGCTGACTTTTTCCCCTAGAAACCGTAAAGGACGCCCAAGAATGCGGCTCTAATGTTAGCCCGAGATCGGATATCTTCGCAACGGTTCACAAAATGCTGGAAACGATATTAGGACTCGCGCCGACAGTATGGAACTCGTTATTCACAGCTATATCGGCGGCATTCCCCTTCAAAGGACAAAAGAAGATACACCAGACAACTTTTATTAAGAACTTGCTTGCGATCCTCAAATATGCTCCGGCAGGGAAGGCAAAGATACTCGGGTTGATCTTCGAAAAGATGATCAACCTCGACGGCGAAATACAAATCAACCTGGAGGACCTCGAGGAAGGAGAAGGTGAAGAGCTCGATAGACAGCTCAAGTTATCACTGGAGTCAAAAAATGGACAGAATTTGTCGGATTCGGGTATTGGGGACGATGAAGACGATGAAGACGATGACAGTGATGCGGACGATGATGAGGATGATGAAGATCCGGAGAGCAGCGAACCCCGAACCATAGAAATGATTCAGGAAACAGTCGACAAGCTCGATGCGATGCTTGCCCTTGTCTTTGGATATTACGATAGCAAGCTTCCTAAAAGGAGCGTTGCGGAGCCGGCCCAAGAGGATCTAGAAAATTTTGAACTCCTCCTCCACTTCTTCGACACCATAATATTAACAACATTTAAATCGCAATACATCCAGTTTGTTGTGTTTTGGGCGGCACAGAAATCGCCGGTCTTTATGGACATATTCCTGGGAATGCTTGTAGAGCGCGCAATGGACCCGACAAAGCCTCAGGTTGCTCGTCAAGCAGCAGCGGCATACGTTGCATCCTTTGTAGCCAGGGCGAAGTTACTTGAGCGAGACGCTGTAAGGTCCGTTGTTCGCATGCTTTGTCTGTGGTTAGAGAAGTACCTCAAAGATCGAGAGGTAGAATGCACAAGCCCAAACGTCCGAAAGTTCGGTGGATTCTATGCAGTTTTCCAGGCTGTTATGTACATCTTTTGTTTCAGGTGGCGTGACCTTAGAGGGAAAACCCCCCTCCCTGTTGGGGAGGATGAATCAATCGAGGATATCAGTAGAAGCCCGCAATCATGGGCTCCTGGACTTCAAGTAATTGACCGACTCCTTACTTCAAGATTCAACCCACTTAAGGTGAGCTATCATATCTTTTTGATCTTGGCTTTAGACAGGCACTAATAACTTAGTATAGGTCTGCTCCCAAAATGTTGTCACTCAATTTGCGGAAGTTGCAAGCCACTTTGGTGTCTTCTATTGCTATTCGATAATTGAGAGGAACAAAAGGGGAAATTTATTCTCGAGTAGGGGTTCTAGTACGGAGCTTCCAGAGGCTACCCAGCTTGAGACATACTTCCCATTCGATCCATTCAAACTCTCACATTCGAAGATATGGGTTGAACCATATTATCAACAATGGGAACCTGTTCCTGGAATGAAAAAGGATGGCGACGAAGATGACGATTCAGATGATTCAGACGATTCAGACGAGTCTGGGGATGAGGGAGAGAATGGTCAAGGCGATGAAACTGGTGACGAAGAAGGAGACTCGGAGGAAGATGAAAGCGACGACGAGTGATATCGTTACCTAAAAGTGCTTTCGTATTTTTCTTTCAAGGCATTTCACTACATTTACATATATTTTGTCTGGGCTTAGCGTTTGGGATACTATCATGGTGGCGTTCAGGTTTGTTATAGGAGCAGATCTAAGAAAGATTAGGTCGTTAGGGTGGCGTTTCTTCATTTGTATTTAGTCTACCTTCATATTTCAACTTTCTCAACCGAACTTGACCGAACTACTTTCCATTCTTTCCATTCAATGGCTTCTTAGATTCATTTTGGGTAGCTCCAGCCAAGGTAAAGGTGGTGAGAGGCATCACGTGACCGTCAGGGTCCATTCCCAAACACCCTTCGACTCTTCCGACTCTTGTTACCCCAAATCCAAACGAACAGGCCGGCAAGCTTGGGAAATCCTTGGAGGAACTTTTCAAGACAGCGACAGCAAAAACCTGCGATACTATCGGATCGAAAAATGGCAGCTATACGACGCTTCACGACACTGTTCGGCTGAACAACCCCATACTACTTTTCTCCTACGCAATACCAAGATCAGAGAGCTTAAAAGAGACGATCATAGCTTTTTCCCAACAGGGGAAGCCGCTCCAGCCGGCTGGCTGTTGAGCTGTGCACGGGGAGAGGGCCGGGTGGGTTTTTAGTGTATCACGGGCAAGATGTATAGCTATCATCAGTCCCCTGATGAGTACGAGAAGACAGATCTTGTGGGAAAGGGCTCCTTTGGATCTGTATACAAAGCGTAAGTGGAGCGGTATTACTTAAGTTGTGTGGACGAAATATAAGGGGGTTCGTAAGCTAACATACCATTGTCATCACTTTCTTGCAAACAGAGTCCATAAACCTACTCGACAAATCGTCGCCGTTAAAATTCTCAGTCTCGATGTCGCGGAACAGGAGCTTGTGGATGTACAACAAGAAATTCAGTTGCTGAGTCAATTGAAAGCTGCGGAAGGTGTCAATGTTACAAAGTACTATGGAGCATTTATGAAAGGGGACGAGCTATGGATTATTATGGACTACTGCAGCGGGGGCAGTGTGAGGACATTGGTAGGTATTTTCAAGCTTCAGATTGACTGTGCCGCCAGAAGAAGCTAACACAGCACAAAGATGAAACCAGGTCGCATCAGTGAAAGATACCTTACTATCATCATCCGGGAGACGGTCAGTGCACTAGCTTTCATACATAAATTCGGAGTCATCCATCGAGATGTCAAAGGTATGTTCGAGATAGATGTTCTGGCCCGCAACATTTTCAGGAGTTAAGCTAATACTTTCACCTAGCTGCCAACATCCTCGTCGGAAACGACGGGAGGGTGCAACTTTGCGATTTTGGTGTTTCTGCACTGGTCCAAAATCCTAATGTTAAGAGGAGTACATTCGTCGGAACACCTTGGTGGATGGCACCAGAGGTTATTCTCGAGAATCAGAGCTACAACTACAAAGCCGACATCTGGTCTCTAGGGATCACCATCCTAGAAATAGCGAATGGTCACCCCCCATATCACGATCAGGAACCAATGCGAGCTTTGTTGATGATTCCACGGCAACCCCCTTCACGTCTGGAGGGCGGAGACTGGTCGCAAGCGTTAAGAGATTTCGTTTCTTACTGCTTGTGTGAGATGCCGGAAGAACGTATGTCTGGCGAAGAGCTTGCGAAACAGAAACTGCTCAAAAGTGTTAGCCGGACGCCGGTATCCATCTTGAAGGACCTCGTTGTAAGACTCGAGGAATGGCAACGGAAAGGAAACGTCCGAAATTCCCTAATGGGGGGACCTCATGCCATGAATGCTATGCGTGGAGCGGATGACGACGAGATAACGTGGGACTTCGATGAAAATGCGGATGATTCTACAGCCACGAGTGTCAATTATGCCCAGAGGCACATGCCTCAAGGCTCGCTCACTTCGTTTATCTCCATTGACAGTACCGACACTCTCAAACCGGTCCCTACAACAGCGACTTCGAAGCCCATTCACGCTGGGACAGACCATCCTCTATTGCAACTTTTTGCTAGCGACCCATCTGCCACGGGCCTTATGAGCCCACCGGTACAAGCTACCTTGCAGCCCGCTTTCCAACCGGCATCGACGTCACAGAAACCTCCACCGCCTTCTTTTAGGTCACCGGCAAGTACAAGACCGACAAGCCCGGAGCCTTTGATGACTATCGACCTCCCTTCATTTGATGAAATCGATGGCGATATAGTTGCGCCAAAGGGGACTTCACCGGCTCCCATAATGCAAATCGAACTACCATCAGTCGAGGAGTTTCAGACGATGAGACAAGCTACCACCCCATTGTCACAGGCCCACGTCGTTCCCACTGTCCCCTCCGCACCTATGCTTGCACCTTCGGTTAACGTAGATCGCCCAGATAAATTATCTAGTGGCCGTCCTCACAGAAGTGATAGAGGCCTACACATGCCTAGCAAGAGTGCGGATATTCCTCCCACGCATTTTGGTCATGGGCCAACCTCACCTATGAGAAAACCATCGGCAATGCCACCCCCCCAGACACCAGAAGACCCGTCAAAGAAAGCTTCGGAGACAATACCAGTGTCTGCCCCGTCTTCACCACCGAGGAGTAGGACCAAGATTACTCATGCTATAGGGGCGGCTGGGATATCTGGGTTGAATGCTGCTAACGGCGGATCTGGACGAAAAACACATCATTTACCATCCCTTTCGGCACCTCAAGTATCCTATCGTGATGGCCCTACCTCTGAACCAGTACCCCCGGTTCCAAATATATCCGATCTAAATAAGACGAAATCTGCGGAGTCGACTCCGCAATCGTCGAAACCTCGCTTAGTTGTGGACCCAGATGTCCCCAAACCTTCTGTCCCTTCGGTTATCACTGCCACTCCTCCTAGTGTCCATTCGACCCCACGAGGAACTCCTGGCTTCAAACGAGCAGATCTAAGCTTGAAGCTTCCTGCTCCCTCAATTCACGGTATCGAGATACAAAACAATCCACAGATGCCTCACTCGCCTGGACGGTTTCTTTCACCTTTCGCAAACAGCTCAGGATTCGGGTCACAGACCCCGACCCCAACAGCTGCAAGCCATGCACAATCATTTCATCTTGGTATACCGTCACAGCCGCCCCCGGTGTCAATGGACCCCTGGGGGATGCCTTACAACGTGGCACTAAACCCCAACGTTTTCTTCCCTAGTGCTTCAAACGAAGAAGTTTTGTCAGAGCTCAATAGGATGATGATTTTGCTTGACAGCTCACTCAATGTTTTCGCCCATGGACTAAAACAAATGCAAAACCAAGGGAAGGGACAGCCCGGGCCTGCTTCAGGACCTAATAACCCCCCCATTGCCATCAAAATGGCAAAGAAGAAGAGAAAGGCTGGCGTGGACCAGGCTAAGCAGTCTGACACCGAAGGCTTCGCAAGCGAGGCAAGCCAGGCTGCTGATTAACAAATCCAAAATGGATATCGAGGAAGTCAGCGCTTAAACATATATCATGTTCAATACATAGATTGAAGACTAACCCAGAGTTGTACTAATCACCGAGAAGTTAACAGCCATCTAGCGCAGTTAAATGCCGTTACTATTTCAGTTTTCTTGTTGACGAATTGTATAATCAAGATTCCTAGATTGGGGTAGCTATTTTTTTGTGTTAACGTTATTTCATTATATTTATTCGATATCAGCTTACTTCTCTTTTGTATGATATGATTATGATTCTATACTCTCAAAGGGCGTTCGAAATATCAGTTACTACCACTCCGTTGTACCTGCTGTTACTTTACCATGTTTTGCGCAAATACGGTGTCTTGGGAAAGTTTGAACGCATAGTAACTAGGTACCTCCTGCCTCTGTCTTCGTCCGCCGCCTTTTTTCCTTTTTTATTTCCTTTCTTGTATCAAACCGTCTGCAGATAGGTCATTTGAACTATACCTTTGCAAGGGGTGTATACCTCGGATTAATGGCCTGTATAATAATACTTTCCATGATACTAAGTTGCTTCCGCCATTTCCAGTCCTTTCATAACTCCCCACTAGATATGTATACCAAGTATGGTATGGCAAGGATTCACTTGTTGTAATTTGAGTTCAAGAAACGCGTTGTTTCCTCCTGCATATAAACCTCTTAGCGTCGACATCCCGTCAAACACCAAGCTTGAACCAGCTATAGCTTCGACCAAGACCAGTATTTAAACCACCATCCAAACATTCTAAATAAATGCAATGGACGGCCTTCTCACACCCATCCGAATAACTTCCCTCAAAACATCAAACCCAGAGGGAGAAGCCATAGATCTCAAGTTATCGTCTACCACCTTGATCCGACCTGTAGAAGAGCTACCATCATCCACCGCGACTACTTCTTCCACATCAAAAAGTAACACAAACCGCAAACCAACATCTCCAGAAGATGCATTAGAAATCTTACGTTCACAACCATCATTATCTGAATTATCTACAACCCTTAGTTATCTATTATCACAACCACAGGTCACGACTGATACTCCTCAAAATGAATCGACATCATCATCACCGACGTTTGATATTACGTCAATATCACCTCTTACATCACGTATCGTTAACGTCTTGATCGTTGATAATATCCCTTCTTTCTGGGGGTTATTAACATCTTCGACGTCTTCACATAAAGCGGATAGGAATAAACTGCTGCAATGTCTTCGGAGTATAGTCGGTCTTGGTGGGGTTATCGAACGTCTTCGGTTACTACTAAGGCAAGTTCCAACCGCTGGAAGACCGAAGAATGTGACGGTAACGAAAATTGATGTTGAGAGTATTGGGAAGAAAGAAGGTGTGGTGGCGCAGATTAGGGATTTAATGGATGTATTGGGCTTTGTTTTAAAAGGAAATGGGGTTCTTGGAACCTTTTGGGAAAAGTTGAAGTTTACAAGCGGTTCAGGGAATGCGGAAGATAGGAAAAAGGAGATGGCATGGAAGGAGTTTGTGGGATTGGTTGCTGGTGGGAAGGTATTGTCTGTGGCTGCCGAAGCTGATATTGCGATATCAGAGGCGGATGAAGCTGTTGAAAAAAGAAGGTATTCGTGGATTGGGGAAGGAAAACAGTATACGGCGTGGTTAAGGGAGAATATTCTAAACATGGCGAACGGGACGGATATAAACGATACCGATGCATGGAAGGCGACTGCAAGCATTCTAGCCCGCGGCTTTGGGCTTGGATATACTGGTACTTCATTTCATCGTGTGGATTTGCGTGTATTGGATAACACTAATGCGAAAGATAGAATCCCTCATCGATACCAGATTATACTTAAACCCATCAACGCTAATAAAGGACATCTTCACTCGCACCCGCCTCCTCCTATCCCATCTTAAAGAACACGAAAGAGGGATCTACATCAATACTCTCCTCAAGCTCCTCTCACAAAATCACCTCCCAGTTCACTTAGAAGACAACGAGAACTACACAAAACGGGTGTCTCTCGCTGCAAAGATAATAGAGGAGCTGTGCATCCTAAATGACGGTCTTCAAAACGGATACCAAGACATCCTTCTCGAATGGATACTCGTAAACGGCGGACCTGGTTCAGGGGAACCAATAGGTATTAGACGGGCAATCATATGCGCCCTAAAAGCATCAACAGAGGCACCCACGATCTTTCAAGAAGCATTGGAAAGTCAAGTCCAGACTTTTGGTGAAAACTTATGGATACGTCACGCACCTATCATTCATCAAGAAGTTAACGTGCAATGCCTACTGCTATGCGCGGGATATGTTCATTCGCAGCCTCCCAGTTATTTGAAAATTATAGCACGGTCATCGTCATTTATGAATGGAGTATCGAATCACCTGGCTAGCACGAATACGAGAGTTAGGTTTTTAGGGATGATCGTGGGCGAGACTATCTCCACGCTGGTAGATAAAAGTGAAAGACAATTGAAGTTCAAGGATTCATTGGATGCAAGTGATGAGGAGGCTGCAAAATGGAGGGCACTGGTAAACATCGACGATATAATGCCTAACCTCGATATTTTCAAGGACAAGGCCTTTGAAGATTCACCACCAAGGAGGCCCTCAAAGAAGCCAGCATCGTCAATTAAAAAGCCAGACATCGTTGAAATCAGCAGCAGCAGCACTCCAGGCACGACCTCGATATCCAACATCCCATCTACCCGCATCCAGGAACTCGACTCCAGCTCCGACGACGATTTTATCCCCTACCCAAAACCAGATTCCGACCCAGAAGACTCAGACGACGACGCCACTCTCGTAAACCGCAAAAAGATCCCCCCACCGGTCTACATCCGCGACCTCCTCTACCTCCTCACCGACCACGACTCATTCGACAAGCAAAAAGTAGCTCTCCTCCACGCCGCCGTTCTAATCCGCCGCAAAGCAACCTACGGCACCGAAGTCTCCGCTCACGCTGTAGACCTCCTAACCGCATTAGTAGGCATGCAAGGTAAATTCTCTATGGAAGACTTCGACAACCTACGTTTGAAAGCCGTAGTATCACTTCTCGTCACCCTCCCGTTAATTTCAGGCCCTTGGACTTCCCAACGAATCTTCGAGGGTGATTACTCCCTCGCCGAACGGTGCGTAATGCTCAGTGGGATAGGTATAGCAGCAATGGAACTATCAGGTGAAGAAATCCCCGAAGATTCACCACTATATCGCCTCCAACTCTCCACCTCAGAGAAGGAAAAAACACAATTCCCATCAAAGAAGCTTCCAAAACGTCTTCACGACACCTACGCACCACTAGATACAGCGATAGACACAATATCAACCCGTCTAAAGGATAGCATCCTACAACCCATCGCCGCAAAAGCCGCAGATGAACTCTCAACAGCACCAAGTCTCATAAAAATCCGCAAATTCTCAACAAGAATGGAAGTAGAAGCCAACCGTAAAAAGCCTGGTGTTAATAAACTTTCCCAGGTGGTCATACCTGCGTTTTTTGGTCCGCTTACCGGTAGATGGTGGGTGTTCGTCAAAGACCACGGTGGTGCTGGTTCGGATAGGTTGATACCGCATCTACTCGGCTTATATATAAAGACCTTGACAGTATTATTGCACGCTACGGGGCCAAATGGGTTGATGGTTCCGCAGATGGTAGACGGGTTTTGGGATATACTCCTTAGTCTACGGCACGCCAAAATTACGCTAGAGAATTCAACGGTCCTGGATGCGGTGTTAATTGGCTTACTGACGATATTCGAGGTTTGTAAGGAAGATAGGGATCGAAAGCGGTTGGCAGAGGAGAGAAGTAAAGAATTGGTGGAGACGCAGGAGTGGGTGAGTAAAGTCTTTGAAGGGAGCGACGGGTCTGAGGGGAATGGTGAGGAAAGGAAAGGTCTTGCCGCTGCGGTGCTCTTGAGGTGTAGAGAAGTTGTGGAGCGGTATGAGAGAATACTCATGGGTGATTTGATCGGATAAGTGATTCGTTCCCTGGATCGGGGATGTTAATGATTAATATCTACCTATTTAGCTCTTGTCAGCTAAAAACGATGTTCAAAATGACCACGAAATCCATGATACATATTTTATAATAGCAAGATCAAGATTATAATGTATCCTAGGAATTTGATGCATTAAGAATGCATGATGCAATTGATGGTTACTACACTGGGAACGAGACTAGTTACTACATATGGAAACTTGCGTCCGTATTCGAGCTTTAGCCATGAGAAGAGAACATAGTCTATTCAATTTATGAAATCGCAGATAGAACATTCGACTTTTTTATGGGAATTAGCCCTCGTTGGAATACTATCATTAAAATAGGACGGATAGAACCGCCAATGCTCGGATTTAGTAAAGGAAAACCATAGTTTCCCCATGATCAGCGTAACAGAATAGAAAAATTCAACCCAGGGAAGCTCCACAAAACGTAAGCATTGCCATATCCCCAAGTCCCGATAAAAGCACAAGTAAACGCCCGCATGACTCAAAGAATATTGTGATGAACGAAAAAAATAAGTAGCAGGAAAGAGTCATGAAGAAAACCATTGAACGCAAACGATGAAGTAAGCCCAAAGTCCCAGGAACGCAAGAAACGGAGGCATGAGCTATGAAAGGCAAGATAAAATCATAAAGACATGAGCAAATGTCACCCGCTGTAGATGAGGAGGTGCTATGGCCGTAGTGAATAAAGCACTGAGAAGAGTCGGCAGGAAGGTGTATAAACAATAATTTGGTGGAACCGTTGAATGAAAAGAATTAAGACTTGCTCCTTCGGAACCAAGATTTTCTCTTCTCTTTCCCTTCAACCGCAGCCGAACTTTTTGAGACTGCAGTTTTTGTTGGTTGCTGCTGACTCCATGCGGCTTGGGTTTGTTGCTGCTGCTGCCCATACGGTTGCCTGTACTGGCCTTGATTTTGTGGGGTTTGGTTTTGTCCATTCTGGGAACCATATTGCTGCTGCTGTTGAGCGTAGCCGTTTTGCGGTTGTTGCTGCTGCTGCTGGGGGTAACCATTTTGTTGGGGATATCCATTCTGTTGCTGGGGTTGATTGCTATAGCCGTTCTGATATCCTGTCGGTGGGGAATTTCCCGAGAGTCTATTGATATTTGGCAAGGGCTTATCATTTGAACCTAGCGGTAATCTACCTGGTTGTTGGTATTGCTGCTGCTGCTGCTGCTCATAGGTGGCATACCCCGAGGCATCGGAAGATGGGTTCGTAGAATATGGGTCTCCGGACCAGCCGCTTCCACCAGAGTTGGAATCAGATGGAACTTCTCCTCGATATCGGGAGCCGCTGGGTGCACCTTCGAAACCTGAGCTTCGCTGATGCTGGTATTGCGGCCTCTGCGAATACGAGTTACCGTTGTCGTAGCTAGAAGTAAAGTAAAGAGTAAGTGGGATGCAGGATACTTGGAAGCTGAAGAAACATACTACTCATGAGTCGATTGCCTTGCACTCTGGTCACCATATTGGTGGGCCATTGAGGCACGCTGTGAATTCTGTTGTTCATATTGCGAATTCGACCCTATGAAAGATACATTATTAGTGCATGCACCATTGATAACCAGATAACGAAGCAATTATGTAGCCTCGAAACCAGGCGCGGAATTATGCCAAGTTGTCGCATTTGTTTTTCGGATCTATAAATGGGTAGAACAAGAATGCAGGGGTGTCGAAAAACACATACCGTATCTATTCGAGCGACGTGGGGTATATTCTCTGTCATAATCATTGTTGATAGCTTTCTCGAAACCCCGAATAGTATCTAGAGGGCGCTCCATTCTGTGGCGTGTAGGATTGCTCCGGTCTGGGTCGGCTATATTCAAAATTGCAACGTTAACACAAAATTGCAAGCCAGAGACAGAACTCAGGCGCCAAAAACGTACTAATCTCATTGCCATATTGGTCTTTATGTCGCATTTGCGAAATACCCTTGCCGGCTTGCTGAGCAATAGCCCATGGTTCCTCCTCCGTGATAGCTCTGGAAGGGTCGACGTTCTTGCCCATCTTTCTTTTGTCTCGATGGTGTTCTGTTAGGTCGATCTTGACCTTTTTTTTGCTGGAAAAGAGAGGCATTAGTATGATTTTATGGGTGCGCGGGACCCTGCCGAATTGTTGTTTTCGATAATTTTATGTGAGGTGAAAAAGAAGAAAAAGGATTGATGTAGGGACTGGGATGTATGTGATTCGTATGACGGAGTGTCGGAAAGATCACAGGGAGCGATAGATATGTTCAAGGAAAGGTGGAAGTTGTGGTCGAGGAGGAAGAGTTCAGCTAGAGCGATGACCTCGATGGAAGAATTATCCAAGAGGTGTAACGTAATGTAACCAAACTACCTTGCTCTGCACCGATGTATTCTCGTCAAGGAACAGCTGTTATAACAGACAGAGTACAGTGTGTGCGCCGCTTGTTATCCAGGTACAGGGCAAATGCGAATGGGTAAAAACGGCTATTTTGTGAAACGAGCAGCGCCAGAATTTATTTCGAAATAAAAAATGGCAAAGCAAATAAAATAGTTATAAAAGTTGGAATGAATGATTAATCGTTTGAAAAGATCATCAATGTTGGGTCGAAACGCCGCAGGATTGACAGTATATCAACGTCGCGCGGAATGATCGTGACCAAAGCATTTATCCTCTTCGGGTGGTGCGACTCGATGTCATTGTAGACAGGAACAATAAGACTTAACGAGCGAAGGGACAAGGGGTGCATGTGCATGGAACGAGGGCAGGATGGGAAAGAGCGGGAAAAAGACGAAAAAGAAGAGCAGGTGCAGGAAAATAAAATAAGACAGAAAAGGAAGAGAGGGGGGAAGAGCACGAACAGATTTAATTGTAGATGATCTATGTAATTAGTAACTCAAGTAAATAGGGCCGTACGTATGTATGTCCGAAGAAAAATGCTGTAGTATGAGCGAGATATTATGGCTGGGTGGGCTGGATGTCTAGGACTGACAGCGTCGACAGGTGGCCATGCAAGTTGTATTCCTGTTTGGGTATGCGGTATAAAAAAATTAAAAAGAAGTTGGATTGGATTGCAGCGAAAAGGCGAAAAGGCAAATGAGAAAGTCGACAATTCCGAAGGGGGAAAAAAAGGTTGGAGGCGCAGGCTTGACTGGGGTGAAATGTTGGTGGGCCGACAGACAGCAGACAGAGACTGACAGACGGCTGGGGATTGTTAGGTACCGGTAACCCAAGGAACGAACGGAACGAACGAACGTAACGTGAATATCCCGAATTTGCGGGCTGTCTATACGAGAGAATACAACCTCCCCAGGCTGCTGCAAGTATGTACAGTACCTTAACTTGGACGGAGGGCGGCCGCTTGGCGGAAAAAACGCACTTGCTCGATCTGCGTATTTCAGCAGCACAACAGGAGCAAAGGAATTATTTTTGGAACAGGTCAGAAGCCAAGGTGTCGGTGTTCCGGGTCCGGGTCCGGATACAGATGGAATCCGCTGGATATGATACGACCCGAGTAGATAGAAAAAAGGCGAGCTTGCGTAATGGCGAGTGTCGAAGTCGGGAACAAACTCTTAAGATTGTCGCAAAAGGTTGTGCACACCGACAAGGATCAGAGAGACCTTTTGGTATCGTCGCGTGGTTGGAGAACAGTACAATATGGCAGTTCACGAGGAGAGGAAGCCGAGGAATGTAAGCACAAACGGTACCTGCAGGTGACGTCCGTTGAAGTCCGAGTAGAAAGTCTGTATATACGCTACCAGAGGATATATACGAGTACCTATACTTTTGGACTTAGGTAGATTGACTTATAATTAGACTGAAAATCTTCACAGAAGAGACCCAGCAATGATCTTTTTTTCTTCTTTTCTATGACTAAAGTACTTGATGGTGGTGATGATCGAGATGTATGTTTTGGAGGAGGTTGGATGGATGAGAGATGGATTGGATGGATCGAAGGCGACAAGACAATTGCAACTGAGATGGGAGAGATGTCGAGGTATATTAATTATAAGACTGCAGACAGCGAACGAGCGACAACCAGAAATTAATCACCTAACTTAACTGCGGCCAACTTCTGTGGCTTCTCTGGCTTTGCTGACTTCTCTTTACTTAACCCAGTTCCCACTTAACTACTTACATAGTACAGTGTACAGTACTTCCCAGAATAGCTGAAAGCACTGAAAGGGAATAAACCATTGACACTCTGCGCAGGAAAAGCAAAGAAAGAAGAAGAAAGAAAGAAAGACAGAAAAATTAAAATTAAAAATGGACAAGGTTGGGCTGCTGCGAACAGAAGCTGCGACTTGCTGCTAAACTTGCGACTGTACGAACAGCCAGCCAGAAACAGAAGGGAATGCTCTGATGTAACCTCTTATCGTATCGTATCGTCCCGCTGTTCGTGAACCGCGCTAACTGATTATAAAGTAGCATGCATGTTGAGTCTTTACTATTACCCCAGAAACTCTTTTTGATGTATATCCGTTCCGCTGCGGACTATAACTCCGTCCTCTTAAAATTCATTCCTTCGTGATGCTTATGAGTTCAATCCAATGCAATATTTTGAACTGTCCAGATATCCGTTAAGTAATGAAAACTAAAAGCTGCTGGATGGGAGATAGAGATCGGTCGATGAGAACTCCCCAGTCCCTTTCCCCCTGCTGTCGACCAGCTATTTCCAGGTTCAACTGCGTCATCCCAGACTTTGCCCCCTGGCCTCCAAGTAGTATCCAAGAAGGTTTGGTGTCCTCCAAGAAGCTTGAAAGCTCCTCCCTATCAAGCTAGTTCGCTGCGGGCGTCGGAGAAAAGTAACCTTATTACCCACACACACGCAAGCTCGCGAGGCGGAGGTACGCTTTAAGGTGGGTAGGTTAGGAGCCAAAAAACCTGAAACTTGACAGAACGCGAAGGGTATCAAATTGGTCGTTAAACTTGCTCTCAACTGTTGACCGTTGATATCGAATTCGCGTCGCGATTGGTCCGACCAGAACGTGCATTGGTGGGAAAAACGGTATGCACGATGTGGAAGCAGCCTGGTCCATGTCCTGCCACCATGCATATGCAGTAACCGGTTTTTCCTGCTCTCATCAAGGTCGTACAGCTTTGCCCTCGTTTCAAACTTGCCACGAAAAGAGTAACCTCAACTGCAAAGAAAGAAAGAAGGAGAAGAAGAAAAAAATCCAGTTTTACTCCCAGTCAATACAAAGTGTCTATGTATACATATCCCGGGTTGCCAATCTAGACTAAAAAAATAATATAAAACCAAGAGCGAGCGAGAAAAAAGCCCTTCCGAGCCGTTTGATCATTCAGGGGCTCCAACCAAAATGGGTATCTTCAGAAACAAATTCTTCAATCCATGCATAGCCAGTAATTGATATCCCGTCGATCCATAAAAACCGAACGCCTGTTCACATAATCCCTTCCGCTTAGGCCGCTATTCATCGCATTCGTCATCCAAGCCGAGGAGTTCGTTTCAACTTATCCTTAGCGCCCTTGACTTAATCTCAGCCTTATAGAGCACTTTTCCAAGATTGACAGGCCAGTACCTGCTATAAAACTATCAAACCGGTGGCCGCCATATTTATCTTGTCTGTGATTGCTGCTGTTGCTGCTGTTGCTGTTGCTGCAACCGTCTAGCAAGTCCCTGGTTCGACGCATAAGCCAGTAGAAACTTAGCACACGTCAAAGTATACTTGCAAGCCCTTGTCCATGGCTCGTCTTGGTTGAATGTCAGCCGTATAGACACATCTCCAATCTTATCCTTCACTATCGTATACGGGAGAACCGCAGTCGGATCTGCTCTGGCAACAAACTCTCCCAATTGCTTTATGCAATCAAGAAATGCAACCATAGCACCGTCAAACTTGCGATGTGCAAACAGATGGCCCATTGGAATTGTACCAGAGCTAAACAGCTCCAGCGTTTGGACCCGAACATCGCTCCTACTCACAGCCCCTAGTGCAGCCCCGATCCGGCTCGATGTGGTGTCCATTTGTCTCGGTTCCATTTTTTCGATTTTCGAAGTAGATCCCATCGGTTTCAGCTTGTAATTCTCAAAGACGAAGCCGAGCTTATCGGCCACGGTATGCAGCAAAAGGAGCGTTTGACCCCATGCCGCATTTATCTCTGCCCATTCCACCTAAGAAGCAGCACCGTTAGTATTCGGAGAAGGGACAGGTACTTTAGAAGATCCACGCACAGGCTGTGACGGAAGCTTCCCCAACCGTAGACCATTGATAGTCCCAAAAAACCCATCGTGTCCAATACAGAACGTGTCATTGTATACGTTCGTACGATGTAACTTGTCTAACTGTTTCGTGTCGTGATCGAACCGCAAATTGATGCTATCACGCTCGTTTTGAAACTCTTCCAGTTGTTGGGAAAAGAGGTTCCTCTCTTGCCAAAATTCTTCTTCCTCGGCCTCCAATCTCTTTGATTCCTCCTCAGCTTCTGCAATCTCGGCTTCTATCTGAGCTTTCTCACGTTCCAAATCCTCTAATTCCAGTAAAGCAGCATCCTTCTCCTGCCTAACTTTTTCAAGATCCTCTTCCACTTTGGCAGCTTCGGCATCTGTCGGGATTTCTGCCTGTAACTTCTTCAAAAACTGCTGGTACCCATCTCTACTCTTAGTAGCTTCTCCCAGCCGTTTTTGTAGCCCTTCCACCAGTAGCTCCGTGCACTCCATACATATCGGGTAATCGATATCTGATCTAGCGCTCAAAACATCAAACAATCGTCTCGATGTCTGCATCTTATGCGACAACGAGTCTTCAGGTGTAATCCCGCTCGGTGTTGTCGCTAAGCCACCATTCTGCATCGATTCTCCGACAATAGGTTGAGGCGTTCGCAGTATGACCGAGTCCGAGAGCATGACGAAGGACTCGGCCATGTTTGCCGGTACACCAGCGAGGGGCGATGAATTTTTTGGAGCATTTGGTATACTTCGTTTAACGACCGGATGACTGCCATTCATTAAAGCTTGTTCGTATATGTCTTTTCGAAGAGAGCCGTGAGCATGACTAGCTGAGGAGTGCGTTCGGGGATCGAAGACGGTTTGTTTCGATGTTGATGATGATGCTGGTGATCCTAAAAGCCACCAGTTAGTACGCATAACCTCCTTTCGCCTTTCTAGATCACCAAGTAGTCCTATACTAGAAAAGGAATCCTAAAGGGTGTGTGAAGATACCATGTAGTAAGTTTAATGCAGCAGGGTTGAGGTTCTGAAGAGAGCCGTGAAGCTTCAACGGCGTTCTACACTGTTGGCAGAACATCTCCGCCATAGCGTCTTATTTTTGTTGGTATCACGGAGGATCGTGAAAGAAACTATACATGAGCCGGTACTATCTGGTCGAAGGTAGACAAATGGTAGATTCCATGATGTGAATGAGGTGGTATGATGGAGAAGAGAGAATGAGAAAGCTCGGTTGTGGTGTCGCAAGTCCCAGCTATCAGCAGCAATCGTCACGCGCGGAAGTGCAGCCGAGCAGCCTCGCGTAAAACTGCCACCGACGATGGCGGGGCAGATTTTGGGCACCAAATTTTTGTCCTATGAGGGTTGTTCGACTCACATTTTCAAGTTGTTCCTTTTGCATTGGAGTTGACTCTTTTTGTATCTTCTTGGTTCTAATTTAGTTTATTTAATTCGCTCGATCGATAGCTTCTTGACTCAGAAGCCGTCGTACTATCTTTGCCCAATTGAATGCCCGGCGTTCGGTTGTTTTCTTCCATTGCCAGACAGCGACTACAAGTATTTGTTACCGTTCGAGCGTCGACACAACTGACATCCCACTTCGTTCGTCCTTCAATAATCTCCACTCTTCAGCCTCAACAACAGCTCTGGTATAGCTCGAAATCTTCAGATTCAGACGATATGGGAAAACAACAGATTACCCTCAAGACCGTTAAGGGTTCCCGTGATTGTAAGCCTACACCTTCTTCATCTCGTAGTTCCCGATTTCCTGCGCAATTGAATATTTGGTATAGTGGGGCAGCTGTGGATGAGGGGCACACGATAAGAATCTAACACTTCCCGTCCAAAACTAATTAGGGGCCGGAGTCGATATCGCCGTTCGCGACAAGATCTTCGAAAAAATCACTACCACATTCAAAAAACACGGAGCAGTCTCCCTTGACACACCAGTCTTCGAACTTAAAGAAGTTCTAGCTGGAAAATATGGCGAAGATTCAAAACTCATCTACGACCTCGCCGATCAAGGAGGAGAGATCAGTTCCTTACGATACGACCTTACTGTCCCATTCGCAAGATGGCTCGCCATGAATCCGACCGTTACAGCCATTAAAAGATATCACCTCGCGAAGGTTTACAGAAGAGACCAGCCTGCTGTCTCAAAGGGTAGAATGAGGGAGTTCTACCAGTGCGATTTTGACATTGCTGGAACATACGACCCGATGTTACCCGATGCCGAAATCATGAAGATTACAGTCGAAATTCTGGACGGTTTGAATATCGGAGAGTACACTATTAAGTTAAATCACCGTCAAATCCTCGACGGATTGTTCGAAGTTTGCGGTGTGCCAAAGGATAAGATCAGACCGATATCTAGTGCCGTCGACAAGCTAGATAAGTCACCATGGGAGGAAGTCAAAAAGGAAATGACGGAACAAAAGGGTCTTGATCCCGAAATCGCCGACAAGATTGGGGAGTTTGTACTTAAGAAGGGCGGACGGGATCTCTTGGAAGAGCTTGAAAAGACCGAATCGCTAGCTTCGAATGAGAGTATTAAAAAAGGACTGAGCGATATGAGGCTGCTATTCGACTACTTGGACGTCTTCGAAGTCACACCCAAGATTTCTTTCGATCTCTCGTTAGCTCGTGGTTTAGATTACTACACCGGTGTTATCTATGAGGTTGTCACAGAACTCTCTGCACCCCCAGCCGCCACACAGGGTCCAGTAGTTGCGTCGTCATCGAAGGGAAAGAAGAAATCGAAGGTCAACAAGGATGACCCGGAGGCAGATCGTTCGGATGATGATACCGTAGGTGTAGGTTCAATCGCTGCAGGTGGCAGATATGACGAGCTGGTCGGCATGTTTTCCGGAAAGGGCAAGATTCCATGTGTCGGTATCTCTTTCGGTGTTGACAGAATATACAGTATCATCAGGAAGAGACTAGAGAACAGCCCAGCAGTTCTCAGAAGCTCCGATGTTGATATCTATGTTATGGCAATGCCTGAAGGTTCTGGGGAGAACAAAAACGGATTTTTGAAGGAGCGAATGGCTATTGCTAAGAGGCTCTGGGAAGGCGGTATCAAGGTACGAAATTCTCAGGCCCCCTCAAAGCCACCGCATATGAAGATTTTATACTAAAAAATAACTATTCAAAATTTAGGCCGAGTTCCTGTACAAAGCTTGCCCTAAGATGCAGGCACAGTTCAAAGCCGCAGAAGTTGGAGGTGTTCCATTCGCCGTGATTATCTTCAATGAGCAACTTGGACTCGACACTGTTCGAATCAAAGAATTGGGTCTTCCCGAAGGTCACCCCGAGAAGGAGGGTGTCCCAGTAGCTGTCAAAGACTTGGTAGAGGAAGTTAAGAAGAGGTTAAAGTCTACCGGAGGTATCGAACAATACATCTCGAGAATAAAGCTGGAGGAGACCCAGACAGTCGAAGCTGCGACTACCCAGTAAATATATAAACAAACCTCGAGGTCAAGATATATTGCCATCCGATGTTAATTATAGTATCTTCACTGCATTGCGTGCTCATATCAATAATATCAGATACCCGCACCCCTCTCTACATATCTACAATCTGATATGTATAGATATTCATAAAAACTATCTACGTGGAGATCGTCATCGATAAATTGTCAGAAGCCAGTATATATCTGCGAGGATCAGCTGTGCAATGCACTAGCCGAAAACTAGGAACAGATAGCTACACTCGATGCTAGGGATTGTCCCAGGGCAAGGGAATCGTGAATAGAAGCCACTAGCTCGCTTTGGAACCTTTAAAAACTTCATTCATGACTCTCCAGCTCCTCGAGGTCCGAGACTACAACTCCTCTTAAGAGCTGCAACACGCTACTTCTTTCTCCTCCCACAACAAGACCGGCCGCCTCCTACTTCGAATAATATGCATGCGCGGCGTGGCAGCGGGGTAATGGTATCGATAACCGACGAGGCTGGATGAATTGGAAGGGGTCACGTCCAAATGGTATTTTTCGAATCAGATTCATGCATCATGTCTCCCTCCAGTGTTCCCTCCGTTCTTTCTCTCTTCCTAAAAGTCGGAGCCCACTTTTTAAATGGAACGAGTCCTCTAATTATTCCTTCGAGCAAGCCAACTTCATAAGGTCCAACTAACATGCCCACGCCCGACCGTGACAGTTACACCGTTGGTTGGATCTGCGCTATACAGCCAGAGTATGTCGCGGCGCAGTGCTTTTTAAACGAAAAGCATGGGAAACCTGAGTCCGAATCGGTGCATATCAATGACAACAATCATTACACACTCGGAAAGATTGAAGAGCATAATATCGTTATTGCTGTTTTACCTCATGGAGAATACGATATATCTTCCGCTACAGCTATCATAAAAGACATGCTGCATAACTTTCCAAATATCAGAATTGGCTTGATGGTGGGCATCGGCGGCGGCGCACCAACCTCAAAGCACGATATCCGTCTTAGTAATATCGTAGTCGGTGCTCCACGCGATGGAAGCGGCGGCGTAATCCAGTACGATTTCGGGAAAACGAATCAAAATCAAAATCAAAATCAAAATCAAGATCAAAATCAAGATCAAAACCAAGATCAAGGTCAAAATCAAGGTCAAAATCAAGGTCAAAGCTTCCAACACACGGGATTCTTGAACCAGCCACCACCTATCTTGCGAGCCGCAATCACGGGGCTCGCGGCTCGGCACGAGATCGATGGCTACGAGCTTGACGAAGCTATTAGCAATGTTCTCGGTAGAAAACCCAAGCTACAAAAGAAATATAAGCAACCGGACCCGAACTACAACAGGTTATACAAATCCGAAGTAATCCATCCTTCGAAGAAAGAAAATTGTCTAACTATCTGTAGTGATAATCAGTCTAAATTAGTTTCACGATTCAACCGAACTGAAGAAGAAGGATAGGATAACCTAGCTATTCATTATAGTTTAATTGCTTCAGCAAACCAATTAATGAAGAATGCTACTATTCGAAATAGGCTCGCTGCTGAAAAGAATATTCTCTATTTTAAAATGGAGGCTACGGGGTTAATGAATTAATTCCTATGCTTAGTTATTCGAAATATCTATGATTATTCAAATTCTCATAAAAACAAGGAGTGGCAAAAATATGTGGCAATAGCAGCAACTGCATATACCAAAGACCTTCTCCACAAAGTCGTCCCTGCCAAAGTAGATGTTGAGAAAAAGATAGCTGAGGTGCCTGGGGTGCTCTCTTCAAGTAAGCTACCTCAAGTTGACTCTGAACTTTTAGAAACCATTCTACTAACAAAATTACAATTGAGAGAAATATAAATAAGATGCGTACTAATATTCAAAACACGAACAACAACGTTAAACTTATTATAAATAGAATAAAGAATACAAAGATAGGTTGTTAATTATCTACTCCGAACCCTTCAACAAATTATTATAAAGCTCTTAAACGATGCCATAAAGAATCGGGCAGTTAATTTTTAAAGAGCAAGTAATTTGTCGAATAAAAAATTCAGTGAAGTTTCTTTTTATAGCTTCATAAAATTCCTAAATACAGCAAGACAATTCTTAGTTCCACCATTATTAAAAATCTCGAAAATAACCTGGCTTGTCAACCCCTTCTCTACTTTTACTTTGACTTTACTAATACTGGCAAACAAACACTTAAAAACATGCTTCGAGCCCTAATTAGCCAGTTCTATTACAAATATGGGGACCTATCACTCCAGCTAGAGTCCCTCTATTCATCTTGCACACAGCGTGAACAATGTGTACAACCAACATGCCGATCGCTTTGTGAGACCTTCTCGCGTATAGTCGAGCAAGCCAAGGAAGTCTGGCTCATTCTGGATGCGCTTGATGAATGCAGTACAAGGGGCGGTTCGTCGACTGAGGGACTACTATCGTGGATGAACGAAATCCTAAACTCAGAACAATGGAACCTCCATCTTCTTGCTACAAGTCGGCCCGAAAATGATATCAAATCCGAAGTAGAGAATTTCATCTGTATCGATAATAGAATAGCCAAAGACGCCCTCTGGCCTCGAGACTACACAATAGCCATTCAGAGCAGCCTCGTTAGTCACGACATCAATGCGTACATTCGTACGAGGGTCAGGGAGGAGAATGGTCTTAAGAGGTGGCGATCTCATTCTGAGATTCAGAGTAAGATTGAGACTTGTCTTATGGAAAAAGCAAATGGGATGTAAGTCTAAGTTGAGAGAGATCATCGATTATATATAAGAAATGCTAAGAATGATTAGGTTTAAATGGGCTGCATGTTAGCTTGATGCCTTAGAGAACTATCTGGAATATCGCAGTCTTCAAAAGACTCTCAATTCTCTACCGACGACTTTGGATGAAACCTATGCAAGAATCTTACATGGGATTCCTGAAGAATATAAGCAGAGTGTTCTGATAATTCTCCAATTTCTAATATACTTTCTGCGCTTATTGAAGATCGAAGAAGCGATTGACGCAATAGCAGTAGATATAGAAACAGTTGTAGATGGATACTTCAATCTAAAATATAAAATGCCCAATCCTAATGAAGTCTTGTGTTATTGCTCCGGTTTAGTGGTTGTGGTATCTGCGGGAGAGCATTCATGAAATAGAGGAGTTATATTTACGGAGCTTTAGTTAGCGCATTTCTCGGTCAAGAAATATCTAGCATTGGATTGGTTGGATAGTGATATTAAATAGTATTTTTAAGAGGATGTTGTTAAAGGATTAATTGCAATGATTTGCCTTGTATATTTGTTGCACTTAGACCATAAAGCTTTAACTGATGAATTTAGGGATATTTATCCATTGGTATAATACTCTGTATGATATTGGACAACCTTTGCCGTGTTTGCTGAAAGCAAAGACGAAAAACTGCGACGGTTCATTTGAAAGTTTTTTGGCAGCTACTTGCATGGGAATTCTTATAGAAATTGCTACAATCTCTATTCGCCAGATCAACTGTGGAATAGTAATAATAACCTAGGCGAAAATAAAATTAAGCCGGCTTCGCCATTATACTATACATTGCTTGAAGGCCTCTTAGGTACAGTGAAGTATTTGCTAAATCAAAGCGCTAATATTAATGCGTAAGGTGGATATTACGACAATGCGCTTCAGACGGCATCAATAGCCGGCTACGAAAAGATTGTTGAACTTTTACTAAAACACGGTGCTGATGTTAATGCGCAAAGTGTATTTACCGGCAGTGCACTCCATCTGGCATCATGTAACGGTGATGAGAAGATTGTTGAACTTCTACTAAATTACGGTGCTGATGTCAATGCGCAATATGGAATAGGCCGCAACGCGCTTCAACTGGCATCAGCTAGCGGTTACGATAAGATTGTCGAACTTCTACTAAATCACGGTGCTAATGTTAAGTACGTTGCTACGAAAAGTGGACTTACCGTCACTGCGCTCGTGTCGGCATCCGGTAGTGGCTATGAAAAGGTTGTCAAGCTGTTACTATCTCGCGGTGCCGATGTTAATGCAAAAAGTAGCTATAGATCTGACCGTGGTGCGCTTCAGGCGGCATCAGAAGCCGGTCACCAAAAGATTGTCGAACTCCTACTAAATCACGGCGCTGAGGTGAATGCGCAAGATAAATATAATAACAGTGCGCTTCATGCGGCATCAGATAACGGTTACGAAAAGATTGTCGAACTTCTACTAAAACATGGTGCTGATGTTAATGCGCAAAGTGTATCTACCGGCAGTGCACTCCAGCTGGCATCATATAATGGTGATGAGAAGATTGTCGAGCTTTTACTAAATCACGGTGCCGATGTTCATGCAAAAAGTCGACTTTTTGGTAATGCGCTTCGGGCAGCATCAAAAGAGGGCCACAATGGAATTGTAGACCTGCTTGTAAGCAGAGGCGCTTACGATCCGGATATCTCGAGCAATTTGGGCCAATCCGGCAAGGACCCAAACGGGGTGATGCCTACGTCTGGGAACGAGACCAGCAAGAACGTTAAACGCAAACTAGTTTCGAACGTTTCCGTGGCCGCTGAAGAACAAAGCAATTCTCAATCGAAACGACAAAGATCTGGATCAGTATTCACATTCGCGGAATAACAAAAGATAGGAAATTATATGATTGTATAATATATAACAGTTAGGAATATGCTGGAATGCATTGATAGATACTTATCTATATTATAACTACTACATACTTAACTTAGCTTGGTATATACTTATATACTCCTCTTAGAAGGTAGAACCAAGCCTGGTAAGCCTTCGTATTATAAGGCTGGAATCGATGTGAACATTCCAACATGAACGGGTCAGCTGATAGATCCAGAAGTTAACTGTGGAAGTACATGTGCGATCTAGCACTGACCGAGAGCGCAGGAACAGATGACTACTTGCGGTACTTGTGTAATGGAATAGAACAAACCAGAACAGTCAACAGCACAAGCCTCAAACCTCAAACCTCAAACCTCAAACCCCAAACCCCAAACCCCAAAACTAAACAATCGCTGCTTCTAAACCTATTCCGAACCTAAGACTTAGTCATCATATCAACCTTGAACTTATACCTTTCATCCTTTTCAAAGTATTTCCATCTAGGTTGTCGTTGAATTAATTAACTGAACTCGAGTTCACTTGCGACCAAACAGTACAAGACGTATAGTAAATAGGTAGCTTCGCTTCACAGCCATAACCATTCCACCCATCCATCCCATCTCATCCCACACCATCTCTCCCGGCACAGAAACTACCAGCAACCATCGCGAAAGGGGAGGACGGTACATTCACCTCCCTTCTACACGCCCCTCTACCCTCCAAGCTGGATCCCTTACGCCACCACCGAATCCCCGCTCCTCCACCACCACCGAGATCATCATCGGGTTCACCAGCTCCGGATCCTTATGCACATGCCTCACCACGGCTAGCTGCCCCTCCACTGGGGTATCCTCCATCTCTCGTTTCCCACCGCCCACTCCCACCTCCGATACACCATGGATACTCTCACGCATACGAGACTCCAAATCGGCATGCTCCTCCTCCTCCCAGTCACTCGAGTAGGGCTAGGCTTCAACAGCAGCAGCGTATGCAGCGAACGGTATCCGAACCACTACCGCTAGGAGTCAACGGCCGACCGAATAAGGATGATAAGTCACCCCCGAGGGCAGCAGTGCCGCCTGCTCCTGTTGGACCATGTCAAGTTTGTGAAAGGCAGCTCCCGAGGCTCACATGTAAAGATTGTACACGGGATAAAATGTATCCCCTTCGGTATGAGATTATCTCGGTGCTCATAGGGAATGAGAAGCTTGAAATAGAAGTTGAGGAGGGTGCATCTAATGGCTCGGCATGTGGGAAGTTCTCAGAAGCTTTAATGGAGAAGCAAGAGCTTGAGAACACAATCACGGGCATACAAGACAGAGTCGATGAGCTTCGAACAGAACTGGAGGAGCATCGCAAGTACCTCACAGACTTGAAGTTAAAGAACCAAAAACGACAACAACTACTCAAGGAGACACGAAACGTATTATTTCAAAACAAAGATATCCTCGTGGAAAAAGTCCGAAAGGATACCAGGGTGACAAACACGAAGTGGAACGCTCTCTACGAAAGGACAGCCGAGTCTCGAGTTTTCCTGTGCCGTGAAATCGCCGGCCTCAACTTGTTGCGACAGAGACGGAAGAAACGGGCTGTCGAATACATGCTCAACGGTGTGGTTATTCCCGACATCCGACAAATTTATAACATGAATCCGAACAACATAACAGTTGCCCTCGGTCACCTGTCCCACATGTCGGTGTTGATAGCTACTTACCTGGGTCTGAAGCTTCCCTGTGAGGTTCTTCTACCGATACGTGATGCTCCATCGCCCTCAATCCGAAACCCACGTTTTAATAGAGCACGACCGTTGTCCACAACCCAACCTCTCCCTCAACTGCATTCCGTGGATTCGGAACAATATGCAATGTTCATCGAGGGAGTCAGCATGCTGGTATACAACGTAGCCTGGCTTTGTTGGAGCCAGGGTCTTGAGGAAGCAGCGGCCGAAATCGAGGATGTATGGCAGCCTGGCAGGAATATGTATCGTTTACTACTCTGTACACCGACGAAACACCATCAAGCGCTCGTCCAATGGAGCGAAGCCACGCAAGAAGCAATCACCGCGACTCCTCTTCCTCAGGGAAAGAAACCGCAAGCTGTCAACATGTTTCTTGGCCGTGTGAACCACAGCTCTGCGCACTCATTCCTAAACTCGCCACAGGGATTACAACATATGGCACGCTGGAAGATCACTCTTAATAATGTAATCGATCGCACGAAACATTTGCTTGTTAGTGAAACCTCGAATGCGGAGTGGGATCTAATTGAAAACGAGATCGAGGAAGACCCAGCTGCCAAGTTTATAAGTGAACTCGGCGAGTTTAGGGAGGATGATAAAGGGAAAGATGGATTAGCAGGGAGTCCACAGCCTGCTAAGGCGATCCCGATTAGTATCAAGAAGGGAGTAATCGGATCTATTCCTGCAGTTGGAAACGGAAGTCCTGGTGTAGGGAGCCCAAGTAGCGGGAGCGGGAAGAGAAGCGCCATTAATGGCGGAACCGAAGTATCAGCCGGATGGACAAAGTTGAAGAGGTGATTGGACGGAGAATGTTTAAAATGTTTAAGTGACAGTTTATCGGAGGAGTCAGCATCGTGCATGATGTATATTAAACATGCAGGGACAGGCCTTCATTCGCTTCTGGAGCCTTTGGGGTTTTGGAGCCGGGGATGGGGGTGTTATCGATATTCCTTCGGAGTCCGGGGGGGTGTTTATCGCTGTTTGCTGCACAATGCATAGTACAAACAGGTACTAACTAATAAATCAAAAGATTGGACATTTCGAATGTTTTAGTTTACCAAGCTTCTCGTCTTGACTGTAACGTTGTGCCATATTAGTCAAGATCAGGCCACTCATGACTATCCCGATTGATACATAACTGCGGCGTTTCGATCTAACTGATGTATGGATGTATCCATTTGGTTTAGGTGCACAGCCTTCGACGTCACCGAACATTTAATCATCGTTCACGAGGTTCAATCGAAAAAGGACCTTCGACGGAGATAAAGAGTCTATAGAGTCTATACTTGGATACACAGACGGCTCGACGAAATATCATGCATTGAATCCGGTAGACCCCTATCGGCTCGACTTGAAGGATTCGGATCACAACCGAAGTATCTACTTATGCATGTACTAGGAAAAGATAAAGGAGTAATTAAGTAGGTAGGCTCCCACCCGCCTGCTGTGCAGTTGACTTGTATGTAATATTAAGAATCTCGAAACATTATCGAGAAACGATATCGTTTAAACACTGGGCACGGCGCCTGGCATGCATCCGGCCGTCTTTAACATTCAATGCCATGCCATGCCATGCCGTCGATACAGAGTTCGGAAAACCCGGAATCGCGGTCAAGCCCTGAAGCTTTCAAAAGAATCTCGTATATTATGTATTCCTCCCATGACAGAAACAGACCAGAAACATTTTTCTTAGGAGATGCGACCGGTGCCGTTTTGAGGCGGTACAGAATGCGGCTTGGCAGGGCCCGTTTAGCTGAAGTTGGAGTGTTCGTTCCGACCAAGTCTGTTTCGACCCCTTCAAACACCCCATGCAGCAACGCTGCCTCCACGGATGGGAAAAGCTGCTGAAACAATCGTGAATAGGTTTTTCCTCAGCAGAGGCGGTGAAGGCTCGTGTGTAGAATGATATCAAGATGGTTAATTCCCCCCCTTCGTCCTTGGCTTTTTGGAGTTTCTTGAATTCTTTCCTTCCTCTTTCCACCTTTGTTAGCTTTGGTCGTTGTATTCTTGGAAACCAGTGACAGGTCGTCGAACGAACGTCGCTCTTTTATTTTGTTCTTTCTACATTCTTCTCTTCACCTTCTTTTGGATACTTTTATTCTATTTTTATTTTATAGACCTTCATTTCGATTCGTACGGCAGGCAGAGGGACAGGTCCCCCCGTTCAGTAGACTCTTTGCCCGAAGTTTTCTGTTTTCCAATGTGAGTATTTGATATGAATGCATGATGAATAACTACAATCAACTAACATCTACATAGATATCACCTTAATCTTTAATACACATTCACTTGCCTCCGTCCCAAGTACAAGTGTATATTTAACCTCCCGGAGAGGTCCAAGCAGTGCAAGCAAAATCATGTCGGTCAAGTTTAACATCAAGGCCCTTTTGGCCCTCCCTCTGTGCTTGCAGCTTCTAGTCCTCCCGACAGCACAAGCCACAAGTCCCCCAGTTCATGACCCGTACGCCGGTGCATATCCTGTACCAGTCGTGGTACCGTCTGAATATGGATATGCACCAGCACCTGAGCCGACGACGTCGACATCAGTTCATGAAATGCCACCACCAATGGTGCATGAAACCACAACGACCACATCAGTGCATGAGATGCCTCCGCCGATGGTTCATGAGACTACAACAACCACATCGGTGCATGAGATGCCCCCGCCGATGGTGCACGAGACAACCACAAGTTCTCAATCTACATCTGTTCTAGGTCAAGAAATTTCTGTATCTATATCCACAGAATTCCTGACACAGACGGCAACGATAACAGAACATCAGGTTGAGACTTCATTATCAACTGTGATTTCTCAACATGTTGTCTTCTCGCACGTCACGGTAGTTCAACATGTCCCGACGACAATTCATCAGACTCAAACTCAGATCTTGACTGAAACGGAAACAAAACATCAAGTTGTGACTGAGCACGTGGTTATGCATGTTACCGTTGTGGAACCGACTACAATCGTGGAAACTCTGCCACCAATCACGGAGACAATCCATCAATTTGTTACCCATGTGGTGGAGAAGCCAGTGACTGTAGTTTCGGTTTCCGTAATTCATAATATTGTAACTTCTGTCGTTCATGTCTCTAAAGTTATCAAGGAGACATTGACGGCGGTTGAAACAGAGACAGCTGTCAAAACCCATGTTGTAAGTTTCTTTTTTCTGCTCTGGTAACACCAGCCGGATACATTTTTCGTATAGAGATTCTAACAACATCTGTAATATATAGGTCGTCTCCGAATCTATTGAGACCCAAGTCCAGACCCAGACCATCGAAAACGAGGTTGAAGTCACCAAGACCGCAATCAACCACATAGTTTCTGAGGTCACAAAAACAAAACTTCAGCACGTTGTTTCAGAGGTCACAAAGACAGATGTACAACATGTCGTATCCGAGGTCACAAAGATAGCCCTCTCTCACGTAACACAGGAAGTTACCAAGACCGCACTAGAGGAAGTTACCAGAACCGCGGTAGAGGAAGTCACAAGAACCGCACTTGAAGAAGTAACCAAGACTGAACTGCAACATGTCGTGTCCGAAGTTACCAAAACCAAGTTGCAGCATGTTGTCTCAGAAGTTACCCGTACTCAGGTACAGCATTTGGTTTCACAGGTTACGGATACTGCTACGTTGCACTTGATCAGTACCGTTGAGAACACCGTTCATTTGATCAATACCGAAACGGTCCACCTCATCAATACCGAAACAGTACACCTTATCAATACTGAAACATTGCATTTGGTCAGTACCGTTAACAACGTCGTCCATATCATCAGCACAGTCGTGGGCCACGGGGTCACCGAAACCGTCAACTTGGTCTCAACAGTAAGTATTTCCTCTCGCCCCTCCACCGCCTTATTCCTACAAATGTCCTAACATATATACCCACAGGAAACCCTCACCGTCAGTGGTTCCCCAGTCCAATCGCCAGTACCAAGTACAAACCCCGAACCAGTTGCTCCACCAAACTACGCTCCTCCAAATAAGGCCCCCCCAAGCAACAACGGCGGTGCCTGCAATTGCCAATGTCTCTGCCCAATCGCCGCGATGCCATCGCATCCCGCACCACCAAAACACCAATATCCCCCACCAATCGCCGCGATCTCCAGCCTTCCTCCACCAAATTACATCATCACGGGTACAACAAAGGTTTACGTTCCATCCACCTATATCATGAACCCAGGGAAGGACGGACAGAGCACAGACGCCCCACATGGAACAGTAGTTCTGCCACCTACTCCACAGAAGCCAACCCCAAACCCGGTCTATAGCCGCAACTCTACCACAACCGCTGTTTATGAAATCCCATCTGAGGTTCCATCTGAGATTCCATCCGAGGTACCATCCGAGGCGCCGCCGGTACCATCCGAGGCACCTATGCCATCCGAAATCTCTTCCGAACTACCATCTGAGACCCCATACATCCCAGCCCCAACGAACGGAGCGCCCGGTAAAATTGGCGCATCCTCGGGATTTATGACCATACCATTCCCCGGATCCCAGACCAGTAGCTCAATCGAGGAAGAACCCACCATCCCAACACCTGAGCCTGAACCTACTACAGAAGCGGAATCGGAGCCATCAACCACAGCCGCAGCTGAAGAACCACCCACAGAATCAACATCAAGCGAATTCCCAACATTCACAACACCACCAACCGAATCAGCTCCATCCGAGACTCCCCTACCACCATCGGAATCATCCACAGAACTTCCCACTACAACATCATCCTCTGAACCGCTCGAGACAACCATAGACGGCGCTCCAGCAGCAAGCTTCATAGTCCCCGTAGATGGTCCACAACCCGTAGTAACCGAAGTCCCCGAGGACCCAAACTTCGGTGGCGGAGACGTCTTACCCTATGAGCCAATAGGGACCGACGGCGGTGCCGTTGTTACCATTCCTGTACCAATGAGATAGGTTGAGAGAGGGAGAAGAAGAAGAAGAAGTTCTTTAGATTTTGTGTTGAGTATGTTGTATAATGATACCATTGGAAAAGCGCTTTGTGTCTCCTACAATTAAATTGCTTCGGTTTCCTTTTGTTACTGCTCCTTTGTTTGGGTATAAAGGTATATATAAATATATATATGGGAATCTTCTATGGTTATAGCGAAGCCTTTATTTTACTATTCTTATCTTTCCTTATTTTACTATTTAATCCTTAACCTTTCTTTTATTTTTTATTTTCTTTAGCGTCAATTATCTTTCATTCTTATTATATAAATCTAGAAACTCTATGAGTTTAAACCTTCCAAAACGAAAATACAATTCGCAATTTGATCCCCATTTACTTAATTCCCATGAAGAAATACCAAACAAGAAATAATCATAAAAGCAGTCGCACCGCTGTTATAACGCTACCAAAATAATAAAAACAATAAAGATAAAAATAAAAAAACATCCAAGATCCCAAAATATCAATTAATTATACAAGATGAGAAGCGAAACAAGGAAATTCGTTGGGAATATTCATAAAAGTCATTTCATAAACAGAAGCAGGAAACTTAAACCCAAAAAACTCCTTATGAAAACCTTTAGCCTCTATTCATGGTAGTCCGAAATACTCTTCAAACTTCTCACGAGACCCTTGCGGGCCTTGCATTCAAGTTCGTGGTTGAGCCCGTGGTAGTAAACTTCAACGACAGCTCGAAGATAATAGTAGAGTGTATACCTATGAACCAACCGTTAGCATATATGTATATATGTAGGTAATTCCTCCAAGAGGAAGTTATAACTTACAATAAAACCCTTGGCCGAGCACCCTGTGCTCCCATGGGATCTCCACCATAACCATTCAAAAACGCCAAACTCGGATCTCTGAACGAAGTCTCCATCAAAGGATCTCCCCAAACAGCCTTCTCAAAGTCTGTAAGTCCGTTCAACCTTCCGGTTCTCTCGTCAACCATGACCCTTTGTGTATCACACAAATCATAACACACCAACTGTGGCACCTTAACATCATCCAACGCATACGCCAGTCTACCGACGTGCCATCGTAGAACCTCATACGGGATGCTGATAAACAAATCTTCAGCATCCCGCATCACAGACTCAAACATAGATAAGAATGCGCTGTGCCAAGTGGTATACATCTTCCCATTACCACCTGCACCTGCGAGTCCAAAATGCGAGTTGTGAATGCGGCTGACCCGTCGAGCATGTTGACCGAGATTGTAATCGACCATTGCCAAAACCTCATCTGGGAGGTCTTGACGGACCATATCGAGTGGAACTCCGGGTATGTACGTTGTGAGAAGAAATGGAACGCCTAGTAGACCCCCATTTCCGTCCTTGTTGTACATTACAACTTCGGGGACGGGGACTTCAGGTGCATTTTGTCGTATTAGCTCCAGGATTTCAAAATCCCCAGCGAGAACGTCTCGTTCGTGTTGTAAGACTCTAACATCTGATGGAGGTGCGAGGCGTAAGAGGAGCTGCGTTCTATTGTCGAGGGTGATGAGATATTGTGTGGAAAATAGATTCGCGGATAGGTCCTCGAATCTGGTGACTCTACGCTCGCCATGATAGGCAGCTTTAATTATTCTTTCGGCATCAATAATGGTAACCGCGGATTCGATGCCTGTGGAGTTGATTTGGGAGATGTCTGATTTGTTATAGGAGGTATTGATGCCTTGGAGTCCTGGCATGACAATCATCGTGGGCCAGGGAGTAGGAAGGGGAGTATATGTTATTGAAGAGGGATTTTGGATATCGATTCAACAGAGTATGCGATTTTGATACTCAATTTATCAGGAGATATAAAATTCATATTGATCAAGGAGAAAAAAAAGGCCAGAGCGCAAGGGAAATCCGGGGTGGGTTCTTAATGGTGTATATATATGAGGAACCACTTAACGCCACTCCTAATATATCGGACCAGCCTTTCTTGGAGCCATGATGGTAGGCCACTAGTCTGATGGTATTGTTGCGAAACGGGAGGCGCATGGCGTTTTTTTTTCTTGTTTGTGTGTGGTCAAAAAGGCGTTCAGCTAAACATTTAGTTAGATCGTTCGTACGATGTGCGAGTGAGAGGTGCAGTTAGGCGAGAGTTTGCATAAGGCCAAAGAATTAGAGACTCAGAAGCGAGGCCAATACCTGGCGGGTATCTGGATTTGGCAATAGTCTCCGAAGGTCCCTTTCGAGCTGTTCTTGCGACTTATTGGTAATAATTGCTCCAAGGATTGTGACGAAAGAGAGCGTTTCAGTACGCGGTCTAATAGCCACAAGCTTAAGCCATTCTGACAGCTGATTATGGGAACAGTTCATGTTGAGTTTGTTCGACTATTTCAAGCAAGTGAAAAAAAAGCAGTATTCATAAGCTCGGTTACTAGCGATGTCCGGCTACTCTCATTGGCCAGAGGGACACTGTCTCATCGGAGGCTCACTAGCGTTCCTGTTGGCATGGTCCTGGGCTGATGTCCTTCGCTTGACCCTGCAAATAAGAATACGGCATTTTATCGAGCTTCGGAGCAGCTTGCCAACCCGGCCGTTTTTCTGTGGGATGCAATTGTGAGAAGCAAGATTGGTCGACGGTGAGATAAACGAATTGGTAATATAAGCTATTGAGCACCGGACGAGCAAAGTGGAGGAAGAGGGAGGTGTGATGTCTGGTTTGATGTCTGTCTGTCCATGTACAAGGTACCCTCAAACACGTTCCTGTTCCGAGAATGTGGTCCACAACCCCGTCTTCTAGATTATTCTGGTGCCACGCCACATGCTTTCTCGTTTGTTAGGCCTTCTGATTGGTCGGCCACCAAGCCCAGGTTGAATCGCTTGTAGTGTTCGAAATCCCGGACAACACTGACACCGCAGATGTTCTGTGGGGGCGAAGTGGGTCAGTGATTTCTTAACTTCATGACAAAAAACAAAAAACGGCAAAAAACAAAGAAATATAAAGAAAAAAAGGTTGTCGTATTATCAAGCAAGGGGATTGTTGATTTGTAGATTTCCTTTCCAGAGCCTCTTTTCGAGCTCCTCGCTTCGACATCGCCGGCATAGGAATTCTTAAACGAAGGAAATGCACGAAAATTTCGAAAAAGGGAATTTCAGATTTGCTTACCCTCCACACTTCCACAATAATGAGAAGGTCATAATTTTTTAGATCGACCTTGTGATCTGGTCCGACGATTCTGGCAACTGATTTGATGATTTCATCTCGGTTCAATACACGATGATCTCGCAGATTGGGTCTGATGGCGAACTGAATGTATGAAAAAACGCGGCATCGGGGTTAGTTTTCGCCTAATGGTTAAAATCTAGAGTAACGGTCTCATTCATCCAGCATGCTAGCCAGCAAGGCAAGGGTGCGCCGTATGCATAACGACACACCGATATTGCATGATGGAGCAAATATTCCGTGTCTACGTACCTTGACACCTTTCTGGCCCTCATGAAAGTGTGGCTTGAGCACCTCATGTGCGGTTTCCTCGAGGTCAGTGATATTAGCCTTGCATGTTTTTGTGATTGGTGTGAGTCGGTTTGTGAATCTGGTCTGTCGCCGCTTCGTCTCCTCGATATCCTTGAAAATGAATCCGACTAGCTCCGCAGGATCCACGGGTTCCTTCGTATGGAAGAATATCACTATTCGTAATACCAAGAAAGAAGGGTAGTCACAAGGTCAGTCTGTAAGGAACACATCTACCGTAATTGTGGGTATATTGCCTGGAATCCATGGATAGACGGGGCAACCCACAGCAAGGAGTATCCAGTTTGATCGACGTTATCCTATTGTCCTTAGCCTTGCCTTTCGCATTGATGCCACTGATTTCTGCTGCAATCGCAGCCTCAATGTCATCGACATCCGGCTTATCTTCGGGTTCATTAGGATTTTGATTGTCGGCACTATCCGCCGTCCCCGCATCTTCCGGTCCATAAAGCTTGTCTGCATACTAGGCAGCAATCATCTTAGTATCTCGACACGGCCTGTCATTAAACAATCCCTCATCGGAAGGGACAGTATCCTTTCAGGGAGTAGAAAGAACGCAAGAACAGCGGTCCAAGAGCAGCCAAGCGAAAGAACGAGGAAAAGGTACCTCTTCAAACAGCCTATACAGCTCAGCGACACAACGGGACTCTCTCCCTTTATCGCAAGTCGCGAAGATACCTTTCTTGTATGGTTCTATGACTTTTTTGGTATTATTTGCATACCATTGCTAGTTGGTGATTGTGCGCACATAAAATGTTGCATTTGCGTTTTGTTAGCGAAAACCGGTTCCCTGCACTGTTGCATATTTCGATAACCAAAGAAATGCGTAAAGCAAACATCGAATTACTTGGAACGGAAAGTGTCTGTTCTCACCTTCGAGCGCTTGCTCCGCGACCCTTTGCCGTCATCTCCTCCTCCCCTTCGTTTTTTCGAGTGGGTCTGGGCTGACTCCGCCTTATCCATGGTCGAGCGGGTGCTGTGATAGGCTTGAGATGCAGAGTGATTCGACGGGTGTCGTTATTTCAAACAAGGACGGCTGCAGCTTGAATAGAAGGATGATTTGACTTGATTGGGTTGGGATATTGCAATTGATATCAGAGCGGATTGTCCGGGCTCGGTCTGGTCGGTCTAGTCAGTCTGGTCAGGGCTGGGTTGCTGTGGTCGTTTGGTTAAAATAATTACAACAATAACAACACAAGGTGACCAAAAACTGGCCGTAGCTGGCCGGCAGGTCCTGCCGAGTGGCTTTTGGAGGGCTGAGACAAACGGCGCCGCCGTCGACTCGACAAGCGCACGGGGGTCATGTGTCGACCTACATGTGTGTACTATGTATACAGTCTGGACTTTATCAATCAGGTTTCTATGCTACAGCAGCAACAGCAGCAGCAGCCACAGGTGACCCCGTGACGTTACATATTGTACTTCGGGTATACAATTTATGTATGATCGTTGATTGTCTATTGGTACTTCACATTATTCAGAACCGCCAAGCTACGGTATTCGCTACACTTCTATGTATATGTACACTTAAAAACGCCCCATAAGGTGGTGTTATTTCTGCCAGCTGTCAACTCGCCGTTGTAGGGTATTCCGTGCCTCTGAAATGGTCAAGCTGTAGATGCCGAGCTCTTCCATCACAGCCCTAGCTTTTTGGTTGTCTTCAAACATACAGTCCACAACGTGCTTAAGTGTCCTTTGGGCCTCGGAAGAGTCTGGATCTTTTACCTCAGCCGGTAATGCCAGCAGTATGCACGTTTCATGTAGCCTGCAATTTTGCTGTCAGCAAAGCCACGAATCCGCGTTATTGTTTTTGTTACGCATGGAATGATATACTAACCTTCTCATTACCCCGGGTGCATCAGGAATCCATTGGTGCAAAGCTGACCACACGGCTTGCATGTCTCGAAAGAATTGTTGCCCACCTTGCTCCGAAAACTGGTTTCGCGAAACGATGCTATCAAGGAAATAGTTCTCCGTTGAAATCAAAACCCGGCGAAATTCTCGCTGAAACACATTTGGCGCCCAGAAGCGAGAGAGGTAGGGGCAGAATGACGATAGCGTCTTGAGAAGGGGAACGAGCTCAGAGGAATGGCCTGATTCTTTCGATTCCGCTTCGTCTATCACTTGCCATTGTGGGCTATTGTGGGTTAGTAGCGCTACGAGAAATTCGAAACGAGATCAACGTACATTTTATAGTAAGCTTTGAGGTCCTCTCGGATGGCGTTACTGGTTAGATCGTGAATCATATTGGCTGCTTCCCTAAGGATTGTCGAATACGAAGCTGCCATTTCATCAAATAATGCGCCTTCTTCCTCCGTCCGTGATTGCGACGCCGACGCTAAACTTGCGATACTACTGATCAACCCCCCTACTGTGTTCTTCCTAGCACGAGACCCCAATTCTTCCCACATCTCCAGAAAGAACTATCTATCGTTAGCTAAGCTCTTCATTACCATAGGGATAGATCGCTCTACCAACCAAGTCCTCGCCCCAGTCCTTCATACAGTTTCCGAGAAACAATGCACTCCCATAAACTCGACACAGTCTTTCCAGTCCTGTCAAACCAGTGATAGATTCCGCGTCTTGCTTCCCCATACCCTGGACCGCCCGTCCAATCGATGAAGACAACATCTTAAAAGCTTCGATGGAAGAATGTACTCTATCGTGATATTTGTCCAGAATAGTAATTTGAATGTCGGTCAAAAAACGCAGCTTTTGGGAGAATGACTGAAGCGGGCGGTATCTTTCGGTCACGAGCTCAAGCAATTCCTTAACCCGGAATGCGGACTTCGTGGGCTTAGTTTCATTCGGTTCAACAGAATCGTAGTCAATTGCCCACGCATCTTCCGCGGCAATTATATTCTCATACCGAGTCAATGCGACTAGAACAATGCGTTGGCTTGAGTTATCAATAATTAATTCCACGGAAGGAAACTTACAGTCTTTCTCAACAGCCAACCAATTCTTAAAAAAGCTACTATCGTTGATAGTGAGAACCTCATGGGTGACCCCCCTCCAATCATCTGGATCGATCCCGAATGGACTATAAAGGTACTCATCCCGAAGCATCACATCGAACTTGATCAATTCCTGCACGAAATGTGATGCTAGTGGGCCTTGTGCCGTTAACAACGGTAGGTCGCTATCGATTTTGCGCCGGACAATAGGAAGAAGGGAAGTAATGAACTCTTGGACTGCATCATGGCTTCGAAGCTCTCCCGAGTCGATGATTGGTTGTAGGAATTCTGTGCAAAACGGCTGATATTCTCGAATGAGATTTTCTATATGTTGAAGATACCATTCCGGCTGAGGGCTTGTCAGTTATTATTCTTTCTGACTCGGAAAATATAATTGGGTTTACCTTTTCAACTTTGTTCGTTTGCCTATCCCCTTCGAAGTGATAACGAAATCGAAGAGCAAAGGCCTTGGATAGAGCGGTGAAAGCCAACAACGGAGCATATTTTGGAGATTGAGATATCTGGTTAAGAGAATTAAATGTCGATATGTCAACATTTGCAGCAATTTCTTCATCGCTGTAGGACTTTGTCAGTGTGCTCCTTAACTTCCCAAAAAATATTCCAAAGGCACATACGTCTTCCTTAAAGCAAGAATCTTCACGAATTCCGTCTCAAACTGTTGCATTTGATCAAGTGAGAGATCTTGTGTAGGCCATCCGACAGCATCTAGTGTAGTTTGAAACTGTTTGGACAGGCGCTCTTTCATATCATCCCAAAGCTGAGCCGTCGCCTGCTCGACGTATTCGACCAAATGAACCGCCGCGCCCTCTGCAATTTCATGCTTCCGCCTCAACTGTCCCGATATCTGTTGTAACTGATAATAAGGCACGAGCGCCGCTTTTGGGTCACTAGCGATAACATCCTCCGTCTGTTTTTTCAAAATATTGACAGCCTGCAAGATCGTAATATACCCCTTCGCTATCTCCAACTGCTTCAGTCGGTCAAGATTCCTTTGGTAATTCGAGACAACATCTGAGACCGTCTGGGAAGTCCGGACTTTCTCCAATCTCGTATCGATCTCAACCTGGCGTTGGAGATACTGGTGCGACTTAGTCAGAACAGAGCCAGAATGCTGCTTCTGTTCTATTTCCGCTTCGTCCAGGTCTTTTCCAACTTGGTCAAGCTATGAAGTCCATGTTAGATAGCTATTCCGGCTTTCGGGGTTAATACTTAATCGTACCTGCTGTTGTAAAAGACTATGTTGGTTTTTCAATGTATTCAACAGTGAGTCTAGAGACCTAAGGTCCGCGGAAGTCTGGATCTTGTCATTCAAATAGTCGTATACCCGAGCATCCTGCTCCTTCGGCTGAGGGGAAGCCATTTTTGAACTCAGATATCTTCTTCCTACGAAGCTTAAGCCTAGCTTTGGGCTCCAGGCTGGAATATAAGTTTGTTGAAGTTCGCCTAAAGGACACCGAACTAAACTGGGCGCTGTTTGTTCCCAAACTCAAGTATGAAATTTACCACAGCTAGCACTTCGTCCTCCGTCATACCCAATACGAAAGGCTTGTATTCTATCAAGCTGAATTTGCTAAAATATGATAGAAATTATCGTCAGACGACATATTCATAAATTCAATTTTCCAGAGAATTAAGACTATGATATTTAATTTGATTACAAACATTCAGAGATGTCATTTCGCCGAAATACCCTTTCACGGGACTCGGCGTCATATGACATCATGAAAGCGTGTTGCGCCTGTCGTTCGCGTCTTCCCAACGATGCGACGAACAATGTTCAACCCCACTAACTAAGTACCTACTACCACTAAATGACTAATATTGCAGACTACAGGTCCACGGGGTGAAGGGATCATCGAACTGTTTCTTACCCCATGATATGAGATAGCTCCATACATTAATCAAGATGCCCGAAAGCCCGGCCAAACGGCGCAAAAAGAACGACAAGTCCGGATCTCCGAGCAAAGGACCTACTCTCGACTTCTTCTTTGGACGAAAACAACCTGTTCCCTCGAAGTTAAAGCTGGTTTCTGATGCTGAGTCAAACGAAGGACTCACTGATGAAGAGCTAGCACGGAAACTTCATGAACAGTGGGCAAAGGAGGATGCTTTGTTATCCGGTCGGTCACCAAAAGATGCAGACATCGGAGAGTCGTCGCAGAGATCGGTCTCAGCAGAGCAAGAGGCTAAAGACCGAGAGCTTGCTAAGAAACTCCAGGAAGAAGAAGCCGAACGGAGTGGATCTGGGAAAGAGGAGGTTGTAGCATACTATCCTCCGGAAAGCTCCAAAAGAGGGGAGCAGGCAGGACCATCCAAGCAAACAGCTCCTACTCCTCCTCCTCCTACAGATACAAAGATTCAATTGGAGAATAAACCCGAGTGGGATAAACTAATCGACGAGCTTCCCTTTGACACAGACCCGTTATCGTTTAATCCTGATGACTATAGGGCCCTTGTTCAAAGCTTGCCAGATGGAAGATTGTCGTATGGTCTACTAACTCGCGCCTTCGTCCTCATAAACTCTACAAGATCTCGTATTAAGATCGTAGACACCCTTACGAATTTTTTGAGAACAGCTATCGCCTGTGATCCCTCTTCCCTTCTACCTGCTGTCTGGTTAACTACAAACGACATTGGCCCGCCACACGAGCAGACCGAACTCGGAATTGGTGGCTCAGTTATCAGTAAAGCTCTTATAAAAGTAGGCGGGTTAGACCAAAAAGGCCTCCGTACTCTTTACAACAAGTATGGAGATGCGGGGGATGCTGCGTTCGAAGCAAAAGTCAGGCAGAGAACATTACAATTGCGGAAGCCGGTACCGTTGAGTATGCTTAATGCCATAATAACTTGATATTGAATTCAATGATCGTGAAAAAAGTACTAAGTTACCTAGCCGTTAAGGATGTATATTCTTCCCTGGTCAAGATATCGCAGTCAAAAGGAACCGGATCCCAAGAGGTCAAACAAAGGATTGTTGAAAGGCTCCTCGTCCAGTCTAGAGGAGAAGAAGTCCGATACCTTGCCCGTACTCTGGTGCAGCACGTAAGAAATTCATATGCACAAGTATGATTTCCCAAGTTTAGGTTTACTAAATTTCAAATGCCCATAGCTACGAATCGGGGCGGTAAAAACGACAATGCTCATTGCCTTGTCCCGAGCATTCCTTATGACACATCCTCCGAATGCTTCAAACCCGGCTCCAAATCCGCCTTCCACATTATCAAAGTTATCAAAGGAAGCAAAAACGGAAATATTTTCTGCAGCAGAAGAAATCGTCAAAGCCTACTTCGCTAGATGCCCAAATTACAACGAAATAGTTCCTGGTCTGCTCACTGCTGGCCTAGCAGGGCTTAAGGACGTCTGTAAATTGACAGTTCACACCCCGTTAAAACCGATGTTAGGAAGCATTACTCGGGACCTCCCAGGAATGCTTGGTAGGTTAGGATCTCGAGCATTCACCGTGGAGTACAAATATGACGGACAAAGAGCACAAATCCATTGTGATGAAAAAGGCAGAGTCTCAATATTCAGTCGCCACTTGGAGAATATGACGGAGAAGTATCCAGATCTAGTGGCCTTGATCCCTTCAATCAGAGGCCCTAATGTTACGACTTTTATCATGGAAGGGGAAGTGGTAGCGATTAATAGCGACACCGGCGACCTCAAGAATTTTCAGACGCTAGCCTCTAGGGGGCGGAAGGATGTTACTATTGGGACTGTTCAAGTTAATGTTTGTATGTTTGCATTCGATTTGATGCAGTTAAACGGAGAGGAGCTACTTGGGAAGCCGTTCCGCGAGCGACGGAAATTGCTAAGGGAGGAATTCGTCGAGGTTGAGAAAAGATTTACTTGGGTCAAAAGTCTAGATGCAACTGCTGACGACCAAGATGCTGTGATCGAGTTCTTTAAGGGTAGTTTGAAAGAAAAGTGCGAGGGAGTTATGGTTAAGCTACTCGATAATGAAGTGCCAGCTGAAGATAACGGAGCTCTCGAAACTGACGCTACCGATCTCGATACCCTAGTCGAGGAGTTACAGAAAAAGCCCGATTCCAAGGGGAAGTCTGCTAAAGGTAAAGAGGGTAAGAAAGGCGGTAGAAGGAAGCCTTTGCTAGCGACATACGAGCCCGATAAGCGATTGGAATCTTGGTTGAAAGTAAAGAAGGATTACGATGCATCTACTGATACGTTAGATGTCATACCGATCGCCGGGTGGCATGGTATGGGTAGGAAAAGCAAATGGTGGTCTCCTATTGTAAGTCCACACTCTGCCTTAATGCACTACTCATTCAATTCGTTTTATAGTTACTAACTCTCCCAAAGCTACTAGCTGTTCGGAATCCCGACACTGGTTCGCTCGAAGCGGTGTGTAAATGTATGTCCGGATTCACAGACGCCTTTTACCAAGAAATGAGGGAGAAGTATTCAGAGGACGGCGAAAATACCACGAGAACGAAGAAGTCATATATCGAAGCCCCAGAGTTGCACCCAAATGTCTGGTTCGAGCCCCAAGAGGTCTGGGAAATCGTTTTCGCGGACATTACTCTTAGCCCCAATTACACTTCTGCGATTGGATTAGTGTCAGAAGAAAGAGGCCTTTCGCTGCGATTCCCAAGGTTTCTGCGCAAGAGAGAGGATAAGAGTATAGAGGAAGCGAGTACAAACGAGGATCTTGCTGCAATGTATCGGAAGCAGCTGAGCGGCGGGAAATCTGCAGAAGGCGGTGGAGGAGACGATGCCGAAGGAGACTTTGACGAATAGAGTATGAATTTATAGCGCACAGCATTCATTATTGTAGGGATTTAACAGCTATGATATCGGTTTAACCTTCTTACGAGATATAGGTAGGGGATTGTATGATTAGAAAAGCGGAGATTCATGTATTTTAAGTTTCTGAACTATCGATATCGTACCCAACGACTGGCTGAGGTAGCCAAAAGTCCATGAAAATCCTCCATTTTAGTTAAATTCTCGGTATCTATACGGTAGTAAATTTCTAATTAGAGGAACGCCAATACTTGAAGCTGCTGCGGCATGGGAACTCACTTCTTGATATAATACGCTCCACCAGTGATGGCCAGCACCGACATGGCGATTGGTAGTGGCTTCCTCGTCTTGATCGCTCGAGGAATCATAGCACCACCTAAGTTTCCCGTAAGTCATTGGCTTGATTTTTGTTACATAGCGTATATATAATATCCTTACCAAGGACGAGGGATGCAAGAATAGCAAGTTCAATGCCATAGTTTGCATTCTTCTTCAAGAGGTAACCCGAGTATCCGTACATAGCACCGATACCGACTCCAGCTACCAAAGATGGGACTATTTCGAAGCAGCAGCATTAGAAAACCCATAATTTCTCCAAAGTTTACAAATAATACACTGATTTCCTTGATACGTACTTGATCCGGTTCGACTAATAGATTTTCCCCAATTGAGAATTATTTTTTGTATGCATTAGTTTTAAATTTCACTGTCCATTATTATGCATGCTGGTCCCTTGCAGGTAGACGAGGGCGCCGCTGCTGCCGATTGATGGATGAATCGATAAGCTTACGCGAATCCCATAGTTCCGCCAAAGGCGCACTATATATCCGCTATGTCAGTCCGAAGATGCATATTCATTGCATTGAGACACCGGCCTAGAGTTCTAACATACAAGTGCGGCGAGAGTGAATGCTGGATGCTCCTATCATCGAGATATCAAAAATTAGTATACCTCATTGCAAAGCAAAGACAGAAGCCAATCAGCGCAATGCAATTGCAATTGCAATTGCAATCGACACTCGAATCAACAGACCATTTTTTTAAAAACTTCTTCGACTCAAAAGTCCTGTGATTTCCGATGATTCTCAGGCGGATACGTATAATGACAGATGTTCAGATTATCGATTGGATGAAACCAGAAGAAGAACCAGGCCTGGGCTTTTTTGCAACTGACAAATCGATCAAGTCGGTATCCGCGGAGTTTATACTGCCCGGCTTAAGTAATTCAGCGGCGTGTGTGTTGCGCGTGTGGTCAGCACGAGCCGCATATTGATTGCGGGCCAGAACCACCAAAGGTGTACGCAACTCAAACCCAACCGCGAATCGAACCGGCTTAAGCTATGCTGTCATCTTCTCCCCAATTACAATCCACAACGGCATCCCTCTCGACGTATCAGCACGTGCAGGCATAGACCGATACGCCCCCAATTTTCGTCCCCTGTTATATCAACCTCAGGGAAATACCACTTTCGATTAATTGATCTATCGCAATGGCTCGTAAAGCCTCTAGTAACGCTGCTGCCCGTGCCGCTACTCCAGAGCCATCCGCGGTTCGACCAACAACGCCAAATACATCCGTCGAAGCGACCCCCAAGGCCTCCACTACCACTACATCGTCGTCTTCGTCGCCATCTAAATCGACAGTGAACTTGCCGGCTAATTCGTCACCATTCGCTGTCGCTGGTGCTATCTGGCAGAAATACCAAAAGGACACCCCGCAGCGGACCAAGTTGATCGATGTTTTCCTGGGATTCCTTGTGATTGTTGGTGCTCTTCAATTCGTATACTGTGTCGTGGCAGGCAATTACGTATGTTTCAAAATCCAATCGAAGATATGGGAGAATTTTGGGGGGTTCGAGAGAGATCGAAGATAACTAACTGCTGTTGTCTTTATCCAGCCATTTAATGCCTTCCTTGCTGGCTTCGCTGCCACCGTTGGCCAATTCGTCCTCACTGCTTCATTAAGAATCCAAACAAACCCAGTGAATAAGACAGAGTTCTCGAGCGTATCACCTGAGAGGTAAGCTCTGATGCGATCAATCCGTCTTTTTCTTTGTTATCTCATCACTAACAATACTATCTTTTCATAGAGCATTCGCCGATTTTGTTTTCGGTAGCTTGACACTCCATTTCTTTTGCGTGAATTTCATCAATTAAACGTCGACAGTGTATATTCTTTACGGATGTTTTCGATAGGAGGGATAGCGGGCGTAGATGTGTGGAAATGTCCATCGTGATGGTGTGGTTAAGAAAAGTACCTATTTTATTCAGCATCTTAAGTACTATTAATCAGGGCTCTGCTCTTGCTTGATTTGGTTTTGCGAGGAGAGCGAATCATCAAAGATAATTTACATATTAAAGACACGAATAGTGGATTGATCATGAATACATACAATCTATATCCCTATCATTCTTCATAACTTCATTCTCACCGGTAGGTGGTACTAATTATACCTGCGTGATTAGGTGATATAAAATACAAAGAAACTCATCATCATTCTATCATTAAGAGCGGGGGAGAAAAAACGACCCGAGCAACTACAGCCGCTGCTAAATTCCATATTCTACAACTTCTCGTTTGGCTATAAGTAAGAGTGATAATAACCAGTACAGTAACGATAGCCCAAGTGAACAGCCCTATCAAACGCCAGAATACCAGAAAGACGAACAGAGGGTCGGAGAATCCCCAGGCTTTAAGTCGAAAAGGAAAAAAAATGTACAATATTAACAAGAAGTAGAAACGTTCGTATACTTAGTAACAACAAGCAGCCGCTTTACTCCGGGGTACTAAGACAGAGCGGTGATGAAAACCTCGCTGTTCAAGGGTGGCACAGGAAGGAAAGGCAGTAGACTCCTTGTTACCGCTTCCGCGGTACTTCTTGTTCTGCCTGCTGCGGCCGTGGCCCCTCTTGTGGCCGCTGTTGCTGCTGTTCAGGAGGGCCGTCTGGTGCTTCAACAGGGACCGTTGGCTTCTGAAGTGGTTCATTCTCCGGCGGCGACTGTGGCGGCGGCGGTTGTTCCTGCTCGGGTATCTGGTGTTGCTGCTTTTGCAGCTGCTTCTGCGGTCCCTTCTGTGGTTTCTTCTGGGGCTGTTTTGGCGGAGGTCTAGGTGGTGGCAGGCCGGGCTTTTCGAAGGTGTGAATATTCATGCCCAATCTTGGGGTATGGTGCCTCGGACTCAATTCGTAGACATAATGCTGGTCAAAATTCTTTGGGTTGAAGGCGACCCGGAAATCAAGAATTAATACTAGCTCCGTGCCAACCAGGCGGACTGTTCCGTCCGCAACTATCCATCCTCTCGGTGGGGGAGGCGCATTCTTTTGAAAGTCACGAGACAATTCTTTGTACATTGTGACAGCTCCCTTCTCGGCTGCTTCATGGATAGCCATTATAGCCCCAGAAGGGAGAAGAGGGACGTCTAATCTTTGCTGTTCCTTCTTTGGGGAATCTGATTTCTTGGGCGGGTTCGTTTTTAGTGGAGTAATTACTTCGCCCGGCCAGACCGCCTGACTGATAGAGCTGTACATGGAATTAAAAGTTGATTGCATGCTAAGAGCAGCAGCTCGTGGGTAGACGATGCAGTTGAAGCGCATGAGGTTCCGATTTGATACAGGCCGGTCGACGATTTCAATGCCTGAAAATGAAATTGCAAGACTACAGCACAGTTAGCTAAAGAATCCGTAGAAGTTATAGAGTAAGGATAGAGAAACACTGACTTTTTCCGCGACCATGTGACTCCGGGGGCAGCGAGACGGAATGTCATCCAGAACGGACTGGCGAATCCTTCCCATTGGCCCATATCAAGGGGTGAAGCCATAACCCGTTTTTTAACCGCATGTAGAACAACATCTAGAAAAACAGCGGACCTTGTAAGCATCATGTTCCCATAGTAGCTTATCTCCTATAAGATAATCATACCTTCAGCACCTACCCGCCGATTGGAATCTCTCATCAAGGCGGTGTATTCTTTATGTTCGGGCCCATCTACTTCGTACAAGGGTGCAGCTTTGCTCGACGCAAACCATAAGGGGATATAAAACGGTCCTTTTGAAAAAGATTTCTCCAACATATCGCTATTGTAGTAGACGAAGCCGCCGGCCATTCCGAGGGCGACAACAGGACGACCCCATTGTCGAAACGAGAGATAGGGTGCAAAAGTCACCCGGTAGAACCTTAATTCTGGGTTCTGGGACCGCCGACTTTTCCACAGTGATCGCGAGGTCCGTAGGAAGCTGAACATCCGTCTAGAGCTCAAAGGATGGGGTCTATATCGGGATATTTGTTACGAGAAAGTCCAGGGGCGGACTGTGGCGTCGGGTAGTCACAAGCGACAGTATCGACGACGGTAAGCGGGGCATTTAACAGAGAAAGAACACTGCTAATCGGACATGGAAGACGCGAGCTGGCCTAGTCGCCTGTTGAAGCTGGAGATGGTCTGGTAATAGCTGGAATATTGGAGAGGCTGCGGTTTTGATGGAGGTTTTTTGGTAGAAGCTGGCTGTGTCTAGGTGCATGTGTGCTGGACTGACAGTGGCCAGAGGTTGAGGCAGCGAAGCGTTTGACACAACCCGAACAGAGCCAGAGCCAGACAGGGGCTTTGCCTTCCACGCGGAACTTGCCATTCCTGCCATCGTCATCACATCACGACGACCACTACTTTATACTATACTATTGTACACGACTACAATCACGGACTGGACTTTGGAACAGATACCACTGACGACTGGTCGCCTACTAAGATACGGATATATACACAGGTACTACCGACATCGTTGGAGGACTGCAACGGGAGTTTGGAAGTTAAGGTACCAACCGGTGTACGATAGTTTATAGTTCAACTCGTCCGCGGCTCTTGATTCGCGTCTTCGAATCCCAACCTCCACCATACCCGCCATGAAGGCCACTTTCCTCTCCACCCTCGCGGCTTTAATTAGTCTGCAACCAACATGGGCAGAAAATGCCCCCTTCTACACATGGCCGAATGTACATTCGACAGGCAGAACATCAAAGGTCGAAATCTTGACACATATCGAGACCCGGTTGTCCCTGGCCGCCAGGCTCGGCCTTTCGCAGTATCATACAATCGGTGATGGCGTCAATATCTACAAGCTGCAGATGGTATCCAGCTCTTCTCATAGGTCATGGATTGAGAAAACCGATGTCGATGGTACTGTAGTAGTGACGGTTGGAGGGGTTGGGAGTCCAGATGGTAAAGGGAATTCCGTCCCTAGGCTTGTGGATTGGCGATTGAACGGCTAACCGGAGGGGCAACAGCATTTTGGACTGAAACGCCTACATTCGAAATCGAGGACTCGCCGCCGTTTACCGACGTGGGTACTCTGCTTAAGAAACTAGAATCGCAAGCTGGGAATATGATGGAGTCGGAAGAGAAGTCACTATACAGCAACGCTAAAGGTGGCTTCGTAGACGTCGTCTCACCGGTTCGAGTAAGTCAAATTGGACAAATTGCCCACAAAGTACCACGCCTAATATACGGTCTAGAAAACTGGAATCGAAATATCCGCAGACTACAACGAATGGTCCAACTTTGAATCCGCCGTCGGCAAATCCGATGCCTCCAAATTCAACAAGAAAAAAGCCAGTGATATCGATTTTTTCGAAGAATACATGGTTCTAAAATCTCTTGCCGAGAAGACTATCGAACAAGTTATCGCCGAAAAGGCCACAATCTTCATTCACATTGGCTCTCTATCGACTATCGCCAGCAAGGACGGCACCAACTCTCAAAAGTACCAGGTCGCTTCGAAACTTATGGGTAGAATCCTCAACCAGGTCGTCAAGGCGACTGGCGAGTACCCATCAGTCGTCGGTTTGATCCCAGTGGACTCCAAAACCACAAAGCGAAGCGACAACGTGGATTTCGTCGGCAGCTTTGACATCAAGAAATCAAAGCGCAAGGAGGCGCCCCTGGTTCCAAACACCGAACCCAAGTTCGCTTCAAACAAAGAGGATACGTCCGTTGTCACCCCGCTCCAAAAGAACACCAACAAGATCGCCCGTCCGAGACCAGGATGTTTCGAAAATCGTGATGTCTGTGGAAACCGCACCAACAACTGTAATGGCCGTGGTAATTGCATCAAGTCCACGACACAGTCAAATTGCTGGAGCTGTATTTGCACGCCAACGGTTGTTAAGGTTGGTGGAGCGAACAAGACCACCTACTGGGGTGGAAACGCTTGCCAAAAGAAGGACGTTAGTGTTCCCTTCGTATTGTTTGTTACATTTACCATCGGTATGCTCCTTGGCATCGGATGGACAATCAACAAGATGATCGATCTGGGCGCAGAGGAGCTACCCGGTGAACTATCAGCCGGTGTGGCGCTTGTGAGGAAGTAAGTTGAGGGAAGGGGGATGTATCTGTAGTAATAGGTTTTTCATGATTCGAGCGACACATACATTTGGATTTTGCTTGGGATTCTTTTTCTTCTTCTGTTTTGCGCCGCAATTTCTTTATCTGTGTATTTGTGGGAACGGGGAGAAAAAGAAATACATCACCATGGCACCAGTAGTTCGAGCTTTTACCCTAACTATAATTAATATATTGGGGTGATGTCCATTAGCTTTTTGAGAGTGTAAAACTACAGTTCTTCTTCTTTTTGCTTTAGAATAATGATATAATCTCGATTCTTTCCCCTTTTTACCAAAATATTATTTCGTTCTCGAATCGAAAACGGCTACCCAGTTACTACCACCTATGCATTCCAATATAAGTTGGCCGCTCACATTTCCCCACACTGCGTGATAACCAAATCCGAAGTCGGACGATCAAGAATTGTTCTGGCGTTCTCGATCTTCCTCACGACATCCATACCCTCGACGACTTGTCCGAACACGACATGCTTGTTATCTAGATGCGGCGTTGCATCGGCGGTGATAAAGAACTGCGATCCATTTGTATCCGGTCCCGAGTTCTGTAATCTCGAGAATAACATTAGCAAACTCGATTTCAAATTAATCAGTTAATCAATATAGTCGTTAAATGAATTGTTTTAGATTTTATGTTTAGATAGATGGGTGGATAGAAGAAAAGGGAGGGGTGTTACGCGTACCGCCATGGAAAGAATTCCAGCCGCTTCGTGTTTCTTGACGAAATTCTCATCTTTGAAATGACGGGTTCCATATATCGATGTTCCACCGGTTCCATCGCCCTGGTGTTACCGGGTTTTAGCAGAGCTGAGCCAAAAAAAAAAAAAAGAGAGAGAATTAGTTTGACTTGTGGGTTACGTACGTTTAAGAAGTCGCCTCCTTGGATCATGAAACCTTTGATCTGTCCGACAATGAATTGAGGAAGGTTAGTCACAAACTCCGCGTTTCTTTTTATTATTATTATTGTCATTCATTTGTGTTTGGATATTTGATTGAGATTCCGCAGAAGGATGAATCTTGCAGATAGATGAATTCAAAGTTGCACAGACGGAAAACATTTGCCTATGGAAGGAGGCGGCAGGAGTTCCAGTGTACTGTGAGGACTCTTTCTGTTACACCGACGACCACGGAGCTAAAGAAACGCCGGTATGATATATACCCTCATCCACATTCCCGAGCATAATTCCGATAGATAGAAGAAGTGGGGAGAAAAAGTAATGACAATCACAAGATTTTTGAAACCAGATATGTCTCGGAAGAATAAATAAATAAATAAAAAGAAGAAGTAGACGTACCACACGATGAAATTTACATCCTTTGTACCCTTGCGGTCGCCCCATACTATTCCTCGACTCACCAGTGCAGAACTGTCGGAAATTCTCTGCGGTGAGCGGGACAACATCTGCGAAGAGTTCAATCTTTATACGTCCAAGAGGTTCGCCTAGAAATATCGCACAAGGCAAAAAAGCAAGGTATTAGCCAGTGATGTTCTGTGTTGTTATTGTTGTATATTTTCCGGTGCTATGACAAGCAAACTCTCTCTGTGCGCGTCGCATATGGGATGGGATGCTCCACCAACCATTCATTCCTCCCAGGGCTACGTCGAAGAAGACGACAGGGTTCGACGGGTTTGAGAGCGGCTTCTCGGTTACGATAGCGGCGGCCATGTTTTATTTGGAAGCCGGAGTATTGAGTCACGGGATGTGTTTTTGTGAACAAAAGTACGAGGATGGGTGGAGTGGTTCTTGCTTTGAGATGGGGGATTTCTTGAAGTTTGTATTGAATTTTTATATACAAATTGCAAGGTGCTCTCCTCGAGCATGACACAGAGTTTGAATTCTTACAATACAGATCCTTCTTTTAAAACCTATTTCGATAAGAGCCCTAGGAGTACTAAATCAAACAAAGTCGGTGTAGTTTGAAGATCATAAATATCAATAAAGAAGGGTCTTTTTGAGTATAAATTTATAAAGAAATATATCTATCTCCATTGAAACCCTTCCGAATTACAGTTATCGGCTAAATACTCTAAAAAGCCCCGACGATATAGTGGTTCTCCATCGAAAAGGATCTCGAGCTACCTCATATCTAGCATTTTTAATTAAGTCTATAGATATGTTATGAGGAAAAGACCGGGGTCATGATCGGATTGCACTGTTTTCAACATCGAAGATACCATCTGAACCCATCCAATCTGAATTCGATCGATCATTCCATTCCATTCGATGCGCATGCATTGATTGCACTGGATAAAACGGCTGCAGGGCGAACCTTTAGCCCCTCCACTCTAGCTTAAAGGTAAAGGGCTCCATTATATCCACATCGTCTGCAGACTTCGTATATATACGAACGAAGCCATTTGCCCCCCCGGGCTTCTTCATACTATATTCTCTCATGGGAGGAGAAGAAAAAAAAAACCAAAAAACTCCACATCTCTCTTCCTCGAGTCAGTCTAAACGGGTCGAGATGGAGAAATTGTGGAGAAAACGATGTGTCTCCCAAGAAAACGAAAACCCACGTCTCGAGGTTCATCCGGAGGCAAACCCCCCTTCAAGAAGAAACAAAAAACGTGGTACATACATACATCAGGACATAGTAAGTACATGGACTTAGGTAGTGTTCTCCGCGTATATACGTGGGTGTCTTTATAACCCTTGTTAGATACTTAAGTAGATGCGTATCTTCCTTCGCTCTCTCGATGTTTCGACGACCATTTGATCCGGTATACCCGGCAAGGCTAGCTATCTATCTAACTCTCCTCAGCCTCATTACCACCCTACCGTGTACCCCCCAAATCCTTTTGGTAACATTCTTCTTTTTTTAAGCTTACCACTACCATTCAATCGGGGAATGTATGAAAGGTATGTATGGAAAGGAAAACTTCTATACGATCGAACCCCTGCAGCAGAAGGTCCCGGAGGTCCCAGGAGAGAGGAACCATCGCTTTGAACGATTGTGGGATTTTACCCGCCCTAGCTAAGTAAGACTAGCTATTAACCTAGCTGGCTTGGCTTTTCCATGGCTAAGAAACCGTACAAGTTTTGCATACAGGTCAAAGAGCGGGTTTATATGCAAGTCGATTACAGCGGATTCGTCATGGAGTTTGGGGATTCCATCCGAAACCATTAATATTGGGGAAGAAGAGGGCTTAGATCTGTAGCAGCAGGGACGTCTATACGTATTTGGTAAATGATATTGGATTATACATATGTAAGTACTTAAGTATGTATTATCTTGTGCAATTGATATCTATCACATGCAGGCAATGCTTCAGACTTGGTAGATTGTCGAGTAGAGCTCTTACATACATACAATCAAATGCATTCATGCAGGTTTTTTCTTCTCTCTCTCTCTCTCTCTCTTTTCAAAATCAGGTCTCAGTAAAGTCGACTAGCTACATATGTAGTCTTGCAGTGGCGAGTTCATGAATTGCTGCTGCGCATGCGGGGGGTTTTTCTTCGCACAGATAAAGAGAGATGCGGGATATATTATGTACGATTCTTCCCAAAGTAAGCTTTTTGCGCTATGCGCGGGGAAGCCAAGCTCCGTTAATCCTCGGTAGACTGGCACGAAGGGTTCCCAATCGATACTATGGGATTTCTGAATGAGGAAGAATCGAGATACCTGGATTTAGGCTGCTTTCTAGGTGAACAAGTTAATCGGGAATCCTACCTACTGTGTATACAGCAGGCCTCTACATCTCCTCTGGAATCAAATGTCAAAAGAAAAAATTAAATTTGTTAATTTCGATAAACTCTAACTGAGCTCGAGCGCTCCGAGTGTGTAAAAAATTAAAAATTAAAAAATCTTGGCTTGGTTGGCCTCGTGCGCACGGTTTGTCGACACCATTCTGGCGTAATCGGAATCCGATTATGTCACCATTATCAATTTTGATAGAACAAAACAAATAAAAGAAAACAAAAAATAAAAAATAAAAAGTCAAACGGCGCAAGCCGGATCTTCTTCTACTGGTTGGTTGCTAATGAGAAAAAAGTATGTGCAAGAATTAAAGAAGGGTATAAAAGAAAGAAAGAAAGAAAGAAAAAAAAGGTACCCGAATGGCCTCCGTTCCTCAGTTTGGTATGTCAAGCCTGCCGAAGCACCCGTTACACACCAGTGTCGTCATTTTTCTGTTTGGGGCTCAGGTGAGTGTCACAAGTTGCGAAAACAGAATTCGAAAGACTAATTTCGATTATAGCTATAGTCGTAGTAGTGTAGTAGTCTACAGAACAATAATAATCATCAGGAGCATGCAGCAGTGTGGGATCCTTTCGTGGCCCCCCGCATTGAATTGAATCATGATAGCACAGAATACAATACAATGAAAAAGAGGGTGGAAAGAAAGTGAACCAGGGTGCAATTCTGTGATTGGCTGGGCAGCTCCGGGTGTCAAGCTGGGCGGATCGAGTCGATAGCTTTATCTGGAACTCGGTCACCAGGCTCTTTCGGCAGGCAAAATTTAAAATAAAAGTTTCTGTCTTTCATCTTGAATGTTTTTTTTTTTTTTTTTTTGGTGCGTACCGTCGCAAGAGTCAGAAGATGCCAGGACCCCACTGCACCGGATACATACACAGCAGACATAGACAGCGGGGTCATGCACCGACAAGGTCTTGATTTTCCGATTTCACCGGCTCTTTTGCGGGCCGAATAGGTCCTGAAGTCGACCTTATTCTTTTTTAGAAAAAAAACATGGCATGATATGATATGATATGATATGACATGAGGGAAGAAAAGCTAAGGAAAGGAAAGAAAAGGAAAAGGAAAAGAAAAGAAAGGGTTCAATGGAAGGCGCAATGTCAAACTGTCAGCGTGATACGCGACGGCAGAGCCAGCGACTGCTGCGATTAGCTATTTCCTCGAGTGGAACCTCAGCTATTTAGCGGGAAAGCCTCAAAAATAGCCCGCATGATGACAGGAATAGGGAATTCGATTTCCTAAGAGGGGATACACTTTTTATACTTACCTATATAATATATGCGTACTAAGCCGCCTTGTTCGTGTAAGAATAAGTCAAGGAGGTCAGTAAATAAAATCAATTATCTGATATCGTCTACGGAAAAGCTGGAACCGGAGGCTGCAGATTGTGAAATGGTCCTAATGGCGTTCGTGGAAGGTGCATTTCTCAGCCCAAGACCTCGATTAAGATCCCTGAAACGAAGACTTGGAGGTTTTCTTGGGAACTTGCCTGACTGACTTACTTGCGATGCAATACTTAACTCAACTTGACCATACTCGATATGATTGACGGCCCAGAGGGGGGCCGGGTCTTTGCTTCTTTGTCTCTTTTTCTTGATGTCTTGCCTCCCCGCAGCTCAGCAGATACATATATGCAGAATCGTGATACATACTTACTTGAGTGCTCAAAAGTACTCAAGCAAATAAGTAAATATAAAAAAAGGGCATCCTCCTTGCGTTACAGCAGAAAGGAACCGATAGAGTTTCCGTCCATACTGCCGGGTCGCGGATTTGGAAATAATAAAAAATTATTTGGATTCGGATTTGGATTCGGATTCGGACCTCGAACATTAAAATTACACCGGACGGTTTCGACGGTGATAACATATATTCTATGATATGTTTACGGACAAAATGTTAGAACATTCAATTCGATTTGGTTTCAAAAAAAAAAAAAAAAAAAAAAGAAGAGAGAGAGATATCAAACATACCTTCTATCGTATCATATCGTCCGCTATAATAACAAGTAATATTATTGATAGAGTGCAGAGTGTGGTGAAGTCAGAAATGCTGGGCTGGATTGGGCAGTGTCCGTCCGGCTGCGGTTTCGAAAAGATTTCAAACTGGAGAGCTTGATCGAAAACTAGTTAGCGATTGTTACAGGCGGTGTTACCAGTTAACTTCAGCAGTCCCTTTCTTTCTTTATTTCCTTTTTCTTCTTTTCTTTTTGAGACTGAATGGATGATTGATTGATTGATGGATTGGTTGATTGATTGATTGATTGATTGCAGACATTGAAGAGGTTGTTTCTGATACATAATATAACTAGCTGAGCTACCTGATTTTATTTAAATTTATTTATTTTCTTTGATCTCTCCTGATCTAGATACTTCTTCTTCTTCTCCTCCTTCCTACAAGTTCTTCCTTAGGACGAATTCGAAATCAAATTAGATTGATATGATATGATATCGACATCGACATCTTCACTTATACTCAAAGTGTATTATATCAGCTCGTACGATTCGATTCGATTCGATTGATCTTTTATCCTTTGCCGTCCGAGTTCCCGTCTCAGCCGGCCAGCTACATAACCAACTAGCAGCCCACCCAGCCCAGCCCAGCCCGATCCAATCCAATCCAACCCGCAGCCCAGCCCTGGTCCGGTTCTGCCCTGGTTCGTTCTGGGTTCTTGTTCTTGTTCTTGCTCTTGCTCTCGTTCTCGTTCTTAGTTTTTTAGTTTGAGTCCAATTCTCTTAAAAAGAACCAACCTCTCTTTCCTTTCCCATCATCTCATCTGATTTGATTTGATCTTGATCTTGCTCGGTCTTGGTCCCGGTCTTGATCTCTGAACAACCATCGCTACTCCTCTCTCTCTTTTTCAAAAAATAAAATAAAATAAAATAAAATATCATCGGATACTAAACCTTCTTCAACTTCTTCCGACACATGATAACAGAAACTCGGCCTTAGAGTGGTTCTGGGAACTCCTCGATCGCTCAAATTCGACCTTGGACCGAACCGGGGACTGTCAGTCTCCCTCCACTCCCACCGCAACACTTTTTCCCTCCCTACCTACCCTCTCTCCTCCTCCTCCTCCTCTTCTAACACTCCTCCCTCCTCTTCCTACTCCTCCTTCTTCTCCTCTTCTCTTTCAACAGAACCTTGGTGATTAAACCTCATCACCATCGCCATCGCCATCCTCATCTCCAATCATGTCGCAGGATGTATCCTCCCTCCCGCCGGTTTCTACCGTCACCGTTCACCCGACTTCAACCCTACCTAGCCTGGTACAAACTTCTATTGGAACTGCGACCAACACACCCGCTAGTGGTGGTGGTGGAGGCACCCAAAATTCGCCCCTGCTCTTCTTTGTAGCGCTGGGATTTGGTGTTGTATTTACGAATCTTTGGTAACTAACCCTCGCCTCCTGCATCTTTGTTTCTCTATCTGGAGACTCTAACCGTCGTCTCCCTCAATCGGGAATCTAGGATCATTGTCGGTGTCAAGTACTGCTTCAGGTACAATGCAAGGAACCGCGCTAGGGCCAACGGTGTCGACGAAGTTGACCTTCAAGCACTCGGTGCTCGACCTCATCGCAGAAGAAGAGAGAAGAAACTCATGACCGTCGACGAAGTCAACGAGAGGTTTCCAGTCACCAAATACAAAACATGGCGTGCAAATCGCGAAGTTATGGGACTTCCGACTGCTGGTGGAATTGCTCCTACAGATGGCTCTGCTCCCGTTGTCGCCACCCAGACACAGACCGACCTCGACCCTCCCGCCTCGCCTCTACCTAAAATCCCTGAACCCGTTGCCGACCCGACAAAACCTGTTACACATGAACGAGAATCCCAGGACCAGGATCGCCGAACTGACCAGATTGAAACTCCAGCTCAGCCGACTATTACTGTCCCTACTACTACTACTACTACTACCACCACCACCACTGGCACGACCCCTACTACAGCTACACTGACACCAAACCAAAGGTCATCGGCGGAAATCCAAAGGGTTGCATCTAACCAGCACAGCGATCATGAAGGTGAACACGACGACGACGAACCGATGCCAGCTCTCCCCGCCGATATGGCCAATAGTTGTGGCGATACTTGTGCAATCTGCATCGATAACCTCGAAGATTCTGACGACGTTCGTGGCTTGACTTGCGGTCATGCTTTCCATACTGCTTGTATCGACCCTTGGTTAACCGCTCGCCGTGCCTGCTGTCCGCTGTGCAAAGCCGACTACTATGTTCCCAAGCCTCGGACCGAAGCTGAGATCGAAGCCGAGGAACAGGCTCGTGAGCGAAGACGTCAACAGGCTGCTGAGCTCAACAGAAGTCCGATTAGTACTTGGTGGTATAGAGCTGAAGCCTATTTGATGCCCTCGAACCCGAACAATGCCAACCGTAATGGCCGACGGGGCCGACCAGAACCCCAGAGAACCCGACGTACACCCCGACAAACTCGTTGGAATCCATTCGGTCGCAATACCGACCCTAACTCCAACGCCGCTGGCAATACGCCCGCTCCGAATGCGGGTAATATTGAGACCCAACAAGCATCCTCTAACGGCCCGCCTGCTTTCCTCGATCGGTTTAGCAGGCGTGGTCGCTCGAACAGTGGTGCCAACCCATCTGCTCCTGAGGAGCCAACACCGAGTACCCTTGAAGCTGGTCTTGCCAACGCCAATGCATCGAGTACTCGTTGATATTGCGCCTCTTTTGTTTGCTTTCGTTTCAGTTAAATTAATGACCTGGGCTTACGTTCTTTTTTCCTTTCGTTGTCTGTTAGATGGTGTTGCCGTGGCTCTTTCTTTTTCTTTCCTCTCTTTTATTGGGCTATCTCAGAACTGGCTAAAAGATACTCTTGCCAGACATGTCGAGAGATTTTGGTCTCTCCCACTCTCTATTGAAATGGTATTTGCTCATCATATGACTTTGAGGTTACACAAGGTCGTCGATCTATGTCTCCACCTCTCCACCTCCTCTCCATCTCTTCTCTCACTTTCTCCATACTCCCCTCGAACGTGGCTCGTATTGTTTACATCTATACCCACCTCCCTTTGTAGCTCACGCAGTCACACTTCGCTCTCCCCTGCGCTACTCCGCTTAGCCATATCCCTCAAGCCTTTTTTATGACTTTTGAAATATCTTTTTGCAGCCATTGTTTATACACAAGCTAGCAAGTTCAGCATTTTGCCTTCGGTGTTATTCCTGTGTCACGTTGTCCCTTTCTTTGTTTTTGATATCACCATTTACTTTGGGGCCTTTTCCCTATTTCTGGGTGTATTTATATTTTTTGGCGGGTTTAGGATTTTGTGAATGGAATTGGAAGGGAAAACAAAAAAAGAACACTTCGTTCAGAGAGTGTTCTACCTCCTTTTTTTGGACTACAAGAATCATATCATCTCATCTGTAAGGGTCTTGAAGATATATTTTCCCTTTGAGGATAGGGAGTTCCCTTGTGATTACTTGCGATTGAGATCTCTTGCTAACCCCAGCTGCATTTGGTGAATTCCTCACCGACAACGATCTCTGCGGCTGTGATCTTCATGACTTTTTCCCTCCATGAGGTAGAAACAGCATTCCCCGGCGCATACATACTTCCATAGCGTGGGTAGGTAATGAGTTGAAGGGCGCATGGTGGTCACACGGCAGGTTTCCCATCATCTGTCGTGCAACGACGAAACCCTTCCAAAAAAGGGCTGACTACCTAGCTTTGGAAAGCTAAATAACATCAACCCCCTTACATCGAAGAAACAACCGACAACCGACAACCGACAACCCCCCTCCATCCTCCATCCTCCTCATCCTCCTCTCCCTGTTCCAGTGTCGTCGGTCCCTCTTTACTACCCCCCACGATGTCAGGTGATTTGGTGAGGGGTATGCTAGTCGCTCGATATACGGATTAGTACGATGCGAAATGACGACAAGGAGATGCTGGGTTTCGAATTTTGAACACTGGAATGTTGCATATATGCGAGATGCCGATTGCACACACACACACAACCCCCTTCTACCCATCTCATTTTGCAATTGGTTGGGAAGCCTTTGTTATTTTCATCGGGAATAAAGGAAACAAAATCGACTGCAGCTGTGAGTGTGCCTGGACCAACGAAATACAAGAATAAAACGTGAGATTGCTCTGAATGACTGTCTGCATGTCTATCTGTACCGGTTGTCTATACCGTCAGATTGCGCCGGAAACTACCCCCTTTTTTTTCTTTGTTTCTTTCTTTTGCATTATCTACGTAATTTTTTTGAAGCTTACATAGATGGCGAATATTAGAATATCTCAGCTTAGATATCGATAGACATCGCCGCCGCCATGGGATGTGGAGCCACGGGTGAGTTTGATCCAATCGTGGCGAGGACCAATGAGATCCGTCGCACGGTTGGCGAAGGTTGCGACCTCAAACTTGTAGAGCTCATAGCTCCGTCGCAGGAAAACGTCAGGAACTGAGACGTCATTGGTTAGGTTTTTATATCATCTCGAAAAAGCTAGCGGCAGCAAGGCTGTGGTCGAAGTTTTTTTTGTTAAAAAAATAAAAAAAATACATGTAATTGTCGACTTTGCGATTAGACTTCTGTGGCAGGTTAGAATATAGGGCGTAGAGTGAGGCTTGCATGGTATCATTGACGGGATATGCGGTGAGGCTGAACTTTTGGGTGCTTAAACCTTGAGCTCTCTTATATGTATGCAGTATCGACTCTCGCCCACTCCGTTGAGGCATGGATGCCATGATACCCGATCTTCCCGACTGCCCCATATGCAATTGGGATTTCCAATTGGCGTTCCTTGCTTTGCATCTAGCAGGGCATGGGGGGGCCTGGTTGAAATTGCCTGTCAGCCGGGTCTATCGAAAGGGGAAATGGTTTGGAGAACAAGAAAGAAAGAAAGGAACAAAGCTAAGAGCTGCGATGATAGAGAACGACAAAAAAAGAGGTGAGGTTTCGCAATTTGATGCACAGGACTTTTCGGATATTGGAGGGCAATTTACACATGCGAGTGTTTTTTTTCCTGATCAAACAAAGAAACTGCGTGTGTGTGCTACAATTAATATATATTTTTGTAGAGCTAGGCGCCGGGGCGATTGTCGTTTAATGACCTTGAATTCGAGGTTCCCTCCCTATACACAGGAGCATGGCATATGTAGGTCCAAGCAACAGCGCTCATTGTGGGTCTACTTGTGATGTATGTTATGTATGTAAGCTTCGAGTGTGCCATGCAGGCCATAAGGTCCGCCGGCCTTGCCTGGCGACAGCGGAGGAGCGGTAGCTCCACCGAGCTGGGCGGAGTCTTTTTGGGAGTTCATCGAATCGGTTACGGGTTAACCATGCGGCTTTTGACGCTTGTGCCATCTGCTTAGGATTTTGCAATTGCAATTAATTGCGATTGAGGATTCAATGGCAAAGCTTTAGTCTCGAATCCAGGCAAGCTGTAGTAGACTTTGGATCAATTTGCATTGCATTTGGTCGAAAGAGCCGTATGTCCATGAGTACTTCGATCTAGCTGGACTGGCTTCCAGACTTCATTGCAAGGTAAACCCTAGGTCAGAGTTAGAAGGATGCATGTTTGTAATTGTATACCAAAAGTGTATGAATGTAAGTAGTAAGTACTTAGATATGCGTACCATGGATAGCGTGAACTTTCCGAGGAGGACCTTCCTGGTTGATCGAACCGATTGATGGATACTTTCGATGGATGGTTTTCTCTCTCTCGCTCTCTCGCTCTTTCTCTGATCAAATCTTAACCGCAGCTGCATGAGCCCGGATCGCAGTCGGGCAGCCCACGAGAACGTTTATTCTCCTACTATCCTTTTCCAACCGGAGTGAAATGAAATTTCTGTCTTCAGGCCTTACCGATCCAAGCTATCGTAACCAGAGTCTTCGCCGCGCGGAGTAATGTCAACGGCTTTAATCGATTTCTGTTGGATTCGCTTTTCATAATTCTTTCAACCAACTCGACTCGATCGATCGAATCGATTACCCCGGATTCTTCAACCATACCATCTTATACACCCACGATCTTGCATGCATGACAACTACTTACATACTTGGTAGGTAAAAAGATCATGTCAGGGAACCGGCGCCTGGGATGTTATTCTTATTACTATTATACGAAGCTATATTGTATATAGTACATAATAGAAGGAGCACAGGCATGCATATTGCTTTTCCCCGGCTTCGCTCTTTGTTCGTTTTTTTCCCTTTAATCGAAATTAAGGCCTTACTTTCCCGCTTTTATCGAGATTGCATTCATCCATCCATCCCATTCGATATTCATTGATTCATTGATTCAGACATCCGGTATCCAGACATCTGCAATAAAAGAAAGAAAGAACACGAACATGAACATGAACATGAACATGAACATGAACATGAACATGAACATGAATATGGAGATGAAGTCCTTTTAGCCCTCGATTGCCAACATTGGAGTTGACCGTGGCATCGTGCATCGTGCATTGTCCATGTCCATGTCCATGTCCATTATAACATAACATACCAGACAGACCATACCAGAACCATCCTCAGCCCTGCATTGCAAGTACAGTACTGAGCTGCACCTGGCTGGTCTGCACTAACTCTGCGCTCTTGCACATTGCACACTGCACACTGCAGCCAGCCCTTTTATCTTGCTCGATCCGAGATTGATGTTGTATCTATTATAGAGGTATCTACTACTGACTTACCTACTACCTACCTACCAACCTGCCGAGATATCTTGAATCCGAACACCCCCCCCTCTCTCTATCTCTTTGGTCCCTGGCAGTTACTTAATTACTTAGGTATCCGCCTGACCTGGTTTGATCTGATCTGGTCTGATCTGGTCTGATCTGGTCTGATCTGGTCTGGGCGTTTGATGACCTGGAGCTCGGGAACGGGAAACTCGGACTCTGCACTGCACTGCATGATCGTTCAATCCAGATCCTTGCCGGCCTCCTGATGTCTCACGACCTCGTTTTTCTCTTCTTTGTTCTGATACAGCCTCTTTCTCAAGACCGAATCTTTTATAATTATACTAACTTGGGATACATTAGATATAGATATATACAGCTTTGCTAACATCGCATTGCATTATAATATCATATCATATCGATATCGACGACATCCCAGCCAGGCGGACTTGGCAGTAACCAAAATCCGTATCCCGACATTTGAAGGAACTTAACTCTTTCTGCAGCCCTGCATGGGATCCTTCCTCGAGGCATTCTCTTCCTCGATCTATCATTGGACGTCTTAGCTCTTTCTTCCCTTCTTTCTCTCTCTCTTTGCTCGTTTGTCCTATGCGAAACGATCCATTTCGAATTCAACATTGCCTACCCGAATAAGCCTTGAAAAACCGCTCCCCTTAAAAAGGCCCATTGCATTGCATTCTCCACCAATCCGCAATATATCCAAGAGCCTCGAAGCCGGCTTATAATAATATAATATCGGATAAGGGGAATCTTAATAACTTACTTCCCTTTTATATATATCCTTCCACCGTCGCTGTCTATATATACTTACATATATAAGTACTTCTTGGGATATATATACACACACAGACTACTGGACGCTTTGGCCTCTTTCCCCTGTCCATCATCATCATTATCATCATCAGGCCTTCAGAAATCTAGAATCCGGGGAATCCCATTGCATTACCCTCCAAATACACACCAAGACGACGGAGAGACTCATCTTCACCACCCTTATTCCTTATTAACTAACATATAACTGAGGAGGAGGAGGGTCTGCCTGCAGTCCATTAATTCCTTCGCTCAATCGCCGCCAACCACCATTGCCAACTACCACCACCCACAACAGTGCACCCCTCGCGCACTCCCTAGCTCTTAACTATCTTCTCTCGTTTCTAAGCACCACCTGGAAGGAGCCGCTCATTCCTCCCGTTACCGATTGGACATCTGCCTAATCTAGTAATTCAACACATTTCATCTGGGAATTTGGTCCCTTTTTTATTTTTTATATTTTTTTAGTCTTTTTTATTACGAGCCTTCGTAATTTAGGCCAGTGCCTGGAACTCGAAAACTACTACAATTGGCTTGCCTTTTTCTCACTTTGGTTTCCACGGGTAACATATCTCTCCTCGAGTCAACCGAGTTTCAGCATCAATTATTACGTTTTGCGATATTATCCACAGAGCGAGAGAGGCGGGTGAATCCGACATTACTCTTCCCGTCTTTCGACAACGAACTTCTAGCTTCCATCTTTCAGGTTTCTTTCTCTTTCTTCCCCATCATTGAAAGTCAGGAAAAACTTGCTTCGATATACCCTTTATTCTTTGTTCCTAGGTCAGGCTGGACTGGACTGGACTCCCTCCCTCTCTCTTTCTTATATCGAATTTCATTTAACTCTCGGATATCGGAAAAAACAACCAGGGGGAAGGGACGACCGATCTCATCCTTTGTCCAAAAAAAGACGTCACCCTGGAAAACCCTTCTACACAGAAACACATACAACATAAAAATAAAAAACGACCTCCTACAATAATCCGGATGGAGTCAGAGTCCTTCCCCGGGTCATGGACCGACGAACAAACAGCAGAAGCTTCGGAGAAGGTCCTGCGGCGGGCCAAAGTGTCGAGGGTAATACTTCCATACATTCCATCATATTACCTAATCAAATATTCATAGCATCTTCGTCTTTCCACATTTCTGTTAATTACCCCCCTCTCAAACATATATATATATTAATTATCCTTATTTTCTTTATTTTTTATCTTATATAGATGGCCCGCCAACTACAATCCCGTCTCGCCCTTGCCAGCTACAAAACCCAACGTGGTTGGGAAAACCTCGATCTTGACACCATCGAACCCCGGGTCGACCAGGACCTTATGCGCAAGCGAATGCAGTCTATCCAGGAAGGTTCGCCGCCACACCCTCACCTTACAAATGGCTCCACCAACAACCACTATGATGATAATAATAACGACTTGAATGGTAACACGATGGGAGGAGTGTTAATGGGAAATAATATCAATAACAACTCCAACAATATCAGACGGCGGCCGGGCAGTGGTTCATCGTCTTCGAATACGGCTAGTCCAGCACATAGGAAGAAACGTGCAAGAACGGCGGCGCCATTTGGGGATCATACCAGGGGAGGGGGTTTATACGTCCAAAACAATGTGGAAGATCAAGATCTAGACGTCGATATGATTTATGAACCAAGCGCACGGCATAGTTTTCGAAACCACAACAAGAATAGATTAGCATGGAAGGAATCACACAGGCTACCTCAATCATCGCCGGGATATCATCATTATTCTCATCACCACCATCATCACAGCAACAGCAGTTTCGATATGGGCTCACAACCTCAATTTTCATTTACAAACTCACCGACAAGGAGAGGTAGTCCGTCATTAGAAATAAGTCACAGCCGTCATCACAGCCACCATTATCATCAAGACTACGAACACCAACCGATATTCCATTCCTCGCCGCCTAGAACTCCACCGCACAGAACAATACCCGCACGACCAGTTTTCACCACAGCCGGCGAGAAACTGGAAGAACGCAGCAACAGAGGCAATAATAACTCCAACAATCCCAACGGTAATAACAACGGTGGGAAAGCAGACGGCGAAGGCGCAGATTTATTACTATACCTAGCAACATCGCCATCTCCAAATACAATGACAAAAGCAAATGTATCAGTCGCACCATCGACGCCACCGGCAAAGGGTTCTGCGGCCGCATTACCATCTTCGATGATGAATACGCCCGGTGGGGGAGGAGGGTTAGGTGGTAGTGGGAGTTTTAATTTTCATGATTTTGTGCATATTACGCCTAGTCCTGCGCAGGGCCTGTGGGGCAACGGTGGAAGCGGGAGGACACCGATGACGATGCAGGCGAGGAGACGGTTGAATTTTGATGGGTTAGTGCCACCGAGTCCTATGAATGGTTCTCAGGGCTCTCAGGGCTCGCAGGGGAAAGTTGCTGGACTTGGGATGGAGCTGGGAGGGGAGCTGGTATCACCGACGTCTGGGTTATAATTGCATGAAAGGTGTCTCGATTCTTCTTCTCTTTATTTTTCTTCTCCTTCTTCTTAATTTATTTCTCGTATATAGGTGGGAGTGCATATTTCTTTCCCCTTCTTTTTAACGGTTCGAACGACATTTTCCCGTCCTCCTTTTCCCATCTTCCCGTTCTTCCTCCACATTTTGTCAATTCCCTCTACATCTTTTTTTTTCTTTTCTTTTTGTGAACACATTGATTCCCCCCAATCCGCACTGACACTACTGCCTTAATTTTCTTTCTTACTTTTCTTCCTCTTCCTCTTTTTCTTTCTAAAAATTTATCTAAGATTCCCCCCTCCAAAGGTTCGTGGACGTCGTCGATTGTACATACTTTTGTTTTAACCACTTCCGATCTTCTTCTTCTTCTTTTTCTTTTTTCATCTATTTCGAAGTACCATAACCTACTACTTTAACAAAAGGAGAAAAGAAAGAAGAGAAATAAAAAATAGATCAATTCTAGCATGCATGCATGGAAGCCATGTGTCTTAACCGATACATGCATGCTACTAATTCATACCCCCTCACGATCACTCTCACGTTTCCCTCGTGACATATTCTATATATATATCTGTATCACCTAATATTATATATATATATACATCAACATAAACTCCTCGTGGCTTTCCTACATTGATATTCCAGTAAACTTTGTGATCTCCTCCCAAAAACTGTATAAACTGAAGATCGTATCCTAGTAGTGAGTGAATCACCGGTGTACATGCATACCTTTTTTTTTATTTTTATTCCACATTGATTATATATGTTGGAAAAGGAAGAGAGAGAAAATAGTATGAAATTAACCACATGGGAGCCATCGACGCAACCTTCCTCTTCCCAGCAAGTAGCATTAAAATCGGAACGATCTACGGATAATTATAGGCACCAGGAAATCTAGTCGTCGCATGCCGTATCCCATCCTTGAACGGGTATTGTAATAGGAATTTGCATACAATTAGAATCGCGAGTAACAGCAGTGGTATCGAGCAGAAGAAAAAGAAGATGCACGTGCGCAAAGCGAGCTAAGACCTTCGACGGAATGTTTACAGGCACCTCGTCAGTCGAAGGAGAGTGTATCAAAATAATGTAAACCCACTCCCAACTTGGTAATGCGAGTAGCAATAATGTTTTGGTAGCGAACATGACGGGAGGGGCACAAAGACAGGAAGTAAACGATATCAAATGTGCCAATTGAGGAGGGAAAGCATCCACCATGAAAAAGAAGAAGAAGCCTGTTGAGTTAGGAATTGACGTTCAGCAGGAAACAGGAAAAGGAAAAAAAAACATCGCAGTCCCGGATTTTGAGCGAAGGTTAATAAAAAAGTTGTACGGTGGGGGTGATGGATAATATGGACAAGAATTAAATATCAAAATCCGAGGGGAAGTCTGCGGGAGGGTGGCATATGTAGATATCAGGGGAAGGGAAGAAGTGAGAAAAGAAAGTCATGGCGTAATATCCTAGAGATCGAACGAATCCAGAGAAGTCCCTCTACATGTTCAATTCACCGAGGAGCTTCTCGATCAACTTGATACCTTCGTCATACTTGTCGAGTTTAATCCCTGCACCTTGACTTGTCCTGCCATCTCTGGATGGGCCGGCACCTCCACCAATGAGTTCGCTGACTTTCCTAGAAATAATCGGAGCCGTTGTTGTTTGGGTCACAGCCGTCTATAAGATGTGGTCAGTCACTTTGATGGCGAAAGAAAGATTGGGATAAATGCGATATACCTGCGGAAGATGGAGGGCGTGGAAAATCTTTCCGTCTGCGTCTCCCTCGTCTGGTTTAACTACAAAGTAGACTGCTTTATCACCGTGGGAACTTCCGACTGTCTTCAAGGCATCGGTTAACGTCTTTCCGTTCGGCCCCGCATCTAGGACAATGAGGGCCGACTTTTTAGTGTTTTTATCAAAAGCAGAGGCAAGGGCAGCTTCGGCTTTGTCGAGGTAACCTTTGGCTCGGGCCTTAGCGTCATCGATGATCTGCTTGTTAACTTTTGCAAACTCGGCTTTCATCGAGTTTTTCTTGACAAGCCCGATTTGAGCGCTGTTTAGCCCAGTGGAAAAGGCTTTCCCAGCAGCTTCTTTTTTGGGTCCGAAGGGCATTTCATCGACCTCTTTAAGCTTGGCAGCGATTTCTCGTTCGAGAACCCGAATACCAGCAGCTATTTCGTTCGTTACACAGACGACTCGGCGGATACCCTTGCCGATACCACTTTCCTCGGTGATGACCATTTCGGTGATATCAGAGACAGTTTTCAGATGTGTGCCACCGCAGAACTCAATTGAAACTTTAGCCCATTGTGGATCAGTGGGATTCTCGACGATGAGATTGAGATCAATCCCGAGCGATACGACACGGACGGGGTCGGGATATTTTTCACCAAAGACAGCTCGAACACCGGTAATGGCTTGAGCGGTCTTTATGTCTATCTCTTTGGTATAGACGGCGACCTTTTGGTTGATATATGAGTTAGATTCGTTTTCAACCTTCTCGATCTGTTCTGGGCTAATTGGTCCATCCCAAGAAATGTCGAAACGAGTTTTGAGCTGGTCGACCAATGACCCTCTTTGGTGAACTTCACCCCCGTTCTTAGCCAACACCTCCTTTAAGGCGTAGTTCAGAACGTGTGTGGCAGTGTGGTTGACACGAATCAAAGAACGGCGAGCCTGGTGGATGTTAGAGTACTTCTCATATATTTAAGAGAGGGGAAAGGATTGGCATACCTCGTCGTATTCTACCTGAACGACATCGCCGACCTTCAAAGTACCATACTTAACGGTACCAGAGTGGAGGGCATATTTTCCGTGATAGACGACATGGTCAACAAAAATTTCGCTCTTTCCGGGGATAGAAATGGTACCAAAATCGTAAATCTGCCCTCCTTGTTCGGCGTAGAGACAGGTTTTATCGAGCAAGATGCCAACCTGGACATCATCCTCAAGGCCCTCTGTTGATTTGACGAATCCTTCTTTGACGAAGATTTTTAGGATCTTAGAGTCTCGAAGGATGGCTTCGTCGCCCCACACTATTATTAAATACGCATTAGCAACTAAGAAGGCAGCTAGGAAGGGTGCAAAGGCACCAATACTTACAGAATTTGGCTTCGTCATTGGCTGCAGGAATATTTTCTTCCTTGAGGGCGGCTAGAGCATGGACGTCAAGAGTAAGACGGGTGATGCCATCAATGACCTTCTTGACTTTGGATATTTCCTTGGCCTTCTTTTCGGCAACAAGGACGCCATCCGTATCAATCTTAACGGAAGATTCTTCGGCCATTATGTATGTGAGATCCAATGGGAAACCATAGGTATCGTAGAGCTTCCAAACTTCGTGACCAGCAATTGGAGTTTTGGTAGTAGTGGCGAGCTCGGCGAGCTGCTCGAATTTCTTCTCTCCTCTGTCCAAGGTCCGAGCGAAAGACTCTTCCTCCATGTCCAGCAACTTTTTGATCAGTGCTTGGTGTTCCTTGAGTTCAGGGAAAGTAGGGCCCTAGTTTCAAGGTTAGAATTTAGGTGGAATAACAAACCCGATAGTTTGAAGGACGAAGCTACTCACCAATTGCTCAACAAGAGCGGGAAGCAAAGAGGAGAAGAAGGACCCAATGTTGACCTTCATAAATTTTCGGGCATAACGAGCACCACGACGAACAATACGTCTCAAAACGTATCCACGCCCATCGTTATCTGGTCTGCCGCCGTCGGCGATACCGAAGGAGAGTGTCCTCAGGTGGTCGGCAACAACACGGTAAGTCTTGTCGATGGAGTCGACGTCTTCGTGGCCGAATTTACCCTCGTATGAGCGGATTTTGGCGACTTCTTGGATCTTTAAAAACAAAGGTTTGAAAACGTCTGTGTCGTAGTTTGATGACTTGTCTTGTAGAATTGACACCAATCTTTCGAAGCCCATGCCGGTATCAACGTGCTTATGGGGTAACGGCTTAAGGGTTTTGTCTTCGCCTCTGTTGAATTGTATGAAGACATTGTTCCAGATTTCCAAGACGTTAGGGTCGTCATTATTGACCAACTTGGCAGCGTTACGCCCTCCAATTCGGTCATAATGAACTTCTGTACAAGGACCACATGGTCCTTGGTCGCCCATCTCCCAAAAATTATCCTTAACATTTCCGGGAAGAATATGGTCGTCAGGAACTCCGGCTTTGCGCCAGAGTTCCTTGGTCTCGAGGTCAGGTTCAAGTCCGGAGGCACGATCGCCCTCGAAATAGGTGACGTAAAGTCTTGCAGGGTCGAGCCCATAGACCTTGGTCAATAGTTCCCAAGAATATGCGACTGCCTCCGTCTTGAAATAATCACCGAAAGACCAATTGCCAAGCATTTCGAAGAATGTCTGGTCCATAGTTAGCTAAGTATTCTAGCGAAGTAATCTGAGGGAATGGTAGCCTACATGATGGTAAGAGTCCGAACCGACGTCTTCTAAATCATTATGCTTTCCTCCGGCGCGGATGCACTGATATATGATACAACGGGTTAGCATCACAACGATGAGAGGGTGAAAAATATTTTTACCTTTTGGGTGTTACAGGCACGTTTGAGTTTACCAAAGTCAGATGTTTCGTCGACGGTTCCGAGGAAAATTGGCTTGAACTGATTCATGCCAGCATTGGCGAAGAGTAGAGTCTTGTCATCGAGGGGGACACACGGCGACGACTTATCTGTTGGCGGGGATTAGAAATCTTCTGTAGGCAAAATTTAAGTTACGAGGGGAAAGTAAAATCTCTTAGAACCTACAGAAGACGTGACCCTTCTTTTCAAAGAACTCGATAAAGGTTTGTCTGACCTTGGTAGCAGGCCATTTTTGTTCGGCAGCGGTGAGGCCAATGGTTTCCGGTTGTTTAGAGGTGGAAGGAGTTGACATCTTGCAGGCCTTAGTCGAGAAATATCTCGAAGCTAATTTGTGCAGGATTGGAGAAGTTGCGGATGGTCGAACTGAGGCTTTGTACCGGGTGAATCTAGCTACTGGGAGCACGCTATTCACGGTTGCCCGACAGGAAGAATGGTAGCTCGCAGCTGAGGTAACGGTCTTCAGAAAACCGTGGGGATTCTCTCGACTAAGACTGGAGATCGCATTAAGCGTTAGTACCCAGAACAGTTTTAAAGACGGATATATGTGTATATCTGTGGAAAGGAAAACTATAGGATTGGACGATTGGCTATATATGCATATATAGTACTAAGTGGGGAAGGGTTGATAGAGAAGGTGTGTGGGCTTAGAGGTTGTGGATTGTGAGGTGGAATGAAGGGTTGAGGGAGCAGGAGCAGGAGCAGAAGCAGAAAATGGAGAACAGAGGTAAGGGAGGGATTGAAGATAATGGGTAGAAGCGAGGTAATGAAACCAATTGGATGGAGAGAGAGAGATGATGCGGTAGAAGTAATCAGGTGATGAAGGAGACGGAGATAGATAGATGGGGAAGAGAGCAGTGCAGTCAGTGCAGCAGCGATGGGGAAAAAGGAAGCAACGAGAATCGAAAGAAGAGGAGGGGGAATATAGATTAGAATAGAGGGCGGATAGACTTACGATAAATTGACGATGATGAAGCTGGAGATAGCTGGGGCAGATTGGTGCGCAGGTAGATGAAGACGGGGAGATGGCGATGATGATGATGATGGTGGTGATGATGAGAGAGGAAGGAGGCGTTTATGTAGACGTTTATCTGGAGGAGTTGGTGGGGTGTCCGAGGGAACACAGAAATGATGTGTTGTTTGTGTTGCAGAACCGAAACAGGAAATTGTTTGTCTGAAGTCGTTGGCGTTTGTACTTGTGTTGCCACACACGGAAAGATAAGAGACGGAATCAGAAGACGACAAAGAAGACGACGAAGAGTTGATGAGATATAGTTCGTCAGGACGGTTCTGCAGGTGAACCACGCTCTGATAGGATCGTAAACGGGCAGTTGGTGGACGGCAAAGAGTGGGAGTTCTCAATGGTCTTGATAGATGACGAGGGCGGAGAAGGATGCTCATCCAGAGAGAAAGAGAGCGTCGGGTGGATTTTTATGTGTCGACGTTGGAAGAGCAGTAGAGAAATTGTCTGTAGCGATAAAACGGCGGGGCAAAAGTGGAAGGAGTCATCGCGCTAGACTGCAAACAATACTCCCGCAGATAACCACCACTACTATTAAGCTATTATATTGCACTATATTATATTCACGATAGGTTATCTTTGCTTCATCTATAATTAAAATCCAATTGAATATTAAACAAATCCATCAAGTGCTTTGGGGCAGATATTAGATAGGCCTGGCACAGCGCTAACCCAGGCAGGACCCTGCAAGGCTATTGCAATTGCATCGCCAGTTGGCTTCGAGAAGGCTATCGAACTTTCGCCCGCCACAACAAAAAGGAAACTGGAACACCATCATCACCATACATATCGTATCACATTATATCATGTGCCAGCTCCAACTTTAACTTCCACTCCCACTTCAACCTCACCTCACTTCTATATAGCTGGTTTCTTCCCTCTGAACTAAAACATTCCATGGCCAAATCATTATAACACTCAAAGACTCCAACTTCGCGACCTATGTCAGCTCAGCTAAGCTAGCTAGGAAACAAGCATAGTGTGCAGGCATACAGAAATTCAACCACCATGTCGCTTTTCTTCAGCCCACCATCCTCGCCCTCAGCGCCAACTCCCCTCGCATCACTCAGCATCCCATACAATCTCCGAAAGCGCAAGGCCGATATCGAACCTACAGTCGAATCCCCTCTCACAAAACGTTTTCGAAAACTAAATATCCGAAACACCCCTTCCAAAATCACAAAACGGACGGGATCACCTGCCAGGAACCCTCTTTCAGGCTCAAGTAACGGCGCCACCACCACCCAGGAACCATGGAATCTTACCCCTCCACCATTCCAGCGGCCTTCTTCCCCTCCGCCGGCCGTCATGGAGGTCGACGAAACACCTCACAGGATATTTGTGAATGATCTTGATTCCTCGTCTGATGATTCAGACCTTGATTCTCCCGCGAAGAATGAAAAGAACAATCCCATAATATTCCTTTCGGACGTCGAACGTGAGATGACTAGGATACCGCTAGCTGTTTTGAAAGCTTCTTCTTCGGCGACCGTTTCCGACCCCCGTGTTACAAAATTAACAACTGCAAGAGCTGGTTCTGGCAGTTCTACGGATTTGATTCTTTATAGACCACCGGAGCGGATCGTGGATGATACCGGGGTTAAGAGGATGGTCATGGAAGCCAAAGAACGGATCAGGATGCGTAATATTAATAATGGTAGCGGTGCCATGGATTGTATCAGAAGCGAGCCGACGCCGCCAGCTGATATCATGATGGGCCAGAGTATGGGTCAACTCGAAGGGGGATTCACTGGCAGTCCGATGACATACCTTCCGACGGTGCCAAATAACGATCCGGATGCTATGGTTCTAGATGATCTCTAAAGAGGAACACCGAGGCCTTTTGGATTTACACAGGGAGTGGACAGTCTTATTATTATTATTATTTTTTATATTTTTATTTCACAGGAGTTTACTTGCATATTATGTGGGATACACTATAGCGAAGGTGCAGGGGAGTCCTCTTTTCGCCCTCTTTGGTGACAATTGATATTTATTTGTCGGCGAACTGGGCTTTTATTGTTTACAGATCTAGTCTCGAGGCCAGCCGCCACACTTGTTCTCGATATATATATTTAAATTCGATTTTCAAATTGACCAGTAATTTACTGCCAATCATTCTTTGATAATCTTCTTCTTCTTCTTCTTCTTCTTAATTGATATGGATCTTTGTAGGGTATCGAACAGAAAACCGAAAAATCCATTATATCGGAGTCTCGTTGAGAATGGTAACAGGACAGACATGATATCCTCTTTCCAACAACCATTATGCAAAACCAAAGCCTTTTGAAACGCTCGAAACCATATGCTGGTATAGTATAGAAATACAGTTATGCCAAAGACCCTTATTATAACCGGTCAGGGGGTGACAACTAAAAAAAGCGCAACAGAATCTTCAAATTATAAATATAACTAGCTTCAACGTTTCTTGAAACCGTTACGGTCTCGGCCCGCTGCCGCTAGCTTCACCACCAGCAATTCCGGACCACTGCTGCCCCGGGTATGTCTGATTCGGGCTGGTTTTTGTCGGGTTCAACGGAATATCTCCCCTTGCCGGCATATTTTCGGGATAATAACTCGGTGGTGGTCCTTGAGTTGGATTGTAAACTGTAAACAACCCCGCCTTCGATTAGCATTCGCTTTTAACCATACTTCGGGATGCCGTTATCGACCTACCAGGTGGAGGAGGTTGATATGGTTCCGCATATCCTCCATAATTACCATACCCACCGGCATTCCCGTTGAAATGACTCGGGTAGGCCTCCGGTGGCATTTGCCGTCTAACCATCCATCTGTGATAATTGAGCGGTTCCAGTCCCTTTGACATTCGGTTTTTGGCATGAATGTACCCGCCACCGAAGTATGCAATAATGATAGCGAAAATTATCGCGCCGATGGTCCATTTGATGATTATGGCGGTCTGCAGCCGTGTACGTCATGTTAGCATGCGATCGTTTGGTTAGGAAGGGAAAACATCATTGAATGAATAAAGCCACTCACGTCTGAATACCACCAGCCGTAGTCATCGTCGTATATAAGAACCTGGCGAGGTTGTAAAGTCGCCATCTCTATATCCTATAAGCCCTCACAAAAACCTTTTCTGCTATTGAAACCACCAAGAAGAGAATTTGAGATGGATTGATTTGGTCGATTCAGTTGGAACAAGGGTTGGTCAAAGGATAATCGGATGTGTTGTGAGATGCCGTCCGCCCAATCCAACGAATGCAGCCGAGTAAACGGAATATTAGGACCGGCGAGTTTCCTGAAGCGTTCCGTGCCAGGGTGGGAATAGCTGAGAAGAATGAAGAAGGGTCGATAGGACAATCGATAGGAGGGAGAGATGTCGAGGATTCTATCACAACGGTAGGAATACACTTTTGTATGTATATATTATAAATAAAAAGCGACCCACAACGAAAGGAAACAAAACAGTAAGAATGGAATGGATGAAGAAGAAAAGCCGGGGAATATTAATGTATCATTGACCAGACTGACTGACTAGCGGGCAGGAGAAGGTGCGTGCCCTGGGCATGGGCGGGTGGCTATTCTGAGAAGGTGCTGCGCTGCAGCATGAGAGGGAACAAGAACGGGTGGCTGTTCTGTTGGAACAGAGAAGTGCAAGTTGGAGTGGAGCCAGGGATGCCCGTCGTTAATTGGCAGACGAGGGGCTGTGTACCGTGCAATTACGACGTCGTCGTCTGGGCTTTGTATATCCTACTTATAGGTAGATTAGGTACCTGCTTGATAATTATAATATGTAGCACCTGGATATCACCGATGCGAGCATTTTCTCCTTTATGTCCTGAGCTTCATGCCAGAGGGGGCATACACTATAGTTTGTACGCTGTATACATGAATTTAACAAGCTTTCTCAATAACATCTCGATATACTGCGCGCGGTCGTTTCAGCGATGTTTGAACAGCCCTGACTGCGTCCGTTTCAAGCAGCTCCAATGTGGCCGCACCGAGGGAAAATGCCGTGCATACTGACAGAGGTACATGTACATGTAAGCCTCTCATTCTCTGATCTTTGTCTCGATCTGTTTTTCTACACCGTCTGCAAATAATAAGAGCTGTCCATCAGCTTCCGGGTAGAAATTTGGCTCAGAACTAGGTGCCTTATTTCTTGGTCCGCACGGCTTCGATTTACGTCTGCGTGGCCTCTGAAGCGATTCTTCATGGCGAAGCGATCACCACCATCGCTATCCCATAACGGCTAGTAGCGAAAGCATGAGTGCTCTGAGATGAGCGTATCTTTCTACAGGTAGTTCCCTTTCGAAAATCTCGACCCGAAATCCGCAGCTCTTTCCAGCATTTGCTTCTTCTGTTGGAGCCCAATTTTCTTGCTGCTACCGACTATGTCCTTCTCGCGGTCGAAAGCTCTTTTGCTTGGGTCGTCCTCTTCCTTCCTATCCTTGGATTTCGAGTGCTCGTCCATCAGACTCTTCCCTCGATTTTTTGTCTATTGAGTCAACTTCTGTTAGTGCTGTTTCGTAATTGTGTAGTGTATAGATGCCTGATTAATGCATAAACAAAACTAAACTCACGTTATACTCATCGATCCGTCTCTGTGTCTCCTGAGCCTCAATTCGTGCGGCTTTTGCTTTAGGATCTTCATCTTCTCCAGTTTCATTTGCTGGTCTTCGCACTCCCATGACCTCATCCGCCACTCGCTTCGCTTTATCCGCAACTGTCTCCATCCATAAGCTATTATCGCCACTTTTGGCTGTCGGGGCCCGCGCCCCCTTTCCAGTTTGAAACTTTCGACTTCTAATCTTCGTAGGATCCACTTTTGACGTCCAGTCCCCGTGTTCTGGTGGCACAAGCATCCACTCGTCGCGTGTAATCTTATCTTCTGCAGTTTGAACTCTCGATGCTAGACGCCGTTGGGCAGCGGCCTCCTCGTCTGCCTATTGTAATAGTAATAAAACCGGTAAAATTATTATCGAGCTCTCTTTGACCCACTATACGTAAATCCTAAATCTTGGACAAAAAAATATTACATACCGCACTACCACGGGCCCCAGGTAACGAAGGTCCAATTTCATCGTCCGACGAAGAATCATCTTCATCCTGGTTGGTTTCTCCCTTTGTATCATCATCCTCATTGGGTCCCCTTGATGGCATCTGATCAATCGGTGCAGGCATATAAGGCCCCATCACCCTCCGTCGCTTCTCGGGATTCTCGTCAACATCATTCTTGGGCGCGGTAGCAGCACTGACAACAGCAACGGTCTCCTGTGATGTTTTACCTTCCGATTCCTTGGGCGCCGCCGAAGCAGCAGCAGCAGCAGCCTTCTCGGCTTCTTCCTGCTGGCGTTTTCGCTTTGCGAGGAGGTGTGGCGGGAGGGCGGGACCGATGTCCGACATGATTGTTTGAATAATTCGTGATCGTTAAGGGGATGTTTCTGTGGATTATGAGATCGAGATTGACGATGTTAATGGTTGCGAGCTTTTGAAACGTGGGAACGGATGATGCGCAGAATGGAATGCGATAGGATGGCTGCTGGCCCTGTCGCAAGACCTAAAACAAGACACTGCCCAGCTTAACGCGCAACCCAATTAACTCCACACCTCACACCCCTCCGATAGACATCCTGACGTCGTCTACATGCATCCCCAAGCTTCAATACCGTAGAGCCCCGTAATATCCCCCGGAAAACACCCTTAAATTTTACACCATCGTTGTCGCCGGGACCAGCGCTTTGTGGACCTTACCGGAATTCTAGTTTTGTGAACAGGAGAGATGCTTATTGACAAGCCGTCAACGATTCGATGAGCTCCCCAGAAGCCGAGGCCTTCGATCCAGAGGCTGTACATGATACACCCAAGCTTAAGGGAAGGGCATTCGAACCGTTTGAGGAGGAATTATCGGATCAAATATCCCACCCAAAGCTTGAAGATGATGCGTTAGATACGGAACAAGATGCTTTAGCAGAGCCTCCAGATACTCTTGCGGATAAAATCAATCACCTACAAGATGTACAAGAAAACATGGCCTCGCGGGCCAATGGCTTTACGTTTAAACGAACGAAATCAACGGAGCGTGTCGATTTGGTAGATACAGAGGGCGAGGTTGCAAATGGAACCGACGATAACGCAGATCTTGAGAGTGAGGGTGGTTCCCACCTGCCCAGTCCTCCTGGGACTCCCGACGACGTTCTTTCGGTACAGGTAAGCTATAATATCTATCAAGGAATAGATCGATATGGAAAGTTTATTAATGAAATTATAGGCCTCTGCTCCCTCCTCCCCGGGTAGTAATATTATTCCGCGACGGGCTTCACTACAAAACATACCCACACCCTCGCTCCGTCCATTCGACCGTAGATTTCAAAGCCGACTGTCGATATCTTCACCGTTGCTAGGGTCTCCAAGATCCGCATCGCCGGCTTTACTTAATTCTCACTCGCGGTCGTCATCACTTTCGGGACAAGGAGAGGACCTCGAGGGAGACGCGGAGGAATCATCTACGCCATGGGACGTGATTAGATGGACGAAGCTTAAAAAACTCAAGGCACAGCTTTATTCCGAAAGTGGACATCGAGCGTATGGAGAGCCGACTTGCATCAACATTTTTACTTCAATAGCGGTTGGAACGTCAAGAGGATTTATCCTAATATTTGACTATCACCAGACCCTCATGTCGGTAATTGGCCAGAATCTGAAAGGTAGAGTTTCAAAGCCGTGGATTCATACTCGAGCAAGATACTTATTATCTCCAAACAGTTGAATGCGGTGGAATTACATCCCTCGCAATTTCGGCAGACTATACAACAATTGCTGGTGGTTATGCTAAAGGATATATATTCACATGGGAGATTGGAAAATCAGCTCGTCCGTTCCTATCAATACCGCCAATACCATTGGGAGAGATCGATGGTAAAAAAGAAGATGGCCATGTCCAAGGAACCTCTGTTCTACACCTTGGGTTCCTGGGGACTAGACACACGGCCCTCGTATCTGCAGACGACAAAGGAATGGCCTTCTCCCATCTCGCCAGCCGTAGCTTAGTCGGTCGTGTCGTTAAAACCACGAGAATACTCGGAAGGTATCCCTTCGATATTGCAACGGCTACTCGACCACGGAAACCGAGCTCAGTGCTTGCATTCGCTTCTCTACCTCTTGGAAATGCGCCACAACCGACTGATACGATGGGTCTTACTGCAATGCTCACTCCCTACCTTTTAGTTATAGTTTCGACCACACCGATAGCACAGACGCAGCACAAACTTGCCCGACCAAAGGAAGTAGCGAGTGAGGCTGCTCTTAGTGGTTGTTTGGCTTGGTTCCCAGCTATAAAGCTGAAAAATGATGGTCAAAGGAGCAATAAGTCAAGCCAAGTAATGCAACCAAGGCTAGCATACTGCTGGTCAAATGTCTTGACAGTTATGGAAATTCTACACGCAGAGAAAGAAGGGGTAGAAATTGACCCGTACAAACCGCCCGCGTTGCAATTTAGACTCAAAAGTCGATGGAAAAGTGACGAGGCTATTGTCGCAGTGCAATGGCTAAACCGACAGGTAAATAACACATAACCCCCCCTCCAAATCCGACGGGTTATGGTGCAAGGAAGTTAAGAGCCACTTGATGATAGATTCTCTGTGTCGTCACAGTTAGCCAACGGCTAATAATTATCGAAGAACCTACCATGCGTGCAACGGAAAGATTCGACTTGATTCCGAAGCATATATATCATCATGATTACTTCGCTCGGCAGTTAAGATCTCTAGTTGGAAGTCTAGATGAGGAGGGTTCCTTGCATGCTAGTATCGCGGATGCCTACTATAACAGTGTTAAGACTTTTAAAGGCCGGATTTTCCTCTTAGTACGTATTAGTTAACCGTCACTTACTTAAATCAAAGGGACACGGGGCTTACACGCTACAAAACACAGGGTTCTTTTGACATGTCTGTTGGGGCTTTGTCGAACTGGGCCGATAGACTATTAGCCCTTATGGAGGTCGGCGATTTCATCGGTGCCCTAAAGCTTGCAACGTCCTTCTATCTCGGCGGAACCGAAATGATAACTGTAGGGTTACCGTCGGACGATGATTTACGCCATACGATGGTCAGGGACAAGCTTCTCGATATGATGGGTGCTTCACTCCGATATGCTTTCGGATTAACAGCTCAGTCAGTACCTATCAAAGAACGAGAGCAACTACAGGAACTCGCCACAGCATGTATAACTGCTTGCATGAGTATGGGTACCACAGATTTCCTCTTTGAAACCGCCTTTGAAGCCTTCGAGGATGGTTCCGCAGAGGGTGTCTTTCTTGAAACATTGGAGCCTCTCATCCTCAACGGCGAACTGACCTACCTGCCGCCAACTGTTGTCAAATCTTTGATTTCACATTATACATCCCTCGGCCTTGAAAGCCGTCTGGAAGAAGTAATCTGCCACCTGGACCCTCGAACAATGGATATTCATCAAGTAACAGGTCTCTGCAAAGAACACGGCCTCTATGACGCTTTAATATATGTTTGGAATCAAGCATTGTCGGATTATATAACCCCCATAACCGAAATACTTGCCCTCATCATCCCACTCATAACACCGAGCGATGGTGCCGAAGTCCAGAGTCTGAATAGTACTAATGCCCTCAAAATATTTCCGTACCTTTCTTACATCCTTACCGGGAGATCTTACCCTACTGGCGAAATTATGTCAGACTCCGAAGCTATATCCGCGAAAGCAATGCTATACTACTTCCTTTTCCTTGGCCGTTCAATACAATGGCCGAAAGGAACATCGGATTACATCCTAACGAAAACGACCAATCATCACAACGAACCCTCGTTCCCGTACCTCCGCGCAATCCTCGAATTTGACGCCGCAAGTTTCCTAAGTTGTCTCAACGAAGCGTTCGAAGACCCTTTCCTTAACGATGATGCAAACTCCTCCAACCTCAGCGTTTCAGCGAGTTTCTCCGAGCTCAGCGAAGATCAAGTGTTCGGTCGTTCCGTAAATAGACAGTACATCGTCAGCATCCTTCTCGAGGTCATGAACCCTACAGACTTCACACCTCATGATACAATATACCTCGATATGTTCATTGCTCGAAACCTACCAAAGTATCCACAATATCTCCTCTTTCCCGGTAGTACGCTACAAAGGGTTTTACTCGGGCTATGTAATTACCCTGGTAGCGATATTGCAGAAGATTGTCAACTCAGCGCGGAATATTTACTTTCAGTATACCACCCACCGGACATTAACCTTCTTATCGATGCTTTCGTCTCCGCCGGGTTTTATAGGGTCCTCAAGACGGTGTTCAGGACCGAGAAGGATTATCCGAGATTGATGGAGATGTACTTTGAGGATACAGATACGTTGAGTACGGTATTTGACTGTATCAACGAATTGCTAAGGCCAGCCAGTACACTCACTGCAAAACAGAGAGAGGAAGTCAAATCCGTCATCAAGGAACACGCAAAGCAGCTTACAGATGTTGATGCTGAAAAAGCAGCGGAGACATTAAGTATCGCTGGTCCCGACTTACACCATATTGTCGTGTCGGCCTGTGCAGAGGAACCAGAGGCACAGTATAAATATCTCAAAGTTGTGTTTGAATCATCCGAAAAGAATAAAAAAGGGAAAACAAAAAACGAGAGGGATTCGATTACAGAATATGGATCACTACTAGAATTGTACATCCGACTCATGTGTTCGTACGACTTTGAAAAGGTTTCGAGGTTCATAGAGACTTTAAGTCCTGGAGATTTGAAACTTGATCAGGTTATTCCCGCTCTTGAGGAAAAGGGGGCGATAGATGGAGTGGTTCTTTTGATGGCTAGGGAAGGGTTGATAAAAGAGGCGATGAAGAAGTTGGTGCAACACCTGGAAGTGCTAGAATCAGCCTTTGTAGGGTTATTACGAGGATGTGTGGATGATGAGGAAGGATATCAGGAGAATGACAACGTGGGGGATATGTTGACCGCTCTGCAGAAGTTCTCAAAAGTGGGGATTTGGTTATGTCAAGGTCAAATGGCCGCCTTGGAGTCGAGGCTCCGAGGCTCTGCTGGACGAATGACATTGAAGAAAGCTTTGAACAACAAGAACTCGCCTTTGACGGCTGAAGAGGACTTGTGGCTAGATTTGATCGATTGCGTGGTGCATATTTCCAAATCTGCGACTGGGGTGCTCAGGAATTCCTCGAATATGAGCATGATGACTCCTGTTAGCCCGAGTGTGGCCAGTATGTCGGAAATGTCGTCGAGACCTGTTTCGAGAGCGAGCAGTAAAAGTCAAAGATCACATTATTCAATGCTCGGGGAAAGGAGGTTACTTGCGGCGACGCACCGACTTGTCCATGACGTCTTCACGGCGCTGCTATCGGCTACTTCTACGGGCGGGCAGAATACAACTTCATTCTTGAGGATTCTCCGGGCGTTTTTGAACAGAGCAGCTATCACTTCGCCTTCATTGGCTGATTTGAGGAATGTCCTCGCGAGTATCTTTGATACTTATACTTACGAAGAACAGCTACTGGCGCTTTCGGGGAAGTTGTTGGAGAAGGATTTGTTTTTGAAGGTAGAGGATGCGGCTACGTTGCGACAACAGGGATGGAAGCCGAAGAGTCAACTGTGTGAAGGGTGTGGGAAAAAGCTTTGGGGAACAGGTGCAGCTGGCGGGATATATGCCGCATGGGAGGCCAAGAGAATAGAAGCGTTCGAGAAATCGAAAGATGAAAAGGTGGAGAAGGAAGCAAAGAGAGAGCGGGAACGGTTCGGTAGTATATCCAAAGGCAAGGGCAAGGCAATGCTTGCAGTATTACATGACGAACGGTCGGCGTTACCTGGGGTTAAAGAGAACCAGCCAAGTGGGAAAGACGGAGAAGGGGACGCAGCTACAGGCCAAAAGGAAGGCGAGGGAGACAAGGAGGCGTCGAAAATCATCATGGTTTTCCACTGTGGACATATTTATCATCGTTCGTGTCTGGAAAGTCTGCATAAGGATGAGACAAATGACGAGAATGGGGAGGCGGAGGAGACACCTTTCTCGCCAGTATCTCGACATGAGACTAACGTTGAAGAAACTGGAATGCGGTGTGTCGTTTGTAAATAGCGAATGGTTATGGGGCATGGTATATTTTATAGTCACAAACGAATTAATGACTGGATGATAATACTAATTTTAAAGACTCGATCTACTCTATCTCGCTCGATGGCTGCAGTATATATCTATTATCAGGATTAGACAGAAGAATTCATATGTTAAAACTCGTGAACGAGCAGATTACACGTACTGTGGTAAATTTCAACTTGGTCCGACGCAAAAACTGATCCAAAGCAGGCATTAACGAAGAAACCCAAGCGCCACTATTTTGTTATCCACTACCTTACTGCTATATCGGCCAAAAGAGAAGAAGAAAACCATCGAGAGGTATTTGCGCTTCGAGGCGCTTAAAGACTGAACAGACGTCGATGCATGCCTTCCAGAAAAGCTACAAATCCAGCTAACAATTAAGGGAAGAAAGGGAAAGCAAAAGGAAAAACAGAACGCATCGGAAAGAAAAGAAAAGAAAAGCAGAACCTGCTACAGCTTAGCATGCATCTTCAATGGAACGACAAAAAGAGTAGCGGCTCCAAACAGTACTCCTTTGCCGATTTTATCAAGGTCCCAATTTTACTTTCCAGAAAGCTTGGTAACAGCATCTTCTGCCTTTTCTCTCTGTTCCTGTGTTTTCATATCTCTAACTTTTGCAAGTACGACCTCCCTGAATATGGCGGACCTAGCAGCTCTAGAGAGTCTTCTAGCCCCTCCAGGAGAAACAGATGCACCTGGAACGCTGGCAGCAGCCTCGCCAGCTTGTTCTGGGACATCGTCTTGGTCGTCGGAATTAGCATCCTGCTGGAGACGCAAGGCCTCGATGCGGTTCGAGAGGCGGACAAGTTCGACACCACGCTTGAGACGAGCTCTGGCAAGGAATTGCTTGAGATCGGGAAGGATATCGTGCTCGGTGGCAGTTTCTCCCTTGAGCCAGACATGATTCAAAGCTTCCTAAATGACAATCTCTATTAGTACCTGTTTGACGAAACCAAAGAGGTCTGGCTGTTATCGTACCGAGCTGGACAAACGTTCGTTCGGGTTGGGCTGGAGAAGCTCTCCAATAAACATCTTGGCGTCGGAGCTGACACCCTTCCAGTAGCGCTCGTGGAAAATAACACGCCCATTGCTGCACTCGTCGATCAATTCCGGTAGAGTCTCACTACGGAATGGAGAGTAGCCGCATAGTAAGGTGTAGGTAATCACACCGAGTGACCACATATCCACTGGCTTACCGTGACCTTTCTTCAGCATAACCTCTGGAGCGGCATAACCGAACGAACCAGCCATTGTAGTAAGCATTTCATCCTTGCTATCGAGCATTTTAGCGATGCCGAAATCTGCGAGGACGAGAGATGACTCGTGGTCCGGGGTCAGGTAAAGAAGGTTTTCCGGTTTTAAGTCTGCCGTATTAAAAAGAAAGAAGAAAAGGGAAAGACACGATTAGTGTGATAATACTCTCGATATAAAGGCAATTCGGAGCACATACCTCTGTGGACGACATTATTCTTATGAAGGTAATCGACGGCGCCGAGTACCTCTTTGACAACCCTGACAGCATCCTTTTCGGTGAATTTTCCCAATTCGCAAATACGATCAAACAGCTCTCCACCGGTGGCCAACTGAGTTACAATGTAATATTTATCCTATTCCGCCTCGAAAGTCAGCGTGTGCCTTCGGTGGAATTTAAACTCGGAATTTTGGGTTCAAAGAAGCGGGGTGATATGTACCTTCGACTCGAACCAATCGACGAACCGAACGATATGAGGGTGTTTTAGATGTTGTAGCAGCTGTAATTCGTCATAGACCATCTGTTCATTGCCCTTGACGTTCTTCTTGAGGATAATCTTGACGGCGACCTTGCCGTCGGAGCTGTCGGCCTCTCGTACAATACCGTAGGTACCAGCACCCTGTTATTTCCCCTCACCAAACGGAAGTTAGCAACTACCCCTCAGATAGCAGTATATACGCGAATGTAGAATGTAACGGCGGTGAATTGTACCAAAGTGCGGCCCATCTTGTATTGTGATCTTTTAGAATCCATGGTCAGCACGATATCAAAATTAGGGGATTCAAGTGAGAATTGATGGAAACGGACTTTTTGTCATAGCTAGGTGGCTGACCACCGAGTTTATTGAAGAAGGCTGTAGTATTTGAAGGCCCATGGTCAGCTACAGCTCACGGTTTGCCCTGGCGAGGTACATTATCACGCATCACTATCCTATCGAGTGAACCGATTGTGCCAGGGTCTGATGGTGGGGTTGAACTGCCTGTGCGAACTCACAACTCATTTCAGGTCGAACAGCGGGGAATGACGTAGAACCGAAGTTCACTGATATCTATGAAGGTCCAAAAGGTCGTGATGCCGAAGAGGAATGGAAAGAGGAAGAGAAAGATAGCGGGAGGAGGAGGAGAAAGTGGGCTTAGTATCAGATGGGTCGAGCCACTTTTTAAGCTAAGGCAAGGTTGAGATCCGGTTTAGTTAAGACGGTGAAGGACGAGTCGAAGGAGAAGTTCGAGTTTTGGAGCGGGCGAAAGCGCAGTAATTAATATGTTCAATTCAATTGGAAACTTAACCACCCATTGCATTGCACCCCCAGCGTGTAGCTAGGTAGGTATATACTCTTATATATACCCGATCGCTGTCTCTTATTTTATCAAGTCAGAGGTAAGTGCCTATATCTTATACAGCATCATCACAGATACGGTTTCGATGTCCTAGCTTAGCTTAGCCGGGGCGGTGGAGATGCTTATTTTTGGTATCAGGTTAATTAACTACTCCGGTCATGACAGAACATATCCCCATTAGCTACATTGAAACATCACGAAGGATGACCGGAGATACCGACCAATTCTCCAATCCAATCCAGTCGAGTCTCTTTCTGCATGGTATCACATGCAATCACTTCAAACAAAGGTAGAGGAGACTGCCGACAGCATCATGACTTGTATGCATACCTCCTATTGTTACTATTACTAAAGCTAATTGACTAACGTAAGCAATGACGGTGCACAGTATAGTCATATAATGGGGGAGAAGAAGGAAAGCAGGATCCACAATGCAATGCAATTTTGCGAGCCTATTTCCACCGAACAGACACCCCCCAGTCGCATTGAAACCTTCTTTTGAAATCCCTACGATGTAGGTTGGTTCTTCAAGTCGGATTGAGTCTCTGGTGAAAAGCCTTGTCAGGCTGAGCTATGCGCCATCATATCCGTATAGGGTCATATCCATGGCCATCGGATCATCCCATCCATTTACCGACCCACGGATTAAGTTCGAAGCCGTGATGCAAATCTTCAGTTTCATATTGGATACATTGCATTTTTTTTCTTTGGTTCATATCTTCATATGGGTACTCGTACGACCAGCTGAGAACAATGTGCGAATCATGCAGGCCAATTTGCAACTGCATCTTCATGACAAGGAAAGCCCGAATGAGGGCAAGCCTGAGGCTGATGTTCTGGGAAGCTCTAACCGGAAATTTAGGCCCCGCTACTGCCCCACTTGCCCGTCTTCACCAAAGCCAAGATCAAGTTCCTAGCCATGACCGCGCGTTACTAACATGGCGAAGCACTTCAACGGGATCACGGCTGGGAAGTATTCGAGGACCCCGTCGGAAAGGAATGCATCCGATTAGCTAGCCGGTGGTCACCGTTTTCTCTTCTGACTCAGTTACTTACTTATTGACCGATATCAATTTAGCTTCTTCGTCCAGTCTTGGGCCTCACGGATTCAGGAACTAAGGCAGCTTTTGGACAGGCGGTATTTAGCCCCGCTTACGCAATTCGTCCTTCAGGGCCCTAATCAACGATCTTGAATACCCTTTCGAGCACAAATGTGGCGCTCAACTACCCAATACAATCACTCGCAGGTCGACGGATGAGTACTTCAACGTTACAAAATGCAGAACTGGATGGTGACTGCCTAATTGTTAGATATCTACTTAAGAAGTATGTAGTTAAGATTTTTATGTTTTTTTAGAGATTGATATATTAATACCGGCGAGTCTACGCCGCACACGTATGTGTCAGCAATTTGAAGTTTGAGATCCGAGGCCTCCAAGCCCGCTCCAATCATATCGGCAGCCGGCTTTGCCCTGCAGCATGATCCAACGGCCAAATCTAAAGCCATTCCCATTTGATCTCTTGAACGTGTACTCCAGAATTCCTACAGCAAGGGACGTATGCGCCATCCGGGATCTTAGATGCACAGGCATGAGCATATGAAGTCGTATGTATATATATGTTTCAAGCCAACCTGTTGTCGAAAAAGAGACTCCTAGTTCGTATAGTAACACCGCCCTCTATCGTGAACATCATTATTAGATTAGAAGAGCTCCTTTGTGTGTAATTAACTTGCAATTGGATACTACATATATCTGTAGTAGCAGCCTTGTAGTAGAGATAAACGGAAGCTTGAGGTTGTATCGGTACTTGTGGGCATTGTTTCAAAACCAGCTCTCAGACCTATTCCGTTCAGGCAATCACTGTCCGCGCCTAGATTCTCGCTTCCAACCTTCCCCATATTCCTCGCTGGTGCACCCCTCATCCCCAATCAACTACCACCACTCAACCTAGACTGCGGCTGCTGTTGGTGCTTCGTGGTTGCAATTGACAGGATCTGTTCCGTTGGTTGCATCCCTGCTTGGCGATAAAGTGGTGGTGCATCTTTAAGTACCTCGCCCCACCATCCGCCTGTCCCTAGAAATCCAACCTCGATAACGATCATATCGCTCGACGCCATCCAAAATGTTCGCTCAAAAGAGGCTCGGAAAGGTATGATACAGCTAATATCATAGTATACTCTTCGATATATTCGATCAGGGTGTTGATTTCTTCACGTCATCATCTGTCTAGGAGCTCTCCAATGTGAGTGCTGAAATCCCAACCATCTTGCCATGCTAGGCTTCAGGCGCGCACCAGCTAAACCCGTGGTTTATAGATCCACAAATCACTCCCACCGGGGATATCTATCGCCTCGGCATCGGACTTCAGTAACTGGAAGATGGATATTCAAGTACTCGATACCAACCCGTTATACGCCGATCAAATCTACAGGCTTAACTTCAAATTTTCCGGATCGTACCCAATCGGTACGGTGCCTCCCATGTTATGATACTATACCAAAGTCGCTGACCAGGCCCTCCCATATATAGAAGCTCCAGAAGTGACATTTATCAAAGAGGATGGACGTGATATCCCAATGCACCCTCATAGTAAGATCAACACTAATCCCGAAGACGGGATACAAGTCTCTAACACCGGTAAATCGGCGTCTGTGTAGTTTACTCGAATGGTGTGATCTGTCTTGATCTTTTGGGAACGAATTGGTCGCCAGTTCAAAATGTTGAATCGGTGTGCATGTCAATCCAAAGCATGCTGACAAGCAATACGAAGAATGGTGGGTCTCGTTCCTGTGTTTATCTTTAGTTTCTGTCGTTTTAACACTAGTTGGTATCTAGAACGTCCGCCTGGGGATGAAACCTTCGTTCGCTCTGGTTATCGGTCGCCGAGGAATATTAACTTCGTTTATGACGATAATACCGTTTAACGGAGCTAGATGAACCCGGAGACCTTGTTGAAGGTATATTAGGTTTCGCAACTGAAATATCGCGAACCATGAACTATGCGAATGGCGATTACGTTTCTTCCTTTCATATCCTTTCTGCTATATACGAAATATGTTTCTTTGGCCTATCCAGGAGTTTTTTGGATTGGAGTTGTCGAGGTTCTTTCATCATTTTCCTTGAGCACATTCCAATCAGTCGGGCTCGGGATAGAGATATCACTTCAATTATTAGTACTATACTGCTTCTCATTGCGCAGTTATTGGTAAACCGCTTCCTACGCTATTGGATTCAGCAAAGGGAGCTGCTAGATCCCCTCCTTTGTTGCACTTTTTTTTGACTCACAAATACCTATATCATTTTAAGCTTTTTTTTGGTACATTCATCTGTTACCCTGCAAAAGATTACCTCTACCTATCTATAGAAACATTAAGACACTCGAACTCCCTGATGCAGCGCATAAAAACACACGAGAAAATCGGACATGTTGCATCCCAATATTGTACACGAGATCATAAGATTGTTCTCTATCATCTATTCTCTCTCCATGCTGTTGTTTCTCTATAGGAAACACACTAGGACTCCATCAGCTTCTCCTGGAAGTCTGTGCACTTCTTTTTCAGGATCTGGACTGCTTGGAGAAACAATTCGTCAGAGTTGTACATCCCCGTCGACTCGATTGAGACTATGTTTCTGTGTTAGTATCGTCTACTTAGATTCACTTGTATTTGTCCATTTGAAAACTTACAGATAAAGTGGTCTCTGATTCTTCCAAGTTCGACTTTACCCTTGAATTCATCATGTCTGAGGACCTCTCTGCTAACTGTGTCTTTCCTTGGATTTACCACGACCGCTGTGTTTTCTCCTGTCTTCTTGTCCTTCTGGACCTCCGCCACACCCTTCGGGAAGCAGTTGACAAACTTCTCTGCGTCTTCTCCGGTTATCGGCTTTTTGATCTTTATAGACGGCAACAATCGATATGAAGCTGTAGCTACAGGACTGAACTTGGCGTGATCCTGTCCAATTCCCAATACACAATGGATTTCGAGGTCAATTTCCTGGCCTGGTCGTAGCTTTGCTAGTAGAATATCTGGGTTCACAGGTCGGATCTCGCCAGCACCAGAGAACCATGAGGATTGTCGACCTTGAGGGGCGAATTTGATGTCACGGGCATAGACTGAGGAATTGAAGTAAAGTTTGGAAGGATCGGTTTCGGTATTGGGGGTAGCGTGATTACGGGTGCAAGCGACTTTGAGGGTCATGACGACAGTGTTGAAGTCAGTGGCCTCAGCTGCAGGTTCGTCCGGAGATTCTATTCAGAGCTACTGGTTAATACATTTCTCTCTCTCTGTGTGTGGAGCTTTTCTCTTTTCTTTTCTGGATAGATCGTACTCTTTCGCCATCTCAGCTGCTGGAAGCCTTTTTTGTCGCCTCTTAACGGTACGAGACCCAGTCTTTGTGCCAGAACTTCATCCTGTACTATGGATGTATTGTTGTGAACGAAAACTGTTTCAATGGCTAAAGTCGGTACTTCGGATATAAGTATTCTTCGGAAGGCATTGGCGACAGAAGCATCGACGCCGATGAGGTCGAATTCGTAATCGAGATCATTCGCCTTGTGGATGTCGATTTTGGAATTCTAGAGCATATAAGACCGGATGTTAGGACCGACCGGTAGCTTTGAACCGCTATAGAAATAGAATGACTGACTTTTTTGAAGTCGTCCAGATTCCATGAATGGTCTTCACCAGGGTAGTGACCGGGGAAGTCGGTGGATGTCACATTCGAGACTCGTTCCAATTCGACGCCGACTATCTGCACAGCATATAGCTAGTTAGATCATGATTAAAAAACTTAAAGAGACAATGAAACTGGACTTACCCGCCGTCTTTCCAGTTCTTCTTTTGAGGGGGCCATTGCGAATAGCTTTTTCGCGTGTTCGATGTTGAATTCATGAACAAATTTAAAGCAGAGATGCAATGCAATGCTGTCGCAGAAACTTTTTTTGGTGTTGCGGGCAGACAGGTCAAACTAGCAGCCAATCGGAGCCGGGTCAAATGGATTTGCTCTTGGCCGACCACCATTGATATCATACATTCGACCCACAGCACAGACGGTTCAAGGAAAAGAATACTTCTTCGGGCAGATTCGGGCTCTCAGCCAAAGACGCAAATACCAGAGCCTGGGACGACTTCGCCACAATCGCCGGTCCCAATACGTTGGTGGTAGTGATATATGACGGCTTAGACTGCCAACCTAAACCTCAACTCTCCGCTCCTGTCTGCTATCCCTCGACCCCGCGATACCTCCCGAAACAATGGTTGTACCACTTGCTCGCCTCGCCTCTAGGCGATTGTACGCACAGGCTCGATGCCTTAATGTCAAGCCGATTACATTCCCGACTCAGCGGTCGTCAATACGATGCTTTGCAACTACAATGCCACGACGAGCTGCCCCGGCTCCGGCCCCGGAGGATGGTGAATCGTATTCGAAGATCGACCAGGCCTCTACACCGGTGTCTCGTTGGACGGGTCCGGAACCAATCAAGAACGCGGATGAGATTGACTTGGACTTTGATACTACGCGGATGAGTACGTAGGCGGAATTTATATGCAACATTGAGAACTGGCAATGGCTAATTGCGTGGTTTATAGCCCCCGACATGGCTCTGGGAGAAACCGAGCACGAAGGCCGGAAGATTAGACACTATACCGTGAACTTTGTACGGCTGTACTCCTGTTTTTATATACTGGTAGCGGGAGTCCTTGGGTTTTACTAACAGTGGCTATTGTTGTTTAATATAGGGACCCCAGCATCCTGCTGCTCACGGTGTGTTACGATTGATTCTTGAATTGAACGGCGAAGAAATTGTCCGAGCAGATCCTCATGTCGGTCTTCTACATCGTGGTACCGAGAAACTCATCGAATACAAGACATACCTCCAAGCTCTGCCTTATTTCGATCGTCTCGACTACGTTTCTATGATGACCAATGAACAGGTTTTCGCCCTTGCTGTCGAGAAACTGCTTAACATCGAAGTCCCAGACCGTGCCAAGTGGATCCGCACGTTGTTTGGAGAATTGACTCGGGTTAGAAATCATCTTATGTCGGTCTTGTCCCACGCAATGGACGTTGGAGCTCTTACACCTTTCTTGTGGGGTTTCGAAGAGAGAGAGAAGTTGATGGAGTTTTATGAACGTGTGTCCGGTGCTCGTATGCACGCTGCCTATGTTAGACCTGGTGGCGTGCATCAAGATATCCCGATTGGCTTGTTGGATGATATTTACCAATGGGCGACCCAATTTGGTGACAGAATTGACGAAGTTGAGGAACTGTTGACCGACAGCCCAATTTGGAAATCGAGAACCCAGGGTGTTGGTATTGTCGGCGCGCAAGAAGCATTGAACTACAGTTTCTCTGGTGTTATGTTGAGAGGAAGCGGTATTCCATGGGATATCCGAAAATCACAACCTTATGATGCCTACGATCAAGTTGAGTTTGACGTCCCAGTTGGTCTGAACGGAGACTGTTATGATCGATATCTCTGCAGAATGGAGGAGTTCAGGCAGTCGCTACGGATTATCCACCAGTGCTTGAACAAGATGCCACCTGGGCCTGTAAGGACAGAAGACTACAAAGTTACCCCACCACCAAGGGCAGCGATGAAGGAGAACATGGAGGCTCTCATTCATCACTTCTTGCTCTACACTAAGGGGTACACTGTACCAGCGGGTGAGACATATACCGCCATTGAGGCACCGAAGGGAGAGATGGGTGTCTACGTTGTCAGTGACGGAACAGAAGTATGGAGCCCGCTTTCTTGAACCCAAATACGCCGGCAACGATGGCTAATTCTACAATACAGAGACCATACCGGTGTAAGATCAGAGCGCCCGGATTTGCTCATTTGGGAAGCTTCGATCAAGTCTGCAGAGGTCATTTGTTGGCTGACGCGGTCGCTGTCATTGGTACTATGGACTTGGTGTTTGGAGATAAGTTGCCCACCCTCTTTTAGAAAACTACTGTAGAGTTTCTGAATGCTGACAACCTGTGCACAGGTCGACCGTTAATTTAGTACCGGCTATAGTAGTTTGACGGATTGGCACAAACTAAAGCGACTACGTTTTTTTATTTTATTCCTTCGAATTCGAAATTTTTTGTAAAATAATTGATTGCTTTGCAGGAGGGGCGTGAGAAGGAGGGAGAGGTGTATATACGAACGCTTCATACAAAAAACCTTTGGACAGCCTTCACAGTAACTGTTAATGTAGAATTGCATGTCGAAGTCCGTATTAAGGTCGAGATACCAATATAATGTCATCATGCATCGTGATCATGCGTATGCACCATGGCCATGTCATATGAGATATCGATAGCATGGACCGGTAATATAATTGGTGAATTCCGCGGCTGGGTTGCTCCGGCTAGCCGCGTTTTGCGCGAACAACAAAACAATCTAAGCGCGCATTTGCTCCGTTCCCGTTCCAAACACCTCATCTCGCGATACGACCGCCAACTCGACTCATCGAAAACCTCTTCGTTCGCTCTTCGCAAACCGCACAGATTCTCATCACTAGGCCCTCATCCTTGTATTATCGCCATTCGTACTCGATTTCAACCTTGTTCCGGTCCTCTTTTTCACTTGGGCGACCTCGTACTGTTGCCGAGACACGCGACACGGTTTCATCACAACCAAACAAGCCAGTCCATCAACGCCGACGCCACTACTAATTTTTTCGAGCTTTCAGCCTTTTGATCCGACTTACACCGTCGCCAAACCAGCTCATATTGGTTCTGAAGGATATTTTCCCCGTATTTAAGCCGTAACCGTTTTCTCTAACGGCGATCGAAACCGACAACTGGCCTGCATATCAGATGCACGGCGGACTATCATTGGACTAAAGGAGGAGACAGCAGCTCGGGCGGCGATACTATATCTCAAATGTCGGCCCCGGAGATTGCGGCTCCCGCGCCTCCTCCCCCCAAGCAATTTGCGATATAAGTACCCCAGTCTATTCAAGATGGGAGCGAGAGGAAGACGGTTGGTGGCACGGCTGACATTCAGTGCACAGCAAAGCAAAGAGTCGGGCTAGATGTTGACTTTGCTACGCGGACTATCAAGGTGGGTGGCTTCTGGCAGTATTAGGGGACGGTGGAAACTGTTAAAAGGCTATTTGGGGCAAGAGGGGTGTTAACTGGGCGACTTGTAGGGGTTTACTGAGATCACTGTTTTACCGCTTGATCCGACATTACGGACCTTAAGGTTTAACTGTCGTCAATGCAGTAGGTGTAGCTCTAATTTACTTGAGAGCTCGGGGCCTTGGACTAATCTGACGCCATAGACATCAGCCGAGTAACGATCAATGGCCGTGCACCGGGCCAGTGGGGGTATAACGATCCGCATGCGAAATGGAGATTACACGATACAGCGACTGTGAACCAATGGGGAATGTTGCGGCGACGAATAGATCCCCTCTTTACCAGCACCCTTGGCGATGACGAACTTTCCCTTTCTCTTCCTAATAAGATGAAGATCGAGCTAGAGGTATTATTACCAGAATACAAAAACCACAATAGCACAGCTCAACTAACATACACAGGATCCATCAATGGCTGGCACAATGGTACCAAGTCGGGAGGTTCGGGCGAGTTCCGCGCGTGGTACGTATATTGATGGGCTGTGGCTGAACAATAGGATTAACATGAAGTCGTAGATTCCCCAAGGATCGATACGCCAGGCCCTAATGCTACAGACGGGCCTGTATATGCAACTCTACTTGTTCGAATAGACTACACCATTCCCACTATCCGAGATGGACTACATTTTGTTGGATCGGATGACGATCCTCGATACCCACATGCATTCACTACAAACAGCTTTCTACCTGGATCTGCGGCGTGTCTGTTCCCTTGTATCGATGATCTTTGGGAGCGTCCCCCCGTCTGGGACCTTGAAATCACGTGTCCGCGGACTTTAGGGGACATCGGCGTAGATATTGAACCTTACGAAGAACCCCTTATTAATGGGTCCTCGCGGTCGTTGTTCAAGAGGAAACGTCCGAAAAGGGAAGATTCAGATTTTGCATTCCAATATCATGGCGAAGGAGAGGATTTGGAGATGCAGGTTGTGTGTTCTGGTAGCTGTGTGAATGAGGTAAATCTCACTGTCTAGCAAAACCGCGATTAATACTAACGAAGTCGTAGTTTACGGATGCCAAAGACCCGCATAAAAAGGTGTTTCATTTTACGATCGAGAAGCCAACTGCACCTCACCAAATTGCGTTCGCTATTGGCCCCTTTGAGAAAGCTGTTTTGACAGAGAATCGGGCGGCGGAAGAAGACGAAGCTCTTGGTCGTAATGCGGTAGAAGTTGTTGGGTATTGTCTTCCAGGTCGAAAGGAAGAAGTTGAAAACACGTGCTTGTTCATGCAGAGGGTGAGTTAAACCAGAATCCAGCTTGTATCAGAACATTTGCTAAACCGAAAATCATAGGCCATAGATTACATGGTTCGAAATGCAGGACACTATCCTTATCCATCTTTTTCTCTGGCTTTTGTTGACGACTTCCCTTCGGATATTGTCTCTTCAGCTGGCTTAGCCGTATGTAGTAGTCGGCTGCTCTTCAAACAAGATTGTATAGATCCTATCTATACAACAACAAAGCTTCTAAGTGTAGCCCTTGCTTCTCAATGGTGTGGTGTTCAGATCATACCAAAGGCATGGGAAGATCTTTGGCTCATCATTGGATTGGCTCATTTTCTTGCTGGGCAGTTCCTGAAAAATCTTACGGGTAGCAACGAACACCGATTTAGGATGAAAAAAGATGCGGAAGAGATTTGCAGGCAAGATATAGGACGGGCACCGCTCTCTAACCCATTGCAGCAGCTACCTTTGGATCCATCGGAGCTTGACTTTGTCGCATTGAAGGCCCCAGTGGTCTTGTTCATCTTGGACCGGAGACTCACGAAAGCTAGTAGCTCAATGGGCGTCTCTCGTGTCATCTCAAAGCTGTTTCTTAATGCTTTCACAGGAGACGTCAATTCGCTTAACCTGAGCACTGCTCAGTTCATTAAGCAGTGCGAGAAGGTTGGGCACCAAAAGCTGGATTCCTTTTTTAACCAGTGGGTGTTCCGTAGTGGCTATCCGCGATTCGAAATTTCTCAGCGATTTAACAAGAAGAAGATGATCGTGGAGATGATTATCCGTCAAACCCAGGATAAAGAAGTTGCCCAAAAAGGTCTTACGCCCCAGAGTTTCCTGAGAGATGCATTAAACAGACAAACCGACGGTGTAAAGGATGCTTCTCCACCTCAAGTTTTCAGCGGCCCAATGACGATCCGTATTCACGAAGCGGATGGCACGCCTTATGAACACGTTGTCCAGATTCACGAGGTCTACTCAAAGCTTGAAATTCCATACAATACAAAATACAAACGTCTTAAGAGGACAAGGCGCCAGAAGGAACGTCTGGCTGCATTTGCTGGTATGGACATCAACGCAGAAACTCAGGCGGAAGACGTACTACTTTACTGCCTTGGCGATGTCTTGCAGAGCGATGAAGATACTGCGGACTGGAGGTTGACTGACTTCACGAAAGAGGAAGAGGACAAGATGGCACAGGAAGCGTTCGAATGGATTCGGGTGGATGCTGACTTCGAGTGGGTCTGTACAATGAGGCTCAATCAACCGGATCACATGTACCTGTCGCAACTGCAACAGGATAGAGACGTTGCAGCACAATATGAATCCGTGCTACATTTCAAAGAGGCCAAACCCTCACATCTCATCTCGACAATACTGGTTAGGACCGTCATGGACCGGCGGTACTACTATGGAATCCGGTGCGAGGCTGCAAAAGCACTCAGCAGATGTGCCACCGCCGAACTTAGTTGGATTGGCGAGTTTCATTTGCAGAAAGCCTTTCAAGAATTCTATTGTTTCCCCGACTCCTTGATCCCCCGGGCAAACGATTTCTCTGATTTCACCTCTTACTTTGTACAGCAGAATATCATTACTGGTTTTGGTGGAATAAGAGATGGGATGGGGAAATCCCCGTTGTCTGTTCAACGATACTTACTCGACATCATACGCTATAACGATAACTCCAACAACAGTTTTTCGGATAGTTTCCACTTAGCAAACTTGCTCCGGAGCCTAGGAAGCTGTTTGCAAGCAGGCTCGGGACAGCGTGGAATGATGGACATGGATGTCGATGAAACCGACACTGAAGAAAGAGAAAAGAGTAAGGAGGAAATAATTCGCGAAATTGAACGCCTTCAACGAATGGACCAGTGGATGTCATCGTATCACAATGTAATCTCGACAACATGTCTCGATGTCAAGAACCGATTGATCAAGGCAAAAGTTCAGGAGTATACGCCACTAGAGTTCCTCGCTTATTCAAAGGAAGGAACTTCAGAACAGTTGCGAATCAAGGCGATTAACTGTTTGGTTGAGAACGGGGCGGTCAGAGATCCAAATTTGTTAACCTACATCTGCTATATCATTGCTTCAGATCCCTCATCGAGGATCCGCCGAGAGACCTTCGAGTCCTTGATGCATGGCATTGGTAGTGTAGCGATTGGGGACGATGTCGGCGCAACCAGTGAGGCCGCTGTATCGAACAGCCTAACTATCGTCGAAGAGAACAGTGCAGCGAAGCGCCAACAAGAAGCGCGGCAAAGCGCCGATGCAGCAATCAGAAATTTGAAGGAGCAGCTTGCAAATAAGGCTTTCTTCAAAAATGCTCTCGAGCCGATCTTGAAGTAGGACCCCTTTTACTTTGCTTGGTTATAACTTCTTTACCTAACGCTAACGTTCGCATTCTCACCAAAGGTCCACTGTAATCAACTTCCTTGACGTGAGGAAGATAATCAGTCTCTGTTCTCTCTTGTATAATGACATACAGTCCCACGTTGTCAAGGTTCCAATGCGAAAATCACGTGCGATTGCTGTCACTCACGAAGGAAAGGTTAGTTCCATCCATCAAATATCAAGCACCAAATCCATAGTTTATGAGCCGGTCTAATCCTATGGTGGATATAGGGCAAATTACGATTCATCACGAATCCGAGTTCGAAAGAGCTTGCTAAATTGCGCCCTATCGATTGGCCGCATCTGAGACCCCAACCTAATCCTCCCCCTCCCCCGCCTCCCCAGCCTCCGTCTGCGACTCCGCAACCAGCCGTTCCCAAGCTAGTTCTTAAACCGCCTATTCTTCCGGGCTCTGCGAAACCTTCCCCTCCCCCCCCAAGGAACCCCTCCTTTTCACCCCCTCAACCTCATCCGACTCCAATGTCCGCCGTGTCTAGTAATACCCCACAACCAAAAACCATCCTCAAATTGAAGGCACCCTCACAACCTCAACAATCACCGGCCGCCCCCAAACCAATCATCAAACTTAAGTTCACGGCCAAAAGCGGATCTTCTTAGGATTCTACCATAGAATCCCCATTTGTTGGGACAAAGAGAAGGGGCTCGCATCTTATATGCTCTAGCATCGCCAACATAATTTCATATAATAATTCTATATTTTTATTCAAAAGTCTGTTACCCTTATACCCACGGAAGTGCACAGGTTTTCCGTCTTCGCAGCTCTGTTTTTATTATCATCGTTTTCGTCCTCTATCGTGGAAATCATCATTGTACACTAGAGATCGTGTGTTTTTCTTTTCCGGGGGGGTATATTTCCTTGGGTTCTTATATCCTCGACTTTATTTTTTTTCCCGATCCAATTGCTTTTCGAGGCGTTCAGGTGGTTCATTTCATCAGCAACCTTATTCCTCATGCCATTACCTGTACAAATTGTTCGTCTTCGTTCTTCTTTCTATTTCTATCTCTATTTCTTTCTTCATTTCCTCTTCCCCCCCTTTTTTTTCTCTTCTTTATTGCCTTTCCTCGTCCGTTGGCCTGTATTCATTTTCGTCGGTTTAATGGTACAAGACTAGGTTTAGTGCTTCTAGGCTTCCCCTAGAGGCGAAAAGAAGGGGTTCAACAGAATTGAAAGGTCGTAATGAATTTCAGGCCCTTTCAACTCGCTTGCTTACTTTTATCATCTATTTCCTCAATCAATGTCTTGCATACTTTCCGGCGTTTCTTTTCATTATTTCTCGCCTGAACGACGGGTTATTATGTGCCTCCATGTTGTCCCTCTCTTTGGACGGAAATACTGTCTCCACATATATATGTACTTTAGAGAGTATTGGACAATAATTCTTCGTGAAATAAATCTGATTATCTGGAGTATTCCTTCATAAAAAAAAAAAAGAGAAGAAGTTGTGGAAGGATGCTACGCTAGACACGAATCGCTCATATAAAAGAGAGAGAGAGAGAGGCTCCGACGCCACCGAGTAAAACTTGGAGAAAGCATCTAAGTGAAAGTAGGAGGGACAGTTGTGAGTTAAGCAGGTAGTTCATGCTTTGCAACCCTATTTTACAAGAATATAAGCATTCATCTCCCTAAGATATGAGAATAATGTTAGTATCTGCGACGATATATATCATTAAATGTCTTTCCGAGATGGAACCCTATGTTAGGAGATGATGTATGTAAATACGCACAAAATTCAGATTCCTAACCGGTTATGAGACCACCCTCATTCTAAAGACTTCATAATCGTCCAGATATTCCATCCACAAGCAGTAGCATCATCCTCAAGACTGAGAGGCCTGCAATATGGATGTATGGACGTCTATCTGACATTCCTCGTATGTTCTGTCATTCTACCCGGCCCAGCACCACCGACTGCCCGTGAAGACCCCACACCGATACGATCGTCGCGTGAACGTGTCCTGGTAGACTTCTTGCTCTCAGAAGCCTGTTGCTGTTGTTGAACCGCTTGCATTTGTTTATGTTTATGCTCTTCGAGTTGGCGCAAACGTTCGTTCTCCAGGTTGCGAAGCTCTTCCTCCTTTGCAGCTTGTTCGAGGGAGTGGCGTACTTCCTCAGCTGTGAGAAGAATTTTTGTGGGAGGACGACGGAGGAGCGACATCTTTCTGTTCTTCTATAGAGTGTATTGTTGGTGTAAGTCTGAAAGCTGTGATGTATAGATGGGTGGGAAGGGTGGTTTTGCGAGGTGTTGGGTAGCTTGAGCCCAGCTTGACGAGCAGGTGGTTGATAAGGTTGCTTGGGAGCGACCACGGCCACAACAGACAGATCAAGACATCAACCACATGCACATTGCATTCATTGCATCGCCATCATCAACGTTACTAAGCCACGGGCCAGCTGAGTAACTTCATTCTCAGATATTTCAGTGGTGATGGAAAAGAAGGGAGTTGGCCAGGAAGCCCGACAGTAAGCCAGATTTAATTATTTTGCTATCCATTGACTACGGATGTCAGATTGATTCATTTTTATATTAATCTTAACGTTACATAGGTCTCTGACGGACGCTGAAAAGGCCGTGCTGGTGGAATATCAAAAGATCTTGATAACCCTCAATTCGATGTGAGTAGAATAGCAGTCTACCTCTCTCGTAGTCAAATGCTTATTGATTTAATGTAGAAATACATCACTGGAAAGAACGATTGCAACCACCCGAGAGAAAGGTCCTGTCCAGACATCGCTGGAAGACCTGAACAGAGTCGCCCGGGATACCTTTTCGGGGCCGCCGTCTTGAGCAGGGGAAAGAAGAAGGAGGAGGAGAAGGAGGAGAAAGTGGAGGAGAATCGCGTCTCCCCGCCGGCTTGTTCGCGTGTTCAGCTTAGCTTAGCTGAGCTGCACCAACCAGATCCTTCCCGCAACTGCACCCACTGCGCTTCTGGCCCGTTATCATTAATATTACCATTTTCACCGTTCTCGTGAACTCGAATCGATCTCTCTTCCTTCTACACTTAACATATTACACTTCAAAAACAATTTATCTTCTTTACCGACATCATGGCGACGACCACCGTACTGACGACCGAATCACCCGACAGATGGTACGGTGTTTCCACCCCACCCTGGCCTGGTCATCCGTCCCGCTTAGCTTGGGGGTTATGGATAACCATGCGTATATAACTGCTAGACATGCTGAACATACGACAATAGGAAGTACCTCAACAACATCCTTACTAGAAGAGGGCCTTATTCAGACGAGACCTTTGAGCCCGGTGATGAGCCTAAAGCATTTCTTGCAGATTTAAAAATATTGTCAGTATTTCACCCCAAAATTTACCATCCATCTACCCTAGTAGCTTCACTCAACTCGTACTAATACATCTGTCTCTATTTGCGATTTCCTTTTGTAGGGTCATGTATGCTTCCACCAGATAAAATGCCCCCGGAATATTTCCAGAATCATATCCTAATTCGAATTTCATAATAGCGGGGCTGGAGGATTAGGATGTGAAATCCTCAAAAACTTGGCCTTATCAGGCTTCAAAGACATCCATGTCATTGATATGGGTACAGCTTCATTATTCTCTCAAATACCAGTTCCAATTGTTAACGACAATGAACCCTTACAGACACCATCGATATTTCCAACTTGAACCGTCAATTCTTATTCCGAGAAGCCGATGTTGGGAAATCGAAAGCTGAGGTCGCTGCGGCGTTTGTCATGAAGAGGGTCCGAGGTGTCAAGATTACACCTTTCAACTGCGCTATCCAAGATAAAGACGACGAATACTATAAACAATTCAAAATTGTGGTTTGCGGTCTCGACTCCGTAGAGGCTAGAAGATGGATCAATGCTACACTTGTCAACCTTGTTGGCGAGGAAACGTTGATCCCACTCATCGATGGAGGCACAGAAGGGTTCAAGGGCCAGGCCCGTGTCATTCTTCCGACGATTTCATGTTGTTACGAATGTACCCTCGACATGCTAACACCCCGTGCCGCTGTTCCCCTCTGCACTCTCGCATCGATTCCCAGACAACCGGCTCACTGTATCGAATGGGCGAGTGTCATACAATGGCCCAAGGAGAAAGGGGACCTAAAAATCGATATGGATGATCCGGAACACGTCACCTGGCTTTACACAAAAGCTCTAGGCCGTGCCAAAGAATTCAATATCCCTGGTGTGACATACGCTATGACACAGGGTGTTATCAAGAATATTATTCCGGCTATTGCATCTACAAATGCCATTGTCGCTGCTTCTTGTTGCAGCGAGGCTCTAAAGATTGCGACTACTGCTTCGCCGTATTTGGATAATTACATGATGTACACTGGCGATGAGAGTGTGTATACTTATACATTCCAACACGAAAAGAAGGATGATTGTCCAGTTTGTGGAAACCTGCCACAGGCTTTGACGGTAGATCCGGAGTCGACCTTGGAGGAGCTGATGGAGAAGTTGCAGGAAAGACCCGAGACGTAAGTTCATATCACGAATGCTCTACTTTTAAAGGACAAAGAAATATTGACAGGTTTATTTTTTGCACAAACTACAGAACATTGAAGAAGCCGTCACTCAGAACTTCAGCGAAGAGTTTGTACCTGCAGGCGCCAAAGCAGTTGGAGGAGCAGACCCGGCCAAATCTAGAGAAGCAACTCAAGGAGTTGATGGAGGAGGGTGACGAACTTTCCATTTCGGATCCTGGCATGCCGTTCAATTTACGGTTCATTATTTCCTTTTCTTCTTAAAACAGCAGTGTGATTTATTAAGCTGTTAGTAGAAAGCATAAATGAGGCGTCGGTGGCGTCAGATATGAATATAAGCGGCCCGATTGGCTTGTCTAGTATAAAATTTATAAAATTAAGAGGCAACTAGTGCTAACGCTCATACCGCTCAAACCACTTGCTAGAACAACAATAATAAATAACGAATGTGCAAAGATATGCATGTCTACGTAGCTATCAAGCTAGCCCTAAGTTGGTCGGGGCTTGGTTTGCGCAGCAGTCGTGGCTGCACGGATTATGTTATTGCCGTTAATGATGCCGGTAGTCGCAATGATAATCTGTCGCTTGCCCTCCTCCTGTTTACCTATCCACCTTAACGCAGCAATTTCTGTATATGTAATACCACCCAGGAAGAATACCACCGTGATTTTCTTCTCGTTTTGGCCGTCCAAGATCACTATCAAGGCTATCAGTAAATATATCCTCGGTATCATAGAAATTGAACAACTTACTCCTAGCCCTAACTGCTTTGTCCTCCCCTTTCTGGACCTCGTCAAATGTCTTCCCTCCCACGTTCTTAACTACATCTTCAAACCCTTTCCAACCTACTGAATTTGGATTCAAGCTTCCACCGCCTCTAGCCGCTTGCGCTACCGCTGATTTTTGGATCACGCATTGCACAAGCCTGACACTCAAAGGTGCGTAGACGCTATAGACGTAGACGATATCATCCGGATCACTTTCGTTCACGCTCTCGCTAAACAATCTCAATGGTTTTCGAAGGTAGTCGTAGTTTGTCCTCGTGGCAGCAGCAGCCGCAGAGCCTGCCACCGTACGTGATTGTAATAATGCCACCTTATCAAGAGCATCGAGGGTTAAGACGTGTTCGTAGCCGTAACCTTGAAGGATTTCACGACGGAACAGATCAAAATCTTTTGGCTTAAACCCAGTACTAACGCAGCTATATAGACAGAGAAGCCGTAAAACTGTTTCTAGAGAGGCGCCTCGAGCGATCAGCTCGGTCATGAGTTCGTGCTGTTGGGTTGATGAGTAGCCCGCTATTAACGACTGCTGGACTTCAAGTGTTTTCTCGAAGAGTTCAGTGTTAATGTGCTTTTGGATTATTTCGGCGATGTTGAAGTCTATCGTTGGCTGTTAGTCTACGTCTATATCTTCATGAATATTCGAAAGGTTTAATTGAACATACGCATAGATAGCGAAGTCCTGTCCTTCTGTGCTGGACCAAGGACCTTTGTCACGTACGTCTTCATCTCCGACACGGTCTTATAGTCATCCTTCTTTTTAAAGTCGGCATCGATTCGGAGTGCTGTTTTCTTCAGAATCGCAGGAACGGCAGAAAAGTTGTTATTGCGGAGATCAGTGAAAACCCGGTCACTGCCTTCCAAAAGCACCTTTCGTTTCTTTCCTTGAGGCGCTGCGGGGGCAGTTCCCACACTCCTTCCGGTTGCTTCCGTCGGGCCTTGCATCGCTGTACCGACAATACTAGCTTCTAGTTCGACATGGGCTGAAATGGCACGCAAGTCAACAATCGATTATATCTTGAACCTTGAGGGATAATTACTTACAATTGCTGATTCCAAATATTTCATCAATGAGGCCCTCATAAGTCAATTGTGTTAACAGAGGGGTGACAAAATCCGTTTCCCGATCGATGATCACAAGGTTCTCAATTATCGAGCTAGGGGCAAGCGCCATGGAAGTCGATGCATCTTCTGCGGCGGCTTCGTTTCTCATTCGTAGTAGAGCATCCAGAAGCTTCTTTCCTTTATCTCCTTGTCCCGTGATCCTTGGAAAGAGACCATACTGCTGCTGTAGCAACATCAAGGCCTTTGCCGAATTAAAAATCGAGGTATATGTTTTATGTAGGTAAAGGTCCTCGAATGCGTCGTCAAGTTCTAGTGATAAAATATCAGGTTCTAGAGGTATGAAGTATAGAGGGTATTCATTGATTGTGACATCTCCGAACACACCCTCATCCTCTAGAATACGGTCACACAACGGTGTCCGTCGCGGAACAAAGAACAAAGAGTTTTCCAAGTCTTGCCCAGGTATTCGCGGGGCATTTTTAATCTGCGCTATTGAGATATGTCAGCCGGAAATCCAAAAACCGAGTGGCTTCCAGGGAATACCATTGCAGCATATTGGGAAGCTAAGCAATGATCCTCCATTCACAGCTTATTTTGCGAATTCTTAATCTTGGGATCAAGACTGACTATGCCGAGTAGGAGCATCGGATCGGCATAGCCTACTTGTAAGACCCCATGAGGGGAGGGCTTCTTGCCAAGATAGCAAATCATGGGAGATATTTTTCGAAAAACAGACAGCAACTTACTGACATGCTATTGAGTAGGCATTCTTTGCTGTGCATCTTGCAATGTAAAGAATGTTCTTTGAAGCGGTATAGTCGATGTTATTATCTTCAATCCAATGTAGCTGGACAACCCCGTAGTCCTGAAACCTCACACATGTATATTAGCCTCGGAGTTCACTTCATCAGGACTCAGAAGCCGGTGTACCTGCCTGGAGCAAAGAAGGCTGTGCTATAAGCCCCAAGGGTCCGGACAGCGCTTTATCCACCACTAGGGATTTCTTCCCCCGAACCTAATATGATTCCCACTCAGGTCAGACTGTGTCTTTTGTATCTCCTTAAAGTTGGATATGGGTCTCGGCAACATACACCTTCAAGAACATTACACAGGTCTCGAAGTGCTTGGTCCTTGATCTTTGAGGGATCAAATTCAGTGGCTCGTTCGGCGACCATCTTTACATATGCTTGGGTAGGCCGGATCGACTTTCAGGCTTTGATGTAATTGCAAAAGTGTAACAGACTAACGGCCGGTTTCTAATCGATAAAGCGGAGTAAGTAAAGTGTTTTGGCTAGGATATCAAAATTTATCGTATATAGTGAAGTAGTTATCCTTTACCTTGCTTGCTGGAGCCCTCAAGAAGAAAGCTCTTGCTTTAAAAATGATAGCTGGGGGGTCTGTATGCATGAGATAATGGGTTCCTCAGAAAGTGCTAAATGTGGAGGGGACGACGCGCAGCCGATGCTATCAACCATGCGAATGCCAAGACCAGACAATCTGGCGCTGAAAGCTCCACCCAAAAAATCGCGTCGAGCGACAGCTTCAACTTGTCATCGACCATCCACAATCCTGCCTCCACAAAACCTCATTATCATAGCCAGGACACTCCCTAAATACACATCTAAACTCATTTATAACCATCCAAACCCTCCAAAATGCCACAGGCCCAGCCCGAACTCAAGAAGGTACGTACAACCCATCGCCGTCACTGGGATCTCGTAAAACGAAAACGGACCATACCTAACTATCCGGGAATGATTGTACAGTATCTCGAGAAAAGACTCTTCGTCCAATTAAACGGTTCAAGGAAAATCATCGGAGTTTTGCGCGGATATGATGTACGAAACAACCCCTGCCCGGGCACTCGTCGAAGTGATCAAGCTAACAGGAGATGTCTAGATCTTCTTAAACCTGTGTATGGATGATTGTATTGAAGAGAAGGCTGGTGGTGAGAAGGAAAGAATTGGCACAGTAGTTATTCGTGGAAACTCGGTGGTCATGCTCGAGGTCAGTATCATAATCCACATGCAGTTGGAAAGCCATTACTTACTCGAATAAACAGGCCCTCGAACGCATATAGGCTTTTCGTCGCACCGTTCTCGTGAGATCCATCCCTCATACAATTGGCGCCATAAAGCTTGAAACCTCCTACTGGGAATATGTTGTCTCGAATTTCAAGGGAATCGTGGTCGGAATAAAGCGCTTATGGCATGAAACGGTATGCAACTTCGCTGCCATGAATTCATATCGGGGACCCAGCTGAACATTTCTCACGACGAAGAAACATATTTTACGGCTGTATACTAGGTAATGACTTGAGCATAATATCATTTATGACCCTTTATTTTGAGAAAGATCACACAACTCCCAAAGGGAAAATTATATACAAATGGTCGTATGAATGGTATACCAAAGATGCTCTATGATTTTGCCGCTTGGCTCATCAGGAACTTCTTCAATCCGAACCAATCCTGATTGATTATTTCAACTCCTAAGCTGCGGAGAGGGACCAAGGGCCCAGATTCAAACCCATACAAAGTATGGAGCTTGTCAACAAATCCTAGAAGAGCGTTATTGGGCAAGTACCTTTCAGACTGATAGGGTTCCAAAGTAAATGAGGAGCCAATATCTTGGCCATGTGAGATACCGTCCGCAATCGACTTAACGAGAGAGTAGACATCACCAACACCAGCGTTAAGACCTTGCCCGGCCATGGGGTGAATCGTGTGTGCGGCATCCCTGTCGCCTCGTTAGTAAACTTTATTTTTATAATCTGGAATAGTCTGAGCTGCCTACCCAACAAGTGCGATTCGCTCTCCAATATATCTATCGGCATGCTTCATTTTCAAAGGGAATGAAGCCCGAGTGCCTTCTAGAACCTCGGTAATTCGCATAGGAATTGTTGGAGGGTCCGGGTACTTTGTTACGCTCTCCCTCCACTTTGTTTCTTCGACTACCCCACTCTTCAGGTTGTGGAGATAGTCGATGTCAGTATAGGAGAGCCTAAAGGCTGCGTTTACCATAGCGACAAAGTCCTCCGGCGCCAATGACTTCAGATGGGCCACCTTTTCGGGTGTAGTTGACCAAGCAAGGTTAGCAAAGTTCCCAGGTAGCTACGAGAATATATTGTCAGAACTGGCCCCATAAATTCGGTACATTAGTAGGATATTTGAACTCACTGGTAGAATAGCAACCGGTCCTGACGGTAAGAACCTTTGGTAGGCAAACTTTGGGAATGCAGAATCATCCTCGATCTTAAAAGTCGCCACCATGCTATGCCTATTATAATCCCACCCTCTGCTCTCGATCCCAGCAAAAGTTCTAACCGGGCTGCTTCCACCATCCGCCCCGATCAACAACTTTGCGCCGAGCTTTTGGCCATTGCTCAAAGTGACGATTGGCCAATCTCGCATATCAACCTCTTCAGTTAGTTGACCATACTCAATTTTTTCCACTTTGGTTTTATCAATCATTGTTGGCTTGACCGCAAGCTCCTCAAGCCGTTGCAATAAACCATGGCTCAGATGTATGTTTTCTACCATGTGCGCAATGGTAGTATCTACACCTTCCTGTCGACCACCCAGTAGCTTATTCCAATCAAACTCGACACGGGCATCCGTCATGCCATCCCAGACTTGCATACCATCATAAGACTGCACTCTTTCCTGTTTGATATGTTTCCATACTCCAGTTTCCTTGAGGAGTTTGACAGTACTCGGGATAAGAGAAACGATACGATTGGCAAAGTAATCCGGGGTAGGTTTCCAATCCCGAATGGAAGCCAGATTCATACCCTCAATTAATGCGACTTTCAAATGACTTGTAGCACGCGCAGCACCTAAACCCCCAATTATGTCAGCGTCATGATACCAACTAATTTCCAATTGGTCGGTAAATATCCACAAACCGAGCGATGCCGCAAGTGTCAGCCCGACAGGACCGCCACCGACGACGACAATATCATATATTTCGGGATTGGGCGACGCTTCGGATGCGAATGACCTCGTGGCCGCAATCCGGGCAACATTCGATGTGCGAATGGCCCATGCCGAACGCTTTATCGGCAGGTGTAGAAGAGACCGCCGCATTCTGGTGTGAACATTTTATGTCAAAGCGAGCTTTTTCGGTGGCATCAGGAAACCCGTGTTGCGCGTGAAGTTACGCAGAGAAAATGAACATCAAGCCCAACACAAAAAATTACACACGCCACTTTCGGACGAGAACATGAAGACCCGATATCGCGGATTATGGCTGAGTAGAGTTCTGCAGAAGACATTACAATTACGAAAAATAACCGGCAGATTTGATGCAATATTATCAATTGATTCGGGTAAATGAGAAAAAAAAATTGCGCGATACCTATCCGTCTAGTTAAAGATCGAAAAAAAAATGCCAAAATATGTATCCCAGCATGCACACGCTAAATCGAATCTAAGAACAATAAAATGGCGCTTCTCGATGATATGCGACGTATGCATCTACATGGTAAAAAGTGTTCGTAAAACTTATACAAGAATTAGGTAATACTTTAAAGGCAAAAAAGCAATTTCATGTTCCGATCTCATAGCCACGTGCAGCTGCGTCTTCCGTTTCAACGTGCATTCGTTCCATATCTGCAGCCCAGCTATCTGCGGTGCCAAAATCATTTGCATTTCCCTGCTGCTGTTGCATCATATAAAAATTCAATGCAGAGGCACTTGCAGCTGAGGGCAGTTGGTTTGTAATATCCAAGGATGTATTGTTTGAAATCATAGAGGCTCTCCTGTTCGTCATGTTGTTTTGCCCCGTTGCACTGTAGCTTGAGGATGGTGTGTGTCCAAAATTTTGCAGTTGCTGGTCAATTGGGGTCCCATAGCTGTAATTCGGAAAACGACTACTATCCGGAATTTGGGTAGTTTGCTTGGGAAGAATCGGTCGTGGGTCGTCTTCGTACTCCTCCTGTTCCGCCATAATCTCGTCATCATATTCCTTTTGAAATGAAAGACCTTTGGCTCCTATTCCTGTCACTTGTGCTTGTGCATGGCCATGAATAGCTATGGCATTGCTCACACCTTCGATGCAATACCCAGCACTTGCATCCAACGCTTTCAGCGCAAAATCCATGAAACTAGCTCCCTTACTGCTGACCTTCAGCGTCCACCTATACTCGTCTAGCCTTGCTTTGTAAAACTCGCTTTCGATCGAAACTTGGGATGTCGCCCAGAGCAATGACCCAAAGGTACCTATTAACGAAAAGTTCACCCTCGAAGCAAAATACCAAAATGATTGCAACTGGTCTGGTTTCAAACGGTTGACAAATTCAATTGCTGATATCAGACGAGTTTTAGCTGCTGTGCGGCAGATATGAACAAGGTAGAGACTGGTAGCCGGAGAAAGAGCGCGGATTATAGATCGGTGGAGTGTGATCTCGGTTGCGAAATAAGCCAGGTGTAGATATCCTAGTATTTTGAAAGAAAAATCAGTATGCCAACCAGTAGGACTTTAGATATAGATGGGATCTACTCACCGTTTGAACTTAGTTTCCTAACTTTCGAAGAATCCATTCTTAGGCATTCTGGCAACCTAGAGTACCACTCCTTGAGTTTTATCTGCACGGGTTTCGCCCTCTCGAGGACACTTTCGATACCTCGATGCTCCGATTCGTGGAATATCGATGCTTGGCTTTCTACGGTAAAAAACCCGTCTAGAACTTCGGATGTGAGCTTTGTGAGCTCGATCATCTCTGTAAACAGCATTCTTCCTTTATCGACCTCTGAGCCCGCTTCGTCATCGTCTTCATCGAGAGAACTTTCTGGGAAATCGTTTGATGTGACTGATTGAACAGCCCAGTTTGATAATGTGATATGTGAAGGGCGCCCGTGAGTCAGTGCTGCCCACTTATCCTGCATAAATACCGCCCATGCCAATCGCTTTCGCAGGCCTCGCTCCCAGTTCGGGATTTTCCAGCCGGTGCAATCAAGATGTAGCCCCAATTCTTGTGCTATGGCAACGATTTGGCAGGTGAGGATCCAAGAATCGCCTTCAGGTCGTTGGAGAAGTAATAACCCAGCCTGTACCGCTGATAACTTTGGACGGTGTATCACTTCAGACATTGTTCTCCATGCCAGTTTTTCCAACGCTTCGACGTCTGGTTTTTTTTGTGCTGAGAGTTCTCTGTCGTAGCTCCACCAGTGAAGCGCCAGAATATACACTGCAGCTAACAATGGAGGGGAAAACTCTCGGTGTGTTCGGGTATATTTTTCCAAGAAAACATTTTTGTGAAGGATCGGAAACGAAGGATGAATGATTCGAAAATATAGATTGATAAGTGCTTGTCCGTGTGGGTTTACGACTCGTTCAATTGCATCCAAATCATCCAGTTCATTAGATTGGTTTGGAGTATCTTTATCTGAAAGCATCAAAAATGTCGTGGAATCTGCAACTCGTCGAAAACTTCCCCCCGTTGCGCTGCTAATTCTCGGTTTATACTCATCTTTTGGGTCGAAGGGGCATAGATCGATCAAGACTGGTTCATATTCAGATGTCGGGCCGAGATATGCGCTATGTCGATGAGTCTGTAGCCCAAGGGTTTTCTTTAAAAGTGTCGGACCCGGTAAGTTGGCATAATCATCGGGAGGGAGAGTGCGACGAAGAGCATCTTTCACTTCTTCGCTACTTGATCCTTTCCTTGCCTGCTGTCGGGGGGATTCGGGTTCGTCCATGCTTCTTTGCGAGCGGGGAAAAGGCAGGGGCTTCGAGTCAGTAAAACTATACAGGGCACGGCGTGACTGTTTTATGCACGCGAGAGATGGCAGATGATGTTGCATAACTCTTACCTTTTTTTATTCGATCCCAAATGCTTCTCGTCGTCGGAACCAGCAGATGTAACTGGAAGTCTTCTTTTTCTAGGTTGTGGACTCTGTAAGAAAGTGCAATCCTGCTTGTGAAACTGACACAAGACACAGACGGAGCTGTCCTCGTTCATTACACATCGCGACTTTCTTCTTCTACACGCATCACAGGGCCGGTCTTTCCTACTTCTTGTACTTGTATTTGTATTTGAATTTGTATTTGAGGATGTCGTGGCAGAAGATGGTTGAGCAGAAACGGGAGGAGGGGCTGCAGCAGGCGATTTCCGTCCAGGATTTGCATTCGAACTGGAGTTGACAGATTGCGAAGACTGAGAAGGAGCGGAAGCAGCTATCGGATTTGAAGGTTCCGCCATGGCAATATTGGATTATTTTGTATTTTGATTTATAAGATGGTCAAATAAAAAATAGCCTTGGGGTAAATTATGCCCGGTTCCTTGGGGGGGTTCTTGTCGCCGATGTAACAAGAGAGGTACTGGCGTTAATGCACGATCCAAGAATGGTATACCCGGGATATGCCAATAGGAATGGTAACAGAAAAGGGAATTTTATGGACGACGGGGAAGTAGAGAAGAACAATAAAATAAGAAGCAACAGTAGCAATAGAAGAATGAGAAGGAGAGGAAGAGGAAGGATGAAGGTCAGAGGCAAAGATGCTACAAGAAGGTCTAGCCCCCAAAGTGAAAACGAATATTGGCTTTGTCCTCGCCGCGGAATTCGCCAAAGAGTGGGATAGAAGAAGCCCAAAGACGGTTCCGAATAATGGACCGCGCCCTAGTGTATCCGTCAGCATGGCTGCAAGGTTAGGAATTAAAGATAGGGAAATTATTCAAGCGACCGAGAACCAGGTAAGGTACTAAACTAATAGAATGGGGAAATCGAACAGCAGGTGTGGAAAACTTACTGCGGGACCTTGTGGGAATGGTAATATCTTTATCTTCGATCTCAAGGTTTGTGTTTTCTTCTTCAATGACAATATGAACTATTGGTCTTGTGGTTTGCTTGGTATGGATAGATAAGTAAGTAGTAGTAAGCAAGCAGGCAAGTAAGTAGACAATTCTGATAAAGCTACTACTATACTACTGACACCACTACTACTATTACTACTACCCGATGGAAGAAGAGGCAGAAGAAGAAGAAAAGGCAGAAACAGAAACAGTAGTATTGTTCGGAAAATGCAAAAAAGGAAGTCAAGATGGACAAGCAAGGACCTTGCAGACGATATTTCCTTATCAAACGGAGGGATGTGTGAACGATGTCATGTATCTCTCTGGACGGAGCGATATGATCTGATGCCAATGCAATCCAATGCATGCACTTGCGCTTGCACTTGCACTTGCACCTGAATTCAACTTGCACCTGGGCAATTGATCGGGGCCTGGAAAGTAAGTAAGTAAGTAAGTAAGTAAGTAAGGTAGGTAAGTAAATAGATTATCGATCGATTAGTATTGGTGGTGTTGCACACGACCGTTCTCTGCGTGGGCTAATTGGTATTATTAGCTAGCTGCTGGGAGATAGATAACTGATAAAGCACCCTCCAGGACAGACACCACTTTGCAACCCACGCCGGACACTGCACCGCACCCCTCTACAATGCAAGGCAATGGCTGAATACAACTGCAATTGAGGTTGCCTTTTCTGGTTCAGGCCGGCCCTTGCTCTTTCTTCTGCTTTGGTCTCGGGCTCCAATCGCAAGACACGAAATTCCATCAAAGGGCCAAACCCAGGGTCCAGTCTCGAAGGGGACCTCTCTTTTTGATGAGGCTGCAGTCGCCGAACCTCAACCCAGTTAAACGGGGTCCACTGTTCTGGAGTCCGGCGTTCGTTCGTTCGAATTAAAGGAACAAAAAAAAATATATTATTGGTGACTATAGCAGGGCAAGTTGGCCACCGAACGTGATCAATACCTGCTTTAGGGAGGAAAGGAAAAAATATTAAAGGAAAACGGTATGAAGCCACATTCCTGTTCTGATCCGAATTAAACAATCTGGATCAATCTCAAGGTTTATTTTTTTTTTTTTTTTTTCCTTTGGCTGATGCTTGCTTGCTTGCTTGCTTGTAGGATCTTCTTGGACTTCTAAACTTGAACGAACGGGCCCTAGCTTTCGTCCGTAGCCTGGTTGGCCGGTGGTACTTGGCTGTTGGCTAACGTCTGAGATCCCCATTGTAACCTATCTGGCTGTGGGGCGGCAGCGTGCCTGACTGGCCGATTGGCAACTACGGGTACCCGAGATCCATGATATCGCGGTTAAAAGTGTGTTTTACTCCAGAGGTTTACCATCATCAACTGATAAGCAACCCCAGCTATAACCCAAAAAAGGGTTCTGGATGAGAGATCTGGTGTCGTATGGGGACATTAACAACATATGCATGCAATGCATGTGTCAATGGTCCGGTTTGAACTCCAGTCAAGCTGGCTTGGTTATCAAGAACCCAACTTTTGTTGGTGGCAGAACCGAGACGAAACCTATATCATCCGAAGGCTAAGCAGGGGGAACGGGAGACTTTGTAAAAATATGACATATGTGAATCGGACGCTGCAAAAAAAACGCGCAAGCTAACGTTCTACTTCGCATGCATAGCACGCTTCTTAACGCAGACGATAAAGGCTGCACGGTACATAAGCTCCCTATCTTCCTTAAACCGCATCCGACTTTGGCTTGGTGGAACTAAAGTTCTGAGGCAGCAGAAAATGTTGATAGATAAGAGGTCGGAAGGGGCCAATGATAGGAAAGATGTTTAGCTGATGGCTCTGCGAAGAGCATGTCGTCCCACCAGACACTAATCCCAATCTGCAAATAAGTGATGATAATGGGAAACCCCCAAGTCGCTGGCATCGGACTGTTTTGCGTGGGAGGAAGAAGCAACGATACTTGGAGTGGTGGGGTCATCTGCAGGCTAAACAGCAGGTGCAGGGGCTCAAGGCTGTGGGGGCAGGATATCTCCAGTCCCCAGATCGGGTACATGCTGGCTATTCATGGCTCTTCTTCCCCGTTAGGCATATTGAATTTGCGAAAAACGACACCTTTAAAGATTCGGTACGAATTTCTTTCGTTTGAAAATGTGATCCAGTCAGATCTGTTTGGTCATTGAATATGAATTCATGAAGAAGGGAGGGATACGGAAGGGAAAGGTGCAGCCGGCGACTCGAATTCGAAACGAAAAGGCAGCTCGCGTACATTTGCATATGTCCCGAAGTTACCGCTCCGGTCTTTCGACCGAGTTTTACCAGGTTCATGATGCCCGAAATCAACTAAAACTTGGACGCGAAGGGCGGCAAGCTCGAGGATTTTTAAACATTATGTGTAATGTACAAGATATCACCATGAAGTTGGAGATAAGCCCGATGCTTCACATGCCGGCCCTAAAACGCCTTTCCGTCATCCACGCCTTGGCTTCGATATCGATTTGACAATTGCAACTTGACCCTGATTCAAAAACTCCCGACGTTTCAACATTCTTTATTAGGTTCATGAATCCGATTGTTCTGACATAATCAACAAAACCCTTCTACACAAATGCAAGAACTCCATTGGCGGGCTCGACCATAATCGGTACTGTTCATTGACACTTAGATTTAGCTCACTCACCTATATCTTCAGATAGGAAGTTTCTATGGACTTACGGTTCCAGCCCTGCTTCCTCCACTCCCTCTCCTGCTCACGCACCTTTTCTCGAAAATACGAAATCGTTGATCCCAGATGTACCTCCAATTCGTCGGTCGACGGTGCGCCTTCACGATGAAATCTCAAATGGATGATACTGAGCCCTTCAGGTACAAACCCGTTCGGAATTGCGCTGGAAGTTCCCGTCAAACTTGTTGAAGAACCCTTCAATGCAGCTTCAACATTCAGGTAATACTGAAGCATATAACTGTACGGCGCCTTGCAACGCGGGCCAAGAGAGACAACTACCAGTTCGTTTAACCCATTGGCAAGGACAAAGACTTCCTGCAGCTGGCCCGTCTGAAGCATCCCCCCTCCACCAATTGTCAACCGCCGAATAAGGCCCGCATTGGAGGTTCCTATTCCCCGCAAAAACCGTTGTGTATGGCCTAAGCCGTCAAAATTGGTGGTGTTGGCATCCGCCGTGGTCGGAGCGTGGATGCAGAACCGGTTTTTGGAGTACAAGAGGGGAATTCCTTCACAGTACAGCCTTTTGCAAGTCCGAAGGATTTGGGGGAACAATATTTGTAATTCGTCCCGAGTTGCAAGGTCGTCGCTCTTAGCATAGGGCCAAACCTCAGGATCCCCAGTCTCCGCTGAGACAAATGTGGACAGCAGCAGGTTTCCCAAGATCATTAACCGAATCTCGGTGGGAAGTGTAAGCAAATCCGCCATTTTTTGTAAGCAATTAGGTATATTTATTAAAATTATAAGACTTATATTATATATATCGACTATATGTTTTGGTTCGAATGCAGCTTGGGTCTGGGGATTCCTTGATCAGCTTCAGACGGGAGAGATCAAGCCAGAATATATATTTAACATATGCTTTGACGACATGACAAAGGTATCCTGTTCCTTCGCAGTCCAGAACCACTTCTGACAAAAGGTATCACATTCTCTGCAAGCGAAGCTGTTCAGCCCTGCGGCCCCAAAATCATGATTTCTTTTCGGCATTTGGAGGTCGCCTGGTCAAAATTGCCCAATCAAGAAATCTCGAATCGTCCGGAAAGGGAAATATGAGGATTTGCTTACGCTATTAAGAACCGTCAAGGTTTGGGATTGTGGATCAGTGTGGCTGCTGATGTGGGTCGACATCACAAACACTTCAACAACGTCATTTAATTGGTGCTATTGATGAAACTGCTTGTCCTTAGGCTTCTGATCAGCTTGTTTTTGATGTCTGATTGTTTCTTCCATGCTCGTATACATTTTCGCATGTCTCCTACGTAGTTACCTATATACCTACCAAGTACCTAAATGGCGCTTCATAAGAGAAAGGAAACTTCATACGCGTGCTTTGCAATGTTGAATGCAACTAGTCCCGCATGGGGGTATTTCAAGGCCTAGATGGCAACTAGTCCCGCATGGGGGTATTTCAAGGCCTAGATGTAATCCTTGCGTTGCGTGTTATGACACCCCACGCCAAATGTGTTGCGATGCGTGTTGTCGAAGGTTGCACAGAGAATGCTCGTCATTTGGGAGCCGATTGCGGAACCATTTTTGGAATACAATCCACAACTTGCGCAATTGCGGGGAGCCTATCACCTGTTCCTGAAAAGATTTCACAGAAAAGGGGTATAAATTAAAAGCCATGGCAAAGGATATTAAAGTTGCAATCATTGGTATTCCAAATTTCTCTCTCTCCACACTCCAGTTCAATTACTGAATCAAGATATCCGATCCCAGGTGTCGGCGGGGTCGGAAAGGCCTTCGTTAGCCAGCTATCAAACTATACCAAAAAGAATGCTTCAACAGTATCGGTATCAGTGGTTTACATTGCCCGGTCCCGTGCGGCCTTGATCTCAAAGGACTATTCGCCTCTTCCTTTAACAGCATTCGTTTCTGAGGAGTTGGATGCAGCCGGCACGGAGCCATTAAGCGTTCCCGACCTAATTCAGTTCTTGAAGGCATCGGGGAGTGAGGCTATTTTGATCGATAATACTTCCTCAATTGAACTTGCAAATACATATCCTGACATTCTGTCCGCCGGTATCCATATTGCAACTCCAAACAAGAAGGGATTCTCGTCAGAGGAGAAGCTATGGAACGATATATTCGCTGCAGCGGGTAACAACGGTGGAAGTGGTGGCTATGTTTTCCACGAGGCTACCGTTGGTGCAGGGCTTCCTGTCCTTAGCACCATAAGGGATCTGGTAGATACTGGCGATGAGGTTACAAAGGTCGAAGGTGTCTTCTCCGGAACCATGAGCTTTTTATTCAACGAATTTGCACCAGTTGGAGCAAGTGGTGCTCCCAAGGCATTCTCTGACGTTGTTAAAGTTGCGAAGGATGCCGGATATACTGTAAGGAGTCCTTATCTCATTGAAACAATATCTCCTTTCTATTAACCTATTATTTGGGGTTGTAGGAACCGGATCCAAGGGATGACTTGAACGGTCTCGATGTCGCCCGAAAGCTCACTATTCTCGCACGTCTCTCTGGCCTTTCGATTGCCTCGCCGACTTCATTCCCCGTCCAGTCACTCATCCCGAAGCCTTTAGAGTCTGTCTCGACCTCGCAAGAGTTTATGGATGGCCTACCAAACTACGATTCTGAGATCGGTTTGCTCGCGGATGATGCAAAGAAAGAAGGAAAGGTCATCCGATTCGTTGGAAGCATCGATGTGCCCGCAAAGGCTGTTAAGGTTGGATTGGAGAAATTCGACTTCTCGCACCCAATTGCCGGATTGAAAGGGAGCGATAACATAATTGCGTTTTACACCAAGAGGTACGGCGATCGTGCATTGATTGTACAGGGCGCCGGCGCCGGCGCCGAGGTTACTGCTATGGGGGTCCTCTCCGATGTGATCAAAATTATTGCCAGGATTAAGTAGACGTATATGCTCGCAGCAATACCAACGTCTATGTACATATAAGCCGTCAATGGGCATCAAAACAAGACAAATTTGAACATCATAGAATATATCAAAAAAAACGCCGAACCCCAATATATATAGAGGATGTGATGAAATTTCAACACGGCTTACGCAAGAATCTTAGGTTGATTCTTGTTTCATATAAGCTTCAAATCTTGACGCAATATCCAAAACCTCGGAGTCCGTTCTTGACCCTCCAAGGAATGTAACTCCAAAAGGTAAAATCCCATTGGAACTCTCAGAAGAATTGTCAGTTGATAGAACCGGGTAGGTGCCTGCCGGCACAGCGACTGCACAGAGATCGTTGACATTTCCAAAATGAGTGAAAGCCCCCAGCGTCGAGTTTAAAGAAATTGGTTCAGCGAGCATTTGCTCAACAGTCGGGTGCAATGGTGCTGTTGGAACTACTAGTACCGAGATCCCGGATGGCGAAAATATCTCCATCATTTGTCGAATATACCTGTCACAGACACTCTCTATTAGCGAAAGAATAGAAAGGGACTAACTGGAACCTTACAAAGCCTGTTTATGCAAATCTCTGAAGACATCAACAGCAGTGCTCTTCCTCGCCACAACCTGTTCAAACAGTTCCCTGATCACGGGGTGCAGGGCATCCCTGTTTTTCTCAAGAAAGTCATCTGGAAGACTCGCAAGTCTTTCAATGACGAAAGTTCCATCATACAAGAGTTTTCCAGCGTTGTCGAATGGAGCCCAATCCACAGGGACCAACTGACCACCAATATCCTGAAGCTTTTTGACTGTATCATTAAACATCTGCCGAAAAGTAAAAGAACAAACCGACAGCGCCTCTGGTGGAGGGATGCCGAATTTAAACTTTGTAAAATGGGCATCAACGGACCGTAGGATTGGTGGAGTTCCCTTTGAGTATCGGTCAGCAGCATCATATCCCTCCACAAGCGACCAAACTATACGGGCATCTTTGATATTGGATGTCATGAAAGAGCAGCAATCCAAAGATAGACAAGCGGGTGTTACACCCATGAATGATACAGTTCCCCTTGTGGGTTTAAACCCGATGACGCCATTGAATAATGCAGGGACGCGGCCGGATCCCGCAGTGTCTGTTGCCAAGCTGAAGGATACTAGCCTTGCGCCAACGGAAACTGCACTCCCAGATGAAGAGCCTCCACTGATATAATCCTTGTTAAAAACGCTGCGTGGGATGCCATATGGCGTGCGTGTTCCGTTCAAGCCTGTGGCGTACTGGTCTAAATTTGTTTTTCCAATATGGATGGCACCCTGGACGATAAGCTTGTCGTAAATGGCAGCAGACCGGGTTGGGACAAATGCAAGCGGTGGGCACGCAGTTGTCGTTGGAATTCCGGCAACGTCAATAGAATCCTTGACGCTGAATGGCACACCCCAAAGAGGTGGTAGGTTGCGCCTATCAGGGAATAACTTTATAAGCTCTTCAGCCCGGGCGAATGCAGTCTTCTTTTCGACTAAGTAAATGAACACGGCAGGATCGACTTGAGAGTATTCCTCGATTTTCTTGTAGAGGGCCTCTAGAACCGTGATTGGTGAAACACCGGTCGCATATGATCTTTGGAGGTCATCAATGAGAAGGGACCCGTCCCAGGCAGGTGGTGTTTGCGGAGGTGATTTTACTTCAGAACCATCTGATGAGATGTAACCGATATCCGATGGCTTCTCCACTGTTGTGGAAGCTGGTACCGAAGAGAATTGCTTAAGAGCCTCAATTAAGGGATCCATAGAACCGACATATCCAAAAAGACCTTGAGACCAATATATCATGTCTAGGGATGCAGTCTTGTACGGTGGGTTATACCCATCTGTTATTTCCGTGAGAGCGCCTGCATCCAGAAAGTGTTAGGAACCCGAATGCCAAATAAGGATCATAGACCATTTCCTAGGAGATAGGAAACGGATTCTAAAGCGGCCCAGAGAACAGAGCTAGCTTACAGCATTCGAAGCCCCGGTCGTTAGCCTCCCTTAGCGTGGTAGTGACACAGCACTCGGTTGTCTAATTATAATTCCTTAGCACTAGCCCTACCGTTAAACCAACTTGAAATACCTACGACGCCACCAATAATCAAATGTGTGATCCCATTATTCTTTAGAATCTCCATAAGTTTGGTATTATAGAAAGCGCCCTTCCCCGGCTTGTCGACGACGATTTCGGACTCGTATGGCTGGAGCTCGTCGACAAAGTCGTGGCCATATTCTCCTCGAACAAGAAGGCGACCCATTGGCCCCTTATCGCCGATTATTTGAGCATGCTGTTTGTTCCCCGGAGCAGCAGCTTGTCGGACAAGCTTTGAGGACGGGCAATCCGACAAATCCGGGACATGGCCCTCTTTTAAACTCCACGACGTTAAGATCCATGAACATAATTTGTGAAACCATTAATAAGTTTGGAAATCCATACCTCTAGTATGAACTACTGGGAGACCGAGGTTCCTCCATACCTCAAGCAGCCTCGCTGTCGGTTTGATTGCAGCTTGGACGTTTGTGAGATTGCCTCCCTATACAGAGTTTGAGTCAACATTCAGTCTTCTAACCATAATGTTTCTAAAACGCATAACGGACTTGAATATGCCCAAATCCATTCTCGAGAAGGAAATCCCGTTGCATATCAATAATGAGCAATGCAGTCGCAGCAGATGGAAAGCTAAATGCATATGGTTTTGCAGAGAAAGAAATATTCTCCGGAAGCGACTTCGAGATAGCCATTTTGGTATGTTGTTGGAAAATGTAACAGATTTGTGTTGTGAGTAGGAGTCGACGAGCTGGTGGCTGTTATTGCTCAAAATTCAATTGGCAATATCGATGGAGCTAGATTAATCAAAACGAAGAGCTGGCAAGGACAAGTCTCAAAACGTCAGTTCGAAATGTTTAGGTGGATAGAGGGCCCTATATAAGCACCCGAGTGGTCTGATTCTTGAAGTCCTTAGGTTGAATCCCGATTGTCAGATATCGATCTCAACCTCAGCAAATGCATCCATTGCACATTGCATTGATGGCTGCCTGCAAAGCACTGAACGAAACCGCAGGAACCCGATATGAGCCAGATACCAGGAGAAGCTAGGTACAATGAATACTTGTGTATTTCCGAAGCTAACGGTTTTACGTGATGAATTTTAGATAGTTGTATAGAGATCCCCCGCACCAAGAATGCTAAACAGATACCGATGCAAGGTGGGGCGCCGGGGTGGCATCGAGCTTTCTTAGCTTCACGACTAGCTACTAGCTAATTCGATTATCATACACACTAACGAACCGCAACTTGATTCCATAAGTCCTTCGGACTGAATTGAATTTGTCAAATTTCACAAAGATTGCCCACGCGGGGAAATATCAACCACAAATGCATAACCACAGTCAGGTAGACCTATACATGGTCGGCCTCTCGCTGTGTTTTCTAACGTGGGCCGGCGTCGAATCACAAGAGTCAAAAAGTTATCAACCTGCAATTCGACAGCGCGGCCGCGCGATGCTGTGCCCGATGCTGTGCCGACGCTGGGTCCCAAGCCGCTTGATCACATATCCTCCTAACCCTTGTCCCGGTGGCGTTTTTTCGATAGTGATAAACGAACATGGTTGCAGGCCTCAGGGCCTCGCCCAATACTTTAAGCCCGCCGGTCGACCTTAAGCTAGGCCGCGGCGCCCGTCGGCCTCAAGGTGCCCAAAAACCCAACACATCCCACGCTATCACACGTGCCTCCAGCCTTGCCTCGCCGCCAAATTGGGAATAGCCAGTGGTTCCTTGATGCATCCCACGTCTTTCGACGGGTCGAGTCCTTGATGCTGGTTCCCTTTGCAGCTCGCGTAAGTTCTTTGACCCATGTCCTTAGACATGATGCCCTGTAGCTGCAGCACCTTCGCATCTCGACAAATACTTTGTACGAAATCTATAATGTCATTCGTATAATTCGACTTTCTGGGAAGTCTCTTTAGACAGGTTGAAAAACAAGACCTTATTGTGTAGAACAGCGCTGTTTTTATTTTGGGGTTTCAAGAAATGGAGAAATACGCTGGGCTTTAGAGAAGTGCTTGTTCTTTCGGGAGAGTAGAATACTAATGGCCAATATAAATTCCATAGTGATCTTGCATGCACGAGTTGCATTTTGATATCTCTCCCTCAAGCAATTGCCGGCGGGCCACAGGGCAAAGAAACAAACGAACCCCTGTCAGGTCCGGAGCAAAGAACCTTATTGAATGGTTACAATTGCGAAGCGGGGGTATGCTGTCTGTCACACAAAGTTCTAGCGCTTGTGCATGATCGTTATCTCGAGAGATCCCGGAACTAGCATATCAACCCTGCACTGCATTCCAGAACCGAGTATTCCCATGATCGAATCCCGAATATCTGGACCAAACTAGTCTATCATGAGAGCTTTACACCATATCATATAAGTTTTTTTCTTCTTTCCATGCAGGACGGCATGGTTCAACCCACGCGAGGCAGCTGAGAGTCGCGCGCGAGTGGATCTAACGGCTCCACATTATGAAAGACCAAGATGCGTAGTAGAACGAGGATTTGGGTATAAATCCAGGTTACATCTCGCCTGTACCATCACTTGCCCAACATCGACTTTCCATTTCTTCTAGGGTTCACAGATTTTATATATAATAGTACCCCAACATGGTGTCCTTATCCCTGCCGTCAATACCCTCCCCTTCCCAGATCAAGGCTAGGATTGGTCCACATCTACACCGCGAGGTCCCCAAAAACCCCGGCTCCTACGGAAACGAGCGCTGGAGCAATCCAGGTAAGATATCATTAGTTTTATTCAAAACAATAGGCTAACATAATTGTCTGTAGACTTGGACCCTGTTCCACCAGAGAAGCGGACATGGGGTGCTGGAGATTACTGGGCGTATTGGACGTCCGATATGCTTGCCCCTCCTGTAGGTTTCGTAGGCCTACACTATCGAATCCACACCATCTAACTACCGTATAGCTCGCATCAACAGTTTCAGTTGTGATGTCGTTGGGGTTCACGGCGAAGTACGTTGATTCTCTTGATTACATATATGTAATTTAATTATATGATTGATCCTAACATGTATAGGTCGACTCTTCCCATCGTATTCTGCGGATTCATGATATGCTCTATTATTATTACCCTCACGGGTAAAATCGGTGCACGATAGTAAGTTAGCAAATGAGAGGCTTTTCAGAAACAATGATACTAAAGCTCCCTAGCTCGATTTCATATCCAGTTGTAACCCGGGGTATCTTTGGAATGTACGGCTCTATGCCCGCTATCCTACTTCGTGGCTTTGTTGCACTCATGTGGACGGCAATTCTCTGGTATGTAGTAGACAACGATCTAAAAAGCCATATATTGTATAATTTTCATCACTAATTTATGGAATAATAGTGTCCAAGCCGCCGATTTCTTGCGAAACTGTATCACCGCCATATGGCCAAGTTTTGCTAGTTTCCCTAATCACCTTCCCGACTCCGTCGGAATTGACTCGGCTGGCATGCTGTGCTTCTTCCTATACTGGATTGTGCAAACAATCTTGTCCCTCATGCCTATTCACAAGCTGAGAATCCTGTTCCTCATCAAGGCTGTCATCGTCCCGCCCACTTTCCTCGCCCTATTCCTATGGGGAGCGATAATCACCAAGGGAGGCGGACCACTTGTTAAGGGCCCTACCCAACTAACAAGCTCCTACATGAACACAGCTTATAGCGCTTTGACTGGTTTAAACGTCATTATTGGGCTTTTCAGTTCCATGGCCGTCAACATGCCTGATTTTGGTAGATTTTCCAAGGATGGGTTGGCCGGATACAATCAATTCTTCGCCCTTCCTGTCATTGGGACCCTGGGCGCCTTGACTCCAATCTTTGTCACATCTGCTCACCAATACCAACATGGCAAGTTCCAATGGTACATGCCAGCTATCATTGCAGCCTGGGACAGCCGTGCTGCCAAATTCTTTGTTGGTCTTAGTTTCATCCTAGCTACTATTGGAAACCAGATTGCAGGTAAGCTGTTCTCACTCGATTCTCAACTCTATTGGATAAAATTTTAACCGAATTTTATATATAGCTGGAACTTTCCCCTTCTCCAACGATATCTCAGGTCTTGCTCCCAAGTACATCAATATATTCCGCGCTACCCTCATAGCCGGAGTCTTTTGCGTCGTCTGTCAGCCATGGTTGATTATCAAGAATGCTGAGGGGCTGCTCGCTTTCCTTAGTGGCTATTCTTGCATGATGGGCCCTCTCGCCGGTGTCATTGTATGCGACTATTGGGTAATCAAGAAGCAGCGGTTCGATATTCGCGAACTCTACAAAGGAGACGGTATCTATTACTACTCCTACGGTATCAATTGGAGGGCTTGGACCAGTTTCCTATTCGGTTTCCTTCCGACGTAAGTCCAGGTGCATATATCGTATAACTCTTCTCCGATATTGACGCTTTTATAGCCTTCCTGGATTCGCCAAATCAATTGAACCAACTCTCAATGTTGGTGGTGCTTGGAAGATCTGTAAGTTCACTATCTTTAACGGCATACGTGAACGTGACTAATATTTGATACAGATACATTCGCTTGGCTCTTTGGCTTCAGCGTCTCTTTCCTTGTCCACTACGTTATCAACATGTATATCTCACCCGACACGCCTACTCTAATCGATGCACCAGTTCTACCTCCACAGATTGGAGAGGTAGTCGCTTCCGATGAAGAGGCGCCGGTCGACAAATCCGATATTGCTTATGGCGAGAAAGAGTTGGAGAAGTAGATCTAGAGCCTCCTAATGGACCCTCTGGGTCGATATAATATATCGACAATCATATGATAAGTTTATAGCTTGATCTAGAATCGTTGCGTACGGTATTTTGTGAGTAGTACGTAGTAGTAGTTTAATGATACAAACTTTAATTCACACCGTTCAAAATTTCCCTTGCTTTGGGCCTAATTGACCACTTGTTCTAATCCAAGCTGTGAACCCTCCTCGTTTATAATTTGAACTTAGGAATGCAGGCAGAATTAAGGGAAAAAAGACCAAATCAATCTGTAAGATTAAGAGTACACTGATACAAAGACCTCCAGATTACAGTAAGCTTGAAAGGGTAGCATATATACAAGCGCGAGGCCTAGGATATATTCAGCCTGGGGGGTCGTATATATTACAATCGATCTAATTCCAACAATTTCAACACAAACCCAAGTAGAATATTTCAAACTACACGAGTCTAACTAATTTTTACTTCGCAGGTGTAAGTGGAGCTATTTATTAGCCTGGCTACGAGTCTGGTTGCTGGTAGGTCTAGCGAACCCCTAGGCATATGTATAGCTATAGTTAGGCTAGTCGCCGGGCTAGTAGGCAGCCTTGCAACCAGACTTTCGTAAAGTGATAGTTAAGCATGCCAGATATTTGTGTTGCTATCAGACCCAGCTGAATTAAGCAAATGCCATACCATGGAAGTATTTTAATTGCAAGGCAGAGACGAGTGTTCCCCAGACTATGTATAGACTTTGGCAAAATAAAATATAAAAGGTAAAAACACAAAATAAAAAACTATTCGTTTCCTTACTCGACTTGTATTTGATATTCTGATTATTAAATACTTTATACAATTTATTGGAGGCTTGAGTTCGTAAACCAGCTATAGAGCGGTATGAAGGATTGAGCACCTGAATTATAAAATCAAACTCGATTCTTGTAACCCGCGTTACTGCATATATTGTATTTATAGATTGGTTGTATATACTAATATATGGAAATTCCTGCCTATTGGTTCATTCTATACACACATCAAACGAACAACACCGGTGAGAGCGCTGGCTAGAGTTGTTCTGGATCTTGTTTTTTATTGACGTTACAGACAATGTGGAGCTCTACGAGAGCCTACTCGCGGGGAAGAACTTCGTAGCGATGAATAAAACTGACAGGACAGCCACCCAAAACTATAGTCATTATTCTCAACCCGTGAAAGAGTCGGGATCGTTTGCTCAGTGCAGTGTTGCATATTTTTGGTACCACCTAGTCCATGGGATCATATCCACAGAAGAAAGTTTGTTACCGCGAGCAAGCAGTCAGTATGTAAACCCGTCGCTGCATGTTGAAATTGGTGGACATAGCAATGTGGAACGAGATATAACAGGTTCGAAATAAGTTTAGAATACTAGAGATTTAAACACAAATGAAATAAAACATGTATTTAGACGTCTCAACTATAGAACTAAGAGGGCCATATATAAAATTTTACGTTCATGCATATAAATTATAAAAAGTAACCTAAGATTTAACATAGTCATGCAGGTACATCCTAATTAGTTTAGAGACTCAAATGAAGCGAGGTACTTCAGTGTACATCAGCTGTAAATACACTATATATATACTGTAATTTTTTTTTAAAAAAAACCTTCTCTGTACCGGGTGGCTTCTGGGAGCGCTAGCGCTGCGTTTAGCAATGCAGCTTTGCCTGAATGCTCGTGATGAGGCAATTCGTGCCTAAGCGACTGATCGGGGCCTAAATTTAAGAGCACTACGTGCGCATAGGCCATCGATCTAGCCAGATAGCACCATCTAGTTACGTACACTACTTAGCTTTAGTGTAGACGCGGCAAAAAAGAACCCAGTTTTAAACGTTTTGGGAAAGCTTCCATTGACGGGAATATCTGTATTTACCCGAAAATTTTTGTGTAACCTCCTAAGTGTGGTAATTTATGTGTTGTGATCACCATGGTCCGGTACCAGCTCCTCCTTCGCTCCGTCGATACTCCAAACGCAGTTCATGAGGCACATTCTAAGCCTTCAACTTCAACCAAATACGTCCGATATGGTGTAGTGGTTAACATCGTCCGCTTTCAATAACTGGCTTCACAGCTTGGTTAAGATGGTCCGGACAGCCCCGGGTTCGATTCCCGGTATCGGAAGGACGTTCTTTTTTGCTCTCTTTTAGTTTTTTTTGCAAGTCAAACATATTGGCAGCTGGGGAAAAAACAGTTTTTTTGGTGTCTCGGTAGGTAGTAATTAACAACGACGTTGGAATCAGTGGTTTTCAGAACTGGTGGAGTTGCTGTGGAATTCGATTAGGTCATGGGATCTTGGAGATTGACATCAATCCGGAAGGACTCCCAGAACGATTTTGTCAACAGGTAAGTTTATAAAATACAGAGCATATAAATCTTATTTATGCTGTCGGTTTAATATCTCGGGGAAATTTAAAATAATTAATTTCCTCTGGGTAAACTTGGGAGGTGATATATACATAATGGTCATTCTTCCTTGGAACGAAAGCCAAAGTTAGAGTACCAAATATATCGCTATCAAGCACCAAGTGCAAGTGGTTAAGTGGCTATAGATCTACTCCTAAAGATTAAAAGCCACCCTAGGAGGTATATACTCGAGTACTGCTGCCGGCGAATGAATACATTTCAAAGAACCTCACTTAGCTAAACCTCATTTAGCTAAACTTCGAAACTTACGTCCTATGAAAGCCCCTCGAAGCATAGATAAGTAGGTAAGTATATATGCACCTTTCTGGCTATTTCGAACCTCCAAACACTCCAAATATTGGAACCTGGCGAACTCAGCAAGTATGCAGAATATTGACTATTCAACAAAGCACTTCGAATTCCCATGAAGTTAAAACAGATAATTACAACCATCTAGAATATTAATACTGCTACTAGTCCGACGGGTGAATCATAGTCTCGTAGCCAGGTAAATCATACAAGTAGGTTCATGAGAATTGGGGCGAAACAAGCAGCGAACGAGATAGTCTCCCGGCACTGGCTTCGTAAATTAAATTAATCTGCTCTGCCAAACTAAAGCAGACCTTCGCTTCAAAATAATAATAATACAAGCGGATGTTTCGGCGGATATCTCAGAGAGAACCAACCATACGACGTATGTAGCTAGGTTAAACATCTCGTTGATACGGAGCCATGATCCAAACAACGGGCAATGACAACAAAGGTGAAGGAAATAGATAAACAAGAGCCCGAATCGTGAGAGGACAGGAAATTTCAATGTCGCTCTCGGTGTTGGGGAGACACCAATTGCAACTTGACGGCTTCGACTGAGCGAAGGTTAGTCTTTCGTACGCTTCGAAGTGACTTCGCACGCGTAGTTTCCTCGACTCTGCAGCTCATGACCAGAAACTGCTGCTGTGAGCAGAACGGTTTATTAGGTATTAAGCAGTAAAGCTCGCGGTCACCAAAGCCAGGTGCTCGAGAGATCGTACAGCAGGTCTAGTGTACATAATAAAAGATATGCATGCCCAACGCCTCTGCCATAGTTATACAGAAAAGGATAAAAATCATACACCCTTCTCCAAACCCCATGCCATAAAATACAACCGTTTATCAAGGTATAATGCGTAGTAAAGAAGTGACCAAGCCGGAGCATGAACATCGTCAAAGTCGTGAATTAGGTCGTAAAACGAACCGCCGTGATGGCTAAGAGGTATCTTTGTTCCCAAGCTGCGAGAGCGAGCAACTCATCAAGGGACCGAAATCGGGGGGCAGCTGGGTATCGTAATGCTCATGGGGACGGCTGTCGAATCGAAGCGCTCGTAGATGGTGACGACAAGGTAAGTTTGAGGTTTTGAAAGGGCGACAAGGCAAGGTCAACCCAGGAACAGCTGTAGCCCAATGCTCAGTCCTGCTTCTAATGAACGACAAGGCAGGGTCGTAACATCACGGGAGGGGTTTTTTGTTTACGAGGAGTTTCCATCTCCCCGCCCGAGAGCGGGTTAACGTCACTCCCTGGTGCGACGGCCTTGTTTTTTAAAGAGGTTGCTATCCTCTGCATGAATGTAGATTTTTTACTTTCGAGGAGTTATCCTTCTCCCCGCCCGAGATCCGTTTAACGTCACTCTCTGGTGTGACGACCTTGTTTTTTTAAGAGGTTGCTGTCCTCTGGCCTGAATGTCTGTTTGGATGGTGGTTTTTTTTTTCGAGGAGCTATCCTTTTCCCCGCCCGAGATCCACTTAACGTCACTCCCTGGTGTGACGGCCTTGTTTTTTTAAGAGGTTGCTATCCTCTACTGGGTTCCGTGGTTTTTTTATTGACGAGGAGTTGTCCTTCTCCCCACCCGAGATTCGTTTAACGTCACTCCCTGGTGCGACGGCCTTGTTTTTTAAAGAGGTTGCTGTCCTCTGCTTGAATGATGGTTTTTTTGTTTTCGAGGAGCTACCCTTCTCCCCGCCCGAGACCAATTTAACGTCACTCCCTGGTGTGACGACCTTGTTTTTTAAAGAGGTTGCTGTCCTCCTCTGGGGTTTATGGCCGCCCAGGTAGGCCGCTTTGGTGACCGGGGTAGCATCCCGGCATGAACGTACCTTTGCAAAGTTCCTTACCGAAAACCGAGGGCCAATGACTCAGCGGTGTCAGCATCGAGGGACGCCACATGGGGCAGGCGAGAAGAACGAGAGACGAAGTCTAAGAATGCACTGAGCACCCTCTTCGTTCATCACTGTCGTTCTTCAAGCCTTTCTCCAGTGTTGTCTCTCGATGGTACGACTCCGCAGCCTCAAAGGCGACTGCCCGGTCTTGCGGAGGTGACTCGCGTAGGTAACCTCCAACCGCTCCTCATCCCCCTCCTCCAACCTAACCCTCCTCTGCTCCTCCTTATACACCTTCCCCCGCGTCGCAATCTCCTCCAACTCCCTAAACAACCTCCTCTTCTTCCTGAGGAGGGACTTCCTCCCCAACTGGGAGGTTGGGACGTCCGCTCCCAAAACCTCGAAGCACTTATCATCGTCATGGGCGACTTTCCCAAGGTCATCCCACAACTTCAAGTACTCCCCGAGGTTTTTGTCCTCCGCCTGGCTCTCGCTCTCGTGTGTCTTGGCCTCGCTGGCCCGAGACTTATTGTGCGACCCCTGGAAGCGGGAGTCGGAGAGAGGGTCAGCCATTGGCAATGGCGCCCGCTTCACTTCATCAGAGTATTCATACCTCTGGAAGGTCGGCGGGGTGCGCTGCTTCCGCGAGGAAGCAGCACACTGACCCTCTTCCTTCTCCTGCTCCTCGTCGCCCAGTTCGACGAGGACTTCCAAAGAGTCAGCACGACTCCTCTTCACCCACCTCCCAAACTCGCCCTCGCCCTCGTCCTCGTCCTCCGCCTTCCTCTTCCTCCCCCTCTCCCCCTCACCCACCTCTCCCTCCACCTCCACCTCCACCTCCCCCACCTCCTCCTCCGTCTCTGGTTCCGTCTCCTCTCTCCACCAAGGGAAGCCGATTTTATCGTCTATCTACAATTTTATTGTTAGTAAAATGCGATTAAACAAGCAATTCAAGGAAGGATGATATCTATTATAAACATACCTTGGGGCGAAGGAGCTTGTGGAGGGTCCTCTTCTTTTTGGGAGGAGGACCCTCCGCCGACCTGGTAGGCCTTTTGGCGCGGGACTGGGCAGAGGTCCCCTTCCTCTGCCCAGCCTTTGCCGCTGTCCTACCAGACGGTGCCGGTGCAGGTGCTTCGGGTGCACCGCTAACCCCTGGACCCTCGGTGTCGCCTGTTTGACACGAATTATCAGCAAAGTGCGCATTAAATTTACAGTTTCAAACGTATTAAATGAATGCATGTAATGTTTGTGTACAACAACAAAGAAGTCATTGCACGCCTGAATGGCCCGTCAAATACAATGCAATGCAACGCCGAGCATACATCATCGTCATCGTCATATCAGGTTGCTATGGCCCCCTTTGTTTTGACAACATTGTCATGTAATGTTTACAACGGATTTCGCGACCCAAAAAATGCATCGAGCAACAAGATATCTCGAAGCTCATCGAGAGCACTCCGGCCACGAGAAATTCGCAACATCTCCACGATGACGTGAATAGCTTCAAAAAATGGCAATTAAGGAAGAATGAATAAACTTACTAACTGCGACCGCCTCCTCTCCCCCCTCCTCCCCTCCCCTCTTCCTCTTCCTCACCTCCGCCAACTTCTCCTTCTCCTTCTCCTTCTCGTGCTCCTCCTCTTCCTCAACTGCCTTCTTCCTTGTCTTCCTCTCCACCTTCTTCCTCGTCGCCGTCACGGCCTTCTCCTCCTCCTCCTCCTCCATCTTCTTCGCCCTCGCCCTCGTCGTTCTCTTCGTCGTCGTCGTCTTCGTCGTCTCTTCCTCCTCTTCCTCTTTCTTCTTCCTCGCCGCTCCTGCCCTGGTCACGCGCTTCTCAGGAGGAGGAGAACCTCCATCCTGATCAGCAACGGGAGCCAAGGCAGGGCCCCCCATCTCCTCGGCCTTCCTCTTCTGCCCCCTCGTCTTCGCCTCCCCGCCACTTGTAGATTTTTGAGCCAAAGGCTCCTTCTTCCTTGTCGTAGATTTCTTGGCCATGTTGGCCGAGGTTATGCTTGCTGGAGGTGTTTGTAAAAGATGTCGTGATGAAAGAGAAGAAGAGTGGTGTTGATAATGATGATGGTTGGTAGGAGAGGGATGATGGGTTGGTGAACAAGAAAGAGAAAGGGAAGGGGAAGGAGAAGGGGAAGGAGAAGCAGACGGGGAGGAAGAAGCAGAAGCAGAATTTACTGTCGTCGACGGGGCGGGCGAAGGAAACCGCAACGACGGCGACGGCGACGGAGGGCAACCCGTCGACCTGGACAGAGGCAGCTGCAAGGTCTCTCTCCCAACAACAACTCCGCCAACATCTGCACCGACACCACCAGCTCCAGCCGAAGCTGATGGGCTTGTAGCTGTATCTGAAGAGTTATCATCGCTCTCTTCATCTTCATCTTTATTGCTTTGGATAGGTCCCCCTCGGAACCGTATCAGGATCTGTTCAAACATGGTGTGGTCCCTGTCCCCCTTAGCTTTTGTTTTCGGGCCTGTTCTTCCAGACAATACTGCTGGAGGAGAGCCCAAAAACCCTTCGAGGGACCTAACAATCGATTAAATATTGGGATTTGGCTGGATACAAACCTCCCCGACGGGGCGAACGGGTACTCGTAGGGGGGTAGAGTCGAAACCTCTCCTTCCGACTCCCTGAGGAGAGATGACATGTCGTCCAAATTTACCAAAGCCGGAAATTTTGGACTGGGCAAACGGAGTCGCTAGCGAGGGATTCCCCTTCAAAATCCAACAATGTGGCATTTTGGGCAGATGTGGTCAGTACTCGACGGTTTTATTCTCTTTTCTATTGTTATATCTACTTTGAATGTTATGTTTACGATCCGAAGTGAAGGAACGGTGGATGGACGTCCTTACTCCCTTCGGGACGCTATTACATTTTTCTGGATTTATATACAGCAGTCCCCGTCGGATCCAAAGGCCAGCACAGGGCAGGTGTTCCAGCGTGTTGGATTTTGCACCAGCCAATCACTTCCAAGCCAAGAGACCGACTAGCATACGACAGGGATCATGTCGGTTGAGGAATACGAAGACTGTCCACGTCCGGCCCATAATTTAATTAAAGACTGGAGTAGTAAGTAAGGACTAATAAGTACGTAACCCAATGCATCAATGCCTATCTGAGGCTCTATAAAGTCTGGTTCTGCTGCCAAAACTCGACTAGCGAATCCACCATCCGTCGTCCGCTTCCCTCCGAGCTATCCATCATTAACGTTGCCGAAAGTCTCTCCTTAGCGTTCGGGTCCATGCATGACTCCGAGTATGCGGCCATAGACGGGAATATCTCTGACAAACCGAATACAACTGCATATAGATATCCTAATAGTCAGAAATAATTCCTAACAGATATCTTCGCTCCCTTTCTTTTTAAATGGGGGAAAACAAAGGGGTGTTAAACAATAACAGTACCGTGTTCGTTGATTTTCGTATGAGTTACGGCATCTCCTAGGAGATTTAAACTACGTAACATACGAGAGTTCCGAAGCTTTTCTGTTTTTTCAGCATAGGCTACGCTTTGTGCTCGGAGGTCTCGGACGAAGGACTCTAGGACCGGTACTAAATCCTGAACTTTCGAAAGTGGTAGTAAGAACGGTTTAACCGTAGATTCGTCGAAACCCTGCCGCATTCTAGTATATAGATGTATATGTAGATAGCCTTGTTAGTCTATGTAGACTGCGAGGTGGTAAATAGGTCTGAAGGGAAGGGAAGGGATACATCACGAATGGGATAACTTACACATGGGACAGTGTGTAAAACGTATGCCCAACCTCTTGAGTCTTGAGGTATATCACCCCTCTAGATTTCGCCAGTCTTTCACAGAGTTTTATTCTTCCAATAAGTTGTGCCTCGAGGCTTTCGGTTGCAACGTCTTCGCTGGTTATAAAGATGAAGCAAACGTTGTCGGATGGTAGATGTAGAGAAGCATGAACCAAATGATGAGATTCTTTACACCCCAGTACCGTGGAGCTACTCAGCTCTGGTATGGCGGACGACCAGGGAGGCATACGACGGAGACCCGATGAGAACATTGTCACAGTTGGTTATTTCTTCGATACTTTTTTTTAAAGGGTTGCCGTTCGGTTGGTAATTAATTTAGTGATTGGTTTTGACGTGGTTTATGGTTAGGATAAAGGGATCTGTATTACAACCACACGATACGTCTTTCTAAGCTTCAGACACCAAGCCAAACCCCAAAAAAATGAAAAAAAAAAAAAAAAAAATGGTTACGGCCCATCGCAATGGCTTCATAGTTTTGCTATCTATAGAGCATATCCTACTGTATGTATGACCAAGTACCTACTTAATTACTTAAGTACTCAAGTATTTGAGTGGTATCTAAGACAATGCATGAACTATCGATACTTCCCACCCATCAGAACCTCCTTCTCCCTCCTCCTCCTCAACAGCTCCGCCAAAGGCACGCTATCCTCATCATCCAAAACATCCGCATCCTCATCGACTCCATAATCCGCCAACCGTTCTCCTTCTTCATTCCTCCACTTCTTCTTAATCTCTTCTTGTCTCTTCTTCTCATCATAATAAGTCCCCTCAATACCCCTCCCCTCATACCCACCAGCAGTGCTATCCAAGTAACTATCCAAAAGATCCTCATCCCTCTTATAATTATCCACATCCCTCCCCCCTTCTTCCCCATCAGAGGCATAATCGTCCTTATCATCATCACCCTGTTGGTACCCCCTCCTCTTCATATCCTCCCTCTGTCGTCTCCTAAACGCAGAAACGTCACTAACATCATACTCCCCAGTCGTCCACGGTCCCCCCTCCATCTCCTTCTGCATGTGTCTCCGTTCATTTATTCCAAACTTCTCAGGATCAGGTGGTGGCCACGATAACCATGTTTTTTCAAACCCATTGACTTCATATCTCAATCCACCCCCGTTTCCTCCCGTTCCGCCTTCCCCGATGGCTCTGTTCGGTAGGAATGGAAACCACCAGGTGAATACCCCACTGTTCATAAATAGGCAAATATTGGAGTATATCCCAATATCAAATGGGTATAACTGTCGTCGGACCACTTTCCTCCTCACTAGAGCGTTATGTCTTTCTTGCTCCCACCATTCGATGGTGGTATACCCTTCTGTGATATTTGCGATGATCCGAATCCAAAGCACGATGATCGCAAAGTCCGTGAGCGTATTGGCTAGCAATAGAACTACTAGTAGGATCAGATTTGAGGTGGAAGGTCCGAGATACTGAAAAGTGCAAAGAGCACAGAAGGAATGTTATATCAGTTAGCTTGTTCTTCTTTTTCTTCTTCTTCTTCTGCTTCTTCCTCCTCTCCTCCTGTCTAATATTCTCGAGTGTAAAAAGAAGCAGGAGAGGGGAGCGAGAGAAAAACTTACAGCCGGCAGATCCCTATACCTCCAAATCTCCAAGCACTTGCTGACCAGGAAGGTCTCCAAATAACTACACGCCGCAATCACAAACGACAAAAACCTGATGAAATGCGGCCAGGTCCTGTATCCCACGCAATTAAACGTCCACGGACAATGATGATCCATAAGTAACACGCATCTATCAGGGGAATACCATCGTCATCATCATCGCGCCGGTCAGCAAATTCCTCTATTGAATTTCGACAAAAAGAACCAGATAAAAAAACCGGGGGGGATACACACGTCTGACAAGTCTTGCAATGATGTGCCCTCGCCGGTTTCCACCTCTTACACCGTTTACACCACCTACAATCCGCATTCCCCCATATCCTTCCATACCTATCAGGCTTAACCTGCTCCCTAACATCCCCCTTCTTCCCCCCTCCGTTTTCATCATCATCATCATCATCGTCACTACTACTCCCCCCTTCACCATCTCCTTCCTCTTCTTCCTCCTCTCCGCCTCCAAAGCTACCAATTCCCTGCCAAGAAGGTTGCCATCCGTTAGGTACCCCACCAGGATCCGTAAAAATACACCTAAAATACGTAACCCAAATCCCACCAACCAATGTGTTGAAAATCCAAAATTCGCGAGTGCTGAGCTCAAGGATGAACAGCTGTGACCCGTACGCCAGGAACGTTATCAGACAGACCGTTAAGCCCACCGCTATAAGTGAGTATTTGGGGTTCAACATATTTCATTTATTCTGTTCTAGCCCCCTCGTACGTAAATTCGCCGGGGTCGGCTTCTTTTTTCTATATATTGAACCCGCGGCTGAGGACGGGTAAAATGGTGACGAATTGTTGGATGTATCAGGAGAATTAGGTAGTATTTATGTTATAGTTGAGTGCGTGGTCTGACGGCGTTGTTGGATGTTTGTTCTGCAATGGGAACTTCAAGGCGTGACACGCCAGATCCGCATCCCCCTTGATTGACACGCAATATAATTATATAATCGGATATTACATACAGGTTCTGGAATTTCTCAGAGGGTCATACATGCATGCATGGCTTATACCTGGTAAAAATTCTGAAGTACCATTGAAGATGAAGGGAAAAAAAAAGAAATTCAAAAAAGAATACTATCTACAGAATTCATTGCAATAAATATAAAGGCGGATCGTATGTGTGGCCGAAAAAAGTTATGTTCAATCATTTCATCAGGCAAAAATCCGCAATCCATGCTTCTCTTGCCGGCTTTATAAGAATCTCCGCTTCTTTGTGTTCAAACAAAAACGGTACACTGTCAGTACTTCGATACATGTATTAGAGGTGGGGTATTGCGAACTAGCTATACATGAATGAAAACGGAGGTAAGGGTTATTAATATCGAAAATGAGGGGGGGTTCAGGAAAGAAAAAAGAAGAAAAATTCCAAACAACCAGTTTCCAAGCAAAGGAGAAAGAAAAACCATTTTGAATCCCAGTTGACGCCAAGACAGTATGAGTTATGTTATGTTCTAATCGCGACGAAAGCCCCTTTCCCTTCCATATATTTTAAAAGCAGCTAAAAGCAAAAGATGATAGCGAATGGCAATGCTTTCGTGTGTATCGTATCAATTCAATCGATCAGTACTCTGCTTCAAAATAAGGGGTTTGAAGTTGAGGAGGGCCCCATTGATGCGTGCTATCTTGCGAGGATGATTGATTAGACCATCCTGCGAGAGATCCCGTATCGCGAGCCGTCGCTACACGAAGTGCTTTATCTGTAAAAAAAAAAAAAAAATTATTAGCCTTAATTCCAGATTCTAAGAGTCAAGCCAAGATGAGTGCAGACATACCCTTTTCGAAATCCCTCCATCTCTTCATGACGATTTTGTCACTATCAAATTCGCCATCCTCTTCATCATGTGCTCCGCCCTTGTCTCCGGAAACCTTTCTCGTTTCACCCCAAGAGAAGTCGTCAAACTTCCAGAAAGCGTACACGGGAAGAACGAAATTCCAAATTGGCAGGGAGCAGAGATAGCACAACATCCAAAGGACGTAGACCCACTTGTGGGCGGTGAGCACAATGAGAATAGCTGGGAGACCGAGGATAAGACCGAGGAGGACCAATGGGATGACTGGCACCGGGCGTGAAACAATGGAGATGACGATGAGGTAGATTGTGAACGAGATGGCAGCTGGCAAGACGACAGTACCGATGAGTTCGATGAACACAACAAATTGCATACCTATTTTTGGGGGTTTTTTTATTAGTAAAAGATGTTGTTTAAATAAAGTTAGAGTTTTGATGTGAGTTCCAACTTACTGAAGCAGAAAGTACCACAGAGATCTCGGACGAGAACAAGTTCCATGAGATTGTGAACAGTAGAGTTAATCCATCGACGACGTTGGGAGAGCAAGACCATAAATTTGTTCGGGACAATCGTTTTGCAGACGGCCTGGGGAACGAAAATCTGCTTTCGCTTGGGGAAAGTCTTCAACATGAGAGTCGTAAGGTAACGATCTTCACCGAGGAGGAGCAAGTTCTTCTTGTGCAGGGTATCGACGACATTTTCGGAGTAGTGTTCGACAACATCTGGGTTGGCCAGGATCGGGACCCAGTAGTTCTGAGCACCCTTGGGAGCCTTGATGCGGTACATGCAGAAGCAACCGGGCAGACAGGTAACACCACCAAACACGGACTCGAAAGCCTTTGTAAGATGATGAGAGATGAAGTATTCGAAAACTTGAATCATGCTAACCCAGCTGTCCGTCTTGTTGGCAATTTTCGTTTCACCACATAGACCCATAATTTCGGGATCGCGAACCATAGCAGCCGTCATGTGTGTCAAGGAATCCGGGAAAACAACGGTATCGGCGTCCACCATGAGCACTATCTCATAATATTGCGGGGAGATACCGGTAATACTCCATAAACCACTGAACATTTCGTATTCGAGCTCGGTCATACGTTCGTCAAACATAACACGTTGAAGGAAGGACATTAGGACGATTTGGGAATCGCGCTTGCCTCTGTTACCAGGCTTCTTCTCAGTTTGCTCGGACTCGGTACCACACTTGACGACGAGAAGCATTGGGACACGCTGTTGGCTTTCCTTAGGAACCTTGCTGTCCTGCCCATAGTCGTAAAACCCGGCATAAACCTTTGCCATGTTGTGACGCTTTCGGCCGACAGCAATAGCGACATACGAGAATGCCTCAACTTGCTTTGGTGGTGTAACGAAGTCCTTCATCATTTCAAGACAGAGATCCGGGGTCGGGGCATCTTCACCCGCACCAGTAACAATACCGTCGCAGACGACGAGAATGACCTTGTGGCTGTTTGGGTACTCGGTAGTCGCGATGGAGTCAAAAGTAGCACGAAGACCTGAACCACCCTCGGAATAGGCAGTGACAAGACAGATGGTGTGAACCAATGGGAATCCCCATGGCTGGAACTCTGGTGGTGGTTGAGGGACAACGGATTCGTGGATATAAGAGCTGGTCGGTTCGCTAAAGATGGCAGAGTGGCGGTCATTGAAGTGTCCAGAGAGGCGGCTCACATCCAAGTTGCTGCCGAGCATAGAAGATCGACTACCAGTGGTATTACCATAGACAGCGTTCGGAGGCAGGAGAGCTCGGCTAGAACTCTGGGATCCCATGGTGGTAGGGCTGGGTTTGCCCTTGGCCGGTCCGGTACCCTGTGTGAACCTGCTAGTAGCAGGTAAGAAGCTAGCTCGCTTCGGCTTCTCGGGGAACTGGGCTGGCCTTTGAGGGTCATTGCTCCAGGCTTCGATTTCTTCCCGTCTCTTCTTCTTGTCTTCCTGGCTAGCGCTTCGGACCGCACTGAGCTTCCATGACAAGAACCAACCGAAAAACAGAGCGAGGAAGAACTTGATGAGGACAATGCTGACGATGAAGATAAGGGAAACGTATAGAACAACCTGTGAGGCGATACATCCAACAGTTTCGACGTCGATGCTACCTACGCGAAGGATTTCGGCCATACACTGTGCGGTTCGCTTGTGCGGACCTTGGAACCTGTGGGTTACATCCTTGCCGAGCAAGGTTGGATCGTTCTTGATTTGGTCAAAAATAGGATTCCAGGCAACTTGCGAGGTATTGAACCAATCTAGAAGGCCGAGATCAAGGACGCTACCGGAGTAGACAAGCAACTTGCGGGTATCGTTCTTCAAGTCCTCCCAGGAAAAGTAAACTTCACCAGCGGGGTCCAATCCGTAGTATGCCCTTCGAGCGGTATCGGTTGTATGACAAGCATATCCGAGATATGCGCCGCTCGAATAGTTGGCTGGGGAAGAACCATCTTGCTTGAACAGATTGCAAGGGAAGTACCAAGCTAGATCTCCATCAGCGTTGGTTGGAACATCACTATTCTCGGCGAGGGTGATCAATCCTTTGCACTGTCCGTTGACATTCTGAAACAGGAAGCTGGCGTCATAACCACCCCATTTCTGAGGAAGGTCGAACAAGACATTTGCACCAGGAGGGATACCGACGGCAGCTGGATGGTGAGACCCGACAAGATTATACGCGACACCGTGAATGATCATAAGACCTCTGTCGATTTGGTTTGCCTTCAATCGGACACCAGGTGTACCGCAGACGGTTTGAGTGAAGCCAAATGTGAGGAAACCGACAGCTGCGCAGAAGTACAAGATAATGCTGATGAGACCGATCTTTTCCCTCCAAGCTCGCTGAGGTTCCTTTTTTGTCTTGCCGAACAAACGAAGAAGTGCATTTGGGCACCAGAAAGTGATTACATGGCAATACACGGTCCACAAACTGAGCGGCTGGACTTCCTGTTGTCGTTTCCTTTTCTCAGCGGCTTTCATCTCAGGATATTTCTCAGCCTTCTCGGTCTGGCGACGGGACAGTTTATTAGGTTGTCGAGTAGTGCCTGTTTTCGATGACAAGGGAGATGCTTCTTCGTCCATGGTATCCAATCTATGTCGGGCTTGTCCAGGGGCAGGACGAGCGGTGGAACCGGGTTGCGAATTGATGTCGGCAGTCTCAGGATCGATACCCGTAGTTGAAGGAAGGACGTCCATATGCTGTGCATGTTTGTGATAGTTATATAGTGGATTGTCCCTGGTTATCCTATTGCGCTCCGGTTTGATCAATGACTTCTTTCGCGATAGGTCAGTAGCACCGGCGGGATTGAGGGGCGCTCTGGCGGATGCAGATGCTTGAGAATTATAGGTCGGTCTCCTAGGAGGACTTCGAGTGGTCTCGGCGACATATCCGGAATCATCATCATCTCTTCGCCTGTGGCCACCACTGGCCCGACGTCGTTCCCGGGTTTGTGGTGATGTGGGTGACATGTCGAAGGGTTTACTACCACGATGTGGGCCCGACATGAGGGAAGGTAAAAGAGGCTAGAAAAACTAGCCTTTAAGAGAGAAGGTAGACCAGTGATATTATCTTTTTTTGGTGAAGAAAGGAAGGGATAAAGGGAGGAATGGTAGGAAGGAAGGGATTGTCGAGATGGTAGAAAGGGGAGTGAGAGAGCGAGTGAGAGAAAGGAGGAAGGGAGGGAGGGAGAGAGACAAAGAGACAGAGAGAGAATAATTGGAAATAATTAAGAGATGGCGTGTATTTTGTTGAACCTGGAAGAAGCCCCTGAGGTTACGTTATCTTGAAACACTTCGCAAAGAACAGGCGAAATGGATCGGGAAGTATATAAAGGCAACAAACCGCAGTTTGAAGCCTAGGCCTAAGCCGGAGTCGAAATCGAAGTCGAAGTCGAAGTCGAAGTCGAAGTCGACGATGTCGAATGTAGATAGAGAGGGGTGGAGAAGAGAAGAAGAATGGGAAGAAGAAGAGAAGTTTTGCGGGCGGTTGTGGTGGTGGTTATGACAGGTTAGTGTTTAGGGGCAGCGAACAAGCAAGCAAAGCAAAGTAAAGCAATGCAGGCACAATGCAGTACAGGCGACGACAAGACAGGCCAGAACAAGACAAGGCAAGACAAGACAAGACAGTTATTATGTATGTCGTCTAACGCGATGGCGGGTTAATTCCTTCTATTTTTGTCCGGGTCAGCGTTTGGGATCGGAAACTGACTGGCTGGTCCGCTCTAGTCCAGTCCGAGTCTGGCTGCTTTCGGGGAGGTGCAGATATGGAAGGAATAAAAAATAAAATATAAAAAAAAAGAAGGCTCAAAGGAGAAGCATCGAAATCGTAGATGGCATGAAGGATGATATAATGATAGCTCTGGTAGCTGGTAGCTAGAAGCTAGAAGCTAGTAGCTAGAGTGGGTTGCAGCTAGTTATGTTGATGTTGATGTTGGCGATAGTGGTGATGATGATGGGGCTGGTAAGTATGTGTAATGTAATGCAATGTGATGCTAAGCTCCCCCACCAAGTGTAGCCTCATAGAATGAATGAATGCAAAATGAGAAGAATGAAAGAGAATAGCTACAAATGTCCAACCACGAACAGGCAAAAGGTTATAATATAATACTTAGTAAGTAAATATGGAAATATGGAAATATGAGATATGAGATATGAGATATGAGATATGATATGAGAGAGATATGGATGAAACGACAGATCTGATTTGAAAGAAGACCAAACGAATGAATGAACGAATGTTGTTGTCAACAAGCAAGCAAGCAAAGCAAGCGCAGATGCTTAACTTCGCCTTGGTTTTGTTTGGGCGAATGCGAACGAGCGAGCGGATTGGTTTTGGTGTGAGGTTGTGAAGGGAACGGAGGGAAAACCTTGGAAGGAAGCAAAATGGAAGGGAAAAAGGAAGAAAGGAAGAAAAAGGGTTACCAAGAGCAACGCATAACTTGAATGTAACTCTACTGCAGCCCACCACATACACATATACACACCTACTCACATACACTCTCATGTACTTACATTCATACTCTCACAGATACTTACTTAACTACTTAGTAACTAAGCATTTACCATGCAAGGAGTTCTCTCTTTCTTTCTTCCTGTCTTTCCTAGACTGCAATAATAAGACCTGGCTTATTGGCCAACAAAAGTGCTTGAAGATTTTTTCGCTTCTCCGAATCAACCTGCTCATTCCTACGAAATTCTCTCCCCGGTCCACCACATGGCCCGCCCAATGCTTCCTCACTTTACTTTACTTTACTTCCCTTCACCTTACCTGACCCTACCGGACCTTACCTAACTTTGCTTCCTTGCTGACTGACATGCACATAACTAATTAATCCCATTACCTCTCGGTGGTCTGTCCGGTCTGCATTGTCGCAGGCAAAATGGCACCTGTAAGGTAACCCTTCCTGTAGTTCCCCCCCCTTTAAGCTTCCTCCCAAGCGGCGAAAATTCCAGGAATAGATTGGCCTCAGGGGTTCGTATTTCTCGCCTACGCAAAGTAGCAAGAGATTTCTTCCCTCATATTTTTTTTCGTTTTTTTTCGTTTTTTGTTTTTTCCTTGTTTGGTTGTTTCTGTTCTCCCCTGGTATATTATCCGTCGACACCGACACCAGGAGCTTGGTACTGGTACATGTCCTTGTATGTACCTGTATCCATCCCCAAAAAAAAACCTGTCTCAGGCCATCGACCAAAATTGCAACATGACGGAATATCCGTTTGGCTAGTCTAGAAGCTTTGGCCGGTTTGTTTTTTGACCGGGCCTATGGATGCATCCATCGCATGTCGGATTACTATCCGTATGGATCCATACTATCCAGTGGAATAAAATAAAATAATTAAAATAATCACCAGGCTTGTGATCAGTGGTAGTAAGTAGTATTTAAATTTCCATCCAGGGTACCAGGTAACATCGTCCCATCACAATACATTGCAATACAACCCAAGCAGCTCACTGCGGTGCCCTGCACAATTTATACTATGATGTTCCCGTATACCTAGGTATATATATTGAAGTGAAGCGGAGTGAATTACTTTAAATTCTTTCGGTCATATGCTATAAATATTTGTGTATTTGTTATTCTGCTACTGTACTCTAACTACCTATAAATACCTACAGACCCCACAGATCTGTAGACCAATCCTTTGTCTTCGTCGGATACCTCCTACTACATAAATTACATATTATCATAAAAAAAGATATATAAGAGAGAAAAAAAAAATAGGAGGAATAAGAAGTAACATCCCCGGATACGCCGTTGTCCCGTAAAAAAAGAAGAATCGAAATGAATAAGAAGGGAAGGATAATTAAGAAGCAATACGGTGATCTATCATATACAGAGGAGAAAATAACTTTATTTCATCAACTCGTTAATTTTCTGTCCTCTCTCCGGACTGTCCTCCCATCGACAATCCCAACCCGGCTCCGCTAGGATCGTTATTCGGTGGGGGTGGAGGCGGGCTCGCTGGTGGCTGTCCGCTATATCGCATGCTAGAAACCTGCGAATACCTCATATCTTCGGCTGGAAGTTCGGAAACTGCAGTGGACATGATGGATGGTGTGTGGTGTGCCATTCCCTTTTGAGGAATACCAGGGCTACCAGTTCCGTGAAGTTCATACGACATGGGACGAGATCCTTGACCGCGCTGATCAACAAATCCGGGACTGTGCATGGGACTGATATAACCATTGTCATAACCTCCACTGCCTCCGAGTTCGTGTGATGCCCTTCTATCACTGTATTGTGGTAGAGCTGGAGAAGTGAAGGCGGATGGTGCGAAGTTCTGCTTGGTTGGTTGTGGTGATGTGCCGGCTGTTGTTCGTTTATTAGCTTTCGTGACCTTTGAACAGAAAAAATAATAATACGTAGAAAATAGGACATTCGACATACCATAATGATCAACGACTTCGGGGTAGGTCAGTGGGACGTTCGAACCGGGGTCGGCTTGTTGGCTATGAGGATTGAAAGCCATGGGCACTGCCGGAGCATCCTTCTTCTCGGCCTTCTTCTTTCGTAGAAGCCACCAGATAAGAACTCCGACCAAAGCAAGTCCCAAAACTCCTCCCACCACTCCTCCCACAATAGCTCCTACTGGTGTGCCATCATCATCGGAATCAGGATTAGAACCCCCAGGATTTGAAGATGTTGACGGTAGGAATGGGTTATTGGGCGTCTGAGCAAGTGCTGCCGATGTCAAATTTTCCGTTGGACACCCGGTGTCACAGGGAGCGGACTTGCAACATCCCCAAAAATTGGCACCTGCGGGCGGGCTCACGCAGGTGTAGAATAAACCGCCAAATGGGCATGCTATCCAGAACCATCACAATCAGCTCCAAACCCGGAATGTTAATACTTGACGGATATCAACATGACATACCTTGATCGGACGTGCTACCTTGAGGAATAGTTCCCAACGTGGCACTCCTCAAATTCCCAGCAGCACAACCAACGCTAGTACAAGCATTGACAGTACAGCATCCGACGAAACCACTGGACGTTTTGGCATCACACGCGTACCATTGTCCTCCACTCGGGCAGGCCCCCTGAAGAGCAGACTGCTGACGACGAGATATGAAGGGATTCGACAACTCCTTCTGCATCAACATTGTGAAGAATGTATATGTCTATTTCTTTCCGTTTTCGAGGAAATTAAATTAAATAAAGAAGAGAGTCTAAAACCAACTTGTAAAGTAAAACTGTTGATCGATCGAGAAAGGCACGAGAATAAAAAGGTGGTCTTTTTTTTTCCCTTTTCTGTTGGTATCTTCAACAAATAAATGCAAGAAACCGTACTGCTTACGAGGATAAGAAGAGTAATAAGAGGGATGGTCAGCACAAGTCAGGGCCCTCAGATAATAAGTATCAGAAAGGATTTTTTTTCTCTACCGTGATATGTCAACAGCCCTATCACCCAGTATGTCAGCACTTGCTGGATCCGAGAAAGTACGGGCACCTGCGCTGGCGGGCTGAATTGCTGGATGTGGTTCTGCTGACGGTTAGAGCATTGCCAATATGCATGCCCAGCTTTCTTAGCGGTGTGCTACTCTTAGAAAATTAGCTATTTCCAACAACACACACTCGTAAAAAGAACAGAGTCGACAAGGAAACCTCGCCTTGCTCCGCCTGCCCACTTGCATTGATGCACCGATCTGTGCTTCAAAACTGAGAGACATCCTGCTGGATTTGGCATAATAGCCTTCCCAACCTACGGGACCTCCCCATACATTTGGAATCACCAGGTCTGGGGAACACATTAAGCAGAAACCTCACACAACGGAGCTGTGCCGTTTGTTTGTATAACATGCACACATGTACACAGGTGTGGGCCAGTGCCGGTCAATCAGCTGCGGCTCGAAGTTAAGTTCCCGCTTTGGATCTTGGCGTTCATTTCCAGCCTCCTATCTTTTAAGCCGCTTCTGAGGAATATTATTATTAATTCGATCGATGCTTTTCTTGTTGAGTGCAAGATAGTACATACGTTGCTCGCTGTGTACCGTTGGACAGAAAATCTCGACCTCGATGCGTGGGAAGGCTACCGCGTACACCGAGATCATGTAGGTCATTGTCAAGGATCCAAGAAGCATATTGACATTTGATATCGATCGGACTCGCATTCGCAATTTTTTAGCTTAAGCTTAGAGCTTCGGAATCAGCCCTACGTTATCGATGCCAGCCTTCAGCCCATTCCAGTCTATGTACACGGGTTGGGAAGAACTCTCAACTAGTTAATTAGTTAGTTAGACATTACAATCAGCCGTAGCCACGCTAATACTAATTCAAACTATTTGAATAAGTTAACAGAATGACTAACCCTCAATTTGAAGCTTAAGCTTGTACTTCTTGTTGAATTGAAGATCAGGCGGAAGACGTCTGTACGTGCCGAGTTAATGCATAGTGGTGGCGTTCTGAATTCCAGTAAGGGGGCTTGGTATCCAATTATCGTGCACAGGCCGTAGATCATATTCTGAAATAATATTCGCCTCTCTGCTCCTGTCTTCCTCTTTTTCCTCCTCCTTCCTCCCGCTGCTCCTATGTATACATATCTACGTCAGTCGGAAGGAATATCGCTATAGATCGATAGCGAAGTAGTTCTGGCCTACTGTGGGTAAGCAAAATACTTTGGGTATACCTGAAGGATAGCCAACAACACCAACACCAACAAAAAAATATATATGCAAGGTTGTCTATCCCCGCTATGGCCATCTGCATGCTCTATTTTCATGCAACAGACTTGTCGTTCTCCCGCTATCGATACGAATTCGGCCTTCTCCTCCGGCCTGACCAGATTCGTCTATTTTTTGCTCCAACTAATGTGTCGGTGAAGCGACTGAACGGCAGCCCCACCGGATGCCTGTTAGTGCGCTCCTTCGAGGCTTTGCAAGCTTCGGACGAGAGACAAAAAAACCACCCAACCTCTCACGTCCAAAAGTGCAAAAAAAATAAAATAACAAAGTAATAGCAGTCTCAAAACCGTGATACCCCAGGCCGTCTTTATGCGTCAGACAAGCTGTCATAGCATGGTTATATGGATAGTATATAAAACAGCGGAGCTATCGCCTAAAAAATCTCTTACATACTACCCTTATTCCAGAGACTACTATGTATGCGAGTCCGACAAATGCGAAAATGACAGAACCTTGAAGGTCGGTCAGATGAACAACACGGGACCAGGCTCAAAATGCAACACTTTTCTTTCTTCCGATTGCTATTCTTAGCCTCCTTAATAGGGCAGGGTTGCACCAAACGTTAAAAAGGGTTTTTCTGACCAAAAGCAAAAATAAAGATCTCCAATGGCTGGTCAGGAAATGGCGGCCTTCTCTGTGTGTTTTTTTTTTTTTTTTTTTTTTTTTTTCGATCAAATAAAACCTTGAATTCACCTGACATCGGTGACAAAAAGCTCCACCTTAATCGAAGGAAGATGGATAGATAGAAAAGGATAAGGGCGGTCCTCATACGTCAGATGTTCACGGGACTTTCCTTTATTTTTTTTTATTTTTATTTTTTATTTTTATTTTTTCTTGATAATAAAATTCTCCTATTCGTAGTTGAGTATCGAACATTTTTTTAGATCTCCATCCGCCCTGAAATGTCGACGTTCTTCTTAATCTTCTTCTTTCATTCCCGGCCTGAATGCTACGTTGCCATTTCCTTTTAAGCATCTCAATTTCGATTCTCTCCTAAATGGATGATGTTTATTTCCCATATCGGTTTATGAAACGAAAGGAGGTTGGCTCCAAGATGACAGGTGAGCCCTAAAAAGTCCTAACATTGATAATTACAATGTGGATCTCAAAAAGCTCTTGCCCAGCCCGTTAGTTAGTAAGTGCTCCGTACGATAACTTGACAATTGAGGTTCGGCAGGCGGGAAAACTGGGTAAAAAGGGGGGATGAAATCCCCTTTAATACGAGTGAGAATGTTCGGGGTTAAACTCAAAGGCCTCGGCCGTGATCTTCTGAGAGCACCGTATTTTGTAGAATCCGCTAGGCCTTCTATTATTTCAGCGAATGACTGGCGTCAACTAAACCACACGGGGTTTGGGGGGAAATAAATTTTCGTAAATTATCTCTTTTTTCTAAGGTGGCGACATTTTCTCCCGACGGGCCTCTGATATTGCCCTATTTCGAGGTGTGCGGTGCCGAAGAGAGCGACTGCGAGGCAAGCGGAAAATTCCTTCCAGATAAAATCATTTCTTGGTTGAGACTTTTTTTTTTTTTTTCAGCGAGTAAAAAAGAAAACGGGATTGGAATGCTCTAGAGGGTTTTTAGAAGCTTCTCTCAGATCATTTTATGTAAAAGTGTCATTTTAAGTGAGCACTCGACGCCATATAATATTTTTTTGGCGGTACACACATACCGTTACATACAATTAGAGAGGGAGAGAGAGATCTGCTGGAAAGGAGATCTGGTGTCCGCAGCATGGATCTCAGTGGGACTGTCAGCGTAGTGGTTAGCATGATGCATGCAATCCTTAATTGGTGGAACCAATTTCAAGGCCCTGGTTAACCTGTTGTGCGGGGTTCCAACAGCCAAAAAAGCGTCAGCATCCGTTCTGTCGGCTGTCAGCGAAAGGGACTCGGTGCGGAGATTCGCATGCCTATACCCCAATCCAATCCAATCCAATCCAATCCAACCGGCTTCGAACGAGCAGGCTGCTTAGCTTGGACTCAGCGTCAAGTTTAAGATTAATTGCCATCCCGAAAGGCCGCATCGATGTCACGGCCAATGGCTTCGGGGAGGCTGGATCATTTCGTTATTTAGTTCAGTGCTCACTTAATTACTCAGTCGGCTTCGAACATGCATTCCTATGACACCACGGAAAATGTGACCCAGCATCGAAAACCAGCTTTCGATTCGGATCAGAGAGTGAAGATTGCCGATGTAATGCCGACAACCAGGGGAATGCCATCAAACTCGAGCTCGAGCGGCTCCCCGACGCGAATGCCTTACTCCACATTTGTTCACCTTTTTTGGAAGCAGCAGCTCATTGACACACCGGATTGCGTTATTTCCTTTTTTCCCTTTCTTTCTTTCTTTTCCTTCTCCGCAAGGGTGGAAGCTTGGCCATGCATGGCGTAGTAACCGGCGACATTGAAAAAATTGTGATGGGCCAATGCAATGAATTGAAGGCAAGAACATCTGATGAAATGCGCGATCCATGATTAATCAGACGAAGCTTGTCTGTTCGAAAAAAACCTAACATGTTAACTAACAAAAGCGCAACCAAACAACCCTGCTTTTAACATGCAGGGCACTAAGAATTAGCGGGCTCCGGGTCCACGAAAAATACCTGTTCGACAGGCTGTCTAAAGGGCACCTGAGGAGCCAAAGTCTCAAAGTAGAAAAAACTTTTCAAGATGCCGCCATATCGAAGCATGGTATCCGGAGGCTATTTGAATTTCTGTCTGCTTTCGACGCAGAGCTCGATCAGTCATGCTGCCGGCGCACCCGTAGGCGCATTTCGAATGTACTCAGTACCTGTGTATGTATGTACACAATGCCGGATTGATATCGACAGACGGTTGGGACTGTTTCATGAACCCGGAAAAAGAATTCATTTCGTGATCAGTCGAGTCAATCGACCAAACAGTCAATCAATTCATACGCATATCGATCTCAAGAATTCAATTCGAGGCTGCCTTTGTTCATCACTATTACGCAAGGCCGCCGTTTGTAGTAGTGTCTATACATACCTGTACTCATGATCAGTTACATACTTGCATATATACATCAATACAGCCTTCTCCTTGATCGTGACCCCCTTATCCCTCACTCCCATGAAGTCGAATCCCGGCTCGCCAAAGAAACAGAAAGAACAAAAAAAAAACAAAAAGGTGGGTGAGTTAAGCATGTATTTTTGTATGTATGTACCGGTACATTGAAAGGGTCTCTCCCTGCCACGGTCTAATTTATCATATACTACATACATACACACATACATACACACATACACTCCGCTATCACATCCCTCCTTGCCTCCACTTTGAGGGGACAGATTGAGATTGAAAGTGAAAGCGAGAGAGAGGGGAATCGACTGTTAATGTTTGCCCTTTTCGTCGTCATAGATCACCAGCCCTCGCCGCACCGGGTCCAGTGGAGTCCACGAAGCTTGCCTGCTTGCATGGTTCATGAACCAAGAGTCCCCCAATCCCACCTCAGTCCTCCGTTCGATTAATTTTTAGCATCAAACCCCCCAATTTTTGCTATTACGGTCGTTCGTTCGTTCGAATTCGTTCGCGTCGTAGTTGCTAGAAGTTAGGCCTCCTTCCCGGAACAGCTCCTAGCTGCCCCGTCTCAATCATCTGGGTCCTGTTCCTTCCACTTCCAGCCACAAGAAACCACAGCTGTTTCCGCTCTATCCCACTCTTTTGGTTCCCTTGGAATATACTCTGAACATCTCCTTTACCATCCCGTCGACTTCTCTCTCTTGACCATCGTGTCTGATAACCCGGGGTTTTTAGATTTTTCTTTTAATTATAGCTATAGCCCCGGCTGCCGTCAAAGCCGACGTTGCACTGTGTTGTTTCGAGGTTCAATCTCTCCGCCTTCCAGAAAACTTCGCCAGAGGCAGTCAATTGTCAACCGTCCTTCCAAGCCCCCAGAAAAGGAGCCTTTCGTTTGTGGAGAATTGTAACCGGTGGGAAACATTATTAACAAAGCAGAAAGCGTCATCTTATAATTCTAATTCTAAATCTGCTTCTTTCCGGTGGAGCCTTCCCCATTCTACGTATCTACATCTTATATTGTCGCTGTTGTCGCCGGTGCTGTCGCATACGCAGATTTTCGTTCTTTCCTTCTTTCTTTCCTCCTTTCTCATTCGAGGACAAGCCGATATATGCACCATCGTCCCCCCCTGGCCGGTTATATCCCTTTGACTCCGAGCTCCCTTGCATAGACGCATTTTTGTGCCAACGTGGACCGTCTGTGGAGATTCTTGACGACAGCGGCATCAGAATTTCTACCAGCTGCACTTTTGAGCTTCGGAGCCTCGACCTCGCTCGCTTTTTATAGACGCTCTTCTTGCTTTCATATATAAAACCCGACCTATATCCCCTCTTTTATATTTTTATATTTTATTTTATTTTATTTTTATCTTTCGTTCATACATCAATCCCCTCGTCGTCTTCGATTCGACCAACCCTTACCTTCTTTGGTATCACCTTCGACGATCTTGCGAGAGATATCGACATCTACGACATCTACACCATCAGAGAACCGGAAGGAAAGACCATACTCAAGTACATTCGTTTAGTAGTTAATTGGGACATCAGCAGGCGGTATTCTATTCGTCCCTTGCATCGCCCGGATCTAGGAATCACAGCGGGGAAGAAATGACTGCTGTGTCACCGTACTCTCTAGGAGATGAGAGTAAAGACATCAAGAGAGCTTCGTCCCCAATCCTAAGCCCTCGATTACCGAGGGACTCCTACCTCGACGATAACATGGCCGGAAAGCCTAATGAAACCGCTACATACCACCAACAACCAACTCGGCTAAACGTCGTCGACTACTCTGGAGAGCGGCAGAATCTTGAAAAGGATTCCCCTATCCGAGAAACCGGATACCGCACCCACTACACAGCTCAAGTTCCACAAGAGATACATCAACCTCAGTCCGGTATCATTGACGATGCTCGCATATCCTCAGAATCCGGTGTTCCGAGTCTAGACCTTACTCTGGGCGCATCGATACGACCACGTTCTAGTGGGAATAACACAAACGAAGGGGCATCCACCGGAGCTGCAGAGGCGGAACCAGCTATTGTCCCCTTAAAGTACGCCCATTTCGAGTCGTACAATGAAGAACAACTACGTAATACACAGGAGTCACCCGTCTCAACAGACTCTGATCCACCAATAAACCCAAATCACCTAGCACCTAACGATCGAGCCCCTAACAGGAGGAAAGTGTCAAGCAACTCAGCAGTTTATTCATTTTATGGTGAATTCCGCGGTCGTACAGGGGTCCCGGGGAACCCATCACCAAGAGTCCACTCCGCAGCATACTCGAATGATAGTAGAAGGTCGAGCGAAGGAGAAGCACCTGGTGTATATACTTTCGATAATTCCCATCTCAAGGGGGTCGTTGGAAAAGATGCCTCGTTACTTTCCCACGAAAAAACCATTGAGCTGTACAGACAAAACGCCATGAAAACCAACGATCCGTCGATCCAATATGAGTTTGCGGTTTTCCTAATATCCGCCGCACAATCTCTGGAAAACATGGCCAATCACCCTCCTAGTAGTGCAGGCAGGGATCGATCCCCAGCTCCCAAGGGCAGGTCGCCCCACAGCTCGGATGTCGAGCTAGCGCCTGACAGGAAGAGAGCAAGGCTACTAAAAGAAGCACGGCAGATCCTCCAGAAACTCGCAGATCGATCGTTCCCATACGCGCAATACTTTTTGGCTGATGCGCTATGCAGCGGCTTGTTCACCAACGGGAAACCGGATTTAGACAAGGCTTTCCCTATGTTCGTTGCCGCAGCGAAGCACGGTCACGCCGAATCCGGATACAGAGCCGCTCTACATTACGAATATGGATGGGGCACTAAGAAGGAACCGCTGAAGGCCGTTCAGTTCTACAGAGCATCGGCAGCAAGGAACCACCCGGGTGCAATGACCAGGCTGTCAATGGCATGTTTGAGAGGTGATCTAGGAATAACTGATGGCTACAAAGAAGGACTCAAATGGCTGAAGCGAGCCACCGAGGCAGCTGATTACCAGTACCCAAATGCACCATTTGAGTTGGGAAGGTTGCACGAAGTTGGTGATGAAAAAGATATCTTCAAGGATCCCGGTTACTCTGCCCAACTGTATGCCCAAGCTGCCGAGCTTGGTCATGCAGAAGCTAGTTACAGGTTGGGAGAGGCTTATGAGAAGGGAACTTTGGAATGTCCTCAAGATGCCGCTTTGAGCATTCATTACTATACAGGAGCGGCGGAACTGGGGTTTGCGCCGGCTCAATTGGCCCTCTGCGCTTGGTATACTGTTGGCGCCCCTCCAATTCTTGAACCAGATGAATCTGAAGCTTACGCCTGGGCCATGAAAGCCGCTGATCGAGGTAAATATCCCGGAGTGGCTATTTTCTCCTTTTTTTTTTTTTTTTTCAAATAGCACTAACATTCCATTCTCTAGGCCTGGCCAAAGCAGCTTATACGGTGGGCTATTTCACTGAGATGGGAATTGGTTGTATGCGGGACGAGGTTGGCGCGAATATGTGGTACGTGCGTGCCGCAGAGCAGGGAGACGAAAGAGCGAAACTACGACTCCGCACGATCGAGGCGGCGATGCACAACAGCGTCGACAAACTTAGCAAGGGAAAAAAGCAAAAGGCGGGAACTACGAACACTGATGAGAAAGACTGCGTTATTATGTGATCGCTTTGCTACGAAGTATCTTGATATTTCTGCTTGAGGGAAGGTATTTACTATTTTGCAACTACAACTACCACTCATCCCCTGCCGTCTTTTTTTTTTGTCCCCAAAACCTTTCACAACTGCATTCTGGTTTATTCTGGGCATACAATCGAACCTTTTTTTATATCTTATTTTATCTCATCATCCCCTTGCCTTGCATTCCTTTGTTCATACCGTCCCATTTGTTTTTGTTTTTGTTTTTTGTTTTCCGACCGCAGGAGCATTCCTTTGTGTGTTTTCGAAACAATTTTGCCTCTTTGCTAATAACTTCATAACGACCAACACTACCATATCATCATCACTTTTATCAATTAGAGCGACCGTTCGAACCCAACCGAGGGGGTTTCTTTTCTTTCCTTCCATTTCCCTTTTTTTACCTCTATTTCCGTTCTTGTTATAAAATTATTTCCTTTCTATTCCCATCGGCTTGCGAGATTCCGTTTATTTTTATTTTTATATATATAATTCGGGCGACGGCTTTTCCCTCACTTTGCTTCGTATCATCAGGCATAAATTTCTTTTCACAGTTTTTCATTTCTTTCCTTTATCGTCAGATGTCCAGACCAATTAGAAGTTCTTTTCTTTTTCTCCCCTTCTTTTCCTTCTTCTCCTCCCGAGTTTAATCGATCAAAAAAAATCGTGTATATAAGTACAACCCCTCTCAGCTTAACTTCACGGTTTAACAGGTGGTGCTGGAGAGGGGGGCATGATAATTACTTAATTCAAAACAAAAGACCAGCTGTTAATTCGGACAGAGATTTAACTACACTATTATCTTATTGTCTCGTAAATTAATATTATATAAATAATTATAAACCCGTCTTCGGCATATCGAGGGTGATACACTGATGATTACTTGTAAATATGGATATACATGTATATACACACCAGTCAAAGGGGATTGTTATATATAGCGTCGCACTAGCCGAATGGTAGTAGACATAGGTGGTATTTTGGATTTGTAGCATCAGAACCGACATTCGGCTAGACAATGCCATAAAAAGGGACCATGCACAATTAAGACAAAGGCAAGGCAAGGCAAGGCAAGGCAAGTAGGTTAGCGTAATCGGCCGCGCAGCATGTACGTCATTTTTATGGGATGCATGTATGTAGAGACCGTGAGGGACGATTGCGACAAATAGGAGGGAGGTAAAGTCCGATCGGGGGCGAGAATTCGAAGCTTTTGGAAGATGGGAGAACTGGCGGAGTCGGATATAAATTATGAAAAGAACGGGGATATACGAACCTTCGGACTCCGAACGAAATAAGTACTATAGCTACGCGGCATGGGAAAGTTTTGGAAGCAAGGGAAATTGCCCAGTATGCATGCACACGACAAGATAGCACTTTTGACTTAGTGACTCTTCCTCCTCCTCCTCCTCGTGTGCTAGCGGCCGGATGGGAGAACTCAATTTTCGAGAGGAGAGAAAGAGAGAAGGGAAAAAAAACCCTCATGGATGCAGTACCGGTACGACAGATACTACACAAGTAGATACGTTCGGTGCACTGTCGCACTTGACAGAAGAACAGTTGCAGGTTGTATTATATTATATTCCAGACCGGACGTATTGACTCTGTACAACATGCAACATAACATAACATAAGTAGTAAGTACTCACACATTTTCTTGATCAATATTGCCTGAATGCCAAATGCAGCAGCATGGGATTGCAGATATGATATGATATTAGTATGAATGCGGGGAGATAGGTATATATTCAAGTTGTTATATTATGCTCTGCATTGCATCGGGAATATTCTGAATTCAGCCCCAAGTTCAGTTCAGTTCGGTTCAGATACGACGGGACGGCCCTTCAACTGTATAAAAAGGTTGAAAAGGAGTAGGAAACGAAAATATCACAATAAAAATTATAATAAAGCAAGTAATTAGTCATTCGGAAGAAAATCTCGGGAGGAAGAGAAGAAAAGAAAGAAAAAAAGTTTTCCGGAAGCCGCCGATGCGATTGGATTGATTAGATTATAATTATATAAGATCGATCCCCTTTCCGTTGTTCCAATTCTAAGCGAGGTTCTTCGAACAAAAGTTACCACATCTCCAACAACATCCAATTATTAATATCGACACCTTCCTCTTCCTCTTCCACATCCTCTTCCTCTTCTACATCCTCTTCTACTTCCACCTCCACTTCGAGTTCACCGCCATCTTCATATGTCTCCATCTCATCGTTTCATTCTTCCATCGACCTGATATAGTACCTGTCTACCTACACCTCTCCCTTTTTATTATTATTATTATTTTTTTTTTTTTGTTATTGCCCGCCCCTGTCGTCATTCATCCCTCGTAGTACCCGCCTCCATCGTAGAGGAACAACAAGAATCTCTCCCCTCCTAGGGGATCCCTACACATCTCTACACCTTCTACTTCTCTCGTCGCCGGTCGCCTGGACTGAACCGACATCATCATGGGCTTCTCACGTTCCGCAAGAATCATTACCCTTCTCGTCATCGACACCGTATTCTTCTTCCTCGAAATCATCGTCGGATATAGCGTCCACTCTCTCGCTCTCGTCGCAGATTCTTTCCATATGCTGAACGATGTCTTTTCCCTAATCGTGGCCTTGTACGCTATCCGACTCGCCAAGAGCAAGACCAATAACAGCAAATATACTTATGGTGTAGGTCATTTTTCTCTCCTTTGCCCAGTTGGCTGGCTGGCGGCAGAGTTACAACTAACGCAACGGCAAACATTTTAGTGGCAAAGAGCTGAAGTTTTGGGCGCTCTCGTCAATGGCGTCTTTCTCTTGGCTTTGTGCCTTTCTATTGTTCTAGAGGCGATCCAGCGATTCTTTGACCCCCCTGTAATCAACCAACCGGTCCTCATCCTTGCCGTTGGTTCGGCCGGTCTAGCATCCAACATCGTCGGTCTATTCCTCTTCCACGACCACGGCCACGGAGGACACTCCCATGCGGAAGAAGGACATGAAGGTCACCGACACTCTCACGGCTTGGAAGGTCACATTCACACCGATGACGAAATCGATGCTACGGACGAAACTGGCGACATCGAAAGCGTCCTTCCCGAAACCGTCGTCGGTGTATACCCTCGAAGACACTCTCGATCCCACTCCCACAGCTATCGCCACAATCATTCGCACTCTTTTGGAAGTTCGTCTAAGCACCGCCACTTCTCAACCGTCGAAGACATTCACGTCCATCCTGCCTTGAACAGACAAGCCATCACCGATGCTGCTGCTAGGGTTGGCCTTGGATCTTCGTCATCCAGTGAGAATGAATACCCAGATATTGAAGAGGCTGCCCTAGTTGATGAGGAATCCACCGAGAGGTCCCCACTCATCGCAAATGGTACAAAGCACAAATCCAGCCATCTCCACGACCGACCCCACACCCACCCACACAAGCACGACCATACGGAATATCTCGCAAACCCGCCAAAGAACCCACAGTGGCACACGGAACACGAACATGCCAAGCCCAAGCAATCAAAGAAGGGGGGTCATTCTCACCAGAACTTGAACATGAGGGGTGTCTTCTTGCATGTTCTCGGAGACGCCCTTGGAAACGTTGGGGTTATCGCATCGGCTCTATTCATCTGGCAGACTGATTTCTGGTGGAGATTTTACTTCGACCCTGCTATCTCCCTCGTCATCACCATCATCATCTTTTCGTCCGCTCTTCCGCTCTGCAAGTCCGCCGCTAGCATCCTCCTCCAGGCTGTGCCTAACGGTATCTCCCTCGACGATGTCAAGAAGGATATTGAAAATGTTCCGGGCGTTCTTAGCGTCCACGAACTTCATATCTGGCAACTTTCCGATATCAAGATGGTAGCCTCTCTCCACGTCAGAATTGCATTCAACCCACACTGCACTACAGAGTCGCATAAGAACACCGATGACAACCCAACAGCTAGGTACATCGCCCTAGCGGAGGCTATCCGCGAGTGCCTGCATGCCTACGGAATCCATTCATCTACCATTCAACCAGAGTACTCGCCTTCTGGATCCGGAAGTTCAACCCCTCATCTCGCCCCAGCACCAGCCGGTAGCAGCAGCTCATATGGCGCTGTCAATGGGAAGTCCAAGGCATCCGATGATGGCGATGCTGGTTGTTTGATGGAGTGTTCGACCGAATGTGAAGTTGGACAGTGCTGCGGACCTATCGATCCTAACGCTGAAGCTCGAGCAGGAGCCCATGGACATGCCCATTAAAACTCAGGCTACGATTAGTATTTACCACGGCCACTAATTCACCTGGAACTAAAAGTTAAAAATAAAAAGCAAGATTAAAAGGCTGCTGATTGTTTGTTTCTCCCCCTACATCGGCATTCTTATTGGGACCATTAACTGATCAAGGCGTTGGAATATGACTCGTTTATTATTGTTGAAGGCACCGGTTTTTTTTTTGGGGGGGAGATAGCTACATCTGTGATGGATGCGTGGGATTATGGTTGTTAACTTTTTCATTTCGCTTCAACAGAATCTATTTGGAACCGGGAAAAGATTTTTGTTTGAAAAAAAAAAAAAAAAGCATCATCATTAGGAAAAACTAGAGAGGAGGTCACAAAAGCATGATGGTATTTCTTATGTAGCAAGGAAGAGGTAGTGACGGTACGATAGATGGTCAACAGAATGTTTTGTTTTCTACAGCAACAAAATGGTCGGAGGAGCAGAATGTTTGTGATTTTTTCTTTCTTTCGTTCTTCTTGCTTTTATATAAGTAGGTATATACTTCACCAGATGCCTTCTTTCTTTCTTTCTTTCTTTTTTAATCAACCAAGCTCTGCGGTTCACTTTGAAGGTGATTCGCAGGGTAAACAATTCTTGTATATTCTTCTTTTTGTTTCTGCATCCCCTTCGTCTTCTTTCCATTCTCTCTCACTTATTCTTAGGATACTATTCTTTCATGATTGATGCGGCTCATTCACGGCCGCTCCTGTACATATTTACCTTTCCTTTTTATTATTATTATTATTATTACTATCACTTTGGATGAATTGGAATCGAGAATTCTAAACCCCCCGTGAGAATTGAATTACATATCCCTTCCTATAAACCCGAATGCCCAACGTTAACGTTAGCCCAAGGCGAAGTTGCCTCGAAGCAAGATCTAAATATAAAAGGCTCCCACCCGACCAAGAATTCATAAAAAAAAAAACCTAGTCTAGCTAGTCCCACTTGTTTACAGGATCTGCTAGATATTCATCATAGGCCGTTCTATTAAAGAACGAAATCTCCGTTTCGTGTTCTATGTAAATAATGATAATAATAATAATAATAATAGTTAGAACGTTGATACCGAATTAATAGAGTAGAAGCCGGTGGCAGGGTTCGTGACAGTGAATTTTTCAGGAATAATCAACATACCACAACCGACTTCGGCCAATGTCATGGAATCGTCATCAAACATCCAGTCGGGACGATCGAGATTGATGATGAGGTTTTGGGTTTTGGTTCCGTGAGCTTTGGTGTATAGCTTCATCGAATCTAGTTTGTGGAAGGGAAATTAGAAGATAGTTAATATATATATATGGCAACAAGAGCAGCCTTTGAGATATCGTAGAGGTGGGGGGTTAGTAAGAATGGAAGGGAAATTAATCATTACCAAGTTCAACATTCTGGTATGGCTTCCAACCAGGCAAAGTTTTGACATCTATATCAAAGAGACCAAGTTAAAAAAAAAAATTAAAAAAAAGGTCAGCCTTTTACATTTACACTTCTCACTCGTAAAACTCATTTTCACAGGAAGGCCGGGGAGGAAAGTACGAAGTATGATAAGAAGGAATATCCGTACTAACCATTGACAGCCCTCGCTTTAAACTCCCCAATCGTGATAGTCGTGAGATCTAACCCCCGGACAACGAGATTCTTGCATGTCCTGTATGGGAAAGACTTGATCACTCTCACGGTGATGGTGGCGGTTTTCACTAAAGTTCGATATTTGGTTAGCGGGACGACGCCAATCGTTGAACAATACGCTACTAATTATTCCCACCCGAGTTTTCTTAAAATAACTTACGAGAATCGTTGTGGTCTGAAGGTGTGGAAGACATCGTGGGCGTCTCTTATTTCGTATAGTGCAGCCCTTTTTTGGAATTTATTAATATTCTTAGGATAAGAGCATATGAGTGATATCGATGACTGTGTCTACCATCATGCAATGTTCTGAATTTTAGGTAGGCATTAACCTTTGTTGCATTTTACGTGGACAACACATTATTGTCAGTCTACCCTGTTGACCCAGTCTCAATCTCAATATCGGGTAAACCCAAATTACTACCAAGGGAAAATATAAGGCGAATCTTCTGGCTATTGAAAATGCAGGGTAGTAGTGTATGGCAAGACGGGCGCTGCCAGCAAAGATAATATACAGTGTGAACACCAAAGTCGATGCACAAGGTGCTTTCAATAACATATAGTTATACAGAACACGAAACCATTTAAACGAAACCAAAAAGAAGAAGAAGAAGAAGAAGAAGAAGAAGTCTGGAGTGTTCCAGGTTGCAGAAATGTAAAGCATGTGCTAACCTGCATGAAAAAACAAAAAAAGCAAACGCCGATCTCCAATGCGATGACAAAGCTAGACGCTGTAGCTTCCAGAAAACGCCGTCTTCAAAATAAAAGTCGTTGCAAAACGTCATAGCATAATTACAACGAACAGGGGTAATAACGACCCCCTATCCTCTTCTCCTAGTTTGTGAGAATCAGACATTATAAGTGTGGGGATTCGTGGGAAAATTCGTTGCATCATATCCAGAAAGCATATTTGGGTTAAGCAGGGTCCGAGTATCCACCAAGAGCGATCACGATTTCTCCAACTGCCAGCTTTTGACCCTTCCTAAGGAATTCACCCGTTTTGGAATCGCAGCTTAACCATCCCTCCAAGATGGACTGGAAGATTTGCATTTTCTTATGGATATCATTTCTCGATAGAAGAACCGCGACACCCGTCTGTCGCTTAGTATGCGCGAGGGTGTAGAGTTCTTCTAGCGAGACGGTGTAGACAATTCTCGATTGATCAAAGAACCGAATGGTTCGCCCATCATGGTGCAAGATAATCTTGAAGTGATCAGGGAAGTTAATCTGCAAGAGAAAAATTAGCTCAAAATCATAAATGTGACAATGACTAGGGTATTTACCTGGAAACCTCCTTCATCAAGGCGGAAGACGGCATAAATTATTTCTTTGCCATCGGGGCCAACGCCACCATTGACACGAACAAAATGGCTAATGTAAGACTTCTGTGAATGATCGACGGAGCGAGCACCAAAGGTCTCAGTTTCCCCATCGGGGGTTGCATTACCCAGTTTATTGAGCATGAAGTCACCCAACTTCTTACAGATGCCTGCTTTGTCAGCCAATCCAGATGACCTAAATCTGGCGGCGTCTTTGAGCAACATTGTAGTTCGGGTGGCTTTCTTCGGGACAACATATTCCATCAGGGCTGACTCCATATCAAAATCAGGTTTCGGGAAGTCCAGCAAGATGTTTGTTCCATCCTTGAAGATCGTGGCAGTAGTATTGTCGTTCAAAATATAACCGACTCCGTACTTATTAGAGTAGTCGACCCATTTGGTAATCCACGCGCCATTTTCAACATTCATCGGTGTGATCCTCGCTCTATTCGTTTGATCAATCGCAATTCTTGTTTCTTTCGGCTGCGGCGGCAGGGTGTCGACTGTTCTTTTATTGAAAGCCGACAGCGATTTTAGGGTTTGCTTAATGTTTTCAATCACGACCTCCCGGGAGGCATTAGGAATTAGATTACTGCGGTAATTGGGAGTGGTGCTCTCGGAGGAGGGCTTTCGTTGAGCCGGTTGCGAAGCAGTTGACTCGACATCGATGGGATTTGATCGGGAGCTCCCAGCAGCATACACTGTTGGTAGTTTCGGGGCCCTAATCTTGGAGTCGAGGATGACCCCTCTCTGGCCGATTTTGGATGGCAGCTTATACCCATTCGCATTAGCGGAGGCAGGGGCATTTTCGTTCTTATCCGAGCTTATCTTCAAATCACGGAATCCTTCAAGAGGCGCAAGAGCCAAGCTATCCTTACTAGCTCGCTGCTGCTGCATCTCCCTCAATGGATTTAACCTCGATGGAATCTTGGGCATCCCGCCTATGTTTCTGGTCTTTGTGATCTTTGGGGAAAGTTCTTCTGGGATCATACGCTGATTCGGCTTTGTTCGTTGACTGGCTGGAGAAAGCAGGACAACAGGGGCAACAATCATCTTTTGGCCAATAGGGGCCTGGACGACGACATTACTCATGGGTTCGTCGTTGTCTTCGTTGATGGGTAGAATTTCAACACCCTTTCCTCGTGAAGCACCGACACCCTCGATTCCAAGACCAACACCAGAGACGCGAGCCACTTCGAGAAAGTTTCTGTACCATGCTCCTTTACTGCTCGAAGCCTGATCGTCCCAAGCTGGAACCACTCTAAGTGTTGCGATAGGGAGTTGTCTGGGGAAATATCCTGTTTTGAAGAAAGAATGATCGGCAATATCATCGATGGTTGGCCTGTTTCGAGGATCTGGGCTCAAGAGGGACTTTATAAGGTCTTTCGCCTCATGTGAGATCTGTTGTGGTGGATTGTTCGGGTATGAGAAAGTCGCGACCTTAATCTTCTGGTATATTTCCTTCACGTCGCTTGACTGGAAGGGTGGCTTGCCGATCAGCATAGCGTACAATATGATACCTAGTGACCAGAGATCGACTTCGAACGAATGACCTTCTTCCTTGCCAAACAAAACCTCGGGCGCAATGTAGTTGGGTGTACCACATATAGTATTTTTTCTCTCCGTCCCATCGATTAACAAAGCGGCCAAGCCAAAGTCTCCAATCTTGACGTTTAAATTTTCGTCCAAAAATATGTTCCCAAGCTTGAGGTCCCTGTGAATGACATTCCTAGAATGCATATACTTCACAGCACCGAGCATCTGAATCAAGAAAAAGCGCGCCTCGGGCTCACTGAAAAACTTTCTCCTTCGCAGGAGGTCCATCAGCGACTTGTTATTACAAAGTTCCAGAATCATATACACATTTTGTGAGTCCTCGAAGCATTCTTTGAACCGAACAATGTTGGGGTGCTCCATTGTTTTATGCACTTGCAACTCTCCAAGGAACTATTCCAAAGTCTTAGTGGGCGTGTATGGACAAGTGGGTTATCATTGGAATCACTTACTTTGGATTTCATCCTCTGCGAGCTCAGGGATTTTTTTGAGACAACTTTAGCGGCGAAAACCTCATTGTCGGGATTGTATACTTCAAAACAACGGGCAAATCCTCCCTCTCCTAGTGATTTCTCACGACGGTAATCCATCCCTCGCCTGGAATCAGTGATAATTGGTGGCGGTGTGTCCGGGAGGTTCTTCTTTCTCTCCTTCGGTTGTTCCTTCTTTTTTTCGGGTGTTTTTGGAGCCATGACCTGTTGTTTCTCTTCACCAGAGGGACGGGCATTTTGAACGCTAGCTGGAACGGGTGCCAAAGCTTGACTGCGCCTAACAGCCGAGAGGGCACCCTTCTGCTTGGAAGGTAATTGTGTCATGGCTTCGGACGTGATTGTAGTGGTGGGAAGCTGCTTGGTTGGGAGGGTCTGATGTGCTTTCTAAACAAACGAGCGCCCAGGAGAAAGAGATCGTTGGCGGTTTGGAATCGTTGGCGGCAATCGAACGGCGGAATAAATTTGACCGAATTGTCACTATCCGCAGCAGCCCCAATGTAATCTTGAACAGCGGCTGCAGGAATTATTATCGATGATGGTTATAGCCGAAAATCATCGAATATTGCAACCGTTTAGTGGCAAGGAAAATCTTTGAAATTCAACGAGGTCAATAGGGCGATTATGAGAAATTCGACAACTATTTTGATGAGAGGCGTCGCGGTTGGTTGGTGTGTGAAGATTGGCGAATGCCGTCACTTGTCCCCGGGTATTGAATAGTGATGATGAGGATGGAGGCGATGGTGATGAAAAGGTACATACAACCAAGGTGAGGTTGTAATGGTTGATGGAGATGGTGTAGGTAAGTACCACACCAAGCGGAATTAATTAATGTTGGATGAGTGCGAGTTTGTACTTTGGACTTAACGAAGAACGCATGTTTTGAATTGTGGCCGTTAGGTCGCTCGCTCGGTTGCCTTAAGGAACTGCATGACAACGGTTGTCAGGGCCCAAAGAAGGAACGCAGGGGATGTGTTGTAGTAATTTTATTATATTTCCTATTTTGGTAGTTTTGTTATATTTCTTGATATGGCAGTTATGAACGTCAGCTTTGTGGACCTCAATGAATTGCGTGTCCGCTCTGTGAAAGCATTTCTCCCACGACCTCGAACACATCTTCCAGTCGATCTTCTGCATCAAAAAAAATCAGGAGCCGATACGGTTACTTCTTTAACCATCTCAGAAGCCATGCAGGCTTAGAGACTGGTGCTTTTATCGCAAATCTAAGGCCAAATAGCTCAGATACACCCGAGTCGGACATACGCCTGCTCCGACGTAGCCAGTCGAACCACCAAGCTTAGAGGCCGTCATCCTTTGAAATATCTCAATCCATAACAAAAACTCGGGTGGTACAATGTCTACAATCGCTATCAAGCTTACGAGCTTGGCCGTGCGGACTCTCGCAAAACCTATTGCTGTAAGTTCCCATATTCGTTTTGCTATACGGGGTATTGCCCACCCTATACGCCTTCAACCAGTCTAACAGGGTTATTTCCAAGATCTAGAACAGTATAAAACAACAAGCAAGAGAACATCCGAGATTTCGCTCTATCTGCATTGCTATTGCCCAGGCTGTCCACAGGACGGATATCAGGATTCGTTTAAACCTCTTGCGTGACAGTAGCGCTATCGAAAGGGCCGAGGAAGATGAAGAACGACGGAAATCATCGGACAAGGGAAAAGATGAGAAAGGAACCATCGCAAAGCTGGCATCCGATGCTTTCAAAGACGGGAAACAAGATTCATTGAAATCAAGCAGCACACATCGTGATCACTCCATACCACCTTCGCATTCATCCGAACTCGACGCCGTCCACGCAAATCACCCAGTGAAGAAGAAGAAATCAACAACTCCTCATATACGACCCCTATCGGATAGCAAGGCGATAGAACGAGGCGCAGCTTTTATCTCCGAGTTTTTTCTATTTTCCGTCGCGGGCGGCCTTATACTATTCGAAGCCCTTCGAAGCAGGAAGAAGGAAATGAACCGGAGGGATGAAGTGACTGAAAGATTACAGAACTTAGAAGAGCTGGATGAAGTTTGGCGAAAAAAGGTTGAAAATTTAGAGAGAAGGTTGGACGAAGCTGGTATCAAGCGTATAGCAGAGCCAGTTTCTGTGGTACAAGAACCAAAGGCGACACCGCCGCCTGCAGGATGGTTTACAAAGGCTACAGAGTACTTCTCAAAACTACCCTATATCAACGACGGGGCACAATCTCCGCAGATATCCATCAAAACCGACGTGGTTCCAACGAAAGTTTAGGGTCGTCGTGATAATCCCAACTTCCAGCGTCTTCTCGTGGGAAGATAAGCCTAGCTTATCCAACCCTACGAATCCCCGCTCTATTATACCCGGTCCCTTACGGATTTTGTGTATTAGTAAGTTTTCATCATATCACTTACCACTGTATATAACCCTTAGGGCTGCATAATATGCTCTCCGTATCATACCCGGCTCGCATCTTGTACATATGACAGATTTACGACCATAGCATATGATGATTGGAGTATCAACCTTGCAGTTATTGACAATATTTCCCCAAAAGGCAGCTCCTCCCCCAAAAAAGTACCTTACGCCGGCCCGAGCCATGCAAACATGTTCCTCCTGACAGCTGTATGCAATGCAGATAATGCCATGTTTCCCGAATCCCACTTGCATCTACCCCACTGTCTCAGATTTCAAATGGAACCGAGATCGAGCAGGAGTTGTTAGGTGGATAGCCGGTTGTAGGATTCCCAATTGCTGCACGCCAACCGGCTATGCTAGTCAGAAAAGTGCGGGGTACCGCTTCGCGCGCGCACGTGCAAGACTGGTGGAAGGGAATGGCCGCATATTTGGGAAGGGTCCCCTCAGGCTTAGCACTCATCACGGGTACACATGCCGGATCAGCACGACGTTCTCGGGCAAAAGAGCTTACTCGAAAGGACGCCCGAGGGTAAAGAGTCGGGAGGGTGGGCGAGATACATGTCCCATCTCCTTTCTCCTGCGCCACATGGCTACATGGACGATGGCAGGTAAGTACCTGATGGGAAAAAAAATAATTAGGGGAGAATCTTGCAGAATACTTAATCTCAACGTCAGATCAAGCACCAAATCATCGTGTTGCAATGGAGCCTTCCCCAGTTTTGTCCCACCGTTCCCCCACAGGCAAAAAGGAGTAGAAAATTTTTTTAGCTTTAGCTCGCGTGAGCTATAACCCATCCAGGCAGATATATAACGTAAAATAGTTTGTGGAGTACGTAAAAAATGGTCGGGAAATCGAGTAATGGGACTATGTGTACTAAAGCTTAGCTCCCGATTACGCCCCTTACTATTGGCGGTGGGATTACTCCGTAAAAATTAAACAACCAGGCAGTTTTTGGGGGCAAAAACAAAACCGATTATCAAAGTGACACCGAAACCTTTCACCCTTTTCTTGTGCGACATGGGCCTCTTGAAGCAGGAATCAGAATGTTTCCACATATTTCGATAATGAGGTATGAGGAAAGAGGTAGATGCACCAGTGAGTTTCTGAGATGAGCTCCTCTCAAAATTTTCTCAACTTATCTTCAAGTCGATGCTCAAGCTTCACAAGCGCTAAATTAACTATCAGGATTTTCCAGAAATAAGGAAGGAGGCTCCTCCGCATCAACATCCAAGCTCGGCCATTGCCTGGAGATCCTAACACAGGGGTGTGGGGCACATCCCGGGAACATAGCAGGACGAGTACCGGGATCACTCCCCGGAGTCTTGCCTCTATACCTGATCCCGCAAACGCCGACACCTCCAAGCTATGCATGTTCGTGTGCTGCATCTATGCATCTCTGCAGCTGCTGCAAGAGCCGAATTCGAACTCGGAGCTCTTAAAAACTCTGCATATACATTTGATGTACATACATACGACATTGATTCCGTAAAGGAAAAAAATTTCAATTTTTATGCAAATTCTGGATTATGATCACACATAACTGACGATGTCCCTGCATGTTCTCGCCAACCGAAGAAATTCATAGGGGGAGAAACGGGAAACAGAGATTTCAGGTCTTGCGTGGCCGAACGGCGGAGTGAGAGTCAGGCCACAGACAGAAATCTTACGTGGGAGTAGACCTCCGATATTACAATGGAGATGGGCCGTTTACAGGGGTAAAGGGGGTTGTAATACGATAACCCTGATCACAAGATGGTGAAGAGTAAAGTTCACATCCGCAATGAACTGTCATTGCATTGGTTTTGTTGCTAACACGATATCAATTAGAACGCCTTCGAATTCAATTGCAAGATGTATTACAGGGCGAACATTCTATGCATGTTGGCCGATATGGGTCAGAGTGGGCCGTGGGCACCAGCATAAATCAGTATTCTGACTTACATACATGTAACCTCGAGTCATCCCAGTAATTATATGTAAGTACTTAGTATGTATGTAAGAAGGGAACCAATATCTGAGGTCTGAATGGAAAACTCGAGCCCGGACCGCTGGGACCATCCTTCCTGCAAGACATATAACATTCCTAACGTTAATGCATTTATACCTAAGTAACTTAAGCACTTGCTTGCTTATAATTACTTACATGTCCACCCGTACGTATACAGGGAATACCCAAACATTAAACACCCCAGGTCGACCCTCGTGGTCCTAGCCTAGGTCACAGAGAGCACAAGAAACACCTCATGGCAATCGCCGATATGATTTCAACTGTTAGTGTACAAGGTTGGTTCGTCAAATAGATTGCTCAGGTATGCGCCTCATCGAGAAAGAACTCAAGTTGTCCCGTGTTTGAAATATTCGGAACCGATTCCGACGGACAAGAACATACACGTAACTTCACATTTGATTTTACAAATCAAATGTCTATAGGCCACAGGTTATAAAATGCCCGGCTCACTAGCTGACTCAGCTAGCCTGTCGTCGTAAAACAAGAAGCAGAGCTGGGATGCGGTAGACGGATACCCCAGATCCAGAAATGGTTGCCTTCCCCACAGATCCAAAATGCCCTACAAGAATGAGACCCCAGACGGTCCAGTCCTGCACCTACAATATTTAAACTAGTCCAGGAAATTCGGCAATTTCACACTTCCCCGACGCATGGCGGCCAAGTCATTTGATAAATGAAATAAAACTTTTTTGTATCCACCCGCCGTCCGACGGGGTCACAACTGCCCATGGCCCAATTTTCAAATGCTGTTTCCAGCTTTTGCAGATTTTCATTTCGGTGATCCTGGTATGTAAATTTACCAGATCAAACCCTAAGAAAAACGTAATCAATGCTCAGAAGGAATTAGATCTAGAACCTTTCGTCTAGTGTCCGAAACTCTGTCAATAGAGTATCATCATATTTTAGGAGCTATTTTAGGAGTTTTAACCGACAAGACGAGACGAATTCACAGGAGGAGAAAAAAAAGCAACTGAGGGCAAATGTAAGCGAAATATCCCGCACAGGGGTTGGGTCACGTGGCAGGCCAGCCAGATGTGTGTACACGTACATACTTCATATGTGCATATCCTTCGATTATTCATGAAATTCAATGTCATAATCTGGGATCTAGACAGCGGTTCACAATCGCAAAACTATTTTGAATGCCGTGCTATCTTTGAAAGGAGGTAGGTGCACTTTCGTCCCGTGGTAAGCGAATGACGGCGTTATCGATAAGACGAGGCTTGATTGGCTCCATGCTCCAGCGAACTTTCAAGATCAAAAGATCTAGCTCGAGCTTGATCGAAAGAGAAAAAAAAAAGTCCGAACACTGCCACTGTTGTGTCAGCTTCCAGCTGGGTGAGGAGGGTTGGTCAGGTCATTAAATCAAGGGTGCAGTGATGCAACGGCACATGTCCTTCTCCCTTCAATAGGCTGCACCGTATGTGCCACTCCGCCATTTTGCTGGCTGGTCTCGATGCCTCGACACCTAGATGACTTAAACATGTCGGTCATTTTTGGCCGCAGTCTAGCGGCTTTTTTTACATTCTCACTAAGGCCAGCTGACCACATTAACAACAAGTTCCTAGCCAATCCTAGGATCCTTCAGATCGCGAAGTTCCGGAGTTGGGTAAGCTGGCAGTCGCTTGTACAATTGTACGATTGTTAAACCAAGAAATTGACCAGCTTTTCGCAAAAATCCGGGGAGGTTCGTGCGCGGCATGGCATTGGTTCCTTGTCGATAGACGAGGGTCTACCTTAGGATCAAATTGTGGATCCGGTGTGTGTCCAACAATGCCAGCCAGCATTCAAGAAACAGGTTGAGGGTTTTTTGCCGATTTGTGGGGAAGGCTGGCTGGTGTCGTGAGCTTGACTTCAGATTCGTAACATGAAGCTAGCGCTGCAAGAGACTCGTATGTATGACCTGCCCAACATCGTCTAGTGACGGACGCCATTTATTGAAATGTTGGACTGTGGGGTTGGAGAACTGAATCGCGTGCATCGATGCATCCAGGTATTCACTCCTATGTTTGTGATACCAGGACAGTGCATGCAACTAGCTGCTGGTAAGTCCGCGGATTCGCAGTCGGCCAAATCATTGTCGTTATTATCATTATTGTTTTTTCTCATACGCGGATTTGATTCCGAGCTGGAAAAATAGCCATGGCGTTGCATAGCCAGCTGCATTTTTTGAATTCGACTTGCATCTAAACAATCCGGACCGGAAACCCTTTGGGTTTGGATGTACAGGGTACTCTGCTCTGCGCGCGAGCGTGGGGATCATGGTTGAGGCAAATATTAGCCTTATCGCAGAGCTTCAAGGCGCCAGAACGTCTGGCTAGCTACCCAGCGAGTTAGATGGTTTTCGTAGCGCAATTGGTTGATTCACCTTATGTATTGTAATCCAACCGACGGATCGCTAGTGTGGGGTAATCCTCTTTAGCGCTGATAGTTGAAGATTTGTAACTTGGCACTGCAGTCGCCGGTGTTTCGGTGATCCACTTTGTGAGGTTAGTGCGACAGTTCACACGGTCGTTATCCAGGGATGAACTGACTGTAGCACCATATCAACCCGGCCTCAATACTAAGATAGTCAAGCGAATCCACTTTAAGGCATTACATACTCTATGTAGCATACTGCGGCCAATCGGGCTGGAAACTTGAAGATAGGTATTTTAATTTTGATTCTTGCCTGTACACTTGAATAAAAACATAAAAATAAAATGAAGGGATAAAATAAAATAAAAGAGTAGAGAAGCACCCGATATGAACCTCGATATCATATGTTATCATACACAAAGGAATAGCTCGCTCCAGCTTAAGAACTAAACCGAACCGTTTTTGTTTTGAGTGATTGCAAGTTGAACTCCAAACCCATGCTTCCAATAAGTCTAACATCCATAAATTTTGAAACTGAAAATTGAAAAAAAAAATTGAAAAAAAAATTGAAAAAAAGAGAGAAAGGTCTGGATAGCCCAGTGGGTATTTTGCGACGGAACAGGCAGAATTGCTCGTATCCACTCTCAAGCGCCCAGGATGCACCATGCCGGGAAGACTCCTCGTATTAAAAGGTAATGGCGATATAAAACTCGTTTTCGTAGCTAGCGTCAAAGCATCTACCAAATAACTCCATCGCAGAACTAGAACACCTTAAAGCAGGAAGGAAAGAAAGAACGGTAAAAATTCGGGGTTTCGTTTGGAACGGTATCCTGATCCTACAAGGACCGTCATAAAGTCCTCTCGAGGTCTACAACGTCTTGGAATGCCCGTTCCCATTTAATGGCCTCCTCGCTGTCTGGTCTAGGGAGGGGCTTTCTAGCGTAGCCTCCATAGCCAAAGAATGTTTGGAGGCAGCTCTTGGTTCCAACGAGGCCGCCCTGGATCGCTGCCCAGTCCCCTTGTGCTACGCGTGCCTGTATTCGTTTGGCCTCCTTGATCTTTCCTTGTGCATAGTAGTTGACAATGGCAACGCATGCTTTAGGGGCAATGTTGGCAAGTCCTGCGATGACACCGGAACCCCCAACAATCAATGTCTGCAAGGTGAAATCAGCAGACCCACCCATAGCCATAAAGCCAGAGCCGATATCAGAAGGAGTAGCAGCATTAGTAGCGGTTGCGACCCTGGCAAGTTTGCCAGAATTTCCACATGTCAGCTTGCATCCAACGATATTGGGATGCTGTGAGAGCTTGGAAATGAAATCGGAGTCAAGATCTAGTCCTGATGCAGCCCCTGGGAAGTTGTAAATGAGGACTGGGAGTGGGGATTCGTCGGCAACGTCGCGGAAATATTCGTACAGATCGGTATTTGACATGAGACCTTTGTAGTACGCCGGAGGAAGGACTAAAACATAGTCACCGCCGGATAGGAGAGCGTCGTGGCATAGTTCGAGTGTCTCCCGTGTGGATTGAGCACCACATCCAACAATGATAGGCATGTCGTGATATCCGGCAGCTTCCAGCGCCTCGCGCGTCGCAGTTGTTACCAATCTTCGCTCCCTGTGGCTGAGGCTAACAGCTTCGCCATTTGAACCCTGTGTTGTAATTCCTGCCACACCAGCTTCTGCCATGCGAACAGCATGTTTCTTGATAGTGGAGATATCAAGGTCTTCTGTTATATCATTGAAGAAACAGACGGTGGGAACATATACACCAGGGACGAGCGGGCGATGTGTATATGCGCCGCCGTCAAGATCGGTATGTGCATGAAGAAGAGCATTTGAGTAATTCGAATGACCATTCGAGATCAAAGTAGGGTCCCTTGGGGTATAGTGACCATTTGTAGTTGGAGACATTGTGAAATGTGGTTTTTTGGAGATGATCGTTTGAAAAGGAACAAAAATATATAAAAATATAAAAATAAAAACCCCAAAAGGTATATAATAGAATGTTTTGAACGGATTATGAGAGAAGATGGATTGCTGTTAAGAGGGTATATCTGATATATTGAGCGAAGGATGAGGCTTCTGAGGTAAGTTACCAGATGGACGAGATGGGAGAAGGGCTTCTTATATATAGAACGAGGCATATGCCTACTACTCGGCGAGGATGAGGGAGCGCAAGCTACCAACCCTCATAGGGAAAGCAAACCTAAACCAGGCAAGCGAGCTAGCTAGTAGTGTCATTTCGTGTAGGAGAGAAGCCGTAGCAGAGCAAAAGGAGTGTCAGAAAAGCAAATACGCGAAGGAGGAAAGAAAAGAAAAGAAAGTATGCCGGGGAAGTGAATTCAGCGAGAGGTCGTCACTCAGCCATGATGATCCAATCGATCGGGTGAGACATGCGAAAGCCAGCTAGCCAGTGCAACTAGACACACGGGTCAGTTAGACTCGAAGGGGATATTATGCGAACGCAGGACCGGTGGCTGCAACCCCTGAGCGCTATGTGTGGTACATAGTAATTCGCTGTGATTATAGTAGTTGTGGATGTACCTTCTGAGAAGAGGCAAGCTTATACGAGGAGACATATGCCCTTGGTTGAAGGCTTGGGAGGACCGGGATTGAAGTTAGTGTGGAGGTACAAAGACTGGGATTGAGGAAGGCTGCAAAGCTTTCGGTGATGAGCGACGGCCCACGCAAACTGTATTGCTAAAGACCACTTGGATTGGTACATATTCCCTGATGGCGGATAGAGCTTTGATGTCGCACAGATACTCCTTATTTCGATGCCTTACCATTGCGAATTCCTAAAGAAAACTCATATGGAGCTAGCTTTGTCCTTCAAGCGAAACTAACTTTTTTTTGAGGTTTTCGCCGTTGGATTGCCGTGGGGGAATGGAAGCTGGGGAAATGCTTGATAGAATTAGCGGGGGCACCGGTGTTTCTCAATCTGGGAAAAAGACCACCACTGTGTTGAATACACCACCGGGGCGTTCCCGAGACATTTCCGCTTCGGAAGGCGAAATGATTCTTTGGGGAAAAATATCTCCGCGAAGAATTTTGGCCCTCTCAAGGGGTCTTGTCCGTCGACGACTAGGTGCAAGAATCGACATGCTAGATGCCCTTGCATTGCCGGAGAGGCCAGTCATTGGATTGCTTGTTGTGAAACAGGCTCCCATTATTCTCTATTTCTATTCGAATTTCGACGACTTGGGACCCGCCGTGGGCTGTTTCATGATCCATGGGCGGATTGCTCGAAAGTCGACCAGCCTAGCAGCTAACAAAGTAGGAGGCCACATCTGATATCAAAGCTTGCTTCAATGATACCATTACGTGGATCGCAGAGCTCCTCGCAGGTAGGCAACCGCAGCTTGGCCGAGAACGAGAGAAAGTAGTATTGTAAGCGCAGAATATCAGGAAATTAAACGCGGTTCCTGTCTATCTCTGCTCAGGGTGGTCGACATCTTGTCAACTTGTAATTCGCAAGTCTGCGGTTTCATGCATCTGGAATCAAAGCTGATTGGTTCCATCCCGCAAAGCCGCGGAGAATTCTTTATGAAAATGGATTCAAACAACGAGAGTCGCCGGGATACGATCGATGCATCAGAAAAACGCTGCACTGCAGCGGACTCAGCTCGTGACCACTTCCCACCAAGGTTTTCCCTTGCGAACTAGTCCACGAGGCCTCTGTGCAGATATATCGATGCAAGTCCGTTTTCGTTCCTTTCAACCCCAGAGCACCTAATATTAGCAAACGAAGGCATTCCACTGGAAGTAACGAGCCACATGGCATCATCAGATCTTCGGCAAGTTTTTTTTTTTTTTCCTTTCAGTTTGGCGGGTTTCACCCTTCTGGTCCCCTATCTCTTCTTCGCGAGAAATGCCTCTAGAAATTGACGGATTCGATTCGATGATTCAATGGAGAAGTTCTCCAAGAGGGCTGGAAAAGCTTCCGCTGGCGTGGGGGTCAGGCAGCTGCGAGAGATGATGGTTGGTTGGTTGGTTGCAGCTGGTGTTGGCTGGAGTTTGCCATTGATGTTGAGACAAGACAACCTCCAAAGCTCAGGCCAAAGCAACACACCACCTTTGATTAAACCCAAACCTCGACACCTTCATTTGCACTTGCAGTTGCCACGCTGAGGCTCATTGTCAGATCATGTCAGCTTGCTGGTTCCCTTAACTCGGGTCCACTGTCGTCACTGGTACCGCTGCAAGCCGGTTTCCGGCCTATCCGTCGAAGGCTGAGAGGGTCACCGGAACTGGTTGTTGGCTTTCGGGATGATAGATGCATTGGCATCAGCGTGATATGAGCCGACCTTCGAACGTTCCAGCCAACCTCAAATCTTGGCTCGGGAGCCATAACCAACGAGAGCAGCAGGTTTCTCTCTCTCTCTCTCTCTCTTGACGCGAATGTCTGGTTAACCGTTTATGGTGCCAGCAAATTCGTGGACTTCAAAATATATGTCGGATGGTCAGCGGCCTTGTATCACGGTATTGCCTCGAAGTAGTATCCATCTTAAGATATCCTCTCACAATCAAATATCGCAGGAATGAATTGAGCCTTTGACTCCTCCATGAAACAGAATACATGAACTTGTCTCGAGCCCTGGCCGTCAGAGGATATTACATACATTGGGCACCGGAAGCAACCTGCCAGCCCGGTTCAAGCTTGGTTTAGCTAACCTTTCAAGGACACCATGGAACCCCCCACGGTTCTGGAATGCTTTCAAGTCTCCACCGCAAATTCGCCGCCTTAATAGTTGCACTCCTAATGACGACGGTGCAATCAAACAATGACTATGGAATCTCGCCTTGACGCCGACGACAATTCGGCAGCAAAAGATCGCGGTACGGACTTGGTCCGGGATGGAACCCCTTTCTTCACCTTATTACTTAACCTTATCGTGAAAGGAATGCACCACATTGAATGGTTGATGTTGCAACAAACCGTTCCCGGGAAAGATGCTTCTTGCAAGGGGGGGGCACACCCGGTACGTCCCCCGGCTCCCCGGAAGACTAGACTTTTTCAGGGGGACGCGCATGATGCACCCCACAATTCCCAAATCCTGGATCCTCTGCCTAATATTAGCTGGTAGAGGAACCAGACCAGTGGCTGTCGTCTGCCCTGTCGCTTGATATCATAATATCACCTATCACACTCGAGACAATCCGATCTTTTGCTTTGATAATAATGTTGTTCTGAAGCTCCTCCGCTCACACCACATCGCTGGTCAGTGTAACAATTGACTTGCCGCAAAAGCCAACGATGAAACATCTATCTCACCCGTTCAACCGAGCTGTGCAACCTGTGACATTTCGGTGGCCATGAGTGGGGGGGGGGGGTTTGTGGTTCCTGAGAAGAGCTCAATTGGAGCTTGAATGCGTGGGGTCTTCAGCCAATTTGGCCATCACATGCTCCCTTTTTGCTGGCAACAACGCCAATTAACCAACACCACACCTTTTCATCTTCCAATAGTATGACTTGGAACAGAAAGCACAGGGAGTGAGGGAGAGGGAAAAAAAAAAAAAAACGCGATGTGCTTTATCACCATGATACGCTCTGTCTCTCCTTTCGTGTCGAGAGCGCCCCTCTCTATGCCCGGTGACAGCTTCATCTCCACTAGTCTCGCTTCGAAGAGGTAACTGAAAACGTGGGGGTGGAGCCTAACAGAGCTCCAACACAGATCTCATTTTGACAGCTTAGCTCTTTTGAAGCCATTTTAACGGTCGTATGGAAGCTCCTATAACTGCGGCCTTTCTCGACTTCCTAGCTGCTCCGCCTACCGCTTCGGCCTCGCTGAAACTTACATCTTGCTCCATATAGCACGTGCCTCGCTCCGTTTACTATCTGCATATGCAAGCGATTTCTCTCAGCTACCGACGTGCCTCCAATCAGGAGTGGCGGCAGGATGTCCGGCTCTCTTGCATCTTGCATGAGCGATTTTTTGCCCAAATTTCAATATATATGACTTATTCTCAGCATTGAAAACATAGATTGTGTGTTCTTTTTGATGCTGGCTAACGCATCCAGATACATCATACTCTTCGACTATAACCCTCGAGGTACTTGAGCGTCTACAGCCCAACGCCTGTGAGCGTAAGTACAATCATCTCACCTGCAGACCCTAGTATATTCTCAGCACAGTTGTCTCAATCCCTAGCTGATCACATCTTTCCATTTTGACTTTTTTTTTTCATATTCATTCCCTGCTTTTTCGACAAGCTTCATCTTACTGCAGGCAGCTCTTTTTTTGGGGTTCGTAGACACCCCAGACTCTCAGAGCATAGAACACCGTCATAAAAAAAAGGAATCCACAACCACCCCTCCCCTTTCCATCTTATATTAACTATTTTCGGGTGTGCTCGAAGTGCCTAAAAGGCAAGGAAATCTGGGGAATATACATTATGCAGCGGGAAACCCGAAGAGAAGAGGTGTGCAGTTATTTTATTTTATTTTAAATTATTTTATTTTTTTTGTTCAGGGAAATCAGCTTTGTAGCCCTTTAGTCGTCTTTCCTTTGATCACCTTATTCCAAAGGAGCTAAAAAAGGGCCTACGTGGTCATCCCTGAGACGATCATAAGTGGAGATTATGGAGTAACTCCAGTCTACTGCGGGTCACCATGCCGGTCTCTATCACGCTTTACTCGTATAATTGCGGAGGAAGCATCTACATCCCTGAGGAATGCCTATTTCTCCATATAGCGGCTTGATTGTGTCTAGAACTTCACAAACATAGCGTCTACCCTTAGTTTGTTAGTTCAGAAAAAAACTGGGGGTGTTCCATGCTTAATTGACCTTGTGACCCTTCCCCATTCCCTTTTTTTTCCCTTTCCACGGACAAGTCTAGCTTGGCTAGATACAACGTAGATGTGGAGATATCATGTTGCATATCCACCTTTCGGCTAACATTTAGACCCTAGAGCTACTTGAAGCGAGAAACACCCGTCTATGGAGTACCGGGTAACCCCCCCGTGGGATTCAATGGAAAGCCGGTTTTCTATCTGCAAAAAAAAGACGGAAAAATAAAATAAAAATATGAGAAAATAAAATAACCGTCGGGGGGAGAAAAGAGAGACAAACAAAGAGAGCCAATGCATTTACTTCGTCTCGTAACCTGCCCTTGCTTTCCGCCTTTACTTTTTGGGTACAGGGCATATGGGGCTTAGGAACATGCATTGATGTCCTGATATATGCATGCTGGAAAACGCCCACGATCCCACGACCAACGTAAATGCATCTAACAATCGAAACCACTACCATAATTTGGGATCCCAAGCCCCTCCCTCCCCACCCCGGCCAAATAATGTTGCACAAAAGATCACTCATGATCAGAATCATGGGAAGTGAAAAAGGAGACACTAGAAAATTTTTCCCTTTCTTTCAACTACTTTATTTTGCTTTGCGGCAGCTGGATCAAAAATTTAATCTTTAAATCTTTCCCATTGGCGAATTGTGATAAAAGAGAACCAGGCAGATGCAAGACATACGACGGCCCTGACGTAAGAAAGGCTTTTTCTTGTCACTCCTTTTCCTCGTTCAAATTGCCTCGCTCGGAGGTGAACGATGCCCGCGATTGGCTGAGGTGCTCTAGATGCTTCTAGATATATTCATATTTGTCACCTCCAAGACCCCCTTCGCCCCCTTCTCGCCCAGCGGAAAAGATATGAAGGTCAAGCTTAAGGCTAGGTGATTGACGATATCCCGAAGGTTTCAAAGGAAGACAATTTTCGTCAGCGAAGATATAGCACCACCAATGAAAGCATATGAGGCATCGCATATATGTATGTGTGTATGTACATATGTACATATGTATGTATGTTATATGTATATCGCTCACTCGTCACCCATCTACACAAGCCAAAATGTCCGTCAATCCAATTGGAATCTAACAAGGGGCTAAGTTCTTGCAGACTTTGATATTTTTAGTCATTCAAGGCTGTCATCTATACACAGGAAAGTAAATACCGCATAGAGAAGGACGAAAACTTGAAATCAAAAAAAAAAAAAAAAGAAAGAAAGAAAGAAAGAAAGGAAGGAAGAAAAAAGAACAAACAAGTAATTGGGAATTCGGTGTCTCGATCATCGTGTAAATGCCTTGACGGAAACCTCAATTCTGAAACAGCCGCTCTAACAGATATCGAAAAGTAATTGGAAAGCAATCGTGTGCAGTTTTTTGAATGCAATGCAGAAAGTAAGACTTTAGAGAACGAAAACCCAAAAAAAGACCACACCCGCTTCCCAACAACTTACTTCATCAAATAAAACAATAACACAAGGACATCGGAACTCGTTTTGCAAACTGGTCCCAATAGTTATACCGTCAACCGTGTCAGTAGAAAACTAAACAAGCACCAGCATAATTATGTTCACCAGTCATCATTGTCTTCGTCCGATCCTCGATTTGCCTGCGATCTTTTCTTCAATGCAGCGGCAAGACCTCCTGCTAAACTTGAATTAGGTGCTCCACCATCAGGCTGACTTTGCACGCTGAGATTGGACGCTCTTGTGCCTGTTGAGGAAGTAACTGTTTCCGCGGGTTGATGCATGGAGCTTGGCTTCCTTACTGCTGCAGCTGCAGCTGCCGACGGCTTGGGTCGGGGTGGAGGTGGAGGTTTTGCCTTCCCAGCCACGGCTGGCGGCGGAGGCGGCGGAGGTGGAGGTTTCGCGGCTTCCTCTTCTTTAAGATATGCACTGGGCGCCCACCCTTGGGTATCATCCGCTTTTTTAGCAAGCCACCATCCTGTATGAAAGCAACAAATAAATATGTCAGCCTGGTCAACTCTTATTTTCCCCCACTATTATATCCTTTTCCCTTATTATTGCGTGCAGACATGGGACGCCTTTCTTACCGTTTCCCTCTTTTTGGAGAATTATGAGAATTTCCCCTTTTGTCAAAGTGAGTTCGTTCGCGCTCTGGCCGGCGAAATCGTATAAAGCGCGGGCCATCGGATCTTGGGAGGGTGTTGCCGCGGGTGGGGGTGGTGGCGGTGGAGGAGGAGCTCGTGTTGAGGCAACAGAAGACCCCATGGAATTTCTTTGTTGATTTCCACCATATCCATTTGACATGGGCTGTTGTTGTAGAACTGGAGTTACTGGCTTGATGGCTGCTGGCATGACCGTTGATGGGTTGCTCGAAACTGTTGAACTACCACCCCCAGGTAGTTGTCGCGGTACCGGGCGGGCTTGTGGCTGTGGCGTCGTCCTCCCGCGGGCTTGGGAAGAAAGTTTTCCGTTAACACTCTTTTTGAGTAGTCCGCCGGATGTAATAGCCTTGGCCGGCTTCGCTCTCGGCTTTGGAGTTGGCCTTGAGACGCTGTTCGGAGGCTCACCGGGCCCAACGTGGATCGTTCCGCTCTTGTACAAGTCATCCCTTGGAACAGCCGGGTCCTTAAGCGTCTTGACCACGGCGATCTTTCCAGGTTTTTTGTTGTACTCAATGGTTGGACCAATCCGAAGATCGAAAATTCCGGTCATGAGGCCCTTCATGTGAGTGAAAAGTTCCGTTTTAAAGATGCAGGATATGAGCGGATCCGGTTGTCCCGGGGCCCCTACGCCTAAAGAGAACCAATCATCGCGAAGATTCGATGTTCCGATAAACTTGATCGTCCCTAGTGGGATTGTTCTGTCCGATAGAATCTGGAGCTGGTTATTGACAATTGACTGGGTGACAATGTAGAAATTGCGATTGGTAAGGACAATTAATCGTGGATTCGGTTTGCTAGATCTCCCCAGTTTCGATACTAACATTTCACCTCTGCAGGAGAAAAGCGTTTGGTCACTGGCGGGAATCTGGACGGAGTTTCTGACATGTTCGCCGTATCCTCCTCTATTGTCAACGCCAAGGTAGTCTCCCATAAACCGTCTGGATCCAATGATGCTGAAGCGTCTTCGCTCCTTCCTTCCGGCAAGAACAGTGTGGCCGTAGTCACGTAACTTGACAAAATCTGTACTACCGGTGAGATTTCGCCACCATCTTTGGATCCTGACGGCACATTCGGTCCGATATCTCAAATAGTTTCTCCAGGCCCGTTGAATACGAATTGCCATGTTGTGCCAGTATCGGTCGCGCATGGTCTCTAGGGCGAATAGGGTCTCGGGTGTCTTGATGAATGCCTTGGTTGTTCCCATCTGCCATTCTTCCTTTGGTATCCTCGTATCCTTGAGAATTTGCTCAGATCCTGATCGCGGGTCACCGGTCCAGATGTAATCACCTGCATAGGATGTTTTTGATGACAGCAAGTAGAATCGGTCCACAAATCTTTCAAAGGTCTGGCGATATGCGAAGCCAGCTCTTCGAATACGGACGTTTTCTTGAAGACCAAGATATTTGATCTGATGGAGGACAGCAGCGGAATCATATTCCTTAGGCGACTTGTTCTGATTTGGTTTGATCGTTCGGATATAGGAAGGTGTCGCCTTGGAAAGTGTATTCACGAGGTCGTTTGCGGATGCTTTGATCTTGTCACTGGCAGTCGGCGGGCGACGCCCCTTTGTATCCGTGGCGCCGACCTGTTGAGGGAAGATTGTGTGCAGGAACTGGTTGTCACTGGCCTCCATAAGTTCGAGGATATCCCTGAGAAGCTGGTCTTTGTTCTTGTCCGTCATGTGCTCAATCTGGTAGGTAACATCTCCAGCATAGTGCTTAATGATAAACTGCGTTTGTCGCTGAGCAAAGTGAGGGTTTGTCGAAAGTGCATTGAGTCTTTGAATGAACGTTCCATCGGCTGCACTAGGATCTGCGTGAGCGGTTGCACATGCATCATTGAGGGCTGCGAAAACTCCAGGTGGTCTCTTCTCCTCGATCAAATCGCACACGATCTTGTTATTGAAGTACTTGATAGGTTGCCACTCGATCTGCTCTCGTACATACTCCTCTTGTTCTGTCTTGAGCGTAAGTTCTATAAAGATCTGCTGTAATTTTTCGTTCACGTAGTTGATACAAAGTTGCTCAAAAGAGTTCTTGTCGAAAATTTCGAACCCGTAAATATCGAGGATACCAATTGTGTAGGATGTTTGTTCGCGAGCCTTCATCGAGACGTTGATACGGTCGACGATCCATTCAAAAAGATTGTTATAGATCGCCTTTGCCAATGTGTCTCTTACGGAAGTAGCTTGCGCTGCATTGAGCGGAGACTCATAGATGGAACCTCTCCTTCCACCTCTCGATGTTTCGACTATACGAATAGATAGAGCCTTGAAGGCGTTAGCGAAAGGTGCTCTAGTTGTTTGGCTATGTTGTATCCTCTGACCTTATTGAGAGCTACGCCATCAACTTGTAATAAATAAGCTGCGAAATCAGTAACCCCGGGGTCAACGATTGCTGCGCTTCCACTCTCCTCTTCTCTGAATTGGACATTCCCGATCCATAAGATAGCGGCTAACAATCTGAAGATATCGTCCTGCTCCTGTTGCGTGAGGCCAATAACCTTCATCGCCTGGAGGGTTTCGCTAAATTCTTTTGTGTCATCGATTCCGGGGACATCTAAGCATCGGGAGTTAGATGTATAGGCATAAGCTTCAGGCGTCTGAATGCCGAACAATTCTAGGGTGCGTTAGGAGTTAGTGACTAATTTCTTGTCTTATATCCCATGGCTGGAACGGACGTTACTAACCTCTGTAGGCTGGACTAGCAGCTTTAGCAAATTGGTAGAAAATGTGGAAGTTTCGCTCATTCATGATCTGACCAACCACACGACCCTTCTCTAGCAAATAGTTTGTGATATTTGCACCACATGGTTCACCCTGCGCATTAAACTGGATTTCTAGGTATTTGCCGTGCCGCGACGAATTGTTGTTCCTCAGCGTCTTCGCACACCCAAAGGCTTCCAACAGCGGATTGGTCGCCAAAACCATGTTTTTGATCTCGGTAATGTGAGAGTTTTGCTGGCCCCCAGATACGTTGGCAATGTATTGCATGATTCTCTTCGCAGCTTCGGTTTTCCCGGCACCTGATTCGCCACTGATGATGATACATTGGTTGTCTCGGTAGGCATTCATGTTGTAGTATGAGGCTTCCGCGATCGCAAAGACGTGTGGGGGCATTTCTAATCGGTTCTTGCCTTTGTAGGCTTCCATGACGGAGTCGACGTAGATTCCCACTATCCCGGAAGGTTAGATGCGACTCAATAGATTGACTGACGCACCGACTGTGTTACTTACGGTCTCGGAACGGGTTTACTGAGATTAACACATGTCCAATGTAAGTCTATCGGGGAACCAACGGGGTTAGTCCTTTGTCCCACGACCATGGAAGCGGCATATAGTGTTCAAGACGCGATGTTTCGAGTGGTTCAATGACGTACGTATATCTCGGCAGCTTCGAATCGCTTCATCAGGTTCTCGTTGATAGCTTCATTGGAAATCTTGCTGATGAGGGTAAGGTCGCTAACACCAACTTCCTTCTTCTTCGAGCCCTCATAGAAAGCCTTCTTGGGAGGACCTTGACCGCCGGCAGAGCTACCGACAGCTCCCTTCATGAAGGGGACCTTCGATGTCACCCCCGCTGCATCCTTTGTTTTGTTCCGCCCCGCCCGCTTAGTGACAGCCTATATAATGTAATAGACGCTAAGGTTAGTTCTGAAGCGTAGGCGTGGGAGCCGCGAGACCGGCAGGCAGTAACGGTCTCCGACGGCAGATGGAGGTATAGCACAGGATAGGACAGGATAGAATAGGGCCGAACATACCATCTCGACTGGTTACTTCGATGGTCTCGTGCTTCAAGCTGTCGCCAAAGAAGAGGGAAAGTGGACTGTTTAGGGGAAAGATAAGAAGGATGTAAGTATCGGGGACGGAAGCTGGTGTGTGTTGTTGAGTATTTTAGGAACAGCAGCGGAACAGAACAGAACAGTTTAGTAACTAACACAGGAACGAGGTCTTGTCAAATGTGAAACCGGTTTGGTGTAGCTCTCCACGTAACGTCGGCGTAAGCTCAGTGGACAGCTTCAGCGCCTAAAATTTGATATTTTAGGAGAAGGTAAAAGATCGCAAAATAGGCAGCGTACTAGTAGGTAAGTACTATATAGGGGGAAAGATGGCGATGGGATTCGAAAGATCGATATCGCGATGGAGAGTGTACATGTACAGCGAAGAGATGGAGCTATAAGAAATCCAACCCTCAAGACTCGACTAAAGTACCGGTACCAGAGCCAAGACCTGTGCTAGAGGATATATCGGATTGGCTGGCTGGCTGGCTGGCTGGCTGGCGGGTATGGGTGGATGACCTGTCTCGAATGTCAATGTAAGTGGTACTTTGTAATGTATGTACAGTAGGTGAGGCTGCATGCAAACAACGTATACCGACTTCGATATTACATAGAAGGTATATAAGTACTTAAGTAGTAAGTATAGGTCTCCAAGGCTAACAGGTAAGATTCTAAGAAAGTATATATTCGCTGCAGGCACCAGGCGGATCACGACGACATTGATATAAGTAATAGGTATACCGGTATGACAGGTACTCAGATTGCGTACCTCGAAAGCTTGTCTGGTGTCGCACAGCCACGTTGGATGATGATGCCACCCCGTTTTACCCGACCCCTTCTCTCGAGCTCTCTCACAAATTAATATTCTACAAAAGGGGTCAGGCTTAGTTACGAATACTGCGATGTGTGGTATGAGAAATAATATGTGAACGAGTACACAGGAAGCCATACATGATCAAGTAAGGTAGGTAAGTACCTACTTAGGTATACTAAGTAGTATATAATACATACAATATAGCGTGTATATGACGAAGTAAGAAGTACTTTTGAGAATGCAGGATGATATCACAGCTTCAATATAAAAAGTAGGTATAAAGTAAACAAAAATAAATAGACCAAACTACTCCGCGCCCTGGTACTCCTGATAAATGAAACAGACAAGATGTAAGTACAGCATATACATCCAATAACAGCCGCTTTATGCCAAAGGAAAACCCTGGAAGGAAAGGGAAATATAAAAAGAAATAGAGAGAGAGAGAGAGAGAGAGAGAGAGAGAGAGAGAAAGTGAAGCAGTTACATGCATGTAAACGATAAACGAGCCGTTTCCCCTAAAATGCACAAGTCCTTAAATACCCAGATACTTAAGTAGGTAAGTACCCATCAAAAGAAAGATTCAATGTCGACATGTCGCTCAAATCTAAAGAAACTTTACTCGTCAGGACATCGTCCTCCGTAGTCCTATCGCGGACCCGAACGTTTGCCGGTCGGGGCTCTCGTTACTACAGGGTCGTAGCGACGCCTGCCGCGCCAGAACCCTCATATCCTTCGTGTTTTGCTGGGTATAAGTTCCGAAGTCTGGCACCCTCTCGGTGATGTTTACCCCCCTCCGTCTATACCGATCCAGCCTACCCGATTTCCAGAACCAGATACCCAAGCCCAATAAGACCCCCAATATCAAAAACGAGGCTATTCCGAACGCAAGACCGACGTATCCAGCGACAGTGATTGAATTGGCTTTCTTGTCGTGTTCGTTCGAACAACCAAACGGTGCGGGATTGCAACCGGCCGTCGAGGGCGATGAAGCTGCCAGGTAAAACTTCCCTGCTTCGTAGTCGACAGCTAGATAAACCTGCGACAGAAACGCCTTTCCGAGCACAATTGTATTACGGACGGCAGATTCCTGGAATATATTCAGTTCCGTGTAATTCCTATCAACAGCCCATGTCCCATTGTTATCGATCCCTCTGAGCGGATGCGCAAGCTCTTCATTCGGAATCACTATTTTGAAATCCTCGTCGAGTCCATTTAAGACGATATCCAGAGAGAATGCTCCTGGATTCCCAGCTTTGTATCTCCAGCCCGGTTCGTTAACTTGCAGATTTGGCAACCAGTCACTGTCCACCCTTCCTTGTCCGAGGCCTATACTTTCGAGTGATGCTAGCCTTCCGGAAGGGAACCGGAACAAATTGTCGTAAGGTTCAATGCATGCGTATGGATTCCGAGATTCCAGATCTATGAATGCTGTCGTTTTCATTGTTTTCTCGAACAGAACGTCGATTTTTTGAATCTCGACCCTGAACGGACACGGCCTGAATTCTGTGTCTTCATAGTTGATATCGAACTCCGCAAAGTTGCCTGCGACTCGAGATTGGTCGTACCCGCCCAAAACGATGTGACCGGGGCGAGGATTATACGGACTCTGGCTTCCTGCATCGAAGCCGAACATCAACCTATCGATGAACCCTTGATCCTTCAAGGCTTGCAAGAATGACGACTTTGGACCGAGTCCTAATTGTCCAAGATTAAACTTTGTACCATTTGTCACAACACCAATTTCATAGTTTTTCAATTGCGTGAAACCGGCGACCGCAAACTCCACGTCTCCAAAGGTCTCCACGGGTCCGTTTAGGTCGTCCCAAAAGCCCTCGACCCCACCGTTCACCGATGTGCTACGGCTGGTAAAACCGGCCAACAAAGTTCTGTCGAAAGTACCACCGTGACTTGCCTGACATGTTTTGTTCAGACTGTTGTCGTTGTTGCATATCTCCGAACCCAAAGTGTAGGTGGCATTTATAACGGTGGACGGAACAAGACATATCTTCTGACGCGCCTGACCTCTCGTGCCAACTTCGACTTGTAAGCCCCAAGCATCAACATTTGTGCAATTCTGAAGGTTGAGGCAGACGGGCGTGGAGCTTGTGGAACACGGCGGTTTCGCGCACGAGACTGTGGGGACGATGGCAACAACACCAACCAGGGCTGCTGCAATTATGCTGTACAAGATATTATCCACCATCACGGCGCTGGGTGAATGCTGGTCCCTTGAAAGGCGACAGATGGCGACTGCATGCCAACAATATCTTTAAAAAATAAAAATAAAAATAAAAATGGAAACAGAGGAAAAGAGTAAAGATGTGTAAACTGGAGAGACTGGAATTCTGAGACCAGAAAAGCTGCACCTACTCCTGACGAGCCAACCGAGACCAGGACAAAGAATGTAGCATGACAGTTGGCTGGCACATACATACAACTTCAAGACTAGTTCAGAGAAACCTGAGGAGGCACGGACTCGGCAATCCGTTTCTTCTTCTTCTTCTTCTTATTTTATTTTATTTTTTTTGCGTAACTTAAGTTAGGGGCTTATCATATTATAGACCAGCTCGCCACACGCACTGTTCACGATCCTATTCATGCCGGTTGGCTGCAAAATTACGAAATAGATTGGTCTTCCCGTCCCAAACGAGTTCTCAAATGAAGATCTTTGCAGTGCCTTGGCGCCCTGATGACAATGTTCAGCAAGTCACAAAACAGAGAGGTTCCCAAAGCAAGGGATATCTCTGCTGCGTCCACTTCCGGACCTTTGCAGAACTGTCCAGATCCAGCGGTCTATGAAGGCATCTTGTCCTCGCCCTTATCCCCGGCGACCATATTGTTGTAAATTGCACCGATTTCTGGACAAACCTTGCATGGTCTCATCGCTTAAGAGATGGGCAGGCGTTGATTGGACCTAAATCATGCCTAGAGCTCTTGAACCCGTTCGCGGATCAAGATTTAGCTAGCCTTGTCCGACGAACCCGATGGCGATCAGAAAACAAGGCTTCGGAAGGAAAAGGTTGGGGAAAATTCGGGGAATGCTTGGGTCCATATGTTATGTGCGGCTTTGAAGGAACTGAGTCGTCGGAGAGCTGAATGAATTATTCCAAACCAACGGTACACGCATATATGGCCAGGCATCACCATTTTTCAAGATTCGCATTTGAGGCAACGATTAGAAGGTCTGAACGCGGCACAGCTCTTCTCAATGTCGCATGGTCATATGACACCCTCGAAACGACGGAATATGCCGGAGACTGTCGGACACAGGATCGTTCATGCAGACTTGGACATGAAATCAAGGCCCATCCGGTCCTCAACCCGGCCCTGGTATTTTTCACGACGGGTCGATCACTCGGTTTGCCAAAGTGTCGTTATCTGTCAATTGGCCAACAGTGTACTGCCTCTAAGGTATCCTCACCGACCAGTTCTCGAGTCAACAGATAGTAAACGGTTGTTATATATAGATTTGCTGGCCACACAAGGCCATCTAAATGGTCTCCCTTTTTTGCTTTTCACTCCTCACCTCGAGGTATGTACAATTAAAAGATACAAAACGCAAATCGCGCAAGAATCAAAAGCCCAACGAACCACCTCTCTACGATTCTTCGGACGCAGCAGCACCTGTAGGTAGAAAATCAGATTAGCAGAGGCCTTGTTCGGATGTCGAGGTATGATAGACTTACCAGTGATAATTTCAACCAATTCACCGGTAATGACAGCCTGTCTGGTACGGTTGAACAAGATCTGGAACTTTTGGATCATCTCTCCGGCATTCTTCGATGCATTGTCCATGGCATTTCGACGGGCGGACTGCTCGCATGCGTGTCCCTCAGCCAAGGCCTGTCAATTTTGCTCCGTTAGCCCGATTTGTAAGTTAAATACATAGAAAAAGAAAGGGTTTTTTCCCTACCCAGTAGACTGCGTTTGCCAGAGAGAACTCGCGAAGGTTGGGTAGTTCCTCGTCATCGATTTCGAAAGCAGAGAAGTTGGCTATCGAAGATATTCATCAATAAATGTAAAGACAATATATATTTATTTTGGACAGCAATGTCAAGCCATACCGGATTCCTGGAAAGAGTCCACAGAGTAGGTCTGAATGGTTTTCTGGTCGTAAGAGACAGGGCTGAGGTAAGAGTTGAAGAGGACTTCAATGTTGTCGTATTGCTTGGGAAGCTGGAATATTTGGTCCGCGATGGCCTGAGCCTCAGTGAAAGTTGGGATATCCTTTCCTACGTTGGCAAAGCTCAAGACAATGCTCTGGCTCTTCTCTCTCTGCAATTGAGCCTTGCACTTCTCGCCGAGGATAACCAAATCGGCATTGGGGTTCTCCAACAGCTTCTTCCTTGTGGCCTTGGTCAATGCGGAATGGATACCACCACAGAGACCCTTATCCGAAGAGGCGACGACAATGAGGGTCTTGGCTTCCTGAGGGATCTTCGTCTCGGCCTCCTCGTAGACCTTGTTGGAAGTTTCACCAAAGGCCTTGGACTCGGTCATGGCTCGCATGGCGCGGTTGAGTTTTGTCGAGGCGACGACCTTCATGGTGTTGGTGATCTTCTCGATGTTTCGGATAGACTTGAGACGTCCCTCGATTTCTCTGAGAGTGGCATATCCAGCGGCTGGTGTAAGGGCGCCAACGGCCGGTCTATAGAAATGCACGCCGGATGTTAGTATATTATACGCAATGGATGATACATGGGCCGATAGCCGGAATCGTATGGTGGAGGGGTATAGTTTACCGGGAGACGACGGCAATGGCGGCCCTCCTAAGGGCGGGACGAGCGGCGTTGGCGAGCATTGGGTCAATTGGATAGAAGAAGGGCGGGGTGAAGGAGAGGAGAGGAGTGGAGAGAGGTCGTCAGACGGGGTTGAAGCAGAGGCTTTTTTTTCTCGGACGGAGAAGTTGGCACAGTCGAGTGATGTCGGTTCGGAGGAGGAGCCGCCGGCAATTTTCGTGACAACCGCAGCGGGCAAACACGTCAACTCAGCAACACAACAACACGGCAACACGGCAACACGGCAACACAATTATCAATTGCATACTAGCACCTATATGCATTCGAATTCTGATGGCACATACACTTCATTTGCATTCCTGATTCCCTCACGATGCCTCTTTGCGACGAATATATGACGAAGTATATACCTTAGGTAACTACTTACTTAAGTACTAAGTACTACCTAGTAAGTAATGACTAATGGCAGGAGAGTACCAGTAGGTAAGTACTTACTTACATACCCATACGTCCTTTCACCCAGCTCGGTCCTTAGCTTATTCCAATATATGTGGCGTCCTAAAGCATGTTAGAACACCACCATACATAAGTACATACCACCATTATTCACCTATACTAATGCTAATACATTCTTATCAGGAATAGATGTTAACATGTTTTGGATCGATCGTGTCTAACTACCACCCTACTTGATAGGTGGCCTAGCTGTGGGCGGATAGTGCAGTGGCGTTCTGTTCGGCGTGTTTGCCCAGCAAAAAGTTGACTTCAAATTTTTTCGCGCCCGTTCCGTCAGCAAAAAATTGACTTTGCCAAATTTCGACCTTTTATTTAGCCCTGCCCGCCGCCTCCTTCTCCTTCTCCCTCTCCTTCTCTCCCTCTCCCTCTCCTTCTCATAAACTGCTTCCTATCCTATCCTTCCCACAAACACCACCTTCACCATCCCCATCACCAGCTTCATTTCCTTTCTAATTTTCATTTTCTATACCCTCAAAAATTTCAGTGTTCTTTCCCTTTATAAATTTCTTATATTGGACGTTCCCTGTGCTGTGTCTAGTGACAAACCCGGTTCCAACTTGCAACTTGCTGCACAGCAAAGCACAGCAAGCAAGGCACACATAACAAAACGGCTAACCGCCTCATATAAAAATCTCCCATCCCGTCATAATCACAACTTTTCGACTTCTTTTACCCTGTGATTCTGCACTTTCCCATCTTTCTCCTCTCCGAAACTACCTCCACGTTGCCGTCAGCTTCGTCCGGACTTTTCGTCCGAAAGGTCTTCGGGTCTCGACTGGCCTTCGTTTCTCGAAATCCGTTTTTGCCTCCGAGTCTTTCTCCCAAACCGTTCCCTTTTCCCACTCATCGCTTCCACTCTCCTTCGACGCGTTTTCGCCCCTTCTCACGGGACCTCACATTACTGGCTACACCACCACCACCACCACCACTACCACAGCAAACAACACTCCCTTGTGCGTCGCAGATATCACCATCGCGGTCGCACCACCTCTCAAATACTTATTACACCTATTCGAAACTACGTTGCCATCTTTCGAAAACATTTAAACGGGCTCAAACAACTACTTCTCGAATTCCAACTCCTTCCGGACATACTATCCTGGAATCAGCTGTGAAACCCAGCCGCTCCGACATGTCTTCATCAGAGGATGAGATGCCTCTCGCCAGAGGGCGTCGAAAATCCAATGGCCGAGCTGTCCTTCCCGAAAAGATTGACCCCGCTGTGGATCGCCGAATGGAGGAAGAATCTATGGAGATCGATGCCGCACATACTCCAGGGATGGCTATGGACCCTGGAAAGGTTTCCAAAGTTATCAATGGTACTTCTGGCAAGCGGAAAGCTGCCATGAAGCCCGCCATCAAGGAAGAAGACGATGATGAAGAGTCGGATTCTGCCCCTTTGGTACGTTATCCCTCATCGCAATTTCGACAACATGTGCAGTATCATGCTGACCCGAACCTATAGTCTAAAAGAAGACGAACTACCGTCAACGGCACAAAGAAACAACTTGTTGATTCGGAAGACGAAGACGACATCCCGCTGAGCTCTTCAAGGAGACGATCGACAAAATCTATGAAAGAAGAATCCGAATCAGATTTCGAAGATGACGATGACGATGACGTTCCCCTTCAAAAGCTAGCCAAGGACAGAAAGAGCATCGAAAAGGCTGCCGCCAAAGCCACTCCCAAAAGCAAACCTGCAGCAAAGGCTACCCCAAAGACAAAATCCGCCACCAAACGTAAACCGAAGGACGAGACACCCTCCGATGCTTCCGACAGCGATATCCCCATCGCCAAGCAAAGAAAAACAGCATCAGCTAAGAAATCCAAGGTAATTAAAGATGAGGAAGATAGCGAAGAGCCTACCCCCGCCAAAGGCAAGAAGGGCAAGGGCAAAGCCGCAGCGCCCGCGCCGAAGAAAGCCGCCAAGGGTAAGGCTAAGAAGGAGGAGGAAGCAGAGGAGGAAGCAGCAGGAGCTAGCCCCGACGGTGAAGAGCAATCCGACGAGTACAAGTGGTGGCTCGCCGAGCAAAATGACGGAAACCAAAAATGGGAAACTCTTCAGCATTCTGGTGTCATGTTTCCCCCCCCTTACGAACTACTTCCCAAGAATGTCAAAATGAAATACGATGGTGTCCCAATCACTCTTGGCCCGGAAGCCGAGGAAGTCGCTGGATTTATGGCTGCCCTTCTTGAAGCACCCCAGGCTAGTGATAAGAAATTTCTCGACAATTTTTTCGCAGATTGGAAAACAGTTCTTAAGGAAACCGGTGGTGCAAAGGATAAAAATGGAAATACCGTCAAAATTCAGAGCTATGATAAATGCGACTTCCGCCCCATGTTCGAACACTTCACCGCTCTGAAGGAGGCAAAGAAGGCCATGTCAGCTACTGAGAAGAAAGAAGCCAAGGCAGAGAGGGAGAAGATTGAGGAGCCGTATCAATACTGCCTGTGGGATGGCCGCAAGGAGAAGGTTGGAAACTTCCGCGTCGAACCCCCCGGTCTATTCCGAGGCCGTGGTGAACATCCTAAGCGTGGCATGTACAAGAAGCGTGTTGCTCCCGAACAGATTACGCTGAACATTGGCAAGGGAGCCACGGTCCCACCACCACCCAAGGGGCACAAATGGGGTAATATTGTCCACAATCAAACAGCTTCGTGGCTAGCTATGTGGACCGAAAACATCAATGGCAACGTCAAATATGTTATGCTTGCTGTCACTAGTTCCTTGAAAGGCCAAAGTGACTTCAAGAAATATGAGAAAGCTCGTGAACTCAAGGTAATTTCTATTTTTCTTTTTCTTTTCAATTCACTAGTTGAGTGAGTAGTTCTGACACCTCGGATAGAAACATATTGAGAAGATCCGTCGCGAGTATACACAAGAGCTGAGCGACAAGCAGACCATGGTTCGACAGCGAGCCACCGCTATTTATCTAATTGACAAGTTCGCTCTTAGAGCAGGTAATGAAAAGGGTGATGACGAGGCGGACACCGTCGGTTGTTGCAGTTTGCGATACGAACATGTTACTCTTGAAGAGCCTAACCTTGTCCATTTCAAGTTCTTGGGTAAAGACAGTATCCAATTCGATCAGGTCTACACCGTCGATAAGCAGGTTTTCAAGAATTTGCGTATCTTCAAGAAGGCGCCCAAAGGCCCGGGCGATGACCTTTTCGATCGTATTCAAACAAAACACATCAATGAGTGGTTTAAAGAACATATGCCAGGACTCAGTGCAAAGGTCTTCCGTACCTACAATGCTTCCTGGACCATGCAACAAGAGCTTTCCAAGATGAAGAATATTGGCACCATCGCTGAAAAGCATGCCGCTTACAACGAGGCGAACAAGAAGGTCGCAATTCTCTGCAACCATCAACGTACCAAGAGCAAGATGCACGACTCCCAGATGGAAAAGAAGATGTATGAGATCAAGGCATTGATGTACCAGAAATGGAGGTTCAAGCAGATGATCCTGAACTTAGAGCCAAAGCTCAAAAAAAAGAAACCAGAGTACTTTAAACTAGACGCTGAGATCGATGACCAAGACTGGATTAAGGAACACCAGGAATGGCTTATCGAGGAAGAGAAGAAGAAGATCGAAAGGAAATTCGCCAAGGATAATGAAAAACTCGTGGCAAACGGCGAAAAGGAGATGAAAGCTTCTGAGCTCAAATCTCGCCTAGGCGCACTCGACGATATGAAGAAAGAGTTCGCGAAAGAAAACAAGTCTGGGAAGGTGGAGGCCGCTGGGAAGTCCCCGTCCGTCGAAAAATTCGAGGAACAAATCACCAAACTCGATGATAAGATTCAGGTCAAGACTAGTATGATGAAGGTATGTATCCTATCATTTCGAATTGCCTATACAATAACATCACTAATAAACCCCACAGGACAAGGAAAATACGTCGGAGGTGTCGCTTGGCACATCCAAGATCAATTACATTGATCCTCGTCTATCTGTTGTCTTTTGCAAGAAGTTTGGCGTCCCTCTCGAGAGAATTTTCCCTAAAACTCTTCGGGATAAGTTCAAGTGGGCCATTGAAAGTGTCGACGAGAACTGGGAGTTTTAACAAAGAAAAAAGCCTCTATTCTCTTGTATAAGTACCTAAGAGTTGTTTCCTAGAGGGCCGATTTATTACAATGCGGTTTCTATATAAGCATGGCTTTTTCGGCATCCCGAGGGCTGCCCCGAACCCGATATTCCTCTTTAAGCCACCCCACTGCATATTTCGGCAATTGGGTAAAGAGAATAAACCACTGCACCGAGATACCTTCCATTCATACTGTGACATATTACATTACACATTACACATTACAACCCCTTTCTTTTCTTTTCTTTTCTTTCCTTTTCAATACCTATAAACAAGTGTCGCCGTCCACTCGGAGGAGGTGGTTTTTCTCCCTGCAAGCAGATACTTTATAGATTTAGATAGCTGTAGCACGGCTTATGATTAGATGCTAATGAATACTCATGGGAGATAAATGCACCGGATATGCATATATATACACTGAAGAGAAGCGCAGCTTAAAGTCACCTCGACGAATTGTAAATAGATAGTAAGCTAATACGATTGTTACCGCAATTTAAGGGGAGGGGGGGGGAGAAGCTCAATAGCCTGGTAATTGTGATGTCGATTTCTTAAATAAGTGATGGAATTCAATGATAAACCAGGTACTATACTAACGATGTTCAATACAACTGGTGCAACCCGTAGCAAAACCAATGCCGCAAGCGATGTGAGGCCGGAAACCATCTCTTCGATATTCACCAACGTCACAATTGCTTCATAGCGGACCCGGACCGAAACAGGATTACCCTTTCAACCCATTCACTCATCAAACCTATCATACATCGCCATAAAGCGCGTGACCTTCTTACTCTCCCATAAACTATGATCCACGAGATCCCTCAAGAATCCGTGCGCCGTCTAGGGTCAACCCAAGTCATCACAGACCCTATCACTGTCATTAAAGTAAGACTTCCCTAGACCAATACCCATAAAATACACTTATCTAGATTTGTTCAATGCAATTAACCTTATTGCGGTTCATGCAACACAGGAGCTCGTCGAAAATGCGTTGGATGCAGGAGCTACATCTATCATTGTCGAAGCTAGTTCAGACTTGGTTTCTCATATACAAATAAAAGACAATGGGTGTGGGATTGATCCAAATGATCGAAACCTAAGTAGGTAGTTCTATGATGCTGTTCTCTATATATACACGGTTTATTGATATTCACACAACTGACTTTCTTGTTACATAGTGGCTAAGCCCCATTGCACCAGCAAGATATCTAAATTCGATGACTTGCTGGATGTTACCACCCTTGGCTTTCGAGGTGAGGCGTTAGCTAGCCTTGCCAATGTGTCTGGGCTACTTACAATTATCACTCGTGTAAAAAATGAAGCAATGGCGGTGGCATGTGAGATCGCCTCCGACGGATCTCTCAAAACGTAGCCTTCCACCCCCTATATATATACTTTGGCCTCAAGAAGCATCAAACCGTTAACTTCTAACTCCACAAATACCGTATAGAATATCCCCAGTTTCGGCACCAATCGGGTGTACCGTCAAGGTAACAAACCTGTTTTCCAAGTTTCCAGTTCGAAAATCTACATTGGAAAAAACAGCAGCAAAGTACCTGGGCCGGATAAGACCTCTATTACTATCATATTACCTTACACATCCACAGACTCGACTCCAATTTAGGTGCGTAGCGGCACCGCAAGGTAATAAAGGAAAAAAGAAGATTGAGACGAAATATGACGTTGTTTTTACTGCAAGTAGTACAAAGGAACAGGCGGTCATCAAGGCGTTTGGAGCAGAATCTAATCGGCACGGGCAGTGGATTGAGAGTAAGGCCGAAGATGGTGATGTTCACGTTGAGGCTTTCATAGTAAAGCCTGATGCCGGTATAATTCCAACTAGTTCGCCCTTCCTCGAGGATATACGATACTGAAATCGCAATTAATAATAGATACAAATCCCATCTCCAAAAAGGGCGTATGCGTGGCATACAAGAACCGTCCTTTATCCATCACTCGAAATCAAGGTTTAGCCCACTCTATATACAGCCTTTATAAAAAACAAACCAAACTGGCCTTTACTGCGAGGTCGGTCGATGCACCTACGGAGCCGTTGTTATTTCTCAACATACTCTCCAGCGTCGGGAAGGTGGATGTCAACATTGAGCCTGCAAAGGATGATGTGCTCTTTGAGAGTAATGAGAAGGTGATCGGCTGTATCAAGGAATGTTTCGAGCAAGTGTATGGTACTGAGGAAGAATTCAGGAGGAAAGGGAGGACCAATGACGACTTTAGCAGCGAAGCTACGAATGATTCTGTGGTTCCAAGCGAATTTCCAATCGAGCAGACACTCCAAAAGGCTCCAACATTCGTACCTGAGATATCCGGGACAGCAGAACAGCTATTAGCTGAAACTAGAAGCCATGCACCTTCGAGTTCCCCGCCAATTAAGATTAGTTCAAGCACGATTCGTGCCCAACATCAAAAACCCCTTGGTCGGAATCAAACCGCTCCCGAAGAGGTGGAAGAGGACATCCCACTTACATATAGTGAAATCTCCCAAGGCAGGCCGAATACCAGGAAACAGGAAGATGGATGGAGCTTTAGCATGTATGGTTCAGGAATCGATGAGGACGAGGATGCAGACTTCGTGGATATCGAAGAAATTATGAAAGGAACAGAAAGGCAACAGGCTGCACGGGGTATGGACTTCGCACGAAGATTAATCCACGACTAAGAGCTAACGAACATATAGAGGAGGATAGTCGCAGGGATAAATCAATATCTAATCCGTGGACGATCTCGAAGATGAATTCGCGGGTTACGCAGCAAGAAAAACAAGCTGATATCCCTCAAGCAGCCTCTGCGGCAAGAAGTCCTACAGTTCCGTTACCATCTTTTCCCTTTCAAACCCAAGGAAGGGAGATTCGGAGCTGTAACCCTGGGATACCAAACGCGATGGAAATCGCAAGTCTATCTAGTGCACTGGCTATCGCCAATACTCCGACATCTAACACTCCCATTACACGGATATCAGAGAGAGGGAACCTTTGGTACCCCAACTTTGGGAGCGATAATAACACGAGTTCTCCAAATAGACGAAAGAGATGTCTTATTCCTGAAAGATTGTCCGAAGCCGCCAGTACTTCCTCGTCTCGAACGGCACAGCAAAGTGCCCACCTTCCGGGTGCTCAAAAACCTGTTCGCAAATCAGCAGGTCCAATCGATACCTGGATTGGGGCTAATAAAGCAACTGAAGAATCTCATACTTCGTCCTTGGCGGGTGATGATCACGAAAGTGCCACTCCACTACCCATTTCCGTTTTCTTCGGTACTCCAGATTTAGGTACATCTAGTAGACCTGGGGACGGAGGACGCGGTATATTTCCATCTGCATCAGACAGAATGAGAGAAGAGAGAAGAGCAACGAACCCACAAATCGACGAGGAATGGAAAGAAGAAATATCTTCATCTGAAAATGACGAACCCCACCAACCAGAATTTGAACCACCAAAGAATTCTAGAGCTTCTGCATCCAAGCTCTTGATTTCTACCGGTCGGTCAAACCCAACCAAGCTCCCATCTACCTACAAAGTTTCCAATAAATCCTCCAAGCCACAGCCCGGAACATCAAAATTTCTAAGAGATGTCGAAGAAGACGATGTATTCCCTCGAAAAATGAAACTTTTAGTCACAACATTACCTAAATTTGACTTGCGTTCTCTACGCTTTCGTGCCCGTCTAATTGAAGACGACTTGTATGATGACGAGTATGAAACAGGGGAAACATGTCCCAACGAGTTGGAACTAAAGAAACCGTTCTTCTGCTTTCTAAAAAAGTATGTTGATGGTGCGGACTATTCGGATGATACGGAATTAGAGCTACTACAAGAGGACATCCTAGACGGAAGGGAGTTCGATTTAAGCTTCCAAAATCTTGCTAGTAGGCAGTTTGCCACCGCATAATATCTGACTGGAAATAACCAAATTCTTCTCCACCCATAGCCCCTATAGCTACCCTAATACCAATGGTATTTTATTCCCAGCTTCCCATGCCCCATCCATATGATACATTAGCATGCCCCTTCCGTTTGAAATTTTGAATTGGTGACCCCTTTGCATCACCTGGCTTGTATTGTAGCATACAAGTATTGTACTGCAAGCCTTTCATAGCTCTTCGTAGGTGGTATTTTGTATTTTACCCATCAAAATGCCCTTGAGACAACAGCGTCTCTAATCCTTAGTATAGTCTTAAAACTCATGTAATTCCTCGCTAAGAGATTGGTTCTCTTCATCCATCTTTGATAACCTTGATCAATTTCCCTTCTTCCGGGGTGTACCTCAGCCAAGCCGGAGCCCATCTCTCGTCGTACTTCAAAGTTGGCTCAAACTTCTCGATAAACTATAGAATCCCCGAAACCGTCAGTTCTCCACGAATCCCCATCGAGCATAGAGGAATTCAAAGAAATGGTAAAGGACCTCCAACTAGGGGGAAATTTAGGAGGGGTGCGTGTGTGTGTGAAATACCTCTACATCTGCCTTGCCCTTCTCCCCAGCAAAATAATAATACTCAAGCTTAACTGACCCAAATGCCCAATTCTGCAGCAGCTTCCTCATACAAGCAACCAGAACTCCAGAGCGATGTTTCCCCTTATTGGAATGTATCAACACCGGGAAGTTTCTGTTGTCGAGCAGAAGCTCCAATGCTAGCCGCATGCTCACGGGGTCATTTTCAACCTTTTCCTTCTCCTTTTCCTTCTTCTCCTTCCGTTCCCTTTCTTCCTCGAAAATCATAGCAGCGGCGGAATCTCTTCTTGAAATCGCAGACCCTCTTCTCGATATCGTTGTACTCCCATCTTCGTTAACGACTTCGGAAGCCGTATCTAGCCCATTTTCCAAAAGAGATCCATCTGCGTTGTCATCTGTTGCATTATTGTCACCCCGGACCTGCTGAACTCGGAAATGGAAGACCTGGATATTATTTTCCGCGACGAATCGCTGGAGGTCTGTGGGGAGATCCTGGTCGGCGAGGTAGATGATGGATTTTAGGTGGAGTTTTGATAGGAAAGGGAAGTTGAGGGGCATGGGACAGCCGGAGCGGTAAACACCCGTAGAGACCAGGGCGAAAGAGAGCGGTGGGATTTGCACGGACGGGGTAGGCGTTGCTGCCATGGAGGGCTCTGCGGGTGGAGATGGTGGTGATGATGATGAAGGCATTCTTTTGCTCTTTCCCTCTCTGTCTCTCTTTACTCTTCCTATCCTGGTATACTTCCTTGTCGTCTTCCTTTTCTCCCTTCCTTACTTACTTCCTTCCTTCCTTTTGTTTTTTGTTTTGGTTTAGTTATGCATATTGGGATGTTAGGAAACTGCTAGCTAACGTTGTCGTGATAGTATTGGATCACGACCCATTCGGGTCTGGTTGGCTGTATAGCTACAGGTGCTGATTCGTGCACAGATGATAAACTCCAACTGCTTCAAGCCTTCCAACAAAAAAAAAAAAGAAAAGAAAAGAAAAGAAAAGAAAGAAAGAAACCGATTGAGATATCGATGTAATATACACAAATGATAAGTAAAAGCCAGCCGGACTTGTAAGAACATCTACGGGAGCCTCACTCCCAATTGCTCCGCAATTATCCCCCGTTTAGCATACGCACTAGCTTTGCCATCAATCTCTACCCCGAAGGCCCGGAGTGCAGCATCACATTGTTCAACTAAATTTTTTTTTTTTCGCAAAGAAGTTTTAGAGTTAGCTATAAACTTAAACACTCAAACTACGTATACTTGACGTCTGATTGACTGATGAAATTTTTTTTTTAATCAGATCGGTTTGTATTGATATTTGTTCAGCGTACCATTAAAAACATTCAGATCATTCAAATTCCGGGGCATCGCGCCACGCAATCCATGCGGAACAACCGCTGGGATGAGAAGGGTCTCTGTTCGACCGAGATGACTGTTGTGGAGCTGTAGTCTCAATAAGGTATTCCTGCGCAACCGTACCGTTTAAAAACATGTCCAGGCGTTTGTTAATGTACTGCAATTCGAGGGAAAACATGCATACCGCTCTTTTAACCTGGCGACTTCTCTCTCAAGGGTCGCAACGGATTTAGCCACCTCCAGCACGGTGAGGACTATATTTGGTATCGCGGCTACTCGGTCGATTTCTGGGTTGGTTAGAGTTTCGAGCTCTCTAAGCGCAGCCGACGTTGACATCGATATGTCTGGGTGTGTATGATCCATTGGAAGCCTCAGTTAATTGTCAAACGGTAGAGAGTTTGGTACGCGCAAAAGGAGTGGGGGCGTTGAACAGTAGTACCAGGGAGAACCTTATAATTATTCGGCTTGATGAAGAAAGGAAAGATCTCGATAGAAGATAGATTTCAATTCACTGTCCTTATATATATTAAGGACTTATACCTTGTATTCATTGATTGCGAGCGGGGCTTAGTCTCGACAAAACCGCAGCTGATGATGTACACTGGTATCAATATGCACCAAATTTGCAAAGAACAGCTAATACGTCAACGTCGTCTATGCAACATATTTATTTGTAATCTGATTTTGACTTATGGTGATAATTCTATGTAGTTTTACAGCCTAGGCTATTAATAAATAACATATATGCAGCGCTCCCTCAGTATAAAGTCTCCGAAGAGAGTTTAGACAATAGGCGTAATAAATAATACCCATTATGGGAAAACCAAGTAATTGTGCGAAGGTTTTCCTACACCATCAACCTATCGCCTCCCAATAACACCAGCCCGATATGGAAACCTTTAATTGAAGAATAATAACGCCCGCTTGCTTGCTGGGGGAGGGGTATCAAGGAGTGTAGGTAATGGGGAAAAACAAAAGGAGAAAGAACTCAGGAAGAGATGGAAAAAGCCAGAAGAAGAAGAATATGTGATTTAAAAGGAATAATGAATAAAATGGATGTATAAATGTGGAATGCGATAAAGGGGGGAAGACGCTAGGAAAACAGAAATGTGTGAATAATACCATGCTTTGGAACAAGAATGGAGCAAGGGGCGATAATCGCTGTGAAACAAGAAACGGTAACAAAGAGAGGGGTCGCTGGGAGTAAAGAGGGAATAATTAAGCTCAAGAACGGAGACGGGTTCGGTTCAGCATGCCAATCCTATGTTCTATATTCAATAGAAAAAAGGCGTTCAAGAGACGACTTCGCCGCATTGCAAGCAGTGAATATCTTCGTCGATAATTGTGTCGGAATCCAATCCTGAATCAGAATCGTTGTCGCCTTTTTTGGTGACTTCCCTGATGCGAATTTTTCCCTCGAACAAGACAGCTGCGATGCCCTGGTCAGGCTTAGATGTCGATTTTTTGGTTTTATCACGGCTTTTGTTGGCTCCCTTCTCCAGGGGGGTCGGATTTGGGTCGGATTTCAAGTCGTCGCTGATTTTGGCAGTGAGGCTGGACTTTTTGTGGCGCCTGATAGCGTCCTTGATGATACACTCTTCGTGCATCCAGATTTGACATTCGGAACAGTTTACAATCTTGGTGTCTGGATTGTAATATCGTTTACAAATGCAAAATTGTCTGGGAGTCTGTAGAAATTTGAAGATATAAGTACATGCATATAAGCCTTGGTAGATATGAGTAGGGGAAGGGTATTTGAGAATTTACAGTCAATTGGCCGCTCAAATAATCAAATTGTTGGCGGTAGTAGTATCCCTCAATGGAAGCATCTTCGTCCTCCTCGTCCCATTCCTTGATGTCAGCTTTACCGTTAACGGTCATGGCATCGATGATATCAGGATGGTTGCTTTCGATGACCTCGTTGCGACCATGGTATTCCATCCGACCCATAGGGAGATCTTCTGGCCAATAAAACCACGCGATTCGCACGTAAACGTGGGAAGGGTCGTCCGCCCTGACATCGAGAACCTTAGCGATCCACTCCCTTCGCTCTCCAGGAACACCATCGTTCCCAGGGCGTTTAACTTCCACGATGTCACCACGCTTGAAAGTTATTTCGCTGTTGATGAAACTGCTGTAACTTCTCATTCTGTGCCATTTTGAGGGCTGGATTATTAGCTTGCTGATGATATCAACTTCAAATTTGGCTTTCGGCTTCTTTCTGTTCCTTGGTTGCTTTGGAACATCGATTTTGACAGTGAACTCGGTGGCTGCTAGTTCGAATTGACGATTGCTACTAGTGCTGCTGGTGCTCCAGGTATCCTCGTTGGGTTCTAGCAGCCTGGGTGCGGAGTTTGACCTCTTTCGTTTTAGAGCCATCGTACCTGAGGCACCTGCAGGTATCAGACGGGCAGCACTGGTTAACCACGTGAGAAGAAGAAGTAAGGGAAAAACACAGAAACTAGGCCGTGATGGGAGGTGAAGGAGATGGGATGTTGGATTGGATGTTTAAGTGATGTAGGAGGAAACAAAGAGAAGGTGAGTGATGATGGGAAATAAAATAAAAAAAAATAAAAAAAGGTGAGTGAGCTAGAAGGCAATCAATCTATGGCCAAATGAATGCAACACGCATTTTCACACACGCAGCCTGCATCACACACACACCACACACCCAGGTTATCGGCCAACCAAAGGCTCAGAACCGTGCAGAGGCCAACAAGTCTGAACATGGACAGGGCACTAGCAGGTATCTCGAGTGGCACAAATGCTCTAGATTCATACGGTCTCGGTCCATCGGGACATCTTGCTCTGAAGTTCTGAGGTAGCATGCATGCCCGGCTAGAATGTTTCGTGCTGTGCCTCTTTTCGTTTATTTTATGGAAATACGCTAGTGCCTAATGCCTGTTCGGATGGTACACCCTTCCCCCCCATGCAAGTAAGTACTTACATCGCTTGTGTCTAAGTACCGTGTAGGAGGCGTCAACAGTTGACAGGCATTACATCTGTCGTACTTTCTCCTCTAACACCCGGACCCACTGCTCCACTTGCTGCATGTTACCCCCAACCGTCTTCTCGTTCTCTCCGACTGCCGCCTCAACCTTTTCCAGTGCTTCTTTCCACTTGGTAATCTCAATTTGCATTTCCTCCTGTCGCTTCTCGACCATTTCAAGGGTTTGCATGCTCCTAGCTGCTTCCCCATGGACACTTCTCAGACTCCTGAGCCTGTCTAGAACTGCAGGAAGAAGTGGGGATAGCCTGTCAATGGTCTCCAGGGTGCCGTACAAAGCGTTTATCTTGGCCTCGTTTTCGGCGTCTGAAAGGTACGATGGCCCTTCAGGGAGAGTACCGGCTATCGCTGCTTCTTCCTCCCCAGCAGCGCGACGACTCTCCAGCGCGGCTTTCGCTGCCTTACGTGCCTCTGTAAGTTTTTCAGCATCAGAAGCTAAACTCTTAACCCTCCTCGCAGCAGAGTCCAAAGACGACGCGGATGTATTTGTAAGAACTGTGAGCTGCTGCGTAAGCGTCTCAAGTGACGATATGATCGCGAAATTCGTTGGGATAGATGCTAAAGACTGCGCTGAGGATATACCCAGCAATCTTTCCAACAGGGTGATCCTAGAGTCGAATTCCGCAACCTTGGCTAACGTGTGTGTCTTTTTGAAATGCGGTGAGTAAGTCACCGTATAATTTGCTGTGATCCCCGTAGATTCCACGATTTCACCCGATGGCGGGGCCGCTACCGCTGCCTGTGTGTTTTCAGGGTCAGTAACCGCCCGTGGTGGCACCTTGAGTCCATTAGCTAGCTTTCGCGCAAGGTCCGCCTCCGCGCCGCCCCCCTTCCCCTTTGCTGTCATTAGTTCTTCCATCACTTCCGCCAACCTCTCCCAGCTTTCTTCGTCGGGATCCTCCACTTCCCCATCCTCGCCCTCGGAGATCCCTTGTTCTAATCTAAACTCCTCCTTCTCCTCCCTCTCCTTTTCAATCATATCCTTTAATTCCTCCATTTCCCTCCTTAACCTAGCTAATCTCTTCCCCACCCGTTCCTCACCATCAATTTCACTTTCCCCTCCGTCATCATCGAACAGCTCATCCTCGTCATCGCCATACAGCTCCCTCTCCCCTTCATCCATCCGGTTTCTCTGTCGATTCAAAGTCGTAGTCCGGTAACTCTGCCGCTTCGATGCAATCCTGTCTGAGAAGTCTGCATCACTGGCGTCTACTTGTGCATTTTTGAAAACATTCCGTGCGAGTCGTGGATGGAGTCTAGGGTGGGCGATTTCGCGGTGCTCGTTGTCGTCAGTTTGGGAAGAGGCGGAGGAGTGGTCGCCGTTCCCTCGGGAGGGTGACGTCTATGTAATTATGAATTGTAAGTGTTAGAAAATAAAAATAAAAATAAACAAAGAAAGGGAATGTAAGTTTGATAGGGTAAATCATAGCGGCAGCGGGTATGGGGGTTGTCATACGGGGAGTGTGGAATCATCGGTCAGGTCGGGTGTCTCGAATACATCCTTCGCAGATGTGTCCTATCATACGTCATGTTAGTGATTGAATCAGAAAGATAAGATATTTTGATGGAATAGATATAGGGCTTACGATATCGGGAAGCGCCGAGTATTTGCGGTTTGTGGCCGCCATTGTAGAATAAAACCTCAACCGGCTGTTGGAGGGAGGGGGGGGTGGAGAGGTAGATAAAAAAAGGTTGAAGTTGGGAAGCTCAGGAAGCTCAAGCTTAATAGTTAAGGGGAACAACACACCGCTTTCATTCTAGCGAACGGGTCCAAGTTTTACGTAGTAGCTGCTAAGTTAGTGGCTGGTACAGATCCAGACCAAACGGCACGGTGCTTAATAGGCATGGATGAAATATAGATACTACTGTGAAGTATCGAAGCTAGGTGATGGTTGGTTATTAAATATTAAGTATGTTTGATAGTTATTGCACTAACTGTACTACACACACTATTCTTCTTGTCTATAATCTTATATATCTTACACACTCGCAGCTCAACAAAGGGAATCATCTACCACCATCAACCAATCACCTACCTCCACTACAAACCATCTCGACAAATGAAACGTTTATCACACGCTCTCTACTACATAAGAAATCAATAGTGCTCAATGGGAAAGAAATGGGAAAGATTAATGATGAAGAGGGGACAAGATTAATGTTCGAAAGAGAATGGTTGAATTAGAAGCAAATGAATTTATACATTCCCTAACTCATGGCTTTGGCGTATTGTACAGAAGGGTTTAAAAAAGACAAAGGAAACAAAAACACGGCTGGCTAAACTGGCATCACTTCAATTAATAGGATCCTCCGATGGGGAAGAGCTTGGCGCAACCGAAGTGGGTCTCGACACCGCCGTTCATGTTAGGATCCTTCCATAGATCATCACTAGAAAAAAAAGGGGCACAATGTTAGAATATGTATCAATACAAGGGGTGATGATGGAAGTTAAACTTACTAAGTGCTGAAGTAAGAAATGTGACCATCGTCGACGGCGTAGATGGATTCAATAGCGGCGGCTTGCTCGCCAGGTCCGGCGATAGCGTTGTTGATAGGAGCACCGCCGGATGGCCAACCGGCTTCCAAGCAGAAGGTCTCAAGGTTGCAGACGGCTATCAAAAAAATGAATCAATTAGCTAATGAGTCCTAAAATGAACGTGTAGACTGGCAAAATCGATTTGCTACGTACCTTGAGCTTGTTGCATCTGTTGCTTGAGGAACTTTCCGGCTTCAGCGGCGTAACCACCGTTGAAGTAGGGTTGGATGTTGACAGCAACAACGTCGATGACACCGCAAAGACCTGGGTTGGCTTCAAGGGAGGAGACGACCTCGGAGGTGGTGACCTTTCCAGGGTATCCAGCGGCCTTGAAGATTCCCTTGCACTCAGCGATGAGGCTGACGAGATCGGAAGAAGAGATGATACCACCCCAGACGGACTCGTTTCCAATGACGATAAGCTCGGTGATGTCCCATCGCTTCCAGACGACCAACTTCTCAACCTGGTTCTTGACATCCTGGTAATCATAAACATTGCCGGTCTTGCGGATGAAGACGCCCATAACGATCTTCAACTTGTACTTGTCGCAAGCATCAGTAATGTGCTCCAAAGCGTCGCAGTCAGGGGCATAGACACGGATGGATCGGAAACCCTTGTTGGCAACCTCCTCGATATCGGTGAAGATCTGATCACGGGTCTTGCAAGACTTGTCATTGTTGTACTGAGTGTAAGTGATACACCATTGTCGTCCAGTTCCAACGTTGCTGTAGTCGATTGGGCCAGATGGCTTGGTTGGCTTAGGGGTCTCAGACTTGACGGTAGAGGTCTTTGGTAGAGTATAGGCTGGGACTTCCTCCTTGGTGGTTGGGACCTCGTATGTTGGGACCTCTGGAGTTGGCTCGGGCTTGGGCTCAGGCTTGGTCTCAGGGGTATAGACCGGAGCTGGTGGCTGCTCATGTGGAGTGTAAGCAGGAGTTGGTTCCGGAGTAGGCTCTGGAGTTGGCTCAGGAGTTGGTTCCGGGGTGGGTTCAGGAGTTGGCTCAGGAGTGAATGGAGCATAGGGACAGGTGTAGACATAGGATGGAACGGTGACGGTGACGGTCTTGACTGGGTGGGTGTAGGTTCCAGGAGTGTAGGTTTCGACGGCTGGATAAGTGATGGTATGGGTCTTGGTGATAGTGGTCTCGTGTCCACCATATGTGTATGTTCCAGGGGTTGGGCACTCGAAAACGGTGCTGGTGAGGGTGGTGTAGACACCAGTTCCCGAGGTGTATGTGGAAGCATACGGACAAGTGACGGTGGTCAAGGTCTCGGTGACGACCTTAGTTCCAACACCGTATGTATGGGTTCCCGGTGGCAGGACGGTGGTGGTTGGAACGCAGACATACTCTGTGGAGGTCAGAGTGATGGTCTTCGCGGGGAAAGTGTAGGTACCTGGGGTCTCGCAGGTGGTGACCTCAGGTGTCGGGACGGGGACGGAGCAGGAGTATGGGACCGTCGTGTGTGGGGTTGGGACGAGAGTGACTGTAGACTTGACGTATTCGGTGGTGTCGTAGGTTGGCTTTGGGGCTAAATTAGATACAACATGTTAGATAAAATATCAAAACCAAAATAGGAATTCCCGTATTGTTGTTTCTCCACTGATCTTCTCCTTTCAGGATCCGATATCATCATAGTGGATATTTCTTCACATTTCAAGCAAATGATGATAATGACGATTATAAGTATATAGACATCACGATGTTTCTCGTGGTGTTTCGCTTTGTTTTGTTTTTGTGTAGCCACACCTTCCTCGTGGAGATGTGTTGTGTTGCACAAATGCAACAAAAACAACCAACCACCAGAACCAAAAGGATATTATCGTGAACCAACCGAAGGAAGGAAGGAAGGAACGATATGAAGAGGGGTGGGAATGGGAACGGGAACGAGATAACAGGAATGGGAACGGAGGATTGAATACTTACGATTGTACTCAACCCAGGTGGTATAGGTAACGATTTTGCAAGTCTCAGCATCCTGCGCCGCCGGGGCCTCGTAACCATAATTCCTCTTGTGGACATTGTGGTGGGCATGTCGTCGAAACAAAGAGCCGGCTTCAGCTCCCATAAGGAGAGCGGAAGCCGCAAGGGCAACAGCAGCGGATCTCATGATGGAGGATTTTGTATTTTCCTTCTATGCCTTCTCTTTCGAAGAATGAACTGAAGTGAAATTGGATTGGATTGAATTGAATTGAATGGGTGGGAAACTAGAAATTAAGTAGTTGGATATTATTCGTGTTGGTCGGATTTAGAATTGAACAGCCGCTGAAGGAGTGAAGCGGGAGTGTCTACTAAAAGCAAAACAGCAGGGAACGAGCGTCGAAAAGAATCGCGAGAAGGCGGTTCCTATACGATCAGAAGTCAAAAGAAAAAAGATGGGAAGGGAGAGAAAAGGGTGGAAAGAAGTCGGAGGGAGAGAGTTCCATAAAATACTGGAAAGCTGGGTGGAAGGGAAAAAGGGAAAGGAGGTTTCGCTAAGTTTGATTTGATTTGATTTAGTACAGCCAGTACAGCCAGTACAACCTCTTACCTGACAGGTCCATGGACATGGACATTTGTCTGTCATAGTAGTATTGTATCGCATGCAATGTAATGTAATGTAATGTAAAAGGTTACCCCTTTAATTCTCACCGGCCAATGCCATCAAAAAAGGCCCAGTCTCGGACCTGGGCAGGCCATGGCAGAGCATTGTATTCCAATATAAGGCAGGCACAGGCACACAGGCACACGCAGGCACACACAGGCACGGAGGAGTGGCCCAGGGGCAGGGGACGATGATGCTAAAAGTATGCAGTATGTATTATCTATCTACTAGCTAGCACACAGTTGACTGACTCGATCTACACCTGTATATACTGTGCATGGATGGAATAATTATATTCGATGATGCTCTCGGGAGGAGCCTCTCAAATAATAATAAAAAAATCACCTCTCGCCGACGCTTTTCGTATTCTTCTCCCCTTCGAGAGAGGAAAGTCCATGCATACATTTAACTAGTACAAAAATACTAATACTAAGTACCTATATATATAAATATGTAAAAGACGTTGGAGAGGCTAATGTTAGTTCCATGCAAGGTACTAATACCACCATCATTCATCATTCCAGACCACCAGAATTAATATTGTCTTTCCCGTCGTTGTTTTTGTTGTCGTTGTCGTTGTCGTTGTCGTTGTTCTTATAAATAAAACCCACTTTAACCAAACACCAACATCGATCACTCACGATTCTTCCTTTCCCACTGCGATTTGGGAGAGAGAGAAAGAGAGAAAAGGAAAATCACAGGTGATATGTGCTGGCAACATGCTCCCGGAACGGTAAGGCGGGTAAAAAAAAAAAGTCCAATTGCCGGACACCTTCAGCGAGATGAACGAGGTTTTGAAATTCGGCTTGGGGAAGGTCCTGATGGGAAATTACTCCATACCTAAAAATTAAACAGAAAGAAGAAAAAAACAACAGGGACAAGCATGAAAAAGCAAAACCCTCTAAATATCGCGACTCCGACAATCCCTATTGGGTCAGGGGTGTCGTGGGATAGAAATCGTTCGGACGAGGCCATTGGTCAGTGCCCTATCATTTTTTATTATTTTATTGGGTTTTTTTTTTTTTACTTTTCTGTCGGTAGGCTTCACCATCATACATACATGCATAGGTACATACATACATAGTACATACATACACAGCACGTACACACTACATACATACGAACGTTCGAAATGACAGCTTTGGCTTCTACGCCTGGCGTTCGTGGGAACTCTTTAAACTCTTTTTTTTTTTGTATCCACTTGCATTGCATTGACACCCTGTAGCACATGTACACAGCATGTACTTACTCACATAGCGTATATTCATGGAGTATGTCCTGGAAAAGTGACAAAGAAAGGATCCCCAAGCGCCCTGTCCACACATTCTGGCACGCCGACATCGAGACACACTCACTTGCCCTCAATATTATATATCACCAGCAAGACTTAAGTAATTAAAATGACTGGAAACAACCTCCCATATCGTGTTCCAATTTCCGAGAGCAAAACCTGCGGTTTTAGCCTCTCTTTTGCCTTACGAAACTTTGAGTAAATTGTAATTGTCTCTCTTGGCTACACGACCCTGCCGAATACTACCCACCCCTTTTTTCCCTGCATCGCCAGAAACTCTTTCGCTTCCCTCGTTCATCACTAATTCCGCCTTGGTGCTTCCCCTTGTCTGTTGCAAATACTTACATACATACATATGTGATCAAAGGCTTCACAAGAGTCGAATTATTACCTTCTAGAATTCTATTGAATATCTATATATATATATATATATGTATATATTTACATAGTCAATTGCAAACGAATGTTCCGTCGCCATCAACCGACGGCTAGTTTATATTTAATTATAAGAAAAAGCCACACGTACGGATATAATAAAATACATCGATCATCAGCCTTCACGTATTATATTAGCTACGCGCACGTAAGCTGCTGCTGCTGCTGCGAGTCATCGTGCATACTAGTTAGTGCTGCTAGCTAAGTCAGTACTCATATATATTATATAATACATGTCCAAATAACCATCAACTAGCTACAGCGCTAGGCACGATTGCAAATTTAACTTTCAATGTGCGTGTACACACTTATATAATATGATCTATGCTCATCTGCCTTACTCACATCGGTTAATATCATCGGTACTCTAGTGTAGATATCCTATTTTATCTACATTCCGAGCTAAAATGCGATGTCACTTGGTTGGTGCCTTTGATAACTATGACCGTACGTACATACATGTACATGAGTAGAGAACAAATTTTCACCCGAACGAAGAAAGGAAGGACGTAATGGCTTCATGGCCTAAACTACCCTGGGTAGTCGCGCGATAAACGGAATATGCCAACAGACGGAAAAGAGGAGGAAAGAGGAGAGAAAAGCATATGCAGCCTGGTAACAAAAAACATCTCCGGTATCCAATATGCAAAATGAATGGCTAGAAAGAAAAAGAAAAAGACTGCTAATAAATCCCCGCATTGAAAAATAATGATTTTGAATCCCATCCCATACCCCAAGCGATAAAAACCCCCCCTCGCAATCCAGATATTCCACAAAAGTACTAACGATGTAAATCATGCAACAAACCTTATCTTCAAACAATTCCCAAATTGTCCATATTAACATCCCGCAACCTCATCCTTCGCCTGGAAATTCGAGGTTCGCCATCTTCATCCATTTCTTGTCCCATCCCCCCCCTACCCCACACATCTTCTTCGGAGTAACCCAGATGCCCAGTCTTCCACCTATCAAACTTCATCAACCCGCCCACCATTCTGTCCGAATTGGCAATATACAGATCCTGTCCGTCCGGTGAGAATGTGATCCCGGCAATCTCGCCAAAGAAGTCTATTCTTTGCCGACTTTCCCATGTGACAGCATCCACTATCGAAACCATATCTGCAGGTTCCGCGAACGCCAAGACCCTTGGTCCGCTGCCCACGGGCGTGAACCTCAAAGATCGAGCGCCCGCTATATCTGCATCGAGAACTGCCACTTCTCTTTTAAAGTTTCTGGCGTCGTAAACCCTAACCATCATATCCTGATTCCCGGTAGCAATGGTATGCCCATCGTCGGACCAGGCACAGGCAAACCCATAATCAAGATGCCCCGGCAGTCTGTGTATCGTTTCCCCGTCATCGGTACCCTGTATCACTACTTCTTTCGCATCCCCGACGATCACCCGCAGTCGACCATCCGGTGAAGTGTCAGCACAGTTGATCGCCCACGGCAGCTTATATTCAGCAACAATTTTGTTAAGATTACAGTCCAGAATCCGCAGCCTCTCGTCATTCGAAGAGAACACCGCATGTGGCGTACCCGTAGTCCGCGATTGGAAAAAGTGGACATGGTTTGTTATCCCATTACTATCAGTTGTGACTAAGCCCTCGATTGGCTTGGTTCCGACAGGCGAATCTAAGGACAGCATAGCATACTCCCCATAGAACCCGCCTGCAATGATGACCCCGAAGTCGGAAGCAAGCGTTGTAATTTTGATAGGATCCCCAGAACGTGGCCTTCGAAGGTCCATTATCGTCTGCTTGGCATCGGATTGCGGGTCATACCGCATGACTGTCGAGTCTCCAGTATAGAAAACATCGTTCTTTGAAGTCGACGAGATTACATTACGAAGTTGGAAATGCGAAAACTTCACATCGACATCGTTGCAAGTCTTCCGGAATCGGAAGTAGTTTTCTCTGATTGGAAGGAACCGTGGCATCTGCAGAGGTTAAGACAGAATGTAGTTAGAATATGTTTTTCCTTTTTTCTTTTAATTTGAGAAAGAGCAGTTGATTGCTTACTCTGTGAGGCTCTGGATAGGGCTTCATGTTGGCGTAGTTCGAGTATTTCCGATTCCTGAGCAGTCTGAACCTGTGCCTTTCCATGTCCAACTCCCGCCACGGTATTCCTTGGTAGTCCGGGCGATACTCATCAACTTGGCCCCTATAGACCATGGAAGGTAAATGGAAGTTAATGATCTCGATGAAATCTTGATTGATCTTGCACTCAGCGTTCCCAACCGGGTCTTGTCTATACTTCGCTGATAGCATATTGCAGAAATCCGAGAATGAGAGGTTTCTTTCATATTCTCCATGGAATTGGGGACCGGGCCACTCTGGTGAATCATCATCAATTGTGGTAGTGAACCCGAAGAAGGCATTTCCATTGCCCTGGAATATTCCAAAGGGAAGGTTTGGGTGGTTCGCGAGCCACTCTTGGGGAATGGTTTGAAAATGAGGGAAAAGAATTGGCGGGACAGTAGTGATAGTAGGTATGTTTTGGGGTGTTGTATTAGGATTGAAGGTCGGATTGTCGAGATCCATAGGGTCTGGTTGTTGAAGGAATGAATCAAAGTCGAACTCCGTTAAAAAGTCCGTCCCGTTTTCGAAGATTTCATAAGGGAAATCGGCGGGGGAAGCTGTGATGGGGGCTGCCTGTTGGTGAAGATGGTCGGGGGGGCCGATTGTGATCCCAGCAGGGGGGGATTCAGGATCACTTGACGGTACTGGTGCCACGGACGGTAGTGTAGAAGTACCGCCGACAAGGTACCCGGCTTCATCATCCATGCGGTCATTAGGATGTGGATCTTCATCGGAAGCAAAATCCGTATATATATCCTCGTAGGCAGATTCCATTGATACATCCTGAGAATCTATAGCTAAGTTGGCAACGGGAGTAGTATGGGCGGTTCCTGTAGTGGGTGAAGCAGCTAGCAAATGCACACCGTTGTCCCGTGACGACAAGGGATCATATCTTGCTGGATGTTCCGTTCCCCCGGGTATGTCCGACACTACTGAAGGTAGGATTTCCCGGTCATTCTGAATCATATTGGCACCATCCGGAAGTTCGACGGATTCTGTATGCGAAACTGGAGACTGCTGCTGCGAGTCAGAGCTGGCATGTTGTAAGAAGCCATGTTGGTGGTCTGAGTCTTCCAAGGGGACTCCGTTGTTTTCGGTAATATTGCTGGGCCAGCTGGGTCCGTCAAATTGATGACGTTGCAAAGAAACACCACCGTCAGCCAAGCCATCATCATGGAGAGAGCTAGAGCTAGAGCTAGTGGCGCTCGAGTTGGACAACGTCGGGCTCCGTGTCTGAGGCGAAGAAAGACCGACAACATCAGAGGCTGAAGGGGATGATGCATCGGCGTTGCCAGGCAGAGATTCGCAGTCAGTCTTCAAGGGAGGCAGCGGTGGCAAAAGCTCCAGCCCGACATGGTCCGTTAAATCGGTATCGGGAGCCTCTGGAAACTGGAGGAGGGGTGGTGATGGTGGTGGTGGTGATGATGATGATGATGAGTGCTTAGGTCCGGCATCGGTTGGGTAGACGGATGCCGACATGGACGTTGCTTGGTCGGAAAGACCGAAAGGTTCCAATGCTAATGCAGATGCAGATACAGTTGCAAATGATGTTGATGCTGGTGCTGATACCGAATCCGATAGTATGAGAGAGCTCGTCCGGCTACCGTCGACACTGGGCAAAGCATCGGCGGAGCATTGTTGTTGGGAATGTGCAGAGCCAGACATGCAGCACTTCTGCGACAGCGTCGGCAGCGGAACGTACGACCCGGTTCAAATTCGGGCTCAGAGAGTTTTTTTCTAAAAAATCCCGGAAGTTAAGGATCCGTCGGGGGAGTGTGGAAATGGATAAACTGATGGAGTTGTTCGGGGGTGTGATCGTGATGTACGTATTGGTTGGTTGGAGGTGCAAGTTGTGTCGATGTTAAGAGTCAGGTAAGAGGCAAGAGCCTACCTAAGAGCCTAACCTAGCTTAACCTAATTTATTCATTCATCCATCCACTCATTCGTTCATTTCATTCATTCATTCATTTACCTATTCATTCGTATTCGTGCTTTCGTTCACCCGTCTGTTCGTCCAAGCGGGCGGGCGGGCTTGCAGGCAAGTTAGGTGGGTGGGTGGGTAGGTGCTTGGGTTTTGCTTACTTGGAACATAGGTGGGTAGGCTGGGGAGTAGGTATGTGTACACGGAATACCTTATAATTACCATACAAGACTGATATAATATTAAAATACTTAATCAAGTACTTACTGACATATCCAAGTATCTAAGTACTTACATACCTGCTAGTGCCCTAAGCATTTAGTAGTAACATAAGATAATGCAATGCGCCTCGTCGGCTGACGTTGGCTGAGCCTCTTTCAAAATCAACTTGATATCGACCATCCCATCATCCATCCCCTCCTCCAGCTCTCCACATGCACACCTCCTATTAACTACTTACTTAACCACTTACTTACTTATTAGTACTTGTTTACTTACATAGTACTAATCGCCTGGTTTTTTGGTATTAAATTTCTCTCCTCTTCGGATTTTTTCATCCTTTGATATTGTACCGCGCTCTGCTGTGCTGTGCGCCTGTTGGAATTATATCGCCTCCTTTTTAAATCGCGCCAACCATAGTTACTTGGTCCTCACTTGGTTACCTGGGCTGCGTCTCGGTAGCTCGACTTCCGCGAGTTTGTTCGCGGACTGTGGTTGGGACCGTACTGCCCAGTACCCACACCAACACCCACACACACCCTAGCCCCCCCATCACCATCTCCATCTGCCAACCTCATCCACCGTCTCTCCTCTGTCGCTTCTTCTTCATCCTTCTCGTTATCCCGTCGCTCCCACAGTTCTCTACTGTAGGCCCGACGCCTATACCATCGTAACAAACACTCCCCCCTCCCACCCCTTATCCTTTCGAGCTTTGTCCCAATCCTCCGCTCTTCCCGCTGCTGCCTCTCTCTCGATCTCCCACCTCATCGAAAATGTCGAAAATCGTCCGAGAGATCAAAAACGTCACCAAGGGGTACTCGAATACCCAAATCAAAGTTCGCAATGGTTCGTATCCCCCTCTCCGACCTCCTTTTTTGCGGCACCTCCTCCGGTCCCCGGTCGTATGCTAATATGGAATCGATTCGTCATCATCTAGCGACCAGTAACGATCCATGGGGCCCCACAGGGACAGAGATGAGCGAAATTGCTAGGATGACCTTTGATACGTTAGTTTCTCTTCAATCAACATTCCTTCATTATCCGGTTGAGGGAGGTCGGCTTAACTAACTGATTATGATCATGATCACGATCATGGTGATGGTGATGGTAGTAACCACGACTTCTTCGAGATTATGGAAATGTTGGATAGAAGGCTGAACGACAAGGGAAAGAACTGGAGACATGTCCTAAAAGCTCTAAAAGTTCTCGATTACTGTCTACACGAAGGCTCGGCTCATGTTGTCGTCTGGGCCAAAGATAACATTTATATTATCAAAACACTCCGTGAATTCCAGTACATCGACGAAGAAGGAAAGGACCAGGGCTTGAATGGTACGTTATCGTCTCAATACAAAATCTCTCCGACTATCTGCTATCTCTCTAACACCCCCCGATTTGCCCTCAAACAGTTAGAATAGCTGCCAAAGAACTCACCGGCTTGATATTGGATGAAGAACGTCTCCGAAATGAAAGGAAGGATAGAAAATCGTGGAAGGCCCGCGTCGCCGGCCTGGACGAAGGCATCTCATCCGAAGGCTCTCACAATCAGAAGGAACAACAACAGCATGCTCGTCGTCGTCAACAACGGCCCGCGAGGAATGATGATGAAGACCTTGAGTACCGCCTTGCGATAGAAGCTAGCAAGAACCTAGCCGAGGAGGAAGCTGCCAAGAAGCGCACTAGAAACAACGAGGTTGAAGATGATGACCTCGAAAAAGCCATCAGATTAAGTAAGGAGGAAGAGGAACAGCGCCAGAGGGAGCTCGAACAGACTAATGAAAATACTCTCTTCGATGAGAATCCCACTCCCACCCAGTCCCAACCTTCGCAACAGCTCCCACAGCAGAATTGGCAGCAAGGTCAACCTGTCGACCTTTTCGGGAACCCTATCCAATCGCAGCAAACTGCGTTCCTTTCGAATGTATATTCCCAACAGCCCAGTCTTGACCAGCCTCAGTACGGCCAGCAGCCTGGAGGGTATGTTCAAGGCCCCGTTGCCACCGGCTGGGGCGTTCCTTCGCAGTTCCCTCAACCGACTGGCTTCGACCAACAGCCCCAGCAGCAGCCCCAGCAACCTCAACAGCAGGCTGTCTTCTTGCAACCACAAAACACCATACAGCCACAAAGTACTCTACAGCCGCAACAAACTGCCTTTGGTGCTGGCAATCCATTCGCTACAGCGGGCTTCAACCAACAAGCTACCGGTTTCCTTACACCTGATGCCAGCAACCCATATGGGAATAACCAGCTCAGCCTTCAACCACAGCCAGAAGCTCTAAAACCGATGCCTACAGGCTCCAACAATCCCTTTGCCCAGTTTAGCTCTGCGCCAGCACAAAGCAACGGTTTCAACAGTGTTTCCCCTCAGAGAACGGCCCAGCCCACCTTGTCACAACTCCAGCAGAATCAGCCTTCGGGATATCCATCTGCTTTCCAGCAACAACCTAACCCAACAGATCAAAAACATGCACAGCTCAATGCTCTCTTGGCAGTTGGCAACGAATCAGGACAGGATACGTTTGGTAACATCGGAAACTTGCGAATTCCGGCTCAGCATACCGCTCCGGGGACGTTCGTTAATTCTGCGGGTACCGGGCGCACCGGGTTGGGTGCTCAAGTTACAGGGAACAACCCGTTCTTGAACAGTCAATTCACCGGCGTCCCTCAGCAGCAATTCCCTCAGCAGAATAGGATGATCCCGGCCGCAACCGGGCCTGCTGGCATCAACGGTTTCGGGCAGCCAAATCCATACGGTGGCTTCCCAGGACAACAGCAGCAGCAGCAGCAGCAGCAGCAGCAGCAGCATCAATCGACAAACCTAATTGACTTCTAAGCTGTAGTACTTTAACACGTCGCTTGGTCGTTCATCGTTCATCGTTCATCGTTCACCGTTCATCGCCCATCTTTCATCGTTCGCTATTCATCCTTTATGTATCGAGGGACACAATCATCATTTTCACACCACAACGTAGTTTCCCCGATATTGAATTTAAGACGATGTTTTTTTTCTTAAAAAGGAGATTCCCGTAATGTTTTGCTTCGGCGTTCGACTGATTCCCTCTCTGCAAGAATCCCTCCGTTCGAGTTGTCTTTTTGTCTATTTTTTCATATACCTCTAGCTTTGCTCCAGTGCCTAGTCCTGCTATTCGCTTTTATTTGACCCCCCTTCCTACCCCTTTTGCCCCATTCTTTTCTTTTATTCTCTTCCTTATTGCTTCTATATATTTTACTCTTCTTTCCTAGTTATTCGTTCTATTTCTTCTTTCTCTCACTTCCTTCCCTCGACGCGGCTCTTCTGATGTCGAAAGTGTCTGTAAAGTTTCTTTTCTCTTTCTTTTTCTTCTTTGATCTGTACCACAAGACCCCAGTGCTGATATGCCGCTGGATTCTCAAAACAAAACCAAAGGAACAAAAAATGTACTCCGACCAGACCTGCCTCCTGTGCTTCTATTCAATAGACTCTGAAGCAAGTCCGACTGAAGGCATACACGCCTGAAGGAATTAAAGGGGGGACATCGGAAGAAAGAGGGAGGGGTTTTATTCTCCAAGAATATGTTCAACTTCCTGTATATAGACTGGTAGGAAGGGTTCGACTTCCTGATAAAATTCAATCTACGGCTTAATATTTTGTAATAGATTTGAGTGCATGGTGGTCCTTCCAGTGCAGGGATGCGGGCCATACTACTGGCAATTACGTCATAATACCGACATACCCGTAATATATGTCGATGGGATTCATACGTCTTAGGCTTGAAGGCTACATAAACATAGACCATACACACATACACAAGCAAACCTTTCCACATACTCTATATCCACACGATACCGCCTTTTTTATATTTTAGTATTGTTATTATTATTTTCAAAAACGGGAAAAAAGGAAAAGGGAAAGGGAGAAGTCATCGAAGGAACTTCGAATCGGTCTATTCTCAAAGCAATATAATATGTCTCCCACAGATACGAACCCGGGGTACCTGGCTTGCCGACTGATCGGTCTGCTCGGGACAGGTTTCGCCTCAGGTACGTTATTTACAACATTGACCGATCTAGACCTTTCTTCCTTCAATGATCATATCCCAGCACAATGAAAAACTCGTGATAAAGCATGTTATAAACTCTTTGCTAATAACATTGTCGACTTTAACAGGTGTTTTTCTTTCTACGGCATACTTTTCCATGCCAGGGTTGCTCAAAACCAAGGATGCTAGTGGAAAAGCAGTCGCATTTAAGGAAACCTCAAACAGGTCCCATGCTCTTCTGAACCGTACTGTCTTCCCATCCGCCATATCGTTGGTATATGCGGCTATTCACGCGCCTTCCCACCCTGAAGATTGGATCAACCCGACAACTCTCCTTGGGATCGCCGCGACCACGGTTACCTTCACACTTCCCTATTCGTATTTCAAGGTATCTAAGGCTAGGAAGTCATTGATGGCAGCTGGGCAGGCTGTAGAGATTGATGATGAGAAGCAATTGGGTCTTTCCATTGTGGATGATGGTATTGTTCACAGCGACATGGTAACTTGGATTGCTGGAGAGGCTACGAAGGGATGGCTTATGTTTGGTGGGTTTATGCTCACCGCGGTGGTGGAGGTCTACTATCTTTAGTATAGTATCGATATCGATGTCGATAGTAAGAAAAAGGGAAGGGGAGAAAAATGGCCCGGGTATACTACCCGTGCACATATCTAAGTACATAGTAGCTTAGTCCTATTGTAATTAAGTAACTCTCAGTCAGTTCTTAGTTATTATTATTAATACTCGTGCCCGATGCTAGGCGTATTTTAGCTGTAGTTTGGTACGTCACAATGACTAGCCAACGGTTCCCAGCGGTTCCACAAACAGGTCACGACAAACTGCGGTGATGTTGACGTTAGAAATTACCCAAAAGTAACGCCGAGGGCCGATGCCGAGCACTATTATCAGATTCGGACATAAGGCATTCAGCCGGAGGAGAGATTACAGCCGGGTGCCAAGCCGGGAATCGGCGGGGGAAATCCCTTTTTCTGGTCCTTTGAGTTGTTTTTCGTGCGACCGAGGGTGAACCCAGGAACGCAAACAACCATGCAAGCAGGCTGCAATAAAGTTATCAGATCCGAGAACTACGCAGACTCGGCCTGCCCAAAGCCGGGTTACCTTCACAAACCATTGATTATTCAGTTGACGAGTGTAATTAGTAACAGAGTAGTGGCCCGATAGCCTAGTTACATAGCCAGCTTGCCAAACACCTCCTGGATACTTGCTACCGACTAAGTTGTCAGGCAGCTGTGGTTACCAGATATTAAACCGGTCGACTGTTCCTTCCTTTCGATTCGTCTCTTCAACCTCACCTCTTCTCCTTCTGCTAAGCTTCTTCATCATCTTCATTCATCCTCTTCGTCGCCGTCACTGCCACCGCCATCTTCAAAATCCCAATTTCTAATTACTAGTGAGTGAATATAACTCTCCGAGCGTGAGCTCGCAATCGCCAAGTTCCGTTTGGCATGCATTGCATTCGAATTCAAATCGACTAATTCGTCTTCGTGCAGCATCCACCCTGCACCCGATCTGGGTTTCCATTCTTCGTCCTATCCAAGGCTCTCGTCAGAGCACTCGGGATAATTAATTAAAGACCGACTTTTACTTACTTCTTTACACTTGCATCTGCACAATCCTGCTTGCTTGCCTCCCTGTCTACCTTTTGCCCATCCTTTTTTTTTTTTCCCTCTCATCGGAATATATCCCCTAGTGGACAAAAAGTATAATTCGCCCCGCTACTTCTCATGACTTATTTCCCTTCTTTTTGATCTACTTCCTTACTCATTCACTATCTTCTTCACGCACGAGAGCATTTTCCTTCCCTCCCTTCCTTGCCTCCCTCCTTCTTTCCTTCCTCCTTTCGTTTCCTTCCTACATGCTACACGTTATTAGATAAAAGTACCTCGCTAGAAAAAAGTATCTCTGCTTCCTGTCTCATTCACGTAAGTTCTTTATCTGTCCTTCGAAGTTCCTGGACTCTTTTTCTAATTATAATATAATATTCCCAGGCTAGAAACGACTTTCAATTCATCTATCCCTCTGCCCTTTTCATGATTATTTCTGCCACTAGATTTCATTAATTGTATAAAAACTATATTTTTGCCACCGAAGTTCTCGAGCATAGGATCATCGTTCGTCCAACCGAGCTCATTTGTCTCTCTGAAATTCACGTCGTCACGGTTTCCTCCCTAGTTTACGGCTGAGATATACAGTCGGGCGCCCGCACAACCATGCTCAGACGACTAGTCAGATCATTCACCCACGGACACCAAAAATCCACAATCACAAAGGATAACCTTTTCGATACAATCCCAGCAGATTGCGACCAGGAATGCCACAGCTGTACTATAAAGTACCCTGCAAATTTTAAAATAGAGGGAGGGTCTGATTTATGGCAGACTGGTGACGACTGGGCGACGCATCTGATCGTTGCTACTGGGAAATCAGATTGGGTTCGAGATGTGAGGTAGGCTCAATACTCTTCCACCTTACAACGGAAACACTGTTTTTCTCACACGAAAAATCGATCATTGTAGTGACGAGAAAGGCTCCATTATGGAGGCTATCAGCAAGGCCAAGAAGCCCACCAATGGGGTCAGTAAACACCACACTTTGCGGGGAATACATGCCGGATACATGGAGGAACCCAGTCTAACTAAACGCTGCAGAAACTAAAAGTCTCCGCCTCAAACATGTGCCCACCTCCAGAGTACTACACGGAAAGCTCAAAACCTACAACATGTGTAATTTTACCTTCCTGGACCCAGGTCGAAATGGTGACCCCAGACGACGTACAAGAACTTGTCGATAAGTTCATTAGCCCTGGCCCCACCACTACCACGCCCTTAGAACCGCAGGGCCTGCAAATGTGTACTACAAAAGAGGCCAAACATGATACCACAATCACTGCTACACCCGAACAATTGGACGCGGGGACCGACCATACGCAATCTACGGCAGATGACTCCATAAGCGATAATGGAACCACACAGTCAGAAGAATTAGCAACCCTGACAATTAGTGCCACATCCTGCCCTACAGCCGCTGACTTGGCTGCATCTTCCTATCTCAAGTCTTACGAATGCCCGCATGATTACCTAATTTTGCTTTGCTCCCACAAACATCGCGATGGTACGTTTCCAACCTCAAATCTTTTTCTTTTCTTTTTCTTTTTCGTGTGAGGGTTTCTTCTTTATCTTGGAGAAGCTACACAATCACTAAACTGTTTTTTTCGTCTTTTCTTAGCTCGCTGTGGTCAATCTGCGCCGTTGATCGCGAAGGAATTACGACGTCATCTCCAGCCATTGGGTCTTTACCGCGACTTAGACGATTATAGGCCCGGCGGGGTGGGAATTTTCTTCATTAACCATGTTGGTGGACACAAATGGAGTGCGAACATGATTATTTACAGGAAGAAGGCTGGACAAGGTATCTGGCTAGCGAGGGTGCGGCCGCATGATGTCGAAGCGATTGTTAAGTGGACAGTGCTGGAAGGGAAAGTGCAGCCCGACAAGATTAGAGCCGGCTTTGATCGCTCAAGAGGAGTTACCAGCTGGTAATATTTGCATTTTACTTTCGTAAAAAACCACATACTTACATATCCTTCCCTTCCCTTCCCTTCCCTTCCCTTCCCTTCCCTATTTATTTGGTCTTAACCAGTAAATGAGGTTGATGTACAGCTAGGCTCTGGAATCATCATCCTTCTCTTCTTTTCTCATTCTGTTTGCTTAGCCTTTCTTTTCCTTTTATTGTTTCCCAGGTTTCATTTGCCTTCGATTGTGCATGTTGGTGCAGAATTTTTTTATTTTTTTTTAAAACAAAAAAAGGAGAGATAGTTGGGCTGACAAGAAAACGGCTTTTTTTTCCTGCTTCTTCTTAACAATATGGTACAAAATAGAGCGACCTGCAAGATAGCGCAAGCGGGTCTACAATGACGTGTCCAGTGCATCGGGAGGAGCGAGCCACAGCAGAATAATGGAGGTGTCGGTTTTAGATTAATAATAATAAATGACAAAAAGGATATTGACCTACCCCTCTTGATAAGAGTTCGAACAAAAAAACTTGTATACTTTTTAGAGGGAAAAAAACCCCCATTCGTTTGGATAGGATACTAGGTAACATAATCTAGACCATTGTAATAGGGTGTAGTAGTATGTATTATTGTGTATATTGAAGTATACGGCCCTTCTCTTTTTTTTTTAAAAAAAAAAAAGAAGTAAAAAAAAATGTTAAGGAGGACAGGGGAAAATATCCGGCCACACTCAAGGCGTGCTTGGAATTGAAGCTTGATGGAAGGGGGGCTTTTATATACAACAAGTTAAGATAGGGCGACAGAAGAACACCAATGTAGTCCCAGGTGGTAATAATTTGAGAAAATGTTCATCCGTGATATGCTTGAGCACTATGTTATGTGAAATGAGTGGGAGTAATATGCCAAATATCTAGGCCTCAGAGTAAGTGAAAGAGAGGGAGAGGAAAGAAAATCCTCGACAGCCTTTATGACAAGATTTGAACATGATACAAAGAGGAAGAGGATAAATGGCACTATATAGCGTGGTGCGATGTGATTTGCATTAATGACCTTCTGTAAAGGGGAAAGGAAATTTCGAAAGAGAATTATAAGGAATTAGATATATGGTATAGTGAATTCGATGCTCTGCCCAAAATTGGAACGAGTAGTATTTCTTCTCTGTTGAAGCTGTCAAAGGAAAGACCGACCCCAAAAAAGGGAAAAAAAACAAAAAACAAAAACAAAAGGGAAGTCGTATATATAAACCCTTTCCGAAACACCCGGGCTCCAATAAAAAAGATTTGAAACTTTGAAGAGAAAAAAATGGAAGCAGTAAAATCTGCGAAGTAGCGTACGTTGGTATATAAACGGAGTACCAATGTGCATATCCTGAATGGGTAGAAAGGCTGCAATAGATCATGAAATGGGAACAACAGAGCACACGCTATACAATCGCTCGTTTGGGGTATCTTTAGGGGGTAAAGTGTCAAAACAATAATGTATGTAGAGGGCAATAACAAGAAGCACTGTGGAAGGGATCGCTCAACCGATTGTGCGTATTGCGAAACGAAGGGCTCGCTTTCCAGTCGAAACTTCTTCCTTTTTTCGTTCGTCGATACCATAAGCCATTCCGGTGTCAAAATTTATGCGATTTAAAGGTTGTAAAGAGGTATTCTTAAAGAACTTCCAAAAGAAGAACAATGCGAAGAAAACAAAGACGCTTAGATAAGCGGAAAGAAAGTTGGGTGCGAAGTCAACATCTCGAGATATTGGAACACCATCTGCGTCGCGTCGACCGGTCAAGAAAAAATCGAAGCCATTGAACAAGACAATGATGGTTGTTGCGAAAAGGCCGATCCCTAGATGATAGAAATTAGTAACCATGAATTTAAATCTGGCGGGTGGTTCACTCACAAGCTAGGTATGGTTGGAATGGGCTTCTGTATGGGTACTCGTCTGAAAAGCGGTCGATATGCCGAGCTTGTTCGATACCGTAGTAGAAACGGACAAATGCGAGGCAAAAGGTCCTAAGGAAACAATATTGTTAGTATCAAACTAATGCTGAAGTTTTTTTGGCGTGTGCAAACATACCCCCAAACAATCAAACCGGAGGTTGTGGTAAGCTTTAAAAGGTAATCGAAAACAATTTGTCCGGTAGGCCCAGCAAGTTGGATGTAAGCCGTCAAAGCAATTGCTGTGCTTGTCAAGACGGAAACGTAAGGGACCCCGCTAGCAGTGCACCTGCGGAATATTCTTGGGGCCTTCCCCTCTAAAGAAAGACCATATAGGGTTCGGCTGCTAGCATAAAGGTGAGAATTTCCCGCAGACCATGCGCAAAAGACGAAAATGCCATTGATAATAGCAGGAAGGATGGGGATAGATGATTCCATGATGGCGATAACCCATGGCGATTTCGATCCAAGAGCGCTAAAGCCTTCTTGGGACCCAGTGGCTGCCCCCACCGTTGAATCATGGAATTGTAGGAGACGGTCGTGGGTGCTTGGGACATTTAATCCAACTACAAAGATTCCCAAGACATAAAAGATAGCGATTCTCCAAAAGAGCCGTCGAACGGCAGAAGGGAGCGCCTGGCGAGAGTTGGCGGCTTCGCCGGCGGCAACGGCCACAATTTCTGTTCCGAGGAATGAGAAAGCCGCAATCGTAAAGGAACCCCAAGTAGCTAGAAAGTTTGCGCCGGGGCCGGTGATATCCGGGTACTCGAAGAACTGATTCCTCCATTGTTTTACCCCATCGTAGGTAACCAAATGCTGTCGGAACGGTCCGTTCGGAAACTCCCAATTCCTAAAACGGATCGGTGCATGATTCGGAGCACCCCCAGCGTTGATGATGACCATCAAGATGATAAGGCCAAGTATTGTCATGATTTTGAGCAAACCGAACCAATACTCTAGCTCACCATAAACCCGAACATTGAAGCAATTAACAGCTAGTACCATTCCCAAGAAAACTGTTATCCACAATGCAATATACTTTTCGTCTTCGATAGGGCTATTTATTTGTTAGCTGTTGATTCAACTTGGAGGACAACCTAGGAGGGAATAGTGGTGGCTATAAAAACATACGAATAGTATCTAATGAGAATCGAGGCGGCTGTTACTTCTGTTGGTAATGCGGTAGCAAAAGATAACCAATACATCCAACCAGCAGCAAATCCAAGAGCATCGTCGACAAATCTTCCAGCATAGGTGGTAATACCTCTTCAGGTTACACAAAGACCGTCAGCGAAACCATAAAAAATGAGCAAGGGTGTCAATACATACCCGGCAATTGGTATTAGGGCAGTCATCTCTCCTAAGCTCAGCATGACGCAGAGTACCACAAACCCCATGCAACTATAACCAATTAGTGCACCTAAGGGCCCAGCGACACTGAGCGCCTTGCCGCTCGCTAGGAAAAGTCCGACACCGAGGGTTCCACCCAGTGCTATCATTTGAAGGTGCCTCGCTCCGAGGCGCCGCTGCAAATCTTCGTTTATTTCTCCGTTGGTTTTGTTCCACCTATGGAAGTTGTGGTCACCGGGAAATCTTCTTGTAGGCCGGTTAGAGTGGTTGGAAGCGGAGCGGGCTTGGTCCAAAGGATATGTTGTTGAGTGAGAAAAATCATCGTCAATAGCGCCAACCCGGTCGGGATCGCCATCGTGAGCATCCTCGAAGTCGATAACACCGGTAGCGACGGATGTGGTTGAGAGGCGTGCATTTGGAGGGTGATGGTAGATATCATTTTTGTAGGCCTTCTGGACGTCATACTGGTATTCGTCGTCAGGATCGTTGAAATTATGTTTCGGCGGCGAGGAATTTATATATTGCGTATGGTCGCCCGAATAGATTTGAGACATCTCGGGGACAGGAACGTATGTTCGTGCGGGCGCTGTAGGTCGAGGCCATTTTCCAGAACCGTGTCCGACTCCCTCCTCCATCTGGATGGCAGGCGTCTCCATTATGTACTTCCTATTACTACTCTGAATCTGGCCAGCATTCTCCAACAGCCTATCCTGAGGTAAATAATAACCGGCTCCTCCACCCGAGGTTGTCGAGTCATTTGATAAATCCGGTTGGTGACCACGTCGACCTGTCGAAGGTGTATTTTTGAACTGTAAGCCAACCCCGCTGCCAACCCGACCACTCTCAGAATTATCCCCGGGCCCTAAATGTGCTGCCTCCGGTGTCATTGTATTCGATGTGAAATCATTACCACTGTTCCCTGGTGAATGTCGGTGACGAGGTTGCGGTCGTGACCAGTTTATATTGTTAGAAGCATTATTCCTCCACGGCGAGTTGACATCACCGGACTGCCCTTCAGCACTCATGGTACCAATACTATTATCGAATGGATCGGAATATAAATTTGGACAAGTCGTATCGTATATTAAATTCGAGATTGACTCAAGGGGAAAAAGGATTTCATTGCCGCCAATGTATGCTCAGAGAAGGAAGCGCATTAACCATCGATAGACAAGTGTATTTGTGTATTCGGTTTTATGTCCTTGACCGTGAAAGCCGCCTCCAGTTACTGTAAGTGGGTGGGTGGGTGTTGGTGTATGTCTCGAGAATGTATACGGATATGGCGAAAGATAAAAAGATAAAAAATGAACCAAGAATTATACAGTCGAAATAGAACCCGGCTAGAAACGTCTGCGAGTTACCGGCCAAGCTAACGGAGAGTGCAAAGGAAATTAGAAGTTGATGCAGCTGACGGCCGCCGTGAGATCCTGATCAATTAATCCAGCGAAACCAAATCTCGGATGGGCGTTGATGCCGAAAATAGAAAGCAATGAAACGACAGGCTGTAATTCTGATGTATGGATTAATAGACTGTGGAAGGGCGATTATGATGGAAGGAGAGCATATGAGGGGACATACTTCTGCAAAAACGGCAGTGTGAAAGGCGGGTGCTGATGCAAAATGATGGAGATGAAGGATGGGTGATTGACTGGTTGACAGAATCGATGGATGGGTGATGGATGGATGGGTGGATGGGAGCGAGGTTGGGGTGGTCTACCAACAACAGCAACTACACTAACACACACACACACACACACACCAGGTTCTGTTTTGTCGGCCAATCTGGGGAGAGTGGCACTATCGTACTACTCCTACTACTACTATTATTATTCTTGCCGTCAAGGATTGATGTGACTATGGTATGAAATATGGTATTCGTGGTGATAGATGATGAATGATGGATGGGTGGATGATGATGGATGGTATTATTAAGTAAGTATTGACTGGCTGTGGGAAGGACCGGTCAGCGCAGTGGCAAAGTACAGGCCCAAAAAGCACTACTTCTAAGCAGTTTCAATCAACCGCTGGGAGGGGAAAGTATGTAAGTATATGAAGATCAGAGGCACGGCGGAGAAATCAAGAGAAGAGGAAGAACCAAGGTATTTCCTTAGCTAAGCTGGCCCAGTCCAATCCATCTGCATCCTTCTTGCTCTTCTCCCTCCAATTCATACCTACTTATTTACATACAAACTTACATGTACTGTGTATGTCTAGACTAAAGCATGCAACTACAACATCCCTCCAGGTATGTCTCAGAAACGAGGGCTCTGGACTGGGTGGAGGATAATGGCTGCTGGGCTGCTGGGCCTCAGACCGCGGACGAAAATGGGAGACGGGATGAGAAAGGGGACGACGAGGAGGGACTAGGCCTTGGGGTCACGCCCAAGACATGCCCTCGACGGACCTTGGCTGGCCCAAGCAGAAATTTCAAGGGACTGTCCATGCAACAGGTCATGCTACTATGTGTGTAAGTCCATACACGGTACATGTATGGATGTACACTGCAGACGGGAACCGCTGCGGCTAACCCTTTTCCTGCCTCTAAAATGGTTTGGGAACCGTCGGAAGGCTGGGTAAACGGGAGAATCATGTTCATTACTATGTCCCAATCATGCTGACAACTTTTCTTTCGGCACAAGCACGGGCAAAGGCGTTCTTGGTACGGAGTATGTACTCTTTTTTTCACGTCCGCTCCACTATTACCCCATTTTCCTACATGTTCATTGCTAATGCTGTCGCGAGACCAAGTACTCAAAATGACATAGTCGTTCTCCGCCAGGTATTAAAAACAAAAAAAAGGAAAGGAAGAAGGGAATCCCTTCAAAGGCGCAATCTTTGCAATCGCGCGCCGTGGGGGAAAAAACAAATAAGGTGCAATTCTGTGTAAAAGACTGACCAAGCCGCCTTTTGATACCCTATCCATTTTGGATCATGTCACATATTCCGGAAGGCCCAGCTCTTCAACCAGCAGGTTTCACAGGAAAAGAGAAAGGAAAAAAACTCGTTTCCCCCTCAAATTGCCCCGAGACCTTGGGTCGAGCCGCCTTGATTGTCCTGCTGTGCATATCCGCTTACTATGTATGTACATATGGGCATTCAACATTTTCACCGATAACGATTGCCGTATCATACCATATCACCCTACCTACTTCAATAGTTATTTCATTGTATTGGAAAATGCTAGAGTTTGCCCTCGATTCCAATGGTTTTTTTTTTGCCTTTCCCTCACCTCCTGTCCGAGTCGTCTCCAATCTCGCGTGACCCAAGCTCGGTCTGTACGAGACTTAATTCCCTCCAGAAAAAAAGGATATTAACGTCTGCTGAAAATCTGCATTGCTGACAAGGGCTAGCATCGATAATACAGAATATAACTAACTATCAACCAAGCGCATTCTGCTCTAGGTAGCCAGTCTCCTTGCAGCTTGCTGTGCTTTGACATTATAATACCTCGTATTATTGATGTTCTTAATTCATGCAACCCGATTCGGTTTCCTGTCGCTTGTTTTTGAACCTAGTCTAATCTCTGGGAAATCCCAGTCATGCGAGAACATTCGCCCACCGAATTTCTGGTATCGGTGAAAATATGGCGTCCTTGATCTTGAACTCGAAAGGTATGTATGTAGGTAGCGTTGTTGAAACAGTGGGGGTCCCTTATCACTGCTTAAATTTTGAAAGAACTTGAGTTCTCAAATTTAAATCCATCGAGTCAGATTGCATTGACGGCGTTTTCCTGTTGGAATTTATAATTATAACTGACATCCACGGGAAGAAAGAACATCCCGAGCTCGAGTTTCATAGAATGTTTTGTCTCCTGCATCTCAACAATCCCAGCACGGTCATTTTTACTATGTATTTCAAGAATTAATGAACCAACAAGCAAAATTAGTTTTCCATTGCATTGGCGCAAAGGATCCTGCATCGCCGATTTGATGTCCACAGCTCCCAAGCAAAAGATCTATACTGCCAATATACTTGGCTTAGGTAATATATTCCTGCTCTTCTTGGACCTGGGCCTTGTTTTTTGTAACGGCGTCCTCGAGCGAGGTCTGGCTGAAACCACTGTTTGCATGCAATGCACAATTATATTTCCGTATCAAGCCACAGTATATTTCACCTGAAATAGCAATCCCTGCTTTATGGAAACCTACACAGTACAGAGTATGGACTTCAGTATCTAGGATATCAATTCTGCGGCTCATTAAAGACTCAAATACTAGCTAACTACAATTAAACTTAATCTCTCAGGAACTCTTGGTTCGTGGTTCCGCTACGTATACCTTTAGTACTATAGTCAAAGGCTCGAACTAGTTGTGTATATACGCCGATTGCGGCACCCTTGGTAATGTTGCGTGAATTAAGAATCTTTAACAGACCAGCTAGGATCAACATCAATAACCACCCAGATCGCGGTCGCCTCACCATCGATTCGAGCATGAGCATAAGCAACTTGTACATACTCAGATACCTCTATATCTACCCCGCCGACCATAGCGGCGGGTTCGCGATTCGCTCTAGTTTGAAACCATTGCTGTAGGTATGATTTGCATCTAGTTGTATATGCATGCATGGTTGTCTGCATCTCAATAAAAGTATTCAACCTGAGGCTTGGGTCTCTTCGTTCGGCGTAAAAGTATATCTTGGTTGGATTTGACCCCGAAAAGTCAAATTGACACCTCAACCTGCCCGTTTGTGAGTAGCGGTAGATAAGCGTCAGGTTTCCGAGGAAGGGATACTGACACTTGCCAGCTTGATCATCCCTGCAAAATAAGTTTTACGCAAGAGGCGAGGGGCTAGCAGTAGTTTCTGAATATCCCCACGATGTCGCAATGTCCGAACGATCATTCGGTGTGATAAGGGTAAATTTGCCACTGGTGCCATTAATTTCCACACGAATTTTCCGGCACGAGCCGTGGCCTGCCGTGAATACGAACCTCTAATGCACCCAGACACTTAAGTACTGAGTAACGATTTCTGTTGGCGCGATCTAGCTCTGGATCTCAGTTTTGTAGTCTTCTGCTTGGGGTGCAAAACACCGTGACTATGCATATCAGGGACTATGCATGAAATATCATATATTTCATTCGCGGTACCAACGGACCCTTAGTGCTAGCTCTAGCTAAGACGTTTATAATCACGGGGATATAGCCTAACCCACTATGTAAATATCTTTAAATTCTTAAGCCGATATAATTTTCAGAGTAATTGATTTAAAACCTGAACTGAGAAACGACGCTAACCGACATGGCCTTTTGGGTATTGTCGTTATGGGTTACACTGATAAACATGCTTCGCAAATGTGGGCCTTGGTGGAGCAAAAAGAGTATCGCATGGATACCAACGTTACGGGCTTTTCAATATAGACACATACGTATACGTAGGTATATACTCCCATACCAGCCATGTTTTCAACTCTGAATGTCTCCCCAATACCAAGCTATTCATCCTTATCGGGATTTTATATCGGGCTTTTCCGGATTGCCTCTATTTAACATGGTCCACCTCTAAAGCCAATAGACCTTGGTGGGATGTGTCTAAAAACATAGTACCTGCCTTTTCCATCTTTTTTCTATACATTTATTCCTGTTATTCTAGAAGCCCGCCAAGGTTGCTCTCAAGGATAGCCCCAATTTTCCGGGCCCTTGCATCGAGATACGTCTAGTACGGTACAAATCCCGTCGCGGAAAACTGCAGAATTCGTACTCCTACGCTTCCAGGTCTGGGTATGAGACAACCCCCCACAGGTTCTTACCAATAATTCAACCACGGCACGAATATCAAAGCATGCCCTGATACAGCTCCATTTTAGTTATTAGTGTTGACTTAATGCTGGTTTATCAGTTCCGTTAGAACTCTCTCAAGCAGCTTCCAAGTTTGGAAGCTCAGGTCTATGACCCATGCTGTTTGTCATCTTCTCAAGGAAACTAGTTCCATCGCGTAATTCCGACTTGCTCCCCGTTTTTTTTCTGGAGGGCTTTGGAGGGTGTTCAAATAAAGTGCCAGCAATGAATTCTGACTGTATTATTTTATTTGTGAATTTACTAACGAGACCAATTTAACCCCTCTGTAGTAATATTACCGTAGAACTCTATGGGTTGTGTTGGGGGTGTTGTATTTTGCGTAATATAAAATACTTTCCAGCTGGTTTAGTATCGAGACTGCTCGCTGGTGTTAAATTACCCAAGTACTGCATACTAGCTATGCCAGAAGGAGGGTGCTTATTGATACATGTCGTATTACTACAGTTTTTTCGTTATAATGCGGTATTACGGTGTTCAATATGGATTAGAGCGGTATTAGAGCTATAGAGGCGAAAATTTACCAATAATTTGGATTTGAATGGTATTGAAAAACACCACTTTTCTAGCACAGTACTTAAGTACCTATAGACTTGTTATCATAGCATTAAAGATATAATATATCTTCCGTCTGCTGATTTAAAATTGTAATGATTAAAGTTTGTCAAAGATATCACTACTTTTAATGCAGGATATTGAGTATCACGGGCGAGAAAACAAGTCTTTCCAGAATTGCTTGAATCCGTAGGCTTTCGCTTCGGATTCGTCGTAAACTTTACCTTTTTCACGAGTGGAAAGAAAGGATAGAAGATTCTTATCTTCTTTACCTGTCTTTAATTCGCCTAGTTGGAGTTGGGATTTGCCATAGTTTGGATTGTTCGCTCGCTCTATCATTTCAGCAGGGATAGTGGGCATGACGTCTCTGTAACATGCTAGAATTTCTCGCCTGAGAGTAACAAACGGGCGTTGTGCTATCGATGGCGCTTGTAGGCTATGAGATTTTGTTAGTTACAAAGCCAGGAACAGAAGCAGGTTGCTACAAACGGGAGCATACTTGTAGGAACGTGTCATGTTATTAATTGTTGTGATGCTGGCTTCATGGTAAGCTAATTCATTTCTTTCCCAGTTACTATCACGGAAAGGAATTAATGGCTTTTCAGACTTCGCAGTCGCCGTGCCCTCTTTCATAGGAGCTGCTGAGTCCTTCGAAGTTGGAGAATTCTCCTTAATTTGATCAGCCGCGCTCTTGGGTTTGGCGCTTCCGTCGTGGGCGGTTGCAGGATTTGGGTTGGCGATTTGCTCAGCCTTTGCATATTCTTCTGCACGCCTTATCCAGACGTCCGGGGTTCCACCCCAGCTGGCGATAGTTCGGACCACATGTCTTTTCCAATCGGTCCTTATTCGCCCTCGAAATGACCTGATTTCTTTCTGAAGTTCCTGTTGCTTCTCGATCCAAGGGGGGACTATCTCTTGCCGCTGGATCATACGGTTTAGGAGGTATTCCGTTGTATCTATGAACGGGCTTCCAGCGTGGTGGTCCTCGTTAATCGGCCCCTTAGGTAAATTTTTGAACATGCCCTTCGAGATAGCTTCTTCGATTTTCTCGTTGGCAAGTGCTGTGAGACCCTGGATTGTGTTCGGCATAGCTCGTGCCCCGGGTTCAAACCTTTCTTTGAACATTCGGGATCTCGCTTCTTTTTCCTCTTCATTAAGCTCAGACTCGTTTTTCTTCATGAGTGGATATTGGCCTGCTCGGTCCCTCGCAGACACGATTCTTTCATTTTTTGACATCCTACGCATCGGTGCCAAATTCGTTGGCAATGATGTTCGACTAGTCGGAGCAGTAGCTTTCCCTCGTAGCCGGGGTGTAGCCTCATGTAAACTTCTAAGTACAGAATCCTCCAACGACTCAGCTCCAGCCCATGGTCTCGCCATGGCAGTTTCCCGAGTTTCCCTACCCGCCGCGTCAGATAACCGGCTGTACGCAATCGAACCGGCATATTCAGATTCAAAATCGGCGTTTTGGATCTTCTTAGACAACCTCTCCTTCAAAGCTTCCAAGTCCTCGGATCCGGAATGAGGCGTCGATAACTCGCCGGATTCCTGCGCTTGGATCGCTTTGATATGCCTTCGCGGGTGGGCTAGCCTCGATTGTTCCTCCAAATCCTCTAGCCTTCGTCGCATCGCCCCATGTTCTTCTTCGTTAATCTCATCCCGGCGAGTTGGAGCCTGGGATTTACTTTCGCCGGGAGAAGCTTGAAATCTGGTCTGTATGTATGAAATATTTCGACTGATCGGTTTTAGGAGTATGGTTGAAGTGGGGGGTTCATCCAAGACCCGAGCGCCCAACAAGATAGAATATGGCACAGAACCGGCCCATTTCGGGGTCGAAAATCTCGATAGTTTTGATAGAGCGGTAGATGAATTCATACTGGTTCTGGGTGTATTTTATACACATGAAAGATGTTTGCCACAGCTGTACGATGTCCACATCGAAAAAACTATACCTACCAGTGCATGACTGTCAGCAAATATACGTATAAATCGAAGAGGTGGCAATGCTAGCTACCTATTTAAAGTACCATATTCATCTCAAAGCCATCTAGAATGACGATTATTTCGCACGCCCATGCATATGAAGACCAGGTTGAAGGACATTTGGAGGCACTGCCATGAACTGCACCGAGTAACATATTTGTATTATATTAAGCTTCGAAAATGCAACGCTGCAACACTGAACTGTGCTAGCGCTGTAATATACCGAGCAATTACCATGTTAGAGGCGTTATCAACAAACCTACCTTTGCACGCAATCACCAGGTTTCTTTTCTTCTCTTCTTCTGGCTTCTTCTTCTTCTGATGTATACACCACGACCTCGCCAACTACGGTATTGACGTTAAACAATAGGACGGAAATGATATTTTATGTCTTAGACAATAGCGTACGGTAAACCTAGCTTATCAGCTGGGTCATATGTTATTTGACATGATTATAAGGTAAGCAATGTATCATCCCCCACTGTAATACATTTTGCTCGAACGATACCCCATGCCCATGTGATATGCAAAGAATTGACCTCTTGACCAATAAATCTTTGCATATCCTCTCTTTCTATGCTGTTACAATAGTCTGCGATTGCCGCATACACACCCTCACTTTCGTCATCTACAACCTCATTCAATCGCGCGAAATCTTCAAAGGGCATCCCCGGGATACTGTGAAGCTTATGAACAAATGCACGCCAAAAAGCCTCAGACCTAGATGAGGGGGTTTTGACCCTTTCGCAATCGAGAAACTCTTGAAGTATGGCGATAATGAAGACTAGCTCCTCCTTAGCGATTATCTCTTCGTACAAAGGGCCATCGGCACCTTCAAGTTCTTCCACGGGGATGGGGTTCTCCCCTAGCTGTTGGGCAAAGTTGGGATTCTCGTTTAGGTATTGGCCTACGCTCAAGATTCCTTCTTTTGCATAGCATTCCAAGAAGCTATCCAGCTTTTGGATCTTCGAAACTATGATATCTTCTTGGCCTTTGCGGTAAATATCTGCTACCGTTTCCCGGTAACCAGCCGCAGGAGACGACAAAGAGATATCGTATTTGCGTATTGCTGCTAGCTTCTGTTTTATCGCCGCTTTCAACCCAAGCGCTACGGCTAGCTCGTTTCTGATAGATATTGGTGTTGCATTGATATCCCCGTTTTCCAGGTCATCGATTTCATTTTCATTGGCGACAAGGATTCTAAAGAGGTCCACGAAAGCTTCCGGCCAATCAGACTCCAGAGCAGGCACGGTTGAAGTTTTCTGGCCGGAGTCAGCCGATTTTGTCAAATGGAAAACCTCTCGCCATGTTTGTTTGAGCGCCCGTTGTTCCCATATTTGTGCAGCCTGTCCTCTGGGTGAAATTGTAAATTTCATAGCTAAGGAATCTCCGGGATTTTCGGGTATCACGAATCCATATCCCATGAGTAGTTCTTCATTTCCCTTTGGTCCGTAGTTATTGAAAACTTGTGACCCTTCAGATATGGTTTCAGGGGTTATTAGTGAAAATGATGTTTGTGTGGGTTCCCAGATAATTTTGGTGTTTGGTTTGTGATTTAGGATATCCACGAGAGGGATCAGGACTGGGAAACCGTTATCATCTGAAAGCATCGTATTTTCCTCTATAGAACTATCCATCGTGATACCAACAAGCTTGGAGGGAAAGGAACGGGAGGTGTAGATTGTAGCAGCCCTTAGGAAGAGGTCCCTGTAGTCATCCTAAAAATGAACTTGATTGCAATGATGGAGATATATTTAAGAATATGGTAGACTTACCATGTATATTCCCGAGCTCTTTCTGCCCCCACGCCTTCGAGAAATTGCTTTCCGGCTTCCCACTCTTCCATCCAGAGCTGCTTTCTTAAAAGAACATCACCGGCCCCGAGGTTCGTCCCTGCCAACCTCTCCATTTCATCATCATTGAAATATAACGGGGTGTCGAAAGTCTTTGGAAGGAGTCTTATATACGGCCAGAACTGGCTCTGTTCCTTCAATAAAAGATGCTGGGAGAGATGAAAGCAAGCTTTGGCGTGAATGGAGAGAGAAGGGGATTCCAGAAATAAGGCCGGGAGGGATGGGTTTGGATTTGCAAGCGAAAATATAAGAGATGTAGGGCATGAGACAAGAGTCAAAGGCCCTCCTACACTTGCCAGGTTCCCATTCTTGCCCGGTCTTATCCTCGCGCTGAATCCATTCTGTTCATCTAGAAATATTTTGCTGTTGTTACTTTTGCGTTGCATTCAAATATAAATCTGCTTGGATGGGTCTGTACCTTTGTAGAGTTCCAACGCCTCAGAAATATGCCCACCAGCTTGAAGGACCCATTCTACAAGCTCGTGAAGATACTGGTGCTCCGAGTACCTACGACTAGCCTCAGAGTCGAGCTTGGTCCGTTTGGGTGCAGGCGCAGGCGCAGGCTCTGACATTGCATTTGGATGTTCAAAGTGTAGTAAAGACCTATAATTGTGCAAAGTTTGGTAGTCTTGGGAAGTCAAATTGGGTTTTAGTTCTAAGTCTAAGAACCAATACGAGGCTAGGTAGGTACATGTACATAAACTTAAGCTTAAGTAGGTGGGTACATATGTCATCAATAGTTTTGTATTAAAACGCTTCGGCACATATGCATACGGCTGGGGGTACTTAGGTAGCCATATCAACATTCAATCCCAAATATGAATACCTCGTTCGCCACTAGCCCTAAGACTGGGTGCTTAATATTTCGTAAGTACACAATTGTACAGTTTTTCGCAGTTTACGTTAAGAGGCGCCGGTTTTAATTTTGGTACTAGAAAACATGCATTTTCAGCTGGGAAATTTGCTTGTATCATACTCTGACTGGTTGATAAATTGCTATATTACATAGGTTTAAGATTTTGAGATTATGGTAAGTTCTAAGGAAAGGTACCCGCGCGGGCGCCGTGCTTTGTCGTTTCAGCTCAATATGAGCTGACACCAAAACTTTCTTTAGAACAAATGCCCGATAGATATAAATGCGAAGTTTTTAAAAGGAAATCTATACGCTAGGTCTAATCTTTGAACTTATAACTCTTGGGAGCGAAATCGATCGCACCTCCACGATAGGCACCTCGCTTTTTCTGTGCATAGAGTACTTTGTTAGTAAGAGTATCTTCTGTTTCTACCCGGACTTTTATTTTACATACCTTATTTTTCTCCTTGGTGAAACCTTTGCCCCTTGTGACGATCAGGTCCTCATGGGCCCGCTGGGCGTACGTGGCGCCGTTAAAGCTGTTATCTTTGAGAGCTTCGTCTTCGTACGTAATTTTTTCGATATTAATTCTCGAAAAAGGCTTGTTCTTCACTTTTTCTCCCGTCCCACTCTCGGATTTCGTTTCAGTTGACGTTGATAATACTGGGGTCGCCTCTTCGCTTTCCACGGTTTCTGTTGCCTTCTTAGATTCACCCTTGTGCGGTAATTCCTTTGCAGGTGTGCTGAGTTTTAGTTTCTTCCTTTCACGGGGTGGGGTAGTGTTCTTGGTAGGTTTTTTCGTAGCTTTCTTCTTGTTATTGTTGTCACTGTCGCTATCGCTGCTGTCAGAAGAAGAATCATCAGACGACTCGTCTGAACTGCTAGAGGAATCCGATGAAGAATCCGATGAGGAGTCAGATTCGTCAGATTCGTCTTCAGAGTCTGATGAGGAGTCAGAAGAAGACGAAGAGGACGAAGAAGACGAGGACGAAGAGTTAGGGGATGACGACGAAGATGACGACGAAGATGAAGAGCTCGAGGAGCTGGACGAGGAACCAGATGAACCAGATGACGATGTTGAAGTGGATGACGAATTAGACGACACTGAAGCAGACCGCTGGCGCTTTCGAGGGTTCTTAGGCTTTGAATCCTTAGCCATATTAGAAGACTCCGCTGATTTAGCACTAAGAGTATCAGATGTATCGTCGGCGGCTTCTCTGGCAAGCTGGGCGGATGGAGAGGCAGGTGCGACGGCCGTTCTAAAGCGCTGGTAGATGTCACAGAGAGAGAGGGAGTGGGACTTTGGAGGCTCGATCTTTATCTGCCGCTTCTCGGATTCGCGCAAGAGTTTTCGACTGGCCTGTGGGAATCCATTTGACTGCAAATACTGTGATACCAGCGAGAGGAGCTCTTGGTTGTCCTGGGTATTTGCATCCGTACCTGGTGATTTTGCTGCCGTGGGAGCGTGGGCAGCGCTGGGCTTGAAGATCCAGGCTTTGTCGGCCATCTTCTGTACAGGTAGGTATTTCTCTTCCTCAGATACTTAGGTACCTGGTGGGTACCTACTTGGCCTTGGTGGGTATTTGGATTTGGAGTGGATATGTGGAGTGTATCGTAAAGCCTGTTGATAGGCGACGGTTGTCAAGTAGGCGGTGAGGGCAATTGGCCTTGGACACCAGTAACCAGTTGTTGCGCTGATTCTATTCGATTATCTGCATGAAGACACAAACTTTGCAAAAGAAGTATCAAAATTTTTTTGTCGAGGTTTTGGCCGCCCCAAGAACTGAAATTCGCGACCCGCCGCCAATGCTGGTCTTGGCGAACTACGCTTCCTCACTACCGTATAACCTCCCCGGTATCTAGGCAAGTACTATTCCCGGGGAGCGTCTCTCCATCCCCGGAATCCCCCGGACAACGGACATAGGACCAGATATCCCCTCCTGACGACGGTCCAACTGCAGACCCCATCGATTGATCATGTTGTAACCCAACGATCCCACGCCTCATCTCTCACAATTGTCGTCTCTTCTTCATCACCTTTAGCTTCATCAACATCAATCCAATTTATGGTCCAAATGCAAACTGGACTGACTCTTCATATAGCTATAACCTTCCCTTCCATTCCCTTTTTTTTTGTTCGGCTTGGTTTGATTTCTGAATCGACCAAACAAGCCTGGCTTCTAAACTTTAACAAACCCCATCCCCAGCTTAAGCTCCAGACCCATACCTCTCCCCAAACTCGACACCCGTATATCCATCCCTAAATCCCCACTATCCTTCGAAGCGTCGCTCCATATCATACTCCTTGCATGATCGCCATATATCCAAGATGGCCTCGCCTTACTCTTCTATATCCAGTGCTACTGGTGGACCTCCTCACTCTCCTGCTGCGACTTCACAGTCAACCTCCAGCCATCGGGAGATATACGAAAACGAACGGACAAGAATTCAACAATCTTGTTTTAGTAGAGCTGATGCTGACGGCCAATGTTCGTACTCACCAACCCCTATTCCTATTGTTGCTGTCTCGTAGGTCCTAACATTGTTGTTGGATATTCTAAAATAGTGCTAGAATGTTACATTACTCATGTTAGGGTTATCGAAGATGCTGTCCATCCGTCTGCTCCACCGCCACCTAATTACCAGCCGGGCCCCGATGCTCGTAAGAATCGTGTTATCATTGTTGCCGTTCGGAAATCCGGCCGTGTTCGATTGCATAAGGCTCGCGAGAACAACACTGGATCTTTCAGCATCGGGAAGTCATGGTATCTTGACGATCTGACACATATTGAGAATGACCCCGGGTGTACAGGATTCACTGCGACTATTGGCAAGCCGTACTATTGGCAAACCAGAACTTCGCGGGAGAAGGAGGCCTTTGTCGCTTCATTGTTCCGTATATTTAAGAAGTATACGGGTGGGAAGTCTCCCGTCCTCGTTGGGTTCGATTCGATAACATCATTGTCTGGAGAAGGAAGGCCGAGCACTGGAAATTCCGATATTTTTCAAGGAGAACAGCTGAACGGGCACTCCCATAGTCCGGCTGTAACTCCTACTATTCCGACACCTGCTTCTCATGCTGAACATTCAAGACAGTTATCCAGTGTTTCGAGCCACGGCTCCCGGCCCTCGATCACCACCGAAACAGAGCCAGGAAGGCCAGAACTACAAACTAGGCTATCTGACACATTGGCGAATCCTCGGATGCAACGGAGACCGACAAACGAATCTACAAGGCAACCGATATCTCCTGTAGTTTACGAATCTAAGCATTCTTTCCCCGAGACCGAATTAAGGCCTGAAGAACAGTCGATTGCACCCCCACCAGAACCTGCCGCGGATACAGTTACAGGTAGTAATGGCTTTCTACATCAACCGAACCAACAAAAGTCTAGTGGGGGCTTGCCAACCTCTCCGAGGGGGGTTCAGAGGGGTGGGCTCCCAACGTCACCGAAAACTAGCCAAATGCAACCAATTCAAACCAATTTGGATCCACAGCGAGGCCCTACGCCGCAGGCAATATCTCCCCAAGCGACTTCTCCCCAAGCGCCTTCTCCGCAGGCTACAACACCACATGGACCGGCCGCACTTCCTTCGACTTCTGCTCCGATAATATCACTTCCCCAGGGGCCAAGGCTTGGTTTAGCAAACAAAGGTTCATCCAAAGATATAGCTGCTCGGTTCAAACTTGCCGCGGATGCGTATGCCGCTGGCGGTGCCCTATCCAAGGGGAATAACAAAACACGAGGAATCCCTAGCCCTACACCTCCGGTTAGCGCAGCCGCGGTGGCAGCCGCGATACCTTCGGAGGCTGACCGGGTTAGAGACTTGAAAAGTGAGAACACAAATACCTTGAAAGTTGGAGTCAGCATCTCCAAAGAGGATCTACTTCGGGGGAAGATGAGTGGTCATCAAGATTCCATACCAGAGAAGTCATCGAGGCGACCGGAATCACCCGCAATGCAAAACCTCCCCGACTCGAAGAAAGCATCGATCTCAAGCGCTTCCGAAGGGCCATCAGAACGTGCTGCCTCGCGACAGGACTCCCGTCCTATCCCATCGATTGACATATCCGGTACGCCGGATTCAACCGCTATCCGCCAAGAACTATTTCGTGATGCCGCACCTACGGTATCTAAGACAGTCATTTTGGATGTGTCGGATAAGGATGAAGGCGAGACTACGGGTGCCACGGAGGAGAAGCCCCTTGGGAAATCATCTCTGCTTTCCGCCCGCCATAAACGACGCCGCTCGGCAGCCTCGAACAGTGCAAGGAGCAAATACATGACACAGATCGATTTTACCAATATGACAGTCGATATAGATGCAGTATTAGAGGAATTTGGCTGGGATGGTAGGAATATGAAAATCGACGCCCTGGAGTCCGAAGTTCGTCAGGAGCTCGCGAAGGTGGAGAGCGGGAATATTTGGATTGCAACGGATGACGAAAACAAAGCTGCAAATACGACAAAAATTGAAGAGCTTGCACAACAATTAGATGAGACTCTAGCACAGTGTGATGAGCTAGACGGTCTACTTACTCTATACGCAGTTGAATTAATGGTATGACTATCCTATGAGGGATTGTTCGGGCTGATTTACTAATAATGGCACTGGCGATGTAGAGTTTGCAAGATGATATTGCTTACATCGAAAACCAATCACAAGGTCTCCAAGTTCAAACGGCCAATCAAAAGACACTTCAAAAGGAGCTTGAAGTTTTACTTCAGACGGTCAGCATCTCTCCAGAGGAGATCGAGACCCTTCAGAACTCCAAGGTTCAGGCTGAGCATCTACCAGATATCGAAAGTTCGTTGTGCGTTTTGTACAAAGCCATCATTACAATTGATCCGACAGTTGGAACGGCAGCTGGGGCGAAACCTACACCAGCAGAGCCTGACCTTGAAGACATTGCCCTAGGAGAAGCAGGAATGGGAAAAATGATGGCTTTGAAGGATAAGAAGGACAAATACGTTGATGACAGTAGGATGTTTGCCAGACGCCTCATTGAGTACATGAAAATCAAATACCGAGTATGCCTCCAACCATATATGGATGCCATCAGTACCAGTGCTAACAATTTATATATAGCAAGACTTAATGACGCTTGTTAAGCCACTAGATGGGTCTGCACCGGTAGGGAGGGGTCGTTCAGCCGGAAGGCCAAAGGCTCTAACCCACATCGATGTCTATTATTCGTTATACAAATTTGCAGGCCTTATTCTGTTCACCCGAGATATTGATCGGAGTAGCTATCTCACATTAGTTCGAGAATATGCTGTGGCTGTCAAGGATCAGTTCACCGAAGAGATAGGGAATAATATATGGGGATGGAAGGGCATAATGAGGAAACCAACGGCCGAAGATCAAGAAATATGTGAGTTGATGATTCTGCCCTACCCCGCGAGTTGAAAGGTTATGTTATTCTGACGCCAGGGATTCGAAGTATTCACCCACGCCGAGAAAGAGTCAGAAAGCAGCTCCGTTCGAGGGCTTGGAGTGATGAGATCCGCAACTCGTGCCAAACCGTTCCGATCCCAGAACAACGACACTAGCGCTAGGGCCACCGCAGAAAGGGCGCAAGACGGAAAATTACTCGGGAGCGAGTGTTTTGCTGGTTTCCTCGATGACATAATACCCCTCGTGGCAGCAGAGCAAAATTTCCTCTCTGAATTCTTTCATATGTCCTCTAACTCGGCATCTAACTATCTTGAGTTTGTCCAAAGTGGACACCCGGACGATAGACGGCCTAGTGATATCAACCGGAGGCGAGTACCGGAGCAGGATAAACAGGTCGCAAAGAGGTTGTATGAGACGATGACAGATGTTTTCGGGTTCCTAGTTGCTGAGATGCAGTCCTTCGTGGCTGTTATTACATCGAATGACCCATTGTAAGCCCCCCTCGACGGCTGTGTTTTTTATATTGTATATCTGGTTGCTAACACACGGGAAACTAGGCAAGGAGTCGGCGTTGTATATGCCATAGAAAAGAAACTAAGTTTGTTTAGAGAGGGCACCAACCAAGAGTTCCTCGTCAAATGCCTCCTCAAATTAAGTGAAAACATGAAAAGTGCATTCATTGCATTTTTGAAGGAGCAAGTGCGTGCAATCGAAGCTACAAAGGTCAAGTCTAAGAAGAAACGAACCGTCCTAGACTTTATCAAGTCATTCCCGGTAAGAATTGAAGTATTGCATAGCATCGTGTTTTGAACCGTACTGATCATGCCGACTTTGTATGTATAGCAATTTTCGGCCAAAATTGAGGACCAACTACCACCAGAGCAACTCACAGACGAGAGTTTGGAAGTTCGAGAACTGGTCAATAATGGCTACGGCATTCTGAATAGGGCGATGTTTGAAGCAATGCAAGCGATAGCAAAGCAATCATCCTCCGGAGGTGCCCAAACAGTGGACCCGGAAGACAAAGAAGCTCTCCATTACCATATCATGATAATACAAAATATGGACTACTATACGGAGGCGCTTGATGTTCGGAACAATTCAGTCCTGCAGGACTCGAAGCAGAAGGCAGAGGAGGAGTACAAAGAACACATGGCTTTGTATGTGAGCGCTGCAATTCGAAAGCACTTGGAGAAAACACTGGTAAGCGGATTAATTAAATAGGTTCAATGTTGATCAAACGCATGAGCTAACCCAAGATGTGTGCTGTAGGATTTTGTGGAAGGGGTTGAGGCGCTTGAACAAACGTCGACGCCTGAAGAGATTTTGGGTAAGAAAGGGTTCACAAAATTGAAGTTTAAAGAAATCCTCAACGACAACCAAAAGGAAATATCTGGCAGCCATGTTAGAGATGGCATCAAGCAGCTTGTTAAACGCGTAACAAAGCAGTTTGGGGACGAAGGGCACCTTGATCCGCTTTCGGTGAGGGTTTTGAAAGAGGCAGAAAACGAATATTTGAGGCTGGTCAACCGAATGAACAGTCTGTTGCAGGGAACATACCGCGACCAAGGCTTGGAAATGCCGTTGAAGAGAGAGGACGTTATCGCCGCGTTTGCGAAGCAGATGAGCGCTAAATAGAATCCTAGCATTCAAATGCCTCAGTACTTCCATAATTTTGTGGACTTGAACAGAGCGCACTCGGTGGCGAGCAAACGATCCAACCGAAGCTGAGGGATTGAAGGGCCGGCTATATAGTAGCTGGCGAAATATCAGGAGGAGGTGCGATTCTTGAATATCAATCGAGCTCCTTTCTTCCCCCCACCCCTTCTTTCTTTCTTTCTTTCTTTCTTTCTTTTTTACATCGATCTCCTTACTTCCTTTCTTCTTTCCTTCTTTTTAAAAATTTGCTTCGCCGATTGATTCTCTCTTTCTCTCTTCCCTTTTTTTTTTTTTTTTTTTGATTTTACCAACCAGAGATGCGGAGCATGCTGGCGTTGAATCTTTTAATCCTCTGACTGATATCATAATTGATGTTGATTGAACGGATGTTTCTTCTGATATAGTAAAGCGCAGCGAGCCGAAATGATTGTCATTCCTCTTCGTTCTTCAATAATCAACTTAGTTCTTGCTTCTTCAACCTCTTCGCTTTTGAATTCATTAAGTCGCTTCGCTTCGGGCGCTGTATTGCATACTGGAGATGGCTTTCCCAGGGCCCCTTTCCGCCATACTAGTAACTAGTATATATATAGTATGTAGAGTACACCCGTACATACATACTACATACATATTTCCTGGGGTGTTCGTCTGTCTGTCTAACCACATCCAGTTAAAATGGGCGGCGATGGGACGTGGAGGATGGGATACCCTTGGCCAGGATGTCCGGTGATTGGATCTCCTAATATAAAATGTCAAAATGTCTTTGGCCGAAGAGGCCAGCAGGGCAACTACCAAAGCTCCCTAATTAACAGAACAGAACAGAACGGAGCTGAGTCCCAAGCTCAACGCACCACACCGCACCACACCACACCACCACCACCAATACCACCGCTGCTACCACCACCGCCAACCGCAGCTAATCCCAATACCACCACACCACCTCCTCCACCACCACCAGGCATTTAACTACCTCCTTTTCGTCTCCCTATTTATATCGGCCATCTCCATTGACCGCATCCACCTCCACCTCCACCTCGCCCCTCGTCCATATCACCAGATCACAACTTACCTTTCCATTCTTAACCAACCCGCGATCGACTTTTTCCATATCGCTGTCACTCGTTTTCTTACTCTCCTTAAACATTAATTTGACAGGGGCTTCTAATTTAAGCCTCGCCGCGATTCAGACAGATATACCTACCTGAATCATCTTCGATCTCCTCTATCACCATGAAGGGTATGTTTTATCTCACCAATTGGGTTCAAACTAACATCATTATTGTTACTGACGTGTAAAACTCTTTTGTAAAGCTTTAATTCTTGTCGGCGGTTTTGGTACCCGCCTGCGTCCCTTGGTCAGTTCCGTCCAAGCCATCCCCACAGCTTAAACGCTGTAGCTTTCCAGTGCCGTCAGCTCCACGGCTATTCCCACCGACCTATGTCTCTGTGCATAAAATGCTTCTTGTGACCCATGAGCTAACACGTAGCCTCTTTGGAGCTCCAGACTCTCACATTGCCAAAGCCATTGGTCGAGTTTTGCAACCGGCCAATGATCTTGCACCAAGTTGAAGCCCTAGCTGCAGCTGGTGTCACGGATATCGTCTTGGCTGTAAACTACCGCCCAGATGTTATGGTTGCACATTTAAAGAAGGTTAGTGGGCATATTCTTCAGCCCTACTCGGGTCTTGAGTCATTTCACCCCTCCTTCTAACACTTAATTCCCTATAGTATGAGGAGCAATACAACGTCAAAATCACATTCTCCGTCGAGAACGAGCCATTGGGCACAGCTGGTCCTCTAAAACTTGCCGAAGAAATCCTCGGAAAGGACGACAAGCCTTTCTTTGTCCTGAACTCTGATGTCGTCTGTGATTACCCGTTCCAACAGCTCGCCGATTTCCACAAGACACATGGCGATGAAGGTACCATTGTTGTCACCAAAGTTGAAGAGCCATCGAAGTATGGTGTCGTGGTCCACCAACCGGGTCACCCCACAAGAATAGATCGTTTCGTCGAGAAACCAGTCGAGTTCGTTGGAAACCGAATCAATGCTGGAATTTATATCCTCAACCCATCTATCCTCAATAGAATAGAGTTGAGGCCAACATCTATTGAACAAGAGACTTTCCCATCCATGACTCGAGATGGCCAGTTGCATTCCTTCGACCTAGAAGGCTTCTGGATGGACGTGGGGCAACCAAAGGATTTCTTGTCTGGCACCTGTCTGTTCCTTTCTTCGCTGACAAAGAAGGGCTCGAAACTTCTAACGCCGGCCACCCAACCCTTCGTTCATGGTGGAAACGTCATGATTGATGCTTCTGCTAAGATTGGAAACAATTGCAGGATAGGACCTAACGTCACTATCGGACCTAATGTTGTTATTGGCGATGGCGTCCGAATTCAGAGATCGGTGGTCCTCGAAGGTTCGAGGATTAAAGATCACGCCTGGGTCAAGAGCACTATCGTCGGGTGGCACGGCACGGTCGGAAAATGGGCCAGATTAGAAAATGTCACCGTCATGGGAGACGATGTTACAATTGCTGACGAAGTTTACGTCAATGGTGGTTCCATTTTGCCTCACAAGACTATTAAGGCTAATATTGATGGTAAGATTCCGTACCTGCTTCTATATCGTACAAGATGATGCTAATCTGGCTATTTCAACTCTAGTCCCTGCCATTATCATGTAGAAAGACGAAACTAGAAATGTTCGATAGTTTCCAGGACCAAAATTTTTTTTCCTTTTGACCCTTTCTTTACTTTACTTTTAGGGGATAACTTGGGAGGCTATACAGAAACAGGGATTCATAGTTCTTTGGGTTCGGTTAGTGCGGGTATACCGCTCAGTACTGCATTAATATTGACCCAAATTCCACCACAATCATATTCCTACATAATCCATCATCTTTCATAGGCTTCCTTCTCCTTTGATTCCCTTTTCTTTTTTCTTTCGTTCTTGTTTTTACTTTAAACATTTTTGTGGACTGGATGCCCAAGTCACATCAACGATACAGAAGGGGAAGCAAAATCTCGAAATTTTTTTTTTGAAAAAAAAAACCCCTAAAAAAAAAACAATTCGCCAATTAAACGAAAAGTCAATAACTTGTAATTAATTCATTAGACCGATAGGGTGGCGCATAGCAGACATGTGTGGTGGGAAGCGTCGGGGCAGCACTGGTTATACTTGAGTATTTATGCAAATGAACGAAATAACTCCCCTCTACTATATATGCCCATCTCGAGCGAGATCTTGCTAGCGCAAACAGTACATTTTCAGATGGATTGTCATATACTCTATTTCCAAGCTTAAGCTTACGAAGAAATTCAGTTCAGCTGGGCGGTGGTGCAGATGCAGTTGGTACGTACAGTACTACTCATTAGATAATATTTGAAGTGGTAGATGTATAATACAATTGAGCTAAGAATGAAAAAGGCTATGGAGAAAGCTAAGAGGAGCAGCGGAATTAGTGTTCTCCCAGTATTTCCTTTATGAGAAAACGCCCCCACTCCCAGCTGAATAAGATGCAGAAAAAAACGAAGGAAAAAACTTCAGCACTTGTTTTTGGGAGGGAGAATCGGAAAGAGACGACAAAAAACTTTTATCCTTTTGAAACTCAGGCAAAGAAAATCCAGTAACCAGAACAGCGCCCGCCATGACTTTTTTTGTTCGTTGGTACGATAGTTAAGTGGAGAATAAAATCAAAAGAAGAAGAGAAGAAAAAAAGGAAGGAAAACGGGCCAACTCCTGTGAAGAAACGCAAAAACAGAAACAAAAAAAGAGAAAAAAAAAAGCTGAAGCATCCCTCAAACGCCATCATTTACCGACATGAAGTTGTTTTTTTGAGAATGGGCGATAGCCCGACCGATTCTGATTCGGTACGACAGATGACCACCATTTATTTGGCAAGACCATAGTAGGCATATATGCCTCCAACTTCACCGAAGTTGCAGGGGATCTTCCGGTTTCCCCATTTCTTACTCCCCATTTTCCATGACCTCTCGCCATCGTCATGGGTGTTGCTTTTAACTAACCATGACCTTCGTCCGTAGGATTGTTCGGACCAGCCGCATGTCTTGGTTGCGTGAAGCTTGGCACAGCCAGTGACGTTCTTCTCTGAAAGCTCGAGGACCTGGAGCGTAGTATTCTGGGGGAGAATAGCCCCGGTAGAAAAGTGAAGTGCATTGGGAGATACAGCCGAGATGCCAGTTAGATCAAGGTACCGGAGGTTTGACTTCCATTGTGGCACAAAGAATGTGTTGATATCTTCCATAGTCAGCTCGGTGTGACCGAGGGACAGCTCTTCAAGGCGTGATACGAGCGGAAGAAGCATCGGCATATGGTCCGACGAGATAGATGCACCGGTCAGATTAAGAGACACCAACGACTTGGGAAGATTTGGGAGAAGGTCTTCAACATCGATAGCAGACAATAACCTATATCGGCTGGCGTCATAGTGGAGGTTAAGGACTTTGAGGTTGCGGACAGCCGGATGTTCAAGCAAGAAAGTGACAACATTCTCACCCTTGAGGCGGGCACATTTCGAAAGTGAGAGATGGGTGATGTTGGCAGTTTCTGGGATCGACATCAAAGCGGAGTCTGTGACTTGGGTGTGAGAGAGATCGAGATGAGTGAGGTTTGGAAGTCGTGGGAGGATGGCGGTGAAGACACTGGTGGCAAGAGTTGTGCACTCATGCAAGCTCAACCTCTGGACTGGGAAGGATTCCGGAAGCTTTGGGTTCCATGGATGCATTACTTCAGTAAAGGCTTCCTTGAATCGGGAAGCAGAAGCGCCACAGAAATCGACAGCCTCGAGCAGAGGAAGTGTGAAAAATAGCTCCTCGAGAACGGAGGCATCGATATCCGGTCCTAAAGCCTCCTGTGCGAGGAATTCGCGGAGGTTCCCGGTGGCTCTGAGGCCCTTGGTGAGGGTCTTTGCGGTCAAGTTTTGCATTTCCATGTTCATCCGACCGGTCCTCCCCAAACCGACAGAGGTGTACTGCGAGAAGTCCATACGTCGAACCATTCCTCCGAGAACAGGGTGGTTGGTGATCTGTTCCAAGAACTTGGAGTAGACTGGAGAGTGTGGAAACATTGCATTTTGGAAGATTGTGAAAAGGGTTGCGGCATACAGGGTGCGAGAGGCCTTGAGCACAGCGGAGAGGTCGCTGTTGCGTCTCTTGTAGCCAGTTGGAGGTTCCTGGGGAATCAGGTAGGAAAAGATTTGGTCTGCAGGAGAAGAACGACAGTGTTAGTTTGAGAAGAAAATAACAACGAATTTTTTTTGGAAAAAAAAAAAAAAAAGAATTTAAGAATGGAGAGAAGGGAGTGGGGGACTATGGATGCATACCGTATATTTCTACCGGGAGCTTTTCAAAGGGAGCCCTGTTGTCGGTATTGTCGGACTCATCATGGGGGAGGGGGGGACGCTCGACTGTGCCAGTGGTAGAGGCGGTTTTCGTTTGCGTCTCATATTCCCAGGAAGCGTAAGAGAACTCCTTTGCGTGAAATCCCATATCTATACCTGGCAGTCTATTGTCGATTGATGATTTATGTCTGTGGATGGACGTATGAAATATGTATGCAGGGTCAATGAATGATGATGCTGATTGATCGATCGATTGACTGATTGATTAAGTGATTGATTGATTGATTGATATCGAATTAACAGAGCAGATTGATGATCGATGATTGATGACTGATGACTGATGACTGATGAGGGTGATGATGATGTTGATAATGTTGATAATGTAGGGTCAGAGGGGGGGAAAATTTAGATTTAAGCTTTGTCTCGGGGGCGGCGGACTTTAATAGTCCAGGACTTAGCAGTGAATGTTGACGGGGGGTGACCGGTGGGCTAAACAGGTCGTTAGTTCGTTAGTTAGTCATTTCGCAGTCCAAAAACAGCATTCTTGGAGCTAAAACACCAAGAACAAAGTTTTATAGTCGAGCTCTCTCTCGGACAAAGACACCACCACCAGACTCGGACTGTGGCCACAGCGACATCAGCTGGCCTTGTCAATTATCTAAGCCGCTGCCCGTTTTGGATTCCGATGGGGTAACAGTTTCCTCACAAAAACCGGCTAGCAATTTCTATGGGGTAACGCTTGACAAAAGTTTTCCACAACAGGCTCTGACGCCATGTTTGCCTGCCCTGTCGTATCCAATCGTCCCCAGCATGCCCACTAGCTACCACAACCATTCTCTGACATCAAATTTTTTTTTTTTTCTTCTCCTTTCTGGATTTTGCCTGGAGGAAGTCCGTTCAATAGCTGTCGCACGTGGCGGATATATTTAGAGGTGGCACATCCGAAAATCCGGGGTACCCAGCGGACTGATTCCGAGGAGAAACATCTCTCTCCAAAATTTCACCTCCTGAAAGACTTTTCCTTTCCCCTCTGCGCTGGTTTGAGCTCCGCTCACCGCTGTTCGGACTTCCAGAAGCCATTTGAAAGGCCTTCCGGGGGTTGATCCTCGGGCGGCTTCATGCACGATCCAGGGATCATACTCCAACCTTATTTCCCCAGATTTTTCCCAGTTCGGCCGCCTGCATAACCACTCCCATCCTTGTGTGTGTGTGTGTGTGTGTCTGCGTGTGTATGGCCTGTTTTGCCAGTCGGTGGTCGGGTCCCTCGGACCAGTCCGGCCTGAGCTGCTTTCATGTCATGTCAGTCCTGGGTGGTATGTTGTGCTCGACTGGCATCATCATTACATTTGGCATCATTCTGTGATCGAATTCCACCACCACGTCACCGCTCCCATTGAACCCATGTAGAAATTCCATCCCCGGCCGTCCTCGGAGCCTATTGGCTGGGCAAGCCTAATCTAGATTCCCTCTCCGCTTGCGACCTAGCGAAGCGGTACCGCCGGTGCGAAGCCGAACATCTCAATACCAAGACCAATCAAGTTCCAACCCCGTGACCAGATTTAAAATTTCAACAGATCCGTCACATCAATCACAACTCGATCACGGGGTCACATTGCATCAAAAGAAAGGAAAGTAATAAAGGGGTAGAAGTCACTTCGTAGCATTTCGTCAAGTCAGGTAATAGTAGTCTCGGAGAATTAAAAGAAAGAAAAAGAAAAACCAGTATTGTTCCCACTTTCACCATAAGTACTTCGGTACTTATAAGCAACAAAACGTATAAATGTGAAGCTGGCAATGCAATGCATAGAACAAAACAACAAACCACAGAACAACAACCGGGCCAAAAAAAGGATTGAAGGTACAATAAATGAAGTCAAATAGAGAAAACCGCCTCGCTGTTACACCCTGCCTTATATTGCGCCTGTAAACTCCTTCCGGATATACTTTGTAAAAATGGAGGAAACCAAATAATAGAAAGAAATGCGATGTATCATGAAACCTAAACAAACAAATGAGGAAGGGGTGGGTTGGGGTTGAAAGAAATGATAAATGATGTGTTTCAAAGGAATTTAACAACATTAAAGAATTAGAGACGGCCAAATGCCGTTTCGTGGGGGGGGCATCAATGGGGGATTTCAAAGGGGGGGATAAAAATAAAAAATAAAAAAAGGAGGAGGAGAAGAAGAAGAAGAAGAGGAAGAAGAGGAAGAAGAGGAATAAGAGGAATAGGAGGAATAAGAGGAAGGAGTTATTATCGTCGGTTCGTCGTCCGAAGGACCGTAAATATGTTAATGTTATCGATCTGGTCTGGGTCAAGGTCAACATAGCGTACCGCCCGTCTTTTCTTGAAGGGCCTCGACCGCTTAGGACTAGATGCTACTAATTGCGAAGTCTGAGACAAGGGAGGAAAGCTTTCAACACTCATAGGGTCCTCTGTCAGCGGGGAGCTGGGCCCGGGCCCAAGACCTTCTGGCATAGCTGGAGTATTAGAAATGCCCAGTGGACTCATTGTACCGGTGCGCTGGGATATTTCCTCATCGTCTGCGTCTTCAATATCGCTAGCCTCTTCGGGGTCCGCATCACCTGCACTACCCTCAACTCGATAGTATTTATCGTTGACAACAACATATTCAAGGTCCTGAAGTGGCCCAACGGCTGCCGCCATAAGGCTGCCAAGCGTACCAGCGATCTGTTCATTGTTAGGAATATCCTCGAGAAGAACATGGATGGCTAGAAGCGATGTCAGGCTCTCCAATGTATTAACGAAATAGGACTAGAGATTAGATTAGCTATTATGCGCCTTACTAACACATTATATGTCACGGGATTTCACCTACCCAATCTTCATCTTTGACGGAGAGCGCCAACTCTCTAAGCCCGTTACACTTCCTCAAAAGCATACGGACTGCCTTCTTGTCGAAAACCAAATTATCGGGTTCGAGATGATAAACCGCAAGGCATTTCAGACACTCGTAGTGCTTGAGTAACCCTCGCGTTAGTTGCTCCATAGTCATGTTGCCGGAGCTATGGACGAGATAGAACTCTTGTAGCCCAGAAAAGGAGTCTAAGAAATCTGCCAGCTCCGGGATTGCATCATCTGTGATTATACATTGCAATCGAGGCACTAGTTGCTCCGTGCTCGAAGTAAGAGACCTCCAGAAGGCGGGGTGAGTGCCACACTGCCATAGAGATAGACGGACTAATTTTGAAAAGTCTATTACCCGCGAAAGGTGGTTGCTCTGCGGTGGAAACATTACCCTGTACAGTTTGAGCGATACGAAGGCATGTTTTTGTGGGTAATGGAAGTCCTCAAAACGATAACCGCCCTCCTGATCAGACATAGATTCATAAGGTTCCTCTTGGAACCCTTCCGAAGCACTATAGCTCTCATCTGGCAGATTGATATTTCGTAAATTCGATAGGGATTCACTCAATGCTCTCCGAGGGCCTCTGAATAGGATTTTAGACATGTCCATACCCTCTGTGCCAGGAATATTTGGTTTCAGCGCCACTTTGATCCCAACCATATCCGGGGAGTCAGATACAATGTCGCCAACTTGTCGAAGCTGCTCTAAAGTCTCTATAAGCATGATCGTGAGTATTTTGATGTTTTTAAAGCCAGTGAAGCAAGGTTCCATCCCCGCAGCCCTTAGATTTGGGTGTAGCCGTTCTGCCAGTCTGAAACGAAGGTTTTTCAAGGTCGTCCGTGACTGAAGCATAGTAATGAGCCCTTTGCTTAGAGGTACGTCTCTGATGTCCCATGCAAAGCTCTCGATGTTGTTCATGCGCATCACTGCAATTTTGACGAGTGAGTTTAGCATGAGGACACCTGGGGAAAGCTTTCCCTTCTTGGCGTACTCCGAGTCGGCATTCGCATATGTCTTGAACCATTCTCCGGCAACAGCGAAGTCGTGAATATGAGACGCATAGTTATTGTCGGTTGATGTCAGTGTGTCCAAAGCAGATGTCAATCTTTCGTCAAGATCCTCTCTACGCCGCCGTACCGTTACCCTGAAGTCTTTGTAGAGATGTGGGATGACAAGTTCGAAGAGCAGGTGGTTGCATTGAGCAAGACGATATAGGGCTCTTGTTCCGAGCTATGTTCGGAAGGCAATATTAGCGATAAGATTCCAGCGGCCCGTGGGTTGTAATATGGTAGGGGGTACTGACACGATCGAATATCATTTTTAGGACATCTAAAGGAAGGCCCAGGAAGTCAAAGACATCCTGCCTCGATGTACCACATTCAACCGACATCTTGTTTTTTGAAACAAAGTCCCCAGGCTTTCCGTCCCTTGCCGACTGACGGCGATTTTGCTTCTTTTTGGCAGACAAAACCCGAGATATCAGTCCCTTTGCTCTGAACCGAAGCTTAGGTGTTTCTGATTGGTGCGACGATGAGGTTGGGTGCGAAGGTGTGATGGTGTCGGCAGAAGCCCAGGTAGAGACAGATATGGTTGACGAAGCAGGCGAATGGGTATTAGGCGAGTGTGGCGGGTGGTGAGATGGCGGTCTGGCGAAGTGTATAATACAAGATTGGTAGTGTGGGTATTTAGGCCGTTCCCTATCGACAGGGGAGTGTGATGTAGATGGCCGGTGGGATACCTGGGGATGAGACGGAGAAGGCGAAGACGACTGCTGGATCCGAATTGACGAAATTTTGAAGACCTGGCCGGTTAGAGCCAGCGAAAAAGGTGCAGTGGCAGCGACAGGAGGGGGGAGGATGTTTTAGGGTGGTGGTGATGATTGAGGAGGGGCGAAGAGAGGAGGAGAGGAGAGGAGAGGGGAGAAGAGAAGAGGAGAGGGGAGGGGAGACAACAGCGGTGCCGGTTGAGGGTGATGATGATGATGATGATGGGTAAGAGGTAGGTACCTAAGGTAACTAGGTAACTACCTAAGTACTTGACTAGTATTTCCCAGGGGATTGGGATATGCCTGCTGCTGCTGCTGCCGCCGCCGCCGCCGTTGTTGTTATTGTTACTTTATTTTATTTTATTTTATTTTTATTTTCTATCGGCCGATTACACTCTGGAATAAGCACCCAGTAACCTAAGGAGGCCAGAACTTAACTCGAAGTCAGATCTGATGATTACTTAGGTACTTAAGTACTTGGTTGATTGATTGATTGATTGATTGATTACTGACCTTTTTTTTTTAAATATATATTATTCTGTTCTAAAGTACTAGGTATATTATACTACGTTAGAATATATCCGGTCCGATCGATTTAATGTCATGTAATTTAGTTTACCAATTAATTTCTTTCGGCTGGAGTTAAGGGACTTACCTGGTTGCATGCAGCTGTTTACTGAACTCGGTAAAGTCTGTAATAGGTAGTATACTTAGTACTTAACGTACTTAAGTAGGTTGATATAATGGAGATAAAAATATATCTTCTCTTTTGCCTCCTCCTGAACTCAGCTCTTCCTCCTTTCTCCTCCCCCAGCCAGACTGTGGCCCTCGACCTCATTTTATATCCTTAACCATATTCGTTCACATAACATCACATAGCATTCACTCGGCTTTCACAAATTTAAAAAGGTATCCGGTGAATCCTTCGTCTGATTTCTAGTTACTCTCCTGCAAGGGCTGTGATACCATCATGGGGGAAGCTTTCTGCCCAGAATTAATCCTTCTTGCTGGAGTCACAAGTGCAAGTACCACCACCACCACCATGGTTTGTCACGCGAACGCTACGGCACCAGCTTTTGCATTCACGTGCTGTGGCTTTACATGCAACCGGTACTACTTAAGTACTTACATACCTAAATCCTGTTACTTAAGTATTTTATCTTACAATTTAGCTACCCAAGTACTTGGTCCGTAATCATATAATGTTCAAAGACAATGTAATAATTATCTCGCTACCTATGCAAGGTACGGCTGCAGTTAGCCCGCACGAGGTTCCGAAAGCAGATAGATACGGCGATGCCCATGTGGAGGTTTCATCTGAACAGCGATACTCATAGCCTCTCACCCGATAACATGCGGTCGTCCATGAATTTGAATGACGACAACCTTAAAACGCTCCGAGCCCAAGGCGCTTCTTAAAACCAAAATTCTTCTTTTTCTTCCCTTCCCTTTTCTTTTCTTTTCTTTTTTTCTTTTCTTTTCTTTATCGTTGGCTATAGGCTGGATATCCTATTTTACTACCTTTATGTCGAGAAAATCTACAATCTACAAAACAAAGGGGAAAAAGAAGGAAGGAAGAAGGAGTGAAAAGAAGGAAGGAAAGAAAGAAAGAGAAGAAAGCAAAAGGATGATTGCCGACGACTAAAAAAAAAAAAAAAAAAAAAACTAAATATGGTAAATGAAACGCACGGTAATATATCATTTGTTCGAAACCGTCACCGCTGTGCTAGTTGTAACATATCTTATTTGTAATCGTACACCAAAACCTTAGATGACCCCCATCCCCCACCATTTCTTTCTTTCTATTCCTCTTCTAATAGAAGCTCAAAACTGAATGGTTCGAATGGTATCTGTCGATAGGACCGATTAGCATCTCCGTAGAGCACAAAAGCGAACCGTGTACGTGATATAGGGACATATACTTACACCTTCACCCACAAAGTATTTGCTCATACTCTCAACCCATGCAAGACGCAAACTGTGGAGCATAGCACCAGTGCCTTCCATGATGACGAGTACACCAATCGTCAGATTAAACCACATATAAAATGTAACCACCACCATGATAACACCTAACGTGCCCGACCCGGCGAACCCATTCGCGAGAGTCATAGTCCACATAACTTGACTCAACTGTGCGTGTGCTAGGGATAAGGCCCAGAGCCGGAGGTAGCTAGCGGTGTGCGATACGCAGTTCAAGCAAAACTCTGCGCCATTATGGTTAGTCAAAAACGAAAAAAGAAAAAGGAAAAAAAAGGGAGAGAGGCAATACCAATAGTGTGGATAATTTGATGGATCATTTCTTCCCCAAAATCGAACTCCTCCTCTTCCTCACCATCGATATCCTCAGCAACAAGCGCCACCGCGGTACCATCGTAATCTGCGCTCTCTCTTCCTAACGTATGTCCATTCCCATCAGCGCTATCCCGGCCCTCGTCATCCAAAGCGCTAACTCTGCTGTGTTCCCCTAGCCCTCTGTAGCCTAGAGCCCGATGTTTTTTGTTTTCCCATCTTAGATATAAAGGTTTCGAGAGAAGAAGCCATGGAACGCAAACTGCTGCAATCATGATAAGAATAGTCTGTACGACTTCTTGCCCGGCATATAGCCTATCGGTGATATTGCCAGGGCTGAGGAACATATTGATTAACATATTCAAAATACTGGGTGGCTGTGCTCCACTTGCTTGCCAGTTAACAGACCATTTGTAGATGATAGTGACCACGAGGTATCCGAAAATGGACTGCATAAACAGCATACTGGGCAGGAAGTTACCCCAGATATCGATCGGTTTCCGAAAGAATTTGGCGTTGACGTAAACATTGCAGAGCGAATAAGTCATATGCGCCCAACCTAATATAATACTGAGCTTCATTTTAAAGGAGTTTGTGAAGAGAAGGTTGTTTTCTGCGCTATGCCATTTCCAGTCGACACCAAATGGATATGTATAACCCTCGACTCTATGGGCTGTAACCTTCATTCCCTCCTTCCAGTCTTCGGGTACCGAGTATTCCCACATAGAGGGGAATATGAAGAGCGGCTTCGAGAATATATCATTATATAGTAGACCGGTAAAAAGTGAGAATAAACCCATCATCAACATGAGGTACCGACCGTAGTACGCCATATCAAAGATTTCCTGGATTTTTCGGCCGTCCAAGTGCTTCTCATTGAGAATCATAAGAACAGCTGCCAGGACCAGGAAAAATCCATGTCCAAGGTCTCCAAACATCACAGCAAACAAGAAGGGAAAGGTCACAAGGGTTTGCAACCCGGGGTTGACTTCCTGGTATTTTGCAGTGCCGTACGCATTGATGATGCCCTGAAAGGCAACTGTGAACTTGTTCGTTTTGAAGTGGGTCGGCGGAGTTTTGCTCGTCTGCAGCTCGTTGATTATAGAAGGCATTTGCAATCCCGCGCGGGCGTTGACTTCGCGGAGAGTATGTTGGACTAAAGGAAGCCCGCTCTTTGGGCACCATCCCTCTGCGACCAAAACCTTTCGAGCTTGATCGTAATTGAACTTGTTTAGGGCCTCGTAAACAGCCTTTTCCTTTTTTACTACGACCATCCAGCTCGCCAGCTGAGCGGCGATCATCCTAAGTTCCGCCTTCAATGTGAGCTTTGTGTTTTGGAGAACGGAATTCAAATCCTCGATTCTTTGGTTGACTTCAAGAATTTGATCACGACGATTATTGGTATCTTCGTCAACCTGGTAGAGATCTGCTCCCAAGCTCTCCGAAATCTTCCTAATCTTCGAGACAATTTCTTTTCCGTGAGCGAAGATGACGAAGACATTCTTATCAGTTTCTTCGCCGGTCTGGGGATCGGCGATTTTATCTGCCATCTCCGATTGGTTCATGTAGAGGTTTCCCCTGAGAGTCCTCCAGAGAATGCGCTCGAAGGCATTGATTCGGTCCCGTGAAATAACACCTGCAACAAACCCAATATTCATGACAGAGAATGACTGCTGTTCGCCCGCTTGGTGCACATTCTGTTCCATATCGTTGTCAAGAAGGGGCGCAGTGTCATCATCTTCACCAGTTTGTCGTATTTCCTCGACCTGACCGTAAGCATGCTCGAATACAGATCCCGCCTCCCTTAGAACAGCCCTCCACTCAATTAATTCTACCCAGCGTTTCTGTAGAGTCTCATGGCTCTCATTTAACTCTGAGACTCGTTTTTCGAGTTGTTCACATCGATCGGCGAGGTCGTCGATTTCGTGGGCAGAGGGAGCTGCGGTAACATTCTCGTTTCGTGGGATCGGTCGTACGGTGACTCCTGCTTTTTCCATCTGCGTCGCAAAAAAACCTATAATAAAGCCGCCATCCGGATCATATTTAGCTCCGTTTGTATGTATGGAGCACATCGAGGAGCTTTAATTACTTACGTAGCTGTCGTTCAACGTTGTCGAGCCGCCGGATCTCTTTAGTGAAGGTCCGTTGGAAGGCATTTGTATCCGAATTTAGCTGGGTATACCGGAAACCGAAGTAAGTAAGCGTCGCTTTTATTGTTTTTCTAGCACGAGAGATGATTCTTGGGCCTACTAACATCGCGAAACTGGATGTTCCCGAGTTCGCCGAGGGCAGATACAACTTCCCGTCCAATCTCCGTAGCCACATACAACTGCACCAGTGACATGTCACTGGAGCGGAAAAGCGTATCCTGGACCCCCATCCTGATAGAACTCCCACGGTTCGCAAGGGGGGTAAGCGGGATTGATTCTCTATCCGTTGTGTATTCTCGTAACCCGGAGGTTTCCACACTAGCTTGAAAACCTGGCGTCACCGATGGGAACTAAAAGTTCATTAATGGTAGGTAGTTTAAGGTGCGGATGCTTAAACCGTAGAATAATAAGTACTGATGGGATTTATGTTGTTTCAAGTCGTGTCGGCAATTCGTGGAAGGATTTATTTCTGTATGTTGTGATGAGATGGAAGACGATGACGATGACGACGGTGGTTGGGAAGAAAGGGATGCAAGACTGCAGACACGTGTTGCCGGACTGCAGTGGCCTTGGCGACAAAAATTAGAACAAAAAGCTCTGCCCTCACATCTACGCCTAGTCTCGAGGCTAAACAAAAAGGGCAAATAACATCAATGTGAGTGCATGCATAAGTATATACGGTCCTCTTTTGAATGTATCAAACACCGATTGAGTACGTATATATAACTTCCGAACTCTCTAGATTCGATTCGAAGGAGCCAATGGAAAGGAACAGGAGAAAAATCCTGTCAAGATATCGAGATCCAAATTATAGGCAATGAAATAAGCACAAAGCGAGCCCTTCTCCCCTGCAAGTGCTACTAAGTATACATGTTTTCATCTACGAAACTAGAGTTCCTAAGGGTGGCCCATCTCTTCGACCGCTTGCTAAATAGAATACCCGAGGGAAAAAATGGAAGCATATGATAAGGTATGAGATGAATGAGAAGAGAAAGCAAAGAAAAGACAATATATCGTGAAATAGACGCCAACCTATTCCATAGTAATCTTCAGTGCATCGTTACACAGCAAGGAAAACGGAGGCCAAAGGGGTGAGAAAAATAAACAAACGCCGGTGGTATAGTTGAGAACCGCAACTATGACGACGGGATATAAACAGGCCAGGGGGAGAAATATGCACAGTTTCTAGAACCCGAAGATGAAACTGCATCTGCAATGAGTAGATAATGACGCTAAAAGCAAGGAATCTAATCACGCATTGCCAAAAATATTTTACGGCAAGCCTAAGGGTTGTGGTTCAACGTCGCCTGATGTCGTCCTCCGCTACAAAGAGGGTTACAGCATTCATAGACTCCTCTCCCCCGTGAAATCGGCTCTCAATAGCCATCTGGACATCTTCATCCGAATTAACGGTAATATAATCACCATCCTCATCCTGATACCGGACTCTCAGAGGATTGTTGCTGGAATATGTTGCGCCACCGCAGAGTCTAACTTTTCGCTCAATTCGGTCCATTAATTGGGTGTATCCGATGTTCTGCGGAACTATAATCACAAACATATCTGTGATATAGCTAACTTTGACTTTGAGTGACGGTACAGGCATCTGCCGCATTGCGGGCAGAGATGCGGTGTCACCGACTCTGAGGGCTTCCATTGGCGGTGTGCCATTTCTCGGAATATAGTCTTGATGCATTGTGCTGATATGTGCCATTCCACTAGCTCGTGGGTTTTCAGGCAAGGTGTTCAGGTGCTGAACATGAGAGTACAGAGATGGGCTTTGCGATATCATCCTTGAGGGAGTAGGATATCCAGCTGTATTAGGAAGCGGAGGAGTGCCCAAAGCATTTGCACGCCCTAGGGGGGAAGATGCTGGCAAAGGGTGAATGTTAGGACTGCTTGCGGACCGCATTCTGTTTTGCTGGGTGGTAGATTGAGGCTGTGCGATACCTGGAAGTGAAGGCCGTTGAATACGCTGGCCGCTGCCTTCTCTAGAAGTGGACCTAGCCATCGCCGCTCCGTTTTCGTGGCCACCTTGCTTCGGGAATGGATATTGCCCAGATGTTTGTCTACCTTGGGGTGTGGGCATAGGCGATTCAGAAGGTGAAAAATAGGACATTCCATTTGTAGGTGTCGCTGCGGAAAGAGGCGTAGTAGTTTGCGATTGTATGTATTGGTTGGAAGACGATATCGGATACTTGGGCTGTTTAGGTGGTGGGAAAGCAGCTTGGCTGCCACCCGGTGGATATTTCGCCAGTGATTCGTTACGTGGGGCCTGTGCCGCTTCGGGCTCTCCTTGTTCCTCCTCTTCCTCGTCGTCATCGTCAGACGAGACGCCGTCTTCGGTTGGGCGCGGTACGTCAGCACCGGCGGTCCATATGAACTCAGTATTCGAGGTGGGAAATCGAGCCGGGCGGTCGGATTTAGCTGGGGCATCGTCTCGTTTCCATAGAGCAACTTGTCGATGAAGGAGGTTGTTCCACTGCTTCAGTAGTTCTTCGTTGCGCTGGCGGATGATAAAATTCTCAACACCCGGGTCCCCTTTCCAGAAGATTTGAAGGGTATACGATCCTATAATTGTATCAGAGGAGAGCAAGATTAAACTGGGCTGAAGCTCTGTAGTCACCATTTTTTGCCAGACTGATAATGTCCGTAACATTTTGCATGAAGATCCTGCCTTTAAGCTGGAGGCGGAGTTTTGGCCCCTTCTTATTAGCAGCTGCAGCTGCCTTTGATTTCTTATTTGCCCCAATTTCTTTACAGCAGAGGAGTATCCTTTCGAACAAATAAATTTGATACTGGAGGGAGAAGTCAGAGAGGACCGTTCTAGAAAGATTAATTATACCGAGTGGGGAAAGGGCGACGAAACCAACATACCTCTCGCTCGATATCACCTTTTGCGTCTCCTTTAATTACGGTAAATTGACCGTAAAGGAGGAGGTCACCAAAGTGATCGATTTGATGCCCCTTCCAATCCTCCACCCTGTCCTTCAATTCTTCTACAACTTCAGCATTTTCCAATTTTCCGATAGCCTCGTTAACCTTAGTGTTAACCTTAATGATCGTCTTGAGGCCTTCTTCAAGGTCTTCTCTTCTAGGATCATCCTGCGCTGATGCCTTGAGGATACTTTCTAATAACAGTGTATACCGACAGATTCTCTGAGGTGGTTTGATTAAAAAGCCGCCGACACCAGCCCTGTTCAGCGGATGATCAAGTTTATTCAATCTCGGGGCTTCTAACACCGCGAGGTCTTGCGCGTGTTTAAAATTAGCACAAAAGTCTTCATAGACACAAAATTTTGCTTCCTGTTAATCGAAGGTTAGCTCAGATGAGGAAGTGATAACATAGTTGCCTGGAGGCTTACATAATGTTGAAAGAGAGATCCCCACTTCTGTTTCTCAGCAGGCATATCATACATCATCTCTAGCCTGACGAGAAACCGTCTTTGAAAGTCCAGTAGATGATCAAGGTTCAGGAATAAGGAGTGGATGGTATCGTTGGACACAATTTCCTCCGCTTGTAACTTTTGCTTGAACTGTTGTAACTGCTCTAGATCCTGAACGTACTTCCGTTCGGTATCCAGAAACTCGGCAACTGCTTTGCCGCGTTTGTCAAGGCCAGCTCGTTCAGCTCCCCCATCAGCTAATTTATCGCTTATTGCGAGTATGTTTCTTTTCTCGAGCTCGTCGAGAACCTGTGATACTACTTTTGCGACCTGGTCGGATAGGTTAGCATTTGTGTATTTGCGAGGGAACGGCTTCGCAAACAAACCTTAACAAAGCCATTTGTGTCATCGCCATAGACGTTTGTGATGATGAAAGTATTTTCGCCAATGAGGGACAGTTCTTCATTAATGTTTTTCAAAAAACGGAACACAAGCGCCTTCTTCTTGTTTAGAGAGTCGGGTATTTCGTCCACACCAGCCACTTGATTGTCCGGGCGAAGGGTATTGTAGAGTAGTATTAGGGGAGCACCGGTCCTGAATGTGTGCCAGAGCTGATATACAGGGTCCGCCGGTAGATCTGGGTGTTCGGGATCTGTGGCGAATTGCTCCAAGTACCTGTCCATCCCCGGGATGAGCTCCAGTCGTTTCTTGAGTTGCCGGCATATTTGATAGAGCGATTGGGAAGCATCTGCTTGTTTGTTGATTACCGAGTCATTGACGGTCGGGATCGACGGTCCAAATGTTGCTACCGGGGACGCAACCACGGGGGAACCTGCCTGACCAGGCGCCACGAATGTGGAAGTTGTTGATATTGATGAGATAGTAGACATTGATGCATGGGGATTAACCAAGGTTGAGGATGTTGATACACGCGGGCTAGCCGCTGGGATAGCTCCGTGGGCTTTCATTAGGAGAGCTTGGTCAAGCTCAATGGTCATCAACCGGGTTTTGGCGGGTTTTAGCCTCGACGAGGCAAACTACATTTCAATGAGACTGATTAGCAATCCGATTTTGAGTAAGATGACAACAACAAAGACATAGCAAAGCACCGAAGAGCAAGTAGAGAAGAAAGACAAGCAGAAAGACAGAGGGGAATAAAAGTAAAAGCAGAAAAGAAAAAAAAAAAAGGGAAAAAAAGTATATAAAAACAAAGGACTATGATGATGGTGAGTATGGTGATGATGCCGAAAGCGATGAAGACAGAGATTACTGTCAAGAAAATGAATCCAGCTGCACCAAAGGAAACAACACAAACATCCCAGCCTAGGAGTTTACCAAGGCGGATTAGATGTTTTTGGGTCGTTGCTGATATTCATCGGGGTACGAAATCGCGTTTCCCCTCTCAGAGCGGCTCGAAGGTAGCTGGTTGATGTGTCTCGCCAAAAGCACCATGCATGCAATATACACTTGGCGGCGAGACAAGGCGAATAACGATTGAATAAAATAAAAGGTTCCCAGCTATGGAGGTTTGGACAAGGAGAGACAAAGCGATCAAACGATAACATGGGGGAGCGAGCGGTTTGAAAGCGTGGTGGTGGTGATGATGATGATGATGATGATGACATGAGGTTTTCCCGGGTCTTGTATTGAGTACCTGTCAGCGATAGGATAGGAAAAGAAATCTTGTCGGAATTGAAATTGGCGAGATATTTTATTGATATCCAGTCAGTGATGCCGGGGATTCAAGATGGCGGTAGCGAAGGAAGGTGATAAAGAGGTGGATAGTTGGTGTTTAGTGCCTATGCGAGCAAGGTGCATGTACACGGATTCCGCCGTCCAGTGTGGGTGCCGAGTCTCTGTCTCCCCTCCTCGGTTTGTCTGAAGTAGTAGCGAGAAAGACGGGATGGAGGGATTTGGGATACGATGTATCTTCCTTTTCCGGAGGCAAGAAAGGGAAGGGGAAAGGGAAAGGGAAAGGGAAGTCTGGTGTAGATTGTGATAAAAGGGGAGGGGAGGGAGGGAGGGGAGGGGAGGGGAAGGGATATAAGATAAAACAACAACAACACCCTGTGGACTTGACTGGAGGATAAGAAGCAGAGGAAGAAGAATATGATGATGATGATGATGATGATGATGATGATGATGATGATGAAGAGGAGGAGGAGGAATGGATGAATGATAAACAAGAAGACGGACAGGAAGATGAAAATGGAAGAAGGAGGGAGGGAAAGCGAGAGGATGTTCGATGCCAAAGTAGTAGTATACCTAAGTAACAGGTAGGTATAGGTAGGTAGGTACCGTAGAGGATGGCATACTAAGAGGCAGCGGGCGGGTAGGGGAGAGTTGGTCTGGTCTGGTCCGGTCTGGTCTGGTCGGGTCGGGTCTGGTTTGGTTTGGTTTGGTTAGCCCGTCCCAGCCAGCCAGCCAGCCAGCCAGCCAGGCTAACTTGGTCCTTAAACTACTAACCAAAGTAGCTAAGCAGCCATGTCCTGAGATAATAATAAATGGTGGTTTTTGGAGGGTTGATGCGATTGCCGGGACCCAGAAGGGCGGATTGTTCTTGGAATGGTTTCTATTTCAGGGAATTCCAGTCGTGGAGAGGCTGTTTCTCTCGTCTAAAGGGTCCAGAAAGGCTGGATAAGAAGCGCGCACGGGAGGATTGCAAAGAGGAGGGGATCCAGGTCCAGGTCCATATCGCGATATTCTAGCCGGAGGATGGTCCTTCATTTCACGCAGGGATATATCCAGATCCATAACCATCCATCCATCCATCCATCCATCCATCCATCCACTAGGTAGGTAGGTAGGTACTTACTTACTGATATAATAAATATATAAGTAAGTAAGTAGGCACCCGAGTACCCATTCATGATATATCCATCCATCCAATCCACCCAAATAGAAAGAATAATGACGGTGATGGTGATGGTGATGGTGATGGTGATGATGATAGTGATGATAATGATAATGATAATGATAATGATAATGATAATGGCACTGATACCGATACTGACAATAACGATAATAACAGAACAGAACTTCGCGAGAGAGAGAAGAAAGAAAGACACTCGACTGATATAAAGGAGAAAGAGAAAAAGGCCGAGTTCCAAGTTAACTTACCATAGCTGAATCTGCATACATGATGCGAATGTTGATATATACTCCAGTAAATACTCAAGTAAGTACTCAAGTGCAAAGTATATATATATGATATCGATATATCCCGAGTATTCGTGAGTGGTATGTCGGTAGTTCGATATATACTCGAGTAAGATATGGTACCAAAGGAAGTATGTTAATATCGAGATAGATGGTGATGGTGATGGTATACAATATATCATTCGATGATGGTAATTTCTGTAGGTGAGTTTCAAAGCATGCAGGGCGCTTTCCACGGCGGGTCGCTCAAACCAATCCGAGTTCTCTCTCCTCTTCCCTCTCCCGTCCGTAGGTGCTTACTTAAAAATCAGGATGTATAAGTACGTAGGAAGCTAGTCGGAAGCTGGAGATATGTCTGTCGAATGTAAGGTCTAGTAGGTACTAGATGCAATTCGATCGCATCGATATACAAAATAAAAAAGCTTCCATGATCCCTTCCAGAATTCAGAAGAAGGCCGGACAAGGCAGGGCAAGGCAAGGCAGGGCAGGGCAAGGCTTCTGGTATAAATACTTCTGACTTCCCCTTCCCCTTCCCCCAGTTTATCCAGTCTAACTTAACTTGACCCGATAATTACTTATAATGCACAGGCACGGGATAATATAATATAAAAAAACGAGTGTGGGAAATATAAATACGGGGAGGCGTCTATGTAGGTACTTACTTACTTACTGACCATCGCATGCATGCATGCACTCTTGCCCGCCCTTCCTTCTGCTTCTCCATTTCCCCACGAACTTCCCTGCGAGGGGTACATACTTCTTAAGCAGCTTGTACGGGGTACTGTGCGCTATGTGGATGCAATGGGATGTCCTCCGGCTATTTGCGACCGCCTAACCGGCAGCCTCTGCGGCCAAACTTCGAGGATATCCGACAGGAAACCTCGTATGTAGACTAACCCACATTCTCTTTCTCTCTTTCTTTCTTTCTTTCTTTCTTCTTTCTTTCTCTTTCTCATTCATTTTCATTTTCATGTCTAATTTTCTTTCCTTCTCTGCTTTCTTTTCTTTTTTTACTTCCCTTTTGCGGGGTCGCTTTCTCTAGATAATATAATAATCCCGCAACCTGAGGTACTTACCTCTATAACAATCTGAAACCCGAAATACTGACATCGTACTTACTATGCGTAAGCTTAAGTACAGTACTTTAAATGTACCCCGTACCCGTACCTGTACCTGTTAATTTACCTATATAATATAGGTAATAAGATACATGTACTTGCTTGGTATGTAATGTAGGTGGGTAGTTTTAAAAACTCTCGTATCGTATCGATGGCTGGTCGCCACCGTAATTTAAACCGTCCATATAATATAATATACCTCTTTCCATTCCCCATTTTATTTTCAACATGTCGCATGTCGCCAGTACCCCCTCCCCCTCCCCCTCCCCCTCCCCACCTCCATAAACACCCCCCCGGTTCCGGCTTGTATAGAGAAATTCAATCGGTCAGCCAGCCAGTAAGTAAGTTGGTACTTACATAAGCATCCAAGTCGGCAAGTGGGTAAGTACTTACCTAAGTACCTATATAGGCCTATACCTACTTAGCTTAGGTACCATACTTTCGACGTGTAGATGGCTTCCTCCTACTACTACCACATTATCCTCGATATACGCCACCCTTCCCATCCCCTCTCAAAGATCGCAATCGAAACCGGTCTTGTCCCCAACATCAAGGACTGCGCCCTGCCATCCTGCGGGACTGACTTTTTCGCCTTTGTCCCCGAGGCAGTACGGTCCTCATGCGCCTCACATGAGAACAGGGGTGGCGGCATCACTGCTAGCCACATTCAAATAGAGCCTGCCTCTCCCGAACATATAGACTATAGGTTCTCCGTTGTAACCATCGAAAGCATCAGTATGGCATCCAACCCTCAAACTCAAAATGATAGCGACCTTTCCACCGGCCGGCTCCGCGGCAAGAGCGTCAGCTTTGCCGACTCGGCAGACTCTCACTTTTCGTCCGTCAAGGCACGCTACACCCCAATGGTCTCCTCGACCGCCAATATTGGATATGGGGTTGTCCACCTCTATCGAGAAACCACAGAAACACCGGGGCTCTTTGGCCCGGGTGTCGCGAATAGCCCAGAGCTGGACGCACAAGCTTCGCCAGAATCGGCTAGAGGAGAATACTATTCTACCAAGAGCCCTGATCTTGATAAACTCCCTGGGCATGACGAGCACGACTCTACAGTTGTGGCGATTTTAGCTGTGCCGGCTTACATGACTCCGAGCGATTTTCTTGGGTATGTCGGAGCCGACACACGTGAGGCCGTGAGCCACTTTAGGTTGATCCGAACTGGTGAAGACGTCCGCAAATATATGGCCCTGTTAAAGTTCCGCAAACTCGAAGATGCAAAAAAGTTTACCAGGGATTACAATGGCCGAGTCTTTAATACCATGGAGGTGAGTTTTTCATTCATTCCCAGTTTGTTTGATTCTTATTTGATTCTTTATCATCATCGTCGTCATCATCACTATTATTATTGTTACTATATTTTTATTTTTATTTTTATTTTATTTTTTTGGGGGGAAGAAAAAGGCCTGACAAATAACATTGGGATACAGCCGGAAACGTGTCATGTGGTTTTCATCAAGAGCGTTCAGTTCCAGTCATCGGAACCAGACTCTTCGAAGGGGCATTTGGCTGGCGCTGGTCCGACCTTGGTAGACGGTCTAGTACCAAAAAGCCATCCTCCTCAATATGAAACCGACCCGCCTTCGCCTTTTCAGCAGGCCCCTGCTACGCTTTCCGTTACCGCGGCCCACCTGACAACCAAACCGGCCCCGCCTCCGACGGCTTCGTTGTTAGAACTTCCTACTTGTCCTGTTTGTCTGGAGCGAATGGATGAGACAACCGGCTTGTTGACCACTCAGTGCCAACATGTATTTCACTGTGCCTGTCTCAGCAAGTGGAAAGATGGCAGTTGCCCTGTATGCCGCTACACTTCGAGTGATAAAAAAAATATTGGTGGGCGCCCGAAGCAAAAAATGAAACGGTTTAGAGATGGGAAAGAGGAATCAACCGACGAAGACGAATGTGATATCTGCTTCAGCTGCGGGGCAGTCGACAACCTCTGGGTTTGGTAAGTTCACAGGCCCGGTTGATTGAGAGCATCAGTTACCGCCGCTGGTGGGACATTAGAAGCCTCCGCTCCGTATTTCTTCCCCGGAATATGTTCTGATTCTTTTTTCCCCTCCCGGGTATACGTAGTTTAATATGCGGCCATGTGGGGTGTGGGAGATATGAAGAAAAGCACGCCTTTCAACATTATGAACAGACACAACATTGTTTTGCTATGGACGTTGACACACAAAGAGTCTGGGATTACGCCTCCGATGCATATGTCCATAGGCTAGTCCAGAACAAGTCTGACGGAAAGCTCGTTGAGCTCCCTTCTGGGAGGAATGAGAGCAACACGGACGAGTTGTATGACAAGCTTGATAACATCGGCATGGAGTACACACACCTCTTAACCCGCCAGTTAGACTCACAAAGGACATACTTCGAAGAGCAGGTAGTTGCTGCCGCAGACAAGGCCACGAAAGCTTCCCGCCGCGCGGACGAAGCATTTGAGAAACTTCAAGAAGCGCTAACTGCTCTTGAGGATTTGAAGCTGAAAGTAGACCATTTATCTCAAGATGTCGTCCCCTCGTTGGAAAAATCCAAAACGAGAGCTGAGAAAAAAGCCGAGAAAGCTACTGAGTTACTTCGTAAGTTCGAAAAAGACTGGAGGGAGGAAAAAACCGTGAATGACGGCCTTCTCGAGCGAGTCGATAAGATAAACAAGGAACGTGAGGAGCTTTTGAGGGAGAAGATGGACTTAAAAGATCAACTCCGGTAGGCATTCGTCGAGAACCATGAACGGGAGCGTATGCTAATGCATCGGATTATAACCGTACAGCGACATGATGTTTTTTGTAGAAGGGAGGGAGAAACTCAAGGAGATGGACGAGGAGGGGATCGAAGAAGGTGAAGTGACCATCGGAGATGTACCGGACGGCAAGAAGAAACGGAGAGGGAAGGGGAAGGGGAAAAGATGATGGGTCATCAATCCGGCCCCGAGATCAGATGCAGAGCAGGCAGAGCATTCTAGAGAGCATTCCTTGTTGTCCTTCCATCTTTTGCGTGCATCTTTATGGCGTCTGTTGGAGTCTTCGGTCCTTCAATTCTTATTGGTTAGGTAAATGATACCCGTGATATATTGAACTCAAAATACCGGACCGGTCCCGCACGCGCAGGGGCTAGATCAAGCAGATTCAGGTACCGATTTGTCTAAGTGCATCAGCAGGTACCTTTATAATTAAGTACTTTTATAATTAAGCACCTTTATGATGCTCGAGCTAGTAGGCGTTTTCAATCCGCCGCCGTTGAGAATTTGGATCTGTCACTATAGCTAAGCTTGTCTGGCGTTATAATTATAAAATGTGCCGACTCCTCCCACATTGCTACTTGTGGTCAAATTTGCAAACCTCAACCGAACCCCAAGCCTCTCCCCACAGCCATCCAAAACATTTAAAACAGCTAGATCCTTGCCAATAAGACATGGTATTGGCCTAAAGGCTCTCAGATATCAAGCTTTTGAGAATTTCCTTTGGATGTCACATCAGCGCCGGGCAGTCAAATCCAAAGCTAAAAGAAAGGTAACCTTTCCGAAGGACTGGCCAACGATGGTCCAGGTAGGGCCCCTCGAAGAAGGCGAGCTGTCCCAGTGGGTGACACAGACAGACGGGGATGCGAATGAGGCCTCCCTTCCCAGCATTTACCAGACGGCCCCAGAAAGGGTCCCCGCTATGCATAATAGCCTCCCCTTCATTCTAGACGACCTGAAAACAGAAACCTCCCAGAAGCAACTTTCGACAGCCCAAAATGTCATGAAATCAGTCTGTCAACCGTTCCTCCCACCGTTAGATAAGGCAACACATGTCGAATTCCTGCTCAGTCCTCTAGATGAGGGTTTATCGGGCGGGTTCGTGGGCCTCGACGCTAGCAGACCGTGGCTATTGTACTGGTGCACCAATGCTTTATCGCTTCTCGGGGAGAATGTTGGAGTTTACAATGACCGGTAAGAGACAAAATTTACGAAACCCTCGAAATCCCGTCGACGTAACTAATATTCAAAACCTTTGTGCGTTGATTAAGAGCTATCACGAGTCTCAAGCCACTGCAGCATCCAAGTGGAGGCTTTGGAGGGGGGAACGGGCAGGCTCCTCATGTTGCCGCAGCATATGCTTCCATTTTAACACTTGCCATCACATCGTACCACGCCTCGAAGGGGTTACCTGATAATGAGCGGCTAGCTGTCTATGCTAATTCATTTGCCTGGATAGACCGGCAGAAGCTATTACAATGGCTGCGGAAGATTAAGTTACCGAATGGAGGATTCAAGGTCAACGAGGGCGGAGAAGAGGATGTGCGTGCTGGGTATTGTGCCTTAGTTGTGCTAGCTCTCCTAGGATATAATCAAGAAGAGCTTCAAGGCGACCCTTCTCTTGGTGAACTTCCACTTCTAGATGGGGTCGCCGAGTACTTCAAAAGCTGTCAGACCTGGGAAGGTGGGATTGGAGCCAAACCGAATGCCGAAGCTCATGGGGGCTATGCCTTTTGTGTTCTTGCTGCATTGTGTCTTCTTGGTGACCCCGAAGAAGCCTTGAGCAAAAACTTGGACCTTGATAGGCTGGTTTCCTGGCTTTCTGCTCGACAATATGCTCCCGAGGGTGGGTTTTCCGGAAGAACCAATAAACTGGTCGACGGGTGTTATAGCACCTGGGTTGGGGGTTGTTGGTCACTCGTCGAGGCTGCTGTCAATGCGATCGAGTCTGGCAAGACGGCTGTAAAAACGAATATTGGGGACCTATGGAGCCGGAAAGCTTTAATTCGGTACATCCTCACCTGCTGTCAAGGCCCTCACGGAGGTCTTAGAGATAAGCCTGGAATGTATGTGTTTTCTTGATATTGTTCTGCAGTGATCTGGACTATACAGTTATATGCTGACGCGAGGCTCTTTTTTAAATCAGTCGTCCGGACTATTACCACTCCAACTATGTGCTACTAGGCCTTTCAGCAGCTCAACATTATTATTACTACGACAGGTCTTCCATTGAGTCTCTTGCTCTAACAAGTTCACCGTTCAGACATGGCTATCGGTGGAGATCGAGTAAGAATGTCCCCAAGCCTACTGGAAATGATGGGACTGGTGGAGGTTGGCTAGAAGGCCTGGTATCGGATGAAAGTGACAGGGTAGGAGCTCAGCATCCACTATTCAATATTCCACTAGGAGCAGAGAGTCAGCTTCAGAGCTGGTGGGAGTGGTTTAACGATGTCAGCGATGAAGAGGCCGTTTTAACAGAAACCTGACTTGGTGATATAAAATTTTATGTCTGGTTGATTGTCGAATCACTTGCAATGCGATGCGAATGCCACGGCCGTGGTCGATCGAAGTGATGTATCGATATCGATGTCAAAAGAACGAGGTGTCCGCTAGGTCTCAGAGGTCTCGTGCTCGCGCTAGTGCTGATTGAGGAAAGCCAATGCACGGTTCGAGCCCATGTGCATTTCGACAGTGTATGTCCATCCATGCCTCTGCACATGGACAGGTATAGGTACATGTACTTCCATACATGGACTGGATGAACACCGGCAGCCGCAACCACAAAACATCGAAATGGTCCGTTTGTAGGTACCAGAACACAGGAGCGCCCAGCCTGCCAGGAGGCTGCGGGGTTGCCATTGGTCATGAGACCGCTCCCACATGCGCCCATCTTCGAATCCAACAGCTTGTTCTTGAACACCACTGGCATCATATTTTACGACATTCCGTCCGTTTCGTCCGATAGTTTGGCCAGCTGTGAGGATTTTTTGACATGGGAGTGATAGGTCTGGGAGGATTTCTCAAATCTCCTGAGCTGAGGCATCTGCCCCCTAACTACCTCCGCCCATACTGCTTCGAGTCCAGGTCTGAATATCTGGAAGGCGCCCCTGAATTGCATCCATCCAAGTATGTCTGCCGTCTGGAATCCCAGCCCTGCCCCCCTCCCCCGCCGGCCTGCCCCGTGTGATAAATTATAATTAAAGATTCAAAAGTCCATCAAACTAGTGCCATCTTGACATGTCAGGCTAAGAACTCCAGACAATTAGAAGATATGCCGCCTCGATAGTCAATGTTCCTCCGGTCGGATCCCTTATCGCAATCCCCTCACTCGTTCAGAATCTTTCCTGTCCAAAGGCACCTCGCTGCACAGGGGCATCACATCTCTTATCTGGAGGTACCGCTCCTAGGTAGAACTCCTATCTCATGTTCCCAGCAAAATCGGTGCGACGCCTTCCCTTAATTCATCTTTCCTGAATACCAACAACACTTCTCTGTGCGAGGTTCGCCTCTGCCGTTGGCTCAACCGCCATGAGGCAAAACTTTCACCGTTACCTTCTTCCACCAGCACTATTAACAGTGCACGCTCTGCTGCTCCTACCGATCCTAATCCCATACAGACCCGATAATTCGCCAAACCCAGAATCCTCGCTACAAGTCGCTCTAAACTCGGCGCGATACGCTTTGCCACTTGCCTGTATCGCCTTTGGGACAACAAGCGGTTTGCGCCTCCTAGCACGATCACAAGCTTTGTCTCTATCGGAAAGCCGCGTTGCATGGGCCGTACTCTTCTCGCTTGGTGTGGCGGAAGAAGTCGTGCGATGGGGTGTCGCGAGATACCTATCCGACTTGGAAGGTGGGGGAGGAGGGTATGGCGCAAAGAATCCAGCACCTAAGCGGGGCCGCCCGATTCCTGGCACCATGATGTTTTTCCACGCTTCAAGTGTCGAAGTTGAGCCTGGTATATGGGAAGGAATTTATCTAATGGGCTGGCTGTGGAGCGCATTGGAATGCACGGTACGTGAAATACCTTTGAAAATAGTCTCAGAGAATATTAGAATGCAGCTAATGTTATTAGTATACCTGGTGGTCTCTAACACCACGCCAGACCTCTAGCCGCCCTATCTTAGCGGATATTGGGGAAACAGTGCCGATTTCTCGGCCCCATTCGTACCATAGTTGGAGGAAGGAGCATAACAAAAAACGAAGCACAGATTCTACCATTCGCACGATCCGAGGCTTGACTAGAAAGCCAGACATCCCGTTTACAAATCCATATTCTGCGTCACTAGATGAGCACCGCTATCAGCCAATTAATGGCGGCAGTCTGGCTTACCAAGGCGTGCTGGGCAAATTCGAGGACCGAGCAAGCTCGCCAGAACTCAGCCGTCGAATCGTACGGGAAGAAGATAATGATGCTGGCGACGAAGAAACGTCCGCTACCGATAATGATAACGACGCCTTGGACTCACCACTAACTCCTACCGTGTATCGCCCGGCGTATCATGCTGCGGTACCGGCACAGGCACTGCGACCAACAACGGACGAGGAAGATGACCAGGAAGAAAGTACGCCGACTCAACAGAAACACAATGCTCGGTTCTTTATGCCTGGGTCGATAACTTCTGACAGCGACTATTTTGGAGGACGAGAGCCAGCATGGACCTTCAGCAATCAGATATCACCGAAGAGACACACTCCTGAGCCTAGTCGCCGGCTAAGTGCCTTAATCAGCGACTCCGAGACAGAAGGCTTGATATCTGGTGCACAAACACCTCTTTTGAGTTCGTCTATTCCGCTGGATCAGGAACAGGCATCTCTTCTAGACCATCCGCACGGCCCAAGCTACGGGAGCACCCATCAGCTTCAGGCACCCCTAGGAACTTTACCTCCCCCGCCCCTAGAAACGCATTTAAACAAACTAAGTGTGGCAATTCGACCATCGATTACCTCACACCCCAGTTATCTCTCTATCACCACAGGAGATGAGGCAGAGGATGAATCTGATACGCAAGGGAATGGCGGTTCTTTCGGTAGAGCCTATCCGTCACACCCTGCATTTTCTTCATCGTACATCCACCAACATTTCCCGTCTCCTAATTTGTCAAACACGACTTATGGCCAGATAACACCGACAAACACGACACTTCGCCTTCCTCGTCCGAAACTAGCTACATCACATACCTTGTCTATTAGGAGAACTAAGGCGAAGCGGCCAAGGAGCTTTCCGGGCCTTCCGTTGCAACATACTCCGCCAACTGAAATATCAAATCATCTTCCTGATGATACGTATCGATATTTCAATGGGGTAGAAGTCGACTCTGTTTCATTTGTTTTAGCTGTACTTTGGGTCATTATAGTTGCATTTCAACACGTAGGCTACGGCTTATGGTACGTTTGGTTTCCAACTCCAATTTTCGAGAACGTGATTCAAGGGTGGAGCATTGTTTTCTTTGTGGGTATTGCCTTTGCAAAAGGAGTATATATCGCCGAGATTAACAGTGGTTGGATTATAGCGTAAGTACTTCTTGATGGACGTTGAAGGTTCCAACCATAAAACTGACTAACTTTGATCCGATAGGAACGGTTTGCTCTGGATTACAATGTTCGCTTGTATAGTCTCCTCGTTCGTGTTATATTTCATTGCCCTTGTATTGTGGGGGGTGTTATGGTAATCGCATACTACCATACGCCCAGACAACTTTCGTGAGTCCTTCTTTGGCGTTTCGACTTTTGCATCAGTTGTACATGTAGATAAGGTTATACCTCCGGTGGCGTTCTGTTTTTATACGTGGTGCGCGGCAAGGAACCATGCGCAAATTGCAACCCATAAAAACGCAGCAGGTCCCGTTCATCTTCATTTCCTGGACAGTCCGAGGTCTGTGGTCATCAAGCACGGTTGATGAATCGCTCGGACACTCGGGTTCTATTCATCAGAACCCTACACCTTTCATGAGAAAATCTAAATATCAATCGCTAGGGCTAGGTGTTTGTCTGCTGCTTAGGCCGTCCAGGTCCAACCAGTCCAACCTGAGGCCGATCTGAGCGAAAATGTCTATCTAGTATACTTCTCCGATTTATTGGGAATGAGTTTTTTCAGGCAATCTATGTGAGCTAGCATGGTCTCATTGCGGGCGACAGCCGTGGCAGAGGCATCCACCCTTCGTTGGTTTTCGCCGTAGACAACCGTAAATGCAGGGAGAACATCGACATCGCGGATGGTGGACAGCGGGGAAAGCGTGCAATTCTGTTCGAATTTAGAAAGAAAAAAAACAATTGAAATGAGATAAAGTAAGCAATAGCTCCACGCCGGTCCTTAACGTAGTTAGTTAGATAGGAGACCTTACATCACCAATACAGCTACCCTTGCCGAGTTTGGTTCCGACCTCAATAGAAGTGGCGTCGCCGATTCTTGCAGCTTGTATGTGACAGTTCACCTCCACGTGAACATAATTCCCGAGAACGAGGCCATCGATATCAGGCGCGATCAACTGTGTCCTTTCGCTGATAATACAGTTGGATCCGATAACTATAGGACCTTCGGTAGAGTTGAGCTTGCAGCGAGGGTGCAGAACGGAGTTCGCACCAATTGTGACCGGATAAGTACCAGAGAAAGATATAGCATCGCTGAGAACGGCGGTAGGATCGATTGAGAGAGGTGGGAGGGGGGCGGAAGAGGCGGAGGATGCACCAGAACGTTTCGGGCCCATCTTGAGCTTCCGGTGGTGGGATGCTGCCAGCAAGTGCTATGTCCCCGACCTGTCCTGTTAAATGCAGGATCTAATCTAATCCACATAATCCGATCTAATCTAATCTAATCTGGTCTTTGTAATCTAGATTAGATGAACTAGATTAGATCAGCTTATTTGATGTCATGGATTTACGTCACGTTGGAGACGAAACGCACATCATCCATCGACAACAACACCAACAACACACCCCAACCGAAAAGGATCTAGGCAAGCTTAAGGCCATATGCATATGCATCCGTCTCCCTAGCTAGCAAAGTCGATTCTGCATAATTCTGCAGCCTCTCGAAACAACCACCACGGCGACATTGATGATACATCAAAATGCCCAGCGCGTTTGAGAGCCTTCAAGTATTAGATCTGGGGCCGATCCCACATTCTATCTGCGAGAAATTAGCTGTGACTGCCACCCTCGCCATAAGGACTTTTGCTTACGTATTTTTGAGATGGGTGAGTGACACTTGATTCCCATACTTACCCGACTCGCCCGTCCTATAGCCCGTATCGCTCGGAAATATATGTTGGCCTTGTTTCGTAACTGACTTCCCCTCTCAATTCAGATTCCTGGCCCAGTAAGTCCCTCTTAGATATGGACTTTATTCTTCCTCCAAAAGATCACGGTTATTGCATTACAACTGTTGGGTTGGCTAGACCCCAAGCCTAAAATAAATCCCACTCGTTGGTACTCAAAAACAGCATAAATATCCCTAATAACGAGCTTTGGAGTGGTAGTGGATACCTAAAGTACTAGGGCCTTCTTTTGCGATTTTCCTACCTGTTTATCTCGCTCTTACTTTGTCGAAACCCCAATTTATAACGAAATCCGAGTCCGATGTGACTATTCGATCAAAACAAGGACACCCAACCTCTAAAGATAACCGGGATCCCAAAGCGTCAAACGGCATAGTCATTGAAGCCAAGAAAGTCAAAGTATCTACTCGCCAGAAGACAGGCCCTTGGAAGACCTTGTTGATTGGGAGCCCCAGTTTGACAGATAACCCTTTTCTCACCCTCGTCTCATTCCTGATCAATGCTCTTTGTTTTGTTGCTGTGTATGATGCAACATATACTTTGCCAAATTATCATAAAGGACACGATCTCTCGTTCGCAAGAACCGGTTGGGTATCTGACCACTCAGCGCGGATTCTTGTTAGAGAACCAAGCAGCTCAGAATATGTCAAGCATTCTCCGGTGTATGTTGTATCTTGGAGAGAGCAGACCCATTATGGCCCTGTGGCAACTCCTTTACGGTGGAATACTCTCCAGGTTGGAGAGTTTACAGAAGAAACTGACTATACAGTCTCTGTGACTATTCCTGGTCTTAAACCCGGGACAAAATATCAATATTTAACGACAGGAAACCATTCGGGAAGCTTTACAACTGCCCCAAAACAGGGCACTAAGGGAAAATTCACTTTTTTATCGGTATGTTTCTGATATACTTTGGAAACTAGATCATGCTAATAGTATTATAGACATCATGCATAAAGCAGCGGGTTCCTTATAATCCGTTTGCACATCCATTGCACATCCCTGGTTTCAAGGTCCTCGGAAACCTTCTCCCGGAACTCAAGGCGCAGTTTATGCTTTTCTTGGGGGATTTCATCTATATTGATGTAAGACATATGACAACCTACACCTAATTTTTCCCTTAGTGATATTTTCTTACAACCTTCCACTCTGCAGGTCCCAATGCGTCCCGGGAACGATATTGAATCATACAGAATGAACTACCGTCAGATATATTCATCTGAGGATTGGCCAGCCGTTGGAGATCACCTTCCTTGGATCCACGTCTACGATGTAGGTGCTGTCTACGAATACCAATATACACGTAATCGTGGCAAGTTTTGATGAGGTGCTAGGATCATGAAATTGCAAATGACTGGGACAAAGGCGACAGCGGTCTTTACGCAGCGGCAGTTGACCCTTTTAAATCGTACCAGCATCAAGTCAACCCCCCTCCCGTTAGAGAAAACTCGACTTATTACACTTTCAATTGGGGGCCTGCGTCGTTCTTCTTGCTTGACACCCGACGCTATAGATCCCCAAATGGAGTTGCGGATGGCCCAGAAAAAACAATGTTGGGTGCGGGACAGTTACATGAGCTTCTTGAGTGGCTCCGTAGGTCCGATAAGGACATTCAGTGGAAATTTATTGTTAGCAGCGTCCCGTTGACCAAGAATTGGCAAGTTAACGGAAATGATACATGGCGTGGTTTCCAATGGGAACGTTCTAAAATACTAGAAGCCGCGTGGTCGGTAAAGGGTGCTGGAGTCGTGGTCTTATCGGGTGACAGGCACGAATTTGCAGCCACAGCGTACGCCGCCCGTTTAATTTACAGTACCCCTTAGGCTATGGCTATGGTATTGACACAGGTCTCTAGATTTCCGCCTCCTCCAAACTCGCGCTACCCAGCGTCCGCAACCGTACATGAATTCTCATGTTCTCCTCTGAGCCAATTTTATCTTCCCATCAGAACATACAAGCAAAGGGACAATGAAGATGTTCTCATAAAGTATGACATACCCCATTGTCTGCACTCCATCATCTTGTAATCCTCTTACTAAAATATCATACAGATATGTACCTGATGGAAATTCCAAATTTGGAGCAGTTGAAATCGACTCTACAAGCCCCGGACAAGCAGTACTAAAATACAAGCTATTTGTTGATGGGAAAGAAGTCTGGAATTGGATTCTAACTAATCCTCGTCTATAGAAGGCATTGAACTAGCCTCGGTTTAAGAGAACAACTGATTTGAGTATATTATACGGCTAATTACCTAAATTGGCGGCGTTTATATTTTTATCTTTTTATATTCTTTTTGCTGCTGCTGTTGTCGGTGCTGACTCCCCCTGTAAACTTTTTGAATCTCCATGTCGATTAAGTTGATATAAAACCTCAACTCCTAAGTTTACTATTAAGTTAATTATCCAGCACCATGCATAATATGCATTTAATTGCTGTACAGATAGTACGTGGGAGAATTCCTTTACTTAGTTTCTTGTATTTTGGCCCTTTGGGATGAGGACGGTTTGAGCATATTTACCTACTTCTATATATCTACATTGTTGGGAGGCGGGCTGGTCTGGTTTGTGATACCAGCCTGAGCCCGAAACTTTTGGATCGGTTGGGAATGAACAGCCATTCGCAACTCTAGTTGGTGTCCATGAATACTAAATAGGTACTTCCTTATCTAACGGCAACCTTTCCAATGATCACGGTCAAGCTTCATCAAAGCTGCTTGTTTATGGGGGAATGCGAAGTCCTTGACTTTATAAAACCCATAACGAGTTAATAACCGGATGAACCTATTGCAGAATTGGTATTAGCGTTTAGAATGAGTTCTGGTTAGATGAAATAAGAGTAGCCACCTACAACTCGTTGTCCACTCTAGGTTCCAAATAGATGGACTGGGTCCTGGGGTCGGAAAGAAACATAACTAGATATACGGATTAGCACCAATAGCTCCAAGGTCTCAGTGGTTTGATTATATTAGCAGCCTACAGTGAACTATGGAATCAAGCCACGCGGTGGACCTTCCCCTAGCCCAATCCTCTCCCACTAGAAGATGAACACCTCTATCCCAGTCTTGTACGCTATTTGCATAACGGGCGAGATGATCTTCCTTCACCCAGTATATATCGAAGAAGCAAGCATCTTTCCAGCCTGTAAGGTTACCTTCCGCGTCTAGATCGTTCCAGCTCCCGATGGCGGTGAAAGAATGTTTGCTGGCAAGACACGTTTCTAAGAATTTCTTCTGGTGCTCGATTGGGCCTTGTTCGCCCCAGAATTCGGAAACTCTCGTGTTATTCATCCATTTGTGGATCAAATCGAGGTCGGACATGTCAACAGGCCTGAGTTTGAAAACCGAGTTCACTTTGTCCGATATACAATGACGAGTGTAGAAGGGAAGCCGTTGAGGGGGGGGTCGGGGTCGGTTCGGATGACGTATGGCGCCATTTGAAAGAGTGTACCGGAGTGGTTTAGCAGGGAGATACCGGTGGGCATTGAGGCTCGACAAAAAAAGCTCCGGGGACAATTGCCAGAAGACATTGGCGAAAACCAGATGCACTTGTTTCTCCGCTTGTATTTGAATATCCACGAGCCCAAGACGCTCTAGTCGGGCAGCGAGTTCCGAAGGACGACTGGGCGCATCCGACTCGAGAATAAGTTCCACGCATCGTTCCGGAACAGGTCTGCCTTTGGGTACCCCGACTGCCACATCGCTCGTATACTGGAAGTACCAGTACAGGGCAGTCCAAACGGTCTCCAAATCCGCTGTGGAACCTTGCAGCTGTACTTTCAGGTGGTCCTGCGGCTCATTGGGTGCTGCTAGTGCCCGGCCTCGAGAGCTTTCGAGGGTAGCGCGAATCGTGCTGGAAGAAGAATTGCCATTTTCCAGGATTGAGATCGCAGTTGTGACGACTTCGAGTTCTTCCGACGGACGAGATACTTCGGAGGTCAATGACCTGGCGACAGGAGGGTCTGTCGGCAAGTATAGGAAATTAAAGTGACCCATGACGAAGAGATTAATATCCTTTCCCCCTTCCTTAGCCAGCTGGTACTAGTCTCCGTATGGACGTATGTACTATGTAAGTTGATGCGACTACACTGCAAATGCAAACGCAAATGCAAACGCAAATGCAAACGCAAATGCAAACGCAAATGCAAATGCAAATGCAAACGATGTTCGGGGCTAATTTGACTCGAAGGCAAGCATGTGCCTCGGCTCGGGACCGCATATGCTAACGCCGATTAGTCGAAAACCAGGCCTTCGAAAAGTCTGGGGTTAATTAGGTACGTTAGCCGGTGCATGCGCTTGCTTCCTTTGGTCAGCTCGCATGTCTCTGCATGGAAATTGCATCGCTGACATGTGAAATTATCAAGTCCTTAAAAAGTACTACTCATTCCTATATTCTCCCTCCGATAGATACCTCCTCCTTGAGCCCTTACTTATAATCACTTTACGTATTATATTACATTACATTATACTTCGATCTTGATATTATAAAAAATGGCCGGTATGTGTGACATCACGACCGACATATACATATGCATACCTACTTAGGTATATATATGGTTAACTTGATTAATTTGCTGACGGATAACTCGTTTTCCAGCCCAGCGTCTGTCCCAACTCTCGAACCAGATCTCTGGTGTCCCATCCAATGCTCGCGATGCCTTGCTTGCAAAAAACCCCGATGATGTATGTACAACCCACCGGGATCCATGGGTCGGTTTATTTGAAAGTTGGTCCGGTGCACTGCTTATTAATTATTCAAAATTTTAGATTGTCATAGTTTCGGCACTAAGAACGGCCCTCACCAAGGGTGGTAAGGGTGGATTCAAGGACACGGCTGGGGCTGACCTTCTTGCTGGTGTTTTGAGGGGTGTGATCCAAAAATCGGTACGTCCGGATTGCTTTTATCGATCCTCCCACCGGCCACCATTCTAAATCGGATGCAATGAATCTAACTACTTCTCTCCTCTAAAACATATAGGGTATCAACCCAGAGTTAGTCGAGGACATCGCCGTCGGCAACGTTCTTGCTCCTGGTGCCGGTGCTACCGAGTTCCGGGCAGCCGCCATTGTTGCCGGTTTCCCAGTTTCAACCGCCGTTAGATCACTCAACAGACAATGTTCGAGCGGTCTTCAAGCAGTCGTCGACATCGCCAACCAAATCAAAGCTGGTATGATTGATATCGGTATCGGTGCTGGTTGCGAAAGCATGTCGCAGAATTACGGGTACGGTGCCCTTGAAATGTACCCCATAGCAGCCTACTTCACGCGCCTATATATCTAACTCGAGTCGGTTTCACAGACCAGGTGCAGTTTCCGAATTCTCTCCATTGTTGGACGGGAATGTCGAGGCAGCCAACTGCAAAGTCCCAATGGGTCAGCTCTCGGAAGCTATGGCCAAAGACAGGGGTGTTAGCAGGGCTTCACAAGACAAATTTGCCGCTGAATCCTTCCAAAAGGCCGAGAGCGCCCAGAAAGCCGGTCTCTTTGATGAAGAAATCGTCCCTCTCACTGTGTCCTTCGAGGATCCAAAGACTGGCGAGACTAAGCAGATCGTAGTGGCTAAGGATGATGGTATCCGCCCCGGAATGACCGCCGAATCCCTCGGCAAGATCCGACCAGCCTTCGCGAAGGATGGATCTATCCATGCCGGTAATGCCTCTCAGGTTTCGGACGGCGCTGCTGCCGTATTATTGATGAAGCGCTCCAAGGCTGAGCAACTTGGCCTTAAGATCTCGGGCAAGTACGTCACAGCGGCTGTCGCTGGAGTTCCACCACTTTTGATGGGGGTTGGCCCATGGAAGGCTATTCCCAAGGTTTTGGAGAAGACCGGCATCAGCAAGGATGATGTTGATATCTACGAAATCAATGAGGCATTCGCTTCGCAGTGCTTGTGGTGTGCTAACGAGCTCGGATTGGATCAAAACAAGATCAACCCCAAGGGAGGGGCTATTGCATTTGGGCATCCGTTAGGATGCACCGGTGCGAGGCAAATCGCGACATTGCTACCGGAGCTGAAGAGGACAGGCAAGAAAATTGGAGTTACTAGTATGTGTATCGGAACAGGAATGGGGCTGGCGGCGGTGTTTGTGAACGAGGCATAGGCCTAGGCGCGACGTGATATCATTTTGACTTGGCCGGTTACCCCGTATACACCTAAGTACACGCACATGCCTATAATACCCACCTTTGGATCCTTTATTGATGTTCCCTTTTGTTTTTCGGAGTCCGTCTGTTCATCCGTTCATGTATTATATGTCCTACTTCTCTATAATAAAATACAGATACAGATATGTATGATTCGATACCTACTCAGCAGTACACGCCAAGAAACAACCAGGCATTAGATGCATGCCTAGCGCCTCGCCAGCTGCAGCCCAGGATGGATCCTAATACTTGCCAAACAGGGATCTGGAAGTACTCCATACTACCGTCGGAGTCATCCAGGCTGCCTTGTGTATGTACATGTACATAAATGTAAGTCGGACGTCATGACTCAAAAGTCAGCCAAGTCACGTTCCGGTGCCTTCCACACCCTTCGTTTTCTTTGTCACGGAAAGCTTGTGTTGCTGAGAACAAGCAAGCTCAGCCCCGATCCCCATCCTGTCTGTGCTATTTAAGCTCTCCTCCTCCTCCCTTCCTTCTTCCTCCCCATCTTCAAGACACCTCACAGCTCCACCACCCTGTAAAACTATCTCCTATTTCTTGCTTGCTTGCCTCCAAGAATCTGCCTACTTCACCTTCATCTTCTTATCCTCCCCCTTAAAGAAGCCTATCTTCCATCTAAGAACCAGATCAAGATGCAGATCTTCGTCAAAACCCGTATGTTCCCTCCTCCCACCCGCCACCCGCCCCCCAAACCCCCGATATGCCAACCTCGCTAACTTGCTTGCCAACCACAGTCACCGGAAAGACCATCACCCTAGAGGTTGAATCCTCTGACACTATCGATAATGTCAAGGCCAAGATCCAAGACAAGGAAGGCATTCCACCAGATCAACAGCGTTTGATCTTTGCTGGAAAGCAGCTCGAAGACGGAAGGTAAAGCTAACTCTCCTCCTCCGTTTGCCCTCAACCGACGACACCAAAAACTAACGCGTTATTTATCCTTCCCTCCCAGAACTCTTTCCGATTACAACATTCAAAAAGAATCTACTCTACATCTTGTCCTACGTCTACGTGGTGGTATGCAGATCTTTGTCAAGACTTTGACCGGAAAGACCATCACCCTTGAGGTCGAGTCTTCCGACACCATCGACAACGTCAAGGCCAAAATCCAGGACAAGGAGGGTATCCCACCAGATCAACAGCGATTGATTTTCGCTGGTAAGCAGTTGGAGGACGGTCGCACACTGTCCGACTATAACATCCAAAAGGAATCCACTCTTCATCTCGTTCTCCGTCTTCGTGGCGGTATGCAAATTTTCGTCAAGACCCTTACCGGCAAGACCATAACCCTCGAGGTAGAGTCGTCGGATACCATCGACAACGTCAAGGCCAAGATTCAAGATAAGGAGGGCATTCCACCAGATCAGCAACGTCTTATCTTCGCCGGTAAGCAGCTGGAAGACGGCCGAACCCTCTCCGACTACAATATCCAGAAGGAGTCTACCCTTCACTTGGTCCTTCGTCTTCGTGGTGGTATGCAGATTTTTGTAAAGACCCTCACCGGCAAGACAATTACTTTGGAAGTTGAATCTTCAGATACTATCGACAACGTTAAAGCCAAGATTCAGGACAAAGAGGGTATTCCTCCAGACCAGCAACGTCTTATCTTCGCTGGTAAGCAGCTTGAAGATGGCCGAACTCTCTCTGATTACAATATCCAGAAGGAGTCTACCCTCCACTTGGTGTTGCGTCTCAGAGGTGGTCAGTAAATCGGTTCTAGGCGCGTGTCTGTTAGTCGGTCTTCGCCTATTATTATTATGATTGCAATGTATTTAATGGTGTTCGTCGGATCACGAGAGGGATAGCGGGCAACTTTATTCGAGCCTGTCCCTCCTCTCTTACTTTTTGATAGCCTTTTATGTAACCTTCCCTTTCTCTCCCTTGAGACACCTATATTTCAAGAAATAGAAATAGACATCCCTCAGCTTTGTGGAGGGAGTTTTCCATAGGAATACACCTGATTGCCATCCCGTAAATTTTACCGTCAAAAGACATTAAGCCGTAGCTCCTCGACATGTCTTGCTTGTTCCTTCTTGAAACAAAGACTGCGTGTCATGATTGCAAACAAGCCGGACCACATGCAATGTTCGATCTTCCCCGCTTCTCCCCCCCTTTTTTTTTCCCTCCCCCCTTCTCATCAACCAAGATCCTACGATATTCCCATCTTACCGCTGCGGCAATGTCAAGTTGAGGCCAATATGGCGCCATCCACTGCATGAACAGCTTTAAGAGAGCTTCTTCTGACGGCCAGCATGTCATGTCACCACCCACCTCTCTAGCGGCCACCCCTTTGTTTTTCAGATACCGAGAAGAGAGGGTTACTTTTACCCGTGCATTGACAGTGCTTTATTAGTACTGGCATAACTTGAGCCTTCGTATTCCCGACGAAAGGATTGATCGGTTCTGCAATGCTTCTGAGCTCATGAACTAAAACCCGTGTTTTAACGGCGGGGATGCCGGTCCTAGCGAACCTTCTCCTCGGTTTTCGCATTACATTGACACATCTCGATTCTATATCTTTTAGGTATTTGTTCCCTTTGAGTACAGTGCAGCTAAGAAGCAAACCATTGCTTTCAAACGGTCAATTAACCCTTCTCCCTTGCAGACAGGCTTCATGTTCTGCCAACTCATCGTGCATAACCGTAGACTAGCAGCCACTGCCTGCCAGTATTCCCTGATCAAGCACCATGCACATCATTCGTCTCACTCATGCACCAGGGAGATGCAAACATGCAATATGTATACTGGAAGCAAGCAGCCTGCCGCTCATGTTTCGGCGGCCCGTTTTTCGAACTTCATATCTTATCGCCCAACCCGTTGACGAGATGAACTAGATCAATGATGAATATACACGCCGTTTACCTACTCCTCAAGCTTTCCCATAGTTTCGTTTCTTCTTCCTCCTCCTCCTCCTCCTCCTCCTCCTCCTCCTTCCTTTTTTTTGGCGGATCTGTCTCTCTCAATCTCGTGGTTATTGGAAACCGTGTCGTGCCATGTGGAGGAGATAAGGCTTACCAAAAATTTGATTGAGCTAGCACCAATTAACAGAGAAGCCAATGCAGACGGCTACGTCGGAATAGACATGCTCGGGCTACCCAGACATCGGGTTATCTCAAACTCAAGCCCCCTTCAATGGGTATTACGGGATTACCTTTAGATCGTTCCGATAAATTACTCCCGTATTCGACTGCGACCACTCCCAAGTGCATCAACTAATGCCAGCAGATTATTTGTATAGCTTTCAATGCAGCTTCGCGGCTTAACGAAGTCACGCTCAAGATGTTACATACACACGCATACCTAAGTACATACATACAAACAAACATAACATCCATACATGCATGCATGCATGCGCATGCATACTGTCTGCACTATTCCCAAGCCCTCGTTTGGGGGCAAACTTAAGCACAAAGAGAAAGTGAGGGAAACAGAGAGAGAGGCAAAAATTAAAATAAAATAAAAATAAAAATAAAAATAAAAATAAAATAAACCAGAAGAGGAGGAGGAGGAAGAGGAATAAGAAGAATAAATGAGTGGTTGTTCTTCCCTAGCCGTATTGACACAGGATATATTCCTTCCGTTTCATAAACTGAAAGCGATTTCTCGCATTCACACACATAACGCATATATCTCCATTCGACCCTCTAAGAGGAACTGACTAGCAATTGTCCCTCCTCTCCCTCAATTTCACCCACTCTCTCATTCGAAAGACCATCCCACCATCGCTTGAGGTGCATCCTTTTACTGGTAGTTGTCTACTACATCAACGTAAACCTGGTATTCATATGGCTAACTGCGAAGCTATTCTGTTTGCTTAGGCCCCCATCAGCTTTGCATCAAACCTTTCCAGTCCGATACCAATCAGATCCGGTGGAATATAGCGGCGTACCAATCGAATACCTCTATAACAGTTAGAGATCTGACGACTGAAGGGAGTGACCGGGTACCGCTCGAAGCTCGCAGCAATGTATTATATTTTATACCTCTCAAGTATGTACTTGGCCTCGGATTGGAGATGTTCCTACACGTTTACAGGGAAATCGTATGGAGCCATTGAAGATCAATTTTCTCATCGAAAGACAAACGTCGCCGATATCTCATGGATACATGCTAAACCCATATCCTCTTTCCCAGGTCTCTGTCGTCGTCGAAGGTGGCCAGACCCACACTACGAAGTTCTTCAATGTAATGGCGGTTATAGTTGCATTGTCCGTGTCAACCACCGAGAGTATTATTGCGAAAATATATCGGAATCAGAGGTTCTTGCTCGCGAAGCAGCAGCGCAACGTGCCTATCAGTTTTCCGTGAACGAAAGCCAATTCGCAAAAGCTGCCGGCGTAATTGTTGCCCCGTCAAAAGCAATCTATGCGAGCACCCCGATTATGTGATAACCAAGCACATAAATGGCGGTCGTGATCCGGATACAATAGCACTACTTTTTTCCAAGGATGTCTCATATATACTAATTAATGTGAGGTTCAAGGGAGGTTAAAGCAGCCACAACCTTCTGTTGTGTTGTAGGTGTCAAAAGATGTTGGATAAGGCTGACAACGTGGGCAGCTCAGCGCCAATTGGCAAGGTTTCATGTCTTGTTCATCAATGTACATATAATATACTACAGGCATGTCCCAAAACTGATATTCGATTATCCAAGTCTTCAAGGCGTATGTTAAAGCAACCAATCCAGCAGAGCCCATGGAAACCTCGTATTTTGGCGAACCACGTACCATCAATACGGATAGATCCTTTGAAACCAATACTCTTTTCCTCCCCTTTGAATACGAGGTTGTTGTTTCAGGGTCGTGAGAAGCGGGTGGGCTGGCGCTAGTTCTGAGAGAAAATATCCCCCAATCATGGAAGGCTAATCTTTGAATCTTCTTCCTCAGGATTTTCAGCCCTAATATAACTATGTATCTTTTAATCGACAGTCAGCCACCTGTTTTTCTGATTTGTATTTGGTCGGTTACGGGTTATGGTGCTCTGCTTGGTGGGTATTTTCAGATTCGAACCCGGTCATGGGTCATTCTCATCAACGTTGGCCCCGATATGGGATCAACTATGTTGACCGTCGTGAGAAAAAAAAATAAAAGGGTCATCAGGTAGCAGCGGTTCAAAGGGTATATCATTGGGATTACATATATAAGCATACCTCGTAATATCTATGAGAACTGTGAAGAGGCATTTGCGTGTTTGTTATGTAACTATTCGGCCCTGTTAGCAGGCTGGAATGTTCACAAAAACGGCACCAAGTATAATCATTCTAACTTGTGTATTATGTGCTCAGTCATAATTCATATCGCCAACGCCACAGGCGGGCTCGGACATATGCTTGTCATTTGTTTGAATTGGAATATCATCATAGGGGATAGAAAAGCAAGGACAGTGTATGGGAATCACGCTTACTCGAATAACGGAGTGTTCGTAGATATGTCGATTTCGATACTCGGGTGAATGAGGCCGTCGCGATCGGCGAGTATTCTAACAGCTTAAGGATCCTGTTAGTCGTGATGCCACGCACAAAGATTTAATGATATCAAACGGGATGATATAGTTCCTCTATCAGGCTTTGCATGAATGGTAAATTGGTTGATATTCTCGTCATCGGAAACCCGAATAAGACTCGTCATCAAAACTTCATCAGGTGAACTCTGGGGGGGTGGATATTTGGAGCTTGGGGTGCACCTTACCTATTTACTCATGACTGCATAACTGCATTCCCTAAACCGCGTGATAGTCCTAATGATCTACGGCCAATATGTTAGCTCCAAGGCTTCGATTTCACTAGGCTACCACAGTTTCAAATATGCCATCGCAACATCGAAGCATTTATTCAGTCGGCGAGGTTTTCTAGGCCTGCCATGTAATTGCGTTTCGGCTCATGATAATCCATAAGGATATCGGTGCCCAGTGCAGATTCATCATTTTGGCTTCCAGGAAAGGGTACATAGAGGTAGTCGGAACATACCTAAGGAACCGTGAATCACCCGGGGAAAACATGTTCTTCCGTATGGGGTGGTGTCATGCCCATGGAGAACGGCGGGGTTGGGTCGTTGAAGGCCATTTGAGCTGAGTTATTGAAAAGCCGGTAAAGGCGAGAATATAATTTCAAGTGCCCCAGACCATCCCTCCTGATAGAATAGCAGGCCTAGTCCTAGATTTCATGCAACCACAGGATATAGTTAGCATGATGTATTCACCCATAACAGTCCTAGGCCGCCTTGGCCAGCTTATGAGAGTTAACAGAAACAGAACATTGTCAGAATTTAGCCATTTTAAATCCGCATTATTCTTGAGAGAACTTGGACGGTAATTTCCATTTGCGTATAGTTGTTATTTCAAAAAGTCATCACTTGAGGTTGGAGTATATAAACGGGAATGTGAGGGTCGCGCAGCACGTCTTACCTTATATTGGGTGTTGGATACATTCGTAAGAGTCGGTTCACTATCTGCTTAGTATCTAGTTGGAGAGTTAGCTTTAAAATACTCTCAGGCCAAAGAACAATGTGGTCGAGCGGCGGAGAATAAAAGCAGATTGAAAAATAATGATCAGACTGACGTGCGCACGTTGAGTTTCATTCCTCAATTAAAGAGGTCAAAGACTCTAGTTATGTGTATCGGTGTTGGAGTCATCATGAGAAACATATGGGGAAAGCAATTTATTGGATTGGATTGGATTGTGATTATGATTTACCTGGAAAAGACGTGCCTCGAGGTGGAATAGTGATGATGACGACGATGATGAGGATGAGGATGAGGATGAGGATGAGGATGAGGATGTGAAAGGTGTGAGGAGAAAAGAATGAAAACAACAATTACTTAAGTACTTAAGTAGCTATTTACTTACTTCTTGAGTAAGGAAGAAGTACAAAAATTTTTTTTTTTTTTAATTTTAAAATTTAAATTTTCTTTGTGGTGGTTGGTCTTGGTCTTGGCGTACGGTCAGCATGAAGAGTTGTTTGCAACACAACACATCGGAAAGATCGATGGGTGCACATTACGTCACCCGTTGGTACCGGACAACACACGAGACCAGACAACACGAGGTCCTGTGCAACACGCAACACATGACAGGAAAATGGGGATTTCTGGCACGTGCCGGATAAAATCCACAAGCCGGCGCCGCGGGAAAATTGGTTCCGTCTCTTCCACCGCAAAAGCAGAAGCACAAGCACAAGCACAAGCACCAAGTAAGTAAATACTTCTTATTACTTGCTAATACATGATTTAATTCCAGCCTTTAGAACATCTTGAATAACTTAAATGATTCGCAGACAGACATAGTTGTTTATCTTTAAATCGAAATCGTCGTCCCCACCCCGCAGACCCGGACAATTAGAACCCAAAGGCGCCATTTATCCGCTAACTATTGTCCACCCGACAGTGGCCGAGAGTGGTCAGTCACCAACTTTTCACCAACTTTTCGCCTGTGGTCTATCCGCCTCTCGGGAAGCTTCCGATAACAAGACCCTTCTAAATCCCGCTTGTCATCGGGATGTGCGATCAAAGATCAAGGTCAACCCAGGCTTGCGACCCGAAGAGAGGCAGGCACTATTTGCTCAGGTGCAGGGCTGACTTTTCCAGCAATTCTTACGTACTTACCTATCTACCTCTTTAAAAAGCACCTATCCGCGCGTAAGTATATGTAAGTACTTAATTGCCTGTCTCTTTTTCCTTCCGAGCGATATCTACCTCCTATATATATACACCCGTATATCTATATATACTTCAGTGTATATAACAGTATATATATACCTATCGATACCTCCCAGACCTAGTATATATTTTAACTTCGGTTACCCTCCCTTTTTTTTTGATTCGACTGCTTGTAATTTATAAACCTTTCTTGCCTCAAACTTTCTCCCACTTCCTCCAGTTCGGTAAACATCATACACTCTATTGAGACCTATGAAAACATAATATAACACTTAATACCTATACCCATACTAGCGGCACTATCAGCTTTCATACATTTTTTTTATTTTTAAAAAACAAAACAAAATGGACCAAAACGGAAGCGGTTGGAAGGTCCATAGTGAAATCCAAACCGATATCGTCACTCTCACTAGATATCTTACGGAAACCCAACATGCGCTAGGTTTAACAGCAACGGGAGATTTCACGTAAGCTCATCATAAATACATTACATAGCGGCTAGTATACACATACCGGCCAGAAAAGTGGTGACCGATCATATGCATCGTATGTGGTTTTAACTCTTTTAATTCGAGAATAGACTCCTATGCCACGCTCTACAATTCTCCTTCAAGAGCATTTCGTAAGCCATCCCCTCTGGCGTTCTTCAAATTTGCTAAATGCGGCCCAGCAGCTAACACTTCCTCAGCTACTACATCCGGAGGGCAACATTGATTAACCTTGTGGGTTTGGCCGGTTCGGAAAACAAGACCGGAGACGAGCAGAAGAAACTCGACGTCATCGGAAATGAAATATTCGTCAACAGTATGAGGAGTTCCGGGAAAGTGAAGGTCCTTGTTTCCGAAGAAGAGGAGCAAGCCCTGGTTTTCCAGGGCTCCGGCAAGTATGCTGTTGTCTGTGATCCAATTGATGGGTCCTCAAATCTTGATGCTGGTGTCTCGGTGGGCACCATCTTTGGGATTTTCAAATTGGATGACCACGCCGAAGGCCATGCCGATGATGTTCTCTTACCGGGAACAGAGCTGGTTGCCGCTGGGTTTACCATGTATGGCGCGTCCGCAAACTTGGTTCTCACCATGAAGGGGGGTAGTGTCAATGGTTTCACGTTAGACAACGCCCTTGGAGAGTTCATCCTCACCCATCCGAACGTGAGTGGCTTACAATCGTTGGTAAACGTATGCAAACCCACTAACCTAGTCCCTGGTATAGATGAGAATGCCTGAGACACGATCGATCTACTCTGTGAACGAAGGGAATAGTCTTTATTGGGACGAAGCTTGCAAGAAATACTTTGATAGTATCAAATATCCTACCGAGAAGGGTGCTAAGCCCTATTCGTCCCGGTATATCGGCTCCATGGTTGCCGACGCTTATCGGACTCTGTGCTATGGTGGAATGTTTGCATACCCCGCCGACAAGAAGAGCCCGAAGGGCAAGTTGAGAATTTTGTACGAATGTGCTCCAATGGCAATGGTGATGGAAAATGGTAACTCCACCCTCCCCCGACTTTTTAGGCCTTTCCCTTCCTTCCTTCCTTCCTTTCCTTCCCGCTCCTTGGTTCCCATTCATGCTCTCGATTTTATGAAATTTATTGGCTAATTGCATCGCTTCTGGGTTATAGCTGGTGGGCAAGCTGTTGACAGTAACATGAAAAGAATGCTTGAAGTGGTCCCAACCCATATTCATGACAGATCTGGGATATTCATGGGCTCTTATGGGGAGATTGAAAAGGTCAAAGCTATCTTTTCGAAATCCTGAAAGCAGTTTATCGGTGCGCGTCTGTATGAGTTCATGGACCTTTGAAGCCCATGTTGTCTCGTGATTGCCGTTCGTCCTGAGCAAGGGTATTGTACATAAATATAAATATCCAAAGAATCCCATATAAGAATAGCCACATTTGCACGTCTTTCCAATTCTGTTGCTTTGCTTAAGATTCTAGCGTATATATCATTTACTACCCACGGCTTTGGGTGGCCTTTTTGGGAACTCTCGTACTAGGATACTGCAATCCACCTCCCGGCAAAGGGACCGCCGCCGCTCAGTTGGAACTAGAGACAAGAAATCCAGTCCGCTAGCCTTCTCAATCATTTCCACGGGGACAGAAAATTCAGCAAGTGGTGTCTTGTTGTCAATTGGTGAATTGGGAAGAACAAATGCACCCACTGCCACGGATGTCGTTGGGCTAGGAGCAGGTCCAGATTCCGCTAGAATGATTTTGTAAAAGTGTGTCGGGACAGCAACATTCGGCGGTGAGCCAATGACTTCATACGAAACACGATACTTACCATCGCTGTCAAGTTTTGGTAGATAGAGGGGACCTGTGATGACACGGATCGATTGATATTTTGCAGTCAGGCGTCGACAAAAGTCTTCCAGGTGAGCCCAATCTATATATATATATAACTCGTTAACTCCATTCGGTAACTTATATAGTGGCAGGTCGAGGGTTGATTACTTACAGTCTCGATTAAACCCTTCCCCTACTTGTGGGCACATATTCGTCAAGTAAAAGGTTTCGTCCATGGCTTTTTGGTTAAACTTTGCGTCTGCAGCAGGTGCCTTTTCGACAGGATGGTTTCAGTAGGATGCATAGCCGCCATAGGCACAATTGGAAGATAATGGGAGGGTCTCCCTTTCTTTCTCACTTACCATATGACCACGATCATATCCACTCCTAAAATAATCCTTCAACTTGGCACGGAATCTTTCTGGAACAGCTTGGTCCTCTAAAAAAACGCTGTTTTTCCGGTCTCCTTTAGCACCGGAGAGGGACTCGGCGGTGATATGCTCGGCGACCTAGATATATATTTAGGGGTGTTAGGTCGAAATGATTCTATAACTTCTGGGATGTAGATTTGAAGTTGAAAAATTGATAATAATGATAATAATCGATTGATACGTACCCAGGCTGGATTCCTCATTCTGCGGTCATAGACTGATATGAATGATGTCCTGGGAGCAAGGTCATTTGTCGGCCCGGGCGCACCTATAGCGGGATGTAAGCTGAGGGTCTTGATATGTTATCACCTTGATACTCTCTCTCTCTCTCTCTTTCCCTCTCTCCCTTTTTATTGTATTTCATTTTATTTATTTTATATTTTATATTTTATAAAAAAAAATCCTTTTATTTTAAACTTTATTTTATTTTGTTTTTTAAAAAAATGGGGGGGGGAGATTGCCATTTACCATAGGAGAACCATCCACTTGGATCGATGATGTTCTTTGAACCACTTTGAAGACCTCCTGTTGTAGCGAGAGCAGGTGTGGAGGGTCCTGCGGTTGGAGGGCCAGGAGGGGCTATCGTAGACGCAGGTTGCGATTGGCCGTCGCGTCTTCCTAAGAATATTGCAGTGACAGCCGCTCCAGCAGAGGCGCTGGCAGCAGCTATCAAAAGCATTGCCTTGGCCATTCCTAAAGACAAAATGCGGTTGAGTAGACACTACTGGTGGATGTGTAGCATGTGTAGTAGTACGTAGTGAAATTAATTCCTGACAGGAATATTAAGAAAATACAGTCCCGAAGTAGTTTAGCTTGGTGGTTGCACGTTGGTTTGGTGTTGCCGCATGTGGAGGTCATGCAGGCCAGGCCAAGACGCATCTCATGGCCAGAGCATGTGCATGTGCATCCATCTTTATGTATATATATCTTTCAATGTACTTGATATATATACTTACTTAATATATCCCCTTTGCATTGCTTCGTTTCGATCTTTTGTTTCGCCCGTCCTGAATATAATATATAATCGAATCGAATATAATATATATATACACTTATATATATTAATTTAATATAATATTGATGCTCGCTCGCGCTCTAAATTCAAACCTTCAACACTGCACTGCTATATATCTACTTAAGTACTTACCTACCTACTGTATATATAGTACTTAGGTACAGTATATAGAGTTATACAGAGGTATACAGAGGGACCAGCAATGAGACCCGCGCTTGGCCATGGCCACTACGATTCTGATGGCTATAGTTCCGAAGACGCCGACGAGAACAGCTGCAGCGCTAGTAGGCACTCCAGTATTTTCCAAGCAAACCTCTATTTTGTGGAAGATCCAGACCAGCCTTTGTCTTCTATAGCTGGCCATACGTATAGCCAGGTCCGGCACGAAACAGGCATTCTGAGCACATCCGTCGATAGCTCCACAACGTTGGTCCCAAATGCAGTGGACACGGCTAGCGATCCGGCTGATTTTGAGAACGGTGACCTAAAGACAGAACCCCTTTGTGTCTATACGAGCCCAATGGAACCAACTGAGCGGCCACCTCCAATGCCAGCTCCCCCAGCCCAGAAGCGTGCTGAGGCTCTCGCCGAAATCCTTTTCAGACAAGGTGGGTTATCCAACTCCCCATTTTTCAAATGATTAAACCCTTTCTTCCTTTCCTTTCTCCCCTCTTTTTCTTCTTCTGAAAAGGGACGGTCCACGGAAGGAGCTTAAGAAATGATACTAAGTCACCGCGTATTTGCTCAATATTAGACATGCAAACGTACGGTCTCCACGTAAGTACTTCAGCCGCTGCGATGTCGTACATTCGACGAAGCGAGTACCATGAAGCACTGCGTGCCACGGAATTCAACTTCAGGGCCATCCAATCCCAGCAGCGGGGGTACGGCGATCTGCGGAACCATCCTTTCTATCGCGCAACTCGCGAAGATACCCCACTCCTCCGTTCTGGAACATTAGTTAACTCTGAAAATGAACGATCGAGACGGATTCAGCAACATCGGAGTCAGCTGGTCGGTCAAGAAAGGACCAGCGGTGGCACGGTGATCTGGGGTACTAGTATATGGGGTGGGTTACTGGCGATTTTATGCTGCATGGTCGTTCCCATAAACGATTATACACAAGATTCGCGTGGGGATTGGTATTGAGGGAAAGATGATGGATGCTATGGGGGACAGCGACCTCTAGGAAAATATTATTCATGAGTAAAGAAACCAAGGGATCTGATGCAGTTGTAGGCGGGAGCTGGAAAACCAAGCGGCAAAATTATTGGACTAGTAAATCCGGATAGACACAAGCATTTAACAGGCTAAGAATCAAATTCGAGTAAAACAGATCCTGAATGCGTAGGTATAAGGTACCGAGGTAGACTTCAAGTGCTTAAAGTGCTTTCTTTGTATGAGTATACTCTTCAGGTTCCCAACCTTTCATCCAATTCCCATTTCTGTTATATTTCCGCTCTTCTTCTAGTTTGACCTCTCGTAAAAACCTCTTTCTTTTTAAACCCCACCCAAGGAGGATGGGCAGAAAGTGCCAAACATCAAACTCGGGCCACATGCAGTCCACAAACTCTATATCTGTGTCCTGGTGCGCTTGCCAGAGCATAAAATCGGACAAACGTTCAACACCTGATGTTCGGATCAAAAGGTCTAGCGGAGGATTGTCGGCAGTGAACAAGTGCTCTGTTACTGTCTGCTCACTGATATCTTCTAAATCGAGTATATCACGATGACGAACCCCGGCAAAATCGATATGTTCCCTGAGTGGCACTGACGAAGTGTGTGGGGAACCGCTGACTACGGTCGACGCTGAAGTTGTGTTTGAAGCTGGGGATTCAGATCTACTCTGTGAGATATTTTCGGGTATCGCATCGGATATCTCAGGTTTTTCTTCGGCCAACGTTTCCAAATTCTGCCTGTGCGGTCGCGGCGGCGCAGCAAGTGCAACTATTGACTGGATCGCAGATGTGATCTCGTCGCGCGAGGTGTAGGGAAAACAAACATTGAGAATAGCCCTTGATTGGATTAGATAGATTAGAATCAGAGCGAAAGATATAGATCTGGTGGTTCATGATTATACTTATTGTTATGTTTGGTGAGCTCGGTCGCACGGTCAATCGCATCCAAAACCTCTTGGTTAACCAGCGACCGATGCCCTAATATGCGAATTTTAGCGCCGTAGCGGTCGAGGAGATCACCGTGCTGCGAAAGCTGGGATAGTTTGATTTTGGCAATGTCCATCAAGGCGTCAACTTCATATTTAGACCGTTTGAAGTTTTCGATCGAGAACGCGTAGATTGTAACAACCTTAACGCCAGCCTTGTAGCAAATCTCCAGTATCTAGATAATCAGATTTAATTTATGGTCAATAATCGTACCTAGACAGGATAGAATATTTGCAGGGTATATTACCTTTGCCAGTGCTTCGAAGCCGAGGTTATGCCCTTCCGTTGTTTCAATGTGGCTTTGGCGTGCAAACCGCCGATTCCCATCCATAACAAAAGCGACATGCTGAGGGATAGGTCCTTGTCGGAGAGCTCCTATCAGGGCTTCTTGCAGTCGAAGACTCAGCCATTCTATTGGGGGGAGAGAAGAGAACCATCTCCGCGTCCGTAGAGACGTTCGGAGACCGCTTGATGACATCGTATGCAAATTAAGATCGGATTATATCATTGAAAATAGAAGTCTATTAGGCGCAGCTGTTGGGGGGGGTTTTGACGAAAAGAAAATCGGTGGTGTTTGGGAGTGTTTAGGGAAGAAGGGGGCAATTCAACATGGTGTATCAGTTTATAATTTAGTTTTGCGACGGGGAAGAGACATACGTCAGAGGAAGCAGCAGTTCTGGCGCTCAACAGCCGAGACAGCCGTCCTGCTGAGCGCAGAAAATCCAACGAGTTCAACGCATCGAACAGGATCAGGATGCATATGCCGGATGAAGGAAACAACAGAGCAGAAAAAGACCGCCATGTAAGCAACAGCGTATTAAAATTAAAAGCAATATACCACATTATGACCAATTCCCAGCTTTAAGATGATTTACCATGTCACTGGTTTTAATAACCGACCTAGGTGTCTCAACAACAACAGGTTCTCCTCCATCTTCTCCCCGGATCCCGTCTGTATCTGCTGTTCGCCCAAATAGAAGCGGTGCTGACCCATGCTTTTCACGGGTCGACTCTGGAAGCAAATTAGTTTTTTGGGGGGTGTCCGATAGGTCATACTTGAAGAAGTCGCATATCAGTCGTTGACGCCCGTGAACTCAAGGTTTCTCCGCCATCTATAAAAAGATTTATGGTAGAAAAATAAAGAGAAAGAGGTTGTGAAGCAGCTGATACTCACGTGGTGGCTAATGTTGACAAGGGGATCGAGAAGATTTTCTTCCATTGATTTTAATGCTTCGCCTGACTCAACTATTCTGTATTTATTTGGTGATCTTTTAGTCGCAATCTTTCTAGGGTTAAAAACCCAGATGTAATTTTTTTCGGTGAGTACTGAGAGAATTCCTGTTACAACTGATTGTTCTAACGATTCAATCCCTATCATTATATTATCTTGTCAGCGGGACTGCTGTAAGTGGATCAAGTTAGTGGGGGTTCGTTGTATTCTCAATACCCAGAGTTTTTATAATATCGTGAAATGTTTTCCCAAGAGTACTTCGCATCAGGCACCAGACAATCCTTCGAGCGATCGTGAATGATTTCATTTCCTTAAGAAGACGGGGTTCGTTCTTCCCAAGCAAGCATGTGTAACACACGTGTATGTTGCCTATTCGGGAATCGCTATCCCCAACAAACCCATAGCATTCGCAATGTTGCCACTTGTCACATAGATCGCATTGAATCTGAATATTCGGAAGCCCGAGTATTGTTAGCTTTAGACTTATCAAAGATCGGGGGTTTAGGAGGCAGAAAGAATACAGAATCCATGTTTTCGGCCTCCCCGCCACATTCACACTTGATTTGATTATTCCCGGCTTGCTGCTTGTACATTTCGGATCGATCACTTTCTTGGGCCGTTTTTGATAGCTCCTCTATTTTAAGCTCCCCTAGCCGCAACGCGGGGACCACCGATGATGACCGACATAGTTCAAGAATTGGCGGCGTGTCTTGCTTTTGTGGACTTTGATCTTTAGTAGGTGGGCAAATGCTTTCAAGAGCTTGCGTGTTAAATTGGCCTGTATATGCAGTCCCTACGGTAAGAGTTTCAAACGAGGAGCCATCAACAACCTTATCCTTCTCACTTGACGTCAACATAGGACTATCTGTGATGCCATTCCGCTTTCTATAAAAGCTATTTTGGGAAGAGAGGTGGGTTGTCCTTCCTATGTATGGAAGGTGGCCGCGAGGTGGTGCGAATTGTATGAAATCATGTGCAGAGACGGATCCACCGTAGCAGTGCCGCTTCGGTAGATGCGCGGTCCCTCCATCGGAATCACTCGTATCCGCCCGGGCTTCTGAAAAGGTCCGTTTCCCTGAAGTAACCCGAACCTGTACTCTAGGCTGATTTAGCTTGGTTTGGGGGCTAGAGAGTTCGATATCCTCACGTATGTAGCCCTGTTCCCATAGTTCCGAAAATCTCATCACTTAATTTGCTAGAGATATCGCCGTCGAACCGAAGGGGTTTACCGGTTGACTGTGTGAACATGGGCGGTGCCCAGTCCTCTGGTGTATCAGACGTATGGTACAGTCTGATAGTAAGGTATCGATTTTCTAATTGCATCGAATTAGAATGGGTTGGTGGGATGTTCTGGGAGGGGTTTACCAGGTAGCAAGTCTAAATTTTGAGTTATGACAATCAACCGGCGAATCAAGGCTCTCACAGACCGGTTGATTTGAGCGAAATTCAACAGTTCAGCTGATTGGTCATGGGTAGCACCATTTTGCACAGTTGTACTTAGAGTTATGTCTTTGATATCTATCGATTTCCCGAATTCTTTTCTGTGGTAGTTGATAGAGAATGTGTATGCTTCTTGAATAACTTCTGGATGATCGATGTCCAGAAAAACGGCTAGTTGGAAGGCTTTAAGGTACCCTTTGCTCAAAGCCTCAAAGATACCGCTTTCCTATATAAATACAACCAAGGTCAGCATTCCTATTTTGGGGTCGAGTTTTCCCACTTTCATACAATCAAGTCAAGTAAGGTATCAGCCTCAATGGAGAATCCACGCTGGATATGCTTTACTCGGGTTCCTGTCTCTTTCTTTTTCGCGGTCTTGTCGGATTCTTGGCTGGCAACTCCGGATTGAGTTTGAGGTTGGGGTTCGTTGGACCCTCCGCCATAGCTCATGTCGCAAAAGCTTTTTTCTGGGATTAGGCCTCTGGGATGCGGCTTGTTAGTCTTTTTGTCGTGAGACATTGGGTTTGAAGCAGGAGAAAGTACCGAAGATATGTGATACAGCCAATAGCGGCATTGATAAGGTCTTGGACAACTTTCTCGCTTTGCCGTTCTAGAGGGAGGACGGCCTGGTGCTGCTTAAAATCTACTAATGGGTTTGGCTTTGTGGTCATTGCTTGGGCCGAGATAGGGGAGCCATCTTGACCTATGTCGTTCCGCAATAACGGAGACCTCACATCTGGTTGTTGGAGACGGGATTTCTGAAGCTGGCTAACAGGCATTTTGAGAAGGTTGGAAGGATTTCTTCGGTACCAGTATTAGTGGTAGAGAGATGACAGTATCTACTGGAGAAGGGGAAGAGGAAAGAGAAGGGTTAGGAGAGGGGGGGAGGCTTAGAGGGGGGGGGCTCGGAAAGGGAAGAAGTATTCCTACTGATGAACGCTGGATGCAAGTTGGTACCCACTTCCTGGCTCTCCCGCACCTCGGGAGGATGCATTGAGATGTGTTGCAACTGTTGTATTTTCTACATACTAAACATCACCGAACAAAGGCTAATACATACTTAGTATATATATGCGTGGACATGATTGTAATCGGTAGTATATACGTATGGCATTATGGTATTCGGTAATGTACTTAAGTGCTATGTAAGTATATGTTACTCAGTTAACCTTTCTTTTCTTTCTTTCTTTCTTTCCAACCGTCATTCCTAGCATTCAGGGTTTTGATTGGCTTTATTTGGCCCGCTCAATTGTTGTTTCTTTGTGCAATCGCGGGCATTAGTCGGTTATTTTTTATATAATCACAGCGTCAAACACTCACCTACCGATCAAAGAGAAGCCAGAGCACCATGCAGCCAGAAGCTCCTCACGAAGCATCAATGCTGCAGCCAGCCGACTTCGATGACAACGACCCCCGTTTTTTTATGCAGCTAGCGCTCGACGAGGCTAAGAAGTGCATACCATCGCAAACAGCCTTTTCGGTAGGAGCTGTGCTTGTAGATAACACAGTTCGTCCCTACAAGATCCTAGCAACCGGCTTTTCCCGCGAACTCGAAGGTAATACACATGCGGAGGAAGTATGCTTTACGAAACTGATGGAAGAGACCCCGCTCTCTGGGGATGAAAAGGAGTACACCATCTACACCACTATGGAACCCTGTTCAGAAAGACTGAGCGGTAAAAAACCCTGCGTTGATCGAATAATTGATTTCGGAAGAGTTTCAACAGTATATGTTGGGTGTCAAGAGCCGTCGACTTTCGTGACTGAGAACACAGCAACCTCAAAATTAGCAGAACGAGGTATTCGGTATCTGCTAGTTGATGGCATGGGCTCCGAATGCCGAAATGTCGCGACGAAGGGACACCTTGGTTCTCCATCTGGTACCGATTCCAAATAGCAACAGAAAGGCTAGGCTGCATTGGTGGATTCACAAACGGTGTTTAAGCCCTATGAAATAGAGGATTTTGGTGGACAATGAGGCAGAGAGGGTCAGGGAAGTTACACGTTTCGCTTTCACGCTTGTAAATACGCTGTTGGGCAATTTAGGAAGCAGTGGAGATTGGTGCACAAAATATCCGATGATTTGATAAACGTTACTTACTTGGCTACGTCGGTATTATGGGGGGGGAAGACGCTAAACCATGAATAAAGCGCTATTAACTCACTGCTGAGCCCGGGTTGTCTTTTCGTAGCCCTCCATCGTTAGTGCGGCTAAGAAGCAAGGTATTTCTTTCCTCTCTTCAACGTAAAACTTTATTTGGTTCCGAATTTCCCGAGCGAACTGGCTGTTGGGGCCACCACAAAGCTTCATGGTACCTGCGAATTGTTAAAGTCAGTGCCACTTCGTGTTACGTCTGCTCAAAAGGGAGCGCCAATGGTAGCCAATGGTATTACCTTGTTCACCATCAAACACTATCCCTGTGTCTACGCCCCCATAAAGATCTGATCGATGAAACATTGATGTGACTTTTACTCGTCCGTTAGGTTGGAAATCGACCTCGTAACCTAGAAGACTGTACACCGCCTGTCTGAACTCTAGAGCCTTCTTTGACCATATCTGTTATCGCGATCAGTAAGTTTCGCAATACCAGAGCGCCATGGTGTAAACATACTTCCTTCAGCCTAGTCATCCGTTTTTCCTTTTCTGCAACCAAAGCTTCCATCTCTTGAACGTCTAACCTACTTCTTTCTAATGTGCTTATTGGCACAAACTTTGTCCCTCCTGGTTGGCCCTCGAGTTGAGCTAAAAGAGCTTTATTTTCTTCTCTGAGAACTCGGAGAGTTTCCTTTTTTGTTACTTCATGGCGGGCGGCAGGATTATCTTTCAACTGTAAAACCCTCATCCTCGATGTTGCTTCACTGGCCATGAGTTGTTTCTGCAGCGCCTGGATCTCAATAGTGGCAATTTTGTAAGCCTGTTTAGAGGTTTCCAATTCTAAATTAAATGAATAAGCAGGTCGTCCCCTCCCAAAAGATTTTCTTGAAAACCGACCTTTGTGTAGAGTATCGACCCGCTCTTGGAATTGGACAACGCTGCGTTGGTAATCGAGGCCTTCCTCCAACTTTTGGGGGTCCGCAGTCCGGGCAATGTCCCGTTCCTCAAGTTGTCTTGTAAGAGCATTGATTTCAAGCTTATGTTCCCCAAGAAGCCTCTCGAGCTCCTCAATACGTTGTGATTTCTGATCGTCATAATTTCCAGCCATCATGACTTCCTCTTCAGTAGAATACGTTTTCTAGGCCTGTGTCAACTCTGTCTCACTTCAAATTTTGAGGGGGGTGAAAAAATAAAAAGAGATTCCCAAGATGGCTCCTTACTAGTTGCTCCCGTAGGAATGTTGCTTCTTTGAGCGCAAGATCTTTCTGCCTTTCGAGTCGCTGTTTCTCTTTCAAGTCTTTCTTTAACACTTGCTTCATCCCTTGGTTTTCTTCTTCCAGTTTTGCTTGGATAGCTACTAGCTTTATGATTTCTTGGTCACGCTCTGCGATTAGGGGATCAGGGCGTCCGAACTTTTCCAGGAGGGTACTCTTCTCGATCTTTGTTTGGATATACGCTCTGGCTAGATGCGCTGGGGAGGTAAATTGGATCCCATCAGGGTCATCTTGCAAAAAAGCAGTCCAGCTCAGCCTTTCTTCTTCTAAGATCGCCTTTTGAAGTTCGAGGTTGGAGACTTTTTCACGCAAGCCATCAAGTGCCTGAACCTTGCTGATTAAAGACCTCCTTTCTTCTTCCATAAGAGAAATGCTTTTGTTGTACGACCTGAGTTCCTCATTCTCGACTTCTAGTTTTCGATTTCTTGCCTCAATCGACCTTGTATGCTTGAGTTGGTCGGCCAGTTCCCTCTTCAATACTTTCAGGGTTTCGTCACCCTCGAACCCTTCTCTTGGGATTTCGGCCTGCCCACGGGACTGAAGGATTTCGTCTTCCTTTTCATGAAGTTTGGTTTGATATTCTTGTAGTAAGATATCCCGGCTTGCGAGTTCTAAACTAAGAGAGTGAGCCTGCTCACGGATGAGATTCATTTGCGTCCTAAGGTCTTCCGTCTCGTAGTGATACTTTCTTTGGAGTGTATCACGTGTGGTCTCTAGGTCGTGTCTTGATTCCTTTAAATCCAGGTTCTCGGCCTCCACATCTCGAAGCTGTCGTTCAAGAGATACCTACTTTCATAATGACCTTGTTAACAAAAAATCAAGGTAAGGATGAGGTTCTTGAAGGCACCTTTGTATTTGTGGCTTCCTGACAAACAGATTCGAGCTGGGAAGCAAGGGCCTGGTGTCGCTCGAAAATAAAATTCTTCTCGCTCCGCTCTTGCTCGAAAAGCTTACCATCCTCTTGGACTTTTTTCTGCAACGTGTGTATTTCCTCGCGGGAGCTAATGTTTTCTAGCTCGCGCTCCTGTTTGATGGTCGCCAGCTCATACTTGACGGCATTGAGCTCGATAAGGATGGCATCTTGAACGCTATCGGCCGCGATTTGGGGACTGTGATCTGGCAAATATGAATATGGGGCTCTATATAGGTAGATGGATAGGCTTGAGGACTAGTAACATTGACCGACGAAGCCGAAGTGGACCAACTCACCTCGTGCCGAGGTGTCTGTCGTGATGAGAACGCCGCTATATTGGTGATTGTTCGGGGCCGGATCCATTGTAGACTGTATGGTGGATCGAAAGGGTGTATTTGTATACGCGCAATAAGTACCTAGCATTCACTTAAGTACCGACTTAAGCAAATACTTAAGCTATGCTGTGTTCAAGGCTGTTAGCATCAAGTTGCATCTCTTTGTCTATTCTACCTACCTACCGTCTGGCATTTGCATGTGCTTGCTCGGAGTTCCACTTCCACATACGCGCACGTGCACGTTTAAGTTTATCGATAATTATAATTATCACGGGATTGCTAATAGATGAGATTGTTAGATTCGATTCGAGGTGAGGTGATACCCACGAGGCACAAGCAGGGCGCGTTTGATGACTCAGCATTCACCAACACGCCAACGCTCCCAGACGACAACGTTAACAGGCATTTGCATACCAATACTGGACTAGACTACGTACTACCGTTCCCCCTGGCCCTCTTTCTATATCTTGTCTTTCCTAATTTCCCGATAAACGGACGATTCTCGTTTTTCCTGACGATTGCGCCATCAATCGATATCAAAGGGGGGGTGCGCGGATTCATGAAGACATGTGTACGCTGTTCTCATAGACTACTTAAGTAGGTAGGTTCTGTTATTGACCCTGGATTGGTATTGTCAAAATCAACTAGCAGACTACTAAGTACTTCGGTGTGCGGGGTGGCTGCTGCATGCTGGACTGAAAATCGGCTTTGTGGTATGATACTTTATATATCCCTAGGGCTAGGCACCTAAGTAGCTTGCATATAGGGTCAATACTATAGACCCCGCGTGACTTGGATTAAATATTCGAGAGCATTTATACTTGTATTCGAACCCGCGTACATATACTCGCCATGGTATATACTAATTATAATTCTAATTGTAGGTATATGTATATATGATTCCTCGAGCGTTTATCATAAGTTGCTCATCAGAAATGTGGCAGAAAGTTACTCCACTCGACACATATGAATACCGTTGCCGGCATCAACCGTAGGCTAGCGATAGTTTCTCCGATTAGTACGGTCCTAGCTACGAAATAAAGAATAGCACTGATTGTAGCAGGCATATCGACCGCATAATGCCTCCAAGTACTATCCTTGGAGCACTTCTTTTCCCAAATGCCGAGAATCGTGATTGTATAGTCAAACCCTGGCTTTATCGAAAGACATTCCACAAGGCCCCAAATGAAAAGATCTGCGAGAAGCGTAACACTTGCTGCGCGCCATATGATTAATTCAGCTCTGGTCGGGAAGTCAAAATTCCAAGCGCACACATGAATGGCTGCGTAAAATACTGCTAATCCGTATAATGGATAGGCTAACCTCAAGGTTGGCGGTGGAGGAACGTAGTCGTTGGGAATCCGCTGTAACGGCCTTACTTCGAGACCTCCAAAGTATGTGAAGAAACGCCTGCGTCTCCAGAGAGACCAACCAGGCTGTTCTACAAAATCCATTGGAGTATCCCACAGCGGACTTTTTGGCACGGCATCGGCTTTCAGGATAATAGTTGACATCGGAACCGTCGATTTAATATGTATGGGAGATTGGGCATCGAGTGGCTTGTGGATCCACATCCAAAAGGTGACGGCTGATGATACGACGAACGCGACGGTGAAAAGCTCCAAAGTTGATGTTTTGAGATGCTGTATAGGCCGAGCAATACATTGTATGACTAGATAACTGCCCTGGATAACAGCTACACACTTGGCAAATATATCTGCTTTACTCTTGTCGACAATTTCGTCCTTCGTGAGCTCAGGCGCTTCCACGTAGCGATTCTTGACAAGGTAATGTAGAGCGCGTGAATTCACAGGAAATGCTGGCCCATCAGGAGGATTCAAGATGAAACCACCGCTATCCGCAAAGAAGCCGTGAGTTAAAGTCCATCCCTTCACGCCGATCTCGTGCATCTCTATGACTGAGGCCTTAGCGGAAGCTCGTTGTGAGGCAGCCAGCAAAGTAACAAACTCGGGAGCATAGATTGAAAGGATACACCATCGAGTTTTACGAATTAGAATGCTCCAGTAACCTTCGTCCGGCTTCGGCAAGTTGATATGGAGAACTGTCCAGATGCTGATAAAGATCACAAGAAAGCAGGACCAGATGATGTCTAGAGTTCCTCGATCTTGCGGCTGTTCTCTCCAGCCATACATAAGCTCGACCGTAGAGTTGGGTGGTGCGTTCGTTGACTGGTTCATCTTATAAATGTATCGATGTGTTAGCAGAGATCGATAATCACCAGCTTGGGCGATTAGGATGCTGTTATATCGAAAAAATGAGGATACGAACCCTTTGTGTGTACGGGATACCCAGTTAAGTACTATAGGGAGTACTAGTACTTGCAGGTAGATACCTAATATGGTATCCGAAATAGCCTCTTATCTATAGAGTAGGCTTTAAATCAAATGTTTATAAATTTAAATTTGTTCTTTTGGAGCCGCATGCATAAAAGGCATAAAATGTAATTGTAAGCTGAAATACTGAAATACCGATAGGAGCTAATCTTCAGCTTTGCCTTGCTGGTGCTGGCCTCCAACCATCGGGACGGCATATGCATCCTCTGTATTGCGTAGCACAAACAAAAAAGAAGGAGAAGAAGAAAAGATGCGGGAAAGAAATTCATTGGAATGTAAATGTGCATATCTATTTTTCGAGGCTTGCACGCCTACAGGCGCCTGCATTTGGGGGTTCTTTTCCCTTCCCGATTCCTAACTTAGGCCTCGGGCGTACGTACGTACATACGCGCTGAGAATATACCTTGTGTTTGAAGGTGGCTACGAGGCTATAACCGCATCAATTCTCAGACGGCGAATATCATAAAATTGAATAGCAACAGCATATACATGTATGGTATATAGGTACTCACGATACACCAAACTCTTGGCCCCACGCCATTCGCTCATGAACAAGTTTCATATGGTCTGGCTCCTATCACTTACCTTTAGCCACGAGTGAGGGACTGTAGCCTAACTAGTCTCATGTATACTTAGCCTTGGAGCACCAGGCGAGATGTCGATTTGGGCTCGAGGGGGCCGCACGCCAAGGACGCAGTTCTCAGAACTCCGATATGCCTCTAGTGCATGACCATTGCAGTCTTCGACCTTCTCCTTTCCTGTAACACTACCTAAGTAAGTACTTACATAGCTGAAACAAATCAAATAGACCCGAGCTGAGCATTTTAGTAGACATGAGCTTTTTTGCGGAGCCCTCCTTGACCGAATCCCACAGCAGTAGTTTACCATGTCTCCGTTTCTCGTAACAATTACTATGATATCGACGCTGGCCAGTTTGCATGAGCTGTGGGATTGGCCCAGCTAACGTTTAGGCCGTCTCGTTTATACCGCCGCCCGCATGCAAGATTATCTTTTCGTAATTTTCCCCGCGACTCGAAATCGATATGTCAAATGGTTTTGCTTTTCTGAGTAATCCATCTATGCACCGCAGTTCAAATGAGCGCCTTGAAGCATGCATAAGAGTATTTTTGGGGGTAGACTTACTCCTCCTGTGGTCCATGTCAATATCGTGACCTGGAACTTTTCGAATATTGAACCCCCACAGTACCCGAGCAATGACAATTGATAAACAAGATTCTGCTATATGGGATCCAGGACACAAACGGCGCCCAAAGCCGTACTGGAAGTGATCACCTTGATTCGGCAGGCCCACCAACTTTTTACCCTCAACACCTAAATACCGGCAAGGCTCGAACAAATTCGGTTCGCGGAAGAGGCTCTCACATCGGCTCAGCGAGGCTATGTTTGGAACAAGAATTGTCCCCTCCGGGATAATGTAACCATTATATTCAATCCTGGATGTGGTCGCATGTGGTACACCTGCATGAACGAAGATATAAAAGTTAGCTTTGAATGCCCTTTACCCGTATGTCCAAGGTATTAATATTGATAATTATGATCCAGATCGAAGTACCGATTGTAGCTATTGGTGCCCAGCGATGCACTTCTTTAATCAGAGCCTTCGTGTAAGGGAGGTCGTCCATATCCCCCCACGCGGGAAGCCTGCTAGGACCAACCACAGCATCTATCTCTACACAGTCAAATACAAAGATCAGAGTCTTGTTCACACAAATACGGTTGATTGGTAGATATTCGTGACGCCCTACTAACCTGCTTGCGATGATGCCATAGCATTATGGTGTAATGCCATAGCCTTGAAGAAGTTAAGTAATGTAGAGCTGATCGTATCGGCACCCGCCCCGAGTATCATAGCAAGAACATCTGTCAGATTCCTTTCCTCGCCTTGTTTGTTGAGCTTGCCGTCATCTGTGCAGTTGATTTTCAAGCCGAGTACATGACCCAAGATGTCCGATTCGATAAGAGTTTTGGCCATACAGGGTGATCCTTCGCCAGTCTCCATCGAAGCCTTGACTCCTCCGAGAAGCCTCGCGTGGATAAGCTCTTCTTGGCGTAGGAGGCTTCGTGTTAGCCAGTCCCAAGGCTGTAGTATTTTGGGCAACGCCAAGAGGGACGGGAAGTTGTCAAAAGGAAATGTCCAAGGTAGGAAATCTGTACGTCGAGATCGAATCAGTCTAGATCTAGCAAGTTCGCATGGTATACTTTTCGGCGAAAAGGAATAAACTAGCATACATAGATACATCATTTCCCAGATATCATATAGTTCTTTGACAAGGCTATCTTGAATTTTCCCGGCTCGACAACCATAAATCGGCTTGAGGAGGACATTTAGTGCAAGTCTCTCACACTCGAGCCGAAAATTTGATGGCTCGTTGACAAGTGCTTGTAAGAACGTGACAGACTCGACATCGTGAGCTTGATATATTGTCGCAGCCTGCTCCTGTAGCAGCATATGGTAGAGCTTGCGGAGGTCACGGAAGCACTTTCCGGCAGGCGTCACAACTATACGGTTAGGCAGAATTGAATATCGGTAGTCGTTATTCAGCGGACGAGAAGATGAGTTGAGAGCACCCTATGGAATCAAGGAAATTCAGCAATGGGAAGATTTTCATCGTACTGTAAATCTGTACAGCTGTGCGTACAAAAAGACGTAACAGACCTTTTGTAGAAGCTCGTAAGCAGCGGCAGGGTCGTTTATTAGAATGACCGGCGTATAACCTATCCAAAATGTCACAAGATTACCGTAGCATTCCGTCAAAGCGTTACACGTAATAGCCGGGTAATATGTGAGCTTGAAAATTGTCCAGATATTACCAAGAAAAGGCAAAGGTCGAGGTCCATCTGGGAGATTCCTGGCTTGGATTCTTTGCACAATATACTGCTGTAAGTATAAAAGACAAGGAATGACTGAAAAACAGCATAAAATAATTGGTATGAACATAGCTAGCGGGTAAGCCAAGTAGGCATCTAGTGTCGTTTGATTTTGTACAAACTTATAAGTAAGTGTGGCCTCCGAAAGATGTTTATAATGAATTTAGATTCTCGATCAATTGAATTTTTCTAGTTATATAGATCTAGCGGTTTTTAATTTTTTATAAACGAAGTATTCATTTCCGTATGCGCGCAAACTCAAGGCCTGCTCGAATGCCATGTATCCTAGCTAACGGACCGGTCGCGGCCTCTGCTAGATACGAGACCAGTCTTTGTTATCATCTCCGAGAAATGGGACGAGGTGATATCTTGAAGGCTTCTAGATTTGCATTGCATGCATCGACGGGGTTCGGAAGCATCGCCACATGCATTTCGTATGGCATCCCCTGATGCACCGCGCCCCATGCACATATATGCATATATACGTCGTCAGATATCTTCGAATGCAGATATAATATTTCTGAGGGGGCAAGTGAGTCAGCACAATGCTCAAGATCATATCACAAGAACGACCTCAGATGCATATGCTCATGTGCCCTATGTATTGAAAGGATACTAAGGGTATGCATATGCGCATATGTGTTGGTTATGTGGTATTAAGTAGGTCCTATGCCCAGAGACTGTACCCAGTAACTAAGTAGGCATGCTAGCCCAGCCGAGGCTCAGCTTGGCCAGCGTTACACGGCACTTAGTCAGCTGAAACGCCCCAACGCAGCAAAACGCAAAATTGGCGAATAGGATGTGATATAAGTAAAAAGTAAGTAAGTACTTAGTACTTACATGTATACACTGCCTTCGAGGCTAAGGTATTTTGGAATGCTACGCAAACGCTGCTCAATGCGATGCAATGCAAATGTGGTGGTGGTAAAGGAGGAGAAGGAGAAGGAGAAGGAGGAGGCTGATATCAATATCAATATCAAGGTCATGATCATGCACACACATTCGATGCAAATTTGAGGCTACGGAGATTGATAATTGCAACCGCAACGTTAACTACCTACGTACACACAAGGATCACCGACATGACTGTGCCCGCCCCCCTCGCGCCTGCAAGTTTAAAAAATGCAAAAGTCTCAACCCGCGCGGAATTAAACATGATAAAGCAATAGAAAAAGCGGCGTGGCATTGCATTGCAGGATCCGATTTACAAGTAGGCTCACAGTCACCCGCCAACTTACTCTAGTAGACCAGGCCAGGCAGTTCCCAATCCTCATACGGAGCTGGATCCCCGAACCGTTACTACACCCAGGCTTCTTCGGAACACAATATTGATATAAGCGCAGTGGTTCAACTTAGGAGTTTAGTCTTATAATCGGCTACTAGACCGTTGCAACAACTTTACGAGCTATTATCAGAGACGAAAATAACAATGCCGCGGTATTCGAAGCCAATCCTCCTTCTGTGTGCAACACATGCCTTTGCTCTTTTTAGCATGTATGGGTTGGCCTACAGGAACGGATACCTCAAAGCTCTCCTCAGGTTAAAGGACTTTGGCCCTCATTTGCTGCCTGGTTCTGAAAATCCAATACTCAAAACTTACACCGGCATCGCGCCGCTCGATAAGCTGATTACAATAGCTGTCGTGTTGTTCGCAAATATCACCGATGGCTCAGCACCACACTTTTCCCTATACGGGTTCCACTTTGGCGGGCAGCTTACATCGATTTGGACGGTGTTGATGATCGAAGGGTATAGATTTGGCAACCGAGGCACACCCCTATCATTGTAAGCCGCTTGGTTCTTTTATATTTGGTTTCCTTGGTCTACTTACTTCGGTAAGGACCTAAGGAGGTATTTCCAGAATAATATTCTAACGGCGCAGCAGGTCAGTGTTGTGGGGATGCGCTATGCAGGGCTTGGGTTACGGCTGTATAATGCCACTATACGGGATATTGCATTTATACTACTCTAGCGCGTCGTCAAGCGATAAAAAAGAGCTCGCAACCAGTCTTTGGATCAAAAACCAGACACTTCTGAAGACATTACCCTTGTCAATCATCATCGGATACATAGTTCCTTCAATTCTGATAGCCATACCTTTTGCTTCAAACAACCTCCATCAATGGCTTGTTGGATTTTGGCAAGGAGTCCCCGTATGGATGGCGCTTCTCCAGTACATCGCTGGAATTGTCTCCAACAATACCCAATGCTTAAAGACACCTGCTTCGTCTTCTCCCGCAAACAAGACCCCCAATATTAGCACACGTATTCGCGAACTTATGTCGCTACAGGATGTGTATAGGGTTGCCTTTGACATAACAGCCGTCACGCATGTCACTACGATGATGATTATTGCAGCACGGAATCTATGTCCCGTACTATTTTCCCAATGGGGGCTTAGCACATTAACTTTTAGGGATGTGTTCCTTCCTCCGTCGATTTTTTCAGACATAGGAGAAACAAATATGGCCACCGCTGCTCAGAACTTTCTCCAGTACGATCAGTACGTGGGATCCGCAGCTGCCATTATTTGGGCCATGGCCCTGTGTAAAACCACTCGGAAAACTCCTATGTCTATCTCGCAGTGGCTGTTGTTGGCCGGTGAAGCGCTGGGTGTGACCTTACTAGCTGGCCCCTGTGGCGCTGTCATTGCATTGATGTGGAATCGGGACGAGCGAATCATCGGTGATGATGATTTATACAAAGCAAACGAAAGAAAAGGGCTGTTAGAGGCTGGAAGGTGTTGAAGAACCGTTTTTGGGCGCATACACGTACCCACTAAACTATATATTTTAGACTAAATGTCCCGATTCAATATACTACTAGTAGTTGCTGCTTGAGCATCCAGGGATTTTCGTTTGGCAGTGTGTAAATTTATAAAGCAGTAGATATTCTCACCCAAGGGGTGTGAGTTCTCCATGAAAGGGTTTAACAGCTAGGTCTGCTTTCTTCCGATCGAACTTCCAGACGCCTTTTGTTCGATCCGGCTGTAATTTCAGGTTTAATCCTGAAGCTAGCTCTTCAAAAAGTGGATCTTCGTCCGCATTGCTGAAGAACTTTGGCTCCCAACGTCTATTTTCAGCAATCTCTCTTTTCCGCATCGCACGTTGTGCATTTTCCAATTTTGACTTCGCTCTAACGATTCCCTGGAAATCACTTTTAGCTAATGCATCGTAAGTGTCTTCCCACGCTTTTCTAGTTTCCCAACTGTCCTGCTCTGCGGCGTCAGGAAGGTGCAATGGCGCCGCGACAGACTTCTTCGGCGAGCAAGTCTCGACGATATCTCCGTTCCGAGCATCTTGAATCGTAAATGTATCACTCCACTGCCCTTTAGCCGTATATATCGCATGTTTTCTATCGTCGCCTTTATGATATATTGTGGCTTGAAACGTGTTTTTCGTACCCGAAAACACACCCTCCCCGGAAAAGCTAATCTCTGACACATATCCACTTGAAGAAGTCAAATGAACAGTACCTCCAAGTTCTGGATACAATTTTCCTGACAGGAAGCCTTTGACTTGGCAGTCTGGAAAGGGGATCAAATAATCCTCATCGTATTTATCGAGATGAATAATGGCATAGCCTGTCTGTTTGACTTTTAAAGACCCCGAGAAGCTCATTTCGACTCTAGTATATCCCTCGCCCTTGTGAATAACGACGGTTTAGCCCACTGTTTGTTTGCACCCGTGGTTGAAAATTACTCACTCGAATGCCGTAGACATCATCGTACATATAGCAGGCTGTGACCGGAGGGTGATGACTAGGTTGTATTATTATTCGGTCAGAAGTTGATAGCATCAGTGCATCCGACACCATAAACTCCAAGATAGAGAGAATAAATCTGTATGTGCACGGGGCATTGCCATACCTGACTTGTTCGGTGACTATATGCGTCGTGGATACTTCATCTGTCCATTGGGCGAGGAATAACTCTCCAAGGAAAGCGTTCAATGGCTTTCGCATACCAGCATCCGAATCAACCCCGATGTAGAATTGCGACCTTAGTGAGTGCAAGAACCACCTTAGAATTAACAGAGCTCGTTTCTGAGCATCTGGCTCTTGCGCCGGTGCCACGAAAAGCGAAGGAGACTCCGTCCAGCACGATCCTACTTCAACTACAGACAGCGGTGCCAGGAAATAGGGAGGGGCGGTGATGCTAGCGAGATCCCCGCGGATCGTTGATAGGAACTTCATGACGAGTCCGAATACATGTCAATCAATATACTTTGAACCGAGGCCAATATCAATATTGAAAGGAGATTGGAGCCTAGAAGACTAACCGTGATAAAATCTAGAAATCTAGCCCCATTCTTCTTCAGAATCGACATTCTGTATATTACTTTGAACGACAGATCGATAGCACAATTGTAAGAATAATATTGCAGCTGTTTCCATTCTAATCCAGACCGGGTAGAGGGCCCCGTAGTTATACACAGCAGCATAGAAGCGAGGCTATGTAGGTTCAGCTTCAGCGTTTACCTCTTTGTAATCCTTCTTCGCGCAGAACCTGCCCACACGCACACAGCTTACCAAGTAGCCAATGAGAAAATTTCTGAGAGGTTGTGTGTGTCGATGCGCCTGCAGCTGCGTTGATGTAAAAACAGATAGCCTCGATTTATATGTTTGGCTATAGTGCATGATCCATGACGTCTCGTTCGAATCCCCACGAGGCAGTCCCTCCGCGGGGACGGCGTAGGACCAAAGCTAAGTGCGTGTATACTAGCTGACGCCTATCTGTGAGAATTGATATATATACTTTCAGTATACTTCTTAAGTTCCGACTTACTAGGTACTTACTTAAGTAGGTAGGTACTAGGTATATAGGTACCTAGCGTACTATATAAGTAAGTACTCTAGGTAGGTATAAAGTAAGGACAAGTAGGTTAAGTACCTATCTACCCGCAGCTAACTAAGTAGCTGTCCAACATTAGGTATAATAGTTAATATATGCATGCATGTTAACATACAACAGGTACCAAGTTAACTAGACTAAACCAGGCCAGGATATATACTTACTTACTTCAATACATAAGCAAGTAAGTAATTATAAGGATAAGGATAAGGATAAGGATATACATATTGAGAGGATTAATAATTAATTTTGATAGACAATCCGATTCCCGGCTCCTCTTGCCGATGCCAATGCAATGATCTTGTACAGCTTGTGACATTAAAGAGGGCACGGACCAACTGTTAGATGGTGGTTTTCTCGCGTCGGTTACCCAAAGCATGCACGTTCAGACCAATAACCCAGCCGAATGCCTGAATCTGTATTAGGGGGGTCCTTCGAGACCCTTGTCCACCGAACTCCCACACCATTTTCCAGCATCAAGTTGCATACTCGATCAATCTTCCTCCAAGCACTGCTCTTCAAAGCCATGTCTATATAATCCAGCTCGGAAGCCCAGGAAGAATTTGCTTCATTCTGCTCTCAAAAATAATTCTCTCTGTAGCAATACGACAGGCTCGATCCCAACTTCACCAGCCAAACTTTCACAACCCAATTTTCCGACAATCGCGACAGTAAGAACCTTCAGGATGCGATATCGTATTAGCCCAACTTTTGCCTGGGAGGACTCGACAAGTGCGTGGGGACTGTACGGCCCACTTTTAACGACCTTTTGAGCGAGGAAACGAAATCACAAGATATCGCTTCTTCTAACCACTGTGCTAGAATGGAACAGCCGACTTGAGCAGACACGGGACAAGTCTGGATGCATAAGGAGATACACCCGCTCATTATCTTCCTCACCCCGCTGTTTCATGATTGAACCGCGACCAAGGCAGCACTTCTCATCTTAGGAACTTTTGTGTCTTGGGTCTACAGTTTGCAGTTTTTGGTGTTTCAGCCCGATCACATATTTGTGATAATCTGGTCCAAGCCCGTCAAAGGTGATCGATTCTTTTCTCAAACTTCGAATCGACAGGTCGGTCTCCTTCAGCGATATCAGGCTAAATGGGTGGAAACGGCACATGATTTTTTTTAGATTTGACGGCATGAATAGGAAGAAAGAGGAGGAGGAGGAGGAGGAGGAAGAGGAGGGAATGATCGTCCTGCACTCAGGTCTTCCTTGTCCCAACAAAAGTGATTTCCGCTTGTTACAGCCGGTTTGGGGTTTGATGTGCCAGGGCTCCTTATTGGCTACTTGGGCTACTGTAACGGAGGACTCCACTTTTTTTTTTCGACGCCAAAGTTTAATTCAGACAGTTCAGAGCAAATTGCATGATGAAAGTGCATGACATGGTATGTTCCCCACCGAAAGACGGCTCGGGTTGAGTTTGATCGAAGCCGGTTTTGGCGCTAAACCTAGACAGGCAATAGACATATGTGGATGAAAAATCGCGCAGATTTCAAATCTCCAATCTCCACATTGCCTGTTAGCTACGTTAGTGCAAAAGTAAGGTAGGTAAAGGTAATCAAGGATTGCTATTCAGAACTATGTTTGCACAGCTACAATTTATTCTTATCGACATATCCTCTTAGAAAATATTTGTGTCTGTGTGTGTGGGAGAGAGTAGGGATGACCCATGGCGCTGGATTTTTTGCGGCTTCAACGCCAGGTACCCGTATACGCCGCATATGATACAGTACAGCGTACTAAAGCAAGCACCCAGAGGGGGAAAGAGACAGAGAGGGAGAGGGAGAGGGAGAGAGCGCGCAATCGGCTAAGGAATGTACTCCGTAGGGTCGAAACCAACCCTTGCGGTGGTGTATGTCTTTGATATCTAGCCAGATTCCAGTCATACTTTGGTGGTGAGAACATAAATCAACGACAAATTTGTCGTTTGAAATACGATTCGAGATTAGACCCTTTATCCATGTCAAGATTATAGTATGCTATTCTTCTTTCGGAAAAAGCAGAGATGAGACCGACTATGTCTTGGGAAGCCATTTTATAGGCCAAGTACTTCGTATTGGGAACTCACACTGTCTTACCATTTCCTGATGAGGGTAAGTCCATGTCGATGTGGCGAGTTGCATACACAGCATGGAGGTACTCGCGGCTTTTACACTATGTTCTTTTTTTTCTCTCTTCTTTTCTTTTTCTTTACTTTCCTTTTTTATTATCTACATAGCATGCTAGCATCAGCTTTTTTTTTTTTTTTTTTTTTTGTTTTTTCGGTGGTGATACTTTTGAATTTGCTTCAGGAGAGGCTCTGGTCATGTTCGATTACGACTATGATATCAAAAGAAGAAAAATAAATATTATCCAAAAATACTTATTTACAATCGATCTAAAAGGCAGAACAGATGAAAATATTGCTGTTTCATCTATTCGCCTCAAGGCAACCCCGCAGTGGCGTAAAATTATTACATATGAGACGCTTATAAACCTTGAGGAGGTTAGACATCAGCCCTTGTTTATCAAATGGAATAGTTTCCACGAAGGAGCATGTTATGGAAATGGGCGGGATTGTAAGCCTTGCGACAAACCTGTAGCGGCGGTTCGTCCACTAAGCCACGGCAGCGATATGCTCCGCTGCCCTGGATTTGTATGTAGTCCAGTCCATAAGCGATGTTGTATGTTAAGTATTTATGTACATATACATAGTGTGCATGCATGTATGTACAGGCATGGAGTGGTGGATAATGAAGGTTCCGTCCTCACTCATGCACCCAAATATCCATGTTCCGTCCAACTCCACCCAAGGGTAGTCTCGTGGAAGCTAGGATTTACCCCAAAGGTATGTGTGACCGAATTTACCCAGATCAAGGATATTCTTTAAACAAGCGTATCCTGGTAGGTTTCTGTCTTGGCGTTCTCCGGTATATCCGCTAGTCCCTAGGTAGATTAGGTGTTTCGAGCCCTTCTTCGATGGGCATACATACATCTACACAGTGCATACATGTACATGTACATGTACATACTTGTTAAGTAAGTCAGTAGGTAGGTAGGTAGGTAAGTAAGTAAGTAAGTAAGTAAGTAAGTAAGTAAGTAAGTATAAGTACTTGCTTACCAGGGGGGAGGGGGACTCTGGTATCAAAATCAGAGGCCAAAAACAGCGATTACTCGGATATTAGAAAATTAGCGGGGTTTGGGGCTCTCAGTATATTTAGAGATCTATGATATTAGTTCTACATGCAGTATTGCATTTTAAGTACTTAAGTATGTATAAGGGGAGAGAGATAGAGGAAGAGGGAGAGGGGGAGGGATATGGAAGAACGATGCGAGGGCCAGGGGGGGGGGGGAAAGAGTGTACAGTGTACAGTGTACAGTGTAAGTATTGACATACATGTACATGTACATACATTACTTAGGTACGTCGGTGTTCCGGATAAAATGCGCAGAACAATTTCTCGACGGGGACAGCACTTGGAACCGTATTTGGAACACACCTACAGGCATCTTTATAAGGAAGCCTCGCAGTTATATAACTTATTATGCAAAGATTGGTGATGTGATAAAAAACCTGGTCAGATTTCGCAAGCCTATCCACTGTGCGCATCCTGATATGTGCCACCGTATGTATAAGTACTTTGTATGTATACGAAGTATGTAGATGGTCCTGCCGGTCTTTAGCTCTAACCCGCGCTGCAAGGAACCCAATATGCGGCTGTAACGTTTGTTTGATTCTACAAGTTATGGTACAGTTTGAACCACTGGAATCCGTAATGGCATGAAGTACATCTACAATCAGACATGTGCCTTTGGCATTTTCGGTGGAGACTTGGCCTTGTGAGCCGACGCATATGCACGATCTAGTCCGGATTCGTCGACCTGCATGCATCCATCATCTGTCAACAAATCCCCCATCGTCATGCATGGCTATTTAATTTACATAGTGTATGTATGTATGTATGTATGTATGTACTTCATCCGCAGTTATTGTATGGTATATACATGTATATGTATATGTACATATTCCATGGCCGGTATACATGAAGATAAGGAAATATATATATATATACCTTATACTCAGGTATAGATGAAGTAAGTACATACATAGTAAGCAAAGTATGTATATGGTGGGCTCTCACGTTGGTTCCCTTTTTTTTTCTTGGTTTCTTTTTCTCCTGTTTTTCCGGAATCCCTTCTTTCACCCCCGGTCCTGGTCCTCGTTCAAGCGTGGATATTGCTTTGGATCACATCCCGGTCACCCTGTTTCACCATCTAGCCGCAGAGTGTCCAGTAGCAGCTTCCATTACCTAGTTCTATGTAAGTACAATGCATACTTACCTACACAGTACATACATACCGAGTTAGAGTCGGCCTCGGTCCAAAATATTATATTATGTACTTACCTCTAACTTACATACACGTACATAACTCCCGCGCCGTCCTTCAGGCAAGCTTGTCCTGGTTGTTATATAAAGTACTTAAAGGTGGTAAGTATAGTACCTAATGTAAAGATGTAAATCGAAGTTGGTGAGCAATTGCAATCACGCAGATAACAAATAACAAAGTAAACTCAAAGAAAATAAGTGTACCCGCTACCTACCTAGGTAGTTAGCCTGAAAAATCGATAGGTCGGATTGTTTCGAACGGTTCTATTTCATTTTATAAAGTCAACTGTTTCTGTTGTTCTGTTCAGTGATTTCGTCCGTCCGGGAGAGGTAAGGTGTCAAGGGCAGATCCGTTCTTGCCAGCCCATGTTCTCTTGTTACATCTGCATCGCACCATGCCCACTCCAGTATTCAGCTCCTGCCCGCATGTGGAGATGGTCATCGATCAGGGATTATGAACTCCAAGACACTAGAGGATATTGTCAATCTAAATGAGGCGGGGAACGGTAGCAGGGGCACCAGACCCACATCAAAAAATTCTGTAGAATAAACGAAGAAGAAAAAAGGAACGAAAAGTGGAAAAGACCAGGGATGGTAGAGATCAATGGTGGAGCGCGATTCAATCTTAGCAGAACCATTGCGACGAACGCACACACATGGCTATCACCTTGGTCGTCTGGTGTTTCGTTATATATCAGCATCACCAACCACGCAACCACCCCCAGCAGGACAGTTCTTGATATTATTCCAGATCGAACGTACATACAATACAATACAATACAATACAATACATTACATTACAGACTACTTTCATTTTTTTTTATTTCATTTTTATTATTATTATTATTATTATTTTTATTTTTATATATATATTATTTCTTCATTTCATTTTCAAAATTCAAAGGTCAGAGGAACCGTAAGGTCCTTTTATCTTGACTTTTACCTTTACTCTCACTTTACTCCCTCTCCCTCTCCCTCTCTTTATCCTTTATTCTTTATCATTTATCCTTTATCTTCAGTATATATATATATACTTCCAAAGATATAAAGAGATATATATATATATCGATTCCGACAGCCGGCGGAACATCGTCTTTGTTCGTGTAACGTACGCCACAGCTCGTTCTATGGAGGAATAGATTATCGCAGGTAAGAAAAGAACGGAACATTGGAAAAATACCATGGTCCGGCGCCCATGACCAGGGAGAGACAAGCTTTAACCGAGTCTCCAATGACATGGCAGCCAGAACCAATCCTTCCCTTTGCACACGATAGTATTCCAACAAAACCCCAAAACCCCAAAACCCCCCAATAATCGTTTCTACCTTCTCGTTTGAGTAAAAGATATAAATTTAAGGAAGAAGAGGAAAAAAGAGGAAAAAAGAAGGAGAAGAAACGATGTGGTGTGAGAAGCGGGAGTGAGCGATGTAAGCGATGCAGGCTTGCTCACCACCACCACCACCACCACCACCACCACGGATCGTTGATTACTATACGTACCCACCCACTTGTACCCGGGTACCTCTTATTGCTTATTACTTTATCTACGATTCTTCACTTATATGCATACCTGCCTGCCTGCCTGCCTGCCTGCCTGCCTGCCTGCTTACTCTTATACCTCATATGTATCTGGCAGGCAAGTAAAGTAAGTAAAGTAAGTAAAGTAAGTAAGTAAGTAATAGGTACTTACTCGGGTCTATATAAAGTACTATATATAACTATGTATCTTCCCCTCGCTCGTTCAAATCATCATATCCCTCACACCTGCCATCCGCCAAGGATCCGTCCCAATTGCAAGGACGCTTCAACGAAATGATCCCGCTGAATCATGCTGACGTTGATGCAAGAAAGATAGCAAGCAAGTCGGACGAAATATCACCAAACACCGAATCTTTCCTTCCTTCCTAATCGCACATAACTTTAGATTCATTATCAAGCACCAAACGTGAGTACCGACCGACCGTACCATCAACGTTTCGGTGGGGATTCGAGTCTAACGTTAACGTTTAACCAGCCTCAATCCGTCAGACTACATTCCCCAACACGACAACACGACAACACAACAACACAACATCGCAATCCCGATCGCCACAAATCCGCAAAATGGAAATCCACGAGCTGATAATCGATGAACGACACGCTCCCAAACAGTTCCCCTGCGACTGGCCTGATTGCAATAAGGTGTGCATTCCCTTAACGAACTCTCCTTTTACTTTTCTTCTTCTTTTCCATCAGCTGACATTTCGAGGTATTAGAAATTCAATCGGAAGTCCGATCTCCAGAGGCACCATCGAATCCACACGAATACACGTCCCTATGCTTGCACTTTTGCTGGATGTAAGAAGAGCTTTATCCAGCGAAGTGCCCTTACAGTTCATATTCGTACACACACCGGCGAAAAACCCCATCAGTGTGAATTCATCGGCTGTGGTAAATGTTTTTCTGACGTAAGACAGAAACCCTAGATCGTCAATACTGCGAGATCAACCGCTGATAATTCATATAGTCGTCAAGTCTTGCCCGCCACAGGAGGATACACACCGGGCGGCGTCCGTATCTTTGCGGTGTAAACAGATGTGGCAAGAGCTTCTGTCGGAAGACTACCCTCATCAAACACGCCCGCCGTGCCCATGGCATTGGCCAAAACCTTGATGTTTCCGATGATGACTCCGAGAACGATGATTCAACTACCACGGAGCGGTCCCATCCCAAGCCTGTTTCGCAGGCTCGCGCTGAAGTCATACGAAACCACGGGCCTGAGAGCGTTCTCCAAAACCAAGGTCGTCACCTTAGCCTTTTCCGGCCGGAGCTCTCTCTTCCTTCTAGCCCGCGTTCTAATTCCAATACCATCGGATTCGGCGACACATATGGCAGCGCTAGTGCCGTATACCACCCGCAGAATCTGGTTTCAGACCATCCAATGACACCAACAAGCCCTTATTGCTTCCAAGAAACACCACCACATGCACATGTACCACCATTTCCGAATTTGCCTCGTACCTGTGCCGAAGATTTCATACCTACGGGTACAGGGTTGCCCCAACACCCTCAGAACCCCCAATATAACCCCAATCTTCGCATTATTTGCAGCAGTAGTCCCACGCAGCAAGCTTTGGCTGCTGGCCATTGTGTTGGAAGTCCGGGAGAACTCTCAAATTGTTCAACCGCCACAAGCGGTGCTTCAGTAGACTACTTTTACCGTAATCCATCCACGGTTGATGGGGTGGGAAATGTCACACTTTTTATGCAGCAATCCGCTGCTTCGGATCATATATCCCATCAAGTACAGGACCAGGGCATCGCGGAAATGCCGATTGCCGTGATGTCACAGCAGCAACATCAACACCACCCACAACAACCAGGAGCAGCCATCTGGTATGGCTACTCACAATTCGACCAGCCACAGTTTCATAGCGGCAGCGAGCAACGATTGTTTTATGAAAATGGCAATATGGAAAACATAACACCAGTCAAAGCTACTACTTCCGAGGTTGTCCTACATCCGCTTTTAACCCCGAGGGCATCTCTATGCTGAGCCGCTTATACTTCTCTTCCTTTGCCTTTTTGATATCACAACATTCTTGTAATTTTATGTCCTTCAATTTCGTGGAAATGGTCTTGACGTGGCGTTTACGGTTTCCGGTTTTATGACAGGAGTGGCGTTTTCCCGTTTGCGTTTTTACTTGTACAGCCCTAAATACTGGTATACATAAGGTGCGTGTTTGAATTTGGATGCCTAGGCTCTGGGTTTTGCTCAGGATCAAGGTATATTACATGTATATAAATACACTCTAGGTGGTAGTTTGGTGGTCATTCCTCTATGGGCGATGGTAAATTTAGCTACCATGGATTTATCAAATTTGTTATCCCGCCGGCCAGGTAACGGGAGCAACCTTTACTTCAAACTTAGTCTATAAAAAAAAAGAAAGCAAAAAGCGAAAGGGACTTAAACTTCGTTGTGCACGAGGATATAAAAAGTGGAACGAGAGAGGCAGCATTCCAACAATACTAATGATGCTCACAAAATTTCTTGGTTTTTTGCGTTGAAGCTATTTACAGCCAAGGCAATCTTGGTGTAAAGGAACTGCCGACTTGTGTCTGTGCATGGAATGAAGGGACCAGTAACACCTCCTTGTTTGAGAAAATAGGTTTGTTAGCAATTCTTATCTACCATAAGGTGTCAGAATCTAATTACCTCGAAGTGATAGCTGTATTCCCGTCTTCTCCATGCTGATTGTCTGGAGATCTTTTAGAGGAACGTCCCATTCACATACAAGCTTTTTAGACTTGACAAGCATAATCCGACTATATCCGATAGAGGTTAGTAGAGCATTGGTGGCAAAAAACTAGAAATTACCGACCTATAAGTGAGCATTACAACAACGTCTTCTCCGGGAAGTTCGAGATGCGCAATGTAGTCTTCGTCAAAATATTTCCCATTATCCAGTTGTTTCAGCCAGAATTGACCTAGCGCTTCTCTTTGGGAGTATGGCCGAACAACCCCATCCCGACCAATGAACCTTGTTAAGCGAACCCTTTCAAGACCTTCCGCATCAAATACTGTTGTCGTATTACGAATTCCTTCGGTAACATCTATTCTCCAATCAGCTTAGGGTAACCAGATTTCCGGGCATTGACATACTTGAAGCAAGATCGAAAACCCCAATTGCTGGCTTGGTGGCCAAACCAACAACCCCCTTCCCAAAACCTTTGATAAAACCAGCTACACCTTCACGTTCAGCACCTTCCAGAGGTTTTCGAGCCAACCCTCCTACCCCACTAGCTACACTTGTGATAAATGAATTTGCACCACTCGCAACGCCGTATAGGGCATGTTTTGGCCGATTACGTGATCGCGACATCCGCCTACGATCCTGAAACTGCTTATCAAGAGTTGCAGCCGAGAGCCCTAGTACAGAGTTAGACAGAAGAAATCGCGACTTTGGTAGTTATTGTGGTGCAAACCCTTTGAAATACTCCCGGTGACCTTTGATAGACTGTCAGTTACCCCAAAGACCGATTTCTTGACAAAGCTCGTTGCTCCCTTAGCAATTCCAATCCCCAGCTCTTGGGGTCGATCTGTCATGACAAAGCCTTGGTACGGCTCGTAGAATATGTCCATGACTCCTGAACTTATGTTGTTGAATAACCCAACAGGGTTGCCCAGGAAATCTGCCGAACCAAGAATCTTGTGCACCTGATATAGAAATTCTTGACTGTAGTGGCCCTGTATCCTTTGGAGTAAAATTGGCACCGACACCCGCACATTTTCCAGTAGGAGCGCATTGAGTTTCACAGGGGCGTCATTAATATTGCCAATAGCCATTGTTAGTACATTCACGAAAAACATCAAAGGATTCCTGGAAGATGTTTTATCCTCTGCGTTAACTCGTTCTGTCCGGACGAAGGATAGATCCATCTGTGCCGGTTGTATATGAAGGAGTTCAAAATACACATCTTGTCCCGCTTCTGTGGATTTTGGCTCCGGTATTCCGAGGCTTTCATCGCAGAGGTTCTCCTCACCCCCTTGGGCCCAATTTGCACCCGGGATTCTTGAGAAGTCCAAAATAGCAAAAATAAAATCTTCATCAATTTCCACAGTCATTTGCTGAAGGAGAAATGTAGCATATTTGATGTATAGAACACCGTAAGCTAGAGTTAGGCAAACCTCGTTTGTTAGAATGGGGAATTTCAGAGAAGAAGGAGAGAGTGAAAACAAGGTTGGCTTACAATCATCCTTGACCCTTGTAACGGATGTGTGGAACGATGGATGAACATCCATCTCTTTCCCAGTTTTGGGGACGACGCTGGGGTAAAGTAGTATGGGGAAGATGCCACCGTATAATTGGTTGTCTATCTGGATCCACTTGACTAACAAATTTAGTGTCTGATATAAATTTGATTCGTTATACTTGAACTCCATCCCCCGGAAAGTTACATAGGCGAGTTCTTTGAGGTGGCTATTGATCAGAGAGATGCCAATCCCTGCAAATCGGACCTGGGCCTTGAAGGATACCTCTCCATCCTCCTCTTGGACCTCAAATCCAGATGTAGAGCCGCTAGCCATGCTGGTCTGCGAAATATTTGTTTTCGGTTTGTATATGCTTTTGGATTGTTTATAGTTAGAGAGAATTAAGGTTTGAGTTGGTCCATCCGCTGCGACATTGATATCAATGATTTTCAATTGTGGGGCGCCAGGCTTCGCTGGAATTTTCATGGGTATCTATATGAATATGAATCTTAGAATAACTCCCGGCCCAAGAAAAAAAAAGAAGGGGGGGGGGGGGGGCTGTTTAACCAGATTTCCAATTTCTGATAGCCTAATGTGTCGCTCTTTTCCATTGGAGGAGAGAATAAGCTCCTTCTTCCTCGCAGCCGGAAAGTCCCATGCATATGGCATAATGCTTCGAGGGGGCAGACGATACCGAATTGGTCGGAAGTTAGTATCGTTGCTGGTTTGGTCCTCATCCTCGTCGAGGTGAGGGTCCTTGTAATCATTTACAGTTAGCGGGGTCGATCCAATACCGTTGCGAAGCCTGAACATACTGCTTGCCAGAAAGTAAACTCAGCATCGCTCTCGTTCCTCATAGAGAACGGCCAGCTCTTTGTTTCCATGCTAATATGAAGGAATATCGTGGCGTGCTCTTGCAAGACCTCTATCCGGACTAAACGTTGCCTTCGACCTGATTTCGATATTTTGACATGAATTGTCCCTATATCCGAGATATTGAATGGCGATGACCTTCCTCGTCCTCTAGTTAGCGTGTACGAGACCTCATTTGAGGGCTTGCAGATCTTTACCATTGGTTATCAAGACCGGGAAAACAAAGTGTCAATTGCTTTTCGTGCGCCTGCCGAAGGAAATGCAGCGGCAATAGCTCTCCTGGCTTCAGCGTCATAATCCGAGAGGAGGCAGACTCGCGTACATTAATTTCCTCCGATAACTTGCTGTTCAAAATGAATCTAGGGGTCAGTGTGACTATTTTAGTCATTTTATACTAAATCATAAATCGTTAGCTAGATCAAAATAATGAATATATATAGTCGACATCGCGAGCATACTTTTCCTTCTCCCTCGGTTACTGATATTCCAATATGGATCTCCTCCTGCCTAGCTGAACTAGCAATGACGACGTCGTCGATGTTTCCAATAGCCTCGAAGCTCACCGGTCTACTCCATGCGGAGTCGCCAATCTTCAATAAAGCTCTATTACGGCGATCGTCTGTAGGATAAGAAAACATATACGGGATTGCCTTTTTTCGAGACAAACTTTCTAAACAAGCCTCGAATAAGCATGGGTGATCTAGAAGATAGTCAGAGGTTTTAATACTAACCCGAAAATGACTGCCCAGCTGCTGGCCGAGCCTGCTGCATGGAAGATTTTGCCTTTACAAATATTTCAAGGCCTGTCTTGTTTAAGAGTAAGAATGGACTATATACGGACACTCGAAAAGCGCCACCAGCGTTAGGAATTGGGCTATAGGACGGTTAGTGTTAAATCCCAACCCTTCAGACTCGTCAGTGCATAGCTTACTAGTAATGTAATTTTAGTTTCAAAGGCAGGCTATTATTATCCTTCAGGGCTAGCGACGACTCTCGTTTGAAATCATCGTTATTCGCCGAGTTAATAATGGCAAATTCGCTTTGTCCAAAAACTAGGAAGATCAGTTATATCTCTAATCCGGAGGACGGTGACATCGCTTTGAGAAGTTGTTACCAGTATCTTGCATTTCTATGCTCATTAAAAGAAGATGAGACAGCTGAACTACGTGCACGGGACTCAAACCGCCCTTTCGTAAAAAGTTTGTCCAGTCCTTCTTGGTATTTTTATCGTAGATGCGGTACTTAAAATCGAAGGGTAGAAGGTTTTCAACCTCGACAGGTGCAGAAAGTCGGATTTTCATGTTCGGGTATTTCCTAAAACGGAGTTAGCTAAGCATTATCCAAGGGCTAACTGATTTTACCTTGTTAATGGGTCCGTTCTATCAAAACTTGCGTGAATATGGAAGTAGAAGGGGGGGGCCGCTTCTTCTTCATTTCGACAAGTGAGCATTTGTGTGGGTGCACCACGAAGATCCTCCCAATATATCCTACTATCCGACCAGCTATACCCGAAACCGGCTATATAGTTTGTAGTCAGTTACAGCCATAACCCAAAATGGGGTACACATACCATCCGGTCTGACGACAGCAGAGCTATAAAACGCTGCTTCAACAGGAAAGGGGTGAGCCCCCCCTGGCTTTATCTTATAAATCCTCGCGACATGGGTACGTCCTGAGTCGAGGATCCCGAGCTCAATGGGGATCTGAGTGTTGTTCTCAACCAATAACGGGGATCGGAAAGTGATGTATTTCACGTTGTCTGTGCCGAGGTGCACTTCGCATAACAGCCGATGGACGATTTTACCTGATCGAGGTCTAAGGGCGTAGGTCTCTTCTCCTTCGCGGTTGACAGGTATTTTTGTTACACTCTCGAACGGCGTATCTTCTAGTTTTACCCCAACAACCCCGCCTCCGCCTTCTGGATTAAGGTTCTTGAGACTTGTCAGTAACTTCTCTATCTCTACATCTCTCGCTCTCCCTCAGGCTCGATTGGGTTGCCGTCCTACCTCTCGCATTTTTTCCCATTCTTCAAATCTCCAGGGTGCCTCTTCTCCGTCCTCCAAGCGTCTGGCCATCGAGGTACCTGAAGTAGTCTCAAAATCAGCCCACACATGGATCGGATATCCTGAATGATTCCTGATTCTGTAGGGAGCATCTGCTCCCCGCGGTTTTGTCAAAACCTCATCACTCTGAGATAGGAATTGAGCAGCTTTGGAGGCTAAAACAATGCTTTGCGTCGTTATAGTAAGCTCCATCATCTTTCTCGAAAACAGTTCAATGGCTAGGCGTCCAGGATTTAAGGAACGAGATATCTATTATTTGTTGTCGCAGTCCCCTAGGTTAGTATGCGGAGGAAGATATGGTTAAAGAGGTCAGATTCTTACATGAAGCCCGAGTTGCCAGGGCTCGATCAATGGCTCCCAGGCTGACTTCGAAAAGTTGTAGATATTCACAAATATCTCAATGTTGGTATCCCCATTCATCTAGAGGTACGAGAATAAGCATTCTACTTTTACCAAAAAGACGATGTGTAACACACCTCTGATGACCAATTCCCGACCCTGGCAGTAAAATGTTTTACACTTAAGTCCAGGAGGGGGAGCTCATGGGCATCACCAATTAAAATCACACGAAACCCCTCAATCGCAACGATCATTTCTTCTTTATTCAAGATTGTCGAGGCGGACTGCAGCCCCTTCGAAGCAATGGCGTTGACTGCTCCTGGTATCGTGTTTTTTGAAATAGAGGCGGATCTGCCTGTTGCTGGCTTTCTTAGGGAGCCGTGTGTATTTAGATTCCCGATATGGGGTTGTTTCGATACATCTATCTGGCTTTGTGTGTTTGTAGTACCGGACAATTCGGAGGCCTTTGATACAATCTGCATCGCGAGCATTATATCTCTGAGAGAGACACGTAAAACCAACGGTTCGACGCTTATCGATACGGAAGTTATAGATTGCCCGTCTCCAACCGGTCGAGTTTCCATAGATGTTTTGGCTCCAAAGTCATCTAATATGCGCAACCTGCTCGTCTCGAATCTGTCCATTCTGCATAAGAACATACCAACTTTACTCACTTCTAGAGTCAAGGCACGCTGCTGTGCTAGGAGGACCTGCTTTGTCCCTAATACAATAGCCTCTGAGCTACCACTTTCTGGGTGTGCGATCAATATGACCTGTGCGTCAACAATATTAATTCTAAATGATGTTTCCATTTGAGCACCCGTCTGGCCACCTGCTGTGCTCGAGGGTACCGTATCCTCCTTCCCGGCACCAACATAGACGTCGATGTCGGAGTCTGATGAAATGTCCTCTGTACTGGAGCCGTCGGCACTTGGGGGTATTTGATCTGTTAGGTTTGTTTCATTAATCCCAATACCATTTAGGACAAAATCTCGAAGGGCGAATAGATAATCAAGGGCAAATATTATCCTAGGGCTGTCAATAGTAAGCATAGCAATAAGATGACGGTTCGTTTGCCCTGATATTGTGATGCTAGCCATAAACTGCGACCCATCAGTGATTGTAGAAGACATTATTTTGCGGTATTTGTTAGTTTCCTTGCGGCGGCTATCGTTTATTGTGAAAGACTTGATGAGAACTTCGGATTCTAACGAGCCGTCGCTCATCATTCGCAATTTGATTCCAGTTCGGTTCAACGAGAACTTTGATAGACTGGCGCCTGTTGCATCAAGAATTGGCTCTGACGATGGAGAGACCAGAAGCTCGAGGCTGATATCGCCCATCGTGAGAATTAAATCTACCTTTGTCCATATTCCCGATACTACGGACAGCTCTGGGTTTAGGTCTGAGGCTATGATACGATTATCCGATGTTGAAGGCCGCCCAGATAGGGTCGTATTTTCTGTGGATGGCATTAATTCCGGAGGGGCGTATTCTTCGGGCTCCCCAGCGAAAACTCCAGGGATTGAACGACTTAGATCAACAAGAATTTGTAGCTGGTCCTGTGATAGTTTCATCTTCAAGTCTGACATGATGCCTTGGACCTAGATAACAAAAACAGTTAAGATAATATTTCTACACTGGGAGCAATGGATTCACCACATTACCTCTATGTCTGGCCTTTCGAGCTTTTCTTGGTGTTCGAGATAATTTATCTTAAACCCAAGGTCGATTTTGTCGATCATTTCAAGTTCTTCAACAAGCTCGGGTGTGAAATGGAGCGCCGATATCAATTTGACTTTTCGGATGCCAGATTCAATTTTGTTAACAATTGGAGAATGATCACAGTCATCAAGTGGCGTAAACTTGTTCGAGGCATAGATTTCTCCGAGAAATGCTGTAATGGTGTCTCTTGCAACTCTGCCGTTTCGTGGCACCCTTGGGAAAGTAATGATGGGGGTTTGAATTGTGATATCAAATTGGATTCTGTTAGCTCGCTCTTGCATATGGCTGGCCTGGTTGACTGCTGCTTGCCTAGCGGCGTTAAATAAAGCTTGCATGCGGCCAAATTTAACCATGAAATTGACGAGCTTGCGGAAGGGCTCTTCAACAAAGTTGACTTTGATAGAGCCCGATTTCAAATATATAGATGTGTCGTAGCCAGGGTATGCTGCTAGGTTATCAGGGTCAAAAGTTTCGTACCGGAAATCGGCAAGATTGTCTCCCTCAATAGTCATAAGCTGCCGCAAATCTGATTCCGTGCTCGCACCCTCATTGATGTCATCCAATAGAGAAAAATTTCCCAGTTTCGCGCCGATACGCATGGTTTTCCCCATCAAGAATACCCCAACGTCTGCAGACGCGAGGCTTAATGTCGCTAACCGGAGACCGTCATTGTTTAGGATTAGAGCTATCGTGGAAAGGTCTATTTTCACTCGCATTTTTTCAGGTCCGTATTCAATTTCAGGAGGCTGCGAATTGGCAGATTCAGAGTCCTGTCCCTTTTCGTCTACGGTAGCCTTTTCAAGCCGTTTGTCGTTTTGGTTGGTAAATGTGGTGAGAACAAAATCGAGTAGTGTTAGGAGCGTCGTTCGGGTAACCACAACGTTAACAGTCGAAATCGACACATCAATATTCGTATCTATTCCCTCATAGATTGTCATGTATTCTGGTGAGTTCCGGTTGATTTTGGCATATTTGACATGTACCAAGCTTTGATCCACCTCGGAGGAACCCTCGGAAGTGATGATGCTTCTGAATTGAGGAGAAGGATTTGTATCGATTTGGTCCTCTAAGTTTAAAGTCTTCAGAACTACATCAGCGACAATATCGTAAGGTCGAACGTAGAAATTGAGTACGAATCCGTCCGCAACTAGCTCTGCTAGGGGTTTATCAGGGAAATTTGCGACCGATTCAGCTTTGAACAGCGAGCCTTGGAGCCTATCCACTTGAAACCTGAATTCAAATGTTTTTTGGTGTAGTTTAGGAGCGTCCTAGATATATTTAGCATGTCTAGAATTTTACAAAAAAAAAATAGTGACAAAACTTACGGAAGATTGGCCTTCTGGTGCCTCAATGAAATTGTCATCGTCTTGACTACCGTCATCGGATTCTTCTTCCACAATGAGCAGAGCTTGCTCCTGAGCCGAGAAACGGAAAGTAGAATCGCGGCGGTGGGTTTCTAGCTTTTTGCTGCTTCCTCTTGAGCCGGACTCTGTCGGGACCTTTTTGCCGGTGTCATCATTGAATTTAGGTATTGCAACGTCAATGATACCCATGAGCGTTTTGTACTTTCTGTCAGAGACACTAACGTGCAGCATTGGCATATGCCCAGAAATTCTAAACTTCGTTAAGTTGGGCGCTTTCGGTAAGATCGATATTTCAATTTTGAAATCAATGTTAATGCGGTCAACGACCCTGAGCTGTTTCGAATCACCTTCTTCCTCGAGTTGAGCTATGGTCGTCTCAATTGACGGACCTATCAAAATTTGAGTTGACTTGAGTTGCAACAGAAATTTGTCATACATGAGCGACTCCAATTTTTCGTAGTCCGACTCCGTGTATTGGGTGCTCTGCTTTGCTTGTATTTCCTGTACATCGTGCTTCTGCACTAGATCACTTGTAAGGCTGACGTGACCGGCGTCAATTATCAAGCAGTTTGCAGCATGGGCTGTGACGTTTTCTGGAATGACAAGTAGGGGAGCTTGAAGATCGAGCTTAGCATTGAGGGTCTTGTGTTCTTCCAATGCAAATTCGAGGCCAGCTCTAGTTTGTTGTCGAACCGCCTCAACCGTGGCACCAGCAGTTTCCATCAATGCCCCAATTGATTCCATATGACGTTCTGGTGGCTTGAAGAATTTATAGATCTCCTCCAAAAACCTAGGGTTGTAAATCACTTCCATACTTCGTAGCTTCGCAGTAACGGCGGAGTCAGCGCTCTCATCTAATGGATTTCGCTCGAAAGTCGCATGAAAGAAAGCGTTCTTGTCGTTAAAGCGACTGCCTTGGACGTCGACAAATTGCGAACTTGCCCCCGCCTCACTATGTTTTACCCGTACTATTTGTGGGAATAAGGATCCAGGTGTCGTCCCATCGTAAACACGTAAGCCTCCTAGGCTTGTCTCAGCTAAAAAGGAATCCGGACGTTGTACAAATGCTGCCTTAAAGTCGTCGAACGATAAGGACGTAATTTCCACTGCCTTCGTACTGTGGGGGCCTCGTTTGAGAGTAAAACTACCAGTTCTTAGGCTGGTCTCCAGTTCCATCTTGATTGAGTCACGGGGCAAATCGATACTTTCAGCGAGAGATTTCTTTTCATCCCAATCAATAGCATCGTACAGTTCTCGGCGCTGTTGTTCAGTCATCGTAGCTTCATCAGAGACCTCATTCTCGCCCTCGGTTGCGGCAGAACCCCAGGCCCAAGCAAACCAGCCCTTTGGTTGTTGCTCTGGTGCCTTTTTAACAACCGCCCTTTCCTTCCGAAGCTGATTTCTCGCCAACGAACGATAAAACCGTAAATCTTCGTAGGAGAGCTTCCACTCTAATTTCTTTAGCTCATCTGCTTCACTAAGGGTGAGGGGTTCGGTCTTCTTTTTCTTCATAAAAAGCCGAATATAGAGGAGTCTGTCGTCCCTCCGCTCCTTAAAGAAAGCCCATGTCCATTTTTTATTCTTCTCATGTATTTCATCACGAACAGCTGTGATAGCAAATCTGAACCATGCTTTGGGGTCTTCTAGAAGCGCTGACTTCGGCCGGAACTTCTTGTACTGTTGGTGACGTATATAGAAATGAAATAGATCAATCAGCATCAGAGCATCCCGATACTGGTGTTCATCAAGGACAAAACCAATCTCATCGAATAAAGCCCGGGCCTTTAGTTTTGGTGTCTCTCGTGATGGTGTTTTGCAAAGTTCGAGCCGAGCCTCGCCGCTCACTGGCTTTAGAATGAACTGTTGCAACTCGGCCGGTTGACCACTTGTTGCGATTAGCCGTGGAAATTCTGTTAGCACGTCTTCGTGGGCATTATGCCCGAGAAGCTCCGTATCTGTATTCCAATAGACCGCTAAAGAGCTAAGTTTGCCAAGTTTGTGGGTAACGGCCACATTCCCTTGGATGAATATCGGCTGCCAATTTTCATCAGTCGAAACGGCTGAGAACTCCTCGAGTGTAAACCCTAGAGCGAAGGGGTGCTAAAACATATATATTCTTTTGTTAGCTCTCTAAGTCTGATGGCAGACATCGTTTATTTTCAACTTACCCCTGGTGTTGAGATAGAATCTTCGTAGCGGATGTGAATATTTTTTATAGTTACTTGTAAGTTATCTACGATCTGACGACTTTCGTTAGTCTCAGCGGTGACGATGAGAGTTGGGTTTCATTATTGAGATACCTTCGTCACCAGTGATTCAGTAAAAGATTGGTGTTTTTGTTGTTCTTCTTCGGAAAGTCCAGAGGTCGTTCGTTCGTGAACCAACTCTGCACTCTCAAGTTTCTCTTGTTTTAGGATTTGACGTCTCCTTTCTTCATCTTCCTCGTCATACTGTCGCCGATGTTGGCATTAGTGTATATGTTTCCACAGATGTTCTTCGAAGTTAATTTGTTGGCATTTCTTTACCTCTGAATCCTGCTTTGGGGTAGCTAGAAGAAAGACATCCTCAATCGTAACTTTTACGGGTTTGTTTTTTAAATTGCTCCAGGGTATTCTGGTAGGGAGAAGTTGATAGGGGTCAACATATGCTTGAAAGGAGTTTAGGTGATCTGTAGGAGGGGCACATGGAGGGAATTGGTTGATGGCAGCGGAATAGACGTACTGGAGGGTCAGACGGCCAAGATGTCCCTCGGACACGTTTAGTGGTAGTTTCATTTGATCCAATGCCTTGGATTTTGGAACAGATATATGATTGTGTTAGTCAAATAGGAATGTGGTCGTTTTCAAGGGCCGGAGTGAATATCACCTCCTTCCTAAGTTCAAGGTCCCGTAGCTGGACATCACCGCTTAAGGCAAATAGGTCAGAAAACGAAAAAAAAAAGGAAAAGGGAGGAAGGAAGAAAAAAAAAAAAAAAAAAAAAACAATTAGCATCAAAGGGTATTTTCAAGATGCACACCTCCAAATTCCGATGTTTAATTGCTTGGGATCAAAGTTTCGAATGTACCTAGGCCAGGAAGCTCAGTATATCATTCCTTAACGACGGCGCATTAGAAACAAGCACTCATTGCATACATCCCCAGGAACCTATTTAAGAGGGTAGCGACTAGGCCCTCCAACATGTTTCCTGCGTGGAGAACCGGGTGACGGTTCGAACATCAAATGGTAAGCTGGTATGGAGCTACGGTAGAGCGGACTCCTCCTCCTCCCAGCGATAAGGTACAGGAGCTTGTCAACGGGAGCAAGTAGTGCTTTATGTGAGAGAAGTTGTCGATTTCAGATAGCCGGATATCAGTGGGTGGGAGCGCAACCTAGCGGGGTGCTGTAGCCCGGGGTATTCAAGAGATTAGCAGCCAATTCCCCGGATTGTGTGAACTTTCTTGTTTGGGGAGATCAAAATGTTTGCGGAGTGGGAGGGGGGTTAAGTGCTTAAGTACTTGCCTGGGATAGGTGGTATGTAAGGGAGGTGGGAGGTTGTTGTTGTTGTTTTGTTTGTTAGATACCGACTTAACTACTACTTACTTAGTATATAGGAGTTGTTAGCACCAGTCCAAGTTTTTAAGTCCTAAGCTACTTACCTACGTAGTAAGTACAAGAGGTAGGTGCTTAAGTAATGTATTTACTTAAGTAAAATATACAATATGTACTTTTAATTCAAGTAAGTGGGTATTAGTCTCGTATCGAGTACCAGCCTATATCTAGGCCTAGGATCGGTGGTACTAGGCCAGGTATATACCGTTCGGTGACGTAACGCCAGAAAGCAACATGTGCGACATAAAACCATGGCATTGAATGACGACGTGCACAACACAGTTTCTATTCGATTCAGTTCTCGCATCGATCATCTCAACGTTAACAAAAAACAAGAAATACAAATACAAGAATCTCACAAATTAAAACAAGTAAATTAAAATAGATAAATACTATAGAATAAAAATAAAAATAAAATAAAATAAAACAGTACGGGCGTTAATCGGCATATATAAATGAGACATCTGTAGAGTACTAATACATCCAAAGCCAAGCCTAGTTCCTCTGGATTCATCATCATCGTTGATTAACTCTACAGTAACCTCATACCTCAACGTGTAAGTTCACAGCATATTTCACCCATCATGTTCGGCCGGCACATGATTAAGAGCTTTCAACAAACCTCGATCTCGCGGGGAATGTTAAATTTATCAATTTCTACCTCAATGGTTTCGAACAGCTACAATTTCCATCGATTCAATACATCTTTAGCGATTCGACCCACCCCTCCAAAATTTCCGTCAACTAGAACGTTCAGCTTTCGCGGGTACTCGGTTTCAAATTCTCGACCCCTTGAGCAATCGGATCCTCGTCACAAGGCTTTGAAGAGCGACCTTTCTAAAGTAAGTGTGGTTTAATCAAATTCTGAACTGCCCACCACGGTACCACGCCCGGTCGATCTTGTACACCACACCGTGCATTTCACGTTATATATAGCTCTACGTATATATACTAGGTACGCTATCGCTTTCATCTAATTCGAAACAAAAACTACACCTTACAGGTCACGACATCCAGTTCTATCCGGCCTATCATCGAAACCTCACAGGCTCCTCATCACGGTGGTCAACAGGATATTCTAAAGGGGGGGTTCCAGCATGATTTGGTTAGTAGCTAGTAGTCGTAATCCTTGCTCGCGAAATTTGGATACTAATCTTTGGTTGGAGGAAGCAGAATGTAATTAGGGAAACATTTGCATTCAGAGAGGTCCCGAAGGAGGTATTGTTCTTCGGAGGGGCGGGTTTGGTGCCCTATATTGCCACGACAGCCTCAACATTCTTCCTCGCTTGGGATATAAAAAATATTTCACAAGAAGGAGCAGGTTATATTTTAAACCAGGAAACAGCTTCCACAATACTTAGCCTCTTAGAGCCTATCCAAGTTGGTTTCGGGGCTGTAATCCTCAGTTTTCTGGGAGCGATACACTGGGGTCTCGAATTTGCCGCCTACGGAGGGAACCACCCGTAAGGCTCTTTCTAGCACCGGCCCTCAAATCTATTTGGCTTTGTCCCCTAATAGTTTTTCTATCAACATGTAGGTACCAGAGGTACCTTTTAGGTATCCTCGCTCCCGCATTGGCCTGGCCAACAGTATTCATGCAGTACGACATTGCACTATTAACACAATTCTTGGGGTTTACTGGAATGTATTTCGCGGATTCACGCGCGACGACACTTGGTTTAGGTGAGTGTGTATTCTTTATTTCTCTAGGAGCAAGTTAACGTAGAAACACGGGGTTTGATCTGGAAACAGCTCCAAAATGGTACACAACCTATCGCTTTTTACTCACTTTCGTCGTCGGCGCATGTATTGTTATGACCTTGATAGGTCGAAGCAAAGTAGGTAGCGGATTCTAGATCTAATCCCCGTCGCCCTTATTATTACCCTCGGTTTGAAACCTTGGGTTCTATTTCTGATACGTTGAGTACTTACATAACTATCTAGATTGATGAAAAAGGAAGCGCATCGGATGCCCCCCAAGAGCGAGTCCATAGGCTACGACAAGGAGAGGGGTTGGAAACTACGAGTGTTCAATATCGCCAGCTTGTTCAACGGGATCAGCAAGAGATCGAAGAGAAGGTCCGGCTTGAGAAAGAGGAAGCTGAGCAAAGGCTAACTGAAAAAAAAGCAGAGTACCTCGAAGCTAAAGAAGCGGCTAAAAGAGCGGCCCTCAAAACGGTGGGATGAGGGCATTATCCAAGCTAATATTAGTTAGCGGTCGGTGGAAATATCCTTGGGTCGCTGTATTTTTTAATTTTAAGTTGTTTTACCCGACAGCAAAGACATCTTGATTGCTCTAAAGTGGATTCATGACCAGAGCGGATTTTCTGTCCTACGGCCTACGTAGTACTAGTATTTTAACGTTACCATAGCATGGTTCATATGTCTCGTCGATAATAATATATAGTAGGTACCTAAAGGCATAAAAGTACACAGTAGGACCACAGTAAGTTTATATATATCGCAAGAGACCAGTGTTACACCAGCGCTCCATATTCTTGGCGCCGATGCGGCTATTGGCTTGGCAGTGTGCTTTTCTTTTTTCTAAATCCTTTTTTTTTTTTCATTCTTCATGATTTAGATTCACACTTGATACATAACCTTCTTCACCAAAGCAGCTGAACGGCGCGCGAAAACCGAGTATATTAGGTATGATACAACATCATGGGTTGAAATAAATTCTCTAGAATATGCATCCTTATTACTTATGTAGCTGCTAAAATTCTCGTCCTAGAAAGCTTCCATTTTTTTGTTTTCCTCAGCCACTACGATGCCACCTGACCACAGCGCGAAACCTTATGAGTCGAAACATCACGATGCGGCAGCAGTGTTGATAGAAGGGATCAATACGTTTTCGCAAGCGATATCCTCTTCCCAGAGGAAAAGGAAGCGTGGGGTATCCGATATCATTCGATCAAGTGACGAACCTACCACCAGTAGGCTTGATGTCAAGGATCTCGACACGATTACAGGCAATTCACGCCTGCGAAGCTCTCTGAAGGGACTCGTGGGCGATTCAAATTTCGAAAATCCTTCGAATTTTAATGATCAGAAATTAGCCGCTCCTGTTCCGCATGCCGCTCAAATCCGTCTGAACCGACAAGAAGCGTATTCTACAACTAAGCAGACACTCAACAAATGGACCGATGCCGTCCAATCAGCTCGAAGCGCAGAGCAACTGAGATTCCCCCTTGAAGGCAGTCTCTCCAGTCCTTTCAATAACAGAAAGTACCATTCATCGCATCAATCAGGGCGAGCAGAGACTAGGCCCCCCACCAAATTGGAAGATCGAATTTCTCAGACGCTATCCCTAGCGACCCGAGACCTCGAAGAAAGTAAATCTACACAGGACTCTAGATATCTCACAAATTCGAGGAGCAAACATACGAAGACTAAGACAGCCCACCTGCGGATGGAAAGAGAACTCCTTCTTCGGAAAGAAGCGAAAGCAAAACGACTAAGAAAAATAAAATCTAAGTCGTACCGGCGGATTTTAAGAAAAGACCAGCGGAAGCTTGATACGCTACCACCCTCTTTAGAAAACTCCGACCCCGATGGAACAGAAGGAACACTAGAAGAGGGGGTGGGTATCTTTCGAATAGACAATGGCTCACCAGGAAGAGAGCAGAGCGATAATACGCGATCATGCCAAAACATTAATGAAAAAAAAAGCATGCTATTAGGGCATCAGAACGGCGAGAATCTTCCTGGTCAGCGCCTGTTCGCGATGAAGTTCATGGACGCGGAAAAACGCAATACCATCAAAGATAAACCTACTGAAGTTTCCGATATCCGAGAAATTCCCAAAGGAAGGCGAATATTCCACGATGGCCTCCTTGCTAGCCATGCGAGACAAATTGAAGCCGTATCTACCACCAACAAAAAGGCCATACACTCATCTGACCCCGAAGTTAACCCTCTCATGGATCCTAAGCTAGGCGAGATAGAGGAAAAATCAAACCCGTGGCTCTGCCCTATGAATAATAACAACAAACTGGCAGCGTCACTATCGGCACCATTAGTTTCTCAAAAACATGAAGACCAGCCATTAACTCCTGCACAAAATTTAAACGATAGGCACACCGCAGTGCTAAACTTTGATCCACCCCCCCCCGGCTCCCATTTATCCTATAGCACCCCGGAGTCGGTGCTCCCTTCGCCGGCCCCGCAGGTTCTCCATAAATACCCACCTGATGCAGCGAAAAACGAACAATCCAAGCTTCTGGCTCGCGCTTTTGCTGGTGATAATATTCTTACGGAAGTACTGGACCAGCCGCCAAAACGCTCTAGTCGTTCGGACCGCGATGTCTCAGGTTTACAAGGCTGGGGTGCCTGGGGTGTTTCGCTAGGAAATACTGGAAGATCCCATAAACAAAAGGGGGTCAGCCGGCGAACGTCCGAGAGCTATCAGACTAGAGTTGAAAAAGTCGTTTTAAATCAACAACTCTGCAAAAAGGTATCATTACCGTTTATTCTATGCTGGATATAAAGGATTAGATATTGACAAATACCGGTTTCTGTAGGGAGTGAAGTATCTTGCCACTAATCTTCCATACCCATTTGAAACAAACGATCAATATGAGCGTTCACTTCGCTTTCCAATTGGGCAGGAATGGTCGACCAAGCAGACTCATCAAACTCTGGCTGCGCCCAAAGTTATAGTTAGAGGAGGCACCGTAATTGCTCCATTGTCGTGAACGGCCCCCTTGAGCTATCTAAGAACTCATTTTGACAGCTGTGTATTATCTACACCCATTCACCCTTATTTGTGGGATAACTTCATTCAAAGCCCTAATACGATTCAAGACAACGGAGGTCCTTTCTAGCCCAATACTAGGATGCTGCTGTGACATATTATGATGAAACCTTATCCTGCCCCGGTCGTAACCGCAATTATCGTTAAGAAATTCTGTTAGTTTCTAGAGTTCATGCTTTACTGTGATTATGTATTTCAAACTAAGTATATACCGGAGTTCCGGATCCAACTTTACTATTTGGCAACATCCTTGTTTTGTCGATGGTATGGCAGTCAACAACTAATCGACATTGTATAAAAGTAGCCTTAGTAAAGTTAGCTGTTCTAAGACACACCACGCATATGTTGTCTAGCTTTCATTTGCTCTATACGCATTTTTAACTGCGATGTAACTTGGGCTGCCCTCTTCCAGTTTTCATTTGGGTCTGTAATTTCTCCTGATCGAACCTCAGAATCCGATCTCGATCCCTGCACCTTACCCCCGTTGGATCCAGAATCTGAAATGGGGCTTCGCATACTATCGCGCGATGGGTACATGCTTGGACTATCATCTAGACTGTACGATGGGGGTCCAGCGAGGCTCGATCGGTTACGGGGACGAGAAAGACCGCTAGCTCTGTTATGGTCGCTGAGTCCTGAAATACTAGTCGCGCTTACCGTTCGATCTCGGGAATAGCCACCGAATGAATCGTGAGTTAAGGCGTCCCCAAGGTCTGTAGCCGCGGGCGAGCTAGCTCGACTAAATCGTGCGAGCTCTCGCTTCAAACGGTCGACCTCTCGCTGCTTCTTTTCAAGATTCTCTTCAGCCGTTTGGAGGTCTGACCGTAGCCGAAGTAGTTGTGTTTCCTTCGCTTTGATGGAAAGTACGTCGTGCGTGTGCTCCTCGATCAATTGCGCATTCTATTACTCATATGATATTAGAGGAACGCGATCAATACATTTTAAAATACTATATTTCTATAGAAAACGTACCTGTAATCTTATGTCACTGAGTTCGTGTAATAGCTTCTCCTTTTCCGCACGATGGTTCATATTCTCGGTGATCCAGTTTTCGCGCTCAGATCTAAGGCGTTCCAGTTCTGCCTTCTCTGCGGCAAAGCTTGGTGAATCAGCTGCCCTGGGTGTTTCCGCACTTTTCCCGTTAGACTGGGGTGCCTGGAGCGTCCTTGAGGTAAGCCCTCCCCGGTTGCCAAGACCAAGCTTCGGGTGGCTAGGGGGGTTAGTTGCCGCATTGTCGTCTGTTGCTGCTGCTGACCGGGTTGGAGACGTCAAAGCTGGCTGAGGTTTCCTGCCTAGCTTCGAAACTTGCGATTTTGAGGCGAGCTTTTGGACAACTGGTGCCTTTTTAACCGGGGTCGTCCCTTCATCCGGTACCCCACGGCCCGCGGCGGCTGTCGCCGGTACCCCTAGAGCCCGACTTGGCTGCGACTGGGTCGCTGCGCTTTTTGGTACAATCTTTTTTTTTGATGGCGGTTTCGATGGTCCAGCTGCCTGTGGTGCGATGGGAGCCGGTGGTTTGTCTTTCGCCTTAACCTGAGCACTTTCAAAGAACTCTTTGATCTTCGCTTTCCGAATTTCATCAAGTCCATCAATGAATGGGTTCATCGCCCTCTCTCCCATGATTTTCATTAATGTTCCCATGGCTTCTGCAGCAGCCGCGCGAGTAGCCTCTAGAGTATCTGCTAATAATTTTGTCACAGTATCAGAGATCATTTTAACCTCAGGTTTTGAAGGGGCTGTTCTAGTGTTTCTGAGGCAACGGATCAAAAACCGCAATGATTCGAGTTTAACTTGAGGGTTTTTATTTTTCAAAAGCTCCATGGTGTCCTCTAGGATATCCGTGAGAGAGGTCTTTGCAGTAAATGTCAGCGGGTGAGCGAACTTGAAGAATGAAGGTATATTTTCATACATACAGAGTTGAAAATGCTGTCAAGTGCTGCCCCGAGCGCATCGGCGACGGCCTGTTTCTTTTCTTTGAGGCGCTCTGCAGTGGGTACAAAGATGGTAGAGCGGTATTTCGCAAACGCAGTTCGTAATCCTTTAGCAATGCATTCAACGCAATTTGCTGCAACTATGACAACCGTGATGTTGGCGTCTTTCATACTTTTTGCGAGGACCCGTATCAATTCGGAAAATTCCTCTTCTTTGATGCGAGGAACATTGACTATCCCATAGAGCACATCTAAGCTTTCCTTCCTGTCCTTCCACTTTGTGGAGTTGACTTGGTCCCAGAATTCCTTAGGGATTTTGTTGGAGATATCCACGGGTTCAAAAAGATCAAATGTATCCGGCTCTCCCTCAGGCTCTCCGGCTTCATCCTCGTTTTCAGCGGCTGCTGATTCGGCAAGTGCTGCCTGCTGAGAGCGAAGGAAACGTGCTTGCTTTGCAGGTTCACCCTTTACCTTTTCGAATGCTTCGTCTAACTCTTTTTGTTGCACTGGTTTTAGGTCGTTAAAAAACATAGGCTTCATCCCATCCTTTAGCCACTTGTAGAGCTCGACAGTGAGATTCACAGCCTCCGCACGAACGTTTTTATCACCATGAGCGAAAAGTTTGGGAAGTTGCTGAAGCACGGGTTTTGGGTTCGCGGTTTTGGCGCCGAATTCTCTATAGATGGCAAACAAGACGTTGGTTGTCGCCGCCACTACCTTGGGCATCTTGTGAGATAGGAAGGGCAACAAGTCTTCAATAATAGGAGCAGGTGTATCCAGTTCGATGTATAACAACAAGACATCGATTGCTTTTGCCTTGGTGGCGGCTTTTGTGGAAACGATACCCTTTTCTGCCAGTGCCGGAATCGTGTGTGGTCGGGAGCTAATCACACCGGAGGAAAGTATTAGAATTCTGTTCACAAAATCTACAGCGTCACGAAAATATGATAAGAACTTACCGAGCGCCAGCATTTGTACCTCCAAATTGTAGGAAAGCATGCCTAAAAAAAAGAAAAGAAAATACGGGAACAGGAATTAGATCTCATGTGGGAAGGTAGGATTAGAGCGTTGAAAATGAAGGAGAGAATACAGGCAATTTATCCCTTCTTGCTGGGCTGCAACGTTTGAATCAGCAACGATGCCTTTCCAGATGGAAGCATCGTTCAGCCAGAGTCGGAAACAGCCGTCGGTTTCGGAGCCAGATCTTTCGAATTCTTTAGTAGTATCTTCGTATGCTTGCTTGCGGACTTTCCATATCTACCATGGGCTACTGTTAGCCTTAGTTGCAACTTGGAAGAGAGCAGACGTACTTTGTGGGTAACTCTGTCAGCAAGCGGCAGTGAGGAATAATCTTCTTCGGAGTCCGCCATATCCCTTGGAGTGGAAACAGGAAAAGTTTAGTGGCGCTGGGATTTATTTGCAGGCTAGCAGGAGGGGAGCACCGATACTAGTGGTAAGAAATTAGTAGGGTTGGAGGGTTTGTGGTGGTGATGGTGATGGGGATGGCGATAGTGATGGGGATGGCGATAGTGATGGTGATGATCGGGAGAATGGAGCTTGATATTGAACAGTCTAATGAGGGAAAGAGGATCGTGTCGCCAACCTTTGTTTGTTGATGAAGCTGGCTACCAACGCAACCTTGAGGTATGTTTCTTGGCGCCAATCAGTACATTGCAATTGGGCAATCAGCTACATCCCCTAACTTGACTGGGCCCGGTACTTGTGCGCGCAGCAGCAAAGTCAATACGAAGTATTTATGGGCGGTACTATAGCATCAAATCAGACTCGGCTGCGAGTTTAAATACATAGAGGGATCCATTTGTTCTGATTTATGCTGCGTGCGCTGCAATTTGTATGATATATATACAGGTTTCACCGTGGCCATGGGGGAAAAGGGAAACAGTAGTAAGTATCTAGGGATTCTCAAGAGCTCGAGAGAGGGCACATCACTATATCCCTTCCCTATCGCCGTTACTTACTTCCGAGAGCTTTGCTCACAAGTTCAGCCTCTTCCCTCTAAAAAAATAGTGGTGGTTAGTACCCACAAGTAGAGAACGGTAGTTAGGGGGGGGGGGCTCTTACTAGATGTATAGCTTTAAGGCCGGTCGCGACGCTAGCGCTAGGATTGCGGCCTGCATATTGGACAATCTTGCCTTTATGATGGGTCGTTTCGTTGCAGATTGTTTGTAGGCGTGGCTGAACGTATGTCCATGCGCCCGCGTTTAGCGGCTCTTCTTGCGCCCAGATAATATCCTTCGCATTCGGATATTGATCTAAAGTATCTCGAAGCTGGGCCCAAGGAAATGGGTGAAGTTGTTCGACACGGGTTATCGCGACATTGTCAATACCCCGGTCCTTTCTGCCTTTGTACAACGCGGCATAAACTTGACCCGTACAAATCAGAACACGTTCGCACTCCGAAGGTGGCTTAAGGGTTTTGCCATGTTCAGGATCGGGGATAAGCCATTCAAAATGCGAATCTCCAGTGAATTGTGAAAGGTCCGACCTTGCGAGGGGATGGCGGAGGAGTGATTTACTGAAAAATATCACCAGGGCTAAATCAGCAAACCCATCATTAGCTCGTGGTTAAATAAAAAGAGAGATGGGGAGGTTGTTTGTCCTAACGTTTTCTGAAGGCACGATTCATCTGTCGACGAAGAATATGGAAAAGGTTGGAAGGCGTTGTCATATAAGCGATCTGCATGTTGCAATCTTGGTGTTGGCGATCGAGTTTCTCAGGGGGTGGAAAAACTCTCGGGTCTTCATTGCACAGTTGGAGGTATCTCTCTAGTCTCCCCGAAGAATGCTCGGGTCCTTGTCCGTCATACCCATGAGGAAGCGACATTACCAGGCCGGATCTCTGTAGCCACTTGGTTTCTCCTGCGGCGATGAACTGGTCGATGATACACTGCGCGTTGTTCGCGAAGTCTCCGAATTGTGCTTCCCAAATGACGAGAGCATCCGGCGACGAAAGCGAGTATCCATACTCGAATCCTAGACTTCAAACCGAAAGAGTTAGTTAACATCATGAATAGAGAATCCGCGAGGGGGAAAATTAGGGACGGCTTACGCTCCAAATTCACTAAGAGATGAATTAGATATGACGAACTGGCCTTGATCCTTTGAGACATGCTGGAGTGGTGTATATGTGTTCTCGTTGCTCTGATCGTGTAGGACGGCGTGTCTTTGCGAAAAAGTGCCACGCTCAACATCCTGTCCAGAAACGCGAACATGCTTCCCATCATTGACTAATGTTCCAAAGGCCAGGGCTTCAGCAGTTGACCAGTCGACACCAGAGCCCTCATCTACAGTCTTCTTGCGGTTACCAAGGATCCTCGTCAAGTTTTTGTGAACCGTAAAATCCTTCGGGGCGTTCGAGATAACTTCAGCGATGTGCTGCAATGTCGTCCCAGGGACAGCAGTGGGCAGATGTGGCAAAACTTCAGTGGCAAGCTCTTTAGGAGATTTAAACCCATTCCACGCACTTGTCAGCCACTCGCGCGAGGTAGGCTGATAGTCTCGAGATTTCGCAAAGCTTTCTTCTAACATTCCCCAGACCCTACACACCAATGAGGATTAGTATTTTGACTTTGACGGACGTAGTAGAAAATAATCACTTACCATTTCTTGTGTTCGTCGATATCTGCTTCAGTGAACGTGCCCTCTCTTAGCAGTTTGTTGACATACTTCGAAAGGGCAGGCTCCTGCTTAGCAATTCGGTCATACATCAATGGTTGGGTAAAACTCGGTTGGTCTGTTTCATTGTGGCCGTATTTACGATAGCAAACGATATCAATGACGACGTCCTTTTTGAATTCGGCCCTCCAGTCAGCAGCTAGTTGACAAACAAAGTTAACGGCCTCAACATCGTCTGAGTTGACATGGAACACCGGAGCGTCAATTGCTTTGGCGATGTCTGAGCAGTACGGAGTAGATCTTGCAAATCTAGGGTCGGTTGTGAAGCCAATCTGGTTGTTAACGATCAAGTGGATAGTCCCACCAGTTGAGAAAGCTGGCAGTGAATGAAATCCAAGTGTCTCGTAGACAACACCCTGTGCAGCAAATGCCGCATCGCCATGAACAAGAACACTCATTGCCGTCTTGTGGTCTTTTTCATCGTTGTTATAATGTTGAATGGCCCGAGTTTTGCCGAGAACAACCGGGTCTTCCGCTTCAAGATGAGAGGGATTGGCGACAAGAGATAGCTGGACACGTTTCCCAGAAGGAGTTGGGCGCTCAAAATTCATCCCTAGATGATACTTGACATCACCTGAACCCTCATCAGAAGGCTCCGTCGTAGGACTGAATTCGCTGAATATAGACTCATTAGGCTTCCGTACAACATTTGACAAGACGTTTAATCTCCCTCTGTGAGGCATTCCGATGACAATGTCTTTAACACCAAAATCAACAGATCTATCAATCAGAGCCTTCATGCCGGGAACCAAGCTTTCACATCCCTCAAGGCCGAAGCGCTTGTCGTTTGGATACTTGGTCGCGAGGAAGGATTCAAAGGAAGACGACCATATGAGTCGATCAAGAATGCGGCGTTTCTCATCGACTGAATACTTGTATGGTGTGGGAATCTCCACCCGTTCGCGAATCCAATCGCATTGTTCTCTGTCTGGGATGTGGACATATTCTACCCCGTATGATCCACAATATGTGCGCTCACAAGCATCAACAATTTCACGAAGCGTCATTTTTTCCTTTCCATCTTGAGCAAAGCGGGGCAAGATCCCAGGGCCCAAGCTATACTCTGTGTTCATGTCCTTCTCAGTGAAACCATAATGGGATGCATCCAGTTCAGAGGGTTGTTGATTCTTCCCGAAAAGGATATCGGCCTCACTTCGGATCCCAAGAGGATCTATCTTCGCTTTATGATGCCCACGAACTTGATATGCTCGAACTAACAGCTGGACTTTTAGATGGTTGGTAATATCGGTATTGCCCCCAAGGTGTCCTCCTGGTAGAACGGAGGGATAACCTGCCGGAGCATTTGGCATGATAGTGGGAGGGGGTTGGAAAGCTTGTTCGGCTGGTAGTTTACCATCTTCCATGTTGCGGAAGTAAACCTGCCAGGAAATATGAACACTGGATGGATTTTGCTTCCAGCTCAGATACATTTCGTCGATATAATTAGCTGAATTTCCCTGCAGAAACGAGTCGCTTGGGTTCTTTTCCATATATACTTCATGTCAGTACTATGATCTACTAAAAGCTGGATACATCTCTCGAACGTTGAGTAACCTACAACACTATCGCTCGGAACTGGCGAACCGGTCGAGTACGCATGGTTTCTGGTTATTCTTGTGGGTGAGCAGAAGACTGTTTTGCGGAGATGTATCCCTCGGCGGGAAGAGACACCGCCGGCCAAAGGCAGCCTCGGGAGACGCGAAGCCGTGCGGAGCATCTTGATGGTTTGTATAATGGCGGTATACCGATTGATTAAAGGGCGGTTTATATGATGAATTATTTATCCTTGTTTGTGGTCAAGCCCGGATGCGTCCCTCCATATATGCATAATACGATGTCGGGTTTTCGGGGAGAGAGCGAGAAGTTGGAAAGGGTTGGAAATTCACAGACCGTGTTGTTGGACCGGATTAATTTTTGGAGCTCGCAGCACGGTTGTGGGCTTGGATATATCAAGCGACAAGATTGGCTTACGGGCAGACGGATGGAGGCAAAACCCAACGTTAACCCTCCAGGCCGGTCTAAATGCTTCTTTAAAAGCCTATGCTCAAGCCTCGGGGCCAGACATATTTCCTTAATTTAAATATTTACTTACTTGGTAGGGGGGCTACCTAAGTGGGTACCCACTCACATACCTCTTGAGCTCCTATGAGGTACCTACTGCTTAGATACTAAGTAAGTACTTACTTACTTACCTCCTACCCGGATGTGTGCATATAAGTTCTACCATTAAAATTTCTTCTCCACAACTCCCATACGCTCCACGTCTTAGGCTGGAACAAGTGAGCCTCTAATAAAACCATAATTTGATACTTTGTATGCATAAGTACTGATATACTCATATAATATGCTCATGAACTTATTAATTAGGATAGTCTGTAATGAAACAGGAATAAACTCAGGCTAGAAGCGTGTTTATTTGGGTTAAGCAACAGCAAAGGGCTTCCACCTTGGAGGCAAGGGAGAATTTTAGTAGGGAATCAAGTAATTTAACACCCTGCTAAGTCACCAACGAGGCGCATCCAAGCCTTACTGATTTCGGAATCGAGGAGCGTAGCACACCCATCCTCGACCATATAGCCTCTTCAGAACGATGATGTAATAGAATACTAACCTCATCGAAACTGAGCCGGCGGTTGAGCAGCAAGCTGTCCTCTTCACTCGTCCACGAAGTGCTTTCGGAAGTCCGGTAGTTACCACCCCCATATGGCAAAACGCTCGTGCTATCAAGCCTGAGGTGTATCTGAGAAGCAGATGAATTGCACGCTCTGATCGGGTCCTCCAGTACCCTCCCGAGATGCCTAGCCTCAGGGCAGTCTCGTTCCTGGCCTTCATCCGGTTCCCAAACACTGTGGTCGTTTTCCCTCTCGCTCGATATTTGGCTGTAGAGCGACCTCCGCATTGGTGGACTCATGCTTACTGATCTGGAAACCGACCCTCTATTTTGTGAACATTTTGTCTCGGCAAAGTCAGACGGGGATGATGGAGAGGACAGGGTTGTCTCTAGTATTTTTGAGTCGGCATCAGACGAGGTGATATCAAATATACTCGTAGGATGCTGTTTTCGTCTTTGGCTATCGAATGTCCCAAGGAATCCATTTCCTTCTCCGACACTTCGGTTACTAGATGCTGGTAGAGACTGAGTGCCGGTGATCTGCGGAGGGCATTGTCTGTGGCCCTTAAGAGTTCCAGAAACCAATCTACGCCAACGGAATTGGCAGGCGTGTGCCGTTCGCTTTGGGACTGTTTGCGTTTAATTTTAGCAGTCAAGCTCGTTGAATAATCATTGGGGTCTTGAAAGGCTTCATCATACAATAAGCAGAGATTTCTTTCCAGCCAAGCTTCCGTAGCTCTTTCAAGTCTCTAAGGAGGATATCATCCTCAGAGCTCCAGGACATCGGCGTTTTTGGAAGTTCAGATCTATTACAAGTTAGCACCAATAGTCGTATTTAAAGCCCAGAATTCATGGACTCCATTGAGCTAAACCACACCTTTGAGGACTACCGGGCGTCTTTGTTATATCCCTACTCGTAGTTGATGAGATTTTTCGGGATCTATTGATCCTGTCGTTCCTATTGTACGATGAGGAGTTAGCTCTATGATTACTTATATAATTTGTTTGCTTCTTTCTGATTTTTTCCATGCTAAGATCTATTGAAAAAAGAAATGACGCAGAGGATAAATGACTTAGGACTATTCGTTAATTGGAAAGGGAAGAGGGGTGGCGAGGGGGGTTGGGGGGGTATTGAACCTTACCGCCCATTTACAATCAACCTGGGATGCTGAAGTGATTGGTGCCTGGAATTTGAACCCATGTCCGGGGAGAATGCATGACAGGTATTTGTAGTAACATTGCTATCCTCATCTATCAGATGAAAATGGTTGTGAATATCGTGTGGAAATAAGAGCTTATAGCGTGAAGGTTCGTCGACTCCGGTGAAGGTTTTGCTTTCCCTAGATGTAGCCTCATCCGGGATATTCCCTAATCCTTCTGGCACTGTGTAGCGGGTGCTTCTCCCTTCTTTATTATCTAAACGGCCGTCAATCCGACCATCTAATGTGCATCTCAATGGGCTCATGAACGAAGACACCTCCGAGACCTCCGAATTTCTACTAATGACGTATCCGCCCATTGTACCCTGAACAATAGTAACACCTGGCTATCAAAGAAGGAGCACCCAATTAAGTTATAAGTTTTCTGGACTGAAAATGATCGCGTACGCTAATAGATATTTGCGTCTTTCGGAGATGTAGTGTCGGGACGACTTCGAGGTAAGGTTACACTCCAGGTGCGGAGGGAATAATGATGTTTAACGATTCGAATCGCAAGCGGAATAGATGACGGGTCAACCGTGCCGGAAAGCTTCTGTCGGGACAGTAATTATAAAGCGTGAAGTAGTCAGTAGGTTAACCTCACCAACTTTTGGTCAGTGGTGATAGATTTATTCCCTAAGTTCGAGTTCTCCGATATCGACTAGTTCGGGCTGAGAAGAAGAGGAGAGGGTATAAGAATGAGAGTGTATAATTTTGTGATGTGTTTGGGATAGCAGGAGAGGTCAATGTAGGAGCCATTGGGTGCTAGCCTACATCGGACTGGCATCGCATCGAATCCGTGTCACTGCACACAAGGACCAACGAATCGACTGTGACCATTTGGTTGACACCGCTCACACGTAAGTACAGATGTGCAGGGCAGGCTGCCTCATGCACATAGCACATGTACATGGCCTGTGGTTCAGGACGTGGGTTTTCTCAAGTTGTCTGCATCGCAGAATGTGAGTTAACCAAACCTATCTCAAGTTTAAATTTGAAGGAAGTAAGAGGCAAGTACTCAAAGTAACTTAGGCACATGCCTGGAGAACTCCCTACCCGCCCGTAGGCTGGAGTCAATCGTGAACACCGCATACGGCTCTGTCGACCTCCGCTGGCTCCGGGCTATTGTGTCCCTTCCCTTCCCTCTTCCCTTCACCTTTGCCCCCCGAGTCATTCAGTACTGGAGTTCTTCATCTCGCTACTTCTTTTTTTTGTCCTCGGCGGGGTTTCATGATTATGATCCACCGATTTGATCACACAACTGTGACGATGAGGGTTTTGAGGATGGAGTCCCGGCTCAATTTCGCTGGCCGGCGCGAGACCACGTCAACATACCGCCGCCAGTTGGTTCTGCCAGTTCGTTCTGCTTCTGCTTCTGCGGGTACCGTTCGCTCGTCACAGCTGCATGGTGATGTGGCAGAAACGATATCTGTCTAGCTCTGGCTGCGCTAACCACTACTGGCTGAACAGCGATGAAATAAGGTGAGGTGAAGCAAGGTAAGGTAAGGTAAGGTGAGGTGTAGAGAGTTAGTTTGTAAATGGTAACTCTAACCACGGCTAGGCAACATACTTCGCCGTCAGCAGCGCTTTTCGCAACCTCACGGTAGGTATACCTCTTACTTCTTAACTACTTACCTAAGTACTTACCTACCTACTTACTTACCTGCTCACTTTTAGGTACTTACTTACCTACTTACCCACCAATCATCAACCTATCGTCATTTTCACCGCCATGGCTGGCACTAACCCTCGACGGCCGCCCCAGTTCTACCCGGGCCTGGCAGCTTTCACGGATGCCATCGAGGCCCTCCCCCAAGAAACCATCAGACATTTTACTCTGTTGAGAGAGGTCGATGCCAAAGCTTCCGGCCCCGAGGATTTGCTTCGCAACTTTATCAAAAATGCATTGAGCATTCCACCTCCGTTACAGGCTCCGCCTAAGGCCGAACCCATCACCGAACCCGTTCGGGTTTTAGACGATCAAAGCCATCCCGATAAGCTGCTATCCAACAACAACAACAACAACAACAACAACAACAACAACAACACCAACACCAGCACCAGCAGCACCAGCAGCACCAGCAGCAACCTATCCGACAACAATCAGTCCAATGAGCATGTAAAACGGTCGCGTTTACACGAGGTTCGAGTTCTGATCTCAGATCTTCTTCTTACTTTGGATGAAAAAATTCATGTGATATCGACTGCATCGGAAGCTCTTGCCAAGCACCAGGTCCGGATTGATGATGCCTACAGTGCCACAACCCGTGAAATCGATTCTGTTCTCCGCGATGGAAATCCGGCCCACTGGGCATATGGCAACTCAATCCTTGAGAGTTCTTTTAACCTTGGGGCAGGAGCAAACGAAAATATGTCAACGGGGTACCCTGTTGACCCAGACTCTATCATCGGGACCTCAAGGGCTGATGGCCGTAGAGAAGGAGCATCTCGACGTTATGCTCACGCCCCAGAACAGTTAGAGCCCAAAACGATAAACCAAACCGAACCCACAACTCTTATCTACGAGAATTCGCCAATTATCCCCGCAGCCAAACGCCGCAAAGGGGCCACTCATGGCAATCAGTTGAATAAAACGCTTGCACCAGAGCGAAGTGCAGCCCAGGCTCGAAGTGGGGCATATTCCAACTCCCACATCCTTCAAAGCACCAAGACGCAGCCTATTGCGAAAGTACATGGGTCCCAAAGTTCCACAAGCAATCAAAAACAACCGACGTCAAGGAAAAGGTTGGACGAATTGGTGACCCAAATTTCCTATGTTGCTCAATTAACTGACAACTTTCCCGTTTTGCCATAGAATGCCCGCCCCGCCAGTTGCAACTCTTCTGTCTCCCACAAAACACAATTTTACAGATTCCCGTGCCATGGGGGCGCCACCCCAGTCATCAGAGAACTTCATTATAGCGGAGCTTGATGGTGGGAAGAAAGATATGGGTCATAGAAACCCTCGCTCCAAACCTCACTTAACGAAACCAGACGCGCCGAGGGCGGTTCCAAAGATTGATAACCACGTTAAGCAGGAAGAGAAAATATTATCTTTCGAACCGAAACCAGCAACAATCCCAAAGCCACCGCAAGATAAGTCGTTGCAATCGGAGAATGAGGCGATGGTCAGTTCCGACAAAGAAACCTCCAATCAGAAGTTGGATTCAACGGCTCTTCAAGGGACCCCCGCAAATACAACTAAAGATATAGCTAAAAATGACCAGAATGTAACGTTAGGCGATGAAGGGCCAGCAGCTGTCGAGAAATTTCCAAGAGACATAGATGTCGCAGAAAAGGTAAGCGGCCGAAGTGCTATCGCGTCAGTTGTAAAGTCAGCGCCTAAACCTTCGATGGTTCTTGACATCGTTAAGAGCTCTCAGGTGGGCCCCCCTAAGGTCTTACCGCATAGGCTATTTAAATCCAGTAACGACCCATCGGTACAAATGGATGATAAATCGATTCTAAACAACGCCCGGGGTGATAATGGTAATAATGCTGGTGGTAATGGTAATAACGACGATAACAATAACGATGATGATGATAATAACGATGATGATGACGATGAAGGCGAAGGCGATGACGATGAAGGGGATGTTGATGCCGATGAAATGCGATATTGCTACTGCAATCAAATTTCCTATGGCAAAATGGTGGCCTGTGATGGCCCTGGTTGTCAAAGGGAGTGGTTTCACCTACCATGTGTCGGGCTCTCACATATGCCAAGTTCAAAGGGTATGCATTCCATTGACATGATTTGATTCCAAAGTGGTTAACTCTTCGTCTTAGATAAATGGTATTGTAGGGAATGCCGAACTGCTATCCAGAACACCCCAAAGGCTAGCAAGGCCGGCCAGCACCGGGTCTAGGTTTTACTTGGTCCTAGTTTCACCTGCTATTCAAAGTAAATATCATTTAATCGGATGCTTTTCGAAAACAGACAACCCGCAAACTTGCCCCTGGGATTGGGTGGGATCTCCAAGTAAACCTTGACTAAATTTTATAGTGTATCCTCTATTTCGCGACCCAACGAAGCAAGAGAAACTCAGGCGGCTAGGGGTGTACGTATAAGATGTTTCTTACACAATGGCGGCAACCATTGTACGAGGCACTTGTAGGCATTTAGGTACAAAAGGATGATACAGCATCCAAGTGCCTAAGCGTTTAAAGCGAAATCAAGCAAGATAAATATTTAGTAAGAATAACATTGCTAGGGCAAAGATTCGAAGAGGAACCGACGCTCAGATGCCTAAATTTACAATCCAACCACCAAAATCAACACAAATTTCATAATCATGTACGGCCAAGGGAACCAAAGTGCCACGCTTCTAATTGTACAGAATCGCTACAAAAGCTGGTGTGAATTCAGATTATGCCTGTAGAATATTAATATTAAGACAAGAAAACTGGGGTCGTGATTGTCTTATGCTTCATAAGTCGTCATTTATAATCTCGGCTGGGTCAACTTCAACGCCTTTGGAATTAACAACGATCCGTCGCCCGCGTTGATCGTCGGGAATACCATCCCGAGCTGCTCCAAAGTCAAGCACCTGTACATCGTCAAGTTAACATTGTGGCCACTGGCTTTGTGAGGGAACTACCCGTAAAACCGGCTTACCTCGATAAATGTTAGGTTCTCCCGTTGGACGGCGGCAACGCACCGACGTTCGTTGAATTTAACCTGCCAGACCCCGCTGAGATTTGTCAGGAGGTCGCGGATGAATCTACCGGTTTTGATGTTCCACATCTTCAAAGTCCCATCGGAACCTGAAATTACCTTATGTCCGTCATGCTGGAAGCAGGTTATAGCCCCTGTGTGTGCCGAAAGAGTGTGCCGAAGCTGGCCAGTTTCAGGGTCCCAAATTCGGAGAGAGGCATCTGCTGCAGCGGAAACAAGGTAGTCGTGAGAAAGGTCGAGCAACCCGACAAGAGATGTATGGCCTTCTAGAGTGTAGAGGAGGGCACCGTTGTCCAGACTCCATACTTTGACGCAGCTATCCATACTTCCACTGATACAACGGTTCCGTTTGTGATCGAGTACTACACTATATACTTTGGCCGTGTGGCCAGCAAGTCTATGGACGCACTCCCCTGTCGATATCTTCCAAACACGTACAAAATTATCGTAGCTCCCGCTGACGAGGGTATCACCATGAGCGGCAATAGCACGTACCGAATGGCCATGACCCTGTAAGGTGCGGATAAGGAATGGGTTTGGGGGCTGATTATCAATATCGGCAGTCGTCGATGGCTTGTAAGGCTTATCAGCTCTTGTAGGAAGTCTCCATATCTTGAGGGTAGAATCCCTCGAACCGGTGATAATTAAAGGTTGTTTTGGCATAATAGTGGATTTCCCATCACTCGTGCTTATTTTGGTAGGTAAAAGAATCTGAAGACACCGAACCGTAGACGTGTGTCCATGGAATACCTGTGTGCATTCTGCGGATTCGATGTCCCAAACCCTCACAGTTCTGTCCGTAGATCCGGAAACAAGAGTATTGTTGTGATATTGCAGAGCCCAAACGCCACCCTCATGTCCTTCCAGCTTGGCGAGCAAAGCACCGGTGTTAGTGTCATAAACATTGATATTAGTATCATCCGATCCAGTCAAAATTCTTTCTGAGTCAAACTGAAGACAGGTCACAACAAATCGCTGATGGCCACGGAAAGATATATGGCGCGGCTGAACATCAGGCCGGACCCAGCTCTTCCTGATAATATGATGTCGCCGATAGAGCGATTTATACAAATGGAGATTTGTTAAGGAGGGTAGACCAACACTAGGAGGGGGGTTCGCAGACGCCGCGTGAACAGCGGCTGCGAAGCCCTCGTTGCTAGAAAGGTCATGTATTAATTCCTTGAATTCATCTTTGCCAAGAGATTCAACAGTTTGCCGCTGCTTTTGTGATTTTTTGAGTGAAAGTCTTGTTACTTTGCGCTTCCGGATAGAATTTGAGAGGAGTGACGATGTCGAAGAGAAAGCCCCCTTTGCGAGGCATATTTGAATGTCCTTCTCGCAATCCAGAAAGCCTTCTGGGTCCTGGTAGCCCCAGCCCTCTCTGACTGCACGTTCTAATTCCCCGTCGGCTAACATATAGCCGTCGGCCTCGAACAAGCGTTTCCAAGTCCACTCATCGGAGTCAATCAGAACTCTCCATTTTTTGGACACTTGCGCGGCGCTCGCCAGACTTCTATAGTCCAAAAATTTGATGATGTTCAGAGAGAGTTCCGTGGGTAGTTTAGCAAGGAAGTCGCATTTAAGAGCCGGATTAACTACACCAGCAACGAACTGGAGTGTGTTTTTATCGCATCGCCTCAGGAACTGGTACATGAGGTACGATTTGATCGCCTGGGGCATTGAATCAAAAGTGTCAACCATCTGAGGAAGTTGCATTAAGCCTGGGATTCCATCAAGGCCACCCGTCCCTAGTGATAAGGACGAAGTTTCGTCGAACGGCACGACGTCCACGTCCTCCACACCGTCTCCCGCATGTGATAACGCTAATGGGGACTCCGGATCATCCTCATGGCTTTCAGATCGGGTGAAATAATCAGTTCTGGATTTCCCGAGGGTCAGTGCGGCCGTAACAGGGCTAAGACTTGGTGATGGCAAACTAGGTGGCTCGTTCGTAAGTGTTGGCATAGAGTCGCCTAGATCATGAACTGGATTTCCCGAATCGCTTGTGCCTTCACCTAGCGATCGTACGGAAACGTTTAAGTCGGCTTGGCGGGCCGCAAATCGTGAACCTTCTTGTTCCGTTGGTGTAAATACTAACGAGGGTCGGGTTGCGTATGGTGGTATCACGACTGGAGTTTCTCGCTGCCCGGCACCACTAAATTGAGCAAACTCGGGCACGCTCGGCCATGAAGCTGGAGGGCGGCCATCTACAGAAGGCGTAGAACCGAATCCCAGGGAGCGGACGGGGTGCAAGTTAGGAGAACCGTTAGTAAGAAACCCAGACGAAGGGGTAATTATAGTTTGGCTTGGCTGCCCCCGGTGTTTAGAAAATCGGACTGGCTGTGTATCTGCTTTCGTCTTCGATGTATGTCTGCGTTTCGTTTTCTGGTAAGGAGTAGACTTCTCGGACAACTCGATTGCTGGTAACGGAGAAGCCGGGCGTTTCCTAGCACCAATACCAGCAGATAGCACGTCGACAGCATCAACTTGGGATACGGGCGGTGTCTGATAACGTTGCTCTCCACTGTTGACTACACGTATAGTACCTTTTCCATCCTTTATCCCATTGACCAGATTTTGCAGGTTTATTAGGGTTTTATTCGGATCGTCACTTTCACGGAAATAAGTTGGATGCCCGTTGAGGTCGAAACAAAATCGCTTCAATGCTAAAGGAGTAGGGGTGGTCGCCAAAGGATATTCCTTCGTATCAAGTTGGCTTAAACTCCGAGGAGGCTTGATTATCAGCGGTGGGAAGGATGTGGTTGTGGTCGTGGTGGTTGTTACAACTGTGGTTCGGGTAGTAGGTACAAATGAGAGTTGTCCTATGGTATCTGGGTTCTCCATATTGTTCACGGAGTTCTGCATCGCTCGAACCCTTTAGATACAAATGGTTAAAATGTGTCAGTAAAGTCTTTTACGGACCCGATTCCGACTGAAGCCGCTCATGTAGTCGACAGAATCTATTCAAAAAGCCTTGCTTGGAACGGTCACGGTTGTGGAATGGGATGCCCTTGAACATACAGATTTTCGAAAGGATCTCTTGGGGAAGACCCTTCGGCTAAAGAGTTCGACAGCTGGGGCCACGGAGGTTATAACGGTGGTTATATCCTTGGGGAAAGTCAAATTGGTAAATAAAAAATAATCAAAATAAAAAATAATAATAAAAGAAAAAAATATAAAAAATAGAACAAGAAGAAGAAAAAGGTCACTCCATGAATAAGATGGGAGGTTATCTGGTGTTATGATTTAGAGGAGGTGAAGTATGTTTCGAGAAAGACGCGAGTAGAAGTTTAGTCCCTGCCACGGGGTGATCTTGGGGGACAGGAAGAGGAAACCAGTGTCTATCTGGCAAATGAATTAATGATTATGGTATGGTGGCAAGGAAGTGTCGTATGAAATATTGGCGACGAAAAGATGATGAGGCTAAGGCTGAGAATGAGGATAACGGTGGTAATAATGGTTGATGGTGGACGGGTAGGGAAGATGGGGAGGAGGTGTCGGTGGTGGTAGTACAGTGGTGGATGTGGATGTGGATGTGGATGGTGGAGTTAGGAATTGGGAATTGGGAACTGGGAACTGGGAGTTGAGAGTTGGGGGTTTGGAGTTAGGTTGGAACAACCAAACAACCAAACAACCAAGCGTTTCCTTTGGGCAGGCAAAAATGACCGAAATAAGTACTTAGGTACTACTTAAGTGGTAGGTAAGTACTAAGTACCTAGCTTATGTAAAGTAGGAGGTAATTAATGCACACACGACAACTATCGATATCATCCACCAGAATCTATTCACCCCCGTGCTCCGGGCCTAGTCCTCTTGAGATCTTGAAATTTATTGATTAGCCACCTAAATCTATGGAACGTTGCCCGTTTATAAACTACCTAAATACCGAGTTTGATTGATGATTCGATTATACATATGCTCTCCAACTCCCGAAAACACTACGATACTTGAAACAAAAACTCCCTATAACCAGAAGCAAATTTACAGACCTCCGACCTTTAACACTAGTGATACCATCGTTTACGCTCGTGCCCATTCTTTCTCAATCCAATTGTCAACCACCACATCTACCAAACGCTGCTTCTCCATCTCTCGATTTGGTCTGCCAAAAGTGCCTGTTGATGTTGTAGGTACTCAGCATTAACTGGCGCATATGGGAATGGAATACCAAATTCGTAATCTCGATTTTTACCCATGGGTCCAGTAGAGTCTTGTTGATAAGGTAGCATATGCTTTCCCTGATGTATCGGGGGCCGGTTCAATGGTTGACTACCTGCAAAGTTTATATGCATCTGTTGTTGAGCTTGATAACCATAAGGTAGCTCGGAGTTTGGTGCTCCTCTTGACGAAGGATCCTGCCCAGCAAGGTAGGATCTTTGCGTATTCGGGTTTGCATTAAGAACCGCTGACATCGAACCCACCGCTGGAGGTCCGTTAGCTTCCGGAACTTCCTGGTCCTGGGGTTTGTCGCTAGTATTATCCCGCTGCTTTTGAGCGGCCTGCAATCTGCTCCGACGCTGCCCCAATGTCTCCTTTTCATCCATGGCATCCGTAGGGGGGGTATTATCCGCAGGCTCTCTTCCTAAGCTATATTTTAATCTCTCCTGACGTCTCCGTAGTGGCTCATTATCCTCTGCTTCTCTCATTGCCAAAAGCCCTGGCGCTCTCAGAACTTCAGCTGGACGTGAAGACAACTTGTTCGCAAAGAGAACCCCCAATGGTACATCGTCTTCCTCCTCGTCTACAGCACCATGGTCGCCCTGCCAGCCGAGATTTACAGGGCCCCGTTTCCTCGCTTGCTGCTTTACCTCAGCAATGGCATCCCTTTCGAGGAGCGTCGGCATTTGTCGTGCGTTCTTAGACATTGCGGTCTTATTGGTTCGCGCACGCTGTTGCGACTTCCGAGATTCCAGTTCAGCTAAAAGGGTCGCAGGAACAAACTGTATATCTTCGAATTCCTCCCCCTCTCTTCCTTCTTCAGTATCGTCGTGACTGGAATGTGGGTAATGAGACGCCCGGGGTAAGCTATCAGCCACGTCGTTGCCCATGCTACCAGAACCTACCACAGCATGCGCCCCTGTGGCAGAGGATCTCATGGTTTCCTTGTGTAACTCAGCCTCATCACCAGAATCGGATAGTACATTGCGGCGAGTGGGTCCCTGGGAGGTAGTCGGAGCGATTTCCTCATTCTTCGGCATAGACATGGAAAATTTTGAAGCCGAGCGGGTGTGTCCCGCATTCCCGGGAACTTTGGTGTTGGAAACTGAATGATTAACGACCGATAGTACTGGTGACGCGACCGTAGCATCGAGTATATTGTCAAATAATGAAGACGCATCTGCTTTAGATTGTGACGCCTTCAAAACGAGTGAACGCCGAAATGAGGTCAATGATTCCCTCCTCGCACGGATTTCTTCGATACCTGCTTGAGCCTGGTTCTGCGGACGACTCCCAACGAGTTTCGGGGGAAGATTAAGCATGACAGGAACAGGAGCTGGATAATAAACCAAGTCGCCTCTATCTGCAGCGGAGAGGCGCTGCTCCTTAGTCACGGTAGGGATATAGTTTTCAGTTTCGACGACTGCCAGCCCATCGGCGGCCCGGGAGTTCTTAGTGAAATGAACCCCATCGAAACCATCGAAAGGGTCCTCATGCTCCGTGCTGATAGGGCGATTCAGGCTTTCGTCTTTGCCTCGTGAGTCCATTCCTGCCGACTCGACGTTGCAGTACGTCCAGTGCGATGTTCCGAGGTGGCAGTGGATAACTTAGTATTTTGTTGGCGGCAGGCGGGAAGCGGGTGGTGCTGTGGCGAGTAAGAAAGAAGGGTATGTCGGGAGGAGGGGGGAGGGAAGGGGAAGGGAAGGGAAGGGGAAGGGAAGGGAAGGGAAGGGAAGGAAAGGGTGAGTGAGGTTAGAAGCAGCAAATTAAACATCCAGCTCCTCGGTACACACACCCTCTCAAGCAAAGCTGACTTAGCTACCCCCTAAGCGGTAAGTACTTAGGCACTTAAGTACTCTTCCTGACTTGCTGATCTCCCGCAAAAGCATACGAGCTCAACAAGCCCATTGCCTACCTTCTAAGTACTTACTTACATAGTCCTATCTACCACAACGGCACCAGGGAATCCATTCACCAGGATGGACTCCTCTCACAATCTCCCCACCGTTGCTCTTATAACGGGTGCTAACAGGTTCGATTACATACATTAAATAACATTTCCGAGGGAAACCAGTAAAATTAACATTTCTGCCACATAATCTAGTGGACTTGGTTACGCGATTGCCTGTCGCCTCATCGTAGAGTTCTTCAACCCCGGAATCGACGGTTACCCAGCAGTGGCATCGGATCCTGGCACTCTGATTGTCTGCCTGGCTACGAGAAGCGTGGAAAAAGCGTTATCTGCAATCACAGGCATTGATACTTTCCTCGCTTCTCGACTTTCAGAGGGTGCGCGATCCCGCCTCAAGCTTGCTCATATTACAATTGATCTTTCTTCACCAAAGTCAGTTATCGCCGCAGCCACGGAGCTACGGAATAGATATAGTCGGATTCATTACGTATTTTGCAATGCGGCTATGGTCCCCTTTGTTCGTATTGATTGGGCCATAGCCGCCCGACAGATCGCGACCAACTTCATAGAAGCAATGACGGTTCCACGATACAAGGTCCAAGGTGTCGGCTGGTTAACTGAAGCACAGTCCCACAAAAGCCATGCTGCAGAACCACTGCCAGAACTAGGTGCCGCTTTTGCCGCAAATGTTTTCGGACACTATTACCTCCTACACGAAATCATGAAAACGCTGCATGCATCGGTTGCTGTATCAGAAACACCATCCCGTATTGTCTGGGTGGGATCCATTGAGAGCGACCCTTTAACATTCGATATAGACGACATCCAGGGAATCAAATCAAACCGGCCATACGAAAGCTCCAAGACACTTACAGATATTCTCGTTTTGGGGTCCTATCTACCTGAAGCCCAGGAGTATTTTCGCTCTTACATAACAATTCCAATGTCCAGCAACTACACAGCTCCCGCCGAATCTATAGCCCCTGTATTCCTGATAGCGCATCCCGGTATAGTCTCAACAACAATAGTAGCGATTCCATGGTGGCAAACGTATGCGAAAAATGTTGGGTTTTGGTTGTGCAGGGCTTTTGGTTCCCATTGGCATTGTATAGACCCGTTCATTGGGGCCAATGCACCGGTGTGGCTGGCCCTTTCCCCTCATGTAGATCTAATCAAAGGAAGGAAATGGGGGTCAGCATGTCTGTGGGGGAGTGGTGAAATGGTACTCGAGACCCAGGTTGATAGTGACGTTGCCGCTCAGTCGGCACATCTTTGGTCACAAATGGAAACGTTGCGGAAACTCTGGACAACTACACTAGAATCTTAACGCTGACCTAATAAGAATCCCGATCCCCAGTCAGCGATACTTCAACTGGTGGTTCTGTTTTATTCAGACTATCAACCAGCATGCAGGCTTTGCACGTCGGCTGAGACGACATGTAACCACATTTCCTGCAAACCCCGATGGTTTGAATTCGCGATCCATCCTAAGCGAAGAATATGAAGAATTTTAGTTTCACACTTGGTATTGGTTGTTGAACTGATCTTACAGTTATTTGATAAGTGGCGTCGTTTCTGGTCTTATGAACAATCTTCGGCAATAGCTTCGGGTTTACCGGCTCGTCACTGAGAGTCTGGCTACCATTTACCAATCCCATTCTTTCTTCACGCCAGTTCCTTTTTGGATCTTCGCAGCCCAGCTTAACTGGGCTTACCGCATTATGGACAAGTTGTTCCCCACTCCTCACTATATCAAGAACAGAGCTGGGTCTGATCTTTTCCAACTCTTTCAAAAGCGACCTAGCATTCCCACGAAATGCCTCGGGCGAGTAAACACATTCAGTCGAAAAGTAGTCCAGCTCACGGTAGTGTGCATAAAGCACTATTTCTTTTTCGTAGGCATACTTAAGGGGTTTGCTACGCCTCATAGGCGAAGTGAGGGAAGCGGTCATAATCTCTGCACACCGACCTAATCGTGGGAGGTCTCCTCGGAGAACTACAGTAATCCAGATTCAGCTCATCGAAGGAGCAAGGGAGGGAGGGAGGCCAATAACATACGGTTCATAAGGACAGTTTCGGCGATGTCGTCGGCATTGTGACCGGTAAGGATGTGGGAGATATTGAGCCGTTTGGCACCGCGATCCAAAGCCTGCCTGCGAAAAACTCCACAGTAGGTACAGTTTCCCTTCCTACCGACCTTCTCAACAACTTTATCCATCGTCCACCCGTAAAGAGCATCGTATCCGACAATACAAAGTTCCATTTCATACTGTATCGCATTCCTCTTTACTGTCTCCAGGCTGTCGTCTCGATAGCCATGAATCCCCTCATCTATGGATAACAAGACAAACTCAACACCGTAGTCATATCGCTCATTGAGAGCTTTCAGAGTAGCAGCGAGGACGGTTGAATCCTTTCCTCCAGATGCCCCGATCGCTACCCGCTCCCCTCGGCTCGGGAAAATATTGTTCTCGACGATGGTTGTATGGACCTCGAGTTCAAACACTTCGAGAAAGCAGTTCTTGCAAATCTTCTGCCCGTTTTTCGGCCGGATGACCTGGGCACGATTATTCTGGCATATTGCACATCGATGCATATTGCTTGTTATTTTGGCCGTAACATGGTCGTTGCAGGTTTATAGGTGGGCTGGGACTCATGCTTTAGGCACTTGACGTTGAGAAATTATTCGAATCTGCTGACTAATCGGAGGTTGGCGTGATAGCGAATTTCACTTCCTTCGTCTCACCACACCGAATCGTACCCACCATGGCATCTAAAAGACCACCAGCGATGTCGATTTACAGAGCTTGTCTCCGGGAGCTGCCACCGATACTCTTCCGGATACCCAGACTTTCGGAGACTAGGGAAGCCACGGCTGGTGCCATAACGGCCGCCAGAGCTCCAGCTGCCCTCCATACACGCCGGCTCGCCCTCCATAACTGCCTTAGACGAGCCATCCAGAGAAATAGCTTGGGTGAATTATCGCAAATGCAAATGGGGGTCGCTGGGATACTCAGGACTCAGCAAATGATTAGATACCTTGAAGCTCAGCGATCTTACATTGAGTTACTCGAAAGATATAATGCTGGACTATTGGGAGGAAACCAAGATAGAATCCGCAGAGCAGCAAGGTCAGATAGATTTTTTACATACCCCACCACATTCTAGTTTTCTATAAGACCACTGATCTCTAGTGCACCTAATATAGACGTGTCGGCCTCGAGATCGCCGGGTAACCGCTCCAGCCACTCTCCCACCGCCGCTGGCCTCGATGAAATCAATATACACGGTGGGGGGCATGCGTTCCTTGTTTCATAATTATATTTTTGATTGCTACTCAAGTAGTTATACATACAAACATGGACCTTAAACTCAAATTCAAACCCCAAGGGAAAATATCAAACCCCAAACGCTATGCTTTGCCAACATATGTGAAACCATCCACCTCTTATTTATCTATTTTTACAAAACCATTACCAAACTAAGGACACAATAGAGAGAGAAATCCTAGGTCAAACAAAACGGGAGAAAATTTATCGAATGTGAGTCCGAAAAAGGAAAAGGGTATTAGGATCGAACGATTTGGATCTTATCAGAGGGGTGCCGTTCGCTTCCGAGGAAACGGGAAAACAAACCAAGACGGGCCCTTTTGCTGAGCTTTTGCGGCAAATTCGAAGTTTTCGGGCTATCGCACGAGTGGTCCCTAAGGAAGTGGACTTGGGCTACAACAGAAGGCGATGGTAATCGTGGGGAGCTTTCGTTGGAGTGAATAGAAGATGCAGTTCCACTTCTGGATAGCTCGGGTATTTGGGTGGATGGTGGGGTTTGTAGCATGATATGATCAACTGGAAGCGACTGTTTCCGGTAGCTAGACCGTGACCGTGACCGTGATCGTGGACGTGATTCTGATCGTGATCGTGATTGTGCATATTCAGCATTAGCACGGCCAGCTTTGGATATGGGAAGCGCCTGAGAACGAGCTTTCGGTCCTGATACGGATGCCTGCTTCTTGCTCCGTTGCATGGTGTTGTAATACGTTTCGGCGTCTTCATTCTCCGATACAACTGGATCAGGGTAGCTGCGGGGGGCAGGGCATTCGAAGGCATGTGCGGATTCCCGTTCTTTTTCTTCAATATGGAGTTGCTGTCGAATGGGTGCAAGGAATGGTTCCAAGTGCTCGTAAAGGTCACCAGCCGATATATTAAGGTCCCAGTCCAGCAGGAAGAGCAACTGTTTTTCCATTAGGTTAACTTCTGTGAGAGAAAACCCAAAGCCCTCGTAGCCCCGAACAGTCGTATATCTAGCCCAGTGTTTATTCTTCGGGGAAGAATCGTTTAGGTTTTTAGCAGAGAGGATGAGAGATGCGAGAAAAATGCGATGCACAGTGCAGCGCATGCCCTTTGCGATAGGAGGCAGCCTTCGTCTCAGTCGTGCGAGATAAACCAGTGTTGTCATCAAAGTAGAAACTTGTACATGGGAACGTTGAACGATAGACGCGATGAAGGTTTCGAGGTCAGGGAGTGAAGGTTCGAAGAGACTCGCAGAGCTATCTTTCGGGGGGGTTGATGGGGGGGTGGGTAAATCTGTTGGAGTATGATCACAACGGATAACTTCACCGGCCTTAACAGCTAGGTAGGCGACCATCTCCCGAGAGACCGGTAGCTGAATGAACTCAGCAAGCGCAGCCTCGTTAGACATTTTTGTTGGCAGTTTGAAGTTCGATTTTTACTTTTATTTATTTTTTTAAAAATGCAACTTTCGCCAACTAATAAGGAGGAAGTAAGTGCTTGGTATGTTGTGATTGTTTTTGATGTTGGAGCTGTACACTACAACCAACCAGTGGATATGGTAGCTCGTTTCGTATGGCGATTATTCGGAATCCTCGACCGGGAAGATGATAAAGATAAAAGATATATAAAATATAAAAATGAAAGATATATGTGCGGCGACGGGTATCAAATGAACGTGTAGAAGATCAACCTCGACAGCAGATGATACATATATAAGTTGAAATGAAGGCTTGAAGGAATGAATGAAGACGTTATATTAATATGATTTAAGTGGTATAAAGTCAAGGCCAGTGTGCTTGGACTCAGTAGAAAAGAATTTAACAGAGAAAACAAAAACCGTTAAAGGCAAAAAACAATGCAGTAGGGATAGAGACGTGTCATGCTGAAGACAGGTGGATGTGATGAGTGGGCAGCGGAGGTCTCTTATGCAGAGGATGTACAGTGCCAGTTGTTCATGTTGGTTCCGATACCCTGTTTGTTGGCAGCACTCGGTGTGTAAGTATAGCTGGTGGGGCTGGGGCCAAGGGTCTCTCCACCAATGCATTTGCTTGTATCCGTTCTTGAGATCTCGGCGGCAAGTGGAAATTGACGGCGGCGTGACGACTCGATATCTGGGACTACGAACGATGATTGGCTAGTTGGTTTCACTGGCTGGTCCGATTGATTCGTTCTCGTCCAATCAACTCTCGCGTGCCTTAGCTCGCGCTGTTATCTCTTTCTATACATATGAGCAAGATAAAATCATTTTACCTCAGGCCAGTTTAGTGCTGCTGTTGGCGCCTCGGTATTTATTTGATTCCATGTACACGAAGAAGAATGTAAGGTCCACTGTAAGTAGCACAGGCGCCGGCAGACAGCCAGGTTTTCTCATATTCATGCTAAATTCTAAAATTAGAGGGCGTTTCTTGATACAACAAATATTCGAATTCGCGCAATTAAAAAACATCGAACCACTGAGTAACGTAGTGTATTGCATAGTATGTAAGCTAAGGACATAAACAAGTGCTTTTATCCAGTCCCGTACTAATATCTTGGGCATATATGTCCATATGTGCACATACCCAAGTATATACAAACTTAAAGAATCGCCCCAAACCTAGTATTAGTGTTAGCACCGAGGCGCGATGCGTAAAGAAGAAGAGGAAGCAGGGGGGAAACATCTGGTCGCCTCACCCAAAGGTAATTTTGATACTCCTCACATAGTATTCGGAGAAATTTTTCTTTGCTGTTTCCTCCTGTCCAATCGGTACACCTTCCCAGGTCAACCTTAGAACAGTAGCAGCAACCCCTTGGTCAAATACCATCGTCATGGTTGAATAGTGGCCTGTCACACGTCTCATTGTTAGGAACATGCTCGAATCAAAGGGAGCGCATTATCCGTGTGTAGTTAGCTGCATTCACCTTCTGGCCAGTTGGCCAATCGCCATTTCTGCGTGATCTTTTCTGTTGGATCCAGCCTAACAAACTCGCCAGTGACATTGCCTCCAAATAACTTGAACCGACCTCCTTCAACAGGTTCGAAAACTTCAGGGTGGCTACGGGTAAACGCAGTAATACGGTTTGGGTCTACCAATGTCTGATAGAGCTCGTAGGCAGTTGTCTGAAACTCGAAGGTTTCCACAATTTCAGTGGTGTTCACGACAGCTTTTGTCTCGCTCCGCGAAGCCTGCGGGCCTGAGCCTTTACCCGACGTACCCAGCGCGGCAGCTGATGAAGAGGGAGCTGCATCAGGAACCTGGGATGGTTTATATTTGGGGTCGTTTTCCTTCGTGTGCTGAATATCCTTCCCGTGCTGCTCCACGAGGGCATCGGCAAAGCGGTAAAGCCTTTCGCGTAGTTGCGGCGTAAGGTGGGAACGTGCGAGTTCCCTAACTTCTTGCTTCTCCGCCGTATCGGAATAATTGGAGATTTCAAACTTCACCACATAAGCTACAGACCTAGTGACGGTTTCAAAGATGGACCTACAACATATTCATCTAGTTCCGTATCATGAGCTACCTCGGGCACGGTTATCGTCCCTGAAACATTTTCCCCAGCCCCCGTCTTGCCTTGTAGTGACGTTAGATATCGCAACTGGTTCTTTTTAGGTTCTACCAACATACCGCTATATTCCAGTTGAATTTTGACATCAAAGAGGGTGATGACTTTGCCCTTCCTTTGGCTTACATCCACATCACCGTCGACGCTGAGAACCTTTTCAATTCGAACGTACGCTTCGTTTGCAGGATCCTTGGCCTCAGTGCCGATGAGATTGTTTTCGAAATATTCCTTTGCCCAAGCAGATGCGTCCTTGTTGACCCAGTGCCCTGTGAAAGTGAAAGTGACATAAGCATCAAATTTGGATCAAGCTTCTCCCTCTCCCTCTCCCTTTCCTCTCGCCTGTACTCGCAACTAAATACATACATATTGTAAACGGGCATAGATGCTAGTCTCGTATCGAATGCATGCATAGTAAACAAACGAACGTAGGCAGACAGATAGAGGGGGCATTCGAAGAGTACGAAGGATAGTAACAGGTGTTATATTAATTCTAGAGGGTCTTACAGTTGTTTGGGTTGTGAAGTACCATTCTGGCAATTTGTCTTTCACTGTGGGTGCTGGCTGACTAAGTACTGTGGTGATGGGTCGGGGAAACCACTTATACTATTCTAGAAGCAATAATATACCGAAGACGAAGACGAAGGTGAGGGTTCCGACGGTGGATTGAGGTGTGGTGATGTGATGCGATGTTGATGTTGATGATGTCAAGATTTCCTATGAAGAACCCGGTATTTCCTACCTTAGAGACTTTATAAGGGAGACTATTTCGTTGTGTCGAACCATCCAGAACATCAACCAATCACCTAAGCCTTGGGTACTTACCGACTATCAGGTATGCACTTACCTAAGAGCTGCTCCGTTACGGTACCTTGCAATGCCTGTTGCATACCAACCAATCAACCACCCACTACAGCTCCGATATATATATCATCACAATCAAGAACCAGGAATGACGGCCGACGCGAGTCTACCGCTCTCCATAAACCATCCTACAAATACCACATAGATGCATTTGCTGACACCCACCAGCTCGGATCCGATAAAGATATACCGCCTATTGCTGACCTCTAAACCCAACAATTCTACAGCACGAGCTTCTGATAATAGTGCAGTTCTCAGACATGGCCGAGCTTAAGACCGCGACTCAAACCCTAGATTTCGACGACGAAATCGCGTTGCATCTCTTGGTCGAAACCGCGATCTTTGATTCTAGCGGCTATGAGCTTTTAACCCACGAAGAGCTAGATCAACTAAAACGGGAGCAGACGACTTTGATTGGACGCATTGAAGCTCTCCGACGCAAGCTTCTCCTCGAAACTAAAGTACGAGATGCCGCTCAATCGCTGTCCCGCCTGCGGTCGCCGAAACAGAACGAAAGTCCCCTTACTTCGCCAGTCAACGCATTTGGGGGTTCTTTCCATCAACCCGGCCATGACTCCGTAGCACAGGCATCAGTGGAACTCAGTGCTTCAATTGCCAAGTGTCACGAAATTGACACCGATATTCGTAAATTGGAGGCAGATTTGTGGGTGCTTCAGCGACGACTTCTTTGTCATACCTCACGAGTTCTTGCAACTACATACCACCACTCTGAGAAATCGCGGCATTTCACTGCGAGTAGCATTGATGCACCAACCATACGCTCTTCAACACCTAACAAATTTACCAAGCTACAAACCGTCAAACCCATTGAAGACTTCGACGACCGTAGCCTTTACAAACCGGCGATCAGTTCGGGTGAAGCTCCACCTTCGCAATCACAATTCCGCACAAGTGGCCCATCGACTTATGCGACGAATCCAGGGGGCCTGCCCGCGCATTCTAGTGGCCCCATTGGTCTCAAGCCTCAGTCACCTATAGGGAACACGGAAGCTATAGGTTTTTTTTCAACTCCGAGCACACCACCGCCCCTCAATAATCGAGATAAGTCCGCAGTGGAACAAAGATTAGTTGCCTTGCATCATATTGTCAAAGAAATATTGGTGAAAATTGAAATATTACCACCTGACCAGCATGATGTAAGTAAGAGCTTGTTTTTGGAAGAGAGGAAGGATAGCTTTGACCCAAACGACGGAATTCCCACTTCTACGCTTGACGAGATTCTTGCTTTAGAACATGGTCTCAGACAGGTTCAGGCGTCTATATTCCAACAAGGGAGTAGGTCCGTTGCAATCAAAAGCGATGATAAAGATGTACTACAGGTTTGGGAAGTGTTATTACGCTGGGAAGGAGAAAAACAGGATAATAGGAACCATGAAGACAGAGACAAAGGTAGTAGTTTCTTATGACTGGGGAAAGCTCAAGCTGACAGGTACTCGGGCAACGCCGTAGGGATTATGATGGGGACCACACGGGAAGCCAACCGGCCAGATAGCATCAAGTTTGAATCCCTCAAGAGCGACGGGAAGAGCATCGGAGAACTCGTTGAGGGTGTGAAATTATTAGCAGATACTTCTTTACGTTGGGCCGCAGACAAGCGAGACCTAGAACTTCAGCTTCTTCAAAAGTCGCAACAATATCAAATGGAAATCCGAAAACACGAAGACGCAAAAACTGACCATGAACAACAGATCGATGGGCTCACAAATTCTTTATCCAAAGCTTTGGGTGAGCTATCTCAGATCTCATCCAAACAAGATGCAGGTATTTCACTAAGACAGGAAGTGGTGAAATTACGGGAAGAGTTGGATGCGAAAGAACAACATTGTGCCCACAAAATAGAAGAACTCCAGCTAATGCTAGGCTCACAAAAATCTGATTTCGAAAACCTCGCCAATGATGCTCGGATCATTTTCCAAGAAAGGGAACGTGATCTTGAAGAGCAGGTGGATAAACTACGAGAAGAAGTAATGTCAAAAAACAAAGCATTAGAGGACAGCCTTGCTTGCGCAAGCACTGGAGACCAAAAGACCAGGAAGCTGAATGAGGAGATTGATTATTTGCACATTCAACTAGAAAAATCACATGCCGCAAAAATCGATGTGGAGAATCAACTGCTCCTTGACAAACATAATCTTGAATCACTTACAGAAACCCTACGTACCCGTGAAGCGCGCGTGGAAATCCTCGAACGGAATCTGACGGAGGCAGTTGCGTCTAAGGAAAAATTCGAGGAAACGTATCACGAGCAGACGAAACGCATAGAAATCCTCGACAAAAGGAATCTAGACCTACAGGACCAGCTCCGGGTTAGAGCCACCCAGGTAGCGGAGCAGACGTCAAGTGCCGAAGAGTTAAAATCACGACTGATAGAGAGCCAAACAGCCAAAAAAAACCTTGAATCTAACGTTTCGGCACTGGAAAATGAAGTCCAACAATTGCTAACAGAGCTAGCAACTTTAGCGAATGACCTCCAAGCTACCAAAAAAAATTCACAACTGCAGATAGAGGAGGCGAAACAGCAAGCAGCCGCGAAGATCCAAGTCGAGCAAGGGAGATCGCAACCTGCTATGGATGCGAACCTTATTGTAGAACTTGAGAATCTCTCGAGGCAGAATGAAGAGCTAAGGAAGGCCAATATTGCACTTCAGGACAAGCTGTCCGAGTCTACAACACCCCTAGGAAGCACGAGCTCAGACACACCCCGAGCTCTACAAGAAAGGTGTGACAAACTGCAAAAAGAATTGGATGAGATGCTTGTCGACTATGAGGCCCTTATGAAGGACTCTGTCGATTTCGAAGCGGACAAATCACGCCTAGAGTCGCAGATAGATGATTTGCAGGAGAAAGTGGAGGCGCTCGAACGCAGCTTAGCAGATGAGAGGATGGGAAATGGCCGCTCCGTAAAATCAACGGCTGTACCGGCAAACAATTTGGTAACACCTATTCCATCTTCTGGAGAGAACATGACGATGTCTGTTTTAAGGGCAGAGTTTAAGAAAATGATGAGGGATATGAGAACGGAACATAACAGGGCATTGCGGGTAAGTCTAGCTTATAGAACTATTGAGTTCGCAGGCCAATCATTAACTTCTTTCGTAGGGGGAGCAAGAGGCAAGGCGGCGACTGGAAAATGAGCTGCGACATGCACGAAGAGACCAGAGCAACGGGGCCAATTCAAAGCCGGGACCATAGCAGGGGTCGAGAATAACTTAGGAAGTATCTGCTTCGTAACAAGAATACTTCCTTATATAAATTTATTGGGCCATGGAGTGGATTCGAGGCTAGGGGTTGGCCGCATACGCACACATTGCATACATGTACATACAGGCCTGGATACTTACTTGTACGGGACAATAATGCTTAATACTTAATATCAGTTATATGCTGAACCATAGTCTTGAATTTTGAGTGTTTGCCTTTTGATTTACTTACTCCTCAACAGCAAGTAGGTAAGCAGAGGTCTAGTTGTGTGAGAATGTTGGTTAGTCGGTACCAATTGGTGTGTGGTGGCAGCTGTTGAGCTTGACTGGAGCTTAAACCCGGCTGCAGTTTGCTGGCCCACCACAAATCATCAACCTCTTTTCCCCTTCACAACACCACATGCACAACCCCTCCTGTCAAACCAAGATATTTATTTATATACATGCAATTTGACGCGCCTGCAGCATTTGGTGCCTTTTTATCTATCCCCGAACCTCTCCTCCGTTGAATCCGGCCTGGTTTTAATACCAACACCCTAAGCCTTTGCAACCAGGCCGTAGAGAAACCATCGGGGACACTTATATGGCAGGTCAGTCAAACCGGTGAACGAGGTACCCAAGCTCTCAACTAACCTGATGCTCCTATCCAGACAACTATACGACGTTTTACCCTCTACTCCGATTCTAGGATTATCTTTACGGAGCCTTAGATTACCAAAGCCGAGGACTAGTGTCCACCTCCGGTCCGTCATGTCGGGTTCCGCCTTGACTGATCGCCAGAGGGACGAGCTGTATGTAGATTTACCTCCCTACCCCCTCTATTGTCAATATTCAAACTTGCTACGATTCATGGGCGACCTTTGAGGCCCAAGCGACCTCTATGATACTTTATTCCCCCATATGTTTACCCTGCTAAATTGCTAATTCGTCGACCTTTCCTTCCCGATCACGTCACCCTCCTGGTGGTTAGGAATAAAAGTATCGCTGCATATCTGCAACAGTCCGGCCATCTTAAATCGGTTCAGATGTTTCGGGAAGAGGTTGATGGAGAGAACGAATTGCTTTCAGACGATGTGTGCAAAAAGTATGAAGGTCTGTTAGAAAAGAAATGGACGAGTGTCGTTCGCCTTCAAAAAAAGGTACGCTTCATTGGTTTCGATCTGTATAGAGCTTAGGAGCTCGTGAACGAACCCTGATATTCTGCTGCCATGTCCTTCATGACCTGGATCTCCCACAACTTCAGCACCTCATCACAGCAAAATAGAGACAGGGAAAGAAGCAAGGGATGACTACAGTGTGACATACACCATTCGGCTGCTGACTACCGCGATCGAGTTGCTGAGACATTAGTTGATGGCTTTATAGATCATGGATCTCGAATCCCGCATCCAAACATTACAAAACGAACTAGACCTATCCGCAACCACTTCTTCCTCGCAAAAGAAAGTAGACCCAAAGTCCTGGTTACCAAGAGCACCCGCTCGCCATACCCTAACTGGGCACCGCGACCCTATCAATGCAGTCGCATTTCACCCCGTGTTTTCAGTTGTTGCTTCGGCTGCAGAGGATGCGACTATAAAAGTCTGGGACTGGGAGCATGGCGAATTGGAACAAACCCTTAAGGGGCACACAAAGGCTGTACTGGATCTTGATTACGGTGGCCCGAAAACGGGTGTTTTGCTCGCTTCATGCTCCCATGATTTGACCATAAAACTTTGGGATCCAGGAAATGAATATAATTGCATAAGGACTATGAAGGGGCACGACCATTCTGTGAGCTCCGTTAGGTTTATCCCGAGCGGGTCTGGAGCCGATTTCCTGGTTAGTGCTAGCCGGGATAGGACGCTGAAGATTTGGGACGTATCTACAGGCTATGCCGTGAAGACAATACAGGGTCATGTTGACTGGGTGCGATGTGTGGAGCCCTCCCTCGATGGGAAATGGATGGCCAGCGCCGGAAATGACCAGGTAAGGACCCGCGTGGTTTTCTTTCCTTTGAATCTCTTCATTCCTTCTCTAAGGCTAACGGTTTAGACCGCTCGTATCTGGGATACGTCGACGAACGATCATAAAACGTCGTTGATTGGCCATACTCATGTGATCGAATGCATTGCCTTTGCTCCAGTTGCCGCATACCCGACTTTATCGAATTTAGCGGGCGTCAAAAAACCCCCTTCTTCGACCTCCTTTAATGAATATTTAGCAACAGGCTCCAGAGATAAAACCATCAATCTATGGGATTCAAGGGGTACATTGATAAAAACCCTCACGGGGCACGATAATTGGGTAAAAGGTATCGTTTTTCATCCAGGTGGGAGATATCTCCTCAGTTGCTCTGATGATAAGACGATAAGATGTTGGGATTTATCACAGAATGGTAGGTGTGTTAAAATCATTGAGCCTGCTCACGGACATTTTGTAACTTGTATAAAATGGGCCCCGAATCAAACAAGGGGGGGTATCGACGGAGCTGCCAATGGTGCACCCAGCGTTGAGTCTCCACGCCAGAATGGTACACCACCAAAGATACAAAGTGAACTTTCGGAAATGTCAGGCATTCGCTGTGTGGTCGCAACTGGCAGTGTGGATCTTACTGTAAAGATCTGGGCGACATAATTTTCAGGGTATCCGTTCAACGCTATTCTCAGTGTTTCCTCTTCTTTTATATAGGATTCAAAGGTTGTTAGCAGGTTATTTGTAATTAGCCTTTCAATAATTTACTATTGGCTACTGAGGGGCTTAAGTTGAATATCTTGGGGTCAAAGTTCGGGTCGTATATTAAGGTCACGTGGTTAACTAGTCAATGAAAGAAGGAAAGAAAAACACTGAAATTTTACGCAAAATAACTCTTCCACAGAACCCCTTCTAAATCCTCCAGCTGATCAGAAGTAAATGCCTGCAAAAAGCCAGCTTATTAGCCACATTGGGAGAGAAAAGTGATCAAAGAATGAAAGGGCCCATTTCACTACGAACCTTAACGTCGATGTGCCAGGTGTCCTGGCGTGTTTTTTTGAAGTCGCTAAGACAGGTCTTAACACTTTCTCCAACCATTCCAGGATCCGATGCAGCTCTCAAAGCGAGAATCGTCAGTACTTCGGGTAGCCATGGTGGAGGTGGTGATACATATGGAAATGCCTGCACTAGAGCATTGAGGCCGAGTACTGCAGCATGTCGGTTTATCGTTGGCTTCTGCTGTGAGCTCCCAGGTTGGGCTAGTATTTCCCTCGAAAGCGGGTTTTTTAGGAGTAGGTTAACAAATCGTTTCTTCAGTAGGGGAACTATACGGTTCCTGAAAGGAGCCGACGAACACCTTATCATTCCCGAGAGAGTTGCAGCAGCGCCTATGCGGACTTCAAGCTGTGGATCTCCTAACATGTTGGATACACAACTGAATAAAGATCGCCTCTGTTCAGGAGAAAGAAGAAATAGTCGACGAAAATAAACGACCCCAATGTTCAAAAGAACTCGCAGACGTTGGTGCCACGAGCCAGCATTGGAGCCTGTTTGTATCAAACCCTCAATAAACGCATCGTTTTGCCCAATGGGGTGCGGAATATCTGGCAGGTGCCGAAAAACATTATAAGCTAGGGAGATCAACTCTGGGTCCTCTCTCACGTCTATCATGTGTAAAATTTCGTTGATGAAAGCACGCGAAAACAATGGCGCAAGCTGCGTGCATTCGTGCGAGGAAAGGGTACTTTCCAACCAAAGAAGCACGGTTTTGCTCGCAGAGGTGTATGAGGAAATGTTTTGCTGTCCCAATGTGCCTCTCCATACTTGAAGCTGGTTTAAAATCCGAGGAAACACATCCGCCAAATTGTTTTCCGAGTGGTACGGTGGCACGCCGACGGACGAATGATTTCTTTGTATTTTCAGAAAATCTTCCACACAAAAAAAAGACTCGTGGTATCGGGTTCGGCTTATACATGCTAGAGTTTGCCCAATTGCCTCCCTAACTCCTTTGTAGGGGTGGTCAAGATGCTGAATAAAATCGTCCCAGATGGGCTGGTGCAATCGGAAATGCCAGCCCGCGTCATTGATGCACTGTTGAAGTAGTTGGATCTTGGAGCTTTCTTTGAAGGCAGCATTTGAACTGAGATCAAGGCGAAAGCCTGCTAGGTATTGCACGATTGGCCAAGAGCGGCGCAAATCCTTGCCTTGCTGTAAATTTATGAAGACCGTTAGACCAGTACGAACCAATGAAAACAAACGCGGTTTGGCTTACCAACGAAGCATGGATAAATGCCACCCAATAAGAGAGGTTGTCGGGATTGAGCCCGTCGTCAAATATTTTCGTTATAACCGGAAGGATGAAATCCCATATCTGTTCTTTCTCATTTGCCGAGCATTCCCGGGTCGAATTGAGAAGCGCTCCAAATATTTCCGCAGTTGCTCTATGTTGGTTTTTGTCACTCCCATCCCCAAAGAGTTCCAGAACCTCTACGCGGATATCATAAAATGTAAGTACGGTTGCCTCTTCACGAACCAACTCGAAAACAAACTGAAGAAGGATCGGGCTAGCCATCCGAAACCGGTCTGCAATTCCTTCCCTGGGTTCTTGCTTCATATACTCGCAAAGAGAATGAAACCAGGCTCGGTCTATGAGCCGTCCTATGTTTCCCCGAGCTTTCATCTCTACTGCATCCCACTCACGCTTCTGGGTTGGGTTGGCCTCAAATACTGTTATTTTCTTAGCCCAAGCTAACCATCCAATATGATCAAAATCAACATAAAATGACGTTGGTTCCCGGGAAAACCCTTCCAAAAACGCCTCTGTCCATTTAGAATCTGTTTTATCCACCACTAGTTCCCTCTGCAAAGGGAAGTGATAATTATCGAGTAGGAAATTCTGATACTTGTGTTTGCAGGCAGACCTCAATTCGATCAAACAAAATAACTATCCGGTCTAGGTGATTAGTATTCCGTTCGTTAGTTAGATGGGGCCTAGAGATACGTACCGCGATCATGCCACTACAATAAAGCCCCCTTAGCATCGGGTGCGTATCCACCGACCCGGCAGTCATGAGCTCGACCATTGATTCGTTAGCGAGAGTATCAAAACGCATTCCCATACCTAGAATAACCGTAACCGTACGGTTTGCGATTTTCCAGTGAGAGCCTTTCGCGACATCTACTAATTCGGTCACCAACTCGGCTTTCCTCTTTTCAATTTCCTGAGACCTTGTAACAACTTTTTGTTTTCGGCGAATGATGAGATCTCTGACGTCTTCGGATGGGGCAATTGCTTCGATTACTTGCTCGTCTAACAGGACCATTTGCTCAAGTGGGCGCCCATAATCTATGACCTGAAATGTTGCACCCATGGCAAGCTTTTGAACGGATAACTTGTCAGCCGCGGAGGCAGCAATAAAGGCTTTGATGACCCGGGGAGCGAATCTCCAGTCTCTGCCAATTGTTTTACTGAGGCTACCTAAGAGGAGGGAGTACATAGCGCCCTTCATCCTCCCATGGTTATTCGTTTTAGTAGCGTCTTCGAACGCCTCAATCAATTTGGGGATCACAAGAGGCCGTGCTCCAATGATGACCTTACACGCTGATTCCGCAGCACTTTGAGCATGCCTGCGAATCTCGGTATATGAGGAGACAGCAGATTCGGCAAGATCGAGAAGAAGAAGTTCATCAAGAGAAGTTCGCTTCCGTGGCCCTGCATTGCTTCTAAGTCGCTGTAAATGATATAGGTTTGCTCGCCGCAATAATAATGGCCGTGGATAAACCTTCCGGAGTCCGCTTATTTTGAAAAGGTGGATATCGGATTCGAAAAGTCGAAGAATTCGTTCCACAACTTGTGCAGATCGTTCGATCCCAACATCTACGAACCATGAACGGTACGCCTAAACCACATTGTTAGAATTGATGGTATACAAATTGCGATTGTTCGATGTTTACCGTATAGAGGGCATTAAAACAGGCTATGTCATCTTGTTGGGCTTCAAGTAGAAAACCGTGAACTCTATGAAGCGCTTCGCCAATCTGACATCTCAGTTCATGAATAAGAGTATATATTTCATGGCCTGTATCCTGGAAAAAGTAGCCTGTAGGATAGGTGAAGGATTGTTGTTGATTATTATCATAGTCCGCTGTGTCTTCCTCGTCTTCGAATGATAGACTGTGCTCATCATCATCCGGGCTAGGTCCGCTCCGCAAATTATCGCTTTTTACGACACCCCTACCTGAGACGTCGACGAGAGATGCAATTCCAGATAAAAGAAGCCTAATCAATACTAGGTTTCTCGAAACATCGTCCGACCACTCTTTTCCGACGCCGTCCCGCTTAGAGCCAAATTCATCACTGATGAGCTGGTCTAAACGTTCAAGTGCATTCTTGGACAGTTTCTCGAATATTTGTGCCGCCAAACGAACCTCTTCTTCTGTTGGGACGTGCCATTTGATGTTAAGCTTTTGCGGCTCAACGATTTTCCCCCAAGTTTCAACCCCTATTGAAGATTTTAGCATAATCCTAGGCGCTATCGACAAGATATCGGAGTACTGACCGATTCCATCCTCGGTTGGCTCGTCTAAAGCAAAATCATTGGTATATGTGAGGGTCAAACTTAACAGAAGGTGATGGATAAGGTTGGACACATGCACAGCTGGTATCCCCTTGCATCTTTTTTGCATAAAATCCGTGATATCAAGCAATTCGGTTTTGTAAACGAGTAATGCCGATCCTACATGGACCACACACATGCTTAAGATCGTAACAAACCAAACTAGCGCCCGGTCTCGTGGAAGAACGTCCGCCCCACTATGTCTTGTGGATGCCGCTCCGTTTTCTTCAATTTCTGCTTTTATCCCCGATATCAACAATGGTAGGAGGCGTTTAAGAGCCTTTTCTGGGTTGACTTTGCACAAAGCGTCACATATAAACGCCATAGCGTCACGAGCTTGGTGTATCACATGATTCCCAACGAAATTCGCAATCTTGTTTAGGGCGAGGTCGTATAGAGAAGGGGATAGTGCTGCTAGTAAAGGGAGGAATGTTGAAGGTAGTGTATTGATTATTGCCTCTTCTGGTGACCCGCTTCTAACGCGGGAAGCGTCCGGTAGATTTTCAAGAAGCGTGAATACACGATCAAGAAAAGACGAAATGAACTCACTAAATCCATACGTTGATGATTTTAGTAGGTCAGCGTCCTCATTTTGCGTATGGGTGCTGTATTGAGTGAAGCCTTCAAGGTCACCAGCTTCGAGGGCTTCAACTTGTTTCTGAATCCATTCCAAGGCAAGTTTACCTTCGAAAACCTCCGCATTTTCGGAAGTGTCACTGAGGTCGTGAAATGGTACGTTATACGCCACAGACTGAATGAAAGCCAACGTCTGCAGTGTTTTATCGAGATCATTCGCATCGATACCAGGGAGAGCAAGAGATAAGAGCGTGGTCGTGTGAACTCGATAGCCTCTGTGCCGTACTATTATACCGGCTAATACTTGCAGTGCCCTCAAGGATGAAGATGTGCGATGAACTTCAACAAGGCCCTGCATTGCTGGGTATATGCGCTGGAGGGAACCGGGGATGATAAGATCCGGTTCTAGAAAAGCTAGGCTTTGTAAAGACTGCATTGCAAAATTCATTGCAGTGCCACTCTTCGAGTATATCCCCATAAAAACCGCATCTCTAAGGGCAAGAACGAACCGTCTCTTTAGTTCTGGTGTCAGCAATCGGTCCTCCGGTATATCCATCTCTCCGCTCTGCTCACGATTCCACCTCATGACAAAGAAATCAGATAAATAATAAGCCAGTTGTGAAAGCGTTTTTGTCCAGTTACCATTGTTAGATGGGTGGAAAAATGTCTCGACGGCCTGTATTAGGGCTTCCAAACTTTCGAGAATTGAGCCGCCTTCAAGAAGAGCATGAGGAGAGAGGGACATGACCACCCATCGGGCGATATGATGAGCAACGGGATGTTTCTTGGGGTCCTTGTCCAGTGTAGCGGCCAAACCAGCGCTAATATCAACGATGGGGCTGTATGGGCTCGAAGCTTGGCCAACCGGTATTTCGAGAAGACGAAGCACGGCAGTGAATATTGTTGCCGATTGTTCTTTGGTGAAGATGCCGAAGGGGCCAAAATTAACATGATTTGCAGGGAGAGAGTCACGCGCCAGCCGCGATAAAAGATCAAGAAAATTGACATCAAACACCCGAGAACGGCTGCCCAGCGCCCACATATGGAAAAGCCCTTATATAAAGTCAGATGGCACGTATCGTATCTAAGATGGATTTAACGAACCTGGCAGATATTTATCTGGTTGGCCGTCAGGGAATGTTGGCGGAGGTGGCGTAGTTGGCATCAGCAAGTTCAAAAGTCCAACTACAATGAAAGCACCTTCAGGGTGGGATAGACTGTACTAGACGGGAAGAGTTAGCGCCTTTCCATTTCGATTGGTGAGAAAGAGTAGAGAACCAACATAAGGTAGAAACTCCTCGAGCATCCGAGGTATCTCAGCGGGACTTGTGTAGAGTTGACAGAATGTACACATTTTAGTGAGGGTCCTAACATTCCGCTTGACATGTGTAGTATTTATGAACCCAGTTTCCTGTGGGAGAATGAATATCTTAAGTTCCCGGTAAAGCGGGTACCAATCGAGATATAAGTCGTTTCCTGGCTTCAAATAGTGCTTTCTCCTGTCACGAACCATTAGCTTATCAGGGTCGACTAAAGAAAGTAAACGAGAACATACTTCGTAAGCAACATAAACATGCTAGCGAATCTCTCTGAAACAGAAAGCGTCAAGCCTCGGGAAAGTGCTAAGTTATAAAACAACTTGACAAGTTTAGCCCTGGTATGACGTGGGAGGTCGAATTTCATCTGAAGCCATGATCTCAACTCCCGCGTCCAGTGTAGGGCTCCCGGTGCAAAGTCTCCCGCCTCAACTGCTATGTATAGCTTTTTTATGATTTCTTCAAGGTTTCGGAGGCGGACTTCCTCAGTTTCGCATTCGTATGGAAGATACTGCGTGTATGGGAAGGTCCGTTGGCGTTGTCTTGGGAGCTTTATCTCGTCATCGCTCTCATCGGTCCAACCTGGACCAGGAGTAGTCGTCCTGGAGATATCCTGAGCCCCATCCACCGAGGCCCCTGAGTGCAAACTTAAACTATCTAGGAACCGTTGGTCCATTCCTTGGGGCCTATATCGTGGTGGGTTAGAGGTGGGGTGATCAGTGGTCGACGTGTATGTGGTGCTAATTTTGAGTTCGTGGGCCTGACGAATAGTTTGAGACTATTAAAACTTTGATAACTACTAGAAATTCAAAGGAAAAACCACTTAGTAAGGTGTATATATATTCGGTGGGTGGGTAGAGTAACAGGCACTTATGAAACCCAGTTAAGAGATATGATATGAGGTATCGGCAGGTTGGGGACTCAAGAAACTATCCAGTGCTAAGTACTTACTTACCCACTCAACTCAGTACTTGGGTGGTCTCGTATCCAGACGGTGTGCTTGCACCAAAGGGGTTTGACGTTGGTACTAATTTACTTACTTACTTAAGTAGGTAAGTCAGTACTTAGGTAAGTAAGTACTTAGGTAGGTAGGTAGTACGGACCTTATGTCAGCCATACCCAAGCTCTCAAGTGGTTACTCCGATTCATACTATACGTACTACAGGAAGTCAGTCCCTAGTAGTGTTGACAACGCATTCAATTTCCCACAATCTTCATATAAAATAAAAAGGAGCTTGAAAGCGAAAGCTGCGCGTGTACATGTGCGCAACATTTAAACTCGATTGTACTCTGGCCCTGACTATGAACCAGCCTCTTACCCAAATCCTCTATTATTTAAATGCTTACATACTTCTTTAAGTGCTTCAAGAAATACCTGGGTATTGACTTTGACGAAAACAGCTGGCCCTGAACAACAAGTAAAGTCAGTTGAACCTCAAAATTGCTGACTACCGAGGCTCATATGCCTGCAATTTAACCGCATTTGAATCGGGTGTTTTGACAGGGTCTGGATATTTTGATACAGCCCATCCCTTATAAGAGTCCAAGAGGTGAGCATCGGAAAATAAGTTCTCTAAATGTCAACTAACGATGCCTCCACCGACCGCTGCCGAACCGGTGCTAAAAGCAGACTCCAAAGATGCTACCACCTCAGGATGTGACGACGCAGACATCCAACAAACAACTACTCGGGAGTTCTCAATCGCTGAAGCGGCGATATATCGTGTGTACCGCCGGCGATGGGTGGGACTGGCCACATTGATGCTGATGAACATCATGATAAGTTGGGGGTATGTATATGATTATATCCTCTACCCCGATTCACTTATAAAATGTAGCCAACTAAGAGCCTCGTACACTACAGATGGATCACATTCGCGCCAGTCTCAACATCTACCCAAGTTTTCTTTCGTTTAGAGAAGGCATCATCTGTAAACTGGCTTTCTACTGTTATTTTTTTAGCATACATATGCATGAGCCCGTATGCCACCCGAATAATCGAATCATCTATCCATGCCTCTAAATCATATAATTGTGACAGGGTGGTAATATACACACTTCGACACCTTGGGGTTCGGGCAGCATTGCTTTTCGCTGCTGGTTTCAGTATAACCGGCGTCTGGCTACGCTTTATTGGGGCAAGAGTTGGCAGTTCGCATGGAGGCCATTTCCCCGTCGTTATGGTTGGGCAGATACTTATTGGTCAGATAAACGGCTCCAAAACTATTGTTTACATTGTGCCTTGAAGTCCCTGCTCACTTACTAAGAAAATAGGCTTTGGACAACCATTCGTGCTCAGTGCTCCCGCATACTATAGTGACCTTTGGTTCACCTCGAAACAGCGAATTACTGCCAATGCGCTTATCTCCCTAAGCAACCCTTTGGGAGCTGCTGTACGTCTTCCAGTAAATGAGGTCTTCAAGTATTTTTGCTAAGCGGTCCGGTTTATTGCTAGTTGGGACAATTGATTGACCCATTTCTTGTTTCTCGACCTGGGTAGGTAAAAGTGGAAATTTTGCTGAATAGTCACCCGTACATACTAACCCTCCTCCTCCTGCTAGGGACATCCCAAACATGCTTCTTTATATCGCTATCATAGTAAGTAAACTATCATTCCATGTCTCAATCATAACCCGGAGGCTACGAAGCTCACAAATATCAGACTACTGTGGTGACAGCACCGGTTTTCTTCGTCCAAGGGAAACCCCCGACACCCCCATGCCCTTCTTCGGCCCAAGAAAAACTACCCTTCAGATCCGCTTTCCCAAAGATACTACAGTCCGTCGAATTTTGGCTGATATTTATCATGGTAACCATTGTTTCCTGCTACGAAGTGCGAATGGGATTATTTAGTCTGGCGACGCTAAATTTTCGTACTAAATAGTTCTCTATCCTTGTGGGATTCTTTAATGCGAGTAGCTCATTATTAAATCAGGTCGCCCCCCCAAATATCAAAATGTGCCGGGTCTAGACCCCGAATTCGCTGAAGAATATATTAATGAGCCGCAATCTTTTAGATCCTGGAACCATATGGCTATTCCGAGAACGAAGCCGGCATTGGTGGGGCTGTCCTCATAGTTGTCGGTTTATTAGCGTATGATTTCGCCATGTCTCCCTCCTTACGACTAAAGCACTAACTTTGGTAGGTCGGCGGTGGTATCTCCCATCATCGATCGAACACACACATTTCTCCTAGCAATTCGAATTCTAGTTCCGATTATTTCAATATGTTGTGAGTTGCAATGCTATCCGATATCCACCTGCCCCCGCTTATGTGCTAAAACTTCGTAAGATATTGCTCTTATCTTCGCACCAACCAGCAGGTCGTTAGCGCCACCTTATATCGTTCTAGCATTCCTAGGAGCTGCTTCATTCTCGCTACTACCGCTCTCCCTTGAATTCGTCGTTGAGATAACCCACCCGGTCTCCCCGGAAATTACATCAACAATACTATGGTCGGGAGGCCAGCTGCTCGGGGCAGCTTTCATCCTTTCTATGACTGCATTGACTGATAACGAGACTGGGAGCATGAAAAGGGCACTGGTTTTTCAAGCAATAATATCATGCTTTGCGGCTATCGCCGCCTTGGCAATTGGATGGGGGAAAAGGGAGGTCCATGTTCTGGCTCGAAGAATTGCATTGGATACAAACGAAGGAATGTAGTTATATCGACTCGTAATTACTTTACACAATACAAACATACTGCATATTTGAAAGTACAGGGACATGATCTCATACCTTTGTTTACAGCCATACTATTATGTTTTATATTTACTTAGGTAGTTATTATTGGACGTTCTACATAGTCGGTACGAGATACAAGGTATCAACACCGCGAAGCTCGCATATTTACAAGCGGGGAAAGTTGAGGAGTTGCAGTAGGAGGCAATATTCAGCTTGTCACACCGCACCTTGGACTAACTCCCGCTGAATTAATTCACCACCCCTCCGCTTCTCCATCACCCATCCTAAATCGGTATCATGGACATAGGATGTGCTAATGTCACCACCAGGGTGATGACAAATTGAACCATCGAAATCGGGCAAAGGGTGCAACTGACCAGTCGATGGTGCTGACCCCGGAGCCGAGGTCCTCGGACCGTCAAATAAACTGGCCATTGGGACCACAGCCGAAGGGGCAGAGGCAATTAGTGTTAGATGCTTCACAGCTTCTTCAGGATGTTTGGTGCCGCTTAATAACTGGAGCTGACTGAGTGTAGTTTCATCACAACTCAGCTGCTCGCGTTTAGCGAGTTCTGTAAATAGCGCTGTGCTGAGTGGCCCTGCTGAAACCCCACAATTCGGTATCGAATTTGGGCCAATGAGGCTCAGAGAATTCCGGAGTGAGCTTTCCGAACGCTCGCTAATCGGAGTCAGGGATGGATTCCGAATAAACCCGGGTTTCGGGAGATCTATACCAAAAAACCCTCCTGCTAAGTAGGTACTGTTTGTAGAAGAGCTGGGATAGAAATCAAACTCTTGACCGTACCACCCATCGCTATCGGAAGCTAGAGCATCCCGATTAGCTTCGGCTATCATGTCTTCCTCATCCCCAATTTCAACCTCTTCATCAGGAAATTGTGTGTGACATCCACTTTGGCGGAGTGACTGGGAGCCTGAGAATGATGAAGGAGATCCCGAGTCATATTCGTTCACCCCTTGGGCTGCTGACTGGAATATATTATGGAACGTGAGTATGGGAGAGTTTTGACCCTCGTTGGGTACTTGGGCGACGGAAGCCTCAGCCACCCCGGACTCCCAAGCAACGAGACCGTGGCGACTAGGCCCCGGCGGATTGACAAAAGGGGGGTAGGCTATTCGGTAGTTACTACCTTCAAGTTTTGCTGCCCCCCCTTCTTCTTCCTCCGTCATGCTCCCATTGATTCCGATCTCGCTGGACCCAATACTAGCACTATTTGGGCTCGCTGGTTGCGGGTCACTTTGTTCCTCTAATTCTATTTGCTGTAGTCGACGAGCGTTTTCCATAGCATCAACAATCACATTTTCGAATCCTGGAGGAGGGACAATCCTTTGTGGGAAATCGGAAAATGAAGCAGTGAATCCATCCCCGTCCTCGTCTCGGAGGTCCTCAGACGTGATTGATTGGATATCATCACTGGTGAAAGAGGCCGTATCAGAAGAGCTCCGCCGGCAATTGGTCTGAGAACGATACTGCCTTGTTACGGTTGAGGTAATTAGTTTTGACCAGAACAAAGTAATGTATATCAGAAAGATCACGTACGATTTCTGAATGAGATTTTCCGATAATGATAGCTCCTCGCCATGGATTGACTCTGCGGCGCTGCTCGCCTCGAAGCTAAAACGAGAGCTATTATGAAGAGGATCTAGGGATATTTCCGAATACCGAGTGAGGAGATTTGATGAACCCTCTTCACTGTCGCTCTTCTCCGCACTAACTAACGACCATTGGGCCGGTTCACCATCTAAAAGGTATAGATTATGATTCTCGGGATCCGCAGTGGTAGCACCATGCACCAACTTCGGAGTGACATTTGCTGCATTACTGCCGACCGAATACACTTCCGAGCTACTTCCCGCATTTGAAGGCTGTGGAGCCTCGGCGTCGTTCGGCGGGGCTTCCTCGAAGCCTTCATCTGGGTGTTCGGAACCGCCTTGAGTATCAAGGTCACTAAAGTGCTCCGTAAAAAATGCTTGCCTTTTGCGTGGATGAACATTCTCGGCTGTCGGGTCTTTGCTTTGCGAAGAGCTTCCATTGCCTTTATCCCAAGCTCGCCGTTAGAACAGTAGTGTCTTCAGAAGACAGACCCCTGCATCTTCACAAACCTGAGTTTCCTTGGACCCGACTTTCGGGGCGTAATATAGTATGAGTTTGGGGAGGCGCAGATCTTCGAGGGAACGACCAATCGGGGTGCCGAGTGCCATAAATTATCCCTGGATCAAAATCATCAGGTAAGTCCCTAGCAAGTCCGTAGCTTCCAGGCGATGGTTCGCTAATTCCATGATTTGATTGACCCGATCGCCGACGGAGAAGAAGGGACATAGGATGAAGTAAAGCTTTGGCGTGATGGCGCCGGTGGCCACCCCCCATCTGGGTACCTTGAGGGGCTTGAGGGTGGCCGTTATTGTGGTGATGGTTTGTTAATGAAGTATTTAAGCCGACTAAAATTTGGAAGAATAAAAGTCATCGGTGTCAGAAAGGTTTTAAGCAAGCTTGATGCTTTATGCCAGGATTTCCAAGGGGCCTTACAAGACTGTGTCTGGCTCGTATTTGACCTTGAATTGCTGCTCAGAGAGTCGCTGCTGAGAGCGCGAAGAAACGACATGATTCGCAAGGCCGTTGGGGGGTGATGATTATTATGAATGGTGGTGTAAGCATGCAGGCGGCGGAGATGGCGGTTGAAGAGGAATTGAACCGGGCCATGCGCCAGGAAAAGCAACTGCTAAGTACCGAATGCGACCATAGCGCGCGTCATACCATCCTATGGAAGTACTTACATGTGCAACCGCACAAGTAACTTCTTCTCAACTCAACTGCCTGTCCAAATTCGCGATATAAAATCCCCACAACTCTGATCATCCTCGCCAGAATGGCTGTCGCGGTCAAAGCTTCCGCTTTATATAAGAAAAAAAATGGAGAAATATCTCTCGATGCTGATGGCAAAACCCTTACCTGGCAGGCAGAGTCGACGAACGCGGGGCTACATATTAACATATCCGTTGACTTGATTACAAGTTCGTTCATGAATCTGGAACCTGGCTTTATCCCAGCTGACAACTATTCCTTGCTAGGTCTTCAAGCCACTCCACCAAAATCTGCAAAGTCTATGATCAAGGTTTTCGTCCAACATCCGACTGAAGGCACTGTAGATCCATACGTATTTACCTTCTCTGGTTCCCCTGAAGAAGCTTCTGTTTTCAAAACAGCCCTCACCACCGCAATTCAAATATTAAAGTCTACACCAGCCTCCGATCCTGGGCCCTCTTTTGAATTGAAAGATGACCGGGTAGGGCCAGACTCAAGACCTGCTAAGCTCTTGCGCAATAGAACAGATCATGAGCTGCAGGAGGACATGTCACTGCAGCAAGCAGTTCTCTCAGCATCCCCCACTCTGCAGAAGAAATTTCATGAAGCTGTTATCTCGGGTGGTATGACGCCAGTGCAATTTTGGTCCACCCGTATTCACCTCCTTCGAGCCTTCGCTGTTGAACAAGCCCAGGTCAGAGGCTCCTACAACGTACTAGCCACTATAAAGCCTAAAACAGAGGACTCTGTTGTGCGTGTTAGCCTATCCAGAGACCAAATACATACGATCTTCAAGCAGCACCCTATTATCCAGAAAGTCTACGACGAGGTTGTACCAAAGCTTCGAGAAGATGAATTCTGGCGCCGGTTTTTCCTAAGCAAACTTTATAAGAAACTAAAAGGAGAGAAGCTCGTTCCCACCGATTCACATGACGATGTTCTAGATCAATATCTAAAAGTTGGAAGCTCAGGTAAGCCATATAACTGCAAGCCATATAACTGCCACCCTCGGAGCCTGCTCTTAACCTAGTTTTAGACTTTGGTGGTGGATCCGAACGCCAATTACGCATACCCCATATCATCGACATCGAAGGCAACGAGGATAATCACAGCCAGGTCTGTCATTCCGTGGTAGCATAGGGTTTCTAGGAGCTAATATACAACAACTGCTATAGAAACAGGGGAATAGACCAGACCTAACGATGCGACCAAACAAAACCGAAAACGTCCCAATAATTCGTACCCTGAATAACCTTAGTTCGAAACTCCTGGATTCTGTTAATCCGTACGTTGAGTTTTATAGAATTACACGCCATAATGGCCTCGACTGAAAGCTGATGGTAGACATAGGGTCGACTCGATTAATGAGCAAGGCCCTCGCGCACAGGACAACGTTGATATCAAACTCCACGATCTTCAAAATGATTCGCGACAACAAAAAATTCTCTTAAATGTTAGGGATCATCGTCAGTTTTTTAACGTGGAATATCAGACCTACGAAGTAAAGGCCCAGGAAACTCTAAACCGAGATACCACCGGTGTTGACATACTATTAAAATTGTTCCAAAATACCGCAAGTCACAAAAGCCTAACCCGTAGGCCCTCAGACCATAACCTAGTTCATGAAGCTCAGCAGTGGCATCCACGCTCCATCGAAAGAGGGATCAGTGACGATAACAACCATGCTTTGAGGGGGGCATCCACCCATATTTCAACCATACTAGCCATCCGACGGGTTCAAATGCCGGGAAGTTTCGGAAGTATTTCGATCCCCGACTCCCAAATATGGGACCAATTGTTGTTGACGCATGCAACCTCAACTGAATTTCTACGTCATTTCTGGGGTGCTTTTTTCTCCGGGGATCCCAAAAAAATAGGCGATGTCAGGAACATGGCCAGTTCCCTTAGCCGGTCTCTTGAACGGATAGAATTCATAGCCATGTCAGCAGAAGAAAAAGAAAAGTCAAATACCGAAACAGGACGCGGAGACCCTGATCGGAAACGGTCAAAGGGGAGTCATAGGCCACTGAACGAAAGAGGCTATGTGCTTGTGAAAAAGGTCATTACACCTCAAGAAAATGCCATCAAGACAGCGCTAGCAAAATATCAACAGGCACTGCAAAGTACCTGTGATAGCAATTGAAGTATTTGCGATGTCAAGCCATGGCATTCATTGACGCAATAGTTGCAACAAATATTAACCTTCTCCCTTCTACTGGTTTGAATTTGAAAAGTGGCAAAACAAACATTCGAAGTCCAGAAACTCTTGGGCCCAACGAGAAAATATTATATGTTATGGATGAGAAGACTGGAATGTAGATGTAAGTAAACATCCCACCGATCGACTAAGCCGCGACCATTGGTGGTTTAACAGTGGAACTCACCCACGGCCGAAACAGATAATTATCCACCTAAATAGGTGATTGCGAGGGCAGGCTCGTAGTACCAACATCAACGCCTGTCAATTAGAGTGGACTCGATTGCCATTGTATCGTCATTAGTGGCATCGTAGAACAGTTCACCTCAGTCATGCGAACACCAGCATCCCCTGGCAAGTTCCAAGTCTCGGTAGCCCTTTGTTCTTTAAATATCGAAAGTAGAAAACTTCAATCCACCTTTGCAGATGCGAGGGTTCTCGATGACCCCGCGCTTAGATTATTGATAAGACGGGGGTTCGGATTCTTGTACTTGCTCTTCTTGAGTTTTTTCCGAGCCACCATGACGGGAACAGAAGACTTCGTAACAAGATAGTTCGAGAACGACCCGAGCAGAACTCTGGAGGACCAACTATAGATTAGAATATAGTGCCAAGTAGATGTGCAAATCATAAAAGTCTCACCCTTTCAACGCGCTTCTTCCTCGTGACCCGAGTATGACCAATGTTGGTTCCAGAATATCGATCTAAAGGCACTCCCAAATTAGGGTAACGGAGTACTCTAGTTAGAATTGAAGATTCGTATGAATGTCGCTAAAATAATATTCCAGGGCGGACCTACCATTTCCGTGAGAAGATGCTTTGGGCTCTTGCAATGAATCACTTCAACGATAACATTGACCTGTAATTTTGTTTTTTTCAGCAGCTTGGCCACTAGTGTGGAGATTTGCTCCGCAGCAGCCCAACGCTCTTGCTCGGATTTACTTTTATCCCGTGAATTAATACTCGTTGCCGGTGCCTTTTCATCTTCGTTATCCAAGAGCTCAGCCGGTATACTAGGAAGGGCATCCCTGCTCGAGTTGTTTGACGAGTACTGGTTTCCTTCACCAGGATTATCAGGCACATCCGAACGGTTTAGGCTCGATGACCGCACCGGACTACTCCCAGATTTAGTTCTCCCCTTCTCTAAACTCCTTCTTCGAGCTGGAAGTGGTGGCGAGGCGCTCGCATACTGCGATTCAGCAGTCTGGGATGCAACTCTTTGCGCATCGAAATCTCCAACAGTTTCTTCATCGATAGCATAGATTGCTAGTAATTTGTCACCATCCCGTAGAACAGTACCAATTGTCCATTCAAGCGCATGTGCTGCTTCGGCACTTAAATCAGTTGCTACCAGATAGCTCCGCTGCTTTCTCCCCGATAAATACTCAGATCCTATATTGGATAAATCCCCGCGCACAATCGTTCTCGCAACCCTGTGCGTTTCAGGCGTAGATATTATAGGGGAGACACTAAGAGACAACCGAGACGCCCGCTTAAGATCCTTAGAATCAGCCTCCGCTTCAGATGAAAAGGGCGTCGAAACACGTGACCGGGTGTCAAAATTCGTATTTGGGTGTATTATATTCCGATGTGTGTTTTGCTGCGTTTGTGTAGGTGGTGAAACGGTGACAGAAGGTAGAAGAGATGATACTTTGTAGCGGGATGACACCGTTTTGCCTAGAAATACAGGGATTCAGTCAAGCAGATGGGAAAAACTTGAGAATAGACCTTACGCTCTTCTTCTGCGGCTGCTAAAAGGCTCATCGTTTTCCTTTGCGGTATCGTAGATTTCTGAGACTGACGATGGGGATTTTTGGAGCTATTGTGCAAGGTCGTGATCAGTTGGCTTTGCTGCAAGCTATCGGCAACAGCACCAAGGGGCTGTTTTTCCGATCTTCGGCCACGGAAGGACTCTGTATCATCATCACTGCTATATTCACTGTCGTCGGTACTCTCAACCGCAATTTCTCTCCCGTCATCGCCGACCATGAATGTCAAATCCTTCTCCAAGCGAACACCTCCATCACGTGAAATACTTTCCCCTGAGCTAGCCCGTATATTTCCCGCGGTGCCTCCCCTTTCAGGTAGTGTAGCCAGTGAGCCCCCGGAGTTCCTAAGAGCATCATCAGATAATCTCCGATATGCAGACTCCAGATCGATGAGAGTATCATTCTCCGTTATCAACGTCTTTGTGGGAGGTACCATATTCATGTTGAGTGGTGGCGATGATAGGGGGGAGAGGGAGAGATTCCCAGCATGCGGGGATGCTGATCGATTATGATACATAGATGGCGAGCCAGATCTCCGACTAGAAGATCCAAGCCGAATCTGACGACCACCAACTTGGGAACCACTTGGGAGCCCCATCCCACCGGGCTGAAAAGGGCCTGATTCGCTGTATATAGATGATAGTGTATCCTGGTGCCCTTGAGATAAACTGGTATGCATCGTCGTGGGGCTACTTGTCGGCGAGGAAGGGACTGGAGGCGTCTTCCCCGCGCGACCCCCTCCTCCCGCTCTCCTGAAATGAGGGTTCGGGGTAGAGGGGAGAATATTAAACTGATAATCTGCATTAGGGGTAAACGCTGATGCATCCCTATCCCTATCTCGGTCCTTCAACAAACGAGGTCCTCCATAAGCGGGAGAAGTGGCGGAGTGGAGTGACCCATGAGGCGAGCTATCTCGACTTCTTTGGCTATATGCAAATTGTCCAGGGGGGGGTGAAGCTGAATTTGAACCACGCTCTGCAGCAATAATCATCGATGAAATTCCACTAATAGATTGAGTAGCTCGCGAAGGAGACCGCGCCGGAGAAGTAGCTCTTGGTACTAACGGAGGGGATCGTGGAATTGTTGGCGATATTCCGGGAGGATTGCCACCTCCGCTATGCTTGTGAGGCACAGAAGGGCGCTCGAGAAGTTTGAGTATTTCAAGGCGCTCTTCCTCAAGAGCCGACTCCAGCGACATATTGTGAGAGTTCCTGCAGAAAAGAGGATGGGAAGATGAGGGTCTGACTTTAGTTGCAAAATGAATTTGAATTTTAGCGGGTTCTGTATTTCGAGGTTCTGCAACAGGTCCTCCAAGATGATGTTTTAGACTTGGACCAGAAAAAAGTATGTTTCACGTTAGAGAGATGAAGTATATTTCAGCTTATCTGTGTAAGGTTGAGTATAATAGAAAATATAAATAAAATATTATAATGATTATCATTTACTACCAGCGAAAAAAATATTTCGATCACATGGTATTTTCAAGTTGCCAAGGTCCGATTCTAGTATATGTGAGCTATCGCTTGTGTTATGTAGTGTGATGAATTCTTGATTCTTCCAACTGGAGATCTGCTTTTTATAGCATGGATTTTGAATACAGGCACTCAATTATAGTGTTTAAACATAATACCGGAAAGTCCATTCACAAACTAGACTAGGTTTGGCATACGAACAAAATTATTATTATTATTATTATTATTTGTCACAGCCCAGCCATATTGACTAACCCAATTAGGAAATATATCTTGGCACAATAAACATACTTTTTATTTCTGACTTCTTTTATCTTACAGAATAATCCTTATTATAAAGTTAATTATTTATATTTAAATTGATGATTATCAGCTTTGGGTTGGGTTTTGGGTTTTGCTAAGAACCTAATAGGTATTTATTTAGGTTGTTGTTTTTTTTTGGGGGTTTTTTTTATTATACTTTTTTGTTATTGCTATGATAGAGCAGCCATTTTCTAAGGCAGGTATTACTACAAAGGCAGGTTGTAGCGAGAGCTTTAGCTCTTGTTACCCTTATATTTATCTTATAAAATTATTTCTATATTAGAAAAATAATTATTGAATATATAATTTATAAAAGTTTATATATTTTTGTTATTATTAAGATCATATGTAGGTTGCTTAGTTGTCTGTTAAAACAAGCTTAAAGGTAAATGTTATAATATATACCTCTAAGGCCTGCGGGCCGGGTTGATAGGGATAGTGTTAGCAGTCATGGTTCGGGAGTATTTAAAGAAATCGGTAGCCGGAAAAATATAATAAAAACAACGCATCGTAATAACAAAAGTTAATAATTAAATAACAATTGATTACTAATTAATTACTGAACGATTACTAATTAATTACTAATCAATTATGAATCAATCATTATAATCTTTATTATAACGTATTCCATCTAGTTTGCGCGCACACCTAGTTTTGCCGCAGTTTTTAGAGTTAAATATTCTATTAAAAATCATTATTAAATCTTTAATTTTTTTATATCTTCTATATGATGATGCCCGATAATATATATTTTAAAATAATATTATTTTATTATATTGTAATAATTTTGAATTTTAAAAAACTACGAAAAGATATAATTATAAAAAAAAAAAAAATTAAATATAAAAAAGTATTATTTAATATAATAATATTGTTTTTGATGAATTTGTTTTTTATAATTATGACGATATATTTGATGTGTTTTATTTTTATTATTTTTATTTTTATTTTTGTTTTTATTTTTATTTTATTTTTTTTTTTTTTTATTTTTTTTATTTTTATTATTATTATTATTATTATTATTTTTATAATTGTAAGATATAATATTAGTTATTAAAATTTTTAATACTATAATATAAATTTATAATATATTAATTTTTTATATTATATTAACAAACTGGATTATTATTTTTTAAAATAAAAAAAAAAATTTTTAAATTATATTAATAAATAATATATTATTAAATCCAATAATAAAATTGTTTATAATATAAAGCAAAATTAATACAATATAATTAATAATAATGTTAATATTCTAAAATTTATTAATAAAAAAAATAAAGTTATTTGAAATAATAATAAAAATGTCACGGCCCAGCCATATTGACTAACCCGATTAGGAAATATGTCTTAGCACAACAAACATACTTCTTGTTTCTACCTTTCTTTATCTCACAAGAATATTTTTAATTATAATTATTCGGATTCTTCAAATTGAGAATTTATACACCTATTTTCTACCTCATATACAAATATATTATAAAACAACACATTTCTTGTTTTAACTAACAAACAGAAATGTTTGACACTGGTCCATCATGCAATATTCGACACCAAGTTTTTTTTTGTCAAACATGTCGACTAGTCGACTGTCAACAATATTGATAAATTGATTAAATATCTGTTATATATCTAATTACTCATTTATAAAAAACTTTATCATATATTTAAAAACCTTTAAATGATGGTAGTTTTTAGTTTATCTTGGAACTCCATCAATTAATTTATTAACTTAATTTACAATCTACTTAAACAGTATTTAATCTCACAGCTAATTACTGTGTTATATTTTTTATTCATACAACTTTATATCTTTACTTTAAATACTATACTATCCTCTAAGAGATCTAAACATATAAAATTAAAAAACACAACAAAATACTAAACTATTTTAGAAAACCTTACCAAGGAATCCTAAAACAAATATAATATTTTAACCAATCCAACTCTTGAAAAAAAGTAGTATATATCAGAAAATTACAGTCTATCAGACATAAACACAAGTAGTAAAAATTAAAAAGATTTTTACAATTTTTTTAAAGTTTTAACACAACTTGTAAATCAAAAAATAGTCAAACACACTACAGTATAAACTGAACTACTAACAAGTTAGGTAAGCCCTAGTCTCAAACTACAAAATAAAACTAATATAAAAAAAAACAAAGAATCTATTAGAGTTTATAAACCACTAAAATCCCAAAACAAAATTACAACAATTAAATTAGGCATTTAAATATAACCTATAGAAAGATTATAAAAAAACGCATATAACAAATATATAAGAAAACTTAATATAGACATTGATAGCCTACTAACAATATTAAACATATTTACTGAATAAATGAACATCAATCTTATTAACAATAAGAAAGGAAATTCCACCAACCCCCAACCAAAAAACCTCCTTCCTCCTAAAACTTTTGAAGAATTATAAATGCAATTAAAATTTTTACAAAAGAAATACAACCAAAACATCAAGAAAACCACCACCAAAATCTTTATCATAAATTCGGAAAAAATAAAAATAAAAAAAGAACATAATAAACTCCAAAAACAACTTAACAACATAAAACCACCACAAATTAACAACCCAACTAAATTCAACAAAACATTTAAAAAACTTAATTACTTTCTCTAACAACTCGACACCTATTTCCAACTTCAAACCAAACAATTTTCTAATAATAAAACCAAAATTCTCTTTATAAAAATATACCTCAAAAATATTATTCTACAAACTTACATTACCTACCAATAATATTGTTCCAAACCCATTAAAAAACAAGAAGAATATATTATTAAAGTTATAATTAATTACAATACCTTTACCAAATTCTTCAAACAGCAATATAAAAAAAACAACAAAATCTCTCATACACAACAAAACATTACCTTTTTCAAACAAATCAATTCTACTCGAAACTATTTTTAAAAATTTAATAAACTCACAATCCTAACTAAATAAAACAACAATAATCTTTACTATTAAATAAGAAAAAAACTCAAAACTAAATTCTAACAATATATCTATATTCAAAAAAAAAACAAAAAAATAAAAATCTTCCTAATATAACTCACATGGAAATACAACAATATACTATCGAAATTAACAATATTAATTTTAAAACTTACACCAACCAATCCTCCTATAATAATAAGAAAAAAAATAATAACAACTCTAACAACTTTGGAAGTAAGAAAAATAAAAAAGATAATAACAAACAATAAAAACATAATAAAGACAGAAAAATACACCCCAATCAAACTTTTAGGTCTACACTTATAAATCTCAACAATATATGATAATAGTATCCACATAACAAATCTAAAAAAAATCCAAAATTTAATACACCACTATACTAAAATTGTAATAAAACTAAACACTTTAAAAATAATTACCCGAAAAACCAACAAAATACCACACACCAACACAGACAATTTCATAATACTAGTCAAAATCCTAAAACTCTAACAAAAAATCAAAAAAAATCTATCAAATTCAAAATAACACTCCAAAAAAAAAATTTTATTAAAAATATTCAACAACAAATCTTCGAAACCATTTATAAAAATTTTTCACAAACCTCTACCTCCAATACCTAAATAAATACCCCTAAGTCAACAACCCAAAACAATAACAACAAAAAAATTGTTATCCAACCTTCAAATATTAACTATTTTCCTACCAAAGAATAATATCATTAACTATAACAAAACCCTCCACCAGAAAAGCACCTTTAGTACTAACAAAAGCTTAATAAAGAACTTTATCAATACTACTTACAAAACAAAAAATATAAGTATCAATTTATTAAAAACAACCCTAAACTTCGAAACCCAATAGTTCACTTAAGAATTATATAACAACAATTTTTTACCAAACAACTCTTATCAACCATTAATCTTTTTAAAGCATATAAACAACACCCCATGCCATTTTTACTTTTTAACTAAGATAACAACACATATTTTCCCTCATCACCTTCATCAAAAAATTCTTTTTCCTTTATTTTAAATAACAAAGAAAGCCCTTTCATCAACAAAAACATCCACAACCCCAATTATAACAATAAAACCCACACTTAAATAGATTAAACGACCAAAAAAAACCAAGAATATATCAAATACTTTAATTACTACATAGGATGTAGTAAATACAACTATACACAAAAACATAAATAAACAAATAAAATAAAACTAAAAAAAGTTTTATATCAAGCAAACCTCAATTTATTCAAAGAACTTTATGTTAACTATTTCGAAATATATTATCTTGCAATCAACATTAAATATTCAGTTAAAACTTACAACCTATTCCTTAATTACTCAATAGTAGAAAAATTTAAATTCCACAAAAAAGTCAAATATTACTTATACATTAAAAAAATTGCTAAATATACTCTATACAACAACACCTTTTATC